CCATAATGTCTCAATTCTCCCAGTTCTCTGATGTGTATGCATCATCTTTATATAATACTGACAATCCAGATAACCTTCAGGTTATTCAACCCGACGACCTTACCTCTAACCCTTCGTTTAACCAACAAACATCACAATCAATCGCCAATTCGGATTTCATTTATCCATCCCGTGTGGCCCCTATACCTCCCTCCCTTGAACGTATCTGTCCTGACCGAACTTCGGCATACCTTGTTTATTCCAACATGACAAAAGACGATTTTGTGAATTGGTGGCTTCAGACAGACTTTGGACAAAAAAAGCCGATACGGTGGGATGCTCGACAGCAATCTGATGTGTGGAAGCACTTTGACCAGGTAGCAAAAGCGAGCGACGGAATGCCCAAGGTTATGTGTAAACGATGCAAGAAGGTGCTCGATCATCCACAACAACATGGGAATGGGACCACAGCGATGATCAAGCATTTGAAAGGGATTGGGTGTCGTGGCACAAATGGGCATAATATCAAACAATTTTTCCACGAGGTAATTTTATCTTATATTATGATATCTTTTTACTAATATCTTTCTAATATAGGCTACACCAGCTTCAGATAGTCTCAGTTTTACTCAAGAGGCTTGGGAAGCAAGTTTACTTCGTTTCATTACTGATTCCCGGCTACCATTCCAAATCCTCGAACACCCCGACTTTCATCAGTTGATTTACATGGCCTCCCGTGCCCCAATGCGTCCACAAATCCCATCTGCGAAAACAGTTCGACGTCGACTTCAAGGCACGATCACTGAGTACCAGAATACTATCCTCCAAAAGCTACCTAAAGATGGTAAGCTATCAATTGCCCTTGATTGCTGGACATCTCCATTCCAGCAAGCATTTATGGCAGTAACTGGTTATTTTCTTGATGAAGATTGGAACTATCGGGAGATACTGCTTGGCTTTGAACCACTTCATGGAACACACTCGGGTGTCAATCTAAGTGCTGTCCTTCTTGAACTTCTTCAAAAACACCAGATCACAGACAGAGTGCTTGCAATTACTACTGATAATGCATCAAATAATAGCACTATGATGTCGAGTATCCAGGATTCTATCCAGTCTCTTGAGATTAGCGATCATACTACGATCATCAAGGTTCCCTGTCTAGCCCACGTCATTCAACTTAGTCTGAAGCAGCTTCTTGGGCAAATGAAGGCAAATCCAAAGAACGATATAGCTGAAATGCAGTGGTCTGAAACCCAAGATCAATTGATCCGCTCAAGGCAACAAAAACGAGAGATTGTTGACACACTGAATAAGGTAAGTTTATCTCTTCAGATATAAAAACTATCAACTTATTTAATTATATATAGATACGAGGCTTAGCTGTTTTTATCAATGCTAGCCCTCAACGTCTCGAGCTGTTTTCTAAGCTTCAAACAACCTCAATACCTCTTGTGCCAATTCAAGATGTTCGAACACGCTGGAACTCGACCTTTCTTATGCTCCGACGTGCCAAGCGATTACAGTCTGTCTTTGACGAGTTCTGTACTAAATATGGACATTCGCATTTGAAGCTTGATCAAGAGCAATGGCGTCAGATCGACTACCTCCTTTATATCACTCAACCTTTCTTCCAATTCACGAATGCGCTTTCGAAAACAAAGGATGTTACCATACATCTGATCTTTGGTATCTATAATAAGCTTTTTGATCATCTTGAGAAGTCGATCAACCAGCTTAGATACAAAAAGGTACCTTGGAAGAAGATGATGCTAAATGCGCTTTATGTGGCGAAGACAAAGCTTTCCCAATATTATAGCAAGACAGATGGCGTTCCTGGAGACCTCTTTGCTATTGGAACAATGCTTGCACCGCAGAATAAGCTCCAGTTTTTTCTAGGAAAAGATTGGGGCGATGAGTGGCGTGATCGATATCGCCAAAGCTTTGTGGATTACTTTGAGTCTTATAAGCAACGTCTGTTACAGAACCAGACATTACTAGAGTCTCATATATCCACAACACAGACCTCGGAGTTTGATCTTGAACGGATGCTTAGAGAGTCTGAATCTCAGCAAACAAGCTTAACTGAGCGGGATGAGCTTTCAAGATATCTTGAATCTGGTCAGTATTATCTTGGTTTATTGTGTGTTTTATTAATAAATATTAGGTACTATCACTGGAGTAACCATTCGAGCGTTCTGGAAAGACCATCAACATGAATTTCCTGCTCTCGCAAGCCTTGCACGGGATATTCTTACAATTCCTGCTACAGGTGCAGGGGTTGAGCGTCTCTTTAACTCTGCTCGGGACATCTGTCATTACCGTCGAGGCTCTCTAAGATCTGAAACTATCCAGGAGCTCATGATGTATAGGTTCGCAACAAAATTTGAGCTTGAAGATGACAACCTTACTCTTAAGAAGGAGTATCTTACAAGTGGGGAGATTGAGACAGAGAGAGAAGAGAAAAGTCCTCAGTCACTACAGGATATTGATCCTATCAGTGATAATGAAGAGGAGGATATAGAGGTCATACAAGAGCCAGATACTACCCAGGGCCCTTCTCATGAAGCTTTATCTGACGATGAAGCTACAAATCCTCTCCCAGAGACTCAACAACGGATTTCAGGTAGAAGTCGGAAGCGGAGACGGGATGATGATCAGTTTATTGAGTATTAGCTATAGAATCAAATTGACCTTGTTTTAACCTCTTTAATACTGAGAAATCTCTTGAATCTTGACTGGTAGTTGTATATGAAATACTCAAAATTACAGCTCGAATATGCATAAAATATACAAGTCACGGGGTCCCACCTGTTTGTATTGTTTGACTACCCGCGGGTACCCAGAAAATACCCATGGGTATTAACCAGCTTCCCACTACCCGCACGCGGGTAGGCAAACCCTACCCATTACCCGCCAAGAAATGGGTAATGGGTACCCCGTTTGGGTAGACCCGCGGGTCGTGGCGAGGTCTAGTTGTGGCTAGCTATTAATAGTTATAGACAATATTGTCTTATTCATTTATTTTTAGGATAGCTGGTGATACTTCCTTAACTCCTTCCTAGTAATCTAGTCTTCTGTTAAGTATATCTACTTGATTGTTTGTGGTTCTGTTATAATACTCGATTCGGTAGTTGTATCGGAATAGTTCTTCTATCTATCGTACTTGTCGTCTAGTGAGCTTCTTAGTAGTAGTAAAGTATATCAGATTTTTATAATCTAACTTTATTATTATCTAGTAATTTGTTTCTTCCAAGTATAGTCTCTATATCTTAAATACCATAACTATTACTAATAGTTTCTTGTTATAAACGTCATAGTTTAATTCGGCTAGTATCATTTTCCTAGACCAAAATATAATTAGTCGATATTTCTGTTTACTATCAGATTATATAAATCTAGCCCCCAACATATAATCCGATATATCTATCTCTATGATATATGGTTTTTATAGATCGTTTCTGGCAAGTATAATTTGTTCCAAGAATAATTATTTCAGTTCGCTAAATGATTGTTCTGCTTTATTATTCTATTTCTATAGCTAGTCTCCCTTTATAAGTTGCATTAAGCTATATACTTTTGTCGAGAATCCTTTAATCCATTGTTGATAGTAGTTAGCCAATCCCAGAAATTACTATATCTCCTTGACCTTAGTCGGTCGTAGCCATTCCAGGATACTTCGTACTTTTTCTTCTTCCATACTAAATCCTTTCTTAGTACAATTTGTATTTACCAGGAGGCCGCTGTTTCTGGCAACCCCACCATTATAGTTTAGCGCCTGTCTCTTGCCGCCTCGGTTGGGTTTAGTGCGTCCATATTAGGTTTAGCCGCTTGCGCTAGCCTGTAACGAGAACTGCCGCCTGTCGCCGCCTTCGTGGATCCTCATGAACTATATAACCCGGCAGGTGCGTCGCTCAACCATCCCCCCTTTCCAACCCACCCCACGGACGCGCCTCTTGGGCTTTGCCGTTCCGGCAGTGCGCTGCCAGCACGGAGCCCCCTCCTCCGGATCCCTGTGCTTAGAGATGACCGTCTCCACTCTCAGGTGCTGCGCCCCCTTGGTTCTCTGGCGTCGTTGCAACGGTACGCCCTCAAGGCCTCTGATTTGATCGGATTTGATCGCCATCGGCGTGAATCGCCGATCTTAGTCGTTCCTGGAGAAAGGTCTGTCTGCCTTCTGGGACCGTGACTCTCGTCCCCATTCTCCCTCTCCCCCAATGGGCTTTCCTGGCTGTCGGCCGTGGCCCATGTGATTCTCAGTCCAAGCCTCTTGGAAGAGCCTACAAGGCGCATCTCTGACCTCTGAGACAGAGGGATGACGTGTCAAGATGCACACGGGCGTTGGAACCCTGCTGGGAGCAGTGCAGCCGCCAATGGCAAAAATGCCTCTTGATGTCCACAGAGCGCCCTTGGGGGAAAAACTGGGCATGCGGTACGCCTTGTTGCTCATAGAAAGCGGATAGTTGGTGACGTGGCCGTGGGGCATTCTGCATGGTGGTCATGTTGGTCTTGTTGAGGTCGCTTGTAATCGATCTGGTTCGTCGAATGCCGAGTCGAGTACGTTCGTGGCTATGGCCAGGCCGCGCGTTTCCTGCACGAGATCATCTTGATTGGTTTGGAGCTGCCGTGGGCTCTGCGATGCGGTGATTAAAACAGGATTTGGCCTTGTGTACGATAGAGGCCTAGGGTGGTTGATCTAGCCGATTGGCCTATGGCAGGGACCTGTGTTTCTCCGAGAGCCCGACTACGTCGCCGTGCACGTCCATTCTAGGAATGAGTCGCGGGCTTTTTTGGGGGAAGAGGAGGGACAAGGTGACATCCACGGGGAAAGCGGATTAATGGTCTATGGGGCGAGGCAGAATCCGGCCAAGACCTAATTCTATATCTTGACCGTAGATGGGACTATGTACAACCTTCCGTGTTGCGCGGGTCCTGAGCTGCGGTTATAAAAGCTTGTGAGCCCCCTCTATATTCCTCTGTTCCAAGCCCAGTCCCTTTGCCTATTGGTGTGTTGAGCCACCATGCCTATCGACCTTGATAATATCAGCTTCTATTCTCATCCGCCTACCAAGCACTCCTCCTCGTCTATTACTCCGGCTTCTTGTTGGACGACGTATCAGACTCCAATAGCACCTTATACCCTTCCATTTATCCCACCCTCTGTAGGAATCCAAAATCCCACGAGAGACACTGCGGCTCCAAATGCCGGCAGTAAATTTGATCTCGAAATAGGCAGAGTTATGCGAGAAAACGGCCTGGGCGTGCACAACGTGAACTATGATATGCATCTCGACTCGGGGGTCCAATCCGAGACCGAGAAACCTCGAAGCGAGCAACCATCGTTGACAAGTGGTAATTTGGACTTATCACCTGACTGTGCAAAGCAAGATTGACTGATATTGTCTACCAGATCATTCAGGCCGATCTTCGGCAAAGATGCTTGGTGACTTAGAAATCACTCCATTACCAGCGGAACCGCATTTACATCAACAGGGTAGGGTGCTGCGATCGTGATCTTGTGGTTCCCCTTCTATTTCTAACTCTATCAGAAGTACCCATCTCCTCACCCGTCTCCTCGACTCTGGCCCCAAGTGACTTACCCACATGGCGCCGAGACAGTGTCTTTTCGCTAGGAGGTTACCATGAGCCGCACCCGGCTCCTGCTTTATCACAAGTCGGCTCGACTTGTCTTCATATCTCGCCGCCGCCTTCGCTGGATATGCCAGCACAGCCCAGCATGGATAGCACGAATCAGGAGGAATCCAAGGTGGACGACACCGACTCAAGACCCGAAAACCGGCAAGATCGGATGGAGGTTTTAGAGAGTGGGATGAAGACACAAAGGTTCCAGGCCGAGGGATCCTCAAGCAGCGAGGCATGTCCGGACAAGGGTACCGCAGGTGGTTCCATCGAGAAAACGCAGACCCCTGCATCTCCCAGTCGACACCGCGAACTTGTCGAGTCAAAGAATCAGAAGCCCCTTCGGCTAGAACTCGCTCCCTTCGTCCACGACAAAATGCGGAGTTTGGGCGGTCGAAAAGATTACAAGCCATTAGCGTGGTTGTCCCTGCTAGTCGAAGCGACGACGTTGCTGGAGGCGCCAACGCGAGTCCTTCAGCCAGATCGCGACACTGCGATCGTGGAGGCGGCAACGGCCGTAACAAGAATCGCCGAAAACGGGCCGTAAGGGGAAGAAATTCATTACTCCCGGGTGAATCTTGTCTTCAGTCGCCAAAACGGTCACAGAAACGACCCAAGATATCCGCAAGAAACACACTGGCCTCGACCAAGGAGGTCGTCCCGGAAAGATGACGGCTATAGTCTATCCTCCAAATGTTGTTCAGCATCTATCCCAGGTGACACACAAGAGATCTATGGCCGTGGAATCCTCCGTATGCAAGCCCACGGTCCTCGGCAAGTTTATTTCATGACATTCCTTCCAGACGTTTCTCACCACCCACCCATGGCGTCTTCAGCCGAGTCTCCATTCCATGACGAATCCTCTGAGAATAAATCTTCGAAGCCAGGGGTACAAAAGGAGCATCGCAAGCGAATTTTATCCCCGGGGTGTGACGACGGAGAGGCATGGTCGAACAGGTCTTCGCCGAGCTTTTCGCCGAGCTTGGCGCCGAGCTCCCAATCCGGTCGCAGCAGTGCAAAACCAAAGACCAGCAGGCGTGTGCGGTGGTCGCCTGAAGAGAAAAAACTTCTACGAGAGCTCAAGCGAGATGGAAGTCGACCGTGGTCTGAAGTGACAAGATTATTTTTGGACAAATACCCCGGAAGAAAGCCTGGCGCAATCCAGGTCTACTGGAGTAATATTCTCAGCTCAAATCAGTAAGCGGTGGCGATCAAAGCCATGTACCTCTTAGGGGTCTCCGAGTTCCGAAGGGGTACCCCGCACGTCCCAGCTCCCATCCCGCGGCGCCATCCGATCATTTGTCTCCTTCAAATACTTCATCCAAACTTTGTGTACAGCCGTCCTACCCGCCAAGAAATTTCCGCTTTTAGAACATCGGGGGAGCGGAAGGAAAAACCGAAGCTCAATGATCATCTCACGAAGACGGAACGGGACTATTGCATCGTGTGAGCCTTGTCGCAAACGTAAGTTGAGGTGTGACCATGGACGGCCAATCTGTGAACGTAGCCGCCAGCGTGGTCAAGAATCGATCTGTATCTACCACCCAGCTCCTCTTAGCCAGAGACTAGGCTTGGCTACAGAAGACAGATCTTCTCGTGCTTTCCGAACGCCTGGGACCTCATCGTATTATGCCCGACCGCGGTGTCATTCAGTACCTGCCAGCAAACTATCGGTGTTTAAGGCAAATACCAAGTACCATCCTGCACGAAAAGTGAATGACTTCCTTCTCGAGGCGACTCGCGAACGTGTTACGGATTCGAACGCAACCCTGTTCAGTACTCAGGGTGAGTCTATTTATGGCGATCAGATTGCGCTCGTTGCGGAGATTCTCCAAGTGCTGCGTGACTTCAACACTATACGTAACTTGCTGGCCACGTACTATTCCACAAGCCAAGCATCAATCATACCAAGCCAATTGATTCTATCTGCACTGCCTTCGCTTTCGGAATCTGTCCTTTCTCTTTCCAACGGCGAAGGGGAAGGCAACGATCAGCTTTCTCGTCTCGCTGAAGAAGTCCTTATCTCGACTTCCTCCCAGATCAATGTTACAGCCCTAATGAGCCCGTCTGAGTTTATGCATCTATATACAGGGGAGAATCTACGCCTCGAATTCCTTGGTGTTGTTTTCTCAGTTGCTGCACGGTCGTGTCTGATCGGACTGGCACAGGAAGGGGAGCAACTGGATGCCTTCGCTCGAGATCTGTATTGCTGTAGCACCAATTGCCTTCGCCTCGCTCGGGAACTCACTCCATTGAATGACATGCTGGTCTGGTTGGGACAAGATCATTTGATGCTCACAGCGTGTATAGAGGGAGATTCGAGTAAGTAATATGCAATCTTGTGCCGGAACACTTTCTGAGCTTTCAAGCGCAGGCGAGGATACTTGGTGTTGCCTGGGAGACCTGTACGCAGATATTCTAGGGTTTGGGGTTAACCGTGACGCGTTCAACACTATCGACACCCCTCTCTTTCTCACCGAGTGTCGCAGGAAGGTTTTTGCCAAGGCATATCATACGGACAAATACTTAGCAACGCTATTTGATCGTCCACCCCGACTTTTGAAGCGCCATGCAGATAGCAAACTGCCGTTGGACTTGGCCGATTCCGAAATATTAGCAAGTCCTTCTGGAATTGCCAAGGCTCGAAGTAGCCTTAGTCCAGATGGATGGAATTAAGAAGGGAAGTTCTGCCCTTCTACATGGACTCGCGTCAGATATATCATTGCGGAGATAATTGAGGAGATACTTGACTATAAGTATCGTCCCTTGACAGGTCAAATTATTGCCAATCTAAAGTAGGAATTTGATCTTGCTCATCTCTTTGATGCGTGTGAACTGACAATAAGTCTAGGAGTATTCCCGATCGCAACCGAGTCATATGGGAGTCTCTGCCGCCCCATCTTCATTATGATGCACGATGCTGGACCTCAGGAACCCATCCTCAAATCTGTTTCATGCTGGCTATGATCTCTGTGGGGTTTCTACATTGTGTATTTCAGGCATTTCAGATCCTCGAGCAAAATGACGCACAGTCGAGACAAGGATTGCTCGAAATATCTTTGAAAATGATTACACGAATAGAAGAATTGGGCTCTTTTCGCAGAAAGGCGATATATCTTCACCGAAGATTCTCGTACATCGTACGTTGAATGTTCCACATTGCCCTCAAATCTAACGGTGAAGGTAACATTGATCATAGATTCTACGCTATGGCGTATCCCCTGCGATTGTCCTAACCAAAGCTGCACACGAGTTAGCCAGAGATGGATCTTTCGCGTCAGGTTTCCCAGCAGAGCTTACCCGATCCAGGCTTGTACAGGCTCTGTATGTTTTCGTCTCCCAGTTGGAGAGCATCAGTGGGCCCGGTGAGCCAAACCACGAAATTTGTGCTCAGACGTCCAAAGCAATCCACAGAACATTAGTTGAATTGCTCGATCCTCCACCAAGCTCTGTTGGTGTCACTCGTGCTAGTCCCACCGCTTTTACGACCTTAGATACGTTGAATCCGAGTATAATTCTTCCGGGTTTGTTTGATGCCGATATGTGGGACGGACTTGGTCATTTCGACTATACAAGTACTTGAACGGGAAGACATGTGAAGTGTACACTTCGGGTTACATAAGATCCTAAGTGTGACCGACTCTCGCAACAAATGGTATCCAGAGCACCGACCCCCTCGTTTCTCCGCCTTAGAGTGGCAAGCGTGTTGCTAGGGCAAAGTTCACACTATCTTCAGCCATGCCATCCTTGCGTTGCGGGCCTTCAAAGGTTTCTCCCAGTATAAGCCATCATTATCTGAACGCAAATTGGCTTTATTTGTTACACCATTCGTCATGTGGCGCAGGCGATAGATACGATAGATACGCAACCCTCAGTTTTCTCAGGGGTTGCTCCATCTGGCAAGGGGCTTTTTTTCAAGAAACCCTCCAAGAACAAATGCCCCGTCAGTATGCGATGTGCCGAGGGCGATTCCTGCTCCTAAGGTTTCGCTTAGCGCCCGGCGGGCTGCGGCTGTATGATATCATCCACAGTGGTACCGAGTAGCGTAATATGCTTTGAGATGATAGTGGTCAGCGTCCAGTTGTCATTGATTTGAGGGGATAAAATGGCTTACACGCCCTCAGGTTCTTGAGCCAGAGTCAGACAACAATCTGGTCTTGGGAATGCTTATCTTACCGTGGACTTCCCTGATCCAGAGGACGCTTCGTGGCCCTCTCTCGCTGTCTGTGTTCGTGGCCCAAAAGGGATCCTGCAGCGAAGAGGCAGCTGGTCCAGCTCTTTCTTCTCAAGAGACTGGGAACAAAGCAGCCAGTACTGGAAATTAGTGCATTGACCTTGGCAAATGACCCCAACCGCTTAGTTAGCCCACGCTGACTAAAAGCATTTGCGGCTAGCCAGGATAAGCTTCAGTTTTAGGCAGCAAAGCGATTTCAGTCAGCTGCCCGAAATGCGCGTCGCGCCTAAGGTACTAAACCAGGCGCTTGGATCTAATCTACATAAAGGATATACTTAGCGGTCTTTTCATGATCCCTTTCTTTGTCTCCTTAGCACTCACACTTTGGTAAGTGGGCTATGGTTTTCTGGGAGGGGTCATAATCTTGATCGCCCTTGTCCTTCCAGCCCGCATGGTCTACTTTTCATTATATTGTTCTCCGTCGACGCATTTGAAGCGCCTCACTCAAACTCTATGGAAGACTTTCGGAAGCTACTTGTCGAGGGTGGCCGACAGGAAATGCCACTTCCTGTGAAGAGATGGATAACTACTATGTCTTTCCGAAAGTGGATGTAACCTGTGGTCTGCCACACATCTTGTGGGAGACGTCTATGAATGGAAGCACAATCGACGCACAGCTCAGGACATCCAGTGAAATTTCCGGCTTCCTGAATCATTTTTCTTTCGCATCAATTCCGATACGGAGGTGGTGATTTACTTGATAAGAGTGGTGAGTGGACTCAAAACGGCCCATGTTCTTATATATCTAGATTGGCAGGCTAAGTCATTGGCTAGGTTTTGTCAGTGAAGCTCAGCGTAATGTGATCATGGTGCACGCCAGTAGCAGGACGTTTATACAACATTATCGCCCCCGTCGGCATACTGGCTTACAGGAGATCATGTGCGGCCTTAATCCGGATGAAGAGTTCTCCAAGGCTGTGACTCGGATGAGCCGCTGGATTGATCGGCGGCGGCCGCGATACCTGAGTGACGTCGATCGGGAATCAGTGGAGAAAGACCCTGAACTGCTCTCGGCCATACGCTGGCAACTCGAGTTAGAGACCCAGTGCGGTGGCCGCCCTCATGACCCAGCGCCGCGGGCGATGCTGAAGGACCAGAGACGTCAAGTCCAAAATTTGCGCCGCCGTTTGCAGCACAAACGGCGGAAGGAAATACGCCGTGATTTCAGTCGGCAACAGGCGGTGATTGACATTGAAAGACAGCTGACCGGCGGGGCTGTCAGCGATGAGCCTGCGCGCGAGGAAGGAGTTTGCAATGCCATCGGAGCAGATCCTTCTCGTGGAGACATTCTTTACTTGGCCCACCACCGATTCATTAGAGGATGAGTGGACGCGGCGCAACAAAGCTGTTGCTGCTGGAATACAATATTGCGGCTTTCAGGAGGGTGGTCCTCTTCGAGGGCGACGGAAGCGCTCTGCGCCGTCCGACCGTGAGGACGTTATTTCCCCTCCGCCAGCTCGAAAGATGAAGGCTGGTACGCCGACGACTACATCGGAGAGGAATGGACATACTTCTGACAGAAAGCTTATCCCGAATGCAGAGCAAACATTCGCATGCTTTCAATGTCCGAAGGCATACGCAGACTATAATGGAGTGAGAAGGCATTTTAGAGATTCACACTTGATGGACCGAAGATGCAATTTTTGCGATCTATCCGTCCTACACGAGATGCACCTGCGGAGGCATGCTTCTGAGGCTCATGGTCTTCGAACATGAGCATTTACTTGTATACCCGTCAAAGTCACGAGTCTTGGCACATTTTTTTTTGTTTGATATCTATTGAATATCCGCAATTATCCAACGGATATGAGGCCCATATCCAAATCCGCAGTTTGCGGATATGCATTGCGGATATCCTTGGACATTGCGGATCGTGACGCAGTCTAAGTATTACCAATTATCCCAGTGGGCGTTCAGGCCATGCTCAATCCAAGCCTGCAACCTCACCAGGCACTTTCTTCCTCTGTTTCAGGCTATCAGAGGCTTCTTTGGAGAGTACTGTTCGTCATTAGAAGAGCGGAGGTGTGACTGCCCCAAAGACGATGCATCACAATAAAGGCCGAGCTACTCCGAGATCTAGATCTGGGAATGACAACATTATGGCAGATCGTTAAAGGCCGAGCTGCTCCGAGATCTAGATCTGGGAATGGCAACATTACGGCAGATCATTAAAGGCCGAGCTACTCCGGAATCTAGACTGGGAATGACAACATCATGGCAGATTATTCTCAGTTCCTACGATGAGACCTCGATCGTTGGGCAACAGTCAACGATCGGAGATCGAGATTACCGACAGGCGACTTCGGGCACTAAGGCGGGTCCGGCTGTACTACGTGGCGAATTGTGGATACTAGTGTTCAACTAGTTCATGAGTTCACGTATGCAGGAGGAAGATCACCCAAGCCACGAGATTACATCGCCGAGTAAGAACCAGGGGTCGAGCATGTGTCTAGTATATATGGGCGTTACGGAGATATTCTCTTTTGTATTTTCTTGTTTGTAAAAGCAAGTATTAATTGTCTGTGTTACTCAAAACTATCACTAGAAGATTTCAAGATATGTGTTGGAGGGGGACCTGGAACCGCTAGGGACAGCTATATACATAGCGCGACCTCGGACGGCAGGAGAAAGGGACCCTTCCTATCACCCCTTGACAGAATCGTTCTCCAGCCGTCACCCTACGGGCCGTGTTGGCGATCCTGTTTCTGAGACGATGTGAGTCACCTGATTGTGGCTTCTAGAGCGATAATTGGATAGTAGTCTGTACCAGCATGATGGCTCGCCGACGGAAACCTGCGCCCTCGATCGGCATGTCGCCGGCACCTGCTTAGCTTGCCGCTTCCTACACGCTATTTGTGGGTCCTAGTAGGTTGAGGAGCTGAACACCGTGCCGGTAATTAGACTTGATGAAGATGAGAAATCGAACTCCCGAAGTTAATTACTGCCTACCGATCGTGTGAATCCGAGTTTTCGGTTAACCTGAAGATCATATTCTTACTTCGATAATTAGTCAATATACCCTACAGGTTGCCATTTTATGATACCTTTGTTATGTGCAGGCCTTAATAGCCTTAATAGCATCCATATAAACCTCATGATATGTGGGTGGATTAGACACCAATTATATATCATCTATGCTGCCTTTGTGAGAGCTGACCCGTGTCGATTCTGGTGGAGCTGACGTCCAGGATCAGGATCAGCTCGCTACAACCTTTTAGCTCTCATAGAGGGCCCACGTAACACTAGCAGTGGAGCTATTTGTTCGCATTGCCCATTCATGGCCAACAACGCATGGCTTATCTGGTATGCTTGCGTCACCAGTGCTGCAAGCAGCACTTACCAGGAATCTAGAACCTCGGTTAAATCTGGTATATTCTATGACCTACCGCTGCATGTAACATTTATGGTGGCTCGCAGCCTAGAACTTATCTGTACGTTGGCGTCACCAGTACTGCATGCGGTGTTTGCAATGGTTTACTATATTAGTTGCTACCTATGTATAGATAAATAGGGAACATTCTCGTTTCTACTTGCTTGAACAGAACAACCAGCTTCAAAATCACAAACCAAAGTCTAAACCCTATATATAACTTTATCAGACAGTAAGGCCGCATATTCCTTGCTCCTATTCCCTTATCTTTACTTATCTTTACTTGTTTTTACTAACGCATGGTATCTGCTGTGTTCTTAATAGATGGGTTCCTCGACCGGCTCTGGATTCTTCAAGGGAGATGGGAACGGCAACTTCTGGTCAACTTTTATCCTGCCTAGCAACGGCGTCTCCAAATCATTCAATGGCAAATTTTCGTCAGCTGTTCCAAAATTTATTTGCACCCTTGCTCAGGTTGAGTTTGATAAAGAATCGGCCCTGGAAGGCGACTACGCCTTTGGTGAAAATGCAACTATTGGTCCAACCACAATCAACCTGCCACTTGCAGAGGGCATAGGATCTGTTTCTATCACAGGCAAGCTCACCGTTCATTTACCCAAAGCCTACACTGCTACTGGGCCTGGACACTGGGACAGTTCATAATAGGACCTCCCCTTATTTTAAATTAAGATGGAGGCCTTGGTATAGGTTTTTGTCCTCTTGTGTCCCAAGGGGTTTTCCCTATACCCTACTGCGAATGCAAAGGCTTTCTTGATGCTCTTGAAATTAAATCTTGAAATTCGAAATATCAGATTATCTTTATAATCGTTTCTTATTCTTAATATTTTGTCACGGGCCAGGGCCCGGTGTCGATCACGTAGAGCACACGTGACCCTAGCATACTAATATTGAAAGATGGGTCTATTGAATTCTCTTTTCCTCGAGTTTATCGAACGCAGTTTGTGGCATAGTTCAGATTGAATCAAGTCTTGCTTTAGCCCTTCACACAAACTGTCTTATTAAAATACATATTGAATTTTATTAACTAACACCCATGATGTCGAGGTGGCGCTTTCTTCCAGCTTCTGTCAACGGGAAACTAATCACTGTTGGGACAAGGCAACAACGGCGTTTCAATTGCGATACTAAAACCAAAGGGAGAAGGAGAAGCTATAGCGACAGATCTGATCCTCAACTCCAACCACCCCTCCACCCTTTCTCGTCCAAGTTCGGACGGCAGTAGTTCGGACGGTACTCACCACCCAGGGCGGTAACTAGCGGCAGAATCACCCAACTTCGGGTATATGATAAAGTTATGCTGATCCAGGAATTTAGAATTAATTCAAACATGAAAGCAATCAATGTAGACAAGTTTTGGTCCCTAAGAGGTCAACGCTCAAGGTGGGGAGTATGGAAATGCTCTCCAAGCTGCGTCTTTGAGAGGCCATGATAAGATTGTGCAGCTCCTGCTAGAGAGGAGAGCTGAGGTCAACGCTCATCATAGGCGGTATGGAAATGCTCTCCAAGCTGCGTCTTTGAGAGGCCACGATAAGATTGTACAGCTCCTGCTAGAGAGGAGGGCTGAGGTCAACGCTCAAGGTGGAGATTATAGAAATGCCCTATACGCTGCGTCTTTGGAAGGACACGATAAGATTGTGCAGCTCCTGCTGGAGAGGGGAGCTGAGGTCAATACCCAAGGTGGGCGGTATGGAAATGCTCTCCAAGCTGCGTCTTTGAGAGGCCACAATAAGATTGTGCAGCTCCTGCTAGAGAGGGGAGCTGAGGTCAACGCTCATCATAGGCGGTATGGAAATGCTCTCCAAGCTGCATCTTTGAGAGGCTACGATAAGATTGTACAGCTCCTGCTAGAGAGAGGGGCTGAGGTCAACGCTCAAGGTGGAGACTATGGAAATGCCCTATACGCTGCGTCTTTTCAAGGACACGATAAGATTGTGCAGCTCCTGCTAGAGAGGGGAGCTGAGGTCAACGCTCAAGATAGGCGGTCTGGAAATGCCCTATACGCTGCGTCTTTGGAAGGACACGATAAGATTGTGCAGCTCCTGCTGGATAGGGGAGCTAGAGAGGGGGGGCTGAGGTCAACGCTCAAGGTGGGGACATCGGCTTGAGCGTGGAGTAGGATCTTGACTGTCTCAGCACTTTTGCTATATGCAGCAGCCTGTAGGGCATTGCCATATTTACCACCTTGGGCATTGACATTCGCTCCAGCCCCGAGAAGTATCTCTACAATCGCATTACGACCTTCCAATGCAGCAGCCTGTAAAGCATTGCCATATCTACCACCCTGGGTATTGACATTCGCTCCAGCCCTGAGAAGTATCGCTACGATCGCATTATGACCTTCGAATGCAGCTTTTTGTAGCGCGGCCCCACCCCGTGTCTCAATCCTAACGCCCTCATCTAGGAGCCAGTCCACAAATTCCAAATTTCCCCCCCCTGATCGCCTCCATTAAACAAGTCGCTCCGTAGTAGGTTTCTGCTTCTCGGTTTGCTCCTTTTTCCTGCAAAATTTTGCCGGCCCTCGTGTTTCCTACCCGTGCTGCGAAATGTAACGCCGTATGTCCCACTTCGTTTCTCCTTTCAATATCCTCGCCACCTGACAACACAGAAAGAATCAGGTCAAGCAGATTCGCAGCGGCAGCCATATGTAAAATCGTTGTGCCACTAGGTGGACAGGTTATGATATGAACATCAAGGCACTGGTAGATTTGAACCCAGAAACTGGTTATTTGATGCAGAATGGCTTTCTCATTTTCTAGCAAGGCACCTCGAGAGTCGGCGGCTTTTTCTGCATGAATAAACAGATTGATAGTCGCATATTCAAGAAACGCACGATCACGGACAAGCTCAATCCTTGATCTCTGGAATTCACTTGTTTGTTTGTCTGAGCAGATGGTCGCAAGATAAACCAGGCATGATCGATAGAGAGTCCCCTGGGACTGAGAGAGAATGTTTTTCATATCCTGAGTCCCGATTCCCCCCTTGATGCTAATGTATAGAAGGGACAGTCCTTTTGTGCGCAAGAAATCGTTGACCGACTGGTGTACTACCTGTACGGTCTCCTCGTCGTCGCCGCTTAAAACTACCTCAGCCAGTCCACCCGAAAGAGCCTTGACTCTTCGCTTCATGTGTTCATTGCTTTCGACGAAGCCGCGGAGCCTCTCCCATCCAGTTCGAGGCGGTTTTATTTGAGCATCCTTGGCCGCCAACGCATATCGTATTTCGACTATAGTTAGGGGTCGCTCGGCCAGGCACACCCATTGGAAGAATAAGAATGATTGGTCTCGATTCCTAGCCGTGATCACGTTGCTCAGAACATACGTGTAGACGTCTTCCAGGTCGGCTGGGACCTCGCACAACCAATCCCGCATGTCGCTGATTGACTCTCCTTCGCCAATTTGTTGCTGAATAAATGGCATTATAAGATGGGCCCATTGGAAGACACCCTTGGCATGTTGGGCCAGTTCTTCTACCAGGACGTCTCTCGTCCCTTGACTGGAAACTTCTCCGAAGTCTGTCTGAAGAAGCGTGTCCTTAATATACGTAGCAATGTCATCTTTATTGTGGTCTTCGACATGTATCGCTACTGTCTGGGGACATTCCGTAATAGGATAGTGTCGACATGAGATATAGACCTGAAGGGGTAGCTTCTTTTTATCAGCATAATCAACAAGACGATGGAAGTATGCCGCGAGCTGTTGAGCGGACTTAGCGCCAGCCTCATCTAACGCATCCACGAAAATGATCACATGCTGTTTCGTGGCTGATGCTAGGACCGCGCTTGCGAGTAACTCTTCTAGCACTGTCTGTGGCCATTCCCACCTGCGTTCACCGAAGCCAAACTGCCTACATCGTTGGTCATAGATCTCTCGCACATAAGGGCGTATGGTCGCTTCTTGAACAAAAATTTGGTTTAACAATGATCGAAGCATCCCTAGTGGTGTACGTTGCAGCTCCACGCCCCGAGCGGTGAAGAAAAAGTCGAGCCGAAGAACACCCCGGCCGCCGTCTTGTAATTCGCTGAGTCTGTCGCGCAGGAAGACCATCAAGGTTGATTTGCCCGCACCCGGCTTGCCCTTCACCCATAATAGACCACAGGGCTGATTCCTCCAGGACTGATATTCGTCCAGCTCCAAAATCCATTCGCAGGTATTAGTGTGACGTGCCTCGATATTGTCCCTCCGGTCTAGCATCTGTGGGAATGCTAGAGACCTGAGCAGCTCTGTGTTTAGGGTAAGTCAGTTTGTCTTTGACCAGTAGGGGATGGAGCAAACCGTTGTCTGTCTTCTCTGGGTTTTCCGGTCGGTCTGGGCCAAAAAGGGTGAGTCAACTTATTCCGGCTATACAAGAATTTTGACACACACCGGATGAAATGTTAATTGTCCCGATTGTCCCATGATTATTTCCAAGTTGAAGGCCCGTGTTGGCACGGCCGAATGATGTCGGGCCCATGCTGAACATTCAATACGCAAAATGAGGCTGCTACAAGTCGAGGGAAAGTTCCACCTCCTACAAGTCAAGAGTGTCTTTTTCCCCGCTCTCAGATGACCGTCGGGCGCTAAACCTTGCTAGGCTGTGGATTGCGAAAGTTGTAGGCCACTCAGGTTATAACTTCCTCACGTTACAGGTAATAGACGCCTTCCCCGCTAATACGATAATCCGGGAATTCACGCGGTGCCTCCCGAAAGCCAATGGAGCTGACAGAACTTCTTCGAAATTAATTTAGTGTATCTTGGCATTTAAGATTCGGGGAACTCTGAAAGAGTGTTAATTTGATGGTGACACCAATTTCCGGAAATGCTTTATTGCAAGCCGGTCAAGGGTCATTTACAGGAGAGGGGAGAAGAGGGGTGGAGTGGTATAGCAATTTCCTGTAATTTACGAAAGACATGGTTTGATCGATGGTTTTACTCCAATGTGGAGAAAGGAGTAGATAAGTCTGACCAATGAAAAAACGGAATGCTGTCAACTTATCAGATCATCGGCGATACACTATAAGAAAAGTAGGTCACCACAGCCGGGAGCCCTTTGGACAATCTCATGAGGTTCTGATTATCTTCAAAGATGCTTCGCTCTCTGCTGAATGCATTCTTGCATCGGGTTCCTGGAGCGTGTTCGCACTTGCAGCCGTGCGGTGAATCTGAATCCCGTGATTGATATCACGTACTACTTATCACGTACTACTCGGGTAGAGAGGACCTCCCGCGATCGTAAGTATTGTTGCAGATGGGAAATCACATGACTATCCCCCCCCATCCCCGGCGCTAATTACAATCACCCTTTTCAGCCCTTAACTTACCCCTCGCCGATGTTTTTCTACCTACTAGGTTCTGTCGATGTCGATTGAAATCAGCTTCTGTGATAAGCAGATCAGAAGAGGCCTCGCTCATGATGGCAGATCCTCTGAGCATAACTGCCTCACTACTAGCGGTTATCACAGCTGCTGTTCAGTCAACGAAAGCGCTCCGCGAAACTATCATACGATTCAAAGGTCGCGACAAAACATTAGCCAGACTGCAGCATGAGCTATGCGATCTCGTCACAATACTAGACTCGTTGAAGCAAGTGATTGGGACGGAGGCAGAGATGTTGGCGCTTCTCAAAGGTCCTATTGAGAGATGTGCCCAAGTATGCCACGATTTTGAAAAGTGTATGCAGGCTTTCGGAAGCAAATCGAAGACAACCATCAAAGACTGGACAAAGATGGAATTCATGAGAGGTGACATTCATGAATTTATCGATACCATATCTGGGTACAAATCCACAATATCGGTCGGCTTGGGCACCTTGACCATGTTTGTTCACCCCTTCTTTTTCTTTTTCCTTTTCTTTTGTTCTTAGGAAAACCGACTAACCCAGTTCCAGCCATAATGCCAAAGTATCTCAAAAAGTTCTCGAAGATTATAACGAAATGATCAAGGACACAATGTGTTCCTTGGAAGTTCACTTACAACGAGTTGACGAGAAGATGGGGCAGCTCTCCATCGACAACACGACCACTTCAAGCTCAAGTCTCGATCTCAATGACGAAAAGGAAGTCACTAAACAATGCCTTCGCATTTGTGAAAATGCGTGTCATTACATCGCATCCCTAGCCGGTCAAGAATCGTCTCTCTTGCAAGGGTCACGAGATGGAGGGGGGAAGGATCATCTTTTTGAGGCCCAAAGAATCACCCGACAGGCTCTGGACAAAAATCAAGATAGTTTCGACACGATTATCCGTGGGCTCCGGGCCCGTTTGGAAATCCTTGTATCGAATAATGACCCTGGCGACGAGAACGAGAGGACACGCTTAATAAAGGACATCGATGCTTCCGAGCAATGCCTTGAGATCTGCAAGGTAGCGAGCGAAGTGTCGAATCGGAAAGAATACAGAGTGGGAGAGGTCGTTGCAGATGGCGAGAGCGACCAAGTTGTTGTGAATACCCTTGCGGATCTTTTCGATGTGAAGAAAGCGTTATCGCTGGGGAATTCAGCCCAACTTGTAGGCTCCATGACGGAAGAAGCCCTTCGGCATTTGACGGACAAACGATATACGAGTCGGTTTGGAGCTTTATCCTATGCTTCTAGTAACACTGATGATCGAGTCACGGGACAGATTCCAGCTAGGGGGGACTCAGCAATCCGGGCAATCTTACCCAAATATGAACAAGCCCGAGCGGGAGCAAATGAGGTCTATACCAAGGCAGAGCCCGTCTTCCAATAAAGTGAGAAAGCGTTCGACGCGTGATGAAAATGAATCAGGTGAATACGAATGAAGGAGGTCAACAAAGGAATCAATGGCATCTGTCCATATATTATCGTTCTTTCTGAATGACCCGTGTTGGGTTCATTCAAAGCGCTTTCTAGTTTTCAAATTGCTTAGTAGGTTATGTGACTGAGTAGTTGCAGCACATGCTAAGGATGTGCCGCTCGTCACCGCACAGAAAATCGACCTTTGCAACCCGGTCCTATGTAAGCTGACTAGAAAATCCTTCCAACAAGTCACTTTTATTTTTATTGAATTGCTTTTGTTCGCCTTCCTGGTTCCGGAACGGATAAGCCCCACGTGGTCTGTACCGTCATCGGTCATCGGTCCATGGTTCAATCACAATGATTCATCACGGCCTTACCTCGTATTCCCTTTCGAAGAGTTCACTTTGACCTTGTTACATGACACCCTCGGACCATGAAGATGGAGAACTTGAATCAACATCCCGGCATGAAAGTAGAAGAACGCTATAATCTTTGGGCAGGGAAAGGCAACGAACGACGCAATGTCTTCGAGGATATTGTCGCAGAGGAGCATACCTTCCAGTTTATTGGCTCTACAAACTCCAATTTCACAAATGCACGATCTATTACAGCCAAAAAGTATGCGCGTCAGTGCTTGGGCAACGCGTCCGATACTACAATACAGCGGGCTTCCAGAAGCCATGGTGAAGTCTCATGGAAGGAAGAGCTTCTTCCTCACTGGCAACAGCCAAAAAGTTCCCAGAGGGTCGATCTCCCTCTTCACTAAGAGGTAATCTGTTTGCTTCTCTAGTTTCATGGGTCCTTGCTCAACAGGTTAAAAATAGATCGGAAAATCCTGAGTTCTGAGCAGCTGTTGAACTCTGATGTGACGCGTCCTTCTTGTTTCGGAATTCAGCCTTCTCTGCCTTGTTGGAGGAAGCTTTGTCGAATTAAAGCCTGGTTTGTACGTCTACTGAACGGCTTATCGCTGCGTTTTTACTATAGGTACGATGTTCCTACTACTGCTCCGGACATAATCAGTGTTTAGTTGATGGCTATTGTCAAGGCCTTTTCAATCCTTTTGGCAGGCAGAAGAGGTTACGTGCATGTTTTTCAGTGTACAAAATGAATATGGGAAGCACTAGTCTGTTGTATTTAGTCTATAATAGTAGCCTACCTTTCAGTGGAGATGAGACCTCAAATCGAATGTGCTTCTGGAGCTTCCTAAGGCTTCACAAAGATGCTTAGATTGATTTTCTTATGTCAGAAACAAAGGAAACTTTGAAATCGTGCGATAGCTTCTACACGAATATGCCCTGTAACTTTATAGATCCGACTTCTGATGCCGAACGCAGTTACAGCTGTCCGAATTGGGCTCTTTTCGCAGAAAGGCGACATATCTTCATCGAAGATTCTCGTACATCGTACGTTGAATGTTCCACGTTGCCCTCAAACCTAACGGTGAAGGTAACACTGATCCTAGATTCTACGCTATGGCGTATCCCCTGCGATCGTCTTACCAAAGCTGCACACGAGTTAGCCAGAGATGGTTCTTTCGCGTCAGGCTTACCAGCAGAGCTTACCCGATCCAGGCTTGCACAGGCTCTGTATGTTTTCGTTTCCCAGTTGGAGAGCATTAGTGGGCCCGGTGAGCCAAACCACGAAGTCTGTGCTCAGGCATCCAAAGCAATCCACAGAACATTAGTTGAATTGCTCGATCCTCCACCAATCTCTGCTGGTATCACTCGTGCTAGTCCCACCGCTTTTACGACCTTATATATGTTGAATCCGAGCATGATTCTTCCATGTTTTTTTTATGCCGATATTTGGGACGGACTTGGTCATCTCGACTCTATAAGTAGTTGAACGGGAAGACATGTGAAGTGTACGGTTCTAGTTACATAAGATCCTTAGCGTGACCGACTCTCGCACCAAGTGGTATTCGGTTGAAGGCGATGACACAATCTGAGGATGAACGTGAAGATGTAGGATATATTATTGTCTGGATGAGGACCTCCCTACCATCTTGACCATCTCTTCCGGGCTACGCCTTATCGTGTTCTCAGGCACAACAGATATGCGAAGAAAATTGTGGGATGACAAGATTCCTCAGCTCATATTAGATGAGAGGGGATGGCGCCAAAGGAAGGGCCATCCAACCTCTCAGATCCACCCCCCAGAACTGCTGCAGAGCTACTTAGGTCAGTATTTCAATTCACAAGTCTACCAAGCTGATATGACATACATTGCCTCAAAGCCTAGGATGACGAGCGTAGGGTGTAGCCAGTCCCTTGGAAGTTTCTCTCCTGTTGCTCGTGGGGAGCATGCTCTTCATTCATTGGCATATTGGCGCGATCACCAAATATTTTCTGGATTGTCGTGTCGGATGCATCTCCCAGGCACTGGATGTTGTTTCTCTTGACGGTGATTTTTCGTGCTGTTGTTGTATGGCCATTCGCGGAGCCAACAAATTGCAGTACATTTTCCTCTGCGACTATATCCTCGAAAATATTGCGGCGTTCATTATCTGGCCCTGTCGTAGCCGGAGATCTTTCGTGCATGGTCACGTCGTGATTTGGACCTGAGTTGCTCATGGTATGAAAGAGATGGGTGGGGAAAACGGCGAGTTCCGATGGAGTTAACTAAGGATCCAACCTTTCGATGACTCATCGTCAAGATTCTACTCACGTAAGCCGGCACCGCAGTGGACCCGGCAACCTCCCACTCCAATGTGGAGAAAGGAGTGCACCAAAATGGCCAATCAGGAGCTCATTGGATGCCTCCGTTGTCAAACCCAAACAGCGCCCTTGCAAAGTGAGGCCTGAGCGTCAAAAAGTCTCTTGGCAATCACAGCCACGAACATCTTGGGGCTGTCTCTCCGGGTACACCCAAAAGACTAAGAGATATTGGACTGCGGAGTCCTCTAAATCCAGACCCCGGCCGTCTCGTTTCTCCATCTTGGAGTAACAAGCGTGTTTTTGGGTGAGGGTACTCACTGTCTCCCTGTCTTTTTGCCTTCAGAACAGCGTCGCGGGGTATTCACCAATGCCATTCTTGCGTTGCCGTCCCATGATCTGAACGCAAGTTGGCTTTATCTAATACAATGTTTGTCGTGTGGCGCAGGACAAAGATACGGTAGACATGCGGCCCTCGGTTTTCCAAGAGTCTGCTCCATCTGGCAAGTTCTTTTAAAAACCCTTCCACTTCGGGCCGCTCACGCTCCGCTCGTTCCTCACGTCCTCTTATTCGGCTGCTGAGGCGTCTGTGGTTGTTTAGCACCTAGATGCTTCTTGGCATTCAATGGGTTTCATTAGAACCTGACTGCATTATGGAGGCGTCTCGAAAGAATTTAGACATAATGAAGTATCATCGCAGGTCTTACGATCAGGCGACAAATCTTGCTCTGAAAATATAATGGTTTGAACTTCGGCACAAAGACAAACGGCGGCAAGAGAATGGCAGGCGCTGACAAATCAAGGCTTCTACAGTCGATAGCGGAAACAGCTTCTACCCTGACGCCTGTGTGTCTTTACTCAGGCCCCACTGCTAAGGGATCTTTACTCCACTATTGTTTCAAAAATAGATGGAATTCATAAATGTGACTGTACGGATACCGTAACTTACGTCCACTCTACAAAACGGTGTTTTTACTAAAACAGCCTTATAAGAATCCCCGGCGTAAGCGCGACAATAAGACAGAAATTTTGATTTTATGGAGACCTCTTCAGTCAGCCGTAGATTATAGTTATTGTTCCATATACAGCGAGACTACGATATGGCGAGAATGGCAAGCCACTTAGCCAACGCTGTTAGGTAGAGTAGCATGTACATATTTCGAGGTCTCATGACCTTCGACTTCGTAAGAGAGATGGAGAAAGGTATAGAGAAATTAGTAACCAGACGCAGTGGATTTCGAAAATCTTAAATTATTCTACTAAAGAGGTAGCTTGGACAGTATTTCCAGCCTCTACCTTTTCCAGCAGGACCTGCATAATCTTATCATGTCCTCCCAAAGACGCAGCATTGAGAGCATTTCTATACCGCCCATCCTGAGCGTTGATCTCAGCTCCCTTCTCCAGCAGGAGCTGCACAATCTTATCATGTCCTCCCAAAGACGCAGCATTGAGAGCATTTCCATACCGCCCATCCTGAGCGTTGATCTCAGCTCCCTTCTCTAGCAGGAGCTGCACAATCTTATCGTGTCCTCCCGAAGACGCAGCATTGAGAGCATTTCCATAAAATCCACCCTGAGCGTTGATCTCAGCTCCCTTCTCCAACAGGAGCTGAGAAGAGTGACCGTTTGGAAATTTCCACGTCCGGGCATCTCTGTGTCACTCGACTGCCAGTCAATTGATCTAATGGTCGGATGGTCGACTGTGGAGTGGATCTCCAATGGCACATTGGCCGAGTCTGGTCTAAGGAGATAGACTAGAAATCTATTCCGTTTGCGGGCCGCGGTTCAAATCCGCGAGGTGTCGATATCTACTTCTCTTTTTTTTATTTTTTCTATCTTTTTCTTTTCAGTAATTCGTCTTGATATTTTCTACTGCCGGTGAGTGACTAATTGACTGATTACTTAGAAATGAGACTGATTGAGCCAGTGTCGTTATGAACCTATTTCCATTGTTTCCATATGTTCCAGCTCAGTTTGATATGTCGCTTCTGCCAGAGCGTTCGTTCTCTTATCTATATCCACGGATATCCTTTGCGGGTCAATCCCTCTGTGCTATTTCCGGTATCCCGATATTCCAATTTTTGACGCCCTAACTCCAATTCTCAGGGGCTTTTCGCCAAATCAGTACCCGTACTGAATCGAAGGCGACACGTTCGGCCAGTACACAGCTTCCTTATCAACCGGCGCAAACTGCTGAGAAAAATATCCTCTGAAATAATTCTGTTCCGGCGCTGCTTGTCGCATATCGACCGGAGACCCATGTGAAAGAGCATTGGGCATCATGCCCATCGGGTAAGTGCCGAGCTCATTGGCGGGGCTGTGCGTTACGCTCGAATTGCTCGTTGTTGGCGTCAGGGGAACATCTTGCTTCAGGACTGATAACTCGCCATCATCGACGGATGAGGAGGTACCGTCGTCCCCGAAGCTCTCGTGGGCCGAGTCTGAGGCTTTTATGGGCGCAAAATAGGCGCCCTTGGGCAGACCCTCGCCGGAGAACACTGCGTCGGGGAGGTGGGTCTTGGTGACTTGGATCATCTTGCTTCCGCCTGGGCTGGGTCAGTAAGAGATTTATTGGCAAGGAGAGGGGTGGTGGGGGGGGAGGAGATGATATTTACCAATTTTCCCGTCAAGATACTTCTCTTCCATTCTTCGGACGAAGTAGATCTCGTCCAGAACCTCCAGTCGGTTGGGCGGGGTGATATGCCTGCGGGCTTCCTGGGAGGCCTCCCGGAGCTTCTCGACTGTGATGCCGTGGCTGTCTCTGAGTTCACAGAGGATATGCACCAGGAGCCTGACTCGGTCTGCGGTTCGTTAGCATCGGATAGAATAGAAACGCTGGTCTAGATGGCACATACCATTTTTCAAAAGGTGATCCGGCTCTTTATGCACAACTCCAGCAGGCCACCAACCAGGCTTGGTCATTTCGGGATTCACGCGCTGCGGCACACCTGCGATGGTCGTGCGTCCGTTGTACGGGAAATGGACTTGTTTCCGAGGCTCGACGAGCTTGATGTAGGACTTTGCGATGGATCGGCAATTCAATTGCTGAAACTCCTCGAACGCCTTCGCATAGAACCGACGCAGCAACTCACGAGAGTCGACGCGGAGAATCGTGTACCCTATTGCAGGCGTAGGAGGCGGGGATGATGACTTTAGCGGCGACATGCCCAGCCCTACACGCTTGGTGTCACGACGTTTGCGTCTTGACTGGTGCGATTGCCATTCGCAGGGGATTAGTTCGACAGATCGTTGAGCTGGGTACATCCACTCTGGATTTTCGTGCATGTTCCAAGATGATTGGGGTATTTGATTCATATCTAAGCTGCTGCGAGTATCTAACGCCTCTTGCAAGTGCTTTGGGAATCTATAGCAAAGAGACTCACTTGTGCTGTATGGGGTAGGTTTTTGTCCATTTGGACTGGCCATCTCCATAAACTGGTCTGTTACATTTGGGGTGAAGATTTCCCTGCCGCAGCCTGCGATTGAGGCCGACTCATGGACTTGCGGTTTTCCATTTTCATCGATATAGATGAAGGCAAAATGGGGATAAGGAAACTCAAGCTCGGTATGCTATTCTGATATCAGTATCATGCATTATTATTTTCTTTATCTATGCCTGCGGTAGGGAGCTAGTTACCATTCTTGGTTGGTATGGAACAGATGTTTCGGAATGGCGTCGTTCGAAGCCCTCTCCACTTCCTCTCAAGGGCCCTGCTGCCATTGTATCGTAGAGATTGCCGGATTTTATCCCTGTCGTGGCATGAAAGTATTCCACCCTTACCGGCACAAGGAGAGCAACGCTTCAATATATGAGAGCTCGCTGAATGTACCTTATGTAGGAAGGTAGAGCCAACCCCTTGGGAAGGCTTGGTGGTCCTTTGTTTCTTATTGCTTGGCGGCAGACTTCCGGCAGCCTAATTATGACGCACAAGGATTCGGACGCGAGAGAACGGAGGTCACGGTATACTCCTTGGCCATCAAGGGCGTGGGGGAAGGGGGAAAAGTCGGAGCTAAATATACTATAGGTCCTAGCGTATGACCACTGGCATTATCGTTAGGGCCTTCCGGCGAGCATCTATGTTCCTTGGCAGCAACAATGGCGCCGTGCTAATGCAAGGAAAAAAAGAAAAGAAAAAAAAAAAAAAAAAAAAACTAAAAAACTAAAAATTGGAATAAAAAGAAACCTTCTGCAGACCACTAGGCTCGAGACAGCTCTTATCTCTTGGAGTACAGGGGAAGGCTCGGAAAGCACTTCCAGCCAATGAGATCGAAAGGATCTTTAGGTCAATGCTATTGCCCGTGCGCAATCTAATCTGGAAGCGGACGCGCCCGGGCAGATCCCTGTAGGTTTGTTCCCCCACAGATAGTTCGGGCACCTCACGGCACCGGTTCCAATAGAAACAGTTACATTGTTCATAGCAGCCTACAACGCTGATCTTTTCAGAGCGCCGGTCATTACCGCAGAGTTGAGTTTGAATGAAATCGCCTCCGAAATGCGAACACTGCGGCTGAAGCACTGGACCCAGGCAGCTGGGGCCCATTAGGAACCATTCCCCTGTCCCCCGATCGACGATCACTTGGGAAGCGGAGACCTGCGGGTCGAGTCTTGCAAAGTGTGTTATGCCGTGTGGGTTTGCCCGACGTACAGGTACACAATCGATCATGGCCTGACTGGTGGAGTATGTACTTATCGCCGAGGAGAGTAATAGTAGGACGATAAACTTTCTTCCCTCTGCAACAGCTTTCTTGGCGGCTCCTTAATGGCTGTCATCGAGGTAATCCCCACTGCACACTGTTGACACATACGTGCGTCTCCTACCACCATAGAACCATAGATCAGTATGACCCAGGGTTCGTTAGTCTGGCCCTCAAAAGGCCTTTTGTGTGTGAATCCACTGCCACGGTGTAGAAGCAAAAGGACGTACTTCAGGCCAGTCGTTTCCGGATTCAGCAAGTGCTTCTCGAAGTCCCAATTTTCAGTCAAGATCGATGAACTGTTCCTTCCAATGCTGCCAGTAACATGTTGCTATTGATTCGACCCAAAAGTCCCCCATCTTGCACAAAGTACGACACCGTGATCATTGCGTTCAATATACGGTTTACACGATAAAGTTAGATCTCCGCGGAGGCACAGAGAACCAGGGACCTCTGTTCAAACAGGTCACTAACTTTCATAGAGGCTTTCCTGGCCATTCCTATTAGTCGCTTTGACCTTGAACCGCAAAGCCTTTCAGCTTCACGGCACTGACGTATCCCGCCCCTTGCATAAAGTCGAAAAAGCAGAAGACTTCCATCACCAGCGCCATATCTTACGGGTGTCCGCTTGCAACAGCACGGGGAGGGTAAACCGGTCAGCAATCCGACATACGGAGTGCAGAACAGTCCCGGTACGGTGGGCGTTTTTCAAGCCACATAGGTATTTGTAAAAGGCCAATACCAGGGTAATCTGCCCAGGCCAAAGATCCCACTTTTGGTGTGTACAAAAGTACCGCACTGTTGTTCTGGACATCAAGCCATCCAGAGTCCTGCCAAAGCCTTGAAGCCACAAATGCTGCTGAAGGGTGGGGCGCATTGCCATCCTGTACTACAACGCCCGCTACGTTAGGTGCGCAATCATGCTGATATAACGAGCTACATGGTTATAAGGTATGTAACTAGATATTGGCCAGCCGCCACTCCCTTCTCCACCTTATATCTGCGGAGAGAGCCGCATGGGCCTAGGCGTGCCGGATGGAGGCGAGAATCTCGTCTTCTGATGCTCCTGCGCGAATAGTGTCGAGCGTATGTTGCGCGAGAGTCCCATCACTACTCCTTAGAGCGCCTAGCAGCTCCCTCATAAACTCTTGGAGACTGGTAAGCTCTTCCTGGGTCTTCTTAACGGTGGCCTTCCGACGTCTATCGGAGAGTTTATCGAATACGCATTCTCGGGTGTGGGTTTGACATTCGGAGCACGGCTGCCCACTGCACTAACTTGGGCCAACATGAAGGTCAGAGAAAAGTTGATTGAGAACGTCTTAACGAGGGGACACCACTGGGGAGAGGGGTGGGTTCTTCAGAATATCTACCATTGTTCGTCTTTTTTGACACTCTTGACAGGCAGTTGAAGCCCTTCTCACTCGACCGTCGGCTGGAGGAGGTCCTCCACCACTACTCCCGGCAGGTAGCTGGCCGCTGCTCCCCTCGCCAGGGTCATTTCGAGGCTTAATGGCCCGAAAAGGCTGGCCTATGGTGCCCATCTGGTGAAGACGATGTGTGGACTTTGACTTTGATACCTTGCGGTACATTAAAGTCAAGGGAGCCGCCGAAAGAGCCAGAGTTGATTCCGTGTTAACATCGACATCCAGCCATTCAGAAACCTACCAAAATCTTTGAAGCCCAAGATGCTTCCGAAAGGCGGGGTCAGCATTATCATCACGTGGCTAAGGAGCACAAGACCCACTATGCAATCATGGCTGGCTACATAATGAGTTATGTAGTTAATTATTGGCCAGCCGCTATTCCATTCCCCACTTTTACGTGCTCAGAACGTTTAATCCAGCATGATTGTTCCGGGTTTGTTTGATGCTGATGCGAGTTACGTAAGATTATTAGCATGACCGACTCTAAAGGGCAAGCTTATTGCTTCTCATTTGAACGTGTTTGTGCACACGGTCAAAAGTGGAATCGACAAGAGATGACAAACAGGAGTTTGGAAGCTCGCTCGGATGTAGGACCAATTATGTTCAACCAAGACGAATACTCTGCTTGTAGCGTCTGGGTTGATCAACGTGTGCTCAAATTAGAACACAGGGCCAAATATAGAATTGGGCGGATGGTCACCTTCCTCTAGCGGCCCGTGCGTTTCCTAATACCTAGCAACCCCCCAACGTTTCCAGCACGGATTTTCACACCTCCAGGCGGAGGCGAGTAAAGCGGTGTGGCTTGGCAATTAACATATCGGGTCGTTATTCAAGGGCAGGAAATGAATGATATTCAGAGGCGGCGGTACATATATGGTATTGCCGCCAAAGTTTCCCCACCCTTTATTTGGTAGATTCAGAGGGTTGAAGCTCACCATGGCCCTGAATCCAAATGCTGCTATTGGATGATCTTCTTGTGCTTCACTTCCACGGTCGAAGATGCCACAAATAATGTCTTTGTGAGGCTGGGCGATGATCTAATTTACAGTGAATACTATGAATACTGTCACATGGATTTTATGGGATGATAACGACCGGGAGCGAGCGGTGAACCTCCGGCGGTTAGATTAAACAATCAGAAAGCTGCGCCCTCATGATCAACCAGTAGAATGGCCGTAGGCCGGTTTAAACCAAAGACCATACAGTATTTCCCGCCGACACAATACAAATCGTTCGTTTGATGAATGCCTTAGACGCGTATGATTGCTAGTCAATATGCAGTACTGAGAGCTAGTCCCACGCACTCGCTCAACAAAGGATAGACCATCTCTCTAGCCTACGATGCACATCAGGAGACGGAAGCCAGTTTCGTAGACAAGAGAATTAATTGAGTATAAGAATTTGTAAAACAATATAAGCACGAGAAACAATGCCACGTACGTAAGCTCCCGCATTCGCGCGAAGGGGCAAGGGAAAAACCTTCGTGAGAAAAAAAACCTAGCCCGAAGCCCATGACTGACCAACCCGATCAAACATTTAGGTCCTCAAGACTTCGTTCTAACAATTGCTGGAAATGACGTGCCTCATCCCGACGGGTACTGACCTGCGCAGATTCTGCGGCCATTCGGAGCAATTCTTCAGTCTCATATCCACTTACAATGACAGGCTCGAAAACGCTCGGAAGCTTGGCGATGATATGACGTTCGATGACTTGCCTACAAACATTGTCGACAAAAGTTTTCATGGCAACCTGGAAGAATAATATTAGCACAAAGCCATGGCGTCAGGAAATGGGACACTGACTTTGTAGTATGCGGTGAGGTCGTTCTGTGCTTCGGAACAGGCCTGCTTCGTCATATCGACAACTACCCGCTGTTGCAGCGAAGTAACGAGCTTTTCTATTTCGTCGGAAGAGTTGCTCACATGAAATTTTCCGTTCCAGTCGTTTTGGATAGCGTCGTACATCGAATTTTGAATATCATGTTTGGACTGGTCATTTCGAGCCTTCTGGATGTTGTCTGTATAATAGTGATTGTACGTGATCGGCTGACGGGCCTCGTCGTCGAGCAGCACATCCAGTTCATCGATCGCGCGTTTGACATTTGCCTGCACAGATTTCTGAACGCAGGTCTGGACGTTTTGGCGGACTTTGACATCTTTAATCACAAACTTCAATGCTGCTTCTAAGAACGTGGAGACTAATTTGGCAACAGCATCCACGTGCTCACGAGCAATCTTGGCCCAATTCAGTGACTGTGAATGGAAAAGCTCTGCTAGAAGCGCGTGATTATAGTTTCCTGGTAGTTCCCTGCCTCGCGTCCGAAGATAGACCTTATATTATTAGCAGCTGATCGACAATGAACGGATCCTTCACTCACTTCTTTGACCCACGCGGCCATTCCTTCTTTACTAACAATAATCTGGCCCTTTTCGTTGAGCGAAAGCTCCGTCGCCTCATCAGCTGACTCGAGAGACTGATCATCAGCTCGACTCACAACCTTCCGCGTCTGACCGTATTCTCTCATGTGATTCGCGAACTTCTCATTCTCTAGATGAACAACAGCGCGCAACCGGTTTGCAAAATCCTTGTCATGGACGTTGAAGAATTTCGCGTCACGGCCACCATAGTCGCCATCAATGCCAGCTCGTACCACCCCGTGAAAATCGGCGCTGATCTGCGTTAGATATATGCGGATCTGACCAGGCGTATTCCGTTCCGTGCCTAGAGCAGCAAGGTCCTGACAATTTCGTTCAAGCAGCTCACGCAATTCCTCACGCACTTTGGGGAGCTCACGTTCAATGTGACTATCCAAAAGCTCCTGAAGGAACCGTCGAAGATTTTCAATACCAATACGCGATGGATCAAGTCCCAGGCTGCTCCATGGTTCACTTGAGAAAAATGCTTGTTCTGCCTGCTTCCTGACAAGTGGAGACAGGCCCTCACGCAGCTCGGCAGGAGCCGGGTTTTTGAGCAGAAAAAAAACCCAGATTGAGCTTTGTACGGTCCATGTTCTTCGCGAGGCGTGCAACTCGCTGCTCAGTTCCAACATTGATTAGATCCGGCTTTGTGATGATTCCAACAGTTCGAACACCATCTTTATCGTAGCGGCGGGCTCGTTGGATAATGCCTTGGGTATCAACGTCGCTACTTGCGGGAACAACCGCAAGTACGATAGTCCGCGAGCTTTCGAGGTAAGAATCAACAAGGTCACTGACAAGCTGCACGTCACGCTCATTCTCGGAAACAGAGATCAAGCCTGGTAGATCGACAATTGTCAAGTGCAGTCCGGTATTGCCAACCAACTCCAATCGCAGGACATCGGCAGCAAAAGCGGGTGCGCCCAATGCATCTCCCGAGGTGCGAATACCCATGGATTGACTTGCAGCTTCGATGATACCAGGTAGTTCATCGAAGGCGTGAAATTCCAGTCGGAAGGAGGCCAGTCGTCGTCTCTCCTCATCGTCCCGTGACGAATGAGGGATTATTGTCGCCGTCATGCAAATAGCTTGCGGCGCATGTCTGAGGACAATTTCTGTCGCGAATCTGGTGCACAAGCCATCCTGTCGAGGGAAAGGGATTCCGCTAATTCCTTCCAGCACGGAGCTCTTGCCAGCAGATTGATCACCACATACCACTAGCTGAGGCAATGCAACATGATCGCCAACACCGTTGGCGCGGACACGGTCTATCTGATTGAGTCGCTGGGACGTTCTCGAGGATTGGAGACCAAGTTCGTCTCCGACCCGACGGAAGTCGATCGCAGTCCATTGTTCTTCCGAACTCCCCGGATCTTCTGACGTTGGGGTCAGATCGTTCTCCATTTCTTTCAGCAATGATCAAAAGTGTAGCTTGATAATTGATTTTCAGGGTTCGAGAAGAGAGTTTGGGGACATAAAATAACGAGGGAACCAGTCTCTTTATAGTTGCGATTGGCTCTTGCCGAGTTGGCAACGTACTCAGCATCCAATACTCGGGAATGTCGCAAGCGGCTCAATCAGATGGACCGTGTAACAACGGTGATTGGCGATCAGGTTGCAAGTGGTACAGCGTAGGGGCTGCTTGCAGGGTTCAGTTGTAGCAATTTATCCTTCGCGCTCCGGCATGTTCGCTTTCAAGGGGCGAAATTCCCTTGCCGAGTGCGTCCATTAATGGCTACCCCTCCCCACTTACTGCAGCAAGGGATCGCAGATAGATCAGCGACGGTATAAATGATTGGATGGCATGAATCCAAGTTGGCATGTCAAATGACAGCCTAGGTCGGACATTCTTCACTTTCTAAGCAATAGTAAATGAGACAGTCGGTGAAACGAGGGGCACATCACGAGTATTCCATACCTGCCACTTGCTGTACATTATAGAATGTGATTGTTTTCCACTAAAAAACCCCATTGGGGTGCCTTTGAAACCCCTGTAGCGCACTGGCCTCCCAGGAGGGGTAGGGTCATGCTTTATTGTCGATCTCACGAGCGCTGGGCACAGCATCTGTTTGGCGAATAGATAGGTTCATAGCCTTCACCACAGTCCAATTCGCTCAGATCCATGGGCAAACCAAGTATTTGGGGCCGCTGATGGCAACGCAGGACGCCGCTGCTGGAAGTGAAGGGAAGCGAGGCCGTTTCTCCACTCTTCGCTACAGTGAGTACGCATCCCAAGTGATTTTGCCAATATACATCGCCTTGCCTGGCTTTTGCCTGTCTGGGCGGTTGTTGAAAAAAAAAGCGATGCTGAATATTGGGGGTATTGGGGGTACTAGTAAATGCACGGACCACCAGAGGAAGGTGGCCTTCCTTTCAAATTGAATTTTTTGACGCGATTGTATGAAGTTGTATGGAGTTCCGGGGGGTTCAACTAAGGTTCAACTTGGCATTTATTATATAATAAGATACACAAACCACGCATAAATCATGTGATGATGCTGACTATGCCCTGGTTAACTAACTAGTTATGTGCTAGAGTTGAGCGGGCCCCAATATTAGTCAGGAATTCTCTGGGGCCGGGCTATAGTAGAACTTGACATTAGCTATGTAGTTCCTGTCTAAATATCATATACTAGAGATTAAGCTTCACTAGTACCTTTCATATTTATTGTCCGTTAAAAGAGAATAAATATATATTCCCTAGATAACTCGCAGGTCTCCCTTCTGTGTACTGCAGTGGTCCCACGTTCCACCAGAGATCTAAGGGACAATAGTGCACAGAGCCCGCTCAACCCAGCAGACCAGCGCCCTCTCGTCGACGGCAACCCATACTTCCACAACAGGTAGGAAAAGAATAATAATGACTGAAATACCAGGCGGAGGTTCTGGCTGACCCCTTCGCCTATATCACTGATTGTCCACGAGATTGTCTAGTGTTCGCGCTCCATCAAGCGTCGATTAGCCGCCGAAATACACATTAGAGGTTTAAGGCATACGGAAGCTTTATCCGATAGTTTCATCAGTAAATCACCTCAGACTAGCAAGAGACTTCCAAGTATACGCGATCGACAGTAGAGTATTACCAACTATTCCAGTGGGCGTCCAGGCCATGCTCAACCCAATCCTGCAACCTCACCAGGCACTTTCTTCCTCTGTTTGAGGCTATCGGAGGCTTCTTTGGAGAGTACTGTTCGTCATTAGAAGAGCGGAGGTGTGACCCAAAGACGATGCATCACAATAAAGGCCGAGCTACTCCGAAATCTAGACCTGGGAATGACAACATTATTATGGCAGATCATTCTCAGTTCCTACGATGAGACCTCGATCGTTGGGCAACAGTCAACGATCGGAGATCGAGATTACCGACAGGCAACTTCGGGCACTAAGGCGGGTCCGGCTGCACTACGTGGCGAATTGTGGATACTAGTTCTTAACTAGTTCATGAATTCACGCATGCAGGAGGAAGATCACCCAAGCCACGAGATTGCATCGCCGAGCAAGAACCCGGGGTCGAGCACGTGTCCAGTACGTGTGGGCGCTACGGAGATATTCTCTTTTGCATTTGCTTGTTTGCAAAAGCAAGTGCTAATTGTCTGTGTTACTCGAAACTGTCACCGGAAGGTTTCAAGATATGCGTTAGAGGGGGACCCGGAACCCCGAGGGGCAGCTACATACATAGCGCGACCTCGGACGGCAGGGGAAAGGGACCCTCCCATCACCCCTTGACGGACTTGTTCTCCAGCCGCCCCCCTACGGGCCGTGTTGGCGATCCTGTTTCTGAGACGATGTAAATCACCGGATTGTGGCTTCTGGAGCGATAATTAGGATAGCAGTCTGTACCAGCATGATGGCTCGCCGACGGAAATCTGCGCCCTCGATCGGCATATCGCCGGCACCTACTTAGCTTCCCGCTTCGTACACGCTATTTGTGGGTCCTAGTAGTTTGAGGGGGTGAACACCGTGCCGGTATCTAGACTTGTTGAAGATGAGAGATCGAACTCTCGAAGTTAATTGCTGCCTACCGATCGTGTAGATCCGAGTTGTCGGTTAACCTGAAGATCATAATTTTGCTTCGATAATTAGTCAATATGCCCCGCAGGTTGCCATTTTGTGATGCCATTGTTACGTGCAGGCCTTAATAGGACCCATATAAACCTCATAGTATGTGGGGGGGATTGGATACCAATTATACATCATCCATGCTGCCTTTGCGAGAGCTGACCCGTGTCGATTCTGGTGGAGCTGATGTCTAGGATCAGGATCAGCTCGCTGCAACCTTTCAGCTCTCGCAGAGGGTCCACATAACACTAGCGGTGGAGCTATTTGTTCTTGTATAGTGCTAAAAGCATATCCAGCTATTTCTGATGCCAAATAGTAAAGCTTTCAACCAGACCAGGGAATCGATAGTACTATTCAATCGTGACGATACTAAATAGAATAGAAGAGAATCTTATACTTCTCAATAAATTAAGTCAACTCATTACTTACTATAAGATCCCTAGTAGGGAGACTGAACTAGATAATCAGCCTTCTACTCCGAGGTCCGTGAGGTCTAGCTAGGAACAACTACAGACCCCTCATCCAGCCTATACAAGTAGTTAGGTCCACTCTTTCCAAGTCCTTTAGGATGCTGATAGCGCTTCAGCTCCACATACTACAGAGAATTGTGTGGGTGGAGTATTTGGAATATGCTTTTTTAGGAATAATGTTTAGATGATCTGTTAGTCGAATCTGAGCGGAGGGACGCTTTTGGTTAGGTTGACTGGAAAACAAGTGCACAAGGTTTAAGTGCAATTCTACTAGCCCTGTAGATCAAACGGAGGTTCAGCCAGCCAACTAATGCCCCACTATATCTAGAATATGATATTTGATGTTGTATAGAGTAATCACAGCAAACTCTTAAATCTTCTATTACAGAGGTAGAGGGTCGAAAGGTTATAAAACCCCCCAAGACCGTCGGCTATTTCTCAACAATTATCAACCTCAAACCAACATTTCTTATACACCTCATCCCATCCGAACAAACACTACAAAATGCGTTTCTCATTGGTTGTCTCCACCTTAGCCCTTATTGGTGCCGCCAAGGCTACTGTCTCTGCCCAGCAGGTGGTTGCGAACATTGATGCTATTACCAGCAAGGTGAGAGTTTAGTATTCTGAAGGGACTATCAAGTCTTACTAATATTATTATAACTAGTCTTCCGAAACTAACGATATCGCGAAGACTATATCTATTACCAATTTCTTCAGCACCACTCCTGTACGTAAATACCGGAGAGGATCTTTTAACAAAGACTAATAGTATTCTAGCAAGTAATCAGAAACTTCAGGGACATTATCGCGATTGTTACTCAAGACATCAACGCCATGGAATCTAAGCGTAGCCTTATGGCTCGCCAGGAGTGCCTGGACCTCGAGGACATTGAAAGATGCCTTGGGGACCTGGGAGAAATCGTTTCAAACCCCTCCGAGCTCTTGGGTGGTGAAAAGAAGAAGCGCCAGAGTCCTGGCTACTCTGACACCGACCAGGTATAGTCTCCTACCGGGAATTTCCTTCTTGCTCTCTACATAGGACCTGTTACTAACCGTTCCTGATAGGAGGCCATCTGCACCTCTTTCCGTGGATTCGTCCAGGTCCACCAGCAGCTCCTCCAGACTGTCATTGGCAAGCACGGCCTCTTAAGCCTGACGCCCTTCACTCAGCCCATTGCTCAAATCCTCCGCACTCTTGAGGCTGGTGTTGACACAATTGCCTTCGAAACTATCGATAGTGTCCCTACCTGCGCTCAGGATGCCACCCAGAACAAGGACAGCCTTGACAGTACCTTCGAAGATGCTCTCAATACTTACTCTGATTAAGAGGACTTTAGTCTGATGGTGCTGATGTAGAGTTGTGGCTGTCAGCCGTTGGTCCATCTGCCGCTCCCTACTGCTCTTGATAGACCCTTTGAGGATAGTATTGTCTGAACTATTGTTGTCCGAATATATACGAAAGTAGATAGAGGGATGGTTGAAAGTTGGCTATTAGATCGGTCACTATAGCTTTTCCTTCTTCTTCCCTTTTTAGCTCTAGTACTCTAAGTTAAAGCGCTTTTATTATAGCAGTTCTCTAGTAGTAATTAGGCTTCCTATTAGACCTAGTATGTATCTATAGGTAACACTCTAGCCTCTCCACCTAACCTACCCTATAGGTGTCACCGCTCGCTCGATTATGCCGACTGTCACCGCCTTGGCACTGAGGAGGACCGTCCGAACTACGAGGTAGGCGAACTTGGGATGAAGGTTCGCGTAGGAGAAGCCGTGGGCCCCCTCTCACGTATGCCCCCCCACGACGGAGAACGGAACTTGCCGCTCCATTCACTCTACCCGACAATCGTTTACGGCCCCGGATCTCGAAGAATACGCGATGTAGACACGAGGCAGCAAAGAATCTATGCCGAAGACGACCATCACGTTCTGCCCTGACGTCCCAACGAGTGCTTATTGTTAAACAGAAGCAGAGGAGGGCCAGGAAAGGCCTGACGAGCATTAAAGGCCAATCCCATTACAAAATAGCTTAATTGAAGTCTGGTCATCGACCACTTCTCTTCGCCGACTGTCTGAAACGGACAGCCAGAACTCGACGTCATGTTTGTCTTCTCTCACCCTCGGCTCACCTGTTTCCACCTATCCTTATCGCGAGTCTCATTAGCTCACCTTCTCACCCGTGCGGACGTCGGGAGGGTTATATAAAGATGATGGCCTTCTTGATATACAAAAAGACAGTCCTTCTCTTTATATTCCGGAATCAGCAGACCAAATAGAACCAAACCTTCTACCCCTAATCCCATCAGTCAGCAATATCCACACTACCAGGGCAATGTCGGGAATCTCTCGAAAACAGACAAGCCGTGACAGTGTAGCGAAGAAACTACTACGACAGAAAAGGGACCGGCGCAGGACAGGACTGGAGAAGAAAGCTCTGCAGTATAGCAAGATATGCGGGGCGGACGTTTGCTTAGGTATACGTATTCGACAGTCAGGGAAAGTCTTCATTTTCTCTGCAGATGCCTCTGGTTTCTGGTCATTTCTTGGCTCCAAACTAGTAAGTAAGTATGAATAACGTCTGTGATCATAGTTTCCTGACATCGTTAGGACTCTTACTTTCCAACTCCGATCGAGAGAAATGAAGATAGTCTACGAACTACTTAGCTCTTTCGGCTTTTTCGGACTATAGGTTTAACGCGGTATGGTTTTAAAAGCTTTTAAAAGCGCTTAAGAAGATAAGAGGCTCTGCTTTTTTATGTTTATTATCTAGTATAAGAGAATTCGACTTTTCCTTCTTTCTATAGAGTAAGTAAAGTGAGCTAAAAAATGAACTAGGGTCGATTTCATATTTTCTAACTATGTAGAGGCCTACTAAAGCCTTAAAGCTCAAAGATCTCTTGACTATTACCACAATTCGAAGAAATCATAAACTTAAAACATAGTTAGTACTCGGGTGGGGATCGCCTTGGTGAGTTCAGGGTGAGCGGTGTTTTAGGGTCACACAACCATGGGTGAGCGGGGTGAGATGCCGCTAAGGACTCACACACACCGCATAGACGCTATTACTGAGTAATCCTTCGGGAAAGGAGTAATTTTTCTTGCACAGCAAGAACCCTTGTTTGCTCTTTTCCGTTTAGAGATCATGAGAGAATTATGCTGGCTAAATGTTTGGATAATGTTGGCTGTACTGATATGCAAGATGCCAGAGCTGCAGGTGGTCGGCAGGACGCAAAGTTGTCTTTCTTGTCTGAGGTATCAAGGCACGAATGAGTGCAAGTTCGGCTTCAGCTGGTCCGTACAAGGAGACGCCTTCTAAGAGAATCTTTTTTTTCGACCTATCTAGAGAATGAATAGTCCGAACAAAGGGTTTCCGAAAGGTCCAGCTCGAACTGTCTACGCTTCTTGATCAGAAGGCTAGGCGACGTCATCAAAGGGGCCGGGTGATCGGGTGCCAGATCCCACTCCAATGTGGAGAAAGGCTGGCGGGCACTCTTTTGCTCGCGGGCATCTCTATTAGCCGCGCGATATAGTAGCTCTGTGTGTAGAAACTAAATGTAAGGGGCAGATAAGGCCAGGATGCGATTTTCGGTGACAAGCTCCAGACCACGCGCCCGCTGATAGCTTCGGACCTTTACAAGTATCACCAATGGCCCTCAGGAATCAACAACTCGGCCAGGGACAAACGCTCTCAGGAAAGACCAAACCACCTCCTAGCACAAAGCCTGCCCTAAAGTTGCTCTCAACCCTCATAAGAGTGATTGAACGGAGCGTAGCACCATTCTACTCGATAATGGCTATTCAGTATATTTATACTTGGCTCTTTGGGCTGGCGTGGACGAGTGGCTTCGATTTCATGCCTGAGGCAACAATTCCTGGATGAGTAAGCCGGTAAGCATGCGCCCTTTTGTTGTTGTTCCGTGCACGCAAGTAACTATCACCAAGTTGACTTCTGCTTTGTTATTGACTATATAGAAGATACCGGTTCTCATGAGTATAAATGAGATAGCTGAATTACGGCGTCAGCTTGAGGAGGAAAAGCGAGGGCGAGAAGAAGAGAGACAGGCGCGAGAAGAGGCAGAACGGCAAGTGCAACCCAACACTCTGTTTCGCCTCCTTGATCGATGCCACAATTCTCTATCCCATGCGATCCAAGTTGAGATGGATGCGACCCTCACGACCCAGGGCGAAGCGGCCGACCCAGTAAACCGACTTTACCCCAAGCACATCATCCCTTGGCTTGACTTTCCCCAACTACAGGAACAAATCTGGGAGAAATTCGATCGCACCGCTGCCTTTACCTCGCGCGCTTTGTTCCCTTCTGATACCCAAATCGATTATGTTGCTTCAAACATCCTGAACACACCGATTTATTCGGAAGCTTCTCTTCGAAATTTTGAGCGCGACACTGTGGATAACTTTGTCGAAAAGGTCGTTAACGCTTTGCGAGACGATGAAACTCTTCGCCGTGAGTTTGGAATCCAGGGCCGAGTCACCTTCTATGATCGTGCCAACCCATCGGAGACCTCGCTGGAGAACAGCCTGGAGCAGATGAATCTTCAAGATACGCGCACACCCCAACGAGCGGCGATCACTAAGCACGGAAGACGCAGAGGAAGGGGGAGTGGAGCGACGCAGATACAGAGGAGGGATGGCACCGTGCGAAGACGCAATCGGCGCGCTGACCAGTTCTGCGTGCACCTTGTGGCTGATGAACGACAAATACCAGTGTATGCGGTAGAGTTCAAAGCGCCGCACAAGGTGACAATCCCCGAATTGGTGGCGGGTCTACACCGGATGGATCTGGCTCGCGATGTCATTGAGCAAGAAGGTGATACATTCGAATTTTATGCCACCCGCCTTGTCGCTGCCGTGGTTACTCAGATATTCTCATACATGATAGACAGTGGAGTCCGATACGGCTACATCTGCACAGGAGAGGGCTTTGTTTTCCTACATATCCCGGAAGATGACCCCACGATTGTTCAATACTTCTTGTGTATCCCAAACCAAGACGTGCAGCCGGGCGATGAATTGCGCCTCCACCGGACCGCCATCGGTCAGGTGCTTGCGTTCACCCTTCAAGCTCTGGCCGCAGGTGTCCCCCCTCAAGAGTGGCACGATGTGGCGCACGACACTCTGAGGACCTGGGAGGTCGAATATCTCGACGTGTTGAAGGAAATTCCCGAAACTCTCCGTAAAGATCCGAGGTCCTCTAACTATCGGCCCTCGCATTGGAAACGAGATCGGAAAGTCCACAACACGCGCTCTCGCGCTCGCTGTGAGCCAGACGCATCTACACCACGGCACTCGTCGCCTGAAGGCAGCGGCAGCGATCAAGAATCGCAATCGCCATCCGCTGCAGCAGCGTCACGTAGCCGATCGAGCCGCAGCCGAGGGAATCGCAGCCGAGGGAATCGCAGCCGAGGGAGCCGCAGCCGGGCTAACAACCATCAATCAAGTAAGAGAAGTGAAAGGTCACAAGCCGGCCGGGATAAAAAACAGACTTTTCGAAAAGACGGGTATTCTACACGACCATACTGCACCATTGCCTGCGTCCGTGGCATGGCCAACCGTGAACCTCTGGACAAAAAGTGCCCCAATTGGGAACTCCACGGTGGCCAGAGACACTCTATAGGGCCGCAAGAGTTTACACACCAGCTTCACCGTCAACTTATCCGAAATCGAGACCTGGGCTTCGAACAATTGCACATCTGTGGTCGAACAGGCTATCTCATAAAAGCCACACTCCTTTCAAGCGGGTACACTGTGATCATTAAAGCCACTACTGTGGAGAAACAGCGCCGCCTCCAAGCGGAAGTGGATAATTATCGTCACCTTAAGAGCTTGCAGGGACAGCACATCCCTGTCTGTCTTGGGGCCTTCAAGCCTCGCGTCGCATATTGGTACCATGGGGAGCCAATGGCCCAGATGATGGTGTTGAGCTGGTCCGGAACTCGGCTTCAACATGTCATCAATGATGGGAATTCCAGCTTCTTCCACGAAGAGCGCGAGAAAGCACTGGCCGTGCTCCGGTCGCACGGAGTCATCCACGGCGACAGTGACTGGCGTAATATGCTATGGGATAAAGCGAGTGGCAGACTGGTCGTCATTGATTTGGAGGATGTGAAGCGGCTGAAGCGCCCTGGGGCCCTTGAACTAACGTCTGGAAATGTGCGGCATAGTCATCTCGCAAAAGCGGTAAAATCCTGCGCCTGTTCTGAACATGTTCGCACCGTTTGATAGCGGAGAAAATGTATACTCCGAATTTGGACACCGATCGGTATTTATAGAAGCCCAGGGAAACAGAACGGTCGACGGGGGAGCCGAAAATGGCTCCCCTCCTTTACGGAGGGGAGCGTTTGAGCGGACATGGGGGCCCTGCGGCGGCTGCAGCACGAGTAGACGTCGGCTGGAATAGTGGGTCAGGCACCAAGGATAGACAGCAAAACGGCCCGGTGGCATTAGATGGGTAGGGCCGTGGCCTTTAACACACGTGACGCCAAGACCGTCGACGGTGAGCGGGCGGCCTAAAACGGCGTCAAAAACGGCCGTTGCTGGCCTCTCATTCACCGTGTCATCCTTTTTTTAGTTAACTATATAGTTAGTTAGTTAGTTAGATAGTTAGTTAGTTAAAGTGGGTTCTTTATATAAGAAAAGTAATATATATAACTAGGCCAAGAAATGAACGAACGGTAGGTAATACGGTGATAACGGCACCGTGTGTTCCGACATGTCCCTCCTACGCAACCGCACTTTGTCCTACGCAACCGCACTTTGTCCTACGCAGCTGTACTCCGTCCTACACAACTGTACTCCGTCCTACACAACTGTACTCCGTCCTACGCAGCTGTACTCCGTCCTGCACCCTCCTGCGCCCTCCTGCACCCTCCTGCACCCTCCTGCACCGTCCTGCACCGTCCTGCTCCGTCCTGCTCCGTCCTGCTCCCTCCTGCTCCCTCCTGCGCCCTTGTGCTCCACTGTGCACCCTCCTGCTCCCTCTGCGCCCTCCTGCTCCTCCTGCTCCCTCCTGCTCCCTCCTGCTCCACTGTGCTCCTCCTGCGCCCTCCTGCGCCCTCCTGCTCCCTCTGCGCCCTCCTGCTCCTCCTGCTCCCTCCTGCTCCACTGTGCTCCTCCTGCTCTCTCCTGACCTCCTGCTTCCTATCCTATGATATTTCGAAATTGCAATGGCATCAACAACCATACAAGCAAAATGTGACTTCTGCCAGAAAACCCTATCGAAGAAAAGCCTTTGGCGCCATCGAAAGAACTGCCCGAACAATAAACCACTAGCACCTACGTTTCCTCCGGCTACCTTCAAGCCTGAGCCCTCAATTACAATCACATCTTTCACAGATAAAGATCGCAAAGCTGTGGACACACAAGCATTTATCCAGACAATTGATCGAGCCTGTGTTGTGGATGATTCGGCTATATCGCAAACTAGCTGCTTACAAGAGCTGCACGATCTGCTCAGTAAACCATACACAAAGCCAATTCTCTGGCGAGGATTTACCAAACACTACCCACTTCCAGGCACACCTTCCTCAATATCTGAATTCCTAGAGGCCTTGAAACGCTACCAGATAAAAGAACTTGATGTCTATGACTACATGTCCAACACAGACCTTAACTACAAGGTGTCTCTGGACAAGATTATCGAGCACTTTGCAAAGCCACCAGGGTCTGTCCATCCATTGAACTTTCTCGACATTCGAAACTATTTCGCCTCTGCTATACCTCCACCTATTTTCAAGGCAGACATTCTTCAACTTGCATGGCGACGACAAGAAGAGTCTGTATCCAAGTCTATTCCCCAGAAATTTCCTCTCGACCATGCGGATCGGGAATTCTACCTTCTCTCTACCCAAGGGTCTGTATCAACTATTCACGCTGATACCGCTGGAGTCCATACATTCATATCGATCATTACTGGTAGTAAATACTGGTATATCCCACGTCAGCTAGGCCTTGTAACTAGCCAAACACTAGCTAGTTTTGGCAGCTCTACCCCTGAGGTTTATCAATATGGCTGGATTAAGATCAAGCTTTCTCCTGGTGATCTTCTGTATGTGCCCTGCCTAAGCTCTCATATCTTACTAACAATCTGTAGCATTATGCCGCCTGGCTGCCCCCATGCAGTCTTTACTCCCGAAAATACCCTAGCGTTTGGAGGTACCTTTTATACACTCCCCTCCCTCGGAGATAGTATAAGAGCTTTATCACTTCAAATCAAGACGGGCGACACATTCAGTAATGAAGATCTCTCCGAGCAGGATTATTCAAATTTTGTCTTGATGCTTTCCCGGTGTAGAGATCTTCTTACGCCTACTCAGTCGGCGAGTATCAGTATGGGAGCCGACTGGCAAGTACAGGATGGGAGTGACTGGCATGCTACAGGGCAAAGAAATATACTCAGTCTGGCTGAGGAAATCAACTGTGACTTAGAGAAAAGATTCAATCTCAGTTCGGAATCGTTGCTACAGTAATATTTCTCTACTATAATACCACACTGCCTTGTTGTCCTTGCTGACTGACCTCTATTGCTAGTATGGAGTATTATTATATACGTCTTCGCCTCTTTTCTAGTTTTTCTTGTGGTTATAATTTCCATCTCGTCTATTAAAGGAAATGAACATAATCAACTTGTTTGGATTCCCATGTGGTCACCTACGATAGGACTACCTGACCAGCGTGTGGCTAAAACACAGTCAGTACTCGGGTGGGTGTCGCCCGGGTGAGTTTCAGCCGACGCACATGCACCGCACTGACCCTCTGTACCAAGTTTTCATTGGGAGTGATTGGCTTATATTGGTTTCCCCGAAACCACCGTCTCTCGCATCTTTTTGCCATGATTAGCAAGACCACAAGGCTGATTTCCAGTTTGCCTTGGGCAAGGGATAGGTGATCGCCCACGGCTGCAAACCACATTTCCGGTCTCGGCTTACTTGGAACCTAAGAAAGCGACTGGGAAGGGGGCGCGACTAAAGCACGGCGCCCAATGGAGGGAAGTCGCTTATAATTCGCCCCACTGTGATAACACAGTCACCTGCATATACGGGAACCGCTGGATGTCACCCTATGGATAGATACTTTGAGCTCCACTATCAAGTTTGGCAAAACTGATAGTGGAGCCCGCCATATCTCGCTGCTGATATTAGTACGGACGATGGGCCCACTTCACATCTGATTCCGAGCCCCCGTCCAGAAAGATGGATTTGTTGGCAGCCTTAGATATTATACGCAATGCCCCCGACGAATCTCTTCATATATACGCTACACAGACAATTTCAACTCTCAAATTGATTGAGAAGCGCTTACAGCACTTCTTACCAGCAAATTCACCTATCGTGGTCGACAGCCCAGCATCCATCGAGTTCGCTCGGTCGCAGTCGCCCGCAAATGCAGAGGTGCCGTGTTCACTCTACAATCATTTTCTGAGCCCTCCTGAACGCCCTACAAGTCCTGCATCTCAAAATGATCATCGTGTGAGCCATAGCCCCCACGCCTCACCGCAAGGCTCCCCGGGGACAGGAATATCATCAACCACGGCCTCCTCGAACCATACGACCACCAATTTGGAGCCTCTCCTAGATGGTATAAAAAATCACACGTACTGGCTTCTCGCTGCCAAAGAGCTCGAAGATGATGCGATTATACCGCACAATCGAAGTTCGGAAGATATTCGTTTGGAAGATATCAGACGCGCTGAGGGTGCCAGAGTAAGCGACCAGCAATCGAAAATACGACGTGTGCTTGCACTTAGATCCCTGGCAACAGAGTACGACAAAGACCAGGCAGAAAAGAGGATTTCTCCAACGAGACTTGAGGAGCTTTGCGCCTACGTGTCTTCTCCTGAAACTTCAACTCTGAACCTCAAAGCCAACCACACTGTCAAAGACTCGTTCGAAACCAAAGCCTTAAATAGTGGGCTTAGGCATTTAACGATCGAAAGGACACTGAATGCCCGTCTTAAGAGTGATGGTTTGCCGGGAAGCTACGAAGCAATTTCCGCCGTGTTAGCATTGAATATACATAATTTTCGATGCTTGCGTTACCAAGATTTCTCCGCAGTCTTGGATGAGGTAAAATCAATGCAAGTTCCTGTTAGCAGGAAAAAGAGAAAACGGAGTAGAAAGACAACAGATGAACGTACTACGCCTCTACTGCCCTTGTTGCAAGATCTGAGCCAATGGTTTGGACGATTACAAGAAAAATATGAAGGTAAGTGCCGAACAGTCCATCGTCACTCTCGACTACTTCTAAATGGTTGATCAGTATATATCTCGCAATCGGCGGAGGTTGATTCTAGGGGACAAAAGCGACCATGCCCCAATCAATGTTCCTTTGAACACCGCTGCACCTTTACCAATATTGAAACACGAGACCTGGAAGACTATTCTAGTCAGTCGAGAATTAACACCATAGAGGACGAGGGGTTGCCACAGCCAGGTGGCGTTGACGAGACACTATATGGTTTTCAAGACTCCGGAAAAAACAATGCCATTCAACCTCCATCGGTTACAGCTAACATACAAGCATGGCATTCAGTCACAGATGACGCTGGCATTCCACCAGATATCTTTGACGAGATCCTAGCTCAACCGGCCAACATTTGTGCTTTGAGCTCGGATACTTTTAATTTCGATGATATTTGTTCTTGGGATACGCGACATTTGCCATTTGCTATGCGATGGGACTAATGATGAAATCTTCAATATAAATACATATGCTATTTCCCTAACTTGTACGCCCACACCCCTAGTTTGCCTTCGAGACCTAGCTCACTCTCAATTGTCAACCGGCAGTTTCCATATATATGATAATATTGGTCCAACTGTATTTTTTTGCCGCCTACTGTAACCTTTCCGGAAATGAAGAAAGGAATGATTACCATGTAAGGCTGGCCGACGATATTTTCACCGGAGGAATATACTAGAACAGCGGGCTTTATCCCATGCTGTTCTAATCCTCGTTCCTTGCGAGTCGGGTTGTCCTATAGAGTGTCAGAAGTCGGATGATATTACTAGTAAACCACAATTCACTGACCGCAGACAGTTCTTCAACCTTGGCGATGACCTCCCTGCCCTTCCCCTGGACTAGCATCGTTGTGGATCTCCTATTCGCGGGAATTGAGAGAGACATGGCCATGATGCGATCTTCTTCGCAAGCTTTGGCGTAGAGATCCTTCATATATTCCGGTATGTCCTCGGTTTCTACCAGGTCATTGCTTGACCCTTGCGTGACCATCGGGCGGGGTCCTGAAGCTGGCTGACTGTTCGGCGTGTTGGATAGGACCTTCGCTGTGGGGAACGTCCTTTGATACTGTTAGATAAATCAGCTTTACGTGCTAGATGCGACTTACGATAGAAGGATCTCGCTCGGAGAAGCGGGTATGACGACGTGTTTAAAAGCTCAAGTTTTGCGGGGCGATTGGAGGGGTTCCGAAGTGTTGCGTGGTATCATGTGACCGTCACCCAGCCAAGATTCCCGCCCAACCATCATTCGGGCGGATCTCAGCAAACTGGCATTCCTAGTCCGGGAAGCTCTTTCGAATTTGACGGCATACAATCCAAAAACCTCCCCAAGAGCGGCCAAATCCCAACCCAATACTGAGCTGAATGCGGAACTGGTGATCTTACGTCACTTTATATTCTGTCAGAAGCTGATTTCTATGAATAGCTACTCAGAAACATTTCTGTTTGCGCTTGGTCCTGTTCTTGTCTTAATCTCGTTGACTATCTCGATATGGATCATTGTGTCTTCGTGGTGGGCGCAATTAAGATGGGAAGAAAAGATTCTCTCGCTCGATTCTGCCGCCCGCCACCGTCTTGGCACTGAGAAGGACCGTCCGAACTCCGAGGTAGGCGAAGTCGGGATGAAGGTTCGCGTAGGAGTAGATAGGTCACCGTAGCAGCTTCTCTCTCTCTCTCCCCTTTCCTCCCCTAGTTCTAGTATCTCGAATACGAGGGCCGTTGCTGGTTCTTTTCTGTTTCCAACGTAGGCCATCATTGACAATGAATAGTGATTAATAAAATTGCGGTCGTCATGAATTATGAACTTACCGTAAAGTATACTTCAGTCATATATTGCGGGGATCATAGATATCCCATAAAAATAATAGGAAGCCGAGGTCAGTAGTCTTTTCCTCTAAGGAGCTTCTACGTCATTTGGATAAAAATATTACTTGACTACCTAGGCATGAACAGACTTTGCTGCAGGTGCGTATACAACCTCTTTCCACTGCCGTAGTAATGGAGGCTGTATAATATAAATCCCAGGCTGAGCCTTCCATAAATAGTCTGCTTTACAGCCTACTGTATCGCTTAGAATTGAACTCTTCTTAACTTATCCTCTGATATTCGGTTACCTAAGTTGAAGATGGAGTCCGCACCATCCCCGTGTTCAACCGACGACTGCCCATTTGAAGTTGATGAGGACTTCGAGGGGACCCAGCTCGAGGAGACCGAGATGGACACCCAAGGGTCCTTCTTTGCCAATAGTGTGCCAGTAGAGGAAGACACCGTCAAGCCCGAGGTAAGTATTTCGATTACCTAAGCAGAAGATGGATGAGACCCCACTATCCCCGCAAGACGCTCACGCCCCGTTTGAATGGGATGATCAGGTCGTCATGGCACGCATAGAACGCGACGGGTACTTCTTGGTTAATAGTAAACCAGCGAAAAGAGAAGCCCTAGAATGGCATTTTGCGCTTGGAGATACCGCTGATCATCTCTCCCGCTCGAATTTGAGCGAGGTTCGGACTTGTACCGATAATAAAAAAGCGTGGGAGCAACTTATCGAGGCTGATCTTAATGTAAGTATGACAAATATAGATAAAAATGGCTTCTAACATCGGACGACAGATAAACGGCCTGATTATCCTGCCCCACTTTCATTCTCCAGCAGAGGTGATCCGGCAGGGGCCGATCATCCACAACTTGGTTGGTCCCCCTGGGCCCACGATTCGAAAAGTGCATCCCTGTCCCAACAAGGCATTCGTTATTTGGAGACCTATCACGAGAAGCCTTGGACCAGAGGACGGATTATTCAAAGTCTATCCTGAATCCCACAACATACGGACTGAAGAGGAGCTGCATCGTAGGAAGATCGATGCTGTCTCAGTCCCAATCCGGGCTGATCAGTTCCTTATTGCACACGGTGGGCTTTGGATACAGCAAGGAGGTAGTGGGTCTGGCCTTTTGATGTGGGCGGGGCTGTCCACAGAGATCATCGGTCTCCACGTCGACAAACGCAGTTTGGATTTCGTGGCGCTGGCATACGGGGCTGGGAGGTTTCTAGGGAGGGATCGTCCATTCGGTACGACGGAGCAAGAAGCCGTAATTTTGGACGATCCACTCCTAGAGAGAAACACGAAGCCCGTTAGCTCCTCAATCCCAGCGAATACTTTCCTCGATCAGGCGTCACACACTCTTGAAAAGACCGAAGCATTCCTGAAAGGTCTAAGCGATCCGACTAGCTTGATTCTGAATTCTGAATACGGTATGCATCCCAGGATTGCATACGCTAATGTGCGCGTGCAAAATCGTGAAGGGCACTCGACAGATCCAGAACTTGAAAGGTACTTCCTTTCGGCACTTACAATACGGTCTCTTCTTAGGCGTTTGCGAGAGACGCCTAGAGAGACAATTCCCGATTTCACACGCAAGGAAGGGCTACCGGATGAGACTCTCGTGAAACATGCCATTCTAACTGGCCGTAAAATGTATTTTGTGGAAACCGAGAAGAGCGAGCCAGGCCTTTGGCTCGCGCTTATGTCCGTGCTACCAAAGCTCCAACATATGCCTATCTGGCAGGTAAAATTAATCCCAGGCCTGCTAAATGAGCAACCAAGGATTCTAGACGCTGGGGAAAGGTGGTCTCGGTACATGTCACAGTCTAGCCAGTTATACGAGATTTGGGTGCGCGAATTACTACAGGGTAGCAACCCCACCTGACTCGGGCATTAGCTCCGTTATCTCAAATGGGTCTTTCGTCAAGTGGGTCTTTCGTCAAGTGGGTCTTTCGTCAAGTGGGTCTCAGTACGCTCCATCTCGTCCCGACCAATACTTGGAAGCTAATATCATGCGGAATGGCTAGTCTAGGATCAAGCCACCCCCTTTTCCAGTCAGCGTTCAAGCAGCCTACGGGGGATACTGAGCACTGCAACAGAGAATGTATATAATCAATAACAATCGGAAGACATGGTCTCTATCTTACGTTTGCTGTACTAGTATAGATACTACTGGAGCTTGTGTGGCCGCTAGGTAGTGTGGCTGCTAGGTAGTGTGTCTTGCCAAGAAAGCCCTTATCAGCCTGGGCTAGGCTCTTCCTACCTTTCAGGAAATAGATGAGAGGCTGACGCGGTCATATTCCCCGGCATTCGAGCCTAGGCCCGACCAGTCAGATTGTGGGCTCTTGCCCGAAATAATACTAGTTAGGGATATGATCCCCGGTGATATGGCCCAATTACCACTGTGGCCAGTAGTGTCAAAGCTCCCCAGGTTCAGCCAGTGAATGTGCGTGCATTGCCATCGATGTCCGGCCCATCACTTATTCACGCCGCTTAGGACAGTCTGAATCTTTCAATAGGCTTTAGACAGACAGTTTAACTGGGTTGCACGCCATGTGTGTGATATACAAAAAATACCAGGGCTCATCGGGTATTGACGTAGCACTATGAGTATCCTTTAGACGGAATAGTCGCCAATATACGTCAGACTCGACGTCCACAAATGAGAGATATCCAGCCCGAATCCGACGATCCGACCCACCCGGTGCTCTACGGCCCCGGGCCCTCCGTGGCCAAACCTTGTTCTAGCATTTCCTTGGTCCGGATGAATAGCTGCGGGACAGGCATTAATTAGAACGTTATCAGCACAAATCTCGCCAGTCACTTCGGCAGTCTTCTCCCATGGCCTCCAAGTTTTTGACCAGTCTGTTCCCGTCACTGGCTAGCTGTTTCGGCTTTTCAGAGGTATGAAGCCATTCTCTAGAATCCACAAAACTCCGCTAATATGGGCAACAGGCCACTGAGACCTCAGAGCCAAGAATTACTTCAACGCACCCCGTATTGAATGCAGGTATAACGCCTCATCAATCCATTAAAGTGGAAACCATACAATATCCACATCGTCCAGTGCTGAACGGATCCAAGGTTCAATTCAGAATTGAATCATCAGTGTGGATGAACTACGAAGATGTGATTCAACAACGGGGATTCAGTCAAGCGCTGGAAAGACATCTAGCGAAGAAGTAATAAATTTGTACCAATATACTCATGTATTATCCCGATATCGTATGCGGTATCTCGTGACGCACGACGCCATTTCCTCCTCTTAGTCAAGCAAGCTGCTCCATGGAGTGATAAAAGACGGGAAGAATGCAAAATTAATTATCCTCATTGCTATAAAGGGGTGTGCCAGAGTACGTCTCGGTACGGAAGTTGTTTTTCACACTAAAAATATACCCCACCGTGCTCAAATACGGCAGAGATTTTCGGTCCCAGATCGAGTCTTACCAAACAGAAACCTGATCGGTTCTCACAAGTCTCTTTCTCCTGAAATACATTCCAATATAATGGAGGAGCCAGACGTAGAAAGCCGCAAGTCCGCTTTCCTTCACCAGTGGTCACGTATACGGGAAACCTTATCAGAGGGCCAACGACAGAAGCTGGAAGAATTCGGGCTTGCCACTGATGAAGATATTCGAAGTCAGTCTTCTGCCCTTTCATTACCTCTTCATGAATCTCAAGAGCTACGTGATACGGTTGAATCTGTTTTCAAAAAAGGAGCGTATCTTCAAATAGTTGCCCTTCTTACTGTGGAAGCCAGTCAGAAAGTTCTACTTCGACTCCCCTTTGCCACCTTCGTACGGTCCGCAATACACAATACTCCGTGCGTGTCGATTTATGACCTCTACAAGGAGCCTTGCGAGCAGTTTCATTCCAAGGGGGAAACGAATCAGCAGTTACATGCGAAATTCCTTGAAGTATTACAGCCTTACAGGCCCGATCCGTTTCTCTCGACTGCGCTCGAGAGCCCCCCCATACATCGCTAAAGGGAAAATGCAGAGACAGGCAAAGCATCTTGTCATTGAAGGGCTTCAAAAGTCGCTTTGGAAAATCCAATCAGGCGATGAGCTTGTGAAGCTGTTGGGTATCTTTGAAGCAGGATTTAATTGGATGATTACAAACTACGAGTTGTCGGGACTATTAGACGTCAATACGGCTCTGCTCCAGTTAGAACACTCTCGAAGGAAAAATATAAAGTCGCCGATTCTCCACGAGTGTTCCATGAAACATTGCCTGGGCGTCCCATGTACCGACCATGAAATCCATATGCAGCAGAGCCATTGGAACAGTGTCAGGTGAGTCACACGTGGTCTCTCTAGGCGATCCCTTGATGAGACACCAAGTTTACCAAAGAACAGTCGAAGAGAAGAAACATATCGAGACGAGAACCACACATGTTCGGCCGGTATATACGATGACGGTCAGAGGAACATGAGGATCTCAAATCCAGATACCGATGAAACGACTGATAGTTATGTTGTGATCATGGGAGATACGGGTGGCGAGAAGATACAAGGTACAATCCACGATGCGGCAAGTCAAGCTATCGGAAAGTATAAAAGAGATCACCCAGAGAAACATGGTACGCAACCATCAAGTCGACAGCAACCCCACAAGAATACACCATCATTCTCTCCGGAGTATTCTTTGGCATGCCCTTCCCGTGTTGCTTGGGATCCTTGAACTACAAAAACCGCGCTCGGTAGCGGCAACCTGAAGCTTTTCCATGTCCAGCGTTTATCATTCATAGTCAAAGAGTCTCGGGTTCGGCCGTTGAAAAATGATCTCCAGAAGCAATGAATCTCAAAAAGTAGTTTGCGTCTTTTTAGCCGTTCCAAATCCTAGTCGAGTCTTTTGATTGCTTGGCTTCAATACGTAGTTCTCATTCAGTCAGCTTTGCCGTGCTTGGAGCCCGGTATGAAGCTGAAACATTACTTACGGGCTTTCCCCCCTTCACCCCTTCACCTTGTTAGCCCCTTTTTCTTTCTTACCCGGTGCGACCCCTTACTTAAGCAAGCCAAGATTCTAATGACTTCATCGGCCATAACGCCACCACCAATGGCTTTTTACCTACCTTGTAATGCACAAAAATATGCCAATCAAAGATGTGGTATCGGAAGCGGCATATAAATGAGAGGCACGCTAATAGAAGGCCATGTCGATTTTAAGGGAACTGCCAGGCTCGCATGCACACATCTCCTGATCGAGGCATATATAGATCCATCAGATCCGTCGGTCCCAAGAAACCTCGCTCTCACCAAACGAGTTGCGCTTTTACTGGTCAAACCTTTTACTTCCTAGATCATGGACTGCCTTGCCAGCCTAATTCCGCTTCGGATTAGACAATGGATCTCATTGATTTCCGGCGGCGTGCAAAAGCAGGAGGTGAGTAGCATATTTACCCCCCTATATCGTATACTGTACTGAATCTAACCAGTCTATAATATTCATGGACGCGGAACGGGGGCCCGATGACCTGGTGGTAACATTCCTCCGAAACCGACTCTACGACCGTTGCTCTTGGAGCGAGTACAAATCGATTGGACCGGAAGCGACAGCTGCAGTCGTTCAGGCTGGATGGAGCTGCAGTGAATTGGACCGGGAAGTAACATCCCTTCACAAGGGAATATTTGACGAGAGAAGCTTGAATCGACTTCGACAGCAAGCAAGAAACAAACACCACCGTATTTCCTACGGTAACCCTGCCGATCACTCCAGCGTGTTTGAATGGGCCGAAAGATAACTTGGAAGGACCCGTTGGCTTTGATGTATTCGCGTTGTACATTAGCTCGATTGTGGCTAGTTATGGGCATGAGATACGGTCTAGGCCTGGATTGACCTCCCGCCTAACGCCGTTGGGAAGCTACGGCTGCAGTCCACGCATTCCACTCTAAACTTCCCGAGAGGAGCAATACGAGTAAATTTCACGGGATTTCCAAATTCGAAGTTACCGGCCCAAGGCCATGTTCTAGGCCATGTAAAATTGACGTGGGCGAGCGGCTGCTGCGGCCATGTTCAAGCGGACCTCGTTTATGAGCCGTCTTATGCTTTCTTTTCTTCCCTGACCTACTAGTACTAGTTGCAGGTGTGTAATAAATAGCGGGTCCTAGCAATTCCATAATGACTTGTACTCAAGAAGGCAGTGCTTAATACCCTCCTGATCCTTAGAAGGACCTACAACAGCATCGTTCTTACCATGGCGCCTTTGTCCTATCCATATTACCCCTATAACGGGCCTCAAACTAAGTGGACATTCTTAGGGCTCTATAACGCTGGAACTTCAGCTTTTATATAGTATTACCAACGTGTACTAGCCTACGGCTATCTTATCCAGATCTTAGCTTCTATAGGTCACAATTTTGGGTACGAAAACAAGGTAATCATGTTAACGACATTTCCCCAAGGACAGCTCTGGATTGATATGGGGTTGATATGATTCGGGGTCAGAAAGGTCGAAGTACCGTGGTCACTATCGCGACCTTTACCACGGTGGCTTGCTGCTAAGCGCTCTAGGCTGGAGCAAGCTCCACTAGATCAGACCCACCCTGAACTTGTGTGGTTCCCAAAAGCCAATAATAACACATTGAAACGACGGGTTGTTAAAGAGATTGCTGGTCTAGAATCGAGCCACCCTCTTGAAACTTGGACCTGTCGGGCATTCCGGCCCATCCGGCACTCCAGGTTCGCATAGTGCCCCATAATAACAGCGTAGATCAAAATCTTATGTATTGTAGAAAATAGAAACAAGGTATAATCCCATTCTAGTCGCATCTGTAGTCCCATGGATGCCAGGCCACAGGTATGGCTCTGGTCCTCTACAGATGTCCTGGGGCATCAGAGTCGCTTCAAGCCCTCCAAGCCTAGATAATCTATGGCTTATTACTGGGATAAAACACCTTGATTTCGAATGTGGCTAGTAATCGGCATGAGATACATCCTCAGAGGCCGGGGTCAATTTCCGGCCTAACGAGATTTTGATGCGCGAATTATTACAGGGTGACAATCCCACATGACTACATTAACTCGGGCATTCTCCATTATCTCAAGTGGGCCTGTAGACGAGTGGGCCTGTAGACGAGTGGGTCACTGTGCGCTCAACCTCGACCCGACCAATACTTGAACACTAATATCATGTGGAATGGCTAGTCTAGGATCAAGCCACCCCCTTTTCCAGTCAGAGTGCAGGCAACCTACGGGGGATACTAAGCACTGTAACAGAGAGTGTATTTAATCCAATACCAATGGAAGACATGGTCTCTGTCTTACGTTTGCTGTACTAGTATAGGAACTACTGGGGCTTGAGTGGCTGCTAGATAGTTTGCCTTGCCAAGAAAGCCCTTATCAGCCTGGGCTAGGCTCTCCCTACCTTTTAGGAAATACATGAGAGGCTGACGCAGTCATATTCCCCGGCATTCGAGCCTGGGCCCAACTAGTCAGATTATGGGCTCTTCTTCTTATTCTGTCTGGATAGCTGGCTCTTTTTATCTTACTACTTAGTACTTAGCTTTTTTCCGACGCTTCTGAATTTTTAGCATAGGGACTCTAGTCCAAGGGACGGTCAAAATGTGTACAGAAAGAACCTGGAAAGTGCAAAGTGGTTCAATGCAATTATTGGCGGATACACCGCTTGTTTATCTTGCTCAGGTATATGCAGATCCCTTTACAGCTTGGCCTAGGACCTAGTATGTTGAGTACCGGTGACTAGATACCATACTGGATCTAGGCGGTTCCAGGCCTTCAACCTGTGGTCAACTCTTAGTTGATCCAATACAGACAGGGTAGATCGGTCGTACTCTCGTATCCGGCTTATCAGGGTTCGTTTTGTCTCTTTCTTTTGTATTATGACCCACTATTACTAGTAGTACAAGCTGTATACGCAAAAAGTAAAAATCAGAGCTACAGCCTGGCAGGATTCTTAACCCTATAAGGCCTACTTTTCAAGAGACTAGAAAATATTCTCCCCTTCAACCTACTGAACAATCTTCTCCTATCGGAATGGTTGGACGCAAGGAGAAACATGTCCCCTGCTGTCCACGGTCCGGTCTTCTCCCCATCAAGGGCAGAGAGCAAGTCCATGCCCGCCGCTCGAAGCTGGAAACGGTTGGACCCGAGGAGAAAAATCTCCCCTGCTGTCCACGGTCCGGTCTTCTCCCCATCAAGGGCAGAGAGCAAGTCCATGCCCGCCGCTCGAAGCTGGAAACGGCTTTACCTGACACCATCTTCGAGTATGCAAACACCGTTGCTGAACCGTCCGGTGGTGAAACCGAGGTTTGGCATGCCTTTCCGGTCGGCCGGCAGGAACGTGGATTTATTCTGAAAATTCCCGACGGTATCTGTGATGCTTCCTTTTCCTCGTCTGAATGTGCTGACGGCTGTTCAGGTGGCATCTTCATGTTCAAGGTCAAGTTCGGTATCTACAAGTATGGCCTGTTAGTTCCAATCTCAGACATCTCAGAAGACCTAGCGACGCGGGACGATCTCCGAGGGCCGTGGTACACTGCACCCGTAATTTGCATGATTTTATCACGGCGACCAGGTCTTACACCTCTGATACAGCTAAAGAGATTGATATTAGAGAAGGCGAAGTCAGACCGACCGGATAATGTCTATGACCGGGAATCCATAACGAAACAGAAGAACCTCAATGCTCTTGCCCTTCTTTACGGTGCGAGGGTCCATTACCCCTTCGGTGATGGGACCAAACAGGGCTTTCTTCAGGAAATCCTAGAAGATAAGCCCGCACACGGTATATATTGTGTGAAAGTTAAAGCAGATGATGGAAATTCACTGCAATACGATGGTTCGCTTCACGAGGTTCTTTATACGCTGAAATCTTCGATTGAGGAGGCAGAGACCCTTTTAGGCTCTACAGATCCCGTTGGCTTAGGTTCGTATTGATCAGTCACCCTCAGCACAACAGGAACCTATCAATAGCAATATAGAGTTTCCCTTATAGGCTTAGCTTTGTGCGTAGGTAGAAACGCAGACTGAACCATCCATATTGCCCTGATCTATAGCAGGTCTTAGCGTCAAACATGCTACCGAGATTCTATACTATTCGGACCTTATAGCGTAGTCGGCTTTTCATATTGTAGTTCTCAGTATATTCCTATTCAGAGCTAGAGCATAATCCCTCTAGGCGCGACTCAATGTATGTTATATCTTATGGTTTAAACAGTGTTATGAGAGGGTCGACGTCGATTTGCTACGGCCTGCGAGCGAGCCTTGACCGTGGTATACGGCCCGTTTGGATCGTACTGTCTCGATGGAAACTAGTTGGTAATCTGTACTGAATCACCTTCTTTTGGAACTAGTGTGTAAGCTGTCCTGACCCCTGCGTGGCTATATAGGTCTAGAACTTGGAGTTTAGTGGCCGGATCTCTGTTAGACCCGTACCTAGGAGGCTGGACATCTTAGACTTTACAGGGGATATGGGAGTGGAGGCGCTGATCGTACGATCTCAAGTTCACTGAATTTAAATCCCGTATGGGCACCTATGTTACTGATTCATAGGTACATATGGGGTAATACTAGCTGAAACGTTAACCTTTCCAAGGGACATAGGGGCGGAGGCGCTGATCGTACAGTTCTACGTTCATTCAATGTGGGGCGATGGGTCTAGCGGTAGAGGAAACCCATAGCAATAGCTCCGGGTCTCGACTCCCTGGAGCCTAGGACTCGGATGCTTTATCATAAGGATCTGTGCGCCTTTCGCGATACTTAAGGATCACATCATCCATCTGTTGTCTCACAACGGAATGACTCTCTAATATACTCAATATGGGAATTCCACTGCCATATCCAGGTTCTTTCGCTCGTTCAGAGGTTCAATCTCCCCCGCATCAAGAGCCTTGGAGTGATAATAGCCAGGGAACAGCATCGTCACAATCTAATGAACCTCCTGTGAAGGAGACTTCAGCTCAGCCAATCGAAGCTTGCAAATTTGAAGAACCGCGACGACAGAGATTGTTCGATGTTAAGTGCTCCGGTCCAGAATCGACAGGTTGGTCCCCTCATGATCCCTACATGGTCCTTGGAGCTGCTCTTTGACATTTTTTGACAGACCCCCCCCCTTCTGAAGATACACCAAAGTTTACTATCGCGATGACAACAACAATAACATCCGACGCTCTAGATTTGAAGATCGGAAGGCCATATTCCTTGACTATAGGAACGGATCGTCCTGTCCCAGCTCAGTTTTTATATCTCTCGGAGATGGGCTTTCACGGTATCCGAATAGCCAATCAAGAAAAGAATATCGGTCATCATAAGAACGATTCCGATCACGATTCGAGAAACCAATACTAGCTATTGTGGTTCAGGAAGAAATCTTGGGACTAAGGGCGCATCTTAAGTTCTGGTAGCGAGGGAAATCCCATGAGACTTGTCTGGCTCTGCCTTACAAATGCAGTATATCCGCTTGTAGGCTATTCTGTATCTGATATAAACATAAAACTGTAGAAGGTTCGGGAATAGAAACAGAAATTGCAGCTGGGAGACGATTGTAAGCGGCTCATAGCCGCCTTCAATGCCAGTACCACTACTACGCCTTACACAGCCCCCTCCAGAATCAGGCTGCTGGGTATTAATTCCAGGTTACCCAGATCAGAAACCTGTAGATATAAAAGTGATCTCTATAAAGCCCAGGACTAAACCGAAATAAATGGGCTTAGGTCTCCCTCGCAGAGCGCCAGGCCTCGAACCATTCAAACATGACGTTCAAGGGCGTGCACCCAGAGGTGTTCTCGATCTGCTGTAAGCTTCCGACCTGTAAATTCGGTACTGTCTGGTAAGTTTCTAGTCTGCGCTAAGCCATTCAGCTGGCTCCACTCTATTTCTGTATGTTAGCCATTCATGAAACAAAAGTACCCCTAATCCTTGTCGTCCTACTAGCGTAAAGCTGGGATTAATCTTGTTTCTCTACAAAAGGGGAAGCTCATCTTTATCTTGCTAAGAGAGACCAGCCCCTATTTTCCTCAGCCTATTCCTGCCACTTCCTTCATGAAGATACCGCAGTTACTGAATCCAGACCCTGGTGGCTCAGACGGCCAGACAGCGTTAAGCCGACACAACAATGATCTGCCTCCTACGCATGCAGATACGCCGGGCCCTTCTCGAGCCCGTCAGAGTCCCATTCGAAACATCATCCCGCAACCTATGGTGTTTATATATCCATCTACACCTCCCCGATCCGAACGACCGAGTCAATATTCTAGCTTAGAGTGTCAGGAAGCGTCCAGTCGACACGAAATACAGCCTGTCGCGCTCCAATTTATGAATCGATCTGGATCCTTCCAACCAGAAAGTTGGGGTCAAAGTATCTGCTTAGAGGCTCAGGACGCTTTGAGTCAACACGAACACGATCTGTCTCCTGACACTGAAAAGCCGAATTTTTCATGCCAAGAAGATGGCTGCGGAAAAGTTTTAAGATCTTCTAAGGACCAAGAAGAGCACAAAAGCATGCACGAAAGACCTTATATGTGCCCAAAAATGGATTGTCCATGGGCTTTTTATTCAAAAAGCACTCTGAAAAGACACCGCCAAAAGAGACATCCACCCGAGAAATCTTCTCCATGCCCAAAAGATGGCTGCGGAAAGGTTTTAAAATCATCTAAGGACCTGGCAAAGCACATAACTAAGCACGGAAGACCTTATATGTGCCCAGAACCGGACTGTCCATGGGGTTTTGGGATGAAACATTCTCTAAGAGCACACTACAAAAAGAAACATCCAGACAAGGGGCCTTTTGAATGCACTGAATGCAAAAAGTCTTTTGAAGGATATGACCTGGGAATGCACCAAAGAATGCACAAAGAGAATAGAACTCATATATGCCCAAAACCGGATTGTCTATGGGCTTTTTATTATGCATCCGATCTGGAAAGACACTGCCGAACGAGACATCTACCCGAGGGATCTTTTCCATGCAAAGAAGATCGCTGCGGAAAGGATTTAAAATTCATCTAAGGACTTGGAACGGCGCCAACGCATGCACAGAGAAGAGATCTGTCATGACAAGCTTTGTTTAGCTACGAAAGCGCCGTGGGAGCCGCGGAGGAAGCTCTAGATCCGACGACCGGAAGACCATCATCCCTTGACTATAGGAACGTGTCGCCCTAGCCTAGCTCAGATTTTGCCTCTGCCTCCCCCGGAGATGGGTTTTTCTAATATCCGAACCGATCGCCGAGCGAGAAACGAATATCGGCCATCATAGGGATGATTCCGATCACAATTCGAGAAACCAACACTAGCCGTCATGGTATATGAAGAACCCTTAGGACCAAGGGGGCCAACTTAAGTTCCAGTAGTGAGGGGAATCTAGTGAGGCTTGTCTGTTAATAGCTGTTCTGTTTCTCTTTGCTTCATCAACTCTAAGTGGGGAACTAATAATGACGCTGTGGACATTATGCACTGTGCTCTTTGCTGGAAGACAAGTCATAATGGGCGGACGACCTCTGGGTGGTTTTACATCTATGGTGTTCTTCCTCCAAACGCTCAAGAGCTGGGGAAGGGTTTTGAGGTCATCTGATGACCGAGATCCGTGCTGAGAATGTGACTATCTATAGGTTTTTAAAAAAGATTCGTTCTTCTTCGACGCCCTATTACTCGATAGACAAAGGCCAGTATGTGGGATGGAATCAGGACGCTATCTCTTTGATATGAATCCCCTTTCTGCGCATATAAGCAGCCTTTTTACAATATCGAATGCCATCCTCTCTGATACTGTATTTTCACAGGGATCCGGTCGGAAGCCATTTGCTAACAGTTGGAAGTTCCACAGAACTCTTGTGCCGCAACTCCACATGTCTGGCTGCCGAGGTGTAGGCTTGAAACGTGTTAGAAATATCCTACTCAGACGGGACAAGACATACTGCTTCTTCGAATTGAAATCCCATATGCCCCAGCCCATGTTGGGCTTTCTGCATGACTAGATCTCTGTTTTCCTTAACAGGAAGCGAGTCGTAATGACGGACCATTCGATCCTTTTCATTGATCTCCAGCAGGGTGAAGTGCGAGTTCTGGTGGTTAAGGGGCCGGAAGTAGACAAGAGGCTCCTGTCCGCGCTCCCTTCGGGATGAAATATCTTCGGCACATCTTTTGAAAGGATTGTCGGTTTGGTCGATTTGGATTGAGTACCCAAAACTCACCCAACCCGGCCTATCCGTCACACCCATAATAGCGAATATCAACAACGATGTTAGCCATTTACCATTAAGCCTCTGCAGATCCTCGCATGAAATCTCGTTATTGAGAATATAGATAGCATCATCCTGCTCAAACGAAGCCCCTTTAGGTTTAGCAAGAATGCTGACCTTGATGTAACATTCCAAGTCAGCCAGAGCTCTTTCAAGCTTGTCGTTCCAATAGTTCTTCTGGGCAGGCAGGTCGGCCTATCTATAGTTAGAATCGAGAGTCAGATCTATAAAGAGGACGCGATATCTTACATATTCAGTCTCCATCCGCTCCATAGAAACCAGGTCCGCAACATCCAAGGCCCCACTAGATTTGAGGTCTAAGAAAAATTGCCTTAGATCCGGACAGCCTTGTTCGACGAATATATATAGCTGTTTCGACAAGGCTTCGAATAATATCATAAACTGATAGTTATTCCTGAAATCGTGAATCAGCTGGTCTAGCTCTTTTGAACTAAGCTTTATATAATCCCTGTTATATGAATTAGTGTCTATAGTTCCACTCTTTCTTTCATTACTATACCAGATCTCTGGACTGAACAGGATACCCAGCCCAAGTTCTTTCACCAACTTGGTACTAAGTATTTTCCCCCTAAGAAGTTGTTTCTCAATCCGGCCACGCTGAAGATCCTTTTCGCGCTTAGAGATATATCCTGGTATTGCGGGCTTTTGGATTGCGTCAAGTACACGGCCCGCAGCAGTCCTATCGCTGATAGGTTTCCGTCGCTTCGTAAAAGTCTCATTTCTGGCACGATCTACCTGGTCTTGATGCCATTCATAAGCCCATATGTATTCTAGCATGTTGAGGACTTTCCTTCTTTTCTGAGAAGCAGCACTGGCCTCGATCACACGGACGAACATTGAACCATCGGACCAATGCTGCAGGGCAGGTGATTGTTCATCGTCACGTTTAGCAAGTGAGCGAAGGATCGACTGGTGGAAAGCTGACGGAACTTCTTCCTGAAAGAGTTTTATATGCCAGAGAGACTGTGTAACTTGAAAAGCGAAGTCTTGAAAATTGGATGAAGGTGTCGATGTTTGTGCATTGTGCTCAGCTTCTTTAGCTAGCTTGGTGCTTTCTTCCGCTGATTGAGCTTGAATACTTGGCGTGATATTCTGATCCTCCATATCAGCGTGCTTCCCTGGCTGTGGAGGATAAGCATCGAAGTTGGAGCCATATTGGAGAGATGAAGGTGTTGGTGTTTGTGCAATATGCTCAGCTTGTTTAGCTTGCTTAGTGCTTTCTTCTGCTGGTTGGGCTTCAACACCTGGCATGACACTCTGATCCCTTATATCAGCGTGCTTATCTGGTTGTTTAGGATGGGCATCGAAGTTGGAGCCACGTCGGGCGGATGATCGCGAGGTGTAGGGAGGCCGATACGACAGCTCGTCTCGACGGCGCCTTCGCCGCGCTGTAGATCTTCGGGGTAAAGGTCTCTTTGATGGTTCTGTCAAAGCCTCTCGAACAGCGTTTGCTGTATTAGGATCTTTCTGGACGAGCTCACGAGTTATATCCCAGAACTACCATCTGTCAATTCGAAACTACCAGGACGGTGTGATAATGTAGAGCAAAGCACAAACCTCAGGGATCTCCTGAATATTATTAACGTTGGAAGAGATCACAAATTGAATGAATTTCTTCAGGAGAGAGATAGCCTGGAGGTTCTCTGGAGGTGCCATCGTGAACCAGACGTTTGGATGGGTTGCATGTCACGGAAAAGACCTCAGGTCGCCAGAGCGGCAGCGTATCGGTTTTTATGGGTTCAGGGCGCCTTGGCAGACAGACCCACATGTTTCAGCCCTGCATGTACTGTATGTACTGTGTATTGAATACAACTGTTGGCGTCCCACATCCACTATTTTCTGAGGGGACGCCTTATTCGTCCAACACTTCTCCCCTGACCTGGACATCCGGAATATATCTATGCATTTCAAAGAATGATTTTCTAAGGAGAGGTAAAAGGCCTACAGTAATTGCTAGAAAGCAGTGGGCAGGTTAATGATCACGGCCGAGGCGTAAAGTGATGAGCTGAGGACTTCCAATTTCGAAAAGAAAAACTTGATCATTGACATGAGACCTGCTCATATCCGCGGGAAACCAAAGACAAATGGCAAGATAAGGAATGACTATATAGAAAACCAAAAATCCATCTCTCCAGGAGAACGCCACAGAGGAGACGCATTCATGTAAACCAATGAGTGAATATACTAATGTCTATATTACTCATCACGAGGGAGAGTCATCGTCTCGTCGCTAACGCAGTCAGTGCACCTTGCGATAACCCTTTGATGGTTTTCCCATCTTGAGTCGTGCGATCTCTTGCTCAAGCTTCCGGATCGTAGCTTCGTGGCTCTCAGACTTCCCTCGTCCTGGTTGACGGTAAGAGGCTGCTCCACCGCGGTGTCTTCTTGAGGACGAAACTCGCGAGGCAAGGCTCTCCGCATCACTGCTACTGCTGTCCTCGTAGCGCCGATGATTTTTAGTCTTCTTTGGAGCTTTAGAAGAGTACACTGGTTCTCTTCGAGGTTTATTGTGGAGCGAACTCGCTGAGTCGGAAGACGCATCACTCTCAGTGTCGTCTATGTGGTCCTCCTCGTCGACATCCTCCCGCTCCTCGAGGCCTTGTGTTTTTCGGTAAGCACTCTCAAGTTCGGCGGCCTTTTGGTATATCACTCGGTCACCATCTAGCGCTGAGCCATGGGTGATACGACGGAGAAAGGCTCGCCCTTCCAGTGTCGTGATACCATCCTTCCACTTTACCAGACAACGAGTTTGAGGATAAATAGCTCTCTTTGCGGGCTGGAGATAACTGAGCGGGTTCAATCCCTCTTCGTCGTCATCTTCTATCTTCCAACCCACGCCAATCAAGTCTTTCACATCTTCTCTTTTGTATTTCCAGAATTCCTCGGGAAACCCATTCTTAGTCCCCGTTACTTTAGCTGTTCCTCGAGCCTGTGAGGTCAGGACTCGCTTCACCTGAGTCTTGTCGTAGGGTTCATGCGAACCAGCGCGAATTCGATATATAGGTGCCTTCTGGCCTCCGTAGCGCACAAATATCTGTGACCCTGTTCCTTTGGGCCACCAGTATAAGACTTCCGCCGATTTCGATTGGCGCTGCTGTTTGACTGCCCTTGCCTCCAAGGCATCGAGTCCCGAAACACTGCTTTCTTCAGCGACAACATCCGATTTGATGCTCAGATGATCGCTGGCGAAATCGGCTTCCAGGTCTTTCCGGGGGTCCGGGTTCGGGGCTCCAATCAGTTTTTCCGCCCACGCTTCACTGATGTTCCAACTCTGTGGAAGGTGGTATCTCTTGTTGAAAGTATTGAGGAGATCATGGGTCGTATTGAAAGCCTCCCAGAAGTCTTGCGGGGAGCTTCTTGCGACGGCCCAGTTGGCCGCTTGTTGCCAAGTTTGACAGAGACCGTTATAGCCGGTTTCGGGGATGACGCCGGTGTCAACGTTATCCACCATGTGCTCTGCGTTGGCCGCCCGGATCTGCTGATTGAGCCTTTGGAAGAATTGCTCACATTCTGCAAACTGGGGTTTATTGGCCGTGAAGAACTGCTCAACCATCTTGTCGGACTGCGCTAAAGTTTCACTACGGATGATCTTCTTGACCCAACTGCTGATAGGCTCCAGCTCGCTCTCGACTGGGGCATCCTGCTCAGATGCATCATCAATATCAACGTCTGTTGCATCATCCGAGTGGTGGTCGCCTGCATTTGGAGCGAAGTCACCCGCCCGAGTCGGACTTCTGGCAAACCTCGTCTGCTGGGGAGTCGCTTTCACTTCCGTAATCGATTGTTCCGATCTTTGCTTCTCCACGTCGTGGGACCCTTCACGGTCTGAGACGGGTGTCTGAATGTCCCGTGCTTTCACTTCCGTAATCGATGGTTCCGATCTTTGCTTCTCCACGTCGTGGGACCCTTCACGGTCTGAGACGGGTGTCTGAATATCCCGTGCTTGCCGTTGGGTCGTGTTCTGGGTCTCGTTCTGGGTCGTGTTCTGGGTCGTGTTCTGGGTCGTGTTCTGGGTCTCGTTCTGGGTCGTGTTCTGGGTCTCGTTCTGGGTCGTGTTCTGGGTCTCGTTCTGGGTCGTGTTCTGGGTCTCGTTCTGGGTCGTGTTCTGGGTCTCGTTCTGGGTCCCGTTCTGGGTCTCGTTCTGGGCCGCGTTGGCCTTTCCTTTCTTACGGCCCATGACAGAGTGCCTGACAGTGATTGTATAAGTCTACCTTTGGGTTTTTAAGAAAATAGCTCTACGTAATGAGGAGCGAAAATAAGGCTATTTATACGGTGTCCAGTAATTGATACATTCCGGATTTAGCGTAATTTCCGAAACGAGCTCGCCCGAAGCAGGAGTGTCCGAAACAGGATTGTCCGAAACTGGCCAGCACAAGAAATCCTAGTCTCACATGATATTCGTCTCCGATGTCTGTAATATCCCCTTCAGCTGGCCGATAGTATAGTCGTTCTGTTTGCATTTCGCCTCGTAAAACTCAGCCAACGTTTGCCAATTTTGAACAATTTGTTCTTGTACGCTGATCGTTTCCTGGGCTTCTTTTAGTGTTTGATCTCTGCATTGAAGCTCTTCGTACGCGGCGCCCAAGGCCTTCTCGAGTGATTCCACTCTCTCCATCGCAGCTTGTAGTTTAATAGCCTGGTCTGTAATGATTCCAGGATCGAGCTCGACGGTTTGCGTTGCAGATTCTCTGACTGCGAAGAATGAATTCCCAACTTCTTTCAGTAGACGCCTATATGCCCCAACCGAATGTTTGCTAAGATTCTTTCGGAACAAGGGTCGGAGAGAGGGATCGTTGATCTTCCAAGAGTAACCCTCCCCTGCGGCCTTCAATCGGACTTGGGATGGGTCTACTTTGATTTTCAAACGTTGCCCTAGTCTCTATTAATCGTTATTCGGATAAATCCACCGGAATGTCATACAGATGTGCTGTGAGAGACGCCTTCGACAGCTTTCACGTAATACAGCTCGCTTCTCATTTCCGGACTTATTATCCTGCCCACCCATCGTGGAATAGGCCCTCTTTGGGCCAAAGCTGTGGGAAACCCCGGTCAATTATATCCGAGACTCGTCAGGTCCTGTTTCGGTCAACGACCCACTTTAACCCCCTCCTTTCGAAAGACTGTAGGTCCGTCTTTGTTATAAGCTCCATCCCCATTTGATCTCTTTGGAGAATCCCCTGGAGCTATGGCCTATTCTAAGCGCAAGACAATCCTTCCTCATTCCTTGTGGGATCACAGTGATTCTTCGATTCATTCCTTTACAACATCAGAGAAAGATGATCGCCCTGTTGCCAGCCCAAAATCCGATCTCAACAAGGAACCTAAAGGTTCCGACGTTGTTGAATCTTCAAACAAGTCAAATGTACTCCCAGTGTCAAATGATAATATTCCTTGTAACAACAAATCTACAAGGTTTGGGATTCCGATCAAACCAAGCCCTCAGAAGACCGCACCTCGAAGCCCGTCTGTCAAGAGGCCTTACCACAGGTTCTACAAAATAGATCAGGCAGGCCCAGGAGTGGTCGCTATTATGGATACGGAGACCTTCCCAGTCTATTTGATTAAAGAACGCCATGGAGGTCCTAAGGATATAGCTTTACTGAGGAAGGCCAGCCATAAGAACTTGATCAATCTTGTGGACAGTTTTGAATCTCAAGGCATCATCCATATTGTATATGACTATCAGCATTTGGCGATATCGCTTGCTTGTGTGGCTGGGAGCGTCGACTTTAGCGAACCGGACATGGCCACGATTTGCAAAGAGATTCTTCGTGGGCTTTTGTATCTCCATACGGCTCTCAAGATTAGCCACGGGTCAATAAACTGCGGCAACGTGATTTTGACCCACTTGGGGGAAATAAAAATCGGTACGTAAGCTCATAATAGGAAGTATTTGAGGGACGATCTGAGCTAAGTTTCTCTAGCGAACATTGGTGACAGCTTGTTAGACACACACTCGAGCGGGGGCTTTCAGAGAGACCTAAAGGCTGTTGGCTCTATACTTTTATACCTCGGGGATAGAACAAACCTGTTGTGCGAAACTGATTCTGAGTTAGTGACCCCGCCATTATCAGTATCAGCTCGCTCGTTCATGACAAAATCAGTGGAGAGCTCGGCGGAAAGTCTATTGAAGGTAAGTTTAAGCTTGGTCACGATTGCATGGTACTAAACATCGCAGCATGAATTCCTCCAGTTGGCAAATCCAGGAGGGGCCTGGAGCCTCAAAAGGCATTATTTTACCACCCTTCCTATGGGAATAAAGATCGGGGATCGGGTCAATCAAACTTAAGCTTCCCCAAAACATAACTATATCTCAATGTACTTTATCATCCAATGTAAGCAGTCGTGCAAACGTAGAGGCACAGACCTCTATCCCGCTGGAGAGCGCCACTTATTCTTTTGTTCTCAGTACAGGAAACCCAAAAATCCCATTGCTGCTTGATCCAAGGAAAGCTCCTGGTGTATATGATCTGCCTCCGCTGTTCCGGGACAAGGCTTCTTTTATCTTTTTCCCCATATCCCGACAGGCAATCTTCGCAGACAGTGTGGATCTTGATGACCCTTCTTCGTATGATGATAAGTGTCCACTTCTTGATAGATTTCGAGTTGGTGCTGGGAACATCGGACACAATACTTATGCTCGCGTCTCTTGAGTACATATCGTAGCAAGTGGTGCAAGACCAGAAAATAGTGCCTTTCATCTCGCTGCCGATGATCAGCTCCGGTTATTTAATTTTAGGGGAATTCACGTACTAGGATATAAGAATTGGTCCTCTTGAGGTGCTTCAGATATCAAGGTTTGAAGCTCTGGGCAAGCCGCATATATAACAGCTGTGTCACGTGCACTTCCTGCTACTTTGCAGGCATCCAGAAATGGCAGTCCATCCGAAACAGGACTGCCCCACTCGGGAGTAGGGCCATTTTATTTATGATATTCAGGTAGGAGATAACTTCGAGCCATAATGCTTTTCTACAATGTCCCGAGGATACAGTTTGGCGCACCTACCTTCGGAGCTGCTGGAAATGGTCTTCGGACATCTCCCCGTATTGCCCCTGAAGCAAGTCTCTTTGGCAAATCGAAGGCTTCGGGCCATAGCCTGTCGTCTACTTTATAGAGAAGTCAAAATCACGTTCTCAACAAAAGGATTGGAGAATTTGCGCCAGCTTTCAGGCTCTCCAATGGCCCCACATGTGAGAGTACTCAACTATGAGGCCACGGAACTAGTTGATCCTTGTAGGTCGTTTCTGGTCAGTGCTTTCTTATCTAACGTTCTACAGATGTCCGCTACCTAGACTACTTCGAAGCTTATATCTATACGCCCGAGGAGTACAGAAGAGACCGGAATGAGTTCAACTGGGACTCCGCGGCAATAGAGGTGTCTTATAAGGCGGCGCAAAGACACTTTAGCGCGATTGCGAGGGATCAAAATGAGATACTGACTAGAAGGCATGACGTCGCGATTTTTGAGGGGTGCGTGAAGCAATTTTTGCACCTGGACACTTTCAAGTTGTCTTTTCACGAGACGCAGCATGAAAAGTATTTCTGGTTCGCGAATCGTGTCTTCATAGACTGGAAAGACTCATTTTCGCTTCATCTTGAGACAATGATGAAAGCCTTACGCAGCGCCCAAGTCCAAGGGTTCTCTATCCAGACTATCGAAGTTTATGGGTTCTATGCAGGCCTGGGAAAGAACCATACGGATCTACTTGCTCTGGCTAGCGAATGCCTTATGGGGATATCGAAGATCAAGCTCGTGGATAGTTTCAGCCTTTTGCATTTCTTGGCAGGTATTCACCTAGAGTCTTTGCAGCAGATAGATCTGGTCAACTGTGGGCTCATTGTGTCGGACCTGGACAAGTTTATTCAGAGGCAGAAGGTCAGCCTGAAGACAGTCCGACTTGAAAGAGTTCTTGTGTATGGGGGAGCAGGACCATTGAGTCCTCATCTCAGGGTACTGGAGTCTGCCTTATCCCAGTTGTCCTACAGCCATCGCGGACTCCTCTCGTCACGTGAAATAACAATGGAAATCTTGATATAGATACAGTTTTTTAAATGCAATTTAGTACTTATTTGCACCTCAGGTTCAACATTCATTCAGCATATCCCAAGCCTTCGGTTTTTCCCCAACCACCACCAGACCACATAAGCCACGAATCTTTCTCCTAAAAGAATGCAGTAGTGCTGTAAGCTGTCAACGGAAAACCTAATCGGAGTTGGGGGCGGCAACAACGGTGTTTCAATTTGGAATACTAAGCTAGAGAGGGAAGAGGAGAAGATGAGGAAGGACAAGCTACGGCGACCGATCTAATACCCAACTCCCACCATCTCTCCATCCACTTTCGTATGTGTTCGGACGACAGTAGTTCAGACACTGCTGCCATCAAGGGCGGTGGGGAGCGGCAGAATCGGCCAACGGCTGACACAAGCTGGATAATCATCGGATTATCCCGGAATTTCCAACCTTTGTTGCCATGTCATTCTGATCGGCCTCTTCGGCAATAGTCCCTCTAGCTGGTCTATCGGGCAAATTGAAGGCGCCCTGACGAACGCGTGACAAATCAGTATCCTGTTCAAAGCTTTGCACCGAATTCATACGGTAGGCTTCTCTATAGGCCTTCTTGAGATTTGAGATCTTTTGGAACCTATAGATCCAGAGTAGAACCAAAGCCGCCAATATTGAGAGAAGGGATGCTAGCACAGTGAGGAGTGCCATGATTGACCACTCCCCGTGGTGGGCGGTATATATATTTATCATTGTTGTCGTAAACCCAGCCAGTGCGTTTAACAATGTCGGCCTGCTCCGAGTTGGAATGAGCTCACTGTATTTTGCTGGGAGTAGGACTTGACATAACTCACATGAATAGCCTATTAACAAGCCAAATATAATTATTTTGATGCTTCCAATAAAGACCTCCAATTCCACATGTTCCAATGAAAAAGAACAGACATCCCAATACGATGAGTGGAGGATTTTGTATCTGGTTTAAGATTGCCTTTCCAGTCTGGCTTTGCCCTAGTTTGTGACTAATACCGTCTGAATTCTGGAGAGATGTGAATGTCCCTGGAAGAATGAGATAACCTGCCAGTAATACCCAATGTGCTATACTAGCGAGGATGTTATATTCCCAAAGCACTTGATCAGCTTCGACAACCTTTTGTATATAAGTGACCGGCGGCGAGGATGTCATGGCTACATTTCCATGCTTGGCTCGTCAACTCCCTTTATCTCAGGTCGAAGGCCTGAAACAGGCTAATGTGGGTCCGGAATCCGAAACTGGACAGGCGTTTTATGCGAGACGTCTAGGTCTAAAGATAATAGAGGTTCTGGGAAAAGACCGAAAAGCCTTGCGAGAGAGATTGGTAGAGTATTCAAATCGTACGATACGTAGGCGGTGCCACGCGATTCAAGGTACACTTTTCAGCTTTATATCCCCCTGCCTTCGCTGCTCTAATGTTGCAAAACTTTGCCAGCAACACTATGGCCTTAGATATGCCCTTATAGATCCTCCAAAGCCCCATGGTTGGAATTCTTGCTCAAAAAGCCTTACCCCAAGATGGGTCCTTGTTCTGACCAAGTCACGCATGGTGCGACGTACCTGAGCCCGAGCAGAGACTGGAAATTGTTTAGTGGCCGCATCACTTCTTTCTAGAGAGGCTTTCCATACCAGTCACGATCAGTTTTCCGATCTGTCTGTTCATTTCGAGTTGAAGCTGCTCTTCCCAATCGACCAAGCCACTGTGTACCGTAATCAACCCATTGGCTCCAATACGTTGTGTAGACCCAGCAGAGCTTAGTTGATCATATACTGTGACATATAGCATCTGAATGGATCGTAAGATGGAAAAGTTCACCAGTTCACCAACCACGTACTCCACTCACGTATCCATTATCTTGTTTAACCAGGTCCTGGAGCCAGTCTCTCGCACTCTCCCAGTCCCCACGGTTATCCAACTGCCAAATGAGGGATACTCTTTGCGTTCGAATCAAACCTTGGTGATGTCCTTCCAGAATCTCTTTGATATAGGGTATTTGTGCTGCAATGCCAATCCCCGTTGCAACCATCAACACATGACCGAAATCACCAATGGTCCCATGAAGAAGCCCATTTAGGGACGAAGGTCCAAATGGGCCATCTATCCAAGCCCCGCATTCTCTCAGAGGCTCAATGCGTTCTATCACTCTTCTGGTGAATCCGGATCGCGGCCGGAACAGAACAGATATTGACATTGACCGATCTTCGCCCATTTCCCACCAACATATGGTGAACGGATGGCTCTGGAAAAGATATAATATGCCGATCTGTGGAATTGCTAGATTGACGCGTTCTCCTGCTCGCACATGCCAAGGGCGTGGCAAGACCAGAGTCATTCGCGCGACATTACCTGTGTATGTCTCAAGCGTCAGCCGGATCGGGTGTCTACCCATCACGATGTTGCGGTACAATATTCTGAGAAGCTGAAGAATACTAGAAACGCTGAAAGTGGACACGAAGACCAAGGGGAAAATCCACAGTCTATGTGGACCTGATTTGACATGTTGCCAAACAGCGTAGATAATTAGGATCGAGCTTCCAGTGTGAGTGAGGAGAAAGACCTCATAAACTCGCTTCTTTACCAGTGGAAGGATGATGAGTGATAATAGTGTGCAGGAAGCCTAGTTGAGCGTTAGAAATGATTCAGGAAAGATAAATCTTTCAAACAGACCAGCAAACCGTAGAAGTCGGAATGGTCGGACCATGATATTTTTCGTGTACACCCCATGATAACCACATGCACGACAGCCTCTATAAAGGCTACATATCCGAATATCCGATGAACGGAGCGATAGGCATGCAGTGAGATGCCTAGGAGCCGAGCTCCAAACTCGTAGCTACCGGCAATGAACATAGGTGCCAGGTTGACCAGAGACAAATGAGCGGCTCTCGAGCTTGCCTTAGCTAGCGTGTTGACGCTTATAACATTACATATACCCGTACCCAGGAAGTAAGCAGTCCCAAGCACAACGTGAGACCGAGATACGCTGTGAACACCGAGGAAATGATTATTGAACCGAGCATATATAATCTGGCTCAAGATATAGGGTCGGATTCGATTAGAGAAGAATGAGCAGGACGATAGAAAGTGTATGATGACTATGATAAAGTGATACATCAAATAAACTGATGCGATGAAAAGAATGATTGCAGTGTATACACCTTCAGGAGATGTGACGGCACTTGGTAGGGTGAAAGCCATTATGTGATATAATTCACGGAGCGACGTATCATCACGGGGCACTTTCCTGTCCACTTAAATAGAGGACGCGGTGGGGTGCATCACGTTCAACTCACCCTCAGGGGTGAGATCCTTGAGAAAGCCGAGACAGGAATTCAGCGCGGCGGGTAAAATAACGAGAAAGTTGTTTGAGGTCACGCAGAGTGCCATCGTCTTTTCGTATCATGGTTTCGGGCGTTTCACGCTGGAGATTGGGATAATGCGAGTCCTAGAACCTGGTCAGTCCTGAGACTTTGGCGTTGTGTCCATCACTGACCAGTTCAGTATCAGGAACAGGCCATATGCCCTTTTTCTCAGAGTTATAGCAGAATTGATACCACGGTGAAGCGACTAGCATGTAGACTTTAACATCAGGTAAACTTGCAAGCTCGTTGGCTTTCCTTAAGAGAGTCCTGGTTCTTTTTCTGACTTTGGTTCGGTCTTCGGACATAGCTGGAGAATGCTGAGGTCTGCAAAAGCGGCGATTGAACTATATAGCCAGAGATACTAAAATAACGGTATTAAATACAGGCGGTAATATACTGTACTATTTGCGCTCAGGCCGCCGGGCTCTCTTCGGGGTCTCGGCGTTGGGAGCCACAATTGCGCACTTTCTCTTTGTTTGCATTCGGGAGACGTCACACATTTTACAGGAAGCCCAGCCTGGTTTTCCGTGATCGTCCCGGCCGAAACGTGAATGGAAGCCCTGCTTGTCCACAAATGAAGCCACAGTGGCAGGGAATCCGCTGGCTCGCCATCGCTTCTTGGACCCGGTTTCAAGGAAAATGTTGATCTCATGGTCCTCATGTCGAGCAAGGATTCTGATTTCTTGGCTGTAGCCCCCGCATGATGGGCAAATCCCGGATTGTCCCTGGAAGTTCTCCAGCAGTCCATAATCAGACATCCACCTCGTGCCGTCAGGGTAAAGATGCTCCAGGGCTTCAATGATGGACTGTGCGGGTCCCTTGCAACGAATCATACCGCAACACCAAAAAGGGGCCGTGGTGTCTTCCGGTAGGCCACAAATAATGAAGTAAAATCGAGATACGAGTAGCATGGTAGCGGCCTCCCGGGCCATCCTAGCGCTGCCGGGTTGGGCAATAACCAGGCCGCGGTATTCTTCTATTCTAGCAACCGCGTCAATCCCATTTGGTGTATCACCTAGGGGGACGTTCAGTCTGATGGTGTCAAAGGCCCCCTGCCTCGAGAGGCGGCTCTTGTACTTCCTCCAGTCCTGCTCAGTGTCCATAGTTGACATCCACGCGTCGAACCCTCGGCGTAAAAAGCTGTCCCGAAAAACGTTTCGAAAATGGGGCGTCTGGTTCACGGATAGCTCCGTTATCCCGGTGCCTAGGGATAACATCCGAACTGACCCGCCAGCGTTTGGCCAGATCTGGTGGGAAACTTCCAGGGCAATAGCGCCAGCGAAGTTATGTTTCAGCCCACCGTCCTGAAAAGAGCCAATTCCTTGCAGATCTGCGGGGGTAAAAAAGCTATAGTGGGTTAGTCAGTCTATCACGCGGACCAATACAAGGAAAGGGTCGCATACAAGGGGGCCGCGGCCGTGGCCCTGGCCCTAGTGAAATTTTTCAGCCAATCATTATATGGGGCCAGTGCAGGGGTAGTCTTACGCTTTCCAAACCGTGGGGTCCCGTGCGGTGTCACTAGGCCGGATGATTCGATGACCTTGACTTGGTGAGCACAATCATCCCTATGGCTTATGCATATCGCTTACCGGCTTCGTTCCTACTCGTCGGATTAAAGTTAGCGAAGACAAATGTGCTCGTGTCTCGGGAGATTCCTGTCGCAACCACGCCGGCCTTGGTGCTGGAGTATGACTGCTCCCTTGGATCATCTCGACTAGGGCCAAACATCCGTCTATACTCTCCAAAAGTCTCCTTTAGGACATCATCGAATACACGAGCATCGTAGCAGCTATCACGGAGTAGCCAACTCAGCCATCGAGCTGATTCGCTGACCAATGACCGGCCCGTTATGAATGGGCGAATCAAGTTCAGAGCGGCAGAATTCCGCCGCTGGCTAAAGATACGATGGGCTAGGCTTTCAAAAGTACGAGAGCATTCCGGCACAGTCCAGGACATGATAAAGAGGCCTTGGATTATCAGACCACCTGCGACCAATCAGATAAGCGCCGCAAAATTGAGATCGACGAAGAACTTACCTGAACTAGTACCTATCCCAAGATCGATCACATCCTGGATCGTGCATGGGTTCAAGTGCTCCTGTACAAGCAAAAGGAACTCCAAGGGGATAACCCCACGGACCCCTCCACCGTCTATAGCCAATATTGATGGGCTCATTGTTGGGCCCATAATATCTACGATAAGTGGTCGTTGGTAACAACAATAGAGGCAGCTGCCGATCGTAAATCGATAATCGTACCCAGCTGTGGGCGTGCCGAAAACCTGCACACAGCGATCACATAGAGCGTGGCCACAAGAGAGCACATGTTGTGCCACTCCCAGTAGACAGACCAAGCAGATCCTATTGCTATGGATGTGACGTAGGATCTGTTTTTGGGAGTTCAATTGCTCTGCTCGTAATGTGATTGACGAGGTGCCGCCTTCGAATCGGTCAAAAAGGCTCATGAATTTATCCTCGATTTCAATTTCTAACCCTGGTGAGCAATGCATGTTACATGCATCTTTTATTGACGCTTCGTATAAGGACCGGAAAACATGGCGCGGTTCGAATCCTGCTCTCATGAGTCTAACCAGATAATTTCGGTGGGGCCAGCGGGGTACTCACCAACGGTTCCAGGAACATAGTGATCCATGAAAAGTGCGGATGCCATTGAGGGGGCAAGATCATGTGGCGTTAACCCCGCATATTTCCCAACGTCGACATAGTGGACCATGTGCTCCGTAATGTTGGCACTCACTGGACGCGATATTCTTGTCGCTTGAACTAGGTCAAAAGGCGAAGTAATGGAAGATAAAACATGTCCGAGCGCAAGTTGGAACGTCGATTCTAAGTGGGGCCCATTAAGGAGAGACCCCTTGGACTGACGCACACCTCTCACTATGGCTATCTCTGTAGTAATTGTGCTTTTAAGTCGACCTTGTAGCCAGAGGTCATTAGATCGGAAGCACATGGTAGTTATACTAGAGAACGAATCTCCAAGGCGAACACACTGAGCGCGACAGAGTCTTTCATCGACTTGAGATCTCCACGATGTGGTCTCTGTTGCCGGGCTTTGTAAAATCAGGATGACCCGTGGCTGAATTATAGAAGGAAGCGTATTCCGAATGTCGGCACACTCTATCAGAAATTGTATGGCAGCATCAACCTCTGATCGTTCTCCCAAGCACAGACAGATCACATCGGTGAACAGGAATATAAGCAGGGACCACAGGACTAGATGAATCTTGCTTGGTGGATCACAGGACCAGGAGGTGATCTGGCCCTGGCCAGGCTTGAATATCAGTGGATTAATACACTGGAGAAGACCAAAATCATCACCTTCCGCAAAGAGCATGGGATTCTGCGAGGTAGTTGTGGAAATGTCGGCTCGCAGCTTGATAGCAACTTTTGAGCTGTGCCGCTTGATATTGTTCATAGGAAACATGCTTTGCATAACGGTCTGTTTAAACCTACCTCCTAAAAACACACAGATAGACGGATATTGTTTTTGTGGTGTAGGAAGCTGGGAGATAAGTTCTCTCAATCGACCATAGTCTCGGACTGCAGCCCTAGAATCCTCTTGCAAGCCGACGTCTAGCCAAGCTATATTCTCTGCAGGCATTTCTCTAAGTGATTATCAGATTTGACTTGGGCTTCAGGATGGAAGCTCAGTCCATGTCTTCTGGCTAAATACTTGAGATTCATTGAAGTCATTTAAGTCCATTCTCGGCAGATCACCTTTAGCTCACCCACGTCTCAGATGACTCGGGAGGTCTAGAATCCACTTGTCTGGGCATAGCTCATCGTCCGGCGCCCGGGCCGGGGGGTATCAAGTCACCCAACCACAATGCATACGAATTTTACCAACAGTTCCAGGCTGCCCGATGCAGACTGTGCATTTAATGAGCCAACTTCCCCCCACTCCTCTGATCCAAGTAATTATTCTACACTATACCAAGATGCCCGATTCGTTCACAACCCCTGATTTTCCACTTTATTCTGACTTCTCTTCATCGATAAATATCGACGATATCCTCGACTCTGCTCTGTTTACCACCGAGAGCCAATCACAGGGTCTCCAAAACGAACCTCAAAGCACACGAGGAACATGTCCGGATGACTTGGCGTGAGTGGTCGCTCCTATCACATGGAATATTCCCTGACAAGTTGAGATAGTGATCTCTTTCCCCGGGATTCCCCTGCCTTGACGCAAGGCTGCTCTTCAATAGAGCAAGGGCAGGCATTTGACATGATGGGATCAATGGAGCATTTCAACTTCACGGCCAAACGTGTCCTTGAGAACTCTGACGATCTTTCGAAAAGGCTTCTCATGATATCTGCTCAAGTGGAAGATTTGCAGACGCGTGTTGCACAAACGGCTGCGTCTGTGGATTCCCTCAACAAGATCTTTAGAGAGGTTTTGAAGCGAGAGTATGAGGCTATGTCTAAGTTAGGCGAAATCTCTAGCAGGCTGCCAGTGGTCTTTGAAAATACGTCATCTTCTTAGATACATTGAATCCAAACTATCTTGAGCTACCATCTAGAATCGACCTCCTAGTTCATCGCCAAATTCATGTTCCCAGACCTTCAAATACCGGCGCTCTGACTCGTGTAGTCGCGCCGTAGCCCGAGACAAAGTATCTTCCATGTTTTGGAAAATGTCGAACATGCGTTGCTGGAACTCCAGGAGAACCTGTTTTGTCTCCTTATGCCACTGAAGCTCTGCTCGAAGATAGCTTACTTCATACACAAGTTCCTCAATGTGGGCTTTTGGGTCATTTGGTATGCTCTTTGCCTGCTTGATTCTTGATGGCATCATTTCAAGGGTTGAAGTGGTACCACCGGAGCAAAGGATACGATGGTCCATTGGTGTTATTTCTTTCTCCTCCGGGATAGGATCAAGATGCGGATGCGAATAAGACATGCTGTCTGATTGGCGAAGGACAAGAGGGTATTGTAGCACCATGGATTTTGGAGTTTTTCTTTCTATTAAGCAGGATGAAGATGTGGGCACCGAGCCGTTTGATAAATTGATAGATTCAGGTTCTACCCTAATCAGGGTGAGAGGGGCGCAAGGCTAGGACAGTCAAGATACAGCTACGTTCTGAGGCCGAAACAGGTGTATTCTAATGGTTGTAATTTTGCCTCCCCACCCCCCCCACTACCGACTTCGATACAGCACCTCCGTTTTCCGTTACAGGACATCTACAAGTCCGTCGTATCCATATAATCTATCATATATCGCAGGCTTTTGGACCAAAAAGCCATACTACAGAAGCAAATATGCCTCAAAGCGAGAACCAGGTATTTCGAACATTCAAACTTGGCAGCAAGTATCTAACGTTATTCTAGCGCAAGTACGACCCAGGCCAATGTCGGGATCTGATTGTCATTATCGAGAAGCTCCTTCGACAGGCAGAGGAGTCCAAGTCCTATCAGGCTCGCCTCGAATCCCGAATTGCTGAAGACTCCGCGGCGTACCACGGGTTGCGGATGCATTGTATACAAATCGAAAGAGTCATATCTCAGCTCAATAATTCGAGATCTCAGCATGAAGCTTCAGTGAAATGGGCAAATGACGCATGCTACGTCATGGTTCATGACCTTGCACTAGAAAGGCGCAAAGTTCGAGATTTAGAGACTCGACTATCTGGGCTTAAACCCACTTTCGACTGCCTATTTTCCCATTTGAGCAATGGGGACAATGCCCGTCAAATTCAGGAACTCCAGGCGGAGAATGCACGGCAGAAAGACCTGATAATCTGCCTTCAGGAGACTTTGAAGCTCAAGGAGCAGAGTTTGCGGGAATTGAGAGTCCATTTCGAAGAAGCATCTAGCGGCTTATTCCATTATGATCAGACGACCCTGGCGAGGAACAGGCCATCCACGCCTTCGTCAATCGACATAGTGACAGATGGTCCAACAATCAAGACAGAAGATCAGACGCTATCTTAATAAGGTTCACTATCTGCCCTGTTGTCTGCCCAGTTTCATTATGTACGCCCTTTGATAGCAATTCTTTGTCTTCTCTACAGAGTATGGTAATTGGCTTGACGGCCCGGAACATGTGCCCGGCTTCTCCACAAAATAACCAACAGTGCGTAGTCTTTGTGTTTCATTGGTAGGACATCCCGTGTTGACGGGGTCTGTGCACGGATTTACAGGGGTCTGCGCCGCTCGGGGCTACGCAGTACATAACTAACAAAGAAGTTATATATCACCGGTCCTAGTTAACTAAAGAAATCGCTGATCAATCACAAGAAGAGGGGCTGGAAGCCCCACTAGGCCTATCATCATCAACCCTGCTAGTACTGAAACCCCTGCGCGATAAACGGCTTCTACGAATGACGTCATCGAGATTGCGTTGTTTTGGGTAGATGCCGTGCGAGTGGTGGATTGCGTTCTAGTAGGTGACCTTCCCGGCGTGGGATCTGTAGTCAGACTCGTTGGTATAGAGCTGGGGACCGAGACAGTCTCTGTCATAGAAGTAACGATTGGTATCGTCATCCAATTAAGGTCTCTACCCACAAGGGGCCCCTGCGTTGAGATGATCTCCCTCGCATGGCATGATGCATATGTCGTCCCCTGGATATCACAGGATACCTCCGCGCTACTCCAAAGATTCTTAGTCAATGTCCAAATTCTTCTGCTCAAGAAACTCACTTATGCAGCTTGTTTGTCTGGATTAAGTGTATCCAACTTGGGGCAATGATGGCTGTTAATCCATTTGTAGGGATTCCACAGTGCTTCGATTTACCGCCGTCGTTTGTAGGACAATCGATACGTAGGGACGAAGTATTGTTTCCCTAGTAGTTATATCGTCAGCTTCAACTAACAAAGATGCCCGGTTGAATATCACTTGGTGACGAACTTGACTAAGCAAGACTCCCTCCATCTGGCGGTCTTGGAACCCTGGCAGAAGCACAGTAGCCATTCTAGCCAGTGTAACACTAGTCGATACTAGCATCAGGGGCAGCAGCTTCATGTTTGAAGTCGCGCTCAGCACACTATAGTTCCTGGTTCTTGTTGCAAGATCCAGTGATAATATACCGTTCGGAATGACACGTTTCGGTTTTTCTTCCCTTTTCGGAAGGGTGTCCTGTTTCAGCAAGATCTGTTTGAGGACTATCTGCGTAAACATAAAGTACCAATAACCGTCAATTTTATGAGGGAATCTCAATTCAACCAAACTCACCTTCAATTCCTTATAGTATATGTGCACTCATCTGTTTTTCCGACCCAAAACCTCCAAGAATGAAGGCAATCATCAGCTGCTCCTGTGTTTCTTGTTTAGAAAGTGAATTTCGGAAGACAACCGTCAAAATACGCTCATACGATCCCGGTTCAAAGTTCTCTGCAACCCTTTCATTGCTACTCCCTTCGAAGCGAAGGATCAATATCCACACGCTATGCAACCTTTGTAAGGATGAACTGGGGTGTATCTCCAAGGAAGATCAGATCTGTGTGATCTTCAAAAAGAGGGAACACTTTTACTTTGAACGCCGTTTCTGCGTTTCGTGGGCCCGGGAGCAGTGGCATCTCTGGCTGTCTTGTGACGAATGCCAAATGTTGAATGAATCAGCGAAGAGCGGTAAAGTGTATATACATTTGTTTGGGGGCCAATCTATTAGCTGAATGTACTGGATCATTGATTGATGCCAACCCGTAGATTCATGGCCCGTAGATTCATGCCAGCCCGTAGATTCATGCCAGCCCGCAGATTCACGCCAGCCCGCAGATTCACGCCAGCCCGTAGATTCACGCCAGCCCGTAGATTCATGCCAGCCCGTAGATTCATGCCAGCCCGCAGATTCACGCCAGCCCGTAGATTCACGCCAGCCCGTAGATTCACGCCAGCCCGCAGATTCACGCCAGCCCGCAGATTCACGCCAGCCCGCAGATTCACGCCAGCCCGCAGATTCACGCCAGCCCGCAGATTCACGCCAGCCCGCAGATTCACGCCAGCCCGCAGATTCACGCCAGCCCGCAGATTCACGCCAGCCCGCAGATTCACGCCAGCCCGCAGATTCATGCCAGCCCGCAGGTTGATGCCAGCGGGTAGACTGGTGGGTGGGGCTCACACTTGATTGGCCCCTCACAGGATCCGAAACTGGACTGTGAGCTGAACTGCAAATATAGCACGTCAAGTTCACCTTGCTTGCGCTCACCGTCGAATCCATACTTTCTCTGAACAATACAATGTATTCGAACACTCTTGGGCAGCAAAGAAATGAATTAGCGCGGCAGCGATTACAAAGTTTCCGAGGATCCGCGGTCATACCGTTTCGCAACCTGTCTCTTGGAGATGACCATCGTAACAAGGCGAATATATCTCGCCTTACCAAGATTTTTGAACTGGAAGGCTGTGCAAACCTGGATCCTGAAAATCGTATCGCTGCAGTCATACCCTCCGATATCCTGAATGAGGTACTACAGAAGCAAAATATTTCCAATTCCTCTCTTATGGATCCAGGGCAGTTTCCATGTTTGGACCTTGGTGACAAAACAATCGACATTATCTATGGACGGCATCGATTGATTGCAGGCTTTGAGTTTGGACTGCACGAGTGGCTAGTCGACCTATATCTGGACAGTATGACCGGCGAATAAAGAGCTCCTAGTTTAACGTTAGCTAACTTCCTCAGCTCTTCCCCATGATTCGCGAATTGGATTGCAAGAAGGATTTCCTAATAGTCTGGAGTATACCGATGGGGAGGTCTACCGCAATATACGTTTGAACCAGCTTCAGAATAATACACTGCAAGAGCAAAAATGGTGGTCAAGGCTTCGCTCTGATGGCCGTCGAACAAACTTCCGTCGTCTTCAGAAGCACAAAGACTTCTTGAGGGGGTTTGATTTGCTTTTACCATTCGTTGGATTTTGGCGGCCTCTGAGATCCTCTCATATTGAGCGAATGCTAGCATTTCGATATCCTCAGGTATGTGAACAACTCTTTACCCGAATGATGCTCATGATTTTAGATGATATATCAGTACGTCTGGTCTATCCACGTAAGATGGAGTGCTGTGTTTTCGTCTGATAATCAGTATCTTCTCGATGCCGATTCAATCGGTTTACTGGAAGGGCTTTGCCCTCATATATCCCTCAAAGACCGCGAACATATCTTAGAGCTCATAAACTCTAAGACAGTATTTCCAATGGCTCTATATGAGCGGGAAAACCTTGCCCAATGCCTCGTCAATTTCCCTGGAAGATTGATATCCATCCACACCCTGGTTCAGGATACCTTGTTTATGAATGGACCTGTTAAGGGCCTACATCAACTTTGTGACATAGAAACCAAGGGAGATTTCCTTACTATGATGAGACGTTCCTGGACCTCTTTTGGAGATCAGACTATCGAGATTCAGATATCTGAGCATCAATCAGTGAAAAGGGAAAAGTCGAGGACTCCATTTGAGGTTTCGATCCTGCAGCTTTGGCTCTTCGCACTCCGACATTTTGTTGACAACATACCCAAACCAGACCGAACAGACAAAAGATCATTCTCCGTATGGACCAAGGCACTAAATCTCTGGAATCTTTCCAAGCTTGCGAAGAGTGCTGGGTTTCAATCAACTAAGATCACCGAACTTGCAAATCAAAAAAGAAAATTCATCAAGGAGATTCCCAGAGACCTATTTCACACACTTTACGATGACCAGACAGAGAAGATGAGAGGCACAAAGCTACCAGAAGATTTTGTGCCTCCGGTGTTGGAATATTATCTCAAGAAACGGGCCCCGCGAGATACTGAAGCGCAGAGTGCAAGCTTTACGACCGATGACCCCAGCCAGAACGCAGAGAGGAGATACAACACCCCATCTTCTGATCAGTATTCTACACTACGTAGACACTTATTTCTGTGGTCGATATTCGGGGAAGATGTGTCTTTGAAAGATTACCCAACCCCATTGGGTGTTACACGCGATATCTTAATCTGTTTTTTCGGTGATATTCAAAGACTGGTAGGTAATCTACCAGACACTTCTCGACAACAAAACGTGGAAACTCCTGTAGTCAACATTGACGGGCATGATACCGAGTACGTTTCTCCCACTCGGCAAGATAGTGCCGACATACAGCCAGACGCTCTTGAACAGGTGAATAAGAGCCCAGATAATCAACAAACTGCCGGCGACGTTTCAATCCTCGAACCTGATTCAGGAAGCATATCTCAAGCTCATATCTTAGAGCACCCAGAAGCTGGCGCACCAGCTTCAGACAAGCATCTGGTTCCACTTGCAGCTGGATTCGAGGGTCCTGACCACAGTGGCCAAGTGAATAAGCGAAACGGAATAGCGCATAGAAAAAAGGCAGAAACCATTCTGAAGGACTGGTTTGAATCTGAGAACACCCAATTGGTGGTGTTCTTTCTCTTCGAGTCCCGAGAATACTACAAATTCCTCAAGGAGGATGTGAATGTGATTCGATCTGAAATAAGGTTTCTATCCCAGGAGCATCGGTTTCTTTCGATTCACGAAGACTACGGGCTTCAAAGTCCAGATTTTGATAAGACTTTGGATGAAGCTTTACGGCAACATCTCATTCTAGTGGAAAGAAAGGACAAGGCTGGTAATCCAAATATCTCAGAAGATACGATGTCTGTTGATCAGTTAAGAGAATATATGAAAGTATGGGATGTGAAAAGCGGGAAAAGGAAGGCTGGCGATGATCAAAAAAAACCAAATAAGCGACTATTATTGTGAATCAAATTTCTGTATTTTTTACTGTATGGTACCACAATATTTTCCTCTAACATAATCAAGACTCAGCCCGAATATCTCCTTAATCTACCTACCTCCTCCCCAGTCTCCCCTATGGCTATTAGGAAGGATGACTGCAAGGACCGACGAGCAGGCAGGTGCCTGGTGCCTGTTGGGGAGGAGAAGAGGAGATGTGTCAACGGGAAACCTAATCGGAGTTGGGACACAGCAACAACGGCGTTTCAATTTTGGAATACTAAAGCTAGAGGAGAAAGAGGAGGAGGGAAGGAAGGAAAAGCTACTGTACGACGACCGACCTAATACCCAAGTCCCGCCATCCCCCTGTCCACTTCCGTATGTGTTCGGACAACAGTAGTTCAGACAGTGCTGCTATCAAGGGCGGTGGGGAGAGGCAGAATCGGCCAACGGCTGACAAGATGAGGGGAGAAAGATGGGGACTAGTATCTCCATCCCTGTCCTGTTTCGGATGAGCCCACTGTCCTGTTTCGGATGAGCCTACTGTCCTGTTTCGAATTCTCATTATAGCAGTTCCACTGTCGACGAAGGATATTGACCTAATTACTGAAACCGGCGCCGCAATTTGCTTAGGAAATAAGTTCTCATTACAAATACCGAGGAAGCTCCCTCCTTGTTTCTTTTTCCATTCAACTTCGTTGTTCTTACTCCTTTTTAACCTATCACTATGCACTTTTCACTCTCCGCAGCTGTGATCGGACTTTTTGTCCGTACCTCCCTAGGGGGGACACTTCAGGTTATCGATGATACAGCCGGGGAGTGTCAGATATATTCCGACGATAATCACGGTTGTACTGGCTTTTCTGCACCGTTTGCAAAGTTGCACGGAAACGACTGCTCAAGTTAGGAATATCCCACTTCCAAATATCTGAGGGAACAAGCTAAATAGAGTTTAATCAAAGAGATGATTGAAGATGGCGAGAGAACCCATAAAAATTCCACTACTAAGGATGTGGCGGCATGTGGTCAGGATCACAATGGCAAGAACGTTGCCTGGATAGAAGTCAGCCAATCTGGGAAAGTCACGTTCTTCAACCGAAATGGAAACAAAGCCGAGTGTACCCTGGATAATGGACTTAAGAAGGGGAGTTTCTGCAACGCGTCCGACGTGAACGCTATTAAAAGCGTGACACCATCTTTGAGCACACTCAAAGCATCGACATCTTCGTTGTTATCCATCCCGGCGACCACATCGGCTACTAGATCTGCTTCGGCAACCTGTCCCTGCGTTTAGCCTTCTGGATATTGAACCAACCACGCTATTATCTGCTGCTTGTTGTTGTTTTAAGACATTTTTTGCTTGCCTATTTCTGTTATTGTATTTATGTGTTTCAAGATGTTTGATATTCTTGCCTTTGAATAGCATGAAAGCTTTGATTATCTATTCTACAGCGACAGATCTAATACTCAACTCTGACTACCCCTTTATCCCTTCTTGTCCATGTCCAGACGGCAGTAATATTTATGGCGGTGGCGAGCGGCAGAATCGGCCAACAGCTGAGCGACACACTAGTTACTAGAAACTAGGGATTAGGACATCTGTACATAGCATAGATCGTATCTGTCTGGCCCCCTTCCCGTCGTCCTAATATCTTAAGCTAGAGCTGTAGAAAATGAGCAGTTGTTACCAAGAGTTGAAAGAGACTCATGTATTCGGCAGTAAGTGTCACGGTCGCTCGATTCTGCCGCCTATCACCGCTGTATAATTGCGAGGTGCCATCCGAACTACCACCAATCGAGATCTGTCGCGGTCTCTTAAGCTACTTCTCACTCTGACAGATCGATGGCCAATATCGACCCGCCAGATTACAAAGCTTCCTTTCTGAAAGAGCAAGAGAGACGCAAGCAGGCGGAAGATGACGCAAGAAGAGAGAAACAGATACGAGAGGAACTTCAAGAGCTCAGCCGACCGACCACTTTCGCGGAGTTCTTGCGCCATTGCCATAACCTGCTCTCCCGGCCGCTGAGTATCGAGACACCATCTCGCTCGCGACACGCCGCAAACGAACCTTCAGTCAGGTTCCGTCCTCGCCATCTACCCAACGTGTGGCTCGACAAAGAGAGACAAGCGATGATAGGAGCCAGATAGCCAGTCCCACCGCCGCAATGCGCAATTTTGCACCCAGCGATGTTTATTCGGATTGCAGTCAAGGGGTGCTCTTGACGATCACTGTCCAAATGTGATGTTCCATCGTCGAAGCAAAGACGATCTTCATCATCCTATTACCTCCGAAGACTTGGTGCGTTTGCTGAAGGCACAATTGGACGAGAATATTGACCGATGTACACCCCTGGAGGTTGCGGGGCGTACGGTACGCCGTTCAAACTTACTTGTGTCGTATATGGCTACACTGTCATCGGTAAAGGAACCACGTCGCTGTTATGGAAAGAAGTCTCTCGCGAAGCGAAGGTATACCGAATTCTGCAGAAGGCTCAAGGGTCCGCTGTGCCTATTTTCCTAGGTACGATCGACTTAGCGAAGATTTATTTCCTCCATGGGGCTGAGATTCGCCATATGCTCGTGATGGCCTGGGGGGGGAGTTAATACAGCATCGATAGAGCCGACGCCTAAGCTTCTGCAGAGCATTCAGCAATCTAACACGGAAATCAGAGCTTTGGGAATCATCCACGACGACCTGCGACGTTACCATGTTCTATGGAATGAAGAGCTAGGGCGGGCGATGATCATTGACTTTCACCGCTCCACTTTACAACGTCGACCAACTTTGCATCGGCCAAGAGCCTCAAAACGACGACTCCCTCAGCCAGAGATAGTTGATTCGAAACGTCTTCGTCTGAGTTGAGGACGTGTGCTCATTCTATTGGAGTAACAATTTTATTATTATATAATAATAAAGTATGAAGTATTTCTAGTCTGTATATACGCGCAACCATCCCCAAGTTGACTCCTGCTTTGTTATTGATTATGTAGAAGATACTGGTTCTCATCAGTATGGACGAGAGAGCTGAATTATAGCGTCAGCTTGAGGAGGAAGTGCGAGGGCGAGAAGAAGAGAGAGGCGCGAGAAGACCCAGAGCGTCGTGAGGGGGAGGAGAGATAGCCTTGAGAGAACGAGAGGCGAGCATTGGAAGAGAGAGAACTGCAAGTGCAACGCAACACTCTGTTTCCCCTCCTTAATCGATGCCACAATCCTCTGTCCCAAGGGCTCCTAAGTTATTCCATGAGCTCAACTCACCTTGGAGTCTTAGACGTTTTTCTACGATCATGAATTATGTCACGTGATAGATGAACCCGTGACCGAGATTTTGCGGGGCAAGCCGGTAGGTTTCCTTGCGACAAAATTGGCGCCTCCTGATTCCCGCCGCCTATTGTCAATGAGATCCGAGAGGAAAGTCCGCGCTATCCCACCTCGCCTAGAAAAAGATGCGTGAGTACCCAACATCATTCTGAAGGCCAAAGCCATCGAAGGTCTTTGAAAATATTTCCGTCAAAGGAAAGGACTCCTCGTGGTTTGAGAATACGTTGATTTCTGGTCAAAAAAGACTGATTCTCATAACAATACGTGCGGATTTCTGCGTGACTGAAGATTCTGCTGCCAATCATCAACTTTTTAGAGAAACCTGCGCACAAGACACTCCATCGAGGTTGCCCCCTCCTTATCTTTGTCTCTACGTACCGTAGACAGGTCATTTTCAACGTTTAAATCACTTAACAACCTACCTTTGAAGATTTGCCGAACTGGTCGTCAATCGACCTCTTGATTCAAGTGAGCCACCTCCTCGGATCCTGCCTTTATCATTGATGGTCTAACATCCACTTACAGGCCCAAAATCCTTATAAGAATGGGTGATCGACGATCAGATTCAAGCTACGACGGCGAAATTGAAGATGCAAAAGTTACGATAAGGATGAACGCCAAAACCCTCAATCAACTCTCTTCATCAGCTCAAGCCGCCCAACAAAATCGGGGCAGAAATGCAATTCTGAGCCTAGGAAATGCTGTACAGAGTTTCAAAGATAAGGAAGAGAAAGGCAGTGGTAATCATGGCAAGCCTGAAGAGCAAAAGCAAAATGAAAAGGATTAAGCAAAGATTTCAGCTCAGGTTGTCGAGACTTTAGTCTCTGAATGCCTCACGCAAAGATAGATCATACTTTTTTTTGTCTTCCACTTTTTGCTCAAGAAACTCAAGCGTGTTGAATGTCCAATAAGGCATAGTGATTATCCAAAATGTCGAGTCGCCATTCTGGGCTTTCGAAAACCTTGGCTGGATATAGTCATAGAAGATCTTGAACAGTGCTGTAGGACTGTTCAAAGCAAGAGAGCACCAGAATGTCCCTTTTTCCCATCCCTCTTGCAATATAGGATACAATAACGGCAATGACGTTGTTGAATTTTTCGATTCTTCCTCTGCCAATGCCTCCATGAATTCCGCATGAAGAGTCTTGTAATCACCCAGGCTGATTGAATCGATGGCTTGATTTGCCAACCAATATGGAGGGTGAATCATCTCCACAGGCCGAGAGCAAGCCCATTCCAAATCAATGAAGCATTTGATGTTCCACTCATCGTCAACAAATATGTTACTTTGATGGATATCAGTGAGGCTGAGAAAGAATGGGCCCCGAAGAAGGTCCCGCCGAAAGTAGCAAGGCCAGATGCTCCTCATTACCATCAATGCCGACGTTTGGTAGAAACCATCCTCGAGGTGGCTCACTGCATTAGGTTGATGACGTAGGCGGCTTTCATGGAGTGAGAGAATGTCATTGATATATGAATCAACGGATATGTATGTAACTTTTCGTGGCATATCAACTGGTATTTCCTCATTTTCCAATTGGTGGATCTGGAGAGTGAGCGGCCTATTATTCAACCTCAGGTAACCTTTGTTATCCAAGATGAATGAGCCGATCCTTGGTAATGGGACTCGTGTTAGAGAAAGTAGAGTACGAGAAAGGCCACGGAACAGATTCATCCGTAGTTGAGCGTTGTGACGGCCCTTTTCCCACGATTCAGAAAGCATTTTGCCTCGGGATCGTTCAATGTACTCAATCAAAATATAACCTGCACTTAAAGAAGCAGGCGCCTTGTTACTAATCTGAACAAATCGAGAAGGGACTGCATAGCCTAGCCATGCCAAAATCCGCCGGCGGACTTTTTCTATCGAGCGTATGACGATAGGCAGATTGTCAAGAGAAGTGAACTGGAACGATAAGCATGATGTCCACGGGTATTACAGCATGCATACGTACAGTCTGGCCAGTAGCAAGTCCGAACCCGTATAGATGGGGGATGGCAACATCTGGACAATTCGCCTCGAGCCATACATATGTCCCCGCTTCGCAAAGTATTTTCTCATCGGCATTTCCGGGGCAAGGGACATCCCCGACCCGATATGGCAAGGGGAATCGTATAATCATTTTTCTTTCTGGCTTTGGGCCTTGGCCGTCGACATCGACTGGGATGCAAATGTTAAAGCTTCCACGCATCCACTGCTCAGGGTGTGCAATGTGACATTTGTCTGCCGAATTCAAGCCAAGTTGTTGAGCAACAATCGATCTGATTGAGTCACGATTCCGGTGTAGGTAAGTCAAGTAATCTGTCTCCTGATCCCAGTATGTTAATTCATGAAGAACATTGCTTTCATACTCTTTCGCGGCAGAGTATGTGATGGTGCCGTTAAGGAGATGACGTGGCTTCAGTGCAGCTAGTCCAGGAGCATGGACTGTGGCCATTCTTTTCGAATTTCCGGAACTTCGATCGCGTGTAGTGCAAATACACCTTGCGAAAAGTAAATCACTAGTCTGGCAACGCTGACGATCGGTCGTTGTTTCCTTTGAAAAGGGGTATTTCACCGTCCACCGGGGAAATGTTTGCCCTTCTCCGATAGAGCAAGGGGACTGCTTAGTCAGGTGATACCACGTGGGAATGACCATGGCGGGGGATAGAGCAGCAATTTTTCCAGTACTTTGGAGTGTCAGGCTGACGGCCAAGGCGGAATGTTCGGTGAGGATGAGTATAGAGGAGTTGATGGTGAGAGAGGGCCCTGGAGCAATACAAAGCAGTGCGCACAGAACGACGTATTCGTGAGAGGAAGCGTGGTCAACTGAGAACAGGAAAATAACCGTATAGGGCTACGTTCAGTCGTGGCCGAGACAGCGAGTAATTTCAGAGGGAAGATTCGATCACTTGATTTGCACTGATTGGGTACGGCTATTTGGCGGTTTGAAACTGCGCAGGCAGAAAAAGTCACCGAATTCAAAGAAGATCGTTTTTCCAAGAAAACAAAGGGGAACATTGAATATCCTGCTCATATTACGTACAGTACATAGATATGCTCAGTGGTGAGATTCCTTGGCCTCATTTACTTTTTCTTCTCTCCTTCTCATCAACCTCTGGCGAAATGATTCAGTATACTCATCCGGGTCCCACGCCAAAACCCTGTCTTCCATCTCCTTAAGCTTTCTCGTCACTAGCCGTTCCATCTCAACCTTTTGGTTTTCATCCAGCAGATCCAACCGCTCTTTCCATGCCTCGCTGGGATCGTCGGTCTCCGTAGGCCCAAAGAACCGCTGGTCGATTTTCTGCCAGTAGATCGCATCAAACGCAAAGCTGTGCAGAATTGCATACACCACCCAAAAGTCTCCGCTCTCCCAGCTCCGCTGCATCTGATCCGAGAGCCGATACTGGCTGTACTGGGCGCCTATATCTTCACAATGCCTCATTGCTGTGAGGAACGTCTTTAGGCGGCGATCGAATACTCGGGCCCAGTCCTCTATACCTTCGGACCAATATTCGGGCTTCTCGATAAGAAGCCACCATGGTGGCGCGTATGAAAACTCCACCGGTGCTGCATATGTAAACTCCCAGTCCACCACACCTGCAATATGCATATCTTCATTGAGAAGAACATTGGCTGGCCGGAAATCATCACACCACAGTTTGAATGGACCATTCTCAAAACTTGGTAAGAATAGTTTCTTGTCCCTGGCAAGCGTATAAAACAGCTGTCTTGCAACAAACTTCCGGCGACAGTCATCTGCAGACTGTACCGCATCATTCCTTTGATGCAGTAAATGTTGGATGTTGAGCTGTGCCAGGGCTTCAATATATGAAGATGCTGTCTTGAAAGTGGCATCTAGGGGTGGGAGTTTTGATCGAGGTAGAGTCCCTAAACGGACAAGCTCATTCATATTCATTGACAATGGCCGGCGAGTCACTTCCCAGGAAAAATCATCTATCTGACCAAGGGACCCTATTTTGGGGAATTCTGGCTGAGCAAGCTGAAGCAAGATCTTTGCTAGTTGTGTATATAGCAATTCAAGTTGATCTTCCTCAATATTTGGGTCAAGGATTCCTCGCTCTTCATTTAGACATCCTGGTGTGTTAAGAGCATCATACATGGTTGTTGTATGTTCCATATGGCTCATCATAATAAAAGGGCTCAGATTGAGGGGGGCTCTCCTCCCGTGTACCCGAGTGAAGAACAAATGGAACTGGGATTGATGTCTGGTCCGAGATATATCGCATCACGGCAACTTCGTTCTGAACCTTTTCCTCGGGAAAAAGAATAGCCCCAGGTTGTGAAAAGCGAATGTTGGTCGCGCTGTATGTGTACTTCATTTGTAATGTGATATTGAAAGACCCCTTTCGAAGAATTGTAAACTCGGGGTCGTCACCGGAATCATGCTTCAGGATAAATTTCGCAATCGGTCTCTTGACGTCGATATCAAGAAATTGAAGCAACCAATTGTCGGAGACATCGTCGGATTGTTCCCATGCAACATCGTCGTAACACATCTGCGGGTCCATGTTTTCAGATGCGTTGGCTGTTTCTCGTGGCGGGGCGATAGGAAGGTCGTGACTGAAGATGGGTCGCAGGAGTAATAGTGTAGTATGATCCCTTCATTTGATCGAGTCGACAGAAGTACTACTGTAAATAGATAGCGAGACTCGCAGGGATCTAGAGAAAAAAAATATGAAACATGGGACCGACGAGCCATGAGAAATTGGGAAAAATCGCATGGATGAGGAGAAGGATCGTCAAGCAATCATCCAAACAAACTACAGTCACGTGATAAAGCCCCCTCACAATCACATAACCATCCCACCAATCAGAAATTCACAATATGAAACTCGAAGCGCGGTGGCTGGAACGATTATCAGCCAAGTAAATACTGGTTGTTACTGTTATTGCCATCCATTCATAGCACTCCGTGAGACTTAGCGCCAGCATTTCATGCACCGTCAAGACTTTATGCCAGTAGCATCCATGAGCCTAGAGGTTTCCACTAGCCACATCGACGACTTTGCTGGAGTGAGGCACGGTGCTTCTTAATACTAATCATAGAGATCATTGGTATGTTAGCCCCTGAAGCGCTGACGTAGTGTCATTGACTGGTCCAAATCAAGTCACTGCCCATGATGTCTTGTCAAACCAAGGTCGGAGCCAAATAAATTATAGGCTATGGCTACTCGAATTCTAAATATAATCATGTAATTAAGATGATAAGGGGCAATGTCTCCATATCTGGAAAGGTCTCAAGCCTCTTCCTCGCCGTGTACGTTAGCCGCGCGCTCTATGCGGGCTTTGTTTATGGTGTGTTCTGTTTCAGCTGTTACATCGCTGTACTTGCTATGACGCAGACCTTGGTTACTTGCATCGGTTCTGAGGTATTAATATCAAGTTGATTGCCCACAATCTGTTTTTTATCCAACATCAAGAGACGAGCTCTTTTGCCCCTTCACAATTTCTGTTGATATTACTTCCTCGACCGAGAAAGGTTAGACTTATGTTCTCCCTTCTCAAGGTGTTTCAAAGCTCACCACTTTGCAGATTCGCGCGACAGCCACCACCCTATCAAGATGTCAGATTCAAAGCAAGCAGCTCGTGATGAAACCAACTACCGATTGGGAATCTCCTCCAAGAGTTCAGAGATTCTTCAGAAAGCAGGTAGCGGTTCCGCAAAGAAAAGAGGGAAATCACACACACCAAGCGAAGTCAAGTTTCCCAGCCCAGATGAAGAGAGAACAATGGACACTGCTGGGAGAGAATCCGCCGACAAACGGAAACATGCCACGGAGCAAATTGCCAAACATTACAGAGACAGCTCCTGAGGACTTGAATGAGTTGATTTCTAGTAGCCCGGCAGATATTGAGTTACGGTTGCATTTTCCGATGTTGCTTTTTTCCTTAACTTTTGGTGCTATTGGAAGGCTCTTTATGTGTTTTGCAATTTCCTTTGCTCAATATTTTGGTTCGGATGTTCTCAAACATCACGTTGTGACGTTCTATTTGGTCTGTTACGTTTTCGAGCCCTTTGATATTTTTCTTGAGCACTGTACTCTTCTTATCACGGATGTGATTTAGAAAGGAAATCTAGACTAAGTTGAGCTTGAGCGATGGCTTCTTAAGAAGTATAATTATTACCATAAGACAATTGGGCTTCCACTTTAGATTATAGACACTTATTTGCCAGAACCCTTCTCTAAAAGATCCTGCTATCAATGCTTCATCACATCCTGCTACATTAATCCGGTCAACCCTCATGACAAGCCTCAAGTTCCAGAGGTTGGGACAGGGCTCCCCGCTTTCAAGCGCTCATGCCTGGTTCCTGAAGCCTAGATCTAAATTGGGCTTACAGCTCAATCAAAGGTATCTCAATTACGCATATTTTTTATATGAAAGATAATTATAAAACCGTGAGTAGCCTCAGTAAGAGACATTTGTCCCATTACCGTTGCAAGCTGGCAAGACAATCTCAGAATTCGTCTAAATCAAAATGCCATCCGAACTGTATCCACACCTAAATCCTTCATTGTAAGCAGGGTATCCGCGCCCCCACCTAGCTTAACGTGCCCGGAATCCGACATGTGACAATCATACCTAGCCGCCGAGGCTTAAATCTTGGTTGACCTAAATAAACCAGAGCATCTCAATAATTAGCGCCAGGGTTCCACCAACAATCACACTCTACGCGCCGATGAGGAGCGGATAAAATTAAAAATACTTTGATAGGCAGCGATCCCCATGATAGTCGTGCCAACTCCCGTGTCTACGGATCCAGCATGGGATTTGGGCATTTCCTGCGACTACGTACACGGTGCACATCACTGGCATGGCGCTGAAATCCCATTTGATGCAACAACGTGATCTCACACCAGTTGCACCGGAGCGGCAGTTCGTCTAGGTGGATGGCATCAAAATGACGCGTGACACAGCCAGCGTCGTGGAACATCTGGAAGCGCACACTTTCCGGGGCTTCCTCACTGGCAAAGCATTGGAAGCATGCCGCCGGTCGCTTAGCTTTAGCAAGGTATTCCCTGGTCGCACGTGTCGGTCTCGGGGGTTCAGAATCAGATCCAACCCCCGGGTCGGGATCGGTTTGAGTCGGCTGTACGGCCTGCGGCAGAGTTACCGACTCAGCCAATAAAGCAGATTCAGAGGTTTTCTTCCTCGGCCGGCCTCGCGGTGGGCCTCCTTCATGAACACCGCAGTACTGCGCAACAGCCGCGGTACCTGTATCGCGTCGACGCCACTCAGCCTCTACTGAGTTGGAAACCGGGTAGGAAAGAAGACTTTGCACAAGATGCAACTGAAGAGGGTGCATAGTGTCCTCTAGAGATGACCGGTCTTCACACTCTTCCTGGACGGCCGTACCCGACAGCTGCGCTTCTATGTCTAAAAAGGCTTGTTCTTCGTCAAAATTCTCCCGGACCTTCTGTCTAAGGCTACGGTGTAACCTTTTCCGCGTGTTTTCTACCTCCTTTTTCCGCCGCTCAAGCCGAAGAAGTAGTCCCGGTTCCAGGGTCTCTTCATATTGCACGCGAATCTTGTTCAGGTTGCGCCGGGCTTCCTCCAACTCGGGATGATCTTCAACTTGAGCTCGCTGTTGATCAGTCAGATAGCGAGGGCGTCGAGTGTCCCGCCAGCGACTCTGCCGTGTGACGGCGCGCATCAACTCCACATCCGGGTCAATGCCACAGATAACCCGTATCATGTCGGTGTCAATTTGCAGGGGTGATAATGGTTGAGAAACGTACGAGGACTGGCGTGCTTCATGATCAATTGGTGCTGCTCCTTGCTCACCCATCCTACAGAGATCAGTCACCTCTTAGAAACCTTCCAACAGTGTCGATATAAGAACTCACCACTTTCATTGAGCACCTTACCGCTTCCATATCGGAACTGGTGAGCGTGGAAGGTTCCTTTCCACCCGCGAATCTCGCCAAACTGGACCAACAAGGTGGACATCGTAGCCTTAGACATCTGCTCAGTTCGTTGGATTGTCGGGACTCCTTTGATTAATTCGGTCTTGCAGAATATGTACCAATCAGACTTCTTTGGATCCAAAGGCACCAGGAGTTGCTCGCAGGCCTTGTTGGGTAAGAGTTTCCGGAGCTTGGTCTTCGAGGTCAGCCTCGGATTCCGAAACGCCCGCGCATGGAATAGGACACCAAAAAGCAGCGTGTGCGGGCACATCACCAGAGAGGGGCCGTAGACGATCTCCGGAAGTGCGAAAGTAGTTCTGGAAATGAGTCGGCAGAGTTAGTGTTATGATCCTGAAATCCCTAGAGCCCTTTGGAAGCCTCGAGAGATATGGTGATCTACTACGTGGAGACAGAAGCGGGAAGGGAAGAGAGGGATAACGCTTGCCGTACAGTTTAGTCAACCCAAGAAACTTCTTGGTCCCTTCGGAAGTAAGTTCAATCAAGGGGATGGGTGGGCCGCCTCGGGGATCCTTCTGGAGGGAAATTTGTAGATCCTTGAATTGGAGACTCAACAGCGCATTTCGCCGGTGCAGCGTGAAGATGCCTAGGGAATTGAAAAGGCACACTTGGATCCGTTGGAAGCCTAAGTGGAATTTCTTCTCCTGGGTTGATAGGATTGTCTCATTAAAAGGGCCGATATCCTCGATATAGACCGGCGTCTTCTTTCCAGGTTGTGTATCCAAACCAAACTCTTGTACCAAAAATTTCATGCCCTGTATTCCACGGTTAGTCAAGGTTATAGAGTTCAACTAGGATACACCCGAAGAACACTAACCCGTCGTATTTCCGAGCTATCTTTATCGTTGATCACAATCTTGGTAAGTTTCTGATAGTACAAGCGGAGGTTCTTCCAGTCGGTCTCAAGGGTGCTAGCCTTGTTGATACCCTTAAGATGCCGTCCATCTTCACCACGATCGATTTGGAGACACCAGCGAAGAAACCGATATAAGTCGTTGTTCGACGCCTTACAGAGCGCTTCCTCGACCTTGTACCATTTCGGCTCATTAGGCCGGTTTCGTACTTGGCTGTTACAGTACCTGTCTAACGCTTAGAAGATATAGAGTGAAGGAGGTCTCGACGCTCCACCTACCTTTCCCACCGACTCTTGATCCGCTCCTGTCGCTCAATGGTACCTGGTGCTTTATCGAAATCCTCTGGAATGTCAGAGAGATTAAGCCCGCCTTCATCTAGGGGATCCTCGTAAAAGTCTGCGGTGTCGGCGCAGAGCTGAGGTTCTGGGTAAAGTTCCTTATCCGGTCGCATACGCTTTCGGGGCCCAGGGTCATATTCTGGCTCTGAAAGTTCCGTCTCATAGGTGGCGTCATCGTGCTCTGAATCGCTCGCAGGCGTGGTACTAGAGTCCTCACCGCTAGTATCTTCTTTGAGCGTGCTATCCGACTGTCCTCGAGGACGCTTCATGGTCAGAATGACTAGGCGAATAACTAGGAGAATAGAGTTAGCGAGGGCATAGAGGCCAAGATGCCAGCCGACAAGACCACGAGTTGGTGAAGAGGATAGGTGGTTTACACAGAGATCAAGGTGTGCCTCGTTTTAGAGGGCGATACCCTAGAGTTGGGCCGGTCAAACGTGGCAGAGGCAAGCGTGAGTCGGAGAAAAAGACAGATGAGAGCCGAGAAAGAGAAGGACAGTTGAAAGGGAAGCACTTGCGATGGAGGGAGAGGAGGTGGGAGGGCGAGGGTAAATATAGGGAAAGATAGCCACAGCGAGCAGGCACTATCGTCTGTGGGTACTGCGACAGTGAAGCCATCTTTGGTGCCCTCCTATGTCGAACCAACACTTGGCCTTCGCCAAGGCAGGGGCGGCAGAGAGCGTGCAGGGTGAGGAGGCCGAGCGAGACCAGAGCGCTACGGAGTGGGTCGTTCTGGTGCGTGGTCTTAACATGGCAAGAGCGTGTCGCGACCACGGCATCACGTGTTACCAAATGACGGCCGAAAAGGGCTGCACTCGACGCCGAAAAAGGCACCCCTTTGGTAAGTCCAAGTTGTTATCTAGTAATAACATATCCCAAGAATCCAGTTTCTTCTATATAAAATTCGCACTTCTTAAGTTTCAGTATAACCTTCACTTCTCTAAACTTCTGGAATATAAGCTTGTTATATTGAACATACTCTTCTTTATTATTCGAGTAGACCAGAATATTGTCTAAGTAAACAACAACAAAGATATCCAGGTATTCTCTTAGGACATCTAAGATAAATCTTTAGAATAATACTAGTACATTAGTCAATCCAAATAGCATGACCGTATATTCAAAATGTCCAAGTTCGGTCCTAAATACTATTTTCCATTCGTCCTCTTTCTTGATTCGTAGTCGGTAGTAGACTTCTATGATATCGTACTTAGTGTAGATTTTGGCTTTTCCAATAATATTTTGAATACTCTAAATCAAAGATAGCAGATATCAATCCTTAATCGTAGCTTCATTCAATTGTCTATAATCGATATACATTTATTACCGTTTCGTAGGATCTTTGTGTTTCTTCGTAATAAACAGGATAGGATATCCTGCTAGTGACTTCGATAGTTGTATATATCTTTTTTTTAAGTTTTTGTCGATATATTCTTTCAAGAGACGTTTATTATTCTTATTAAGTTGATAGATCAGCATAAACTTAGATTCTACTCCCGGTTTAAACTTAATCTTGTAGTTATATAGTCTATATTCTAGCAGCATGCTAATTAGTAATAATATAAACATATCTTTGAATTCCTTATATCGTTCAGATATTTATACCTCTTCCTCTATCCCACAAAAGACTTTCGTGTCTTCGGCGTGGTCGATTACTATATAGTTATCAATTTCGTCATCTGACATTGCGACTTCTTCTATAACATAGATATCTATTCTCATGATAGTATACAAGATCCTATCTCCTAAGAACCGAGAACTATACTAGATTTTCTACCTATACATATTCTCTGGTATACTTGTCTATCTAGAGCTAAGTGTTACGGACCCACTTCGGTTGAAGAAAATAAGTCAACCACGACCAACCGATCTGTCAAGATTGACACACACGTGACAAGGGAGCCAGGTATGGCAGCCGACCAATTGGCATGAAGGAGCCAGGAACAGCTGTCTAAGGCAGCAAGGCAACAGTGGCTCATCAGCGATGTGCACTGCACATCAGCGATGCGCGGAGCGCATCAGCGATGTGTCCCGAACACATCAGTGACAGGAAGGACTGGATATATAAGGACACTCACTTGGCACCATGTATTTAGTTCTTCGCGATCAATCTCTTCTTGATTCTACATCATTGTTACTTAGGAACCACAAGATTGGAATACGACAACGGTTCATTGTTCATACTTGTCTCGAATCCAAACCTAACGACGAAGGGGAGATCCATAAGAACCTGACCTCGTCGGCGCCCTCAGCAGCTCCACGTTTACTAAGCAAGACCTCTAAGGACTTGAGCATCTAAGGCCTGTTGCCGTGTGTGATCGGTAGGCATTGCAATAGAGTGACGAGACACCCTTGGCGTGCAGAGTGACCAAGAGAAGTATCACCCTTTGAGGACCCACTCACCGAGACTCGCTAGGTAGTGCGTAACACATTGATCGCCCATCTCGAACAAGTACGACACTGAACAGCAATTGACGCCCTGACCTTGACGCCACTATGTCGACTCAAGGCAGTAACACCCCACGCCCACCAGCACCAGCTGCACCACCTACCAACGCTCAGTTGGAAGGCATGCTCAGCCAGTTACAGGAACAAATTATGGAACTAGAGAAGCAACGATTGCCACAGATCAAACCACCGAAGCCAGATTTCTTCGAAGGACACCGAGGCAAGTTGCGAGCATTCTTGACGCAGATGGATATGCAATTACGACTTGTCAACTTCCAGTCCGAAGTCGATAAGGTCATGTATGCATCCACGTACCTGCGAGGACAAGCGTTCGAATGGTTCGAACCATACATCCGGGACTATACCGACAAACCCAGCAAGGACCGCGATGAAGCTACAAAAGAAGTTTTCGCGTCATACTCCAACTTTAAGAAGAAATTAGAAGCCACCTTTGGGGATGTTGATGCAACCCGTACCGCGGAACGACGATTGAGGAGACTCCGACAAACTGGATCAGCCAGTGTATACACCGCTGAATTCCAACAAATCATCTCTCATCTCGATTGGGATGAGGATGCGTACATCGCCATCTATGAAGACGGTCTTAAGGAAGATGTGAAAGACGAAATCATGCGAATCGACCGACCCGATAGGTTGAGCAAACTCATGGAAGTCGCAGTTAAGTTCGACAACCGACTATACGAAAGATCGCTTCAACGACGAGAAGCACGACAGTGGCGGGGACAAGACAACCTCCCCGAACCCACGGATTCCGACGACGAGGAGGTCGAAGAGAGCCACGACAGGCCCAGTACAATGACCCATATGGATTGCAACCTATGGATCTGGACGCGGCAGAAAACCCACGAAAGGAAAAGCAATATAGGCAGATGAAAGGAAAATGCTTCAACTGCAACCAAGGAGGACATTTCGCAAAAGAATGCCCTAAACCACGGAAACCGCGACAACCGCAGCAACTTCGAGCAACAAACGAGAGCCGAGGCGGATACAACGAGACCAAACAAATCTGCGCCACGGAAGAGCGCGAGAGGGACGAAACATTATCAGACATCCAAGACATGCTTGAAGCATGGACGACGCTAAGTGAAAGCGAGATCGCAGACAGCGAACCAACGGACGGAACCGCGAGAAACACCAACGACAAAGACACAGAAGCACAGACGTACGAGGGGAGTGACACCTCGGAACTGTTGAAAGAAAACCAGCGACACGAGTTCCCAGAGATCGATTGGGATAACAGAAGTTGGACTCTGGACGAATCCGAGTCCCAGGAGCAAGAGGGACTATCCCAGGAGACACGAAACCTCGTTCAAGGAACGAAGGGCTCCCAGGACCTCGAATACGAACCTCCATGCCCCGAACTGCACTACCAGGACCCAGAATGGGCCGTCGAGATATTCAACCGAATTGTCAGGGAAGAACCCTACATCAGAGGAGCAGTTATGAAGTTAAACGAGTTGTGCGAACTCATGAACAGGAACACCACCAAAGAAGAAAAGAAGAGGGCCTGGATCGAGTGCGACCCACAGCGGTACGCGTTCCGACCAGAACACGAAATACCCTACAGCGCAGGATGCCCGTGCGATGAAGCGGATTGCTCATGTCGCGGATACGCCAGGCATCCCGACCACAGCACGATACCCTTCACGCGGTGCTATGAACTACATTCTTGCCCGCAACACGACAAAGAAAAAGCTGAGGCCAAACCCTACCGACTCGAAACAAACGTATACGAGAAAGCACCACGATGGCGACGCCAGTACAAGAGCAGCTACCTGGCCAGACACGGATTGTTACCATCCGACCCTGCCAAGAAGAACCAGAACCAATCAATTTGCGGAACGCAGTGGGGACCTCACCTAAAGGTCGAAGTGATCCTTATGGGAAGAAAAGCACGAGCGTTCATTGATTCTGGAGCATGTGGAAATTTTCTGTCCAAGGCATGGGCCAGAGCTCATGGAGTACCCGTTTACGCCAACCCAAATGCTGTACCAGTCACTGGGTTAGACGGACGCGCCTACGGAACAGGAATACAATACGAAACAGGATGGATACCAATGCAGCTCGGAAACCACTTCGAGATGAATAATTTCGATATCATCTCAGAACTAGGGAAGTACGATGTGCTATTAGGAAGTCCATGGTTGAAACGACACAACCCCGAAATCGACTGGAAAACGCACACACTCAGATTCACACGATGTGAATGCCGAACGACGAACGGCGAGGCGACGGATAAGCCTAAGAAAACCGCCAAATTTAGGGAGTCTAGCCCTGGGCAGGCAGACACACCAGAGAACATGCACAGGCAGCAGACCCAGCATAGTCCTCGGTCCTCGGGAGGTAGGACCCCGCATACCATCGTGAGAATGGATGCCTATGTCACAGAAGAAGTCGCGATGTCAGACGATGAAATTGACAACTACGTGGTAATTGACCACGCCGAAGACACGAAGGCCCTCTGTGGGACAGAGGAAGAGGTACAGATACCTGAACAATACAAGGAATTCGAAGACGTGTTCACACCACCACCAATTGGCACACTGCCAGAACACGGTCCGTACGACCACGAGATCAAACTCAAACCAGGGATGGAACCCAAGTTCATGCCGATTTACCAACTCAACGAGAACAACAAACGTCTCTTGAAGGAATATATCGACGAAAACTTGAAGAAGGGATACATACGACCATCCAAGTCACCAGCAGGATACCCCATCCTATTCGTTGCGAAGAAACACGAAGACCCCACGAAACGGCAACGAATGTGCATCGATTACAGACAGCTGAACGAAGCCACGATCAAGGATCGACACCCATTGCCTTTGATTCAAAGCATCCAAAATACTGTTGGGAAAGCTAAGATATACAGCAAGTACGACATCACGGAAGCTTACTACAGGCTACGAATCAAAGAAGGGGACGAATGGAAAACAGCATTCCGAACAGAACTTGGACACTTCGAGTATACTGTTATGCCCTTTGGATTGACCAACGCACCAGCATCATTCCAAAGATTCATTCTAGACGTTCTGAGGGAATATCTAGATATCTTTGTTGTTGTCTACCTAGACGACATCTTGGTCTACTCCAACAACGAGGAAGAACACGTGCAGCACAACAAACTCGTTCTTCAGAAACTCAGAGAAGCGAAAGTCACATTGAAACTCAAGAAATGCGAGTTCCACACGGAAGAAACTGGATTCTTAGGATATGTCATCACCAAGGAGGGATTCAGCATGGAAGAAGAAAAAGTACGAAGCATCCTGGAATGGCCACGACCTACCAAGGTTAAGGAAGTGCAACAATTCCTAGGGTTAGCCAACTACTACCGACGATGGATCGGAGGATTTTCAGCAAAGGCACACGGCCTAACAGAACTCACGAAAAAAGACCAGCCGTGGGAATGGAACAACGAAGCGAAACAATCGTTCAACGAACTTAAACGATTATTTTCGGAACGAATCATACTCGCAAGAAATGATCCACAGAAACCATATGTCATGGAGACAGATGCATCGGACTACGCGTTAGGAGCCAGGCTCACGCAACCCGATAACGAACAGAAATATCGACCAATTGCATTTTGGTCCAGAAAGATGACACCAGCCGAATTAAACTACGATGTCTACGACAAAGAACTATTGGCAATAGTCATGGCATTCAAGACATGGAGACCATACTTGGAAGGAGCAAACCACCAAGTAGTAGTGAAGTCAGATCACAAAAATCTGACATACTTCACCACTACCAAGGAGCTCACCAGACGACAAGCACGATGGGCAGAAGAACTGTCCCGATACGATTACCGAATCGAACACTGCAGCGGAACGTCCAACAGTCAAGCAGACGCGCTCAGCAGAAGACCTGACTACCAAGAAGGAGTCAAAGAAGCATCACCAGCCATCCTACGAATGGATGAATATGGCAATATTGTTCACAACCACCAACAGCTAGCAGCAACTAGTGAAATCCTAGACGAATGGACGGCCAAACTCAAGGAAGAGACAGCTAAAGACGGAACCATCCAGAAAATCTTGGAAACCGCACCAGCAAAGATGACCCAAGAAAACGGACTTGTCATCATACACGGATTGATCTACGTACCCGAAAAATTGAGACAAGAAACGATCAAAAACCACCATGACACCCCAGCGGAAGGACATATGGGAGCAGAAAAGACTATCGAAAGCATCACAAGGAACTACTTCTGGCCGAACATCCACAGAAAAGTCAGGAAATACATACGAAACTGCGATACCTGTCAACGAGACAAACCAACAAGACACATGCAGTATGGAGAGCTACAACCTGTCGAAGCACCGACAACACCGTTCGAAGTCATCACCATTGACTTCATCACCAAGTTACCCCAGTCGGACGAACAAGATATGATTATGGTAGTGACGTGTAAACTCACGAAGTACACATACCTAATCGCAACCACGGAGCAGATCACAGCAGAAGAAATGGCAGACCTGCTTGTGAGACACGTTTTTGCAACCAACGGAACGCCCAGGGTCATGATATCTGATCGAGACAAACTATTCACCTCGAGACTCTGGCAGTCACTTACAGACTTGATAGGGATAGAGCTACGACTTTCAACAGCCTATCACCCGCATACCAACGGACAGACAGAACGAACAAACCAAACAGTTGAACAATGGCTACGCCACTACGTCAACTACCGACAAGATAATTGGGCAGCACTCTTACCTATTGCACAGTTCGCGTTTAACAACGCCGTCCACTCAACGACCGGTGAAACACCAGCATTTGCAGTATTCGGAAGAAACCCGACACTGCTAGGAGAAGCAATCGGCAAGAAACCAGTCGCCGAAAACGCACGACTCATGGCTCGAGGCATCAGACAACTACATGCACAACTCGCCAAAGACATTGAATTCATGAACTACCGCATGAAAATGTACTACGACCGCACCCACGCGGAAGGGCCAGACCTAAAAGAGGGGATGAAAGTGTACCTCTTACGACGAAACATCAAAACCAAGCGACCTAGCTCGAAACTCGACCACCTGAAACTCGGACCGTTTAAAATTGAAAAGAAAATCGGACCAGTCAATTATCGCTTGAAACTACCAGAAAGCATGAAAAGAATATTCCCGACATTCCATATCTCGTTACTCGAACCCGCACCAGAAAATGCAACCCTTGAAACCAACGTTGAACTCGCGGAAGACGAAACAGAGGACGAATACGAAGTCGAAGCTATCCTAGGGGATAGATGGATGGATAATCAGCAGAAGCTCTTGGTTAAATGGAAAGGGTACCCTACCTCGGAAAACACATGGGAACCTATTTCGAACCTGAGGGGCTGCCACCAGCTGGTTCAACAATATTATCGCGCGGCGAAGAGACTACCTCGCCAACGGAAGCAGCGAAAGCGTCGAAATCAATGTCGTCCCAATTTACGGGACTGGACGGATCGACAGACGCAAGAATCTGCGTCAGAGTAGGACCCTCTGACGTAGCCGCAAGGATCCTACCAGGATCGGAAGAAGCAGATTGAGAAACCTCGCCAGCGGCACGAACGCTCTCTGCACCACAATCTTGTTTTTCCGTATCGACACGCTCTTTTTCGATACGAGCAAGCTCTTCAGCTTCACGACGTTCGAGATCCTCCAACTCGGAAATCTCCTTAAATTCACGAGCGATAAAGTCACCAGCACGCTCTCTTAACAAAGCTTCTTGTTGCTCAAGGCGCATAACTTGAGCTAACGCTTTCTTTCGTTGAGCAGCAATCTCTTGCTGCATTTTGACCAGTTTACGCCATTCGGCGTCAGAATATGTCGGCTTCGACATCACGCACTTCGCCCGACCACCACCAGCGATACAACCAAGACACTTGTCGGAACACTCCGCACGGAAACACACTCGTTTGAGACGGACGCAGCGTTCACAAGGGATTACAGCCCTGAAACCTTCCTCCTCGATCCTCGTCGTCAGATTATTTTTGCGAACAGAGGAACGACACACCATGATGATCGAAATAGGTGAAGAAACATGAGGAACAGGAACTCACCAAAGGGGGAAGACGCTATTTAAGTCTTTGGGGACAAAGACCCTGAAGGAGGGGATGATGTTACGGACCCACTTCGGTTGAAGAAAATAAGTCAACCACGACCAACCGATCTGTCAAGATTGACACACACGTGACAGGGGAGCCAGGTATGGCAGCCGACCAATTGGCATGAAGGAGCCAGGAACAGCTGTCTAAGGCAGCAAGGCAACAGTGGCTCATCAGCGATGTGCACTGCACATCAGCGATGCGCGGAGCGCATCAGCGATGTGTCCCGAACACATCAGTGACAGGAAGGACTGGATATATAAGGACACTCACTTGGCACCATGTATTTAGTTCTTCGCGATCAATCTCTTCTTGATTCTACATCATTGTTACTTAGGAACCACAAGATTGGAATACGACAACGGTTCATTGTTCATACTTGTCTCGAATCCAAACCTAACGACGAAGGGGAGATCCATAAGAACCTGACCTCGTCGGCGCCCTCAGCAGCTCCACGTTTACTAAGCAAGACCTCTAAGGACTTGAGCATCTAAGGCCTGTTGCCGTGTGTGATCGGTAGGCATTGCAATAGAGTGACGAGACACCCTTGGCGTGCAGAGTGACCAAGAGAAGTATCACCCTTTGAGGACCCACTCACCGAGACTCGCTAGGTAGTGCGTAACACTAAGCTCCCTAAATTTGGCAGTTTTCTTAGGCTTATCCGTCACCTCGCCGTTCGTTGTTCAATATTCATATCATATAAATTTAAGTGTATATGTTTTCTAATCGATCTCGGGGTTGTGTTATTTCAACTATAGACTTTCTAACAATATATCATACTTCCCTAGTTCGGAGATGATATCGAAGTTGTTTATCTTGAAGTGATTTCCGAGTTATATTAGTATCTATCCAGTTTCGTATTATATCCCTATCCTGTATATATATCTATCTAGTCCGGTAACTAGCGTAACGTTAAGATTAACATAGACTAATATCCTATAGACCTTGGCCTATACCTTAGATATAAAGTTTCTGTATACTCCAGAGTCGATAAACGCTTGTGCTTTCCTTCCTATCAAGATCAGTTCGACTTTTAGATAAGATCCTTACTATATTCCACAAATTAATTAGTCCAGAGTTTCTTCAATAGGTTTGGATAGTATTAGCCTATATCTAGCTAGATAGCTATTCTTATACTAATATTGCTATTGTGATATCTTTTTATATACATTTATCTCTAATCGATAAGATTTAGCCTCGGCTTTTTCTTTGTTGTGTTATAGATAATAGTATAGTTCATAGCATTATATAAAAAATATCATGCTATAATCGGGATATCTGGCGTATCTACAATATAAGCAGTCTGTTTTATTACATAGGCATCCTGTACTATAGGATATTTCATGTTCTAGTCAGAACATATACTACTATAGATTGTATTCGATCTAGGCCCTTTTCTTTTCTTTTTTAGTGGCATTCTTGTTTATAAGCTTGTATAGCTCGTTCAATTTCATAGTTGCACCTCGAATATAGGGCTCTTCCCTGACTATCTAGTTAAATATCTCAACAGCCTATTCCAGATCTTGGTATTATATTTCAAGACTCAGAGGTTTAAGCTCAAGATCCTAGGAGTCCTCTATTCCCTAAATAAGGTTTTGTGTCTCCTGAGATTGTTCCTCTCACTCTTGAGACTTAGACTTATCTAGAATCCAACTTCTACTATCTCATTCGATTTCTGGAAATTTATGTCGCTAATTTTCTTTTAACAATTCCGAAGTATCACTTCCTTCGTATATCTATGCTTCGTTATTAGTATCATCATCTAACTTGTCCCTATCAAGTTCTTTCTTACTAAGGTTTATCTATACCTCCAACATATCCTTGAATTCTTATTTCTAGAATAGTCTTCCTTGTTTCTTATACTCTTCCGTGACACAGAGCTACTATACTCTATCATTATACCTGCCTCGGCCCTCTCCTATAACTCTAAGTTACTATAGTCGTCGCTATCTTTATAGCACTAGATATTCTTTCGCGAAATATCCTTTCTTGTTACAATTAAAGCATTTCCCTTTTATCTGCCTATGTTGTTTTTCCTTTTATAGACTTTCTGCCACATCTAAATCCATTAGTTCCGGCCTATAGAGATCTTGTTTCTAGTAATTTAGATTCTACTAAGGTTGAAGTCGTCATCCTATATTACTTTTTCCTAGATTTCGTTTCCAGTTTTCGACTTCTCGTTTTTCTATTTATCGATCGAAATAACAATTATCTATTTTGACAATAATATCGATAAGATTTTTTATATCGTCAGATCGATCGATTTGTGCTAATTCGTCCTTTATATATAACTTAAGTCCTTGAACATATAGAGGAATTAGAGCATAGTCTTCCTAGCTTAATATAGCTACAACCTGCATAAATTCTATAACATATATTATAGTAGACAAGATTTAGCATATTCTCGCTAGTCTTTATTCTGTATTGATCTTTTCGTTAATCTCGCTAAATATATATTACAAGTATTTCTTAAAGTTAGCGTAACTTACAAAGATTTCCTTAGTAATCTAGGACTGTTCCTTAACTAGGTTGTCATAATAGTCTCTCACATATATTTTTAACCAATCCCAAGCTTAATCTCGCAGATAGATAGATACAAAGATCATCTTATTAGCCTCGTTCTAGAGTCCTGGGCTGTTAACGTCCAGATACAATTCTATTTACGTTAGAAATCTCCTAAGCTTAGATCGGATCCTATCAAAGATGTCTACCTTCGGTACCTTGATTCAGTTAACTAGTGGTCCATGCAGTATGGCTCCAATCTAAGCTCGTGCCTATTCTTCGGCATCGCAGAGTTCAGTAATAGCTGTATCCTATTAACAAACTCGTTCGGCCAGGGCGGTCATTTATCGTCTGAGTTCAATGACATCTTTATCGTCACTATCTTCAGAAGGCATAGTCCTAGACTACACTTGTGACGGAGCAGGCGCTCTACCTCCTTGGTTGTTGTTTCGTGCGTTACTACCTTGAGTCGACATATTGACATTGTCTTGTTCTTCAAGGTCAGGGCGTCAATACTTGTTCAATATTACTTGGTTCGAAAGGATAGCGATCAATATGTTACGCACTACCTAGCGAGTCCCAGTGAGTAGATCCTCAAAGGTTATACTTCTCTTAATCACTCGGCACGCTAAGGATATCTCGTCACTCTATTACAATACCTACTAATCACACACAGCAACAGGCCTTAGATGCTCAAGTCCTTAGAGGTCTTGCTTAGTAAACGTGGAGCTGCTAAAGACGCCGACGAGGTCAGGTTTTTATAGATCTCCTCTATATCATTAAGATTTGTTTTCGAACAAGTAAACAATAAACCGTTGTTGTATTCCAATCTGGGGTCTTTAAGTAACAATCATAAGATGATAAGAAGATTGATCGCGAAGAACTAAATACATGGTGCTAAATGAGTGTCCTTATATATCCAGTCCTTCCTATCAACTGATATGCTCGGGACACATCACCGAATGTGTTCTACGCATCACTTGATATACAGCGCTCATCGCCCGATAAGCCGTTATTACCTTACTACCTTAAGCGGTTCTTTAACCGCTACATTGAGTAGTGCGGTTGTTCTTTGTGCCGGTTGGTCGGCTGCCGTATCTGGCCCCTTCGTCACGTATACGTCAACTTTGACAGATTGGTTGGTCGTGGTTGACTTATTTCCTTCAGCAGGAGTGGGTCCGTAACAACTATCTGGCAGCCCAAGCTAGTTTCTGCAAAGAAAACATTTATCACTCTATAACACGCAAAGCTGTGCGATTTCACCGAGCCGTCAGTATTCATATAGCTTGCAAGAAAAGAGTTCTTTCATGGTAAGCCGCCTCGTTTTCAATCAGGACAAAGCTAACACGTCCAGACTTTTGATCCTCAAGATCTCAACCCCGCCGAAGATTTTTCGGATGTACCTGCAAATAGAATCAAGTGGGTGGAGGGTAAGGGTCAGTGGGTATACTGGAAGGGATGTAGTGCTATGACCGTCTATGAGGATGAAGGAGAGGGAAAGGTACACAGCAAGCTTAGCGGTCAAGTGAAACTTCAAGCTGGAATCGAGCTATACTTCGTTGGGGGACAAGTCAAGGATGGATAGCCTTGTCAACTGTGGGAAATGCATTGGTTTCTATGTATATAGCTTTTTTTGTATCTGAGCGCCGCCTTTCAACCCCAGAGACAAGTTGATAATAGCACCTTCGTCAGGTCTGCTGGTAAGCATCATAGACACACACCCCGTCACACGATTTCCTTCTTCCAGTTCCTTCCTTCGCATTCGGCTCGCCTGGATCGCTCCATGTATCTCAGGGCCAAGTGTACGAATAATAGCTTCATCCAACGCACCTTTCAGTGTTATTTCAGGGCGTGAACCAAGAAATATCCCGACAGCATACCCTCTCTCATTCGCGTCTCCTTGATTTTCCAGACCGAGAGCTGGCCTTGTGGCGTGATTTATTTGAATAATAGACTTGAAGGGATGACATATTTCGGCCTGGGAACCTTGGAAGTAGGCCGTCATCTCAGAGACTTGAGAGTACTCCGAGCGGATTTAGCCAACCCGCCTCGTCGAAGGGTGCCTTGGGTCTATAGTACTGACATTACAGCCCTCAAGTCACGTCAGATGATAATTGATAGATTGGGAAGAGACTGGCAAAAAACAATCCCTCAATCCCAGCAGCAGCCTACACTTCGCCGATCACGTAAGATGATCAAACAAGCCCATCAATTTCATGGATGATCGTGATAACTTAGCTCAGCGCCAGAGCTCCTTAAGGCATTTTTGCGGTTGGCTAGGGAGCGAAGACGGGTCTAATTAGCGACTCATGGACGATGGTCAATCAGCGGTCGGTTGAAAGGGCGAAGGTGACCGTTTGGGGGCGCATTGCAGGGCATTCGTGAACTGAAGCCTGGGACAAAGAGCGGCCAGTAGTCCTCCTACATTACTCTCTACATATCCAATCATCAGGCAGTCCGAGGGTGATGTATATATACTACTTGAAACAGCAGCCGTCCACAGCGTACAGTATAAAACCAAGAATGTATCGAGCCATATAGAGCTAGGAAATCAAGGGCGATCCGGGTGACCTACAGGGCCAGACTGACCCCTTCGAATTTCCGCGAGTAGTGAAGTAGGCTATACTCAGGGTGTAGAGTCTTTGGCTAGCAGGGACCACGTCAGCCGACCAGGAAATGCCACCGGCAAAACAAGATAGGGGGGAAGGGACGGAGGAGCGTAGGAAAGAAAGAGCATCGTCAAACAACATACCTAGACATCTTCACGGCCCACAAGCCTAAGCCCAACCCGACCCGACCATATACATAGGCTAGGTTTTGGGCCTTTAGGGCCTACGACAGGCTTTAGGGGTTAACAGTGTTAATGGGTTAGCCATGAATTATGTTATTAACTAACTAGCCGAGAAATGAAGGTTTGGTAATACGGTGGTAACTGCACCGTGTATTCCCCTTGCTTTTCAGGAGCCCCACTTCATAACGCAGGCATCGGACACCATCCCTCGCATGATGATAGATGTCCGAGCCATATGGTCCTATTCACCCGTCGGTCTTGTGATCAGCTAATTCCAAGTAACACTCAGTGGCTCTGGCGCCCTCGTCCGTTGGAAGTGCGATACTTTCACCCTTCAAAATGCTCCTTCAAATCAGGCTGGGCCGTGGCTGGATTCACATTACGAAGGAAAATCCAAGCTCATCCCTGATGGAAATGAACTCGGGCACTAATGGCTTCTGCCAATACAAGAAAGTTCGCAACCGGAAACAATCCTTGCTGTTGATCCACCACACTTTGCCAAATTGAGGACAGGTACTTATTAGAAGCTACTAAAAGCTCCCTACCTGGACACTTCGTTGAATCGGATGGGTTTGTTCGTCTGTTGCATTGAAACTAGCAATCTGATTTATTGGCTTATTTTCGCGGATGACAGGCCGTTCATGCAGATCGTCATTATTGGAAGCTCAAGCGGAGAGATTAGTGCTTCATAGTAGGAAACATTGGCCACAGACGATCTCCATCATCTCAAGCGAGGAGGCTTTGAAGCCTCTTGTGAGAGGTCATCACAACAACATTGTGACAGGAAATGTGTATAAATTGGCACCAGCCTTGGCCTCCGAAACCTTTCCACCCAAGTCACTCGTTCTACCCCAGTCACTCTTTTGGACAACCATTCTTCGCTTATATACTTCTTCCACATACTATCACTACGAATTCACTTTCTTAATCTCCCAACAAAACAACCCGCAAACATGAAGTTCACTGAACTCGCTATCTCCCTTGCCTTCGCCGGCGTTGTTTCGTCTGCTGCTATCCAGGGACTTGGACTCCCTATCGTGGAGGGTACCGTTGCGGGAGTTGATGGCGCTGTTGATGGAACCCTAAGCGCGGCTGGTCTTAAGCGGGATAGTGGCGATGCCTTGAGCGGCGCTGTCTACGGTGTTACCAGCTCCCTCAACGGCGTGACTGGCATTGCAGGAAGCCTTGCTGGTACCGCCGAGAGTACGACCTCCGGCCTCGTCGGCACTGCGGAGTCTACTGTTGGAGGTCTCATCCCCGCTAAGCGCGACGAGCTTGGTGCTATTACTGGTACCGTTGAGGGGACCGTTGACACTACTGTTGGTGCCACTACTGACGCCGTTGAGGCTGTTGTTCCGCCCACTGTCCACGGTATATCCGTCTACCGAAGTAGTCTATAACTTGCGCTAATTTGTTATCAGAGGTCGGAACTCTCACCAAGGGCCTCGCTCGCCGCGAGCTTGGGGGTCTCACCAATGTTATTGATGCTTCTGTCAAGAACGACCTTGGCATGGTGACTGGCAGTAAGTCTTCCTCCATCTATCTCACCCAGATCAACTCTGACTAACTTATCCCGCAGACCCCAGCGGACTCATTGGCGCCCTCGAGGGTCTCCATGTTGCCCTTGCTAGGGGAGATATCACCCATGGCCAGCTCTCTGGCATCCCCGTCGAGCTCGAGAATGTCGTTGCTTATCTCTACACTGCCTAAGTTCGCTGAACATTCTTCATCAAGCCCTCCAGCTCGTTGCGTTCATTAACAGGCGTCACAGAGCTGGCCCAGTGATTTGATCTTCATCCTCTCTTCAATCATTGCTGTTTAGAATCATTTCCAGGCTGAGCATACGAAACTTGAAGCCTTTCTGTACAACATCTTTAGTGTTCAACGATGAGGACCGTTATGCATTGTAGACTATCTGGGCCCCTATGGGGAAAATGTGCAACATCGAGTTAACTTTCACGCTAAAATACGTTATTACTAGGGAGCCCAAGTACCCTCATTAGCCGTTCCGACCTTTCCTCCTAAGATTGATACATATGTGATACAAAAGTATATTGATGAATAAAGCCTATGACCTTCCGGGTTTATTGTGCTTCTCATCCATATATCCAACAAGAACAGCATCGATATGTTGACTGGGGATGATCGGTTCGCCTTCAGTATAGTAGTAGCGATCTGGCGATAGCCAACCGTATTTCCAGAGAGAGGCGGCTCCGTTTAACGGGATCATAATGATTCCCCTTGTGGGATAGAAGGGATTCGCTAGCTTTACGGGCCTTGTAAAGTGTCTCACGGTACAGCCGAGCACCTAACGAGAAGACTTAGTACATGATCAGACTCTAGCGAAGGAACTAATCACATTAAATCCATCTGAATCAAGCTCTTGTTGTATCACTTTGGAAAGAGATTCCACATGTTCATCAAGGCCCCCGTACTGCCACCCGTGCTCATTTCTCTTCAGTTGAGTTGTGTTTCCTTCAGAAATTTTTCGGCGTATCGACGTAAGGACCTTACTCAAGTCCTTTGAGATTGGTTCTGAGCGCATACCGGACAGGCTATGGTATTCAAAGCTGATGAACGTATATCTTATATTCAAAAGAATTTTGTGGTCATATTCGAGGGGGCGGGGGAGGCTTGGGTATCAAAGGTGGCTCAGCCGATGCGTCAGCCGATGCGTTGGCCAATGACGAGAAAGTGAGGGGCATTTATCTCGTGACTAAGTAATGCATATCTCGACTATTAGCTTAGCGAAGTATGCTCCAATTTGAACGAACATTTGTATTGACTTGTTAGAGCTGGGCGCGGGGCCGCCGGGCGCCATTGTATGCGCTGAGTCAGCCGTCCGGGCCCCTCCAGGGCTCCAGGGCTTCAGAGCTCTATTGGTTTCGCGACAAGTTTTGCCTATTGAAGTGAAAACCCATCTTGGATGAACACCTTGACGGGATCTCTGCTGCCTCGAGCTTGATTTCCTCTGTGTACAATCCAAAGGCCTGAACTCAGCTCTTGCTCCAAAATGGCGGCAACAAATGTCGAGTTTCCTTACTCACTGTACGCTCTCACCACTGCTGTCTCGCCAGCAGAGATAATTATCCAAGCCAGAACAACAAATGCTGACGTGGGATCTAGCACAATCTCGTTACCTTTTCCGAGCCAGCGTCTAGCCTCTTCTGCCCTTCAAACCCTCGACGTTGACTCCGAATTGTCTCCGCTTGTGCGCCGCACCCTCGCCCTCGCAAATTCCGACTTTGACAACGCGGCTGAGCCGCAAGAGAAGAAATTGAAGCAAGACCCGGAAGAATCTAAAACCATACTGAAGGTTACTTACTCTGCCACCACAAACCGCATGCTGCGAGTGGCAGTCAACGGCTTCATGGAAAGCTTGGGTGTGATCTTGGGCGTCATGAACGAGCTGGACGTGGATGTTCTGGAGGCGGAGACGAAGGGATGAATGTCCAACAGAAAGCGCAACTGTTGACACCTTAGTCCCGGTCGTCGCATTCCTCCAGTCGGGTGGCTCAGCAGTATGTAGCCAGGTCCAAAAGACGATTCAGCGCCCGAAGCTTCCAAGGTTGCTGATTTCCAACGCCCCCGGGGCCATTCAGACATGCGGGGCACTATAGGAATACGCCACGCAATCGCTGGCATCGTATGGATAGCCGCGTGGCCTACGGAAAGCATGACGATAGGAACCGTCGGAAATGGAACAGTTGTCTTCCGTGCAAGAGTGGCTGTGCCATCACGGAGCTGGTACGCCTTTGGGAGGAATTTGAAATTCTTTTCCTCGCGACCAACGGCGCGTATTCCTAGAATGGCATGAGGGCGGGGGCCGAGACCCTCCCACTCTTCTAAGCAGGAACACAAATGGAACAATTTTTGAGGCTTGTACGCCTAACTTGGAGCTTAGAGAGTTATGCTTGACCTGGAACTGGATAAGCTTAATGCACTTGTGCGACATAGAAAATACACGCCGACTCAGGCAGTCATTAGAATACGCCGCACATCTTGGGGGAATCAGGAATTCATAGTGGTAGCCTGCTTGTTTTCAAGTACGCCCGCATACGAAAAGAAATTCATAAACATGAAGGAAATGTAAGCAGGGTGGCCAATCAAAGACATCATAGATTGCATGACTATCTGCCCAGATTCGGAATGTCCTCCTCATATCTCCGGGGTTGACGGGGCCACTCAGGACCAATGCCTCGGTTGGAGAGGAAGACCTAGCCCCTGTTCTCTGAGTAATTGGTACTGGAATCTTCAGTGGAAGCGTGCAGTACATAACCACGATGCGCCCCAGCATCTGCCTCCAGCGGACCCCTCTTGCTATCTTTCATCCCCGCAGACCCCTATCGACGTCATTACATCCGCTGCTTCCATTTCACCCCGGAGCTCAACAGCCACGACAATACCCTCCAAGAGTCTCTATCCCACCCGCTCCCAGACACATCAGCACAATGTCCTCCGCCACTACCTTTTATGACTTCGAGCCTCTCGACAGTACGTTCCCCGCCTTCTGTGATACCATATTTGTGGCTTTTCCCTCCCCTAGGTCCAGGTGGACAAAATCTTCGCTAAACCCACCCCCAAAAAGAAACATAGCTAACCACGATCCCAATCCAACAGAGAAGGGCGCTCCCTACCCCCTCAAGTCGCTAAGCGGCAAAGTCGTCCTTGTCGTCAACACCGCCTCCAAGTGCGGTTTCACCCCCCAGTTCGAAGGCCTCGAGGCCCTGTACAAAAAGTTCAAGGCGTCGAACCCAGACGACTTTACCATCATCGGCTTCCCCTGTGGCCAATTCGCCAACCAGGAACACAGCAAAGACGACGAGATCCAATCCTTCTGCCAGGTGAACTACGGCGTGACTTTCCCCGTGCTGGGCAAGACGGACGTGAACGGCGACAAAGCCGCGCCCGTCTTCACCTGGCTCAAGGAGCAGGTGCCCGGCGTTCTGGGCCTGAAGCGCGTGAAGTGGAACTTCGAGAAGTTCCTGGTCGGCGCGGACGGAAAGGTCGTGGACCGCTGGTCGAGTCTCACCAAGCCTGAGTCCTTGGAGCAGCCTATCCGCGAGGCGCTCGAGAAGGGCAAGAAGCAAGGTATCCTTGCGTCGCAGAAGAAGGCCGAGACTGGTGAGAGTGGCGAGGCTGGTGAGCAGGCTAAGCTGGCGTAAATGGAGTAGTTGGGGGGGGTTTCTCCCGATGGACATGTTTCCCACTTCCCTGTTGGCTTCTGCCGAGGATGGCTTCAGTGATCGAGGCTGGGCATGGAAAGAGTGGAAGAGCATGGTATCCTTTCATCGTGGACGAGACCTAGAGGATACAGAGGGGACGGATCAGGCCAGATGCGCGATGTACAACAGGCCTTTTGTTTTTGATTGATACCATTTTATTTTGTAGACATACCCTCTCTTGTCAAACTCAATATCAGCTATAGCTCAATGTATGCTTAATGGAAATTCTATGAATAAAGCTTTGGATCATGGGCGGGAAACCAGCGACTGGAATGTCATTCTCTGTCACTCCCATTGCGATGACTTGAGTCCCTTTTTTCATAAATAGATGGATGTGAGCCCATGAAATGAAATTCTTCCTAGTGGATAGTCTGTCCGGTCATCGTGATTTCGACCTGAAGGCTCTTCTTTTTATGCGGTGGCGTCCTTGGGAATGAGATTGCGCAAGGAAAGGTCGTAGACGACATCCTCAACTTTCTTGACCTAGAAGCAAACGTGAGTTCCTGCTATCCTCAGGTTGGGAAAAGCATATAAAGAACTTACGCTATACTTGAGTCCGTCACTCCGCTTGCGCAGAATGTCATTCTTCAGGTTCAGCAGTTGGAATCCAGCAAAGAGCTCCTTGACGAAGTTTCCAATCTGCAGCGGACGTTCATAGTCACCGAGGGTGACTGAGTTGACGGCCAGACGTGACTTGATTCAGTGATTAGTACCTTATTCGGCAGGTCGCAGTGCATAAACTCACCAGCTCCTCGACCATCGCGATCAGCCCCAGGAGGTACTCTTCGATGGTCAGGTGGAACGCATCACTTTCCTTCAAGTTTACGGGCACTGGGATTGCAAAATGTCATTTCTCGCAGATTCGAGAGCATTGGTAGCTGGAAGACGTACCTTCGAGGAACTTTCCCACTTCTTCAATAGTCATGAATGAGGCTGAGCCGGACTTGTACTCCTCTAGCCCTCCAAGCCATACACAGAGCTCGATTGACGCGACCTGTAATCTTCAATGAGAATACACTCAATAGTTTTCAGATACTTGCAGAGTACGAACCAGGTTCTGCAACTCTCGGGTCCACAGTCCATTGTACTTGTAGAACGGGTGCTGGTCAGCCACTGTTTTCAGGCGAGCGACCTCTTGCTTCTGGGTGAGGATGTCTTTGGTGGCATCGTCAAGGACCTTTTGAACTGCTTGGAGTTAACGAAAGAGGTTCTTTGCAAATGCGCTCAAAGCCGTTCCGAGCACACAAGACCAATCTCAGCAAGGAAATCAAGCCCCGCGCCCCTGTTTTGACTAGGGGTAACGATTTACATACTCTGGGTAGTAGGAGTTGAATGGGCGCGCGACAGAACAGCTTGGGTAGATCGCCCTGGGAACGCGAGAGTGTTAGCTCCAAGCCGGCACTGATCCTGAAGCCACAGGAAGACCGCTTCTCATAATTGAGCAGGGGCTCATCCTGAGGGGACCAAGGTTCATACCTCTTCGAGCTAGTGAATTGATAATCTCATGTAGTTCCTGGCATGCCCCGTTAGCTCCGCCCGGCTGAATTTGTGCGCACCGCCTATCCGCAGTTGGGCTTTGGCACGAGATTTTCCCACGACAGAGATGCATGCTGGAAGCGCTAGACTTACATCACGGACAGTAGTCTCCTCATCAATCTTCGTCTGGAGGTCCTCGAAGATTTGTTGGTCGATCATAATGGCTGCTTTCACGGGTCTGGGGAATTTGGAGAGGTAAGGTTCGATTTGCCGGGCGGCTGGTGGTGACTCGATTGTCAAGGGCCGATGGTTCTGCTCAATCGCCAACTCAAGAGACTCGATGCGTTGATCTCAGAGCTGGGACTATATATTTGATAGAAACTGGTAAGAATAAATACTTTGGTCTTATAAGTCATCATTTTTATAAGCCGTGGAAGCACTAAGAGTCCAAAGAGAGAAGAGGAAATCTACTATCGCATAACTGTTTTTGCGCTTCTCAAAGGGACGGATCGAATTAATTTCTTCTGACTTACTTCTCTTGCTGAGGCTAGGCTTGTCAAGGGATTTCGTTTCTCTAGAGAGTGGCCTTCATGCCTAGGTGGAGCACTAGACATCCGGCACCAAGGGAAGATAGCGCAAACTGTGTGGATTGAAAGATCATATGCTATAGAAAAGGAAACCCAGGATTCATTTTTGTTATTATCGTCTAATCATAAGGAGTTCAGACAAGCAAAGGCATGTTGAAAGGCAAAGACATGCTGCGATATGTCTGGAATCAGCACCATCTAGTAGCGGTAGCGAGTCGAGTAATCTAGATACTCATTAGCGAAGGCCATCTAGGTAGGATTTAACAAGTTTCGGTTACCCTTTGGGCTCACAACCAAACCACGGCCCTTCTTTGCGCCCTTGTAGATGGTTTCCAGGATGTCGATGAGCTCTTGCTTGTCCTCTAGTACCCAGTTCAACTTGTTGTTGTTACCTGTACCGAAGTCACACATCATATGCTTATTTCGATAGAAGAACATGAGGGTCATCGGGTCGTAGAGTTCGTACATTCCGATGAAATCGGGTACGTCGTCGAGGTCGCAAACGTAGATCACCGCAAAGTCTAGTGGAAGGCTTGTCAACTACCTGTATATATGCAGAGTTCGGGTGAAGCTCGAAACTTACTCTTGACACGCTCTGCAACCTTGTAAAGCAGCTCATCTTGCTGGATGCCTACAAAAGTCTCGTTAGCAGCGCGACCGCGGGATGGGGACAAGCAGTTCAACTCACAATCGGGATCATGATCGCGACCGAAGCGAATGACCACGAGGCGTTCCTCCTCCGTCAGGATAGCCTGGTCAACATGCCAGGCTGTAGGCAGGTGAGGGAGCACAATCGAACCCATGGTGGCTTTCTCTTTGAAGGGAGAATCTTCTAGAGGAAGATGAACTTAAAGCTTGCGCTTATCGCCAGCCCCGCGATAAGGTATGATCACGTGGTGATAAGTGCCATAGAACTTGGGAAGTTGCAGAGAGTCTGAAGTCTTTTGAGACTGTTGGAACTGCTTGCTGTATGCTTGGAAGCTTCCTAAAGAGGCCGTTCCTTCTTTTTCATGCTTGGTTCCATCCTGTTTTTCACTATCATGATCGCTGAGTACACCCGTGGGTGCATGATGATTTCCTCTTACGATATCAGAGACACTGAATCGTTTCGAAGTGAGTATACAGGTCTTTTTTAAGGGACTAGATACCCCTGAGTCTGTATCTCAATTAATTATAAGCTTTTTTTAAGCGCAATTCCACTTGCATGATAGATGATACAAGTCATGCTCAGCCTGGGCCAGACTCAACTTTGTATATATGTTTTGGGCTTCTGATCAGCCTCCAGAAACAATATCGTAATTGGTGCTGTTGATTTCAAGACCAGACAGCCATGAACAAAGTGCGATGAAAACCGGTACTTCGATCTACGTCGAACTCTTGGACATCTTGAACGTCCACAGTAATGGGTTCCCTGATTATTGGTGTCACAGGTGAAACCAGGCTGCCTTAGCTGTTCACGATCTCCTCTTTTTTCTCCTTCTTTCTTAATCACCATTTACTCAGTGCCCACCCTAAGATCCTCATTAGCTTTCAACACTTCTATCAACTACAGTCACCTTATATCGAGAAACGGCAAAACCATGGCTATCTTCAGCAGTATGTAGTGACCTTTACATGTTCTCTTAATTGCTGTGCCAGATCCGACCGACACTTGTTCTCAGAGGACAGCGCCGAGGCCGAAAGCCACAAGTGTGTCACTCAACGCCTGCACGAGGCTAAATGGTCGCACGAACTGATTGCTGGAGCTGCTGCCTACGAAGCCGTGGACGTATTAAGACCAAGTACACAGAGGCCGAGATCTAGTACCACACTTAAGATCCTCTTTGAGGTTCATCTTTTGCACCGACGATGAGGAATGAAGGTGCACCAGAAGATAGGCCATTGCGGGGACCGTTATGTATTTAAGACTTTTGAGATCCCGGAACTGAAGTCCACCTTGAGAACAAGAGTTGACAATGTAGCGCAAGAAGGAACTATAGTACCATTACCCTAAGCTCCACACACGGAAAGTTTAGGCATGATAGATTCGCATCTGGAAGCTCAGAACTTGGCCTGGCTCAACGGAAGTAAGACGACGTTGCACAGTGGAGAAGCGGTCGGACGTGCCATTCTGACTTGGATTTGGATAACCCGATTACCAAAAGTAGTTCAGTAACGTTACCTATCAGGTAGTAGCCGACATATTAGCATCTTCATATTCAAGGGTCGGCATCCATGGAGCATGTTCAATGGTCCACATGAGTACGAGGGCCTAGCATGGTGCCCCAGCATTGACTATTCAAAAAAAAAAGGGGGGGGGGAGCGGGGGGTTGCAAAACGGTTGACTAGGCAGGAGAAATTCATCGAAGGGTTTGGCGAAGATAAGTGACAGGCATATATATAAGTTGTCACGGCAGCATAGCGCGGGAGGGGGTAGGGACGCAGGCTGAATTGTTGAACGCGACATCAGGTTGGATTCGCAGGGACAGAGGAACGATCGCACCACACAATACATTGTTTAACCATGCGGCAAGGGTCAGGAACAAGCGCGACACAGGAATGAAAGATAGCAGTACTGTTACTATTACGATACACCAGATCTTCTCCAAGCGACCGGGCAAGCCGATACAGTTGATGAAAAAAGGTGTTCGCGTCGAGAGGGGGTAGTGTAAGCCCAATGACACTGTGCGACTGGCGTGCGCAAGCACAGAGGCCAGTCGCGGGTTTCAAAAATAAGAATAATCAATAAGGTGTTCATGAGAACACTTTCAGAGATTAAACTGAAAAGAACAGATACTACACTTGATCTAAGCCAATTGGCAAAGAGAGCTGGAAAAGAAAAAAAGAAAGACCAAGAGTGCCGGGAAGGAGGGTATATTTATATTTGGCGTAGTTGGACCGTGCACAAGCGACTCACTAGCGTAGAATAGACGAGCCAATGACCGTCAAACATTTCACGGGACCTCCCTTGTACACGGGATTTAGCATTGCGGCCTAATTTGTGTCACCTGATACCTTGGCCCTGAGCCCTGATCTCCCAAATTAGGACTAGCTCATCCCACGCGGTTGGAATTTTTGCATTGAGAAAAAGAGCTCCACCGCGAATTGGAGATCTTCTTTACGACCATCCCTCTCATCGGCGCAGGATATTCACCTCTTTGCGACCCAATACCCCCTCACTTTTACCAACCTCCCCAGTCACAATGGCCCCCGTTGCTGTACGTTGAAGTCGCCTCCTCAAACCGCTTTGCTGTTCCCCCAATGGCCATGCCTTTGACGCTATGATACATTCCATTATCACTGGATATTGAAAAATCTATCCGATAGAGCTGCGAACTCATAGTGTCGAGACTGCCAGGGATTCCACATTATGGAGCAGTAGGCTAATTTAGTTTTTCTCCTGCAAATAGGCTCGTGGCCGCAAGGCCCAGAAGGTCACCTCCAAGTTCATCATCGATGCCAGCCAGCCTGCCCAGGACAAGATCTTCGATGTCTCCGCCTTCGAGAAGTTCCTGCACGACCGCATCAAGGTCGAGGGCCGTGTCGGCAACCTCGGTGACAGCGTTGTTATCTCCCAGGCTGGTGAGGGCAAGATCGAGGTCGTTGCCCACATCCCCTTCTCTGGTCGCTACCTCAAGTACCTGTGAGTTTCCACGCTATGGGCCCTTCCCAGATATAGTTGCTGACCTCTGCCTTCACTCTACAGGACCAAGAAGTACCTCAAGAAGCAGCAGCTCCGTGACTGGCTCCGTGTCGTCTCCACCTCCAAGGGTGTCTACCAGCTCCGCTTCTACAACGTCGTCAACGACGAGGCTGAGGATGATGAGGAGTAAACTTGTCCTTTAGTGGATCAAGACTGTTAGTTGGGCAACTCAAACCGCCTCGTGTGTTCGATTTCTTGACTTGGGATACCCTGGGCAAAGAGTGCCGTTGATGGCTGGGTTGTTGGACTAGCAGGGAGACTAGCCTATGCGGTTATGAAAATAAAAAGTTTATACCCTCATTCTCAGACTGGAAAGCTTTAGTAGAACTCGTAGAAGGTCTTTTTACATGAAACCTGTATCTCCATGCTTCAGTCGCAATGTGACTGAACCTTGTCAGAAGCCGTGTCGGTGCTTGTCGACAATTCATGGCTGCTTCTCCTGCCACCGTGAAGACAATTTTAGTGCACAGCATCTGGTGTGATCCTTTTTATGCCCGTGCCTTAAATGTGCAAGTCCTGAGACAGTTAGGAAGAAACTGGGAGATTTCCTTCAATCGAAATATGATACCACGGGCAGTTTACAAGCATTAATTTTCACTGCTCCTAGAGTTCCACTTCAGTTGTCGGCGTCCCCCAATATCATGAGTCGATCTGACACTTAGGCATGGGTGATATACGAAATACTTCTATGCAACTTTCAATTAATCATACCTAGTTGATTCAAGTAGTCCGGCAGCCAGAACAGAGCCTGTGGGAGCCAACCTTCGGCACAAGGCACCGATATGACGGTCCAGTCACTAACTCGACTCTAGAATTTTCTGGCCGTCGTCCAGAGAAAGTACCCAGTCCCTCCACTCCTGCCACTCAGCATAGCTGGCACTAGCTTTGAGGCCTTGGTACTTGGTCGTACGGAAATCAGAAACCTGTTCCCACGGCTTTGCAGCGGTGGCATTAGCACCTGCAGCTCCCGTCCGTAACAAGCGCCGAGCAACACTGCCAGAACCTCCGTCCCAGCCCGCTTTTCGCATCAAGCTCTCGACAGCCTCCTCTTTGGTCCAGCCTTGTTCGACAGCTACATCTGGGAGATAGGTTGCCCCGTATCGCCGCCCACGGTGGATAAATGAGATGCGCAGGCCGTGGGTACCTAAGACCCAATCCATGGGGTCGGTGCACGGCTCAAATGAGCCCAATAGGGTTAACGAGCACATAAGTGAGGGCAGTAGAGATTTTGGGATTGGATTGAAGCGTGTATCGTCGAATGCCCTGTCTTCAAATGAGTTCTCCACGCAAGGAAACAGAGCGACACCCACTTACGAAGTCAAAGCGTAGTCTTTCAGCCCCTCGGCAAGATCATGTGGCTCAAAGGTCCCAATGCACCCGCGCAGAGACTTGTGTCCACTGCGAGACAAGGTGTCCCATGTTACAAAGAGTGGATACCGTTGATCACTAGACTTCACACCCGCTGACAGGGTACTGGGCGAGGTTGCAGCAGTGGACGTCGACAGAAGGGAATTGGCGGATCTGTTGGAGGTAGAAGAAGGGGTTGGTGCAGTGCTGGAAGAGTCGATAGATGTTTCGCTCTGAAGACGGCTCACGCCCTGTGGCCTCAAATCTCGAGATTGAATGCCACCTGATTCTTCGTCATCTGGCTCTGCTGGGTCCTCTTGGTATTCTTGAAGCGTTGATAGTTTCTTTGATTGTTCATGCTGGGCCCATAGAGCCTCTATGGTCGTCAAAGAAGCGGGCTCACGGTTCTCAAAAGAAGCATAGAGGCTTTCGAAGCAGTAGTAACATTGGGCGGTATTTGCCATACCGTCCTCGTCTGGTCCTTGACTATTTGAAGACTAGCCAAATTTCTAGAGACAGGCTGATGCTGTGGAAGCAGCTGAACAAGCAAAGACCCCAAGTCGCGAGAACTAAGGAAAGTTGATGACACTAATTGAAGTCTAACGGTGTACCAAAAGCGATAAGATAGAGAGAGAATCGCGATAAGAAGGGCGGGGAAGAGCGAGCAGAATCTGGGGTAGCAACGGGACACGAGGGCCAACACAGCACCTCTTGAGACAAAGGAGCACTTGGGAACGAGAGGAGGGACAGAAACGAAAGGTTAAACGGGGTTCATAGCACGGGCACCCTGAGCACCTTCCAAGGTTGGGCGGGGGCTGATGAGATAATCGTCTTATCTCCGTCGGCGAAAAGTACACCCGGGCAAATTTACAAGACGTTTATAGAAACCAGACTACTTGGGTAGGAGACTTCATGATTGAGATTGGCAATGATTCTCAAAATAAAGTATGTGATGGTATACAGCAACACACAGGACAGTTAAAAAAGAAAAAGATGACCCACACGCCAGATGTTGAACTTTTGGTCTCATCAAAACCAAAACCAGATCCTGCCGCAGTTGAAGAGGCGGCAAGGAAGAGAAATGGTTCATTCATGCAAAAAAAAAGAAATAATAAGGAAATTACCTAAAATCCCAAATGTCCCTAAGGTTGAAAAAGCAGACCTGTATATAAACCCCGTAGAACGCACCATATGATTTCGGATCTCCTTCGCTTTTCGTAGTTCGTAGTTGATATGGAACTCGTGAAATCTCAACAGAATCCAGCCACGTAATTCATATCGAGTTCATACATGTATTACTCGTGTTTTGTTTCGTTTGGAGAAATGGAAGTAAATTAGACGGGAAGGGGGAAGGAGCTGGCCCAGGCGGCAACCTCCTTGCGGGTAGCCTCAATCTCAGGATCGTCCTTGGCAGCAACCTTGGCCTTGAAGTGCTTGAGGAGATTGGCGTCCTTGGGCAGCTCACTCTGGATACGGTTGGTGATCTTCACAGCGAGGTCGATGTAGCGGGCAACCTTCTTGAAGTGCTCCTCGCCAAATCCACGGCTGGTCATGGCAGGGGCACCGATACGAATACCACCGGGGGAGAGAGCGGACTTGTCACCAGGGATAGCATTCTTGTTGCAAGCAATGTTGATCTGCTCCAAAACAGCCTCAACACGGGCACCGTTGAGTGGCTTTCCACCGGGGCCTTTGTCGGATAGGTTCAGCAGAACCATGTGGTTGTCAGTTCCCTTGGAGACGAGCTTGTACTGGAGACGAGTGAACTCCTCCTCGAGAGCCTTAGCGTTCTTCTTAACCTGCTCCTGGTATTGCTTGAACTCGGGAGTAGCAGCCTGTTTGAGAGCAACAGCGAGAGCAGTGATGGTGTGGTTGTGGGGGCCACCTTGGTGGCCAGGGAAGACGGAGAAGTTGATGGGCTCCTCAAGGTTGTAGAGAATATCTTTGCCATTCTTGTCCTGGCCTCGGACACCACGGCGGAAGAAGATCATAGCACCACGGGGGCCACGGAGAGACTTGTGGGTGGTGGTAGTGACGACGTCGGCGTACTCGAAGGGGTCATCCATGACACCGGCAGCAACGAGACCAGAGATGTGGGCCATATCAACAACGAGGTAGGCACCAACCTTGTCGGCAATCTGGCGCATGCGCTTGTAGTCAATCTCCCGGCAGTAGGCAGAGGTACCAGCGACCAGGATCTTAGGGCGGTAAAGCTCAGCGTTCTGCTCAAGTTGGTCGTAGTCAATTCGCTCGGTCTCGAGGTTAAGACGGTAGGGGAAGGTCTCGAAGTAGGTGGAGACGGCAGAGATCCTGTTGGGCAATGAGTTAAAAGCTAGCTCATACACTAGGACATAGTATTGCAGGAACGTACTTCTTCTGGGCGGTCTGGTAACCGTGACTCAAGTGACCACCGTGGGGAAGGTCAAGACCCATCAGGCGGTCGTGAGGGCGCATCAGAGCCTGGTAGACCTGCAGGTTGGCGGGAGAACCACTCAGGCACTGAACGTTGACACCCCACTTAGCCTTGTCGAGACGGAAAGCGGCGAGGGCACGATTCTGGCAAGTGATCTCGATGGCGTCAATGTGCTCGTTGCCACCGTAGTAACGAGCACCGGGGTACCCCTCAGAGTACTTGTTGGACATAGGGGTACCAAGGGCCTGGAAAACAGCACTGGAAGTGAAATTCTCGGATGCGATCAAGACAATGGACTCGCGCTGACGCTGAATCTCTTTTTGCTATAGATCTGTCAGAGGATGGTACATGGCTTGGTCAGGGGAGCCTGCCATGGAGACAATTGATGCAAGAGCAATTGTATCCAGACCAAAGCTCTATGGGCTCGACGTACCATGATCTCGAAGATCTCGGGGTCGGTCTCCTGGAGACCATTGTGCATGAGCTGTATCAAGGATGAGTCAATGATCTTCAAAGTTAAGAAGGTAATTGTAAACCTACAGCACGGTGCTGCTCGGACAGGGTGTACTCGGTGGCCATTATGATAGACAGGGCTGAATTGAAGGGAGAACTGAAGAGAAAGAGGCGGGAGCAAAAGGTTATAAGCTGGTGGGAGAAAAAAAAGTAGGTGGGGTCGGAGGGGCGAAGGGATCGGCCCCCTGCCTCAGGCCACAACTCCTACACCGGAGCAGAGAGGCCAAACCCCCCCCTCAATGTGGAGATTTTGGCCGAATCAGGTTCGCCTGTCCAGAAAATTACGGGTTCCGAATATTAATCGATCTAGATTCCCCGTCTGCCCCTTCACCCCACCGACTTAGCTGTCATCGTCCTGTGTTTAGACGCAGGGTTGTCCGATTTATTTTCTTGCAGCTCCGAGAGAATGATCTATGTTTCCCTTTCCGAGCTGCGATTTCCGCGAGGCCATCTTGTAAAACAGTATATTCTAAGGAGTATTGGGTATTCCGTTCCAGTAACACCGGGAAAGTCAAAAGAAAGCCCCCAGACCCGGGAGAGGACAGGATTCTGCATGGCCAAATGGGGCCAATCCTGCCTGGGCCAAAGGTGGTTAACTCCTCACATGCAGTGAATCTTAATTGATGCTGACGCTGACGCTGACACCTTGGGGGCCGGCCCGCTTGATATCATGCTTGGCCAGCTCGCTCGCCAAAATCTGCAATGACAGACCGCAGGCGGCCCACACGGTCCTCAAGCTCTGCAATCTCTTTTTGCTGGTCTTCCACTGATCGATGGACATCCGGCAGACCTTCCACCACCGCTCGTGCCTTTTGAATACGGATCTTGACTGAGCTGGTCACTATGGGAAGATCCTTGACATTCAACGGCTGATTCGCATTTGAGCCAAGGGCAGGTATGTCTGAGACGGCTTGTGAAGCCGTGGGTTCTTGATTCCCACCTCCAGGTAGGTTGGAGCTCCCGGGTTGACTATGGGTGGGAGTATCCGTGGGCTCAATAGCTCCTGCGGCACCCTCAGACGCGCCGCCAGCCCCATTCGAGGGCCCCTTTTCAGTGAGCAGGCGCAAAAGGATCCCATGTAACGGTGGAATTATCTCAAAGGTCTCTGGTGAAGGGAAGGGCACGGTTTGTGGGGTTGTGGACGCGTCTTTCGAAGGGCTTTCGGGCGCGGTAGAAGATTTTGGCAGCGGAGTGGCCACAGTCGGAGACCTGGAAGTCATGCTCTCGATCTAAAGGTATATGATCGGAGACCGAGGAAAATGAATTGGGGCTCGTGACGAGAGAAGTCCCAGTCGGCTATGGGCTGATATGTTTAGGAAAGAGTCGGAACGGGCCACAGTGACGTCGCGGCAAAACCAAAAGCGTCACCGGGAGAAGCGCTGCCCCTCCTCCACCGGCCAAAGCCTTTTCTTTCGCCCTGACTCGCTCCCAGATACTTCTCCTTTTTCATTAACTAGAAAGGTGAGTAAATTGCGAAATCTTGGATAAGAGGCCTAGCCTTTTGGAAGACAGCAATTGATTCGTTCTTAGGCGTTGATTACCATACATACACCCCACCATGGTCGACCATAAAGTTGCTTTGAGTATGATCGGCCTTCCCCCCAGGTCCCCAGAAAGCCACCGATCTAACGCAATATAGTTGTCATTGATGGCTGGGGTATCGCTGGCCCCGATTCGCCTCCCGAGGGTGATGCTATCGCCGCCGCCGAGACCCCAAACATGTCCGGGTTCATGGAGGCCAACTCCAAGACTGCCCAGGGCTTCACTGAACTCGATGCCTCCTCCCTTGCGGTTGGCCTCCCCGAAGGCCTCATGGGTAACAGTGAGGTTGGACACTTGAACATTGGTGCTGGCCGTGTCGTCTGGCAAGACAGCGTCCGCATTGACCAGACCCTCAAAAAGGGTGAGCTGAACAAGGTGCCCAACATCGTGAAGGCCTTTAACCGGGCCAAGGAGGGCAATGGCCGCCTGCACCTGGCTGGTCTGGTTTCTGACGGTGGTGTTCACTCCAACATCACTCACCTATTTGGTCTCCTCGAGGTGGCCAAGGAGTTCCAGATCCCCGAGGTCTACATCCACTTCTTTGGCGATGGCCGTGATACCGACCCTAAGAGTGCCGTCATTTATATGGAGCAGCTCCTGAACAAGACTAAGGAACTTGGTGTTGGTGAGATTGCCACCGTCGTTGGCCGCTACTACATTATGGACCGTGACAAGCGCTGGGAGCGTGTTGAGCTTGGCATGAAGGGTCTCGTTACTGGCGAAGGCGAGGACAGCTCAGACCCTCTCCAGACTATCAAGGACCGCTACGAAAAGGGTGAGAATGACGAGTTTCTTAAGCCAATCATCGTTGGTGGCGAGAAACGTCGTATCAAGGGTATGTTTATAGCACTTCGCATCTCTCATAAAGTGCACATGGCTAACGTATGGATCAGATGACGATACCGTCTTCTTCTTCAACTATCGTTCGGACCGTGTCCGTGAGATCACTCAGCTGCTTGGCGACTATGACCGCTCCCCTCGCCCCGACTTCCCTTACCCCAAGAATATCTCTATCACTACGATGACTCAGTATAAGACTGACTACACCTTCCCCGTTGCTTTCCCTCCCAGCACATGGGCAATGTTCTGGCCGAATGGTTGGGTAAGAAGGGTCTCCAGCAGTGCCACGTCGCTGAGACTGAGAAGTACGCCCACGTTACTTTCTTCTTCAACGGCGGTATTGAGAAGCAATTCCCCGGTGAAGTCCGCGACATGATCCCATCACCCAAGGTTGCTACCTATGATCTCGACCCCAAAATGAGCGCCGCCGGTGTGGGTGAGAAGATGGCCGAGCGTATCGGCGAGAACAAGTTTGACTTTGTCATGAACAACTTCGCCCCACCTGACATGGTTGGCCACACCGGTGTGTACGAGGCTGCCATCAAGGGTGTTTCTGCCACCGACAAGGCCATTGGTGCCGTCTACGAGGCGGCCAAGAAGAACAACTACATTCTCTTCATCACCGCTGATCACGGGTAAGTGAAATGATTTATATGAACCTTCACACTAAATCTTCTGGCTTGTGGCCATTATCTAACACCCTTTAGAAACGCCGAGGAGATGCTCAATGAGAAGGGCACCCCCAAGACCTCTCACACTACCAACTTCGTTCCTTTCATCATGGCCAACGCTCCGGAGGGCTGGAGCCTTGGCAAGGAGAAGGGTGTTCTGGGTGATGTCGCCCCCACCGTTCTCGCCGCTATGGGTATTGAGCAGCCAGAGGAGATGACTGGCAAGAGCTTGTTGGTCAAGTCATAGACCAGACAGCCATTGGCACATAGACACATCTTGTTATGAAATGAATAATTGAACAGATTCTTTACAATATGAAAGACGATCGCAAGCTGCTAGACTTTGGAAAATGCATGATTATATATAATACGAGTTCGGGCTAAATTTGAAAGCTCGGCCGTGGGTTCTAATATCAACTGTGAAAATTCAGGACAAAATTCGAAATGGATTGGGTATAATTTTTGCGTTATCCTCTTGAATAACTGATGCTGCGACAATGAGCAGCAGTGCAATCACTCTTCGACGCAGCACTCGAGCCTGGTCTTTCGGCAGGATCACAGCGCCATTGGCCTTGGTGGCCTTGGGTTTAGTTGCAGTTTTCTATGTCGGTGATGTAGCGCAGTCAACGTGCTACCATCACATGCTTGCTCATCATCAAACCCATGAGGCGGTCTTCCCATGGTTGCCTATTGGCAAGAATGAAGGCAGCGTGTTGGTGAATTTGCTGTCTACGCAGCTTAAGCGGAAGCAGCTGCCTGCTGCTGTTGGACTTGCGACTGGAATTGGATAATCTAGTAAGAAGTCAGAATTCAGTGCTGCGCTACGGTATATGGGGGGTCAAGAAATCGATATTACCTCTCCACGCTTCTTGTCGGCTGTTTCTTGCTTCTCATTGATTTCCTTCTCAATGCGCTTGCTGTAAGGAGGCCAGTCAGCAACCAACTCGAAGTCTCATTTCAGCACAAGCCACAAACATTTCTTTCTCGATGAATTCAAGTCTGCCATTGACAGCCATGACGGCATCGGATTTCTCCTGCTTCAATAGGACCGGTCCAACAAGCTTGTAGATATTGGATTCATCATCCAACTGAGCGAATTCGTTCTGCACTCCCTGGCTTTCCTGCTGCTGCGACTCCAGCTTCTGGCGAGCATCGACGAGGCCTTCGAGCTCTGTACGAAAAATGGATTAGCCAACCCTTCGTAAGCTACCGGAGTGCATCACCTATAATACGCACCAGTCTGCAGCTGCTGGAAGTCGTCCGAGAGCGCCTGGAGCTGTTTCTGGGCGTCCATTGCGTAGGTTGGCGGGGAAGTGGGAGAAGGGAAAAGCGATCGCCTGCCCGCCCGTCAACAACCTCCCTTCCCCCTCCAACTCCAATTCCCTCCTCCACACACCACCATTCCGACCACGCTCTCCGCACGGCCTCTTTCCCCTCGTTTCCTAACTCCGCTTCTTCTCTCCCATCCACGTTGCTTCTTCTCCGTCCTCTCCTCCAGAATCGCTGCCTAGACCCTGCACCCACTCAACCGTTCCCCGCTTACCGCTCCGCGGTTGACTTGCCACCTACACACGCGAACGAACAGAGCAGGACACCTCCGAAGGCCAAAATGAGTAACACAGACTTCCTTGGGCGGGCGATCGAAACTGTGAAGAAGGCGATCGAGAACGACAATGAGGGCGAGTACGAAAAAGCCTATCAAATGTATTACTCCGCATTGGAGTTGTTCATGCTGGCCTTAAAATGGGAGAAGAACCCTCGTTCTAAGGAGATGATCCGCGCGAAAACTGGCGAGTACATGGACCGCGCAGAAAAACTCAAGAATCACCTCGCGTCAAATGAAGGGGGAAGAAACCAAGTGCCGTGGGCGCAAATGGCAAGGTCGCGTCTGGAAGCGGGAAAGGGTATGCTTTCACCTCTCGCAGGCACTCTATGCCCTTTGAACTTTGTTGTTTCTCCTGACAACATAGGAATATTCCAGAGGCTGCGAGGGGCCTATTCCTCGGTACTTCTAAGGACAGTAGGCTAACGAGAATGTTCACGAAATAGGAAAGAAGACGACGATAACGGCGAAGATGCCGAATCGAAAAAGCTCCGATCGGCACTCCAAGGAGCCATTTTATCTGATAAGCCGAATGTGCAGTGGGAAGATGTTGCTGGTCTGGAGAGCGCGAAGGAGGCATTGAAGGAGGCTGTCATTCTGCCCATCAAATTCCCGCATCTGTTTACAGGCAAGCGACAGCCCTGGAAAGGTATCCTGCTCTACGGTCCTCCGGGTACGGGAAAGTCGTACTTGGCCAAGGCTGTCGCGACTGAAGCCAATAGTACTTTCTTCAGTGTCAGCAGCAGTGACTTGGTATCCAAATGGATGGGTGAGAGTGAACGGTAGGAGCCTATCTCTGACAGTTGCTATAGCGGACCTAGGCTAATTATCACTAGACTTGTGAAGCAGCTTTTCAACATGGCCCGTGAAAATAAGCCTGCTATTATCTTTATCGACGAAGTCGATGCGCTGTGTGGACCGCGAGGCGAAGGCGAGTCCGAGGCATCTCGACGGATCAAGACCGAGTTGCTGGTTCAGATGGATGGTGTGGGCAAAGATTCAAAAGGTGTTCTTATTCTGGGCGCAACCAATATTCCTTGGCAGCTCGATGCTGCTATTCGACGACGATTTCAGCGTCGAGTACATATTAGCTTGCCTGATTTCAACGCACGGATGAAGATGTTCATGCTGGCTGTGGGATCTACTCCATGTCAAATGACTCAAGCAGACTACCGCACACTGGCAGAGATGAGTGAAGGCTATTCCGGCAGCGACATAAGCATTTGCGTGCAAGATGCTCTGATGCAGCCCATCCGGAAAATTCAAACGGCAACTCATTATAAGAAGGTAACTTCACTGCGCCAGCTTCCAAGGTTGCCCAGAAAAGCATGGACTAACATATTTACGCTAGGTCACTGTGGACGGGGTAGAGAAGCTTACGCCTTGCTCACCAGGCGATGCCGGAGCAATGGAGATGACATGGCTCAGCGTTGAAGCAGAGCAGCTGCTTGAGCCACCACTTGTACTCAAAGATTTCATTAAGGCTGTTCGAAATTCTCGGCCTACTGTCAGCCACGAAGATCTCACTCGAAACTCCGAATGGACCAAAGAATTCGGCAGTGAGGGTGCATGATTGGCTCTTTGCATGTTGTTTCTTGCTGTCCATCTTTCGCATTCTGTTGAATTAACAGGACATAGACAACCCCAACCGCTGTTTCAACCCTTTTCCAGAGATTATGCACCGCCCCCAGCTCCTATCAGGTCTTGCGAAGAGTTTGGTGTTCAGTTTTTTGGTTGTTTTCGTGTTGCTTCCCCCATGTTTCTAGTACTTCTTGGTAATGGCAATGGCGAGGCGTTCTATGAGCAGATATCCATGTTTTCACTCTGGCAGGTTTCAGTCATTCGCAAATGAGCCCTGTGTGGTGCATGTAGGGCATGTAGTAAAACCTTAAATCTTGTCGTACATACATCGCGCCGTCTTTTAGTTAACAATATGACTTGATCGAGATGAATTATAGATTGAATATCGATGAACAAAGTACGAGATATACTCCCGACTTGAGGCTGGTAATGACTTCATCGTTCATTGCCTGTATCTCTCGAGTCAAAGAAACTCGGAAAAGTAAGGAAAACATGCCATGTTCATCTTAGTATTGAACTGATTAGCATGTCTGTATTCCTTCTTGTCGATATACTCAAGACAGAACCGAGACTTCATGGCAAGCACGCACAAGACATGGTACCGTATTCATATGGTACAATGAATCTTACCTTGCTACCGGCCGGTGCTCACCATATCCTTCTACCTCGTACCATGGTGCACCTCAGTCGCAGCCTGTGTTCTCAGTGTGATTACCGGAGGATAAAGCGTGTGGTTCACGAATGGCGACTCCAGCCGTGAAGTTGCGTATACAGATATTTCGGACAAACTTTGGACCCTATACATATACCAAAAGACAAAGAACAAAAAAAAAGAAAAACAATGAGAAAGCAAAAATTGGTCCCAGAGGGGGTCGAACCCTCGACTTTCACGTGCCGATAAACTTTCGTATTATTAGCATGACACTCTAACCAACTGAGTTATGGAACCAATTGGATGTCAGCAAGCTCGATTTTTGACATTATGATCCAGAGCAATGTCCGTGCGGTAATTTCCTTGGAAATCATTGAAAGGCATGTTGGGTGAAGGAACTAAAGTTATTTGTTGTATAGAGACCCTCGATGCACAGGCACTTCTAGATCGGCGTAGCTCCTTGTCAATTTCAAGGAACATGTGGTAGTGATAAATGTAATTGATTAGCTGCGAATGGAAAACAGAAAACCAAAAGTATTCGGGTGATGGTGGAACTTGGCTGAGGTCAGACCTACGACGCCAAGCCTCCTGTATCATTGGCTATCCAGTACCTTTGACTTGAGGCTATGGCAGTACGAAGAGAAAGGTTAAAACGACAGATTAAACTATTTCCGGTTGACTACGCTCATGCTTGCATTTGAAATGCTCGATTGATTTGGAGTGATTTGAAGGATAAGGCAGAATCGCAAAATATTTTGGGGGCAAAAAAGTTGGTCCCAGAGGGGGTCGAACCCTCGACTTTCACGTTGCATAATAAACTTTCGTATTATTAGCATGACACTCTAACCAACTGAGTTATGGAACCTCTTGTCTGCGTGCAGACTATTTGTTTGACATGATAAGCCCGTGTCCATGGTATCAAGGATGGCTCCGTTACCCATCCTTCTTTTAGTCTCCCTGGTCTAATTAGCACCCAGCTTATCTTCAGTCCAATACTGCTTTTTGGACGCTCTCACATTCCCAGTCTTCTAGCCTGACTTGCTTACCCAGGCCATTAAAGGTTTCAAGCGCCCACTTTCAAGCACCTTTAGAAAATCGGTACCTGCCCATGTGCGGAGGTTGATTGTCGTGAAAATGAACGGGCTTTTCCATGAAGCGTACGGGGCTCCCAACTGATACACAACACAGTATGTGCGTGGAAGGCAACAAGCTTGTTGCTATCCCTTCCTCGGTTGTAGAGTCTCTTTCAACGGTCTTTCCGGGGGGTCCAGTTCCAGAGGATAGCCCTAAACACTGCCCTCTATATATCTACAGATGACTCCTGGTCAGATAACTCCGCAACGATGTGACATGAGTCAGCTCTCAGACGAAGCAAATGGTCTATTACCTCCCTACGATCAAGCCTGTGGTCTGCCATGGGTGAGAGCGGCTGGTCTACACTGCTGGTGAACGAAAGCTGAAAGTTCCAGATTAGCCTTCGATCCGGCCACGTTGAAGGAGATCACCTTCAATGACTTCATAAAGCGCCCAGAGTCGCGAAAAAGGGCCGTGATGCGACGCCCTATCTAGGCCCAAACTACCAATGCCTACTTCCCTTGACACGGCCCAATAGGTAGCATTACCCAAAAGTCCCCTACCAGAAGTCCGCACTATGCACTAGGTTTAAACATTCAAGACAGGAGTTAGAACGAAGAGCTGAAATTCCCAAAATACCATCATTAGACATCATAATCTATGGCTCCGCAGGCTAATTAGACCCCGGCGCAATCATTTCAAGAGACATCGAAAGACCAAGCCAATCCCATGGTCTTGGTGGTTTGATGTTCTTCTTTATACTACCAGTCGAGGTCTACTTGCCCGAGGAAAGTGCTTGCTGCTGAGCTATTGCCCCTGTCGATTGAATAGAGCTGATAGGAGGTCTCGAATTCAAGCGTCTCAAATCGATACAAAGGCCCCTTTCACCTAAGGAAATGAGGGCGGGGCAAAAATTTACACTCCATCATCCTGCGGGTCAGTGGCATTGGGCATTTGCATGAAGCAAAAAATGGTCCCAGAGGGGGTCGAACCCTCGACTTTCACGTGCCGATAAACTTTCGTGTTATTAGCATGACACTCTAACCAACTGAGTTATGGAACCGATTGGGTGAAAATTTTCGAATTTTGACATACTCCAGCGAGTGGGTTACTCGGTTACGTCCCGGAGGCCCCGAGGATGCAGTGTTGATTGGTCATCATATGGGGCTCCACCTGGACAGGGCTCAGGGCTCTTCAATCGAAGATATATACAGACCGGGAGAACTGGAAGTCATCCAGTCCCATGATTCTATTCATATGAGCATATTCAAAGTGGTCAGGCTTCGCGTTATTGCTACGGCTACTTATATCACTGTTTTCTTTTTTAGGATTAATCAATTCAAGATGCTACCGTGAACCGAGGTGACTATACTCCACAATGCCAGTGCACAAACCCCATTCATATAAACCAAGCTCCGATTGGCACCGAACTAAACGAGATTTCTGAAACGCAAACATCAAGGACAGGAGCAAACGAAGCGCATAATAGCAAGGCATGTCGGGGGAATCTCTCGTAACAGAAGGGTTGACGCTGGGTAACAAAACCAATGCACACATAAAACAAGACAAAGAGGACATTAAATCAGCTAGCCTAGGAGGCTTCCTCCGGAGCTCTCGCGGCGCTTAATCATTTCGCTCTTAGCGCGCTTCAAGCCCTCGCCTAACTTCTTTGTTCGGCGCCATTCCTGGCCCATCTTTTGCATGCGCACAGATGCTACGACCAGCGAAATCGCAGAGCGGAACTTGCTGCGAGGAGTGCGGGTCGAGGTGCGGTCGCGAGACTGGACACCCATCTCGGAAATCATGCGGAGGTCAGCTTCGTTACTAGAGGGTAGAAAGGTCAGTATGCACGGATCATCAATCTTGTCAATAGGCGGAATTGAGGTACGAACCATGCCACGCGAACACGTTCACCAAGCTCCATTAAGCCCTTGCTCCAAGCCAAGTCGCGACGGAACTTCTCCTCGCGAGAGAGACGGGCGCGAAGCCAGATGATCTCTTTGCCAAGACCACGGATCTCTTTCTCATGACGGGTCTTGCTATTTGATTTACCTGAAGATGCCTTCTCCACGGCCTCCTCATAGCGTTGTTGCAGAGAGTCCAGGTCTCTGGCTGCGGCTTCAGCTTTGCGGACGCAGAAAGCGCGTTCCTCGCGAATGCGACGAATCTGGTTCTTAAGTTCATTGATACGCGAATCACGCTCTGAGACCTTCAATGCCAAAGCTTCGGCTTCAAGGGTAGAAGACTTGAGTAACTCATGGAGATCTTTTTGGTCCTCCTCCCTCATCGCTCCTCGTTCAAGCTCGCGGTTCTTGGTCTTGGCGTCCTTTAGAGCCCGGTGTGCTTCGGCAAGCTGCCTTCGGAGATTTCTGAGCTCCTCGTGGACCTTGTCGGAAGGAGAATTCTGGGTTGATCGAGACTCGTATTTGTTCATAAGCGCCTCGTGAAGGTCTCGCTCCAGATCGGCAACACGAGATTTCAATGTTCGAGTGGAGGCTTTCTGTTCCGCGTCACGCTGCAGGAGAGCCTTTTCTCGCCTCCTCGCCTCCTCGAGACTGCCTCGAAGAATGGAGAGGTCACCTTGCGCAGCAGATTGGTCTGGCTCAGCCGGTGGCTGTTGGGACAAAAGTGACTCTAGCTCCTGGATGCGTCGTTCGAGCCGTTGCACTTTAGATTTGGCGGTTGCTAATTCTCGGTCTCGTCCACCAGAGCCAGCAAGTAGTCTGTCCTGAAGACGATCGATCTCAGCGGAGAGACGTCCCTCCTCTTCAGTCGCTCGTTCAATTTCAGTGCCAAGTTGGGTTTCAAGCGTCTCCTTAGCTTCCATCAAGGCATTCTTGTCGTCGCGCAAACGCCTAAGCTCATTCTCCATTCGCGTTGTCGTCTTGCGTAGCTCGAGCTTCTCGCGGTCAAAGCGGGTATTGCTTTCTCCAGTCTGGGCACGTTCAAGCTGAGCATGGAGCTCATCTCGCTCAGCCTCGATCTCGATCATTGAAGTCCGCAGGTCATGCATCTCCACATGAGCGTTTGCAAGCTGGTCACGGAGACTTTGCCTATCGGCGACAGCTTTCTGTAATTGGGATTCGACGTCAGGTGAGGCTTTCTGGGCTCTATCTTTGGCATACTGCTGCTCATCTGCCAAGCTGGACTGTAAAACGACAACCTCATCTTCCAGAGCTTGAACTTTTTCTTTGAGGCTTTGTTCCTCTCGGCGGGAGAGACGAAGTTCTTCACGGATGGTAAGGAGGTCGCTGCGTTGTTCATCGATGATGTTCTTCTTTTGAGCAAGGTCATCTTCAAGTTCTTTGACTTGGCGACTAAGCACGGCTTCTTCTTGGGCATGGCGTTGCTTCTCACTATCGAGGATTTGCTGAAGCCGAGACTCTTTCCCTGAGAGTGAAGTTTCTGCCTCATGCAACCTGTCGATCGTCCGTTTATAGCTCATGGCTTGCTCATCCGCGCGATCTTTTTGAGACTGTAAAGTCCGCTTGGTGCTTTCCCAACGCTCTCGCTCGATGCCCATGTTCCCTTCCTTGTCTTCAATCTCCGCTTGGAGGTCTTCGATCTCTCGTTGTAGCCGTTCGACTTCAACTTTGTGCTGCCAGCGAAGATTTTGATTATCCTGTGCGCGGTTCGTAGCCTCTTCAACTGCCGCCTGAAGTTCGCGAATCCGGGAATGCGCGCGAGCGAGTTCGCTTTGCAAGCCTCCCGACTCGTCAGTCAAAGCGTGATGCCGAGTTTGCAACATCTCTTTTTCTTCGAGTTGGCGTTGGCATTCGTCAAGAGCCTCCTTTAACCGAGCAGAAATTCTCTCGCTCTCCCTTATGGCTGCGTCTCGCTCCTTTCGAGCGGATTCAAGATCTTCACCCAATTTCCCGGAGCTACTCTTGAGATCTTGGTGAACAGTCTCGTAGCGCTCTTCCAATTGAGCGACCACATTCTCTTTCTCCTCGAGGTCTGCCTTGAGTTGGTCATTCTCCCGCTCTAGATCTCGCAAGTCTTGCTCAAGGTTTTCGGCTCTCTCTTCTAGTTGTCGGCTAAGGCCCTTTGTAGTAAAAGACTTGTTGGACATTTCATCCTGCAGCTCTCGCAGGTCATCTTCAGCTCGGTTCTTCTGTTCCATTGCTTGGTTCGCGGTCCTGGATGCCTCTTGAGCCTCCAGCCTGGCTTTCTCGAGACTATCTTGGAGCTCTTGGATCTGCTCTTTCGCACGATCAAGTTCAGCTTGGAGTTCTGCACCTGCATCGTTGTTGCTCCTAGTCGCTCTAAGTTCCTCAAGCTCTTCGTCACGCGTCTCAATAAGTCGATCCTTTTCGCGGATATCTGCTTCGAGATCCTCGACGTCCTCCCTAAGTTTGTCGACTTCCTGTGACTGGCTATCCTTGACGCGTCGTAGCTCATCTCGGAGTTCTCTCAGCTCATCCTCTTTTGAACTGACCTCCTCGCGCATCATGTCCATCTCTTGCTGGACCTCTTGGTCGGTTTGTCGTCGGCGGGCACGTTCTTGGAGTTCCGAGAGTTGTTGGCGATAATCCTCCAAATCTCGCTCTGCTTGGAGGAGGCTCTTCTTGTACCGAGAAATGTCGCGTTGCATCGTCAATCGCAAAACTTTGAGTTCCGTATTTTCCTTAATGGCAGCACTGTTGTATCCCGGCCCTGCCTTTTCTAGCTGCTCTTCCAAGTAATGAATCTTCAGCTTAAGGTTGAAGTTATCTTTGTCCAGACGATCGATGATCTGAACAGGCCCGTAGGGTTAGCATTGGCAATTTTTTGGATCAACCCAGAAGCAGTCAAGCAGGACGGCTTACCCTTTCTTGTTCCTTCAGAGTCATATTCTGGCCATCGCCCAGTATTCCTCCCTCGCGTCGTAGTCCGGGTAGCGGTGTACTTTGCACACTACTACTAGCAGCCTGGGGAATGGGCGTTGGTTGATCGACAGTAGCGTCTTCTTCGTAAATGTCTGACATATCATTAGGCGGAAGCCCAGGGGTAGCGTTAATCCGGCTGTGTTCACCGAAATAGCCCGGTGTTTTCAGACCGTCGCCACGTGTATTCGAAGCGTTCCTTAGATAATTGTTCTTCGTAGCACTCTTCATAAGCGGTGTAAACTCTCCCTTCCCTGGCCCGGCAGCTGGAAGCTGTCTCAGCGCGCTTCGCGTCGACTTCGGACCAGAGGATGCGCGCGGGGTGCCGAGCTTCAGACCACCGGAGACGCGTCGTGCACCATCGCCAAGGCCCTTTATCACGTCGTTATCTTTGGAGGGAGTTTGGAAGGAGTTTTCAACCGAGTCGAGCGCGGACAGGTGCGTTCGTCCCACGCTGCGAAACCCGTTCGTGAGGTAGGTCGCGTTGCCGTCGATTTCGGTGCGCGGCGTGTCGATATAGGGGTACGCCATTGTGCCGGAGCCAAGGGACGGGCGTGTCAAAGTCGTTTTATTACGCGAACATCACTAGACCAAAACAAAAGGTAGGGTTGGGCAAACACTTGGACCGGGAACGTGTTGTTGGGTCCCATTTGCGACGATTCGGAGACTGTTGATGTCTAGCCTCTTTTGGACTAGTCTCTTAGTCACCAGTGGGCCGTACTACATACCGCCCTTTTCTGCCGCCTTTTTTTTCTACATCGAGACTCGTGCTGGAATGCGCATGAGGTCATCGTTTGTCGCTGGCTTCCTTTGGGACTCTGCGACAATAATGGCGACCGAGGAGGATATCGCGTGGTTTAAGTCCACTTTTCATTCGATCCCGAAGCCAGAGCTCCCCGATGATTCTGTGGAGTATTTTATCTATCATTTGCCCTCCCCCGCCCCCGCCGTTATCGATGCAGCTGCGGAGACTCGGGCTCGGCTGCTAGAGGTGCAACGTTCTGCAGCCGAATTGATCAAAGAGCTTCTCAAAGACTATATCTGGCAGCGAGATAACTTCAAGCTAGAGATTAAGAAAGAAAATGGTGAGGAGCGCAGAATGCCTAGGCAACTTTGAGTAGAGTCTAACAATGTTTGCAGGAGCTACATTCTTGAATGGACGCACCAATTTCGGCGACTCGATCGAGGATGAATGGGTAGTGGTATATATTCTACGTGAATTGACCAAGAAACACAAGGATATCTGGGTCAAAGTGGTGGATAGCGACGGCGAGTTTCTACTCGTGGAAGCCGCTGGCACGCTCCCCGCATGGCTCGAGCCAGAGGTCGCTGACAACCGGGTAAGAAGCCAGACTATACGAGAGCGAGATGGAAAAAATGCTGACTTGGTCATTGATAGGTCTGGATCCACCAAGGCGAACTTTGCATCATCAAACCAAAGCAAAAAGGCGACAAGAAAATCACCGAGACATTGACGCTAGCCGAAGCAAAAAGAATCATACAAGAAGAGCCTGACAGGTTTATCAAATCAACAATAATACAAGAAGAAGCATTTTACCGGCTACGAAACTACCCCAAGCAAATATCAGAGAATATGCACTCGGCTATTGTGACGATTCCCCGCAAGGTCGCATATCTCCTCCACCAGAAACCCGCATACGTATCTCCCGCAGTGGAAGCTTTCTACATCCGCGACCCAGTCGCACTGCGCCCACTCCGGGGGAGAAATGCGTCAGACCTCATCTTCCCACCAGATGACCTGGTCAACGTTAGTGTTCGGTTTACGCGAGTGGGCTATGCGCAATTGAAAAGTCAAGATTTTCCAGCCCCGCCAAGCTGGTCGGGTAAATTACCCGACACGACAGATCGGGAAGCATACGCTCGCGCGGAGGCGGGGATGAAACTTGCTTGCGGGTTTGAGATGCTTCTCTCTGATCCTCAGAATCAAGATAAAGCGGCTGTACGGGAGATGAAGTTTCTGCTAGAGGATGTGGCGACTGGAGACGAGGAACTCCCTTCAAATGAAGAAATCGAGACCTGGGAGAAGAAGGAGGATGATGAGCAATGGATGGATATTAGCTTCGAAGATCTCGATCGGGAGCTGAAAGGCAAAGGGAAAGGTAAAGAAAGAAGTGAAGGGGATGGGAAATTTGGAGACGCAGCTGCACAAGAAAACCTTCAGAGGATTGTGGCTCGCTTTGAAGAGTTCTTGAATGATACCTCAGCAGGCTTTGAAGGGGCGGATTTCATCAATGACTATGAGTCCGACTCCGATGTCGATGAGGACGACGATGAAGAGCTTAGCAGCGATGGGGAGGACAAGGATGCCTCGTTCGATGAGGAGGAATTCTCCCGGATGATGAAGGAGATGATGGGAATGCCAGGCTCCGGCCAAGGACCGCCTCTCGAAACACCACTGCGAAACCGGATCAAAGAACTGGACGCGGAGGAAGGGGAGGGAGCAGATGAGATGGATGACACAGAAGAGATCCAGGAATTGTCTCGGCAGATGGAAGCCGAATTACGACAGACTGGAGTTCTTGATCTGAACCGCAAACAACAGAAGATATCCGGTGATAGGTCTAAAGGTAAGGCTAAGGCTACCGAGACAAGTGAGGACGAGTATGAAGATGAGGATGAGAATGTCAACATCAACCTCGCCAAAAATCTCCTGGAGGCTCTACAAGGACAGGGAGGCACTGCGGGCCCCGCCGGCAACTTGCTGTCGATGATGAATCTACGAATGCCAAAAGACGACCGTCCATAATACGCCTAGAGCATAGTCGGTCAATAATAATCATCGGGACTGTCTCAAATCTCCTTATCGTCTGCCAATATTATTATTCGTAGTATGAAATAAAAGTTCACCAATCCACTCTCTTGGCCTATCGTCTCCAATATAGGGTCATGATTAGATCGAAGCTCGGAGAATGTTTGACGCAAGCACGCCACTACATATCACGGAAAATCTTCGATTGGCCACCGGCAGCCTGTCACACGAAAAAGATGACTCCAACTCGTCTTCGGGGCCACGGAAGGAATCCTTATTCTGAACTGATTGAGCGGAGCATGTTATTAGCGTGTACCCGGCGGCACGAACAGCTGAAATGGTTCGCCACAAAAGTCGTATAAGGCAAGATCGACATTTGCCCGATCGCGGGAATTGTTAGTGCTGAAAGAGTACTCCGTACGGAGTACAACCGCGGTCTCCATGCGGCAATACAATAAGATTATTATAGTAGCATCTGATAGAGCCTTAATTTGCGAAGGCACTCCACCACGTCCCACCGGCAAATCCAACAGGAAGACCTGGAGTCGACCGGAGTTTCCTCCCAAAGTTCGGACGGGCTCCATCGGGGCTCCACAGGGGGGATAATCGCGCAGAGCCAGCCGCTCCGAAGAAACCCCAAAAATCATCTCAAACATCTGGGATCTAGACGCAGGCAATGACGTTCTCGAAACGACAAAGAAACTCAATGTCTGATAGCGCATGGCTCTTGATAGGCTCAACGCCCTGTGCCAAAAGCCGTTGAAGCCATGTTTCGCATTGATGGAACATCGAGACTACGCCACGTGGAGACGACGATCAAAGAACGTCGCAAACTCAAATAGCGTCCAATGTATGATACGGTACCTGCGTCTCGTAAAAAAAAAAAGAAACCCGAGCACTTGCAGCTGTCAAGGCCGAGGAAACATTTTGAAGTCTCGGTGGAGCCTCGGTAAAACCAATGTCGGGTAGATTTCGGGTCTATTTCAGCCCTGGTAACCATTTTGTAACTTTGGCTTTGTAGGCTGGCGGTAAAGTTCCGTCACAAAAGTCGGAATGCATGCGAGGGCCTGGAGTGGCCTGCTTCTGTTTAGCGTGCGGATTTCGCGATGTCAAAGGGAATCGAGTGGATCGAATTATTAATATCGACATGGCGCGGCGCGCCACCAAGCGTTTTGTCGTGTGCATCGTTGCTCTGTAGGACTTTTCTGGAGCGTCTCCCCACAGTCAACCCGGGCGGGTCGGACGAATTGTTGGAAACGCCCACCGGGAGAACCTCAGAAACCAACCCAGGCCAATGGATGGGCAATGACTGGCACACTAGGGAATTGCCGGATCCATGGGTGGGCATCTTCTGCACTAAGGTATTTTGATGACAACTAAATGCCTTACTAGGAAGGTGGAGGGGAGGTCCTGGGAGGGCCAGAGACTGAACACTGTGAGAGCCGCTGTTCCGGGATTCAGGACGTTGGGATGAGAGAAGCCACTCCAGAGGTAGGCCCCCCGCCTCGGGTGTTTCCAACGTCCCTATAGCCTTTGCGGGAGAAATGAGACTAGCAAATTAGCACGGGAAAATATACTCCGTTAGGGGCTTCCAGCTGGATCATGGAGGGCGGAGGTGCGGTCTAAGTGGCCATCAACCGGTTTCCTTACAGCAGAGTCTACTGGAACTACGAATTCTATAGAATATGACTGCATAGAAAACAGGGTTCTGGACCGCGATCGTGCATGTCGGTGAAAGCGAGACCAGGAAACGCACGACGCCACTTTAGGGGGAGTCGAGCAGAGGAAGAGGGAGATCCCTGCCACCTCCCTTAGCCTTTCTCTCTTTTTTTTTATTAGAGGGTGGGTAGAACGGCCGCTCGAACGAGCAATCACGACGCGCTGGTTAACAATTCCGGACCGAACGGGAGGCCCCAACGCCGTTGTGTATGCAAGTATGCAAGTTTTCCAAGAAGTGATGACGTTGAAGGAAGTTTAGAGCCCTCAATGGCTCGGTCCTGAATACGAGTCATGAAGCAGTGCGTGGACTGGCCCTAGCGACTGAGCTGTTCTGGAAGATGGGGCGAAAAAAGCACCCAGGGCAAGGGTCGGCTGATCATCCTGCTCCTGAACGAAGGGGCCGCAGGATGAAGAGGAATCCGGTCCTAGCCACTAGCTGGGGCCTATCACTCTTCCGACCTTATACAGATCACAGGGCTGGGAAGGGCTTCAATAAAGCAAGACCCTTGAGAGGCTCTCCCCTTCCGTGGAGCGAATCGGAAGACCAGGAGAACGAGCCGCGGAATGTTTCGAAGGCTGATGGCGTGAAAGTGTATATTACTCCCCGAGGCCCGTAAAGATTATTCACTGCCTGATCGACCTCCAAGGTGCTTGATCGGGAGACCCCCAAGCCAAGCCATCAAACATTTATCCGTTAGATGCCAGTGGACTATTGAATTCCAGTCCGCCACCGGGGGTAGATCCTGAAGAGATGATTTCTGCGGAAGTGATTGGGCAGACTCAGTGATAGTCAGGTTATATTAGGAGGGGGCAAGGGATCAAGGTTCATAGATTAGGCGACATGATCAAACAAGACATATGTAGGTTATTGACCTCCGTACGGAGTATATCAAGACCAACCCGGTTAGGCTTGTGACATCGAAAAAGCAAAAACTGTCCCAGACGATCCTTTATCCCCGTCACCGGAATCGGGGCTCTGGAGAAAAAGCAAAACAGCCCTGGAAGGCGCCCCGAGGTGATTGATCACAGCCGCGATATCCAAAGAAATGAGGCTGCCGATCCATCCAAGTCCGCGGAGACAGTTCAGGCACATCCGTGACGATACGATCTGCGGGAGTCGGAGAGAGTAGATAGTTACTGTGCCAGGATGATTCTTTTACAATGCGAACCGCTGATTGGCAACCCCCTGTTTGCAGCCAACTCCCCCGTTCCCCACCACGCTCCCGGTCCCTCGGCTTCTGCTAAATGGGACTAGAAGGGATCGTTGGGTAGGCAATTCATCTGCAGTCGGCCCGACGAGCTGGAACCAAATTGATCAGTTCACATGCGAAGGGGTATTCATGGTCCAGCAAGGGCCTGGCCTAGGAAGAATGTGAGGTGAGATAGGAGATACGGATCCAGGCGCCCTGTAGACTGGTAGGCCTACCTGTATGGCATCAAACAGCAGCCCATTCCAAAAAAACCCCAGGGTATAAAATCTGCAGAAGCCGAAGAGAGAGATCCGTTACGAATGCTAATCGGAAAAGCCTCAGTGGGCAGAGTGGAGCCTGGATGTTCCATCGGGCTTCCATTGTCCCCGTTCCCAGTTCCGCGAAAGGGAGGCAGTCGCGCGAGATTTGGAACCCCCCGATCCACTTCTTTCGAGAAAAAGACTCCGGAAATGTAACTTTGGGCCGTGGCAAAACCCCCCCCCTTGATCTTACTTATATTACCTCCATCCCTCTACGACTCCATCTTTTCCAACCCCCTCTTCTACAGATCTCCCTTTTTATTTCCGGGGACCTGGTCGGTGGATCCCCCCCCCTACCAATTCCATGCAAATCAAAGTATGCGCCACGATCATGGACTAATTCCTGCGTGATACAACCCCCGACATGGATTTCATCGTACGGCTCTCTGTTCGCTCGTGATATTGCTTCCCGGCCTAACACTGCGTTTCTTAGCTCTCCCTCACCCACTTCTGTGAGGTGCATGGTCCCACCTCCATCATTTGCTCACAAGTCCTCCCATTTGCCTGCGCCCACTGTCATCCGGATGCGGAGCAAACCGATCCCACCAGCTCTCCGCAGTCTAAATCGCCCGATACCACCTCCGAGGCTCCGGGCTCCAAGTCTCCAAAGATTGAAGATCATCCTTACTTCTTGAGGTCCCAGCCGGCTTCTCCCGAGGAGCGCTCGAACCGTGTCGCAGATGGCGACACATGTGCTAGCTGTAGCCTCTCGCTTCCAGAAGATGTCAGCAAGCAGCTACCTTCCGGACCCACCGGCCGCAAAGGCAGCCTGAGTAATGGCAGCAGTCCGGTCTTGCGATCGCGGGAGGTCGTTTATTCGTGCGGCAACAACCATTCGGACGCCGACGACGATACGCTGGATCCCCACTCCCACGCTTCTCCCCCCGAGTCCCTGCGCTCGTCCTCCATCGCATCCGATTCTTCATGTCACACTCACCTCCTCACATATCTCTCCCTGCGAGGTCCTCCCAACCCCGCCGACTACGCTCTTCTACGCCGCTCTTCTATTCGCACTCTGAGCTGTGAACTCCTCCCCCGCGGTCTCTCTTCCGGCCCTCTTTGCTTCGGGGATTCAGTCGCCGGCTACACCATTGCCTACATCTTCCGTCTTCCGGACCCCATGGCGCGTGGCAAACGCCGCAGCTACGCCCTCGTGGCGCTCGCCGGGAAGGACGCCGGAAGAGCTTTCAGAGCGTGCCCCATCATCTGGCGCGCATTCGGGCGCATTGCGTCCAGCATTGTCGGTGCCGCCGAGCGCTACCAGGAGGAAGAAAAGCGACGCGAGGAACAAAACAGCCCCGGCAGCCGATCCGGCGGCCGTCACAACCGACCCGTCTCCTCATTTCTAACTGGTCGCGGGATGGACCCGGGCCAGTCCCGCCGCATGGGTCAAATTCGCGCGCGCAACCTGGCGGAGATTGTCGGCAACCCGTACATTTTCACCGAGCTCCACGCGCATTTGTCGCACTTCTACAGCAGCTCGGGTCCATGTTCGGGGGTGTTCCGATCTCGGAGGAGCGCTTTGTCTGTAGCACTGTTGCGGATGACGAGAGCACCTCTGCTGCGCAGCCAGTCCTTGTTTCCAGCAATTCGGAGCGTTCCAAGCGCGGTTCTACCTCCAAATACGATGGTAACGACATCGACATGGCCAGACTCGACATTTCAGGCCCCCAGCCAATCCCGATTACTCAACGTTTCGTTGTGGCGTAAGCCGCTAATTTCTTTCTCACATCTGCTTCTCCCCTTTGTTGAGATACCCCGCTTGTTCTCTTTCAAGGCTTTTTCATTGAACGTTGATGCTTATCTACGCTTTTCTTTTCTTTGCTCTTTTTTGTTTCTTTCCAAGCGACATGGCTCTGGAAGGGTTTGTCTTTTTTTTGCATACTGATTCGGGTGGCTTTTCTTCGATGGATACTGGGCATAGATAATGGCGTCTTACAGACATGGACACGGAGTTCTTTGAGGCATTTTGTTTTGCTTTTGCGTTTCCTCTTTCCTTCTTGAGTGTCATGTTTCGTTTCTCGGCAGGGTTTCATCAATCTTGCTCTCGAGCTCGTACGTTGACGATTTGCTTGACGAGGCTTTCAAGAGATATGTATACTATGTATTATTTGAACATGATAAACGAAGTTGTTGCTGCTATTCCAAAGCTTTCTCCATAGTTGATTTGCGTAGCTCTATACCTCCAGTGCTTGTCATTGAGTCTTGGTATATCGTTTTTAGAACTGGGCGCAAGAAAGGAAGTGGTAGAAAACTGGTGGGTTTGACTAGACCCTGGTGTTGCTTTCTAGAGCTGGATAGGAATGAGGGCAGCCATTCATGAATCCTCATCTACTTCCATCTCGACGCTGTATGTGCTGTCAAATTTGCGCCACATAAAAAGGCGACATCAATCTCCAGATCCGGGCAGGAATCATGACTGAAAAACATCTTTAACTTAGCATTGGCCTGGCTATAAAGTCCCCTTCTAGTGGTCATCATAGTTTGATAGAACCTAGAATGCCTGACAAGAACTGGGGCCCTTTCCCTCCAGCTTGAATATAGCTACTAAATCCATGCTGTAGAGCTGAGAGCATCATCAATTTTCAAGTTTGTCTTAGCACATAAACAGATGAAGTCCATGACCCCCAGCGACTGTGACCGCTAGCATGGGCTTGCCAGGGACCGTTCGATATTCTGCATTTATCGCAAGAATTATCTCAGAAATCGAAGCAGAAGGCATCTATACTATCCAGGATCTATATACAGGGCCCTCTCTGACTGGTCGATTACACAAGTACCTTTGCCCAAATGTCAGCTGTATAGTTCGGGCGGATAAACTAACCGCTTGAAGTTCTTCCGGTCACACCCGGGGCCACAATCAAAAATCCCACCAAAAAGAACCTCAATGCGACCCGCTCTCTTTTAACCCCCTCATTCACGAATCCAACAAGATGGTCGCCTTCGACAAGTGTGAAACCCGACCGGCCCATATCGACGCCATTCTTAATGGCCTCGATCGGTACAACCCCGAGACCACCACGATCTTCCAGGACTACGTGACCCAGCAGTGCGAAGAGCGAACTTTTGACTGCTACGCCAACCTGGCATTGCTGAAACTGTGAGTGCTAGATTTTGTCGCTATCTACGAAAAGCCGCTCCTATGTGCGATCCTTGGCTTCATGTGATGAACGAACTTCTTCAATACACGTTTCCTATTACCTGACCAACCGTCAAGTATGGTGTTGTTGAGAATTTCAATCCCTGAAATCCTGCAAGTAAACATATTGCATGGAAGAAAGTCGACTCCGCATTTGAAACGCTCGGAAACCCGAGACCGATGATGACAGTGGCTAACATACGTAAAATCTGGAATAGCTACCAATTCAACCCCCACCTCCTCCAACCCGATACCGTAACCAATGTCCTCGTCAAGGCTCTGACCGTGTTCCCATCTCCCGCCTTCTCTCTCTGCCTCGCCCTTCTTCCTCCTCACACTCAGCCTTTCCCCACCACCTCCGAGGCCAAAGCGGCCTCGCAGACCTCTGACTTCGTCGAGTCCGTGCAAAAGCTCTCTCACCTCTCCACTCTCCTCGAGTCCGCCCAGTACACCCAATTCTGGTCAACCCTGAACTCTGACGACCTCTATGCCGACCTGACCGCCGATGTGGCTGGCTTTGAGGAGCTGATCCGTATCCGCATTGCCGTCGAGGTCGGGAAGGCCTTCCGCACCGTCAAGGCCGAGTCCCTGGAGCAGTGGCTGGACATCCGCGGCCGTGAGGCTCTCGAGAAGTTCGTCACTGAAGTTTGTGCCTGGAAGGTTGACGGTGCTCTCGTACAGGTCCCTGCCAACAAGGAGAACGAGGCTCGCAGTGAAGTTAAGAGCGAGCGTGTCGGCATCGAGCAGTTTGGCCGCGTTATCCGCCGCGGATTCGAGCTGCCCGTATAAGCGTTGTCACCTTGAGGTCTTGTCTTCCTTTGTTCCTAATTTTCCCTTGTTTTTCTCTTCTCCATCCCTTCATTCAATCTCAAAAATTGAAAGGGGGAAAAAAAGACATGAGTTCATGAATCCCCGATCCGTGGCGACGGTGATAGATTTCGCATGGAGGAGGCTCGGAGATGAGTCGGGACCTGGCGCATCTGGCGTTTCTTTCTCCTGTATTTCTGTATGAAAGTCCTGTGTTTTATGCTCAAGATGAGAGTGCTGGAAGGAATGCTCTTGTTCATACCAAAACACCTCCCATACAATACCGAGTCAACTATGGCTCCAATATGAAAATTCCGAGAATTGAACCCCTTTTCATCCTACAAATAACTCATTAAGTAACCACGGCTGCAACGACTAAGAAAAAGGAAATTCTATTTTTTGATATGCAAGAGATCGTCTCAACTCTCGGATCCCTATGGGTATACATCAAGCAAAGCATCACAGTCATTGACTTTCCCATTGTACACCAGCCCATTCCTCCCTCCACCCTACCTTATACAACTCCTCCGGCGCACAATCCTTCGCACAAACCCCGACGATAATAGTCCCCCACTCCATACCCGCGTCATCCTTCCCAAGCCCAACACCCTCACGTCCCTCTTCAAGCATGCTAATAGCATGCGGCACAAGCTGCATCTCGAACACGCGCTCCGCACCACAGTACTCGCACGGTGGGATACTGCCACCCGCAGATACGGTCGTGACCTTGCCAGCGGCATGGCCAGCATGGAAGCGCTTTCCAACCTGATCACTATAGGAGTACAGGAGCGGCGAGCCGCGGAACTCGTACCGGAGGACTTGCTCGGGGTTATGTGCGAGACGGGTAGAGAACTTCATGAAGGCCTTGTCGAGCTCCGACTCGAAGGTATCTTTCAGGTCGGCGCCGCCGCCGTCTTCATCCATTGGCTCCAACGTCACGTTTTCTGGGACCTGTGGTGTTGACGGGTTGGACATTGCTTCCATGTCGGCGTCGAGGTAGAAGTATTTGTATGGCGCCGGGAATGCGGACTGCGCAGGCCACGGGGTCTGTGGACCTGTGGATTCCGGAGTCTGCTTGGATGCTGCGCCCGGAGGGCTAGATTTGATGGCAGTGGGATCCGTCTCGGGAGACGAAAGGCGGACTTTGTCTGCGAAGGACGCGGCGAGGCCGTCTGTAGGGGCTGTGGAGTTGGAGGCTGGTTTGGGGGTAGCGAAGGGGTTGTCGCTCGGTGAAGAGGCGGGCTTCGTAGAAAAGGGATTTGTGTTAGCCGATACGCTGCCGACGAGCGAGGTCACTCCGAAAAGACTAGCACCGAGGTCTTGCTTGGGCTTAGGTGCCTCCTTCTCTGGTTTGGTTGCCTCTGGCTTTGCTTTCTCTGGCTTTTGCTCTTCCTGCGTGGAATCGAGATTTACCTTTCGCGTGGCCCGATAGGCGCGAATGCTGCCTGGTTTCCTGTTGCAAGGTTTCCTTGGGCACCCGAATATATACAGACGGCGCTCATTTATGGAGAAGTGGTCGGGCAGGTCACCATGGAGCTCGAGGAGCAGAGCCATAGGGTTATTGCAGACTTTGCAATTGGCGAATTCGCCTGGGGGAGGAGTCTTCTCGTCAATCCATGTCTAGATAATCGCAAGGTTAGCAACGTTGGGTAGTTAAATTTGCGATCTTGTGCACTAACCGGCCAACCGCCTAGATGGCTGATTTTGTCATCGTACTGCTCCTCAGAAGCATAGCCAAGAGTGACACTGGTCTCAGTAAAGTCCTCGTCCAGGCTAGAGTCGCTGTCGTAAGGATCCATACTGAATTGTAGATGTGCGCAGTCACAGAAAACCCCGCCGTCTAAAAAAATGTTGCGATAAGCGATAGGCCGCCCCACCGGCTCTGCATTATTGGCTGTCAGGCTCTCCCCCAGCTTCCGCGACATCATTGAATTGCTGCCTTCGAACACTTCTTGCCTGGACATCGACACCAGTTTGCATCTCCTCTCACCTACAGAGAGAACTGTTTATAGTAGCATTTGGGCCAAGATTCCCTATTTTAAACCGCATAAATTCCGAAGCCACCGGATGTTGCGAAGTGCTCCATAGGTCAACATCATGAGAGGCACTCGGAGCCAAAGTCCTTGGGGACTCTTATACACACTTTTGACTCTACTTTCGTTTTTATTCTTCAGCGAGGCGACTGAACAGCTTCCTTTGGGCCCACCTGCGGATGCTACCCCCAAAAGGGTCGCGATTATCGGTGAGAATACTCATACACACCGGCCTCAACCACCATATTGAAGCAACGGGCTAGTATTAATAGAGCTGATTCAATGTTTATAGGCGCTGGGGCCGGAAGGTCGTTTGCAGCATATGAACTTCGAAAGCTTGCGAAGTCAGCCAAAATACCCTTGAATATCACGATATATGAAAGAGAATCCTATATAGGAGGCCGCTCGACGACAGTTGATGCATTTGACGACCCAGAATACCCTACTGAACTCGGCGCTTCAATATTCGTCCAAGTAAATGCCAACCTGGTGAACGCTTCGCGCGAGTTTGGACTCGGTGTTCAAAGTGCATCAAATGATCGACCCGACGAAACGGAAGAATCCCTGGGTATTTGGGACGGAAAGGATTTTGTCTTCACGGTCAAAAGTGGCTCTACTTGGTTGAATCTTGGCCGGCTCATTTGGCGGTATGGGCTGGCTCCGCTGTGGACCCAAAACCTGATGAAGAAGATTGTGGGCAAGTTCCTGAATCTTTATGAAGAGCCCTTATTCCCATTCCGGTCCCTAACGGAGGCTGCTGCTGCCGTGAATCTGCTCAATGTGACGGCTGCTTCCGGGACGGAGTTCCTAAGTGCGAATGGAATCTCTTCTCGCTTTGCCCGTGAGATTATTCAGGCCAGTACACGTGTGAACTATGGTCAGAATCTGCCGTTGATCCATGGACTGGAGTCCATGGTCTGCATGGCTACCGATGGTGCAGTTTCTATTGATGGCGGTAATTGGCAGATCTTTGAAGGAGCTGTAAAAGCTTCCAAAGCTAATGTTCACTTGAACACGGCGGTTACAGATATTGTGCGTGGTGACGATGGTTCAGTTCATATAACTTCCAAGTCAACCTTAGGCGTCGACGGATCAGAATCGAGTGAAACTGGGTTCGACGAAGTCATTCTCGCTGGGCCTTTGCAATACTCGGGAATTTCTATCTCGCCACCTCTTGAGCATGTCCCCGACGAAGTTCCATATGTTAAGTTGCACGTCACCTTGCTCGCATCGCCGCATCGAATCTCGCCTGCGTTCTTCAATCGTCATAGCTCGAAGGAGATCCCAGAAAGCATCCTCACTACGCTGCCTGAAGATCTTGATCTAGGCTCAAATCCTCATGGGGTTGGGCCAGCTGGGTTCTGGAGCATTAGTACGCTGCGAACGGTGATGCGGACCGTCGTCAAGAAGGGCCAGGAGCAGCAGGAGCAGCATTACGTATACAAAATATTCTCCCCAGAGCGACCGACAGCGGAGTTTGTTGCAGACATTCTGGGACTTGACTGGTCGCACGACAAAGGCCCTGTTTCCACGCCTAAGGTTAATACATCTATTGGAGACCTGCCCCAGAGTGATATCAGCTGGTTCCACGAAAAATTCTGGCACCCCTACCCTCTGCTATACCCCCGTGTGACCTTCGAGGAGATTCGTTTGGCGCCTGGTGTCTGGTACACCAGCGGAATCGAGAGCTTTATCTCAACGATGGAGACGAGTGCATTAATGGGCCGTAATGTTGCAGCCCTCGTAGTCCAGTCATGGCAGAATCGGAAAGATGAGAAGGGCGATGATCGTTCAAGAGAGAGATCTGAGTTATAAGGCATTTTTGAGGTTCGAACGAAAGGTTATTACTGATTATATTCAAAATCGCTGTTACACCAGAGGCCCTTCCCAGATGACAAGAGGTATCCGGATCTTGGATCATCCTAGTATAACTACATCCCCTGAAGAGTCGCTGCGCTTTATATGGAAATTCAGACTTGGAGAGCATATCAGCTACAGGTCATGCCTAAGATTTGTATATTTAGATTGAGGACAGGCCTATACTGTTGCCAGATCACGAGATATTTCGTCCTAATAGTGATTCCATCCAATATGGGAGCGTCGAACATGCTGTTGGAGGAATTCAGCTATCAGTCCGTCTCGCTCTCACTCCCGGGGTATGCCTTCTTTCTCAGCTTCCATAACGACTTTTCACGGCGCTCAATGGCCTCTCGGTGACGGCGGCTGTTATCTTCCACGACCGTCATCCAAGGGACCTGGCTAGCCCGACGTATTCTCTCCCGCAATTGAGCAAGTGCGCGAGCGTGTGACGCTTGATCCCCCGTCTGCTTCGAGTGCCCAGAAGCCGCTGCTTCTTTACCGACCGAGAAAGATTGTTGATACTGGCGCTCAGCAGCTCGTGCAGCATGGTATTCTTCGCTGACAGCCCAATTGGGGTTGTCAAGCTGGCCACGAACCAGCACCAGCTGATGCCCCTGTTGAAATGTCTCACGGAGACTCGAAGGTGCGATAGGAGTGGACAATTCAAGTTTGTGTGATGACGGATCCACGGAGCGGATTAATGCCAGGCCAAGACAATTGGAGGCTTTCGGATCTGGTGGCGTGCCAGTTCCTGATACGGCGAAGAGGTAGGGAGGTCTTCTTGCGCAGTTCGTATTACGCTGTCCGCTAATGATTGGGCCGCCGAACTGTTGGGCGGAGGCTGTTCCGGGTCCATATCCATACCATCAGAGATGGGCTCCTCATCATTTTGACGTTGAGTGCCACCTAAGATTGCACTCGAGGATTCAACAGCAACAACACCGACAATTGACCCTTCTAGCACCTCACGGAGCATATCGGGATGGATCTGAGACCCCATAACCATAATGCCAGCAATTCCTTGCCTTGGACCAGCATAGTCCACAACGATGGGCCGGGTACGGGACAATGGCGTTCCCTGCCAAACGGGATTGTTGATTCCCTCCGGGTGAGACATGTGGAAGTAGGATTGCACTTGCATCGAGCGCAGTTGGGCACTAGATCGACTAACATAGTCGGTAGGTTGAGATGGTAGAATTGTCAGAGGAACACGAGCTTCCGCTGCGGCCACGCTAAGTGGCTCTACGACTTCGGACGGTCCCTTTTCGCTCATGTAAACCACATCGGAAAGGCCGAGGAACTTGACCAGCCACGTCGCTACTTCTAGGCCCTGTCCAAAAATCCACCCAGGGTAATTGACGATCAGCGGACATTGAGGATATTGTGCCAGCAATGAACGGTACTGATCCAGCAGGTCCATCGTTGCTAAGGCATAGTGATCGGGGTTTTCTTTTGGCGATGTTGCGCCTATGTGGTGCGCGCGCATGATCTTGCCATCTTGCGCAACATCTAGGGATGGGTGAGTGAAGGGTGGGCCGAAGAAAGGGGCTTTGAGATGTGCGAGGTAGATCTGACCCATTGGGGCGAATTCTGGCTGTCCTGGATCGAGGTCGATGAAGGCAACGCCATCAGAATTGGTGAATCCATTTTCTGTCTCTGGAGCAGGACTGAGTATGTGATTGAGTAGGAGGCGACTGAATGTAGATTTGCCAGAAGCTTTGGGACCACAGACCAGTACCCGTAAACGGCCTTGCTTTTGAGATAATGCCTTCATCGAGGCACTCCATTTTTGTCGAGATGTAGTGGACGAATATGCCGTTTCAATGAGTCATCTGATGTAGTATATAGCTATTGACTGTTAGATGCAGATACCGATAAAGCCTCGCTGGGAACTTACCACTGAGAAAGTCCGGCGAGAGCCCTTGGGAGCGGATTTCAGTGTGACTTTATCTGCAGCAGTGTTTTGACCATTCCATATTCTCTGATATAACGGTGACAGGTCCCGCAACTGAAAGAGCCCGCTTTTACAAGACTTAATCTCAACTTCTGCTGCACCGTCCGTGCTCGAGACGCACTTTATGACAGGCAGAGAGTGAGTCGCAGGAGCGTACACCCTGTAGAGTTTCGGAGAGGGATGTAATTTGGCACCCATAAGGCTGACAACTCCGCGTTTCACCCAGAGGTCGTATTGGCCTATTAATGCCAAATTCTTTCAACAATATTAGCGTGATATATGTGTAAAAATGTAAAAAGTCTCACCATTTTCTCCGCAATACGAATGCAGAGTGTAGTCTCGTCGGAGTATACTATGTTGCTCTTATTTAATCGAGTCTTTGATAGCGGGAAATTTTGAAGCTCCGCAGGTGTCTCTGCGGGTGATTCATAGCCATCAGGGTCGCCAGCGACAGACGCTACTTCGTCCTCCGACATCTCTTCAGGAGCCCCGGCAAGGGATTCTTCATAGGATTCTTGTTCGCCCTGATTATCTCCTTCGTCGACCTCTGAGCCGGATGACTGAGTCTCGGTCTGATTGGGTCTGGTAGATTGTCTCGTGACGGGTCGTTTCTCCGTTGGTGGCGGGCCTTGTTGTTTCTTAGAACGCGTTCGAAGATTGCGAGGCTCTGAGTCCACTTTTTCAGCGACTGTGCTCTCAAGAGATCGACGAGGGCGCTTCGAAGGTGGCTCTGATGCTGCTTCTTCAACCGCTGGTTGGCTTTTCGCAGTCACAGTTTGCGCTTGCTGCTGCCGAGCTTTGCGCGCTGCGACAGCGCTCATTGGGGCTATGAACACATTAGTGACTATGCAATTGTTCATCGCGATGAACTGGAGCTTTACCAGTGCCCATTTGCTTATCAGCTTTTCTTTTCATCATATTAGTCCACTGAACGACTCCGGGAAGGTCGATAAATGCGGCACTCGAGCTGATAAGCAAAAAAAAGTTGGCATGTTGGTCCGTGCGCCGCGGAGCAGAAAAAAAAAGATCCGCCAACATCAACTTTCCAAACGTCTGCGACTTTGCGAGTTGCAATTCGATGCCCTCGAGAAGTTCTGCGGCTCACAGGCGATAAATTGCGACCTAGAGGACTCCTTTTCACGCCGGATCATATTACGAACAATACGCCGCACACTATTTAGGCTCGTGGGGAACGACTCTTGTCGCAATGGCCGCCTCCTCCTCCGATAGCGATAGCAGCTCCAGCCGCTCTACTTCGCCAGAGGCAGGTCATGTTCAGAAGCCATCAGTAAAAGCAAAAACCGAGGCGAAAAAAGATAGTGACGAAGATTCGAGCTCCGACTCCGACTCCGACTCGGCTAGCGATTCAGGATCCGATAGTAGTTCCGAACCTGAGAGCGAGTCAGAAAGCTCCGATGAAATGGATACCAGCGAGGATGTTGCCGAGAAAGACCCCAAAGCTCAAAAGTAGGCCCTTCTATTGAATGTTGACAATTTCACCAATCTAATTACATGATTCTAGACATCCCGTGAAGGCCTTCAAGGCACCTGCTGGCTTCAAGCCTGTACAGAAACAAGCACCCCCGTCGTCGAAAACCTCTTCTCTTCTCTCCAACTTGCGCGGCAAGCAGGTGGTCCACATCACTGCGCCATCTTTCCTCCCACTGTCCAAGGTCAAGGAGATCACGATGTCCAAGATCGCCAAGGGCGAACCGATTCTCTCATACGAAGGCACAAACTATGGCATTCCCGCTGAATCTTTCAATAACGAAGATCCAGACAGCAAGTCTCTACTTGTCTTCGACCCAAGCACCCAAAAATACAGCAGATCAGCCGAGCAAATACCTAGTTATCACATTCAGGAATTATTCAACATTCCACAGCCCGACCATGCCGCAATTGAAGCGCTGCGAGATACCGTGAAGCCCCCACGGCCTCAGCCCAAGAACCTGAAGATGCGATTCCGCCCCGTTGGCAGCCTACCTGCCGCTCCAGAGACACTGGGCTCTGACTCAGAGTCGGATGAGCCCTCGTTCAAGGTTCCTCCTGGAGACCGTGAAGAGCGCAAGCGTAAACATCAGCACACGGATGGAGATGCTTCCCAAAATGCTGCTTCGCCAAGCAGAAAGAAGTCCAAAAAGCATTCATCGCAAGAGAATGAGGAGAAGCCTGAAAAGAAGTCGAAAAAGTCACACAAGGACCGCGAAGAGAAGAAGCGGAAAAAGTCTGAAAAGGCATGATTTGGCGTCCGGTTTCGTTTAGCTAAAATATGTTTTGTTGGATGATTTACAGGATAAGTTCAATGTACAGTTTCCCATTTCGTTTGATATGCTTTCTTGAAATGCGTGGATGGTTGTAGTAAACTCAGTGTATGTCATCCATTATTGATTTATATGCGAGCTTAAGGTACGAGACGATTCATAAATTGGGCTCAAGCCACTACGGCCTGAATACACCTTTCATTATATTGCGCACATCATCTTTGGCGGAGGTTTGTGTGGAAGTTCTCCTGAACACTGACGAGCTGCAATTTTCTTCCATCCACACCACGTTCTCTCTCGCCCTTCTCATCATCAGACGACCGTTCGGCAAACTCCCATTCAGTACCAGCGGCAACTTCAAGGTTCTTGCCCCGGGTCTCCTTAACGAAGAATAAAAAATCGCAGCGACGACATCGAAGCCCATGAAGATGAGGAAGGTGCTGGCACCTACTTTTTTGATCATGTAAAGGCTCGAGAAGGAAAAACAGAATGACGTGGCCCAGTGCCACTCGCGAGATGTTCCTGCAATCGAAGAGTTTTGTTGGACCCCATAGTCCACCCAGTATGCCAGGAACACACCCCAGGCATACATCCACTGGTAGAAAGAGCCGCAACGACCACGGATCTCCTTGGGCGTCATCTCCGCTGAGTACATGGGTATCACAACGCTCTGGCCGCTCATTCCCAGACCTGCGACAATACGCGCGACATACCAGGCAGGCAAAGAACGGGTGTTGATGGCCTGGATGATCACGCCGATGATGAAAAGTTCGGTCGAGCCAATGATAGTCCATTTGCGACCATAGCGAGTATTAAGCGCATGGTTGGCTTACTCGCGGTTTGGCAATTTCTCTATTACATGCCGTGATTGAGCCACAACTACCGATGCACGTTCCGGGAACTTTGAACCCGCCAGCTCCATCTGCGAGTAAATTTGGCATGCGGCAAGTCCAGAATGTCCTCATAAGGCAGCATTCCAGGGCTCCCGAGACCGAGTCGATCTCCGCGATGCGTAAGTAGTACGGTGGATCTCCCGTAGGCCCCCGAGCACCATAAGCTCTTCCTCCAGGGCTCGATTGTCACTCGAGCCTATCCTGGCATGAAAGCTACTCATCTATCATCTCCTGCATTCTTGATCGTCTTTTGCCCCATGGAAGTCAAATTTAGTTACATAAGCATCACCTGACCAGTGGACTCCGGTTATCACATGGCAACCTTGCGGGACCAGCTGATGGCGTCTTGTTCGGGCTTTTTTACTCTCTTTTCGTCCAGACTTTTTTTTCGGCCTCGGGGTTCGTTGGTCCCAAAGCACACTAGCCTTGACTCACAACTTCCGTGGCTTCTGCAGCGTCGGGCCAGGACGCATAGAGCTCGGAGCTGATTTGCTTATCACCTAAAGAAGAGCTCCTTATCGGGTCTCTGGGGTGTTGGCTCCCGGATTCCCCACCGAAGATATCCTTAATCGTCCACGTTGCTATGACCGTAGTCAGTTGCGTTGGTCCTTTGATACCGCCTGACGTGGGCATTCTCGGCATCGTTCCAGACCGGTCACCTGCGAGGTCCTGTGCAGGTGCAGCTATCTGCCCTCGCTATCCCATTTCATCTTCATACCCTATACACTTATGTCAAACGTGAAGATGGGGCCTTCGGACGATGCTCGAAGGCGTTCCGATCGGATGAGTGCGAGTATGAGAGCTCCTCCCACTCATCGATCATCATTCGCAGACAGACTCCCCGCGCGCTTCAGAGACGGCGACGACGCCCAATTCGATTTCACCGCCCCTCCCCCGAGTATGAGCTCTCGAGATGGCCACCCTCATTATATGCAACATTCGTTGATTTCGATGATTGCTGCGGTCGGCTCTGCGTCCGACTTCCGAGCCCGATTTGATGATCCGAGCGACAGCGAAGGAGAGGCGGATCTGAATCAAAGGAAAGACTCACAGCGAACATCATTCCAAGAAAGCTCCATAGATTCATCTTCCAAAGAGCCCCCTCAACCCAGCCTCGCACTACAAACAGAAGATCGAGGACGTCGTCATCAAAGAACGTTATCGGCTGATTTGCGCCGGAGGATGTCTGATGCGAGTTTGAAAGACAAGTTGAAAGACAAAGAAAGTAAAGCTGCTGGCCCTAGTGGATCAACTCTCTCACTTCCACCACGCCAAGCTCGAAGCGTTACTCCACGGGCCGCCCCCATTCTCACCCGCATGGTTCGAGCGCAAAATCGGTTCGATACAGCCGCGGCACCAGAGCAGCCGCCCTCAAGACCGGATACGCCGAGTGGAGACCGACCGCAAATATCTGGGTCGGCCCTCTCTACGCGTTTGATGGAAATGTTCGGATTTGAGAAGCCTGAGAAGGTAGTAGTGGAGTATGCATGTGCCCTGCTGCAAAGCATGCTTCTCCAGGGCTATATGTACGTCACTGAGGGTCACGTCTGCTTCTATGCATACTTGCCAAAGAAGTCCAGTGTGGCAATAAAGTCTGGCTTTCTGTCCAAGCGTGGCCGGAAGAATCCCAAGTACAATCGGTACTGGTTTGTTTTGAAGGGTGATGTTTTCTCATATTATGCCGACCCATCAAATCTCTACTTTCCCAGAGGCCATGTCGATCTTCGGTACGGCATCTCGGCATCACTTGCTGAGCCGAAAACGAAAGGCGCTGAAGTGAAAGACTTCCATGTCACCACTGACCAAGGGCGTACTATTTCAGGGCTGATAGCTCCGCAAGCGCGAAAGAATGGGTGAAGGCAATCCAGAAAGTTATATTCCGATCCCACAATGAAGGCGATAGTGTCAAAGTGTCATTCCCATCGACAAAATGATTACCATTGAAGAGGGTCCAATGGCTGAATACGCAGAGACTTTCAAGATTGTGGTGGACAATGATGAGACATTTGCAATTGATGAAGTAAGTCGCAGACTGCCAATTCGAAAAGACAATTCGCTAACATTGCACAGTACTTTTTCTCCTTTTTTGATGCTAGCCAAGAAGCATTCAACCACCTTAAGAGCCTTGTAAACTCGTCGCCCATCAGAAAGCCGACTGGGGCATGGCGGGCAGGCGACGATAGAGCTAATATCGGCACAACGGCAACGGGTCTGAAGAGACTTTCTGGTAGTAGTGGTCGACGTTCAGACGAAAGGCCCTACTTACAAGAGCCCAGTAGCAGTGCTATTGACGCAGCACATGGATCAACAGATTCCTTTGCTTTCTCTTCGGACCAAGGAACGGAATCATCGCACGTCATACAATCCATGACGGAGACGGGATCAGCAAGCCAGATTCTCAACCGCAACGATTTGTTCCAGTCCCCTACCGTGCCGTCGGCCAGGCGTGCTTCCGACTTAGAAAGCCCTGCTCGCCGGCGATCCGATGACACTACTCGCTCAATTCCAGCACAAGCGGGCGCGACGCAACGGAAATCCCGCGGAACTGCTGATATGGAAACCTCAGAGAGCTTGCCTTATGCCTCTACTTCGACGAATGACCATTTGCTTCAGTCTTCTAGCTACCATTCAAGTGTCCCGGACATGGTTAAAGCCGGAGTTTATCCGCGCGCCGCCGCTCTTGGAAATGCAGTGAAGACATACAGCAACCTGTTAGCAACTGGCTCAATGGGCTACATAGAGAAGGTGTCCGGCATGTGGATCGGGGGTCAGAAGCACTATGGTGAAACCGAGGGCATACTGGCAGAGAACCAGGGCCCTGATCTAGAAGAGAAAGAAAGTGATGCAAATTACGGGGATCGATTCCGTGCTCATTTCGCTCTCCCGTCGACCGAGAGATTGCAAGCAACATACTACGCCTACCTGCATCGCGTGCTACCACTGTATGGTAAGATTTACATCAGTGAGAGGAAGTTTTGCTTCCGCAGTCTGATTCCTGGGACTCGGACGAAAATGATCCTCCCCCTCAAGGATATTGAGAATGTGGACAAGGAGAAAGGCTTTCGATTCGGTTATCACGGTCTTGTAGTCATCATTCGTGGACACGAGGAGCTATTTTTCGAATTCAACACGGCCGATGGACGAGACGACTGTGCTGTCACATTGCATCGAAATTTGTCAGAAGTCAAATTCTTGGCAGAATCTGGTATTTTAGCTGAGGAGGAGCGTGAAGAGGTCGAAGCTGCGAAGGCCGAGCATGCTATGCTGCAGGAGGCTCGTCTTGATAACCCAGGCGAACACGAGGCACATCCCTCGCTCCGTGAAGATTCCTCTGAAATACAACCATTCTTTGACGACACTCGCGCTTCGATCATTCATTTCAAGCCACCAGAGCCTCTGAGGATCACCTGCTTGACTATCGGATCTCGAGGAGATGTACAGCCCTACATTGCTCTCTGTAAGGGGCTTCTTGCAGAGGGCCATAAGCCGAAGATTGCGACACACGCCGAATTTGAGCCCTGGATCAGAAAACACGGAATCGATTTTGCCCCGGTGGATGGCGATCCCGCAGAATTGATGCGCATTTGTGTCGAGAATGGAATGTTCACTTACTCCTTCCTCAGAGAAGCATCCCTGAAATTCAGAGGCTGGATTGATGACCTGCTTTCTTCTGCGTGGCGAGCTTGTCAAGGGAGTGATCTCTTGATAGAATCACCGAGCGCTATGGCTGGCATTCACGTCGCAGAGGCCCTTCGAATTCCCTACTTCCGAGGGTTCACCATGCCGTGGACCCGAACTCGGGCGTATCCCCACGCATTCGCCGTTCCTGAAAACCGCATGGGCGGTGCTTACAACTATATTACTTATGTCATGTTTGATACTGTTTTCTGGAAGGCTATTGCAGGCCAAGTGAACCGTTGGCGCAACAATGAGCTTGGCCTAAAGGACACTAGTCTGGACAAGATGCAGCCGAACAAGGTCCCTTTTCTATATAACTACTCCCCTCCGTGGTCCCTCCTCCTCTCGACTACCCTGATTGGATTCGCATCACTGGGTACTGGTTCCTGAACGAAGGGACCGACTGGGCTCCTCCGCCCGAGCTATCAGCTTTTATTGATCGTGCCCGTACTGATGGCAAGAAGATTGTATATATTGGTTTTGGATCTATCGTTGTCTCCGACCCTGCAGCTTTGACACGAACGGTCATTGAGTCGGTTCAAAAAGCTGACGTTCGATGTATCCTTTCCAAGGGCTGGTCCGATCGCCTTGGAGACCCTTCAAGCGTGAAAGTGGAAATCCCTTTGCCTCCAGAGATTTATCAGATTCAGTCTGCACCCCATGACTGGCTCTTCTCCCAGATCGATGCAGCAGCCCACCACGGCGGTGCCGGAACTACGGGTGCAAGTCTTAGGGCTGGTGTGCCAACCATCATCAAACCATTCTTTGGTGATCAGTTCTTTTTCGGCTCTCGGGTCGAAGACCTTGGTGTCGGGATCTGCATGAAGAAGCTTAACGTCAGCGTCTTTTCCCGTTCACTTTGGGAAGCTACGCATAGCGAGCGGATGATTGTTAAGGCGCGCAACCTGGGCGCTCAGATACGCAGTGTAAGTTCATCTCGCCTTACTAGGATTTCCAACAGATACTAACATCTAATTTTTGTTTGTCTTCCAGGAAGATGGCGTTGCAACCGCCATCCAGTCACTCTACCGTGACCTTGAATACGCCAAGACCCTGGCACAACAGCGATCGAACATGTCATCTACCCCATTCTCTCCCACACCTTCCGCTCAAACCTTGACTGAACAAGGCGATGAAGAGGTAGATGATATCGAGGAGTGGACCTTCGTTGGCGACGACACGGAGGTCAACATCAATATCTCGAAGCGCATGCGTGAACGCGCCGCCTCAGACGCCGACCCGATGGCTTCAAGCCAGTTCCTTCCATGATTTTTGATAGCTTCTCTTATGTTTTTCTTTGTCTCTCGGAGCCGAATTGGTTTTTTTTTTTTGCCTGTGTTTGTTTGAATTCTTCGATGTGTTATGACTGGACGGGTGACCTTCACGATTTACGAACCTGCATTTTGCTGTCTTTCCATCTACGGCGTTTTATACATCGGGCTTTCTTTGGCTTACTGGGGCTGCTTCCTACTCAATACACTATTTCAACTTTTAATAACTATTACAATTAGATTATCACTTCCGTTTCTGATCTGGTGCATTTCAACTGTTTTCTGCGCGTTGGGGAATAATGGAAATTGGTAGAAAACCTACTCCTATGAGAAATGGCGACATGAGAGAATTAGCTGTCAGTCTTAAACCTTCGGAGGCTTGACCGTTGTCATCGGGAATGAATGACTAATCAACATCGCCCGGGGCTGACACCTCCAGCATGAGCTTAGAGTTCAACGGTTTGTGCTGCTAGTACTGCTAAGGCTGTTATTAGTACTAGTAGTAGCTGGGGACTTCTTGATACCAAGGCCACTGGTAGGATGGTAGCTGAAAGGCGGAAGTTTACCCACTCCTGCTCGCGATGTAGGGCCTCGAAGCTGAAGTGTGATAGGAAAGTGCCATGTGTATGTATCCTTTCTCAAGCCCATGAAATCCGCTAAAAAAAAAAACAATTAGATCGAGTGTATCAAACGCAACATTGGCCATCTGTGCCGCAAAGATGAGCGAAATCCAAGAGCAAAGCCCTCAAAGAACGGCAGCAAGCCAAAGGCCGCAGCTGAGAGAGCACCTGATGTCGAGGAGGCGGCTCGAACTCTCGATAATTTTATAGATGACACTGTTCATGCATACTTCTCTCGCCCATCCGGAGCAGGGCCTGGAACAAAACCAGGTGTTTCTCCTGACTACCCTAATATGTACTGGGAGAGCAAGGACCGTCCATTTAAGGACCCCGCAAGAGAGGCCCTAGTACAAGAAGTCGTCACAGTGCTTCCAGAACCCGAACTAATACGCCAGCTCTATGGTGTCTTCGCTACGCGTTGTCAAGCGCCTCTCGGGAATGTCTTTCACACGCCGACGTTCCTCCAAGCTGCCGAGACCTTGTATCTTGAATCGGAAACATTGGCGGATAAAGCTCGTCATCTTTCAAGCACTTTCACAATGGAAGAAATCTCGTGTTTCTTGCTAGCGGTATGTTGGACCACATTGCATCCAGGTGTAGAAGATACCAAGATGCTAGTACTGACCTTTCTGGATCAGTTAATGCTTGGGCTAGACTTTCACCCCACACCGAACATGATCGGCGGGTCTCCCACGCCGTTGAACTTCAGAGTAGAAGAACTTCGATCTTCGGGCATTCGCAAGACATGGAGATCACTCGCCCTGCGCTGCCTCCAAGGACGCATGGCGTTATTTTGTGGTTCTATCGCAAGCTTGCAGGCTGCAGTCATGCTTCTCCTGGATAGCAAAGACAGGCCGCTGGAACTCGACGCCCTTTTGGGCACAGCAATATCAGGAGCTCGAAAATTGGGACTGCATAATCTAGGAGACGCAAAGGTGTACATGCCCGACCCGGCGAGCTCATTTAGCGATTCCAGAACGAATGCTACTTCGCACGTGAGAACTGAAGTTGGGATTCGGATTTGGTAAGTAGATCTGATTGTTCATAGATCGGCCTTCCTGACATCGTTGTAGGTGGGCGCTGGTCGTCCGAGACTGGTCTCGAGGGCATTCATTGGGATACTATAGTATCCATCCATCTCATTTCAACACTCGGGTGCCATTGCATATTAATGACGATGACATGAACATCCCATGGCAGATCGAGAGGCCTCCGGTCACTGAAAGACCGCGTCCTGAATTTACAATGCTCTCGTACACAAGATATGCGATTGACATCGCTATCTTAGCCCGCGAATCAATCGACGCCCAAAATGCCTCAATGCGAGAACCGCAAGCCACCGGTACGCAAAAGAAACTAAGCAAAAAGCACGAAAAGTTCTTACATGACCTCCCTGCACACTTCAAGCCAGAGAATACCCTCGGCCTGGGGTCTGCGGGCCTCCTTGCTGCGGTTCCAGTGCACAAGTGGATGCTGCATCAGCAGCTATGGAGCCTGTTTTTGCGCCTTCATCGAGGCAATCTCTCTTCTGATAGTCGAGCCGCTTGTCGTCTCGTGGCGCAAAATATCATCACCACATATGCACAGATGCGACAGAGGTGCACTGTCTGTGGCTCGCTTTCTCTTGGGACGAAACAATTGTTCAACGCTGCTGCGCTTCTTCTCCTCGACATGCTCTTCGCAGTCCATTCGAATACATCGCAGAGCGCCGAGGTGAGCCTGGGTGAGGTCGTGGTCAAAGATAAAATCAAAGAAGCTGTCGGGCTTTTGAAAATGCATTGCAGTGAGCCAGGCGATACAATTGGATTGCAAAGAGCCCGGTCTCACAATGAACGATGCGCTCTCGTATTAGAAGCATTGCTGGATCTGGAAAAAGACGCTGAGATCTATGGAAGTAATTCTGAAAATAGATCGAGCCAACTGCTTTCCCGCATCAAAAGAAAAGTCGCAGAAGTGTGCTCTGATGTCTCTACAGGAGACACAACAGCAGGGTCTTCCGAATCTCCTACCCTGTCCAATTCGAACATCACATCGAGCTTGCTCAACATAGATAACAACTCGTGGGAAGAGTTGGATGTTCTTCCCATAGCCTCGAATGATTCAGACTGGGATTTTTGGCAGTTCATGAACTTTGATTTCGATGATACACCTGACGCCTGTCTTCAGGACTTCGGACCCCTACTGTGATCACTCTGGAAAGATCAACTGCGTTCGAAAAAAGGAGCCGTAGAAGCGAGAGTTGCCAATAAACCAGTGATATTGTTTTAGTCTTCTTTCGGGGCAAATAAAGATCATCTCTATGAATCGATTAGCCGCCCTGCTTCTTCTCTTCGTCATCCCCCTTGCCCTCGGCCTTCTCTTTCCTCCGTTGTACGACGTCCCAATTATAAACCCGTGCCGTGGCTACCTCGAGAGTCTGCAAACCAAGTCAGCATCCATCGATAGGAGAGAAGACCGCAAAAACAACATACCGTGATCTGCTCACGTAAGAACTCCAAATCCTCCTCGCAATTACCCAAGCTTTGCTCCGCAGCCGCTAGTTTATCCTGGAGCATGGTCGTAGCTTCGTCCAGCGGGTACGCCAGCATAACATTCGCACCAAGCCAGAGGTAAACCTCCTCCGTCTCAGCAATCGGAATGGAAGCGCGAGCGTAAAGTGTATCGTTCAGTTCGAAGTTTGTCTCAAGTTCAGACTCTGGGTTATTCTGCTCGGAGGAAGGAAGTAACAAAAGAGGCAACCAGTCAGACCAAAATATACTCTATATTATCCAGACATGAACACCACAGGGTAGAACTCACCTCTTTTCGCGTCTTCAGAAACCGCACCATCTCCAATGTCTTCTTGATATCTGGGATCTTGTCGCGCAGGCCCTGCGCGCGACGTTGTGTGTTCACCTCCATGAACTGGTATTTGGAGATCATCTCCTGGAACGAACGGAGCGTGGGCTCGACCTCGGCGCGGGAGGAGACGTAGTCGTTCACATCGTCGATGAAAGGCGCCACGGGGATTCCCGTGGGTTTGTCTGTGTCGTGGCCGAACTAGAATGGAGGGGTTAGTTACGGCAGTGGCAGAGAGCCCAAAAAATTAGGAGCGAAGCGGGACGAGACGACGGCGCAAACTACCACGCTCTTCCAGCTTGCCAGGAAAAAAAAAGAATTGAGGAACTTACGCCGTGGACTTGGAGTCTGCCATGGCTGGGCGTGGAGTTGTCCAGAGCCCTCAAACTCGAAGTGGGGAGAGCTTGGCTTGCTTTCTGCCCGCTGCGGGTCTTCCGCTCTGCTCGCCGCTGGACACCACCGTTACAGTTTGCAAGCGGCGAGAAGGGGAAACACACCATTGCGCTGGGCGTTTGGAGTTGCGGAGCGGATATGGTTTTTCTAGTTACGACCCCTCGGATCCTAGCAGCGTGGACTGCTGTCCCGGCTGAGCGCCGCCAGGAGCTCGATCTTCCGGCGGCGCTGGACTTGCACGGTCCGATTGCGCACGCGCAGCTCCTCCGATTGTCGAAATACCTTGAGAACGACTCGGCATACACATCTTCAATTGCCGGAAATGAACCTCCAGACCCTACCGTCCTGAGCTCGCTCCTCCGCGGCACAAAAGTCTACGTCCCCCCGCCGCCCAAGAAGCCAGAACCCGTACGTGTACTATACTGCCGGACCCCCCCCCCCCCCCCGGGGGACTCCAGTCCAAAGAGAAAATGGCATACAACTAACGTTCGACACCCAGTCCCAAGAATACCTCGCCTCGAAAGCGCGCCTCACGGCCATCGCCGACCAACAAGCCTACAACCGCCTCTTGAACCCAACCTACACCCCAAATGCAGACTACGCGGACCCGCACGCCCTGCGCGACACGCACGGCCAGCCGGTCTTCACGGAAGATACCCTGACGCCGTCGCTGGTGTTCAATATCTTCCTCTCCGTGCTGATCACGGGATTCAGCGTGTACTGGGCTCTTAGTACTTTCCACATGCCGGGCATCCTGGCGCGGACCTTCTCCAGCTGGACGGGTCCTAGGGCCGAGGGAAAGGAGAGACAGGGGGCGTCAGATGCGGTGCGGGTTCTGCTTTCTATTTTCGCGGCGCTGGCGGTGGCTGTGGCGGAATCGTTCCTGTATGCTGCTTATCTGGGGAAGCTGGAGAGGGCGAGGATTGCGGAGAGGAAGCTTAAGGAGCGGAAGGTGTTGGTGGGGGCGTTTGAGGGGGAAGGGAGCGAGGAGAGGGAGGATCTCGTAACTGTGGGTGAGAAGGAGGAAATTTGGGGAAAGGGATTGAATGGGGGTGTGAGGAGGAGGTTGAGGGAGAAGTATGAGAAGGGGAAAAAAAGATTTAACTTGACCGTATCGGCTAATAAGATTCACCTATCTGATTGTAAATTACTCTTTATATATCCTAATTCGGGGACATTTCAATTGTGGATGTGAATTCTTTTGGTTTCATGGTCTAGACCTAAGCTACAACATGCTGTCATTATTTTAACGGGTATGGATGCTGTTCAGTCATTAGTGCTCGTCTCAATAGAGAATAGAGAACGAGATGCAGGGCGTGAAGAATAAGAGGGCGAAACGGCGGATAGAGCTGCCAGAGTCAACTTGTTCCCGGACAGCGACAAAGGAAGTGAGGAAATGAAAAGGAGGGGAAGTAAAAAAAAAAAGGAGACATCTCTAAGCCCGCTTCTCGAGAAGCAGCTTGCCAGACGGTGGCTTGTCGCCAAAGTTGTTCGCGCGGCTGAAGATGCATTCGCCGCGCAGCCAGGTCTCGCGGACCATCCCACGCAGGGTGCGGCCTTGGTAGGGCGAGCACTTGTTGCGGAAGAGCATGGTGCTGGGTTCCACGGTCCATTCAGCGGAGTCGTCGAAGACACAGATATCGGCATCGAATCCGGGACGCAGGTCACCTTTGCGGGTTTGCAACCCGACCTGGGCGGCGGTGTTCGCACAGCACAGGCGTACGATATCTTGCAGGGCGTTCTTGGTGTTGTCGTCTTCGGGAGAGGGAGTCAAACCCTTGCGGCGGCTGAGTTCGGTCCAGAGAATGGGCAAGCCCAGACCGACCGAGAGATGCCACCCCACGCAGAGAAGAAGTCCCCGCTCTCTTCCTGGCTGCTTTCGCAGTGACCAGGCACATGGGAGGGGAGTTGCTTCAGGTTTGGGGTGCAGGGAGAGTGGTCGGAGACGACGGTCTTGATGACTCCATCGCCGGCGTGCTTCTCAAGCTCCTCCCACAGACCATCTTGGTTCAGCTGGGAACGGATCGGTGGGCAGCACTTGTGACGCGTATCGCCGTCCCGGATTTCCTCGGCAGCAAGTGAGAGGTAGTGGAAGCACGTCTCGGCAGTAATTTTGACGCCACGGGCACGAGCTTCCCGCAGGAGAGGGATGGCTTCCATGGCCGACAGATGGACAATATGCAACTGAAGGTTCGGGGCGAGATGGGCCATGGACAGGATTCTATCAATAGCACATATCTCGAACTCTGAAGGGCGGGAGGCCAAGAAAGTCGAGTATGCCTCAAGAGGCCCAGTTGGCGCAGCCGGAGCATCAGAGGTCTGGACCTCGTCACCGACCGAGGCGGTGATTGGAGGCACCATCTCCGCGTGGAACATAAGTGTGGTGGGCTCGTCAGCCAATTCCACCATAGCTTTCTGAATGTCATCTTGGCTGACCGCGGGGAATTCATCCACCTAGAGAATGATTAACAATGACGAACAATGGGAAGGATACCTATGTACACCATCAGAATGTGTACTTACACCACTATCAATCAAGAAGCCCTTGAAACCGCGAACACCCCTCTCGACGAGGCCCTTGAGCTCTCCCGCATTGCCGGGGATGATCCCACCATAGAAACCCACGTCAACCCAGCACTTACCCTGGGCAGCGGCAATCTTCTCTTTGAGTCCGGCCACGGTAGTCGTCGGTGGGATAGCATTCAGAGGCATGTCAATGACGGTGGTCACACCGCCAAAGGCAGCGGCCTGGGTGCCAGTATAGAAGCCTTCCCATTCGGTGCGGCCAGGCTCATTGAGGTGGACATGCGCATCCACCAACCCGGGCAGCAGAACATATGGGGAATAGTCAGTGTATGGGGTGCCCGCGGGGAATTCCGACTCCGGCAGAACGGAGTCAAAAACAGCGGTGATCCGGCCGGTGGTATTGGAGATCACAATAGTAGCAGAGGTCAGACGACCGGAAATGACGGCTCGTGAAGAAGCCACGACAGAGATTGAGGGGATGTTAGCCGTCGACATAGTTCGGACTGGATGGGGGAGGCTTGCTTGCTTGCAGGCCGTGAATAAGAAAATATAGTATCCCAATCGACGCAAGACGCGGTATTTTTAAACGAACAGGTGCGGTCCGAAAGGAGTATAGATAAGACGAGCCAATCGATAGGACTGAAAGAAGCTGGGAGGGGCAAAAAAAAGCAAAAAAATGTGCTTATCTGATGAGAGGGTTCGATTTCGAGATAAGCCCAGCCTTGGGGGATTCTGGGGGAGCAGGATATAAATAACCAGCTGCCCCTTTAGAAGAAAAAAAAACTTCAGACAAGTCTGGGCCGGAGAACTGCGGTGGCCCACAGGACTATTCAACCCGTCTGAGAGCTTAAAAGGGCATTGCGATTACCCACCAAGGGAGTCCCACCCGATACTTCGAGCATTGCGATTACTCGATAAATTGGGGGACTCTTGGGGGCATCGGGGCTAATGGCAAGTGGCCAATCTTCAGGGCTTCGTAGTCGCAGATCGTGGCCTGCAAGATGAACGGGCGCCTGATTCGACGAATACCCTCATCATCGCCCAAACGAGGAGACCATGAGCGCCCTGTGGATTTCTGATCAATACTAACTCAGCGATAATGCGTGCACCTGCGTGCTGCCAATCGCCAGGAAGACAGCCCCCTCGTCCAGAAATGCGGCGCAGAACCACGGTAACGTCGATAAGAGAAAAGCATGTGGAAAGTGGCCCATCGGGCACCTCCGACTCTGCAAGTCCCATGCAGAAATCGCTTATCGCTCGGTTTTTATCTTTTACTCGATCAAAACTGCCCGCGTTGTTCCGGCCTGTTTCTTTTACTCGATGGAAACCTCAAAAGGGTCTGGCTCTCCCTCCGAACACGCTCTGCTCGTGTTTGGGTATTCGCCCCCGGATTGGTTTTCCGGCGGTGATCTCCGACCATGAGGGGATAATCGACCATCTCGGGCTCATTTCGATCGCGCAGGAAAGTGCGCGACATAAACGTGCACGGAAATCGGCAAAGATCTAAAATTGGCATCCCAATGGAGAGGGGAAAGGTGGAAATCTAGGGCAAATATCATATCGTTCTGGCGGGGTAGGACGCTCGGGTCGCTCGTCCTGCGTGGTTTTCTTGCTTTGGACCGGGATCTCCTGTTTGATTGCGACATCCGCAGCCAACTGTTGGTTGCCCTGGCCGAGATCAGCATGTTGGCATGTACGCCGTTGATTGCTTAATGCGACGTGCGTGAGAAGCATGTCTTGCTTCTTATCACGTTGCGACAGTGGGAGAGGGCTTATTCGGACGGTCACACAGTACTTCTAACGGCAGGTTGTGTATCTACGGCCAATAGTCGAAGTCTGCAGAGTCTGCAGAGTCTGCATCGCATCTGCGTTGAAACGACAAAACTAACGATCTCCGGTTAAAAAGGTCGCCTCCTGGTTCAACTTCAGTCGCTCTGCCCCTAAGGCGCTACCAAAGTTCCATAGCAAATCAAAGCGATATCAGAGAACGCAATTCGCGCAACTGTGACCAATCTCCCTCAATCTCCCCCCTTGGAGGGCATTTAAAAGCACTTAGGATCCATCTTCCTTCATCTGCGCATTTCCCATGCCCTCGGCACCCTCCTCTCCGCCATTGTCATTTGCCTCCACTTTGGCTCGCATACGCCCGCGATTAGGCGGGCCCTCGATGTCACTGTCTTCCTCGGTCTCAGCACGTGAACCGGGAGGGCTAGAAACATGACGAGCCGCCTCGTCCTCAACAACCATCTCATCCAGCTGCCTGAGCGTGTCTTCATCCATATCGTCCGCAAGGATTGTAACATTCTCAGCGTAGAACCGGTTCTCCTGGAGCGTATCAAGCCAGACAAGCATATCAATCCACGCGGCCGGCATAATGCAGTCGTTGTTCAGGGGCTCCCCCGAAGAATAGCAATTGCAGCCGTAGGTGCGATATCCAGATCCAGGCTGAGGCGTACCGAGCGGGTCTGACGAGGCAATGTAAGCGCGACCGCGCGAGGACAGGAACGCGCTGAACGAGTCCTTGTCCACCAGCTGAGACATGTCCAGGTCGTTGAGGGCCGTGTGCGTGGGGTCAGCCAGGGCGACTCCGGAGAGGTACGCTCTCCAGAGATCCCAGTTGTCGCGGAGATATTCGATGGCGGCCAGTCCGCCCTCTGAGACCCCGATCACATCAACCCGGGAGGTCGATGCGAGGTGCGGCTTCACGACGTTCTCGAAGACGTACTTGACGTGCTCCTGGCAGTTCGCGTTGCCGGGGATCGTGTTGCGCCAGGACCCGCTGGCCTGTTCCGAGATGGCGAATGGGCGAGGCTGCGCAGCAAGGCTCCTGTTACTAAGAGCTCGCTGGCCCTTACAGAACCAGTTCAGCTGGCCGGTGTTTGCAAGGATGAGGGCAGTGTCCTTCGCTGCGCCGGGCTTGCCCAGCACGGCCTGGGTGAACTCGACCGCGGATCCGTTCTTGATGCTGGTATCGTGAATACTGCGGAATCCCCATATGCCAAGGTCGGACTGGGTGCTACCGAAGACAACGATGACCCGGCGCCGAGGAGGGCCTTTCAAGTTGGAGGTCAGGATTGGGACATTGGGCTCACAGGGAGCTGCACCCAAGGGGAGGCGGAGGGTTTCCAGGCCGGCTTCTTGGAGGCGCACACGGACTATGTCCCGGATACAGACTGTTGATGTCATTAGGAAGATGTTAATGGGAAATATACACTACAAAGATCATACTGTCCACCGCTTCTCCATGGACGACGTTGTAGCGTTGGTTGCGGTCGATTTTCCAGCGGAATCGTTCGGCTGGATGTTCGATTTTGCGGATTTCATCCTGCTCAGTGATGAAATATCTATATATGTGAGATGTGAAGTGAAGTTACTATGAGATAAGCCTTACCCAAGCTCAGTCAAGTCCGCAGGAAGACCGGATCCTGGGGAAGATCTTTAGCGTTGAAGACATACATCTTCGATGCGTAGGGTGAAGTCAACGTTCGTAGGCCAGTGGATGAAAGGAGAAAGAAAAGGCTCGGGAGGTGAGAGCATGAGAAGCTGACGATAGAAATATCTGGAAAGGCAGTGGGAAGTTTCCTTTTAATGCCGCGGAAGGAAGGCAAGCAGTTTGACTCGAGGGGACCGTAGAATTGAGACGGAAGAAAAGGTGAACATAGTTGAGGTATGTAATACTATACAATGCTTCAAATGAAGCGTCAAGCAAACGCCATGCAAACCCATCAGGATACATTCAATAATTTTGGAGCCCGCCCATACTCTCTACCAACTGGCCTTCTTCACTCCAGGGAGCTCGCCGGCAAGAGCCTGCATACGGAATTGGAACTGGGATGTATCAGCTGGATAGTCATGATCGCGGCCTATCGAACGCGGACTTACCCGGTTCAGTCGGAAATCTCTGAAGACACTGCGCGCAGTACCGGACGCGATACAGCGGTTCTTGATCTGGGTAGGGCGAGTGTAGCAGTGCATCTGTGAAAGCTGAAGCTGAGCCTGCGCGCGGACGCGGCCGGGGAGACTGGTGTTGCGGATCATGTAGCGGAGTGCTTGTCTAGTATTATTGAGAAACATCAGCTGATTTCGTTCCATTGGCCTTTACCGATCTGGCTGGCCATTGGCATTTGTCTTCGTTGGGGCGAGGGTTCGTACCGTTCGGCTTCGGTTTGGTCAACGGCAATGCGCTTATTGTGGTCGCGAATGAGGCGGGTGTTGACAAACCCGCCCAAGTTCAACTTCTTAGGATGGAAGAGGTTTGCCGCGGTTGCTGCTGTCTTCGACATTGTGGCGAGTTCCTTGGTGCTGGCGGGCCTGGAGAGGGAAAGGCTCAAAAGTTGAGGTCTCGACGGCGGAGTTGGTGAAAAGTCCCGATCGGGTTTAGCGTGTCCTCCTGAACAAGTCTTGCTTCTACAGTAGAGGGGATACACCATCGACAGAAATAGGCTAGCTTTCTTTTACTACCATTCCTAGTATAACCGTGACAGATACTGTCTCCCAGTAGGTGCTAGGGCTTTCCCACTGCATATCACAATCTATTGGAGTCCAGGGGTGCACGCCTCACAGCCTACAATTCTAGTGGCAATCCCCATCTCTTACTCAATACCTACTAGGACCACCTGTGCACTGTTATCATCCAGACTATAGGCCAGAAGATGGTGACACTAGAGTATAAGGATGACACAAGCGAATGCCCTACTTAAGAGACCGATGCCGTAATTCAGTAGTGGTACAGCTTGTAAAATTGATCCAAGTCACCCCCAAGGGTATAATCTATATGCTTGGACAGAGGGCAAACTGCCCGTGAACGTAGAATCACAATTGCGGTTTAAAGCCAGTGCCTGAAGCTATTTCCGTGAAACTTTCATCGCCCAAAGCCTAAACCAATCCTGTCTCAACCCGCCCGAGGGGCATCGCACAGCATGTCATTGTCGACGGCTGCTTTAGTGACCGTTGGCGGCCTTAGCGTTGGGGTTGCGGGGGTCGTTCTTGTACTCGGCAGCTTAAAAAGTTGCATCGTTAGTTCTGAGATCCGATCAATGGCCACGCCAAGTCCTTAGGTTTGGCTGCGCATGTGCCCGGATTCCACGGCTTCACACTCCATATAACCAAGTCCGGACAGGACAGTCGACGTTTCAAAAACACAGGGCTGACTCACTGTTGGACAGAGCGTTCTGCAGAGAGTTGACGCCGTACAGCACGATGAGACCTAAAGAAACTTGTCAGTATATTATTCCACCATCTAAGCGCCGGTCGGAATCGCAGTTATAGTGATCTTTCGAGGTAGGATCCGGGCTCGAGGACATCAAGGGTCGCAAAAGAATCGAATGTGCATACCGGCAGCGAAGAAGGGGGTCAAAGGCTTGGCTTTAGGCAATTGTGTTAGTTCAGTTGCGCCATGGCCACATTGGCGGAATCGGGGGAATTTTGGCAATGGCTTACCGAGAGCGCCGGGGAACTTCTTTCCGAGGAGAGACATGGTGTAAGATGCTGCGAAAAGAATGATCTTGGGGGATTCGCGGGGAGGTGTTGCAGGAGGAAGAGGAGACGTGAGGTTGGAGTTTGCCCGGACCGACACGCCATGCCGCTTTTGGCTTGGCCGCTGGCCGCTTTACCCGATCGGACCCGAGCTGCTCCAGAGTAAACAAGCAACCGCATCAATCGACGCTTGAATCAAGAACTCGCAGAGTCGAAGCTTCGATCATGGCATCGTCGCTAGCTTCATCAGTGTCTTCTCTACAATCCTCGTTGCAGCGCCTCGACAACGCGATCACAACGCTCGACTCCGGCGTCAATGATTTCCCCCGCCTTTGCAAAGTCCTCCAGACAACACGGGTACGCCGCAAGATATTCAGCAGAAGCCTATATGTGGCGGAGACTAACACTAGATAGCACTTTGAGCTTCTTCCCGAACCAACCCTCCGCGAAGCACAGCAATCCCTCCTCGACGAAATCACTCCAAGTATCGCCCACCTGCTCTCTCTCGCTTCAAACCACGTCGAGAAACTTGCCCGGCGTGAAGAGGGTCTCAAAGCCAAATGTGATCTGCAAGAAGGCCGGCTTTCGTCCAACTCGGAGGACCGCGCGTCTGCGAATCGCGCCCAGGCTCAAAGCAATGCTGCAGCGCGGGCCCGCCAAGCGGGGTCGAACAGTGCGGCCCACAAGGCGCTCGAACTGCGCCGACTCGTGCAGAAGAAGGAGCGATTGAAGTACGCGGTGGATAGATTAGAGTTGCAGAGTACCCAGCGCGAGAGGCAGTTGAGGAAGAGTATGGCGACGCAGTGAGCACAGGGACTCGATTATGCTGCAACACAATTTGCGAATAAGCGCCTGTGCAAGTACAAGGAACGGGGTATCGTCACCGACACCTTTGGAACAGGCTGAAAACGACTTTCCAAGAAAGAATTTCACTCGACGCTGCCATTCCTCATGCGCCCTTCGCCGAGGCCACTCTGATGTCATGCGCTTCCGAGGGCAAGCAAAGGAGAGGAGCACTCTGCGATTATCAGGTTATAAATTCTCCAAGAAAGTGCGGCGGACGATAAGGGAAAATGAGACCCCTAATGAACCAATCAGGTTCGAATAATTTCCTCCCAGAATAGCCAGGGCTTCAAGCAAACGCCTAATGATTTATGACCAGCTAATACGAGAGAATTGATGTTTTTCATGAGAAGAGACTGTATTGCGAGTGCTACAGTAGTCTGGTATGATGGTATCCTATAGTACAAATTGCAAACCCCATACCTATGCAACATGATTTTCATATAATAGTACAAAACGGCGCCGACATGTCCAATCGACATGATTATGCACGCCAAATAGAAGACAACTCAGGTCTTCATAACAATGCCTTCCACAAGCTCCAGCGGCTTCCTTCTGGCATCAATTTGACACACGCGCGCCTCACTCAGCAGACTGCCTCCTCTCTGCCTGACGCATCTTTTTCTTATCATTATGCTTCTTCCAGCTTGGGATGTTCTGCCCTCTCTTGCGCTTCGGCGCCTGAAGAGGATCCGCACGAACCCGTTCCTCGTCATCAAACTCAACTTCTTCCTCTCCAGCATTATTCTCACCAGTGAAATCCTCTTCCTCCTGCTGTGCCGCCTTAGTAGCAGCACGGCGAGCAAGGCGCTCTTTCTTGCCTTCACCCCTCTTATCGTACAACTTCAGGTGTCGTGGGATGCTGGTCTTGGCGCCCAGCGCCCAGAGATCACCCCAGTGCGATTTGCGAGCATCGCGGTACGCCTGGCGACTAAAGGAACGTGGGACAGTCCAACGCTCGATCTTGCCAGCAGGGGTGCAAAGGTCCATGATGACATGACCCTGGCGTTTCAGAGGTGGGAAGACCATACGAGGCAGAGACAGGTGGTGAAATTTGGCTTGGGATTCTGGATCTGCTTCGTCGATCTCCTCGAAGCCTTCAAATGCGGCATCCGTGGCTTCTTTGCTCTGTTGGATCCCATGCTCCTGGCGTAGATCCACACCGCGCTGCACGGCCAGGTAGCTAAACTTGACATCCTCGTGATTATGGTCCTTTGCTCCCATGATGCGCTGCAGGAAGTCCGGTCGGATGTATCGCTGCTCAAAGGCACAGTAGTCTCTGCGGCCGGGGATAGGCCCTGCAGGGTTGTGCATGGGACAAGTGGAGTGGTTCGTGCAGGGAGCAATGATCATCCCCGTCTCCTTCTTAGTGGTAGCGGAACTGTTTGGTGATTCGATTGTGTTCGTGTACTCCTCCGATCCTGGGCTGGCAATATATCGCTTGAGGAGCATTTCACGGGCACCTGAAATGGCCTCAAAGCCCTTTTGGCGACCCTTCTCCAGCAGAATGAGCACACCGCCATCGGGGTTGAGAAGGGACCATAGTTTCTCCACATGCTCCTTGCGCTCGAAATCTTCTTCAAAGCCGAGGAGAGAGTGAGGAGCGATGATGACATCATACTGCTTACGCTTGGGAGCTGGTCGAGAGTCGTCGAGCGTTGGCGCATCGCGCACATGGAGATAGTCTGGCAGACGGGGAAGGAAGGTGGTGTTTTCAAGCAGTGCACTGGCACGGAGCCGGAGTGCATCGGAGCCTGTTAGTACTGCAGACCTTCCGTATGGTACAGGTGCTTCCTTGGGGTGATCAGGTACCATAACCTCATACTCGGCACGGATGACATCCCGCCAGGCTAGAATACCGGCACCAGCACCACTGGCATCAAGAACATTCGGGCCACCTTCTTGTGTAATAAGGTTGCGAAGCCATTCTGTTCCAAGTCGTTTCCGGACTTCAGTGAGGACGCTCAGTGTTGAAGCATAGATACCAGGGTATAACACAGATAGATAAGCGTTTGCCTCCATGCCACTCATCTGACTTTGTGAAGCATGAAGAGGGATGGGAAGCTGTGGAAGACCTGCAGATGGAGGTGCAACCGTAGTAGAATGAGGCAGTCCCGGCCCACCGAACAGACGACGAGCAGTCTCGGCAACATGCTTGTTGGCGACCTCGGAGAGAATGACAGATACTGGACCAGTCATGGCGTTCTTTGGCAAGAATACAGTCCTTGGATCCGTTTGAAATTTCCCCCCCTGGGTTAGAGGGTGCATACGAGGCGTAGCGTCGGGAACAGCTTCGTTCTCAAACTGTTCCAGCATGACCTCGCCGCCCAATTGCTCTGCTACCTCGCGGGTCCGCTGCATGGCGATTGTCTCCTCCAGTTCTGGAGCGGCATCCATATCGTACACAAACGGGGTTTCATCGCCAGCCTCCACATCCTCCCGGTATTCAACCTCTTCCCATCCGCCTTGTCCGTCCTCGCGGAAAAGCTGATCGGCATCGCCCTCGTCTTCCGCTAACATCGGCTCTTCGATATCGTCCAGAATCACCGGTTCGCCGTACAGACTTGTGTACAACCGGAGCTCCTCCTCGTTCAAGACGCCCTCGGGGATGGCATCCCTAAATTGCTGTCGGACGTAGGGCACCCATGTGTCTGTAGTGTATTCTCCTCGAGTGCTCATGAATTCCTTCATGTAATCGAAGTCTTCCATATCTTCCACCTCATCAAGCACCTCAAGCTCTTCCATTAATCCGGCCATATGATCGTCATTCTCATTGATCCGCTCGATAAGAGCATTAATCCGGTCGACGGGGTTGAGGGGAGTGGGTGAGTCTGACTCGGCCGGCGCAGCGGTAGACGAAAAACGCTTGCGTGTTGAATATTGCACAGGTTTGAGTTGGATAGCATGCGAACCAGAAGCAATAGAGGCGGTTCGAGTTCGAAGGCTTGCGTCTCGTGATGCGAGTCGCGATACTCCGCGCACTGGTGTCCTGCCAGAGCAAACGCGCGAGCGTAGCATCTGCCGTGCAGGCAAGCTACCTACGCTTGACGAAGATGGTCTCGACAGCATTCTGCTAGGAAGCTGAAGTTGAGGAAAGAAAAAAAAAAAAGTCGCGGGCGCGGCCTTTAGAAAATTGATGCCAAGGGCCAATCACAAAATGTGGGCTGCTGATTGGCTGGTCTGTCGTCCCAGAGCTGGGACTAAAAAGATCGATCCACCCTAGTAGCCCCTGGTGTTTCCATACTATGCAGTCCTGACTCTGGCATTCTCAAGATTTCGAGTGATTTCAGAATTGTTCGTCAACGGCACCTCTCATGGCGGGTCCAACTTTGTATGGCCACTACAGTGGTTCTTTGAAAGAGAAGAATAATAGAGATAATATTCCAGTTACGCTATGCTATTACACGAAAACCAGGCATCTTGACGTACCTAGTAGCTATACTCTAAATCTCGCTCTCGGTGTCCTCATTCCCCATAAGAACTCGTAGAGCGTCCACGCACCGCATTACTTCATGCTCCAAGGCTGTCAGTTTGGCCATGACAGCCATTAAACTTGGATCTTGGCTTTCTACGCGCACTTTCTCTCTGACGCGAACTTCTTCGCCACGCCACATGAAAACTTCGCCGGCTTCATCGTGGGCTGCCTGTCGGCTGCCAAATATGCGATCGCGCAAGGAAAAGCCGGTCAATGAGATATCAGTCGCAAAAGCAGATGGCGCTTGTGAAGGAATGGTGCTTTCTAGGGTTCTCAGCAGCAGGACAAGCGCGGAGTCCGCAATGGAAAGATGGAACGAGACATGAGGCGGCGGTGGTGGATCAAAGGTCTAAATACTGCGGTCAGTTCGGAGGCTCTTTCACGGCTCCGTCCAGGGTTTGACTTACATTGTCAGCCGCGCTGGTCTCCCACCAGTTCCCTCGCACGTCCCCGTCTCCTTTGAGCATTTGCCGCGCCTCGCTGATCGTCTCGTGCAAGAGATGCAGCTGGCTGAAAATGAACCCGGCATCGAGCGGGTTACCGGTATATGTGCTCACGTCTACGATATCGAGACTCTGATTTACCAGATTGCGGACTGCGACGAGCTGTTGCAGCACCAGGCCCGGCGAGTCAGCGTGTTGGGACAGCGTCAATCGCGTACTGGGCGCACCCCGCGGTGGTGGGAGCGAGGCAAGACGCAGTTGGACATCCTGCACATCTCGTAAAACACAGTTAGCTACATTGTTCTCGACCTCTGCGATCCTATTGGAGGTAGCAACGGAGGACGTACACCCTTGACTAGCTTTGTTCCAACACGCGTCACGAAGCCTTTGACGCTTTCCGACCGGAGGGAAGAGAGAACCAAAGTTGAACCGGGCTCATCTGGGGCCAGTAGAGCCGCGCACTCTTGTAAACCTTCCTTGAGGGAGGCCAAGGATTCCTGGAGTGAGCGTAGGAGCCATTCAAGCTCACGAGCCTTGATAAGAGGCTTGAGTTAGCGTCAATCCACTCTCTGCTGTGCAGGTATCCTTGGTCATCACCAGGTACCAGGTCCGCTGATTGGCTGCCTCTGTGCCACGTATGGCCATCTCCCACTTACCAGTGCTGAGTCGGCCTCTTTGCTTAACTGTTCAGGGGCCAGAGGGGGGTACGCCCATGTCGCCATGCTGAAGATTGTTGTTACCTAGCTGCCCCACGTAGGGGAAGATCTCCGCCAGAACAGCCACAGCAGGCAGAGATATTTTTTTGGCCTTGCTACACGTCACAGGGCGGGGGGCGCACGGGGGCGCACGGGGGCTTAGAGGCACAAGCAGGTAGCTGCAACGTTGATTTTGGGATCCTCTTCGTCATGACCAGAGCTCGCTAAGCCCAATTCAGTGTAGCAGGCACTGGCGAGTGGGGATCGGCGGGTCTTCAGTGGCTCGCAGTGGCTCACCGTGGATTACGGCAGCAGCTAGCGCCCCGCTAGTCAAAGTCTGCCAGATCCACGGCGGACGACAGCGAGCAGTAGGCTTTTCAGCATGCGCTAAGCCCAATACTGACGGTAGACTCCGGGGTATGACGTTATGATCTCCGCCGGATCTTGAGAGCTCGATGATGCTCACAAAGGGGGAGGCGGGCAGCGAAGGGTTGGGGAATATGAGAGGGCGACGGGGCCGGGTAACCCCGGCCCATCAGGATAAGTTCTTTCGTTCCCCGTAAACTGGAATTCTCCCCTTCAAATCTTTTCGAGAACCTCAGAACGAGGCATTGCCTATCCCCAAAAACCTGCACAACTGATCGTCGGGTACCAATCATAAAGAGGAGCCACTAGCCCAACGCGCCGGGTTGCTTTAAGGACTCTCAATCCCTACTCTCATCTCCCATCCCCCATCCTGAAACACCGCTCACCATGGCACTATTCGGCAGTAAGTAAAGGCTTCCCCTCCGATCATAGCCAATCGCATGCTAAAGAATTGTCAGGAGCATCATTGGGCCTGCTCGGCCTGTTCTTCATGGCCGGAGCTATTCTCCTGATGTTCCTCACCCTGCTAGGTGGCACGAGCAACCACAACCCGCTCAATCAGATCTACTTCCTGCAAGCCGACACCAGCAGGATTCCAGGGGCACCTGCTACTTCGCGATGGACGTTTTGGAACATCTGTAGCGTGAAGAATGGTCGCAGCGACTGTGGTGAAGTCCACCCGGATTTCCCACTCGATCCGCCCGGAAAGAACAACTTCGATACCACCCAGGGCGTGCCCGCGGGTTTCATCGGGTAAGTGATGCAAGCTGCGGGCGAGCATCGCAATGCGCCGCTCCAGGCGAAAAGGAAATCTATATGGAGTAGTAGCTAATATTCCTCGCAGAACCAATCACTACTACCTGACGTCCCGATTCATGTTCCCCTTCATCATAATCGCTCTGTTCTTCGCTGTTGTCTCTCTGTTCACTGGCCTGTTGTCGATCTGCACTCGCCTGGGAGGCTATATCTCTGGATTCCTCGCATGGCTCGCTCTGTGCTTCCAGACTTTGACCACCTGTCTGATGACGTATGTACCCACCTCGGTTGGATGATCAACTTCCCCAGTAGCTAACTTTTTCACTAGCGCCGTCTATGTCCAAGGTCGTGACCGGTTTAACGCCAACAACCAGAGGGGCAGGCTTGGCGTCAAAGCATTCGCATTTATGTGGACCGCCACCGTATGTCTGTTCCTCTCTTGTCTGATGTACTGCCTCGGGGGTGCTCTCGGCCGTAAAGAAACCGGCTACAGTGGCCGCAAGGAGCGTCGCCGCGGTTTCTTCTCCTCAGCCCGCTCGAACAGCGTAAAGAGCCAGAAGCAGGAGCGCACCTACCAGGAGCCCTCTTACGCTTAATCGCGGGATCGAGTACCTCAAAATTTGAACTTGGATAGCCACAATGGCCTGCGTCTGCTGTCAAATGACATTGCTGTTGTCGTTGATCCACCAACATCCTCGGTGCACGACGACTCTACCGTTTTGCGCTGAGATTCCTTTGGAAGGTCCCGCTTTTGCGGATACCTGTCGTCTCGTTTAGCCCTGATGGTCTCATATTTTTGTTGAACTAATTTACGAACGCTGATGTACCACCTCACACTCATTAATGTTGTTACGAACCCACGATCATTTCTGCAATACCCAAATACTACCCTGGTTGACTTGATTGTCCTCTGCTTTTTCCTTTCTCCATTTTTTTCTTTCTTTTTTTCTGATATCTGGATTATCGGAGGTTCATCAGTGGTTCACAAGATTATATGCGAACGGCCAAGCTGTTACAATCCGCCTTAATTAGTTGTAATATAATGTGTTTAAGCCCATCTTGACGCTCACTTCTGTACTGAATCATAACCCCTATTCATCCAATGTGCTCGTCACCTCCGACAGTCGTCTCGTCTTGATCGATGCCTCTAATCAACGTTGTCAGGCACACGCTATCGCCTTGGACCCGTATGGTTGTTATATGTCCCTCGGATGTTCTGGTGTGTCATGAAGATGAATTTGCTCTCGAAAAAAAAAGGAAGTCCAAAAGTCTTGGATACATAGGCTGTTGGTAAGTGCAACACATCGCCCTGACCAAATCTTCGATCCCATGCTTTCGCGCAAACTCGCCAAATGGAAGAACCAGCCCATTCGCAAAGGGATCGAGCACCGCAATGGTCTTGTTTTGTCGGTGTAACTCAATCCCTACATGTGCCTGTAGTGCCGCCTCCGAAGATTACGATGTCGACCTCCAAGGGGTTCTTGGTTTTGCATTCGAAGGCGGCCGATGTGGCTGTTAAGCATGCAACCACAATGTGCATCGGAACACTAGGGAAACCATCTGATTCAAATGATTGTTGTCGACCTTCCAGAGCTTTAGACTTGATGTGGCTCTTCGGCTCCTCTGCTTCGCTACGAACCACCTATGTTGTAAGTCGAAGGTTCAAATTAAAACACGGGCATGATCGAAAAACAGCGTCTAAAACGGCTAAGGGTAAGATTTCATTAATCACTTTCCAATTGAGAGTCTATATACGTATCGAGAGACAAGAGAAATAAGCGAAATAGATGGTTGACTCCAATGAGATAAATGACAAGGAACGTGGAATAAAAAAACCTCTATCAATCATGTATGCATCATCATGCCATCAGGCAGAGTCTTTTTTGGGGGTTCATCGCATCAAGCGTCACACAATTTAAGCAGAGCCGTTGATAGCTCCACGGACGGCGGTCTGACCACCGACTTCACGGACAGCAATCTGGAGACCCAGATCAGGGTTGACGTGAACCATGACTTCGACCTTGCCACCAGGCTTAACGCCCTTAACCGCAAGCTCAGCAACAGGGTTCTCAACCTTCCAGATGACCTCACGGGTCTCTTCCTCCTCGTCATCGGAGTCGTCGAAGTCTGAGTCTTCCTCATCCTTCTCCTCCTTAGCCTTGGGCTCAGGCTTCGTGACCTTGATCTCGCGAACACCCTCAGCGATACGGACAAGAACATCACCACCCTCCTTGGGGGCGAGGTACTGAGCGATGCGGCGGGCAGGCAGAGCAGTCTGGGCGCCCAGGAGAGGCTGGAAATTGGTGTCGGTGCCGGAGGAGAACTCGACACCAATGGGCTTGCTCAGGTGGGGAGTAACAGTGACCATAGGGTGAATAGACTGCTCAACATCCTCGGCGTCGAACTCCTGCACCAGAGAAGCCTGGAAAGCAGCACCACGAGCAGAGAGCTCAGAGGGGTTGATAGAAGTGACCTCGGTGGAGGGAGCCAGGATAGTGGTCTTTTCGGAGAAAAGATTGCGGGCCAGCTGGGCGATCTTGGGGGTGTGGGAAGCACCACCGGAGAAGATGACTTCGTCGATATCAAGAAGATCGAGCTCGGCCTTCTTGACGACCTGCTCAATCAGACCAGTGAACTGGGAGAAGACCTTGCCGGACAAGAGCTCGAAGCGAGTACGGTTAATGGTGGAACCGTAGTCAATACCGTCAACTAGAGACTCGATGCTGAGCTGAGCGTTGGTTCCCAGGCTGAGAGCCTTGCGAGTAGCTTCACCCTCAAGCTTCAACTTGGCAAGACCGCGGGCATCCTCACGAGGGTCGGTCTTGTGCTTCTTAATGAACTCCTTGGCGAAGTGGTCAATGATGATCTGGTCCAGGCTGGCACCGCCAAGCTCGTAGTCGTGGGCGGTGGCCAGGACAGTGTACATACCGCCACGGCTGGCAATAACGGCCACGTCGGACCGGGTACCACCAAGGTCGGCCACAACGACCAGCTTGTCGGTCACGGTGGCTTCTGGGCGAGCATCGTAGGCCATGACAGCAGCAACGGGCTCGCTGATGAGCTGCAGAACCTCAAGGCCAGCCTCCTTGGCGGCGGCGGTAAGAGCCTCGCGCTGGGCATCAGTGAAGTCGGTGGGGACGGTGATAACAGCAGCGTTGACCTCCTTACCCAGGAAGTCGGTGGCAGACTGCTTCAAGCGGCGCAGGTGACGGGTGGTAACCTCGGAAACGGTGACAGTGCTGGGGGTCTCGCTGGCAGAGTCACGGACGGAGAAAGCGACAGTTGAGCCGCTCTGCTGGGGGTGGGCAGATTGGTGGCATGGGGTGGGGTCGATGGACTTGATGTCCTTGCCCAAGTAGTCACGGAAGTATGCGATGGTGTTGGAGGAGTTGCGGATGAGTTGGGCCTTGGCTTGGGTGCCGTGGTATTCCTCTCCATCGATGTATGAAAGGACGGAGGGAATTTGACGATCTGGATAGGGCCAGTTAGTCCCTGGGTTCAAACACAACGAAAGAAATTAATACATACCTCCCTCCTCGTTAGCAATAACCTCAGCCTTGCCTTCCTGTGTATGAGAACAATCGTTAGTAAATGGCTCGATATCTCGTGAAGCGCGGACCAACGTACAGGTGAGATACGGGCAATTGAACTGGAAGAGTTGCCAAAAGAGATACCGATAGCAAACCGCTCCACCTCAGTGGAGGCACCGTTGGCGTCACCCATTTTAATCGGGTATAAAGGGAAGAGAATTCGTGAAAAAGGAAAAGAATCAAGAGTTCGTGGGCAGATTCGCGACACAAAGGACGGCGAAGAATGAGGGTAAGAGGAAGGGGGAGAGAGGGCTCAATAGAGTGGGGGGGGGCACGTTAATCGAAAAATTTGAAGATTTTCGGCAGAAAAGTGGCTGGTGGTTATCGATACCGATGTGGCGGTGCAAAGAACCAACAGTAATCATGAACCACGCATACTCGCATACTGTACAACAAGAAAGACGATTTACAGGCTATAGGGGAGTAAGCATTTCAAGGAACTTCAAGATTATTCCTTTTCTAATAGCCCTTCTGCTGTATTTCCTCCAGTGTGTACAAGTCAATTTTTCTACTTGCATTTTGGACAACACGTGCTGATAAGCCCACCTTCGATAAGCAGTTTTCTTCCACTTCAAGAGTTCAGCCATTCGAACCATTCCACAGCTGCATCTTACTGGCCCTGCTCCTAGAGGGAAAGGTTTATGGACCTTTAAAAAGCTATCTGAAGGCCATACAAATATCAAAAGCGCCAGCGGGCATAATGTCGACCCCTCTTGTGCTTCTTCCTGGCGATGAAGTGCCAAGCGATCACCTACCACCTGCGAACAACAATCCCCTTAAGCTTGGCCCTGGCTTAAAACTTCTCTCAGAGCCAACTCCAGCATCAGAGAAACCCAGACATGTTCTTACAGCCACTCAAGCTGGAATTCTCTCGACCGACGCCAAGCGAAATACTGTCTCGCTTCTCTCTTTTCCCAACCGCCGATACATCCCTACGGTCAATGACCTAGTGATTGCCCAAATTCACCATTCTAGTGCCGATTATTTCCACTGCATGGTTACCCCGCACACAGCACACGCTTTACTGGGACAATTGTCATTTGAAGGTGCGAACAAGAAGACCAGGCCTATGCTGAAGCAAGGCGAGCTGGTTTATGCGCGAGTACTTTCTGTGGGCCTCGGTGCTGGCGCCGAGGTGGAAATTACTTGTGTGAATCCGGCAACAGGAAAAGCAGACGGAGGGCTGGGCCCACTGGTTGGTGGCATGGTATTCGATATTACAACAGGTATGGCAGCTCGGTTGATTCGCGCTAGCTCTTCTTCTCCCGACGATGATGACGCAGTTGATGGATTGGTGGTTCTCTCGGAGCTAGGGAGGAAGCTCGAGAGCATTGGAGGATTTGAGATCGCTGTGGGCCGCAATGGCAAGGTATGGGTGGACTGCTCCAACGCAGGAGATAGTGCTGTGAAGGCCACGATTGCCCTTGGCCGGTGCTTGCAGGGGACTGACGAGCACAACTTGAACCCCGCCGACCAGAAGAAACTGGTGTCTAAGGTTCTCCGAGAATTCAAGCTTGCGTGATTTTCTGTTCGAGTTGAAATGCGGAGTTATGGCTTTTCAATCTTTGGGTATACCATGAGCATTATGTACAATAAAAATGATACAGCCTATTACTCAGGAATCTGATCAGTTACCAGGCGTCCTGTACAGTAATTCCGATATTCCACGAATTAGACTACAGATCTATAGTTGAATTCGTAAATGGGGGCTGCCCGTTTTCACACATATGTTGCTGTTTCTATGATTTTTAGTGGAGCTGTCCTTCCAACCCACCTCTATCACCCCCCATTTTCTAATCACACAGCTGCACTATTAGGAGTATTCGCTCAGCTGCTTTGCGAATTCTGCCATGCACGTCTTTACGCATCTACTTGACCTGCGCTACTTATCAGTGGGCGGTGTAAAAGGCGGTGTAATTATACAGAATGGATTTTTCTTGGAGGAAATGGACTGACCTCGTGCTGTCTGATTTTTTCGTTCTCGTCACGAACTTCAGCTGGGCTGAGTTGGTTCTGTAGCCCCAGTCGAGATCTGAGATTTGTGTTTCATATAACTCCAGCAACTTGTATACTCGACCAGTGCGACTGGAAACAACTATCTAACCTCACCGCGCGTAAGTTCATACGGCAACTGGCCGGTGTCGCCAACAGTCTATTTGGTCGATCCTGCGATAAGCGTTGCACTTGACAAGATGTCGAGTTTGAATGGGCCCGGTAAGACATGCGCGGATATATTCCATCTAATTTTTCGATTGATGTTGACGCTGGGCGGTCACAGAGGGTGCTGTGTCTACCTCCACGATGAACAATGTCAGGAAGCTCAAGAAGTCGCGCAAATCCAAGCCTAAAGGGCCGTCAACACCTACAAGGGACCAGTACGAAGTTCCATCAACGACTCCTCCTCCCAGTTCTGTCAAGCGGAAACTGGGAGACGGTCACGACAAGGCCGACAAGAAGGGCAAAAAGAAGCATCGCGCATCCAACCAGGAGCTGAATACCGATGAAAATCACGAAAACGACGTTACAGCTTCTCGGCGTGATAAAAGTCAAGATGTTGATGCCCAACTATCCTCTCTTACGTCCCAAAGCCAAAGACATTCATCTTTGAATAAGCCCACCACTCCAGCAGGCGAGGAAGATTCATTCGTCAAAACCAGTGGAGTTAGAGGTCCGCGCCTGAAGAGTGATGGACGACCTCTGAAAATCGGATTCTTCACAAAAGAAGAAGTCCAGAAAATCGAGAAATTCAAAGTTGACTTCTGCAACCAGCATTCATTAGAAAGTCACAAGGAATTCGATCATTTAGTCCAGCACTCAGAGCGGACAAGCGCAGAGCCTTGGCCTCTTGATGCTGATGTATGCTCCAAGCAACAATTCTGGGAGCAAATCTATGAGCTCGCACCTGACCGTGACCGTCGTTCGCTTTACCGATTCATGCGCCGCCATTTCCAAGAGTCATTTCAAAAGGCCCATGAATGGACCCCAGCACAGGATGAGGAGCTCATCCAGTTGATGCGCGAACACTCTGGAAAATGGACAGCGGTCGCCAAAATGCTCGGCCGCAGTGACGACGATGTCACACAGCGTTGGAAAAATAAATTGCAACACCGGGACAAAATGAATCGCGGGTCATGGAGCGAGAAGGAACTCAGAGACCTTCTCGATGGTGTTGAGAGATTCTTTGCCTTGTACAAAAAAGAACACGAAGATGCCTCATGTATCGATATCTACGAAATGCCCGATGGACATATTACGTGGAGCCACATCAGCGATAGCATGGACAATATGCGGACTCGTCAACAGTGTGCTGATAAATGGCGCAAAATTCGCAACAAAGTCCTGAATGCTCGTGCAGCTGGCGAAACGAATGCCGTCTTTGACGTCGTCGCAGAGGCAAAAAAGCCCCCCCCGGGCATTTGTGGCGCCGCCAAATCCAAAGAGCGACTTTTATGTTGACGTCAACGACGATGGAAGCGGGTATGATGTCCTCAAGGATATCAAACAGCCACCGAGCTCAGTCTCACAAAGAGCACCCAGATTAGGCTTCGCAGACTTCCAATCGTCGCTGAAAACTAACGGTGCTGCGGGTACCACTGAAGACTTGACACAAGAACCTCTATCGGATCCGGACGATGCTGAGAATGGCGAAAATCATGATCATGATGCGGAAATGGCTGATGTGACCTCGGCCATTGAACAAGTCTCTACTCCACCTGCATCTGTCGATAATCAAGCCGCCAATTCCCATAAAGAGAAAAAGAAGAAGAAATCCAAGAAACACCACGAAGATGTTCAAGAGGCTCAGAGTATCGCCGATCCCGAGCCATCTTCACCAGCGAAGAGTCAGGAAGACATGGACAAAAAGGCCCGGAAAGCGGCCAAAAAGGCGAAGAAAGAAAGGAAAAGGTTGGAAAGAGAACAAAAAGCGAGAGAACAAAAGGCGGAAGAAGAACGAAGTGCAGCGGAGAGTCAGCACCAGGACTCCCTCAACGGCACTCTTATGGATGATGCGCAAACAAGCACTCCATCTCAAAGTCGCAAATCAACGAAACATGCTCGTTCAGAAGATGCAAGTGCCGACACCCCGAAGAAGTCCCTCAAGAAACACAAAAAGCAAAAGCGACAGGCAGGTTTTTAATGTCATGAAAACGTGGTTTGAATGGAAGGGAATGTTATGATGAATCTAATGATCATTCGATTGAGCTTGCATTTCTTGGGCTGCATAATCCTCTATCTCAAACACCTCGATCCTCCTCTGTATATATGGCAATGAATTCGAATTTCTAATACTTCCATGACGAAGCGTTTTATGTAAACCCCAGCGATGCCACCGAACCACGGGACTGAGAGCATCTATAGCTCGTCTTTATTCTCCTTGATCTCATCAGGCACAGGCTCTCCACTCTCTTTGGGCGCGGAGTCTTCCCCAGTCTGTACAAAACCAACCTGCTCCGCAGAGACACGTCTCGCCAGACTGGCAATCTCATCATCATAAACAGTCCACTCAGGAACCTGTCTCTTAGCACGCGCCAGCTTAGGCTCCTTAGTCAGTGGGTTGTTGCATAGATCTATGGTCCTCGCCGTTTTGAGATCCTCATCTGAACACCATGTCTCACACCAAAGCCACTCCTGCGGCAAACTGTGAATAGGGACATGGTGCTGCATGTGGTTAGGCAGATCCTGGTCCAGGTTGCTGAGCGAGTTCGGATCTGCTGAGAGCATCTGATACTGGCCACGCAAGCGGTCGCCGGTTGCCAGGGCACGGAAGCGCTTCAAATCAACCACGTACAATGCAGAAATGTGGTAAGGCTTGCCCCGGAGAAACTTATCCCAGTAGCCCTGCTTCCAGAAGCGGAAGCCTTCCATTTCTGTCCGCGAGTCACCCATTGGCGTGAAGCCGTAAGGCGCGCCCTCTAGGTCGTGGGTGACCAGGTCGTACATGTCTGTTCGGACGATTTGGTCTGCATCCACGAAGATTACCTTGTCGAGGGATAGCGGAAAGAGGACGTCCAAGAAGAGGATTTTGTAGCCCCAGATTTCGCGCTGCTTTTCACGCTGTCCGCGGAGCCAGTGGGGCCACTTGTATGTGACCATTTCGTAGGAGAACCCATATTCTTTCGCCAGATGGGGGAGGAATGCTCGGAACGAAGGGGACAGGAACTGTTCAATGAACCAGAACTTGACGCTATGCTTTGTGTTTTTCATCACCGAGACCATCATAATATTCAGCATGCGTTCGTAGAGATGTCCACTGGCTACTGAGAAGATGTTGATATCGGCATGTTTCTCAGAGTCTGTCTTGGAACCAACACCCACACTGGAGAGAACACCGGAGGCAAAGCTGAGGCCCTTAGAAACATAATCCATCGGTGACCCTGTTTGGGAGTCGGTTTCCAGAACATCTTCGTTTTCATAGCCTGGTTTGCGAGAGAGGCGTGGGAACAAGGTGAGGCCCTTGAATGATAGCAACGTGACTTCGTTGCCGTCGCTTTCCTGTAAGCCGTATCCAGTACTTCCGACGCTGTCAATTTTGAAAAGTTTCTCACTACGACCAGGCTTTAGGCTGATTTGCCACAGACCGGGCTGTGCTTTGAACTGGAAGTAGCCAAGATTGGCCATGATGATGGTGTCTGCAAAATGAGGGTTCTCCTCGGAGCCCAAAACCAACTGAACACCTCGGGGAGCACTCTTGGTTGTCAGGTCACGAGTGTGACCTTCAATGAGAATGTGCTCCAAGGAGTAGATAGCATCAACATCAGAGTCAGACTTGAGTGAGCTAAGTTTTATATTGTCCAAATCGTGAATAGAGTCCTTAGGCGCGACAAGCCATGATGATGGTACATCCATCCCCATAGTAAGCAAAGCTTCCTTTGGAATTCCCTTGAAAGAGGCCTGGGGCCGGGCGAGAGATCCTTCCTCGGTGAAGAGAGGCTCCGATTCAAGAACGTAACGATAGAATCGCTTGACGGGAAGCTCCTTAAGTTCTTCCTTAGGGTTCATTAGAACCTTCAGATGAACACCGGCTAATTTCGAAAGAACTTTGACGATTGGCATCCATGTCTGCGAGACTTCAGATGCCGGATCCAGCACAGCAACAATGTTGATCAAAGGGTCATCAGAGGTAGTCACCGTGAAAACAGAATGGTCAGTCTTCCAATCACTAGTTATGTCGAGTCTGAAATCAGGGGCCGACTCGAAAATGCCCTCTGGAATTTCGGACATCGTCGAAAGTGAGACCAGCGATGTGAGTTTAGCGAGATCAATTGGGGATGCCAGCTTCTTGCCAAATCCAATTTGCTCCGCAGCCGCCAAAACAGGCTCGATGCGTTTTTGGGATTCATACAACACGACCTGATTGATCTCATCTGCGCTCAATGTGGAGTCTTGCCCTAAGGGACCAATCGCTCTTCCGTTGATGATAAGACCTGTTGCACCGGGTTCAAATCCAAGAGTTTCAGCCAGGCCTTGATGGACATAGCTTATCTGCTCATTTGAGTCCGAGTCAGGATCAGACTCATGTGGCGATGCGACGACGGCTAGCACCTCGTCAACTTTACTGCCTTTGGAAAGCGAATTGCGGATTCGCGCTAACGTCGAGCCAGCTCCCTCAGAGTAAGAGGCATCATTCTGCAATAACATTATATCCGCGCCTTCGTGCTCTTTTCGGAAATTGAGAACAGCTGACAGTAATGATGATCCCTCTGGGGAATCAAAGTCTCCCACGACAATAATGTGAACGCTTTCCAAGACGCTTTTGTCAGATGAAATGCGAGGAATGCTCTCCAACAGCCCAGCATCTAGGACACCCGCAAGGTCGACGATCTTCACGTTCTTCGGGTCTTCTGGCATCAGGAGAGAGTTGCGCTTCTCGAAGGCTGAAGAAAGGAACAAAGCTGGCAGCCAAGCATCATCTTTGAAAAGCCCTTCCACAATATACTGTTGTGCAAGCTTGAGATCTCTGCTAACTTGAATGCTTATTGCTTGCATCCAATTGCCCTGGCGTGGTACAGGTACTCCATTGACGAGCAAGGCAGGCTGATTCCCAGTAAGGTCCAAACGACGCAGGTACTGACTGGTAGAAGAAGCCTTCCCGGTGTAACGGTCGCTCTTGAGCACATCTTCGAAGGACAGGGCCTCCTGGTTATCCCGTGGGGTTTTCTCTTTGGTGGCTGAGGTGAATGCGGTTTTGTCTGGCGTTCCAGTCTTCTTATTTTCAGCCGACTGGCAATTTACATTAGTATCCCGGATGTTCAGCTCCATGTTCCCTATGGATACTCACCTCGTCCAGATATTGGAGAAGAGAATCAAGTCCAAAAGTTTCTTGCAAGTAATGAGCAACTCTAAGCTGAGCTGTTGACTCGGAGGAAGATGTGACAGGTACTAGGCCAAACTGCACAGGGATTCCTCGGTTGACAAAAGTTTGAATCTGTCTAGTAAGCAACATCACGTCTTCCACCCTTGTTAAGTCCACAGGAATGATGACATTGTGTAGATCACGAGCCACTGGGGGCATTTGTCCCGGGTAAGGATTTGTGAGATACTAGAAGAGGTCAGTATCCATCTGTTCTCAGGTTACATATGACAGTAGTCCATACCGCTTCAAGGTCGTTTGGCCATTCATCATACCGTGAGTCATTCTCTAAGCTATTCATCCAAATGATTACATTTCCACCTTCCAACTCATCACGGTAGTCGTATCTTTGCTTCTCGTCATTCGCTTGAGACTCAGCCAGCAAGGGATGCGAGAGAAGCTTCACAGTATCCTGGGCGGAGAGACCGAGATCCCGGAACTTTTGAATCAGCTTCCGTTCCCGACGAAGGTGCTCCAGAAGAGAGAAGGCGTCAATCTGTCGCTCGTCAATCTGAACGCCATTGATCCACATGAAATTATGCCCAGATGGAATCATTCGACCACGATTTACGCGAACTTCTTTCCGGAGCTCCACTGACGCATCATGGCCGGCCACCTTGGCAGAATACTTAGGGAAATTTTCGGACAGCTTGACAAGGGTGTCAAGAGGGTCTTCACTGTCCATGACGTAGGCTGCTGAATTCCATCCTAGCCGAGAGACCTCGGAGGCGGATAAGGGTCGAAGATCGTCGGGAGAATCTTCTTTGAGATCTTCGATCCCGCCTGTATGGCTTTCAGTCACACTCTCTTGTCGCTGCTCAGCATCCCGATCATCTATCACGATATAATCGGTACGTTTCAACGCAAGCTCCACACCGTACCCAGAAACAAATAAAGGACGCTCTACCCAATGCTGCGGAGGGCGATAGCGCACACGGTAAGAGACATGTCCTTCTTTTGCCAAACTGCTCAATTTCTCATGGAAATCTTTGAAGATCGGTGAGGAAACATCTGCGTAAAGTATCGCAGGGGGTTGAGAGGCGTCACCATAGACTCGGTCAAATGGCAATTCCTTGAGATCTCTGTTGGTGGGAAAGAGCTTCAGTCAGTTTAGGATTACCTGTAAATATACAAATCAGCGACATACCGGACCCCTTCGACATCCTGCTGCGCACGCTCCATGGCAGAAGAGCAATACTGCTTTCCCTCCAAATGGACCCAGACTGGACACGCAGCATCTTGGGCGGCCATCAACGAATGCTGGACAGATGTATTATAGAATTGGTAATGAGCCTGGATGCGTGGTGCTGATGATCGAATTGCGAGCGCCAATTTGAACGAAGAGAGACTCTCGGGGGTTCGTAAATGGCCATCTTCATGGACAACTGTCAAGAAGCGATCGTACAGCTCCTTCTCGGTGACAACGTCTTCAAAGGCACCGTCTGCGATTCGGTCGAGCAATGGGAAGTAGGCAGTGGAGTTTTCCTCGGCAGCGGACTCTCTAAAGTTAAACATGAGTACTCAATTCTTTGTTGATGTCACAATCACAAGTGACATACAGCAGCTCAACAAGATATGGCGATGCATCAAAAGATGCTTGGAGGGCCACGTTAACAGCCGGGCTAGCCGAAGCAACCCATGCTGGTGCTAGAGCACCGATGGCGACAACCCATCTCCATGAGACGGAGGGCGCGGAGGATATCCTCATTTTGCGGCGGACACGGGAAGGATAAACACGAGGATATGAGGGATGTGAGGTTATAGAGGGGCACTGCCCCGATGAGACGTGAGATTCCTTGAAGCGAAGACTGTCTGGTTCAGCTTTGCTATACTGTGGGTAATTAAGGCTTGAGCATTACAGGCAATAGCCAGAGCTGGGCACAAGGGTGTGGAGATCCCCCAGTCTGGACACTTGGATGATTACAATCGATAAGATAACAGCTTCTACGGCGGGCGGCAGAACAACTGGCGCAGCTCTGTTCCGCGTTACGACGCGTCGATCATATCTGGCCCCTTTAAGTCTGGCAAATTTATCTCTCTATTGCCCCTCATGTCTTTGAACGAAGTCTGGGAAGCAGCCTCTGCGGCTCCTTTTCATCCCGTTGTCTCCAAGGATGGCCAATTCGCCGTCGGCTTCAACTTGCTCCTGGTCGGTATGTTAAGCTATCTAGGTCCACATGTACATAGTGTATCTTGAGAACGATTGCCTGACTTTGCTCGACAGCGGTGGTATTGACAGGTCTTTTCGGTCTGAGTAAGTTCTCCGTTGAAGACTCGTCAGTTGCCGTCACTTATGCTTCACATCAGATCGCTCGTTCGGCAACCTCTTAACCTTGGGCGTTCCAGCCTCTCTAGCATTTGGGTGAGCTCAACTCCTCAAATGCTGACGAAGTCGCTTTCAAAGCTAATTATTGAATTCCAGATTCGGAGCTGTTTTTATGATCTGTGCCGTTGGGGTCTATGTTTAAGATACCGATACCGTACCTGTCTCTGTTCCTGCGCAGACTTTAGGGTCCAAATTGATGGAGCGTTCTTTTTCTTTAAAAAAAAAAATCACCCATTGTTCTTGATCAAAATGGCGCCTCCGGATCTTGTAATTCTCGGTTTTCACGGCTCTTTGTTTGATACGCATCCGGCTACTGCTCACATCATCACCAAGGCCTTTGAAACTTTGCTCCCGGGCCTTTCTGCAGCCGCGACTCAAGTCCAGCGTCTAATTGGAAGCGCCATGGGTCTTCAAGATGCTTGAACATTTTGCATTCTGATCCCGGCTCTTTCAGTGAGGATGAGTGAACCTCGGCCGACTGTCATATCTACAGCGATGAGGGTCAGCCGCTTATGAAACCATTCGATGGAGCGCAGAAACTGTTTGAGTTGTTGCAGAGCTGCAACGTGCTCATGTCCATAGTGAGTAAGAAGAAGGTTGTGGTGACAGCTCTCTGAAACCACAATCTTGGCGACTACGAACTCGAGACCTTGATTGTTGGCGACAAGACGCAAGGCGCAGCAAGACAGCCGGACCCAGCCAGCTACTTCAATGTTCTCGTGCCAGCCCTCAAGGCGAGAGCTTTTGATACCGCCGGAGACGACTGGAATGTGCTTGTGGTTGGTGATACCGAGGCCGATCTGGGATTTGCTCTAAACATCAAGGGGCTAAATCTGTCTGGTGTCGGTATGGCTACGGTAACTTGGAGAGTTGTGAAAAGCTTTAGCTCGATGTCATCGTCGACAATTTGAGCCAAGCAGCATAGCTAGCAGATGCACTTCAATTGCCATATACGACCGAGGCTAGCGTCTATCAGGGTTCATACAGATTAGACCTCAGAATTGCTGACCACCCAAGTTCAAGTTGATTCTTTCCAACGGTTATAGAAGTAAACTGGATAGTCAATTTGACATGCCATGTTCATCTCACTCAACACCAACTATTAATACCCCTAAACGACATTAGAAAGATATTGGAAATACAAAAGAAAGCTTGCTCATCATGCCGTGGGCCGAATCTCAAGTCCCTCATCCCTCGCAAGACTGATTATGTGTAATAGACCAAATTCTACCTAGGTAAAGAAATCCAGTCTTATGTACTCAATAGATCCGAAGGGTTATACACGGGGTCTTTACTAGTATGTAACGTAGATTAGGTAGCTACCCAAATTTAAAGCTATAGCACCAACATAGATCTAGAGCCAAGCAATCAAGGCTTGATCAGCCAAACTAACTGATGCATCCCATGTATCAGTCGCGTTGGCGATTATTAAAGCATAGCAGATTTATTGGTACTGTCCATAAGCGCCCAGCTAATCCCCGTGGGCAGTAAAGCGCCCGCCTCTCACCCGTTCCCTATACGACAACAATAACACTAAAGGGCTTTTTTCTCGAATCGAAGGCGGGGGCCAAGCGCCGGCCCCAATGTCCGTGTAGGCCCCGTTCTACAGGGATTATTCTCTCAAGTTATCTATACCGTTCTCCCCGGACCTCGTAGACCAATCAATTGCCTGTGATAAGCGAGGCTCGAATCTGGTCACAATTCCGCGGTCTTGTCACAATCCATCAGGATGTACATATAAAGAGCCTTGACCTGTTCCCCTCACCAGGTTCCAGATATCGGAAAATTCCTTCCCAATTTTCCAAGTGCTATCACACCTCAAACACCCCTCCTTCTTTCCTGAACTCTCTCTCACATTCCATCGGCATATCCTTTGCATCTCAATGCCTTCCCAACCTTCTCGCGATAAACCGAAGAGCCGCTCAAGAAGGCCTGTCCAGAAAGCGACCGTAATCAAGACCGCCAGCTCGCAGGCAAACCCGCAAAATTCTACAGTCGACAAGAAGATACTCGAAAGAATCCAAAAATGCCTTGATCGAGCCTACCACCCCAATGCATCCGAGGCAGAGGCCAAAGCCGCTCTTTTTGTATCCCAAAAGCTCATGAGCCAGCACAACGTGACTCAAGCAGACCTCATCGCTAATGACAGCAAGAAAAGCAAAGCACACTATGGGGGACGTAGCGTTGTGCAAATCACCAAGATCGGGGGTTCCTCCCAAGAGTAATTCAAGAAGCATTTGCCACCAAGCTCGCCTACGCGATGTGCAGGTTCTTTGACTGCAAACATTACTGCACTGATTATGGAACCTCCGTGGAATGGACATTCTATGGCATCGCGGATAATACAGTGCCTGCCGCCTCGGGGTTTGAAATGGCACATAACAAAATTCTGGAATGGGCTTGTGACTACAAGGGCGGTACGCCAACCTTTAGTTATCGTCTCGGAGTAGCGGACGGGCTTTATTCCATGGCAAATCGGGAGAAGGACAGAGAGCTGGAAGACGCTAAGCGCAAAGAAATTGCACTGTTACGGGCAAAAGAGGAAGAGGATCAGCAGCAGCGTCAAAAAGAGCTCGAAAGGCTTCAGATTCTACCAGGTCCGTCGCACGACTCAGGCAGTCCCGACGAGACCAGAGTTGGTGATCTGTATCCAGGTAACTCAGAAGATAAAGCGGCTGCAAACTCTGTGCGGGATCACGATATGTATGACTCTGATGCTGATTCTCAGAGCTCCTCAGACGCCAATGAGGCTGTCAAATGCGAGGCCGATTTCAACATCGACGACGTGAACGCGATGGATCTTTCCGGTGATGTCGATAAGGACATTGAGCGCTTCATTAAGCCCGAAAAGACTGATGCTGTGGACATGAGTCAGATCCCTGACTCTAAACCTAAGCCAAGCACAAACATTAAGGTTGAGTCCGAGCCTCAGCCCGCTGCAGCATCGCCATGGGATTCTGGAATGCAACTGGTGCGGTTCCGGCAAACCGCAGACCAAGTCGCAAGTGATTACCTCCGAGAGAAAAAAAATCAAATTGCGTTCAGGAAGGTCTCAGACTTCGGTCGTTCGAGATGGAGATGCATATCGTCAGGGCCGGAAGGACAGCTCAAAAATCGAGTTCCGCTAATTGATTCTTCGAAGGACTGCTCTCGAACGTCCACGTTTCACCGTGGATGTCACTCCTATGGGAGAAATGATCGTTTCATTTGTGCATTTATTGTCCTTTATAAAGCCCGCAATCACTGGTAGCCGACTTGACGAAATCGGCTCAGGACCAACTGCTAAGCTTGGAAAAGGTGACTCAAACGGGACTCTGGGGCCTGCTATTGTTGTGGGATCTTTCCAGCGAGAGCTAGGCAGACTCAATGGAGGGGGCTGGTCAAATCATGATTGATAATAGCGCGAATCTGTCAAGGCAGGACTTTCGGGTGCAAGATAGTTAGTATGAAGTGCTTGAAACCGCCGGTCTGGTAGTTGACTATGAGAGGCACAAATGGCACCTACTTTCATATAATTGCAATTTCAATTAAGGGGGTTGGATCCTGGTAGTATCCCCTAATTTGGACCGTTCATGTCTCGCTGGAACTCTCCAGGGCTCTATGTTAACTAGTTAGTCATCTGTCAATTCAGATCTCTGGGCTAGCAATGTGAGGCGCATTAACCAGGATTTTCCAATTGTCAATCGGCACACTTAGCATGCTTTATTTTTTGAGTGACAAGATGTGTGGGCGATGAAGATTATGGATTTCTACGGTAGAGCGCTTGGGGAAACAGGTGCGATGTGTATGGCTAGCGGGATTGATTGCCCGTAGCAGTGCAATTTCTTTGCGCTTAGCGTCTTCCAGCTCTCTGTCCTTCTCCCGATTTGCCATGGAATAAAGCCCGTCCGCTACTCCGAGACGATAACTAAAGGTTGGCGTACCGCCCTTGTAGTCACAAGCCCATTCTAGAATTTTGTTATAAGTTGCAGTCATATTAGAAGAATCAGAGTTACATATAATTCATCCTCTTACCGTACTTTACATACCAGACTTCCACCCTTGCTCTAACAACAACCGAAACTAATAGTCCACTTGCCAAGCTCGCTTCGCCCCAGGATCTACACTATTACTTAAGAGGCGCTCTGCCAAGTCCATTCCACCCCACTACAAGGCCCTTGGCATCGCACTTATTCCCTTTTCCAGGTCGGATTGGGCAATATTGCTGTGCAGCCAAGACTAATATTTATGAAAACCGGCTGTATGATAATCAGAAAACATCGCGCTGTGCCTACAGCCCGCCAGCCCCCTTCGCTGTGGCCCCCACGTTACAAGACTTGTGGGGTTATGGAGCTTTTAGTAGTATTTTCAGGATCAGAATTGCATGGAAATAGAGCAGCCTGGCAAATAAGACCTCTTATACTAGTAGCTATAACGTCACGAGAAGGGACTGACTTGAGCAACATACTAATAGATTTCCCTTTCTATATTTTCAGGGCTGGAAGGAAATTTTATATAAAGGGCTTCTGAGTTCGACTTTTTCTATCCATCAAGCCCAGTTTGAACAGTCAGTGTCCATCCAGAAAAGACTAACAGTCTTTCTTCAACCATGAAGACCAACTTCTTTTTAGCTGCGGTCTTTGCTGCAATTGCAGCTGTCAACGCAGAGACCACATACGTCTGCGAAACGAGCGATGCAAGCCCCTATCTGCACAATGTTCAAGAGTTGATCGACAATCTCAATGATGCGCCCCAGGGCGAGAACCAGTGTAATCCAGGTCCCGAGAATGGATGCGGAAAAACAATTACTGGATACTCTGGCTCAGGCGGTGCCGCTTATATGATATGTGGTCCTGGAATGCGGGTAAGTGCTACTATGTTTCTTAAAATGTGTTGTATCAATAGCACTGGCTAATGTGTATACAGTGCTCCGGTGACCCTGGCGGTATACCTTGTACTGTAAGCTGTGGAGGTATGGTGTCAAGGCTTATTGGCGACTACTTCGAAGTTCTTCGTGATAAATGCCAGGCTCCAGACTCGAATGGTGATATTCGAGTCGGTGGTATTGTCCGTATGACTACTGGTGACGAGGTTAATGAGCTTAAGCTCTTTTCAAAGCCCGGTTGAATTCGGATCCACAAGTGAGGCACAGTCGTGATTCTGCACATAAGTTTAGTGTGCGTGTATCCTGATATACATCTATTTACTACTAGGAATATGTTATCAAATTCAATTCTGACATTGATTTGAGCTTGGCTTCTAAATCGCTTGGTTACAAGCACAAGAACTCTGTCGTGAGTTAGACGTAAGGCCTGATACAATCAAGTGATGATATGTGAATTGTAACAGGCTACATCCCGGGAGTTCTAGTCGGATGAATGTATAATCGAGCGAGGCTTCGGGCTCCGACCAATAATAAGGTAAATAAATATCTTGCGTATTCTTGAAATACCTTTATACCCTAGTGGCAAAAACATCGGGGGGCCTAATGGTCGTTTCTGGCCCCTGATTGGCTGCCTGTGCGTGCTTCTGCCGTCTGTCGTGCGTGGCAATCTCCGGGTCCTCTCTCTCTCTCTCTTCCTCCCTCCCTCCTCCTAACCTCTAAATCTCGGGAGTAACCCTAATTCCCTCCTACATCTATAGTCCAGATCAATCTCTATCATCTAGACTAGGATAATTGTCTTGATCACGATCTTCTTACAGTTGATTTCCTCTTTCTAAGAATGATATTCTCTCGATCCTTCCGATTAAAGACTCTTGATATAAATAAATATATAACTACTTTATAATTGTATAATAATAGATCGACTATCTTTATCCCTTTTTTTTTTCGGTTCTTTTTTAACTTCTTTCAGGGGATATATTATCCTTTTCTTCCTGTTTTGTGTCAGGGTGCAGGTCCGGCAGCAGGTATATTAGGGGCCAGCGTAGCAGGCAGGCTAGGACAACAACTATACACAGGATAATTGACAAGACGTAGCTCGAAGAGCTACAAACAGCGGAGGCGCGAGGTGAGGTTTTACACAGAGTGGGTCTAACTCGGGGGCGGTCCGGCACTGCAGTTCCACACCGTGACAGTACTCCCCTCCTCAAGGCCGAGCTCCGTCGAGGCCAGGGCCTGGCTTAGAGGGATATCGGCGGTGGAAGTTAGCGATGACCTCTCGGGCATTCGTCAGGTAGGAAGTGGGCTCCTCAGTTGGTTCGTCGTAGCCAGTCCATTTAACAGTATACTTTAGCCGAGGCCCTCCACGGCCTCTTCGCTCCCAGCGGGAGTCCAGGATGTCTTCAACCTCCCATTCTTCTAATCCTTCGACCTCGACGGCGGGCGGGGGTCCCTGTATCTGGCCAGGTGGAGGGTTGCTGCCGGCGGCGGGGCGGAGCAGGTTTACGTTAAAAACAGGATGTATCCTCATAGTAGCAGGCAGGTCGAGCTGGTATGCGTGTGCGCTGATGATCTTAGTGATTCGGAACGGTTCCAAGTTCTTCCAGTCTAACTTCTTCTGGGGCCGGAGGGTCCGGATATTACGGGCGTCTAGCCAGACCAGTTGGCCGACATGGAATTGGCGCGCAGGTTTTCTATTAGGGTCGGTGTGCTCTCCTTGGCGGGCTTGGGCGGAATGAATCTCGGATTGGACAAATTCAGTGATCAGTCTCATCTGGCGTGCGAATTGCTCGGCGTCACGGGTGGCAGGCGAGTCCCCAGGCTGGGTCGGTTCAAACCCTATCCGGGGGTGGAATCCATAATTGGCGAAGAACAGGGACACTTACGTAGACTCAGCGGGCAGAGTTAGCGGCGAATTCGGCAAGGGGTAGCTATTCAGACCAATCATCCTGCAGATATGACACATAAGCATGTAGATATTGTTCCAGGGCACCATTAACTCTCTCCGTCTGGTTATTAGTTTCTGGGTGGTAGGCAGTCGATAGCAGGGTAGTGATCCTCAGGGTACAGGTCAGGTGCTTCCAAAACAAGGCCACAAACTGTAGGCCTCGGTCGGATACGATCGTCTTCGGCAGGCCATGTAGTTTCCAGACATAGTTCAGGTATAAGCGGGCGACCTTTTCCGCGTTACAGGTTCCTTTACAGGGTATAAAATGTCTCATCTTAGTCAAGCGGTCGACAATGACTAGGACTGTATCGAATCTGCGGCTGGCGGGCAGGTAGGTGATAAAGTCTATAGATATATCTTGCCAGGCTCGTTGGGGGGACTAGTAGTGGGCGTAGAATCCCCTGACGAGCTTCTCTTGAGGGTGTGATCTGGCGGGAGATATGGCAGTTCTGGGTCTACTACTCGACATAACGGTACATGCCAGGCTAGTAATACTCTCGGGATAGCAGTTCGTATATCTTAGATCTTCTAGGATGTCTAGTGGCCGGTGTCTCGTGGCAGGCCCTTAAGAGCTCAGCTCTCAGGTTATTATCGTCAGGCACATAGATATGGTTCCGGTAAATAAGATAGCTGTCCCTCCTCTTGTAGTCGGCTAGGGTTATCTTGGGATGACGGGGCAGTCTCCGATCCAATACATCTAATATCGACTGGATAGTAACATCCCTGGCTAGCGCTCGGTCAAATGTCTCCTTGATTATGGCGGGCAGTTCGGGTTATGTTTCATCTGCGAAGCGTACCCTTCATTCACACTGTAGCATATCATTAGGGCCTGCTGACGGTTCGGCAGGAGATGTTTCTATAGGCGGTTTGACAGGTTATTCACCAGGTGGTTCAGTGGATGTTCTTGTAGGCGGTTCAGCGGGTGGTTCGATAGGTGGTTTTGTAGGTGGTTTGGTAGACAGCGGTTATGTTATTGTGTTGACCACTATATCATTGGTCTCTAGATTTTCCCTCTTCAGCACGATTTGGCTCTGGTGGCGGAGGCGCTTATCCCCCTCCTTCAGAAGATCCTTTGACCTTCTGGTCAGGGTATCGGGCTTCAATCCTTGTTTCCCAGGTCTATATACGATTTTGAAGTTAAAACATGATAGGAACTCGGACCAGCAGGCCTGGCGGCGGTTTAGGAGTTTAGTTATCATAAAGTATTCCAGGTTACAATGATCGGTGACCTTAACAGGCAACAGGGTACCTTCCAATTCTAGGCGCCACTCCTTAAAGCAGTGAACGATCGCCATCAGTTCTTTATCATAGATCTCATAATTACACTCTATAGCTGAGTACTTTTTTGAGAAAAACGCAACAGGGTACAGAACTCCATTGTCATCATATTACAAAAGCACACCAGCAGACACATAATCCGACACATCGGTTTCTAGTATAACTTCTCTTGTCCAATCAAACAGTCTTAGGATCGGAGCTCTAGTAAAGGCCTTCTTTAATACTTCGAAGCTCAGACAACAGATAAGGTCCCACCGGAAGATTATACCTTTCTTGGTCAGGTATACCAGGGGCTGGATAATCTTAGAGAAGTCCTTAATAAATCTCCGGTAAAAATTTGCAAATCCAATAAACGCTTGCACATCTGTCACACAGATCGGGGTCTTCCAGTCAGTAATTGCCCTGACCTTCTCAGGGTCCATTCAGAGACCGTCGCGGCCTACTAGGATCCCCAGGAACTTGGTTTCAAGGACAACGAACTCGCATTTCGACAGCTTGGCGTACAGGCCGGCCTCACGCAGGCGTTGTAGGACTAGGCGGACATGGCGGATGTGCTCAGTGCGGTTTGTGCTATAGATCAGGATGTCGTCTAGATAGGCGGTGCAGAACAGGTCCAGATAGTCTCGTAGTGTGTCGTTGATAAATCGCTGGAATGTGGCAGGGGCTCCTGTTAGCCCAAAGGGCATTACCAGGGTCTCAAATAGGCCAAGACGGGTCCGGAAGGCTGTGAGGTACTCCTGGCCCTTCCTGATCCGGATGTTGTTGAACGCTGAGATGATATCAATCTTCGTGAAGTACTTCATCCCCTTCAGGTTGTTTAGGGTTTCCTTCGTCAGTGGCAGCGGGTATCGGTCTTTAACGGTAATCGCGTTCAGCCCACGGTAGTCGACACAGAATCGTAGCCCACCGTCAGGCTTTTTCACGAACAGGACAGGCGGCGCGGCGGGTGAGGAGCTTGGCCGGATGAATCCCTTCCGTAGGTTCTCTTCAATCCATTGGCGTAGTGCTTCCAGTTCATTTCGGGACATCGGGTATAGTGGACCGAACGGGGGCAGTTTTCCTTCTTGTAGTTGGATATTATGGTCATACGGGCGATGCGGGGGCAGGTGCTCGGCCTCTTTAGGTGAGAATACATCAGCGAAATCCTCAAATTCCTTAGGGAGGTCCCCGGTGGGGTCCTTCCTCTCGGGCTCGTCTAAAGGGCCCTCTATGTCCTCAAGGGAGATAGTGAATAACTGGTAATTCCTTCGGGCGTAAGCGGCACAGGCTTGCAGGCTAACAGGTGCGATGTCGATATGGCTTAGTGCTCCAGGTCGGTTTGGTAGTTGGCTAGGGCGGACTTTTCTCGGTATGTCATGCAGGACTCGGATCTTGGCAGGTCTCTGGGGGGGTGTTACAGTATTTCTGGCAGTATGGGCTACAATCCACAAGTCGCAAGCGTGGAGTTTTTATGTTTCACATCAGCAGCGTTGACATAATAACCATTCCCTTAAGGAAAAGCCACGCTATGCACCAGGGCTACACATAGGACATTCTGATCATTACTATCATCTAAATTCTACTAGCATTCCTCGAATGGGAGTATGATTGTACGTCACCTAAATTCCCTTTAAAGATTTCATGTTCCAATTCAAAGACACCATACCAGAACTCCACCAACCACAGGTTTGAACTCCTCCCAAAAGACATACCATCATGACCCATGACCAGCGTCTATATACATGCATCGTAAATCTCGCTTCAAGCGGACACTTCAAATACATACTCAATCTCTAATCTCAACATCCCTGAACGTCGCAGAACCGTCATATCCATATAAACCGCCCATACCGTGAGACAGACTGCTATCTCTGCTCTCGACAATAAAGTCCAAGCCCAGGAACCCACTCACCCTCGCAACAATCCTGTCACCTTTCACCAGAAGCGACAAATGGTACCAATAACCTTGCGTGATACCCCAGGGGTATTCCTGCTCCGCCAGAGTAGTAACAGTATCAGTCTGGAGGGCAATGCTCAGTTTGCCAGTCCGCGCACTGATTTCCGCCCTATACCCATTGATCCAGTTGATCCCCGTCGTCGAAGCCGTGACGCGCGCATAAACACCTGCAGCGCCATCATCGCCCACGACCTGAACCGCACTGCTAATCTCATAGTCAGACCATTCTGAAGACCCCGTGATAGCAAGCGACGGCTGAGTATCCGCATTCTCGAACCCGTACTCTTTGCCCGCAACAGACCAGTTGCCCGTGAGATCAATCCAGCCCGCCTGGCCCTCAGCCGTAAAGTCCGCTGTATAGGGCAATGCACCAATGCTCGACACCGCGCCCGTCCGCTCCGAGCACGGACCGGAGGCATCTTGGCTCGACGGCGCCGTCAACCGAATACTCCCATCAGCCTGCGCATTCAGATACGGACTATACCCGTACGCACAAGTCTGCACGGGCGAATTCGTCGAGATATTCGAGATACTCCACGGCGCCGGCGCCCACGCCCAGTCCCCCTCCCCCAGATTCGTATTAACATACACAATCCGATTGTTCATCGGCGGATACGCGCCCTCCGGATACCCCTTCCCACTCTGCATATTCGCCACGTCCCACGTGAAATGGCTCGCAAGAAGCAGCTGCTTCTGCCGCTCGTCCCAGATGATGTTCGGGCTCGCCGCAGCAAACAGCCCGTCCTCCGTCGTGACGTTCACGCCCATGTCGCCCGCGTTCCACGTCACGCCGTCCGACGAGGTCTTCGTGTGCACTTTGCAGATATCGTGCCCGTCCGGGAACTGGCAGAACTCGTACGCCATGATGTACTCGCCGTTGTCCATCCGCGCGACGCTCGCCATGCCGGGCCGCTCGCTAGGATCCGGGCTCGCCACGGCCCAGGTCACATTGCTCCAGTTGTCGCCGCCGTCGGACGAGGTGACTTGGACGAGCATCTGGCTGTGATCCGGGTCCCGCTCGTCGGAGAAGACGGCGACGAGGTTGTCCTCGGGATCGAGGTAGAGGAAGGGTTCCCAGATGCCGCGGTAGCCATTGGCGGTCTGGATCCCTGTTTGCCAGGGGCCGACGAGGTCCCAGGTCCGGCCATGGTCGGAGGAGCGCCAGGTGTAGAAGGTGGTGTTCAGCTCTGCTGGGGAGATGTTGCCCACCAACAGGAGTGTTCCTGCTGGGTATTTGCCGAGCTGGCGGGGGAATTCGAAGAAGAACGGTTGCCAGAAGGTTGTGTCGGGGTCGCTGGGGTTTGTCTGGGAGCCATTGACTGTGGACAGGGTCGTCCAGTCTAGGCCATTACTGTTACTTTCGCGGATGATAAAGCTACCGACGGTGCCATTGGGGGTTGCGTTTGTTGCGCTTTCGGTGTACACGTGCTCCCATGTGGCTAGCAGTTTGCCGTTCTGGTGGCCTGCGTGCTGGAGCTGGATGACTCGAGCGTATGTATTGGCCTCATTGTCCTCGGCACGTTTCCACAGATAATTGCCGGTCGAATCGGCAGTTGTGAGTGGGTTTGTGAGAACCGATGCAAGGGCGTAATAGGCTGCAAGGCTATGAAACTTGACCATACTTGGAGGGTGGCCTATCGGATACAGAAACAGTGGATGTAAGACATTCACAAAAGAGAAGCTCTTTTCATCCCTTTTTTTTTCTCCTCAATTTTTTTAAAGGGGGGGGAAAAATAAATAAAAACAGTCACGACCTCTCGCTAAGCTATGTGCCCTGGAAACACAGCAATGAAGACCGGTGCCTGGCTCCAACATAGAGCCATGGAAACCCCGAAGAATGTGAATGAACCATTGTTGCAGGGGGTCGATAAGGTTTTGCTGCCCTGAGTTCGAGGAATTAGAGAAGAGACTGGTAGCCCTACCTAAGAACTTTCAAATAATTCCAGTAGCATTCAACTGCTTACAGTCGCGCTAGAAAGACAAAAATGACCAGACATGCGAAAGCGACCGGGGTCGATATGCCTGGTCCTCGACATGCGTCTTTTATTGAAAAAGGTCTAGATGCTCCGGAGTCCGGCATTTCCTAAATTTCAGGCCGCCAATCACAGGCCGCACAGCTCCGAATATTTATGGGCCAAACTTTGCCGATTAGGTTTAGCGAGGGAGTCCTTTGCCGCACCGTTTTCTTTCAAATGAAAACACAGTGCCGACACTAGTCCGAGGTCTTCTACTTGAAATGTGGTCACAAGCGTAAAGTATTCTTTGAATTGAAAGGTTTCAATTGAGAAGTAAGATATGCTCTCATAAGACATGATTTCGTTAAGAATAGTATGGTCCCGAAGCCATAGTTTTGCCTGCCATTCCCATGCATCCGAAACGCCAGTAGAAACTCCGTAAAAAATCATGAAAAGAAAAAAAAATCCGTGAAAAGATCGAACTCCCCCCACAATCAACCATATATGCAGTTCAGCTGGTTCCCTTTTTGTTTGTGTGTGTGTCCAGTGTGACAGGGGGTAGGATAATGTGCAGGTGAAAAGAGAGACAAGAACAGAAAGAAAAGAAGAAAAAAAAAGACTGTCGAGTCCAGGCTCAACTAAAGGTGCATGGCGTTGAGAAACCAGATCAGCGTGCCGCGAAGGGCTTAGTGGAAAGCGGCCTTTCGGCTTGTGGCTTCGCCAATCAGGCGGCGGCGTTTTTGCTCATCAATTTCAAAGAAGGAACTCTCGGCAGAACTATGCTGGCTACCAGGCCGCGATTGCAGTGCAGAGGATGATTTCATCTTCTTCAGGTTCTTAGACTTGTTGCTCGGGCCCAGCCGACGGAATTCGGTGACTAGACGCTCCAGTGCAGAACCAGCTGCCTTGCCTTGGGGTTTGGGGACAGGAAACTGAGGGAGAGGCTTCTCCAAGGCTGCCACCGTGACACTCTCATTGGCCGCACACTCATTGGCCGCACACTCATTGGTGGCACTCTCATTGGTGGCGGGAGACCCGAAGCTGATTCCCGAATCGGCCTTGCGGGTCTTGGGACGTTGAAAGGTCTCGGCTTGGTTCAAGTCGGCGGGTTCTTTGATCATCATCGTCTCTTCTATCATTTCGTTCGCCGCGACAAGGAACTTTTCCAACACATCGTGCACAAGAGGCCAGGAGGTGGCGTGGCCCTCTGGGGCATGTTGCGTAATCAGGTGGTCCAGAACCGCGGGGCCCTCCGCGTCGACCTTCTTAACATAGCGAAAGAACCCATCGCGCTGGGCAAGCAGCGTGGTGGGAGTCAATTGCTTGGTGGGGGAAGGCGAAGAAGCGGCAGTGGGCGGGAAGAGCGTGTTTAGCATGGCCAGGTTGTTGGGCCGGTTGTGGGGATCAAGCATCATATCGTTGATTAGAGTCTAGAAGCAGATCGTTAGCGGCATGGTCAGAGGATCAGAGAGTGTGTTTGGAACATACCCAACGACGGAGCCCAATGTAGATTTGAGTATACAGGGCCTCCAGGTGCTTGGCGTTCACGGTGATCTTGTAGTGCCAGGCCATAACTTCCGGATGCTGAATCGCCAGCTCAGAGCGGAACGGGGCCTCCACATCTTCGCGAGTCAGGCCCAGGCGGTCGTAGGCGCCGGTCATTTCCTTCTTCCATCGGTTTTCCAGGTCCTTCAGGTAATCCAACGCGGTCAATGCCTGGGGGAAATCCACTGACTCGAGCTCGGAGGCGAAGGTGCGACGGACGAAGCTGGTCAAAAAGGACGCGGGGAGGGAGCACGGTTGAGACGGGAGACGAGACATTTGGTGCATCAGCTGCGAGCGGAAGTCTAGCGCAGCATCAATGCTGGCATTCTCCTCCGAAGACGAAGAGGAGGTCGAAGTCGAACTACGCGCGGAAAAGGCCGTCTCCGGACGCGACGGGCCGGAACTCTTGGAGGGGTTGCAGTTCAGCGTGTACATGGTGCGCAATGGAATCTCGTAGGTGCCGGGGTAACGCAAAATGTGGTCAAAGATCCAAGTCAGAGCGGTCCCATCGGGACTTTCGAGAGCCTGAGACATCTTGGGTACAGATTGCAAGTGGCAGATATCCGCGTCAGATTGAACACGAAGGAGGAATCCTCGAAGCTATGCTTGGATGTTCACAAGGACAGCAGAAAGGACTCGCACATAAATAAATGTACGATCCAGCGCGTTCAAAAGTTTGCCAAAATGTGCGAGGGCTGGGTGTGAGGTTCGAAACACCGAGGGGCCGGAAGCAATGCGCGGTGTAACACGAGCAAGGACGGGGAAAAAAAACGAGAGCACGTCCGAGGAAAGCAATACCACTGGTCAAAAAATCCGCCGAAAGGTAAGGATGGGCGGAAACGGGTACGCAGCACAAAAGGCCCCTTGTGGGAGGTGAGGAGGCTCTGAGGAGGTGTTTGTTGACGTTCCGGTTGGTGGATCTCAGGCGGCTGCGAGATCAGATCGAAGTACAGTACAGAGTGGGATGGGTTTCTCGTGTCTACAGAAGGCTGGCGCGCAAGTGAGACACAGCAAAAGAAGGTGGGAGACAAAAAATGAAGGGATAGAGAACGAAGAGTATGAGTACAAGTCTAAGACTGAGGAGAAAAAAAAAGAGGCGGAGATGGGGTTTAGCGGAGGAAGAATCGATTTATGCAGAATCCGCACTTTTGTCCACAATGGCAAGTTACGCACTTCAGTCTGGACCGGTCGAGTTCGGTGGAGCCAGAGTGGACTTCCCCCTCGTTCCCCGATGCTCTGGGTGCCGCTAGGCTCTGTTTGGGACACCCTGGCTCATTTGCCTTTTTCTCTTTGCCCTTTTGACTTTTGGGGGGGGGGGGGAAATCGATTTCGAGCCCGCGGATGTCGCCCGCTGCTCCTGCTCCACCTGCATCCACCCGCCCTCCCAAAAAGAAGCTACCGTTGGCTTTCCGCCCTTCTGGTTCTGGATTTCTTAATGGACTTCCTAATTGATTCCTCTTGGAGGGGGCTTCTTGCCTGTTTGGATCTTAGGGCACCGGTACTGTGGTCGCCCCCTCTCAGGAAGACTGCCTCACGGTCGATCTGTTGCACCCGTTGACTCTAAATCCGATCCTCGGTGTCTTGGACGCAATTATTCCGTACTGCGATGGATCGATCTGTCGCCTACGGAGTCGTGATGTCTTCGCCGTGGCCCGCTTTCGGGGTAGATTGTAAAGTGCACACAGCTAACGAGGTCGACAGGGATACACCAGCCCTATCAGTTTCAAACCTACTGCAGGGCAGCCAGTCGCCATGAAATGAAAGGGAGGAAAGGAAAAAAAAAATTAGAAATAGAAAGAAAGGTCTAGCTCATGGCCAATGGACCATCTGTAGAAAGCGAACTCTACTCGCAAGGGGGCGCGCCCCCGTAAAACCGCGAACGCGTCAGGGAAGGCATGCTTTCATCCCCGATGCACGGGGAAAACCGTTGGAGCAGTCAATTTGCTGCTGACGGGCCAGTCTGACAGGGTACCCGCTCCAGGATTTAGCGATCATTTCCATCCAATGTGCACCCCAAGGTTGTAAATTCTGCCTCGGCATCCACCCCGATCCAGGTTGTCCAGACCTGGAGCGCGAACCCACAATAAACAACCGCAACTGGTTGGCTCAACCATGGATCGAGGGGCCATGGACCAAATGTCATGGGTATGACACCTGGAGAGCCCCGAAATTCATGGTGTACCTGCATCCCGCGTTTCACGTCCCCGACTCGCCCTGGACTAATTCTTGTCAAAATTAGGGAGACCCCAGGCTCGTAGCACAGTCTAAGATTAACTCAGGGGCTAAATGAGATTGTTCTGCTATTTCGAGGGGTCGCATCTTCCAGAAGTTTCAGAACTGTATTATAATCAACCTCGATGAGCGCCTGAAATTAGCCTTACGTCCATGCTTCCGGGCCCCAAGCGCCCCGTTATTTCAGAAGCGAGCTCTCTCGTGTGCGGGCAAAAAGTGGGCAAAGAAAAAAAAAGACCGGTGGGACCCAGAGCCTGGACACTGCGATCTTCACTCCTTCATTACCGCGATCCCCGGTTAGATACGTCATAGTCAGCTCGTCCGATTCTGACGAGAATCAGATGCCTCCATTCTACATGTAGGCTAGCTGGCGATCAAGCGAGTTGAAAGGATATGCGCTACGGGCTCTAGCCCTGCGACCGAGGTTCTGCCCATGGTGCATGTTGCATGATCCGGCTCAACTTTCAAGGCCCCCCGGCGTCGGGGAACCGGGTTCATGTGTGGGGCGGGTCTGCGCATTTCTCGTTCTGCCCAGGCTCATTGGGTCGCTAAGGTTGAGGCTTTGAAGGGCAAAAAGACGGAACTTTGTCACCGGAGTGGAAAGAATGACGGAGCTCCATCTGAATTTGGACCTATCTGATTTCCTCATTTTCCCCCTGTTTCGCTTTTTCTTTCAAGAAGGTCCTCAGGATTGGACACGGTCGGGAATTGATGCCCAAAATCACACTCATTTTCCGGTCGTGATCGGATAGTGGAGTACGCGGAGGGTCAAAGGGGCAAAGCGCGTGAAGAGGGGCAGATTCAAATCCATGGTGGTGGGATGCTTGCAGTAGCGGCAATCGATTTTTGGGACTTTTGGCACGAGGATCTTCCGTCTTTATCGGCGTTCTGGCTTTTCAGTCTATCCTGAAGACAAACCTTTGGAGAAGCCAAATCCCTCGGTCCCATCGACGGAACCAAGCCTCGAATCAATGTGCTACAACTGCAATACAAAGCTCCTAATCTACAGCTCCAACGCCTCGGTGCTAAATCTTCTTTCATGTCCTGTGAAAGGCAAACTTGCATCACGCTGATCAAGAACCGTAGAGTCAAACTTCCCCATTCGGTCACATCATGGCGGCCCACAAAGACCCTAATCGAGATCCACGGCGTGTCGATCGCTCGTGCCTCTTTTCGAAGCCAGCTGAGCCTAAGCCCCTCATGGGCGTTCAAATCCCGATGAGACGGTCTGTCGGTGAAGATGAAGCTCCGTAGGCGGGAGGCCGTGTCAAACAGAAAACCACCTTCGATAGTCTAACAGCCACGCCAGTGCTTCAAGGCCTTTCGCCTCGTCTTGTGTGCACGGCTGCGAAATGAAGCCAGACCTAGGCTACTCGACCTGTTCCTGGCCCTGTGAGAGCTACAGATTGGATGAGCCTAGTGTGCTTCGTGAACAGGTCTGTTGCGGTTAGCGTGCTGATCCCGGATGGCGATCCGCCGAACTTTATACTGCGCAGGAAGCCCCATGGGACTAGGATACATACAGATTGTAGAAGATGTAGCAATTGTAACCGATTACTCTCATCCCAGTACCCTTGCGGCCAGCCGCCTCAATGGAGGTTTAACAGCACACTCAAGAAGCTATGAATTGTGAACCTTGTCGCAGATCCCATCAGACACTAGCTCAGAATACCTCTGAGGCGCACAGACTCCTAGCGCATGCTGTTTTGGTATCTTTCAGTATTGCCATCAGCTCATCCACCATGTGCTCATGAGATAAGGGGTGCTACCCTCAAAGTCCATGTGGTCCATATGGACGCTTGGATCAGGGTTACACCTTTGTATCATATTGCCAACTTCTTTCTGGACTTGCGTTGTCCCTGCAAGCAAGCAAATCGGCCGAGGGCTCATAGGGCTGGAAGGTTCATGCACAGAAGTCTACGTGGCTTGCATTTAGCGCTCGTGATATGCTGCGCGTCTGAGGTGGTGGGATCGTCCTCCCTTTTCTGGAGGTCCATCTCCGCGAGGGGTTTCCAAAAAGAGTCCCGGAGAATCCCTTGACCGAGGCAAGTGTAACAGCACTGCATGTCTATATCCACCGTGGTCACATTCTACTGCCTGCAGTTGATTCTTACCTGTGATACTAGTCGTATCCGTGGTCATATGTCTTCAAGTAGAGCTAGGGACGATTAACCTGGTATCACTAGTCCAGTCCTAGTAATAGGAAACTCCGATTCTTGCTTTACTATAGTCTATGTGGCCGTTCAAAATATTTTCATATCGCCTGCTAGGGATTATTAGGTAAAAGCCTCGGCACACACGTGCCTACCTAGTCAATCGGTACGTTCTATGGAGGTGGCCTATGATAAGACGTAAGGGAGCACGAATCGAAGGAAAGGGAATCTGAGAGTAGTAGGCCATGGAACATGGCGGAGGCCTCTGAATCTATGTTGCTACTAGTAAGATGGACCCTTTGGCGCGAGTATAGAATCGTCCTTTATATAGTCAGCACCCTTCACTAGGTAGGTATGTACCTCAGGCTACGAGGGGTCCATGCAAACTCATTATATACGAGTATGAACTGTTGGTATTAATATATCTTCAAGTTCATGCTATTGACTTTTGTCCTCAGAATAAAAATGGCGCTACTTGTACCTATCCAAAGCGGGCTATGTATCATACTCATCGAAAACAGAACCAGGAGGCTGTTTTGCAAGGGTAATAAATCGAACGCCGCCCGTCATGGACCCAAGTGCAAACGTTGTTTCAAATCTTGAGCTGTACATTGATACTGGCAGTTCCGAATCGTTCCACTCCGGTCGATAGTCAAAAGGTATCCAGAGCAAGTCGCCCTCATTATAAACGATCCAAGAGAAGTCTTCATTCAAGCCGTACCCTTGAAAATCCGGCCGCATTGGTTGAACGGAAGAGGCGGTGCTGGCAAGGTCTATATCAATAGCGCCACGTGCTCTGTGCAGAAGCTTGGAATGGGTTCGGCTATGTTGAATCATCTGAGCCAATTGTATATCAATAGCACCAAGTTCTGTGTGCAGAAGGGTGGGATCGGTTCGACCAAATTGAATCGTCTGAACCCTAAAGCAAGAAAAGACTAGTTCGCATGTACCAGCTTCCAAATTCCAGATCCTCACACATTTGTTTCCATAACCCGGAGAAACTAATTCGTCCACAGACAAAGACGCGAGCCTATGTCCTTCTCGTGACCAGGCAAGTGAGATGACTGTGCCTGTGTGGCCATTAAGAGTATGCGTTTCCCGCCCAGAGGAATCCCAGATCTTGATAACATGGTCCTTCAGGCCTGCGGCAAGCTGGGTTCCATCCTGCGACCATTGCATAATGTCGCTGTACAGTGCACTATCCGCGTCACGATCAATCTTATCCATCATTATTTGACACTCAATCTGTCTAGTGACCGAATTCCGAATGATGATTTTGTCAAATTCCACGGAGGTCAAAGCCCACTGTGCGAGCCGAGCTCCATCTGGCGACCAAGAGATGGAGCAGAATTCTAATACCGATTGATCTTCTTCCAAAATCGTGACACACTCGCCGGTTAGTAGGTCCCATGTTCCTATGATTGATCGGGAACCGAATGACAGGAATCGAGATCCTCCTTGTAACCAAGAGAGCGATAAGGGCTCTTCATGGTGGCCCAAGGCCCATAAAAGCTTTCCAGTCGATGGGTCCCAGACCCCAATCGTACCAGAAGATGCGGCTGCGAGCCGGCTTCCATCTTGTGACCAGGATAGGATACTGACCTTTTCCTTCATCGTGTCATAACACGTCAATGTATTCTCATCGAGTGCATTCTCATTGAGCGCATTCTCATTGAGTGCATCTTCATCGAAGGAATTTTCATCAAATGAATCCCCGAATTCCATGCCAGGTTTGGCAGGTGTGAGGGCGTCGCTCGTGTCCCATATCTTGACAAGGCGTGGCAGGGACCCAGATGCAATTCTGGATCCATCGGGGAGACCAAGCAAACGATTTCGAGAACCCTTCGTCTTTAATCGTGAGGATTTGCTCTTGCTCAATAACAGCATCAAATACCCGTATAATACAGTGAGTTGCAACGGCGATACGAGTCCCATCTTCTGACCATGATATTGCCTCAAGCCTGCTAGGCTTAAGATAGAATGCGGACCTTGAAATCAGTGTGGACTTTCCGGTGACAGGGTACCAGATTTTCAACTCTTTCTTTTTCGACCAAAACGCGCAACTCAGTTTCTCATGCGACCAAAAGAGAGCTTGTTGCTCTGGGTATTCTTTTGGGGGAGAGATATACTTTCGTTCGTAACCTGATTCCAAATCACAATAGTGCCATCTTCCAAAGCCACAGCGAGCCGACGGCTTCCGTCTCGCGACCAAACAGTGTCAGCGCATCTACAGTGCAGCTGTATAACTGATATACACCGGCCAGAAATTGTATCCCATATCTTTACACAATCTAAGTGAGCGGCTGCGATGCAGAACCCGTCCCGCGACCAGGAGAGCGGAGCTGTGATTGGGGACTGTCCATCAAAGGCAGTAATTTGCTTGATAGGCGATGCCAAGTTTGTAGTATCCCATATCTCAATTCTTCCATTTCCGGATCCGCTTGCTAGTCTTCCCCCGGTAGGCGACCATGCAGGGTTATGCGCTAGCTCAGGTAATGAAATGTGCGATAACTGTTGGCCAGAAGCTGTATCCCAAATTAGGAGGACACCACTGAAGTCTGCTGATGCGAGTAAACGGCCATCATGTGACCAGGCGATGAAGGTCGCAGGCCCGAAATGCCCATCGAGATGTTTTAAGCATCTACTCCAATGCCGATTCACTAACGATATGTTCAAAATCCAGTCTGGCCTACAACTTGAATCCTGATAGGCTTTTTTCGTGAGGCTTTCAATCGGGGTGAATAAGATGCACGAACTGTACACTTGAAGAGGGGAGGCCTCGATCCCATCTTTAGTATACTGTATGAATCTTGATGCGTCTCTGATACGATCATAGAGAAATGGTTTCATTGGGACCTCCTGCTGGTATCTTCTCGTTAGCTCAGATATAATTAGTCAACATCAAAAATCCCTGACTCACTTTAAAAAGTTCCTCGAGCTTGAGCATAGCCGTGACACCATGATTCAGACACTTGGAAAGACTAAGGGCTTCAAGCCAGTGCAGGTAGTCTTTCCTAAAGAAATTTTCCAAGCAGCCTCCGTCAGCGTCGAAAGCAGCATCGCCTCCTCTCTCCAGCCAACCATCTCGAAGATGATCGACCCAGTAGACGCAGGAGTACATCACAGATGCCAAAGGATTTGGACTCGGTGGTACAGCTTCCTCGGCCGGGAACCCAGGACGCCCCAGTCCGAAGATATCTTGGCAAAGGGTACTTGACATGGCTTGTAAAGAGTTATAGTAAATTGACATATGCTCAACACCCAGGCCCTCAGGGAATATCTCAATTTGTGCTTGGCTTTTCAGGAATTCTCTCGCAGACTGGTGAACGAAGACGATAGTATCGCAGTCACGTAATGTTAGAAACGAGCCGCAAGTCTCTATAATCTCAGACAAGGCTTCGAAGTCACCAGAGAGTTCCTTGGGTAATTTCATCAAAGACGTTACTTCGCTGAGCGTGATGGGCCGATAAGCGAGTGATGCCACAGCTAACATGCGCCTGCAAATATCCGCATCTTCGGAGTCCCGAACTTGGTCGATCATGCGGTGATATAAGGCATCAAGTCCGGGGGGAAAGACTTTTAGCTTTTTGATGGCATGCCTGCGTGGTGTCTTCGAGAGCTCCTGACAGACCAGTGCTACCCAAAGGAAAGTCCCCTGTGAATTGGATAGCAAATGGTGCTTGACTGTCCCGCTTGTGTTTTCATCATACTTCTTGACGTCTACTAACTTGTGGACCTTGTGCTCAATAAAATGGCCCACGGCTTCGGATACACGATCCTGGTTAAGCTCCAACGAAACTGAAGTCGATTGAATCGCAGTATTGAGGCGCTCTTTGATATCTGGCCAGTTACGACTGGACACAAGCCACTTTACCTTTCTATTCAGTGGCGACAGCTGAAGAATCAGATCTAGAAGGGATGGCAAATCTTTCCCTACACTCGTCAAGAGCATCGATAATCAAATAGGTCCTCCGTAAAGTCGGATCTCCCAGAATGTTTGTGAGCATTTTGGAGAGGGCGCTCCATGCGTTCACGTCTTCGAATAAAGACTTCCCAGCTGGGCCCCATTCCCCTCGCACATGAGAAATGAGAGAGCTCTGGGAATCGAGCAAAGACCATATGAGACCTCTCAGGACTGCAGTGGCATTATCCAGCCGTGGGTCGTCGGCTTGGCAGAAGAAGAACGATAGATTCACCGGCTCCGTATCCGGGCTTATTTTTGGTAGCTCCTCGATTATTCCACAAAGCAACATAGTCTTGCCTTTCCCTGGGTCGCCCCTGATCCAGAAAAGACTCGTTTCTTGGATGTTGGAACCATGCCACTGCTGGAACTCCTTGTTGCTCAAAATCCAACGATAAGATTCTTCGAGGAGCTTGCCATTCTTATTCTCAATGCGAATTTTATCGTCCCTTGGGTTGGTGATTCGGAGGTCTCTCAAGCACTGTTCATCCGATAAAGCTCCCGCTTGTACTGTATTGGGGCTTATTAGCTGTCTTCCCTCGCACTCTCGTAAAGCATCTGAAACTGACCGAAATTAGTAATGACATTGCCTCCGGCGGTTGCTTGAACCCCGGAATTCGAATCCCCAAAAGATGTCATAGATGCCATTGCTGGACAGGTGGTGAAGTGAAAGGGTCCAAGTTGGCGCCTGAGCGGGGTGCTATGGGCGGGTCTCAGCCGCAGGCCAATTTAGCGTGATGGCTCAGCTCACAGGGACACAAGACAATATCTTCCTCCTCGCCATTCGACGGTCGATGGTATTTTCGAATTAGATGTTAGCACCGTCCAGGTTTTACTGAGAATATAAACTGCTTGCGAATACAGAATCAAGATGCTCAACCCTCATCGAACGGTTGCTCCAGGTGTCGAGTTCGTATCGCGTGTCAGTGTGGGGACGGAAAGGGGAATTTTCGATCAGCGAGATCTGACGTCAAAAATCGATCTTATCTGTCAATTGATATCGCTATCACCATAACTTTTTTGAATGAATCAAAGCTACTTTGGATTCAAGTTGTCATGAGAAAAGCAGAATTTTTTTCGTCGGTGTCTAGTATATTGCAAAGAGCACAGCCGGCGATCTGTCCGAATTGACACTCAGATCGCGTCCAACAACGTATAAAGGCCATGTTCAAAGTTTGGCCAATAAGAAGTCCCTTGACAAAGCCCAGACATAAATATGAACAGGAGAATCGAAGATAAAGTTGAAGGGAGTGCACATAAAATCGTGTCCATAAGGAGTCGTGAAAGGGGGTATAATGAAGTCCGTAAAAGCCGTTTCTTCAAAGATGCTCTTCCAGCACATCGTGAGGAATAAACAAACGTTGGAATAAGAAGGGGAATATAAGTTAGGATAAAAAGTTGACCCCGGCTCAGCTGGAGATGAGGGATGGAAGAATGCCGAGGCAGTCGTATAATAACTAGAGGCAGCATGTCTGAAGCGCACGCCAGGAGGATATCAGGAAATGATGTTAAGTTCACCTCAACGAGGCACATGGGCGATTAGAGAATCTGTCCCATAATCAACGCGAAGGAACTGGCGACCAGAGCCGCGGGGACACCAGCGCCCAAGCTGACTGCACCACCTGTCTTAGTGGAGGAGACGGCGGCCTGAGTCTTGGAAGAAGAATGCGACAGAGGAGTCGATGTTGGAGAGACAGTGGTTGGGGAGGCGGTAGTTGTCACCAAGCTGCTACTTGAGGTGGGAGCTGGCGTGGCAGTGACAGCGTTGACCCGGACGAGAGTCTTGGTGATGGTGGTCGTAGAGGTCGAGGTGATGTCTGCGGCGGCAAATCGCGCTGCTGCCAGGCAGAGAAAAGAAGTGACGAAAGTGCCAATCTGCATGGTTGCGGATGTGGGATTCTTGCACAAAGTTGTAGATGAGGTGTAGAGAGTTCTAAGGAAACCGCGATGCGAGAAATGAGAGCGTCAAGGAAGCGCAAGGCCGAGACAAGGCTCTAGTATAAATGAGCGACCAGAATGAATGACTGGAGTGAACGGGGTCTTCCTAGAGGGGGAAGTATGACAGGGAGCGGTATGCGCCCTAAATACTAAATCTCAGGCACAGAGTGTGTGAGCCTAGGGACTCATAGGGCTCATTGTTTCCTTTCTAGCGCCAGGCTTAACTGGGGCTTTAATTGGACCCGACTCCATAGTTCGAATCTGGACCGTCGATTTCGGATGGGCCCAAATTCGTGTTTTTGGTTCGCCAATGGGAGCCCCGTATTGACTACGGAAGTGAGAAAGAGAAAAAATAAACAAAAAAATTGAAGAAAAATCCTTTTAGCGCCACAAGGCTTTCCGGGCCCCTTCCCGCTCAGGAACCAGGTACTCCGTTCACGGGGGCCTCATGGCAAGGGACTCGGTATGTCAGAATGTCAGAATGTCAGGTCAACAAGACTACGTGGTCTTGGTGAGTTGTAATGATCCATTGAGCACACCGAATCCTGTGTCTTTCGGTGCAGGCCTAACAAGGACAAATGGGAACCGGATGATTCCTTTTCCTTCTTCGTCCCAAGTACCTGTAACAAGGTACAGTGTGAGATTCGGAAAAGCCCTCTGAGCGATTTCTCCAACGGTCATCCACACAACATATTAGCCTGACAATGGGTGGTTCCTTTTTGTCCTCTGACGTTCAACGTCGAAGAAATCGTTTCCATTATTGTTGATACCTTGTTTGATCCCTGCGGTGATGAGGCTTCGGCCGTCCATCATTTGTCGCCCTAGTTTTCCCCCTGGCGTCATCGGCGCCCGAACGGAGAACGGAGAGGGCTCATTGGGGAGTCCACTGAATGAGGCGATGATCCGCTCTGGACAAATAAATTGTCAGCGGGCTCTCGTCATTGAGGGGCCAAGACCAGATGGTCGGATTGGCCACGGGTTGCACCAAGTTGGGCTAGATTCTTGGATTTACGGGTTCTGTCCGAAATAAATGTCGCCATCACACAACTGAAGAAATCCAACTTTGGCAAAGCCTGGCGAGTCTCCACTTGGAAGTTCTGGAAATGGGCGACGGGGCTCCAGCGAAGACCCTGTTCCTGGCGAAATCCATGGGTGCCCGATTCAGGTCCACACTACTCCGTAATGAAGATCACTTCCATCTTCTTTTCGTAGCCTTTTAGCTTAGCACATTTGGGGTCCGAACAGTCCGGGGGAGTACGAAAGACGAACCGATCCCCGAAAGTCTGCCCTACATCTTGCAGCCACGGTTGAGGGATCACAAGTCTGTTGTCCGACGTGCCCTACGGCTCCATGTCCTCGCGCGCTTTGACCCTCACAAGCGGCAGAGATAATGCCTTTCTACCGATGTTTACGCGCTCTTTGTCATACGGTTTCTCAATCCCGAGGCCCCAAGGTTTGCCTGAGACTATTGCCTCGACAGCACATACCAGCAGACCGCTAGACCGCCAGTTTGCCGTCCAGTATTGAACATGTTCACCTCAATGCAAATACACAACTACATGAAGTTTAGAAAAATTATGAACATTGATAGTGAAGCTAGGCCAAAAACCGTCGAACGGTCTACCCTTTGGCTGATCATCAGTATACCATTCCATAGTGCTATTCTCAATGAAGTCCGTTTATTATGTTCATATCTCCAGGTTGAGCGAAATCCCAATCAAAAACTCGAACTCCTTCAATACCAGTAGCTTTGGGTAAATGGGGGGAATTTCCGACCTCGGCAATATTAGTACCTCCCCGACGAAAACATATTTCTCACGGGAGTTGTAGAGAAAGCTGTGCTTTCCACTGCCACCAATCTGGGGGCCTCATTTGTTGAAGATAATTAGTAAATCATCTCTATAACATCGGCAGCGACACAATTGACGCCACTGGTTTGATTCAAATTCGCTTCTAGGATTGCCATCTTATCCCGGGCCACCTCAAACCTGGAATTCAACTTTAAGGTCTCATAGTATTCACAAATGACACTGCCGATACCCGCCAATGACCAATTCCTGCGGGTACTAGCCTGAATAAAAAACTCACCTGGGTACTCTGGCATCACATTACTCATAATAAGAAGCCGCTCGTAGTAGTATAAAGGTCAGGTTCAGGTTCCTTTTACGAGCTACTAGTATTCCGGAGGTCGTCCACGGGTTTTCAACGGACATCAGTCATTCGAGCATACTTGCATAGTGCTCCATAAAGTTTGTTATGGTATGTCTACACCCAGCAGAGTCGTCACGATCAGCAAAAAGGGTTCTGCGAGCTACTAAAGAATGAAGAATATACAAAATTAAATTATATAGCAATAACGCGATGTCTTGGTATTCATTGCATAAAAAAGCACCTCAAGCGAGCCAAAACCCTTGGTTTATGTACACTTGAGGCTGAATAATCCCAAGACATGCTAACTATACCGTACTCCGGATAGCAGCTTCTTCCTAATCACCGGGGTCTTTGGGTCATCGCAAAACAACGCCCAATATACCTTTCCTATCGTACAAATCTGTCCCCTTTCTTTGATCATATCGCATGTGCTTCGATCATCCTGTAATTGGATGAAGTAGATGAAGTGATGAGTGGCCTATTGGCGTTGGTTCAAAGGCTTCTGGCGGGGCAGCATAATTGGGGGTCCCCGGGCACGGAGCCAGGCATCGTTGTGAGGGCCCTCGGTTCGAATGACGCTACCAATGGACATGAAAAGGCTGGGAAAAAGGGAGAGTGTAAGTTGCTTTGCACTGCGAAGAACTGAATGAAATTGACACTTTAAGGGCGACACATACCCAAAAGTCGCACCGGAGCCCACCATGTACTTGCCCAAAGTGCGGAACACTCCGTTAGGACCAGCACCGTATTGGAAAATCGTCACGGTTCCTATACTTGTGAGTATATCGAGATAAAGAGGGGAGTCTTCAAGAGTAGGTTCATATTCAACATACCAACAATGAAACCCATGATACCACCGACAGCTATAGCCGAGGTTCGCATTAGTTGGCACTCCAAGTCGAAAAGCAGAGGTCGAGACCAAGATTACATACTTGAGCCCATCAAAGCACCCATTTTCACTACAGCGACAATTAGTTCACAGCTGTCCAAGGATTGGCAATGTATTCTTTCTGCGCGTCGGACCAACATACTCTTGTCAAAGGTTGAAGGACCGGCAGGACCTCCTGCGACAGGGCCAGCGACAACAGGCATGGTGAGGATGGAATGGATATGCTCCAAAAAAAAGCACTTTTCAAGTAGAAATACAAATAGAGAAGGAGCACCCTAGGCTGTCAGCTGTTTAATCAAAACCTCAAAGGTCGCGCTGAGCCCGGTAGCTTTTTCGACTGGATGGCACCGACCGCGGAGCGGACTCCGCTTTTATCACGTGACAATGAACACACGTGCCGGTGTCCATCACACCACGTGATCAGTGCCTGGGGTGTCGAGGGAGCAGGAGACCAACGACGAGAACCCCCCTTCCCCATGGGCAAGAGAGTTTACTCGTGGCCTACCGACTGCCTTGGGACTTTTTAATTCTCTCTTTATCTTTTGCTGATAGGGCCTCTAGCCCGTGGCAAACCGGTCAGTCCCCGTCCTGCGTTTCCATCGATTGCTCAAGGACGTTGTGAGACACCGGTCGCTGCTCACTTTTCGGCAATATCTCACACGCCCTCCCTGGCCTGGAGCACTGAGACTCTGACCCCCGTCAGGCTTACATATTTCCCAATCCATTCTTAACGGGTCAGTGTACTAGATTTACTAGCTTCATCATTTTGGAGCGTTTATCGGAGCCCTGATCGAGACCTGGTCTTATCCTCCAAGTACTTTGGTGGAGAGCGCTAACGCGACCGTTCTGGAATAGCCGGCCGACCATCAAAATAACATCGGTTCTTCGCGTGACCGCGTACCATATATCCAGACCCGACATTACTCCCATTTGCGTTGCATACTCGATCATTTCGCCTCGTGGAAACGATTGCTACCGTGGGCATTTCCTTGCGTCTGCGACCGTTGACGAAGCTCTCACCTTCCCCTTTTCCAAACGACACGGGCATCCTTCTCCATGACTGCTGTGGCATCTCCACCTAGTGTGCAATCGGGCTCTCGCTTGGGATGGTACGCCCCCGGTAACGGAGGACAAGGAGCTCTTTCGGTGAACGCAGACGAAGTGTCCCGGATGTTCATGCAAAGGAAACCTATCCAACGATCCAACTCCTCTTCCTCGCTGGGGTCGACCTCCTCCACGTCAACAGTGACCAGTTCCTCACAAGATACTCATGCTAGTCAGAGTCCAGAATCTGAAGGTACTTGGTCGTCAAAGAAGAAGCCTGCCCGGAACCCTTGGCCTAGCTCGAAGGCCGAGCCGGTAGCAGGTGTCACCAACACACGTTCTCAAGCAGTTCCTGCTTTCTCTTCGGGGCCAACTGCATCCTCGACAATGTCCGCTATTCACCAACCCTCATCTGTCGTCCCGTCACAACATATGCTTCAATCATCTCAACAGAATGGCTCCCGCCAGACGAACGGGCAGTCTTCGGATCCACCTGCCATTCTGGTTCTGACCCCCTTGAACGGCACTTTTGAAAAGAAGCAGATCAATGTGCCTTTCTACCCGGATATTCTACGTATTGGTCGACAGACAAATGCCAAGACAATCCCTACCCCCGTCAACGGATTTTTTGATTCGAAAGTTCTATCTCGACAGCATGCTGAGATATGGGCCGACAAGTCCGGCAAGATTTGGATTCGCGATGTAAAATCGTCAAATGGGACCTTTGTGAATGGCCAACGGCTTTCACCTGAGAACCGCGAATCGGAGCCGCATGAACTGCGAGAACATGATAGCCTTGAATTGGGAATTGATATCGTGAGCGAGGATCAAAATACTATCGTTCACCACAAGGTCTCCGCGAAAGTCGAACATGCTGGCCTATACGGATCAACTCCCAACATACTTGACCTCAACTTTGGGGATTTAGATCCTGCCTCAGGGGGTGGTTTATTACCATCACCACTGAGCCAACCCTTATCACATTTGCGAGGACGCTCCAGCAGCAATGTTAGCAATCGCAGTGCCCAGAGTGTGGCTAGCAGTCAGCTCAATGCCATGCATCAGCAACGACAGCTCAACTACTGGAACTCCCCCATATCCGTTGAACAGGTCGTGAAGAGGCTTACCGTAAGTGCTGCTCTTGTTCAAACATCTCAGTAAGCTTTAGTCTGACCATATCTCTAGGGCGAGTTAAAACAGGCCAAGCAGCAATCACAGGATCTCCGCCAAACCGATGAATTCCTCACCGCCATCATGAAACCAGGCTACGCTGATAAGGAAAAACCCCTCAAACCATCTCCTTTGGAAAACAGTGCGTCCCGCCAATTGAATGGTCGTCCTAAGATGCCTCGTGTCGATTCTTTCTCCCGCTTTTCTGATCCACCTGCTCCTCCACCTCAACAACCTTTACCCGAGAAGCCTGATGCTCCGCCGCGAAGCGGCGCTGATGCATTCTCCCCACTCAAGCGCAGCGATACAGAGAAGGCAAAGCCCGTTGGTACAAGCTCTCCCGTGTCGCGTGACTCGAGCCAGATTCTTAGCCTTATAGAGGCCCTTTCGTCTGCTAAGCGGGAAATTGATACGCAGGGCGCTCGTGTCAAGGAACTCGAAAACCTACTTCTTCAAGAAAGAGCCGCCCGCGAGTCTGCTGAAGAGAAGATCAAGCAACTTGAGACGCTTCCGGCGCCAGTCAGCTCCGTACCACAGCCTAATGGCCCTGTTGACCGATCAGTGGATGGTGACTCTGATTCCCAGGCAGACCGCCATGAATCAAATGGTATCCAGGAAGCCAATGGTTCAGTCCTGCCTTCTAAGCCTGCTGCAGACCTAGAAAACAATCAAGCCGAGGCTTCGCCAGAGCTGAACACATCAGAACTCCAGCTTCGTTTGGAAAGCATGATGGAAGAAATGGACGAGATGAGGAAACAAATGGCTTCCTTCAAGGATCGTGCACAGGCTGCAGAGAAGGAAAATGCGGAGTCCAGGAAGTCACTGGCCGAGATGATCGAGACTATTCGCCGAGAACGGGAGGAGAAGGCCGCAGTGGCATCAATCCCCGCCCCGACGGCAGAGAGCGAAGACGCCTCAAAGATCATGAATGGCCAGATCCACATGGCAAATGGCACTGCCAAGCCTGCTAAGACAAATGGCTCGTCGAAGGCTACTGATTCTACATCTTCAGAGAACAAGGATGTGGATGCCGCAGGCTCGGCTCTTACCACTGAGTGGCGCAGACGCAAATTCTTAGAGGATGCAAGCCCCTTCGCGTCCATGTTTGGTGTAGTGATTCTTGGTGTTGGATTAATGGCCTATCTCAATGGATGGCAAAAGCTGGACAAATGAAGTGGGCTTATTTTGGCCAATTCTGCGAGCGCTTGTTTTTGACATGTTAATGATTGTCTTCGCCGAAAAAAAGCTGGCGTATTGGGGTCTTTCAGCGTGATCTCGAGCCCCGACGATTTCCTTGACGAAGTGATTCCCCTGTATTTTCCGAGGCCAGACTGTCGCCGTGCGTCACCTGGTTGTGCTTGATTTCTTTTCTGAACTCAGCGTTGGTCTTCTGAGTCCCATACCTTGCATACGTTGCATGCATACCCTGACCTTCTCTCTTGTGTTTTTTGTTTTCTCATGACCTTTAGCCTTTCCAGTCCTTGTCAATCATGATCACTTTGACGATGGATGTCCAGTTCTTTCCCCTCTAATTGGGCTTTCTTTTCTGTCTTTTTTCTTCTCAACGCTCTTGTCTTCATACTCTGTGTTCATAAGCCTAGTTCACACAGTCTTTTGTCCTGTTCAGCTCTCAACCTGTTTCTACTGGCCAGCCTTGGTGTTTTATAGTCGTGCCGGAATATTTCCTTACCTGTACATGATGGAACTATCAAGCGGATGATCACGACTTCGACTCTTTTCATTCCTCGTAATCAATTTTCTTCTTAGCAATCTGGAACCTCAAGGCTGCTATGTGTAGGGTAGAGATATATGATATGTAATGTATAGTGTTGGTCTAAATAATGGCAGGACCCCAAAACGATATGGAGGCGTAGAGGACTGGAACATAATCGGCTGTGTAGTGTCCTAGAGAGTACTTATATTACACAGTACTAGACTTGGTTCAATTCATACGATCTTTGGCTATATATCGTTTTGATGAACACTAGCGGGCCTAAGCTCCTTTAACTTGAAAATGGAAAAAGAGGGTGCTTTGCGAGAGTAAAAGCCTCCCAAAGAGAAAGAAAAAACCAGTGACGCGCACAACGCTCATAATAAACCCAGACCACAACCTTAGTATTTCCTGCGCTGGTCAACGGCAGTATTCTCCTTGTAATCAGAGCTGCGCACGCGCGGATCCAGCTTGTTCAAAAGATTTGAGTTATGGGGCCCCGATGAACGTCTCCTACCAGAACTAGATTTGCCCTGGTTACTACTACCATCCGCGGCAGCACCGCCCCCGAAGCCCTGGTTGCCGATGGGATTGTTCATTTCAGATTCCACCGGATCTTGAATCATAGCCACATTTGAATTTCGTTTGCCAGAACTGAAGTTTCTGTCAACGTTCGAGCCGTAGTTGGGGCCGGACTTGTCGCTCTGCTGCCGCATGGCGTGAGTCCCAACCGTGTTGGTGCCATAGTAGGCGCCAAGATCACTGGTTCTCCGCGAGTCCATTTTGTTGGACGTATCTATGCCACCCGATCCTTGGTTGAGGGTACTCGAGGTAGAATCAAGATTTTCACCACCGGCATTGGGGTTACGGCCACAAGAATCAATGCTAGAGGAGTCAAACCCGCTGACTTCCTTTACGTTTGAGGCTCTGCGGTCATTGGAACCCATGTTTCTTTCCCGACCAAGAGCCAAGATTCTCCTTGTTGGAACTGTAGTTGCCCCCGCTGCTGTTGGTAGAGCCATACCCGCTCCGCCCTTTCATCAGATCGGAGTCTGGGTTATGATTATTCAAGTTGGAATTGTAGCTGCCTGGCCCCATGCTGTTGCGAGCATCTGAAGGTCTGTATGCATTGCCGGCATCTGCCGAGAGTTAGCAATCCAATCAGATTTTGGCTTGAGAAACTTACCAGAAGGTCCCTTGTTCATATTAGAGTCCTGATGCAAACCGGTGTCTCCGTTACTTGAACCGTAGGCGTTACCAGAATCTTGATTTATTGATTATTGTTATTTGAAAATCATATTGAGGCTCGACAGGCTTACTTTCAAAATGAGAAGGATCCTGGCCATAGCTACTCGTGCCGTAGTTGTCAGATCCCTTGGAGGGCCCGCGCCCCCGAGACTCTGTGTGCTTTAGAAAGTCTTCACGAGTTTAATTTGGGGGGGGCCATACCGTTCGTTTGATTTTCAACGGATGACCTCTTCCCAGAGCTCTGGTGGTTAGAAATGGCGTTCTTGACTTTGTTCATAAAAGACATGTTGAATTCGTTTCCCCTAAAAGTGATATCACTGGTGGATAGATTTGGGTGATAACGATCGTAATTTCATCAAGCGAAAGACTGAATCAGAGGTGAAATATTTATAGCTAGTCATTGCTGACGCGTGGCTGAAAATGCTGTTCGCAGAATTTCCAGAAGTTCGTGACGACATAACGCGGGGTTACGAGCCTAGACCCAATGGTCTTGTTCGATTGTTTCCTGTATAGGCTGTCATGACGTGGGACTAGGGTGAACTCTAATGTAGTTTTATTAGACCAAGGGTGGTGAGCACACGTGAAGAAAGCAGGGCTGTCACAGGACGTCATGCCCTGTGCTCGAGTCGAAGGGCTCCAATACATGGAGAAAATGCTCTCGTGTGTATCCAGAGGCTCGCATTCAAAGGATCCATGGATCGGAGTCTGTAGAGCTGCTTTCGATCGCGAAGCAAGCATGGTATGCCTATCTGTAAATGTAGCAAGACCATGGCCTCGGGATATTTAAATGAACCTATGGGGGCACCGGAGTTGAGCAAACAGACAAAATCATCTAATCAATAAGCCCTCGATTGTAGAAACCTTTCTTTTCTGCTGCAGCCAGCGTCAACTGAGACGCTTCGCGCTAGCGTGTAACTTTATCTCCGGAGGAGGATGACGTACTCCAATAGATCCACATGCAGTAGACGGGGAAAGTGGATCTGTTGCCCCAAATCCTATTCCAGCGTGCGGAGAGTTCCTCAATCTTGAATATCCATGCAATCTCCGTGCTGTTAGCATCTGTATAATACTCATTATCATGGTTCGTATTATGTGTCAGCCATCGTGATACGCGAGCCGCCGCCAAGTAGTTTTGGCGCCCAGGAGGTGAGCTTGCGCGGCCCATTTAGCTGGGCGGCTATGATGACATGATCGGCGGGTATGCAGAACCCACCGTGATTGAAGACGTGATAGAAACCTCGAATATGTAGTACAGGACGAGTATAGGAAGTAGATATCACGGAGGAGCTGCCGTCTATTGAAATACCCAAACCAGGTTGCATGACCCCTGCAGCTGGTCTGATCAGGCGACAACAATCAGGTGATGATTTGTGCCTGAGGAACCGAACAGCACCGCCAATACAATGCCCAGGTTGCCGCCACTGTGGGTTACATAATGACAGAGCGGGCTCACCTCTTCTCCTTCTCCACCTGCCCCAACTTTCCCACCATCTCAGTCCTCCATCTCCTTTGCTCTTCTCCTTCGTTATCGGAGTGTAGACCGGGACCGTCGGTTCTTTTCGACGTACGGCGCTGCTCGTTGCTCCCGATGAGGGGTCGTGTGTTTACTTGCCGCCAACCGTTGGATTGGTAGTGGTTTCGATCTGTCACAGTCATACAAAGTCATACAACCGGATTCGATTTCCCATCGTTTGTTTCTTCGCCCTGTCTCAATCAAATCTTCTGCAGAGTTTCAGGATTGCAACGCTTTTTTCTCTCCCGCCGTCAGAGATGCGACCACCACGCCTCCTCGTTTTTCTTTTCTGTCTTATCTTCTTCCCTATCTTTCTGACGTTGTTCTCCGCGCTTTCTTCCTCACATGTGGCGACACCCAGCACCTTGACCGGACCGGCTTCCGGATTGCATGCGCTATTTTCTTTCAACATTCCGACGTCCCTTTTCCCGCCCTCCGCCATTATCAGCCTTACTGACGACAATTCGACCTTCTTCCTGGCCCGCCCGGCGGCCTTTGGCCCGCTCTTACCAAGCAAAGGTCTTAGTGGCCAGATTTGGGTCGGTAGTGGATTCGGCGAAGGAGGATTGGCTGCTGGTACCGAGGGCGAACTAGGCTGCTCCGATATCCCAGGATGGAGTGACACAAAGCAGGAGACTGTCTCCAGGGGTGCAGAGCAGAAGTCCGGCAAGTCCGGCAGTGGTACAGTGAAAGAAGGGGTTGTTTTACCAAATTCGCGATCATCATTACAACATGATATCTCCAGGCTGAATGATCGAGGCGACTTTGTTGCGACTCCATCCTCGAATGACGGCACCGATGACCACTTACATCACCCCTGCCCGAGTCCAGTGTTTCGGACGTTGGATCTTCCCAAACACACGGAGAATATGTATCGATCAAGCAGTCGACGCATGCCGATATCCAATCTCTCCAAGAAACTGCCGAAATCCAGGGCAAGGTTGTTCTCTTAAGCCGTGGGGGATGTGGGTTCCTGGAAAAGGTCAAGTGGGCTCAACGGCGCGGGGCTGTTGCTTTGATTGTGGGCGATGACACTCGTGGAGGTAGCCTGGTCACCATGTATGCGCGGGGTGATACATCCAACGTTACCATTCCAGCCTTGTTCACCTCGCACACAACCGCTCACTTGCTCTCCTCATTAATCCCAGGGCATTCGTCAGCAAACGCTGACCTTGGTCAAATATTCAAATCTTTACAAGCAAGTCTGGCTGGCCAGACTCTTGTGGACGTCCAGAAAGCTACTGCCACAGCTACACCAGTTGCGAGTGCTACACCAACTCCCATTTCCTCTGCAACTCAAGACGAACCAATCGCTAGCACGAAGTCAAGTATCGGATTCTTCCGCAAAATTGGCTCTTTATTTGGTCTCTGCAACAAGTTGAGCCATTCCGGAAGCGAGCAACATGGCCAACGCTCGCCCGGCAGTGGCAACCTTGAACTGAAGGGATCGAGCTCATGGAGTCCTGTATTCGAATCGCGGGTCGATCGTTCTAAGATATCGACAGAAAAAAGCCATGGAAGAGAAGGCAAAGCTGAGAGGAAAGATGTCACTCAACCAGGCCTTGAAACATCTGAAGACATCACGAACGATGACTTTGTCATCGGAGTTCAAGACTGGCGAGACCCTGATGTGATGCTCCCGCGAAGCAGCTTACTTCCAACCGCTACTACTTCTGTGAATGGTAAAGACACGGTTAAGACATCCACCCTGCAAGTCGATGCTTTATCTTCGCCTAATGTTCTCCGCGGAGGAAGCATTACGCCCGGGAGTGGGGAGTACCAAAGTATCGATAAGTCCACAGGGAAGTTTCGTGACACCGACGCCAAAGAGATCGGAATCGAGGCCCATATAAGACCTGGCGCATCAGATTCCACGGCGAAGAACTGGTTTTCGAGTCATTTCGGCTGGACCGAGGACAAGATCCAAGCTGACATGGTTCAAGACGTAATGCCATCTCCTTCTCTCTCGGTCCTGAATATCGCAGCGAACACACAGACCCCCAGTGCCGCAAAGGCCAGCAGCCCTGCTGCGGTATTCTCTGAACATGAGGGCTTATGGGTTACTTTGACCCCAACGAGCATGTCGACCAGTCCATTCTTTGATACGCTTCTGGTCCTCGTGGTTAGTCCTCTATTGACACTAACAGTGGTTTATGCACTCTTACTGCTCCGATCTCGGATTCGGCGCCGCCGCTGGCGTGCTCCCAAATCAGTTGTTGAGCGTCTCCCTGTCCGAACATACCATACAATCTCCACGTCCTCCTCCACCAGCTCCACTCGGTCGTGCAGTCCGGGTTCTATTACGCAGACATCTCCTCTCCTCGGAAATGAACGCAGACGTAGTCCATCCCGACCAGTTCGGTCACGCTCACAGACAATCGCAGGAGCCCCAGTTTCTGCCCCTGCGCCAAGGGAGGAGAAGTCGCATAGCGTGCAGTCAGGGTCGACTTTATGGCGCCGCAAATACACTGGAAGACAAGTTGAGTGCGTTGTGTGCCTTGAAGAATATGTCGATGGACAAAGCCGGGTGATGAGATTGCCTTGTGGGCACGAGTTCCACGCGGAGTGCATGTAAGGAACCTAGAAAGCCTCTTGCTGATGATTTGGTTCAAGCTAATAATTATCTCCAAAGTACGCCTTGGCTGACGACTCGTCGACGGACCTGTCCTATTTGCAAGGGTGACGTCGTTCGTTCTTTGGCCCACACGCATGACGAGGACTCTCAGGCTCACGACGAACAGCCTGCCAATACTAATGGCCAAGAAGAGGCTTCTCGGCTGGACTCGTCGTCCGCGCCTGTCCTCATAGTGGGCGTGAATGATGACGGTTCAGATGCCGAACAGAACGCAGGGCTTCTAGACGGCCGGCCAACATCGGCACCACAGTCTAGTTGGCGGCATCTGGCTTCCTTCAGTCTTTCCGCCCTTAGTGGCGACACGATTTGGCACCAGGCTCGTGCGGATCGGAACCGCTGAACCGTTTCACATTCTCCTTTCTGGGGATCTTATTTTACATTCCACCAAGCAGCGGGTCTTGCTATGTTTCTCTAGCGCATTTTGTATTAGCGGTCGTTTGATTCCCTTATGATTTGAATTTGCGGGGCGTTCTGACGGGTGCCTCCCGGAGTGAGGCGGTGCAGCACGTCGACGAGCATCGTCGAAGCGGCTGGGGTATACCGCAGTTCAATCATTCTATTATTCCTTTTCTCCTTTTGCATGGAAGTCGTAAGGAGAAACATTACTTCTATAAGAAGCGTTTCCCAAGGGTTGTCGATTCTTGATTATATATGCGTAGAACTTTCAAGGCACTCGTAGTTACTACTATTCACCAATGGGGAATCCAGTGGACCATAAAAAGCATGTCATGTGCAGATCTCGACCACTTGAAGTCGGAGGGCAAAGCGCAATTTCCGCTACCTATGCGGTCGCTTTTAAGCCTTGTCCGCAATGGCGACACTTGCACTGATCTCTTCAAATACATCCAAGGCATGGGCATACTGGTCGCGCGCCCCACCGACGCGCTTGATCATATCCTTGCCCAGCATCATGAATCGCTCGTCACCACAACCAGCCCCGGCGCCTTCACCCATGGCAACGTCATATATCGCCTTGGCCGCTTTGTCCTTGTCGCTATTCACAATCTCCGCGTATCTCCCGTCCTGGATGGTCTTGAGCAAAGCATCACCGACAGAGCCCTTGTAATCCTCGGGCAATGGGCGTCGAGGCACAAGAGAAACACTCCCAATGTTCGACATGAAAGTACCAATGCACACAGTCAAAAGGCGTACATTGCAGGGCGCGACTTCTTTCGCCAGAACCCGACTCGAGGCTATAAATATAAAGAGCACGCTGTCAATTTACCCGTCCAAATGTCTACTCAAAAAAAAAAAAGATTGACTTACCGTCCAACGCTGCCTTCGCCGCAGCATACGCGCCCATACTCTCATAACCCTCCAATGCAGCGCCAGAGCTAATGTTGATGATACTTCCGAACCGCTGCTTGCGCATAGACGGAAGAACAGCACGAATCAGCCTGTTGGGCCCGATATACAGGAGCTCCATTTGCGCCCGGAGATCTTCATCGTCATGCTGCTCCATGACGCCAAAGGCAACTGTGCCTGCATTGTTCACGAGCACGTCGATCTGCTTGCCCTTGGAAGCGAGGGTTTCCATCAAGGATGCGGTGGATGACGCACTGGTGACATCCAGAGGGTACCATTCACCACCGTGGCTTTCGACTTCAGCCACCAACTCCGGGACCTTGGAAGGGTCTCGCGAAGTTGCGATGACGGTGTGGCCTTGGGCTTGGACTACGCGCGTAAGCGCGAGGCCGAGACCCGAGGAGGAGCCGGTGATCAGCCAGGTCAGAGGGCGAGCCGGCTTTTCATAGATAGGCATGGTGGCTTTTCCCAGTTGGGAGCTTGAAAGTATACAAAATTGGAGGGTTTAGATAATCTTCAGGGCTGGTCGTTCTGTCGTGATCAATGGAGTTGTTCTTGTTCTCTAGAAGGCAAGAACCGCCCTTTTATAGCCTTTACAGAGTGGGCCTGGCTCGCATATCCTGTCATTGGAGTAGGCTGGAAATAAGTTCGATACGGAGTTTACGATGGGGCTGCCGTTGGGGTTTGGAGAAACGCGCTTTCCAAGTTGCCCTCCCTGACCTTAAATCCGGGGCGGCAACCACGGCAAAACTTGACCCCAATTATGCACCGTTCGCAAATGAGACTGTCCAGCACCGTGGTTTGTCCCCGCTGGATCCAGGGGGATTCGCGATGATAATAGCCCTGAAAATCTCAAGTAGAGCTCCTTGGCCACGAAATGGACATACAAATCAAAAATGGCGTGAACAAACGATAGCAGTTGTTTACCTGGGGAACTTGCAAATGTAAAGAAGCCCAATGAGATGGAATTGGTACTATTTCTGAGTCATCATACTGGAGAGAACCCTGGAGAGCCCTGAAGTCAGGGTCTGTGAGATGTCGTACTTCGACAGCGTGAACTATGCCGCTCGATAGGAATAGTTGGGCCAGGTTCGCAACGAGGAAGTATACAACTCACGTCTGGATAGCTTCAAATCAGCGTTCAAGTTGTACTAGTCCCATGTAGTATAGTGATGGATATAGATGGAAGGCTCGTTATGGCTCCTACGGCATCGAGGCTCGACCAGTGAAACCAGTCTTTGTGATTGTAAGGGAGCAAACAAGCTATGGCTTGTTGATTTTCTCTCATGTGTCACTCCCTAATCGACCACTCTGCAACTTGCCATCTTTTTGTCTTTGTACTAGTATCGACAAGCACCTACTATCAGTATCCATCTCTGTCTCCCGCCTATCTATTTACCAACGCTTCTTTCCTGCAACCCACGACCGACCCATACTCCAACCCTTCATGGATCAAGGCCCTCAGCAGGACCGAGATGCTCAAGAAGCTCCCTGGCCTCCCGAGGTGTCAAAATCCCTGACAGGACCCGTAAAATGGCGGCAAATCTGCACCTCTCCTGGTGTCAGGATGCAATTCAACGGGGAGATCGCCAATGCATTTGATCAAGTACCATCGCCATCATTCGCCGCTGTTGCCAAGCGCGCCAGAACGGGATGTGACTTCGAAGAAACCCAGTGTGACAACCCTCCCCCTTCTACGGACGATCCTCGCGAACAAAGTAGTTTGGATCCCTCTCTCTATCCGTTGCGGGACAAGTTTGTGGAGTGTCTAGCCGCGACCCCCGTGAGTGGCCGTGACCTTGCGTCCTTGGTGGCCCTCGGCCTACTCAATTTCGCCAGTTACGCAAAAGGCTACTCGAATTACCAGCCGCTTGAGCGTTCATCTTCTTGCAGCTACAGTAGTATGAGGGCGCCATTCTTGGCCTCTAGATGCGACACTTCGCTTAGCCCAGCTGAAGACAACATTCGACGCATATGGAAACATAGATGGCCTTCTGCATATGGGAGTGACTGAGATTGGCGGTACATGTTTACCGATTTCGAAGGACAAATGTTCTCGGAAATGTTCGATTGAAATTGTAGATGCGCTGGCGCTTGGATGTCATGGCAGATGTGCCAATATGTTCCAACGCCTACGCCAAGCACACCCTGACAGAGGACTCTCATGGAATTTCGACTCCAACTTTGGCCCGTCCAACGCGGAAGTGGTCGTTGTTTCTCTCACAAAAGGTCTCCGTGTTTAGGTCTTATCATAAACGGGCGACTTGTACATCGAGTCCCGCTGGATTGAATGCTGTTGCTGACGACTTCCGCCCTGATGGGAAGGAGTTCTTCCAGGGGTGTACGTTTGGATGGATGTAGCAGTTGGTGAGGGATGTACGGAACAGTCTCCTCTTCCCACTTTTGTTTTCTCAATCGATGTTGTTTGAGTTGTTTCAAAGCCTGGTTCCAGGAAGCCAAATAACATAAGTTTAATCATCAGTGGTCATCATCGATTCTATCGTCGACACAAGGCTGTCAGTGCCTCGGCAGTCCAATGGGAAGTCTATACGAGTCTATACGAAATCCATCGAAACCCAAATAAAACAACTATACGCAAATTTTTAGCCCCAATCCTCTCACCTCCCCAGCCATTGCAACCTCATGCAAGCCGAATCTGAAAGCTAGGGTTAGTCCGAATCCTAGCACCATACCGCGCAAAAAACCACGGCACGCTACACATAGCCAGCGCGATAAAAGCCAGAAGCGAACTCCCCCATCCCAACCCCAGAGTGGCGTACATCCTATGTCCAGCCAGAGGCAGCAAGGCACCGACCAACGACCGAAAACACGTATTAGCCGCGGTCACCGACGCGGCGTACACCAGGTAGGACTCGACCAAATAGGCGCTGACACACGAAAACACCGCGACCAGGCCCACGCCAAAGATCGCCGTCCCGATAATCGGCATAATCCAGTGCGTATGCGCCTGCGCGGACCAGCCGTACCAGAAGAGCCCGATCGGAAGGGCCCAGCAGCCATACATCATGGGCAGCAGGCGCGATTCCGGCGAGAAGCAACCGCGGGCCGTGTGGGAAGCGGCGATTCTGTTGGCGATGGGGCCGATAACCGCGGCACCAGAGAGACAGCCCACGCCGAAGCCGATGTAGGCGAGGCCGGCGATACCTTGGGAGAAGCCGTAGATGCCCTCGAAGATGGGGGTCATGGTCGTGAACATGAGATAGAGGTAGCCGTAGGTGATGGCGGCGAAAAGCGCCATGAGGAACACAATGGGGGAGGTGAACAGGAGCTTGATTGGCCGGGCGAGGGCGGCCATAAATATCCTGCGAGGGGATCGCTCGTCGTTCTCGAATTTGGAGCGGATGTTGGAGTCTCCCGTTTCTTTGCGCAGTCGGGCCGCTTTGCGGGTGAGAAGAACCGGGGCGTATGACTCCCGGTAGCATAGTACTGTTGCCACGAGAACGACACCGATCTGGGGAGGGGAAGGGGTTGGGAGTTAGCATTTGGGGAGGGAGGGCTTCGCATAAAGGGGGGGAGGGGGATATTTCATATAGCAAACTTGAGACATACCGTAATGGAAAGCACCCAGAATACCCAGCGCCAATTTGTTGCCTCGACCAAGAATCCACCGGCAATTGGCCCTATGACAGGCCCCATATAAGGCCCCATGGACCAGAGGGCCATCACGCCAGCTCTCTGTTCTCGATAGACCATATCAGCGACGGTGCCAGCACCAATCGTCAGCGGACAGACGCCCGCGACACCAGCCAAGAAGCGAAACACCATCAGTTGGGGTAGAGTCTGTGCAACCGCGCAGGCGATGGTGAAGATGAGTAGGACCGCATTGCACGCGTGGTATACAGGCACACGGCCATACAACTCTGACAGCGGTGCAATGAAAAAAGGTCCAAAAACGTATCCCAGGAGGTATACGGAGACCAGGAAAGAGGAGATAATATCACTGGACGAGTGGAATTCCCGCAAGATATTCGCCACGCCGGGCGTGAGCATCGAGGATGCCAGTGGTCTAAGAGAATAATTTAGTTCTTCTGCCCATTGCCCTCTTGCCGCAGGCAAGACTGCACTCACGTTATGAACGTGTTAAAGGTCATTAAGCCTATTTGAACGGTCTTCCGCCATGTCGGCCAGTTGAAAGGGTTTTGCGGATCATTGGGGCCCTCCCAGTCCACGAAAGTCGTATTGAGACTCTCTGCTTTGGCAGTCGGTGCTGGAGGTGGAAGTTGAGCCTCGACGTCTGTTTCGTCGCCCGCTTGGCTGGTCCGGGCCTGTGATTTCTCCATCTTTTTCGGCCGCAAAAGGGGCTTTACTGAGCAATAGGATCCATTCCAGATCTAGATCTTGGTTCAGCCTCGTTTTTGGGGGGGTTCGTCCGGGGTACCCGTCATGAAGTAGAATTTAAATTTTTCCTCCCTCTAGGGGCAATTCTCCACCTTGATCGAGGAGATCTTGGCTTGAGTATCTTTGGGGGCGCTGGGAGCAACCTCGGGTAGATCGGCAATCGCCGCGGGTCGATTTGCTGAAAGATCGTCCCTCTAGTAGGTTTATCGCATCATTGGCGACCCACAGCGGGCTGCTATCTTATGGTTCTCAAGATTTGGGGATCGCCTTGGATCTACAAGATCCAGGTGAGGGGGGAAAGCATTAAGCGTAAGGTTGGTTGAGCTGGGCAGAAAAAACAAAGCTCCGCAGCATCGGTGGAGCATCACTTGATCTATCAGGTTCGAGACAGTACCAACTTGGAGAATTGGACCATATAGTTTGCATGCCTTGTGGGTCATCTCCCACCCCTTTTTTCGCACCGAAGCGCGTATCTCTCTCAAGTGGAGAACAGCTCATCGTGCGTTCTTCGTCTGCATTGCTATGAGCCTTTCCTGCTACCTATGACGCAATCATGGCCGTCGCGAGTATGCCAGGGGTGCCCAGCGCACCTGGACAGGGCTCAGAAGACACCGGAAAGGAAAAATATAGGTATCGCCTGGGTCCCAAATGGATACGTGGATTCAAAGGAGAATATGAGTAAAGTAGAATACAATTGACTCCGCCTGTATGGACACATTATCGCGTTGGAAATTAGTTGACAAAAGCAATGGACAGGGCGAAGAGAAGCAAAGAGGAATGATCTTCGAGGGTGACTGTAGCAATCCCATCTCCAGGACCATAGGTCACGCGGTGCAGGAAAGCAGGTCATCAGTACGAAGAACTAGAAAGAAGAGCAAGCAAGAGAGAGAGGCCTTTTCAGAATCCAGACCTAGAACATGGAAATCATACATATATGAGCGAGATGCTGGAGAACAGTGTAAGTAGCTTGGACCACTACACTACCTAATAGCTCCCATATTCTACCTATAACGCAGCTTGTCGAGAAAACATGGCATTCAAAAATCCGCATGGGAGCAAAAAAAAAAAAGAAAGGGGTATGAAGAATAACACAGTAGTGGGCAGTCGAATTAATGTGATCAAATACTCATCGCAGGATAAGGTCGTGGCGGTCTAGCAAGAGACGATGTTGATGTGATGATCATTCAGCGCTGCGCATGCAAGCATAGTTCTGTGAGGATGGAATGCAGTGCTAGCGATGGGAGAGGAGCGGTTGTGGTGGAGGAAGCTGGAGTACGGTTCGAAGGTGGAAAGATATGTGCCATCAACATTAAAGGTCTTGACTTCATGACGGTTGGTACCCCTATTGAGTCATTTCGTTAGCGGTCTCGGGCGATCAGAGTGATGGTAATACCAGAGAGGATGACATACATGCTGAAGACAGGGGCATGCTCATGTACACTCAGAGTTCGAAGTGTGTCTTTGGTGGCGTAGATCGTAGAGAGCGGCTCGTTCATTCGAAGATCCCACAGCCGTATCTCTCCATTCCGGCTACCGGAAATGAGTTCTCTCAGCCCACCACGTTGCATATGGACGTTGGTGATCCACTGCTTATGCTCACGCCAGACCTTCACCATGGATGTTGTGGGCTTGAGGCGCTGATCAAAGACGCGGACGGCTCCATCGCCGAACCCCGCGACAAAGATGTTGCCTGCTACCTGATCGGAAGTCAAAGATGTGATGCAGGAGCCTGATCGAGCAGGGATATCCTGTGGAAGGAAGGTGTTAGTAAGCGTTGCAACCACCCAGGGGAAAGGGTGCAAATACATTAGTGCAGACTTCGGTGGCCGCATTCCACACTCTGATAACCTTGACATCACCCGCGACCAAGGCTTTGCCTTGGCCCTGCTGCCAGTCCAGCACCAAACCCGCGTTCCGGTTACTGGGAAGGAGCTCCGGTAGCGCACGGAATGCCGTGACGACTTCGATCTTTTTAGATGACTCGTAGTTTCGGAAAAGCTTCAGCATGCCGTCGGAGGACCCGGTCAACAAGAGAGCCTGGTCGTCTTCATTGATGTACCGGACCTCATTGATCTTCGAACCCACCGGATTCCCATTAGAGAAATGATTCAGACGCTGGTTACTTTGCCAGTCCCAGATGCTGCAAAGCGAAGAAGAATGTGAGCAAAAAAAAAAAGAGGTGATACTAGAGACCAGGTCATTCAAACTTACGCAATTGTATCACGATCATCAGCAACGGCTATGTGGTCCTCAAATTGGTGGAAACACATCTTCCATGGTTGAGTGCCGTTGGAGAGCAGCGTAGTTGAATGATCCCACCGGCTAGTACCTGCCTTGCCCTTGAGAGGTTGGGTTTCGGCTATGATCTTCTCATTTCGGCCACGTCTCCAAAGTCGTTCGTTGTAATCCGAGCTGCCAGGCTCATCGGGCTCATTGGGTTTCATCTGGGGTTCTCGGAAATACTTTTCATATGTAAGTAAGGGGAAGGCATATTCATAGGTTCCGGGCTAGACCGGGGAGTGGGATTACCTCTGTTGACCAGTCCAAAAAGCGACTGCTTAAGGGAATGATGGGGGCCTCTTCGGGGTTTCGGGGGCGGAATCCGCGTGATGTAGGCAATGGCGCCTGGTGATATGCGGTTGCGGGAGCGACATTGTCGTTGACCTCGGGAGGCCGGGTCCATTCGGGGGGTGCTCGTCCACGGGGAGTGATAGGCATACGGCTTGTGGAAGGGGAAGGGGGCGCAGAGCTTTCAGATATGTCGCCTGATGAATTTCCAAGCGCGAAGTTCTTCAAAGAAAGGGCAACGCTTGCAGTGCGTTTGAGTCCTAGGGAGAGATAGCCCTCCTGTTTGGCGGCCGCGTGGGACGCTGGCAATGCAGACGGAGGAGCAGATTTCTTCGCTTCGAATCGCTCGTAAACTTGCAGTCGCTGTGACAGACGATAGGTTAGATCTAGAATTTCGATTCTGAGACGATCAGCGAGAGCTGCCATTGGCGACTCCAATAGAATGAGATGAATATAATCAACAATCACGCCGGCATCTTGAGCAATGTCAGGATGAGGGTCTACCGAGAGAATCAAGACGTGTTTCCATAGGGTTCCAAACGTAGTGTTGCGAGACATCTGTGGTGGCTTGCCTTCAATGTGGAGATTGTTATCTTCTGCATCGAGTTGGCTGGTGGGGGACGTCTCGCTCAACAGCCGACGCTGAAGAGATTGTTTTTCATTCTGAAGTTCGTCGTATGCTGCGACCAAGAATTTGTTTTGATGGCGCTTGACGAAGGCCGAGAAGAAAACTATGAGTTCTTTTCTGACAAGGACACTGCCATCCGCGGTCATGGGGAGTACTGCTAGGGCCAGGGTCTCTTCAATTTGAGCCACTTGGTCGGTCAAATCAGGGATTCCAATGAAAGTTGTGACAGCGTGCAACATTGCAGCGCGGACTTCTGGAACGGGATCGAAATTGAGCTCACACAGCCTAGCCGGAGCGGCACATCGGATTCCCATCCATTTGGCCTCTGGAAAGTCACACCAAAGCATGCTGAGGCACAAGCAAGACCACTGTCGAAGCAGGGGGTTCTCAACATCGCCTAAATGTCTCAAGCAAGAGTCGAATAGCTCGCCTGATAGGCAGACATTTTGACCCTGCGGATAGTTTTTGCAGAAAATTGAAACAATGAACGCACACATGGCTCGGTGCTCACTAGCATTTCCAACGGGGATTGGGGAAGCAGGGTTGAGGATCGAAATGAAATAGTGAATACCATTATCTTTGAGGAGATCATTTTGGACGGTGTGGTCAACAGCCATTATGCGAGCCCAAATGAAAACCATAACAGGCTTCAATTCCTGTGCAGCAGACTGAAGCAGTTTCACAACGTAAGGGAATATACCAATGCTGAGCGCAAGATGTACAGCCCAGGGTCCTAAATCTAGGAATTTGCTGAGCAAGATCAAGGCACGCAATCGGTGTGCCTGACTAAGAAGAACTTGAAGCACGATCGGAAGTTGATCTGGTGGGTTCCTCTCAGTAGGGCCGGACGAAAGATACACTTCGAATGCAGTAAGCTGCTCGGCGAAGAACGTAGAGTGCTGATACTCATACTGACGTCGACCCTCCTCTTGGTCTATCAAGGCAGGCAGTTGGGCAAGAACCATTTCAACTGCGAGATCCCAACTCTTCCAGAGCGGATGATGGTGAGTTTCTGGTAGCTCGGGCGAAGATATTGGGTGGCATTTGTAAGTACGCATAATCCGCTCACTCAGCAGGAAGTTACGGAAGAGTGCAGCAACCATCAGATCTTGACGGAAGAGTTTCTTGAACAGTGCACGCGGGAGTGTGTTCCATGCGATGGTGTCGGTAATGGCCGTAAAGATCCAATTCAGCTCGCCAAGGGGGCTTCGTCGGTCTTGAAGGCGACCTGGAACTCTGAAGTCATCGATTGAAATGTCGGTTCGAAGTGGGTTCTGCAGGATGAAGTATCTCAAAGCGATCTCAATAGGTGTAGTAAGACAGCAGGTGAAAAGATCTGCTGGCAGGTCCGGGTTTGTTGGAAGCGACTCGGTTTTCTGGCAAGCAGCAAGAAGTATGCAGTCTCCATAATTCTGGACAACGGCATTGGGATCCCGTTTCTTGGTTTCGATGTTCTCCTTCTCGTGCTTTTCAACGAACGTGTGAAAATTTTGAACAATATTTCCAGCATGAGATACATCAAACACAAACAAGCTGGGACCAGCCAGCCAAGATTGGAGATCATACAGTGGCACGGGTATGTACTGGGTATAGTTCTTGTTGAAAACCCAAATCTCGCCCGACTGGGTCGGCAGTGGCACTCCGTGGCCATTGTAATGCAGGAGGACCCGCTCGTCCTTGGCATTGCGGCGCAGAGATATGCAGAACTTCTTGGTTTCATCTACCGAGGGGTCAAGATACTGTTTGTATCGTGTGCGAAGACTCAGGGTCTCGTATTGTTCCTGTAGCTTCTTGCCAATCTGCTCCATGATCTTATTTTGGCCACCACCCGTAGTGGAGGTCGGATCTACCCAGCACTCCAGTTTGGCCGTTGGGTTCGTCTTCACTACATCTGGCGGGTCGACACCGATATTCAGGCAGATTGCAAGCGCAGCTGACACTGTCTTGAGTCGATCCTTCATTCGCCAGTCCTGGCTGGGCCAACTGCCAGCAGGGTCTCTAGGAACACCATTCGTATCGTGACGTTTCTCGGTGAAGTACATGTAGAAATTCTAGGAAGTTTGAGAAGAATCCAGATTAGAACCGGCACAGTCAACATTTTTCCTTTCTCCTGGCGCTCACCGAATGTAAAACCTTGAGATATTCACTCGAGGTGTATTCTTCTTGCCATCCGTGGCGCATAGCAAAATCTTCCTCATCGTCCGCCGATTTCTCAAACGTGACACGACTCGGACCGTAATCGCTTTTTGCTCGCTTCAGTGTTGCCGGGCGGCTACTTTCCGATCTCCGAGGCGATGGTCGTCGTCGCGGAGGAGAGTCTGATACCAGAGGCGCATTTTCACCGGCGGAACTCGTCGGGCGAGCCGGCGGTGTAATAGAAGGTCTTTTCTGTTCAATTGTAGTAAAAGAGCGATGATGACTGGATACAGGCGCTGGGGATCGTTCGCGAGTGGGAATCGTGGTCTCCAAATCGGGACCAAACGCGACTCGAACGGACTTTGGATTACGGCGAGGTTCAGCCGGCCCAGCAGTCGCCGCGACATTCTGGGGCTTCTGTTCCATGTTTGCGGTGGGGTCCCTCATAGTGCAAGTCGGCTCATGGTGTTACGCCGAAGATGTGAAAGGTAGGACGGCCGCGGGGATGGGAGGTGAGGAGCATGGGCAGCTCCGGGACCTCCCAAAGATACCCAACGCAAAGAAATTCCGGATAGGGCTCAATAGAGAGCTATATGCCTCATAAGATAAGGTGGAGTTTCAAGATTTGGGTCGGATCAAAGCTCGAAGTCCTCCCGAGAAGATCAGAGCTTCCTAGACGACAAATCCCGACGCAATCGACACAACGGTGAGGCTCCCGTCTGGAGGTCCGGATTATCAATATCCCCCCGCCAGAGCTTACCTCACCCCCACGTGACCATTCTGCACAAGCCATGGAACTACTTTGACGTACTTTGTATACACCTCAGATACGACATACGAAATCGTACTTTGAGCTGGTCGATCAATATCTTGCCTGCAAAGCTTCGGTTGAAGCAATTTCTTCAGTCTATCCATGATGTTCAGGACCCTGTTCACGTGTTCTTGACCACGCCAGCAGAGGTGCAATTACTACTGGTGTAGACGTCACGGACTTGAAGAGCCCGGGAAGTCCGCGTTGAGCCGTGCTCTATGACCCGGACAACACTGCGCACATTGCAGTCGGGCAGCTCTTGGTTTCAAAGCTGGAGATCGACCGCCTCAAAGAGTAAACAAACATCATGCTTGAGGAGATACGAATGAATACATTGTCTGAGACATATGTGCGGCGGGAGATCAAGATGGACGTGGTACATATGGGGTCTCACTGGGTGCAGAAACTAAGTACCGACAATGTCGACCATTTGCCCGGGGCAGATTTCTACGATCCCCGTACCAACCTTAAATCCCTTCATTTTCGGCACCTGGACCAATTTCATCTGGACGTACAAGATCCATTCGTCCACATTTGAGCGCGGCCTGGGAGCCCTGGAGGTATCGTAGTTAGAGAGTACATACTCCGTAGTCAGCATGCCATTACCGAGACCCCGGCGCTCAGGGCATCAAGCGTGGATCTCCTTAGAGTCTGAAAAGATGTGATAGGTAGGAAGCAAGCCCCCCCTCCCTTTTTTTTTTGGTTCTCCAAACCTCCGTTTTGAATGCAGCATTTATGAGCAGTCGATAGGTTCCTCGCACGTTGTGGGGGGTGGGTCGCGCGAGTGGAAAAGACATACGCCACAGGGATTGGCCGCCTCCCTGAAGCCCTGGACTCGGGACGGTCTTAATTATAGCACCGGGCTAGAGTGGTTCTCGAAGCCCATAGGAGAGTATGGCCAGAAAATTACTCCAGGATCCAGGAACCTCATTATTTCCGAGCAGGGCAGCCCTTGATTACGAGGTGGCTCTACTACAAGACTAAGTCCGGCACAGACACGGTACACCCCGATGTGGCCGCATGAAATGCCATGTGGATGGTTGGGGCCCGACTCCTCGGTTTCAGGCCCAGGGATCCTTCGATGCACGCTCGAGGGCCATAGAAGAGTCCTGGCAGTAGCACGTATACCCAAGAGCATGACAGCTTCAACGATGAATGCCAGTAGGTGTCAGGTAGTCTAAAGTCTTCATGGCCTCTGGGGGCTGGGGATGATCGGGAATGCAGAACGTTGGAAAGCCCACCCCTGAAAGCCGGTTCCCCATACACTAAACTAGTTCGATTACACCAATTAGACCGGGAAATTGAATCCTCTCTTTTTTTTCCCTTGCCCCCTTTCGGTTCTTCTGCTGGCCGGCCTTCTTGGTTTTTGGATCAATGCTGCGACGACTCACTGGTTGAGGTCTTGTTTCGTCGTTCTTTACATCCGCTGGCCCTCTTCGTCTTTTTTCTTTCTTTTTTTTTTTTAATCTCTGTTTGGCTCGAACCACAGAACCTGGATGAAACTCACCTACTGTTCCTTGTGGTTCCAGGTCCCGATCTCCACCTTCTGAACTCTACCAGACCCTTCACCCCTCTTCTCAATATTCAACCATCATCAGCTGCCCTTCTGAAATTGAATCGCGCATCTAGGAGGGCGCGGCAGTTTCCCTCCCGTCCCTGAAACGACTGATTACGACCCTTAACGATGGCTTTTTTGTTTAAATCCAAGAAAAATTCACAGGGGTCGGCGCTCCCCCAGGCGACGAGGAATGTTCATACCTCCGAGGGCTCTCCGACCACAAGCGCTCCGGCCCTGAACGGGGTCAAGGGGAGGGGCCAACACAAACTCCCACGCCCAGCAGCAGCTACAATCACTCGCTCAATTCCGCGACCAGTCCGACCAGTCCGGATCCGATCAAAATGCGCCAGCGAGCAGAGTCAGAGTCGCAGGTAAGTGCCTGAAGATTGATACCCCAGAGTGGGCATAACTCATGCTGACTCTGTTGTCCTAGGCTCCACGACAACAAACTGGCCCCAATAGCCTCCCTCAAAGCCCGAATTCATCTCTCTATCCGTGGTCGCAACGCCGTGTCAACTTTGCTTCTCCTCAATCTACGCCATTCCCGCGATATGGTGCTGCGATCAATGCTGTCGCTTCGAAGGAGGGCGATATCTACATGATGGGCGGCTTGATCGATGGATCTACCGTCAAAGGAGATTTATGGATGATGGAGAGCAGCGGCGGTGGACTATCGTGTTTCCAAATTGCAACCGTCTCAGAGGGCCCAGGCCCTCGTGTTGGTCATGCGAGCTTGCTTGTTGGTAACGCATTCATCGTGTTCGGAGGTGATACCAAAATCAACGAGAACGATGCTCTGGATGACACGTTGTACTTACTTAACACTTGTACGTTTCCTCCGCGCATTCGGTTTTTCCCTCTGATCTAACTTTTTTCTTTTTTTCTGAAGCTTCTCGTCAATGGTCTCGCGCTATCCCCCCCCAGTCCCCGCCCATCCGGTCGATACGGTCACACACTCAATATTGTGAATTCTAGGCTCTACGTCTTCGGGGGTCAAGTGGAAGGCTTCTTCTTCAATGACTTGGTTGCATTCGACTTGAATCAGCTACAGAGCCCTACAAACAAGTGGGAAAAGTTGATTCAGAATACCCACGAAGGCGGGCCCCCGGAGGGCCAGATTCCTCCCGCTCGAACTAATCACTCGATTGTCACATTCAATGAAAAGCTGTATCTGTTTGGAGGAACGAACGGTGTCAGGTGGTTCAATGATGTTTGGTGCTTTGACCCTCGCGCAAACTCCTGGACCGAAATCGATTGTGTCGGTTTCATTCCTACTCCTCGGGAAGGCCATGCAGCAGCCTTGGTCAACGATGTGATGTACGTGTTTGGAGGTCGCACTGACGAAGGTGTGGATTTGGGAGACTTGTCCGCTTTTCGCATCTCGACTCGACGTTGGTACTCGTTCCAGAACATGGGCCCAGCGCCATCACCCAGGTCTGGTCACAGCATGACGGCATTCGGCAAGCAAATCATTGTCCTGGCCGGTGAGCCCAGCTCCGCGCCTAGAGACCCAAATGAACTTAGCATGGCGTATATTCTTGATACCTCAAAAATCCGGTATCCGAACGATGCGCAAGCGGGTGAGCGAAGCTCCTCTGCCGCTGGCAGGAAAGTGAGCGTGGAGAAACAAGGTCCTCCTTCTGGGCGCATGTCCCGCGAGGCTCATAATTCTACTCCTGACCAGCAACGCCGGGGCACTCCCTCCCGCGAATCGCTCGCTCAAGCCAGTGGCAGGCCTGGTGACTATGGCACCAACCCTAACCTTGGGCCTGGATCCCGCCTACCTCGCGCGTCAATTGCTCAAGCGCCTTCTGGGCCTCCTCCGCCTGGTCAAGCACCATCTCCCGGGCCTCGTGCGAACGGTCCACCAGCTGCAATGGGCCCTCGTAGCAAGACGCCTCCGACCAAGGTAGATCCTCGATTCAACGGAGCCATTGATGTTCGAGCTGCAAATTTCGACCGTGCCGAGTCACCGGTTACAAAGGATATTCCTGATCCCCAGGGGTCTAGTGGCCAACGAACCCCTACCCAGCAACAGCAGAAGATGACAGCGAAGGCTATGGAGGCTGGTGAAGGTGCTCCCCTTCGTCAGCGGTCTCTTCGATCTCACCGCCAGCGCGCTTCCATGGAGAGTGCGGAAGAGTCCGTACTGGGCCGTCATGGCCGTGAAGTGAGCATTGATAGCTCAATCGACTCCAGAAGCTTGCGGAACTCGAAGACACTGGGCGAGGAGCCCCGATCACCACGGCTGACACCCCACCAGGAGGCTCTTATTAAAGAATTGGAGGCCGCTAAGGCTCGAAATGCGTGGTATGCATCAGAGTTAGCGCTCGCAAGAAAGGCTGGCTACATGCCCAATGCATCCAGTAGTCCTGCTTTGGATGAGCGCGTGAGCGATTCTTTGCCCGACGAAGATCGTCCGCTGGTCGAGGCCTTCCTTGCCATGCGAGCAGAGCTCACTAAGATGCAAGCCACTGTAGACCGACAAGCCGCTATCGCCTCGAAACGAATTGCGGAGGTAGAGCACCAGCGCGATGTTGCTGTCAGCGAGGCAGCATACTCGCGTGCTAGACTGGCCGCTCACGGAGGTAGTCAAAGAGGTACTCCGCAGCCGGAAGTGAGTCGAGATTTGGATGACAGTGAGCGCCCAACAGATATTGGGCGACGTCTTGCACTGGCTCTTGCTTCGTCGGCAGAACTGAAGAACAGGCTCGATCTCCTATCTACGGAGCTTGCCCAGGAAAGACAAGCCAAGGAGTTGGCCGAAGACACCAATGAAGCCACTCGGAAGCGCCTGGCGGAGCTGGAGATCCAAAGCAACTCTCTCGAGGCTGAAAATATGCGTGCTGAGCTACATCGTGCGCAGGCTTCGTTCCGTGAAGAGGCCTTATTACGATCGGAGGCGGAGGCCTCTCTGAAGCAGCTTATTATTGATAAGGAAGAGTTACTCACACAAATTGAGGAATCATCTGCTCGTCTGAAGGATTACAGCACCAACTTTGGTGGACTGAAGGAAGCTGTTGCTGCTTCCGCTGCCAAGACAGCCTTCGTTGAAAAGCAGCTGGCTGAAGAAAGAGAGCGACGGGAAGGCCTTGAGCGAAAGCTCCTGCAGCTGCGCTCCGAGCACGAGGAGCAAAGTACTGAGTTCGAAAACATCACTCGTCGTCTCCGGGATGCCGAGGAATTGGCCGAAACTCACGCGAAGGAAGCTGAGGCACACAAATTGGCATTCGTTGCCGGTCTGGAACGTGCAGCTTCTACTGACCTCGACTCCTCGATCCGGTCTCGTGCGGACCAGCGCGTTGCTGCACTGGAAGCACAGGTCGAAAAATCAAGCACTTTGGCCAAGGCTAATCAAGCTGCTGCCGACTCCGCTGCCGAGAAGCTGCGCCGCGCTGAAGAGCGTATTGCAGGCCTCGAGGCGTATCAAGAACAGGCTAGCAGGGAGGGCTTGCAGCTGCGCAGACAGCTACAGGCCGCCATGAAGGAAAGCCAAGCAGCGGCCGCCGAGAGCAGAGAGTTGAAGATTCAGCTGGAAGCTCAGCAACGCGAAGCTGGTGCTCTGAATGTTCAACACGCTGCGCTAAAGGATTTACTTGGCGAACGTGGCATCAACCCAGACAGCCGACGCTCTCCTCGCCTGGATTCTCCCGGATCCCGCTTTGGGACCCCAGAGCAGGGCCGCCTGCGTGAACTAGAGCAGCAGCTGTCTGCTAGCCTCAAAGCGCACGAGGAAATGAAATCTACATTTGAAAGCCGTGAACAAGAAGCCGACCGCGCATACCGGGAGAAGCTTGAACAGCTTGAAAATGATTATCAATCTGCGGTCCACTATGTGAAGGGCACCGAAAAGATGCTGAAGCGTATGAAGGATGAGCTGAGTCGCTACAAGTCACAAAATTCCAAGATTCAGTCCGAGTTGGAGGCTGCTCAAAAGAATCTTTGAGAGCGCCGGCAGCAAATCACCAGACGCCGCCGACTGGGAAGCGGAGCGCTCCCGACTCCAGAGTTCTATCGCGAACCTAGAACAAACTTCCTCTGCCTCCATCCAGTCTCTTCAGAGCCAGGTCGAAAAAATGAAGCAGCAACTCGCCCTTGCCGAGAGCGAGAAGGAGAAGTCACGCGCAGAGCATGATCGTACTCAGTCCGAGCTGTTGGCTACCGCAGAACGCACTCGTGCCGAGTTGGAACAACTCAAGCAAGAAAACCAGCTCCTTGAGACTCGTGCCTCCGATGCAGAGGAGAAGGTTAACATGCTCCTAGAGCAAGTTCAATTATCGGTCGGTCAAATCCGCCGCCAAAGTCAGCACATGCAAGGCGCCAATGGACATTCCCGCAATCACAGCGCTGCATCCAGTGCAACTGCAGGTGGCCGAGCACGAGCCGACAGCAACCTTTCCCAAGATTCTACCTCTTTTCCCGATAACCGCGGGTCCATGGCTTTAGATTCCCTCGCCAACGAGTTGGAAGCTCTACGATCCCAGTGGGAAGTTACCAACCGCAGCAACTATCGCTTGAGCACCCAGCTGGACATTGATCGAACGCCGACCAAGGACACCAGCGACGGCCCCGGCATGATGAGCGATAGTCTGAACGAATGGCGAAGGAGGTTGGACGAGGAAGAGCGGACAGCTTCGAAGCCCAAAATCTTGTCTTCTGGCAACGACCCTGCTCCCAACGTCATCTAAAATCCCTTTCGCCCATGCTACGAAGATGCGTCCTGAGATATGTTGATCTGCACCTGCTGAGCGCTTCCATGTATTCTGCCGCTTCGTTTCTTTTGCCTTGTAATTTTCGCGAAGCATGATCCTTGCATGATGAAAGGACTCTCATTTTTATCCGACCGAATCGTTTCCATAGAGGCGGGACTCCCCTTCCTTTGTCTTGTTTTTGATCCGCTTTTTCTATGGTTTCCATAGTTGTTTCTCTTTTCGTGTTTACTTTTTCCATCTGTACCTCCCACCCCTGTTCTGTGTTTTTTGACCGCTCGCTCGTTCCTCCGCTGTCTCTTTCTACTTCGACACTGTTTCAAACTTTTTTTTTTTTCTTTTTTTTTATACCCCGGTTTTCCGACGTTTCTGGGACTCTGGCTGTACCACTAGCACATCCACGAATTCGCAACTATAGTCAGCAACATAGTTCTGTCAAGAAGCTCCACATTTCTGTTTCCGCCCCATTTCGCAGCATGTATGTAAGCATATGTTTGCAGTACGTAGAGCCCCGGGGCTGTAAACATTGTAATCTGATCGGCGACCTACCCGAGTCAGCGATAGGCTCAGCCAGCACCTGCAGGTCGGATGCAGGCGCGAGGCAAACTGGGGCTGCGGCAAAAATTGGGGTGGCATAATGGCAATTATACCATCCAGCACAGTCGGGGGCCAAATGAGACATTACTTGTTTGGGCATATGCGTTACATGTGAAGAAGTAATACACCAGTATTATTGTCCAGTATTATTTTCCAGTATTATTTTCCAGTTTGCGTTATGAGAGGTTTACAGGTATTGTTATTCGTGCTGCCTTTCGGCAAGATGCCAGAACATCGACTGGCCGAGGCTGGGAGTCCATAAGAAGCGCACTAGCCGGCGGTATTCTGGGATTCGAGGAAAAGGCCTAGACTTTATAAAGCACCTTTTGTGCTTCCCGGTTCTTAGGTATCAGCTGAACGTAAATTCGACCTGCACATGGGCCCTAGTCGATCTTCTAATGCCGGACAAATCCGCGGGGTCCAGTAAGCGCCGTGGTTCGAAGGAGAATGCCCGCGAATATAGGCCTCAGGAAGTGAAGAAAGCGCGACAAAGTGACAGGGAGGGTGTATATGTCATAGATGTAAATATAGAAAAGGGAATTGCCGCCCAATTACTCCGTACGGTACCAGTTCAAATCGCGCAAAGCCCAAGATAAAGAGTACTTAACGATACCTCGGGCTTTGCGGGCACGTCCCCACTGCGCCCGGTACTGCGTAGGTCACCAGCCACCCAAAATTACCTTGGGTTCGGTGAAAATTACACCCTCACCGACTTCCTCGCCCCCCTCTCTCCTCTTCTCCTTTCTTTCATTCCACCACTCTTATCAAGGCGTGTCCTTGATTTTCCTCCTCGCTCGTTCTTCGTCGAGCTCACCTTTTTCTTTCTCCGGCCTTTCGACGGTCGGCTCTGGATTATCCCACGTTTGATCCATTTGTAAGTCTCATCACCCAACATCCTGGTAGTATCCCTGAGCACAAAGAGGCTGCCCGTTGCCTGCATCTGGGCTCGCCCTTATCTCTCTGCCTGACTCGCCTCAGACTCTTGTGGTCAAACCGGTCGGGAGCCTGCTTTTCCCACCCGCCTGAGGCTTAGATGTCACAAGCCCCCCCTCCTGATTTTGCCTTTCGTGACCTGTATTATTTCTCGTCACCCCCCTTTCCCAATCCAACCACCATCTTTGCTCACCCATGTCCCTTTTATTCTCGTGTTTCCTCTAACTTGATTTGCAGCAATCCAGTTATTTTCACAGCTTCTTGCTGTGTTAATCCTATTACAAGATGACGACCATGGTTAGTATCACTCCCTTTTCACGTTCCGTCCACAGGCTCCTTCTTTCATTCGAATAACATGACCTGGAAATGAATTCAGGCATGGCTCGGATGGCCTCGGCTATCACAAAATCTTTCGGAAGCTGGCGTTGGTTGCTAACATTAGTCAATAGGATTTGCGTGTCGGTAACAAGTACCGGATTGGCCGCAAGATCGGTAGCGGTAGTTTCGGTGACATCTACCTTGGTATGCTTCTGGCCCCTCCAGCATCTGTCCCTGTCTGGGACATGACAGTTCTGATCTTACAATAGGCACAAACATCATCTCCGGTGAGGAGATCGCCATCAAGCTTGAAAGCGTCAAGGCCAAGCACCCTCAACTCGAGTACGAGGCCCGCGTCTACAAGTCCCTCGCTGGTGGTGTCGGTATCCCCTTTGTCCGCTGGTTCGGCACCGAGTGTGATTACAACGCCATGGTCATCGATCTTTTGGGTCCCAGTCTGGAGGACTTGTTCAACTTCTGCAACCGCAAGTTCTCTCTGAAGACCGTGCTTCTCCTCGCCGATCAGCTCATTTCCCGTATCGAATACATTCACGCCAAGTCGTTCATTCACCGTGATATCAAGCCCGACAACTTCCTCATGGGTATTGGCAAGCGTGGAAACCAGGTTAACGTGATTGATTTCGGTCTGGCGAAGAAGTATCGCGACCCGAAGACTCACTTCCATATCCCTTACAGGGAGAACAAGAATCTCACTGGTACTGCTCGTTACGCCAGTATCAACACTCACTTGGGTGTCGAGCAATCTCGCCGTGATGACATGGAGTCTCTCGGTTACGTGATGCTCTACTTCTGCCGTGGCTCTCTTCCCTGGCAGGGTCTGAAGGCTGCTACCAAGAAGCAGAAGTACGACCGCATTATGGAGAAGAAGATGACCACCCCCACCGAGGTCCTTTGCCGCGGTTTCCCCAACGAATTCGCTATCTACTTGAACTACACCCGCTCGCTCCGTTTCGACGACAAACCCGATTACTCCTACCTGCGTAAGATCTTCCGTGACCTCTTCGTCCGCGAGTCCTTCCAGTACGACTATGTCTTTGACTGGACCGTTTACAAGTACCAAAAGAACGCGGCTATGATCGTGGACGGTGCCAAGAAAGACAAAGACGATGAGCAGGCACGCCGTCAAGGTGCCGCTGCTGCGGGCCCTATGGCTGCTGCCAAGCCTGGAGCCATCTCCGGCCAGCGCCGCAAGGTCATGGAACGTTCTACCCTCGACACCCCGGAGACCAACCGTGCCGTGGGAGGAAGCGAAAGGATGTGAGTAATATGAAACCTGGTCCCGAGTAGGGAAACCCCTTTTCTTAGCCCTCTTGCGTTTGGTGTTTTTCTTCTGTGACGCTGGCGTGGAGGACCCGTGAGTTCCGAATCTGACTAATCGCATAGTCTTCGGCGTTAGACTGCGTTCTGCCTCGAAGGGTGCTGCTCCTGGTTCCCATGGACCTTCAGGCGGCCGTTCGAAGCGGGACGATGGAACGGGGGCTCAGTGGTACTAATTGAAGCACATGCAGAGAGATTCAAGATGGGGCGATTGTATTGCTTTTATTCTACATCTCTCGCGTGCTCACTTATTGGCCTAAGAATCTCGAAATTCCCATTGTCAAGTCGCCGTGGACGGAAACCTTGCACTCGACTTTCGGATTTTTTTTCTTCTCTCCTTGGATTCACCATTCATTTTGCAATCTCTCCAACCGCCTTCCAGTCCCGTTTTCGATCCTACTTCGACCTCAGCCGTTTCGATCTAAGTCTATCCCTTTTCCAATTCGTTAGCTCCAACTGCCAGCACACGGAGGCTTTTTTTTCTTCACCTGATTAGTCTCTCCGTTGAGCTAACGATGGCCTGGGATGACGGTCTTTGCTTTTCATCTCGGATTTTTGTGTACCCGCTTGTTTGGGACCGCCGAGTAGCTTTGACCTCGAAGCGTGGTGATATGGTGGCTATTCTTACGTCTTCGTCTTGCTTTCCGATATCTAAACTTGTTGAACTCTTATCGACTCCAATCTCAACAACAAGTTTTTCACATGGACCGGATCCAACGAAGGCTGGAGATGCAAATGGAGGCGTCAACATTGAAACAGAGTCTACATTTTCTGTTATTTTGACGACTATCGCTGGACTCCCTGGAAGAGCGAGCATTCAATGCCCATCAAATTTGCCCCTTTTCGCTTGTTCTTTGATTTCAATTCCCACTGCATTCTTTTCTCTTTTTTTCTTTTTGTTTTTGTTACGCACATCGACGCCATAATGGGGACGAGGGGAAGACTGGTCGGGCCGGTCCGATTTTTGAAACGTGGAACCAAGGTTTCTAGGGTGGACTTTCTTCGAGTGTTTGGCGTCTGGTTATTTCTATGGGCAATCTGCACCCCGGATTTGCTCGTTCGTGGCCCTGCGATCATGCACTGTGCTCGGTCGGAGAGAGTCTTGCTTCGGTTGGTAAATGGCGACGGATATGGATAGGGTCGCTTCCGGGGTGGTAATGCGTCGATGTGCATCGTTCATGTTCTTAGTCTTCCTACTCTGGTTTTATTTCATTGCTTCCCAACTCGCTTCCAGCAGCACCTTTCTGCGATGAGCTTTATTTAGGTTTCGTAGGGCTTCCCTAGACCAAGGAAGCTGCCATTGCCAACTCTTACCAAGCCCGGAGATGCCTAGTGCTAGTACCCGTCACCCGATAATAGTAGCATCGGCCACTGGCGGTTTGTCAAGCCTGGCTTTTAGTCCCTCACGATTTTGAAGATTCAGAGAATACGTACTTGATGAGAACCTTGAAAAATCTCTCGGTGCTACTAACTATGCGGATTTACGTGCTCATGTATCACGCCTGGTCAGTGAGCCCTACAGCGCTTGCCGTGACTTACCAACCCAGGCATTTTGCCCCACCTCGATGCTCTATAGCTACGAGAAACTTACCAGGGCTCTATTTTTGAATGCAGCGTATGGTACTCATTCAGACATGAATCCCCCGATGTTTCATCAGGCGTGTCAACAATGCGGGAGAGCAAATTGCAGGAGATTCACGACCGCTCGAGTCCATACGTTTTCCTTTACAAGCACACAAGAAGAAGTGCAGAGACTTTCCGTCGGGTACAGAGACAGGGATATCGACACTACTGTATCATGATGGGACCGACAGAGTCAAAGGCATATCCATACCCACGACTGAGAAGATGCCAATATCCAGGCGATGGGACTATCTCAATCGGAACTTCCCCAAATTCCGTAGGATTAAATCCACCCCCTTTTTATTTGCAAACCAGAGGTTACAGGCGATCTATCACTGCCGCCCTCCTTCCTTGATAGAAGCACAATCAATCCTCTAACATCTGCCAGTCGTAGTTGTGAGGTGCTTACGAATGGCTTTCAGCTACAGCTGCGGCAGGTTTTCCTCTAATACCTCGTGTTTTCTAATCTGACAGACTCCTTGGGGGTATTTCAGTGCGGCACATTGGTGGCTTTCAATCATCAGCTGGCAGTGATTGACTTTCACCTGATATTCCTTTACTGTGCGGGAAAGCTAAGAGCTCCCAACTTGAATTCTAAGTGGAAGGTGGAGGTACTATACCTACCGATAATCGCCTACATATGGTAGCAAAATCATTCTTTACGGTAGAGACCCTCAGTATTTTTAGTCTACGATTAGCCCAATCGCCTGTCCTGTTAGTTGCGGCTTGTGAATCCTTGCATGCAACTTACCCAGCCCAGCATGTTGGTGGGTTCGCTGATGGAATGACATGACAAGAATAGCACGGGGGCCTTTTGGACTATAATTTGATAAGCACTTCATTCTCGGCAAGGACGTAGCGGGGGCTTCCTGCCATCTCCCATTTTTTCCATAATCAGATTCATCAATGCCAAAGGTGATTTAGTTGTAACTTCCGAACCTTTATGGGGCGCTCTCTTACCGATGGATAGTGAAGGTCTGCTCATTATGAGTATCTTAAGTCGTGATATTTTCGCTGATCTTGACGACGGAACCACCTTGATTTCCAGTGACACCCAAGATTGCGATGACTTTGTCCGCGGAGAAATTGGTATGAAAATCGATGTAAAAAGGGTGCTTCTAGGAAAGAAGCATTGGAAGTATCCCCACGGGATGCTAGTATCGCGGTTCTTGTAGATGCTCGAGACGAGTGATTAAGCCAACGCTGCAAGGTATCTCGACTCGAAGGGCGTTTCCTACTATGCTTCGCTGTTGTCTGATTGGCCAAGCCCCATGTCCGATCGAGCCCGACTCGTGTCCGTCTCAAGTCGCAGTGGAAGATTGGACATTGGTCATCTTTACAAATTGCCAGGTGCCCGACTTTTAAATTAGCTTAAACTCCGGGTGGAAAGAGGGTCTTGCTTGAACATTGCAAAGTTCTCTATACATCATCCATGCATGCACTGCCGCATTGCCGCACTACCTTTCTTTTCGAAACAGACCGACTTGGCTGGGTTCGATGTGTTCAGTAGGTGAGTACTCATGTATCGATTTCCTTACGCTTCGAGAATCCTGTAGAAAAGGGGCTTGAAATGGTTTCAAATGTTAGTCAAATCCATGATTTTTTATCTTCTCTTGGAGCGAGTTATATGGGGCACCAGACTTGGTCAACCTCCCGTTTGTTCCAGTAGAAATCACTTGCGCCTGTGCCGTCTTTCGTCACCCGTAAGATCTTCCGGCGCTTCTCTCTCCTCTTCCCATTTCCAAGTTACAGCCCATCGCCATGGACTTCTCCAACTTCGCTGAGCACCAATCCCAGTCTTTTCCGCTATACGGCCTCCCTACTCCCGACCATAAACCGCTGCAGAACCCTGACGAAGCTCTGCGCGACCCATTTGCCCTGGTATGCAGAATCCCCCACGGTCCGCCCCCCCCCCCCCGGCCCTTACATGACGAAATATACTATCTGTCGGTAAGCTTCGATTTTAACATTGGCCGCAGAGCAGCTTCAACCAATATTTCCCTGGATACGATTCTTCTCTCCGTATTGACCCCTCCTCCTACGTTCCGCCACCCCATTCACCGCCAGATTCCTTCACCAAGCACTCCGCCGGGAGCAGCGACCATGCAAACTATACGAATCAAGACCAGGCTCTAGGAGATGGCGACGAGGTTCATCTTCCAGATCCTCCCGTTGCGCGGAGTAGCAGCGAGGAGAAAGACTCCTCGGTACCCGCCCAAAGCAAGCGGAAGGCGCAGAACCGGGCAGCGTATGTACCACGGCTATATTCACCTGGATGGGACTCGTGGCGGAATCATCCACGCTAACGGGGAGATACAGTCAAAGGGCTTTCCGCGAGCGGAAAGAGCGCCACGTTAAAGACCTTGAGGAGAAGGTACTCTCGCTAGAGGAAGCTTCGAACAACTTGCGAGCCGACAACGAGCGCCTGAAGCGCGAACTCGCCAAGTTTGCCACCGAGAACGAGATCCTGCGGGCTACGTCTTCGCTAAATGCCGGGAACAATAATTCAGATCGTTCAGTGCCGACGACCGTTAATGGGCCGATGACATTCACGCCAACCGACTTCTACACTAAGTTAGCGGACGGCGAGGAATGGGCGGATAACCCGATGCCAAACCCGACCAAGCATCGTTTACTGTACTGCAAGAAAACGGGCGAAAGGCTTTTTGATATTGGCGAGACGTGGGATTTGATCCAGGCTGATAAGGCGTTTAAGGAGGGCTTGGTTGATATTGCGGTTGTTGTGAAGAATTTGAAGGGGATGGCACAGTGCAGTGGACAGGGCCCAGCTTTCAGAGAACGGGATATAAAGAAAGCCATGATGGCTACTATATCAGACCGAGATCAGTTGATTTGATCGTTCTATGAGAACCAGGTCTAGTCCAGGCCTGTCCGGTTGACGACGGTTTCCGATTGATGAGATACGGCGTTTTTGTTTCTACATTTTCTTTTCTCTCTGCGGCAGGGCTTCGAATTTGCACTTGTGCTGGAATCGTCCTTGGTTTTATCTCGGAGTACTTCAGGTGTTGGTGACGCCAACCTGGCGATAGGTAGCGATGGGTCCGATCGATTATCAGTTATGTACTTCCCCAAGGCTGTGAAACTTTGTTGGATTCTATGGAGTGCGCATTTGGGATTTCTTATTCGCAACTACAAGTCTATCTACATATGTGAGACCACAATACCTATCTCTATAAATGTACTAGTAACTACTAGTGGGTCTCTCCAAGTCTTAAGGCTTGCAACCTTCAAGTTAGAACGAAGTAAAGCACCCTGCTTAAGGCGGTTTGCATTCTCGTTTGAAAAATTTCAAATATGCCAGTATTTTCGAGCCAATTTAGAAGTAGCTGCTGCCTACCTGCAACCGTCAAAAACGCCCTGACATAAGGGTCTCGCTTTTGACAGGCCATCTCCTTGATAATTTCGATCGCCGTGAAGAACATCTCGTAATATACAACATCATTTCATAAAGTCAGGTCCAAGTTGGTCGCAGTTCACAGGTCTTCCTGGACGATTACTGAAATCAGTCCCAGTCATCGTCGTAGTCCTCCACGTTCAGGTCATCATTCTTGCGGTAGTCGTCATCTGAATCGGAACGCTTCTTAATGCGAACGTCACTTTCCTTGACAGCTCCGATCTCGACAAGAAGACGTTCCAAATCTAATAATCAGTCAGGATCGCAGAATCCAAAGCTAGATATATCTTGGCGAGTAAATCATTACCTTCAATCTTAGTCCGCGGCCCGTTAAGTTCTCGCAGAGTAATCAACTGTTTCCGGATCTCCGTATCCTTATACACGAGAATAGTAGGGGTATTGCGCTCAGGGTAGCCCTCAATACACATATCGGCGCGGATTTCACAGAACTTGATATCGCCAAACTTGGCGGCCAATTGTCGCCAGAGCTCTGTCAGTACTCGAGACTCGACATTGGCACCCTGAGATGTGAGATTGACAAGAACAAAGGCGCTCTTTGATGCTTCTGTGACTTCTCGGGCATAGTCGACTTTCTGTAGGGGGTAGACCTGATTGAATAGACTGGTTTGTTGGAGGGTAGAAAGCTCCGCAAGGCGCTGTTGTCTGGTGAAGGCAAAGTTAGCACGAGTGTCCTTAATTCTTGCATACCCGGAGGGTGTGAATGGCCTTCCAACCTGTATTTTTGAAGGAATTCCTCGTCCTCCTCGTCCTCCAGCGCATCCAGCTCGTCAATATCCTTGTCCTCCAGTCGATTCTCATGCGCTCTGTGCTGCGCTGCAATTAAGGCTTCCTGGATCAATGGCTCAGGGTCCTTGGGTTTCTCAGGAATTATTCCATGTTGACGAAGAATATCGTTCCTATATCGCAACCGCACAGTTCAATTTATAATTCGTGATCAGGCCTGTCTCCGCGGGCGGGGAAAGCAGAAGTGTAGACGGGCGGACCATACCATTCAGTATCCTCGTTAGGGTTGACTTCAACCTGCATGGTGAATTCGAAAAGGGATTGAGCCTCACTCTCGCCTCAAACCCAGAAAAGTCAAGGGTAGAAAGAAAAAATCGTAGACACAAGGAAGCGAAACAAGCCAGGGCAAGTCATGATGCCACCTGTTTGCAGTGTTTGCGTGGATCCTGCCAAACACACGGAAGGCCACCTCAACTTTACTCCATAAACAGTGACCCTGGAGCTTGAGGTTGCCACTCGTCCTTGTCTCCACCTCCTTTCCATCGTGTCCTCCTTTGAGCTCTTCATTTGCTCGGGGCGAACTATGCGAATGCAGTAGGCAATCCTCCACACCGCCCTCTGCTGCTACCTGTCCTCCCGATTGAATCCCACCTGAAACCCGACGAGCGATCGCAAAACATTCTCCGCTGGTGCAATCCCAGCACCTGGGCAAAATGAGTTACATGAAGAAAGACGAAGATGCGGATCAGGTCATGATCAAGCTTGACCGAACTTCTGTTTTCCAAGATGGTATGCCGATCTTGTAATGGCAACCGCCAATGACCCCCCCCTGGCCATACGATTTACCACATATATCCTCCGACCTGGATCCCACTAACCATGTCAATTATTTCTAGCTCGACTATTCAATTCCTCCCCGATCTCCCCGCGAACATGCCGTACCCTCTTGACCAAGATTGCGGTCCTCCTCTTCACTGGGGAGCAATTCCCCACAAACGAGGCCACCACGCTTTTCTTTGGTATCTCCAAGCTGTTCCAGAACAAGGACCCTTCTTTGCGACAGATGGTCTACCTGATTCTGAAGGAGCTTGCCCACACCGCCGAAGATGTGATTATGTCGACCAGTATCATCATGAAGGACACTGCGGTCGGAAGCGATGTTTTGTACCGTGCCAACGCCATCCGAGCACTGTGCCGAATTATCGATGGTTCCACAGTCCAAGCCATTGAGCGTCTCATCAAGACCGCCATTGTTGACAAAACCCCGTCGGTTTCCTCCGCCGCCTTGGTCTCCTCATACCACCTCCTTCCCGTTGCCCGTGACGTCGTTAAGAGATGGCAGAGTGAGACACAGGAAGCCGCATCTTCTTCAAAGCAGTCGACCGGCTTTCTGGGTTTTGCATCTAGCTCCCAGCCCCATGCTATCTCCCAGTCGAACTTCATGACCCAATACCATGCAATTGGTCTGCTGTACCAAATGCGCTCCCACGACCGCATGGCCTTGGTTAAGATGGTCCAACAATACGGTGCTGCGGGCGTGGTCAAGAGCCCGGCTGCTCTGGTGTTGCTGGTCCGTCTGGCGGCCAAGCTGGCAGAGGAGGATGCTGGCCTTCGGAAACCCATGGTGCAAATGCTCGATGGCTGGCTCCGTCACAAGCACGAAATGGTCAACTTCGAGGCCGCAAAGGCCATTTGTGATTTGCGCGATGTCACCGATGCCGAGGCTTCACAAGCCGTCCACGTTCTTCAGCTGTTCCTTTCTTCTCCTCGATCCATCACCAAGTTCGCAGCCATCCGTATCCTTCACAACTTCGCTACCTTCAAGCCTAATGTCGTCAATGTCTGCAACCCCGATATCGAGTCGCTCATCTCCAACTCTAACCGCTCTATTGCTACATTCGCTATCACTACTCTGCTCAAGACCGGTAATGAGGCTAGTGTCGACCGGTTGATGAAGCAGATCTCTGGATTCATGGCTGATATCACCGATGAGTTCAAGATCACCATCGTAGAGGCTATTCGCACCTTGTGCCTGAAGTTCCCTAGCAAGCAGGCCGGCATGCTTGTGTTCCTGAGCGGCATCTTGCGTGACGAGGGTGGCTACGAATTCAAGCGCACTGTGGTGGAGAGCATGTTTGATCTTATCAAGTTTGTTCCCGAGAGCAAGGAAGATGGTGAGTTCTTCAACGCCGATACGACCTGTTTGACTTTTGGATCTAGCTAACACAATACCCTAGCTCTCGCCCACCTCTGTGAGTTTATCGAGGACTGCGAATTTACAAAACTTTCCGTTCGTGTTCTGCACTTGCTCGGTACCGAGGGTCCTAAGACCTCCCACCCTACCAAGTACATCCGATATATCTATAATCGCGTTGTTCTTGAGAACGCTATCGTTCGTGCTGCTGCTGTCACTGCTCTTGCCAAGTTTGGCGTCGGCCAGAAAGACCCAGAAGTCAAGTCCAGTGTCCAGGTCCTACTTTCTCGTTGTCTTGATGACACAGATGATGAAGTACGAGACCGTGCCGCGCTTAACCTTCGCTTGATGGGTAGCGACGATGCTTCAGCTGAATCATTTGTTAAGAATGGTAAGATACCTTGCTGATATTTCTATGATCAACTTTTACTGACAAGCCACAGATAATATGTACTCTCTCTCCACATTCGAACACCAACTTGTGATGTACGTCACATCAAATGACAAGCAGACTTTCGCCGCCGCATTTGATATTTCCTCTGTTCCGGTTGTCTCCCACGAGCAGGCCTTGGCCGAGGAGAGAACCAAGAAGCTCACATCCGCCACACCCACCCTCAAGGCTCCATCCACCGGACCCCCCAAGGGCAAAACCAACGGAGTTGCCGAGGCCACCAGTGCGGCCGCTACTCAAAAGTATGCCGAGCAGCTTATTCAGGTTCCCGAGATCAAGGAGTATGGTGCATTGCTCAAGTCTTCTTCACCTGTTGAGCTTTCCGAGAGCGAGACCGAATACGTCGTTACTGCCGTCAAGCATATTTTCAAGGAGAATATTGTCGTGCAGTATGATATCAAAAACACACTCCCAGATACTGTTCTTGAGAATGTGACAGTGATCGCCACTCCATCGGAAGATGATGTCCTCGAGGAGGACTTCATCATCCCGGCACCAAAGCTCACCCCCAACGAACCCGGCGTGGTCTACGTGGCATTTAAGAAGCTGGGTGGAGAAAGCAGCGTGCCGATAAATTCTTTCACTAACAACCTTAAGTTCACCAGCAAGGAGATTGACCCTACCACTGGTGAACCCGAGGATGAGGGGTACGATGATGAGTACCAGGTGGAAGACCTCGAGTTGACGGGTAGCGACTATGTCATTCCCACGTTTGCTGGCAGCTTCGACCATGTCTGGGAGCAGACCGGAGCTAACGGCGAGGAGGAGAGTGAGACACTGCAATTAAGTAACATGAAGGGCATTACTGGTACGTTAATAATAACTAGCTCCCTGCCTGCAACTCCTTATTCTAAGCTTTATCCCAGATGCCACCGAGCAACTCATCTCCGCTCTGTCTCTTCAACCCCTTGAGGGCACTGATGTGGCCCTCAACAACAGCACCCACACACTCAAGCTGTTTGGTAAGACCGTGCTGGGTGGCCGCGTGGCTGCCCTGATCAAGATGGCGTACTCGAGCAGGACCGGCGTCACAACCAAGATCACGGTGCGAGCCGAAGAGGAGGGCGTTGCAGCTGCAGTGCTTGCTTCTGTCACTTAATGTCTGTTTCTTTTACCTATCTGTTTTCCTTTCTATAGCAAATCGTAGTAGACGTGAGGATTGGTCTTTTTCTTTCTCCTTTTCCCTTCTTCAGCCTGCTAGCTATTCCTACCTGTGCTCCTTTCTCCAGCCCTTTTCGTGATTCGAAGCTTCCCGGCGATGTGTTGGCATTAATGAGCCCTATGAAGGTTACTTCAAAACAAAATGGAGATCTTGTTCTGTTGATTTAAAGACATGTATATTGCGTTGAAGACAGCCCTTCGGGCTTTTCTAGTCATGGTCGTCAAAATGGTCGTTCGGTTTATCTAAGGGTATCATAATTTACGCCCGAACGCAAGGCACATGGAGGACTCGTTCATGAGAGCCTTCGCAGATCTTCAGAAAGTGTACAAACCAACTTCATCAAGTCCAATAGCATCGAGCTCCTCGTCTGTCGCTTTCTCAACGTGGTCCATGATGTAATGATCAATTGCAGAACTCTCCTTGTCAAGCCCGAGCGGCCCCATGAACTCCCGCCTAATTCCCAGGGACCACAGGTTCCCTAATGTGCCATCCAGGAGCTCATAGATGAGCTGGTCCGCTAACTCTTTAGTGTCAGACGCGAACGACATCTCATTCAGCTTCAATACTCGGAGTGGAAGCGATTGGTCACGGAGACGGATGAGCAGATGATCCACGATCTGGAAGATAGGGAGCATCTGCACCGGGATAGTGAGGCTGCGAAGAGCAGGCATAGAGAATAAGACAGGCGTGCCTAAGTCATAGTCGATGACTTGAGTGCCGGCCCATATCTCGAGTTCTGGGAGATGGACAAGCTGTTTGTTTGAGAGTAGTTCATGGAGCAGCGATTCGTTCAGGTTCTTGCACCCGCTGATCGTGAGTTTCGTCAGATTCGCAGGCCAGTCGAAGTGGAACATGACGCCTGCGTCAAGGTGTCCTCCGACTATGATATGAGTGAGAGAGCGCGGCCATTCGCCGTCTGCGGGTGTTGTGTGGGTAATTTCCAGGAATGTAGGTAGTATAAGTCTGGATAGGTTCGGGAGGCCGGCTATACTTTTCTTCAGACGTGGGAACGATATAGATTTCCCGCCTATCAAGCTCAGGTCTAGATCCGTCAAATTATGGCATTTGGCGAGAGATGCTAGAGCGTTGACTCTAACATATCAGTTGGATCAGTTTCGGAGCCTTTCGAGATGGAGACCGGAAGGGGTTTCATCTTACCCAAAAGAAGCACGCGGTGCCGTAAAGTGTCGTAAATTCTTGCTCACCCGGCCAAGCAGCCGCGAGGTGAGGCTATTCGAGCTTTCATGGACCAGATGGTCTAGACGCAAGCCATACACCAGCGTTCCAAGATCGGTCTTACTCTTATTGAACCTCGAGGGAGGGCTTATCGTTTGGGCGAACTTGACGAAGCTGCTACCGGCTAAGAAATCGGGGTATGCGTAGAGATGACCAACAGCTGCCGAGTACCATTGGTGATTGACAAGACAGAGATTATACATCGTCTTTTGCCGGGCTCTTGCGGGAGATTGATTTTGTCCATCATGAGAGTATAAGCTCAGGGTATTGGCCCATTCGGCAATAAGCACAACAATTTCAGTTGGGAGGTACAGGCCAACTGTCGAGCCCATAGCGGGAATGAGAGTCACGGCCACGAGGCAGGAATGGGACCTGCAAGTCTCATAGTCCAAGGGAAGTCGAAGATTGCGGACCAGACGCGTGGGGAAGAGGAGGAAAAGCGATAAGCGGATGATCGGAGAAGCTTAATGTGGGGCGTATGGATGATATCACTCGAACAGGTTTCCGCGGGCCTTTTATCCTCCCCATCTCTCCCGCCCAACACCACCATGAGGCCTCAGATTGCCTGGCGATCTCTTGGTTTGCTCCAGCGCCAGTCCCTTCGTGGGCCTGGCCAGCGGGCCTTCCAAACTGCTGCGAAAACGCGTATTCCCGACTTCGCATTTGCCTTCGAGTGAGTGATTTGCGATGTATGCATACACTTGAGCCTCCTTAACCCGGTTCTGACTTGGCCTTCCAGTATTGACGGTGTCCTTTTACGAGCCTCAAAACCTTTACCCGGTGCTGCCGACTCGCTGGCTCTTCTGAAAGAGCAAGGTATCCCTTTCATCCTCCTGACCAACGGGGGCGGTAAACACGAGACCGCGCGCGTTGCAGAGATCAGCGAGAAGCTCAATGTTCCCCTTGACGCATCCCATATTGTTCAGAGCCACTCTCCGTTCGCCGAGTTGGTCAAGGGCCCGGATGAAGCTAGCGCATTGGAGAATAAATGTGTATTGGTGGCCGGCGGTGATGGCGACGGCTGCCGACGCGTTGCCGAGCAGTACGATGAGCAAAATCGGAAAGTTGAAGATGTAGAAGTTCGCTAACAATGGATTGTAGATACGGCTTCAGGAACGTGGTGACACCGGGAGATATCTTTATGGCTAACCCATCTATTTGGCCATTTTCCAAGAATTTCTCGGAATACTACAAGACCTTTGCGCGCCCTCTCCCTAAGCCCCTCGACCCGACGGACCCGGCGAAGGGCCTCAAGATCGATGCTATATTTGTTTTCAACGATCCTCGTGACTGGGGCCTCGATACCCAGGTCATAATGGACATCTTATTATCGCGCCAAGGACTCGTGGGCACATTGTCGGAGAAGAATGGTCAAACCAACCTGCCCAACCACGGATATCAGCAAGATGGCCAACCCCACCTGTACTTCTCCAACCCCGACCTGTTCTGGGCGGCAGCTTATCCCCTTCCTCGCATCGGCCAAGGAGGCTTCCGCGAGGCACTTGAGGGGGTTTGGGCAGCGACTACAGGTGGCCCCAGCAAAGGCATTGAACTCCAAAAGACTGTGATCGGCAAACCGTATCAAAGAACTTATGAGTTCGCAGAGCTCCAGATGCTACGCAACCGCTCGAAGGTCTTTGGTAGTATTGCGGATCAGACGCCGCTGCAGCAAGTCTACATGGTTGGAGATAATCCCGAGTCGGACATTCGAGGCGCAAACTCGTACCGAAGTCCACATGGGAGTAGTTGGAAGTCGATCCTAGTCCGGACAGGTGTTTATCCGGGCGGAGAGCCTGCATATGTGCCAACTACCATTGCGGATAATGTGCAGAAGGGTGTGCATTGGGCCCTCCAGAACTCGAATTGGTCATTTTGATCATTGCATGGAGAGCATGGCCAAAGGGCACTTTTACTATGCATAGGCATGCCACATTATGCTGTTTCATACATATAGATTTTATTATTCTTCACTAAACTCTGCGTGTTCTTTATCAGCTTTTCTTGCTTCGAGGCTGATATATCCCGTCAACTTAAGAGCTCAGTCTCTATATTCTTTTTCTATGCTGCTACAATTTCATTCAAAAAGATTCTCCAGAAAAAGCCATTAGTCAGTGAGACCAGCCATACCTAGGTATAGCAGCACCTGTAACTCCTCTACACGGCGAAATCTCTTATTAGTATCCGTGGTCAATATTAGGAGACGAAACATAGTTTCATGAAAACGAGGAGATATTAAATTTGAATCATCACCAAGTGCTATTATGGATGACCTAGTAGATATGAACTATCCTTTGAGTTATCGTTAGTCTACAAGCACTTTTAGCATTCTGTTATTGAACCGCACCCTTTGTTGATACATCTATCTATGGTACGATGACTTCTATAGTTCCTGATCTGGCAACGGTCATGTGACAACCCTCCCCCTCTTAGGGTTTAGGGCAGTCAATGTATGGCGGGGTGAGTCAATGTCATCGGCCCGCAAAGTTTCCAAGCTTGTTATTCCAAAGCATCATCGAGGTAAGAATCGGGCGCCTCCCTGATTTTGCTGAAGGCATATCGCCAGTTCCACTAACAATTCTCTTTCAGCAACATGGCGGACTCCGAACTCCCTACCCGTCCCAAGCCCGAGGAAGCTCCCGCCGCTGGAGGCGAGGGCGAGACCAAGAACGCCAGCAAGAAGGCGGCAAAGAAGGCGGCAAAGGAAAAGGCCAAGGCTGAGAAGGCCGCCGCTCGCGCAGCTCAAGAGAAGGCCCAGGCCGCTGCCCAGGAGGCCAATGATACCGCGAAAGGTCTTTACGGGCCCCTGCCCGAAAGCGAGGATGTCATCTCTTCAACCCGATTCAGCCAGCTATCAGAAGATTCACAGGGCAAGGAGATTACCGTTGTTGCACGAGTCGACAATGCGCGCGTCCAGAGCGCCAAATTGGCATTCTTGATGCTGCGACAGCAGGGCCAGAAGATTCAGGCTGTCATCGCTGCCGCAGAGCCTATCTCGCGACAGATGATCAAGTACACCGGTGGTCTCAACGTCAACTCTATTGTCCAAATTACCGGTATCGTCAAGAAGCCTGAGATCCCCATTTCCTCCGCGACTATTCAAAACCTTGAGCTCCACATCCGCAAAGTGTATATGATTTCCGAGGCCGCGCAGATGCTGCCAATGCAGGTCAAGGATGCCGAGCGCCCACCTCCAGAGACCAACGAGGAGGGCGAGGTCGACGCTGAGGGCGCCCCTATTGTTACTCTCAAGACCCGCCTTGATAACCGGGTCCTGGACCTCCAGACTGAGACCAGCCAGGCTATTACCTGGATTTCCAGCGGTGTCGCGGAGTTGTTCGCCGAGTACATGATTAAGAGCGGTTCTCGATGGATCTTCACCCCCAAGCTAGTGGGTGCCGCCACTGAGGGTGGAAGCAACGTGTTTGAGGTGAAGTACTTCAAGCGTAACGGTTATCTTGCCCAGAGTCCCCAGCTCTACAAGCAAATGTGTATCGCTGGTGATATGGAGAACGTATTCGAGATTGCCCCAGTGTTCCGTGCCGAAGACAGCAACACCCACCGTCACTTGACCGAGGTGAGAACTACCGACCATCATTGAGAACGAGTTGCGCTAATCGAATTTACAGTTCGCTGGTCTCGATTTCGAGAAGACTTTCGAGAACCACTACCACGAGGTTCTGGAGTTTGCCGAGAACCTCTTGGTATTCATCCTGAGCCAACTGAAGGAGCGCTACGCCTCGCAGATCGCCACAATCCAAAAGTCCTACCCCAAGGCCGGCGACTTCAAGCTCCCTAAGGACGGCAAGGCCCTGCGCCTGAACTACATGGATGGAGTCGCCCTCCTCAAGGAAGCTGGCGTCGACATGTCGGAGCAAGAGCGCTTCGAGAACGACTTCACCACTGCGATGGAGAAGCAACTGGGCCAGATCATCCGCGAGAAATACGACACCGACTTCTACGTTCTGGACAAGTTCCCCATGGCCGTGCGACCCTTCTACACCAAGGCCGACCCCAAGGACAGCCGCTTCTCCAACTCTTACGACTTCTTCATGCGCGGCGAGGAGATCATGTCCGGTGCGCAGCGTATTCATAACATCGAGGAGCTGGAGGCTTCGATGCGCAGCAAGGGTCTGGACCCTACCCAGGAGGGCTTCGAGGATTACCTCAACGCTTTCCGCCAGGGATGTCCTCCGCACGCAGGTGGTGGTCTGGGTCTGAACCGTATTGTCATGTTCTTCCTGGGTCTGCCTAACGTCCGTCTGGCTTCGCTGTTCCCTCGTGACCCGCAACGTCTGCGCCCATAAGCGCAATATGTACGTGTAATTAGACCTGCCAAAATAAAAAGAAATGCATTGAATTACGAAAGCGCTGCTGTTGACGCCTTCCTGCGTGAATCATCCGAGTAATTCTAACCGAGGATTGAAACTTGGACCCAATTACATAAGAGTAGGCAGGTTATGAGATTAAGTGCATTATGGATCATCGTAAGCTACACTACATTGCGCGAGGCAGGGGAGATGCATATCAGGCACTCGCTTCTATCTGGCGGTCACGAAATAACACCGATAGAGCATCGAACCCATGAGCCCCATGGAGTAGTCGCAGGATGACAGGAGGAAACACAAGGAGAAAGGAGAGAAGCTGTACACGACGCTGAAGCAAAGCAAAGAAGGGTTATGGCGGCACTCAGGGATGCAAAGACGCCAGCCATCCGGTTCTCGGCCACATCGCAGGAAGAAGGAGTTGGATGTGGAGGGAAAGTCATTAAAGACATCATGGAAAGGTAAAAGAAAAGGTTATGCTTGAGTGATATGTGCAGGAGTGTAAGAGACCGTACTTAGGCCTTGGAAGTCAGGTAGTCGATTGCCTTTTTTGTTTCTTTAGTTAGCTGTGGCGAGCGTAGACTTTGGATTAACGCTTACCTTGTCGAGATTATAGTCAAATTTCTCGAGGGCGGAGAGAGACGCTTCTCTTGGGAAACCCATGCCTGTCAGGCGTTGTAGGAATTGATCATCTTCTCCCGAGTCAGTGTTCAGAGCCCAGCCAGGCGGTTTGGGGCCTGAAGGGGGAGCATGCTCTTCTGTTGCGGGCTTCGCGCCATCCAGTGGCGCGAAAAGAGCATCCCAGTCATGATTTCCAGCCGCAGGGCTGCCCCCGTGGGCGGTGCCAACGGCCGGAGCGGCCGATGTAGTTGCATTGCTGTCGAAGGAGAAGAACCCGGACGAGCCAGCAGGGTGACCAGCATCATCGGTGCTGGAGTTTGCACCATGCTTGTTGGAGGGGGAGTCGAAGGAGAAATCGAATTCCGAGGCCTTGTTGTCGGGCTCATCGTCATCATCCTCAGCCTCCTTAGCTGGAGCCAGGTTCAGGCCAGCAAAAGCGGCCTCGAAATCAGGCACGTTGGACTTTGGGGCAGTAGCTGAGGTGTCCCGCTGCGGTTCGTTGCCAACCACCGGGGCCCCTGTACTGTGTTCAACAGAGTGAGGGGCGTCACCAGGAGCTGTTGGGTCTGCACGCTCAGGGAGCAATCCACTGAACTCTGGGACAGCCCCGGCCTCGCCATTGTTAGCAGGCTCGTACTTGGGAGGGCTGGGTTGAGCATCCGCCGGTGGAAGGGGTGTGGGAATAGATGTTCCTGGGGAAGGGAAAGCTGCGAGTTGAGAAGCATCGATTGAGTCCTGTTGCGCCTCCTTCTTGATTCCAGGTGACACCGCAGTGAAGTTGTCATCAAATCCCAGAGGACCTTCATCATCGGAACTATCCTCTTCATCATTGTGAACCTCCTGGATTGGAGGGAACTCAGAGTTAGAAGCAGCTCCAAAGCCTCCATTAGACTGGTCGCCAGTGTGGGTTGGCTTCATGGCGGCAAAGGCTTCTTCAAAGTCATTCTCCTTCTGGGACTCAGATCGCTTGTGGGCCTTGCTACCGAACAACTCATCAAAGGTCAAATCTTTTGCTGTTTCTGAGCCCTCGGCACTAGCTGGGGCTTGCTCAGTGGCTGCAACAGCAGGCTGAACAGCTGGGGGTAACTCGTCAAATGGAGAGCGGGCCGGCGTTGCTTCGGCTGTGGATGCCTGAGCGCGGCTATAGTCACTGGACCCTGTTGCAGATGGAGCAAGCGGTTCACCAATAGCCGACTGGGATGGGGTTGCGACACCAGAGGCTTCTGGACCACCATAGCGACTGGCCGGGGGAGACACGACGGTGGAGGAGGTCACAGATTGGTTGTCGCTGATACCGAGAAATGCAGGAGTGAATTGACGAGACTGTGAAGGTGGAGGAGGAGGCTCAGTAGCAGGAAAAGCACCAGGCAATGGCCCAGGGGCCGGTGATGCAGAAGGGGTGGGGACGCCTGAGGAAACGGGTGATTTGCTGGTGTTCAGAGGGGTCTCTGCGCGGAATGATGTGGGCGGTGCGGCAGCAGCAGGAGGGCCAAAATGTTGGCTAAAAATGTTATCGAATGCCTTCTGCTGGTCAGTGGTAGCGTCAGGCGAGCGAGCTTGATCACTCGAGCTGCCCGTAGCGGTGCGCCGGAAGAAAGGGTTGGTGTTCTGGCTCGCCGTAGATGCAGCAGGGCTAGCAACTTCAGCCACAGCAGGAGTGGGAGCTGGTGAGCCTTCGGGAGATTGCGGTGTTTCCTTAGCAATGGCGTCAATTTCACCTTGGATCCTGTCCCGCTCACCCTCAACAGTGGCAAGCTGTTTCTTGTTGATCGCAACCAGCCCCTTCTGCTGACGAGCCTCCGAGCGGGCCTTGTCGAGTGCTGGCTTGAGCCGAGCAACTTCGGCATTCGCATGCTTGATTTTTTCCTTCAGGCTAGCATTCTCCTGCTGATCAGAGGCCAATGCGGTCGAGACCTGCTGGTATTGAGTAGCCAGATCCTGTCGGGAACTTTCAATCGCGGCATACTCTGCTTGCAGTTTGGTGGTCTCTGTCTTAGAGGTCTTGAGTCGTTCCTCAAGAGCCCTAAGGTTGGCAACTTCTTGCTCGTACATGGTGCGTGCTTGCGCAAGTCGAGCCTCAAAATCACGCTTCTGTGCTGAGCTCTGCGCAAGTCCCTGCTCCGCGGTAGTGCGCTTCCCTTGAATGTTGTGCATCTCCTTAGACAGAGAGCCAATCTGGTTTGACAAGTTAGCAAGTTCAGTAGTTTCTTGCGTCAACTTGTTGGATTCTTCGGGATCATTATCTCCCAGAAGATCGTCGGATGGAGGCGGGGGAGAGCGGACAGGAGTTCCAGCTGACGCGCCAGTAGCTTGGGGCTGCAAGGTCTGGCCAAAGGACGAGGTAGGGACAAACGGCTTGAATGTGTTCGACGAAGATCTTGGCGGTGAAGCAGGAGCCGGGAATGCAGAGTTCGAGCCACCAGTCGACATCGAAAACTGCTTCGGGGGGCTGGAACGCAGCGTTCGAACCCCCAGTCGACATTGCCAACTGCTTTTGGGGCGGAGCCGGGGGCGAGTCAAGGCCAAACAGATCATCCGCAGCGGATCGGGGTACAGGTGCAGGAGCGGGCGTGGGCGCTGGGACTGCTGCAGGCGCAGGAGCTTGGCGGCGCATACTGGGCGGAATAAGAGCTGGAGGGATGACTTGTGGAATGGGCTCCTTTCCGCTGCGCTGCAAGCGGACTAGGTACATGGCCACCGCAAACTCGTCTCGGGTCAGTTTGCCATCAGCATCGATATCAGCCAAGTCCCAAATCTGAGCTAGAACCTCCTCTGGTAGCTGCGCCTTCATGAAAAAAGCGACTGCCTGGTCACCCGAAATGATACCGGCCCGGGCAGTGTCGACGGTATCGAAGATACTATCGAAGTGAGCCTTTTCCTGAGGGGTGATAAGCCAATCTCCTGTCGTCTGAGCAGCCAATTGACCGCTAAATTGTCGAGGACTAAGAGGGCTGGCAGTTCGTTGGGGTCCAGTGAATTGCTTAGGAATAGCCGGAACAGGAGGGACCTCTGGGCGAGAACCAAAGGAAGGACGGCTAGCGCCTCGACGAGATGCAGCCTCATAAAGACCAGGTGGCAGAGCCTGCGGAATACCCCGTAAGGCACCAGATTTATATGAGGTCAAAAGATGCATAGCTATGATGAATTCAGTAGCATCAAGGGCACCACGCTGTGTTGTATCTGAAAGATTCCATATGCGACCAAGAATCTCATTGGGTAATCGAGCTCGTTCGAAAATCTGCTTGGCAATGTCACCCGACATCACTCCATTGTTGACATCAGACTTCTCGAAGAGGGAGAGAAATTTGTTTGCATCCTCGGGCTGCAGTGGTGGGACTCGAATAGGCGCATTGGCACCTGGTGGAGGGCTTGTTGTCCCTGACTCAGGCCCAGGAGCTGAGGGATCAATTGAGATCCCCTCGAATCGGGGAAGAGGACCGGCTAAAAGCAATCTAGCATTAGTCTTGGCACAACCATGGCAAGAGGACGCACAGGCTGTATAAGGTTGATCGAATACTTACGCTGTAGAGCCAGCTCATCTGATGGTGCGCGACCAGCTTGAGCATGTCCAATTAGACGGAGAACGATTCCAAAGCCCGCCGGAGTCAGTAAGCCCCTGTTCTCTTTGTCTGCAATTTGCCATATCTGCACGCAATATCATTGTCAGATATGCTGGAAAATGTATTTAGCTGGCCGATGAATCCACATACCTCTCCGAGGATACCTGAAGGAAGGTGTGTCTTCTCAAAGAAGGGCACTGCGATCTCGCCAGTGATGACCCCCAGGTTGGTTGTGTCGGCAGCCTGGAACAGGTGGTAAAAGACGCGTTTTTCCTCTGCCGTGAGATTCAAGTTCGGGTGTCGCTGGGCTGTTAAGTTTCGAAGCATTCCGTCAGTTCCGCTGTGTTGCGCACAAGGTGGGTAGCTAAAGAAGGGAAGGATGCAAGAGGGACCGGAGCTCGGCGGGCCTCCTGACTTGCGCGCCGGGGAGCCCTGCCATTGTTCTCTGCGGTGAGACAAGAGAGAAGCCAAGGATCACTTACGTTCAGCCATAGCTATGTCCTTGGAGGAGTAGACCCCCTCCTCCTTCTGAATAAGATCCGAGCAACTCAGTGCCTGGGGAGGACAGGTAGAAGTGAACGGACCGTCAACTTGACCGTACTAAGCCACAAGCATGGATAATCCAAGCGCAGCCTTTGGCGATAGGAAATCGGTATGGTGCAAGCAAATAAGGCTCAAGTTCTGTCCACAAGGCAAGATGGGGGGGTTCAAGGTAGAGGAATTGGGGGGGTGGGCGGATACTCGGAGGCTCCCTTGGAGTGCACGATGTCGTAACGCTAGGTTCCCGGAGCGGTTAGTCAGCAGCTTAGCGCCCTACCTAGGTAGGCTTCACGTTCGGAGATTTAGGGCCAAATATAGCCATGAAGATATAGAGTGGTTAGACAAATGAGACATACTCGTCCGAAGTCGGTTCGCTGTATTCATGCTTAGGCTTTCACTCCATGTAATGTACCTGGAAATCAGACAAGTCTACATTCGTTGGATTGATACCCACCCGTGCAGCTCCCAGTAGTTACGTTCCCACGGATACGGTAGCCACTAACTACGAGTACGTCAATAGGGTCTCTGGTTTCCATCGTGGGGCTCATTGACTCAAGTTGTTTGCGGAATACATGGGTCTTCGTGATTAGAAAAGAACGGATCCTTTTCTAGTTGGCTATTCGTAATTACATCTAAAATATGAGGCTCTGTGAGATCGACGCCGAAAATGACGGCTTTTGGCGCCAGAAACTAGTCATCCTCGACCAGGCCCCTGTGTTTAGTTATGTACTTTCTTTCTATACGCTAAATAGCTGATAGACTAGTGGTTATTGCGCGATGAATAATATACGTATAATTCCAAATGACACGAGTATACACATATAGCATTGTAAAGCTGAACTCGTTAGACTGTAGTGCTAATAAGATCCAGGTCGAGTTCCCATGTAAAGATATAGCCATGCGAGACTAATTTCAATCAAAATACCGCAGCCTGCGTAAGGATCGATTTGGTTTTGAGTGGCCACGTCCAGATTGTGACCTGCAAATCAAATACATTTCATTTTGTTACAATTAGTTGCTTGCCGTTCTCAATTACACGCGAGGGCGAGATATAGCGAAAGAGGGTGGCGATGAGTGAAAGAAAGACCAGTTGAGGGGCACATGAGGAAGGAAGGAGAGGTCGAAAGGGCAGGAGAGCTTTTGATGCCAGAGCAACAGAATGCGGAGCTTCAATATTTGGGCGCTCCACTGAAAGGGCAAAACTAACTCAAACAAGGGATTCACTAGTCCAGGTATCAACTACAAAACTCATACTTGCAAGTCCCTTGGGAGGGATCGAACGAGTGGGAAAAACTCATTGCGCTTCGGGGATATTAAAGATATATCGATTAACAAAGCCAGAAAACATTCATCGGACTGAAAACCTATGTTCCTTGTATTTGCAAGCGAAGTCCGGTAGGTGAAGGAAAGTCGAACCGCCAGGGTTAGAGGTAGCATTTAGCAGCGCAGCAAACACTGAGATCATGACCCGGAAACGGTCACACAGCATCCCTAATCTAGTACTCGGGCTCCAACTCCTCCTCCTCGAGCGAGTCGCTGGCGACTTCCTCGTAGTCACGCTCGAGGGCAGCCAGGTCCTCACGGGCCTCAGAGAATTCACCTTCCTCCATACCCTCACCAACGTACCAGTGAACGAAGGCACGCTTGGAGTACATGAGGTCGAACTTGTGGTCGAGAGCGGACCAGGCCTCGGCGATGGCGGTGGTGTTGGATAACATGCAGCTGATTGAATGTTAGGCGAATCCAGGTGATGAATGGGTTATGGAGTAACTTACACAGCACGGTTGAGATTGGCGAGGTCGCCGTTGGGGACCTGCTGGGGGGGCTGGTAGCAGATACCGAGCTTGAATCCAGTAGGGCACCAGTCGACGAACTGGATGGTACGCTTGGTCTTAAGGGTGGCCACGGCGGCGTGGGCCTCCTTAGGAACAACATCACCACGGTACAGAAGGCAGGTAGCCATGTACTTGCCGTTGCGGGGGTCACACTTGACCATCTGGTTGTTAGGCTCGAAGCAGTTGGAGGTGATCTCAGTGACAGAGTGGGCCTCGTGGGAAGCCTTGTCGGCAGAGATGACAGGAGAGTAGGCAACCAGAGGGAAGTGAATACGGGGGTAGGGGACCAAGTTGGTCTGGAACTCGTTCAGGTCGACGTTGAGGGAACCATCGAAACGGAGCGAAGCAGTGATGGAAGAGACAACCTGAGCAATCAGACGGTTCAGGTTCTCGTAGCTGGGGCGCTCGATGCCAAGGTTACGGCGGCAGATGTCGTAGATAGCCTCGTTGTCGACCATGAAGCTACAGTCGGAGTGCTCCAGGGTAGTGTGGGTGGTCAGGATGGAGTTGTAGGGCTCAACAACGGAAGTGGCGTTCTGGGGAGCAGGGTAAACACAGAACTCGAGCTTGGACTTCTTGCCGTAGTCGACGGACAGACGCTCCATCAGGAGAGCACCGAAACCAGAACCGGTACCACCACCGAAAGAGTGGAAGACAAGGAAACCCTGGAGACCGGCACAAGCGTCGGCCACACGGCGAACCTTGTCCAGAACCTGGTCGATCATCTCCTTACCGACGGTGTAGTGACCACGGGCGTAGTTGTTTGAGGCATCCTCCTTTCCGGTGATCATCTGCTCGGGGTGGAAAAGAGCACGGTAGGTACCAGTGCGGACCTCGTCGACGACATTGGGCTCGAGATCGGCGTAGATGGTACGAGGAACGTAGCGACCCTGGCCTAATGGAAGAAAAAAAAATCGTTAGAAACATGTCTCATGAATAGCCTTGAACGTGGGGTTGGTATCGAAGCCATGCGGGATCGGGGACAACTTTTTTTTTCTGCACGCGATATGATGGCATCCGAGGAATGAAAAAAAAAAAGGAAAAAAGTCCAACATACCAGTCTCAGAGAAGAAAGTGCTGAATCCGTGGTCAGGGTCGGCCTTCTTGCGCTCCTCAGTGAGGTATCCATCGGGCTATCAAGAAGGTTAGTGCCGGCTACTGGCTTTCCCCGGGGAGGAAAAGGGGCAGGTCTGAATTCAAGACTGGACGCCACAAAATTCCATTTTGAACGTACCTGGATGCCGTGCTCAAGGCAGTAAAGCTATAAGATAGGAAATCTTGTCAGCTGGCGGACTCTTGGGATCACAATGGATATTGATATTTACCTCCCAGCAGGAGTTGGCGATTTGGCAACCGGCCTGACCGACTATATGAGGACCAGTTAGCGCGTCAAATTCCTCGCAGAAACGAAGACCAAGGGAATTCATCAAAATTCCACGTAAATACCATCACATACCGTTCAAACTAATGATCTCTCTCATGATGTGTGGTTGGTTTTCAAGGAGGTCAAAAAATTAAGGAGGGGAGATGGACCCAACAACAAACGCGGGTCTGGGTTTCAGGGGTTAGTAATGAGGTCAATGGGGTATATCCGTGAAGCTCCTGACGAAGAATGGGAATGAGGGGTGATAGGAAAGTAGGAGAGGAGAGCGTGTTTGACGTACCAGGAATGGGAGGAATGGGCAGATCGAGGAAGAAGAAGAATCGAAATGTTGTGGAGGGCGTCTGTGCTGCTAACAAGGAGAGGGGGGAGTTCGTTGTTGATCCGTTGGGTCGCGTCGCGCTCTCCTGATTGGCTACCAAGGACGCATTATCGAGCCTGTCACCGCCTTCTGCGGCCAAGAGCAGTCAGGTGACTGAATGACGAGGTGAACCCCGAAGGAAAGACCCCTCAAAATCGCCTGCAGAACCTCGAATTATTTGATTTCTCCTCGAGATTCTTTCCTGATGCATTTTTGGGTCGGGGAACGGTCGATTTGCTGCTGAACACCTGCGTCTTCGTGCGTCGATCACTCACCGCCAAGTGCCCATAAACATCCGGCAGCAGGAAGCTTACTACGCCGTGACTGGTGCCAGCTATATCTCCACTCTCAGGACTTCCTGGATCCAATGATACACCAATCCTGAAGCTGTTAGAATGGCCCATTAGTAAAGCGATACCCAACCACGCTGGACACAGTAATTTGGTCAAAATTTAGAAGATTTGGCCTAATATTACATCATGAACTTGAACGATTCAATATTCCTCTCGCTGGGACTTTTGCTTGCAGTCCTTTCAAGTCTTGCCAATGCAAATGTCGAAAAGACGATCTTCCTGGGACCGAAAGCTTCAACGGTCCCACCAGGGCTCGGACACTCAGGTCTAGACGACCTCGGTCTGGAAAGATTGTCACCAGAGAGACCAGTGATCCGCACCAAGCTAAACGCGTCGTTCCCAACCACTGAAGCACCCGATGGCTCCGAATCATGGTATTTTCTAGAGAACCTCATGCCTGGCCAACGTTATGAAGTACGAGTCTGCTGGCTCGCAACAGTACGTGCAGTTCCACCGAAAAACATCGATCAAGAAAGCTAACCATATGCAAGCAACCAACTGCATTCACCCTCACAACACATGATCTGTCCACCACTGTGGATGACACGGATCTTCTATCATCACTGAGCGTCTTCTCTGCAGCCCGACTGGCTTCAAATGATGCTGATCTCCAAGAGAATGCTGGCCTCCGCCCAGCGCCGGGACATCATGCGTCTGATTTGCTTGACCCAGCACCAAGGACAAAATCGGTACTCTTTCTGCGAGTGCGCGCCGCGGCAGACTATTTTACGACAAATAAGACGTTGATGGAAAATGTGCCACCGGTGGCCGTTGACCTGGTCCTTGATCCGTTCTTATTGAATGTTTTCCCAAGATCGCTGGTGCCGACTGCTGGCTGGCTTGTTGTCGTTGCGGGTGTCGGCTATGTGGTCGCGAGGTGGGTGGCTGCCGAGATTGGAAGAGTCATTGATGATGCCCGTAGGATACGGGACTTGGAAGAAAAAGAAAAGAAGAAGGAAAAATAGGTATCCACTTGGTTTTAGATATGGTTTTTGTCATCAAAAGGTGTATACCCTGAACAAGTTGTCCATTCAGGAGTAACACAAACGAGTAGTATATCTATGGTCGCACTGGCTCCGGTGACCGACCACCTTAGTGACCTGAAGCGCTGATTCACGATAGTACCTGAAGATATTACGAGAAACAAACATAAATGTCACCTACACGAGGAAACTTTTCGAGTTGATCTACTAAGGGATAATTCTAGGAATAGACCGAAAGGGGAGCAAGAGCTTTTACTATGTGGGAAGAACGTCGGATGCAAATAAAAAACTGAATAGTCCAGAGTACATGCAACAGATCCATACATAAGGGGAATACTTGCTAGAGCACTGTGCATAATAATGATAATCATCACGGCGCGCAAGATAGGAAGGAAAAAAAGTCCCAAAAAAGCCAGTCAAACCACAATTGCCCTTGCAATCTACTCTATGCGCACCAGATAATCGTCAAGCTGCGCTGAACGTAGAATTCAACACATTCTTCTTAACGGATCGCCAGTCATAATTCAAAGCCATGAGGTCGTGATATCGATTACATCCACTGTATGTGAGAGGGAAAAGATAGTTTAGTCTTCGAAGAAATTCAAGATAGCCCGGATACCCTTGGATCCGAGTCCGTGGGCAGGATATGAGATGTAGAGAGGATCTTCGGTTGCTCCAAGCTTCGCACGGAATTCGCTCTTTCGCACAAGGTGGAACTGCTTAGCCAAAGCTTCGTAGGTGTGCTCTAGCATCTTGATCTTTGTACCGTGCAGGTTGTGACCTGGAATGAGCTGGGTGGTAGCGCCAGCGCCGAAGGTAAGACCCTGAACACCGGCCTTTGCGGCAGTCTGGATAGCCTCGGTGACGATGTATTCAATAACACCGTTGGGAGAGCCTGGGAAGTCCAAGCTGTACTTCACTTGCATGCCGTGGCTGGGAGCCAGCATGGCGAGGCCGACGAAGGCGCAAATGTTGCCAGCCCTGTCGGTGGCGTAAAAGTACCAACGGTGCTCGTAGTCGACCCAAGGCCGGATCTCAGACAGGTGAACTTGGGTGCCCTTGCGGTTTGCAAGCCATTCACGGATGCGACCGTCGATCTTGTTGCGAGTCTCTTCATCGGGTAGCTGACCTTGGGGCAACGCGGTGACCTTGATGCCCTCGGTCTCGGCACGACGGAGCTTACGCCCAACGTCACCGTCGGACGCGGCCTTGTTGCGGGATGGATCCACGCGCTCTTCTGCGATACAGGACAAACTGCGCCATCCGAGACGTTCGCCAAGAATGGTCTCGATCTCAGGAGAGCAAAGGATCCAAATAGGCTTGAACTTGGTTTCACGACGGAGCCACTGAAGGAACTGTGTGATAGTGCGAGTGTACTGGCTAGGGTCACAAGCGGGGTTACCTGGGATGATGACGAAGTTGCTGGAGCTGGGCACGTAGGCAACCGCAGCACCAGTGGACATATCACGCCAGATCTTGTATCGCTCATCGAACCAAGAAGTAGATGTCGCATCACCATAGTTAGCAATGATCTGCTCCAGAGGAGGCAGCTCGCTGGCATCGTTAGCCACCCGACGGTGGTGTTCCTTGAACCAAACCGGCTCCAGGGTAGATGCCTCGGGATGTCTCAACTTGACCACCTCGGGCTTGGCAGGCAAGCTCTTGGGGTCCCGGTGGAACATAGAAGTAAGCCGAATGTTGCCGACTTGGAGAAGGAGCATCAGGAAACGCTCCAAGCCAACACCGGCGCCAGCATGGGAGGCGCACCCCACCGGAAGCCTTCCAGATATTCTTCCATATCATCTGGGTTAATGCCCACGCTGCGCATGTTTTCTTCAAGCATCTGTGCATCGTGGATACGTTGGCCACCCGAGACAATCTCCTGGCCTCGAATAAACATATCGAAAGAGTTGGTGTATTTGTCGTCTTCTGGATCTGGCATGGTATAGAAGGGACGGGCCCCCCGAGGGAATTTGTCGAGGACGTAGTAGTCTGTGTCATACTTCTCCTTCACCAATTGACCCAGGCGAATCTCATCGCGAGTCGAGAGATCCTCGTCATATGGCAGTTCCTTGCCCTCCTCATCGCGCCAGCCAGACTCATTCAGCATCTTGATACCATCCACGAAACGGATGATGGGCGTCTTCTCCAGCCACTTTACGTCTTCCGAGGGGAATTGCTCCTTGATGATTTCAATCTCACGACGGTATTTGGTGTAGATACCACTAAGGATTTTCTTGATGGTGGCATCGAGTGTCTCCAGCATTTCGTGGTAGTGTTCCTCGATGGCCATCTCAAGATCGAGACCCGTGTATTCGGTTAAATGGCGATGGGTGTTTGAGTTTTCAGCACGGAAGACGGCACCAATCTCGTAGACACGGCCAAAATCAGCGGCAATAGCCATCTGCTTTGCAAGTTGGGGGGACTGGGCCAAGAAAGCAGGACGGCCAAAGTAGTTGACCTGGAAGACGCTGGCACCCGACTCCGTCGCGGCACCCTGTAATTTAGGGGTATGAATCTCGATGAAGGATAGCTCATCCAGAGCGCTGCGGAAGAGGTTGCCAGTTGCTGATTGAATGCGGAAAATGCTCTGAGAAGTGGCGGTTCGCAAATCAAGCAGACGGTTGATCAGACGGGTACGATCTGGGATATGACTGTGGCGACCCTCTGCTCTATCCTCCTCGTTGGTACGGATTTCCGCCTCGTACACACTGAAGGGCACTGGCTCCTCTCGGCGGACCAGGAGATGCACCGAGTCGATAGCCAGCTCGACATCGTGAATGCTGCAACCCAAGACGGGTACGTCAGGCTTTCGGATGGTGCCTCGCACGCGCACAAACGAGCCAACCCGGAGGTGCTCAGCCCATTGGATCATGACCACGGATGAGATTCCGGGGCGCTCATGTAAGACACCCTGGAACGTATCAAGCTGTTGACGGAACACCAGGAAGACGAGCTTGGCACTCATACGACGGACAACGTGGAGTCGAGCCGTGAAGTATATTTCTTTACCAACCATGTCGGCAGTAATATCTTTGAGCTGGGTGCGTTCTTCGCGGGGTCGATCCTGCGACTGCATCAAAGGAAGCTCTCCATATCTAGCCTTCATATCAGCTGTCTCTTCGGCAGCAGCTTTCGCCAGCTCTTCTTCCTTGCGTTTGTGATCCGACTCGGAGAAGGCCTCTTCGCTGAGGCGGCTGCGTTCGGAACGGCGTTGTTGGCGAACCAGTCGCTTCTGTTGGTTCTTGCTCAGACCACCTGAGGAGGAATCGTCCGAGAAATCGTCCGAGGAAGACACGGAGTCTCGATCGCGTAGGAAATTGCCCAGGATGCTGCGGCGTGGGGAATGGGGGAGACCGTATCACGAGAGAGGGAAGTGCGAGGCTTGCTGGATGAAAAGCTGGCACGAATGCCAGAGCTGGACGAGTCATCATCATCTTTGGCAATTGGAGTGCCGCGAAGGGCCTTCGACAGGGCCCGCTTGATACTACCAGACATGATGGGCTCAATCCACGTAGGTTGAGAAAACCAAACAAGGGGAGAGGAGTCAAAAGTATATCAGGGACCGAGGGATCGAAGTGGGGTTGGGGGGGGGGTTGGGGGGGATCGGAAGAGGCGGGAAAAACTGCAACCGGCGATCCCAGATCAGTCTAGCCCGCGTATTGGTTCCTCTTTCCCTTCCAACGCCGAAATACCTTGTGCCTCTCGGATCTTCGGAGAAGCCAGACCACCGAAAGATGTCAAAGGCCGAGATTCCGGACTCCTTAGGGGCAAATTACAAAGAAATTGGAATGCTTTCCTCTTCTACGAAGCTGCGGAGATCAATATAACAAGCTCGCCAGAGAGATTTGCATGACATCATGAAAGTAACCAGGTTTCCCAGAATTAAGATTACGTGTTTGGAGAGAGACCACCCTGGGCACATGCTTATCAGACCCTTAGACCCTTGTCTTACATTCGTCGCTTCTTGGGGCCCTTTTTGTTTCGAACCAAACGCCACGGGCCTCCCGTGTCGTTCTGGTCTTTCTCTAGCGCGTGCCCTGCGTCCCCCGCTCGTATTATAAGCGTAAAAACGGCGTAATACCTGCTGCAATGACTCTGCATTACTTGACTGTTAGATCTAATCAATCAGAGTCCTTCGAAGTGAATCAGCCTCGGTATTTTTTGTTTTTATTTACCTCCGTCGTATTCATAGCCTCTCACTGCCTCAGGTGTCAAGATGACGACGCCTCCGCTAGATGAACTTGATGCTATCAGGCCATCAAGGAGGAAGTTGGCCAATGCCGGGGCCGAGCTCACATTGCTTTGATCTCTCCTTTCCTTTCTTATATCTCCTCTCCGGGTTCCTTTTCCAACCTATCTTTTGTTTAACTGGATCAGTCCCACGGGCTAACCGACTGTTGCCATCTCCGCCTCCGCATCCGCCCACGGGCTCGGTTCGCCCCGACACCGAGAAACCTCGTTCCTCGTTCTTAACCTGCGAGTCACCCGGCTGATCCCGCCCTCAAACCACCAGTATGGCCTCACGCGGATGGCTCTACATCCAGGCCGTCGTGTGGCGGTTCCTCATGCGCATTGGTATGCTGCTACATTACATCGCACCACCGCGTCCTCCGCGACCTTCCTTCACCCGCACCGTACGATCCGACATCCACGGCCACTCCATCGTCATTCACTTCTATTGTCCTCGTGACTATCGACAGCGACTACGGGAAGGATACCGGTTCCCCGTGGCCGTTAATTTCCATGGCGGAGGATTCACGCTCGGAAGTGCGACCGACGATGCCCGCTGGGCTGCGGCCGTTGTCGAGCACGTCGATGCGGTGGTTGCCAGCGTCGGTTATCGGAAGGCACCGGAGCATCCCTTCCCAGTCGCGGTCGATGATTGCGTAGAGGCACTGTTGTACTTAGCATCACACGCGGGTGATCTCGCCCTCGATGTCAGCCGTGTGGCTTTGAGTGGATTCTCGGCGGGTGGCAATCTTGCCGTGACCGTGCCGTTGCGCTTGCAAGGCAGGGTATTGACGAAGATCAACGAAAACCTAGGCCGGACTGAGTCAACGCAGCGACTGGTGGACCAGACGAGTGATCTCAATATAGTCGCATTGTTCTGTTGGTATCCGATCCTCGATTTCCTGGAATCGCGGGACCACCGGCGGGCTATGAGTATCATGCCGAATAAAACCTTGCCCAAATTCTTCACGAATCTTTTCGACGAGGCCTATCTGCCTGACATCGCCGACCGGTCCTCGCCTTTTGCCTCGCCTGTTCGCGCTTCCGATCGCTTGCTGAGCGAGGGGCTGCCTCAGGACGTTTTCTTGTATATCTGTGAATGGGATATGTTGATGAAAGAAGGTCAGACTTTCGTTCGTCGACTAGAGGGCCTTGGAAAACGTGTGCGAGCGATGATGATCGAAAAAGCTAAACATGCTTGGGACAAGTCCGCCAACCCGTTCCGCGACCAGTACAGTGTGGACATTCTCTACAAGGACGCCTGCGCCGACATGAAAGCTATCTTCGACCGGTGATTTGCTTTTCTTGTATATGTCATTAGCCTGCATGTTCTTGTTATCTCGGGTAAGCACCGCGATGGATCTGGTGTAGCGTTTCAATTACGAAGGCATAGATGGACCGGCGTTTCTGGAGAGATTCATTATCTGTTATGTTCGATGCATAAGTAGCTTTCCAATCCATTTGAGACTAGTACTTGAACTTATAGTGGCGTCTATTCTAAATCACCCGTGGAATCAGATTCTCAGCCGCAACCATCCGATTCGCACTACGTTCAAACCCATCTCCGCGATGTGGTCTCCGTGCTACTCGCACCACGTGCGTACTGCCTGTACTGTATCACCTCGAGATTATCTTACCTGTGATACCCGCATGGAACGACGTCTGTAAAAAAAAAATTCTCCGGCGCGCAGAGCCGACTAGACTTGCCACGGTGATTGGTGGGTCGTCGGCCCAGAAATAATAAGCACCTGCAGATCTACATGACATTGCAAATCCTCACGCGCAATGGAATGCAAGAACAGGGTAGTCTCGTATCTCTGTGATGTCATAAAAGCTCGAAAAAGAACCCTGACGCAATATCTTTCATGTTCCTGGGACTGACAGTCGGGAACGTTGACAAATGCCAAGAAAGCAAATCGAGGCATGTCCGGAACCGGCAGTTCGTCAATATTGCCACAATTTCGGCATTCCCGAGAGCTACCAAAAACGAATCTGATTTCTGATATCGACGTGGAATCCATACTGCAATGATAGCCGCGTGAGATGGGCTGTCGAGTGGATGTCCATGCCTGATCATTCCCGAGGTCCCGAGGTCTGAATTATTAGTATTAATAAACATCTCGGTTTTGCTAGACCCCTACCTAGGTAGTATAGCTACAAGAGCACACTTACTCCCTAGGTAGTCATACTCAGAATCGCGACAGACAAGTACGGGCAGGCTCAAGGCCCCCCTAACTTATTGCAGTAGACTCTCACGAACACAGAAGGAACTCGCCCGCGGGCTTTCATTAGAAAACCCATGCGAAGTGCTAGTAACAACAAATTATGGAACTCCAACAACTACATGGAAAGAAGGCACATTGACACGCGATAAGCAGAACATAGCAAAGGAATCGGACAAGCATAAACACTGCGACAAAAGAAGACTTGCGAAGCCCTACTAGGCAGCGCGTGGGGTCTGTCAGCTCCCAATGCACTAATAAGTAGGAACCTTGAATGCAAACGTCAATATACTGTGGTTCAACGCCGCCCACGGGGCTTCACTCCCGCTGGTGGGCCGCGTGGCGGTGGTCGTTGCTCTGAGCGTTCCACCTGATACTTGTATTCTTGTTCCCACTGGCGCAACTTGCCGTCGATAGCCCCGACATCATCAGCGTACCCCTGAGCCGACGAACGATGACCTTTGTCCTGTTTCGCATGATGTCCAATCGCTTCAAGAGATTCATAAGCCTGCGGGTACTTCTGGACGAAGCCTGCACGACCTGACCAGCCCCTAAAGATTGTTAATTCGTCGATCGACAATAGAAGAGTAGGGAAAAGATTTTCATACAAATTTGCCATGACGCGGGCATCCTGTGCAGAATTTCGCCCCTCTCGAAGGGACTCACGAACAGCTTCGGTGGGTTCATGCTTTCTGCCGACCAGAGTATCTCTGCCCTTTCTTCCCAGGGCTCCCAGGGCGCCATGATCATCTGAAAAGTCATGGTAGGACTCCCGTTCGGCTTGGAGACGACGTGGCCAAGGCATGGGGCGCTTCTCGTAAGGAACGGGGTATTCCGGAGCTTTCATTTTCTCTCGTTCAATGGAATGGGATCGTCCTTGATATTCAGGGCCGGGGACCACTGGACGCGTCGTTTGATAAGGATCCCAAACTTTTGTCGAGCCCCGGTCATTCCAAATCTGCTCCTGGGCTGCTGCTCTCTCAAAATGAGGACCGTGATACGTTTGTGGTGGATTCCGAGCGTAGGCACGCTCGGCCGCTGAGAGCTCAAGTCTACCAGTCCTCCCGTCAGGATTAGAGGACGAGAGATATTCGCCAGGAGGATAAGAGCGTCCCGTGGTATGTCTGTTTGCTGCAGCAATGTCCTGTCTGCTTGGCCATATGGAGCCCGAAGATGTCTGGTCGGACTGACGCTGTGAACTTGAGACTTTCACACGACGAAAAGGCATGACTGGTAATAGTAGAGATCTTCAAGTTCTGGTAGTAGACTTTAGGGAATGACGATGCAAATAGTAAGAATATACAATAGATACAGCTTCAACTCATGGGATTAACAGGGTTGTTATATAGCACTCTCACGTCCAAAGCTAAGCGCTCCGAATTGCAGCGACTACCTAGTATGTACAGGTTTCTAGTAGGCATTGCAGGTTTGAAACGATGGTTGTATCAAGTACGAGTCGTGCAAGCCTCCAGCCGCGTTGCTATGACCGGGGTGTCCCTCTATTTCCGTAGTTCATATCGCATCCGAGAGGTTAACAGTGATGTTAAGCTGCACTAGTCACTTTAGTAGTATATTAGTATAGAGATGGAATTCAACCTCGGCGGGTATAGTACTATAATCAGATTACGCCGTTACGGATCTATAGACGAGCCGCCGTGCTATTATCGGGATAATTTTTAGTTTAACATTATCTCGATCATACTGCCGGGGCCGCGAAGCCAGCGCTAATATAAGCATATATGGAAAGGGAGTTCAACCTTGGCGGGTAGTAGGGAAGGAAAACCCACCCTGTGACCAATCGGCTCAACATGACTAGGCTTGGGCTAGCCGCCGGGCTGAGGGGCAGCACCAGCTCAAGCTTCCCATTAGCCACAACTCTGCCGATCTGTCTCCTTTAAATTTCCTGAGTTGTTTCAAACTTGGCGCTGGACTGGGGCTCTGGGGCCCTGGAGACTGTTAGTTAAGCGCCTTATGTAAGGCCTTCGAGGGTAACTAGGTCCTAGGTGCCCGGCTTCAAGCCTCACTTATTATCACTTTGCCAAACCTCATTTTCACCCACCAACATAACAGCCTACCACGCTCATCAACCAAAAATGGTAAGCAGAGAGAACTACATATCCTTCAGGCTGTAGAGCTGACACTTTACGAAGGCTGAACCCAGTCTTGAGGGTCTTCCCATTGAGCTCAAGATCCAGGTACTGTGGCAAGTGTCGACTGTTCACGATCTCAAATCACTCGTGTTGGCATCGCCCGGTTTCCATCGCTCGTATCTTCTCGAGAGACGCGAACTACTTGAATTCCATGTACAGCAGCAGTATAGCAAAGACCTCGACTTAGCAGAGGCTCTTACTGCCGTCCGGTCGAGAGGCAATCGGTTCTATGACAGACAAGAAAGCGCAATCGCGTTACTGGATCTCTGGCGCCGCAGAGATGAGTTCCGGGAGCTTGGACTCTCATCGTCCAGACGAATGGATAAAGCTGAAAGCTTGGAAGAGGTGATAGAGCTGCTTCATCTCCATAAAAAGCTCTCATTCTTCGTCAATGATTATGCAATAAACACACCCAAGCCTCCCAAGGTGTCTCCCGCTGAATGGAAAAACGAGTACCTCCCTCTCAAACTGTCGAGTACTGAAAGGGGAAGAATTCTGAGAGCCTTGTGTCGCCTTCAAATTCTGAAGAATATCTTCGGGAAATCAGTCCTCTGCGAAGATTGGCTGCATTGTTCATGTGGAAAGTTCGACCAAATAAATTGGACTTTTGGACAGACAACGGAATCTAAAACCAGTTTGCCCTACCCTGAAAGCAAAGAACTTGAAAGATTTGCATTTCGATTGTTTTATGGCGCTATGCCTCCTTGGGAATCCGAGGAAATGTGCTGTGTGAACAACTATCTCATGAAAAAGGTCAAGGTTGTGGCCGAGGAAGTGGTACATGACATACGACAGCTCTTGAAAAATACCCCAACCAAATATTTCTGGGAAATTCTGCCTATAGAGGAACGGCCTCCGTTCAATGGCTCGTTTGAATATGAGACTAATCTCAATCACGTGTTCAACCATTTCGAAGGAATAGCAGGACTAGGCCCAGAGTTCCTATACCGTCTCTTGAAAATGGACCGCCGGAGCAGGCGTAATGTTTTCGTTCTCCAAGTCAGACCCTTTTATGGGAATTCGCCTTTCCTTGGCCTAAACACCCGCGACATGGTATGGGACGATACATTTCCGCTTGTCCAACCGGCAACCAGACATGACTACCCAGGCTTTGAACAGCTCTGGCCTACCTTACCGCCAATAGAGCAGCCCTCGGCTGGTTGGAGGAAGGCGTGGGTCTTGCCAAGTTACGACGAAGAGGGTTATCTTGAGGATGCTCTGAATTATGAATATGCTAGCAAGGCTTCCAAGGGTGGCATTGGGGTTACGCTCTTTGGGATGAAGAGCGCTTGAGAGATTGGATAGGGCCGCAGTTAGTTGAATTCGATGAGTGAAGAAAGAGGGGCGGCCTGACCGTGTAATTCCTATGCCCTGATGTTGAGTTGTAGCGAGCTTGACGTACGAATGCCGATGTATTTGAAAATTAAGGAAATAGTACTCACTAGAACTTGCCACTCCCCATGGTAGAGCCAAAAGGGACTTAGATGTCCTAGGCTGAACAACAGACCGAGATATTTCCATTAAAATGTCCCATCTAGCTGGTCTACTGGCGGTTGTGCTGTACTGAATTTTCTGCGGTTGGTCGCCTAAGGCTAGGTATCCGCAAATGTGAGGACGATACATCAATGAGAGTGCAGAGCACTATGAGTACAAACCCAAGGACTTGAGCTTCAAGGGCGCCAGGATCGAATGTATCAAATTGATCATTTCTTTTTCCCAGTTTCATACCAGTGCTTTAAGGAACAAATTTCCAATTGAAGTCCATCAAGTCCGAAACCCCTCCAAATACGCCGCGGCCAACTTGAACTTGGAGCCAATCCCAAAGTTTCATTGAGCTCAGATAAGAAGATACTCTCATACTACTGGCAGTATGAGACCGTCCTAGGGCCATAACAGCCAAATATACTACTAGTAGTCTAAAATATTTTTCTCGTCCTTCTGAGTCCCGGTTCACAGTATTAGCGCGAGCCGTCATTCCCGACTACTATAGACATAGACTTGGGCGGCAATCCCTGATGGACTTTGATTAGCCTTGGAGATCATTCCCTTCCAAGTTCAACTTGTCCGCGTACTGCTAGGCAGAGCCTAGTTTAGGCTAACTTGAATGCTAGTACCCGGTTGGCGTTATCTACACAGCGCCCTAAAGTTGATTCAAACCTTGGGAGTGATCCTAAGCAGTGGCTGTCCTTGAGTAGTTACGGAGTGGTCCTGTGGCTCTAGGCAGCAACTGGAACTAAAACACGAGCCCACTAGATATAACTTTGGAAGCATTCCAAGCTTACTGATAAGGAACCTGAAATATTTCAAAAAAGCTTTCCCATTTTTTTCTTGCCATGATAGCCGTTATGGCAATATCAGTAATGTCTAGGCCATAAAGATAGTAGAGATCATCATAGAACTCCATGCATGGGGCAGGATATCATCAAGTATCACACACGATACTGTAAGCTTTGGCAAGTCAAGGAAAAACATAACACCGTGTGTAAATGCCAGACGCCACGCTGAAAAGGCCGAAAATAGAGCAAAGTAAATCATCACCAAGAGGGGTGCAACGTAAAAAGGACAAGAGGTGTTTCGTTTACTCCTCGTCCGTGGCAGTAGCCTCCTCGTCATCATCTTCATCGTCATCATCCTCGTCATCAACCCCACTGTCATCATCGTCATCGTCGTCGTTGTTAAGGCCTGGGATGCCACGCCATTCCACATAGTCACCCTCCAGCCAGCGTCGGCTGCGAGGAAGCTGGTATGGGTCAAAGGGGAAGTAGGCGTCGAGCTGGTAGCCCAGGTGGTCACCAGCGCGAACCTCACGCTCAACCTGGGCGTAGTTTGGGTTGCCAAAGGAAGAAAGGCTACGGAAGGTAGAGATGCGCAAGCGCTTATTAGTTTCGATGATGGTATAAGCGTAGAGGAGGTTGAAGTGGTGTGAGATGCGAGCAAACTCGGTGACAATACCCGGAGTGCAGATCTTGAGCGGGTTCAGCTTTGACTTGATCGCGCCGAGCATGGAATCCTTGATGTGTGGGGGGAATGACACCTGCTCGGGGGCGAGGTCGTCGATTTGGTCCATAGTGTCACCTTCGATAGCTGCGACTGTCAGGTCACGCCAGCGGAAACAGAAGATGTACAACAAAGCTTGAGAGACGGCGTAGAAAGGGCCATAGCGACGAAGGTCTGGGCCGCGGCAGCTAGCCTCATAGTCCGCTCGGGATCGGTCAAGACATGCAAGCAGCATGTCGAAGACACTGCGGACAGTTTCGCCGGGAATGTGGGCTCCACGAGCGACAAAGCTTGCGAGGTATGCGGCTGCGGATTGGCGCATGATGCTCGACTGCAGCTTGCTTTGGATGATCTTCATACACTCTTCGACGAACAAGTCGATCAACTTAGGAGAAAATTGGGAGAAGTGGAAAAGAAGGAACTGAGGGTGGCGAGAACGATAGGTAGGAAGGATGATGGCACGGAAATGACTAAGGAGCAGTAACAAAGTGTTTTCCTTGTCGACGAGGCTGCCAGTTTCGAAAGGGTGCGAGTAGAACTCGAAGAGAATATCAAGCATCCCATCGACCTTGTGGATGTTCTCTTTGATTCCTTGTACGCGCAGTTCCTCGTCGTCCTCATCGTCGCTTATGTCAGAGTCATCGTCGGCTTCTTCATCTGCATCAAGTGGAGCCTGATTTAGAAGGGTTTCCCCAAACTCATCTTCGAAGTCCTCAAGATCAACTTGAATCTGAACATCGATCTTAACCAGCTTATCGGTGATCAAAGCAAGAATCTCTGACTGCAACTCTGGGGCGTAGCTGATGATTTTGATCAAGTTGCGAGTGTAGGCAACATAGGACTTGGCGGACTCGGTCTCGTAGGGAAAATTTTGTGAAAGCACAGGAGACAGGCTGCCGCTTCCTGCGGGGACTTTCCCAATGATATGACGCACAGCCATGTGAGCACGAGCATAGTACTCAGAAGCCGGGACAGGGGGGTATCCGGGTAGATTTGCTGACCCTCGTGGGATTCCAGCAAGGTTGGTAGACAGCATCCTGAAGATTGCCCCCATGTAAGTACCCTGGGCAGCAGCTAGGGTACCAAGGAAGCGGGTGAAGTCTTTGACATAAGCCTCATCACGTCCCAACCATTCGCTGCCGATGACTGCGTGGACCAGACTGCTGCAGTTGCGGTCTAGGAAAGCCACTTGGGAGTGTAGGGCCCGGAGATGGTATTTGAGTGTGGTGGGATCGGGGACATCGTAGGAGTAGAGGGAGTTATCAGCTTTCTTGGGGTCGGCGGTAAAGACTTCCTTGAGCTGGTCGTAGAGCTCGCTCCCGCTTGAGGTGGCGTTAGGGTCACGATGACGGTAGATGGCCCGACGCACATTCTCCTGAATAATACCCATGGCCTTGTCCGGAGTATTCTTGGGGGCGTCGTTGGCAGAGACCTCGCGGGTTTGGATGGTCTGATTGAATGTGACGCGGGGGCGCTTCTTGGCTGGATCTTCCGGGAACTCATCATTGCCGGGGAGGAAGGGGGTAGAGACATGCTGATATCGTCCATCTTCCTTTTGGTGCCGTGGGTAGCGAGCCCAAGTTTGTCCGGGTTGATCCGTGTCTTGAGAATGGAAACTGGGGCCTTGCGTTCTGGTGAAGAACTTTGGTGTTGCATTTTTTGGTGCGAGGGGTAAGATGGGAGCGGCTCAGGTTGAGGGCTTGAGACTGCAAGCATAGTCGAAACCATAGCCGGGTGAGCTTTAAGGAGTGCGCGAACCGAGGAAAGAAACTTGTGGGTGAGGAAAGGTCGACATTTAAGAGCACTTTTGCAGGTGAGAGGCTCTCGAGTGAATGTTTTCGACGCACACGACCCTTTCGCAGGGCAGTTAATGTAGAAAAACGTGAAACTACAGAGGGAATGAAAAACTATTTGTGCATCGGCACCCCTCTAGATGAAGGTAATCGACGGTTAAAATTGACAAGAACGCGACTTTGGGCGCGTGAAGCCTGGAGTATTCGGTGTAGAGAAAAAAAAATCGCAGTTGATATTGTGGGGCTGTGGAGGCCCGTGACTTTCCCACTAGGCTTCTTTGGGTTATATGGAACTGCTTTCCGGCCTGAGGCGTCAACCGAGTGGCGCTTCCTACTAATCGCCTAGCTGTGCAGAGAATTCAGATGATGCCCCATTTATCACTCTAAATGAGTCATTTCGTATGATAAATAGCGTTTCTGAAATATTTGGACTATTTTCCTGATTTGATCTCTGGGATTTAGATGTTAGGATGCTGGGGCAATAGAATCCTTCAAATAATTTATTCATCTAGAACGAATTCCACAAAAGTGCGAACAATTTAATCTGAGAAGTAATTCCAAAAAAGAGTTGCGTAAGATCAGGCAGAATGTAAAGGTCGAGCTTAGCACGAAGGCTCCTCCCATGGTATATTGCATATCAGTCAAAGTCAGAAATAAGGGTCGTAAGTGAGAGTATAAGAGTTGGTCATAGCAGGCGTTGCAAAGGATACCCAGTCCTAAGGAAACACCACAGGGTCCACCTGGGCAATTGATTAACCGCGGCTCAGCCGGGTTCGATATATATCAAGTTGCGGCAACCATCTAAAGCCACGGGCCAGCACTGATGGACCCGATTTTATCTTCAAAGATATTGCCGTACAGTTCTTCGATCTCGCAGAGGTAATCATCCACGGTGAACTTCTTCAGTCCCTTGCTGAGAAGCTGCATCTCCTCCTCGTCCACAATGGTGGGTACTCTGTGGGGTACGTGGGCGATGCCAAACTCCTCAGCCACCTCGTTCACCTGCGCCAGCTCCTTGCTAAACGGGTGTGCCTCGGGCTGGAAGATCTCCTGCGACGAGCGGATTGCGGGTACGCTGCGGGGCGAATGGAGAGGTGGGGGCGACATGCGGGACTGCGAACGCCTCTGCGCAAGGTCCTGGTGGGATCGTTTAGTGTGGGAGAGAGCCCGCTTGGGAACGATGGGGATCTCATTAGACGAAGCAGAGTTCGTTGAAGAGCGCGGTGGGCTAGTCATCATTGGGACGTGCTTGGGGAAGTAGTGGGCGTCCACCGGGAAAGCGTCGTGGGGCGATGAATCTGGGGTTGTAATCGAAGAGGCATAGCTCTGGGGAGAGATAGCAACGTCCGAATCTCCTCGCGACCGTAAAGACGAAGCAGATGATGAATTCGGAGAGCCCAGATCCAGATCAGGTGCGTCGTAGACTAGCGCGTTCGTGCTGGAGATCAGCTGGACGGGACCGGAGATGTTGCCACGCTTTATGCTGCCCGAGTTGAACCGTGTGTGACTTTTGATTTTCTCGTCCCCACGGAATGGCATGGGCGCTGAAACTTCCGGTCGCTTCGACCGTTTCGTGAAAGCGCGCGTGAGAGTCGACATGGTTGCAGTAGGGCTGACTGGGCAGATATAGACAAAGACTGAGTTTCAATATATCGAGGACGAATGTTTCGTGACCGTTGCCGGTAGGCACAGCCTTTTCTTTTGGCCTTGAGTTGATTCAATCGCTGATTTGACAGATGCGACGAATGCAATGGGGGAGAATGTCGCGTGGTACAGCCGATCGCGGGTGCGGAGGCGAGGAATGTGTAGATCGCCCGGTTTGAAGACAGGAGCGATATCGTCTGTGGCTTCCACAGACGTCTGGAAGAGTGGCGAGGCCGAACAGATTTTGCGCAGCAAAATGAGAACAGAGGCTCTTTTTGTTCCCTGGTGTCTAGGGGGCGGAATGGGCGTTCAACCAGGACGCACCAAAGGGGCCGAAATGTGGAAAGCAAGATAGTGTATAGTTGAGTAAAAAAGGGAGTCCAGGATCACCGATCACAGTACCTAAGACTCAGTAGAAGCGAACAATAAAGGAAAGAATGAAGGTACCCCTTCTAAAAGGAAGAATGAAGGACGCCAGAGAAGGTGAAGAAAGAGAAGGGGGGGAGGCGAGTCCCTTACGGGGAAATTCTGGACTCCGGCGCAGAACCGCGGGCGCTTAGGTGGTCCAGTTCGTCTGGGCTGATTGTTTGACTGGCCCCAGTCCGTGTTGCACTTTTGGTTGCGACCCCACCGAGTCCCATGGGTGTTGGTTTAGGGTCTAATTTTCGCCCTGTGGCAAACCTCAGGTTCTGAATTCTGATCTTCTATTGATAGGGAACTCGCCCCCGGTTACAGCTGCATTATATGACCATGATGCCTCTTTGAATCATGAGGTTCGCTTTATTCTCCAGCCCGTGTAATCTCTAGACCCCGGAGAGCAGGTCCGTGCTGGGGAGTATCCCGTTTCATATGACTGCAAACCCTTTTAGGGCTACGACTTGGAGTACTTGGAGTCCCCGCTGCCCAAGTATGAATGTGTGTTCGTACCTGGATACCCAGCCACGTCTCGTTTGTGCTGTCCCTGCATGAACTACGCCAGGTCACTTTTTGCAGACTCGTTGTCCTCTTCCCATGTCACACGGCTTGCGAAAACTGCGAGGAGCGGGTGCTTGTCAAAGGCTAGACGGTGGTGAAACGCCCGGGATCGAGCGGGGGCTATTCCACCACCAACCACAATCCGCCCTTCGATCCCAAATTGAAGTCCGAGCCCGCCCCGATCGACAGGTCCCCCAGCACAGGCCAATCATTCTCCGATAACCAATGCGACTGGGGATCCAGGTGCAACGGGAGGGATGCAGAAATCCTAACACTGGACTGGTGTGGATACCAAACCGCGAGTTCAAACTGGAGGTTCGCCACCGCCCCAACGTGGAAGTACGGGTGGGGCCCAAGTTAAAATCGCCCAAACGTGGGCCTAAGCTTGTTATCTTGAAAACCTCCTGATAAGTGGACCCTCTCGATAAGATTGATCGTGGGGAGTTCACAGACATTTCTACGAGGATAGCTGCGCTCTTGAGATTTAGGAGTGCGCATAGGTCATACATTAAAACATATTTCGAGTTTTACGTACGCACACAGTAACACGGTCCTATCCGAGATGCCTCATATTCGACAAGCTCAAAACCCCGGTCGGGGGATTTTAGAGTGTTGCAGGTATAGTACCTGATACAACCCGGCGTTGCAATATCTGTTCCATCGCTAAAAGTATAAAGTACTACTCCTGGACAGTTCCTCCGCCCGCGTAGATTGCCTGGTGACATCAGACTCATGACCAAATTGATCCGCTGCCAAAACCCCATGAGCTTCTATGCGGGACGAGGTGGGCCCGGGCATCACGACTGACTCCCGAGGATGCATCGACGACTCCATCTCCGTCCTAGAAGTCCCAATGTAGCTCGAATTGAGACCTATCCTAAAGGGTTCTCTCCGGACCGATGGAATGTACCCCGATGCCACCACGTCACCAAGAGTACTATGGAGCGGGCCAGGGCCTGCGTTTGTGCTAGAACTGTTGGTGTTTGGGGTCTCCGCAGAGATCTGCTCCAGGCTAAAATGATCAGATACAGCGATTTGCCAACGCTCCATATCGGACCAATTACGCAAGGGAAGACGAGACCATTCATTCATACGCGCTGACTTTGCCGCCGAGTCCTGCTTGGCGGAGGCTTGGATCACACTTGTAGGTTGCATCTCGCGCAGGGTCACAAGGGCACCATAAAGGGCGGCTTCCGTCTCGGCGAGTCGTCGCTCCAGTTGGTTAAGATAACCAAGAGGCAGCCCTCTGTACTCGTTAGAACAGACATTATTAGTATACTTTGAGGCGAGGCTTCGGACCTTTTACCCACTTCTGGATAGACACATCTGGACGGTCCGCTAGAGCACTGAGAGCAGTGTGGTCTGCGCGTGAGGTTGGATCAGATGAGTCAACGGTCGGGATGGTTTCATATTCCAAAGCCACATCCAGGTAAATGGAGGCCAACGTACAGCCTACGGTCACATCTGCACTTCTTCTGCCTACACGATTCGCAAGATATACTTGATTCGTGGGGGATGGAACGGGTATCTTCGCCTGTCAAACACAGAACACATCAGCTGATTCGCTCTTGAATTTACTGGACGGTCTGTCAATACTTGGCATATTGAAGCGGAAAGTGCGTATTGTAGATGGGGTGATGACCGCGCGGTATGGAAGCGGAAGATAAAAATGCCGCCGGACAAAGAAACCTCCGATACAATAGCCACGTGATCTACACGACAGCTCCGCCAAGTGTTAAGCCGAAATTGAATTTCACAATGCAATCATGATGGACCATAAGTTTTGGCCGGAAATGTAAAGCGGTAATCAGATGGCATCACCGGCCTCCAGTAACACACAATGCGAAGACCATGATCCGGATTGGCATTACGGCTCAGGTCACAAGCGACGCAAACGGGCCTCGACGGCCAGTACTTCAGGACCCTCTCCTCGGGAGGTTGGATTTATGAGAGAGCCTCAAAATGATGGATCGGCAAGCTTTCTAGGAAGCTCCAGTGGGATCCATTTCATCCGTCATGTCTACAGTATTTTTGCCCGCCGGTCGGCAGATTTGCAACAGAGTCGAGCTCGGGATAGAAGCTCTGTACCTGGAGAAGATGATCGGCTCCAGCAAGGGCCCATAGATCGACGCGATAGAGGTGACCTATGGACCCAAGATGAATTGATCTTGTCATCTACTGTCTCTTTTGCATTTGATGACCTTGTATTGTGGACCCGCCGCTACTTCGAAAATTGGCATCCGCTATTCCCGTGTTTACACGCCCCGTCAATCCTCAAAACAATGGAGACATTGAGCGCGAAAGGTCTCAGCTCCATCAGTCGTACTGAATTGATCATCATAAGATCTCTCATCTCAATATCCCTCGCGGATAGTCGGCAATCAGCTTTGGGTGCTAAGATTGGGCCGATCCCGACGGCTTTGGTATTTCAAACTGTCCCACAGATTATGCAAGACCTCCAGGGTTTGCTGGCAGAACCAACGACAATCCCACTGCTACAGGCTGCTTTCATTGTGCAGCTTACTTTGACATCGATATTACGGCTCAACGCTGCCTCGCGTGTTGGGGGAATAATTACCCGAACCGCATTTCATCTCGGGCTACATCGATGTCCTGGCCGATTCGCATGCTTTAGTCGTGATGAAGCTGATATGCGCAGACGTTTATTCTGGTCTATCTACTGTCTCGAAAGATATCTGTCCCAAGCCCTTGGAATACCTTTGAGTATCCGTGACGACGATATCGACGTTTGCTACCCCGACGATGAAAGGCATACGACCCCGAATGCCCTTCCTTACGACCATCGCCTCGGTTTACTTTCTCACCTTGCCAGATTCTCTCGAATTCGAGGTTTGATCCTAGAGCTGCGTAATAAATCTATTCTGCATAGCCGTGCCAGCACGGTGGAGGCATTCAAGGTCAACGGAGAGCTTTCCCAGTGGTGGAATGAAGTCTACGACGCCGTCAACCCTATAGAAGATGATGATCCTCGTACAGGAGGAAATGCCGCTGCTTGCTTGGAACCCTACCACCGACTTCTACTCACGATATTGAGACATGAAGCAATAATCTCCATGAATCGTCCTCTGCTTGCGGCCGAAAAGCCGAATCCTGAGTTTAAAAGCGCTCTGCAGACATGTATTTCTTCATCACGATGCTTGCTTGCTGCATTCAAGAAGTATATGTCTTCCTCACAAGATGCGCCCCTCACATGGCCATCGTTTACATGGACCACATGGATGGCATGTCTGATTTTGATGTATGCTTCTTGGGAAGGTGAATTGCCCGTAAGTACAGCATTGAAATACTCTCGGATGGGTATTTCTGTTTTGGGAAACCTTGCTTTGAGAGGAAGCAGCTGGCCAGAAACATGTATTGAGGCGATTAAGGGTATGGAATCGGCTTTGCTATCCAATGCACCTGCCGTACAGCAGATGAACCTGCCGAGCACTAGTACCTTAGGTGATACAGACTCGCAGCGACTTCCAACACAAAGCCAAACCATCTCCCCCAGAGAGTCAAGACATCCATTGGCGTGGGCCGGAAACCAGGTCTGGAGCCCAACCGCTTCCCCGGAAAACCGCAGAAACCTGCTTCAGAATCCGCCGATTCCCTCATTTGTCTCTCGAAACGAAGGCTCTGGCGATGATACCGCCCGCAAAGGTAACACTGGATCTGGTGACCGAATTTTCGTCTCGCAGCAAGACCAGGTTCCTGATGTCGATTCCTATGGGGCCCCTCTTCATGGGCACACTTCTGAGGGCCTCATCTTTGGGAACGCTGCAATCTCAAATCCTAATTTCTACATAGGCAGCGCCGGCCAGGAGTATGTGCCCTTCTCGGATCCGTCGCTTTTCATGAATGATTTCGGGAGTATAGCAGATGGGCCCTGGATCATTGACGGGAATCTATTGTAAGCCCTCCACATATAGATACAATAGTGCATACTTTAGGGGAGGAAAAGAACATTGAAATAAGGCATACCGGCCTATACTCTTGCTCAATCTATGTAATGAGTTATATTCTACAACTGGACTTTGTGCAAACCCCATACACAGTCCCCACCCGGACAAAGACACCTCCGACCCCCACAATCAATGCTTTTCATTGGCCCCGCGAGCAAGAGATGAGGGGTGTCCATAGTGAGTCTCCATCGACGATTCGGAGAAGCAGTGAAAATCCAAGGATTTAAAAAGTTTCTCACTTCCCGCATCACCTCTCTCTAATGAACTGAAACTTCACAAAAATCATTGTATATTTCCAAAATGTCGCCCTCCGTCGCTGGGCAAAAGACCTATAGCATTGCCTCCATCCCCGCGGACGGTATTGGGCCCGAGGTTATCGAGGCCGGCATTGTCGCATTGAATGCTTTGACAGAGACTCTGCAGACTTTCAAGCTCGAGTTCAAGAACTACGATTGGAGCTCTGAGACCTACAAGCAGACTGGAAAATACATTCCCGATGGCGGCTTAGATGAGCTGAAGAAGCACGACGCGATCTTCTTCGGCGCCGTTGGTGCACCCGGTCAGTAAAGAACCGCGTCTCTCATACGAAGTCGAAGCACGTGCTAATACGTGTTTTAGACGTCCCTGACCATATCTCTCTCTGGGGTCTCCGCCTGGCCATCTGCCAGCCCTTCCAGCAGTACGCCAACGTGCGGCCCACCAGAGTATTCCGTGGCACAGAGTCGCCGCTGCGCAACTGCAGCAACGGCGAACTCGACTGGGTGATCGTGCGTGAGAACAGCGAAGGCGAGTACGCCGGCCAGGGCGGCCGCTCCCACGTCGGCAAGCCCTGGGAAGTTGCCACGGACGTCTCCATTTTCTCGCGCCATGGCGTTGAGCGCATTATGCGGTTCGCTTTCGAGCTTGCGCAGAAGCGGCCCCGGAAGCTTTTGACTGTTGTGACTAAGAGCAATGCTCAGCGGAACGGCATGGTTCTGTGGGATGAGGTTGCTAAGGCTGTTGCGGTTGATTTCCCGGATGTGACTGTGGATAAGATGCTGGTCGATGCTATGACTACTCGGATGGTGCTGAAGCCTGAGAGCATTGATACCATTGTTGCTTCTAACTTGGTACGTTTCAGGGTGTGTTTTGGGGAAGTGACAAAGACCTGACAGTCCTTTAGCACGCTGATATTCTCTCGGACCTTGCCGCCGCTCTTGCCGGCTCTATTGGCATTGCTCCTACGTCCAACCTGGACCCCACCCGCGAGCACCCCAGTATGTTCGAGCCTATTCATGGCTCTGCATTTGACATTACTGGCAAAGGCGTTGCCAACCCAGTGGCGACCTTCTGGACTGCTGCGGAAATGCTGGCCTGGCTAGGCGAGGAGGAAGCAGCTAAGAAGCTTTTGGACTGCGTGGAGAATGTCTGCGAACAAGGCGTTCTTACTGCTGACCTTGGCGGCCAAGCTACAACCAAGCAAGTGACTGACGCCGTTGTGGCGGAGATCAAAAAACTTGGATCAAAATAAGCCCTATGACATTTGGGACCAAGACCGCTCGGGTCAATGCTAGATAGAAATCAATTGTGACCCTGTATATTGAGAATGATATCATCGGAGGATCCTCTTATTAGTTAGTAAAATTATAGTTCTTCGACAGCCTCCAGTTGCTCGGTAGTTGAATTGGCGAAATCGGAATCGAAGCCAAACCCTCCTGGCGACTCGGCCCATCATGCATGTTGGGGTACCGAGCTGCATTCCGTAAAACGTAGCACATAAATAGCGCATTATACTGTAGTTTCCTAGGGATAACCAGGTTCCCGATCATTTCTATCCCGATAATGCCTCATAGTGTATGAGACGTGGGGGTGTTGACAGAATGACAGTTCTTCCGATGTTCGGTAGTTCCCATCCGACGTCAGGCCTGCCCCCTCGGACAAGACAAGCCAATTGGAGGCGAGAGTTTCAAATCTAGATCCAACTTCCCGTGCCCTGAGCCGGGGCTGCGTTTTGCGGACTGAATCCCTAGTCTGGTCGGCGCGAACATCTTCGTTGATTGGGCGGCTGGGAGACTCGGCTCCCCGTCCGCCCGAAAGCATTGCCGTCCGGGTGTCCCCAATGACGAAGAGGACGATGGGATATACGAGGCTCTCGGGAATGTTACGCTGGGTGCTATCTCCATTGGACCTGATGGCCGACATCATATCCGCGTCTCCACAGGATATGCCGGGGTCTGGGCAATCCCTGTTACCCAAGCGGCACTTCTTGATGGGAGCGGCGGAGATGTTATTTAATGTCTCGGGTTTCTAGTTGTATACTCACACCACTTTTCAGAAGTTAAAGAGATTGAACAATCACACCTCCTCAACTCTATTCCAGTGTCTCAAGCAGGATACGAAGCCAATGGCGCCCTCTCTTAACGACGTCCCTGTCAGCTCTACCGTTTCGCCTTCCCCGTGCAATGTTGCTATCAACGGCTTCGGGCGTATAGGTATGCAGCCTTGTTATTGATATAACACCATCATCTAATACTCTATGGGAAACTACTAGGCCGGAATGTCCTTCGTGCTGCTCTCGTCCGCTCCGATGTGCAAGTCATTGCCATCAACCATACATGCACCACAGTAGAGGACCTCATCTATCTCATCCGCTATGATTCTTCCATGGGCGATTTGGACGAGAGGATCGATATCCAGATTATCTCCGAGAACCGGATCGCAATCGACGGTAAACAAATCGCCCTCACCTCCGAAAGGGACCTGAAGAAGCTGAACTGGGCGGCATTGGGGGTTGAGTACATCCTCGAATGCACCGGAAAGTTCACCAAGAAAGACCTCGCGATGGACCATGTTACATACGGTGGAGCCAAGCGTGTTCTCATTTCTGCGCCCAGCTCAGATGCACCAACCTTTGTCTACGGCGTGAATTCAGATACCTATACATCGACCGAGGCTTGCCGGGTGGTTTCCAACGCGAGCTGCACCACGAACTGTATCGCCCCTGTTCTCAAGGTGCTTCATGAGACCTTTGGAGTCGCACAAGGCCTCATGACTACAATTCATGCTGCGACTCGATCCCAGCAGGTTCTGGATGGATACAGCAAGAAGAACCGTCGTCTAGGTAACCTACCCCGAAGAAACTAACAGCGGAAGTGTGGCTGATAATCACAGGCCGTGGAATATTCAACAACATCATCCCAACCACAACCGGTGCTGCGAAAGCAGTGGCAAGCGTACTGCCCGAACTCGCCGGCAAAGTCACTGGGGTTTCGATCCGAGTACCAACGTTCGTCTCCCGTACAAAACCGCTTATCCGGCAGCAAGCTAACTTCCACAGACCGAACGTCTCCATGATCGACTTGACTATCAGCACCGAGAAGCCGACATCCTTAGCAGAAGTACTCTCCGCGTTTCGTGTGGCGTCCAAGTCCCATATGGCCGGAGTCCTTCGAGTAACAGACGAGGAGCTTGTGAGCAGCGACTACAATGGCAGTTCGTACAGTGCAATCATCGACGCTCCCGCTTGTGTGGAGCTCAATCCACAGGTGAGTCTCTCAGAAGCCATTGTTTGGTGATGCGTGTGCTGATGGGCGCTAGTTCTTCAAAATCATGGCTTGGTATGACAATGAATGGGGCTATTCGAACCGACTTCTTGATTTGGCGACCTTAGTCCATGCCCAGGAGGCAGCTTGAAGACTTGCAGTTGCATTGAACGATAGATCAAAATTCGCACGTTAATTAATATAGATATGATAGTACATTTTACAGCCAGAATGGCTATTGGAAAAGAGATATTGAAAAAGACGGTCATCCCTCCTATTAGCCCCGGGAGAACAGCCCCGAAGTACAGCCCTATATTCCTGGATTTCGAATGAGTAGCCCATTCTGCGCCCTCAGAAATTCAGTCCGGTATTCTCGTTGGTGCTAGTGTATTTATCAAAGTTTCTCAGTATCGACCCGCATTGGATCACGGCCAGCTCAGCGACAGGGGAGGTGTCTCCAGTTCTTCCCGACCTGCTGAGCCAATAAGACAGACCAACTTGAACAAGCACTCTCTGGCGACAAGCTTATTTCAAGTTACCAAGCAGATAAGAAGCAAATAGAAACCCAAAGCACTTTGTTGTGGTAGAAGAAGATTGGCTCACTATGTGATCCGTCCGCCTCAACTTCCTGATTCGCGAGAAGAGGCGAAGCGGGGTGTCCTTTGCTTTTCATTCGAGTGGCTGCATGCAATCAGAGCCCATGAATACTGCGGATCGGCAGTCTCTCTGGGTAGACATACATACAGCCCCCGTTGGGGTTTCTTGCCTGTGCATGTTAACCTAAGCCCCCTGCGTGGCAGATATAGCTGGCGTAGGCAAGATCATCCAATTAGTCCAGGGGAAAATAAGGGATACATCTCTGTTTACGGTGATGATGGCGCGGTGCCTGACTGGCATTCGCAATGGCCGACAGTATGGACACGCACATCTCGATTCACTGGTTAAATTAGGGATTCTGAATCTTCTTCGCCATAACAAGTCTGCGAGTTCTACGAGCCACTAATTCATGAGCCGCAGTAACAACAATTAGGCATATCACAATCACACTCGTAACTCATCAAAATTTCAGTATCCAGCTTCATCAGGTTTTATGCTTCCGAATAGTCCATCCGGACGTCAAAATCCTTATCTCGACTTCTCACCTATTAGTCGATCCACAATCCTGATGCCTGGTGCCAGTCACGGCATAGCAACCGGGGGTTAGATATCAAGATGGTGAATTACGCAGTAGGAATATCTTGCTTCGGCCCAAGGTGACGGCTCTTGAAGCTATTAGTACCTGGACAGATCTTTCAATAAATGAGAAAATCGGTCTTCTTTCAAGAATTGAACAAAATCATGTGCAGCATTATCATCAGCTAGCCAGACATAAGAAATCTATTTTCGGTCATACGCGAGTATAGGCTCCGCGGGTATCTGTATTCCTCGACAATGATCACTCCTCATCCATCGACTCCCAGCCATCAGGACCACCAGCCTCACCTCCCTCACCACCCTCGTCATCAGACTCCTCCTCATCATCAATGTTGACACCGATGGTGCGCTCTTCCACGTCGCCCTCCAAGTCGGGCAAGCGGGAAGCAAACGTCCGGCGCACAGCGCCGTTGGTGGAAGAATCCCAGACCTGCACAGTGCCCTTGCTACCGGCCACGGCAATGCGGAAGCCCACCTCGGCATCAGGAGCAAAGTTGGTAGAGAAGACCTTGCCGACATCCAGCTTACGCGAAACGACCAAGCTAGGCTTGTCATTCTCGACGTTCCACAGCTTGACTTCCTTATCGGTGGACCCGGTAACCAAGAACCCGGGAATAGTTGCGTGGATATCAAACGAGGAGACGGAAGAATCGTGCGCCTGTAAGGTCCACACAGGCTTGGACTCGGCAGGAGAAGCAGGCACATGGCGGGCATCGTAGCGATAGACCATTCCGGCATCAGTCGTAACGTAAAAGAAGTTAGGGTCGTGGGGATCCCAGCGCACAGTCTCCACATCGGCATCGACGCCCCAACGCGCCAGGGAGTCGGGCGCACGCATGTCTGCTGCAACAACGGTGCGGTCGTAGCTACCGCTCAACAGAACGGTGGCCTCCTTAGGGTGCCAATCAAGCGAGCAGACCTTGTCGGTGTGATGGGAGTAGGACTTGGCGCAGGTGGCTGTGTTGAGATCCCAGAGCTTGACGGTACGGTCGGCCGAGGCGGAGGCGAGGAGGTTGCGGTGTTGTCGGTTGGCTGCGAGCGCAAGTACTGAGTCAATGTGATACTCATCGTTTGCCTTGGCCTTCTTCTTCTTTTGCTTCTTCGTGGACTCGTCATTCTGGCCTCCTTGGCCCAGGATGGCATTGGGGTACATCGAGTCGACAACATCCAGGTCCCAGATTTCAATGTCTGGCTCCATAGTTCCGATAGCAACAAAGTTGCCTTGTGTCTTCTCGGTGGTCTTGCCAACAGGGAGATCGAGCCATTCTAAGCATAGCGGGATTCCGGGCAGCATGATGTCGTGGTGCACATACAGATTGTCCGCCTTGTCTTCGTAAACGTAAACTTCAAGGTGGGCCACCTCATCCTCTACCTTTCCGGCCAAAAGCAAGTTATCGGTGGGCAGGATCTGGAGTTCTTCGCGCTCTTCGTCGTCCTCGTCCTCGGGCACGACAAGATACGGGTCCTCCTCGTTTGGCTGGTGATAGGCGAGTGACTGTACGTTCCCAAACATGGTGATCTTCTCGCCGTCTTCATCAACCTCTTCGCTGTCATAATGCTCCATATCGAATTCCTTAAGGATGTCATCCTCTTCCCTAAACGAGTTGTCAGCTTCGAATTCTTCCAATGCTAAGCCGAATGAAAACGAACTTTGTAGTCTTGGGTTCGGCGCCCTCTTTCGACGGCTTTTTCTCAGTATCCTCTTCCATAGCCTCATCCTTGTGGTCCTCCTCCATAGCATCTCCATCACCCTTAGCAGCATTAAGCTCGTCCCTCACAGCCTTAAGTCCGTCCCTAGCAGCATTAAGTTCGTCCCTAGCAGCACTAAGATCGTCCCTAGCACCTTCAAGCTGCATGCGAGCAAGCCTCGATATCCGGTTCATTTCCGCCTCGTCAATTTCATATTTGGTAGGAAACTGGGCCGCGACACCGCGCCGCACCCAGGCCGTAGTAGTGATCATCGAAGACATTGCGCCCGAGAAATACAACAACGTCCAATTTCACTGATAACCGATAATTTTTTTTTTTCTATCAATCGGTGGTGCCCGCCCGGCAGAATCTGGCGGGCTGAAGGCGGTCAGGCCGTTGTCGGGGACATCTGCGGCGAACTGATCATTCGATGTCTGGCCATTCGCTGATTTCAAGAAAAGACGCATATTCAGGGTGAACCAAGCGCTCCTGAATTCCCACAATGCATTCCCACTTACATACCCCGTATAACGTCAGTACGTACCTCTAGACCCCGGACAGCATCACGGGCCCTTGGACTGACAAAACCCTAAGATTGCGAAGAGATCATGACAGCCCTCGACGAGTGCCACGCTCGCGGATTCTTTTACAAAGCGGTCGGCAACTGCAATGATATCAAACGCCAAGTGAACAAATGCCTCGCTGCAGAGCGATTCGAGCGGGCGAAGCGCAATCGGGACGAGGCGCGCGGGAAGCGTCAGCGCATCGAGGATATCTGGGCGCGCGAGCGAGAGATGGAGCGTCCGGCGGTGAATACTGGCACTGAGAACGCTGGCTCTGCGAAACAATAAAAATGCATGGAAGCGATTGATCTGGGGACGTGGTGTTGGGTGTCTTTTTTTTTTGCGATCATCTCTCTTCTCATTGTACGCATCAACGTCTCTTTACGCCGAATTTTGGCCCATTGTACGATACTCGACTCGGAGGAAGCACATATCCATATTTTACTGCAAGACTGTACAAGCTTCGACCTGCTTTCTTTGCCTGGAGACTCCCGGCAATTGCCTATCGTAGCTAAGACGAGTATATTCCACGTCAAGTTTCAACAGTCTATGCTTCAATGCCCAAATAGTGTCTTCTATTACAAGCTGACCATGATGCATGGCGGACAAGGTCTTGAGTGTAAGTAGTGGTCACAAAGAAAGAAACATTATTTCGTCAATGAAAGTATGTACGGGGTATTTAGAGTAATTACATCATAACAAAGAAACCAGCGACTAGGGCGCCCAGCAGCACAAGGCTGGACAATCCGCTAGCACGGCTTGCGACATTATCCTTGTCATCACTAGGGTGTGAGATTAGAGTGCTGCCATTTGCTCCATGGCCCGCACCATCGACACCCTTTCCATTGCGAATGTCGTCGCGACTGGCGTTAAAGCATTTGGACCACACGTTCCAGGCGTTCACGAAAAGCCGAACACCATCATCCAAAGGCTTGCTCAAGTTAGCCTGGCCGCCGTCGATACCAGGCCACCAGGCCGCATCAGCAGCGTGCACGGCACCTTCGTACACAATGCCGAATACGTCATTGCCATCAGACACCTTGTTGCAAGCGGGCACATCCTGAGTAATCGTGCGGTTTGGGGCTCCAGCGTGGGACTCCTGGGAAGCCACGCTGAACGCTCGCCAGGGGTCGAACTCGCCGTTGGTGAACATGGTGTTGCTAGCCTTCATGTTCCAGCCGCCCAGAGACAGCAACCAGCTGTTGTTCGGGTTGGTGGGGAATTCGAAAGGGATGGTGGAGAGTTGTTCCCCTTCGAGATGTTGTTCCCCTTCGAGATGTTGTTCCCCTTCGAGAATCCCGATCATCTCTTGGCGATAGCTGGAAGTATTGAAGGCGTCGCTGAGCAGAGGGTAGCTCTCGCCGTTGTTGGTGTCGTTGGAGGCTTGGTAGTATCCGACCTCCTGGAGGGTCTGCCAGAGCCAGGCGTAGTCGTCTGAACTGATGGTCTCTTCTTCCTTACCAGGGACGTTGAACGGATGGCGGCGAGGAGTGCTGGAGCGCTTGACAGTTTGGGAGTATGCGTTCTCTACGAACTTGTAGCCGGCCCAGATAGCAGCCCAGAAAGCATAGTAGTCGCCATTGCTGTCGACGCTGGCAGCAATTCCGTCGGACGGGAAGTCTGAGTCCGAACCGTTGAGGTTCTCCAGAACGGACAGAACACTCTTGCCGCTTGAGGTCTCAGAGACGCCATCCTTGAATCCCTTCACGTCAAAGCCTTCCATGTAATCACAGATGAGCTGGGTGGTTGCTCCTGCTCCGGCATCTTGGTACGCGCCACCACCGGAGATCAAGTTTGAAATTGCCTCGCCCACATCATATGCCACGCCCGATTCAGAGAAGTAATTCAAGAAATCAGAGTCATCAGAGTCATCATAGTTGCGAACGCCGTCCGAATACCCAATACTGACAAGGGCGGAATAAACGTACTTAATAACGGATACCTCTGACTCTGGGCCTGATTTGAAAGTGTCGTCGATGTATCTGGCAGTAGCAGCGAAGTCATTGGTGCAGTTCTTGGGGAGTGCGCGTGCAATGGGGTCATAGTACAGAGAGCCGTCGTACTGGGCTTGCACGGGCGCACTGGAAGCCCATGAGGCATAGATGATCTCCGGGTGGACCAGGCGCATCCACGCAGCACGCGAACCGGAGTATGAAGCTCCGACAAAGATCCAGGGAGTGTGGTATGGGTCTAGGCCGGAGGTGCTCTTAACAACGTGATTCTTCGCCAGATCAGTCTTGTTGAAGTTGTTGGCGAAGTAGGCAACATCCTCCAAGGCTTGTTGCACCGTCAAGTATTTGTAGCCCTCAATTCCGTGCACCGGGAGGCCATAAGGGCCGGCGATTTCCACAGGACGACTCACTCCATAGTAACGGTGCTCCCAACCAATGACAATGCCGTTCAAATGCCTTGCAAGCTGCATAGATGCACTTTTGGAATCCTGTTCTGCCAGATAGACCTGCGCAGCTGATTGCCTGAAAGCCTCTTCTCCCATATCCTGGAGAATGACTGGTCCGCCAGCCTTGTAGTAGGTGTCGTTGACATAATAAAGATTCTTGTAAGTATCCGTGTTGGATGAGTTGAAATGATCAACAGGAATGTCGAAGTAGTAGGATGGTACAGAAGGGCCAGATTCAGTGTCACTTTGACGCTTGCTGTACGAATGAACTCTAGCAGCCACTGCGCCATGGGCAACCAGTAGCCCAGCGAAGAGGGAGCAGGCCTTCATGAGAATCTCTTCTTCTTTCCTATGACAGGCGAGATCGATGTAAGGCCCACGGGCGACGAGATGTCGAACTTTTTGAAATTTATTTGAGGACGAGGACAAATTCGCCGCTAGCAGGCGAGACCTTTAATACTACATTCGTTGCCTCCCCTTGTGGGCTTCGCTGGCCCCAGCCCAAGCACTAAACATTCTATTTGGGGAGCATCGCGGCTTGCGCTAGGACTGGTGATTAGATTTCTCGCATTGGCCGCATGGACCGACAGAATACAACGCTAAGGAGTGATTTCTCAGGTCTCATACGCTGCAAAGCACACTAATAGCACGCTAATACCAGCGCATACCGTTTGTTTAATCTTACGGCCAAGGTTTTCAGGGACTTGGGCGCAAAAGTGGGCTGTGCCTCAGCCCCCACGCGACCCCTGTGGGTCAGCAAAAGTAGGGAAATTCGGCCAGAGCGAGCCCACTACTGGCTGAGCAGGAAATGGAGCCGCATCACTAGCTACACAATACGGAGTAGACGGGGCCCTTTTTTCTTCCTCGTGAAGCCTTCCCCTGATTGCTCGCCAAGCCTCACGAGTACGGGCTGCCAAGAATACCAGCCAGATTACGATCTCGGGCATTGCCCTGGTTTGTCCAAATCTCCGGTGTGAGGCTCTTCGGAGTCTGGTAGCCTCCGTCTAGCGGCGGTTCGTCTCACTGGTCCAGGCCAATCACATTGTTTGTCGGCCTAAAGCCATTCAGGTCCGTCCGGCTATGGCGGAGTGTTTTGCGGGTTAGCGGTGGTTCGATTTCCGCACTATGTGCCTGCCCAGGGACTAGGGCATTAGCAGAAGCTAGATAGATTGAGCCATTAGGGTTCTCCTTTCGCATGTTTGGAAGCCTATGGGGAGGTCTCCCACCCTGGTCAACCTTGTGGACCTACTTCTCTTTATTTACTATAACTAGCGGAGGCCTGCAAATTTCGGTTCTCCTCGGCTCGACCCTGGATGGGGCGGCGAACTAAGAAAACTCAAAAACCCTGATTCCCGCTAAAGTCTTTGTTTACTGATTATCAGACATCGTACTATACGGAATATTCTGTACCATTATGGGCTTTATGCCAAGAATTCTTGTCGTTTGTGGTTTCAGCCTTGCTTGTCTAAGCACGTGGGCGGCGGTCTGGGCAAGTCTTACGGCTGAGTTCCTTGCAATTTCAGTAAACCAATCGTAAGACGAGGCTGATGCAACATAAGCCCTCGGCTACATCAAGCCACCTCTATTGGGGAGTGCTAAGCTATATGCCAAGCCACTGGCTGCTCATGCTCTGATGGTTGCAGATATTCGCCCACTGGGGTCATTGTCTGACCCGGCTGATCTACAGTCGATCTTCGAAGATCGGTGAACTTGATATTGATATTATAGAAATTTCATTCAATGGATCATTCCGAGATTATATGTCAAATCTATCACCGATATTAGTCCGAGGCTTTAGTACTAGTATGGAATCACTGATGAGAATCCCCTAGCTCATACGCAGTCGCCTTCTTGCCACCTTCCAGCTCTCTTGGGTACGGATTCACCCTTGGAAGCAAAATTGAACGTCCCATATGCGCCTGATCCGCCTCCGCTATATCCCCTCTAGCACGTGCGGATACAAGAGATGCCTGCGCTGCTATGAGTTGCTCCTTCTCTTTCAATTGCCGCTGATACGATCGCCGCTGTATGAAAAGCCCTATCAAAGCAGCGACAAGACACACTCCCAGTGAGACGCCGACCCCTGCCCCAACCGCCACCACGGATGTGGATGACGAGTGATGGCTGGAGGCTACCGCGGAGCCCGTCGGGGTGGAGGACGGAGTAGAAGAAGGAGTAGACGACGGAGTGGAGGACGCAGAGACCAAGCCAAGGGTCGGCATCATCAAAGGGAAGCTATCGTTGCAGCAGTCGGAGCCGTCTGCACTGCAGCACCAGTTTCCGACCGGGTTCGGACAAGGTAGAACGAAATATGACCGACTCGCGGCTACAAAGAGGAAAACACCATTAGTCAAAGTATGTTGACCCGCCGAAGTACTTCGAGGAGGTAATTACGCTTCATGTCCTTGCAGACGAAAGAACACGCCGAGCTGGCCCAATCACTCTTGGTGCAACCGACTTCGTAGAACAGACCACTGCTGACTCCGTCCTGGGAATAGCAGAGGTTATTGCTTAGGCACGTGTCGTTGACTCCTTGGTCATGTTTGTTTGTAGCGCAACAAGCACCTTCTTGGGCACTCGGATGGCATGGCTGGACGTCCGAGCCATATACGGTGCCGTCGCGGCTGTAGCATTTTGTCGCCAGCGCTCCGTTCTGCGCGATGAAGGCTGAGAGGATCAGGAATGCTAGTAGTCTGTCAAGAACAGGCGACCTCATGGCATTAGGTAGATCGTCATATCCCGCTGGAGAGGGAAAGGGCGGGGTCGGAGGAGGAATTAGATAAAAATGTAACTACATGACAGCCCTAGAGTACTAATAAAGAAGAGGCAAAGGGGGGGAGAAGCATTACACAGCGGCCCAGCCAACGTTGGGGGCCCTGACCTAGTTCAGTTAGTGATTGGCATCATGCATGACATCTAAGCCTATTGGGAAGGAGAAAGAGCGGGGAGACTGAATTAGGTACGGTGATTCGGAAATGCCAACGGCAGGCGAAAATGAAGGTTGCGATCACGACCGGTGGTGACTGTCTGTATGGAGTAGTAACAAATTCATTTACACCTAGACTTTTCTGAATAACATATCAAGACGACCAGAACGCCATGCCTAAGAAGATTCGATGCGATATAGGACAAATCCCAACATCATTCCTCCACCTGCATAGTTTCGGGCGCTTCTGCAGCTGGGCCAGCCGCATCACCGTCGCCTTCACCCCGGGGACCACTCTTGTGGTGCCGCCGTCTGCGTTTCGGCTTAGCTGCGCCCTCCTCGTCATCGGCATTTTCTCGACTCTCCTCGACCTTTGGCTTCTTTTGCGCAGGCGCAGGAGCATCGGCCTTCTTCTTCTTTTTCTTCACACTTAAGGGATTGGGGCCCTTGGCTTTCTTCAAACCCGGAATCTTCTTCCTCTCCTCCGGTTCGGGTTTTTGCGCATTGATTGTCTGGTCGTCCAGCCCCACACGGAACTTGCTGTTCTCATGGTCTTCGCGAATGGTTTCTGAAGGTGTACTCATGGGCTCGAGCACCATGACCGACCGCTTGACGTAGATCACCGGCACACCGGGAATTGAGCGCGCGCCAGCACGGAGGGCGCGGGCGCGTCGCAGCGCTTTCTCTTCTTCGCGCTCGTCATCGCGCTTGCGCTTCCGCTGTTGCGAGTCGTTCTTGTCGTTTTTCTTGGAAGTTGGTGGGTCTGCAGTCGCCAGTGTGTAGTGCTCCTTGTTCTTCTTAGGGCCGCTACCTGGTGATAACAGCGATAGAAGACATTCGACTTCGTCTATGGGCGTTGAGTCTTCGTTATGTGAGCAATGGCGAAGCGGGAGTTCTGTTGGCGGGGGAGGTGGAAAGGACGATATGGTTGGTTGGTCTTCGGATTGATGGGCTGAGCCGCCATGATTGCAGCAAGAGAGCACTTGGTGAGCACTGCATTTTGATTAGTTCAGCACTTGGTGAAGCATTTGTCGAGTCATGGATCCTCGCTGCCAGGTAAATTGGGTATATGGAGGTATGGTACTGACAAGGCTTAGGCTTTCCCTGGAGTGTCCGCTCTAGCGCAGGGATCAAGTCCATCTTGAAGGCATGGATTGCAGCCAAAAAGTTCGAGTCCACTGTTGAATGCTGAGTTAGTATTCATTGGAATGATGACACGAAAATCACTCTTACCAAGGACCTGGTAGGGCTCACGGAAGCCAAAAGTAAGCTCATACTGCTGCATGAGCTTACGGTACTTCTTTGAACGCTTGGCCCGCATTTTGTGAGGTGTGGAAAGAGGACTGTAGTTGCGGAGATGGAGGTTTCGATGATCTGATCGCAGCGGACTTTTTTTTATTTTGCCGGGAGAGGCCGCCTAGCCAGCCAGACCCACCCCGGTAAGGTTATGTACACTCGAAGAAGCTACACTTGGTGAGATTATCGGACTATCAGACCTTCGATTTTATGAGACACATATGTTTGTAATTATCCAAATCCTGTTTCATTTCATCCGCTGCTGACTGGAGCAATTACTGGGGCCCTTTATGTTTCTCAAAGATCACTGCCCGTAGTCCTCTAATGGCTCTTCGCTGTATAGATGACGCGACGTGTATTCACTACCAACGGTCCATGATGCCCGAGAGTTCAATCAACTGCTTCTGGAGCATCGCACTTTGGCTGTGTTGCATGTATTCCCAAGCTATTCAGCAGTCACTCAGCTTCTGCCGCATGTATTCGCCGGAGCCTTTAGGTCGATTAGGCTAAGTTCAAGAATAACTGAACAAAGTATCCCAGTGTCCAGATCTATCAGGGCGAATACCGCAAGGGGAAGCCAACCACACGGTGCGCGGTGAACTTGATCCTTCGTAAATCGATTTTTTGCCAGGGCCTTTCTATAACGGGTGCCGCCGCGGCAATTGAGTTTGCGGGTGCACCTTCGCGAACAACCTGGTTTGAGGGTGAAATATTAGACATCAACAAGTTGCAAGTCACCCATCTCGTCTCTTGCAAGCGCCAACTATGACTGAAATGTCATCCATTTTCCCTGTACCAATACAATCAGTCTCTCGCCCTGAAAAGACAGATTGACAGGATATTAGCTTACCTCCTTCGATGGGCAAGCCTTCCTCCATCCCCTTCTCCATGAATGGACTCTCTGCAAACGGATCTTGTGCAATAGTCAAGGCGGCATTCAGTAACTCTTTCGCAGCATATACCATGCGGTCGTTCGAGAGATCAGGCGGAGTTTCCGAGCTCTTCCAGTTGGCTTTTCCCGCGTCATACTTTTCCAGGCTATCCATAATGATCTTCAAAACTTCATGCTCCCAGAGGTTGTCCATTACACCATCTGAAAGGGCCAAAACAATGTCTTCTTCCTGGATGTCTACCTCGTTCATCACTGCGTCGTTGCGCGGGGTATCGACACTGTTTGTGCCCAGCTGCATAGGACAATCAAACCAGTGCCACTGCTCCTTAGTGCGGAACAAAATCTTCTCCTCACTCGGTCGGATCACGAGCACCTTGCAGTCGCCCAAATTCGTCACATAAAGCAATGGTTTTTTGGCGCCGTCTTGCCCACACCGCCAGTGCAGAATAGCGGTTGCGGAGGTGGTGGTGCCATACCACTCGGTCGGACCGGAAGTTGCTTGGATGGTTGCCTCATATGCAGACTGGAGGTATTCGATGGGCTCAAGGGTTGTAGTATCTGTGCAGATGCGGCGTTCGATCTCGAGGGCCCAGAAGTGGAGTAGCAGGCGCGACCATAGCCTAAGAATACCCCTTGTCAGCTCGTAGAAAGGGTGAGGAAAGTCAAGTCGTTGCACTCACGCTGCATGCCCATGTGGCCTTGTCGCCCATGCACCTACCCCGTCGTCCACGCCCAGAAAATTCTCGGTGACGATGATCGCATCGTCGCCGTTGTTCAGCCCGCGGATAAGCTCGCCCTGGACTGACAGCCTCTTATCTTGCAGGGAGTGGGTAGTAAGCGGATCGGAGAACGAGGATGATGGCGGGGATAGGAAAGGTGGAGGAAACGGTCGTGAAGGACGTTTGGCACATAACGCGTAGCCAGTCTCGAGACGAAAGGGTGATTGCGAGAGACCCGCGCAGGGCCGATCGGGCAAGGGTGTAGTGACGCCGTACGACGACCGCGCCGCGGGGTGGTAACGGCGAGTATTCGCTGCTCGTGAAGTTCTCTGTATTTGTGGTCGAAGCTGCTGGACGGACCTTAATCGAGAATAGATCCACCGAGCTGAGGCTGGCCATGGTAGTGAAAAGGACAGTGGGACCCCTGCCGTGGTCACCATGCCTAACTGGTGGGGGGGTCACTCCTCTTATCTCGATGAAGAGAGGAGAGTGGAGGATTAAGGCATGACCCTTGAAGTTGCCGAAAGGAAAGAACTCGGAGTCTACAGGGAAGGGTTGAAAGGCTCGCTGTTCACCGGTGAGGCCAATCAAGAAGTCATCGCGACGATTGGAGATTTCTAGACTTCTCACTGGTCTGCAACGCCGACGCCGGTGCCCTACTCTACGTCTCATGCAAACGCACCGCTTTTGTAATCACCTCTCCTCAAGCCCTGGAGCCCTGGACAGTACAGGAAAAATATTATACGTTCCGATTAAACCTGGTCGAAGTCTAACACCGAACATGACTGTACATATCCCGGCGTGCCACTAATGAATTTCCTGCATACCATGAACCTCGGCGAGTAGAGCCGCTTATCGTATCAGGCCATACCGTGTCAGGCCATACGTGCTTTGACCTCGTCCGCGGATACCTTATCTCAACAGTCTAGCACATATTCGTACTTCTATCTTTTTCTTGATTTTATTTCCTGACTGATGCTCTTTTCTTTCTTTTGAAGCAGGTTTGAAGCAGGTTTGCGGAATTTGCACTTCTGCAGCCCAATATAGTTTATGTTCACAACGCAATTCAACTTGTGCGTTCCGAAGTTACAGCCTTTTTAACGTTGCAGCTATACAACTGGGAAGTGATACAAGAGTATTAAGAGAGGTTAATTTGCTCTTTCGACTTCGTAAAACAAGCGTCTCCTTGATCCGTTTGAAGAATATTGAATCTTTTAAAGCGCATGAGACTTCTACGTACCCTAACGCATCCACGAATTAGTTAGGACGGTAGTGCTTGATAAGATGCTCTATCCCGAGGTCACCCTTTCCATCGGCTCTGTGGACCACACATACATGGCGTCCATTTCGCGGTCTGAGCTTATATCGCCGATAACTAGTACGACTCTTAATCACCAAGATCCCCGTGCCTTATATCCTTGCTATCTTTCTGTATTTCTTTAAAAATCTTGCCCAAATTCAGATCTTCGTGAGCTCACTGGGGGTGAAACCACAAGCAATATGGTGTATGGCTTCGTGAATGGGTCATGAGCTGCATCCCCGAGTCGAGCTGCCCTGGTTTGTCACAACTCGTTGGTCTATGGCGAGAGTCATGATCATGCTATGTGCGTGAAGAAGTACGGAGGTAATTGGGACAAATACAGACGAAGAGCAGTCCCGTGGAAAATCGCGGCATGGTAATAATGAGATCCCCTTTGCACGTGCCTTCGAAGAGTGACTCACAGGAAACTGGAATCCGCTATCACTGACCCATCCAGGGACCACTTGGCAGAATCCTGTTTCATCAGTCATCATCAAAAACATAGGCCGTCAGGGTGGAAAGCCCCAAGGTAGTGAAATACTCGCTTTGGTATTTCATCATGGTCAAGAATTCATGAATTTGCAGGCAATACTATCCAAATTTGTCTAAATACAACATTCGCTTTGAGAATCACTCTCGATGCAGTTCCGCCTCGGTGATGCATTTTGTTCCCTAAAGAATTTAAGCAGGTCATTAATATCAACACATGAGTTTTGGATATGTGTGGCTGTTACCGCGTGAAACAACTGGAGACGAGCCGTCAAGAAAGAGAAATAAAAAATAAGATTCGCGTGGACTGGGTATCTGTTTGTTGCTTCATAACATCGTGTCGACTCCTTGGTCTTTTTGCATTCTTTCGTTCATTTTGGAATTGTTCAAGGCGCAGCATCAGGGCGAGGAGCCAGCTTGCCATTCGAACGTTCCTTCTGGACCTCTAACTCAATTACTTTGAAGATACTCTGGATCTCCATAATCAAGTCATGATCGCTGATTTCCTTTTTGAGAAAGTTGAGTCCTTGGAAACAGGCAAGAGCGATCGTGTTGACCCGTGTCGCAAAGTCATGAGGTCCAGCCGTCTTGCGATTGGTCACCAGTTGCAAATGCATCTGCCACTCAGAACATGGACAGGCACGTTCCGTATCATAGGTACAATCTTTCGCGCATGAGCAAATTGAGCTGCAGACGCATCTGTGATATTTCAACTCTTCCAGGAGATTGCAGTTAGGGTCCATGCGACGATATTCACCGACAGTTCGGCTTTCGAGTTGAGCTAACGCATTGTACCGATGCTCTTCAATCATAATTTGGTCCCAGGATTCCGGGGAAAGCATTTTGAGATTGACAAAAGGAAGATCAGAAGTTGCCGTCTCAATCGTAGGAATTGCCCGTGGAAGAACTGTCAGATACTTATCTGACAGAGACGTGATAGTTTGAGGGGGGAAATCAGCGAAGCACTCCATGAGGCTGTCCCATTTCTTGCGAAAATCAGACTCACGGTCCCGAGCAATCGCCAAGGCATGCTGATAATATCCCAGAGTATCTCCAGATCCTGGGCGTCCTTTCCGGGCGTCGGAGCATATCAGACGACGAATGTAAGATTCTAAGTATTGGGTCATGAGCTCAAGATGAAGATTCTCGCAAATATCCGGGCAATCCAGGATGTCCTTGAACGCCAAAAAGATGCGGTGCAGCCGGGACGGTGATGGCAGGTAATATAGCGACTTGCTCCTTACTGGCCGCTCAGTAATCGGAAAGAGGGAGCACAATTCCGTTCCTGCAAGCTCAAGCATGATTCTGGCATAGAGCGTGTAGAACAGATTTTCGACGATTTCGATGAGTTCAGCGAGGGAGTCCGTCCGAATTTCTGTCTCCGCGCGTTGGATCCAATACGAGAGACCCTGAGGTGCCGAATCGAGCTAGGAGGGATTGCATGTTAGCTTGCTACAAGCGCCAATGCTCAAGAAGAAGATAATTTCGGACATACATCTGAGCCATATCCCAAGAAGCAAACTTGCATAATCTTTGCCAACGCATATATTGTGAAAAAGATCTTGAAGACATCTTGAAACCCATTGACCCACTCATCATGGTTTAATCCGTTCAACGACATGACCTTCGGCGAAGGCGACAGAGAGTATCGCAAGGTGTTCGGGGGCACTGCCTGTACCCATTCATTGCTGCTGACTCTGTATGGACGAGACCGGCGTCTATTCGATTGACTGGAGTCGGTCTTCCACATCTGATCAGCAAGGTCATTTGACGCGACGAGGATGCGAGTTCGGATATACCGTGGAGCATCCAGAGCCCTGGCCAGGTGGCAACAATGAATCTTTACCAGAGGAATCTTTCCCAGCAGATGAGCGTTCGGCCATCCTTGTTCGGGTCTTTTCTTCCAGGAGAGACTCTGAATATCTGTAGAAGCCGTCTTTCTGAGTCTCAACCGCGTCTTCAAAGATGTCAGGACTTTGGGGGCTAGGAGAGTGATCTTTCTCGGTTGACTCAAGTGAATGGACGCGAAAGCGCGATTTCAAACGAGACAAGCTCCAAAAAGAAGATTTGAGGGGACTTGGGGGAGAGCTGCTCATGGTGAATGCGGCCGCGAAAGTAACCTGTGCACGTGTTGTATGTGACGAGAGCTACTGTTCAGAATTGCTGGAGAAACATAACGAGAAGTCATAAGAAACGGGGAGAGACAGGAAAGTGATTAAGAATTCTTAATCTGATCTGATGTAGCAACCACGAGGAGCATCTTCGTCACCTCGACGGGAAAGGACGAGGGAGGTGTATCTACTACGCCGGGCCCAGTCAGCCCTCCTCGAGTGTCCATGGGTGAAGCCACAGGCCTCGCTCACATCTAACGAGCGAACCATATGCTACAAAAATAGATTCCTTGGTGAGGAAATGAATTTGCTTGTTTCGTTAAACGCTCGCCTCCAACAAATACAAATACGAAGCAAAAGTCTAACCCTGCACGCGGAACGTCCGACCACTGGCTGTCTTGCGCTCGCGCTCTTCATTTTCCGGTCTTGCCCGGTTAAGAACTAAGAAGAATTAGTACTTATTATCACACCTGTTTGCGGTCACGTTACCTTGAAGAAAGTCAGCTGTACGCTTGCGCATACGGGTGTGGATGTATGCCTTTTGCCGTCGAGATCAGTATGATTTTTATTTGCTTGATTAGATCAAAACATACCTTCGAGGCTTTAATGTGGTAATGGAAGTAGTCGCGGAACGTTTGGATATGAGAAATGCTATCATAACGGCGCTGAGGGGTCAAGTGTCGGGGGAAGAGAACTAGAATACCATGTTAGAAAGCTATGAGGAGCAGTGGAGCTCAATACGAATTGTCTTACCAAATGTAACATAGCTGATGGCGCCCTCGCTCGCGCTCTGCAGACCTGGGACGCCTTGAAGTTCAAGCGGGGGGTCGTTGCGGAATAAGACTTGAGGAGCATTTTGGAGAGTGGCAACTCGTCGCCGAGCGTCCACGAATTCCTGTAAAGGTCAGCATTTTGCAAGTCTGTGAGTCTATGGAGCAAGCAATTTGATCGAACGAACCTGCAAGAAGACCTTGCCAAAGATCCGATCTGTCTCCTCCTGAACACAGTGCTGAAGATCACGGTCACGCGATCCCAATTGGCCTTGATATAAATGGCTTCCTCCTCACGGTAGTGGATAGACATGACTTCACCACCTTCCTTCACACCCTGGGGTGCTGATTCTGACGTGTATTGCGAGGCTTCTTCTGCAAGCTTGTTGAATTCGTCGAAGGCACGCTCGAACGGAGCCGCCATGGCATTCCGCTTAAGGAGGGCAAGCTTCAATACTAGTTCATCGCGGGCTTCCTGCTCAGTAGGCAAGTCCTCCAAGTCGATTTGCACTGAAAAATCGTAGCCAGGTTCGGGAGAAACGATGTAAGGGCCGTATTCCCGCTTGAGCACCTCCTCGGCGCCATACTGGACGAGTTCTTTGAAGCACTTCACGTTAATTGAGATAAGGATCTTGGTCTTGGACTTGGGGGTAGAAAGGTGGAAGGTGACGCCATCGAAGTCGGAGACCACCTGGTCAATTGAAGTCGGGGGAGCACTGCGGGCAACGGTTAGCTGGGGCCTAAAGACTGTTATGGGTACGGTAGCACGAAATAGGCGCGGGCGCGGGGGAACGCAATGGTATCATACCCCGAAAACCGCTCCGTAAGGAGGGATTGAATCAAAGCGTTCTGGTAATCCAGGAGCAGCATGGTCAGGAGGGACTGGAGGAGAGACTGTCAATGGGTGGACAACGGAGGAGGGCGGCGGCGTCATGGCGCAGTGGGGAGGGAGCATAAGAGGTCGCTCTCGCCGCCCGTAATAATTTTTCATATCGATAGGCAGATTTCCCCGATCTCCAAAATTTTTAACCAGACTTTTGACCATGGTGAAATCTTACCTGTATGTGCAATTTTGTCAGTACGACTGAGTCGCATGTGTTAACCTTTTTTTGCCATCAGGAAATTCGAGCATTCGAATACGTTCGGGCTCGTCGCTTCGGCGTCGTCCAATGCGATCTGGGCCAAGGACGATCAAATCCCGGGTTCGGCTCGCCAAACTGGTGCAGGCAGGGCGATTGTCGGCGCTGCTGAAGAGGTCCTTTGCTGGGATGTCAAGAAGGGAGAGCTGCTAGGACGGTGGCGTGACTCGGCATGCAGAGCACAAGTGACAGTCGTCACCCAGAGCAAGACAGATGAAGATATATTTGCAGTCGGGTAATACTATTCTCTTCTCCAGGCGCAATTCTTCCAAAGCTAATTTATCTGTCTCTGTATAGTTACGAGGATGGCAGTATCCGAATTTGGGATTCAAGAACCAGCACGGTCATTATCTCCTTCAATGGTCACAAATCCGCCGTCACCCAACTGGCTTTCGACAATGCCGGTGTTCGACTCGCCAGTGGTTCCAAAGACACCGACATCATCCTTTGGGACTTGATTGCCGAAGTCGGCCTATTCAGGCTGCGTGGCCATACCGGCCAGATCACTTCCCTCCATTTTCTTTTCCCATCCGCAGAACTTCTCAATTCCTTCGGATTAAGCGATCACGCAGGCTTTATTCTCACCACCGGCAAGGATGCCTTGATCAAAATTTGGGATCTGGCATCACAACACTGCATTGAGACTCATGTCGCACAAACAAATGGTGAATGCTGGAGCCTTGGTCTCTCACCGGATCAAGGTGGATGCATTACAGCTGGCAATGATGGAGAATTGCGGGTCTGGTCTATCGATGAGAGCGCCATGGTTGAGATCTCTAAGGAAAAGGTTGGAGCCGAAGGCCGCCAAATTCTGACTGACCGGGGGACGTTCTATCGACACGGTAAAGATCGTACAATCGGCATTCACTTCCACCCTCGCGCAGATTATGTTGGATTTCACGGCTCTGAGAAGTCTGTCGAGATCTGGCGAATTCGCTCCCAAACAGAGGTCCAGAAAAGCCTGGCCCGTAAACGCAGGCGCAGGAAGGAGAAGGAGGCTCAGCGCGAAGGAGGAGCCAAAGAAGCCGACGAGGAGAAAGAGAAAAATGAGGATGTCTCCTCCGCACCTGTTACTGAAGTGTTCATCTCCCATGTCATTGTTCGCACAGGTGGAAAAATTCGCTCTTTTGACTGGATGACCACTAAGGCTGGTAGCCTAAACATCCTGGCCGCTACCACGAATAACCAGCTGGAGAGCTATAGCATCAAATCAGCGGGTAAGAAGAGCAAGGATGATGAAGAGTCAGATTATACACGGAATCTGGCAGTCGATATTCCCGGTCATCGGACAGACATCCGATCCATTGCCCTGAGTTCGGAAGATAGAATGCTGGCTTCCGCATCGAATGGTAGCCTGAAAATCTGGAACACACGAACGGAGACTTGTCTTCGTACCCTTGAATGTGGATATGCTCTGTGCTCTGCATTTCTCCCCGGCGATAAGATCGTGGTGGTCGGAAACAAGAATGGCGAGCTTGAAGTGTTTGACATTGCCTCTTCTACATTATTAGACACTATAAAGGCCCATGATGGCCCTGTTTGGTCTCTTAATGTGCATCCAGATGGCAAGTCCATGGTCAGTGGGAGTGCAGACAAGACGGCCAAATTCTGGAATTTCACTGTTGTGCAGGAGGATATTCCTGGAACCAAGCGCACCACTCCCCGTCTGAAACTGGTGCACACAAGAACCTTGAAGGTCAATGATGATATTCTTAGCCTTCGATTCTCTCCGGATTCCCGGTTGCTAGCAGTGTCTTTGCTGGACAACACTGTCAAAGTTTTCTTCGTGGACTCCTTGAAACTTTTCCTTAATCTCTATGGCCACAAGCTTCCTGTCTTGAGTATGGATATTTCTTATGACAGCAAGCTGATTGTCACTTGCTCTGCCGATAAGACTGTTCGTCTTTGGGGCTTGGATTTTGGAGATTGCCACAAGTCCTTACTTGCTCACGAAGACAGTGTAATGGCGGTGGCTTTTGTCCCTTCGAACAGGGATGGAAACGGCCACAACTTCTTCAGTGCCAGCAAGGACCGTGTCATCAAATACTGGGATGGCGACAAGTTCGAACACATTCAGAGGCTCACTGGTCATCATGGCGAAATCTGGGCTTTGGCAATCAGCCACTCAGGAGAATTCATTGTCAGTGCGAGTCATGATAAGAGCATCCGTATTTGGAAGCAAACCGATGAGCCCCTGTTCTTGGAGGAAGAGCGTGAAAAGGAGATGGAGGAGGCTTACGACAGTACCCTTACCGCATCTCTTGAGCAAGATGAAGATGGCGAGGACGGTGAAAAGGCCGAAGCAGTGGATGTTGGCAAACAGACGACCGGCACACTCATGGCCGGAGAGAAGATCATCGAGGCACTGGACCTTGGTATCGAAGATCTTGAGGTTATGCGTGAATGGCGCAAGGTCAAGGCCGCCAACCCTAAAGCTGCTGCTCCTGACCGCAATCCGCTTTATCTTGCATTTAACAATATCTCTGCGGAACAGCATGTCCTGAGCACTGTGCAGAAGATTCCTGCCGCTGCCTTACAGGATGCCCTCTTGGTTCTACCTTCTCGAAGCTCCCCGCTCTCTTCACCTTTCTCAACATCTGGGCGGAGCGCGAATGGAACGTTCCGCTGACCTGCCGTGTCTTGCTTTTCATGCTCAAGACTCACCACCGTCAAATTGTGGCCAGCAAGATGATGCGCCCTATGCTAGACAGTATCAGATCAGCCCTGCGTCGTGTTCTTTCTCGTCAGAAGGAAGAGATGGGATTCAACCTGTCTGCACTTCAATTCATTGGTGACCAGATTCGCGAGCATAGTACTAAGGACTATATCGACGAGGAGAACTGGGAATCGCAGCACGCCCAGAAGGGATCAGGCAAGAAGCGGCAATTCGTAAGCATTGCATAGGCTCAACTGATTGCATAAAGAGAGCATGATATCTGGCGTTCATGATGTACTTACGGTTTGTGATTGGAAGTTTACAAAAGTTCTATATCCTTGGAGTTCAGAGAGCTAAGAGGGATGTACTATATTGAACATTGTTTCTAAGTAAATTATGATTACTTCCACGACTATTTCAGGCCTTTGAAACTGTGGAGTTCGCCGTCCTCGTACTAGTCGTACTGCCATGTTCTGAGAATATGAATCAAGCAGGCCATTTATATTTTCCAACACTCGTGGGTAATTGGTAGTTGAAGACAATGATATGAGTACTTGGAGAAATTGGCGTAAACAATGTATTCAGAGAGAAACCTAGAGATTCGACTGTTAGCGAAAACTCCATAATTACGTGTTGCGACACTCGCAGTCGTCACTCAGCGAGATCCCAAGAACGAGAGAACAGCGAAATCACAAGTTTCCTTTCAGCAGAACCATTATAAGCATCGACGACAAGTGTACCTCTATGGGTCACATCCTGCCATACCTTTTCCGGCTCTTCCTAAAAATACCGGTTCGAAAATGTCTCATCATTTGGAAGTTTTTTGGGACTTCGCGTTCTCTCCTTTTATGTTCTTGCATCGCTGGAACGTCTTCGTCGAGCGAACGCTTGATCACGTACCTATCAATCAAGCTGGCCAATATGGACTCGGAGGTGTCCTCAAAAGTTCAGTCATACTGGCCAGAAATTGGCGAATGCAGTGGGGGAAGAAAGAGGAGCAGAATGAAGTTCAAGGAAAATAAAATTAGTGGAGCGGGCCCTTTAGTCATCTTTGCACGTGACTATGTAGCATGGCACTATGGGCACATAATTCTAGATGTAGGATGTCATATACAGCTTTTGGGATGATATGATTCGGTCTTAGTACTATTCGGAGAAAATCATGTAATTTACTCATTTGGGCTTTTATGGAAGAGGCACAATCCTGGTTCATTTTTCACCTGCACCGGCAGAGCGGGTCTATCCTTTGGTCTCGATGACCGCGACGTAAGCACAAATCATTGCTTCGATATTTCAAGGTTTATCGGGGGTATCTTCAAAGCACGTGCATGATTGAGAGTGATAGGGAATGCCATCCTGAGTCCGGTCGAGTTGGATGGGTTGTTCATAATCTGTCTCCGGCTTCACCATGGAGATGAATTTGATGGCCTTGTATTTGGAGCATTCAGTTCCCTCCTGAAGATGGAATAGGTCGTTCCGAGGCACAAGCATCACAGCATAAGAAGTTAGAAGGGTTCTCCAATGTGCATATTTCACATATCCAGGCATCGTCATAGGTCTTGTTATTCGGGTTTTTGGAAGGTACCGGGGGCTTTTGAGGAGGATGTCTTCCGCCCTGAAGATTTTGAGCTGCTTCCTTCGGAAGGAGATTCAGACGTTATATTTTGATGCGGCCCGGCCGGATTTTGCTCGCTGGGAGGCACGTATGCAGATCCATACTTTTCCCGCTCTTCCTCCTGAATCAATTCAATGAAAGCCTGCATTATCGCCTGTTCGTTCGCGTCGTCTTCTTCTGCTTGGGTACGAAACCCGTTTCTTGAAGCCTCTTCAGCGAGGGCAGCTCCTCCATGTGTCCCAGAGGCACACCCGTTCAAGACCTCTTCGTCGAACCGACGCTGCGCAGCATCGGCTCGCAGCCTGCGGATATCAGACCCCCTCGGGGCTGCGGCTCCACCCAATCGTTGTCCGGATTTTGCCATCAGGCCACTTCTCTCTCTCGGCAGCAGCGCGGGCTTGACGACGAGCTTCGTCCATAGGAATCCGGGACCCACCGAGGCGTCTTCCTTCGGAGAGGAAGTTCCCCCCAGTGAACCCCTTCATGGCGAGCTCTACGTGTTCATCCCGAAGCTGATTCCACAGGTTATGGAAAGCTTTGTTGTGAGGTTTGATAGGGATATGGCAAAGTCTGCAGATCGTTGGTTCGTGTACTACTCGGTTTAGGACAAGGCTTGGTGCTTACTTACTCATGTAACATAGTGTCTGCAATCTCTTCAAAAGGAAGAAATTGCTCTGGATCTCTTGCGTATCGTAGCCGAAGGTAGATGTATCCACGGGAGTCATTCATCCCGAGCAAGTTGGCATTTCTTGGTAGAATTCGCATAGAGCACGAATCTTCCAGTTACGCTGCCGCATGATAGGCTTGACCATCGAAGCTATTTGTTGTAATATCTTCAAGGCTTCTGCCTGACGGGGTCGCGATTTATCATGGCGATATTCCCGGATAATAGCCTCTGGATCCTGCATTCTGAAGCTGGATATCTGGATGCAGATAAGGCGCAGAGGGGGACTTCGGGAAACAGAAGACCACGACCTTTTTTATAACCACATTCTCTCAGGATAAGACTGTGTTTTGGAGAAATGCCTTCCAAATAAAGACCCCCCACTAACCCAGTGACTTTCACCTCGAGGCGCGTCGCCCTTCGGCGCTATCAAACGTGATAGGTGACTGATGGTACAAACGACCCTTGATCGTTGCCTGACAACGTCGGCGCAGATCACGTGCTGCTGCTCCAGCTGACTTGTATACTTCTGACTTGTCGCAAATGGCATTGTATTGGGTTACGAGAGCTGATTCGAGTAGCGTCGGGTTGGCTCACAGGGGGCTTTCTATTGTAATTGTACAGAATCTGAACAGTTTGTCAAGGTGTGTCCAAGGGCCGGTATGTACTTTGGGTCGAACACAGACATATATACTTACCGATAGGGCCGGAAACAAAACCTGATACTAGAATTAGTGTTTCACTGGCATGTATTCTACTATTACCATTTTGTCATTTTTTTTTGACAGTAGTAAATCCTTGGCTATAGAGATCTAGAGTAGAATTGTCTCCGTATAGGTTGCGCTGCCACACTGTACTACTAGTGTTGCGCGCAACAGCTCATGTGACTGATAAGCGGGAAGCGACTCTTGATCGGCCATCGCTCTCTTATCGGTTTCGTGCTTTTCTAACCTTTCAAATGACTTCAAACAAGATGACAAGCGACGACCAGTTCTTCTTGGACTATGTACGTATACCATATCTTGTGATTAGCCGTGATGAGCCTCGATATTGACTTCCCTGACAGCTCGCATCTATCCCTCATGACGTAAGACGTTACTCGGCACAAGTAGCCGACTCCATCGACCGACAAGTCGACTACGCCGCAACTGTTATCCGGGATAGGCTGTCAGAGCAGTCATGGATTCCAGATTCAGTTCGCCCAGCGATGCGCGCGCCTCGGATGCGCTCTCAAGTTGGTTTGATCGCACGCACTCAAGACTGGATGTCACGGAATCGCGCATGGACTGCTGCGATCCTGGCATTTGTCGGGACAGGCTGTGCGATGTACTATGGGAATAAAAGCCTGCATGCGAAAAGGCGACGAGCCAGGAAGGCTGGGAATGGGTCGCGCAAAGAAATCGTTGGTAGGTCATCCCCCGAGGACGTGTATGCCGAGGCCGACTTGCTAACATCAGAAAAGTCGTGGCGGGATCCCCTCAGGACCCCTTGACAAGGGCTATTGCGTCAGACCTGGAACGCCGTGGGTATATCGTCTTCATCACCGTGACTTCTGCAGATGAAGAACGCATTGTTCAGTCTGAAAACCGGACCGACATCAAGGCCCTCTGGTTGGACTTGACGGCTGTAAATATCCTCGACTCGAAATCTAAGAATGGCATTGTTTGCTGATCGAGATGATTACAGAAACCATCGACTCCCTCCGAGATTCATCCTTCCTTGTTTGAACTGCGCACGCTGATCACCACACCTCAGTACCCTCACCCCGGAATGCCCCCACATACTTGCCAGCTGAGCGGTCTCATCATCGTACCCTCGCCAAACTATGCTTCCGGCCCTGTCGCAACTATTCTCCCCTCCTCCTGGGCTGACATCGTCAATGCCCGTCTCCTCTTTTCTATCCTCACAACCCAAATATTCCTCCCTTTGTTCACCCTTCGCAACAACTCTAGTACCATAATATTCGCGTACCCCTCGGTTTCATCATCTCTTGCCGCACCCTTCGCCGCGCCAGAGGTCACCGCTGTTCGGGCAATTTCCGGATTTGCGGAGTCTCTCCGACAAGAGCTCCGACTGCTAAAGTGCAAGAACGTAGACGTCGTCGAGCTTCGGATCGGAAATGTTGATCTCGGACCAGGCTATCGCAATCTGCAAAGCCAGATTACCGGAACCGAGATTCTGGCTTGGAACGACCAGCAGAGATCCCTCTACGGCCAATCCTACTTATCAAGTATCGAACAGCGCCCGGTGGCAACCACGGGCCCTGCCACGATCAAAGGATCGCCAGCTCGGCATCTGCACTACGCTGTGATGGATGCACTGGAGCCTGCATCGCGCAATTTCCTTGGATGCAAGCGATCCAAAAAGACCGTAATGTTCGTTGGCCGGGGTGCTCGGTCTTATAGTGTGATAGGTGCTTGGGTTCCGAGTGGTCTGGTTGCCTTGATGATGGGTTACCGCAGTGGACATGCGGCAGGCGACGATAGCCCCAGTGAGAGCGAGACGAGCTGGGAACGTGTCTAATGCCGATGCGCACCTCAAAGTTTAAGACGCCGACCTGTGCCATTAGCATTCATTTTAGATACAATATACTCTACTCTAACGACCAAAGTCAAGACAGCTTGACAGTACATACCTTTAAATATCCACTCTCGCAGCCTTGACAGGTGTAAATGAAAATATAAGAGTTGGTTTCGTTGAATACCAATCTTTTTCATCATATTCCCCCTCCTGACTGTTCGTCCATCCACTGGGGCCAAGTATCCTCGGTGACAGCCGGATCATCCAAACCACGGAAAATGCTGTCGAAAAGAGCTATATCAACACCCTGTAGGTCACCCCACTCCTCTCCAATACCAGGCAGGTTTGTAGGAAGCGATATATCCAAATTTGAGATTATGTGTTGTGATTCATCTAATCCACCAGTCCCGAGATTCTGCTGGGATGACTGCCGTGGATGTCGTGCTGATAACTCATGCCGACTGAGCACATTCTGCGCAGCAGAAGAGCCTGAGGGGCCCGAGGCTGTCTGAGTCGAGGCCATGGCCATCGACTCTTCCGCCGTTAAGCCTGTTCCTGGAAGCGAAGTCGATTTCGAGATAACGCCATGCTCAAAATTGATAGTACCAAAATGAGCAATGCGGATTTGCAGAGCCCTGTTACAGTCCGAAATCCTGCTACTATTCTCAAAGCCCATGTCGTCGGCGGTAGATGAGCTTGTTTTATAAACCACTCCTCTTGCAGCGTTCGCTTCTGCGGTGAGAAGTGAGCGCATAGCACGGCCAATGTCCAATGCAATAGAATCTGTGCCGTTGTCGCTCAAGGATTCTAGGATCTGGAGGGTTTGCTCCATGGTTGCACTTGTTTCATTGGGCTAAGGGCATGATTGATAATTGCGCATTGCGAAAGTCCCCGAGAACTCGGTTGAGGTCTCCTTGTCAGCATACTTCGAAGTTCGGCCGAATTCTCGGCTCTCCATCTTCATCTATAAAAGTGCCGTCCTGCATCATAGATTCCAACTCCTCAGCTCTCTATTGACATTTGATCAAATATAATAGGATTACTCAGTTCCAAGGCTACGCCTCGTACTCTTTTAGACACCAATAATGGTCAAAATAGCACTCGCAGGTGGCTCCGGCAGTAAGTCCCGACCTTGAGCAGCTACAACAGCTTTCGGATCTCCAATCCCGCAGACTATTACTGCCGGGGAAGCGACTATCTGGCATTGGTGGCGTTCACTACACTGTGCCTTGCTTATATCTCCTCGGCAAGTCAAATAGCTGATGTTGGAGCGACGGTTCCCGACGCTCTTGGGAGCATGCAGGAAGAAGGGGGTCTGTATTGTGCGGTATGGATTGGGAAAATATGTAACTCTAGAAGTTCTAAAATGACAGGCACCACATATTTAATTATACGGTGAGCTCCTTATATAAGAAAAGTTGTGAACATTCGCCAAGAAATGAATGAGTGGTAATATGTTCCGACACCAATTGATCTCAGCTGCGTGGGTTGGCCCATCCATGCTCCAAGAGAAAACATCCCCATTAATAATGAATTACGCTAAATATCGTAATAAGGCTACGTCATACAGAGTCAGGTAGTCCTCGATAATTTTTGGGGTTTACAGTCAATATGGGAATGTTTCCTTTTTCACACTACAGCCAATATGTCCTTAAACGCAGAATCTGAGTTAGATACCGAGACTTCTAGTGGCGGTTTTCTTAGTGATCTAGGACCCCCCAATCAGAACATATGTGTATAAGGGAATTACACAGTTTCTTGCAACCATGAAAATGGAACAAGATCGCCAAGAAGAAGAATCTGAGGTGAGTGAATGGGTACTCTTTACTAAGGTAAAGAAGCAGGTGTTTAGTCGTGACTTCCTAAATTGCGATGAATGTTTTCTGGACCGTCGCTGGACTTCTTATGATTCTTTCTCCCAACTTCTTCTGGCCAAAATGCCGCCTTCATCCCCTCACGAGACTGCTGCGCGAACATTTGAAAGAGAATTTTGGAGACGTCTCGAGCCAATGGGACTAGTACGGTGTATTCGAAGCGAAGGATCTGCAGCCCAGGAAGCTGAAGACGGATCGGCGAAACAACCTGACTGTCAATTTTTTCCAAAAAGACTTCCTAAAGGAAGATCTCGTTCTTGGCCTACTCTTGTGGTGGAAGTGGGGTATTCAGAATCCCCTTCGAAATTGATGTCGGATACTCGATTCTGGCTCGACAAATCGAATAATGATGTCCAAATGGTCATCATCATAAAGGTCCGCCGAGATGCACCTAGCATCGTGCTAGAAAGATGGGAACCAGTGGGCGGAAAGAAAAAACGTCTACAAGTTGTCACTGTCAGCAAGAGAGACAACAACCGGATCGACATCCAAGGCCAGCCTTTGATTATCCCTTTCGAAAAAATATTTCTCCGCCAACCTACTATTCCTAAAGAGAGGGATCTCAGCCTAGATGAAGAAGCTCTGGCGGCTATTGCGGATGATGTCTGGGACACACAAGATTTCTGAGGACTGTCGTTCCTCAGTATCAGAGCTGGGAAGTCGGCCCAATTTCTTGCCCACAATCGCCCGAGTGCGCGTGGTGTCTACAAGAACCAAGAATTTCTCAACGGTGCTTTACCAGGAACGCTTGTGCTCGCCCCCCTCGGCCGAAGCTGTTTTAGTCGTGATGACATACGGAGATTTTGGACGTCCCGATCTGAAATATTACGCAATCGTCTTCTACTATTCATAATCAATTCATGAACGGCATGAACCTTTGAGTTGAGACATATCTACCCCAGGCTGTCCTCGGCTCAGCTACTACTAGGAGGCACAGTGTAGATCATTTGACCGCTGACATTGAGCCACAAGACTTGGACTGAGCATCTGGTTCTAGTCATATTATTCTTCAAGCAATTCAGATGTCTGATTGAATGGTATTTGATTATTCTTGAGACACAGAAAATATGTAGTACGTACTACTAGAGGAACCGAAAATACCCTACTAAGATATAAATAGACATAAGTGTAAAGTCGTCAGGAAGCAGACATGAATTGCTGTCATTAGACAGGAGCCTTCATACCACCCAACTCGACCTGCGATTTGGCGATGTTGCTAAATTTCTGATGCAGCTGCGTATCATACCGAGATCTCTTGACTTCACCCTTGGTCAACCAAACGCGCAATCGGATGAGCGCCCAAGAGATACAGAAAATGACCAGGATTGCTGCAAGGATTCCGAAGCAGTATCCCGTCACCTCGCCGCTCTTGCGCCCATGCTCGGGATTCAGGAAGGAGTATGGATACCAGCCCTGACTGTAAGCGGTGATGTAAGCGACGCAGAGGTAGAAGAGTAGGATGAGAATTAGGAATGGAATAAAAATCCACGGATGCGGCGCTGTTGCCGGAAGAATGATTTCCTGGGATTTGTTAATATCATTCTCTCCGTCTACAAAATTGAGGAAGATCGGATTCGACGTACCATGAGAGCGTAGAACGAATTCAGGCCATGTTGAGAGATCTATGCCGTGTTAGGTTGGTGGCGCATTAATCTGAGGGATGCAGGGGGTTGCGGGGAGGGGAAGGTCAGACATGTTGAGGCTGATGAGGTATCAAGATTCCCCTCGTCGCGCCACGGGGAGGAACTTACGTTTGACCAACCGGGGAAGGTGGTCTTGTAAAACGGTGGCGTGAAAAGAATAGCCCAGAACACAATAGTCACTAGGAAGGGATATGTCGTGATTGTCGCATAGAGCAAGCCGTGCAAAGCGCGAAAGGCGCGTGGCCAACGGTCGAAGAGCACAGAGCACCCGGTCCTTGCATAGCAGGCCGTGTGGATGGCTGAGAAGAGGAAGTAGAAGCCGAGACCCCAGTAGGTCAACCAAGTGAAGTAGCTGAAGGATTCTCCGATTGCCACGCGATCATCATGGGTACCGTACCAAATCCAGATGACAATGATGGTGGTGAAGATGTACAAGGCAATGAGAGCGCGCAGGCCTGCGAGAACGGCGGGAGGCAGCAGCCAGGATGTTTCGAATCGGTGGAGGCCGTCGAGACTGGGATCAACCCCAAAGAGGGTCGCGCTCGGGATTTGACGCATGATGGACGAGTTTCAACCTCAAGCTTGGGATAGCGACAGGATCACAATTCCCATCACAATTCCCATCCCACTTGCGACCGGGAGATGGTCATAAATATCTATGTTTGGATCAGTTCGACTGGCCCCCCAAGCTGTCAAGGATCAGCCTTGCGCTTTGGGGGGCCTAGCGTGGCTGTTCGTTTCATGCACGAAGCTATGCGGGGGCTAATTTTGGGATGCGACCCATCCCATCCCCACTTCGAGCTCAAGCGATGCTCAAACGATGCTCACGAGATTTGAGATGTTTTCTGTAGAACACAATAAGATCCGAGTTTAGAATCAAACTGAGTTCGGCGTACATAGTATAACGAAATGCAAAGTGTGAATTAGTCGTATCGCTTGATGCATCTGCTAGTGCAAGTAGTTTGTGTACCCAAGCACCGTATTCCGTATATTTAAGTTTAGAAACACGAAAAAGCCGAACAAGGCCAAAGATAACGATCTAACGCAACTCGCCGTGCAGTGCGCCGTAATTCTGCCGGAACCCTCGAACCCCAGATTTCTCGTCACAGCGATACCAATTGTCTACAAATACGGCGTACCGTGGAAGGCTTCTGGAATCTGGCCGGTCGGAATCGCCGACATCGGTCGCTTTTCGCCACTGGTGATGGTAAAAGTAGATTCGGCGCTTGAATGCACCTGATAACCGCGCCAATGCTGCTAAACAATCTACCGCTGGAGATCCTAGAGCTCATTGTGCTCCATGTCTCCGTTCGGGACCTCTGCCATGTAATAGCAACATCGCATCGCCTTTGCGACTTATTGCAGCCGAGGCTCTTCACCAATGTGAAACTATCCGACATCTATGGATGCAAAGAGGGTCCTGCCTTGTCTTATAGAGTCAGTAAGTTTCTGTATGCTGTCGTCCGAAACCCGAGACTAGCCCATCACGTTCGTACCTTGGAAGTCTCAGGCTGGAACGTAAATGGATTCGACATTGAATATCGTGAAGAAGAAAAGAAGGCCAGATTTGACCGAGGTCTTGCCGAAAAACTAGTCGAGGAACCGCATGGGTATACTGAGGGCGAAAGGGCTCAATGGCTTGAAGACCTCGAGGAATTTCAGACCGAGGCATGGGTGGCTTTGCTACTTCCGAAATTAGAGAAGATATGGAAACTGAGCCTGGATTGGCCCCAAGATTCAACACATATCCTGAATATGTTTCGGAAGGCTGGTGATCGCAGTGAACCTGTTTTCCTCATCTCGAGGAAGTTTATACAACTTGGTGGAGAGAGGATGGTGGCTCAATACCGGCTTATTTTCTCAATCCATTTTTCAAATTCCCCTCGATGCGCAAATTGGGCTGTTCACGACTAAGAGACCAGAAACGTGAAGAATGGGGCCCCGAACTGGGCAATGATGAGCCTCCCCTGGAGAAGGATGTCCTCCAGCCGTACTGCTCAAATATCACCGCAATCGACATTGCGCAGGCATGTTGTTTTGATGGACTGCGAGAATGGATCCAAGCGTGCAAAACTCTGAAATCATTCCGGACTGTTGGTGATGGGCAGCTATCACACTCTGAATATTATGCTGGGAAACACCATGGACAAGGGGGGGGAAACTCTACGAGTCGCTTTTGCTGCACAAATCCACACTGGAGGCCATCTGGATTGACCGATCCTCGTTTGGCGATGGCAACGATGGATGGATGGGATCTTTCGCAGAATTCACCGCTTTGAAAGCTCTTGCCATCACCTTGCCAGGGCTTGTGGGAGTTGCCTACGGAGGAAACCGTCATGAAGATCCCCCACGAAAACTTCGGAAGCTCCAAGACGTCCTTCCTTCGTCGTTGGAGACACTTTATCTTGATCTGGACGAAAGATTTTGCTTCAGCCAGGCTTTAGATGATCTGTCAGACTTGGTTGCATCGAGGGAATTCCCCCAACTCGTGACAATCCATCTGAACCGCGTTATCAAACATGAGAACCGGGAGAAAGTTGCCTGGCTAAAGAAGGTCTGTGAAAAGGCCGGGGTCCAGGGATTTTTTTCACACAAACACAGAGGATATCGATACGATGTGCTCTGGATGCTGAGCAACAGGTCTCTTGAGCCAATCTGGCCTTTCAACAGGGCTGAAGACCTTGGATGGTACTTTCTTGAGGCATCAGATACGAAGTGAGCGTTGGACCTGCCTGTTCTGGAGTTTGGTAGCTGTGATTCGTATGTATATCATGGCGTTCCTAGATCTTTTACATTAGATGGCCTTGCACCGATAATCTGATTCCTCATTGCAGCAAATTCTGCCACGCGGCGAAATGCCGATCTTTGGAACAATACGAAGGTCACCGAGGTGTTGGAAGCGTATCGTAATGTAAATGCCTGTAACCCAAGGGAAGCGGTCTTAAAGGCGGTCTAGTTATTGTCTTCGACTGCGCCACATTTTGTCTCTTTCATTTTTCGGAGAAATAACATGAGAGAAGTGTGGCTGATGTGACGTGCTGATCACTGCCCACGGTAAACAACCCCCCGGACGGAGTAAACAAAGATGCCAAGGGTTGTTAAACACTAGAAAGCAGCCCAACTCGAATGCCTCATTTCCATGGACTCCACCGGACGCAGACAATTGGTGAGCCAAACAAGCACAAAGAGTGGAAGAGCCACGAAACATCCCGTGTGGGGAAAATCCGGTTCTAGAAGGCGACGATCAAACAGGATGTGAAATGGAGACCGAGGATCAATGAAAATCCATCTCAGGAGAGCTAGAGCCAATACAGATAGACTCACGTATAGGGGTATAGGGGGGGTATCTGCTCAGGTGTACCTTTGCCCTGCAGATTATGGAGCACTATTCACAGTAATGGGGAGACCGCAACCGACGGCCAATGAGGGCGGACATGCGCGCGGCCAATAGCAGCCCCAATGGCGTCAAGCACGGGTCCGTGATGGATGCCCCTGATGGGCCTCGTAGTAGCCGGGTAACTTGTGAGAGTAAAATGTATATGCGAAATAGGTTCAGTTTGTAGTACGTTTTTGTTGCTTGGGGGCCACAGGAAACGTAGATATAGTGATGCCTGCACGGAATACCCTGTACGTAAATACATGTGGCCAAGTGGGGTCCGAGGTTGATGCGGTTGACGCAGATTGAGTATCGACAGTACGTTGTCTGATTCGGTGTTGAGACGCACCTCCATGCATGTCTAGCGCCCGTCTTCTCCGTGAGACCTATTCATATCCCTTCTCCCTACGAGCCCCTAAAAACACTATTCCCTCCCCCCCCCCCACCGCCCTCCTCCCTTTCATGGGTTTTGGAAAGTGACGAATCCCTTCTACAGAGTGAAAGTGGGCCCTCCTGGCTAGTGCACGGGGCCTTTCTCTTTGCATTAAGATCGTCAGGGCCTCGCCCGTATTCTCCTTTCTGACGCAGTGCTCTCTCAACTTCTTTGCATGGGTTGATTCCTCTGTTTATCGACCTTTAGGGCTGTCATTCCTTTGGCCTTATCCGCCTTTCCGCCCGGTGTCGAACGATCCTCCGACGTCGTGTCGCCCACCGTCTCGACTCCCCCGATCCCGATTCCAAACCCTCAGGGACATGCGCACTTTGTGAATCCTGACGGAAAACACCGAGACGATCCGGAAGAAAAGGGACGTACAGGCACAGAGACCTACGATATGGCTTCGCCTTCTCGTCCCGGAGCCAAGCTGAGCGAATGTCGCTCTGCTTCTCACGACACCTGCGAGGGGGCATTCCCTCCCCCCGCATAGCACACTTGGCTGGCGCAATTCCTCCGGCGTTATCTCCCCTCGACGCATTCGCCGCTCAAGGTCGATTCCTTGCCAAACAACTCGATGAATCGCAACGAGGAGAGCGGCGCATGAGTCGCCTGCCCCCGTCCAGTGTCGCACGGTCGCTTTCACGCCCGCGCCCAGGTTATTACCGTTCGACTCAAAGCGACTCGAGAACAGAAACTTTGACCCGGCGACCGACCCAGAAAGGTCTCCCTGAGGTGGAAGAGCCAAAGTACCGGCCCGTATCAGAACACCCCCGCTTCAGTTCCATCTCCCAAGCCACCAGCGTTGCCGATAGTCAAGATGGGGATACCACGCCGCGCACTACAATGATTAGCGAGAACCCGAGCGAGCTTGGAATCCCACGGTCTGAATCGCCTTATGAGGATGCGTCGCTAGCGGACGAGGAGGGAGACTCGGTAGGCGTTGCTCTCTCCGATCGACAGTCGTCCACCGACTCGACCACCCGTCTCCATATCCCAAGGACTCTGGCACCGCCTGCCTCGCCGCATTCGCGGCCATCAAGCAGCGCCCGAGCCGCGCACCAGGAGAGTTCGGACGATGACAACAGCAGCTCGAATGGTGGTTCAACATTCTCCAAACCTCGTAAACTTTCGTCAGGAAGTACTGTCTCAATACCTTACTCACCTCTGTCTACATTCCCGGCCCGCCCTCATCCACGTTCACCATCAATGAGCTCTGAAACGTCTGGCGTCAGCTACCTCGGCCGCCCATCATTCAATTTTTCCCGTCCTCTTAGTCGATCGAGCACTAATCTCTCCGTATCGGGAGTCGAGGCGTCTCTGCCGCCGCCTACGACCCAACTGCACCAACAACCTAGCGACATGAATCGACCGACTAAACCCAGCCCGATTCTCGTTCCGTTGGCTACGGCAGAAGCTGCTCAGACGCAGCCAGCTGAGGGAGAGCCTTCTTCGGCTGTCTCTTCTTATACTTACGCCAGTTACGCGCTGCCTCGCGGGCGCGAGCTTGCCCGGGATTCAGTTATATTTGCAGGCTTGCAAACTCCTGATTTTGAGTGGAAAGGACCTATATTCGACAAAACGCCCCCCCGTCATTCAGACGATATCCCGCGCTCGGCTCATACGCCTCCACCTACCTCACAGCGTAGGATGGACTATTCACCCAAGCCACATTCGATGCATGAGGTCCCAGCACCGGAGCCAAAGGCACCAGCAATGCCTGTGTCCCCCAAGCCCGCCCCGGCAGCTACTCTGCCCACCCCGAAAGAGCTCCGCGATCTTCTGCCGAATCCACTCAGCCGCTTTCAAATGACAAGGAAGAAACTGCGTCCTCAGCAGACTCCGCTAGCACATTGCGCCCCAAGACCGCCACCACTCAGGTGCCTTCGAATAATCTCTCGGATGATGACCATGTTGCTAAGGCGATTGAATTGCACGAGAAGGGTTCTTTGAACGAATCAACGTACCACCTGCGCATTGCCGCGAAGCAGAACAATCCGACGGGTATGTTGCTTTATGCGCTGGCTTGTCGCCATGGCTGGGGAATGCGCCCGAACCAACAAGAGGGTGTCAAATGGCTACGCAAGGCTGTGGATTTAGTCGGATTGGAGATGCTCGAAAACCCTGATGCGCCTGGCGCATCCAAGGCCAAGGAAATCCAGAAGGCCTACAGAGCCCAATTTGCGCTGAGCATCTACGAAATGGGCGTCAGCTATTTGAATGGCTGGGGTATCGAGCAGAACAAGGCTCTTGCCCTACGATGCTTCGAAATCGCAGGTCAGTGGGGTGATGCGGATGCCATGGCCGAAGCCGGATTCTGTTACGCCGAGGGTGTTGGATGCAAGAAGGATATGCACAAGGCGGCTAGATTCTATCGCAATGCTGAATCCAATGGTATGAGCATTGTCGGCAACAGCTGGTAAGTCAACACCCTGATTTTGAGACTCGGCCAATACTGACCATCGAAACAGGATCTACAAGGAGAAGTACATGGAAAAGGAAAAAGAGAACAAGTCTCGTTCTCGTGGCCGAACGCACGACAACAAAAACAACAACGATACGCGCAGCAAGTCGCGCACTCGCAGCATATTTCAGCGGAAGAAGTCTGGCGCCGAGTAGGACTTTCCTCTATGCATATCGCATTTCTCCTATTATGTTTTAGGCGGGCCACTAGGCTCGACCCAAACTCCATTTGCATCAGCAATATATTTTGGAAGCGTTTACAGCCGATTTGTTCATCACTTTCAATTGCTTGACTGCCTTAGTCATTTCATCACTTTGATTCTACTTCCTGTTTTTCTCGTTTTTTCGATACCTTTCTGTTTCTATTTGCCTCGCGCATACCCCTTTTCGGCCGCCTGGGCAGCTATTATTGAATGACCTGGAATCAGGACGTCGCGTCTCGTCCTATTCTTTGGCTGACTTCTACTTCGATTCTTTGTGGATAATCCTCTTTGTCATTATTCACCGACATGGCCTCTTCTTTTTTTCTTTCCTCCTGTTCCTTATGTGGCTATCGTCTCAGGAGGCTGATCCTCCTTTCACTTCTTCTGGATATTTACCGCCTATATCTACTGTCTTTCAACAATTTCTTTCTGATTCAGCGGACGCTTGCCTGCGAGCTCCTGCTCGCGATGAATTTTATGATGCAATCAGGTCGAGCCGGATGTATTATCGTTTTCTCGCATATCTTCAGCTGGTAGTCATGCATTAATGATCTATTCCAATTGATTGCATTTTCGGCCTGTATCAAATCCAATCCTGACAGTGCAGAACGCTATGTAAGAGCGCACGGCACCAGTAATAGTAAGAAGTAGGCACTAGGGTATTTCCAGCTGACTTTTTTTTTTTTGGACTTGAAAGGCGTGAGACCCCACAATAGGTACTAGTAAGAAAAATATCCTCATGGTCGCTACTGCAAAAATTATCCGAATAATCCATATCGGCGAGTGGATATGAAGAGAAAACAAAACGAGGGAAAAAGACAAGCAACCACTCAATGGCCCGCGATTTACCACAACATAAGATAATACTAGGCCAGTCAGACCTAGAAAGAAAAGAGAGAAAAAAGCAGAACACCACCGACGCCATGAAACCGCGTCTTACGTCAAAATGCGAGTAGGAAGAGATGGAGGGTATCGAATGCACTTAGTAACCGAACGACCCATAGATCAAGAAAAGGCGGGGCTAAAAGGAATAAACAAAAACATCTGAGAAAGGTAGCGACGAATCAGCAAATCAGAAAAATCGGCCGCAAAGGAAAGTAAACTCAGCTGTCACAAGCTGCGAAGGCTTGGTCTCTGGATGGAGCAAGGGATGGGTAGGCTCATCCGGGCGAGTACACGGCGAGGCGTCACATTCAGGGCGGAAAGAGGCTCGATGGGAGCGCGCGCTGCGTTCGCTACGTGGTTTGCCTAGGACAGCGAGGTCGTAGCCGGGTATGTGCAGATACGCCTAGTGCATGTAAGATACAATATTGACTTAGTTGGAAGTTGCTTGGCTTACCTTCATAGGAGGGCTCGGAGATTCGATAGACGGCCCGGGGTCTCTGCTGTGGACTGAGGAGGCCTCCGATGGCACCGAGGCTGTGTCTTTCTCATTGAATATAGGCGTTGGGATGTCCAGAGCAGGCCTTTCAGGGCTTGCATTGGAGTTTTGGTTTGAACCGAATATTTTGAAGAAGAACATTTGGAAGTGCGATAAATGCGATAAATGTAGAGATAATTCTGGTCTAACAGGTACTAGAAATTGGTGTTTTGCGTTCTTGGAGAGTACTTGGCTATCGGTTTGCTGCGGAGGGCACTCTGTACTTTAAATAATGATTATATTACAAGTCGACGTCATGAACGATTTGTGCCAGGCTGGAAATTGAAACTGCTTTGTTACAGGCAGTGTTCGAACGCATCCAACCGCGCGGTCCAGCGAGGCGCACCACCTGGGCTTTGGGACCTATGAGATCGATCTGTCACGTACTTTAGGCTCGATTTTCAAGTTGATCGATTCGATTTATAGTAAATATAGGATATTCAAGTTTCCTATCAGAACTGGGATTTCCAACCTTGACTCCGTTCACATTACTCATCTCCTGAACTGGTCATCAACAATTTTCATGAGGGGGCATGTGGGTCAAGTTCAGGCTGGCAAAACTAGTGGACCAGGCCGGATAACATCACAGCTGATACACCAGCCTGCGCGGGGGGATTCTCGGGGGCATCAACTGCATCACGGCCGTCAGAACATCCCTGCCAGCGCACTCCCATGATAAGGAAATTCGAGTCCCCGGCGCTGCGCCGCTGGTGTTGATGCAAGCCACTAGGCACCCGAGAGAATAAGGATGCTTAGCAGCATCTGGTTGGCCAGCCTCCTTTTCTTGAGCAGTTATTGATCGACAGCTGAAGTTTGGGCGCTAGTTGGGCGCTAGCGACCGGCTGGCAGGGACCAGTGAAGGAGCGATGGACATGAGAGTCAGGCTGCTAATAGAAAATAACTCGTACTTCAATGTAGACTCATAATATACGCTAGTGGAGAGCAAATGCGGCCCATGTGTATTGTCATCCATTCAGTGTTCACTTTTTGGACTATTCGAAAGTAATCTGGCACCTCATCCCGCCTGACGATCGTCTGGATCGAAGTTTCTCCAATTACTATGCGTTCTACGGCCAGGCTAGGGACATCAAGGTTGCTAGACTGGAGGTCCTGGTAAAGCACGCGCAAACTCATCTTGAAGTTGTTCCATATTTTATAACTTGATTTCCCTTTTGTGGGGGGAGGAATCTCAAATACGGAATACGAGAGATATTGAAATCGTCAGAAGCCAATGTGGTCATGACGTTTCATGTCTAGAAAAGCTTGAGGTAGTAATGCACGAGGAATTATTTCCAGTTGTGGCCGAGCAAGGTCAGAAATTGAAATAAGATAGCATTTTTAAAGCTATGTTTCATAGAAGAGAGTATTTTTTCTCTAAGAATGCTAGCAGATGCAGTAAATCCGTCTCTAACTGCGCGCATGATTTCATGTCTCATCTTCTTTGCCAATGCTGTGGGGTAGTAGCCTCTGATCTGTCAGGGAATTGAAGGGAAATCTCCCTGTGAGAAAAGCGTTGCTCATATGCGAGTTGGAAAACACAGGCATCATCGTCAGGTAGCCACAGCGGTTGAGCGCCTGTTGTGTGTCTCTTTCGATTCTTCGCGATTCTTCGCTTTTTTTTTTTGTTGATGGAGGGATATTTTCCAGATAGATCCGATGCAAGCGTGCTCTCATCACTCGATCTCTTATCAGAGTATAGTTTGGTTGAGAATACTTCAACCGTTCATAAATGGATGACAACTGAGGATGTGACCAGAATTGCTTTTTTTGTGATGAACCAATAGTAGTGCAATCTCGAGAAGGCGTTTAGAGGTGTGACGAAGCACGCATTGGGCTGCAGTAAAAAGGTGACAGCCCCCACCTAGTCCCCCGGATGAGGGGCTAAGGGCCACTATTTCAAGCTGAGGCTGAATCTCTTGAAAATTATATCTCCAATTTCCGGACAAAGACACCCACACATCCTTATGAGCTACGCTATTACATTCGGGGATAACAATTCAGGGTTGCAGCTTGGCGTCAATAACGGGACTCTCAATTTTAACTCTGTAGGGAACATGCAGTCGACCATGTCCGGAGCTGGTGACTCTTCATCGGGAATGGGGCTTCGTCTGTTGTCTTTGGATGGAGGAGGCGTCCGTGGCTTCTCAATCATTCTAATCATTAGGAATCTCATGGAGAGAATAGACAGGGAGAACCCACCTGCGCCATGCAGATATTTCGATTTGATCGGTGGAACGTCGACTGGAGGGTTGATTGCGATCATGCTGGGTCGCATGCGAATGACCATCAAAGAGTGCGAGATAGCTTACAGGAAGCTGTTGCATGTCTTTACCCCAGTTCGTGGTGATACCGGGACCTATAGATTCGACCACAGGGCATTTGAACATGCGATTAAAATCATGCTGGTCGACCATGGCATGGATCCGGAATGTCTTCTGCAGGATCCGAGTGCAGAAGCCTGCAAGACGTAAGTTTCCAGTGGGACGATGCTATTCAGATCCAACTATCCACCTTTAAAACTGTGTACTCGCGCACAGTCCTATATAATCTTTGCAATGAATTGACTTTGCTTCACTTAGCTTCGTTTGCGCTACAAGCGAACACTTAGCCGAGAAGATCATTCTATCGAGCTATTGGAATGAAAGACGAGGTGGAGAACTCTTCAACGAGACGAAATTATGGGAGGCAGCCAGGGCGACATGTGCAGCGATAGGCCTCTTTGAACCGATTACAATTTGCGAAGAATCTTTCGTCGATGGTCAGACTGGCACGAACAACCCGGTCCAAGAGACTTGGGCAGAAGCCGCAGACATATGGCAGTTGAACAACGGCAGACTCAGATACAATGTGCAATGTTTAGTCTCTATCGGAACTGGCATTCCTGGATATACTGCCTTTGCACCGAGTCTTTCTGAGGTCGCAAAAACGCTGAAAGCCATTGCTATGGAGACTGAGGAGACGGCAGATCGGTTTCGCAGGCATTACACTGATTTATTCCAAGCAAGAAGAGCATTCAGATTTACTGTCGGTCGAGGATTGAACGATGTTGGACTGGAGGATCTTTCTAAGTTGAGTCTTATCAAAGCTGCCACTAGGAACTATTTGAGAATTGATGAAACATCCGTTGAGATGAGACATTGCGTGGAAAGGATGGAAGAAGGAGGGCACAATGCGTCTTTTGCTTAGGAGCTGTTTCGTTTGTATCTCGAAGCCCATAATAGTATAGGTATATATTATGCTCTTTATCCATGGATGTTTTTCATATTCGGACAGTTGTCTGCAGAATCAAACCTCTTGTAGATGCCTGTAGGCATGCCAAATTGATTTTCAGAAAGCTTATCCAATCCTTTTATGCAAAAATGTATACTTGGAATAGAACGCCAGCCTCATAAACAGCGCATGCCCACTGGTTACGAGGCACTTTCAAGGGTGACGGAGGTTACCAGGCTTGAAGAACTTTGAAAAAGATCGTTATCATATAAATAATTTCATTGTCGTGGCTCTGGGTACAGAAGCCTCTGTAGCTAAATAGCTCTTGATCTTTAATTTCCTACCCGGGGCGATAGCTCCAAGATGTCCTTCGTGGCTATGATTACTAGACTGCAGCATATCCGTTCCAATGGATATGAGATCTAATACCATATCCGCAACTTGCGGATCTTGTCAGGAACAAAGGACTCCGGTGGCATAATGCCATCGAAGTGAGGTTTAGTCCCCTTTGATGTGATATCGAACCCTCTGATCCGAAGTTGGGTCAATTTGGCAGGAGTAGAGTAGGGACTACAGGGCCGCTTTACATCCATGTAGTATGACTATATTATATAGCTTCGCTGCAGTATGAAGAGATTTTATTTAGACCTTCTTAACTGCACTGAGGGTTAATAGAATCCTGCATTCTTATTAACCGATTCTTGCCAGGATTCAAAATGAATTAGTAGCATATTTGGTTGAAGATGGAAGGTAGGATGAGATGTGTGCTTTTTGGTGGGGTTAACGGGTTAACTGTCTTAACGGTCCCGGGCTTAGGTGTGAGTTACGTGATCATTGTAGAACAAGCAGGGTTAGTTACATATATTTCATCTGAATACCGTACTTTACAGACCCAATTCCTGACGCTCCAACCTCCGCGGAGCTTTAGACTTCTGCCAGCCGCAAGCTTAACTACTTAACGACAGGCCTATATGTACTTCGAGATAAGCATTGCTTGCTGAAGACCTGAAATTAAAATATCGGGTCACTAACGGCCACTATGGTCCCGCCCACGCCCATCTCTATCTCCCGCTTCGCTGAAACCCAGCTCCAGCTGCTCCTCGAAGAACACGAAGCCGAGGTATCCTCCTCTTCCCTCGCAACAACAGCCGCATCCGTTTCACCCTCGACGCGGCGAACCCTACAAGCGACGGGATACGCACTGACCGGATTGGTATTGTCGCAATGCCGCACTGGCCTGGGAGGTCGCGTTGTGGGCGAATTCACGCCGGACCCTGCTACTCAGCCGAGCTCGAAATCGCAAGATGACAGCAGTGCCCGGGGTTCAGATGGACAGCCCCGTCTTGGGCAACACGGAATCCGAGTGGGAGATGTTGTGCGTGCGAATGATGTCTCGGCTGCGACGGCAAAGAAGATGGGTAAAGACAAGAGCAAGGACGGTGCGAAGGATGCGTCGAAAGGTGGCCCGGAGGGGGTTGTCACGAGGGTCAGCGATCAAGCAATCTGCGTAGCCTTTGGCCAACAAGGAAGTGGTGCAAAATCCAAAGAAGATGACGAATCTGTTGAAGAGTTGTGGGGAAAGAAGATATGGCTGTATGTTGAGATAGCATTCGTCTTATCCATTTTGAAGTGTCGTTTACTGATTTCGCTCAGCATTAAATTGGCGAATGATGTTACTTATAGGCGGTATGCATGGCGACATCCACCTGGACGTATCATTGACGGTCGCTAATACGTTGCAGAATGAAACAAACCATGGAGAAGATGGCCAAGCTAGGGGAGGGCGAGCATTCGCATTTCATGCGTCTTGCTTTCGGTCACACAACTCCCTTACAAGCGAACTACGAAGCCACCGGTCCCATTGAATTTACAGACCCGACGCTCAACGACTCTCAAAAAGATGCGATTCGGTTTGCGCTCGGCTCGCAAGACATCGCGCTTATACACGGCCCACCCGGCACCGGGAAAACGCACACGCTTATCGAGTTGATATTGCAGTTCGTCCAAAGGAAGAAGCGAATTCTCGTATGTGGCCCATCGAACGTGTCTGTCGATAATATCGTGGAACGTCTAGCTCCGAAGAAAGTGCCTGTGGTGCGGATCGGGCACCCTGCGCGTTTACTCCCTTCCGTGCTAGAACACTCACTCGAAGTCCTTACACAAACTTCAGAAGCGGCAGGAATCGTGAAAGATGTGCGCAAAGAAATGGACGAGAAACAAGCCAGCATCAGAAAGACAAAGACCGGTCGAGAGAGGCGAGCCATTTACGAGGATCTGAAGCATTTACGCAAAGAGTTTCGGGAGCGCGAATCTAAATGTGTCGACAATCTGGTTCGAGAAAGTAGCGTGGTTTTGGCGACCCTTCATGGTGCAGGGGGCCATCAGCTGAAAAACCAACAGTTCGATGTTGTCATCATCGACGAAGCCAGTCAGGCTCTCGAGGCCCAGTGTTGGATCCCTCTGCAGGGGGCGGATAAAGTGGTGCTTGCTGGTGATCACCTCCAGTTACCACCCACGGTCAAATCAGCCAACCTCAAGTCGAAAGATGGAAACGGCAAAGACAGCCAGCCCGAGAAAAAGGACACGCCTCAAAAAGAAATCCTCAAGGGCGTCTCTCTAGAACGGACTTTGTTCGATCGTTTACTAGCGTTACATGGCCCAGGGATCAAGCGGATGCTAACAACACAGTATCGCATGCATGAAAAGATCATGCGATTTCCGTCGGATGAGCTCTACGAGTCAAAATTAATAGCTGCTGACTCGGTCAAATCCCGGCTCCTTGCCGGTTTACCCTATGAGGTCCAAGGTAACGATGATACCCAAGAACCTCTTGTCTTCTGGGATACGCAGGGTGGCGACTTTCCCGAGAAAGTCGAGGATAAAGAAATTGGCCAAAAGGAAGCTCTCCTGGGAGAGAGTAAGAGCAATGAAATGGAAGCCTTGGTAGTGGCAAGGCATGTGGACAACCTTGTAGCTGCAGGTGTTAGACCGGACAGCATTGCGGTCATCACTCCTTACAATGGGCAACTAGCTCTGCTGTCTCAGATGCTTCGAGAGAGATACCCTGGGCTCGAATTGGGAAGTGTGGATGGTTTCCAGGGCCGCGAGAAAGAAGCAGTAGTAGTGAGCCTTGTTCGCAGCAACGAGGAGCACGAGGTCGGCTTTCTTGGAGAGAAGCGACGGCTGAACGGTATGCGTTCTCTATCTGCGTGATCTAAATCGGATCCCGTACTGACGATCCGCAGTGGCCATGACCCGCCCCAAGCGGCATCTCTGTATCTGCGGGGATTCAGAGACCATCAGCCGGTAAGTACTTGAGCCGATTGACGTACACAAGATGTTGAAGCGACATTAACTGGATTGGTGTAGAGGCAGCACATTCTTGAAACACTGGATGGACTTCCTGGAGGAACACGCCGATCTACGATATCCAGATGCTGGCGACCTACTGTAACACTGCGCAATTTTGGATTTGCTGCGTCCTTTCCCGCAGCATGGGGGCAGATTATGAAATAACGGTGAATCCTGGTCGTATCCGACGTGCGGATCTCTACTCTATTGGAGATCTATCAGTAGGTGAGGGATGGTGCGCTGTGCTCGGCCACCTTTTCTTTAGCCCTGTCTCGGCAGTCATAGTGCAGCCCACGAGCCTATCCAGCTTTTCTATCGTAGCGTAGATCAGTACACCTAAGGGCCCTACTAGGCTCCTAGACGCCTCCTTCGGGCTCTTGGATGTCAGGTCTGGCCGCGGTGAGATCCGGCATTAAGCGGCGTGCATGGCGGGGTGGAGAGACAAACTTGTTTCAAGACACGCAGTGCAGCGTCCGCTCCTCCAGTGACAGATCGCAGCGATAGTTACATCGGAGATACATTACTGGAAGGAGGACAAGCGTGAGGGGTCGATTGATCGCCCACGTAACCCCTCCTCTGAGGGTTGCTGTCAGCAGTGCTGATCTGACGTATGGCCGTTGAATCGACACTGAGCGCCAGCTCGAATTGGTGGCATGTGGCACTCCGGCGTCTCAGCCTTCGACAGTCGGGCACACCTTCGTGCACACCTTCGTGCAAGGTCATCATCACCCCCGGGCCTTTGAATGGCTTTCGTCGGCCTTGAAGACCCGGTCTCGGCCAGATCCAGTAGTCCCGGGCCCGTGCGGCGTTTGGAATTTGGAATCCCTGCGATCGACAGTCCGCCATGTGGTGTTTCAGACCCAAGGGGGCTTCTGAGCTGTCTTGGCTGAGGGTTTATTGGACCTGACGAAATGCTGCCAACCCCCCAGGTCTATTTGACTTCAGGTCAAAGGAGACCTGATCCTTGCCTCATGCACAATTCTTTCCTCTCAGAGTGGATGCTTCTAGACGGCCCCAAGAGCAGCTTCAAACAGCCGTTCTTCTGGCAAGCTCCACTTAGCTTCGGCTCGTGGGTCTCGCGGCATACGTTTGAAATTAGGACCCAGTCGACAGCGGTCTGAGCAGCCCCCCCTGGTCGACTGTAAATCCCTGAGGCATGGGTGGGGACGCAAGTTTAACGTAGACCGGAGGAGACCGGCTGATGAGGCCTTGAAGGCAGAAGCTCTCCTGCCTAAAACCAATGACGAGTCCCATAAAAGCAGCCTTTTGTCCATTTCGCGCGAACCACTTTAGTTAAACCTTATGCGCGCGGTCCTGCCACCAGAACGAGGCTACGATCACCCGTTAGCTGGTTTGTCGATGCAACTTCCTGGCTCCAAGCAGGCGGGAAACGTTCCTGAAGGTCGTGTGGGAAGGTTGGATACCCAGTAAAACAACAGAACCTGTGGACTCCACTATTCGAAGCTCTCCCTTTTTGACCTTCCCTTATCCTCCGGTCTTCTCTGCTCCTCTCAACTTTTGCTCTTCTCAAGCCTTTTTAACCCCGACACTCGTTTTGGCTGGGCTGTTTCTTTCGACCAATTTTTTTCCTTTTCCGCTATTGTTATTTTTCGCTATTTTGAAAGGTGTTTTCTTACTATTCTCGGTCGAGTCGTCCTGTTCTCTACACACCCGTGTGATACCGAACCATTCCCGAGACTTGCAAACGACGACTCCCTTTGGTCCGAATTTCACTGTTTGCAACATGATCATTATCCTGCTCTACACTGTATGTAGGTGCTTTCGTTTGCAGGAGCGTCCTTGCGCTAACCGGCTCTGCAGCCCGTCTCCATAGTCCGTCGACTCGACTAAATCAAACCCCTTAGTCGCTATTCGAATCATTTCTCCGCTGAATTGTTTTAATTACGACACTCTGCCTTACTTTCAACTTCTTCTCGACGCTCGCTCAGCACCCGGTTACCTTTCGAAAGCATTCCCATTCAAAACTTGACATTTGATGTTTGATCGAGCTCCATCACTTAAGCAGTTCTGTCGAGGCCTTGCCCGACTCTTGAATCGAACCTATCTCCCCTAGACATGCCTGGGAATGATCGACGGTCCCTCACGAGCGCTGGGAGTGAATCAGGCGGCGGCATCCGACCGCGGCCATCGGACGCGCGGGCTGAACAAGCGACGAATGCTATCACCCAAAATGATGCGAGTCAATTCGATACTGCACTGCCGCCGATAATATTCCAAACGCCAATCGCGCACCGCCGTACTGGAAGTACCTTGAAGACCGTCATGCGCAAGATATTCAACAGAAAACGTGAAAGTCAAACGCAAGGGGTGGAAGAGAGCCCGGGTGAGCAGTCGTACACGACACTGCAGGTCAGACGAACGGGGCCGAACGTGGAGGGGAAGTCATTTCTAGCGATTCCAACACCTACGGGCTCGAAGCAAAGCAGCCCCTTATCCGAGGAGAATCTGCAAATGGCGGAGGCTCATTTATCCCCCACCTCGCTAGGCGCTGGTTTGCCATCCCCACGGCGGCGCGCCACTCTTCCCAGTGTAATCTTCTCCGACGAGGAATCACATTACGGAGTCGCACCCAGTGCAGTCTCCGATCCCCAAGAAGATAGATCCGAGCCACACTGGGCCCACACCACACTCCGAGAACGACGAAGATCGAGGAGTACAGACGCCCTGCGGCAGCTTGCGCATGAGCAAAAGTTCCAGCAGCCCTCTCCGTGGCCGCTTCGCAAATCATCGATTCCCTCGCCCTCCGAAACTCAATCTCCTCCAAGGGCTTCTCCTCCCGGGGGCGGAAGTTCCGCTAGTGGACACTCAGTGAGGCCATCGACAGGGACCACAGTCACCAGTGTGACTCGCGCTTCTGAATCGCATTTTTCCCATGCATCACAAGTTAGCCTGCCACCCAATGTGGGAACACTAGTGCACACCATGCAGCATCACGACGGGCTGACCGTGGAACAACGCTTGAACACCATTGAGGTGAAAATGATCGACTTGGAATTTGCGATCGCTCGAATGCAATCAAACACCATGGACGCTTCCCCAACAGAGCGGTCCTCACGAACTCGACAGGCGCCAGCCCACGAGACTCCGTCTCATAAGCGGAATAAGCCGTCAAATGGATACGTAGACTCTTCTGAACGAGATGAGTCTCCTAGTCCTTTGGCCAATCTTCCCACGGCTCGACCAACAAGCACGAGTACTATTCGGCCCGAGAACACAAACTCTGGCCTCCGCCCCACGGCATCAGCATCATCATTAAATGACTTCAACGCCGTTTCGATTGAGCAGTATAGCGCATTGATTACGCTTCTTCGTCGTGAGCAGACCGCTCGCAGGAATCTGGAGTCACAGGTTTCTGGCCTACGAGACGATATCCGTCACATCCAGCGAGCTGCATTGCAGAGCATGGAGATGGGGACTACCATGTATCCCATCCACAGCGACGATTCACAGGAATTTTTGCGTTTCCGCCGTGCCCTCGACGACTCAAATTCCTCTTCTTCGCCTATCCGGTCGGACGAAGATAGAGGGCATTCTGCCTACGAAGCGGATCGTGATTGGGATCGCGACGAAATCCCCCGTCGCGATGATCCCATTGGACCGCATAAGTGGACTCATGGACAAATGGTTACGACAACTAATATGATCTAATCCCGTCTCTTTATTCACCCCCGCGCATTATGCCATTTGTTTTTTTTTCTTCTCTTCCCCCCCCCCTTTTCTCTCTTCTCTCTTCTCAAGATATCCGCCCTCTGAGGCATTCGCAAGACCTATCCCTCGATGAACTCTTTCTCATACCCCGCTTTGTTGTGCCATTATGGCTGTCTACTGTCAATCTGAGTTCAAGCGACCCTTTTCTGGATTTCCGTGTCATGTATTTTGCGACAGGCTCGCGATGCTATTACATTTCAGAAATACACGAATTTGTTCAATACAGCCCTCCTCTAGCTCATAGTAAACAGTTGCCGATCAAATGATTTTCCTGGGCCGCACGTGCTCATACCCTCGTAGCCGACCATATTTCCTGATTAGCTGGCTGATTTGCTACTAACGTCCACACCGGACTAATTAGGCCCCCCTCCCCTGGGGACCATCTACCAGTCTTGATGGACTCGTTATCGATGTAGTGCCAGTGCCGAAAGGGGAGCTGAACTAGCCTTCTCTTCTCCTCCAAGAATCTCTTGCTCCCCACCGTCACCCACCCATGAACGAGAAATTCCAATTCCACTAAAAATAGAAATAGACAAGACCGCAATGGGCGCACCGCCGAAAGACTTCACTGTCACCATTGTAGGCGGCGGGATAGGCGGCCTCACCCTCGCCGCGGGTCTCCTCAGCCGCAACGTCCCCTTCCAAATCTATGAAGCTGCCGCGGCCTTTGCAGAGGTCGGCCTGGGGGTCTCCATCGGGCCCGCGGCGCATCGCGCCATGTCGCTCATCCACCCGCGGGTCCGAGAGATCTATGACTCCCTCATCACCACCCACGCCGATAGCCCCGGCTACGAGGCGTTCCGGCAAACCTGGTTCGAGCTCCTCTGGGCCTCCGGCGCCAAAGAAGGCGACACCATGATGCGCCTGGAAGCCCTCCCATCCGGCCAGACCGCCGTGCGTCGAGCCAGTCTCCTCGAGGCGCTGGCCGGCCTGATTCCGCCCGAGATGGTCCACTTCGGGAAGCGCCTCAAGAGCTACACGGAAACCGACAGCCACGTCGAGCTGCGCTTCGAAGACGGGACAACCGTCTGCGCGGACGTGGTCATCGGCTGCGATGGCATCAAGTCCCAGATCAAGCAGTCCATGCTCCCGGAGGAATCCGCGGCCAAACCGCCTCGGTACAGTGGCATGTACGGCTACCGCGCCGTGCTCAACATGGACGACATGGTGAGTGCGGTGGGAGATCGCCGTGCGCGACTCGCGACGCTGTATCTCGGGCACGGCGCGTACGGGATCTCCTATCCCATCGCGCATGCCCAGAAAGTGAACGTGGGGCTTTTCGTGCTGCATGAGAAATGGGATGATGAGGCGTGGATCCGGCCGGCAAAGAGAGAAGATCTGATGCGGGATGCGAGCAGTATGGGTCGGTACATGAAGGCGTTGGCTGAGGTAACTATCACCCGCGGGATTTTGTGGTTGGCTTGTGAACCGCGTGAAGTTCTGATCCTAACGGTCATTCGCAGTACATGCCCGACCCGTCGCAATGGGCGCTCTTCGAGCATCCTGGGCTTTCCACGTTCTATAAGTCGCGCGTGGCGATCATGGGGGATGCGGCTCATGCGACCACGCCGCATCAGGGAGCTGGGGCGGGACAAGCCATTGAAGATGCGCACGTCCTCTGCGAGCTCCTCGGTGACTCTCGTGTCACGTCTCCCAGTCACGTAATGGCTGCGTTCAAGGCTTATGATGAAATTCGCCGACCTCGGACGCAGAAAGTGGTCGCGAGTAGCAAGGAGAATGGAGACCTTCTTTGTCTGTGTCTGGATGGTGTCGGTGATGATGAGGAGCTTATCAAACAGACTATCGAGCAACGCATGAGGGGGCTGTGGGATATTGATATCCAAGGTCAAGCGGAGCAGGCACGAAAGAAGATGGTTGAATATTTATCTTGAGTACATGGTGTCATGAGATCCAAGTGGATGCAGATTCCCACCATTTGAACATCTAGACGAGTGCGGAAGCAGAAGAGTGGTCTTCTGCACTGGAAAAATGTACATTCTACCACATTTCTCCATGAGAAGTCACGTCGAACTTTCTTGACTTTGATGATACGTCTATTATATCTATTTGAAACACAGTCACTCTTCCACAGATCCGGGCTGATAAGCGTGTGGCCGTCAAGGGATCTCAGTCTGCATCATAACTGCACGGAACATCTTATCTCGCATAGAACGGTTGTCCTTTGTCTATGCCAATTAAGATACAAAACATGCAACATGCAACCGAGATGGGATCGTCGGCAGTCGAGCAAACCCCGCCTGGCAGTCTCACTGCTAGTGCCGTTGCCATGAGGGGTAAGGTAAAAGGTACATAAGCCTTTCCATCCCCAACTTGGAATTGCTGACATCGCTCAAGCGTAAGAGTTTTTTTTTTTTTGAAACCTGAGATTGCCCTACAAGCATCAAGTGCGCGCATACCCATAGAATGGCTGACATCACCATTTCCGATGATGCTTTGAGAGACATCAAAGATAAGATCATCATTATCACCGGCAAGTTCATCCAAAAGCGAGCGATCCTGCAACCTGTCTGATCGATAATTACCAGGCGGCTCTTCTGGCATAGGCCGGGCCACCGCACAGCTTTGCGTCGACCTAGGGGCCCAAGTGGTCATCGGCGACATCAACCCTCCCAAACCGGCTTTCGCGAGCAGCGAAAACCCCAAGTTCTTCAATGTCGACGTCACGCAGTGGGAAAGCCAGCGGGAGATGTTCATGCAGACCGAAAAGCTCTTCGGTCGAATCGACCACGTCTTCGCCAACGCGGGCATCCGCCCGACGCCGGAATTCCTCGAATTCAACGTTGACGATGCCGGCGCATTCCAGCCTCCTAATCTGAAGACCATTAACGTCAACCTGATTGGCCCGATCTACACGACGCATCTGGCATGCGCCTACTTCGCGAAATTCGCTGCAGAGAAAATCCCCGCCGCTGCAAGTATTGTCCTTACCGCTTCTGCGTCTTCTCTGCAAACGTTTACTTCTGGCGATTACACTATTGCCAAGCATGGGGTGCTTGGAATCATGCGCGGCCTGGTCAATAAGTTGAAGGGCGAGGTTCGTCTCAATGCCGTTGCTCCCTCGTGGACGGATACTGGCATTATTTCGGCCGATTTGTTGAAACAAGTCGGAGTCACCACCCAACCGCCTGAAGCGGTGGCGCGCAGTGTGGCGTTCTTATTCGCCGACTCCACTCGACACGGTGATGTGATCTATAGCTGGGATAGTCAGTTCCGCGAGGTGAATAATGCTCCTGGGGGTCTCTTGGAAGCTGCTGAGAATATACTTCCCAATGTGGCGAGCGAGGAGTCTGTGATGGGGAAAGTCCTTGAGCTTTTTCGAGCGCAAGCAGAAGAAGCACGGCAAAAGGCTTAAGCCTTTTGTATTTATTCCTATGGGATAATGATATTTAGTAACTATGGTCTCGTCCAGAATATCCATGATTACATGGCCGATGCACTTGGTAGCCTCCCGCATTCTCACCCTCCGCATCCACGCCTGCATCCGGATGGTCAGTGATCTACGGAGTGCAGATGCGGGGAAATCAATCTACTGTGCGTCCTCCACGCTACTTGCCAAGAAGAAGCAGGTCCATTGTACATGCTACCTGTCAGCTTCCCCGCAAACCCCCTCTTGGACTGACATCTCGCCAGCCGAGGACCCGAAGATGCATCATGGGGCCTCGGTACTGTTCAGAGAGCATAGTAGCTACTATATCTAAGACTTGACTCGCAATTACCAGGACTCGTCTGAAGACAAGTACCCTAGAAAAAAAAATGCCTGGCTTCAACCTGACATACCCCAAGGACCGCGAGCTGACCGGCGGAGACCTGCTCGCCCAGTCTCTGAAACAACTCGGCGTCGAAGTCGCGTTTGGGCTTCATGGCGGCCATCTCGATGCGTTCCTGATGGGTTGCACGGATATTGGGATCCGCCTGGTTGATACCAGACACGAGACTGCCGCCGTGCAGGCTGCGGAAGGGTATTGTCGAGTCAGTACGAAGCCGGCGGTTTGCTTCGTGACAGCCAATAGTGGGTTAGGGCTATCTCTCTTGCTTGATGATGGCTGGTATTTACGGAGAGATCCAGTTTCTCGAATGGCCTTGCCGGCCTTGCAACAGCGTATGGAGACCGCAGCCCCATTCTCTGCATCACATCGTCGCCTCCTACACGAGACACAGAAAACAACGCGCTCCAAGGGTGCATTGATCAGATTGTCGCAGCCCGGCCAATCACCAAATTTGCCCACCGAGTCGTTGTGTCGGAGGAAATCCCTCGACTGGTGTCTCATGCGATGCGAATGGCACAATCCAGCCCACCCGGTATGCACATCTGTTGTGACAATACTTTTCTAATACTTATTTGTCTCAAGGCCCCGTGCTCCTTGATTTCCCAATAGACATCCTGTTTACTCCCGTATATCCCAAGCTCATCTCGTGGGGATCCATTGCATCACCCCCGTCGTACCCTCCAGGTGCGCATCCCAAGGCCGTGGCAGAAGCGGCGCGGTTGATCCGCAACGCGAAAAGACCTGCCATTATCACCAGCACTGGGGCGAGAGCGGTCCGGGTAAGCTGATCAGATTTCCAGATCCTCCAGAAGCCCCCGAGTTTAATGTCACTATAGGCGCGCGAGTATATCTTCCAAGTAGCCGAGACCTGCAACATTCCTGTCTTCAACACAGCCAAGTTCGCTCCTTCCAGCCCGCAATCCGCCATGCTGTCTAGCGGCGGCGCGAAGGTTCTCGCTCTGCTCGAACCGGCCCAGCAGCCTCGGCCAGACTTGATAATCCTGCTCGGGGCACGAACCGGGATGTATCTCGGCGGGCGAAGCGGTGCCATCATCCCGAACGAGAATTGCCAACTTGTCCAGGTGGACTGTGATGGAGGCGAAATCGGTCGAACCCTCCCTGTTGATCTGGGCATTGTCGCTGATACCGGAGTGTTCGCAGCTGCATTGGCGACAGAGCTGGGGACTCCGAGTACGTACCGAGGCTCAGTGGACCAGCAATGGGTCCAGTCTGTTCTGGCGCTGAGCTCCGCCGCACCACCCTTTGAGGAGGACCCGAGCGAAACAGAGACGGGGGCCTTGCATCCGTATCACGCCTTGAAACACGTCTTCTCCGCCGTGGAGCCGGGGAGTATCGTCGTGCTCGACGGAGGGGAAGCTAGTGCGTGGGCCAGCGATCTGGCTCACCTCTCGCGACCGAGTACGGTGATTACTGCGACGGGGTATCTCGGCTTTCTGGGCAATGGCTTTGGGTACACGCTTGGTTGCGCGATAGCGGCTCCGGATCGCAAGATCGTCCATATACAAGGCGACGGGTCGGCGGGGTTCCACATGATGGAGCTTGATACGTACAGACGGTTCAACTTGAATGTGCTGACTATCGTCGTCAATAACTCTTGCTGGGGTATGAGCATGAATGGGCAGGACCTTGTTTACGGAGATGGCAATGCGGCGCGGCCCGTGAGCGCTTTGAGTCCTGGGACCGAGTACGATACTGTTGCGCGAGGGCTACAGAATCACGCGGCAAAAGTCTCCAAGGTATCAGAGATTCAACGCACAGTGACAGATCTCCAACGGAAAACAGGCCCGAGTTGTATTGACTTGTTGGTGGATCGGAAGCCGGTGCATCCTATGACAACGGCTATGGTGGGCATCACAGATGATTCTGAGGCTGTCGTTGTGCCATACTATGATAATATCCCGCGAGCACATTACAAGTTTTAAGAGGAGCGAGACTTCTCGAAGTCTGTTAGGGCTGGGGATGCGGATTGATAATGGGTCATCTCTGGGGTAGTCGAGTTGATAGCATGTTGTGTAATCAATCTTCTTGAATCCGGCTATGCAACTGTAGGATACATTAACATTTGTACAAAAGAATGTCCTATGGCATCAATGAGATCGTCAAAACGAATAGGAAAGGATTGGTACAAAAGAAAAAGAGGAGGAAGAGTTTAAGGAAACGGGTAAGATAATGCGTCGAAAAAGAAAGAAGCCCATAAAAAGAAACAGGAATCTATGATCATTGAATGTGGAAAACGACAAAAAAGATCGTAGCGAGGATATATACGGAAGATAAAAACACAAGATCAGAACACAACACCATTCGTCAAAGTGGTCAGGATCCATCACATCTCCATTGGTGAGAGACTTCCTTCCTTCAGCATACTCAGATTCTTATTCAATATATTCGAGGCCTCGCAGTAGCCATTATAGGAGTTCCAGGCCATCTCCGACGCATAGTTCATACCTTTCTGAGCAAAGCTCTCCAGGACAATCTGGCACCAGCGGTACCGAGGAAGAGACCGGTCCTTGAAAAATTGCGTTGCAACCCATAAAGCAGGCAAAAGCGGCTGCCTCATAGCTAAGCCATGAGTGCCTTTGTCGCAGAGAGCGACCGACTCGCAAATACGGTTCGCGAACACGCCCGCTGCCTTTTCGAAATCCGGGCATGTTCGTGGGCTATGTTCCCATTGCTGAAAGACGAAGTTGCATTCGTTGACGAACCACGTGCGCGATACTCCATATGAGCCATCCGGCAAGAGGGCATCTTCCCTGGCAAGGCTGAAATTCGTTTGTCTCATCACGGTAGACATTTCACTGTAGATGATAACGAATCCGGTCCACGATAGCAGAAGGAACTGTGCCGTATTGCGGCCCGGGAAGTTGATTGCCCTTTGGAAGAGACTTATGAGATCGGGCGAGCCTTGCAGAAGATGAATGTCCGTCATGGCTATCGGGTAGTTCGGGAACGGACATGCCTCCTGTTTAGACAGGAAATCCGTGTAGCATTGTTGTAATCGTGCTTCGGTCTCGAGGAACCGATCTATGAATTTGCCCTTCAAATGTTGACGTTGCGAGGAGCCGTAGTTTCCGCAGACAATCTTGTCTGAGAGCTCTTGAATGCACGGGACATCGAGCATAATGTCCAGGAGATGCTCAAAGGGTCTGCCCTTGGATACACGACGGCGCCATTCTGGGCGGGCAAGGAACGTCGACTCTCGCCTTCCACAGGCATCATACAGCTAGCTGCTAGTCAGTATCTGTACCTTGCTGATATGACTGAATGGCAATTGCTTACAGCACATGTGCGAATCCGACACAAGAGGCTTCGGTCGATGCGCGCCTCGGGGCCTTGCTCTTCAAGAAGCTTCCACGCTGCTTGAGCGTGCACAATCCAGGAGTCAAATCTGCCTCGTTCACAATTATACAGCTGGAACGGTTCAGTATGGCTCGTGTTCCCGCCAAGTCAGGAGAATATTCTTACCTGGTAAATTGCCAATACGGTAGCAGCACCGAGAATATCGACCACTTGAGAGTGCTCTGCCGTGGACACACGAGCAAGCCGCTGCGTCACACAGCTAAAGTACGCATTTCCCTGTCCTCGAGCTCCGCTTTCCCTCTCTTTCGACCAATAAAAGACAAGCTTAATGCCTCCAAGGCCATGTTCAAGAGAGGCCCTCGCTTCGAATTCCTCGAAAGAGACTCCAGCCACGAGAGGGACGTGACGCCGTCCACGGCTGGTCGCTCTTGATTGATCTCCGTGGGGAGGTACTCGGACATGAACGCGCGGAATAGCTCCGCACTGGGAATGCTTCCTTCCAGTCGAAGGCTGCTAATAGGAACCTTGGGGTCGAGCCCAATATTTCCGTCTCTGGGGCGAGACAGTCCAGGACCGTAGATCATGCTCCCTTCGGTTCGTACTGGGATGCACTGTCTATGGCTTTTCTGGCAAGTGTCACAGGCTGGCAAAGCACCATTGCACTATCATTCGCTTGTTAGATTATCACCACTGTAAGACCACTGGTAAACATGACATACCTTGACCTTGCGCTTGCGGCATGTCTCGCAAGTGACAGACTTCCATCTTGGTCGAACCATACTGACTTAAGCTCGTATATTATCGCGTCAATCAATGTAGTTCTCGAATGCTATCTTTGATCCAGTCTGCATTCCAGTGGAATCCGGTCGGTTTAATAAAGTTCATGATATGCAGAGGAATTGCAAGAATTGTAGAAGATCTAAGACATTCTTCATAAATTGCATGCATTGAACTTGCGCTAATCGACCAACGGCCAAGTTTGATTTGCAAAGCTGAGCAGGGCTCCTTGCAACTTTTTTCCAAATCAGCCCTATACATGCCTGCGCCCGATGACTGCTGGGCCATTTTTCCACCCTTGAGGAGGCCATTGTGCTGCAGAACTGGGGGCGGGCTCGTTAGCCTGAAGGCTTAGTGGCTCATTTAGCTAGTGGGGGCTGTTGACGAGACCATCTTTACCATCTTGTGGCATTTGGAAGTATTCTGAAGACCCGAATCAAGGCTTACTTACCGGGGTAGACAAGGCGTCTTATGTCTTTTCAGGCAATGTCTGATCAGCCTCGCAGCGGACTGGGGATTCTTCCGAAGACTCCCATGTTTCACAGTAAATTTGATGGAGAAACCCCATCTCCATCAACCCCATAACCCCCGGCACAGCCAGAGGTAGAATTAACGTCAAGCGATGCAGCTCATAGACCTATTTTTGGAACGGGAGCGCTAGACCGAAAACACTAACGCACGCTCGTGCAGATTGGGGCGCAGGCACAACCCGGCGGCTACTTGTACTGCGTAACTTGTGAATTCGTCGGGAGTGGGGAAAGAAGTCGCAGACGGGGATCGGGGCCATGCAATCTGGCGATCTATAGCCTGGCCAGCCTGACTTGGCCATGGCCCTTGGAGGCCCTCATCTGGGGGATTTTTGCGCACGCGATATCGACTGTGCAGCAGGGCCCTCCGCTTTTGGTCCACTTTTTTTTCTCCGTACTGGACGTGTTTTGTCCTCCTGGTCCCTGGGATGCACTGGCTTCGTTTCGGGTGCCCCTCGGGGCTGTTCAGCCCTCGAGAAAAGGCTTTTCTGACAAGTTGACAAGTGTGCCTTGTCTGGGTGGAGAATTTATTCTTAGAACGTGGGGTTGTCGTTTTGCAGATAATTTGACTGTGCAGGACTGGACAATTACATCAACCAGTAAAGCAAGGTGTTGGGGCAATGTTTCATGATACTGAAGAAACTGTGAAGAATGACAATCTCGGAGGCCTAAAGGGTAAGCTGCTATCTTCTGTTGCGCGGGCGTTCTTTGTTCTTTCTTTCTTTTTTTTTTTTGACAGCGGGAAAATTGGAAGGATGGCGCCCCCTACAAGCTTATTAGGACAGCCCATGTCTGAGCTGGCACGCAGTAACATGGAAGAGAGATCATAGTCCGTGTCGACGGTCCTAATCGGCGGGTACATTCAAATAAGAACTTGACACGCTACCATCCGTACAGTCTGCATCAGGGTTATCAACATTCTATGGCTAAATAAGACTATTTGTACATGGGGGAAACATCAATCCACCCTAGAAAGAAATTTACAACAATCATTGGACCTAGACCCCCATTTGGCATTGCCATCTCTATGGGCAGGTCGCCAAGGGATACATAAGTCCCCATTAGACACTCTCAATCTTGATCTTCGGCTCTTCCAGCTCAGGGTCCGTCTTGAAAACAGGCACAGTCCCTCTAATCTCGCTCTTGCAAAGTTTAGTCCCGGCAAGATAGCACTCCCCACAACGCCGTTTAACAGGCAAGCAGACCGTTTGCCCCAACCCAACAAGCAACTTATTGATCTCATGCCACTTATCGCGCGGCAGCCAGGACTGCAAGGCGTGCCGAGTCTCCTCGGGGGGTCTTCGTCTTATTCCAGCCCCACAGATTCGTGATTCGGTGAACATGCACATCCACGCCAATCCCCAGATGCTTTCCCCACGCAGCACTCATACAGAGGTAGGCCATCTTAGGACCGATGCCTGGTAGAGCCATCAGGCCTTCTGGTGTTGACGGGATATCGCCATCGTATTGATCCCGAAGGATCAGGGCTGCAGCTTTGATGTACTTTGTTTTGTTATTGTGGAAGCCGACGGTATGGATGAGCTCGTTTAGCCTGCTCGGTTCCACCGCGAGAATGTTCTTTAGATTGAGGGTGCTGTCTTTCTCAATGATCTTGGCTTCGTCGCCTTCGCTTTTCACCTTGGTCTCCGCCGCCTCGGCTCCCTCGCCAAGCTCGGTATGCAATCGCTGCATCGCAACAGCCGTGACCGTATCCTTCGTTTGCGATGAGAGCATCAGGGCGATAAGCGTCTGGAACCTGCGGTCCTGCGGCGACGAAGCACGCCAGTACAGCTCTGCACAGCCCATGGTATCCACCGGGGCCGTGGGGTTGTCCTCACGCATCTTCTTCACCGTATTATACATAACCTCCCAATTCGAGGGCGGCTCGACCACAACCTCCCCGGCCGCATCACGAGTCTTTCTCGCCGGCATCCGACGGGCTCTGGCGGGGGCACTCGGTTTGGCCTCGGGTTCCTCCTTGGTAACCGTTGGATTGCGTGCGGCTCGGGAAGGGGCACGGGGGGAGGTGCCACTCGGGTTGCGTTTCTGGCGCTTTGGCCGCGGCTGCATCAGATCTTCGATGTCGGCCGTATCTGCCGACGATAACGAGGAATCGGTTCCTGGAGAGGCTCGTGTGACGGGAGGGATATCCTCCTCCTTTACGCCGGCAGCATTGTAGGCGAAGCTGCGCAGTCCGCTGCTATTCAACGACGAGTTGCGCGTTTGGCGACGCGTAGACGAGAGAGCTTGGAAGACCTTGGCGGTATCCTGCGAGGCCTTGGAGGTCCGCATATTTTGGCGAGAATGAAGAAAACAAAACCAAAGAAGAAACCAGAAATCAAAAATCAAAAATCAAAGATAGACGTCAACTGCGGAGCAAGGGATTTCACATGGAGACGGAGCCCGTGGATCGCGGATGGGGTGGATCCCCCCATCGAGAAAAGGGTTTCCCCAGCCTCGGATGATCCCAGCTGCATTTCTCCGGCTCACCAGTCGTCAAGTCGCATTTGCTTTCCCGCCCACATTCCTCCCCGCCATTCCAGGCATCTATCCCATACGATGGCAGCTCCATCCACTTCAACGACTCAGCGTCTCCTGCGGGAGCTGAAGGACTACGCGAAGTCGCCCAACGAAGCTCTACTGCACCTCGGCCCCGTGGACGAGGAGGATCTACTGCGGTGGGAAGCCGTGCTCAAGGGCGTCAACGGGTCTCCGTACGAAGGTATGGCATCTCGAGGGAGTTTCCGTATCGCGATAAATACCCTCGGTCGCTTTCTACTCTATTAGTTGGGATTGTGATCGCTGACTGGATTTCCACAAAAGGCGGCCTCTGGCACCTGCGCATTGCGATCCCCCCCAACTACCCTCTCGCGCCGCCGACAATCCATTTCACGACCCGCATCTCCCACCCTAATATCTCCTTCTCGACGGGCGAAATCTGCCTCACCCTCCTGACGACCGAGCACTGGAGCCCTGTGTACACCCTCTCAACGACACTCACCGCCATCCACCAGCTCCTCACCGACCCGCAGCCGGACTCGCCGTTGAATGTCGATGTCGCTGCCCTGCTCCGTGATGGAGACATACCCGCTTGGGAAAGCGTAGTGCGGTATTGGACTGGCGAGGAGCGATGGCAAGGAGCAGGAAACCTAGGACGGTGATGTCGGCATGAACGATGGGAGAGAATGCCTGCTACTGAGGAAGCTTAGCGTGTGCGACGGGTACGGAAAGAGGATGGTGGGATAATGGGAGATTTGCGTAATGCCACTGGACACTGCCCAGGTGGCAGCATTCCTGCGCTTGTGGCGCTAACATCCTCCCCGCTGCACAGTTTCAGGATATACATTCGGATCTGAATTTGGATTTATTTTTCCTTCTTACGCGATATACGAGAACCTATACCATTTACTGGAGAATGACACTGTGGACGATTGGCATTGAAGCTCATTGTATTTTGTCTTCCCGGATTCGATAGACGCCTATCATTGAAGTCTTGAACGATAAGAGTACATGCTGAGGACGGGGCCCAGTCTATCCCGCTGAAACTGACAATTGAAAAAGCCTGGAAATGAGAACCCATTTGATGCAAAACGCCTGGTGAGAGAAAGGAAAGACATGAGGTGGGAGTCATAAGGATCGTGAGGTGACAAAGTCACAGGCTATGCTGGGAAACCGCTGGCTGGAAATAAAAACAAATCGGGGACTGCGAGGGCGAACACAAGGTCCTCGAATAGAAACATCGAAACAGGACAACGCGGAAAGCTCCTTAGAGAGCCATGGCGACGACTACGGCACCGCCGACCATTGCCACTACCTCCTTGGCCAGGGCAGTGGGCTGGGCAACACCATTGGTCTGAAGTCCTGGCTTGCCAGTCGTACCGCTGTTGCCCGAGGCTCCGGTAGGCCGGACGTGAATCACATCCACGGATGTGAGCGTGGTCAGGCTGCCGTTGGGCAGGGTGGAAGTGCTCTCGAAAGTCGAGGTAGAAAGACTTTCCGAGCTCGTGGTGTGGTGCTCTGTGGTGGACGACGCGGAAGAGGTGGTCGAGGTGGTCGAGGTGGTGGCGGTAGTGGTGAAAGTCGACTGAGCAGAAGTAGTAGTAGTGCTGGTGCTGGAGGTGGTACTTTGAGTTGAAGTAGTAGGAGCAGAGGTGACTTGAGAAGTGGTCGTCGCCGCAGTGGTCGTAGTCTGAGGGACCGAAGTGGTGGAGGGCTCCGAGGTACTTGGAGCCACGGTGCTAGAGGTCGACACATCGGTGGAGGGCTGCGTAGTGGAGGTTGGGACAGCCGTGGTGGACTCTGTAGGCTCGGCGGAAGAGGTAGGCTCAGTGGACGATTCAGTGGAAGACTCGCTAGCCACGGCACTGGTGGGAGCAGCAGAGGATACGACTGAGGTCGTAGCATTGCTCTCACGTCTGATGAGCTTCAAGACGCTAGCAATCTTCTCATCCTCCTCTTGAAGGGCCTCAGCGGCCTCATTGTCAGTGGGAAAGATTCCATGCTTGAATCTGGCGGACAGGGCATGCAGAGCATCGTGAAGAGGGTCCACGGTGTTGCCATTCTGGGTGTCCTGGTTGGACTCACGGGGGACAATCTTGTCCACGACAGCTGACTGCTCGACCGCAAAGACAGCGGACAGCAACATCAGAGCCACGAACAGCATCTGGAAGAGATTGAAATGCGCCATTATGGGTTATGGGTATGGTTTTGTGGGGGAGGAGGGGGAGGAGGGGAGAGGTGATGTGAACCGTCTGCTGAGGACCCTCGGGGGGAAAAAGAAGAAAGGAATCCAAAACGCAAGAGAAAGATCGAACGTTGAGATGAGGCCTAGTGAGGAAGGAAAACCCCCGATAAGCCAAATCCCCGCCCATGCAGCAGAACTGGTTCTTGAGTTGCTCACTTACGCACTAAGCCCGAACTAGGCCCACTATTTACTCACTAGCCTTCCCTAGGCGGGGATTCCCACAGCGAAGCCATACTGGTGGCCCAATGGCAGCTCAGGTTCCACTGCTCGTGCCCGTCGAACTGCTGGTATTCCTTGATACTCGTTGTGCCGATCATTCTAGATCGCCGTTTTTCTATCTTTGACACATTCCACGGCTTTCAATCGGCTAACAGCTTTCTTGTGAACGCACCTCAGCAGTGATATCCTACGTGATCTATTTTGCACTTTGCTGTGGTGCCTAAGGCGAGGAAGCTTGTGTGACTGCAGGGTTCAAAAAAAGTCGCATGAGGAGCTGCGCAGCGGGTGCTGATTGGCTGCGTGTCAGTGCTGAAAATAGCCCCAGTGTCCGTACTCGTCCTCGCCACACTTCATCTATTGTGTGGGGACGAATTGGAATCCAGTTCTTCTTCTGGTTTCTGATCCTACAGAATGTCGTAAATAGTAAACAAACAAAAGTACGAAGATGGAGGGATTAGAAGCTGGCTGAGATCCGTGGTTGTATTTCCGGATCAGGCGGCTGCAACAGATGGTGTGATCTGCATGAAAATAGAACAGAAAGAATTCGAGGAAACTGGGTTCCATGGCTCACCATCTACCCCCGAGAGTCTAAAAAGGACAGAAAACAAGGAGCTTGTTCCGCTTGGATCACATTGGTACCGCCTCTATCCGTGGAAAGGGTGCTCATACTTTTCCTGGCTCTAGATTTTTTTTTTTACATTGGACCCAACATATCGACATTTCCTGCAAGGACAAAGTAAGAAGCAAACAACCACTGAGACCATATCCACCGATGACATCTGCCGCCTCGGAGCCTAACATTTTTACACTCGACGCGAACTTAGGTATACATGTAGCAATACTGGTGGCCTTTCGGGTCCATGACCTCACGGATCGGTCGCGGCCGATCGAGAACTCCAAACTCCATCATGGTGTCTGGTGTGACGACTGTCGAGGTCGGCGGATTCAGGAACCCGTCTGTACCATTGAGAGCGTATCGCCGATTAGGTTCATCCATGGCTTGCCACTCAGCCCAGAGTCGGTCAATCATGGAGTGATGGAGCATGAAAGCCGGGTCTTGCGGGGAGGCGAAGAGATCTGAATGTGTTGCTCCCAGACTCCAATGCCCGCCGCCGTGGATGCCCAGAGACCCATTCATGACGAACGGATTGTGGTCCAGGACGAGCTGGAAATCAGCGATGGAGTCGGTCATTATGAGATCCTCAATCACGGTGGCATTGGTGTACGTGGAGGAGACATAAGTATTCAGACTTCGGTTCAGACAGCGCGGATTATACTCGAATTGCGGCGGTGGCGGCGGTCCCGGAGCATCGAAATCGTGCGAAAAAGGGCCTAGATGGATCTCCATGTCTTTGAAGGGACCACATCGCGTACAGCCTCCACCAGTGCCGCGCGGAACAGTCACCCAGCCCGGTGGGACTTCGGACGGCTGTTCGTCGGAATTGTATTCCCCGTCGCCCGAGAGGGACGTGTCGGAGCAGTCAAAAAGGGGACTGGAAGCAAGATCATCTGCCCACAACGCCCAATTCCAGTACCTGATATGCGGGAACGGGTCAGCATTAGCACACAACCGTTGCGTAAGGGACTCACGGGAGGTAGCCGGAATATCCACATTCTTTTCGAATGGCCATTTCCCACAAATGGAGGAAATGACGATGCCAAGGCAGAAAGAGTCCACTATAGTGGACATGAAGGGTGTAGTTGATATGGGTCCTAAGTTTTGCCCAGTAAGCCCGCGCTGCGCCTCACAGAGGAATCCTTGTCCAAAAACAAGACCGAGACCTACGCTACAAAATCATCAAATCGGCTCCGGACGCCTGGAAACTGGGCAGTCGGGAGTCGTGGCGGCTGCTTCTGCATACACAAGACGGAGTTTGTGTAATCAATACGATCGGCTGGTTGCATTTCCCCCCTGGATGTGGGTCAGTGCCATCAGACAAGGTTTGTCTCACCCAGCAGATGTAACTATACCATTCTTTCCGAAGGCCCAGATACTCTGATGTGCAGGTTCTCCGGTCCAAGCCCAACGGACTTGTGCGCACCAGTCCGCCGTAGACTAGAAACAGCCACGCTATCTGAACCCAAACCATAGACCTTGTTTGTATGCTCAGACTCTTTTCTTTGTCTTTTCGAATCGGACTAGAGAGACTCGGCGTTGTGTGCAGGCGAATGTGGACTCGAAGTTATGTTCAAAATCCTATGATAGCACGAGCGCGAGGATATGGCATAGTCATTGAAGCTCAATTGCCAGTTCTGAATCGGCATCTACCTCTTTAAATACCTGGATTCGCGGACTAGGTTTACCGAAGCTTTTCTCCGGAAAGCTAGTGTTGCGTGATTCCATCGGGGTTCAAGAGGACATCCCAACCTATGTCAGCCTACAGGCACCGGGGGACGCCTCGGGCTATGTCCTCGATCTGCGATCTACACATGGCGGCCCCGGGTCCGGGCTGAGTGTGATGGAAATACGAGCTTGCCTCGTGAATAAGATGTAAGGGATAGAGCCAGTCACCGAAGATACCAGCTGCATGCCTTGCTCTGCAGTTGGCACGTCAGTTTATGAGAACTTGAACAAGCCCAGATATCTAAAGAGGACGGTGTTCCTCGAGCATAGGAGCTCGCAAAACTCAATATCTCATATCGAGCTGTTTGCTTTGCTTCGTTGGTTTTTATCCTCGAAATCACATCGCTCGGGTGAATCACTGGCCAATCTAATTCCGATTCGGATAAACCTGCCCAATCGCAATCGTCCATCGCCGACCCAATCTCAAGACGCAGATACTCCAGCATCCTACCAGGTGATCCGTGAGACTGCAAGTCTCAAGCACTTAACAGAGCTGAAAGTAGGACATTGGAGCTGAAGGTGAAACATTGGAGCTGAATACGAGACTGAATGTTGTTGATCCAGGCTTCATATCTGGCCGTTTTGGGCTGATTTACAACCCGAATTCCCAACACAATACGACCGGGCTACTCTCCTTGAAAGAGACGTAGCACAAAAAGATCTGATCCTGATGATAAGGGACCCACGTGGCAATGAGATCCATGGATCCCATGCTGGGGAGCTCTCGTATAAGCGTAAGCGCCAGGAGTAAGCCTCAGTCACGCTTCGGACGTAGTATGCAGCATGTCCTTCACTAAGAGCGGCAAGTTAGACCTTCAGCTCGGTAAACATTTCGAGTTTGCGGTTGGCGGGCAATGCTCTGAACGTCCACGTTGCATGCTCCTTTCAGGACGTCAGCACGTGTCAGAGTGTGATTAGACAAGGTTTCAGGCTTGCTAGATACCATCCCTCCACAATTATATGCAGAACTTATGAATTATGAACCTCGAACCAGGGTGGCCGTCTTGCAAAATGGACTGAACTATGAGTCAAGTGGAAGTCTATCATCAACATGTCCAGTATACTAGTATGAAGACAGACCGTGCTAATACAAAAGTCTGGGCATGAACGATGGAAGCAAGACGTGCATCTAGTCAAAATTATTCCCATTTGCGCTCATATACCGCGGTCCACTCTCCCCACCCGAGGACTTTTCCTTCGATATCTTTCGCAATCTCGTCGATGCTTGGCAGTGCGCTGAGGTGGGTTGTATCCACCGGTTGACTGAGTGCAACAATCGTAAAGAAATACCTATGAGGTCCATGTCCTACCAACGGCCTAGGAGGAATATAGATGATACCTCGTCTGTTCTTGCCGTACTTGAATCCCCCTTGGAGCGCATAAGGACTCTGCGCCGCAGCAAAGTCGCTTTCGCCCACGCTGGTCTTTGCAGGAGAAATGCCATAGTAGATCCCGTGTACACTAGGTCTGCTGAGCGGTGCATCGGGGTCCTCACTAACAAGGAGGAACTCCTTCGTGTCGGGCGGTGCGCCCTCCCAGGTCAAACTAGGAAAGCGCCCCTTGCCATCCGCCGAGTGATCTAGAAGCATCTGTGACCCAGGCGGACCAACCTCTGGGCAGCTAAGCTGGAAGGTCGGCTTAGGAATTTTAGAAAAAGCCGCGGTTTTGGTAAAGAGCCCTGCGTCTCGACCTTTGGCACTAGCAAGTAGGCGGCTGATGCCATACTCGACATATTTCAGCTAAACAAGGTTGTTAGATGTAGAACACACCGCGAGGATGGGTTCGGGTTGCACCATCGGGCGACAAGGTCTTACCATTGTGTTGCCTGGTAGCAGATTATAATGATTCTGCCAGGGAAATCAGATGCGAAAACGAGAAGTTGGCGTCGTCCTCGTGTCTGCGCTTGGATTTATTGGACGCCTTATTGTTGACCGGCCCGCTTTCGGCCCGTTCGCGGCGATGGGCGTCGCTATTCGCAATTCGCTTTTGTGCATCGAGATATCTGTTCTTGTCAAATTCTGTGTGTCTTGGACACACTACCTGCCTTACTCGTGGTAAACCTTACCGATTATGGCAGACAGAGTAGATGCGGGAATGAACAACCCGCATTTCTCGGGCGCTAATAATCCGGGGTCCAACCCAACCCATGCAGAGTGCTTCTAGGGCTCCTAGTACTTTCCGACCACCCTATGTAAGTGTCGCCCTTCAAGGGTCAGGACATGTCACATGGGCTCGAGATGTAACCGAGAAATATACATCAAAGCTAAGAGATGACATTGTCGATCGATTGCGGGGCACGGGAAATGATTCCTGGGGAGCCTGCCGAGGTTCACATGGAGGCTAAATAGAAGCCCGTTCGCCCCAGGCTGGATAACTTCAACCTGATACGCTGTTGGCCGGAAGATATGTCTGCTGCACTCGACTATGTGGATGAGCGGCTTGATACGTTTGCAGCTCTATGGGCTGCAGTAGTCGCGACTTGGTCACCTCAAAAGATTGAGTTTGTGGGTACTCTGCTGACACAGGTTGTATCTTTCTGGATTCCTTCGATCATCTATCTATGCCTGGATTATATTATGCCTTCTTTCTCAGAACGGCACAAGATCCAGCCCGCACCTAAGCAGCCAACTCGGCAGGACATTGTGCGTTGCTTCGTGGTGGTAACCCAGAATCAACTCTTGTCTTCGGTTCTTCATGCAACCCTTCTCCTCGTGTCGAGCCAGGCAGGATCAAGTTCCTCCTACCGTATCGAGGCTTCTTTACCAGGTGCAGGGGAACTCATTCGTGATTTTGTCATCTGCCTGCTCCTACGCGAGACGTTGTTCTACTATAGCCATCGCCTGTTACACGTCCCGTCTCTCTATCGACGCATCCACAAGAAACACCACAAATTCACTGCGCCCATTGCATTGGCCGCGCAATATGCCCATCCCGTCGAACAGATTTTTGCCAATGCACTTCCTATCTCACTGCCGCCGCAACTACTCAGGAGCCACGTCCTGACCTTTTGGGTATTTTTGGCGTGGGAATTGTTCAACACTGCGACTGTCCATAGTGGATATGACTTTTTTCACAACAAGGCCAAAGACCACGATCTTCACCACGAGAAGTTCAATTTAAACTATGGGTCAATCGGGCTGCTGGACTCAATACATGGCACAAACAAGCTTGGAAAGCGACACTCGGATTAGCTTGGGTGCCTTGGGAGCAGTAGCTTCGAGAATGAAGATAGCCTCCGTTGATTAGTGTCTACAATCTCTAGATTCAATCCGCCAAGATAGTCGGATTCTTTCATTTTATGGTCTTTCATATGACGGGGCTGTGGCCTTGGCCCGGCCAGCCTCCGCGTCATGCCAAGCCAATATCGATGGTTACTGCGTACAAAGAGACCTTCGAGATCGAAGATCGATCATGCCACCCCCCCCCCTCCACACCTCCCTCCCGCCGGCCAGGGAAACAGATATTCAATTATTAAATGCCTACTGTTTTCGGGTGGTGGAGAACGCGTGGCCCTGAGCAAAACACGGGGTGTCGCGTTTGTTTCATTGTGCTACCCGGCAAGTACCATGACCAGCACCGGCGTTCAAGACACGTCTCACACCGATCCCCAAAGTAGCTCTCCGATTTTGCAGCATCGAAAATGAGTCTGATTGAAGGCGTTAAATATTAAGGACCCCGGGTATATCCACCTTGAAGTCCTCACTCACTTGCCCAGACTGCCCAGACTGCCCAGTCTGTCCCTTGCATAAAGATCGGCAGAGTTAACTATCCATCAATGGGCGACGAACGGGGATTAGTAGCTACCCAATAGGAGGTGACGGCTATATGCAGGGCTTAAACCTATACGGCGCGTACTTTTGGATTGAGGCGGAGCATTCTGGAGTGTCACACGCTATAACAAGACACTACACCCCAAGGTCGCCCCTTCCCCATCCCTACATTTTCGACCTCTCCTTCGCTCCTGCCTTGTCTTTTTGGTCTTTTTGGAGCTTTTTGCTCGATCCATTCGCTTTCCCCCCCTTTTCACTCGTTTCAACGCCCATATATTCACCAACTCGTCCAATCGTTCTCGCCAGAAAATCGTTTCAAGATGAAGGGAAAGATCGCATCTCTCGCCTCGTTGGTGCTGAGTGCATCCTGCTGTGCTGGGATCCCCTGCAGTCTCTGCGAAGCGCGATAGCATCACCCCGATTACTGTCAAGGGCAATGCCTTCTTCAAAGGTAACGAGCGTTTCTACATCCGCGGTGTCGACTATCAGCCCGGTGGCTCCTCCAAGCTTGCCGATCCCATTGCCGACTCCGACGGCTGCAAGCGCGACATCGAAAAGTTCAAGGACCTGGGTCTGAACACAGTGCGTGTGTACTCTGTCGACAATTCCAAGAACCATGACGAGTGCATGAAGGCACTGGCGGACGCGGGAATCTACTTGGTCCTGGATGTGAACACCCCCAAGTATGCTATCAACCGAGCCGACCCTAAGAGGTCTTACAACGACGTGTATCTCCAATACATTTTCGCCACTGTTGAGATGTTCGCCAAGTACGACAACACTTTGGCGTTCTTCTCCGGAAACGAAGTTATCAACGACGGTCCTTCTTCCGCTGCTGCGCCATATGTGAAGGCGGTTACCCGTGATATTCGCGCCTTCCTTCGAGCTCGCAAGTTGCGTCACGTACCCGTTGGATACTCTGCTGTACGTATTACGAACATGGAATTCCACACACCAAAGCTAACCCTTAATTAGGCCGATATTGACACCAACCGTCTCGAGATGGCTGAGTACATGAACTGCGGTACAGATGACGAGCGCAGCGATTTCTTTGCTTTCAATGACTACTCTTGGTGCGACCCTTCCTCCTTCCAGATCTCCGGCTGGGACCAGAAGGTCAAGAACTTCACTGGATATGGTCTTCCCTTGTTCCTTTCTGAGTATGGCTGCAACACCAACGAGCGCAAGTTCCAAGAGGTCAGCTCGCTGTATTCCACCGACATGACTGGTGTTTACTCTGGTGGTCTGGTCTACGAGTACTCGGAGGAGAGCAGCAAGTATGGCTTGGTGAAGATTGATGGGAGCAAGGTCAAGGAGCTTGGCGACTACAGTGCTCTGAAGGAAGCTTTCGACAAGACCTCCAACCCCCAGGGCGATGGTAACTATAACAGCACCGGTGGCGCCAATCCGTGCCCCAAGAAGCATGCGCCCACTTGGGATGTTGATAGTGATAACCTGCCCGCTATTCCTGAGCCTGCCAAGAAGTACATGACCCAGGGCGCTGGCAAAGGTCAGGGTTTCGAGGGCGACGGCAGCATGGAGGCCGGGACTGAATCCACCGCTACAGCCTCCCCGGGCTCTGGGTCGTCTGTGCCTTCCAGCACGTCCAGTACAGGTGCGGCTGCTACTACTTCCGAGGGTGCGGCTGCTAGCCTCTATGCACCCCACATTGGACTGGCACCCCTTGTGGCCAGTGCTGCGACTGTGCTGTCGACTCTGTTCGGCGCCAGTCTTCTTCTTCTGTAAAACTTTCGATGGCCTCGTTTGGCGCCTGTGGATCTGAGCAGTGTTATCCTCGGGCCTGTGTATTAGATTGTCGTGTTGCTTTCTTTTATTTTCTTTATTCTGTATTACGAATGCGTTTGCATCTATCTGGCTGCTGAAGTTAGGTAGTTGTTGTGGGGCGTCATCTCTGGCCTTCGCTGAACGGATAGCAGCTTCTTTTCTTTAGGTCTTCAGAACCGAAAATGCATCGACGATTACATCTTACCAACTTAGTCCTTATCGTCAGGCCAGTGCTCCTACGAATGAATTGGAGGTTCTCTTCCGGTTTAAGTGACAGCCATGTCTCATTAACCATGATGATTTCGAATCTAACTCGACAAATCATCGCCAGCTCAGTATTCAACATTCGTGGTATACACAGCCATTATGTACAATGCAGGAATCCAACTTCAAGCGGGAAGCGGGCCGGAGTCCTTAAGCTGACGACCGAGCCAGACCGGTGTGATCCACATTACTGTAGATCCACTGACTGAAGTTGCTAGGAGCCGCCTGGTTGCAAGGGATACCAGTGTGCTTCTGATCAAGCAGGTTCGTGCACTGCCAGATCAGATGGTCGACATCAGTATCATAGTAAGGCAGGCCCAGCGAAGCATTGACACTGGTGATATTGATGTTCTCAAACTCAATGCCGGGACAAGGGTGCACATCGGAGCAGTACACCGAAGCCGCGATGTTGAAGCGCGACGTTCCGTGGATGTTCTGCCACTTGACGTCCTCGACGGCCAGTTTGGAGGTGTTGCACCCCTTGTCCGAGTTATCGGAGTAAACACACTGGGACAGCTGGATGGGCAGGCCGACGTTGATGAGCTCAAAGTCCTTGAAGGTCACGTTCTTGACGAGACCGCTGCCGCCGCCGCCGTAGTCGCCGTTGCTGGGCACCCACGTGCGCGAGCCCTGCCAGGTCTTGACGTAGGCGCCGTCCATCGCGTTCTTCACCGTGACGTTCTGGAAGGTGATGTTCATGTTGTAGTCGGGGGTTTCCGCGTACTGGCCGATGGAGCCGATGGTGACTCCGGTGCCGCCCTCGCAGTAGATGTTCTTGGCGAGGAGGTTGGTCGTGTTGCCCTTTGCGGCGATGCAATCGTCGCCGGTGATGATGGTGGCGTTTTCGACGAGCAGGTCGTCGCTCTTCCAGGAGTCGTAGCCGTCGCAGTTCATGGTGCCCCACTCGCTGTCGCTGGTGGCGTTGACGAACAGGTTTGTGAAGGAGACGTTCTTGCTGTCCCAGACAAACGTCGCCCAGAATTGAGGTCCGATGACACGCAGGTTGTCGACGAGCAGGTTGGTCGAGTCATAGACAGTGAAACTTATGGGCCGGCCGGGCTGGTTGGACTGGTTGCGGTTGGCGTTGTACCACTCCTGGCCGTTGCCGTTGTAGAAGCCACCCTCGCCGTGGAAGGTGACGTTGGTGCCCCCGAAGAGCCAGGCAGTGACCTGGTCTTGCAAGATGACGCTGATAGCGTGAGTTCTCCAGTAGGGGATGTTGCTGGAGAAGCGCAGTTCGCCGCGCAGGTGCACGTCAACGTTCAGCAGGTTGGTTGTGTTCAAGACGGAGTTCACATGGAACAGGTTCTCCGAGAAGATCACAGTGCCATTCGTGCCGCACAAATCAAAAGCTTGCTGAATCGATGGGGCATCGTCCACCGCTTGGCCCTTGTAGATGAGGGACTCGGGGTATAGAGTGCATGTTGTTCCCTCATTGACCACCCAGCCCTTTACCAGGGTGGTCCAGAGTGCAAGAAACCACCAATTCATGGTGAATATGTATACCACTTTGGGCGACCCCAGGAGAGTATGCTTGTATTACCCCCATTTTTGCGCAATGCTAGTTTCCTTATATATAGTCGCACACTCGGCAGAGAAACCTATTCAAGCATTCTCCACAACCCCACATATGGGAAATAATCCTGCACATTGCATCATCGGTGCCAATGACCCCTGGGTAAGTCAATAGCCGCAAGGGAAGAAATCCAGCAAAATGTAGGGTTTTTCTGCAGGCCGGCTTTTGCTGCGGGTGAAAAAGGCAGTTAGGACGCCGATAAAGCGGGGAGAGCTGGGAGTCGGAAGTTCTCCGCGCTTGGCGATTGGCTGCAATCCACCCCACCCCCGCTCTCCAGGTCAAATTTACCGTATGTCCCTGATCCATCTTGTTCGCTTTTCACCTAACATGTATAGTAGGCAGATCCATATCTGCGCTACTGCATTATATATATAGTTCTTTGGGAGGTTCTAGCGTGCTAAGCGATTTGACATCGCTACATCGGGGGCACATTGGAGGGAAATGGAGGCAGGAACGATTAGCCGATGACGGGCCTGTTCCGATTCTCGGGGCTAGTCTCGTCACGGCATCATACCGAACGGACTGGAAATGTCGGGGTTACGCTTCGTCATGATGTCCCGAGTCTGCCGTACAAGGCTTTGGCCTTTCAGCCGGTGCTATCGAGAGCAGTATAGTTGGCGTTCTTAAGGGGTGCTGAATGCTAAGGTTATCTGCCGGGGGTCAAGCACTCAGATACTCCACTAAGACACAGTTCATGCGATGACGAGGTACATTTACCACAAATCAAATCTATTAGGAAATAGTCAGAAACCTTGGAACAATCGGCTACACCGGGATGCGTCGATATGGGTTAGTCACAGCCTAGCGCCCCCCCTGGGCTTCCCGAGCTACGAGGTACTGGTACAGCTCCCAAGGATCTGGGAGCTAGCCAACAAGAGCATCCTGCAAAGAACTAGCATGTATCACTTTCAGAGTTTCATGAAGCTGCTCCAAGAGGGTTATGGGCACGAGCTGCAGTTTGCATAAAGCACTGAGCACCCTCACATGACGAGCGGTGACAAATGGGCGATCTCCCCGCCTTTTTACCCCGGAATTTTCATGTACCTCGTACAGTCGAGTTCGTGTTGTAGTCTTCCAATGAGGTCCCAGGTTTCCCAAAAGCCAGCCCTTGCTCAAAGACACCAATGCCCTGTCTGCCCCAAGCATTACAAAAGACGTGAACACCTCGTTCGTCACGCGAGCTCACATAAACCTGACCGACCATATCGGTGTGGTTTGTGCAGCAGTTCCTTTCAGCGAGCTGACTTACTTAAACGCCATGTTCGGTCGTGTGATGGGAATGGATCGAAGCCGGGTGCCAAGAAGCGCGCTTGTGCTCGATGTGCGCGCCAGAAGAAGGCTTGTAGTGGAGAGCGGCCATGTTCAGGATGTGTGAAAAAGGGGCTGGCCTGTATTGACTCAGCCTCTGAACATCCTGAACGCTGGCTAGAACAAAGTGACTCAGTGCAACCGACAAATACAGACTCTTGGATTGAAACAGGCCCCTGTTTGGAGCAAGAATCAATAAGAGCACCCGACCCGACCCCATTCGGTATCGAACAAGAACCTGAAAACTTCCAGGTCGCTCCACTTGGCACACCTTTCAATGAGTGCCAAATCGATGATGCCAGCTTTGACTGGCAAGAATATCTGCTTCTGGCTTCTGAGTCTCAAGTGCTCCGAGAAAATCCTTTGCTCAACACTGGCCAGGGAGATCTGCTTCGCTTTCTAGACCGCTTTACCAGCAATACTGGGTTTATAGCAAGCTTCGACTGTTGCACTCAAGAGCAAAGAGAACAAATCGCCTCGCAGCTAGCGTTCGATTCTTCCGTCCAGAGACAGCCAGCCACGACGGCTATCCCCCCTTCGCCAGAGCTTTACCTGTCCCACCCTCTCGTGGAGAATATTAGTGATCCGTCAACCAGCGATTGCATCCCTCTAAATTGGCTTAGTGACCCATTGTCGTTGAAGACACATGAAATTCTGCTCCTTGTAGAGGAAGTCGTTAAGATAAAGCCTCGAAACAGCTCCGTGACTCTCTCGTGGTCATCCTCCCTTAAGAATTGTTGTCTGCAGTTCTTCTCTCCTTCCAATCTTCGAAGGCTCCTAGGGTTATATTGGGCGATATGGTATCCAAATATAAACCTGATCCATCGCCCAACATTTGACCCTGTATCAGCCAAGCCTGCTCTTCTTGCTACTATGGCAGTCACCGGTAAGATTCGGTCCTGTTGAAGCACGGTATCGATCCTAGTACTGAAATCGTGGAGGAGCCTGTGTCTCCCCTGACCTTCTAGACAACGAGGATGCCCGGATATGGCTCAATTGCGTCGAAGAGATCGTGTTCATCGATGACGATTTCAATGAAGATTCGACGTCTTCCTCCGATCGTATAGCAACACAGCGCCCGAAGATTCAGATCTTACAAGCGGCGTATATGGTCTGTATGTTTCAAAACTGGGAAGGAACAGACTCTAGCAAAGCCCGGGTGCGTCGTCATCGCTTTGCTTCGTTGGTATCCGTGAGTTGGTTGTGAATGAGAGTCCGCGATTACAAGCTGATCACCCGCTAGGCGACCCGAGATGTGGGTATCCAAACAGCTAGACACCTGAAGTATTCGCTCCTGGGAAGGATTGAATTTGACTGGAGAGAGTTTGCGGCTCGCGAGGAGCTCATTCGGTAAATCGGTTCGTCCTCCTGGAAAGCGTAGGGCTGACCAGGTCTAGGGTTTTCACTTGGACGTTTCTTCTTGATACTGCCTTTGTGATCTTCCATAATCTCCCGCCTCGAATGGTGATCAGAGAGATGAGAATGCATATGGCTGTCCCTGAATCATGCTTTCAGGCTATGACCGCAAACGAATGCCATCAGAATCTTCAAGTGCACCTTCCGATAGACAGTCCTTATTGGGACCTCTCCATGCGCAGTGCGTTTGAGTCTCTATCAAAAGATAAATTTCTAGACCCAACTCGTGTGGCTATCGCTGAACTGGGCCCACTCAATCTGTTCGCCTTGGCCTCAGGTGAGATTTCGAACACCAGGTGTAAGTTTCGCTGCTAACTTGAATAGCAATCCATTCACAGATCTTCCAATACCGCAGCTCAGTCAGTACATCCCAGAACTTGTCACCAATATGTAATACTCTACGTAACTGGCGCTCTGCATGGGATATGTTCGCCTCTACTTCATCTTCTGGAGATTCGCCGCATATCACCATCGGCGGTGGTTGCCTCCAACTGGATACTATGTGGAAGCGGATCGGTTTCTGTCGACACTGCCCCGAATATTGGCTTCTCGCAAAGCTTATGGCAGATCGCCTGTCCCTGTTAGGATCAACGCAACAAGGAAATGAGCAGGTCCTTCACGACAACGGTCCACTAGATCCTATACTAAGAAACTACGACCAGACAAGCATGCGCCAGGTGAATGATTTGATCTTGGGCTTCAAGGCATTCCAGCTCTAGGATTCTTACTATGCCTTTTCCGTGCTCTCTCGACCAGAGATCTGGCCTGCAAAAGATCGGCCTGGAGGCCCACGGAGCCGGCCACGCCAGCATTCCCTCGAGGCTATGATGGTCGTCGCCTGTTGCGAGACAATCGATGATGGCGATGAACATGTATGCTCCGATGGCGGTAAAGATATGCCGCCATGAAGCTCCAGGAAGTATGCCAAAGGACTGCCGATCTACGCTCCGGCACTCCTCAGGGAATCACGGATCCATCCATCAATTAGCCATAGATAGAAACCGAGGTTAAAGACGAAGGCGCCGAATCGCCCAATATCCCAGATTCTGCCTGAGAGGTCGATCCTTTGGTCGTGCGAATCTGGATTAATGTGAAAGTTCCCAAGCCAATCCCGACGATCTCTCCGGGAAAGAATAACGAGCGTAGGGTCAGCTCGTCGGCCAGGATATGGTAGGTGATGAAAGCGAAGAGAATCAAAGTGAGGATGAGTGCGGTGCATTGTGATTCTGCTCAGGTTGACATGACAGTCAAAATACGATGTAAGACGGGGGTGGAAGTGAAGAGCAATTCTGCTTGCTACGCCGCCTGAACCCCAACAGAGGTGTTGAACAAATAACTAAGTAGTTACTAGTATCTAGCTTTAGGCCCGCAATCATGACAACCATCGAACTTGAAGTCCACATGTGGTTGTGCACGCAGAAAGTGTTCTATATGTTATTATGTCTGCACCTGCTGATATTCGACGTGTCCATGGCCGGATTACGAGTCGTAGCATCAGGGAGCACTGTTTCCCAAGCATTGTGGTAGATTGAACACTTCCTTTAAAAGAAAAAAAGAAAGAAAGAAATTGAACGAGTTGCTCGGTCCAGCGTAGATCGAGCCAGCGACAACTTGCGCTTGTAAGCCATTCTAGAACCACATGCTTCGTAGTGGGGGGGATGAGAAAACGGAGACAAAATCTTAGCTGAAACCGCGTGCAACGGGGTCAAGTTCAAATTAGGTATAACTAGGAGGAAATCTTCGTCGATTGGAACGCGGCCAGGCCTCTCAGGATTGGTTTATCAGAGGATGGACCCTATGGCGTGTTCCTTCCTACCCACCAACCCACCCCCTGGCACGCCCAAGATAAGTACATCCCTGCCCAAACCCTTCACCCTCGGAAGAAAGCCGACAAGACCAGACTTGGCCGGAACTTAGCGACTAACGGTCCCACCTGAGCTCGGAGCCCTCTCGTCAGGGTCTCGGCAACCTGTCAGAATGCGGATCGACAATGTTTAATTAACTCCCGTACACGCCCCCTGTCTCCGGATCTCTGCATTCTGCAGGCTAGGAGGTAGCGACCTGTCAGCAGGATCTTCCTTCATCCGGCTGCTCATTCGTGGATGTCAATTTCCAGTATCCGCTACGGCCCAACTTTGTACTTTGGGCGGCTGCTCTCGGCTAGAAATGTGGCCTCCAGATTTCGTATCTACTAGTCTTTTTCTTAGGGATGCCCCAAAATCGCGGATGGAAGATCTTTCGCCTCAGGCTGCTTGTGGCTGAGGTGGTGGCTTGTGAGTTAGGACTCGGAATTGCCCCTGTTTTACCATGAGGAAGGGATGTCTGCAACAACGATGACAGAGGGAGGAGTAGGTTCGCATTTCCAAGGGTACGAAGGGGAATGGCTTCTCTAGAGGCATTACCACTGGCACAGGGAACGGGAGGCGGGGTTTCACAAGGTGAGGGTTGTGTCTAGGACTGAGTAAGATATCACGGCCGGGCAAGAAGTTGATGCATCATGATGTATAATATCCTTTCCGCGGCCTCGGTTCTTTGTGGGTTTTCCACGCGAAATTAGTAGATCTAAAGCATGTGCTTCCTGCACATGGCTCGGGGTATATCCACAATTGGCTCGGGTGATTTGTCCCCGCCAAGTTCAAACAGCAGCCCCCCTTCATCAGCACGGGATCTTGCAGTGAGCTCGACTACGAGAATTTGGGGCCAAGGACAAGGGTTCTACAAACACTGACTCAAGATTGAGTCGGAGACTTTCAGACGCAGATCAAGCCCGGTCGCCCGATCCAATCGGACGGGCTGTGATATGGGAAATCTTCTCCCGTCCTCGTACAGACAGGATTGCCCCTACCTCTTAGCAAGCGTTAGCAGGAGCGCCGGCGCGGGCCAGAAATAGCCCTGATTTATCGAAACTGGAGGCATCCAGGCCGTTATTGTTTCGTGTTTTGCATCGGGCGAAATACCAGGAGTAGCCTGGGCCACAGGGTCTCTGATGGGACATGTGGGGAGTTGTCCCTACTACATACGGACCTCGCGGCTTGCACTGTGTACCCCTCCGCTCAATCTTTTATTTTTGCGGCGCCCCACCCACTGACCTCGGGGGTTTAGTTCGTGCCGCACAAGGGTCAGAACCCAATCATCATGACCGCTCGAGGCTCAAAGGCTTGCTAGTCCGCGGCACCCAGGTGGTGGAGTTTCCTTTCATGACATTCCCCACTCATTGCTTTGGAGAAGGCCTGTGACCTAATTCGAACGCATTGGGGGGGGGGAAGGGGAGAAGGGGAAGAAAGAAGAGGATGTTGGTCCTTTTGGTTCAGTGTCAATCGGTTCCTCCATCTTCTTCGCCGGGGAAAAGTACGACGTTTCGGTCGCCCGAAGAGAAGTGAGCAGTGATCGACACGCATATGTACTCCTCCCATGTGGGTAAGGGGGTCCCAAAGAAGGGAACGTCAAAGTCAAAATCGGTGCGTAAGCTATCTGTAAGGTGGCGGATATCTCGATTCTCGACCTACACGGGCGTGGTCGATCGCTGTTCTACGTTCGATCGTCGCATATCCGGCCAGGCCGGAAAGTCTACTTCGCTTCCAGAGGACCACCCGGAGAGCAGTTTCCTTTTCTTTGGAAGCCAGAACGAGAGGTCGGCAACCGGCTCTCCATGATGGGGAGGAAGGATCTGAGCAACTTCAAGCTCGACGGGGGACAGACGCGAGAGCGTGGCCCAAGCGGGGAGAGGAGGTTCCATTGAGCTCGGGAGTTCAGGATTCCCGGGTGTTTCAGAAATTTCCTTGCGCCGCACAGCCCAAGGGGGTTTCAACAGTCGACGATCACAGCAGTATGCAGCAGGCTTTCCGCATGGCCACCTCAGGGTCGCCCAGTCCCCACTGGCGGGCTGCGTTCAACCCGGTTGGCCGCGGCTGAGGGGACGTGCATGCTATAGCGTATCGCGTATACGGGCTAGCAGCCCGTAGTTTAGAATCCTTTGACTGTAGAGGAGGCAGCATGCGAACACGTAGACATACGTGGTCGCATGCAGACACAGGGCTTCTTCAGTAGATTCTGGAGAGTTACCAGGATCAGAAGCTGCGCCGGTCACGATGTGGAGGGGAAATGCAAGGGTGCACGGTTAGGGAAGAACTCATTGTTCGAGAAAACGACCCACCGCGGGCGGGCCTATTGGGTTGAGAAGGCCCCATGCGATATCCATAGTGCTATCTCAATCTTCGGCCAGATCTTCAGCCGAATAGCCTCGTAGAGAGGTTGGTAATATGGTCAAGGATTGCTGCGCGTCCCATCATGCGGATGGCGACCAATTCCTAAGCGAGCCCTGCTGAAGATTGGAGTCATTGCATCCGGATGCCGCTTGTCTTTTAGCTAGGGGGGGGGGACAATCCTCTTTACGAGTAGATTTGTACAAGCACATTCCGTGCTACGGAGTTGACATCCGCTCAGGCAACCCGCTGGTTTCGTGGTTATTGTCTCGGTGCAGCTAATGCCCATTACGCGAAGCCGCTATCTGACCATGACTCGTGCGGATCGAGGGGAGGGGGTTAGAAGGGCTTTTGACCAAACACAAGCTTTAACGTCAGCAAAGAGACCATACTGCCTCGTTCTTCTGTCTTTCCCCAATGTGCTTACGCCACCCAGGAATGCCCAGCCTAACGCCGAGTAGTGGTCCAGACACCTGGGCATTCAATCCCCCCTGAGCTGGGCCCTTCAGAGCACTCCGGCTCGAATTTATGGAATAAGTGGGCCATACCTAAGAGAGCTTAGCCTTGATGAATTATTGCATTAATGCATTTCCTTCCTCAATTCCAGAGAACTCCCAAACTAACCTAAGAACCTTACGGTCTAGCCGGCTTCTTCGTTTCCACCCCCCGCTTGGAGTGGATTCTCCCGTGGGATGCGTTACTGCTGGGAAACTTTAGCTTCCTCATTCTCTCCCCCCTTCTCCAACGACGTTCTTTCCCTCCTAAAACTTTACTTTTGACCAGCCAGGCTAGGTTCCGGCAATCTTTCGACGTTTCCTTTTTTGCTCATTCTCTGTGTTGCATCCGCCGAGCCTTTCCTCCTCGCCCTCCGACTGAGTCCCTCCGAGCATTCCTCGGCCCCAAGCCCATTCTTCGACCCGTGATCCGTCGCAAGAAAAAGTCGCATTACCTCCCACGTTCCCGAATCATTGTCTCGGAGGATAACCTGGTCCAATTGTGAACCCGGCGGCGCTATTCGCAACAGGACGATATCTCTTCTGGGTGCGGAGAAGAAAACATTCGAAGCGCTCAGCTTCGACAGGACGTGGGCACGCCCGATCATTCGCTGCGCTGGCCAGTTAAGGTGGACAAGGGTGCTTTGCCGGTATGCTGCTACCTATCATAACCCCTCCCCGGGAAAAAAAAACATCTCGATGGTTTGCATGTCGAGTCCCACTTCGATTAGCCTGGGCTAGAGAAAGTGGCAAGCCACTCGCATCCCTGATTCACATGAGCCCGGGCCCCACGTCAATTCCGCGGAGCGTGGGCTCCAACGCGCACCCCTTCCCATTGACTATGATTGCTAACCGCTATTGCCTCGTAGGTTTTGGGCTTCTTTGCCCCCAATTCAAAGCATGGGCTGTTTGGTGTCAAAACCCGCCGAGGCGGACAAGGAAGCTTTACAGCGCAATGCTCGAATTGAGCGTGCTCTCAAGAGCGACAAAAAAGCCATGGATCGGACAATCAAAATTCTGTTATTAGGTATGTCCCAAGTGCTTGTCTGTAACTCTTTCTGAGGCGTTGAAAATTGGCCTAACAGATCCTGTTAGGTGCGGGGGAGTCTGGTAAATCCACAATTATCAAGCAGATGCGAATCATTCATTCTCGGGGTTTCCCTAACGAAGAGCGCTATCAAACACGAGCGGTCATTTACTCAAACATAGTGATTGCTTTCAAGGTGTTGCTGGATATCATGAACGCAGAAAACATAGCATATGAGCACGAGAAAACAAAGGTAAGGCCGGAGTCCGAGGATCCCCGACAGCGTGAGGACGAAGCTGACCGCATGGGTGTGAAGACGGCGGGGGCTCTACTAGACAATACCGAACCCGATGTCGGATCAGATGAGGCTTTTTCAGATTTGAGAATTCGCGATGCCATGAGGGAGATGTGGCTCGATGCAGGGGTTCAAAAAGCCGTCGCGCGAGGGCACGAGTTTGCCCTGCACGACAATTTAAGCTAGTGAGACCGTGCAATGAGTCCCTTGTTTCCGAATCGCACTGACTTGATATTAGTTTCTACAATTCATTGGACCGGATATTCGCAAATGGATGGCTGCCTGACGATCAGGATATGCTCCAAGCTCGACTTCGAACAACCGGTATCACCGAGACTCTATTCGAACTTGGCCAGATGAGCTTCCGCATGATGGACGTCGGTGGGCAGCGATCAGAACGAAAGAAGTGGATCCACTGCTTCGAAGGGGTGCAATGCTTATTGTTCATGGTTGCCCTATCTGGGTACGATCAATGTCTCGTGGAGGACCAGAACGCGGTAAGAGGAGCCATTGCTGACAGTAATATGCCTTAAGGATCTGGATGGTTGCTAATATGGGAGTATACAGAATCAAATGCACGAAGCCATGATGCTGTTCGAATCACTCGTCAACGGGGAATGGTTCAAGCGAAAACCGATCATCCTCTTTCTCAACAAAACCGATCTCTTCAGAGCAAAGCTCACCATTTCAGCGGTCTCTGAACACTTCCCCGACTACACAGGCTCTGACACTGATTTCAACGCTGCCGCACGATACTTCGCCGATCGATTTCGTGGTATCAACCGCATCCCTGATCGTGAAATTTACATTCACCAAACTACTGCCACGGACACCACCCTGTTGAAACAAACCATGGATTCAGTCCAGGACATGATCATTCAAAAGAATCTTCATACCCTCATACTATGAGGACACCGCATTTCAAGCACCAGTAACCTTTATGATGAACGTCGAATTATCCTCACGAAGTCCTTTCCGTTTTTTCGATGAGCTCCTAGCCTACTTCTTTTCTGTTGCATTTCTTGGCGGCCTATCATCTAGTTCATTGGTCTCCTGCAGCATCGTCATGCGCTTTTTCCTTTCCTCTTTTTTTTTTTTTCTTTTTTTCCCTCTTCATTTCTTCAGGCGTCTTGTTAGAGGAGAGATCGTCTCGCGGACGCATTATTGGGTCGGTTGTTTTGCATCCCCAAAAAGCCCATTTCATTTGGTCATATAATGCCCACTGCCACTTCAGCGAAGCTTTTCTGTTATTTTATCTTTCTTCAATTGCTTTCTCTATACCTGTCAGCAGGATGATACCACTTCCTTTGGTGCCTACGCATTTGTTTTACAGCCATCCGACGACTGCTTCTTGTATTATCATTGTCATTAATTCCGCTTACTTTCCTTTCCACTGCACCTGATATCCCACTCAACTATCCCACTCTGCTCAAAAAATCTACTTCCCTGGCTTATTCTATCGTTCCTGAATGTAGACCATAGTAGTTATGTCTATGACGCAGCCATCGCACTAATCAAAAGCTTTAGGTACGAGCTGTCAGTCGGCAACTAGGAGGTAGCTGATGTCAAAAAGTCCAAATAACTCCAAAAGTGTCTTTTGACTACCGACAACCTAGGGGTGGTATTTTACTTGGCTCCTCAAGATTTTATTCAGGGTCAGAAGCCTTATTGCCTGCTCTGTGATACTTAAAACATGCATGGTCCACGGTCGTCCCAAGCGCCACTGGTCGGAACCATGTTTATGCCTGAGGCATATATATACTTACATAATCACGCATGATCAGAGACGCCGAAATCCGGACCGGTGAATTCGCCTCCAAAGACTCATCTTCACCGTCCTCCCAGCTACTGGGCCCCACGCCAACGATGTTGTCGACTTCTTTACGCCGGGCTGTATGGGCGCCCTTGTCTGGGCTGCCTCGCCCTGGCCAGCATATCCCGTGCACTGGTATTGTCGGCGCAACCCGTCAAGCTCACCAACGTCGGTACTCCTCATCTTCCTCTAAGCCGCCAGTACCACCTAGCGATGGATCGCGACGCATGGATACCTCGACTCCGTCGAAGGGGGTGAACTCGTCTGGGGAGAAGAGCAAATCTGCTCGCCGCCGAGGCAAGGACAACGGTGCCCGAAACGGTTCGAAGTCTAGCCAGCAGCATGCCGCATTTTCAAAGCTTCCCAGCGTTCCCTCCACCCAGCACCGACAACCGCATGGTGAGCAACCAGGGCGAATGTTTTCTTCTTGTTGCTTTTCTTCCAACGTTCTCTGCTAACCTCTGAAAATTTCCATAGACGTACATGTTGCCTCTTTCTTCTCCATCCACCGTCCTATCTCCGTGACTACCACCGTCCCCCCAACCTCTTCCTCCGATGCCTTCGACGCCATATTCTCCTCCAAGAAATCCCTGAAGAACGACCCGGAGGAAGTGGTTTTTACTCTCTCCTCGGCTGTCCAGACCATGGAAAACTCAGCACACGCCGAAGCTGAGGACCCATTCGGCCAGCTCCAGCGGAGCTTCGCCAGCGATGCCGACGGCGAGCTTCGCATGCTGGACGGCCCGGAAGCTCGCATGTCGGTTGAGGAATATACCCGCCGTCTTCGTCCCTTCCAGCCTCCACCAGCCCCCGTCCCCATGAACATGGAGCTCCAGGCCGTGGCCGAAGCCGAAGCCGAGAGTATGGAGGCCCAGGAGATGCAGAACCAGGAAACTACCTACTCAACGGTCCTGACCATCCGGGAATCTCGCAGCGCGGACGGTCGCAGGACCTACGAGGCGCACACCGGACCATTTGTCCGGGACGAGATGGAGGCTCCTGCTCTGAACGGCGAAATCTCTATCGACGCGCCTGCAGGCTCCACCTCGGGGATGACGTACGGCGAGCGCCGCCAACATAACCACACCATCCAGGCGATCAGCACGAAGAGACGGCGCAAGGTGAAGATGAAGAAGCACAAGTTCAAGAAGCTCATGCGCAGAACGCGCACCCTTCGCCGCAAGCTCGATAAGGCTTAGATCAGGCGTCCTGGGGTTATCCTTGTTCGGGTTTTTGGGATGCATATCTGGCCTGCGTTTTGCATCTATATTTTCTGGGGTCAGTGGTCTGAGTTTCAGGGCATATCTCCTTGTTTCTTTTGCCGTACATTGCGATTTCTTTCCAATTTCCACCCCCTTTCTCTTTCTTCTTTCCGTCTTGTCTCCTCTACTCATCAAATATCCAATCATCCGCCATATTCGTCGTGACAGAGGTCTTGCTTTTGCTGGCTTAGACTTGTGTTTTCCTATGTGTGGCATACTTGGTTCTTTTGCATCGCTACCCAATAGATACTACTCTCTTGATATTCGTTCGCAAATTTACAGGTCTTAATTATGATCGTATCTTGTGTACAGATCAGACCAGGCTGCCGGTCTTGTATTATAGTAAATTTGGACCAACCTTGAAATGGGAATGACCTTCCAAGTTGACACACTTAGGCTGTCGACTAGGAGGCGGCAACACTACGAGACTCGCAACATAACATGCAGAGCTCGGAGCTATTGAAGAGAGCATATTGCACACATTGAGACTGCTATATTGTACTGAATACAAGTCCAGAGAGACCAAAGAAAAAAAAGCACAAGAAAAACCAAGCCGAAAAAAGAAAGATTGTCCTAGACAGCCAGGTCGACGAGGTACCGGTCAGACGCTGCGCTGCCAGATCAACTAAAAGCAGGATCTAGTCCCAAGTTCAATCGAGACGCAACATAAAGTACAGTATCCAGCACGCATTCATGCAATGTAAGCCAATCCAATATCTACCCGCACCCGTTTCACCCAGTCCGGGCTACAATGCTCGATAAGTGTCCGCGATTCTACATCCCACCGGGTGTCAACAGTAAAAGAAAAGGTTCCTTCCACAAATCAAGATCGTATCATAGTTGAAATCTTTTCCTTGGCGCTCCGCACATGTTCCCCTTGCCTGACAGAAGGCGCAAGGCGGATTGGGGAGCCTCTTTGCCGAGAAGCATGCACCGTATCTTCCGAGGACAAGATGTCATGTTACCGGCTGTACGTAACCCATTTAGCAGGTAGCTTTCGAGCGGGAGTTCATGAGAAGGGCGACAATAAGTCCGTAAAGACCTGTAGAAAACCGGGGTTGTTAACACTGCTCAGGCCATAGTGAGGAAGTAAGACATACCCAACACTTCAGCGAAAATAAGAATCAAAATCATTCCGACGTAGAGACGAGGTTGCTGGGCAGTACCACGCACACCTGCATCACCGACAATACCGATAGCAAAACTGCAATCAAGGTTAGTAGCCGAATCTGAGCGAATGATATGTTCGACTTGAGCGGAACTTACCCAGCAGCCAGACCAGCCAGACCGACAGCAAGACCGGCACCCAGTTGGATGAACCCGGTGTATAAGGGAAGCTTCTGTGTCAGGTCGTTGGCGACCAGGACCGACACGACCAGACCGTAGATACCAATGATACCCGCCATGACAATGGGGACAATGTCTGGGTTTCGATGTCAGCAAATATGATTGGGTGGATGAGAGACTCTGCGCTGTATCGCATTCTTCGGGTCCTTGGAGCGTCACATACTCTTAACGATCAGGTCGGGCGGAGAATGGCCATGCTGCAAACCCCGACACCGGCCTTGGCGGTACCATAGGCAGCACCAAAGCAGGTGAAGACGATGGCGGACGTGCAGCCCAGCGCACCGAAGAAGGGCTATTATTTCAATGTTAGTGGCGTGATCAGTTCCCGGAGAGGTGAAGGTGCTAATATGAGGGGCGGGTGATTGCATTGAAGCGGTTGGAGCGGATTCGAGGACGGGAAGTGGTAGGTTGGACTCACAGCATAAACGGGGCTGTTCAGGATCTTGAGTTAGTCAAAGTCCAACAATGATTGTAACACCATGAAGAGCAAGATAAGCTTGGTTGACCGACGGGAGCACAAAGCACCCAGGGGCAGGAGTTATGACGACGTACCAGAGCTCGGTGGCCATTTTGATAGACAGAGGCTCAACAAAATTCTCGAGGCGAATTTGAAGCTTGTGATGGATGGGCGGGACTCGAGAAGAACGAGCTTGAGCCGTGGAGAGAAAGAGGGTGATCGGAAAGGATGGAGAGACCAGCTACTGAGGTTCCACGCTGGTGCTGCGCACCTCTCTATCACGTGATCGACAACTATACCACGTGACATGTCCACCGCCAGTATCCTGTACTGTTTGATATCTTTGGTCATTACAATCCACTGCAAATGAGTGGTACAGCTAGGAGAATATAATACACATTTGGGATCCTACAAAATATTCCCCTGGTCACCGCGGTTGCAGGGTCACTCGGCAGCCAGGAATATCCAACTTTGTGCTGGACTCGACCACCATGCCCGCTTGTGGCACTGGCTGAGAATAGGTGATCGCTTTTTCAGAGAGCGCACCAAAACTGTTGGGTACTGAGATAACAGAACCCTGACTACCATGCCCAGCTTGAATATTCATATCCTCTGCATCTGAAACCACGCCAAAGGTATATGAGATGTTCGACCCAGACTCACTGGCAGTCTCTTGTTCCCTTATTGCCTTTGGCTCAACAGCTACAAAGAACTGAATAGAGTCACCAGGGTTCGCTACCTGGGACAAATGAGACAGATCTTCGCCAATCAACCCGTTCTCGAGGAACATGGGGGGCATCTCCATGTCACCTCCGTCGGTGGGCGCGTTAAAAGCATCAACTAAAAGGTTAGAGCCCTTGTTCCAAGCCGTCTTCGGGAATGCAATCTCTGGATCAAGAGAGAGAAGCCCCTGCTTCTTCCCCCATCCACCCCCACCACTCATAACGCGATGTAGTTTGCCCCCTTGGCGCAGTGCGTGGGATAATCTATCACTGGTCGAAGCCTCTTGTACGGGCTCTGCATGAGGTTTCTCCACTAATGCCCACACAGAAACTCGTCGATCGGCAATATTATGCTCTTCAATGTAACGCGGGAGCTCTTTTTCAAGTTCAGTCGAAGCGGGCATTGGAACCATAGATGTGGAGTCAGTCGACTTTGACAGCTGGCGCAGAATGTTACCCATTCCAGCTATGACAGTTCGACGCTCTCCAACAGGATAAAGGGGAAGTGTCAACTTGGAGGCAATATCGATCCCGTTTGTGGAGACGCAACAACTCGTCAAGTCAGCCGTCTTCTGCAGGGTATATCTGGCCCCTTGTTCGCCTTGGGTTGCGGCCCAAAACATGCCCGTAAGGGTCCTTTCTTTCCCATTAATGAACACGGTGTTGGCAAGTCGGAGACCTACTTCGTGAGCAGCTCCTTGGGAATTCTGGTCTGTCGGAGAGCATTTGACTGCCACAGCAAGACTAGGCTCTTCTCCCGACGGGTTTCCGATGCGACGTGGTGGCGCCGCCTTCCATTGGAGGTCCGCTTCTTCTACTAGCAAGACAGACAGGCCCTCATATTCTCCATTTTCAGAAACGCTTGGACTGGTTGTCGCTAGTTTTCTGGCAAAATTTGGGATTTTGTCAACAACTGCCACAACCGTATAAATGCCGTCACGTTGCTGTGAATTGAGGGTATATAACTTGTTGACGAACAGATCAAGGAAAGGGAATTGAGGGTCCAGATAATGCGCGAGGCCAGGCGTAACGAGGAGTAAAGGAACGGAGGTTAAGCTGGATGCTCGCTCGAATGGCTCGGTAGGAAAGCTCGCAAAGAAGTCATCGACGCCCTATAGAGCTCGTCAGTTAGCCTCGGTCAGGGTCTGCTGTATCTGTGAGGACAAACCAAGTTCTCTGGTGACTTCGTCAACCATGTATATGCGCCGTAGCACCTTGACCCTCCATAGCTTCTCGGAACACAGCGGGGTTTTTGGTAAGCCAAGGCTTGCCGAAGCAGCGTCCACTGGCTCTTGAGCCGTGCCGGCATGGATGGATTGTGCCTTGAAAACGTAGCCGGAGATGCTCCTGTGGTATGGGAGTCGAGGCGAGCTAGTCGCCGCGAAATAATGGTCGGAGAGTCAAGAATACGCGATTCGAACTTTATGGTAACGAATCGGTACGTAGCACAAAAATTGCCGAATTTGCCATGTAACTTTGGTCTAACAATTACATACAACTTAGCCGTATCAGGAAACTGAGTCCGCGGATCTCCGCGGAACTCCCGTAGTCCATCGTCCAACGCGCCTGAACAAAGCCACTAGGGAGCTTGGAGTCTGCTCATTGGGCCTGAATTCAAATCAACCTAACCTCCTTGTTTAGGACTTCTGATATCCTCTGGATTTATAAGTTTGTACCCGCGGAAGTCCGCGGGTGTGATCAGCGCACGCCTTGCATTGCCTTGGCCAATTGCAGCAGCGTGAGGATCCATGATGAAGAGGCATTTTGGTGGAGATTCGATCCCTATGACCCAGAAATGGCGCCGACCTGCATTATCATGTAATCAGTGTCGAGAAAAGAAGAGGCGATGCGATCGCACGCAGCCTTGTTCCAACTGTGTCCTCCGAAACGTCCAATGTTTATTCTCCGGTCCTAGTTCGGACGGCGCCGATGGCGCATCTTCAACGCAAGGTGTACTTCAAGTACCGACTGGGCAGAGTCAAGGTGCCCTTCAATCAACTGCGGATTTGCTGTGAGTGGAATTAAGCCGGATCCATGACCAATACTAAACATAACGAAGGAATTCCGATGAACTGCTGTTTCGCATACGAAGACTGGAAGATGCCCTTGCTCAAACAACAAACCTCCCCCAAAATTCAAGCACATATGTGAACAGTCCAACCAGCTCGGAAGGCCCGAGTGCACGAGTTCGTATTACCCAATTGGGTCGTTTTATGTGCAAGCCTCTGACCAGATCATCAGGCATTCACTGCCCACTATGTCACTCCTTTTAATGTACACATCCTCTCGATTTCAAATGACCACCAGAGTCCAGGGCGAGGTCATTCTAGTTTAATCGAAGTTACTAAAAGCCTTCCTCCGCTACGTCAAGCTCGGGCGCTCTTCGAGCATTTTGTCGTCCATATACAGCCGAACTTGATGGTTGCCCATATACCATCAACCCGAAAGATGATGGAAGAAACTTACGAGCGGATCCTTGAGGGGAACACCCTCGTGCAGATCAACTGATGCTCCTATTCGCCATCTTTGCCGGGTCGGCATTGTTTTGGACTTTGCCACTCTTGGATCTATTGAAGGCCACGCGAGAAGAAGCAAAGGCGGCCTTTTTGGCGTATAGCCGGATATCAGAAACGATCCTGGACCACCCTGCTCGTTTGATAACCCCATCTACCACAGCAATTGTTGCTGCTGGTACATTGGCTCATCTATACATGAATACCGATGGCTTTCCTGTCAAGGTTCATCTGCTACGCCACCGGTGTCTCATTATGGCCAGAGAGTTACAGATTCATCGGCTAGACACCTTCAAGGCTCGGGAAGAACGACGAATCAAGGGTTGTGACATGATTGACGTCGAAGTTTGTCGACGCGCATGGTGGAGTATGGTAGCATCCGACTGGTAGTTAACTCTCCGGTCTTTGGCAGCTTCCTCCAGTCGTCATCACTAACGGGTGACAGGCTTCTTTCATTCTCCGGTGGCAGTCAAGAAGGAGCATACACGTTCCAACCAAGACAGATGAATGTCAATTTGCCCAGCAATACAGACGATGAGTATATTACGACGGAAGGGGTGCAAAAAGAGTTCCCACTCACGGTACCCACATCCATGAGTGGCTTTATCTTCCGTGTGAAGGGGGCAGACCTCTGCCGCGAGGTCATCGATGCTCTCCCTTCGGTTCCGCTAGATGTCCAGGAATCAAGCTACGATACCGTTTTGAAGCTGGATTCGCTCTTCCAAGCGGCCTTTGACAACCTTCCACCCTATTTCAAGCTTGATCCTGAGAGCATCGAGCAGAGTAAACAAATATGCAAAGAAAAGCCCTTCATCTCTTACCAGAGGCTACAGATACATTTTAGCCTCCATAGCAGACTTTGCCGTCTGCATAGGCCTTTCCACATCGAGAGCATTACGAATCCGAAGTACGCCATTTCCCACATGGTGATCATCCGTTCGGCACACAAAGTTCTGGAGCTTCGGCGAGCGATGGATGATGTGAATATCGACTTCAAAGCGGCCCGATTCGGTGTCGTGATGAACCATGTTTTCTCCGCAGCTTTGATCCTAGCGTTAGATGTATCTTTCAATCCCCACGCGTCGGACGCACAGGCCCAAAAAGAAAAGGTCTACGCCGCTTACAGGACCCTCGAACGATCCAAGGAGGAGTCCAGCTATCTGATGGCTGGGGTTCAGAAGAACCTGCAAACACTGATGTCAACATTGTACAAAGATAGACCCGACCTCTCCCTGCGCCACACAGGTCTTCGACTAGCCAGCCGGTTTCTAGCACATCTCTTGAAGCGGGCAGGCCAGTCAGCGAGATTGCCCAGTCTCTATCTGGTGCTTTGGACGAGGGACTCGCCACTGCACCGCCATCTTCGCTTGTCACCGAAGGGGGCTATCTCGTCAACGATCTCGGACAGGAGGGGTGGGAGAAACTATGGAGTGAGTTTGTGGCTGTGGCACCCGATCTTGACGCTCCACAATGGAACTCCCTATTGGATGATGTCGAGTTCATCCTATGAGCCTCGATCATGTACAGAGGTGAAGGTACATGAACCTTGTAGCTAGAAACCCGGGTGCGTGCATGTTTCCGGTTGGTCTGAATGAGAATAGCGCCAGTCCTAACTAGTATGAGGGAGCCGGAGCTTGAGAACGCTCATTCCCTCATTTACATTTCGCTTTCACGTGTATCAATAAATTTTGACGAAGCCCCTGTCCAAATGAGACTTAACCTCCGGCTAGTTGGACTATCAACTGCCAATCCCGTAGCCTTCAGAAGACCTGATTTTGACATCCCAGCCTTCCAAGTACGCAATATACCAGCATGGCCAGACGGCCAATTTCTCGCGCACGAATGAAGTCACCAGCGACCAATAACGCATCAGCGGCGGCAGCGTGGGCCTTGGCGGGTGGAGACCAGCGATGGTAGGGCTGGGCTACAAGTGAAGCGCCACAAGTCAAGGCACGAAACAGGGTCCTGTGTGTATCATGCGACCGGGTGCACGTAACATGTACAGCATCGTCCTGCCAAGCTTTCCAGGCAACCGGGAAACGAGGAATGGCGATAGGGCGGTAGGCAAATGAGCCAAGACCTGGAATAAAGGGGACCGTACTTTTCAGCCAGAGAAGAGAAGAATGGACCAGATGATCCGGACGATCCTGACGGGCGATTCTAGCCGATTCTGGCGGTTAGCTGGTTTTCCGTCCCTTGGGCTGGTCGGGCTGGTCGGGCTGGCCGTGGTAGGCCCTGATCATCCCAATTTTAAATTAGCACGATTACGGCCAGGAAATTCAGGGTTCAATCCACATGTTAGCCACAGGGGAAAGCCACAGGCGGAGAGACATACTGCGTATCCAGTCAATCAGAGGCGGGAGGGACCGGGTCTCTAGCCACAGGTGGCGCTCATGATGTAATGAACGGAGCTTCTGGTCAAGTCGAGCACCTTTTTTCTTGTTTCCCCGTTTTAAATACCTCCGCACTCTCCCCTCTCCCTGTTCCCGACTTCCAGTATTCTCATCCACCGTCACCATGCCTTTCACTGCTTCGTAAGTTCCCCCTCCTCACAACCCTCGAGGCCTCGTCTTGTGTCGAATCTTTCGGGTTTCCACCCTCATCTCGCAATCTGCGCCGCGGAAACTGACTCCGTGCTAGTGACATCTGCAAGCTCATCTTCGCCATCATCCTCCCCCCTCTGGGTGTCTTCCTGGAGCGCGGATGTACCGCTGATTTGCTGATCAACATCTGTTTGACCATCCTGGGTTGGATCCCTGGTGTCATTCATGCCTTGTACGTGGCTCTTCCCCCCTTTACGGAACAGCAATTGTCGACTAACGCATCTGCTCTTTTTCAGCTACATTATTTTCAAGTATTAGGCGGGCTACGCCCGCCCTCATGTCGCGTCCCTGAGCTTTTCCTGAACCTCCGACCGAGGGGCGCGAAGAAACCTTGCTGCGCAAAGTTCACCTTCAACCCCTAGAATTCTGGGGGTTGTTGCCAGAACAGCGGGTTCCGAGGTGTCGAGCCGACGGCGTCAGCATCATTCCGCGGAAGTCCGAGACAAGTCTCCTACAGCCACCACAGCCCCACTTACTTGGCGTCGACATGATGTCCATAATTTCTTAATGCTGGCTCTTACGAGTCTGATTGATTTTTTCTTTTTGTCCGCGAATCGCTTATGGGGTTCGACTTTTACGTGTTCTGTTTCTCAAATGATACCTCTTGTGTGACTCTCGGGCTTGCTTTAGGTATTCCGCCATTGGTAGGCTTTCTTCCATCCCATAGGAATGGCAATTATTTGAAATTCTGAAGATACTCGCCGATCTTCGTAGTGCCGAACTCGATGTAATGTGAATGTAGGTTCAAACGGGGAGGCTGGGGCCCCCAGATCTTCCAGAGGTGGGACCACCCCTATTCGACCGGTCGCATTCTCCTCAGCACAGCCCGGTGACGGATGGATCGTGGATCCGCATAATAGGTTGTGAATGCGCATAGAAACATACGCAAGCTTTCATTGGGCTGTATGGACTGGGCGCACCCTGGCAACCAGCCTCCCGTGTCCGAGGGCTTCTAGAAGCAGATCATGGCGCAGGACCCCATTTCGAGTTGTAGGACACTCTACCCTTCATGGATCACTAGACCTTGCTTACAGAACCAGAATGATCGAAGATTCACTGATCACCAAGCTCATCATCCGATTGGAAACGTGAGCGCCTTGAATAAGTCTCCCCTGCTAGGCAAGCGCCCACCGTGAACTCGGCGCGTACTGTAGCCGCCGAGCACGCAACCTCATCCCAACCATGTCCCTGTTGGGCCTCATGGCGCTTTGTCACTTCAGTGATTCGTCTAGGTCTCTCAAACGTGGGCTCACCATGTCATCTGGTTTCATAATAGCGCCCATATGTACTTTGCCCCTTAGGGATGTGTTTCAGAGTTGGATTGAGCCGATCTGCTTGGCCCGTAGACTCAATGCTTAGCGTCATCGTGAAGAGATTCGACTCGCGCTTACTTTCGCGATGCGCCGGGGCGTCTTTACATTAATGGCCGTGGGACCCTGTCCAGGCAGTTTGGCATTTTTCTCTGACTACGCTTCATACCACTGTGTCGGCCATCGTGAGCTCTTCGACAGACCTGATCTATTGTTGACACTTCGGCGAGGATGATCATTCTATGGACTACATGGCTTCAAGGGTAGTCAGAAACCCATTGAGTCATAAGGAAGGTTCGCAAACCGATTCATCAAGACAGATCGACTCAAGCCACTCATTCAAAGTCAAGGTCACACAGTATGCGCTTCTTTCCTATACGCATCGCCGTTGCGACTATCGCGTTTCTCGCATTCTGCTCCGCGGGCGAAGCCAATGCATCTAGTGATATACCACAATCAATACGAGGGAAAGTGCCAAAATGCATGGAGACTTGTCTGCAAAATTTCATCGCGTCACAATACCCAGAGACATGCACCACCCTCGACTGCATGTGCCGGACAGAAACGCCTGATACGCTTACACTGGGGGAGGGCGCTGCTTCTTGTTATTATGCGTTGTGTCCAGTAGACGCTCAAACGAGCAACGGCGTCTATCAGCTATGCAACTCCATATCCGATGCTCTTCAAAATACACACCCAACCCTCACAGCAACGACTTTCGCTGCGCCCACTACTACTACCCACGTACCAGATGTGACAACTACGAAAGCGCCTGAGACCACCGATGCGACTGGTGCAACTCACACTAAACCTCCTGGGACAACCCTAGCCCCCGAGACCTCCATTTCCCCTAACATTACCTACTACCATCCCTCTTCGACCGCGGAGCCTAGCACAACACAATCACAAGCCACAAGCTCAACTAGCCCCATGGCTACAGCCGCTACAAATGCCACTATACCTGCAGATAACGACAAAGGCAACAGCTCTGTCAGTTCAGCAACCGTCATCGGTGTTTCAGTGGCGTCGGGCGTGGCGGGAATCTTTATCGTTGGAGTGGCTGTGTACTACTTATGCAGAAGATGGAGGGCCAGACGCGAAACGAGAGACTTTGAGATTGGCGGGGTCATGTCAGAACCGTCAGACTTCTCGCACTCCCGAGGACCATCACCTCAGCCAAGTCCTAGGTTTCCTCCACCTGATGCTACTCGATGGCAGCAAGAGATGTCTCAGAATCCTCACTCGCCGCGAGTTGCTGCGTGGGTTGCTCAGTCTCCTCCAACAATCAAGATGGTTTCGGAGCCAAATCCAGCGCGCCCTCTACGGAACCGTGATATTGGTCGGGCGGTGGGTTCTGACGCCGATTGGTATAGTTCGCCTCACACTGCAAATTCAGAGCATACGCTGGCAGAGCTGGTTCCGCAATCGGCTGGGTTGTATCCCAAGCCACTTCAGTGGTGCCGGCCTGAGAGCTGGCAGACGGTTTTCGAAGACGAAAATCAACCGTCTAAGGCTGCGAACAAGGGCGAGTACCCGCCACCTCAGGTCTATCCACAGTCGACTCTAGATCCACAACCTCGGAGCCTTATCACTGGGCTCCCTGCCAATCCCCGAGCAGTCAAGAATGGATTCCCAGCAGACAAGTTCCGACGCGAGCCCAATCAAGTACCATTCGGAAGCCCAGCGCCTCGGGGAGCTGCTCAAGATCCTGGAATAAAGAAGCTAGGAAGCCCCTTTGCCGGCATTGCAGTCCGCGGCTCGCCAAGCTTGGTTGATACCAGCGGTCCCAAGAGTAGCTCAGGATCCTCGCGTGGCACACCCAATTTATCCAACACGACAATCTCCTCAAGCTCTGCTCAGGAAGTTACCGTCCACCGTGCGCCCCCCGGAAAGGGACTCCCTGCCAATCCGCGGCCGCCACGGAACTCTCCACAAGTAGGAAAAGAGGTCGTTTCTCGGCCTCGGATTGTGCGAGGCGACGATATCAGACGTATCGAGCCTGGCGACCGCTCCAGGCCCCCAAGCGAGGTCGTCGCTCCGTACTGCCCCGATGACCTCTGGCTGGAACGAAGTCGGAAGATTGCCTCGCGCCGGGAGTCCAAAGAGCTCCCATACCCTTGTGAACTGACTCCCGGCTCGCTTGTGTATCCCTCCAGTCCGAAGAAACAACCCCAAAATGCCGCCAAGCGCATATCATCCACAAGCCGAAACTTGACACCGTCCAGACGCGGGAACGATTTGATCCTGAGTGTGGACTAATTTCCTGGCGGATACAAAGATTACACCATGGCCATTCTCTGGCATTATTAACAAACCCCCGCAGCTGGCTGCGATACTACCGTTCCTTTCCTTGTATATTATGATGGCATGGGATTATGCCCCGGCATGTTCACCTATTTGGAGTCGAATGTACAATGCATAGCGAAGATTTGTATAGATAAGTAATACGATCAAGAATCTACCATACTCATAGAGCACCCGTCAAAGCTTTTCTGCCGGTACGTATTCGGAAGTCGTAAATGTAGAATATTGCCGGTCCTGTCTTTCAGTACTAGCAGCTGCAAACATGCCAATGGCTCGCAATCAACAGAGGCAATTCATGTGAAGAGGACGACTACAGCTTTTCATGTTGTACGCGGGAAGTACGCAGATGGACACGAAGAGGGTCACTTAGACTTGCCCTTTTATTTTGGGTTCTCCGCTAGTTAAAACATCTTTCAAAAACCTCGTCGTGTCTGACCTCTCGCGTGGAGTTAAGTTGCCAAAAAGGCTTCCCCATTACAGCGTAGGTTAGAGTTGTATGCAGGGTGCGGTTGGTTATAGCATACTTGACACACCTATGGGAGCATTCTACCATAAATATGATATGAGTGGTGCTCTGATCCAAAAAGCCAGCTTTCCTCGTGAGCATCCTTGGGGGTTCATTCGGAAACTCCTTACATAGATTATTTGACTAATGGCCATCATGATGATGATCGTGATGATGCGCATGATCATGAGCATGGTGATGAGCGTCATGCTCATAACTTGTGGTCATAACATCATACCGACAGATTGGGCACGTTCTTTTATTTTCAAACCACTCTGAAACGCATGCGTCGTGGTAATAATGACCGCAAAGCAACTTCAGTATTCTTTGCCCATTCTCCATTTGCTCCAGGCAGATGGAGCAGTCTTTCTGACCGTCAGAAGCTAGAAGTGCGTCATCCACAGTATGCCGAGGCACCATACGAAGTAGATGTGGCGGGAGGCCTTGACCTTTTGGCCATTGCAGATGAAATGCTTCATCCTCTCCGTATGTTATACGGATGTTCCCCTGAACAGGATAAACGAGGATGGTCGGATCGTCTATGCCCTGGACAGGGTCACGGGTATAATGCACGATATCGTCCAGCGCACGCTGCACCGCTCGTGCTGCGGCCAGTAAGTGCACCGACACGCTTCTAGTGGGAAATTCAAAGGTACCATAGAACGCCAAGCACTCTTCCAGGTCGGCAATGGAAAGGAAGAGCATGCCGAAGAGGTGTACCTCTTCCTCGGTCGGCGGCACAGTAGCGTCTCTCAAATGCTCGATGCTTGAAAAGGGTGGCGGGGTTGAAAAGTCAAGTTCTAGAGCCTCGCCGTCTCCAAAACCAATTGTAATCGATTCCCCAGTCGCGTTGATCCGAATGTACTTCTCGACGTTTTTCCCGCGTGGAGGGGTGTAGTTTTCTGCATCATTGATCAATTTTTGTAGTTCACAACACAAGCTGTGCACTTCGGACCAGGAAGGCTCATGTCCTGCCTGTGGGCGCTGATCGATACATTCCCGGAAGACATGGTGGATGTCCTGGATTTTGGAGCCGATGTCTTCCCGGTAATAGGTGGGAAGGTGGTCGAACCTGAAGAAAAAGACGCCGAGATTTATTGTAGTCTGCTGGGTCCAGACTTCATCCGAAGGCATAGAGGAATCGGAGGCCTGAGAGGGAGAAGAGACCAGGGATACGTTGCCATTGCTTCCGGGTGCTGGTACTTCCTCCAGCGTTGACGACCCCTCCGGTGCCAATGAAATGCCTAGTGCTAGGGAATCTCCCCCCTGATCCAGTGCCACGCGACGAATCTTCCGTTGTTGATGATATCTCCAAGAGCTGCATGAGGAGTGGCGGTAAGATAAAGATCAGAAAATGATACACACCGGCTCCAGCGAAAGCTAGACCGAAAGCAACGATTCCAGTAACCATAGTATCTAATGTCGTTCAACTAGTGCCTCTCCTTGATACTTCCAGCAGGTTCATAAACCGGGGGGCGATGAGATTAAATGCTAGTATCCGTCGTTTTGGCGTCAACTTAAAACTGGCCACCAGTATCTTACTAGTAAGTAAGTCTTAATTTATTTGAAGTTAACCTCAGAGTTAAGCATGAACTTAATATTATACATCCTACTGGGTTTTCTTTATAACGGGGTTGTGCGCCTTTGTCTCCAACATTTCAATGTTCAAGTTGCAAGTAGGGCTCCAAGTCACTACTTCCCACCTAAAAATAGTCCCAAGTGTATGAAAGACACGGGCCTTGAAAGGAAAGACCGGATATATCAAGATCCTTGGCTTTGTTCCTTATCTCTCTATAGTCCTTAGACGAGGAGTCGTATGCAAGAGCCAATTCTTGAGGAAGTTCTAAAGTTGGTAGAGTAAAACCCGTAGCCCTAAGACCCAGACCCTGGACTCCTTGGCACGGGTTCCAGTTGAGCGGGACCCAAAAGAAACCAGTTGAACGGGACCTGGAAGGGTCCAAACGCAGCAGGTAGCCGGGGCTAGATGTATCGAGCCCAGTTCATCTAGTTTTATCGAATATAACTATTTTACTCCACAGAGGGTAAGGATCCGGATTGTCAGCGGTAAAGACGTACTTCTTCCGGCAGAAGAACCTCTTTCGCTTAAGGTTTTCTGGATTTATCAAAGCAAAATCTTTCGATACCTGCTGAATACTCTGGCTATTGACATATACTGTGAGAAGACGTGACCTTCACCTCAACGCCTTATTGGCGCCTGTAATGGTCTACTGAGAGGAATCTGCAGCCCCCCTGCTCCACCCTCATCGGCAATAGCCGATATCATCGCATATGTCGCCCGCATGCTGCACTCTGCGAATCACCGAGCGGTCGCAATTGGTCACCGTACCGATCCCTGCTAGCCCAATGCTCATCCAGAAATCCGCCAGAAGGCCCTTCAGCACATGCTTCGCACCATTGCGCCCGTCGATTCCGAAGCCGAAAATCACTGGCCGCCCAACCAATACAGCCTTGGCGCCCAGTGCAAGTGCTTTGATGACGTCCACGCCAGTTCGGACTCCCGAGTCGAACAGCACCGTAATTCGATCGCCGACGGCATCGACAATCTCTGGAAGGACGTCCAGGGACCCAATGGCACCGTCGAGTTGACGACCTGCCAGGTTTTGTAAGTTATGTGCGTCCAATAGGTTCAGTTATTTCGGTAAGTCAGGAATCACACACCGCCATGATTTGAGACCACAACCCCGTCACACCCATATTCCACCGCTTTCTTCGCATCCTCCACATGCTGGATGCCCTTCAAAACAATGGGCCCATCCCAATGTTGCCGCAAGAACGCCAACTCCTCCCAGGTATGGGGCCCGCTGGCGGCAATTTGATAGAGCCATGCGCGCGACGCACCCAGAATGTCCTCTTCGATGGTGCACCCAGCCTCTTTTTCAAATTTCTCTCGGAAGACCGGGTCACTAAACCCGACCTGGCACCCCACCCCGCTGAGGAAAGGGACGTAGGCATTATCCAAGTCAGCTGGACGCCACGCCAAAGACCAAGTGTCCAACGTGACGACCAATACCGAGAATCCGTTAGCCTTGGCGCGGTTTAGGAGTGACAGCGTGATGTCATTATCCCGGGGCCAATAAAGCTGATACCATCGCTTGCCATGCTTGCTGGCCGCAGCCACCTCTTCAATGGTGCTCGTGGCAGCCGTACTCATGACGTAAGGTACCCCTACTTCCTGGCAGACCTCTGCCAGGCCCGTTTCCTTGTCCTCATGAAAAATACCTTGCACGCCGATGGGTGCCATGATGAGCGGATTATCGTATTTCTGCCCGAAAAGCTCGACGGACACATCCTGATCGTCCATCTGATAGTGTCATAATGGTCAGCATTTTCGATTTACGAGTCCTCAACTCCATTTTGAGGAAAGAATACTGACACTGCGCAGCATCCGCGGAATTCTGAAGGTTTGATTTAGCCCATAGTTCCCACAAATCAAGATGCCAGAAAGGGCTTTACTAAACTCACAACTTCCAGGCCCGAAACGCCGATCGGTTGCTGTCCATTGTCGCCTTCTCACCCGCACCTCCAGCAACGTAATTGAATGAGCGCTCACCTAGCGCCTTCCGCGCCTGTTCCTCCAGTAGGCGAGGATCCGTCGTGACGCTAGGCCGGATGCCCTGCAAGACACCCTTGCCATAGATTTCAGTTTGGTAGCTCCCGTAATTGTCAGACATGGCCGGTAAAAGTCGTGCGAAGTGCGGTACGAGAATGAGTCGGTCAATGCTGCAAAGTAGGGGGATAAGGTATGAGTCTTTTGCGGACCAGTGTCTTAGCAATAATGTGGCATGAGAATGGTCGTTCAAATCTTAGAAGATTCAAGCTCGGCTCTTTGGCGCGGGGCCTCATACCAGCCGAGGTTCATCGAAGATCTACCCCACGATCGTCGGATCAGATGTTTGCGGGGACGCTTTCCGCTTTTTCATCGGATCCATTTTCGAACAATATTGAATGGGTGAGACTCCGCAAAAGACAGTAATCGCGCGCCTGGTACGCAAATCTTCCAAGGTGAGGGACGGACAGTCCATCCCGCGTCTTTCGCGTCTTTCGTTCCGGCAATGAATACCCTGAACAATGCCGATCACAACTGCAAAGCCCAAAGTTCGGCCTCAGGCACCTTCCAATTCAGAAGTACTTTGGAACTAGGAGCACTGAACCAACGACAATCGCACAGTTTTGCCTCTTGCGCATCTTTACCTCCATGATGACTGCCCAATTCCACTTCCCCATGTCAATGTCATGAATGGGCCTGGTGCTAAGGTCCCATGGGGACAGGTTGGGACAGGACATGGCATATACAGGTATAGAGAGGAAAAATTTGAGGGAACCACCACATTTGGATGGCACCAGCTGAGCAGGCGAGATGATAGTATTCGATGAAACTCCACAGGAGGGTGCCGATCTGAATCAAGACTAAAGCTTACTCTTTCATCTAAAGCAGTCAACCCCTTTTACAAGGGGGATTCGCCAGGGGTTCAATCTCAGGGCGAGTTTCAGCTCAAGTCTACTAATAGGATATAGAGCGGCCCTTTGGCCCCGCTCCACTATCATTATATAGGCTCGGCTTCAGATCAAAGGATCTCGATATGGCATCAAAGGCGCTTTCAACCCCGCTTCGATGGCGTCTCGCCATCGAATCCCATTGTTCCTTGACAACAAATCTGTAACTCTGAGTGTTCTAAAATGACAGGCACCGACTATTTACACGGTCGGCTCCTTAGATAAGAAAGTTACGACTTTCAGCCGAGAAAGCGAAGGTTTGTTAATACAGTACTAACAGCACTGTGTGTTCCGATATACCTCCTTAGGGGTGTGCGGGTCGCCAGGTTAAACTAGGAGGCCTAAGGTGCTCAACCCAAAATCAACCATTAATATGATCTTGTTGAGTGTGGATGAAACTATGTTTACTTCGTACGGCTCCATAAGATAAGCACATCTTTTATCCCCAGCTTCCGACAGCTGTCGTCGAACTTACTTCGAGAAAGGATCTTTGTTAAGCTATCTACAGGTATCTGGGAAGTAGGGATCTATTTAAGTTCGAGTACTCCTCTTTGAATTTGTTTATATGATCAGCTTTAACGTAAATAACTAACTAATTAACCATAAGGCTAGATATTGAGGCCCGCTCAACTGTAACCCGCCTGGAGCCCTGGAGATCTACGAGAAGCTGACATGATATCTCTGGCTCAACTGTACCCCCTGTGAGTCCTTTTACGTCGGAGCCGGAGAGATAGAATAAAAATAGGACCCAATACTGGGCGACATCTCGCAGATACCGACCGAGGCCAATTGCACACAAATCACAACGGGTGGGTCTCCGTGGAGTGCTTCCGACGTTTCAATGGGGCCTATTCTTAGGGAGGCTCTAAGCTCAAAGGGACTTCAGGCATCTCGGCCCTGGCACGTGTAGGGGCTGGGTGCCATCGACATCGCCCCCCTGGCGGTTCTAACCGGCTAGTGAGGCCTTGGCGTAAGCGAGATATGCAGGACCCTGATAGTCACGGCTATCGCCGCGACAAGTCAAAGCCAAGTGACTCATGCAAAGTACGTACGTTAGCTGTAAAGCAGGCTTTGGTTGAGGCGTCCGAGTTTTATGGGCTCATCTGGGCGGCGGTCTTGGCTGATGCAAGTCGCGTAGGGCATCAGGCCCGAAAGCCGAGACAAACATGAACAAGAGACAAATCGAGATTTCTATCGCGGTGAGCCAGAAGAGCCTCCTAAAGTGGGAAAAACGGGGGCGGAGCACTAGGCCGCTAACAATAGCCTAGCTGGACCTTGCCAATCAGAGCCAAGCCTTGGCTCCTTTATCTCTGCCAATCACCGTGGTTGTATCAACTCGCAGGAGCTCCATACCAAGATTGGCTTTGGCCGCTTTGGCCCCAAATACCCTGCGCCCAAGGCTTCTCGTCTGAATACTACGCCTCAAACACACCAAGGGAGTCTAGCGTCGAAAAAAAAAAAGAGGAACCCGCGGCTTAAAAAGACTGGCGTTTTCCCCTGTCACAATGGATTCTTCAAGATTCTGAATCCCCAGGTATCACATATCCACATTCATGATGCATTCTGCCTGGATCCTCTCTTGCCTGGCCGCTCTGGCCGCTGCCCAGACAACGACCGTCCAATGGATGGGCTTCGACGAAACAGACGGATATGATATCTCGCCCGATGAGTTCAAGAACTATGTCGGGCGTGTTGTCGCCATGGATAAGGCCGCCACCACCTACGAGGTCAACTGCGCTAGCGACAAGAAGTGCGGAATCAAATCGGATCACCCCATGACCCTGGTCCAGGGTCCCGAGACCTTCAGTGTCACCATGAACGTGGAAGTTATGACCATGGGCGGGACAGCTCTGCTCGATGGTCGACGTGAATGTACTTTTACTTCCTCCTCCGAGTCGGCTTCCTGCACTATGGCCTTGAGTCTCTCGGTCTCGGTCGAGGGCACTTCCACCTCTACTTCCATACACTCGGCCATGAGCAGCATCGATCCCTCTGAAATCGAGTACTACCCTCTTACCGTCACGGGGGGTGTGTCTGCTCCTACGGCCAGTGCCACTACTTCTACTTCTGCCGTAAGCACCAGTGCCACTACCTCTACTTCTGCCGTAAGCACCAGTGCCACTGGTGCTGCTGCTCCTGCTTCTGGGCCTATGGCCACCGCCGCGCCACTGGGCGCTGCCGCCATGGCTGCCATTGCGGCCCTGCTCTAAGGGAATGGCGATTTTTGAATTGGGGTATAACACCAACTGAAGAATCTGAAGAATTGACGTTACGGAAAGATCACGATGGATGATTTGTTACTTAATTCCAAAGCTTTTTTTACGCATAGCCAGAAGATACCAATATTCATCATCTGTTTTACATGATAGAACCATTCCTTCCATTATCCTTCCATTACCCTTCCTTTACTATAAGTAAACTTCCGAGTTTTCCAAAGAGGCAAAACAATCACAACCACCAAACCACGGTCGCTATCGGTCATGGAGGCTCAATTCATCATCATACCATCATTGACCTCATGCCTTAGCCACCATCAACTTATTCTACCCCAGTCATCCCAGACTCTGCATACATACCCCAACTCGAAATACCCAACTTGTCTATACTCCTCGCCCAATTGCACAAAAAGCCCTCACCATGCCCTCCTCCATCTGGAGCAAGCCCGAGACAAGCACCCGCCCCATCGCCATAAACAGCCCCGGAGTAATAGTCCGCCGTGTAGCCATGATGTGGGCAGCAGCCCGCTCCGATATCATGAGCCGCGAAAAAGCCTCCAAAACCCACGCCAAGAAAGACCCGCAAGCCTCTAAGCTGGGCACGCAGTCCACCCCCGCCAGCGGAACCACCCTAATGGTCAACGCTGTCCACAGCGCCCGGACAGGCATCGACGCCATGCCTGCGAACCTGGACATGAAGACCGACATCTGGGGCCAAGTGGACTCGTCGCAGTCGTCGCAGCGGCTCCCGAACACGGGATGTGACTACCGCAGCCTGGACGGGCATGAGTATATGGCGCCTGAGCAGACGAACTATGCGCTGACGAGCTGCGGGCGGACGGGCCCGACGATTTGCCCGTTTCGGATCGAGACGGTGCTATCGGCGAGCTTTCAGATTGTGCGTGCGAAGGAGGGTTCTGCTGGGTCGGTGTTTCATCGGATTCGGGCGGCGATCCAGTGCGAGTGTCTGCTTGTTATGGCGGATGGGGTTAGTGATGCGAAGATGATCGATGATATATTCAAGTCGTGGTTTAAGGCGGAGATGGGGCCTTGTATGATGATGGATCCGGTGTGGGACTTGGAAGTTGTTTTCGAGCAGCAGATGGGGCTCAATTTGGGGGAGAGGAATGGGAGAAGGCTTATGTTCGTAAGGGTAATTTGGGAGCTAAGGCCGGTATAGGGCTGGTGGGATAGAGTGCTAGGATGTGTATACAAAGGGGGGTGGGGGGGGGTATGTTTGAAAATACGGGGACAGAAGGAATCATAGTACTCGGGATTATCAAAAGTCAACATACGATATACACCACTCAAATCGGTGATATTCTTCATGGTGGGATCGTACTGCGTGTATCAGATTGTTGTGTCTCATTACTACTAAAGATATTGGGGTTGTTATTCGACAACAGACAAGAGACGTCTTGTCGTTCCGATGTACAAAATGTGTAAGGAAGCAGCCCGTGATCAGACAGTGGGAAGGGAAATGTACAAAAGGGTAATAGAACGGAAGAAGGGGGCGTGTAATGATAGAAAATCGTCTAGGAAACAAAAATCGGGCTATCGTAGAGACCCAGCAAAGCGGAAGTAGAATGGTGGGGGGGAACAGTAGGAGACGCGGGGAGAACGCAGATGGTGGACAGCAAAAGTGCTACAGGGGCATTAAGGCAGGCGCTAATCAGTTTCCAAGAGAATCCCGTGTTGGTCCAACAGTTCGGGCTCTTCAGGGGGTAAGACAAAGGGGTATAATGAGAAGTAGACATCGACATCGAGGGCGAAATCGTAGTTTCGCCAGACCATTAGGGTATAAGACGGCCATTAAAACAACAATGAGACAAAAAGGGGGCATATGAGCCAGACGGTCAGTGGCGAATATCATCATCAAGCAGCATTCAAGCAGTCTTTTTGCGACGATGAACTTTATATTCAGTCTTGGCAACACGCATGAAGACCTCGACGTCTTTAATCGGAACCCAGCTTGTGAGAACTTTCATTATATTCTCAAAGTCGGATTCAAGGATAATGTCGCGCATGCCATCAATTAGAGCAGCAGAAGTAGCATGAAGGACATCTAAACCCTGGCCAAAGGTGCCTCCATCTTTCTTACCGCCCTTTCCAGATGTCGGCGGTCGAGAATGGGCGGAAGGATCTTCGGCATCGCCAAGGAGCATGAATACATCCCAAACACGAAGTTGTGCGGGGAAAGGAATGGAATAATTAAAGAGAGTGAGGTACCAGCGTGTTCCATAAGCAGTGGGTGGAATGCCAACTTCAGTCTGTATCGTAGATCAGCCATCTGTTCTTTCTTTTTTTTTTTAGCGTAGGGGTTTCCTTACCAGTTGAGTGGCGACTTCGCCACCTGCGAGCCATTCACGTTCAAAGTCATCCAATGCTTCCATAAGACCGGCAAATCCAGACTTGTAGAGCTGCTCCAAGCCGCGTAATTTCCAAAGCCGAGCCAACATCACGAATGCATGTTCTTCATCGTAATATGCCAGTAACGTAGCTGTGATAGCTGCCATGCCTTGCACATAACCAGTATCAGGGAAGTACAATGACATAGCATGAAGCACGCGGAACAGTAATCTTTGTCCACCACGGTACCGTCGCCGAAACATAATATGACTTGAAATCGTGCGCGGCACATCGATATCGATTTGCATATCATCGGGAGAAGACATGTACTGGAATTCGTGAAAGGCATTGATGAGATCTTCCTCGGAAGGACTATCTGCATGACGGCTGGCGCTGGCCTCAAGAAAAGAATACCAGGCCGTTGAGCGCCACCGATCCGGAATACCCTTCCAAGTTCGCTCAATAAGCTTGGGGCTCCGTGTATCAAACTCGAACTTCATGCCTCCGCCATCCCGGCTCTTCTTCACCGGTTTAGCCATCTTCGTCCATTTATCCTCGCGTTCCCACTCCTTCTTTCGAGCTGCACGTGCGGCTGGAGTGTCTTTCCCTTCGGTAGCTTCCTCTTCTTCTATTGGTAGCGTGAGCATATCAGCCGCTTCGTCAGTCACTTTGCGATCTCGGTTGTGGGGAAGATGGTTGGTGGCAGAGCGCAGACGCGATCCATTGCGTCGTATGGGCGCACTGTTTGTACTGGCAGATGATGATGGACGACCCGTATTAGAGCTCTGGGACATATTGCGGGTTGGAGAGCGAGTACTGAAAGAGCGATTGCTAGCTAGAGCTGTGGGCGGGCGGATGGAGCGTCTCCGCCTCGGAGTCTCCGAAGCCAGTAAAAGGCTTGTGGTCACTCGTTGGATGGGATGAGGCTCCGAGCCACTGTCAGTAGGTGCGGCATGGATGAACCCATACCGATCTACCTGCTCTGCACCCACGTTCTGCCAGTATTCGACACCACCTGCCAACTCTTCGGTTTCTCTTTTCAGTCTGTTGCGCTCTACTTCGGCAGATGCTCTCCCGGTATCCCCTGGAGGAGGCTTGATCATATCCGCAGCCGGGGTTGATACTGTTTCAATGTCAGAGTTGGAGTTCTCCTCCAAGATATCGCTGTGTCCCGATTTCATGGATTTCGCCACATCCGCGTCGGTCACCCGGTCATCGCCTCTCTCATACATGAGCCGGACGCGACGAGAGAGCATGTCTTCATCGGAGGAGATGGCTCTAGTATTGAGGAGCTTCGGACGCTGACGAGTGGTACCATTGGACTGCGATAGACGACGGTTCACGCTCAGCGTATCACTGACCCCGTCCCCTTGACTCGGGGAGGGCGAGATTTCGGAAGTCGAGCCTCCGTCTAGCTGAATGGATTGTTGTATGGAACTCCGGTCTGATTGATCAACCGATTGCTGATCCACTGGCTTCAGGGGGTTCCTCGGGCGGATCAAACTGCCATGCGTAGTAAACTTCATTGATTGGGCCAATCCATCAAGGCTCCCAGTTGGGATGTCGGTGTTGATTCCACTGAATGTTGAGTCGATTTGCGGGACCGGGGGGGGTTTCTTCCGAGCTTAACTTGCGATCAAAATCTCCAGATCTCTTGCGGAGACCGTTCCATTTGCGCTCTGACCAACGAGATCCAGGTCGAGACCCAGGGCGCGAGGGGGGGCCGAGAGGGGCTATCATTGATCAAGATACTGGGGACGCTGCGTAACGAAGGCGCCCTCGACCTACGGCGTTCACGAGTGGGCGAAGGGGGTTGCGCTTCGGTGGTCGGTGGTGCTAGTCCCTCATTTCCATGATTCTTCAAATGTTCGCGTGAGGAGGCGGGGCGTCTCTCGGAACCAGGGGAGGCGGCGCTGGTGCTGAGCGATCGGCCATTGGGGTCCGGTGGCGTGTCGTTCGGCGCCGGTAGTGAGACAGATCGGATGGCGACAGGACGGTCGCCCGGAAGAGTGTCTTCGTAGGGGACGGGGGCTGCTCGGATTGTCGGAGGTGACTCCGATCCAGTGGACGTTGCAGGGGTCTCATTCACCATTATCCCGGCATGGCTTGTACACAGGCGTGCAGAGAATCAGTAACACAAGAGAGCGAAGTGGAGAGAAGTCAACGGGAGCGTGAAAAAGGAGCGATTCCGCATCACCGTCCAAGGGTCTGGAAATGAGAAATTATCCAGGAGAAGAAGCAGGAAAGGGTGGAGTCTCCGTACTAGGTCTTGGCGAGCCGTGGCTTTTTGTCCTGCAGGAATGAAAGATAACGGATAGATTACGATATTAAGATCGGTAGATACTCTGAGGGCCCATTCAACATCCTAGACTCGCATCTAATTCTAATCACTGGTAATCTGTCATTGCAATGCAGCCCAGTTGCAATCCCAGATTGTCCTGCGTCCCTCTTACCCCTTCTCCCGCGGACTGCGCAGCTGTGGGCCAATTCGACAGGGAGTGGAGCCCGCTAGTGCCTGGATGAACACTGTACCATGGTGTCATCTAGGGCAGGAAAGCCTAGAAGGGAGTCTTTTCGTGTTGTTAAAAATGGAAATATCCACTTGGATCATCTTTTTTTCTTTTTACGCCAGCTTCCTTCTTCTTTAGCTTAGACCTTCCCCTGCGTTATTCGGAAACCTTCGAATTGTTCAATTTGTATCTCCATGTACAGACCAGTAACGCGCAGAACGCCTGTGAGCCGCGGCCGTAAACCCAGCGGCTTAGCAGCTAGCGAATGCAATAGGCAAAATGGAACTAATCTCTTCACTGTACCGTTTAGATCCTACCGTGACCTTGTATGTTCAGAAAAGGAAAGACAAAATACTGAGGCCGATTAGGCCACTGTAGCCGTGTTGGCAGAGTGTCCGTCCCGAGCTGGCCTGTTCCGATCAATGGGCTCCTTTGGTAACAGCTCAATCTGCCGTACGAGGAAGCTCTTCTCATCTGTAAATTGATCATCATCGGTGCGATCTTCCAAGAACTTCGGCAAAAACCTGAGAAGTCGATCGCGGTTGTTGATCAGAATCCGCTGCACGGCTACAGACTTGTTTGGATTCGCCACGAAGACCTGCTTCTGTTAGAAAAGCCATCTTCTGAGGAATTGATAGAACACAAACCTTGAAGACGTGAAATCCTTCATATTGCACCATCTTGCGATCGTCTCGGAGAAGCTTCATGCAAAGTTTGAGGTTCTCTCCGCTTTCCACATAAGCCATCATCACATTGTAGTTCGCTCGGTCTAGTAAGATCTCGCCGAGAAGCTTAATACTTTGTCGCTTGGTGACGTACGACTCGGATTGCACTAGAATTTCATTGAATCGACCAAAGAACAGTTCAAAGTTTGTCGCAAGATATGCCGTTATTAAGCTCTTATGCCGTGTCAATATTTCCTAAAACAGCATTTGGTCAGCTGGCTATGGCTAGTTCAAGAACCTGAATCCTGATATTCGGATTGGTTTCCCACAGACTTACTCGAAAGGTGGTGAACGCGTCTGCGCTCACTTCAAAGTTGCTCTTATCAATCCAGTCAAAGAAGTGCCAAAATATCCCATCGCCGCGTTGTGGAAGGTTTGGTTTCAGCTCGGATAGTCGCACGGCGGGCTCACCATCCTTGGATTGATCATAAAGAATGACCGCAGCCACAACATCAAATTTCAAAGCCTCCCTTAAGATTACGCCACACGGCATGGCACTCTGGCTCTGAAGATACCCGCGGCATAGTTCAACAAGGATCTCTGGTCGGTGGTGCACAATATATGATATCACGGGAGGGTCTTTATCGGCCGCGTATGATGTTGGGCGGAATCGTAGGATATGGGAGAAGATAGTTTGGGTGTCTTTGCGAGCTTCGAACGGGAGTAGGTGGATCGAATGGGAAAGTTCATATAAAAGATCCTCCTGTAGTGTTGCCTGAACTAGGGCATGAACCTGCTCGGGTGATGTGTTGACCTCTATTAGGCATGTATGTCAGCAACGCATTGCAATTGTGTCCAAAGACCCGACGGAGTGATTGCAATTCGATGTCCAAATCGGAAGTGACCAATGGACTGACCTTGTGTCCCTTGAACAATGACCTTCATCTGGCTTAATTGTTTGGCGAGGTCTTCTTCGGTCTAATGTTGCGTTAGCGCGGGGAACGGTCAACACGAACGGGTTCGCGGACCTTTGAGCTGGGTGTCTCATGGATCCTTAATAGCAATTCTTTTGTTGCGCGGGCAATGTCTGCAGGCTGCCGCGACCGGCCACGGCCAAAAAGGAAAGCCATGTCTTCAGGGGTTGGAGACGAAAAAGAAGAAAGGGAGAAGGAGAGGCGAAGCCATGCACCGAACTGGTCACATCTTTGGTTCCGCAATAAACAAATGCGGGCGGGGCAACGGCCTTGGCCTGAGGCAGCAATCTCTGATAACGATTTTTTTATCGGTCGAATCTTCTACCCCTCCACGCCCAGAAAAAAAAGAAAAAAAAAGAAATAGAGGCTTTTCTTTGCCATACCTTTCTGACCTTCCCAATGGCCGACTCAAGCCGTGCTGGGGACCCTTCTGCTGGAGATGTCCCTGTTGACACTCGCTCCGTTTCAGAGGAATCAGACTCGAGTAACGAGGAGGGCTGGGAAGATGTTGAGCCCGATGAAGAATCTCAGCCAGTCATGAGCCTTTTCTCAGAGCAAGTGTTCCCTGACGTGCGGTCTATGCTCAAGGACTCGAAAGAAAATTATGATTTTGATCTACTCAAAATCCAGAAAGATCTTGGTACGCCAATTGAACAATCGTCCAGAATTCGAGCTTGGCAATGGAAACTAATACTTGAGAAATCTGAATAGGATTGGACTTCCTTGATACCATCAAGTTGGTCAATTACGTGCGCTCGCAGGTAAAAGCAGGAAATAAGTATCCCGACGTCTCGTCCAAGTCTAAATTCGAGGACGACGCCTACCTAAAACCCGTGCTCGAGGACGACGCTTTGTTGTACAGTTTGGATGATATTGCGGAGGATGCCCAAGATGCTGCCCCGGGAAGTGAAGCTGAGAGGAAGGTTATCGAACTCCAAGAGGAATTAGAAAGGCTACAATCTCAGTTCTCTGAGTACAGGATTGCTGTTCAGAAATCCCTCGAGGACCAGCTATCGAAGGAGGATGAAACCCTGGGTCTGAATGGGACCACCAGTTCGGAAGAAATAGCAGCAAACCGTGCATCCGAAATCGATGCGGATTATTTCGCGTCCTACGCTTACAACGGTACGATCGATATCCTCTCAATATGTTATGTATTTGCTGATCCCCGTTGGGTTTGCAGGCATTCACGAGTCCATGTTGAAAGATACAATCCGCACGGATGCCTACCGTGATTTTGTCTATGAGAACAAGCATGTTTTCAAGGACAAGGTCGTCCTTGATGTCGGCTGCGGTACGGGTATTCTGTCGATGTTCTGCGCCAAGGCCGGTGCTAAGAAGGTGATCTCTGTGGATAACTCGAATATTATCGACCGCGCTCGAGAGATCGTCTACGATAATGGACTGGGAGATGTGATAACGTACGTATATTGAGCTTGTGTGATTAAGTAATGAGAGCAGTCGAACTAACAGTGCCATGCAGATGTATCCGCGGAAAAATTGAAGAAGTCGAATTGCCGGTTGACCAAGTCGACATCATCATTTCCGAGTGGATGGGCTACGGACTTCTGTTTGAGGCCATGTTTGACTCCGTCATCTATGCTCGCGATCGTTATCTTGCTCCTAATGGTCTCATGGTACCCTCGCATGCTACCCTGCGGATTGCACCTTACGCAGACCCTGACTTCATTGCCTCTCACATTTCTTTCTGGGAAAATGTTTACGGCTTTAAGATGAACAGCATGCTGCTCAAGATCTACGATGAAGCTGTCGTTCGTGGAATTCATCCCAACACAATCGTTGGTGACTCCACGGTCTTCCTGCCTTTGCCTCTCCACACCATCACCGTCGAAGAACTGACCTTTTTGAAGAACTTCCAGGTGACTCTGAAAGAGGATATCGATGCCCTTGATGGCTGGGCTATTTGGTTTGATATTTTCTTTATGCCGTCGCGTGATTCGGATGTCCCCGAAGATGCCATTCCCTCGGATATGCAAAAGAAGGGATACGTTGCCTTCACCACCGGACCTGATGGAACCGAGACCCATTGGCAGCAGGTTGTCGCCCTTATTGACTACGACAAGAAGAAGCCATGTCCTCTTAAGAAGGGAGATGTCATCAAGGGTACTATTGGTTACCGGAAGAGGAGCAAAGAGTCGCGGGGGCTCGACATCAACATCCAGTGGGAAGGTGAGAATACGAAGGGCAACCAGAAATGGGGACTTCAATGAGTACTGGCAATTATGCAACCCAACCAAACTTGGGGTTCAATCCTGGAGTTTCGATGTGGTATACCCAACGAATCAAAAAGCTTTCATCAATGATACATCATCTGGAAATGAGGGGATTCAAACGTAGAATGAGATCAAACATGATAATTTTTGAGAGGTTCTTTCCACTTAATAAAGTAGAGTTGTTCAGGGCTTAGCGTAATTCGTGCCATGCGTATATCATTTCCGAGCTTGGTACAAGAACTTGAAATCAACTTCTCATGACCTTTAAAGTTTGTGGATCTTCCTCACGACGAGGCTCATTACGATGGCGACGGTGTGAATGACTCGACTCATGACGCGAATGTTCATCGCGACGACGCTCATCATGATGGCGACGGTGTGACCGGCTCGATTCGTGACGCGATCTTCGATGTGAATAATCGCCGTCCCGATTCTGATCTCGACTCCTGTCTCGGTGATGATGACGACGATGACGATCTTGATGATGATGCCGGTGAGAGTATCTGCGATCTCCTTTGTCACTGTCACCTCGCGTCGGCTCATCAAGTCTGAAGTCTTCGAGGCTATTGGCGGAATCAGAAAGTCGTCGATGGCGATTGGAGAGCTCTTCTTGTTCACGTCTGAGCGCATTAAGTTGCTTTTGTTTCTCTTCGTTCAAGCGTTTCTTCTGCTCCTTGGAAGCCTTCAGTTGAGACAACCCACGTTTCATAGCCACCAAGGGATCATTTGAAGTCATTCGGGCTTGTTCTCGTTCTCTGCGAAGTGGGTCCTCGTTTCCCCATACGTTCTTTTCCGGCATAGCATCTGGTGCAGCCGCATTCTGTTCACCAGAGGAATACCAGGGTCGACGGTTCATACTCTCCTTGAAGCCTGCCGCATTGGAGAAACGCATAGTGTATTGATCTTCATAGCTGCGTTTTTTCTTTTCTAATTCTGCCTCTGCATCTTTGTTTTTTTCGGCTTGCTTGTTCGGGCCTGCCTGGGGAAGAGGTTGATGTGACCGGCACTATCCAACAGCGGCGCCTCTGCTTCTTGGTCCCGACGAGAGGCAATGAGTAACTCTTCGCGCTTTGCATTTGCTTGTGCTGCATCTTCCCGTGCATATCTGATATCTCGATCGGTGTCATCCTCCCCGGCAAGACGCCGTCTCTTGCGGTAACGTCCTGCATCGTCTATTGGCTTTCGGTCTTGTCGGAATACCGGGTCGGCTGCGGTATGTGACGGCGGCGGGGGTGGAGGAGTAGAAGGACGCTCTCCACGTAATATCTGAATGCGGCGCTGCGCATCAATTTCTTGCATGCGGCGCTCTTCCTCTTCCTCGCGCGCCTGCGCCTGGGCCTCGTCGCGTTTGACGCGGGCAATGTTCTCGGGGTTGTAAACGTTCCATGACTTCTTGCCTAGCAGGTGCCTTTTTCGGTTAATACGCTTGCAGCTGATATTGCAAAATACGAGTTTACTCACAATGGCATGGTTGAAAGTGCGACGGATCAATCAGGATGATCGTAAGGTAGAACGATAGTACTCGCAGGGTAAGCGATCTGGTGTCTTATCGATAGCAGAGGCGGTCGCCGTATCGATAAGGCCCCCACCGCCTGGTGCTGTTTCCGACCCAGTTGAAGGTGCTCCAATTCCCCAACTTCTCTGCCTATCTTTGTTTTAGCGGTTGGCTGTTCGAACCCGGTTATCTCCCAACTGAATTGCCCTAGCTCTGTACCAAGTGGCCATTTGTACCCGGAAAGTCGTTGCCTGCGCTTGACGACAAGTGGCGCTCCCGCCAACCTCCCCTAAATACCGCCCTGCCCTCCGCATCCTTCGACATAACCACTTCATTTGAGGATGTTCAATCGCAAAGACTTCCCGTCTGTTCCGAATCCTTTTGCGTCGAGGCCCGATCCGGGGCGTCCCTCCCCGCAGGATACTCGAATCCTAACCAAGCGCCACCGAGGTAAGCTAACGGTCTCGCCACCTCACCTCTGGCCCTTATAGCTGACAGCTTCCACTAGAGGATATGGAGGCCCACCACCCGGTGGCCGCCCTGCGCAACCTTTTCCAACCCGTTCAGCCGGTGGAGGTCGCCCGGGAGGCCAGACTTGGACCCTCTACCCGAGCAAAAGCCCTAACGAGAACTTTACATTCGGTAACCTGTATGTAGCTTCCACTCGCTCTCCTAGCACTTTGTCAACACCTACTAAACCATTTTAAGTGTGGCGGTTTCACCACAGGATATCCCGCCGAGCCGCGATGGCACCGACATATTCCTCCTCATCAATGACCTTTACGTCTTCTCTGCTCGCCCGCTAGAGGGCTTCCCTCCAGGCTATATTAGCATGTCGGACCCTCAGCGCACATGGGCTAACATTGGATTGCGAGATGCGATCAAGGTTCAGACTTATGATCCATTTAGCCAGTCCGGTCAGCCATACCTTGGATCCGCGGATGTTGAAGTCAGCTTCGCATCCGCCAAGAAACGAGTAGAAACGCCGTATGACCAGGATGAACTCGCCTCTGCTGTTATCAAGGTACGCATTTATGATAACTGTTCAGAGAATGCCTACTAATTTGTATAGAACTTTGAGAACCAACTTATTGCTCCCGGTCAACGGATTCTGATGGATCATAGATCTATTCCCCTTCTTTTGGTAGTAAAGACTGTTCAACGTGTCGATCTGACCTCTGAAAAGGCCGGCGCGTCTGGAGAAGTCGAGACTGAACCTACAGCTCGGGCTATCATCACTCGCCACACGCAGTTTAACTTCTTCAAAGATTCTCAAACAGGCATCAACGTGAAGGCTTCCAATCGCCGCCCGGCGGCAAACTCGATCATTCAGCCTGGATTCAAGTTTGCGGATATGGGAATTGGTGGTCTGGATTCTGAGTTCAGTACTATCTTCCGCCGTGCCTTTGCATCCCGTATCTTCCCTCCTGGCCTCGTTGAGAAGCTTGGTATTCAGCACGTCAGGGGTATGCTTCTTTACGGACCGCCAGGTACTGGCAAAACCCTCATTGCTCGACAAATCGGAAAAATGCTCAACGCTCGTGAGCCGAAGATTATCAACGGCCCCGAGGTCTTAAATAAATATGTTGGTGCATCCGAAAGAGAACGTCCGAAAGATGTTTGCAGACGCCGAGAAGGAATATAAGGCGAAAGGTGATGAAAGTGGTCTTCACATCATCATTTTTGACGAACTGGACGCTGTGTGCAAACAGCGTGGTAGTGGCGCCGGTGGAGGTGGCACCGGTGTTGGTGACAGTGTCGTTAACCAGCTTTTGTCCAAGCTGGACGGTGTCGAGCAGCTCAACAACATCCTGTTGATTGGCATGACTAACCGTATGGACATGATCGATGAGGCTTTGCTTCGTCCCGGCCGTTTGGAAGTTCACGTCGAGATTTCCCTTCCTGATGAGAAGGGCCGTGTTCAGATTTTGAACATTCATACCGAAAAGATGCGCAAGAACGACGTGATGGACACCGATGTGGATCTCGACGAGCTCGCACACTTGACTAAGAACTTTTCTGGTGCTGAAATTGCTGGTTTAGTCAAGGCCGCCTCATCTTTTGCCTTCTCTCGCCATGTGCAGGTCGGTACCATGGCTAGCATCGGTGACGATGTGGTCAACATGAAGGTTAACCGCAGCGATTTCTTCCATGCTCTTGATGAAGTGAAGCCTGCCTTTGGTGTGTCTGAGGAGGAACTCTCCAGCCGTATCCAATATGGTGTTATCCACTACTCCCAGACTATTAGCGAAATCTTGCGGGAAGGTGAACTCTTCGTCAAGCAGGTTGGCCAAGCAGAGTCGACGCCACTCTTCTCTGTCCTTCTTCATGGACCTACGGGCAGTGGCAAGACAGCATTGGCTGCTCAGATTGCCATCAATTCTGGATTTCCGTTCATCAAATTGATTAGCCCCGAGGACATGGTTGGGTTCAGTGAGCCAGCGAAGATACAGCACATCAGCCGTATCTTCGACAGTGCCTATAAGTCGCAAACTAGTATTATCGTCGTCGATAATATCGAGCGTATCATCGACTGGGTACCCATCGGCCCTCGCTTTAGCAACAGTGTCCTGCAAGCACTGTTGGTGTTCCTGCGCAAGCAACCCACGCACGGACGTCGTCTCCTCGTCTTGGCAACGACCACCGAGCGTGCCTTGATGAAGCAGCTAGACGTGTATAATTCATTCAACTCCGATATCATGGTCCCTAACGTGAACTCCTTCGGCGAGCTGCGACATGTGATGGACCAGTCTGGTGCTTTTGAACCTCAGGAAGTTGCACGGGCCTTGGAAAACATTGGTGGGCTGGCAGATGATGGCCGAATCAGCGTTGGTATTAAGAAGGTCCTGCTTGGAATAGAGACTGCCAAGCAAGACGATGACAAGGTAGGCCGGTTTGTTCGTGTTATCAACCGTGCCATTGAGGAAGAACAATCCTTTTCTTAGATAGTGAATGGTTAGCAAGCGTGGCTAGTTGTCTTGTAAGAATGAATTTTGATTCGATCTTCAAGGACTTGAGCTAAATCGCATTGTGCCGAGTAAGTACTAGGGATCCCTGAAGCTTGTTATGTGGACATGGCTTGCATCGGTAGACAAGCGTTGCGTGCACGTGCTACGCCGAAAGTAACGAATAGTAGTAAAGTTTACTTAGATCCCAATGCTCCCATTGGGCCTTGATTACACGATATTTGAACCAGCCTGTGGGGCCCATACTTACCCAAAGCAGCCTATGACCCAACTCTCGTTTCAGCATAGTCGCCAGCGCTATCTACGTACAAAACAGGCTTTATGTCAACAACAATACGTCTACAGCAGGGAATCTCGCCTCCTGAATGGCTGGAGACGCCTGTATCATACGGCTTATGTGTAAAACGAGTACCATTCGAAAGCTCCTGCCCAGCATAACCGAGCACGCACAAAGCGTATACACAAGAACCATCCAGAACAGGCAAAAGCCGACACGCAGTGCTATACAAACAAGATAAAATACGCCAAAAGCAGCATAGGCGTTAAAAATAAGCCACCAAGAAGTCCGTCCCAGTCCCAATACCGAGCAAAAATTGCCGATTTTTTCCCAATTCGTCAAAGCAGTCGTCAGAATAAGCAAAGAAACAAAGCTACACGTAGCTCCTCCCGCTCAGTAGTCGCCATACGTGTAATTCTTCGCGGCCCGACGGTATTCGTCCGGGTGGGCCTTCTCGGCCTTGCTCTTGAGCGCGCTATTCGATCCTTGTCAGCCTTCTAGAACAACGCCAATTCCTTCTGTCGCTAATCTATCTGCCGCGTCGATCACTCCCCCCTGGCGCACGTGCCAAGCGGCGGAGCGGACGCTATCGAGACTGCACCCCGGTCCGCGGGGCGGAGCGGAGCGAATCGACAACCTCGCATGTAGGGCTGATGATCGACCCGGGGAGTTGGGGTGAGGGGTGGGGGCAGGGAGTTGCCAATATCTTACCTGACGCGCTTCTGGGTCCATTCGAGATCGCGCTTGGTCTCGCGGGCGGTCTTGAGTCCCTCGTTGAAGTTCGAGCGCAGGCCTTTCATGCGGCGCTGCGCCATGGCTTGCAGCTCCATCAGCTCTTGCTGTTTTGCGTGCAGCTCGCCGGATCTGCGCGGTGCACGTGTTAGCTTAATTAACTCAATTTCAGCCTCGCGCGAGCAAACCCTCGCTTTTCCCGTGGCAGCTCGTCGGCGCGGGTTTCGCGAGACAGCTTGCAATTCGCCCCTTTTGAGGGAGCAGGCAATCCGCTTTCTGTTTGCGCGGGATTGCGGTTTTAACTCACGTTTGTGCTTGTGTCACCAAATTGCGGTCCAGTGGAGTCGGATCAAACGCATTTTGCATGCGGTTGCTCACGACATCCATTACGTCGACTCCCGAGTACGAAGCAGAGCTCGACTCGTAATCGGCGCTAGGGCCAGCAGAGCTGAAAGTGAGTCCGCCAGAAGTGCGGCTGCCAGCAGTGGTGCTTGCATCAGAGTAATCCGTCGGCGAGCCTGGAACCCGTGAAATTGGGTACATGTTGGCTGGTGCCGGGGCCTTGGAAGGCATGCCCATGGGCAGGGCGGAGGGCTGGTAGTAGTGACGTTGAGAGGCCATTGTGGTGAAGTGGGAGGAGTCCTGTGCTAATTGATTGTTTAAAATAAAGTGTGGTGTGCCGTAAACCAAGACGATGATGTGCAGAAGGGTGATATAAGTCTTGTGAAGGTTGATATATGGAAATATCAAAGTCAAGCTAAGGCTCGAGTGGCAAGGAACTTGTAGGATTAGAAACGGAAGAAGGAGGAGAAGCAGGAACGCCAGACCAGACGAGGGAATTTATAGACTTCACCGGAGAGTCTTCCATCCGGCGGGGGGGGCCTCGTCACATCGAGAGGCAAGACTGGCAAGGATTAGAAAAAGCGCCATGACGGGGGCCATTGGACCATCGGAACGAGCTAGACTTCACCCCCTCCTCCAAGTCTCCCAATCCGCGGGCTTCGGCTGGGCCTCTCGCTCCGTATCTGTTCCCCGATTCGCCTCTTGGACCGCGCGGACCCCGCTCGAGGGGGGTGGGAAATCAAGTGTGTCTGACCCAGGATGCCATGTCCTCCACTAGGGATTCCGCCCTCCCCCGCTTGTCCACTCTGGGTCTTGGTCTACGTAACCCTCTATGATGTGATTCTTCCTAGATCTGCACATTGACAATCTTGTCCCAAAATTGGAGTGTTTCGGGTCAAGGACCTAGATTGGGCAGAGGGTTTGCAAGGGTGGAGGTGGAGGATTGGGGGAAGTATAAAAGACTAGACGTCTCCCCTCCTCGTGTTTCCACCTTTGCTTTCTGGTCCCGTTTTTTCCACCCCACTTTCGTCCCCTTTATCTTCTTTACTCCTTTTGACCTCTCAGACGATTCTCTCCGGAAGATAATGCAGTGGCTGGGAAGATGGAGAATGGCTCGAAGGTGGTTGATTCGCTAGATTGAGCGGCATGAAGGAACTGCGAACTACAGACGACCCGAACCGGTATGACCTACAACCCTGCACCCAACATGGCACGGAGCTCCGTATGGTGGCTTGAATGTTAATAATAAAACAGCTTTTATCTGTACTTGCCTGGGTTTTTTCTTCTTCAACACCCCATGGCCGCTCGTGAAGAACCACGAGAGAGTGGTGGGAAGCGGAATTTTGGCCCATCGGGTTTTCCTCCCGGCTTTTCCTTTTTTTGCCTTTCTGGAATTGAAAGGAGGCGGGGGGGGGGGCTGCAAGCCAAAACCCTGCCTGACATCATCTGGAGATCGAATACTCCTTCAAGTCTTTCAACAGGCCCAAAACCAGACGCCAGGCATCAAGGCGTATTGCGGCAAAGGTCACACGGAAGATCCATCAAGTTTCGGACATCGCTGCATGGCCCGACGAACCGTGGAGAAACAACAGGGGGCCCAAATCCCCGGCTATGGCCCCCCCTTCAACCATTCAGGCGCATATCTCGAAACAGAGTCATCCTAGTAGCATAGACAATGATCCTGTGTGACGGGTTTGTGTGAGATTGGGCCGCAGGGGGGAAACCACCAAATGGCCTCAACCTGGCAGATCCCTGCTTGACCCGTTTGCCGGCCGAGTTGCGGCTACTGTTTGCCTCTGGAGAAACGAAAAACGCCTCGCGCCTCCAACTGGCCAGAAGAGCATGGACCGGATTTTTGCAGCACAGACAAGCGCACTAGACGCCGAGTATAGCAAGACCAGCATCTCCCCACAGTCCATGCGCACCGATGACTTGCTTGTCTCGGCCCAGGCGAAGGGGTCTTTTGCAGGCCGTTGGCAAAGCAGAAGCCTCCTGCACGATCTCTCGTCTTCATTGGTCCCAATGCAAGTCTTGCTGACACCAAAACAACCCCGAAAATTACTGGGTGGTAACAAAAACCAAGTTCAGATTGAAAAAGGCTAAAAGGAGATACTAGGCCCTTCAAGGCGGACTTGTCCCATCAAAGCCAGTCATTGACGAAGCGTCGAGAACCTTGGACAAACTCTGGAAGCCACGATGTCGCCACCTTCGAGATGTCGTTGTAGACTGTTCATGATTCGAGGTACTTGGGTCATGTACAGTGTACATCTGCACCGAAAGCTGTCAGAGCTATGGACACGTTCTGCTGCATGCCTGGCAGCCTAATGAGGGCCAAATATGCCCCATTGAGATACGCCCTACCACCGAATTACACAGTACCACCACCCTCCTCTGCGCAGACGATCGAATGTCATTGGACTTTAATGGCTCAGCTACTCCCTTCTCCCCAGGCGGCCAGGGATGATAAGCAGCGAACTATTTCCCGGGCCCAATGGCTGGTCTTACTAGATCAGACAATCGGGCAGCACAGTCCATGACGGGCAGGGCAGCCCAGCAACCTTTCTCCGTTCCTCGTCATAGCCCCCTCTCGGGTCGTTTGTCCGTTCACCAGCCGCTGATCTTCCCCTCCGAGCCTCTCGCCTTTCGAAGCAAAAAGCCAACCCAAAGCCCAATCTTTGGGTCGGCTGGGTCCTTTCGGTCCTGCTCGTATTGTTTGACTCGACGCTTTCTATCTCCCCCATTGCTGCCTTGGGCAGACAATCCTACGTCTCCTTCCCTATCAACAAAAAGCAGTAAGTCGCAAACGTTACACGGCCTATTTTGGTCCGATAGATTCCAGGCTTATTCCCCACCCCTTTTTACGACCCTCTTTTGACACCAATACCCACTTAGCCTGCGCGAGGCGGATGGTGCCTCGTCCCCAGTAGATCGCGACCACGTCTCCCCAGCATGCAGTGGAAGGGCTTCTAGGGTGCGCGGATCTTGACAATGCCTCGGTTGCATCCCAAGGAGGAACAATCCGTGTGCTGGAAACGAACGAAGTGGCCGGAAGTGGGGTTGGGATCTTGGGCGGGGGAATTTTTTTTTTTTCGCTTCTGGATTCCCTTCACCGCCACATGCAGCACGATGACTGGATGGTTGCCCGAGCCAACTCATCCTTCCTTTCCTCTTTAGGGTTCCCTTAGGCTTTTTTGCTTCCATGATCTCCTGCGCGCCATTTGGCTGTGCAAAAGAGGTCTGTTCCATGCATGCAAGGGAGTGCTCAATCCGGGGCCGGCTCCTACTGCATACACGGATATAGTCGGGATTCACCACGAGATGAATTCAACATGACGCCTTATCTGGCCACAGTCGATCACGGAACTAGGCGGTTTCTCTTTGTTCGCAGGCTCGAGCGACCATTGCGGGTCCGGCTGGTGGTGGCCCGCCTGGCCGTATACCAGTCGATCCCACTAATTGATTTGGGTTTGTAGTGTACCGAGTTTCAATATTTCGACTAATACTTGCGTTTCCGGAGATACAAAGGAACTTTACCTGGTATTCGGGGCTTTAGCCATCCGTGGTCATCTTGGATTGGCCTGCCCAGGTGTCATTCTACTAGGGGAGTATAATGTATGTCGCCGTTTAATCATGGCCTTTGGACCTATTCAATCATGATGTTGGCGAAGTACTCCTGGTAGCAGTACTTGCTACGAGTATCACCAATAAAGGACATGGGATTGTTGCGCCTATTGTGTCATCCCTGATCCTTCCAAGGTTATTATGTCCTCGAACGGCCAAAGTGTGGAAAGTCTCAAGTTCCTCGAGGACTAATCTCATTGCCTTGGATTGCTACGTCAAACCCCATGACTCCCAACCTGCATCCGTGTCGTTCTTCCAAGGCCTATTTTCTTCGCTATTACTAGTCTTACGACCATCAGCATTAGTAGTGGAACGTATATGTATAATATCATAGCCATGTGGGGCTCTACCTGGTAGTTTACGAACTCTTGAGGCCATGCTATTTCAATGAACTGACCGTGATATGTATCTTCAAGTTGATAATATAAATCATCTACCACTGGCCAGAGACGGCAAGCTAAAGTATACACAAATACACAGCCAGGAATCAGGGACCTCCTCAATGCGGGGGTCATTAAGCGCTCGTCATATGGTATCACAAGTAGGTTAGGGAAACAAGGCAGACAACTCAGCCAAAGGAAAAAAAAAAGGACCAAAGCAGGAACGGTGGGAAGCAGGCAGAAAGAAATAGACGCCATCCGTGCCGGGTTAGTCAAAAAAAAAAAAACAAAAACGAGTAATGATGAGGATCAATAATACAGGGGGGGGCCGGAGGCCCAAAAAAGATGCTGTGAAGTCGCACCGGCGACTCGATGCCCAGTGCAGATGCTGAGATAACGCTAAGGAGCTTCTGTGCACCAAAGGGTGCAATGCGATGAGGCGAGTGGTGGCAAGCACACCGAAATAATGGCGCCGAGATGTATGACCTGTCCCATTTCCGATTTCCAGTGTCCTCGTCGCCCGATGTTCCCATATATGACAAATTATCCATTGCACCGTGAACCATAGAAAGCATGCAAACGAAACAAGACGAAAGCGAAAAGCGAAACACGAGAAACGAAAAAACAGAGGGGAAACGCGAATAATCACAAAAGCCGCTCAATAAAACGTTGATGTGGAGCTTTTAACGACGATGTGTTGGAGGTTCCGGGAATTGAGGATGAAGACGATCCCGGAGGAGAAGAAGTGGGCGACTAGTATCCAAGAGACCCATCATCATCTTGCCTAGCTCGTTGTGTTTAATGGGCTTGGTGACATAATCGTTGAATCCGGCATCGGCAGCATTTTCGATTTGGTCTGTCATCGCATTGGCCGACAAAGCCATGATGGGAATCTGCGGGTAGTGATTTTTCTGTTCCCAAGCACGAATCTCACGACAAGTATCATAGCCATTCTTGATGGGCATCTGGATATCACACTAGGAGATGTTAATCTTTTGCCTAGAGAGACCAGAAAGGATTGTATGGACTTACAATGATGAGAGAGTAGTAACCCGGCTCCTTCGAAAGAACCATATCGACACACTCTTGTCCGTTGGATGCAGTCTCAGACATGAGTTTAATCTTATCCAGATATTTAAGCATGACCTAGCACATCGTTAGCATATAAAGACGAGAAGGCGCTGCCAAAGCGTTAACACGTACGTCACGATTAGTTTCGTCGTCTTCCACAAGCAGAATGCGATAGCCTTTGTTTTCCCAACACCTCCTTGACCATCTTTGATACGGTCTTGAAGTTGTTATTGATTTCCCGGGCCATGTCTTGGTTGCGGTCTTTACTAAGCTCACGCTTGCTCTCCGGATCGAAAATAGTCGAGAAAGCGGAGGGCTTGACAGGCTTCGGCACAATGAAGACCTTCTTGCCGGTGGCTGCCAGCTCCTTAACGCGAGTGCTGATTTGACGTTTCTGATACAGATCTGATATGATAACCACCACTGGACTGGTATCAGAAGGAGTCTCGGAAACGTTCTGAATGACTTCCAAGATATCATCTGTTGCGGGAAGGTTTAGAACCAAGTGGGTACATTGGACGTTGGAGCTAGTGTGTATCATGTCTTTCCATTCATCAACGTCAGACAGAGCTGTGATCTTGAATGGAATTTCATGTGGTACAACTTGCTCGATATGCTGCTGAGTGGACTTGCGGGTATTCTCAAGCGGGCATAGGATGAAGATCGAGAGTGGCCTTTCAGATTGAAGAGGTGGCGGGGTAACCTGAACAGATGGCTGAGCGGTAGAAGACATATCTTCCTTCTTTTCCTTCTGTTCTTCCCCGGCAGGACCAGGAATCTCCTGATCTAAGCGGGGCGACACGTTTGCGCTACCAGGATCCGGCGTTGCAAGAGGTGAAGACAGGTTTGATAGAAGCCCGGAGGACAGAGACACGGTATCCTGTAACCTCAAATCAATGCTGCGAGGCGCGACAGTGTATTGATCGTAAGACGTCGTTCTGGAGGATGAAGGTCTCCTGGAAGCACCCGAGGCTTGACGGAGCAAATGAGGGCGCTCAGAAGCTGATGGGGGAGGTGGAGCATCCACTCTCACGTTGAAAGAGAACTGAGCTCCTTTGCCCTCAGTAGCACTTGGAGTGAGACTTCCACCGTGCATCTCGACAAGCTGTTTTGACAGAAACAATCCCAATCCACTACCCGCGTTTTGCTGAGAGCCATTTTCTCCTAGCTGGGAGAATCTTTGCATGAGTCGCTCTGCATCCTGGGCACTGAATCCCTTTCCGGTGTCCACAACGTCGAAATTGAGGAATATCTCTGTTGGCTTATGAACCTTTCCTGGGGAGTTTCGAGAAAGGTTGCAGTAAATGTGGATCTCGCCCTGTGTAGTAAATTTGACTGCATTTCCCACAAGGTTAATCAGGACCTGGCGAACGCGGAATCTATCACCAATGACCATCGAAGGGACATCCGCGTCCATAAGATAATTGATCTCGAGACCTTTATCAATAGCACGAGACGCGACGGTATCGATAACATCTTCGATCATAGACCGAACATGGAACCAAGAATTGACTAGCGACATTTTACCAGCCTCAACGCGGGAAACATCTAGGATGTTATCGACAAGCTCTCTGAGATTTGTAGAACTGTTCTGAATGGTGTCGAGCATCCGTCTTTGATCACTGTCAAGCTGTGTATCTAGAATGAACGGAATGGTGCCGAGTATGCCATTCAAGGGAGTTCTGATCTCGTGGGACATGTTGCTGAAGAACTTCGTTTTCGACTCCATTTGGTTGTTCAGTTGAGTCATTGCCTTGTTGAGTTGGCTTTCAAGATTCTTGCGATCGTTGATATCGGTACACGTGCCGTACCAGGAAGCTTCTTCGCTACCAAAGCTGCTGGTTTCAACCCGTACTAGACGAACCAGATGCCATCTGAAGTCACCACCGCGTGAACGAAGGCGAAGTTCAGTCGAATAGAAGACTCTTCCATTTTCATCCCTCTGCAGCGATGCTACGCCACGCCTCACTAACTCATCAAGGGCAGATGAGACCCCATGGATTTCGGATGAAGAACGAGAAGAACCACCCTCTGATGTTGACGCCGCATCTGCCCAATTGTCTTCTTTGGGACCACTCACTTGCAGAGTAAGCCCACCACATTTCTGTAAGTCATCAGGGTGAACATGCTTTGCAAAGCCCAGATCGAGGGCATCTTGGAGCTTTTGTCCGGTATAAAGATTCCATTGCTCGTTCACAAATATCAAACCACGTTTCTCGGTCGCTTCGAAGACCACCTGTGGGATGGAATTTGAAAATGCTCGATACTTGGCATCTGTGGCAAACTTCTCTCGTTCTTGAGTAGCCTTCAATTCAGTTGTGTGCTGCTCGTGAATGTCAAGGAAAGAGCCAATCCAATACAGAACTTCCCCGGTCGATGACAACAGAGGGTTTGCCCGAAAGATAAACCAACGGTAGGCAGATTCGTCATTGAATCTTCGAACACGAACCCTTTCAGTGAACTGGGATCCAGTCCGCAGAGCATTTGCCCACTCACTTGAAACGTGATCGCGTTCGCTGATATGGATATTCTGCCATGGATCCCTTAGCTTATGCTCTTGTGGCTTACTCCGTCTGTATGCGTCAAATTTAGCATTCGTCCATATCACTTCACCACTTTTGGGTTTGGCTAGGAATATGTGAAGAGGTATCGAGTTCAGCATCAACTGAGCTATTGAGTCGGAGAAGGGCCGCGGCAGGTCTCGTTGTAGCTGAGCGTAGAAGGAGGTCGTTGAACTTTGGCGGGACGAGGAATGTTGGCTAGGGGATATGACAGGCGGTTTCATCTCTTGTACGGGCGAAGCGGCTGTTGAGGTTGGTTCTTGAGCAGTGCTGTCCTCTGTAACAGGCTTCTCTGGTAGCTTTCCAGGAGATGCCGGCATGGACAAAGCTAACTTTCCTTTGGACTTTAGGGAACGGTGGCGAGGCTGCACGTTGCTATCTTTCGTAGCTCTGGTCTGGCGCAAATTGAAATATCCATCTGGGAATTCACTGGTGCTTCCAAAGATACCGGGTGACTGGGAAGTTGTTGCTAGCGCTGGTTGGCCGGGATCAAGCGCAGGGGTCCCAAGCACAGATACAGAAGGACTTATTTTCATTGATGATCGGTCACTAGGGCTTTGGACACTTGCACGTGCAGACATGGGATTGTCGTCGCCAACAGAGTAGCTCACGTGGCCACTTAGCCCCGCAACCAATTCCAGTTCACTGCTGGCATCAGAAAATGTGCCGCCCAGACCGAGTAAATGCCCATAACGTGGCGTCTCGACCTTAGAGTTCAATTGCCGTTCAAGTTGACTATATTGTTGAGCAAGGCAAAATGACGTCGTTAGATGAGGCATCAAGTGTGAGAGAGACTGCCGTAGCTCAGCCGGGTAGGGCACTATATTAGAAAGAAGCGATATGACGGCGACAGGAAATCGCAGTGGGGAGGAAGAGCTTTGGCTGAAGCGACCACCATGCAGCAATGGGATATGAATCACTGTTTTAGAGCTGTCAACCCCTATAGCTTCCAGGGGTCTTGGGTCGGAATAATCATGATGAGGCGGGTTCTTTTCAAATGCACTTTCATCTACAGTATGACTGCTGAAAAAAAGGATTTTGATCCGAGTGTGTCCGAGGAGCTGGCGAAGGGCCAGGCGACTGGGACCATGGAGACTGAGGAATCTGCTCATATTCATCACGTGGAAGTAGACGTCTGGCGTTGAAAGGAACATTGGCTTTTGGCTCATTGGTTTTTGGCTTTCCAGAATCACCCTCTGTCCGCAAAACGGGTGCAGATGGCGTATCTGCAACAGGGGTGCCTTGTGGAACGTCAAGAGGGCTCTCACCGAAGCCAGGATGTTTCTCGGCTTCTTTCACATACTCGCGAGTAAGAATGACAGGCGTGGTTCGTCCGAAAAGTCTGACCACGCCTGTTCGCTTGATAAGGGGGTCAGTCTCCACTTCCAATGGCCTTGCTATTGGGAAGACAGCATGACGAAGATACCCCATTTGGGTATACTCTGAATCATTCTGATCAGGGTAGCACTGAGATTTACGTTCGTTGCCAAGTGAAGAGTTTTCATCAATGCGAGCATGCTTCTTTTCGTGCTTGGGGCTTGCTTTAGAAGCAAAAGTATGACGAGCCTCCTCCGTGCTGATCCGTGGCTTCACGCTGCTCACGCCAGCGAAGGAATGTCGTGAAGAGAGAGAAGGTCTTTTGGCAGGACTTGTTCCTGAACTCAACCCAACTTCAGGCCTTCCCTTCTTCTCGTCAGAAAACTTGGGACCCGGCGTTGGCGGTGGCATTAAGTTTGCACTCGTGGGTGAAACATCCGCTAGGGCGGTTCCTTCTTGATTGAAGACAGCCTTTTGACCCCAGGGGACATTTTCCAGGTCAGTCGCATCACCTGGTACTGCCAAAGATACACGTTCTGCCCCGTAGTCTGTTTGTAATATCTCAATCAAGTTTGACCACCATCCATCCAATCCAGCATCTGCATTCAACTTGAGCGTCAAGTCATAAAGATTCGGGGCTGGGATGCCAAATCCATCTTCGGTTGTAATTTTCGAGTCTCCCGGTTGGAACGTGGCCGGCGATCCTGGGGCTGGTGCGTCCACGCTGGGCTCGTCTCCTGCTGCTTGCGATATCGATGATCTGGATCTTTCAGATGGCAATTTCAATCGAAACTGTCCCTGTCGGCCAATTTGCTCGATACTTGGCTTAGGTTGGGTTTGTGTTCGCGGAAACGGGTAGGAGGGAGTTTGTTCGGGGGGGTGACTCGGAGAATCTGCAGCTTTGATGGTCCCAGAGGATCCAATGGAGCCGGATGAAGGGTGTATGACTGTTGCGGGAATTTCGGCCTTTGTAGTGCTAGACAATCGCCTTTTCCGGGGGGGTATCACTTAAATTACCTGGCATTACCGGGGGCTGTGACGCCTGCTGCTGCTGCTGCTGCGCCTGCTGCTGCATTTGTTGATATACAAGCAGCTCCTCCATTTGCCTACGCAGTTCCTTAAGTGTTTGAGAGCTCCGCCCGAGCTCTTCCTGGCGCTCGCTTGCGGGTCGAGGATCTTCCGGCACCGGGGTCAATCCCAAGCTGTTCCGCCGAATCGCCGCGCGAGAAGCGAGGCAAACGAGCGGGTGATGTGCCAGGCATGTCCAACCCGTGTTTGATGGTATCCAAGGATATGCCCCCCACATGTTCGAGATCAGGTGTGAATCGGTGACTTGGCGATCGCGGAGAATGTAGGTGAGGTGGAGGTACGGCGGCAGGTGACACTGTATCGGTAGGCGAAGGAAATGGAGGGCTCCTCCTGCTATGCACGTCCCCCATCCTATTGCGCCTGATGCAATGGACCGGGACTTACTGCTCCTGAGCGACGACAATAGCGCAGGAGGGATATAAGGCGTTCATCTCTTGGCCAAGGCAGGGCGTAAAAGTGGAGGGTAGGCGGACAAGGATCAGGCGGAAGGCACGATAGAACTCTTCGAGAGAAAATCGAGAAGGACCTGAGGAAACCCAGAAGCTGACCCCAGCCCAGGACGATTTAGAATCCAAGGCAAGGTGAATAAGCCTTGAGCGGTGTCAGGGTCGAGAGGGCACGGGGGGTTAGCAGGATCAACACAGTGTGGGCTTTGGGGGGAAGTTCGGGATCGAGGGAACCAACAAGTGGTGGACGTGACTTTGGACACTGGCGTCAGTACCCGCCAATCCATTACTTGGATCGCCCTCGGAGTGGATGAAGAGGAAAAAAAAGTGGACTAACCAGTGGATTCACCAGTGGGTGGGCCGCTCCTCTGGAGAGGGGGCTATGACGTAGGCCACGGCTCTTTGAATGATGCAGCTAAGGCTAAGGCCTAAAAGGGGGTGGGAAGCCTTGCTGCACACCGTATTTTTGGCTTTTTGGCTGTTTTCTGGAAAAAGAAACTGATTAGGCTTGCTCGTCAGCAAATGGGGTGTATACAAGACCACGCCATAATTGAAAATGGTTTTAACTTTCGTAGGGCAGACGGCCAAAACTAGCGTGCATTGTTATCCTGCGGATGGTTTATCCGCAGTTGACGCTGCCCCCCTTGTTTAGGTTGCCTACCCTAAAAGGTTCTAGCGATCACCCATTACCGCTGACTGACGACATCCTATCTGGTCCCTTTTAGGACATGACCAGGGTCATCATCTATCACTTATCTCTTGCGCTGGACACGGTGCACTTGGTGCACCCAGTTTTTCCTAGGCTGCATATGAAACAACCTGGGAACGGGGAGAATTGATGACACATTGGAGGATTCGAGTCTTTGCCTCCCATAATTGCGGCTGTTCATCAGTCATCCCAAAATAGTTCCCCCGACACAACTTGAAACAATCTACGTCCAGTATTGCATGATATCCTGCCGTTGATTACTCGATTACTGAACCCCTGCAGGTCTGTATCATGGGCCGGTTCTGGGGTCCCGCCAAACCCGGCATACCAGGAATAGGCAGCTGCACTCTATGCGGCGTCCGGCGACAGAACCGATGGAATGTGAAGGAGACTCAGTGGGCCTAGGCCTCACTTTCTCCCTACTCCGTACGTAGATTTAGCCTCCTAAATTTTGGAAGACTGGGTTTTTACATTTAACCAAGGCTGGTTTACCCGGATGATCAGTACCAAAATGCGCAAAAGGGAGGCGATGCAAGCGATTGGCGATTGGCCTAGGGACCCATATTGATGATTGAGAGTAATTATTCTAGAAACTTGCCCAGAGCAATCTCAAATCCGAGTCTGGGGGAACCGCTATCCCCTAAACACAACCGATCGCCCCGTGGTGGCGCATCTGGGGCCCGTCTGTTAGAAAGGCACGCTTCGCTCTTTTTTTAATAAATTTTTTTTGGGGCGGTGACTAAGTCCACTTAACTAACTAGGCGTTGGAACTAAAATAACTAGTCCCCATACCACCCCCTTTCCCCTCCCCATGGCGGACCCGACGATGGACTCTATTTGGGTCATTATAGATTCTGCGACTGTCACCATCCGCTATTTTGGATTCAAGCGCTCACCCTGAGCGGTGCACTGGTCGATCCCTTTGGGCGAGATTCTTGGCCAGACTCATGACATGCAGGCAACCGGCATATGCCACAGTATCTTGTGCATGCACGGATTTTCCAGGGCACATCTGTGGAGTCGTCCACGTGTTGCATAACTGGCTGACGTGCGACACTAGGCTTGCTGGGGGTTCTTGATAGGTCGCCTGTTGGAAACAGTCTTGTAGTTTAAACTCTCTGGGTTACGGACAACATTTGACAGAATCTACCTAAAGCCGACTCGGAGCCGAGCGAACGGTTCCACATAATTTTGCGCAAAGTGGGTTTCGATTGATTTTTCTACGTTATCTACGATAAGCTTCCTTATGTTTTTTGGTAAAGACGCTTTCCCATGGTCACGGCGGGCTCCGCTTAGTTTACCAGCCCATGGTCCTTCCACTGCTCATGCGGTCCTTTAGAAAGGTTGAATCGACCCATGGACTTCACCAGTGCTACCAGTGCTACGAGTACTAATAGTGGTAGTAGCTGTGCTAGCGGTTGATACACTAATAGTGGTCCCATATATATCCATGGATATCTCGCAGCCTCTAGTAGGCCATGTCCAAATTTGTCTCCACAAGCGCCCACCTTCCAAGGTTTTATCCCTGCTTAGGTAGCACTTTTGAACAATGGCCATTATGAGGAAAGATTAAGAAAAAATTCTTCGGACTATTGTCGTATTGGTCACTCTAGGGCCTGGACCTGTTGCGGCTAAGATCCGCAAAATAATTATTCCGAATTCCACCTGCAAACCAACCTGTGAACGGCGTTTGCGGGACTTTCTCCTCGTCTGGTGACCGTGCGCATTTGATTTATTCTTTGAGGTGATCTTGCGGTACCATATCGACCCGAGGGGGCTGATACATCCTCCCTATTTCGTACCTGTACCTGCCGTGGTTACCGCTCCCGCCCTCGTTCGCCATCTTTCTGTTGATGCCGACAGGCACCCGACCCCACCCTCAACAGCAAAAGAAGGCCCCGCGACCTGGATGTATGGCGACATTGGCTTAGTCGCCAGCCGCCGCTTTGTTTGAGATGGAGCACAGTTCCTTGCTCGGCGAAGAAGTGCCGGTTCCACCCTCTCGTCTGTTCGAACGATTAAGCCAGTTACCCGGCTATACCTGGGACCAGTCTGTGGAGCCGGTTCACTCAACCTACAACCATTGGCGTGTTCTTGGATTTCGGCATAGCCTCGATTCAGACCTTTCAACCCCGATAGCTACTTCCTCCGGCCTGCATCCTCCGTGCCCTCGAACATTACCGGCCAGTCGCTCCACAGCGATGCCCGACGCCAGAACCGAAGTCAGAACCGAAGGTTCAGTGTGAGCGAGACAAGCAGCGAGCTATCACTCTCCCCGGGGGGATCAAGAGCAGTTATGGCTCCCCGTTGTCGCTCGCGTTTCCACCAATGTGCTGCGGCTGGAGCGCGCCTTTCACATGCTCAAGACAATCTTTCAGTCTTGCGATCCGGATGGCAACCATACGATGCGGCCTATTGACCTCATACGGCTACCAGCAGAGTCGGTAGATACCCCTCAGCTTCTGGTTGCTATATTCGAGTCTCCTGGCCAGGACCGACTGGATGACCTGGCGGCCTTCGGCCCTTCGTCTTTTTTTGCAGGCTCGCAGCCCAACATCACACCTGACGAGCATATAGACTTGCCCGCATTCTTCGATTTTGCTATTGGGGCTTGTGATTGTTTGGAAATTCTCCATTACGGCATCAAAACAGTCCACGGTGAAATTCGTGGAGACGCATTCCATTTTAGCAGGGAAACTGGCGCTGTCAAACTTGCAAATGTAGGCAATGGCGCGCGCTCATTTGACAATGTCCTCAGTGAAGGGTGGTCTTCTCTCATGCGCGAGGTCGGGGCAAGATATAAGTTGCAATTCATTGCCCCCGAACAGACGGGCAGAATGCCCACAGAACCAGACAGCCGAACGGATATCTACGCGCTAGGTATCTTCTTCTGGTCGATGCTTGTTGGAAGACTTCCTTTCGAAGGAAGTGATCCGGTCGAGGTTGTGCAAAGTGTACTGAGCAAGAAGCTGACACCAGTCTCGAGCAAAAGAATGGATGTTCCTGATGCTCTTTCTGCTGTGATCCAGAGAATGACGCACAGGGTTGTACATGACCGATACCACACAATTTCTTCTGTCAGACGAGATTTGGTGACAATCGCGCAACTCCTGGGCGATGGCGACATTGACGCTTTGAACGAATTCGAGATCGGGCAGCGTGACGTATCGTCCTTCTTCACACTTCCGTCTCAAATGTTTGGACGACAAGAAGAGTACGAAAAGATTATTAGTGTCGTTCAAAAAGTCAGTAGGCGGCTAGCGGCAGCGTCTATGAAAGACTCCGTATCGAACGCCGGGGCGGCAAATCAACTTCCATCTAATTCCTCGGTATCAGAAGGTCGGGTGGACAGTTTTGAATTCGGGTCCGTGTCTGATGACTCCGGGTCATTCCAAGTGCAGTCGCGCACAAACTCTAACGTGAATCAATACCATATTGCGCACGTCAACTCAATGGATTCCATGGCAAGTTCCGAGTCCACTCTCCCGCCACTTCCTGGACGGCCGAGTCAAGGCTCGCCAGGTCATGAAATACCCAATTCCTCATTGATCGGGCCCCATTCCGGTAAATTGAAAAGCCGGTCCCATTCCAGGTCTTCACAGGCCACCGACAGAGAAAGCTTATCTACCATCGGTGGAAATGCAAATAGCCTGTCAACTAAAACTTATAGCCAAACGGACTCCATTGGTTCAGTTGGCAGAGCTAGAGCAAATGCAAAGTTGCGGCGCACCGGCCGCTGTGAAGTCATCACGATCAGTGGGGCCCCTGGTATAGGTAAAACGGACATCCTTAACCGGGTTCAGCCTGTCATTCGAAAATTGGGATACATAGCCATAACTCGTCTGGATCGTGCGAAACGTGTGCCATTCGAACCATTTGCGAAGATCATAGCGAGTCTCCTACGTCAAATATTTTCGGAGCGGGATGTCTCGACCGGGTTCCACGAAAGTATTCGCACCGCGTTAAGGCCCATATGGCATACGCTGCACAAAGTTTTGGATCTGCCTGAACAATTGATGGCACCTGGGGAGAAGTTTCAGTCGTCTTCCCCAAGTTTCCGTACTGCTACACCAACGGCAAACCAAGAGGAAGAGGATATCGCGCATGCAAGAAGGTTGCATATTCCATGGATGCATCATGACCAGACATCTACGGATTTCTTTCTCTCGAACGCGGCGTCGAACAACATGCGTTTGATGGACATATTCATGGATTTTATGAGAACTCTGTGTCAGTTCAAACTTATCACTATATGCCTGGACGACCTAGAGTACGCAGATGATGAGACGTTGGAGCTGATCCTGAATATCATCCGTGCAAAATTACCTTGCGTGTTAATCCTCACAAGCCGTCAGGAAGGATCTGCATCGGACAATGTACGGGCGTTATTCGAGGCCGACAATTCCAGCATCACAAGAATTGAGCTTCGCCCTCTTTCGGAAGATGAGGTTATGGAGTTTGTAGCAGCGACCATGCATCAGGATTCAGATCAACATCTCACCCCGCTTACGGCAGTGATCCAAGAAAAAAGCCAAGGCAATCCTTTCTATGTGAGAGTCATGCTTGAAACGTGTTACCGGAAGAATTGCGTTTGGTATTCTTGGAAAGACTCAAAATGGCAGTTCGACCTTGACCGAATCTTTAGTGAATTTGTCTCCCCTGTGTATGGAGAGGGCCTCGGACTTGGTTTTCTAACCAAGCGTCTCGAAGAAATACCTCCGTCGGCTCGGTCGATCATCGTTTGGGGTGCTTTGCTTGGAAGCCCATTTTCATTTTCCTTGGTTCAAAAGCTCTTAACCAGCGAATTTCTTTTTTCCACCGATGATGTGGTGGATCAAGGCCTTGACCTTACCTCACCCCAGAATCGCAACTTGATCAGACAATCTGAAGAGGATGTTGTTATTGGGTTGCAGTATTTGGTCCAGGTGAACCTCCTTAATACTGGCAAAACCGATGATGAGTTCAAGTATGACAAAAAGGACCTCCTTTTCAAACGTTGAGTTACTTTACTGACTCAGGCTTAGATTCGGCAACGATCGACTTGCTCAGGCTGCTTTGTCATTGAGCGAGAGCAGGAACGTGGAGAAGATGCATTTCATCGTTTCACAAACTCTGATGAAATATTATCACGACCACCGAAGTCGTTATTCCCTGGCCCACCATGTGGCACTCGCTTCTACAATGATCAAGTCTCGTGTTGCCCGAAGAATAGATTACCGCAGAATTTTATGGGAAGCTGGTCAAACAGCAGCCCAGTCTGGCGCTCAGCCCAGTGCACTATGGTACTTCCGCCACTGCATTGGTCTTCTCCAAGATAATCCATGGGATGAACGTAACGACGATGTCTTCTACGATGAGACCATGCGGCTGTACATTGCAAATGCTGAAATGTCTTGGTCCCAGGGTCAGAGCGATGAGGCTCTGGCGTTGATCGAATCTGTTTTCCTACACGGGAAAGACCCTGTCAGCAAGGCCAGGGCTTGGGTCATCAAGGCTAAGATTCTTGCTCAAATGGGTGATCATCATAGCTCTATGGAAGCTCTCTTGACATGTCTGGACGAGCTGGGTGTTCATATCCGTGCGCCAACGACTTTCGAAAAGTGCGATGCTGCTTTCGTCGACTTGAAGAACTACCTGGAGAAGGCAGACATTGAATCTATCGCCCAGAAGCCTATCAGCAAAGACCCGAACTTGATGACTATTGGTGCCGTCATGGCGGAAGCGATGTCTGTTACTTATTGGGACGATTCCCTCACCTTTTATCGAATGGCAATTGAAATGATGCATATCCACATCTTTCGTGGAGGCTTCACACAGATCTCAATTGGCTGCTCTCACCTTGCTATGATCGCTCTCAGTCGTTTCAAGGATCTTGAGTTTGGGGCCAGGCTTAGTGATCTCTCTCTTTCTCTTCTTGAGCATTGCCCTGAGCTGTGGACACAAAGCAGAGGCTCCATCGTGCATAATCTATACGTCGCGCATCTGCGCGTGCCTTTGGCACAGACGTTGCCAGCTCTCGAAACCTCGCTCGAGGTGTCATTTACGATGGGTGACCCCTACGTTACACTGATAAGCATTTCGTCGATGGCTATGACCAGACTTCATCTGGGCCAGGACATGTCTCAGTTGGAAGCATTTTGTGTAGAAACCCCAGAAGAGATTCCAAACTGGGCACACGATACCCGCGGTGGTGCTAGTATCATCGCCGTTCGGTATGTACCAAATTGGACTGAGAAGCGTTTCTACTATTAAATGATACTAACAATCTCACAGACAGGTTGCCAGGGCCCTACAAGGGAAAACCGAAACTCGATCACCAGAAAACATTTTGTCGGATGACACACACAGAACTGCCGCATACATGGCCTTTTTGGAGGCAAACACTAGCAATGTTGACCGTCCTCGTGGCTTGTACCTCGGTCTTTCCATGATACCATTGTTTTTGTACGGTCACCATGCAAGGGCCATCGAGATAGGGACATCGTTACTCCATACAAGACACAGACTTTGGTCCGTTCGAGTCGCCTACACGATCTATTTCTGGTTGTCACTCTCACTTCTCACACTCCACACCGAGTACCCCGCCCAAGGATACCTTGACGGCAAAATGGATACGATTTTGGAGTACAAGGCGGAAATCGACTTTGCGCGTCGCTGCTCTGATGCGAACTACGGCATGTGGGTGTACATGATCGAGGCTCTCATTTGCGAAGTCCGCAACGATCACAGTGCCGCCATTCGAGCTTTTGAAGCCGCAACCGACCACAGTCAGGTTCATGGGTGGCCTTTGGAAGAGGCTCTTTCCCTTGAGCTTCAAGGAGAGTATTTGATCAGACGAGGCGCCAAAAGAGCCGCCCGTGCTGTGATTCAAGACGCTATCGCGGCCTGGGGGGCAATTAGCGCCGATGGTAAAGCAGCCATGCTTGCGGAGAAGCATGAATGGTTGCTCAAGACAGCGACATCTGCTCGAACAATCGACGTTGGGTGCCAAACGATGGATACACTTCTTGAGATTACTCGGGATACAGTTCAAGAAGAGATTGTGATTCCCTCTCAGGCAGAGGAAGAGGCCAGGAGACAGCGTTGGATTGAACAGAATGGCCCGAGAACCGACTCAAGTTCCATGGACATTTCTAGCGTTGGCTTAGGTGAGTCGTGTCCTCTGATGTCTCGAGTTTTACCACCAACTGATCATTTCACAGACATCATTGATCTTTCAAGCATTCTGGAGTCAAGTCAAGTCATGTCGTCTGAGCTGCAGGTCGATAAACTTTTTGTGAAGATGCTTGAGATCATTCTGGAATCTTGCAATGGGTCCGATTTTGCTGTCATCGCTACTCATTTTGAGGAAATTGGATTTGCCATCGCAGCAGTGGCAGATGTGGATAGAGGCCAAAAGTCTTACTCTGACGGCCTTCCATTTTCCGAAGCAGATAGCCGCATGGCACAGCAAATTTCGCACTATGTGATGCGGACGAAGGAGGAGGTCCTCGTTCATAATGTGCTGGAAGACGACCGTTTCTCCAACGTCAGTGAAGGATACCTCGCAACCTATCCACAAGGGCGATCTGTCATTGCATTACCAATTATTCAGGGAGATCAATTACTGGGAGTGATCCATTTGGAAGGAAAGCCTAATTGGTTCACTCAGCGGAACGTCGTGGTCTTGCATTTGCTTTGCAACCAAATTGGCATCTCATTGTCGAATGCCCTGCTCTTCCGTGAAATACGCAAGGTCAGCGCGAAGAATATTTCTATGATTGAGTCGCAGAAGCGTGCTCTTGCACAAGCCCGCGAAGCGGAACAAAAAGCCAAGGTGGCCGAGGCCGAGGCTAATCATAATGTCAAGCTCAAAGAAGATGCCGCACGAGCAAAGTCTATCTTCCTAGCAAACATCTCGCACGACTTACGCACACCCATGAATGGAGTTATTGGGCTCTCCGAGCTTCTGAAGGGCACGCAGCTAAGCAAGGAACAAGACGAATATGTGGAGTCTATTCGTGTGTGTGCTGATACCTTGCTAACGCTTATCAATGACATCTTGGACTTCTCCAAGCTGGAAGCGGGCAAAATGAAGATTTCGACCGTTCCGCTCAATCTGAAAGAAACCATCTCCGAAGTGATCCGCGCGCTCCGGTATACCCATCGTGAACGGAACCTCGCCACCATTGAAGACTTGGACCGTGTGCCTCCGGAGCTGGTCGTTCTTGGCGACCCCGTGCGCTTGCACCAGATCTTCATGAATCTACTGAGCAACAGCTACAAATTCACGCCGAAAGGCTCCATCACCGTCAAAGCAAGAGTTGCGCGGGAGGGGAAGGGCCGCGTGCGTCTCGAATGCTCCGTCGCTGACACTGGCATCGGCATACCCGACGAGCAGAAGGCCCGCTTGTTCAGGCCATTCTCCCAAGCCGACCCATCCACCGAAAGATCCTACGGTGGTAGTGGTTTGGGGTTGAGCATTTGCAAAGCCATTATTGAGGATGTCCTGGGTGGTGCAATTTGGCTCGAATCCCAGTCTGGCGTCGGCACTACTGTCACATTCCACTTGGTCTTCAACAAGGCACCGAAGAAGACTGCCGTCAAGACGCCTTGGTCTCAAGATCTCAGCCAGCCAAAAAGCGAAGCAGCTCCCCGAATCCATGTCCGCGACCTGACCCAAATCCCACGCGATCAGATTCGAATCTGCATCGCAGAAGATAACCCCATCAATCAAAAGATCGCAGTCAAATTTGTGACCGGGTTAGGTCTACAGTGTGAGGCATACAGTGACGGAAAGCAAGCAGTAGATGCTCTGCGCGCCAAGTCTCAAGAGGGCAATCCCTTCCACGTCGTCTTGATGGACGTCATGATGCCCACGCTAGATGGATACAATGCCACCCGCGAGATTCGGCGGGATCCCGACCCCAACGTCAATGAGGTCCTAGTCATTGCCATGACCGCTAGTGCCATCGACGGCGACCGGGAGAAGTGTCTCGAAGCAGGCATGAACAACTATCTCCCTAAGCCTGTGCGATCACCCATCTTGAGCGAGCTGCTGGACATGTACCTCGCGCCGGTGCCCTCTCACCCTCGCACTCGCCTCGCAATCCGCGAAAAGAGCTCTCGGTCCAGCGTGCGAGATTCTGGCACGCCTGTCAGCATATCCTCGTCCGGGTCAGAAGAACAGAAGACCCTGCCACCCCTCCCATCTGAAGAGAAATGATTTCACGCGTTTTGAATAAAGATACCCCATACTTCTTGTTGTCCTGAAATTAGAAAGGATCAGGCGTCTCTCTGGAAAGTGCTTCCCAGCGTTGATATTATTATTATTATTATTATTATTTTTTTTTGGTTTTGGCATCCAGATGCGTGAGTACTCTGGGCTATTGGTTTATGTCATTATGTTCCTGAGATACTCTGTTTAACATGCTCTTATTTGATTCGGGTTTTGATGTTTGTCATGTGCGGTGATGCCGTTCAAGTCGGTTATGAGTTGCCTGATTTTCGAATGACCTTCGAACGATCTCTCAGTGGCCCAAGGGATGCTCTCGCGTTCTTGTAGATACAACCCCTCTTGACTCTTTTCGCTCTGGCCGCTCAGGGTAGGTGTTCACTTAATCCTCCATACTAGTTCGTAAGCCCGAGGTTTGGCGGACCGTTAACATTCACAGTAGGAGTAGACAATGTCGCGGACAAATTCCTGAATACTGTCATGAGGCTACGTTCCACACCTAGTTTGCGATTTAGCCAGAAAGGAGTCCACGTATTGCCAAGAGTTATAGAGCACGGAAAAATATTCCCATTATCGGGTCAGGGCCCCCTGGCACGGCGGGGTCGCAGATGGGGCTTGGGGTTGTTTGGTGGCGCTGCGGATAGGTGGATTAACTTCCAACTCCAACCGAATTTTCAGCCTATGAAGCACGCACTCCTTGACTTCGTGGAGGTTTTGTATCTAAAACAAAACAGAGTTCTTTTGATTATCCCTGCGATTTAGTAATGCATTTATAAGGCCTTGAATCTCACGGCGATGTTTCTTCCTAACGGTTCTACACCGGTTTTTCGTCACAATATTTACAGAAATCTATAGCGATTTTCCCCTAGGAAACCCTAAAATCCATACAATCATTTATTTCTTTCAATACAGTATAATTTATCTTGGACCTCTTCATACAGGCCTTGAACGGATCGCGAGCGTCTGGAAACGGCCTATAGCATTGATTCACAGGGTTTAAGCAAATTCGCGGCCGTGACCCCCCTGGCCCCTTGTACACCAAGTGGGGGGTTGGTGACGTGACGCACGAATAAGAAGTTAGTTATATACTCTCTTGGTAAACCTCCGGACATTGAAGAAACAGGCTCAACAACCCCGTGTCTTGGCAATCCTTTCTCCCGGCGTCATTTCCTCCGGTAACGCACCTTCTGTGACAGCTTTTCCCGCTCGCTGTCAGGAATTTACCCGGCCAGTGTCTAGGCCGTCATTGTGTCGAGTAAAATGGACCTTGCATGATACTCATGGGAAGAAGGGTGTTCCTACCCGAAACGTATCATGCAGGGCACCGTTCTTCTTGAGGAAGGGGACTTCGATGATCATATTGGTGTGTTGATCATCTAACAGGAAGAGCTAAAGGTATAAATACACAGCAACGGCTATGGGATTCACTCTTGTTTTCCCACGCACAGAAACCATCTCACAATATCGAGGCAAACATTTAACATTTTACTTGACGAGAGTCCCCGTTTTCTGTGACAATGATCTTCCTCGCTACCCTTCTAGCCCTAGGCTCTCTAGCCTCAGTTGACGCTGCCACGTCTTCAGGCTGCGGCAAGCAACCCACCCTCTCCAGTGGCATCCACAACATCAATGACCGCCAGTACATCCTCAAGGTCCCTGACGGCTATGACCCGAACAAGCCTCATCACCTCATTTTCGGCCTCCACTGGCGAGGCGGAACCATGTACTCTGTCGCCAACGGCGAGGGCGTGCAACCATGGTACGGTCTCGATAGCCGATCGCAGGGCAGCGCAATTCTGGTAGCCCCCAACGGCCGGAACGAGGGCTGGGCCAACACCAACGGAGAAGATGTAGCCTTCATCGACAGCATCATGCAGCAAGTGGAAGCTGACCTTTGCGTGGACCAAAGCTCCCGCTTCGCGACGGGATTCAGCTGGGGCGGGGGGGATGAGCTATTCGCTTGCGTGCTCGCGAGCGAAAGAGTTCAAGGCCGTGAGCGTGTTGAGCGGCGGCGTGATTAGCGGGTGTGATGGGGGCCATGATCCTATCGCTTACTTGGGCATCCATGGGATCAACGACCCAGTGCTGCCCTTTGACGGCGGGGTCAGCCTGGCAGAGAAGTTCGTTGGGAATAACGGGTGCCAGCAACAAAATATCGGTAAACCCGCGTCCGGTAGTCACAGTTCCGTTCGAACGGACTTTCACGGATGCTCCAGGCCAGTCTCGTTTATTGCCTATGATGGGGGACACGACTCTGCGCCCCTTGGCGTCCAGAGTTCTCTCGCTCCCGATGCGACTTGGGAGTTCTTCATGGCCGCTTGAAGTAGGGGATGGCATTTGATAGTACGAGCACTGTTGATAAGTTGTGAATATGACTGGTGACTTGTCCATTTGGCGCGCAAACTCGAGTAGAGGTCTTCTTCTCAGAAGAGTATATCCAAAAAAAAAAAACACATGCTGATATCTAATGTACAGCGGCATCTACCGAACAATGGGACATGCGGCTGGCATTCCGATGTATATTCTACTGAATAAGTACACCTCCTTTTGAGAACTTGTTTTGGGATCCACGTGGCAACATGCCTACCAGTGTATCATGCCCGGACTCGCCATGTCGGCACCAGTTGGATTTTGCTACCAGGGTCGTTCCAGCACTTTACAGAGACATAGTATTAGCCGAGTGAATAATACTCTGCCTTTTTCATAAGGCTTCTTCCACTTGCCGAGCGAGATACTAACTAATACCAAGGGGGGGCCGTCTATTTTGTTACCGCCGCAGCGGTGGAAATCCCTCGGCATTTCTTACAGGCTATGGACTTATCTTCCTTCCAACTAGACGAGCGAAGTAAATGCTATAGACTGCACACACCGTCGGCAGCCAATTTGTAAACCTCCATCGGTCTAGACTGAGTACGAATACGAACACATGCTTAGGTTGAATTCTGAAATCAATTTTGACGAGGGACTAGTTTACATGAAGACTGCCTGCGTACTAGCAACAACAGGGAACGCACGGTAGAGCCTTCTTACATTGACGTTCGCCAGCCTAGAGTTCTGAAACCCGACCTGAGCATTTCCACCAGGAATTGCCGCAGCACATGCTTTGGGCATCAGGCCTCTTGCCACACGATCTCTAATCCAAATAGTCCACTCCCCACACCTGTCACAATCTTTCCTTCACGGCTCTATACCCCTCTTCCATGACCAGCCCTCTAATGCTTCAAAGTGAGCACACCGGGCATCCAGGGTAGGGTGTTGTAGTTGCCACCGGTATTGGGGCTATGGCCCTGATAGAGGAATTGGAGGTTGCATGCATCGATAGTCATAGTTTGGTCAGGGTTGGTGCGCACCAAATCGCCGTGGCTGATGTCGTTGGTCCAGGTGGCGCCACTGTTGGCTTTGCCAGCGAAAGGCCGGCTCTCGCTGGTTGCCTGCGGCGTCCACGAACCACTCAGGCTGCTGGCAGTGAAGGAGCGGAAGTACCGCCCTTGCGATCCGATTGCCTCGACGATCATCAGGTACTGATTTTGGCCTTGGACGGTGTACACCTGGACCGCCTCAAACAGGTTGTTCTGAGAATCACTCATCACCACCTCTGCGGACGTGCCGAAGTTCCCCGGGAAATTGCCAATCGGCATGCTAGAACGGTAGATCTTGCCATTGTCCCCCGCGAAGAACAGGTACATGTGTGTCGAGTCCCCGATGAGCGTCTGATCAATGGCGCCCGTGCTGGAGCCAGAGATCTTCCCCGAAAAAAGGGCTTGCTCCGATGACCATCCGTTCGCATTGGATGGGTCACTTGAGGTGCGGTAGGTGAACGTGCTCGAGCCCCATTGATAGGCCAGGACCCAGATGTTCTTGGGCTGGAAGTAGAACAGGGTCGGCGCCACCGCCGAGAAGCTCATGGCGTTTTGGCTCGCAGATGCCATGCCGGACCAGTCGGAAAAGAGGCCGAAGTTCATCGAGCCGTAGTTCCCACTGGCGTCGGTGGTGGATGCACAGACCAGATGCTTGTTATTGAAGACCACATTGGTGAAGTCCTTGACTGCCGTCCATCCCGAGCGAGGATGGGCCAGAGCGCCAGTGGAGGTCCAACTGTAAGTTGACGGGAGAGCGCAGCTGGCAGCAGCAGTTGGCACTGAGGTGAGCCAGACTATGCTGGTCACCAGGCACGCTTTGACGTTGAAGAATCCCATTGCCGTGACGGTTTTAGGCGTTCGATGGGGTTGATGATTGAAGACTCAAAGCAGAGAGACCAAGAGGCATCTAGCTAGGAACCGAGCGCTATATATAATGCACGAACGGGCCTACCTAGGTATAGATTGAATAATTTCGCGACGAAAACGTGCGCCGGATAAATAGAGCCAAACTAACCTTTCTTCTCCCTGCATACACGCTACAATGTTTGAACTAGAAGCATTTCGTTTATTTCGTTTATTCCACGGTCCACTCCGAAGCGTGGTCCTTGGGTGGTGGCTGATTGAACTACGTGAGTCCAACTATCATTGGTGGACTATTACTTTTTTAGGTATCCGGCATGAACCCTGAACCCCGCACCAATTTAACCATTCCATGTCTTTGAAGAAGAGTATCCTAGGGTCCTTATGGTGGCGCTAATCGGATGACCCCTGGTGCTGAAACGCTCTTAATCATAGGGGGGGTTTCCATCATGAAACACACTTGTCTCGGAAGAATTTCTGCTGGGTCGGTTAATATTGTCTTCGCAGCGCGGATCATGCCGTGCTCGAACTCTGGTGGAAAATGGATTTCGGGGTTACCTCGGCGGATTTAGCCGGGAGAAGCTAAGTATGTTTTGAAGCAAAAGTTGGGGCTGCTTGATTGGATACTCTCGGCGTCGAGGTGTTCCTCATTGTCTCCACACTTGCCAGGGGTCCCTTAATTTCTGCCAACCGCATTGTTCTTCCGTCAACACACACTAAGCTTCAGATATCATCCCATTGGGACCTGCTGGCGCTACAGCCTGCACTGGGCATACGTGAATTGAGCTTGGCGATTCGGGAGTCTCCCGCCTAAAAGGTCCTATGCGATCATTTAGGCTAGAGAAGAGCTAGTATTAATTTTTTCCGAGATCTTTACTAGTGCATTGAGCCTATTGACAGCATACCTTCTTCAGGATTGAAACAGGTGCTTTGTACATAATGCAGCATTAGTGCCCAATCAGGAAGGAGGTCCGTTCAGTCAGTACTTCTATTATGCACTTTTATCCTGGGGTAGCCCTGATTTCTGTCTTGTATAAGTATTGTCTTCGCCCTTCCCAGGAGGTGGTTTTCTTCTGCCACCCTCATTTCCCTCATCAAGTTCACAGCCAACGCATTTCTCAAAATGGTTCAGATCAAGGCAGCTGCCCTGGCTATGCTTTTCGCTGGCCAAGTGCTTTCGAGTCCCGTCGAGCCCCGACAAGCATCTGTGAGCGTTGATGCCAAATTCAAAGCCCATGGAAAGAAATACTTTGGAAATATTGGTGATCAGTACACCTTGACCAAGAACTCCAAGACTTCGGCAATCATTAAAGCCGACTTCGGTGCCCTGACACCGGAGAACAGCATGAAGTGGGATGCTACCGAGCGTGAGTACCAATTTCTACAGGGTCTTATGGTATCAAAGGCTTAATTGCAAAATAGCAAACCGAGGGCAGTTCTCCTTCTCCGGGTCGGACTATTTGGTATGTACCAGCTGGTGTTTATCAAGGCAACCACGTCTTTGCCTAATCCTTACACACTCTAGGTCAATTTTGCTCAGTCAAATGGGAAGATGATCCGTGGCCACACGCTTGGTAAGTGGATTCTGGTCCAAGGATGCAAACAAAGCGCAATAACAAAGACTAAACCCGTCAAAGTATGGCACTCACAGCTTCCATCCTGGGTCTCTTCCATCTCGGACAAGAACACCCTGACAAGTGTCCTGAAGAACCACATTACTACAGTCATGGGCCGTTATAAAGGCAAAATTTACGCCTGGGTAAATTGGGCTTCTTTCTGCTATTCAGCCACATTGCTGATCAATCCCAGGATGTCGTGAACGAGATCTTCAACGAGGACGGTTCCCTACGCAACAGTGTCTTCTACAATGTCCTCGGCGAGGACTTTGTGCGGATCGCTTTCGAAACCGCTCGTGCTGCAGACCCAAATGCAAAGCTCTACATCAATGACTACAAGTGAGTTACTGCCCACTCTCATTTTCGTCTTTTCTCTTTTGATTCTGACCTCAATAAGCCTGGACTCCGCCTCATATCCTAAATTGGCCGGCATGGTCAGCCACGTCAAGAAGTGGATTGCCGAAGGTATCCCGATTGACGGAATCGGTAAGATACCTACCATACCTACCATAGTGATTCATTGTACATGATGTCTTACTCGTTACAGGCTCTCAATCCCACTTAGGTGCCGGTGCTGGCGCTGCAGTTTCTGGATAAGTACCCCCTTGCTTCTTTGTGCTCGAGCACTAGCTTACAGCCTCTCACAGCTCTTAATGCTCTAGCCGGCGCAGGAACGAAGGAGCTTGCCATCACCGAGCTTGATATTGCTGGCGCCAATCCCACCGACTATGTCAATGTGAGATTCCCGTCCTCTGCCAGTCTCTATCTGGTGTGATGACTCTTTGCTAATCGCCTATCATCCAGGTTGTCAATGCTTGTCTGAACCAGCCGAAGTGCATCGGCATTACAGTTTGGGGAATTTCTGACGCGGTAAACACCTGTCAACCTTCTTTTCCATATATTGATCTGCATGCTAATACCAGCTTTGTAGGATTCGTGGCGCTCCAGCTCTACCCCTGTGCTTTTCGACAGCAACTACAACCCCAAGCCTGCATACACGGCTATCGTAAATGACCTCTAGTGGGCGTACTTCCAATGCCCATCGTAAGGGCCAAGCTAGCTACCGGGCTGGTTACAGCTTAGACTGTCAACGGTCGTTGAGCCTGATTTCTTCGAGATCATGCCGTCCTTGATACTGAATCTTCGGTCAAGGCCCTTTGCTCGTTGTTTCAAAACCTCGCCTATGTTCCATTCACTCCTACGTCTAGTGTGCATAGGGAAGTTTCTCCTCTCTTCCTCTCATTCTCATCTTGTCTTCTTTTTGTCTTCTTTTTGTCTTCTTTTTGTCTTCTTGTCTTCTTGTCTTCTTCTTCTCCTAGCTGTAGTGTTCCAAATCCTGTTGCTTCTACTTCTTTCCCCAAGTGACCGATCAAACTACGTTCACAGACATTGGTACTTTGTCGTAAGCCTTATCAGGGAGAAGATGAATTTGGGCATGAGTAGAAAAGCAGCTCAATTATCGTCCACTTGATTTGACCTGCTTACTAAGCGATCCGAGGTCCCCCGGGGCCGAGGTCCTTTCTGTCATGACGTAATGATCCCCCCGCTGATCCGGGGTGAATGTATAAAAGCGGCGGAGTCACTAGAACGGAAGGAGCCAAGAAGAACATTCCCCGGTAATGCGAAAAAGTCTCTGACTTTCCAGTTGCTCAGCACCATGATGCTGGGTGCATCAGAGAGCGTGAGAATCGTGGAAGTTGGCCCACGAGATGGCCTCCAGAACATCCGAGAGCATATTCCCACGTCGACAAAACTCGAGTTGATCCAGAGGCTGGAGGATGCAGGACTGACTGCTATCGAGCTGACATCACTGGTGTCTTCGAAAGCGATCCCCCAGCTTGCGGATGCACAGGATGTCCTCGGAAGTCCTCAAATTCAAAGAGCTTTACAGAATCCTTTGCTCCGCCTTCCGGTACTCGTGCCCAACGTGCGAGGGCTGCAGACCGCCATCAGAAACAATGTAAAAGAGGTTGCGGTTTTTGTTAGTGCGACAGAGGGATTCAGCAAAGCCAATATTAATTGCTCTGTGGAGACTGGGCTTTCACGAGCGAGAGAGGTCATTTCTCTGGCTTGCAGATACAACATCGCCGTTCGAGGGTGAGTTTTCCCAGCCCAACACACGTATTATTAGTGGCTCATATGCTTACCAACCCCCAGCTATGTATCGTGCATATTCGAAGACCCATATGAAGGTCCTACAGACTCGGCAGCCGTCCTTCGATGTATCAAGTCACTTCTCGATGCAGGCTGCTACGAAGTGAGCCTCGGTGACACCACCGGCATAGGGCGCCCGACTGACGTTCAACGCCTTCTTGACTATCTCGTTGGGAATGGCGTGCCGCTCAAAAAGCTCGCGGGTCATTTTCACGACACCCGTGGGCAAGCAGCCGCCAACGCATGGGAAGCATACCGTCGAGGTATACGGGTGTTCGACAGTAGCGTTGGTGGACTGGGAGGGTGCCCTTTCGCGCCGGGTGCAAAGGGCAATGTGGCTACAGAAGACTTGGTCCACATGTTTCACAGCGCAGGTATCGAGACGGGCGTTGATCTACCGAGGCTGATCGAAACTGCGCAATGGATTTCGCACAAGCTGGGCAAGTCCTACTCCGGTCGTGTTGACACCGCACTTGCTATCAAGAAAGCAAAGGCATCCTGTGACCAAAGGAAGACACCGCGCATTTCCGATTACGGAACGGAGGGCCGTTGGCTTTACCATGCAAACCTGAGTTTCAAGATGTCTCCATTCCGGTGGAGCTTACAGTACCAAGGAGGTGTAGGCTTGGAGGAAAGTCGCTCAGGGTGTTTGGATATACGACGGAAAAGTCGAAACTTCTAGGGGGGCGAAATAACTGAAGGTCGTGGGCTATTTCCGATTTCAATCTTTGTGTATAAAACAGCGATACGTCATGTTTCTAGATCAACTGTTTACCCTTTACCACTAATTAGACCTTGATATTATAACTTATCTAAACCCTTGAATATGCGCGATATCACATACTACAATAAACGACATCGATGCCTACGGCAATTGTAAAACAGAGCTTTCTTCTCCGGATCCAGGACGGCCGAAGACTACCTCCGCAGTTGGATTCCCAGCCTCTAGATGCATCACGATGTTGAACAGCGAACTACTTCGCGTTGAGATATGACGAGACTCATCGGGCTGGCAGCTGATCGCCTGCGGAGCGTTATATGAGTCGGAAAATATCTTCTCCCTCAATAACACCGGGGTAATGGCGTCACCTTGCACGCCGTCCGCGATCAGTCCGCGGGCTAATTCTCCAAGGCGCTTCAGACGAATTGGAGATCCGGAAAGCCACGGCGGCTCCTCCACGTATCGATTCTGGATAAAATGGTTGGTATGCGGGATCAGGCCTAGGTCGTCCTCGGGAATGTACTTGTTGCCCACAGGGGACAGTTCAAGCCCCAGCGCCTTGGTACTATCCGCGACCAGAATATGCTGAGCTGAAGCAACGCCACCCAAAGCCTCGAGAGTGCGAACCGCGTCGTCAACCGTTTTGCTTTCGAGGCATAAACGCAGAGCAATATGAATCGGAAGTTTGCTGCTCATCATCGGCTTTGCTCGAATCGCATTCAGGCAGGTGCCAACACCAGCAGAGTTGAAGCCAATTTTTCCAATTATGCCAGCCTGTATCCGGCGTTAAGATGTGTTGGGAAGCTGGGAAGTTGAAGTCCCCGGGGCCCCTTACCTCAGTCACCATGTGTATCGTAGGCCTGTCGGGCTGCTCAATTGACACTAGTGCCAGATTCTTCGATACAGTCTTCGTCCAATCCCAGTTTTGCGAGAGAACCCGTGTGTTGTCACCTTTCTTCCAACAAAGAGTCGAGCATCCATCCGAGAACTTTCCGAGAGCAATCTCACTGCGACAATTCAGGGCCACGATATCAAGGATGTCCAGGCCTGCTCCCTCTGCGATGCCTTCCAGTTCCCCGTAGAGACGAGGCACCAGCCTTTGCAGAGAAGGTTGGAATTCCTTCGCTATCTCTCGGACGTCCGGCCATGCTAACTTGGATGTGTATTGGAACATAGAGTCGTAGATTTCAATTTGACTGCGAATCTCTGCTTGTAATGCCCGGCCATGCTCAAGCCCGATCTGTCCACACAGACCGATGTTAGCTATCCAGTGGCTTTCCCGAATATCGTGGTCTAAGGGTGGAGCTAACCTCTCGAGGGCTGCCCCTCAAATTCAGTCTAATAGGATCTTCCGCCACCATCGTCGCGAGTATAGCACCGGTCGGCGGTTGCTAGGGAAGTACACTCACCTCTACTTGCAAATGCGAATGTTTCCAAGGGGGAAGAAAAAGGGCTCGGAGAGAAGAGATTCCCCTCAGTTGGAGTCGAGCGGGGGTTGGCGATAAGACCCCAACTCGCGGCGAGCCGAGCTGACGGTTGGATCCGAATTGAAAGACGAGAGGTCCATGTTGAGTTCTCACTGTGTCAACCTTATCCAAGTCAAGATGCGGATTTTATTCGCTAGGACTCAGAGGGTGATCTCTGACCGCGCACACTCAGGTCTTCCCAACGCGTGCGTGGAAATTGTAGTCGGTCGCAACATGCGAGTACATCTCCTCCAAGCGAGCAAGTGATTGCTTTAACAGATCGAAGGCCCTTCCAAACCACCAGACTCGAATGCAACGTCGGACAATAGCCGCCTTGTCTGGGCCTATTCCAGCCTGATATGTGCGCGCTGCATGTACCCGTGAATAGAGAAGATTTTGGCGTAGACTTTTCGCTCATGTTTGTCATCTCCTTCTCAACGATCGTCCCATTCAATGGGTTTTCCTTCAGTAACAAACAAGATGATATTTTTCCTGTTCTACTGGACCTCGGAGGAAGTGAAGTCCATGCGAATTGGATGAAACAACATCGGGTCCGATGCTGCTGTGTCTACCCGGCGGCGAGATGCTTGTTTTGTTGCACACCATCTCCGGCTTGTTACTAATTTCGTAGCCCAAGAATAGGATTTGCTTCCATGATGCTGGTGCTCAGTATTAGCGATAATTTGCCTTCCAGCTGTTGTCGCTCATAGGGGGTAGGCGCTGGGGTGTAATCCCGCATCAGATGATAATTCCAGCCCTACCCCCCCTGAGTGGCCCGGTATGTCACGCATGAACGTGATGAAGTTTGCCCTTGCACTGCCACTCCACCACTTCAGGTCCAGTCATCTCCATGGGCACCTCTGGAGTCTGATTCGGAGTTGGCAGTGTAACACAAAAAGCATAGGTACCGCGCTACTTCCAAAGCTCGAGCCTTTTCTTCTCTTCACCCGTTTTTTCAGTGCCACGGGGTACGAGTAATAGGTTTCCTTTCACAATTGCGTTTCCCGTAGCTAGGAGCCTGATCCATCATGGCCGTTAGAGAGTGAAAGAGCTACCAGAACAGACTATATCGGAGTGGAGAGGGGATAAAATATTCGGGTTCGAGATGTAACGCAACAGTGATTCAAGTTACCAGCTATCAGCACTCTCAGGCTTGTTTAGACACGAATTAGTGCTACCAGCAAATATTGTTTCTGTAAGTGCCTTTGAATTGAAGAAAGACGGGGAATCAAATCATCATAGAATATTCTCGTACTCGGTTCTCGATTGGTTTGTACCTGTATCCAGTCCGGGTCGCCCTTCGTCCATGAATCGGCATCCACGAAGATGCCCGCAGCGCCTATTCTACAATCGGTACCGAGGTAGTACCGGTTGGCTATGAAGCAGCACTCATCTCCTGCTAGACTCTAGATTTGGACCGACCAGCGTCATCGTAGAACAGGAAATCATCTGTATACGCCCCGCCAAAGAAAAAGCCGACTGGATGAGATCACGGATCTTCCAATACTTGTCCGGGGCTTCTGTGGGACCTAGGTGTACTAATTCCGTTCTTTGTAGCGATAGAGTACTCTTTCATGCAACAAGTCCTCGGCTATATACATGCATTTTACTGCTAATCAAGCATAGAGAAGGACGACAGTGAAACGCAAAGAAGGTGGAATAACTGGTAGAGTACATTAACTCTATTCTAGTGTAATTTCACCATTTGGCCTATCACCGCCATGACCGCCTATACTGCCTTTTTTCGGGCGTGTGTCATATCTCATCTTCGCGTGGCCTATCACCGGGGCCTAGAAAGAGTTTCTGTCTCTTTTGTCCCTCGGGTTCCGGGGGTGAGTCGGTCACAAAAAATATCATCTGCGAAGGCAAAGTTCGCACCAAAGCACATGGACTTGATTCACGTTGGCAAGATAGCAGAGGCAGCCCAATCCCTTGACGATAACGCACAGACAAATCTCCACAAGTCCATCCGGGGCGAGACGGGAAAGTTGCATCCCCCAGCCATGTCCCTGCTCCCAGCAGATTTCTCCTATCCATGCATGTCTGGTTGCGCGGACGGTAGAGAGAGAACGGTGTTACCATACCCCTACCAATGAGCAACCTGGTCAACCTGACGGTCAGCCCCCTGATTGGCCCGGTGGCTGCCATCATGAGACAGCTATCAAAATTTTTGGGGGGGGCCCTCCCCTTTGCTCATCCAAAGCGATCGGGACATGGCTTCATGAGAATGTGCACAGCCTGTTCGCCCTGGGTCCTACCGGGGCTACTACGAGGGAATCAAGCAAATGCTGGTCCGTGGACCAGCCCTGATAAAAGGATTGTCGTTCGATGCTGTTTCTCTTTTTGACGTGGCTTAGTCCTGCCCATCAACCCATTCGAAAAATGTTTCGTCATTCCCCCTTTTGCCCACTTTAGTATCACCCTAGGGGGAATTTTCGGGTACTGGAGGGTCGGGCTATCTTTAGAGGGGGCCGATCCCGTGAACGTGAAGCCTGTTGGATTATAATTAGGAATTTGGTGGCCATCTTGAAGCCTTCCGAGTCGCAACCCACCAAACCCGGTCTTTCTCAGCGTCGAAGCAAGCGGGTGTTTTCATTTCCTTTCTTTCTTTGAAATTTGGTCTCTCCCGTGTTGGAGCGGAAGACAAGCGACGTCTCTCGATCGTTTCTTCCCTCATCGTCCCACATGATCCTCCAGACGGACCGGCCCTTGGCAATCTACAAGCATTCAAGAATTCTTATTTACCGGCGAACTTTTTTCGCTAACCGCAGGCCTTCTGGGGCATTCTTTGGCTCCATCGCATCGACATCCCTTCTTAGCACACGGAGAGAGCCCAGATCTACTTCACAATGCCGCCCAAGGGAGCACAAGAGAGCGTTTCAATGCCCGAAGCAGAAGGGCTCACTTATGACCAATCGGAAATGGACTACTTTCACGCAAAGTTAAAATACCATGCCACCGTCGACGAGCGCATGGCGTCCAAAGACAACAATCTGATTTCCGTTTCCGAGACCCAAGCCAAGGTCCTCAAGCGCTGGGAGATGTTGAGACATACGGAAAAAGAGCTAGCTGAGAAGGGCGAAACCATGTCCCCGATTGACAAGCGTCAATTAGCGCAGTGTGCTTGGCGATTCAATCAGCTGGAGGCATGTGCTACGAAGACCACTGGATAACGGCTCGGCAAAAAGGTGGCGTTTTGTGGATATTGTGTCATTTTGCCTTTGTCGAGTCTATTTTGTTTGCTTCAAGATCAATCTTCAAGCTCTGTGCTCGCACTCCATGTTTTGCTTCTCTCGCCCCTCCCCTCGGGCTTTTTTTTCCCCTTCAGAAATACCCCCGAGGCCTTTCGCGATTGTCAGCCGAGTCCAATGATCAGAGGCCAAAATTATGTCCCGGAGAACTACCCAATCTCCCTACCCAACTTCCATTTCTAGCTCGTAGTGATGTGTATGAATCATGGTTCTGGTTTTAATCGACTCCCAATCCAAAGGCTAACTTTTCCTGGTAGCTGTCATCTCGCGCGGCTCAGCGTGACAGTCATCGCTCATATGGGTCCCATATGGGGTAGGGCTGCAATATACCGTGATTCCCTTATTTTCCAAGGTTTCCATACCTGTTTCAAATCACGGTTCCCAGCATCCTTCTATAACCAAATTCCAGTTACTCGGCAACTTTAATACTAGGCCACCGAATAACTAATTATATGGCTGATTAATCAAGTCCTGAGTAGTATATTTCAACACCGATCTGTCCCAAAGTTGGAATCAGCAATTCACAGAAAGGGAAAGAACAGGGGAAATCTTGTCGGAATCAGAATAGAACATGATATTCCGCGCGCTGTCATGCTTGGAGTGTTACCTAGAAACGTAGAACAGCCTGAAATTGAACTGCGGAAGAATTGGACGCCGTCACATGGAACTGAAGTCGAATGATTTATAATCGGCTCGAAGTTGTAACAGTAGCAATCCCATCCATCCCCTGTGCCGATCAAGCAGTAGCATTATAGTTCCAGCATTGAAGTTGAGGCGTGGTAGTAGTCCACAGCCGCAACTGACTGTTACTTCTGGATACCCTTTCGCCTGATGAACGGAGTTCCATGCCCCGAAGTTAGCTTTAATCTCCAATTTTTTATTCCTTCATCGGATATCACAGCCAGTCTGGAGGATGAGCAGACAAGCCAGACCCCGGAAATAATCCGGCCTGGTGCAGGCCACCTATGCTTTGGATATCTCTAGCACTGGGAACGAGAACTGCAACCTAGGAATCTGAGCCTTGATTGGTATAGAATGTTCCATAACACCCTGTCTTGGCTGCACAATTTCTAGCAGTCCGCGACTCCGATAAAGCCTCAAGGGGAATATCTGGCTATATAAGTATAGTTGCAGACTCCGCGAACATCATAGATAAGGGCGCTGGATTTTATTGGCGAGTACTAGTAATCGACCCATTCCTTCCAATGGAAGCTATTGCCCGAATTAACTTAGTACTCAGTACCACATGACGACATACCATGTGGCCGTAAACTGGATTTTGTTTCTCTCTACTGGCCTAATCGGGTGCATTTTGTCAACGGCTTCTGAAGATGTAAAATTCCAATCGCTCTACACCAATTTGACACTCGCGCTACCACAAAGAGGAAGCAATCGTGGAGAAGCGTGCAGTGAATCCAGTTCGTCTGCCAAAATCTCCTTTTATTGCCTGGTTTAGGTGATTTTCGAGTTCGGGGTTGATCAATTGATTTGAAGCCATCATGGCCTTCAATCGGCCTCCACACAATATCGGTCACTTAAGCTGGAGACGCGGCAGCCCCGGGGATCGACTAGATGGACATAAAGCCTGGCTCAACTTGCGCCTTCGTTTATTTTGTGAACAATTTTAGGGAATTTAGTGCTGGTGCAATGCTACCAGGACAATCCGCGCGGGAGGACCAATGGGTAGCGGCAGAGGATATCGCAGCGGACAGGCTCATCTCCGAGTTTGAAGCCGCCTACCAACCCGGCCCTTCTAACACCTCCCACCAACCCGGTCCAGCCAGGACCTAACCAGCTTAACATCCTTTCCTATCACCTATCCTTTCTAAACATCCCACACCACTACCGACACCACAGATCGTATAGTGATAGTATATACATCTTATTTCTTAGCCACTTACCTAGCCTTATCTCATCTTCAACCTTACCTTTAACCTTATCTTCAATCTTACCTTCAACTTATTTCCTAACCACCTACCTACCTTACCTTACCTCACCACTAACTTACTATACTCTCACTCTACTTCGCCAACTCTTACTCTATTCTATTATATACTATACAGAGATAACAACAAACTAAGCCTAGCAAGAAACTTTTAGATAACAAATACAGAATCTCTTACAGAATAAGAGACAGAGATAACATGAAATAAGCCAGTAAGGAAATAACGAGATAGATAAACCGAATAACGAGGCACAAGACTCGACAGTACAAAACAACGGGACAAATCCCAACAGCGAAAGGAGCAACAGGACACAGGAGAGAATCCAAAGGCAACGCTACAAAAAGAAGGCTGTGGCGTATAACCGCCGACTTATAGATACATTCTATACACAAGCCGATCAACCGTCGGTCGAAAAATTCATCGCCAAGGAGATCGCTAGATGGCATAACGAACCCAACCGCGGTAATCCGGATAATACCCTCCCAAGATACACAGAAATAGTTTTTGTTGAGGGAAAATACCAGCTGCCTCCAGCCGGGCATAAGCTCTCAGATGAACATGTATACATGGTAACAAAAACCCTTTCTGCTAAGGCGCGCTGCGCACGGCGCTGGACAGAAGATTTCAATGCAACCGGCGACATCAGGGCTGAGCGTATCCCGCTCGACCCGAGCCCCCTGTTTTACGTTTTCGGGGTCCCTTGCATAGCGCTCTATCGCGGCTATTATATCCTGGCCGGCTCCCGAGGTCCTGAACTCTATGGCGTACTAGCGAACGTGAAAAATAACGCAACAATCAAAACTGCGGAGCGAGACTGGCTGTTGGGACCGATTATTGCTCAACCGTTAGCCAACCGCTGCCTGAACGCTTGCTATGAATGCCTTGCTATATGCTTCCCTCTCTGCCGTCGCCTATCACCACACTTCCACCTGAAGTCAACCACTCCCCTTTCCCCCAAAGTCAGAATCATAAATCTCTACAGGTTCTTAGAGGTTCTTGCAGTAGTTTACGACGTATGTAAGCCTGGTATCGACGACGATAAAAAGAATCCATTGCATCAAGACAAGACTCGAAAAAAGTAATATGCCAGCTGGCCATTGGTATGCTATTATACACGCAGTAAAATGATCAAAGGCAGATAGAGAGTACAAGATCATGGATGCATTGCATTCCAAAGCTTGAGGGGGCAAAAAGACATGATACAGAGCGCCAGCCAAGCAGAGTGCTCACCAGAATACAATCGTAAACACCACCCTACAATAAGCTTGGGTGATGTGATACTCCTTCCAATACGGATCTAGCATGGCGAAGAAATAGGATTGGACGTGATACGAAGGAAGGAATGAGAAATATGCCGATGGAAGACAAGAGACAATGGTCGGGGGAAAGAGAGAGAGGTCAATCAAGTGGGTGTCGTAGTTGTTCCATTAATTTAAGCCGTAGTACCATTAGTCAAGGGCAGAGCATTGTCGGGCTGAGAAACATTTGGATCGTCTGTGCCATCCGGTAGACTGGCACCATCTCCAGATGGGACTTCTCCTGAAGCAAGTTCTTTAAGGCCATCAACAGAAGATACTTGGTCGTTGTCACCGTCGGGGTTGAAATTGGGTATTTCCAACGCAACACCGCTGTTCTTCTTTGCTTTCTTTTTGCTCGGTTCAGTGGTTCCAGATTTGATAGACACGTTTGCAGGGGCAGCCCGTTTCTGGGGGCTTGTATGGGGTGCTGACACGCCTGGAAGAGGGGGGATCTTGCCAGATGCTGGAAGACGAGACTTGCTGGCCATCGGTCTTTGCTTCGGTGGTAACTCGAGATCTTCTGTAAGGGGCTCGTCGCTGTTGGCATCAAGCTTGCCCTTGAAGAAGTTCTGGACGAGACCGATCTGGTTTGGCAGGTTCTCCACTGTGATGCGCGGATACGGAGGAGGCGTCGGGAAGATAGTCACGGCTTGGATTGTACTGCAATGACACGTTAGCAAAAATGTCAATTGAGGGTGTAAGCCTTGAACGTACTTGGTGCTTTGTGACTGAGCCGCATTATACATGCGATTCTGGAGGAGATGTAGGGGCACACTAAGGGTGGCAAGGCCAAATTCACGATCCAAACCAAGTTCCTTAAACCCGAAGAAATCCTCGTCGATATCCTCTGCGAAGTCTCCTCCAACGAATTGTTCACTTCCATCAGCAAATGCACGAGATCCATCTTCTCCGCCATCGGCGAGGGCTGGACGAAGAAGCTCCGTGAGGAGCATCTTAAGACGATCGTGAGCGTTCGTGAGCTTAGCCCCAAGCCGCTCAACATCATCTTTGATGTAAGATTCTAGTTCGTCAATATTGATGCCAACGGCAGAAAGAGTATGCAGGACTATTTCAGGCTGCGTATAGGCTGGCTTCCATTCTGAGGCAGCCGTGGGATCCTCTTGGGATTCAGTGACGGGGACCTTCGGCGTCTCCATGTACGATTTGACGGTTTCGCCAATTTTGTGGAAAAAGTCGGATGCAATATCGGTGACTGCATCCAGAGCACTTGGCTGGTATTCTTCGAAGCCAGTGTGGTAGAAGATCTTAGCAACAGATCGCTGCAGCGCGGCTCGGCAGGTTCCTGGGGCGATGACAGGGCCGTTGTCATTCATCACATGAGGAGGCACATCCTGCTCAGCAAACGGCTCAGGGTTGTACTTTTGGAATTGGTTTTGATACATCTAGGTGCTGTTAGCGTCTGGAAAAGGCCAACAAAAGAACAAAGAAAAACAAAAAGAAATGGAGAGAACAAACCTGGGATTGGAGCTGCATTTGCTTGACAATACCAATCTTAGAACAGATTTTCCGAGTCTCCTGCATCTGACGCATGTTCGCTTCCAATCTGTTAGATAGCTTGCTATCGGGCTGCAAGAAAGAGCCTTTAGGAAGAACTCTAAGATACTCCTCCGAGGAATCAACCACATTTCCCTGTGAATCCTCCTTCCAAAGAAGTCGCTCCGGGAGATCGGGAACACCGGACATGAGATCGTAGTAATATGGAATCATCCGTTCTTCTTCGCCCTCGATGCCCTCTGCAAGAGATTCACCGGCAGCTTGCAGCTCCATTGCCTCAGAACCATCATGGATTTTATCACCTTCTATCGCGGCTTGTTTCTCATGACGAAGCCATCGGCGCATGCCCGCTTTTGTACGTATTAAAGCGGGTTCGTCTGCATTGAGCTTATCTCCTTTCAGGAGCCGATGTCGTTCTGCAGCAATAAGAGCGCGATCCTTCTTAGTCACTTGCTTCCAAACTTTGTATTCCGGATCATCCAGTTCCAGTCCAGGGACATTGAGAGCGCTAGGCGCGGTCGCTGAGCTAGAGATTATTGGACCGTCAATGTCCATGCTATCATCTTGTTGACTGGCTATACCAGCACCAGAACCCAAAGGATCAGAGGGGGTATTAGACCCAGGGGGTGGTGTTGAAAATCCATTCTGAACTCCTTCCATTGCTGTATCCGAATCGGCGCGTACCGGAGCAGGGGGCTGCGATGAGGGCCCGCCAGAAGGCCCTTCAGAGCCACTGGGAGTTTTACGAGAGGGAGCGGTGCCTTTCTTTGCAGACTTTCCAGGCGCCTTCCTTCCACGAGATGACATGATTGGCTCGTCATCACTTTCTTCGGCACCATCACCGTCGAGTTCGGCAAGCTGAAGGCGACGCTCTTCAGCCTCGACTTCGGCCCTGTCCCTGATGACTATGTCGGGGATGAGTGGAACAAGCTTCTCGGTCTCCTTACGCATGTAGAGAGCATGTTTCCTCAGAAAGTGCTCAGGATTCGTGTTGTACTTCAAGCAGTTGGACCAGATAAGGTTCAGATCATCCACGAAATCTTGCTTCGACCGATACTGCAAGCCCTTGAGTTTTTTCGTCATAGTACCCAGATCCATTGGATGTTTGATGACTATCGCGCCGGTTATTAAGGGACGGCCATGGAGGTATTGGGGGGAGAAGAGTCTTACTTGTGTAATAGTCAGGAGCATCGCGCTTATTAACACGAGTTAAAAATGCAGTTGAGTGTTCAGTCATGGCCTTCAATTCGCTCAACACCTTCTCGGCGGCCTCGTAGAGCTCCTCTTGGCCAATCTTGTCTTCACTGGCCCATTTGCTTCGGTTTTTGCGCACTTCACTGAGCAGGCTCCGAAGTTCGGCATCGGAAGCTTGCACCATATCGCGCTTTTTATCAATTCTCGCGATCAGATTTTTGAGTGTTAAGCTAGAAGCTCCGAGGTTTGTGTTACTTCAGAGAACTATATCCGGTCGAGCCCCCAGCTGCATTGTTACCACCTGAGGTTGATTGGCCGGAAATCTCTGCTTCGACCTGTCTTTCGGATTCCTCCAGCCTTTGCTGGTCCAACATCGCATCCCGATCGTTTTCGAGAGTGTAGAAGAGGGTGTGGAAACTTCTCTTAGCAGCCTCCTCGGTGGCTTTTTTATCTTCCTCCAGCTGTTTGCGAATATCCTCAAGCGACTCCTTTTTTGGTTCTTTCGTCGCTTCTGAGTTTGTGGGCGCGGTACCAGAGCGCTGGGTTGATTGTGCAGCGGAGGCGTGATCTTGCGACGGCAGGGCTACCTTGGATTTAAGAGGCGATTCGGTTGAGTCCGCAGTGTCTGCATCGTCGTCTTCATCGTAGTCATCGTAGTCGTCATCGAGTTTGCGAGCTGGTTTGGAAGGTGGGGATGGGACCGGTGCCGGCGCATCGACGCATTCGTTTTGAGCCGCAGAAGGATCAGGTTCGGTGAGCGCGGCGGCGGCCAAGTCATCGGCACTAAAACGTCCGGAGAATAGCGCATTAATTTTCGCCTCGCTTTTGCGATACATCTCGCGGAATTGAGCAATGCGCGGGTCCTCGTCGACGGTAATATCGGGCTCCGAGCTCATGCTACCAGGGTTCGGGCCTTCAGCGCTAACCGAGCCGCGTATCTGGGGAGTTTTGGAGCCCGACAGGGTCTTTACCAAGCCATTGGCAGGGCGCGGAGACTCCTGCAGGTCATCCGGGGGGCGGATGTTGCCTGGTGGCCAGGCGTTGTGACCGAGCGACATGGTCGCTTCAAGACCCCGGTTCTGGGGGCGGGAGAGATTCGATTCTCCACGGTTGAGACCACGAGCCGGAAGGTCACTTTGAGGGAGTTATCCGAGGAGAAAAATATATAGGCATGTACTACTCCGCTGGCAAAGTTGGCAGGTGATATCAAAATCACCAATAACGATGGCAGGGGGGCAGCGTTTGATGAAGAAGACGCGAACTTCTGTAAGGAAGATTGTTAGGACGGGGATGAAGTACGGCAGGCGCGAAGGCGGCGAGACGTGGCAGATGGGGCTAAGAGGTTAATGTTTTAGGAAGCTGACCTTCTTCGCTCACCACCTCTTGGAAGCCCTCTTCGTGCTATTTTCATGCCATTTCCGAAGAATTGAGTTGGCTTCTTAATATCAGCTAGCTTTTTTGCCCACTCTCTCACCCTTCCGTCACATTGTTCCCAACCAATCTTCAAAATCTCTCTCCCCCGCATATGACGCACCAGGCAACCGCTGGGACCTTCTGATCCACATCCGGGGACTAACATCCACCGACCTTCCGAAAACCCACTGCACCTTCGTTACACATTCGCATAGACTGGACCATTCCTGGGGCAGATGAAAGAAGAGTTCTGAGCTTGTATTCCGGCTTGACCTCTCAATCATGGTTCGCATCCGGTATCCATTCGCAGGTAAGCTCTTAGATTTAGGCCCATAGCATTCCATCCCACACCTCTCGATCCCAAAGCTAATCATACGCCCGTTCACCCAGGCGCATTCATATTCCTCCTCATCCTCGCCGGGTACATTGGACTTCTTCCACATAGCACTTCTCCCACCATTCCAGCCGAGCTACAACCCAATGATAAGGTTCTCCACCTACTCACATTCTTCCTCCTATCGATAGCCTTCTACTGGATCCTTGATACCTCGCGCCGACGTACTTTGCATTTGACTCTCCTTGTCTGTACACTTGGGCTAGGCGTTGGATCGGAAATAGTTCAAGGATTCCTGCCTAATGGGCGGGATTTCGACCCATTCGATGTTCTTGCCAATATAGTCGGAAGTCTCGGAGCCATTGGGCTAAGCGGCTGGTACCACCGCCGGATGCTGGAGCGCCGTCGGAAGACTCGTTATAGCATGATGGATGGTGGAAATGAAGATGTCGAGCTTGGTGGAGTCGGTCCCTCGCACAGCGAAGATGGTTTGGGTCCTCAAGAAACTGGCGTTTTGAACCTCGAGCAGGAGGTGGACAACTGGGACGAGAATGCGATTGATAGTTGGGATACCGAAGACGGCCCCGACCCAGCCGAGTCAAATGCACCTCCTGGTTATCATGAGAACGGCCCGGGCCCAGCTATTGATGCTACTGGAAAGCGCAGTGACTAGAGGACCCTTGATTTGTGCTCCCTCATGGTCGAAAATCTCACAAGCCAAAACTTTGTACTGATCGCAGTACCTCATTGTCGATTTGGCACATTGACGGACTCCATTTTCTTATGATACTAGTCATTCAGTTGTGGATGATTGAGCAGCAATTGCGTTTACGTTCTCCTGTTCTAATGGCGTTGACGATTCTCCTTTTCCTCGTTCATTTTCACTGGAAATGCAGGCATGCGAAGATCCGCGGGCCAATCTAGTCCCTGGATCGTGTTTGGAATGAATCTCGGCCATGAGTTTCTCCTCCCGAATGAATGTACAGCTATGCTTTATAATGCAAACTTGACCCTACTCACACGACTACGTGTCAGTCGCCTATGGCATTTGAAACCATTAGACCTTAAATGAGACCTTCTAACTCCTACAGAAACATACGGCGGATCAGATGTATCAAGACCTTTTTGGGACCTGAGAATCGAGCTAATATACAGCACTTTCTAGGACAGGACCAGATATCTCACTACCGTGAGTCAATGTAGAATTACACAAGTCGCAAAGGGCATCATCAGTGGGTAACTTGGGGTATTTCAAAGGAAGCCGGCGATGGTGTGGGAGACCGATATGAAGTGGACAGCGAGCTAATCAAAGAGAAAATGTAGGGTGGAAAACAAAAACAAGCCTAACACCGGTTGCCATGGTATGATGCAGAAGGGAAGAACATATGTCATCATCGGGAATTGGAAGAGTCATGATCACATCCGGAATGGAACAAGAGGAATAATAATATCACAACAAGAAAAGGAGGGAAGAAAAACAGCTACTGATCATGACCAGGGGCTTCATGGTCCGTAGCTTCTTCACCAGATGCGGCATGATCAGATTCACCGCACCCGGTGGCATCATCGCCAGAAGCAGAAGGATCAGGAGCATCTTCATCGGGGGGCCTCCTCCGTTCCAGATGAGCTTCGAGTTGGAATAGCGATATGATCCGGCATGGGTTCCAGCTCGGGCTTTGCAGTCGGCTCATAGCCCTCAAAGCTGAGCTTGGCCACTTTCGCAGATCGGGGCTCCGCCTGGCTTCCTGGAGAATTGATTTGAGACGGATCCGTCTTGCCAAGCTTGATGTCAGTCTGCTCACGGAGGACCTCGTAGATGAACTGCATCTGAAGCTCATTGTATACCATCATCATCCGCTGTTTGCGCATCTCGTCGACGCAATCAAAGACAGGGTCGGCCTCGGAGTCGGTTATCTGCAGGAGCTGGCCCGATTCAAGCTCACGGAGAAGATGGTCCAGAGCGATGAATGTACCTGTTCGACCGACGCCCGCGCTGCAATGAACCACGCGCGGGTTATCTAAATCGCATTTCGAGGAAGAAAGTGCGATCAATTCCAATAACGCCTGACGGTCACTTCCTTCGGGCTTAGAGTGATCAGCCCAGCCGGCGAAGAGAAAGTGCCACACAATCTTTGATTCCGATCCGATGGTGAGCTCGAGCTGGCGGACCTGAGAGCGCGATTTGGGATCGAACGAGCAATCCAAAAGCTTTACTGTTCCAAGCACCTCTGAATTCTCCTGGTCGTCAGTATCATTGTTCACGAAGGGATCCGCCTCCTCTGCCACCAGCTCCATGGAATCGCCATTCGCCAGTGGGAAATACTGAGCACATTTCTCCCGTCCCGCTTCGAAGGTCTGCGTGAGCATTATGATAACTGCCACATCCTTACTTTCGTGGAAAACCATCTGCCAGAAGTCCAGCAGGTTTCCCTGCTTGGGGCCCTGTACAATAATTTAGCATCAGACATGTCTCACGGCCGGATCAGCCACAATGCGAGGAACCGCTTACCTGGGTCGCAATGTACTTCTGTTCCTCCTGGGTGAGAGAGTCTCTCAAGGTAATCGGAGAAGCATTTATGAAGTCGCACTCCCCCTCGGGCACCTGCAGATGGATTCGAGAATTCGCATACGCCTGTACATTGATGTAGCGATTTCTCTCCCGAACGGCAGGATCATTTTCGATCGCGTATGGGTGAGAAGGGTCGTTTGACAGCATCGCATCGTTCATTCGCGTCCGCTGGATCCACTCCAGTTCTTCAAATTTCTCGTGTATTTCTACAACACCCCCAGTAGTTAGTAAATTTTTGTTGCTGTTTTGTTTTTGTTTTTGTTTTTGTTTTTTTTTTTTTTTGGTCTTGGGGACTTTTTATTGGGAGTTCCAATATGCACGTGCACAAGGAATGAATTTCCCTATCGATAACGTGCAGCCCCTCACTCACCCATGACAGATTGGCATAAGAACGGTGGGACGTCCTCTGTGTTTCCGGTCTCCAACCGGGGGTTACCCTGCTCTCCCAGCCCGTCGGAGCCTGCATCGTCCGGCGGCAGGCCGCGCTTGGCACCCGGAACGTTGGTATCGATCTTGATGGAGGGATGGGCCATTTTGGCAGCCGCGATGCGCTGGAATGCGCGGACCTTGCCGATCACGTTGCGCGCCTTTCGTGAGACGACGTGGCGGTTGGAATATTTCTTGGCTCCGCGCGGGGCCAACGAGTCTGGCGATGGCGAACGAGATGGCTCGGTGTTGACGTCTTGATCGGATCCGTCTGAGAGAGAGGGCTGTGAGATCTGTAGCGAAGACAGATCGGGACAGCTCTGAAAGCTGCCCCCGAGGTTTGTGTCCAGGGCCAGATTTTTGGCGATCGCGGTTGGGCGAACGAGTAAGTAAGCTGGAGATGATGCCAAACCCGTGTGACCTATCAGGCCAAAATGCTCCCACCAGAGGAAGCCGGAGGACTCGAATGTAACCGGAGAAAAAGTAAGAGGACCAGAAGAAAACGGGTTGATGATAGTGGGAGGGGCGATGGAGGGGCGCAGGAAGCAAATCAAGCCAGGCAGGACCAACTCCCGAGGCTCCGCAGTTCAAGCCCAACGGTATATTCGATGTCCCTGTCCACTGGCAGGTGGGAACCGCAGGAGGACCAGAGGATCTCAGGAAAAGCGTGTATAGTCTAGACAGCTGCAAGAAAGGCCTACAAAGACATGAGGACAAGGGAGAAAAAGGACCATAAAAATAGAATTATATGAAAGCGCCGGAATAGTTCGAGGACTAAGGGAAATAGTACATAAGATGCTCTCGGGGCATCATTGGCCCACAGGGCTTTGCCACTTTGCGATTCCAGCTGCTTGCGGTACGGGGGTCGTTTCTTCAGGTACTCAGGGGCGTGTTGAACTTCTAGAATCCCCCCCCCCCAGGATCCTCAGGGTTTCCCCCATCTCGCTCAGGTTTTTGATCGGAAACCTCCCGCTGGCCCGCAATCTACTCAAGACTTGGTGGTGATCGCGGGGCGTCTTTTCGCGACTACTTCCCGCTCCCTCTACCGTCAACAACCCACGACTCTTTTAAATGAGCCGAATAGTCGGTGCTACGAAGGTGTTGATCACCGGCGCACACCTTCTGCTCTGATATTTCTCATTTGCCTTCTATTCTCTGTCTCTGAGCCTTGCTCTTCCCCGCGGTTCTACGTTCTTGACTCTCAAAATGGTGTCTTCCGCTCGGATCGCGGATCGCACTGCGAGCCAGAGCGTCACCTCCGTGGCGTCGCGTCCTTCCCACTCCGGTACACGACATAGATCAGGGCATAGACCAGGACGGTCGCATCATGGCGGCTCCATACCTACCTCGTCGAATGATTTCCCCATCTTCACATACACCGGGGACACCGAAATCGCAATCCGTGCCGGTTCGCAGGAGAAGCGATTCCTGCTGCACCGACTGATTCTGACCCAGTGCTCTGGATTCTTCGAGGCAAGTACAAGTGAAGGCTGGTCGCGTAATCAAACAACAGGGCTTTCTAAGCCCGACGGAACGATTTCGCGGATTAGCGAAGACGACGACTCGTCCACTGGATCAACATTGGTCCAATCGGATCATGGAGGAAGTCGCTCGAACGAGAAGCGGCGATGGAGATTTGAACTTGACTGGGCGAATCGAGGAGAGGAGGAGGAGCCCATCCTTGTGCAAACGGTAGGTTTAGAACCTGAGTCGGAATCGTAGACTTTTACGCGCGCAAGACGGCTAACTTGAAGCTTTTGGAACAGCAACCGACCTACGCACCGATGTTCAACGACCAGCCCACACATACCCCGACCATGGCTAAGCCATCTAATGCACAAGCAGGATTCTTTCGTTCCATGGCGAACCTAGCCGGAATGCAGTCCGTTGCCCACCTGCCACAAAGCGAGGGCGGAAAGAACACCGATGTTGATCCGTTGATTCGCGACTATGACAACCTCTTCCGCATATTCTACAACTTTCCCCCCGAACTCAACAGCGTCAATATTGCCACTGCGTACACGGAATGCAAGTCTCTCCTGGGTCTGGCCGACATGTATGATGCGCTGCCGGTAACAGGTCCCCGGATAGACCACCATCTTTTGGGTTTCGGCTCAAGGCTTTTCAAACAAATCTCAAAGTACCCACCCAGTTATTTGAAGCTAGGATACCTTGCTCGCAGCCGGGTGATATTCACCGAGGCTCTCATCCACGTCGTGGGTCAATGGCCCGCAGCATTACCAAACCTACGCAATGGCTCGTACGCTCCTCTTCCTGATGCCGTTCTCGATCTTATCGAGGATAAATACGAAGATCTGGAGGATCTTAAAGCCCGGGTGGAATCCAAGTTGTTCCGCCTTAGCCTGACTACTTCGCGTGGAGAGCGCGTAGGGCCCCACAATGCATATTTGGACTGGCTCGCCGTGTCTCTGTTTCGCCAGTGGCTGATAGAGAATATGACCCCTCCGCCGGCTCCAATCCTCAAGAACACACCGAACGCCCAGAGTACCGTGCAGGCGAATGGGGTTGCCTCCCAATCCGGCTCGTCACGGCCCACGCCTACGCCCGATCCAGCGGCTCGTGTGTATCGGTTGATTGGTTCGAGCTCCTCACAGGCATACCTCACCCATGAGGAGCTGAAACGGTTCCTCAAGATCCACCCGATCCAGTCCGCGGACTCTCTGTATACCCGAGAGACTATGAAACGATTCGAGCGAAAAATGGACGAAATCAAACGGCTGGCCCGAGAAATTGTCAAGCCGCTCATGCGGAACTTCCTCGAGTTGGAGGTGAAAGCGAGCCCCGGGCAGGCTGGTCCTGCTACCGTTGGTTCTCGTGAGAATACCACCACTACTGGTCTACCTTATTTGACGTGCACAAGAGTTGAAGAGGCTGATCTACCCTGGAACTGAGCGAGACTACGTCTTCATACATGATTTCGATATTTTTTTTGGCTCGATTTTGTTGCGGCCCCTTCCCCAACAACACCCGGCCCTCCATATACGACAGACGGTCTCCTTTCCCCAGAACTAACTTTTATGATCTCATCTTGTTTTTGCTGTTTCGAGGAATCGCACCCTGCTATTTTCCCTGTTTCGATTCTGTTTTATCTATGCGGCTGCTCCGGACTCATGATCGGCTATACCCCTGTTTACGTGATTGAATGATTTGATGCTCCCTGCGAATTATGCCATTTCTGCGTCTAGTTAATGAGTGACGACGTTATGAATGTTCACGCAAGTCGTTGTCTCCTCCTACCTGTCCTACGGACCCTGTTCTGAATTACCATGTCGGAGGCAAATGTCTTGCAAGATTTCAAATTTACACGCAACGTTCCAATATCTCCCTACCAATATTTCCCTACTAGCCAATATAATGATTGTCTCAGCCCCCGGTCCCATACTATACAAAGTCTATAATTACATGGTCGACAAGGCAAATTAATATACACGAGACCTGTGAAACGAAGGCCCTCTACACCTCACCGCCCAATAATCTCCATCCCGTCCATCCAAGGCCTCAGCACCTCGGGGATAACCACGACGCCCCGCTCAGGATCCCATCCGTTTTCCAGAATCGCCGCTAAAACACGCGGCACCGCCATCGCGGTCCCGTTCACCGTATGAGGGAATCTCGAGTCCTTGACTGCCCCACCCCGAACTCGAGTTGCCAGCCGTCGACTCTGGTAATCCGTGCAAATCGAGGCAGAGGTGACCTCCCCCCACGCGGACTCAACGTGCTGCGCAGCAGGGTCGATTGAACTGGCTCCTGGGTTCTGGGGCCGGAACCGCGACGGGAAGAGCGCCTCGATATCCCGCTTGCGCGTGGCACTGGCACCCAGATCCGTACTTGGCATTTCCAGCACGCGGCACGGCAGGTGCAGGGCACTCAGGATCTCGATTTGAATGTCGAGGAGCTCGGCGAAGAGGGCGTCGGAGGTCGGGTTCTTTGCGTGGGCGGGACTCGAGGGGTCCAGGTTATCGGCCCAGCCGAATAGTTCGACCTTTGTGAACTCGTGGACGCGGTACAATCCCTTTGTATCGACGCCTCTGGAACCGGCTTCGGCGCGGTAGCAGCGGCTTGCGCCAACGAGCTTGAGCGGGAGGGATGTGGCGTCGATGTCGCGGCCAGCATACATGGCGGCAAGAGGGATCTCGGCTGTACCTGTCAGAGAGCGGGGGGGCCTTGATGTCTTGGTCGCGGTCGCTTTGCTCGATGGACCAGATTTGCTTCTCGTTGTTCTGGTCGCGAGGTTGGAAGCCACATGCTTCGGCGATGTAGGAGTAGACGATCGATGGGGGCGCGACAAACTTCCAGCCCCGGCGACGCGCGACGCTGAGGGCATATTGCACGAGTGCTTGTTCTAGCATCGCGCCTTCATTGATCAAGTAGTACCAGCCCCAGCCGGTTGTAGTTGCGGAGCTGGTGAAGTCGATCAGGCCCAGCGCTGTACCAATTGTAACGTGAGATCGAGCTTGGAGCTCCTTCGGCGACTGGTGCGTCCATTCTGGAGGGGCTTGCGGATCGAAGTTGAGGTAGTGGACGAGGCGGGGGTCGTCGCCGATAGGTGTTTCGGGGAGGAGAGGTTCGGGAGGGATAAGGCCAAACGGTGGATTTCTTCGATGCAAGCAGAATGACGCTCGATCATAGCATGAGATTCATCCTTGAGGCGCTGCGCTTCGGCTTTGAGATCTGCAAGCTCTTGAACTGTTTCGTTGCTCCCGGGATCTTGTCGTGTCGCAACGGACAGCTTTCCGATTGCCTTTTCCAACTGCTTTAGACGGGACGGGGAAGTTTTCAGGTCATAGTCAAGCCTTCTGGCCTCTTCCGACAGACTCAGTATCGTTGAAGGGTATTCAGCGTGTCCTGCATAGTTGCGTTCCACGCAGTTCTGCGCATAGCGTTGGACATTGGAGCGGATGTGTTTGACGTCCGGGGACGGCTTCGGAGCTGTCGCGGGCTTCAAAGTTTGATGCCTGGATCGAGACGAGGAGAAACTCCGTGTGGACCGGAGGTAATTCAGCCCATAGCGAGGCGACCATCTGCAATTGTGGCAGACGTAGGGAGATGACATCTTTGCGAGGTTGCGGAAGCGAAAATGGAAGGAAACCTCGAGGTGCAAGTGGACCGTTCCGCACATCCACCCAATGATCGACTGTACGTCCCTTGTACTTCAAGTGACAATTCCAGCACGTTGGTACTATAATTCTCTACATTTTTAATCAGTTCAACAATGGGCCTCCCGAACATCCCACGTATCTACGAAATGAGATTGTGGAAAATCCCGAAAATATGAATATTAAATTTGTTACCATGCCCAAAAGGTTTCAGCGCTCTCATCCTAACCTGCGAGGCCGCTCAGGGTAGCAGGTCTTTCCATGAATTTCTCGCCCATCATACCTTGAAACACACTGGCGTTCCACCACTTAGATGACAAGCAGCACTAACGAGGCTTGAAATTACTCATTCAACTCCGAGTAAACTCGGCTGGCTCCATCATAGCCCAAGCTTATGTTTCTTGATCCTGGATCCCACCCCAAGAACGATCGCAAGGACACCAACGACGAATGTCCAGGTCGGGGGATCTAACCATTGCTGCGTCCCTTTGACTGCAGCGGGGATCGCGAACGCGACCAAGCCCAAATATCCAGTCCAACGATGATATTTGTATAGCCTTTTGCCCTTGTCGACGCTGCCGAGGAGAACTTCAGGCAAGAAATACTGAACAACTCCAAAGGAAGCCTGGAGCACGACGAAAATCACAGTGAGGAGGCCGAGGATGCCGTGCGTGGACACAAAATGTGGATGGCTGCCTTTGTTAACTTCAATGACAGTGAAAGCTGCGAGGAATAATAGAACACTGGACAGATTGATCCAATAGTGGACTCGAGTGCCGAGGTGTTTCTGTGTCGGTGTTGCGGTAGGCTGGAGGGCCAGTGCGGCTTGAATCTGGAGGAGGAGCGCTGTGATGGCTAGGATCTATGAGAAGACATTTAATTTATGGATCATTCTTGGACTCGACATGTGTATTGAAGCTTTTTTGGTGTTGCATGCTTTCGTCCGGTGGCATGGAAAACCGGTACGTACAGGGTGGAATGTGAACAACATTATCGGATCAGACAACAAGTTCACCCAGACGAAGATCGCCCACTGCGGGGAGGATCGACATTAGTTCAATTCATCGCGCAGAGCCGGGCCAAACCGGCTGTCAAGACATAGCAGTTCAGGTACTGACGATCCAGATAGCTAGCTGGGCAAGAGTTGCCGTTCCTATGGCCTCGTCAGCATCATGATGTTCAAGTCTTTCTACGGATCTGATACCAGTGATGAGGTTGGGGGCGATGCGCTCCCCGCGCTGTGTGACATCGCCAGGTTGACCAAGTAGAGGCTCGCTTTCCCGAGACACGATGGCTGGATCGGTTTCTGGCACATTTTCTGCCATGATCAGGTCCCAGGCGACGGGTTGGTGATTAAGTGACTGGAGAAGACGGGGATCTAGAGCTTTGTAGGGCAGAGGGGCGACAAGGGCTAATAAAGCACCCATGGATCCCTTCAGAGCTTGTGGCTGTTTGCATATTACTAATGTTGAGCCATCGATCAGCTACATGTGCATGCATCTCGCAAGGGTGCAGAATGAGAAATGTGGGTTCCATGTATGGCTCGAGGCTGGCGTGATCATTGGCTGGAATGGCGTTGTGATGCATTCGTATCACTGGGTGGGGGTCGGATGTACGTAGACTGCGTTTTGCTTATCACCGATGGGCGTCCACGGACAAATCACAACGAGCCATCTACAAACGAGTTGTACGGTCTTTCTCCACATTCCCAGTGGCCTAGCCTGAGATTGCAACCCCGCATTGCAAATAAGTTGAGTTGCATCCATCATGATGGATCTGATAACTTGAACTTAAGATTAGATCAGATTGAGTTTTGTATCGAAGCCAAGCTGGCCATACTTTGACACATCCGAAGACTCGAAAACAGAGAGCTAGTCTATCGGAAGTCTAAGAAACCTCTCAAGCATACCAACAGGGATACAACCTTAACCCGGATCTAGTCCAAAAACCCCTTTCCAAAGCCATCCAGGCAGCTGGAGCTGTCCACACTACAGATCCGAACTTCCATAAACGAAATGCACGGCGTGGATATGGGGGATCTCAAAACACTCGAGGAAGAAGCTGTCATACCACTGACCCGAGGAGCTACTGCATTCGACCCTTGGTCATATACTCCTGGATCCAAGATCAATGGGGAGGTGCTTTAGGAAAGAATCCCACATGCAAATTTTCCCCCTTCTGTCTCGTGAGCCACCTAGAGCGACACCCCGGCCCAGCTTCGTATAGTTCATGTCACAGGCGTACTCTTGGGGGCCTTCGGGACTGTAGAAATCTCGAGGGTCATGTTTATCTCAGCTGACATCCCGGTCATCTCCAGCATATTTGGCGCGTATGTCGGCGATATGGGCCAGGGAAATCGTGAAGCTGTGAGCCCTCGATTGATGCAAATGATCAACTCGACAAAGGCTTGACAACTCATCACTCAAGCATTTCATAGTTGCTCTATGTATCCCATGTTTGCCCTTCAATATGATAAGCTCGCTCCATTCAACTCCCATAACAACTGACACGTACAGAGACAAAACGGAAGGGAAAAGCATCAAGGTGGTTACTTACCTACTGGAGCAATGTTTTTGCGGTATTATTGAATCCACAAGGTCAAAAATGATACACGATAAACAAATTGGCCGTTTTTTATCGCATTTGAGCTTGTTTGGTCGACGGGTATTACATGCCGGAACAGTGTAGACATGAATACCGCGAGATGATTGCCCATTCCAAGGCTTATCCGTGAATCAGGCCCACTAGTAAATGCGCGCATGGTTGTAAATACTTTATGACGCATATTTAAACTCAATGAAGAAACTTCGGAAGCATCACACGTTAATTGACTAATGAGCAAGAATAAGGACAGAGCTTCGGCCACCACATGGATGTCATGATCCACGTCCGTTCTTTCTCTTCTCCTCAGTGATCTAAGGATGGTTGACCATTGTCGCGGTTCACAACGGTCAATGCCGAGTAGCTGAAGAATAAAAAGAGACCACCAACGGCGTGGGAAACTAAGCCCAGAGGCTTGTAAATCATCAAATTGTGGTAAAATCAATTGAAGTCGAAAGATCAGCGCGCAGTGTAAAATCTGAGGAGGCCCGTGGAGCAGGTGAACTTTCTTCCTTCCTTCCTCCTTTCCTCCTCCTTCTTCCCCCTCCTCCTCTTCTTCTTCTTCTTCTTCTTCTTCTTCTTTTTTTTTTTCTTAATCTTAAGTTTAGCAAGTGCTGCAATGCGGAATCCCTCGTGCAGACCCCTGTCAAGGCCAAAGAACGAACGGTCAATATCCTCAAGCAGAGTCTCAAGAGATCTCGTCAGATTCAATACTAAGGTAGTCGTTTTAGATCCACCACATGGTGTAGGGAAGACGATTCTCAGCAGTACCCTTCATCGTCATCAAAAACTCTTTCGGCTCTTTGGGATCGCCACGAGGAGGACGTGGGGTCATAGGATTGACCTTGGCGCCGCTGCGAGGGCCGTCAGAGGGGTCGAAGCATTCATGATGACGAGCGCGAGCAGTGATCAGATGAGCATAGTAGATAGCAGGGTGAACCGAGACCGGAGTAGTCGAGCGAATGTACTGATAGCACTGCTCATAGATCATATTCTGCAACTCCTCGGGCTTGAGGCCGATCTCATCCATCATGACCTTGTAGTGAACTGGGCGAGCAGTTCCCTGGAGAGCCAGGTGAGAATACAGAAGGAAGTCGTACCCATGAGGGCTGGTCACATCCCGGTCAATCAGGGTTCCGGGGACAGGGTTGCCGTTTTTGTCAGCGGCCTTGAGATCCTTGGGATTTGGCCAGACACGAAGGTGGTGGCGCTTATTAGCAATAACAACCAAGATCTTGCCACGCCAGACGGTATCGTCAGGATCCTTGTTAATGATCGCCTGGCACTCCCCGATGAGCCGGCGAAGGGACGGGACTTCCTTATTCAGAATTTCGACGTACTCGGACTCAGAAACTCCATCGCGGAAGTAGTAGATCTTCTCAGGAACGTATTTGCCGCCACCGAGAGTGTTTGCCCACTCCAAAATCAGAGGCTTAAGGATGATACGCATGGAGACTTCCTTGATTATCTCCACCCGATCACCGTTGCCTTCGCCATTGCCCATGTAGCTAACTCCATTAATATCATTGGAGATACACATACCTACCAAAGACGGAGTAAGCACACCTGCTGAAGGGTGAGTGACATCGGCGCCGATGATAGCGGACTTGGGTGGGAGGCCTCGGCGTGGAATGCTAGGGTTCACGCGAGATGTAACACCACCAAGCTTGGCATTTATCTTCATGGAAACATTGGAGCTGTATTGGGGGCTGTTTCCAATGACACGCTTGCTCTGCAGCACCTGCGAGGGGACACCGTAGACAGTGTCGGCGCAGCGCTTAATGCGAGTGTAGTGCCATGAATCCAAAGAAGGGATAATAATGATAAGAAGCTGAGGCTCACGGCCGTAAAAGGTCTTGGTAGCCTTGTACAGATCCTCACAGGCATCCTCGGGGCTGCTAGTCTTAAGTTGCATGACCACGCCAGGGCGATTGCGAACCTGGCCTCCATGACCACGGTAGATTCGCAGGAATGTCTCGAGCCAGGCTTCGACTTCCTTGCCAGAAATAGTGAATCCTGGACGTCCAGACCAGTATCCAATACCCCAGTGGGAAAGTTCGCGTTTGTTTGCCTTGAGAAACTTTCGGTTTCGTAGATCCCATCGCCCCGAGGTACCAGGATTGTGCTTACCATTGCCAAACTGAATTTCAGGGTTTGGAAGAAGGCGAGCCTTGGTCTTTATCATGTCTTTACCGATATGAAGACCGTAGTTCAGCAGATGAGGATCATGCCCGTGGTCCAGGAGACCCTTGCACTTGCGAATCATGTCGAGACGATGGGAAGGCTTCTTGGCAGTGAATTTGATCATATTTGCCGTCTCAACATCAGTGAGTTTACTTTCCCAACGTTGTAATTTCTCGACTTTGAGACACTCGAGGGGAAAGACGACGCCATGACGGTCCATTTCAACGAGCACGGCCTGGGGCTCATCAAGCTCGTAGTTATAGCGCTTCAAATAGTATTGGTCGACCGACATTTTTGTCACCTTTCCAGTGGCCCCATCTTTGTAGTCGATCATGTATTCTTCGGCGTTTTGATTTACCACGCGCTTGATAGTGTAAGATCCGTTGAACTTGGATGGGTAGTTGTCTGGCGTCACCCGAAGTCGACGGAGCTTATCATCAAGCCGAAGAAGTCGCTGACTCAGTTCGCGTTCACCTTTCTGGTTTTTTGTTGGGTGGAGGAAATTGTACTCATTGACTGTCCTGGCTTCGACAAAACGTCGGGAGATCCACAGAAGATTTGCACGAGGCCAGAAGACCGCATGGGCTGTGTCCACATTGAGTAGCAAGCCAGACTGTAGATGTCTTGTTAGAATCTTTGAACATCTGAGAATATTTCGTACATCTTCGACTTACAACGCATGGTCGGATCATCTGGATTACTCCTTGGTAGCAGGTCGCAAAGCCATGGGGACCAAATCCGTAGGCATCCTTCCCACCATGAAGACCAAATTCGAAATCACGCTCCCATTTACTAGTCTCAGGGTGATCTTTTAAAGTGTTGAAAAAGAAAGCGCGCTTCTGCACAGTCTGCTTTTGGCTAGGACCATGGCGAAGGAGGTGGTCCAGGAAATCTTGTCATGTCAGCTATGATGTCAAACAGGATTATATCAAGAGTCACTTACTGAGACCATCAATGACATACTCGTCAAGCACACGCTTCTTCTGTAGCCAGGCATTGATCACGTTCAAATAGACCTTGCGGCGACAAATGAAGCGAACTTCAACATCGACTCCATGAAGATCCTGACGAGTGCCCACCATGCGAGTCTTACCACCTGTGAACTTCATGACTTCGTAAAGTTCACCGAAGTAATGAGTCGACCTAGCATAAAATTCAGTATACGCCCCTACAAAAAACGCAACGAGTTCTAAACGGACCAGGCAGTACGAGCACCATCAAATATGGCGTCAGGCAGCTTCTCCCTGCGAGTCTTGCAGTTAAACGCACGCTTCAGAGCCCGACGATCTTCTTCATCCTGAAAGTTGTGGTGGAGATTGACCTAAAAGGAAATTAGCTTGGATATTCTACCTACCAAGGCGACAGGAGAAAATACTTACCTCGTACTGGTAGACGGGCTTCTTGGGGAAGGCGAGAATGGGCCAAGCATTGGTCAAGACCACGGTCTCCTTGCCCGAGGTGCTGTAGGAGACCCGGTCCATTGGGCGGACTTTGACGCCCTAAAAAATTTAGCTTCATGAAGAAGCATCTTGGCAAAGTTAAGACATACTGGGTCATGCCGCTTGATCCAATATTCACGAGGGTTTATTGTGACCTTTTTAGCAAGGGTAATGCCGGCGGGCTCATCGCGCTCAAACCCTTCATTGTCATATTCGGCAATGCTAAGGACATCAGGCAGCATGTTGGCACTCCGGAGAACCTCTTTGTTCAGCCAATGGCGACGAACAGGAGGCATATAGTCATCGGGCTCATCTCGAGGACGGAAGGGAAGCTTGCCAGTGATGGACTTGGAGTGTTCCTTGGAACTGTCGCTCATTTTTGCGGTTTTCTATAGATGGCAGGGGTTATCACTGGTTTCTTGGGTAGTAAGTAGGAGGCACGAAAGAGGAAGGGGAACAGAAAGATGATGATGACGATGATGATGACGAAGAAGAACAAAAATAAAGTAAAAAATGATAGAAATCCCGTTGACTTTCTTGCCAAGGGGCCCAAATAAAGGAGACAGCGTAGGCACGCAGAAAAGATGGGGATATAAATTACCCGGATGGTTCAGCCCTGAGTGATGGTGTGAGTGGGAGATGTGGATGAGAAGAGGATGTCGATAGCTGAAAGGTGTTCTTCTACCTGTGGAGGAATGATCTTTGAATGGTGGTGAAGCTGGTTGAAGGTAGGAAGTAGCAATCCCTGAGAGGGCCGATGCCTTAATGAAGATCGGGGTGGAAGAAGAAGAAGCAAGAGGATAAGTTTAGGGGAAGAGAAGGGTCTTTATAATTCGAGGAAGGAGTAGAGAGGTCGGCTGGTGAGAGTGAAAAGAGTTCCCTCGATACAAGGTCCACTCCTAAGGAACAGGCCTTAGTGAAGGTATGGCTTATTTGAACTATGAGGAGGCAGGTGAAGGGTGTGTAATGGAATTCAGTAAGTCTCAAACTGAAGCGGTTGAATCAATGGAATACGCCGTCAATGAGTGGATTATTAGTTATAGAAAGTGCAAACGGAGTGAGGGGACACTAAGCTCATTGACTGAATACCTTCACTTGCGGGAGAATCTAGTTTTCATGCTCTATCTGGCCACGACCACCTTTACAGTAACTGAGTTACTTTATCCAGCGTAAGGAGGATATGACCGGGAACGTTGACAAAAGCCGGAATTTCCATTTGTCAAGGTATCTGCATAGTTTTGTGGTCACTGTACACGAAGAAACTCCTAAAAATACCATGTGGGTGGGAACCAGAGGAACCTGATGGGCAATGAACCCCAGTCAAATGAATATCATCCTATCGACGCCGAATATGCAACGAAGTCTTGAATAGGCATGCAACCCCCTTTCAAACTCGGCGTGAGAAAGACCAAAAAGGTTCTTTCCATCATAGAAGGGAAGGGTTGATGGTGGAAATAACGTACTCGATGAAGGAGCTCGAGGATTAGGATAGGCAAGGGAAAGATGCGGTATACAAAGAAGTCAACCGAAGAGGCAATGCGAATATTATCAACGGTAAGAGCCTAATTCACAATACTTAGCAAGACCCATGGGAAGATTCGTCTGAATACCTGCAATTAACTCACCAGTATACGGGTTCCCTCCACCGGAGCCTGCTCCCAGTCCTCTTGCGTTCGCTGGTAGTGGAATTTGAGCTGTACTGGCAGGAACTTCAACACGACGAAGGAGGTCGACCATCTTCTCGGGGGAGAGACGAGCAATGTTGTAATATGATGCGGCGGGAATGATACTGAGAAGGTGAACAACGTCTCGGGGAAGGGGAGTTGCGGATCCTTGGGGCATGTATGAGTAAGTGGGCTGGCCATTGGATGGGCCTCGCTTCTGTTGGTCGAGACGCCGACCTTGGGCAGACTTCAAAGGAGACTCAGCCCGGGCGAATTTGCGTGGGCGATCCGAATCATAATCAAGGTCGTCAGGGTAAGATCGCTTCGGTGAGCTAAGGTCGGCCTCCCTTGGAGAATTGAGTTGGCCCGGCATGGGGACAGGCTGGAAACTCTTGGGTCTAGTTTGGGAGGGGGACAATATGAGCCGAACAGACACAGGGTCGAATGTAGGAGTAGAGTATCGATGCGCAAATTGATCCAGCGTAGGGTCATCAGGATAGAGCTCTCGCATACGGTTCTCAAGATTGGTCACTTGGACCAGATCGCCATAGCGGGATTCATATTCGTGAAGGAAGGCAAAAATGGGTTTGGCCTTGTGCACATTTTCAGGGTTGGAGGCTAACTTTCGCACCGTTGTCTCAAACACCACTCGCGCATCTTCAACTTGTTAGCCACAATGCTCTGCCTTTGTAGAGTGTTAGCAAGAAAGGTTCATGGTACTTACTAATAATGTCGTTGATGTCAATCAGATGCTTGAGGTATTCGAGAGCAAAATTCTCGTCCTCTGGAAAGAGTCTTGCACCACGCTCAAAGATCTTGGTGGCCGCGGGGTCCTTGTAACAGTGATGCTCCATGAGCGCACTGGCAATGTACACATCGCTGGTGATACGGCCTCTCTTCCTGGCCTCTGCAAAGACCTGGCGCGAACCAGCCGATTCACCAGGCTTTCCCTTGCCTTGGATACGCCGCATAGAGCGCATGAGTGCAATCCATGCAAAAGAGATGGTCTTCGACAGGAGATTGATCTGGAATCCATGGGCCTTTCGCACTGCATCAATCTGCGCCTGTTTAATAGACTGTTGTTCCTTGGACTCGACGGGAGCATCATCCTCGTCATCATTCTGAACATGCTGGCCGTTGGGATTCTGTTTTGCAAATGTTTCTTCGATGCGAACTACGTCTTGGTCTTCTTGTTTTTTTGCCTTGGCAATCAAATCGTAGAGAGTTGTCAACAGCGCGTCGTATGGCTCTCGTACTTTTGCTGCTCGAGCTGATGAATCTTGCTCCGACTCGGATGTCATTTCAAGCCTGTCAGCTCGCTTGAAAGAGAGCAGACAGCTTTCTGGGTTGGCTTCAGTTCCTTGCTTGAGGAGCTCGTTGCCTTCCGTTTCCATGCCGTTCAAAAAGCAGAATTCGGAAGCTTCGAACCAGATTTCAGGTAGAAATCGCAGGGCCATAAGAGCCTGCTTGTAGACATAGACCACGCGAGCTTTAAAAGAAGCCGGGTCGTCGTCCTTCAGAACCAAGGGGTCATTCTTTTCCCAGGCAATCCATCGCTTCCAGATGTCGACTTGCTGAGCAAACTCAATGTCACCGTCAGATCCGGCGACTGGTGGCAATCTTGGCAGAGATGTCCGGATCAAATCACGGGTGATGTTTTGAAGCTCTGTGTATGAGCTGCGTGCAGTCATGTATGATGGAGACTGTTCCTGCAAGAACTTTCGGCCCTAGACAAAAGTGTTAATAAAGATTGAAGGAAATGAATATTCAGAAATACTTACTGTTAACTTGTTGAGGCCCATTTCAAACTGGTCGTACTCCTTCCAGAGGGTATTGACAGCTTGAGTTGGGACACATATGGCTTTCTGGTATGCTTTGCGCATCAGGTCCATCTTTTGCTGGTCCTGCCAGCCTGATCCTCCAACAGTTCCGGGCCCCGAGCGAATGAACTCGAGGTAGTCATTCCACATATTCCCGCTGTCCTTGTCCATCCCAACATACTTGAGCGCCATTTCATAAGCGGATGAGATGGTCTGTCGAGCCTGCCCACTATTGTCTGTAGTCAGGGGGTTTCGGCGACGAACATAGTCAAGATAGACAGACCAGAGGCTGACGCTGGGAACGGTAATAAGGGATCGACTGAATATCTGTTCCAGACGATAAAATTCATTAAGTTCCGATTCCATGGTTGCATAGGCAACCCATTGTTCGGCCTGTAGGTCTGTCAGTTTCGCCAGACTCTTTAGTAGGGAAAGGGGAGCCAGCTGTCCAAACTTACCGCCATTGGGAATATTTTAAGAAAGTTCTCAAACACTTCGCGCGCAGCGTCCAGCCTGTGACGACCTCTGTGTTCACTGATCAACTCCAGCCACGCGGGGATATCTCCGCGGGGGTCTTCATCAATTCGATCTTGCAGAATACCGACGCGGTCATGAGGCAATCTGCCCTTTGACGTGGAGGGTGATTCGGGTACAGGAGTGGGCACAATACTGTTCTGGACACTGGGATCATGGGAACCCCACAAAGCAGGATCAGGAGCAGGAGCAGAAGGATAGATATTAGGATAAGAACTATTGGCAACATCTGAGCTGGAAGCACCTTCAACCGCCTGGTGGTATGCATCAGGAGAGGTTTTTTGATTTTCATTTTCCAAATTGGGGTTTTCAGACATGGTCATGGTAATCGCATTTGGGTCTTCAACTTCCAGTGCAGCTGGGGGCTCATAGTCCGCCTCCTCCGGGTCTTCCTCATCATCCTCGTCCACGAACCCACCGATAGTCTTTGTCTGGGGGACCGCAGCAGCTTCGGGGGCCGGGGTAGATGAATGCGACTCGGCATGAGAGGGATCTTGCTCATCAGCAGCTAGGCCAGAATTCGGCTCCGGGATATTGGGTTCTGTAGAGTCATCTGCAGGTCCTTTTTCATCGCTGAGTTCCGTTTCAAGGGGCTCATGGTCTTCATAGTCGTCACCTAGGGCCTTGGAGGGGTCATATTCATCATCATCCGTTTCAGGTCCAGGTTCCTCAAACGCAGGCTCACTCGCATTCGCAGTCTCGGCCTCAATTGCCTGGGCCTGGAAGAAAGCGGCCTCGGCTTCGTCATCAGCCATGGCAGGGAAGAATGTCTGTTGTGCGCGCAATAAGAAATAGATAGAATGAAGACGTTAGTGCGGTGAGGTCCCGTATCGAAATTTTGATGCAGGTGTGTCGCGGGCGTGAGGAAAGGGGTATCAGAAGATGAGAAGAGTTTGATTTGAGAATTAAATGTTCCAGGCAGCTCGGTCCCAAGCCAGACGAGTGAATGATCCAGTTCACCCAAGATGGGATCGTGGATGGTCGTCCAGCAAAGCACCAGACAAAGCTGAAAGAGTCTCATCACGTGATTTGGGCGGTGAGCTGGGCGCGCAAGGGGACGCGAGGTCGCGTCCGGGGGGGTCAAGCGGGTTGAGTGGTCCCTCCTCGCATTATGCTTCGTTGCTCGCCTCGACTACATTCCTTGCGGTGAAAAGCTGTTTATTTCCCTTTCCCCCAAGAGACCCTCCCACCGCCTATAAATTGTCAATTCGCGCATCTTCCCCCTTCTTCCCAACCCATTTTCCCTTCGTACATAACTGCACTTTACTCATCTTTCAAAATGTCGGTCGTATCGCTTCTCGGCGTCAAAATCCTCAACAACCCTGCCACCTTCACCTCTCCCTACCAGTTCGAAATCACTTTTGAGTGTCTCGAGCAGCTGCAGAAGGGTGAGATATCCCAGATTGACCCCGTTGCCGCTATCTCATTAACACGCCACTTCTTCTAGATCTGGAATGGAAATTGACATACGTCGGGTCCGCTACTTCGTATGTCGCCCCGCTCTTCTCTCTCAACACGTTTGAAGCTATTATTGACTCTTCTACTCGATAGCTCTGAGTATGACCAGGAACTTGACTCTCTGCTCGTCGGTCCCATCCCGGTCGGAACCAATAAATTCATCTTCGAGGCCGACGCGCCAGACCTGAAGCGCATTCCCCCCTCTGAGATTCTCGGTGTAACTGTCATCCTTCTCACCTGCAGCTATGATGGCCGTGAATTCGTTCGCGTTGGCTACTATGTCAATAATGAGTACGACTCGGAGGAGCTGGCTGCCGACCCCCCAGCCAAGCCCGTGATCGAGCACATCCGTCGCAATGTCCTGGCTGAGAAGCCCCGTGTGACCCGCTTCGCTATCAAATGGTATGGCCATCTTGTATTCTTTTTTTCTGTCTCATTATAGGCTAACAATTATGTCAGGGATACCGATGAGTCTGCTCCCGCCGAGTACCCTCCTGACCAGCCGGAAGCCGATAACCTTGATGATGATAGCAATACCTACGGCCAAGAAGAGCGCGAGCTTGAGGCCGCTCTGGTTAGAGAGCTCGAGGAGTCCAATAAGCCCGCTGATGGTGAAGACCAGGAGATGGAGGGTGCCGAGGGCACTGCCGGCAAGGAGGATGAGGAGGATGATATATCCGACGCTGGATCCGAGGACCTCGAGGAAGAGAGCGATGATGATGACGATGATCTAGATGAGGAGGAGGGTGGTGAAGCTGGGGAGGGTGACGAAGATGTTGAGATGGGTGACGACGCCGACCAGAAACACCAGCCCCAGCCCGAGGTCATGGTCCACTAGTTGCGCTGCGGAACTATGATTGCGCGTTTGGATTATTTCTCTTTCTTATTTCTAACCTCAATGTTCTATCACGACACATCACATGCTACGTTTATGACCCTGGACCAGATTTCATGAGCAATACCTTTTTCAACTGCGGCGTTGATCAGGGCTTACGGAATAGAATTTCCTTCGGAATTGATTCTTGCACATTGCAATTTGAATTCGTAGTGCCAGCCGGGTATGCAGGAGCTACTTGTTTACATTCGTTGTTTGTATTGTGTCTTAGTTTTATTTGTGCGCCCTTTCTCCAACGGCCGGCTGTGGGGAACTTGCCTTCAGGATGGGGGTGGAGATCTGCGCACTAGAGTACTGGAATCCCCTGCTTGTCGTGGAGGGTAATTAAACAGGTTGAGCTCTTGGAGTATATGTCTTGGTAAAATTGGCAAGGAAAGATCAATCCCATTCAATGACCCTCTGTGGGCTTACAAGTACATCGCTAACGAGGAAAGAGGTAGATTGTATAACTAATGTGGTTGGCGGGGTATCATAAACTCTCCTTAAATTTGGCGCCCTGTCATTTTGCTCAACCCTAGCTATGCAATCCACCAGCAACGGAAAAACTCTGTTGCTGGAGACAACCCTAGAAGCCAAATTTCGAACCCAAGGCTGGAAAAATCAGTCAGCGCCATGGACTCAGGCATGCAAGGGGTGACGTAGACGCGGGCAAGCCTGTCAAGTCTACAAGGGTATCTCTCACTTACCGCTGAAAACAGCCTTTCTCTTTTGGGTCTGGATATACTTGCCCACGTCGTTGGCAAAGTTACTGCTGTTCTCCTCGAGTCGATCCATCGAGTCGCCCGCAATTCCTAGTCGCTCTGTACGCTCTTGGACCGCGCGGGACATGGAGGCCCAATAGCCCTCGTTGTTGTCCTGCTGAGGCTGGACTCGCGCTCGGCGGCCTTCTCGCTGGGCTCGTCGCTCTTCTTCCTCTGTAAGTCTCATCTGTTCCAGCATGCGCTTAGATGGGGCCCGATCTGGACCGCCGACTATTTTGGGATCGCCCGATTAGCATTTAACAAGATCTCGATGTGTGCAAATGACTTACTCAGTAAATCCATATCTGCTGGAGTAACATATTGCGTGCCGGAGATCCATTGGAGATTAGTTATTGTAGGACGCGGCGGTACAACTTTCTGGGGATCGTAAAGTCGGTCTTGCGAGTGAGGTCTAAAGTGAGAGTTAGCTGCGGTCGCGTAGCGAAGACTATTCGAAAGTCTCGGTTGTTTGACTTACGGGGTCTCTCCTCTTCCCCACACATTGAAAAGCGCTATTTCGGAGGGTCCAGTCCAAGCCATTACGCTTCCAGTAGGCGTGATGGATGCTTCTGAGAGACGTCGCATATCGGCTATCTGGTTGATGGGCTTACAGCCGATTTCTCGAAGTCCAGGAATAGAGAATGCTCGAACATTACCATCTCCGAAAAGACCGACTAGACTGTAGCCGCGGCCCTCGCTCTTGACGACCTGTGCCGAATCACAGAGATAATCATCCCATGTCTTGTGAGCACCTTTAGCGGTTGGAGGCTTGAAGATTCGGCACCCAGAGACAGTGACAGCAACCACAACTCCATTTATTTGAGCACCAGTTCTCAAGCCAGACACTGCGGTTGGCGTGGCAAAAGCATGGCCACCAGAGTCGGCGTCGATAGGAATCAGCTTTATGATCTTGTCATCAATGGCCGAAAATCCCACATATGTGACAGTATATGTCCCGTTTGATGCTGGAAGAATCTTAAAAGTAGCCACATTTCCTCTGTTTGTTCCCACAAAGCAGCAAATGCTGGAGTAGTCTGTCGTGGATCAGTTAGCTTTTCGTATCATCCGGATTTCCGATGAGCCGTACCCTCGCCATCCAATGTCATCACTCCAAACTCAATGGCAGTAGGCCATTCAGCTGGGGCATCCGCTGCGCCTCGCGAGCTCTTCCGGAGGCTTCCTCGTTTCGAGGCTTTCACGAAATCAGAAAGATGGGCTGTGTGGATGAGTGCCGGGCCGCGTAAGTCTAGAATCACTAAACCTCCAGCCTCGTATCCAGCTGCAACAAATCCCACAGGGCTATGTTTCAAGGCAGTCAAAGGACCTTGCTGCATATCCAATAGTGTCAACGGCAGCAAGCCTGTCTTGAGACCCGGATCTGTCCGCTGGGTGATAGTAGTCAATCTTCCTGGCCCCTGGTTGGATCCAGGGAGCTCTTCATGTCCATAAGAGTTGTTTTTACCCCATCTGAATACCACCAGTTCCCCACTTTTCAAGCCGACAGAAATTTCCCCAGTGCCATTGGCAAGAGACATTTCAGTGACTTCAATGTTGCGAACTCTCCCTACTGCCCGAGCCAAGTCTACCTGAATCATGTCGCCATTCTCGATCTCGTCATCGTGTCCACCGTCCCAGAGCCGGATCGTCCCGTCAGCATGCGCCGTCGTTATGATATTTCGACTTTCGTAACGCTTCAAAGGATTCCTCGCCTCTGCGCCTCCAATCACTATCTTTGGTCCCTGGGCTCGGATCTCTCTCAAACCCAACCAGATGTCACGAGACACAGGGGTAAGGGTAACCTTGTTCACGAATGGATGCACGAATGAAAGGTACGGGTGCAGCATATTTGTAGGAGAAATCGCATGGCCGCTTGGAAAGCTCATTGTGAGCAGCTCACCCGAAGACAGCACGGCCAGGATGGCAATTGGGTCATGAGCACCACCGAAATATGGGGAACTACGAGGGATCAGGCAAAAAGTGTTTGCATAAGCCCCAGGGGGGATCGGCAGATTGATTTGCCGTCTGGGTTTCGAGAAGTAGCTCTGAAGAACCTGCCATGAGGATGTGGCGTAGATGGGCGTCGGACCCATATCAATGAAAGTGAAGCCCTTGTTGGGGTCGCTAGCGGGCATACCTCCAGCAACCAATATGCCTGTATCATCAGGATTGTCTTTCGCACACCATGCAATTTTCGTGATTGGTTCTTTCGGTCCCGAAGAGACTTGATCAGAATCACGACCGCTGCCGGGTTCATCGATGTTTGTAGATTGGATTGTTCGCGCATGAAGCTTGCGGCCATCCTTTGAATCCCAGAGCACTAAGCTCGTGTCTTCATGAACAGTCAACACAAATATTCCGTTGGGATGCCAGAGAGCATCTATAAGTCTGGGCCTGCGGGGGGCGATTGTTGGCATTGCAGGATCGCCGCCTGGGGCATTGGCAGGAATTTCGTATACAAAATACTTCTGCGCAACATTTTGTTTGAATGAGAATGTCACTGCCCCTTCTGGGTATCCTATGAGGATTTTCCCAATATCTCGCGTAGAGAACTCAAGCGATACGACGGGACAAAGACGTGCGCGAGGGTTCTGCGCCAACCATTGATTTGGGATCCTGAAGGGAGTAAGCGACTCTCTGTCGAGATCATATGCAATCACATCACCTGTAAGCAAAGATTAGAATCCGGGTAGATAGCACGGTCGCCAAAGAGAATTACCATTCGACAGCCCAATGAAGGCATAGTCAAGACTGGGATCTGTGGCGAGGGCAGTGCCCTGCCCTGGAGGTGCGTAGGCGGTTACCAAGCACTTTGTTTCCAGAGAAAAGATGCTGAGCTCATTCCTCGAGTCGACACTAACGAGTTTATCACCGCAGAATTGAAGGAACTTTGCCGATGCCTTGCGCTGGAATTGGAATACCACCAACACTCGTCGCTGCCCGAAGACATAAATCTGGCCGCTGCCAAACTGAGTGTCGCTAGTACCGACGGCTAGTAGGGACTGGACAGGGTCGTAGGCGATTACGCTGATCTGCGAATTGATACCGCATCGTGCGAACTGCAAGCCACAAGCGTTAGCCCAGAATTGAAAGATGTCTAGGGAGCCAAAACAAACATCATCGAGGTCAAAGAAATCGGAGGCCAGGCCCTCAGATAGGTCCCTTTGGATTCCTGCTTGTTTGCCTCGCAAAAAATGAGCCATTTCCTTGGGGATGGGAGACGTTGCAAGCTCTAGGCAACCAAAGACTGGAAGGGTGGAGTTAGCCGCAGTATGTTAGCAGTTGACGACATTGGCGGAGAAGCTAATCGCTGCCCCGCTCCCGGGCCCTACGGTAGGGCGGAAGAAAACCTACCGCCCTTGCTGGATTCTGCTCCGCCTTGGTTCCATAGATGGACCCTGGATATCATGGCATCTGTCAATAGTGATACAATTTTTTCAACCCCATAGATGGCACCAGCCGTGTATCCCGAAATAGTTTATTGTGACCTCAGATACTACCCAGATGCGGGATGATATACACTTCAAGGTGGGAGCAGGTTCAAAAGGACTTGAATCATGACCAGAGGTATACCAAGGACCGTAGTACACAGACGTAGTGTACCAATAGCATTATCTGTGAGGGAGTAATTCAAATAGCAAAGATGCTGCAAAGCAATCTATGATTTACATAATGGGTATCATCTCGCTCAAATACGCGCCACACCACAATGCTCCATCTCCCTTACGTTGACTCGGAGGCAGCCAGCTCCGCAATGTTCACCATCAGTCGTCGTCGCGCCTCAATTTCTTCAGAGTCGTTCCGGTTGCGATAGTACTGTATCGTGATTCGCGATATAAGACGGTAGCAAGAATACCTGATAAGAAAGAACTTGATTAGTATCCGTTATGCTGCTAGGAACGAGCGAGAAGTGAAACATAACCGTAACTCACATTAACAATCTGATATGCTCACCACGGGATCTTGTCATTGGCAACCCAGCTCCTTCCAGTACAGAAGCACTTGGATGTTCAAATATCTCAGCCATGAGAAAGTCTCCCCAGAAAGCGCTGCTGAAATCAATAATCCCCGTCAATTGATGGGTCCTCTCGTTTATCAACACGTGAGAAGGCCGGCCAAAGTCGACAACAACAAGACGGGGCAAGGAAACCTCATCGAGGACTCTCGAGAGACGACTCATCTCGCGTCGGACTTCAGCATATGGTATATGGATCAACATATCTTCTGCATCGCGGAGAACACTTTCAAAAAGCGCCGAAAATGCATCTCTCCATGAGCGCTTTCCGCCTCCCATGGCTACCTGCTGCAAAGACCCGAAGGCCGAGGCAACATTTTGACTGATGGAGCTAGCGAGGAAGCCGAGGTGCCGGTCAAGGTCTCTTTTTTGTTGACTGGTGATCTCATCTTGTAACTCGAACAGGCTTCTTCCCTTGATGTACTGCCGTATCAAGTGGGCAGAGCCAAGAGCACCGCCGCGCGGATCATAGTGATATATTTGAGGTACGCAGGGGTTTGCACTTTGACCTAGCAGTACCAGGGACCGAGCTTCGGTCTCCAGGAAGAGGCGTTCCCGTCGGAGGAGCGGTGTTCCAGGCAAAGGAGAGCATTTCAAAAGCAATCGCACCCCGTTCGATAGCGTTAATAGACGAAGGGAATGAACGCACCCAAAGAGGTCTTGTGATCGCTGGACTCGAACCGAGGGCGGGAAGAGCAATGAAATTGCGGCATCGAGTCTTTGGGGGTCACTAAGTCTTACATCAGACATAGTCATATCATGACGGTGCTTCAAGTTGGAGACCATGTTGCGGCCGCCTGAGGATGGAAGAACAGTCTGAAGTTGTACAGAGGCTACATCTGAGCAATACATTCTCATATGTAGTTGGTAGAGACCGGTAAAGAAAGGAGAGCCCCTGACGAGATTCAGGCTTAGATATTCCCTTGGAGATTCACAAGAAAAGCCCATGCCGCATGATCCGGAAATCTAGCCGGGGAATCGGTATTCTTCCCTGGATTTGGGAGAACCCGCCCAGTCGCAGAGCGCATATCGAAATCAATAGGCCCGCTATGGGAGCCAGCCGACGTCAGCTGCAAATCCAAGGGAAACAACGACCTATAGCCAGGCTTAGCGAGGAGAGCCACGGAGTGGTGGAGGGCCTAGCTTCGCCATCCCTAAACAAATCGGTAACTGCACGGCTACAGAAAATGCCCAAGGACGTGGGTAGCCTATAGCATGTAACGTCAAGATCAAATAGAAGCACCAGTTGGCTAATGAGAAAACCGAAGGGGCCCCATCTCGCCTAAGGATCCCGCTCTTAGCGACTCAGGCATCCGAGCCTGTGCGGCTGGCCAATCACAGTGCCGTGTTACCGAATTTCCAGGTGGGCCCTGCCGTCCGGAGCAGCTAAGAAAAGTAAAAAGAACAATGTGCGAATGTTCTTCAGGGTATCAGGACCCTCTAGTACCACCCTAACCTCAATTCTTGCTTATTCTCTGGGGCTGCTCGCTCCCGATTGCTCTGGAAATATTCTACAACACCCCCCCCCCGGGAAGTCCCGCCAGCTGGTCGCCTTCAGGTAGTAAGACAAAGACCGAAGGATTTTGGGTTGAGTTTGCATCATCGCAAATTTCGAAAGGTATTGGCCTGTGGGGCCGATTTCGATCGGTAGACCAGTCCCAGTATAGGATTTAGTGAGGTCGGCGTCAAGTGGAGACAAAGAAAGCACTTCGGGCGGCCCTCGGGCCTAGTGACTCGAGTCCAATCTTTTTCTTTTATGTGGAATTATGTCTTAGTAACCCAGTAGTCGAAAATACAGCCTGGAACAAAAGGGTTGTGTGGCCGAATAGGGTTCGAGTTGATTAAAGTGCTGGTGAGCTTAGGAGATAAGCGATTATGCATGTATTGAATGCGATATGATAGCCGTTTGGCTCCTGTGGTTTGTGATCCTGTTCGGTCTTAGCCCAGCATAGACGCACGCTATCTGAAGTGGGATAAAGGATCTGTGAAAGAAGTGGCTTCTGTTCGCGTTACTCCTTCGCTTCCGGGTCCTTATTTGGATGGGCCTTTGCTGAAGGGGCATAGATCTCGGCAATATTATACCGTTTCAACTCATCATAATCGCCTGCCACGACGCTCATGCCAATGACATTCTGCAAAATAGATATTAGGGCCAGCAAATGTGAGGGGCTAAAACGGGTCTCACCTGGACAACATCGACTAAAATTAGTAGGTCGTATTTTTTCAAGTTCACTGGGTGCTCAGGGCCGACAACGTCGGCGACGATTTTTATGATCATATCCCGGTTGAACTTCTTATTGCCTCGCACGGTAGGCCGAATTGCGTACTGTTTAAGGAGCCAAACTATGTCAACACTGTAGAGCACCAATTATAGATGGTTCGAGTTTCATGACTGGAACTTACAGTTTTCGGAGGCCCTCCGGAGTGGAAATGAGGCGCGAGGATTTCTTTGGCGAATTCCACCAGATCCACGCTAAGAGTTTTCCTGATCGAAGTAACAGGATTCATGCGTTTGATAAAACGACTTCGCTTTTGATCAGGATTGGCGTGCGCTTCAAGACATAAGCGGTGAACCAGGTCAACTGGATCAGTCGGCCTCTTGACTCGTGCGAATATCACTTCCGGTAGTCAGCATCACATGTTGCTTCTAGAGTATGGCGAAATAGCCGCGTTATCTCGGAAGAAAGGGACACACCACAAGGAATTTCCAGTTGGACCCCCTGTACGGGACGCGTCTTGCGCTCGGCAGGCTTTAGCCCCTCGAGTTCCCTTTGGATTTGAGCTTCGATGTCTCCATCGTCGGAGTCGGAGTTTCCTGCGTCTTCTTTTACAGGTTCCTCGGAACCCTCAATCAGCTAGTATAGCGTATTAGCATGGCATTCAAAGCGAAGGATTCCTACAAGCGCGTATGCCGCAATTTTTATGACTCACTTGTGAGAGGATATCTGTTATCTCATGGATGCATTTCGATTCCTTGCCGATATCACACGTCACAAAGACCCCCTGTTCGCCAGCCTCGATGTCGACTCTATTTTTGGTGTGGTTCCGTTGGCCCTGTAGACCATGGCGTGACTTCAGTTAGTCTCCCCATCCAACGATCCATAATGGCCCAACGCGTACCTTTTGGCGCTTGGAAGATGGTGGCAACTTTCCTGGCATGCTTCTCTTTTGAGCACGAGCCATAGAAACTCTAAGTGCCGATTCGACGGGAGCTGGACGTATGTAGCAATGTCGTATCAAGGGAAGTGGGGGTGGGGAAGAATTTGTTGTGGTTGGATCGGGTTTAGCGGACGCAAATCCCCGTGGATCAGCGAATTCACGGCAGCCCGAGAAGCTTATCGATGTTTATTTGATGGGAATAGAGGGAATTGCTGTCGAATACTCGTAGCTAACTCTCTAGAGGGTACCTGAAGTGGCGCCCGTGGTACAGTTACACGATAGACCTTTTCGACCTTCATTGACCGGAGTGGCATGACATCAAGGGTGGAATCATGACGTAGCTTATCGCGGGTCTCCCCATCAACTGGCATGAGTTGTCGTGATGACACGGCGTAAAAAGTCGCCGGTCTAAGGAGTACCTTGTTTTCGCTTGGCCGTAAAAGCTGTAAGAACCCTGAGCCTTCCGCTTGCCCCGTGCAGCTGGTTTTATTCTCCCATTAGCTATTATCCTAGTTTACTCTTCAACCCCTCTACCCCTCCTTCCTCTTGTGACTCCCGTGTCACCACTCATCATGGCGTCCGCCGATATTGCTACCCGCGAGCTCGAGAACCCCGTGGATCTTGCGGAATATTTGTTTCGTCGCCTTCACGAAGTTGGAATTCGTGCTGTCCACGGAGTCCCAGGGGACTACAATCTGGCAGCTCTTGATTACCTCCCGAAGGCCAACCTGGACTGGGTGGGGAACTGCAATGAGCTCAATGCCGGTAAGGCCTCGCGCGAAATACTCTCCACTTCCAAAGTGCTAATGTGAGCTCGAGGCTACGCTGCCGATGGCTACGCCCGTATCAAAGGAATCAGTGCTCTGATCACCACCTTCGGTGTGGGAGAGCTGTCTGCGCTCAACGCCATTGCAGGCGCTTACTCGGAATTCGTGCCTATTGTCCACATCGTTGGCCAACCAAACACAAAGTCGCAGCGAGATGGAATGCTTCTTCACCACACTCTTGGAAATGGTGACTTCGATGTTTTCACCAAAATGAGCGCTGCTATCTCCTGCTCTGTCGCCCGTCTCACCGATCCCCACGATGCGGCAACACTGATCGACAGCACGATCCGCGAGTGCTGGGTGCGCAGTCGTCCCGTCTACATCACCCTCCCCACTGACATGGTCTATGCCAAAGTAAACGGCAATCGTCTGAAGACCCCATTGGACCTCTCACTGCCGGAGAACGATCCCGAGAAAGAAGACTACGTTGTGGATGTGGTTTTGAAATACCTTCAGAACGCCAAGAGCCCTGTCATTCTTGTGGATGCTTGCGCTATCCGACATAAAGTCCTGGATGAAGTACGTAGCCTCGTGGAGGCTTCGGGCTTGCCCACTTTTGTCACTCCAATGGGAAAAGGTGCGGTAAATGAGACCCATAAGAACTTCGGTGGTGTGTACGCTGGTGACGGATCAAATCCTGGAGTCCGCGAAGTGGTCGAATCCTCCGACCTCATCCTCAGCATCGGCGCCATCAAGTCTGATTTCAACACTACTGGTTTCACTTATCGTATCGGCCAACTCAATACGATCGACTTTCACAGTACCTATGTACGGGTTCGTTACTCCGAATATCCTGATATCAACATGAAGGGCGTCCTCCGAAAGGTGGTCGCCAAAATGGGCAAGCTAAATGCTGTCCCTGCGCCCATAGTCAACAACACTCTGCCAGACAAGGAGAAGAAATCAAGCAGTCAGACCATTACTCATGATTGGTTGTGGCCTATTGTTGGTCAATGGTTGAAACCGAAGGACGTGGTTCTTACAGAAACTGGAACCGCAAATTTTGGTATCTGGGACACTCGTTTCCCTGAAGGCGTAACAGCTATCAGCCAAGTTCTTTGGGGTAGCATCGGATATTCTCTGGGCTCATGCCAGGGAGCCGCCTTGGCCGCGAAAGAGCTCGGCCGCCGTACCATCCTGTTTATCGGAGATGGAAGCACCCAGTTGACAGTCCAGGAGCTGAGCACTATGCTCCGTAATAAACTTAATCCCATTATGTAAGACTTTGAGCCCTGTCCACGGGTGTCTGGCGGATGCCAGTGGCGCAGCATGGCGTTGTGGGATCTTTTACTGACGAATTCTCCAGTTTCGTCATCTGCAACGAAGGCTACACCATTGAGCGATACATCCACGGGTGGGATGCAAGCTACAACGACATCCAGCCCTGGGACTTTGCCAACATTCCCAAGGCCTTCGGTGCCGATGATGGATACAAGTCCTACCGAATTAAGTCTCGGGATGAGCTGAACAACCTGTTTGCTGATCAGAGTTTCAATGAGCATAAGACCTTGCAGGTGAGTCGATATCGATCGTCGTTGCAATAATGATTGAGAAATTTACTAACTCTATCCTAGTTGGTTGAACTCTACATGCCTCGCGACGACGCGCCTTCGGCATTAAAAATAACCGCCCAGGCTGCGGCTGCGCGCAACAAATAGATCAGCCATATGCAGACAACCGCAGACGCCAAATAAAGCTACCTGCTGACTCTGCAATATCACTTGTTCGGCCGTGATTTTGAGAAGAACTATGATCTCGCCCATGATTATTTCCTCCCTCTTCGTCTTTCTTACTCGAGTTTGCCGGTCTTAAATCCTCCTCTCTGCGCAGATCTACAATCAAACCAAGTTAATTCATTGGGGCCTGGATTTGCCTAGAAATATCCCACATTTCGTAACCGACAATTTACTACACAGCGACAAACATAGTTTGAAGTCAGTATCTGCTACTCTGGTTCAAATAGACCGTGGTTGTAGTTAGCATTGCTCTTTAAGTAATCCTCACATGCAACGCCTATACTTTTCTCGCTATACTGTCCCGAAAGGACTTTCTTGCTAAGAGCTTGTCAAGTTCATGGTAGACAACAAGCATCCTAAACATCTGAACGAATTCCATTTATCGGAGCGGAGCTTGCTGGCACCCTACATATGCATAAAATCATTGGTCTGCTAGATTTACGAGCCGGGGGATCCCCTACTGGGTCTTAGTATTCTGTGATTAGCGTGAGTCAATTAGTGCTTCGGTATTTTTCTTGCTTCGAATTGAAATGAATGCTTTTTTATCCCGCTAAATTGTCATGATGTTCAAGATTCGGAACATGCCGAGACAATTCGACAGCCTGAGAGATTTTAATTTGGTGCAAGATCTGCAAACGTGTATTTCTCGGGGGAGGAATATCCTACTCATCGGCAGAACTGTACAAAGCGCCCCAATGCAACCAGAAGTTGTCCAAGAATCACCACAGAGCATAGGAAGACATGCAACCTTCACTATTTTCATGACCACAGGACATAAAGAATTGATCTTACAAATATCTGAGTCTTAAAGCTACGGAAGGAGATGTGACTCCTTTTCGATATGAAATATATGGCACAAAACTTGTGCTGCCGATGGCAAGCCTACATCATCAGCCGGGTTCACTACCACTGACAGAAAGAGCACGCGATGGAGTCCAAGTTGGTCCCGAGGCTGCAGCTGTGCGCGAAATAAAATACGAGTAGCAAGCCACTTGCGGGAGCCACAGATAAGGAGTTCAGCTGTCTTGGATGCTATCTGCGTATCGGGTCACCGGCCGGTGATTCAAGGAAATAGGATCTGGGCTGGAGCATGAAGGTCGGCTTGTTCATGTTCAATCTCTTCTTTACGTTTCTGGGTTGTCTGTCATTAAGCTTCAATAACGATCCTTCGCGGGCGCATATTTTGACTCGGCCTGCGGTTTCCGAAATATGTGGCGGATTAGGGGTGTCTTTCATGAATGTAGGAAGCGGGATTGGCTATGTAGGGCGGTCTGAGCCATCGGTTGAGCCACAATGTTTCAGCTGTCACGACGGTGTAGTCACCCGTGGGTTCGGGCCCAACGAAGAGGAAAGATGGATTCTGGTTAAGGATCTCGACCGAGGATCCCAGTCGAACTCTGTTTATTTCCGGGATACTGCAGCTGAGTAAATGGTGCTTTGTACGCCAGAGTAGAACCTCGACCACGGTAGAGCCAGGGGTTCAAGTAGCTTATCGACCCCGGAAGACTCGATACGATAAGAATCTTGTCGCCCATCAGGCGCTCCGCCCCACGTGACAGACCTAGGCTTTCGCAACTCTGGGAAGGCAGACGAGTCAAAGGCTTTTGAGATCCTGATCCTCGACATTGCCCTGCTGGTAAGTTGGTTATCACCTGGATTCAGTATCGGATGCAAGGAGCCCTGGAATCTCCCCTCGTTGTGCCTGCCCCGAACACAAGCGGGGGGTACGACAGTTTTCCCATCAGGCGGCTAATCATTGTCTGCCATAGGTTCAAGCCCGAACATTTTGTCAGAGGTCTATTCGTCGAAGCAGCACTTCTCGTCTTCTCGAATCCGTGGCCTCCGCGACAAACTCCTCAGGCTGCGACTGCGACTGCGACTATGCTCGGGTAAAGACCTTGCGAATCAATACTTCTCCCGTGTACTCCAACCACTTGATCATAGCCCACTCTAAACGAATCGAATCCTACTGTCAACTTCTTCTCCTCCCAGCGGGGCGAGAATTTTGCGACTGGGATGTTCACAAGCCTGAGCGTGGAGGATTGCTTTATCTATCACATCTGGGATCGGCCTCGTTGATCGACTATAAGGTAGGGAGGGCTTGGAGGCTTTCCTAGCCCATGAGCAGTATCGTCCAAGATGGATGGGCAACGACAGCAATATATTCCACCACCCCCCCCTCCTCGTCAGCCGGCCCATATTCCAGCGCAGCTCCAGTCGCAGCTCCAGCCGTTAGTCCCGCCTCCACCTCCAGGTCCTCCTCCAGGCACAACAGGGTACGGGGTTCCTCAAGGATGGCAACCACAGTCTTGGGGCAAATCTGTACTGACTACTGGCTTGCCCCCTCCGCCACCTCCGCCCCAGAATCAACAACATGCCCCATACCAACCCGCTGCTATGGCTGCTATGGACAACCTTCCTCTGACATCGGCCACCTATGTTCCTGGAAATGATACCATTGGAGGGTTTCCACCTTTGTATGACCCCCCAGGTCGACCTACTTATGAACCTTACTTGCAACGGCCGACCGCTCCTCAACCATACCTCACAGAGGCTTCGTACAATCCTCAAACACCCGGTGGGCGAATTGGCCAGCCGCACGTTTACTCTCATACTGCCGGTCCTGATCAATCCCACTACGGCGATTCCCAATTTCCGTCATCGAGCACTCAAGGAACGCCAAGCCATGGGGTGAATCTTGTCAAGTCACCAAGCTATCGTCAATCTCCCGGCAATGGGTCGCTCGCTGGCCTCTCGCCTGGAATTGCCGCATCCCAGTGGCCACTCGAGCGTGTTCTTCAGTGGCTTGCCAAAAATGGGTTTTCTCAAGATTGGCAAGAGACTTTCAAGTCATTAGAGCTCCAGGGCGCGGACTTCCTGGAGCTTGGTCTAGCATGGAATGGTCGCGGAAACCTTGGGAAAATCCATAGGGTTGTCTACCCTCAGCTGCAAAAAGAATGTGCACGCAGAGGAGTTGAATATGACCAAGCTCGCGAGCGTGAGGAAGGTCGCCGTATTCGTCAATTGATCCGTCATTTGAATGAGGGCTCGGAAGACACTGTTTCTACCCCATTGCAAGGAGAACCGCCGGTGACGATACCCGGCCCAGCTGACAATGCTTATGCAACCTACAACCCGAAATTTATTCCAGAGCCCCGTTCAGCTGGAGCAAATGGAAAACTCGATTTCACGGCGGAACAGCAAAGCTTAGCCCAAAGGCCATCGACCGCGAATGTCGGCAAACCGGGATCCCAAATGCGTTCTTTTACAACTCCGATCTCCGCACACCCCCATCACGACTCGCCATTAGATTCTCCCTCCCGTGAACCCACCACCTGGCTACGATCCGACTATACGCGTGGTGTCTTAGCTGGGCTGGGCGAGCATCGAAGGCAAAGCCCGTCGACTTCCAGTGAAGTTCAATTTCACCCTGGCTCGTCTAGTCCCAAAAGCGGGAGCCCGGCAATGCAGTATGCCTCTCCGGCCCAGCCAGGGCTTACATCACACTCCACTGGAGACCTGCCTTTAAGAAATGAGCATTCACGGGGGAATAGTACAGATTCAACCGCTGCCGCAGGGCGCAACACTGGTCGCTATTATGAGCAGCACAGAGTGGCACAAGAGGCAAATCGTCAATCTCCTCAAGATTCCACACCTGGAAGGCCTCTTAGCGGGGAATCAACATCCACCCAGAGAGAACCCAGCAAAGGAATCCGGGAGTTTTTCAAAAAGAAAACGAAGAGCAATACTTCAAACCATGCTTCTCCCGAGGAGCCAAGCTCCGAGTATCCTACGACCCCCGAGCCTTCTACGCTTTATTCGGTTGGTGCGTACAGCAACAGCGACCTTTCTCTGGGCGAACGACCCTCTTCCTCTTCAAAGCCGAAAACTAAGAAGTGGATTTTTGCAACCACTGATGGAGTCAATTACCGCTTGATTGATGTTACTGATTATGAATCTGTGGAAACCTTGCGGGCCGTGATCTGCAAAAACTTGGAAATATCTGATTGGGCAAGCGCCCAGATATTTTTGACTGAACCTGGCCAGACAGAGCATGACGAACCAGTAAACGACACCAACCTAGCCATCTATCGACGCAGGAAGTCCGATGCATATGGCTCGTTAAAGCTGTTTGTTCATGGAACGTCTGATCGGGCAACCAAGAACCGGCCTCACAACTTCAATGGCCTTGGTGTCTCCATCCCATCAGGGGAGAAAAACCTGCTTTATCACCTGTTGCCATCCAAACCCCAATCCATCGAAAACCTCTGGATGAGGATGCCTTGCAGAGAATATCACCACAAAACCCGAAGCCTAGCTCACCACTCTTGAACTCCCGGCAGCCAACACTCCGGCCGAAGAGTTCCAAGAATGATCTGATTAGCTCTCAAGATTCCCAAAAGGCTTCAGACACTGACAATGCTGATATAGCCGCCCGTCATGAATCTTATTTACTTGATGTTGAACGAAAGCAAAGAGAAAACCATATTTCACGTGTCCCCCCATCCCCACAGCACCGAAAGCCAACCTACGGTGAAACTGGCTATAGAGGCGGTTTTGTCGATTTCGATCTGCCTCGAGTGTCACCGTACGAAGAGAGACGACTATCGTCTAGCGATGAGAAGAAGCCAGAGACATTGGTGCCTTTACGCAAACCACCAGTGGCTCCTAATGAATCAAATACGTTGACAAAAGTCAACTCTCTTCGCAAAGCCCCTGGGCAGCGGGAACGTCTACATCTGCACACTCACGCTCAGAACCAGGCTTCCCACGGCCTGGGAGCTGTTTTGGCCAGCGTTGGCCGAATGACGAGCGCCATCGGCACACCAATCCCTTCCGGCCGCGACTCTTCGTCGCCTTCCTCTGCAAACCGGGACAGCGTTAGTTCTGAGTCTGAAAGGGCGCATACCGGCGATTCTGCCGGAACAGCATCGAGTAGGACAACTCTGGGTAAGTTCCGGGACAAGAAGCATAAGTTGCCTTGCACGTTTTTCTGGTTTTTCAAAACGCTAATCACCTACTTTGTAGACTCAGGGATTGCTTCAAAATGGGCTCCAGATGGTGGACAAAGGTCTCCCTCTTTTGTCCCACCTGCTTCAGCAAGGCCGTCTTCTGTCAGTTCCAGGCCATCTATTCAATCTCGCAAGTCATTCGGTCCTGTCATAGACTTCGAGGAGCAGCAAGTCTCCTTTCAAGAGACGTCTCGAGCAGCAGCGGAAGCATCTGATGACGACTCCGACGACGGTCTCTTCATGGTGCCTCTAGCCAATAACAAGCCTCAAAACCCGGAGCCTCAGACTCAGGTTAATTCAGAAGAGAAGCCTGTTCTGAGTGTAGATACGAAACAAAAACCGGGCCGTGTGAGGATCATATCACCCGTCAACACAGCGCAGGGCAGTGGCCCTTCAGCACGCAGCTCTAATGGCGATGCTTCAGATGGTCACGACCCACATTCTAGTACCTGGTTCCACCCAAGCTCCCCAGATGAAGAGAAGCCTCCTCCAGACCGCAGACATTCGTTTGCCAGCGGTGACCTCTGGGCCAGCAGACCTCCTGTTGAAGGCGTTATCGACAACCTGGACAGCTTCTTCCCGGGCGTCGATCTCGATGCTCCTTACCTTGGTGAACCTCAATCGCCGAGCTCTAAAGGCAAAGACTCCGATGGCGATGCAACGATGAGACCAAAGCAAGAGTATCCTGCGCCTCCGCCCATGCCACCTACTGATCCCGTCGCGCGACCAGGAACTGGAAATGCTGCAAGGCAAATCATGAGTCGCAACAATGGCGGAGGCGGACTTGGGCGAGCCAAATCTATTCGAGATATCGCCCGCGGTGCAGCTGTTAGGACGAAGAGTGTCAATGCCTCTCCACAAAGATCGAATGTTCCGTTGCGTCGCAAGAGCACCAAGATGTTTGGCGCCAAGATCATTCAGATGAGTCCCAAGCCTGGCAGTCGACTCAGTAATCTCGATCCAATCCCCCAAAGTGCGGCTCATCAAGCGAGTTCCAGTGCTTCCCAACCGCAACCTACCTTCCGCATCATCCGTGGTGAGCTTATCGGTAAAGGAACTTACGGTCGCGTGTACCTTGGCATCAACGCGGACAATGGTGAAGTTCTGGCTGTCAAACAAGTAGAAATCAACCCGCGGGTCGCAGGCACCGATCGAGATAAGATAAAAGAGATGGTGGCAGCCCTGGATCAAGAGATTGATACCATGCAGCACCTTGAGCATGCTAATATCGTGCAATACTTAGGTTGCGAGCGTGGTGAATTTTCTATCTCTATCTACCTCGAGTATATCTCTGGTGGCTCGATTGGTAGTTGTCTACGAAAGCATGGCAAATTCCAGGAAAGCGTTGTCAAGTCTCTGACCCGTCAAACTCTCAGCGGTCTAGCCTACCTCCACGAAATGGGTATTCTCCACCGGGACTTGAAAGCAGACAACATCTTGCTGGATGTGGATGGCACGTGCAAGATCTCAGATTTCGGTATTTCCAAGAAAACAAATGACATCTACGTCAATGACTCGAGCAATTCTATGCAAGGCACCGTCTTTTGGATGGCCCCCGAAGTCATTCAATCGCAGGGCCAAGGCTACAGTGCCAAGGTGGATATCTGGTCACTTGGGTGTGTGGTGCTTGAAATGTTTGCTGGCCGTCGCCCTTGGAGCAAGGAGGAGGCCATCGGTGCCATCTTCAAGCTTGGTAGTCTCGGCCAGGCGCCCCCCATTCCTGAGGATGTCTCGACGGCTGCTAGCCCCGCGGCTCTTGCATTCATGTGGGACTGCTTTACAGTGTAAGTTTCTCACCGCCTCATGGTTTCCTTATCTGGCAATATAATCATATTCTAACGCTCCAACCAGTGACTCGGGTGAACGTCCCACTGCTGGCACTCTTCTTACTCGTCACCCGTTCTGCGAGTCGGATCCAACATATAATTTTCTCGACACGGAATTATACGCCAAAATTCGACACGCTTTCTAGTAGTCCACGGTCCAAAAACAGCCCCTTTTTTGATGATAGCGTACTGAGAAGCACAATGGGCCCAATTACATGTCTATAATCCTGTTTATTTCGGCTTGCATCGGCAAACCATATGCTCAGCTTCAATTCCCTTTCTATCTTCGTTATCTTTCCCCGTTATCTTTCCCCGTTGAGAAAACGATTGCTTCAACAAAAGTCTTCGCCGGGTCAGCGGGTCTTGAGGCGTTGGTCTTGGGCTGTATATATTGATTGATTTAGTCTTCACGTTCGTGTCTTTGCCGACCTTACTCGAATTACTCCTACTATCATCATTCGCGCAAAACAAAATTCCATAATTGACTCACGTAATCTAAGCGTTTTAGGATTCATCACAACATCATTGTAACAAGACGAAAAGGCAAAGCCAAGGTCTGGCTAGGCATAACTAGAGCGTACTACATAGGGCATTTTCACGTTGCGGTTCAGAAAAGAAAGGAAGACTCGAGGCTTTCGCCGGGGAACACGCATCTACTGGAAAGCCTGAGCCCGCTCCCATTCGGAGGCGAGGTCGTCTCCGATAGCCCGCATGGCCTCCTTCTCGAGCTCACGAGCGGATAAGTTTGAGCGCTTGGAGATCTTAGAAGTAGTCTCTTCCTTGGATAGCTCCACTGTGATTTATCGAGGTCAATAATTCAGTCCGTAAAAATGTATCGTGGCCCGGTTCAACTTACCGTGAAGGTACACAGCAGCACGCTTGCCACTAAACATCGCGTTAGGAACGTTGGTAGCGCCGTCACTTTTCATGTCACCGGCAGCGAACACACCGGTTAGGGATGTGCGGGTGGAAGCGGCAGTCTTTACATAGATCCCCTCCATTTCGAGACCCATATCAGTGGGGAGAGAGGAGGCCTGGCTGGTTCCAAAGTTGGTGATGAAAGCATTGCGCTCCACGGGCTTGCCAGTGGTGAAGTTGATGCGGAATTTGTCGAACTGGCGATCATGTTCCTCGTCCCGGTTCTTGCCGCCATCTTGGAGACGGTCGATGGAGCTGATGGTGCGGTTATCGATGGTGACATTCCACGCATTGAGTTGGTCTCTCCAGTTATCTCCACGGTTGGATGCAAGAGTAGCCTCCACATCAGGGGTGTCGGTACCGTTGACGAAGGCAACGATGTCGCTTTGCTGGGTGTGGATTTCCAAAGTTGTACCAACAACATCTACGAGCGAGCCGAGGATCCCGATGGGCTGATCGCGGTGTCTAAACCGATTGTTTAGGGTTGGATGGAAGGTATGAGCTTGTCTTGAACACTTACTCGTAACCGTCACACCAGGGGCACCAGTAAATTCCTTTGCCAAAGTTCTCACGCAGACCAGGGGTGGCAGGGAGATCATCCTTGAGACCGGTGCCCAAAACGATCTTGCGGGCAGTATAGTTCTTACCAGTGCCATCTGTCACTGTAAAGGAAGAGAAGTCTCCCTCAATAGGAACAATGGACGCAACTGTCTCGTTGACAAAGTGAGCGGTATCGTACTTCTCGATTTGCGAACGAGCCAGTCCTCGGAAGACATCAGGCGGGGTGCCTAGAGGTTCATTAGCCGCAAGGCCCATTTTTCACTGGTATCATTCAGAAACATACCATCGTTTCCAATCACATCGTGCATCTCCCGTGTGACACCATTGCGGTAATGCTGGTTGTCGAACAGCAACGCAGTTCGACGGACGCGCGACACTCCACTGATGGCGCTCAGTCCCGCGGGACCACCGCCAACAATAATAACGTCATAGTCTGTCTGGGGAATTGCCTCCGCAGCAGCAAATGATAGCAAAAAAAGAAGACGGAAACGAGAGTAGCGGCTTTGAAACCCATATTGAAGCTTTGAACGATTGGAAGGGGTTGGACTAGGGGAAGTTTGTTCCTTCCATCGATTCGCAGAGCATTTTTATAGACCAGCCCGTGGTTGCAATTTCCGCATTGTTTTGATGGTTTCTGGCGATCAACATCCCTTGCATGTCTGAAATTAAGGTCGGACTGCGCGGTAGTAACCTTATGTAGGAAGCTTGGCACAGTTCAGCTAATCAGTGAAATTGGAATGAGACACGGTGGACTGCGAAGCCCAGCCATTTCAGCAGATTTGCAGTCGTCATACTTGTCTTCCTGGGATGGGCTGTGGGTGGATGGCAGGTGGCATGGATACGCTACCGAGAGGTAAGGACATGTCCTACTATTCGATGCATACTCATGTCATGCAGGACTTCGAGTGTTCATCCATTCCGAATTGGCCTCGAGGGCCCTGTGCAATTTCTCCCATGTTGATCGTCCTAGCGCGCCAATCGAGTCCGAGTCACACATTGAAGACTTTGTGCAGAAACAAGATCAGTTCATATGTAGGCTGAGAGACCCACGTTTGCGAGTTTTACGTTGCCAGGACTTCGATATATATCGAAGTGATATATATAACAGTCCCGCAACATTCCCATCTTTAGTCCTCATACTGACCTATTTTATGCAATGGCGTGATATCCTTACGGTTCTTGAGAGATACAACCGTAAGTAAGACCATGTACAAAACAGTAAGCTCAACATCCTTAGGGGTTATATAGTTTGAAAATAGCTGGAAAGATACAGAGTCACATCGTATTCGGTGCATATATGTACACCTGGCCTATTTGTTCGAGTAATGTTCATGCAAAGTCCGTCGACTGTGGCGGACTCTGGTGGCAACAGATCTCAGCTTAGCCTCTTTTCCAACTTGAAGCCCTAGTTATCCTCCAGAGCTCATGGCAAGCAGCCGCGCCTCAAAGGCACAAAGGCGAAAATGTTTACCGATACGAAAAGTAACAAGTATAATACAGATAAAACATCATCATGCTTTTAGGGCTATGTAATTTTTCGCTCAATGGGTTCAAGAATTAGCAGAGACCGCCTGCTTCCCTTCAGTCTCATTTTGTTTGGCAGCAAATCTTTCTCTTGCCAGCTCGATCTTCGACTTCGGCCGCTCTCCAGAGCCTTCCATACCTTCCTGGTTTCTTTCAATCCCCTTCGCTCGAGCATTCCATTCACTGCGGCGTCGCTTGTAGAGATCCATTGACCAATTTCTCCATACGGCCCGGCCAATGAAGGAGTCACGGAGGACCATTTCTTTGGATGCAAGCTCCTGGGCCATCCGCTCCTTGACGAAGAAGATATCCTTGGTGGCGGTCCACAAGGCGTCCACTACCCGGGATCCGTTGCTGTTTTGAGCAAGGTCGACCAGATGGCCCTGGAAGAAGGCCACAAACTGGCGCCGGAATTGAGGAGTTGAAGTGGGAGATGTTAATGCCTGTTGCACGACGCGGGTGGAGGTTGGTTCTTGTGCGAGTTGAAGAATTGTTTCGGGTGACTGGGCAAGAAGGCTGCTGTAAACAAGCTCACTTAAGGGCCCAGGTACGGCCAACATCGCTTGTGTGAGCAAAGAGCCATGCAGCCTCTCTGGAGCAGAGGCTGATGATTTGGCGGACGCAGCTCTGGCTTGTTCTGCGTGGTCGTCGTCGAACTCGCCAGCATCTTTCATTTCATGGTCCACAGGACCTTGGACCGACTCCGGTGGCCCATCAAGACGAAGCATCTGGCGAAGTCGGAGCGTTTTATCTCCACTGTAGGCATTCTTGAGGGCCCTGGCGAGGGGCTTGGTGTCAACATTACGGACTACACATCTCTCGATGAGTACTCGGGGCACAATCAGCCGTGCTCTTTCAATAAGGCCTGGAACCTCGGGGATGATGAGTTCCATGGCATTTTGCAGGTCATCCTTTCCAAGTCGCTCAAGAGTCTTCAATACCACGTAGCCAGCGGTACTGTTCCGGGACAGAGAACCAATACGCTCCCGGATGTTGTTTTTGTAAAGGTTTTTAAACACTTTACCCGGCATGTATCGCACCATGGTTTCCACCAGACGCGAGCCAACTGGGTCGTAGAGTAAGCCACGGATGAATGTTGCGCTTTCCGTACCTTCTTCAAAAGATTCGTCTGGGACAAGTCTGCGGAGAACAGATTTTGGATCTTTTGCACTGGACTTTCCAAAGTGGGAGAGCTCCAAGAACAGGAGAACTTGGAGAACGGGATTCCCCACAGGGTGTGAAGCCAGGGCGCGCAGGTACGTGTCATCAACGCCAGACACCATCTCGCTCATTATTTTCTTCAGAGCGGGCTCAAAGGACTCTGGGACACTGTGCTTCTGCGATGAAGCAGTCTCCGCTTCAGTCCCAGGTACAGGTGCACCCAACCTCTCTTTCTTACGGCTAGCAACCGCAGAGTCTGTCGACGAAAGGTCCACGGGTTCACCTGCGAGAACGAGCAATAAAACACGAATTGTATGTGATGCAAATCGTTCGGTCAACAAATATCCCCAATTATCCTTCAACTCCTCAATAACTGTCATGAACATGTCTGCCAATGACAGCTCGGGCTCCGTCTCGCCCTCCTCTTCCGCCTTCTTTGCCTGCTGTTTCGATGGCTTTTGCATGACTGCCGGGGCCGCATTTATGAATAATGTTTCACAGCAATGGCTAGCAAAACGATGCTGGACCAGGTGTAAGAAATGACCGATGAACTTGTTGAAGATCCTTCGAATCTGTCGAACGTCAGACATGGAGATCAGCTTCTCCATAAGCCTTGAACAGCCTTGACTACAGGCAATCTTCAATTCCTTCCCTTCTGCCTCTCGGTACACACTTTCCACAAACAAGCTCCTCTCCTCATCATCAATGAATTGGTTCAATTCAAGCATCTCGCTTGCACGGGAGAAGTATTCCTGTTCCTCAGTATCCAGCAAACCGTAGAAGGGTGTGTCACCAGAATCAGGTCTCCCAGATTCATCCTGCATCTCTTCATTTTCTATGGCGGGGATAGCAGCGTCATCGGCATAGTCGCCTTGTCGGTCTTCGTAGAAAGGTTCGACGTCGGCTTCGTCTGAAGACTTCACGCGCTTTGCGACAGGCTCTTCAGGCACATCATCATGCTTGCGCTTCGTATCTCCCTTCTGAGCCTTCTGTTCCGCTCGGCGACCTCTCTTCTGCTTTTCACGAGGCATGGCGATTGACTTTTGGGATCAATTGAAGAAGGAATTTGGTCAATTTTTTTTTCCCCGATAAGGCACTGGCCCAAGCGTTGAAGAACTGACGTTTGTCTTGTTTGCATTGCTGATAAGCAGTGGATCCAAAGTCAGCGCGGCCCAATCAGGGCGCTCACCTGATCTATACACCTCTCCTACTGTAGCGGAACAAACAGAATACTTCAACTGCGAATGAACACGGTGGTAACCCAAGTAGCATTTTTAAATACAGATAATATACATTTTCTCCGCAATGGTGTTCTAAACTGCAGAGTAAATAGCAGATACATGGCGTCCACATTCGACACGTTGCTCCATATCCACAGACCGTTTACCAACAGTTCCCTTGTGTCGGGGCATGATCTGCAATCGGGCTACCGGCTCAGGGCTCTTTACAGACTCTGGAGGTGCAGTGATGTACGTTGGGCGAGGCTGATTGCTGCGCTTGCCTGTGCCCAGCTGAAAGTTCTCGTTACCACCCCACCAGAAGGCCTCATATCCCCAGTCATTCACTCTTTTTGAGAGAACTTGTGTCTTTGGCACTCAAGTTCGCTTTGTTGTCCAAAATGGCAGCCACATGAGTGGTACCTACTGACCAGTTGCGGATACGGATCGGCACCATCTTCTTCGCTTGCTCGTCATACTCTCCGAGCCCACTCAGGTCCTTTATCTTGGTAGGGGCGTCCTGGACATGCTTCCATCTTCCTGTGCCCAGGGTCCCCCCAAATGCCGCGGCCGCAAGACCAGGTATCGGCTGTCACGTTACCCAAGTCTCGAACATCTGCTGGATTTTCCTCGGGACCGAGGATCCGTGTGGCGTCGACGGTGAAAAAAGTATTGGCTCCACCTGCAGCGACGCTGGTGACCCGCGTAGCATATTTCTGAGAGTTGTAGAGTCTGTTAATGGGCAGGACGAAAGGAGTGTCTCTATATGGCAATGAAGGCTCAAATTCAACGCCCAATTGTCCAAATGAGTTATCGCCCCAGCCAAAAAGACGACCATCTTTCGATAATGCTAAAGAATGGTAGTCACCGGCCGCGATATGGGTGATCTTAGATCCTTTGAGCTCTGTTACTTCGTGACAGGTGTCTGCTGGACCACTGGGCCTAGTAGACCAGGTAAGCCCAGTCACACCAAGCTGACCAAGAGTCGGATAGTTCTCAGTCGAGGAAGCAGCAGCGAAAACTCGCCCGGAGTTCGTAAGAAGGAGCACATGTTGCTGGCCACCGCTGATGGACGACACCTTTTCGCCAAGCTTCAGAGCAGGCTTCAGTAGGCGGTAGCTGAGAGTTGACTGCGTGAGCCCAAGGGAAAGCCAAGAGCCCTCTCGAACCTTCGGCCCTGTCAGCTGTCTCTTCTTTAGAGATGGGCAGAGAGTAGATATTTCCATCAGATGATAGTGCGATGATACGGCTCTCCGAAAACGAGAGCGATATCAATTTCTTGCCCACTAGGGTTTTGCTTGGTTTAAACTCTTTCTCGGAGAAGCCCTTGCCCCACTGAACCAAATCACCCTCTTCTGTAATAGCTGCGCCGGATCGCTCCTCGATCTTGAAGTCTCGCAACACCTGGCCATTGAAGTACTTGAAACGTCGAGGCGCCTTGATATCAGTGTCCTTCGATCCAGGATCTACCACTTTGTAGGCATTCGATCCCCAAGTATAGACACCGGGGCTCTTTAAGCTCCTTTTTTCCTGCACAAACTGGGCACGAAGCTCATTGGCGTCGACGGGTCCTTTTTTGGAGTCCACTTGGCTGTTGATCCATAATTCTTTATTGCTGTTGATGTAGGAGTATCCTAGAAATGCAGCAGTTCCGGCAACTGCCACACCAAGAGAATTGCGAAACCACTGTGGAGCTTCTACGCCCTGCGGCCTATTGCTTGCGAACCTGCGCCATGTCGTATTCAGAGGGCGTGTCGCGACGGAGGATGGACGGAGGAGGCGGGTGGCTTGCGCTGGAGCGCTTCGAGCACTTGTAGCCAACATGACGAGGTATTGGCAAATTTTGTGTTTAGCTCATGCCCTCGAGATAACGGGGGACGCATTCGATATCGTAGGAATGTCCGAAGGACACCGGGGAAGCTTCATTTTGGAAGCTCATCACCAGGGGCGGACACGAGTGGCAGAACATCATCCAAAGATTACACTTAGCCATCTCCTACTCTCTGGTCCCCTCACCCAGCCAACGGTCTTCTTATGCTTTTCGCGGGCCTGTGGAGAAGTAATGAGCGGCCACAGACACCACCCACGTTCCTTGACGCTCTGAATTCACCATGCCGTCCACAAAGCAGCAACGTGCCCGCCGCCAAACTGCACCTTCGGGCCCGCCGCGGAAGCCAACAGCCAACGAAACTCGAGCGAACCCCGACTCGGCGCAAGAACAGCCTTCCAATCTGCTTCAATGGACTATTCCTTGCTGGAATAATGAACTTGAATTCTCTCAATGGCTCAATGGAGTCAAAGACGATCTGGTCGAGGAGAGCTACGATCAATATCAGTACGTGTTCGCCAGCGGGGCAGGGTGGGTGTGGAGACTAACCGGACTCTAGAAACTGTCTTGATGAATTACAGCAGTCGAAGGAGCATATCGACGAGATCTTGACGAGCACCCTTACTCTCCTAGAGGATCTATCGAATCTTTCCGAATCCTTTAAATCCGTCGAATCGCAAACGTCCAATTTCGAGAAACAATGCGAAGGACTCCTGTCCGCCCAGGAGCGAGACACCAAACTCGCGAATGGAATCCAGACCAATCTCCATTATTATGACTTCCTTGACCCGGCATCTCGTCGCCTCAATGCTCCTGGAGCTGGAAGCACCGTCCGTGATCCGGAGTTCTCAGATATGCTTAAACGTCTTGATGTCTGCTTAGACTATATGGAAACACACGTATGTATCAAACACTGACCTTTTTCTCTTCCTGCAACTGATCTTAATTTTCATTAGCCTGAACAAAAAGAAGCCGAGATTTATCGCTCCCGATACCGTCTTCTCCTTTACCCGTGCTTTGACCCTTATCCGGGGCAATTTTGTATCTAACCTAAAGGACGTCTACCAGAATGTCGCGAAGAAGATCTCAGATCAAAGCCTCAACGATACTGCACTATCTGCACTCCTCTACGCAAAATTCAGGGTCGCGGCCCCTGAAATGAAGCGGATTGGGATCGAAATCCAAAAAAGAGCCGTCCCACCACTCAACCCAGACCAGAGCAACGAAGCTGAATACCAGAGCTTGATGAACGAGCTCCACAGCAACTACTCGGCTACGCGAGCTCGTCTAGTTGTTCCAATTGTTCGCAAGAAGCTCGCCGCCATCTCACAAGTCCCAAGCTCGTCGAATGATTTGGTCTCATTTGCCAGATTCGGAATAAGCTACATTCGAGGTATTTGCTTGGATGAATACGACCTATGGAGAGAATGGTTCCATGGACAAGGAGGCCTGTATGACTTTCTTGAAACCATTTGCGAGCCTCTTTACGACCATCTCGGGCCGCGCATTATCCGTGAGACGGATATTATCAATCTTTGCCAGCTCTGCACTTTGCTCCAGACTCGATACTTTTCGGATCCCGAGGAAGAGCCAGATATGGCGGACACCAATCAGCTTGATTTTGCTACATTGATTCAGCCAGCACTGCAAGACGTTCAAGACCGTTTGGTGTTCCGTGCCCAGGCAGTTTTACGTGATGAGATCGAGCGATACAAGCCCCGCCCCGAAGACGTCGACTATCCTATGCATAGCAAGCAGGTTTCATTGACCGTGACCGACACTCAGATCTCAGGCAAGAAGGACACTACGGCGGATGGCATGATTGATATGACAAAATCGGAAAATGAGGATGCCAGGAACAGCCCTCCAGAGAAGGACGGAAAGTGGGATTTTGAGACTCAGACTGCGCTCAAAGGTTGGTATCCGACACTCCGCAAAGCGATATGGCTCCTCAGCCGTATCTATCGCTTGGTTAATGTAAGTTCCATTAGGATCTACGTCTCCATTCAGTAATGGTGCTGACATATCCTCTTAGTCTACCGTTTTTGATGACCTAGCGCATCAGATCGTCCACCAAACCACCTTGTCCCTCCACAACGCTAGTATCATCATCTCTACCAAATCCACTCCAGCGGACGGGCAGCTATTTCTCATGAGCCATCTCCTCATCCTCAAACAGCAGATCGTCGCTTTCGATATTGAATACGTTGCTCCTGAGGTCTCACTTGATTTCTCTGGCGTGACTAGTACGTTCTTCGAGCTTCGTGAACGTGGTGGGCTTTTTAACCCACGAAATCTCATGCGCCTTGTCGGACACGGCCTGTTACCACGGGTAGTGGAGAACATGCTCGACGCTAAAGTTGAGCTTGACGGCCGTCTGCGAACCGTCATCAATGATTTCGTCAACGCCTTTGCTGCTCGCATGACAGCTTCTCTACCGACTAAATTTGTTGACACGCGTAACCTGCAGCGGGGAGAGTTGATCTTTCCGTCCTGCCACACTATCGAGAAGGAAGTCCCTGCTCTGCGGAAGGTGCTGAATGCCTATATCGATGACACTCGCATGAAGGAGACTCTCGTGGGAGCCGTGCAAGACCGCACGATCCAGATCTACGAAGACTTCCTCGAAAAGTACAATGCTTCAGGCAAAGGCCAGCCAGTCAGCAAGAAAGGGAAGGGTCGCGATGATGCTGTTTGGGATGTTGATACATTCGCCGAGTGGTGCGAGGGTGTCTTCCGAGTTGGCGTTGCTGGGCTGCAGGCAGAACAGGGGGATGATGATGACGACGACCTGCTGAGTACTAGCTCATAGATTTTCTTTTGCACCTTTTTTTGGCGGTCCTTTCGGCCTCACACCTTGAGCATAGATACCACATGGCATGAGCATGATTCTGTACATTATTGCAATCGTCGATCGATTTCGGATCCATTCAACCTTGCAAGCATTCTGTAATGGCAGGCATATCATAGTGACTTGTACCTGGACACCTAAATTTTAGGGCTGTTTAACTAGGGCCCTTCATCATGCCTACTTGGTTTGAGTACTTGAACAAATGTCTACTTGAAAACTTCAGGCTGACACTAGATCGAATCCTCTGAACGTCAGTACCGAAACAATACTTTCTCTCACGACTCCATTGGAGCTTCACTCGTACGTCATCGACTGGGTTCAGTTCTCGCCCTCTGCGGCATCCATTCCTTCACATCCATTGTAATTTATGGCGTGATAAGCAACGTGAAACCCATCATCAGACAAACGGGGGGCATCATCAATCGGCTGCCATCTCTTTCCTCTTGTCAAATTACCAGCTACCAATAGGAAGACTATACTTCAGAGATTCAGCCAGCCGTCTACGTTTTGGATACGTGACTTTGAACCATCATACTTCTTGTCAGTGGAAACATATATCATAAGTTGACGAGGAAGGATTCTTTCAATTCTCTGTCCTTCGAGTGATCCCCGGCGGGATACTCTTTTTGCTCCACATACCAGCAAGGCCGGTATGGGTCCCTATCTACATATCATTCAAGTGCTAGCTGCCAATCTCTACTCTGCGCTCTAATACAGACCGTGCCTCGGCTCCAGATAGGGTCTCAATCCCTAGCTCTGCGAGGACAGCGCGGGCGCTGTCGTTATCCTTGAAAAGCCTCTTCTCCACGTCCCATAGTCCCAGCGAGACCCTTGATTCATTCGTAACTTCGTCAGTATGCTCGGTTGTCGTAAGTCCCAGGTTCAGAAGACAAAGCCCCTCGTTAAGCTTCTTCACAATATGAATGGAGCCCCCGGCGTGACCTGCGACCCCGAGATTCGTGTCAACAACAGTGCATAATTGCTCAATATCTCCGAGTAATTGGGCTGCCCCAGCAGCTGAAAATGTATGTCTGGTTAGAACATTATCCCATATGTAGTTCTGTACAGACACCAGAAGCTGGCGAGACACGCGCCGTAGCGGGGCTATGCCCAAGGCCTTGGACAGGAAGCCAAGCTGGGAAGAAATTAAACGAAGCGGATGCGCCAGCTCTGAGGATAGGGAGTGTGATGATGATGATGAGTTTGAAGGATTAGAAAGGGTCGCCCAGGTCGACAGGCGCGAGTAAGGCTTTAGGGCGGAAGTGATGTTTGAAGTAAGAGTGGAGGTAACGATAGATTCAGAGCGCAATCGGAGGCGGCGATACGCTGACGCCGTTTCATCAAAGAGTGCCCCGTCAATCCCACCGTGGTTGTTGACCGCTGGAGAAGTACGTGATGCAAGCTCGGCTATAGACATGTTGCCAGCAAGATTTTGACTGCCACGTTTCAGTCGGTCTTGGAGCTCAGCCCATAGCTCCACAAAGAAGATGTCGTTACTCCAATCTTCCATCTTTTTCTCAAGGTACTCTGCGCTTCCAAAAACCCTACATAGTCGCTCCAAGCCAGCAACACCTTCCACACTGGCCTGTCCGTCGGCGCCTTGGACAGTACGCCCCAGGTAGAGGTCATTGCAAGGTATGCTTCCAGGGCAGACTGTAGGCGTTCGTGAAATTGATCAAAAATGGTAATTTGAATGTCGATGAGGAAACGGAGCCTTTGACTGAAGGAGGAGAGTGGTTGATAGCGTTCGGTGATTGTCTCCAGGAGGTCGTTCACGCGAATGGCCGCTTTAGTGGGCTTGCTGGCCGTCAGCTCGACGCCATCATAATCAATATGACCACTGTCTGCCGTGTCTATGATGTCTTTGTATCGGGCCAAGGCAAAGTCTTTTTCGACTTGGAGCCATCGGTTATACCATCCTTGCTTGGTAAGAACCTCCCATGCCATGCCCTTCCAGTTTTCAGCAGAGAAAGGATCTGGGAGGTAATTCCATGTTTCACGAATTTCATTATCGAATTTCATAAGCTCGTGAATAAAATGGCTGAGGAGTTGAGGATGGTTAGAAATTTGCGGGAGGAAAGAATCGATCTTCTGCCGCAGCATGGGCAGCAGTGCATTAATGAAAGCATGAAGCGAGTTGCAAAAATTCCATTCGAGGCTCGGCCCCGCAGACTGCGCCTTCTCATCGAGAATAGGCTGAAGATACGAGGTGAAGAAGCCTCCAAATTGATTAATAAGATCCATGATATGCGATAAGAAATATTCAGGCTAGGGATGGCATTAGGGAATTGTTTCAAGCAATATAGTTCACAATAAGCTTACCTTGTCAAGTTTATTGGTTGGCTTATCCCCGCTGAAGTGATATTTGAACCGAAGATCCAAAGGATGCACCATGACCTCTAATGGAAATAGGACCGGTGGCTCGGGCACTTGGCTACCAGTCAAGGCGTCGTGTATCGGAAGTTCTCTGCCAAAATGTCAGCGTAATGAGGTTCAAGTTGGTTGCAACAGCATGCATACGGTATTTGTAGCTCAATCAAAAGCTCCACATCCTGTTTCCACTGTGCCAGCAAACTGTCCGTGATGTTCAACTGTCTCGTCGGCCATTTCAACGATTCCAATGTCTGCTCAAGATTACCACCAAAGATTTTCCTCAGTTCCTCCCTTAATGCAAACGCGAGTTTCTCGGTGTAGTCGACGAGGTGAGGAGCGGCACCTTCAGCGGCGGGCTGAGCTTCTTTGAGCAACAGTGCGATATTGCGAAGGCGGGAGTAAGGTACTAATGCATCGCGAGGGCTCAATTGAATCTTCGTAATGGCTTCCTTGCTATTTCAAATCGTTCAGCATCCTGCAGTTTGGACAGAGAGGCTCGTTTGTAAGTACCTCAGTTCCTCCGCTTCCTTTAGCAGTGCCACGTAGCCCTTGGATATCTCCAACCGTTGCAACCTCTCCATACTATTTTCTAATCGACGAACGGCTTCATCGCTAGTTTCTGACTGTGTGATAGTCTTTAGTCGTTGATCGATATCCGCTTGCTCCATCATGAAAGCCTCGGCACGTCTGCGCGTAGCTTCCGCATGGTCGTCAGATGCCTTCGTGGCGTTTGATAGTGCATCTTGTGCTTCTGCTAGCTAATACCGCACTGTTAGAATCCAGCCATTCCGTCTTTGGGATTGTCGGCGAGGGGCCCTGTACCTGCTTGCGCTGGAGATCTTGCTGGGAACGAACACTGGACAGCAGGGAGTCCAGACTTTCCAGGTCTGCACAGACCTGAATTTTGTCATTCAGGTAGTCTTCCACTCGCGTCCGCTCGTGCGATGAGAGCGACGAGAGCGACGTGAACGGCGCCATTGTTGTGGAGGGGAAAACCAATGCGGAAGCGCAACTGTGTCGCCGATGATCTCCGCCTTTTCGGACTGACGTCTGGCCTCCGCAACCAACAGCTCCTGTGGCAACATGCACAGCTCCCTTTTACATAACCCTGCTTTGGAACATGTCTAGCCCTGCTAAAAAGCGCAAGCGAAATGGCGCTGAAGCTTCTCCTCAAAAAACTCGCAGCATAGCGTCCTTCTTCCAAGGGCAACCGAAGCAGGCGCCGAAGATCAGCCCGGGGCTTGAGCCTGGGCCCAAACCCGAGATCACAGAGCAAACGCTGTCGGATGAAGCTTTAGCGCGCAAACTCCAGGCCGAATGGGATCAAGAGGATCATGCACAGCCATCTAGTGCAAATGATCCCAATGATGCTTTGTGTAAACCAGAACCAGAGACAGCGCCTTCAGCTCCAGCGCCCACCGAGATAGCTCAAGACACACCAGTGGCACCTAAGAAGAACACATTATCACTCCAGTCATCGTCAGGTACAGAGGATACAGTTTCACTTTCAGTGCCTTTTGATCAAAATCCACAGACATTTGATGTCCACAAATATGCATCTGAGCTGCGACCGCACTGGGCAGCTGAGGGCGGCGATGCTACCTATGCGTTGATCACTAGAGCATTTGTCCTCGCCAATGCAACGACCAGCCGTATAAAAATCGTCGATACGTTGGTGAATTTCCTCCGGGTTTTGATTGAAGGGGACCCGGACAGCCTTCTTCCTGCAGTGTGGCTAGCAACGAACTCGACAGCGCCGCCTTATGAGGAATTAGAGCTGGGTCTAGGAGGTTCATCAATATCAAAGGCACTCAAAAAGATCTATGGCTTGGATAATCAAGGGCTGAAGGCCCTCTACGACCGACACGGTGATGCAGGCGATGTTGCGTTCGAAGCCAAGAAACGCCAGGCATTCACGTTAATCAAGCCAAAGCCGCTCAAGATAAAGGGTGTTTATCAATCACTCTTGAAAATCGCCACAAGTAAAGGCCCAGGCAGCCAAGAAACAAAACAGCGAATTGTCGAGAAGCTTTTGCAGGATACTCGTGGTGCCGAGGAGAGCCGTTACATTGTGCGAACTCTCGTGCAAAATCTGCGGATCGGTGCTGTGAAAACTACAATGCTCATTGCCCTTGCACGCGCCTTCTTGTATTCCAAGCCGAGCGGAGCGGAATTTTCGGTACGATCGCCGTTCGACCTAGGGCGACTGAAGAAAGACGAACTTTCTGAGATGTATTCTAATGCGGAGGAAATCGTCAAAGCGTCTTACGCTAGACATCCCAGCTACAGTGACCTTGTTCCATGTCTTCTCGAGATTGGAGTTACAGAAGAACTACTCATTCGATGCGGCTTGCAGTTGCATGTCCCACTGAGGCCTATGCTGGGAAGCATCACTCGCGATCTATCAGACATGTTGACCAAGTTGCAAGGACGTGATTTCAGCTGCGAGTATAAATACGATGGCCAGCGCGCTCAAGTGCACTGTGATGAACGAGGGAAAGTATCGATTTTTTCTCGTCACCTTGAACTAATGACGGAGAAGTATCCTGACCTTGTTTCCCTCGTCCCTCAGATTCGAGGAGAGGGTGTATCGAGCTTTATACTGGAGGGCGAAGTGGTGGCCGTAGAGCGAGATACAGGCAACCTCCAGCCTTTCCAAACTCTGACCAACCGCGCAAAGAAGAACGTCGAAATCGGAGCAATCACTGTCAACGTCTGCCTCTTTTCATTTGATTTGATGTACCTCAATGGAGAACCACTACTGGACCGCTCGTTCCGTGAGCGGCGAGAGTTGCTCCGGAGCCTGTTTGTCGAGATTCCAAACCAGTTTACTTGGGTAAAGAGTATCGATGCGACATCGGCAGATTCCGAGACCGTGTTGGAGTTCTTCAAAAGTGCTACAGAAGTCAAGTGCGAAGGCATCATGGTCAAAGTTCTGGATAATAGCATCAAACAGCCTCAAGAAAAAGCAGAAGAAGCAGCCTCACTCCAGAGTGAAAATATCCAACTGGAGGCCGAAGAAAGCGAGCCTACAGAGGTATCAGCTGATACCAAACCCAACAAAGACAAAGGCACCCGACGGAAAGCACTTTTATCCACCTACGAGCCTGACAAGCGACTCGAGTCATGGCTGAAAGTAAAGAAAGACTACAGCACTTCTTCCGAAACGTTAGACCTTATTCCAGTCGCAGGCTGGCACGGCCAGGGCCGCAAAGCAAAATGGTGGTCGCCCATTCTATTAGCAGTACGGAACCCCGAGTCTGGAGCTTTGGAAGCCGTCACGAAGTGCATGTCAGGGTTCACGGATAAGTTTTACCAGTCCAATAAGGACAAATACGCCGAAGGTAGCGTGAACGTCATCTCGCGCCCCAGCTATGTCGAGTATTATGGGGAACCAGACATCTGGTTCGAACCTCAAGAAGTTTGGGAGATGGCGTTTGCCGACATCACGCTCAGTCCGACCTATCCAGCTGCAATTGGACTGGTGAGTGAGGAACGTGGTTTAAGTCTCCGATTCCCTCGGTTCCTCAGGGTGCGGGAAGACAAGTCGATCGATGAAGCCACCAGTTCTGATTACTTGGCTCTACTGTGGAGGAAGCAGGCGGAGCGAGCGCAGGTCGATAAGCAACAAGCTCCTGCTGAAAAAGATGGTCAATTGGGATGGCAAGACGACTAGGTCATCTTGAAGCTGTTAGTGTCGGACATACGAAGACCCAATACTATGTAATCCTCATGATATGATCGAAAATACTGCTGACCAACTTCGACGATTTGAAATATCCATTGCTTAGAGCCTTCAGTGTTTCCCAAAACAGGCCCTAAGGCAATCCCAACTTGGAAACAGAGTCGCACACTCACGTACCGGTAGTGACCGAGCCTCTTTGAACGTCGGCCGAGCCTGTAAGCCCAACTTGGATGACTTGAGCTAGCATACATCATTTATAAGACTCAATTTTCCCTAGGGCTTCTTCCCTTGCTTCAAGTCTTCGCTGAACTTCATGCACTCTTTGCTCGCGCACTTATTTACATTATGTTGTCTTTACTGGCTACCTATGACGAGGATGAAATATACTGAAGACGGGCAGATGAGCACAACCACTGAGTATGTCATGGTAGCTTTGATTACAATCTACAACACTAACTATTCTTCTAGCAAGCTCCGGAAAATGCATCGTTCGCTGGGCGTGATCGAACTCGCCGTCGACCCTGCTACGTACACCGTCTTGAAGACGCTGATCTCAATCCACTCAAACTTTTTCAAGTCAATATTCCAGCACAATCTTACAGAAGCACAGTATAACGCTATTATGCTCGAACGCATCGATTAATGGTCAGATATGTTGTCGTCAATGAATCTCATGTTATTCTTGAGATGGATACATGAGGAACGACTTGATTTTGAAGATCCGGAGGCCATGGACACCACAAGTCAACACCACGTCTTATTTTTGATTTGTCTCTTCGGGCTTGCCGAATACCTCTCAGCCGGTGGTTTGATCGATGCCCTTCGATCCTTGAATCGAAGATAAAATTTTAGCATGGCGCTGCTACTGACACACACGTCGATGTAAAGCGCGGTTTTCTTACCGGGGAACATATCATATCTGCGATAACCCTCCGTTGCAGTAATCCTGTGTGCAGGACCGTTACAGTAGTATCACTCAAGACATCCCTTGTGGACCTTTGGGCGCATAGTCGCACGTTGGTACGGAAAGTCCCTTTCGTATACGCATGTCACGGTGTCACAATAAAGGTGAGGGGCTATTGACGTATTGTCTTGAGTTATAAGGGCAGAGGACAGAGGGCGACTTTAAGCTATCAACTTGAAAGTGAAGGAGTTCTGTCATACCGGGTAACACGTGTGGGTGTGTTCGGGTTAATCGGGTCTAGTACGCGATTGATCTAGTATTTGTACATAGTGATGAATAGATATTGAATAGCAGGGGTCGATCAGGCGGGCTACGTATGGTCTCAGTAAGGGGAGAATCAATGGTTCGTTAAAGTACTGCAATTCTTATATTATCAAGTAAATGGGTAGCGTACTGAGATGCAATGGGGAAGTCGTGAGGCATAATCTTCTACATACAAAGAGGAATCGTTCAGCCGTCATAGGGGGAATCAAACAGGTAAAAGAGATAGAATAACGGTTCAGGGACGCAATTCCCCGCCCAGTTGCAAAGCCAGTCCCTCCTCCTTTACGCGGATATGAGGCGAGCTGCTTGGAGGAACCAGGTTATCAAAGTTGAGGCGCTTGCGGGTCGCAGTAAGCGGTGTGCGAGAAGGATTGCCAGGCGTCCGGCTGTTCCAGCCAGGCTGCGCTGGACTGGGAGTCACATTCACAAAATCAGCAAAATTGAATTGCTGACCTGGAGTGCCTAGGCCGGGCGTCATTTGTAACAAGCCACCGTGCTGGCTAGGAGGAGTGGAGGGCGGAACGAGGTGTGCATGAGAGCCACTTGCCACACGAGCTGGAGTGGGCGAGTTGGCGAGGTAGAGAAGGAGGTCTGCGTCGTCCTCATTTTCGGTGGGTCGATCTGGCCGAGCCAAACGTACATGCTTAGGTGGTGGAGTCCGAGGGGGGCGAGGAGCCAACCATGGAGCTCAAGCCTCGAAAGCTATGTAGGGGAAGATCGGGGTCATTGTCTTCATCGATCACTGCACCCCGGTAAACCGGAGACGATAGCTCGGGAATTGGCGCTTCGGACATAAAGGGGGCTTGGATGCGGCGGTAGGTCGTGTGACGGTTGACAGCCGGGGAGGATTGTGGTAATTGGTGGGAGCTCTTCCATGAAACTCGAGGTGCCTTAGTTGGACGTTCAGAGCCAGAGTCTGCCCGGAGGCGCTTGCGACTTGCAGACAGCATGGGCTGCATGGCATTGGAGTCAAAGGTGACTGCATGCTTGTTTCGGGCGGATCGAGGCAGCTCGTTGGAATAGGTCGAGCCTTGACCAAAGGCAGGAGGTGAGGTTATTGGAGTCTCGCAGCGGCTGCGAGAGACGTTGGAGGATGAATCGGAAGGCTTGTCGGTGTCGACAACAGCGGCATCGGGCTTCTGCAAGGTCAAGTTCAGGCCTTGCAGCTGGCCATGTTCATACTTAAGTTTTGCTAGACCCAGACGGTCCTGCAGACTCAGGGAGACCTGGGGCACATACAAAGATCTCTGGTTAGCTAGGGACATACTGTGAAGAATCTATGTATCTGTTCATGCTGTCCAGATAGAGATTGGAGATCCCTGATATCAAGAAATGCCATCTCGGCGGGTCCCATATCGTAGGGGATTTTTTTTTTTCCCGGGTAATGAGAGGGATTGCTGGCTTACCTGGGCAATATCTATCTTTTGAGAGGCCCTCTCTGCTGAACCAGGCTGGGGCACGGTCATGATGGGCATGTCATGTAGGAAAACAAGGACCAGAGGAGGACAACTGGAGGAGGAGGGACTCCGTTGCAGGTTTGAGGCAAGGGCGGCTGGGAAGGGAGCCAATTGGGCGATCGGCGATGGAGCCGAGCACGCTAGTCGGATATTTGGGGAATTGAAGATATGATGAAATGGAATCTATGAAGGATTTCCAAGAGAACTATATGCTAGTCAAAGAATGTATCGATGAACGAAGCCCAAGTCAAATGGGTTGGGGTTACAGAGACGAGTGCAGGTTCTGTTGTGGCAGAGCTGAAGTGCAGTAAGACGCGTCCCGCGCACTTTACGCGAAAGCGTGTCCCGCCCATTCCAGGGAACTGGAACAAATCGAGTCCCGTTCGACGCATTACTGCTTCCCCCTTTCTCAACGACTCATATTTTGGGGATAGTTTAGATAGCTGCCAAGTTCATTCTGTTCATGCCATGTCGTAGAAAAAGGGGCGAAGAAATTGGGTAATTATGGATCTATTCAGCTCCGGCCTCCACTTTGAAGTCACTAGAGTTACTAGTTACGAGGTACAGGACACACGCGCCTTAAGTTTGCAACCCCGTACCACCGCCTGGAGTTCCGCCTGCCTAGGACAGTATCGTGATACCCCCGGCCAAGCGGCCTTTCGCATTTTGGACGGGCAGAACTGCTAGCAGAAACACGCAGTGATCAGTGCTGGTCAGAAACTTAAAGACGGCTGGGCTACAGATTCTTGCCAAAGTGGGCCGTGGCTTCCACAGAAACGATCTGGCATGCCTCTCAAGATTCCGATCTGCCAAATTCCTCCCCCTGGGATCGGTCGATACTGTTCGGAAGAGCTTGCAGTGTGCCATGTTATACTCCGTACGGTTTGCTCGACTACACCAGAGACCTGGCTAATTCTGGCAAGGAGCTGACAGCTCTGGCACCTCCGGATATCTTATCCCCCGCTGCTAAGGCTCGGGGCACCCTCGGTTCGCAGCTTCAGTTCAGGGTTCCAGCTGACACGGACCTGAATATTTCGAATGATTCTGGACCAATTGATATCCGGACACCTCGAATTGCAGAGAGGCGGCTAATGAACCAACCCGAAGATCACCCAGCGTCCCTTTGCGGCTCTTGAATAGTAATGACATGGTAGGTGGATTATCTCCTGCGACCGAGGATTGGGGGCTAGGTGGAGACCATTTTTGTGCTCGTAATAGGCGGCAAGATTTGCGATTCCAGTTATATACCCATGGCGTAACGGGCCGTAGTGGGCTAGTGCAGCTTCCAGGGGCCCTCGTGCTGGCCATGTCGGTGCCCTGGAGCCGTGGGATTGTCCACGTCAGCTGTGTAGGGATGGACCCAAGGCGCAGTACATAGTTGTATACCAAGTGCTGCTTCTTCCCGGTTCTTGCATCAGGCCAAGTCACAACAGAACAAACTCGCGGCCGATCAAACAATGTCGCATAGCAACCATCTTGGAACCCTGAGCTCATCAAGGGGGCCACGCCACTACGCTGAGATCTTGTCCCGCATGTAGTTCGTAGACAGAGAGCACTGGCAGCAGTGGGGTCTCGCTCTCTTCACCTAGCCTAGGACCCTGGAATCGACCTCATGAGCGGGATTTCCCCAGTTATAACTTAAGGGTGCAGCGGTGGCCAACTTACGAACGGGCCTTTTGGATAGGAATGTGGTGCCTTAGCTTCTACGCTAGATCTCGACTAACAGCGTTAGGGCGATCATAAATGATCCACCGGTGAAACATTGCGACTCCTGGGGAGCGATAGCCCAGGGAGCCTTGGTTTGTCTTGAAAAGGCTGAGGGGCGTACGTAACCAATCTGCGCACGTTGAGTGGTTGGGCGCTGCTGCTAACAGCGCTAAGTATAGCCGGTAGTCTGTTGAAGATCCTGCTTTTGTCGTTGTTCCTTATTGATCGGGGTTAACGAGGAACTACATTATTCTCCTTTTTCCATTCTTCTCTGCCTGTGACCCCCCCTTCCGATCCCCTTTTCATCTTTCTTATGTTTCATCTTGTCTGAGGCAGCCTAGGAGCTTGGTTATTCATTCAGGTGTCCCTGAATTCATCATACTAATTTCTCCCTGTTCGGTTGTTGCGGGGTGCCTCCCAGCGGCGTCGTCACCCGCAAACGGTTGCGCTGTCCTTGTTTCTGAAAACCCGCGGCAGCTGCTACCCTTGGAGCAGAATTCGATCTGAGCTTTTGTCACTGGGTCTTTCTCCCGGCGAGAGACTCATCTTTGGCCAAAATCATCCCCTCGCGACGTAGCGCCATGCCGTTCCTCAAACAGCTTCGTCGCCGCTCCAAGGCCAGCTTTCATGGGTCTGATCCAAAATCCCCATCGACTAAGGTCGAAATGGTCGCCGCCAAGTCGTCATCCACCATCGACACCTCCTCTCACAGCTCCATTACCCCTCCTTCGTCTATCAAACCAACCCTTTCATCCCCCAATCTTCCTTCGCTGTCCGAAAGCAATGATTCTACCACGCCTATTCCTCCGCCCCCACAACGCCCGGGGCCTCTCGTGACCAATTCGCAGCGCAACAGTGTGATGGTATGTGCACCAATGCCGTTTTGATTTACGGCGGATTGCTGACTTGAGATCTTCTCCTGACAGGGCAGCTCCGCATCAATCAATGGTCTCTATCGAACCCCAACTCCCAGTTCGCCATATGCACCACGAATCGTATCGGTCGCTGACAATTCATGGGTATCGACACTCCGCGGAACAAGGTATTCGGAGGGTACATGCGCTAATCCTTTTGCTCTCTAGGTGCATCAAAAAGTTCTTCTCATCTATGGTCAGATTGGAGACCCCAGAAACCATCCGCTGGACGGCAATGTCACTGTTTTCCACCACCAAGATAACTTTCCGTCGATGGGCTGGCCTGTCACGGCCTCGCATTTCAAAGTCCTCGTTCACCTCTCCCCAGGTCCCAACCGACTTCGCTTCGACTTCATTTCACCCAAGCTTTCGGCCGGCACTTCCCCATCAGTCCACTCAGCGTGGATCTGCATCAACTATCTACCCTTAGTCAACTCTCCCCCCTTACAATTGGTGATTCTCCTTGGCAAGGATTCTGATGGCACGTTTGATGCTGTGCCGGAAAGAGTCGAGCGTGAAGGCAATGGGCTAGACGTTGCGATTCGGAAATATAAGACAGCTGCATACCTTTGGCAGGCTTTTACTGGCGAGCAAATGTTCCGCAACAGCCTCGGGCGACGATGCTTCCGCTACGAAGAAGAATGGCAACCCGGTACTCTGAGCCGCCGCGATGTAGCGACCGGGCAGATGCGCAACGAGGCAAAAATTCACATTGTCCGATCAGACAAAACTGTGGCAGAACTTCGAGATCTAAACCTTGCCCAGAAAAACAGCAGTGCTGCGAACAAGGACGAACTTTTCAACATCGCCAAGGAGGCTGTCAGGAACCATTTCAATGTCCTGCCTGGGCAAAAACAATACGTCTCCGTCCTCTTGCTGGATTCTCACTGGGACACAGACGCACAAACCATTACCGGCCACGCAGCACTGGGCTCCGCCGGTGACGATATCAAGATGGCAATTTTCGGATCTCATAGTTTACAGACCTATCCCTCATCCCTTGAGGAAGTCGTCGACGCGTTCTCGGATTGCACGCGGACAGACACCAACTACGTTGCCAACGACTGTGGGGAAGCTGGCTCAAACTGGGAGTCAGCTAATATTGGAATTGGCGCTCACCTACACGAGATTGGGCATTTGTTTGGCTGCCCGCACCAAGAATCAGGTATTATGCTGCGCGACTATGTGCACTTCAACCGTTCGTTCTTGACCAAGGAGCCTTTTTGCACTCGAACCAAGACTCAGGGTTTGAAGATATGTTTGCCGAATGACGAGTGCACCTGGCACCGACTAGATGCTCTTCGTTTCCGCTTCCACCCTTGTTTCCGCCTTCCAGCAGATGCTCCTGTTCCGTCAGACGACAGTGTTCAGGTGTGGCCTGTGGAAAACGGCAAAATCCTCTTTACTGCCTCCTCGGGAGTCTCTTTCATGGAGATATATAAGGACGACGACGAATTCTGCCAAACCTTCATCGAATTTTTGAACACTGAATCGAGCGGTAATGGCCTTCCAAAGCAAGTGACAATCACCGAAAGTGAGCTTCGTCAAAGGGCGTTTGGGACTGAGAAGGAGAAGAAGGAGAAGAAGAAGAAACTTCGGCTAGCGGTCTTTTCTGGTGCGGGAGGAAGCTACAACATCGCGGACATCGGCATGTTGAAGTCGAAGAATTCCTTGGTCAAGCTCCCGAAAGGCCAGTCCGGCTACAAGAGTGGGCTGCTTGGACAATCCAATATGCCAGGAAGCGAGCCCCAGCAGCTGATTCTCGATTGCGCCTCTGTTCAGACCAAGCTTTTAACATCTATCAAAGTTTATCACGGCATGGCGTTAGATGGAATCGAGTTTTGCTATGAGGATTTGACCAGCCAACTCTTTGGAAAGCGCGGTGGAAAGCCTGGGGGTGATGAGTTCGTGTTGGGTGAGCGACCCCGGCCCTCTCCAAGTGAATGCCTCTAATTTCTATAGATATCCGGCGCGGTGAAATCTTGCTAGGGTTCTACGTCAGAGCTGGACTCTGGATCGAGGGGCTCGAAATCTTGACGAGCATGGGGAGAAAATCTGGTATTTATGGCAATGCCACGGGTGGATCGGGGTAAGATACTCGGAATCTCTTATATGACCTGCATCTTGTGGGACTCGAAGCTAACTTCATCATTTCCGACAGCCACACTTTGATTCCACCCCTGGGATACAAGATTGCCGGCATCGCAGGGTCATCCGCAGAATGGGTTGATGGGTTCTCACTCATCGTTCAACATTGAAACGGCTAAGCCTACAGCGCCGTATAATCCACATACAATACATCTCCTGCCCCTGCGTTCAGTTCCCCATGCTTTGTTGTTCCTTCCATCCCTTTTTGTCATTGCATTCCGTGTCTTTGCACCTGCCTTTTTGGGAAACCGTACCAACCACACATCGGTCAGCACATATACACGAGGTTTTTTTCGGGCCTGGGCACCTTTTGGTTTGTTCATACATTACTGTTCATGCGGGTGGTGTTCCACAGGTGTTGAGGGCATTTATACTATGTACTATTCTTGTTCTTCATTTGGTGGCAGGTGTGGATTCCACGCGCCTCGCGTTCCATTAATGGCCCGGCAAAGGGATTGGACACCGAGGCATTTGCGCACAAGACATTCATACTCAGGTCGGTAGATGGAAAATAAATGCTACTTGAGCCAACGATCCATACACATGATGGGTGTACCAGCGTGTGTTGGGATTCCATGCCTCAGGGCTGTAGTTGATTAGACATGCTCCTAATGATCGCTTTCATCGCCACAATTCAATTGTGGCGCATGGGAGAGATCACCGAATCTACTCTACATGTACAGATAATATGGACCCGCTGGGGCTTGATTTATCTGGGGGCAATGACGTCCTCAATTTGATATCGCTCATTTGGGCTGAAGGACAATCGCTCGCAAGGCACTCTGGGTATGGAAAATGGGTTCCAGGCCCAAAGAACCTTTTTTTCGTCAATGCAGTTGGGCGAAATGCAACATATCCAGGTGGACTGTACATGTACAGAGTCCGCCGTCGCTGATTACATTCTCGTGAGGCAATCCATACAATCGTTGATGGACCCATCGTGCTTATCTACACAGTACACCGCAGCCAAAGGAAAAGGGACACGAACCAATAAGGCACATAAGAAGGGCCCCTAGACCCTGTGGGGTCGACGCAGGGCTTGCCGAAGTCTTCCGCAAGGACTGGAGCGAAAACGTACCCATTGATGCTCAAACCAAAGACGTTTTCCGATCGCCGACATCACTCAAGCCTCCTTTCCAGGCAACCCTTGTTGTAGGGAAAATTCTTCCGCGGGCCACTAGGCATACCCTAGACTCTGCGCTATCGATTTAAATCCCAATGTCCTTCACCGTGGCTCAGCACAAAGACATCGTACATCGTATGCGGGAGCACATCTGACTGGAATTCGCCACGCCTCCCGATTCTTCCATCAGCCATCATTGGCCAAGAGCTTCCGTCTGTCCCACCTTCCTCTCCCGCTTATACGGACAGCCCTGTGGAGATGACTAGAAGGTATTCCTTTGGAGACCCGCTGGGTCCCTAGGCTTGGCTGCGTTGATTGTTCGAACGCGATGTGGCGGTTCTCACGGCCTGAGCCACTTAGAAGCCTCAGTCCCCCGTCCACTGTGGCAAAGAGTTTCACACCTCCGCGGTATTGTAGGAGAGCGGAAAAGGCAGCCGCTCCCCCGGACAGGGTTCAAGCCACACGTTACGCCCCTGCGGTCAAAGCCTAGGCGATCGTTGGCCATTTTTGGATACACGGTGAAGCGGTGCGAGCATAGCGTGAGCGCACCCATTTCTTCATGCCCCGTCTGTCCAGTTGGGATCGTATCGAGAAGCAAAACAGTCTCATAGGTATTTGTTTTTGACCCAAAAAGAAGGCGGTAGTCCCCCATACCACCTCCTCCGCAAGGGAGTGACGTAGTGGAGTGCCCACGATATACCGGAGCTCCCGCGCATTTACAATTCGACCTCGCCAATTCATGACATCAGTGCATACACAAACCCCAAGTACAACGCGATCCCCAACCGCGCGTCGGGGTATAAGCAAATCGTTTGTACTGCAAGGATAGCCGTGTCCAACGCGGGCGATCGGCAATTCCGGCACCATTGCTGGTCCTCCATTGGTGATCGATATACCAGACTTTTGGTGTTTTTCTTTTTCTTTTTTTTTTTTTTTTGGGAGTATATGGCGCCACTATATCCACAATGTTGCGCGCCCGAAGGTTGGAGGAATTGAATGTCGCTGACTCGTGGACCGAGCACCGCTAATCTCCACAACATTCTAGCCGAGAGTACATAGACCTTCCCCAGCAATGGATGTTATGAAGTACCCTCACAGCCATGTTTGATTACCTCTTCAGACCATTCGCCACCTTTACCAGATCATTTACTGCCGTACAATTCCGGTGCCTAGAACGCGTTCCAACGCGAAGGGGATTCTGCTATTAGCAGGCATTGAGTTCGACTCTGATGCCAGCACCTCTTGTCTCGAAATTTCGATCGAGCGAGTAGCGCCAGCGACCCTCGTGATATTCGTCGCCCAACTACAAAGCTATGCTTTTTAATTCTGACTAAGTAGTATTCAGCATTATGCTCCCAAAGAACCGTGTAACCCGCGAACGAACCCTGAGATATCGAGACTGTGCTGGCCGTCACGGATACAAATCGGGAGCTATGCTTCTCATTTGATAGCCTAGGTGAGATCTGATTGGTTGGCTAGCTCGTCCGTCGGTATAGCTACGAATGAACAAGGGCGTATCCCCACCGGCTGGTACTCCACTACGTCGCTTCTGTATGTACTAGTGAAGTTGATGCGTGTTACTTCATAGTTGCCCGGAAGGATAGTGGACGTCAGTGCTTTAACCAAAATACTGTACAGCGTCAATTCTGAATATTGACGTTCAGATGGATATCCGGCACATCGATCGCCCCACTTACATTCGATATCCACTTCTATCAAGAGATGTACCGACATATGAAATCCCAATATTATATTCCAGTCGCCCTGACAGCTACTCACGGCCGGATTACTTCCCGTATACGTGGTGAAATTGCCAAGCAGGACGGATGCGCTTACGGAACTCCTCAAATAAATCTAGGGCACAATGGGGCCTAAAAATTTACTAGGGTGCGCGCCCCCATGCTTTCCCGCAACAACCGTGCTGTGGACACAAAGTACCACTAGGTGAAAGGGTTGGAAGCCCTGAGAATCGCTTCCTCTTCGGGAAGCCCGATCTCTTTCCACGTTTGTGTCGGGCCTGCCTACTTGGCCAATTAGATTTGTCGTGCTTGAGTCATGCATCTTCCTTTGGTCCTTTGGTGTAAGAAGCTCAGGTCATGAGGACCCATAAACTCGGTGACGCCGGCTAGAATATAGCAGACAAATCCATCCTCGATGATCGATATTCATATCTATCATACACAGCGACAAGAGAAATGTGCAGATGCAAAGCATTCTGGTATCGATACCCGTCTTCGGCACTTGCCCGAGCCGAGTAGCGGCAGAAGCGACGATCTGATTGGCGGGAAGCTCTCCGGTCAATCAAGGGCCCGAAGACGGCACTCCACTCGTATTGTCAAGCGTAATACCGGTCCCACCGCAGCTGAGATCGTCGTTCATGGACGTACCACTCGATGCATAGGGCAGACGGTGAGATTCCTATACGCAGATTGAAACCCTTCATCGAAGCCCCCTTCATCGAAGGGCTTGCCACAGTATGGGGTGATTTTCTGATGCATATCCGGATATGGACCAAGTGGGAAGGGAAATGACATCCACGGTATCGCATTGGTCGGCTGTTCCAATACACCTGAGATATCCGGCTCATCGCAACGACATTCGTCTGGATAGGGGGAAAAAAATACATATCATTTCAAACTCTGCCCTTAAAAGGTACCTCTTGCCATGTACAGGAACCTCAGCAGAAGTGTTGTAGACGTTGCCCGGCGCACTCGCCTATCAAACGACGCAGAGCACGGCCACAACCCCCCTTTGATCCACGGAATGACACGAGCCACGTTCGACGAGAATCCTTTGGCCAAATGCAGCTGCCTGCGCTACATGCCGTTCATACCGCCCAGTGCGATCATGTGGTTGACTACGGAGTACCGTCTCCCAAAATGCAAATTGTGTGTAGATTGTTACTGTTCGCAGCGGACCGACGTCACTCATGCGCCCCCCCCCCCGCCACGGCCCTATCTTTTATGCTTCTCTTCTCCTATACGCGTTTTGTTCTTGAGGTTGGGGCGCTTTGGTCCTTTTCGTTAATAAATTACCTCCCGTGGGAAAAGATAGCTCTTGAGGGGAAGTAGCACAACGGTGCTGTAGGCCCGTGTGGGGAGGCCTCGGGAAAAATCCCAGGGATGTGGTAAGCGTTGTCGATTGCACGGGAAGGACTCCGGCTGGTGGATCGTGAGACTCCATATAATTGAAATTTTCGAATTTCAATGATATCACTAAATGGGGGGACTACGGGTGGTGGAAATGAAGACGGTTGGGCTCATAGGAGTTTCGGGGTCTCCTTGTGTTGCAGCTGAGAAATTCCATGTAACAGGAGGGGTTCCTGAATGAGCCCGTACCAAACACCGATCGTCCCGTACAGCGTACATGGTAATATTACCAATTATGTGTCTTCCCCCCCACCCTCATTAGGAATTTCTCGCCTTTTCTTTTCTTTTCTCCTTCTGGACCTTCCCCACTGAATCTTCCCTTGGGTCTGATTTCCACTCCCTGTCGATTCTCCAGTTATTTTCTCCTCTTCCCCCTTCTCGTGCCAATCAGTGGCATTCTTTTGAAGTACACACGGATTTTTTTTTTTTCGATTTTTTTTTCTTTTCCCTTTTACCCTTTTTTTCCTTCTTCTTACTTCTACGGAGTAGAGAACGTAGAAGTCTGGTCCCATCCAGTACATATTCCCGTGCTCCATTCAGAGGGGGAAAAAGAAAGTTAAAAATAGCAACTTTACGGTTCACGACGACCCCTGGTCGCTATCAGTGGCAAGGCATCACTTAAACTTCCGAGGCTGTTCATACATACTACATCTTCTCCAGAGAATTGGCACTCTCTGACTGGCCTGAGAAAACGTCAGGGCGAAGATCTGTATGACGATTGGATTCCTAGAACTTTTCGATGATCATTCTCTGTCCTTCTTACTATATCGACCACCTTCACCCCTCCTTCGACCCCTCGCCGCCGAACATTTTTCCTTTCGACTAAATATAAGGGGCCAGTCGCATCCACCGCGCACCTAGTGGAGTTATTCCCCTTTTTGCCAGAACGATTATTCGAACGCCTATCCCCCCTCTCAAAGAGGAAAACGTGATCCAAGGCCCGCCGTCCTCTCCGCTTTTTTCCTTTTCCCCAAGAGGCTCTCGCATCACACTATTTGGCCTCAAAAACTCCGCTCTCTCAGGCTTTCCTTTCCGATCCCTTCCCACCTCTTACCTCCACACCTTCCTTCCCCCCTCCCCGTCCGATCTGGTCTTTGCAGAATCGAATCTGACCACCTCGGACACCAAGCTCGCCCTCTAATTTCCAAAGAAAAGAATTGTTCCGTATCTTGTGCCGGGAGCGAAAAGAAGCCAGGAACGCCGGATCGGGGAGCTACCCACGCAGACGGTTCCTCACTGATCCTTGCGGGTTTGACCGCGCGACAGATGTTGCACCTATAACGATCTAATTTTCTGTTCCCTTAACCGCCACATTAACGCATCTTCGGATGCTCAGAGCCCCTGTACATCCATCCTCAATGTTCCGCAACCGGTGAGTTGTCCCCCTCGGAAGATCGTGAATGCCCAATACCGCCGATTCGCTAACAAGCACCCTCCCCTTCCATGCAGCAATAACACACAGAAGCCTGATGATGATTTCATCAGCCGCTTCCAGAAAACATTTTCCGATGTCGTTCCACGTCGAGACAGCGATGGCAACCCGGTCGATAGCCCAGCCTACGATGCCCGCGAAGGCAACATGGCCCACGGCCCGTTCCATTTACAAAGCCATGAGATAAAGATGGAGGATGCCAACTTGAAGTTTCCTCAAGATCGTACTCCTCGAAATCTGCACGATCTGGACTTTTCACCGTCATGGATGGATCCCCACGGAAACATGAACATGATGTCCCTAGCCGCCCAGCATCCCGGTTTCTATACGCCTAATTCCGCCGGCATGGGCACGATCTTCCACAGCCAAGCGGGTGATCTGCATACACCGACTCTCGGAATACACACTATGCATACCATGACCCCCCCTCTCTCTACACAACCAAATGGCCAGCACTCTTCCTCACTCCGGCATCAACACTTTCAATCAACCCTACCTTGCGGAACAGATGCCCGATATGACCAACCCGTTCATGCAGCAAGCGTCGTATGCGCCGAGCGCATTCATACAGCAAGAACCGGAGAGTTTCGACATGATGGATGACTCAGTAGATGGTTCATCGATCGACGGGCTCGCCGACCAGTCTTCCAATGTTTCTCGCATGTCCATTGACCCTTCTGTGTCGCACCCGCCTTATGCGCAAGGTGAAAAGTGTGTACTCGTCTTATCCCCTCAGATGAATGACATAGCTAACCGGTTTCTAGCTTTCGTTATAACGTCTCCCTCCGCGCCCCGACTGCAATGGTTAGGCACAAGCGGGAGGTCCCAGTGTCCTATCTTAATAAGGGTCAAGCATATAATTTAACAGTTGTGGATTCGACTCCGCCTATGGTTAGTACCGAGCCTATTCAATACCGCACTTTCGTCCGCGTTTCGTTCGAGGAGGAAGAGCAACGACAGAAGCCGGCGGCTTGTTGGCAATTATGGAAAGAAGGCCGCGGTATGAATGAGGCGCATCACCGCGGAGGCAAGCTTCTGGCTGTGGAATACGTGGATCCGGCTCCCCAAGCGGCGGACGAGAATAAACCACGTCAGATTCAGATTGAGCAGATGTCCTTTGATGGTTTCTGCGTCACTTGGACCGTGAACCCAACCAACGGCGCTTCCGAATGTACGATTCCCGTTCGATTCAACTTCCTATCCACCGATTTCAGTCACTCGAAGGGAGTCAAGGGCATCCCGGTGCGACTTTGCGCTAAGACGGAACTCCTTGTTCCCGGAGAAGAGGTCGGGACGTCCCGGGAGGCTGAGGTCTGCTACTGCAAGGTGAAGCTCTTCCGTGACCACGGCGCCGAGCGAAAGCTGTCCAACGATGTGGCGCACGTCAAAAAGTCTATTGAAAAATTAAAGCAGCAGATCAGTCAAGCGGAAATGGGTGGTGGTTTCGGCAAGCGCAAACGTGGTAGCAATTCTACGGCGAGCGTGAAGAGCGATCGATCGAAGCAGTCGAAGCACAAGCGCTCTTACTCAATATGTTCCGAAGACGGCGATAAAATGTCGCTCGAAGACGACCTACAAGCCAAACTCGCCATGATGCAGGACATGTTCTCCTCAACCCAAAATATGAGCATTCTCGCCCTTCGTGGTGATGAGGAGGATGACCCCGATCTCTACCCTGTTCGACTCCCCGAAGGTGAATACAAGCCCGACACATTCGCTTCACAGTCTCTGGAGTCTTTGATCTCCCCGACTACCAGCAACCCGTCCACCAGCTCGTTCTCCTCGCGCATGCGATCATCGAAGGGCAAGCCATCAACAGTCCCAAGACTTAGCAGTGGGGATCGAGTTTCTCAAGGGTTTATCGAGGCTGTGGACATTGACCCGACCTACCGTCCCCTGCGGAGCGACCTCCTAAGCCGAGTAAGTGGACCTGAACCCTCCAGATCCTGCTTTGATTGTGCATTTTTTTTTTCTAATTCATGCCCACAGTTGCTTGCTTCTATGTCCGCTTCCAAGGGAACGAACAGCATCCCGAAGATTACTATCGCGCGATCTATTTAACCGAGCGCACCGTACGCGACCTGATGAAGAAGATCTCCGAGAAGCATCACATCGACCCACAACGGATCGTTCGCATTCTGCACGTCAACGAGGATGGTCTCCGCATCATGGTCGATGATGACGTAGTCCGCGAACTTCCAGAGGGCCAGGACATGGTTGCCGACATATACGAGTCGTCCGAGAATGGCAACTCTGGCGCTCCTATGGAGATCAAATTAACATATTAGCTATAACACCTCGCCATCGCACAGCACCTAGCACCTTCCCGCCTCCTCCGATCATAGATTTCGTCCGTCTTCCCTCTTCCAGAACGACTCCTTGTCCACCCTCAATCTATGTGTGTCCTTGGGTTGCCGGCCTGTGTTCCGGTGCCATTGGGAGTTCTAGGTGGGCCGCGGTTGCAACCAGTGTTACAACTCGGTACTTCTCGGCGATTTTCTCGAGTTGTACCGTACTCTGGTTTTATTTTATTATTTGAATCTTAAGCCTTTTCTCTTGTCCTGTTCTGTTATCGGTCGTTTTCGCGTCATTGGGCCGGCGGTGATCAGTCATTTCAGGGGCGTTGGATACGGGGACTATACACGAATCCTCGAGCAATGATACCCTGTTCCTCTACATTATGATGATTTTTTTCTGTTTTTTTTTCTTCCCTTTTCTTTTTCCCTTTTCTTCCATTTCCCTTACTCTTTTCTGTCTGCTGAACGGTGTTGGCTGAACCCACGACGGTATATGAAGTCGACTGGGCGCGGGCGGGAGCCGTTGATATACACATTTTCATTATCTCATTTCTTTTTTATCTTCCATTGTGCGTGGGATGAAGCACACGATGTTGATACCCCGAGTCTCCCTTTCTCGATTCCGTTCTTTTTATCTTGTGGCTTGTTGAGCGGCTGGCTTTGATGCTTACTTTGTTCATGGGCGCATGTATATGGACGTTAGGGACTCGGGAACTTTGATACAGACTAATCACAAGTAACGTGGTAGTAAAGCAGATATGTTATGCATAGGTACAGAATACGATTGCCTAAGCTGAGAGCGATTTTGTGCATCCTCGTACATGCAGTAAACACTTTCTAGTCTTGGCGTTGTAAGTGGCTTGGGAGGCTCAAAAAAAAACCATAGTTGGAGTTTCAATCCATAAGAAGCCAGGCAGGCTCTATTTCCATGGTCCGCGCCGCCAGTGTGAACTCCTACGGTCTAGCCCTAATCTGAAAGACTTGTCTGGCATCGTCCGCTTGGCTGCGGAGTCTTTTTTTTTTCCCTTTTTTTCCCTTCTCTTTTTTTACGATAGTCGAGTATTAGCACTACTTTTGCCACAAATAATGCCCGAATTTGGGCAAAGGCGTTCGAGGTGGCCCGAAGGTTGTACAATCTCCACTCCTGGGGCCGGTCCCAGCGACCAGGTAAATCCGATTGTCAAAGAGGGATCTCCGGCCACGGACATGGCCCGAGCAATCCCACGGTCTGGATGGCCTCATCTTACCTAAAGCAGAAGGTGGAGTCTGGGAGTATACAAGCGGTACAATACTATTGGTTCCCTGCCCGACTGCGCTTCCTCTCGGCCTCTCGTTGACGATGTCACTCGACAGGAAAACTTTTCCTTCTGAATGCGGCGACGACTCTGGTTCGTCCGTGGGTTGTTGCACTTTTTGCGTGCCGAAGGGAAAGGGCCGAGGTTTTTTTCGTCTTTTGTCAATTTTCCATCCTACTTTCTTTTTGACACATATCTCCGCGGACTGATCCTCTTCTCGTCCGATACTTATCTTATTTCGGCGAGGGATTGCGACGATTGACGTCTTCGGAATGACCCTGGCTCTCCAGACAAGACCCTCAAGGGGGGGCACTATGCACTGTAGACTGTACTTTTGTTGCTCTCTCTCCTCCAATGTGTGGAATGCGCCACGGTCTAGATGCCCGGCCTCGAGGGGAGCAATGAATAACCTGATACGCTGACGGTGTATTGACCAGTTGCAGACGTAAACATGGAGCGCAAACGAGGTGTGCATACTTGCTCCCCCAAGCCCTCCACAAGGAGCTGTCACTCCGTCACGCTTACTGGCTGGAATGCGTACCGGGGTATCCTATGACGTCAGCCAACTCAAGCCCCGCTGTAATCGCGTTCGCTAGTAAGATTTCTCCATTCTCCAGCGGCTATCGATCATCTCCCCGACGAGCCAATCGGCCTGGTCGAGACTCGATTCAATACACAGACTAGCACTGTGCATCCGTTCCTGCAGATCTCCGCTATCTCAAACGGCCCGGTTGTTCTGTCCGTCCAACCATCGAGAGGATGAAGTCATGGGCAATCCCTTTTTACCCCTCTCATGCCCACGATCAGCGTGGAGTACACGAGGAAGCCAAATTGTGTCATGAGGGGAAAGGTACACAAAGAAAAGTGCCTCCAATTTTGTGGCTGTGGCATCGACTCGGTAAGGCGGTGACCCCTCAGTGTCCGCTTTGGATTACCAGTACAGTACGCGTACGGTATGTATTTAGCACCTGAATGGGGGAGCTTGAAAATATCGTAATTATGTATTTTAGGTAATTGCTTTGCGAAGCACGATGGGGGCACAGATCACATTGAATGCGTTGGGACTCCAATGCACACTAGGCCACGTCGCTTACTGGCGCCAGATCGCGAAACTGCCACGGCTGAACTGAAATCTAGAACCACCGGATGACGTTTGTCTACTTGCAGCCCGAGGCACTACTGCGGACTAGTACTCTACCGTCCCCATCATATCTGCGCCAAGACTACTTGCGTTTAATTTGACGTGAGAAAATTAATGTACACACGGATATTCCATGGGAAGGGGAGAACTGGTATTTACATACAGAACTGCCCCGAGCACGAACTGTGCAGAATTTATCGGTCAGGAGTAACAATGTAAATGCCAAATGTCAATAAAACAGGTTGAAGCCTCGGTGAGGATCCAAGGAAGTATCGGATCATGCAGAAGGTTTGGGTATCTCAGGGGAGGGGGAACGGATATGGTATGAAGATTCCAGCTCGAGAAGATGATAAAGTGTCCCTGATGGGGGGGGAGAAGAGGAAAAAAAGGGGGAAGCCGACATGGTTGCTCATACTTCGACTTCGGTGCCGAGCGACTCGATCTTTTTATTCAATGCACAAATCTGGCATCCGTCGCCGATCTTGTCGCGGAGAAGTCGCGCGGTTGTCACCTTTGGGCCAACGGTACGAGAGGCGGTTGAGGAGAAGGGTTCGTCGACGGGAGATGATGGCCGGGGGGGTTCGGTCTCCGGGGCTACTTGTGTTGGACTGATGCTGCGATGCATCCGGATGCAAATGAGAGATATGAAAGACATGCCCGCATGCAAAGCCAATAAGGATCTCTCGCTCTAAGAAATGATAATGTTAGTCAGGTGCTCTAGCCTGGAGCGGTCGTAGGAATACACACCGTTGGTCTGGAAAGGAGAATGACAACCGCCGCATGTTCCTTGGCTTGGACTGGCCCGTTTAGTCGAGGCACTGGACTCTGAGGCGGTATCGGGCTGCGGCCTCGAGTGAGACACCGAGTCCACGCTTCTCTCCCCAGTGGCTACCTTGTCTTCAGCTATATTGAACTTAATGCCACGGCGCTGTCCCTTGCGAAGCGTATCCATTCCAAGAGCAACTTCACTTTGCATGATTCGTGCTGCTCCGTGGCTGATACTGGCTTGCAGATCGTGCTCCCGAATTAACCGTGTGAGGCCATCGCGAAGCCCTTCGATCTCGAGCCCACTTGGGATACGGCGAACAAGTTTGATTGGGTCGATGGCGGTCCCGGCTTCCACAAGAAGGCCATGAATGAACTTCGGCTTATCCATTGAGTAGTCGAGAAGATCCTCCCACAGATCTGGATCATCTTGCGACTTGGCAAAGGAGATGGCCTGCGAGACATCTTTGAGATCGGACAGAATCAGATTCAAGGCCCGCTTGGTCTGGCCCATCTTTGACAACAGATAGATCAGCTCAGGCGTGAAATGGCGCTGTTCGCAGATCTGTGTGGCCGTCTCAAACGTGTAGGATATGCTTGTTTGCAGGAATTCCATGAGGAGAGGCCGGTCATACTCTGCAAAGACTTCTACAGCGGTGTCGGCAAAAGGATCAAGCAAGGCTTTTCCTTCATCAGCGGCCAGCTTGCTCGCTGCATCCCGGGTATAGGCCCCGCGACCTCTTTGAGGCTTGGACTTCTGACGCGGAGAGGATTCGCCGCGCCAGAGCGCACGCAGATAGAAATAGAGAAAGAGGATGCGATTCGCCGAGCTCAGTTGCTGCACCACTCGCTCCGGGGGCACAATGCCTGTGTAGGCCTCACTTGCAAGCAGCTGGATTGGCTCGGCTGTCAGTTCCTCAAGCTCCGAGATTGGTGCTGATTTCATCCGCTCCTTGGATACACGTAGCATCACCAGGTCTGGGATATTATCAGACACTGCATCGACGAGATGATGTTCCTTAATCAAAGCCATTGCTGTATCAGCGTCTTGGAGCGTGACATAGCAACGGACAGCCTCTTGATAATGCCCACCAACGAGATACAGTTTGGCGAGACAAGCTGTCAAAACTCGCCAATCATCAGATCCGGTTTGGACTGAACTAGATTGAAGTTGGTTTTGGATCGTTGCGGTAACATTTTCCGGATCAAACAAGTCAGACGGCCACGAATCCACCAACTTTTTGAATCGCGTTAGGTCTCGCGAGACGTAGTGACTCAACACGTCTTCATAAATGCCACCCGGTAGCATGGCATGCAGGTCAGTCGGGATAAATGGTGTAATCTCATCATATTTTCCCTTGCCGATGAACACCTTTGCCCAGTGTTCCCAGCGGTTGGTATTGAAGATCACTTTGCCGCAGACTGCGGCGGCCTCGCTCCATTTATCGTCTCCAAGGAGCTGTTCAATCCAAAGTTCTCCGATTCGGGCCTTTTCCTGCTCCGCTGCGAGGAACTTTTCTCGCCCGGCTGTGGTTATTGATGATTGGTCGTCTGCGAAAAAGTCACCCAGGCTTGAATGAGGCCGTGAGGGCCCAGAAGATGCTTCATGGAGATCATGAGCTGAGCCCGCAGCCTCAGGGTGCTCATTCAGCAGGTTCCATGCTTCTTCGTATTCACCACGCGAGTCCAACCATGCCAGTCGGTCAGTGACATCTCGTTTCATAGCTACGACACAATCGAAGGGGCTATGAATAAAGATTTTGGCGCCTGGGGCGCCTGAAACGTCTTGGATCTCGCTAGAAGGTGGCTCGTTGATAGACGGGCCTTTCGAACCAAAGGAAGGGGGCACTCTACCGGACCATTGGTCTCCACTACTGGTAGTGCTTCGGATGCTGGCGCCAGAGCTAAATAGCCGTGCAGGGTACATGGTCGCATCTAAGAGACCGTGGCCCAGAGTTTCAAGAGTACCTCGCTGGGCTACCTGCCCCTCGGGAACTTTCCAGGGCGGTAGAACACTTAAATGATAATCCGAAGCAGACAGACCTGCAAATCGGCCAACCGAGATAGTGTCAGCGCTGAGTTCTTCCTTCGTGTCCATGTCGATGATGCGGAGCTCTGGCTCTAGGCCGCGTTGGCGGTGGCGTCTCCCAGGGCTGGTGGTAACATCATCTGAAGAATCACCCTCGGCTTCCATATATGCAAGGACAACAATAAGCCGAGGTGTGTACAATGAAATTCCAGCTATCAGACAATCCGTCCTCAATCTAAAAGGGAAATCAGTCAAATCATCCTGTAGAAAGAGCTGAAACGCTTTGCAACTCACATCGTAGCGACCTCAGCAGAGCCGTACTTTTCACCCTTGGACGATTTGCTTGCACGGTTTGGGTAGACATCAACGACCCAGACTGTGCCTCCCCAACCGACGATAAGCTTCTCGATATCCTCGGTTGGCATTGCGGATGTAGGTTGCGGCCGTATTGAGTGATCCTCTGGATCTAAGTTGTCGTGATCCACCAAGGCGGATTTATCGATCCATTCCGCACGTGCTTTCCAAACGCCAGCCATTTCTTCCCAGCCAGGGCCATTGGGCCGATCGATGTGGCTAATCCGTTTCCATGCAAATTCCAGCTCGGAGGATTCCAGATGCAGATTAGAACGCATGATCTTGATTCCTTCTTCGTTGACCCATGCAACATATTTACCCGATAAAGACCACTTCAAAGTGCTGATAGCACCTTCGCCGCTATGCAATACGGTATCCTTGCCGCTGTTGTTTCCGCCAAGGCCCATCGATCCTAGCCAACTGGATGCTGCGGCGGTAGCACCGCCCATTGTAGTTGCATTGGAGCTTGCCCCAATGCGGCCTCCCGTGGTTACTATCAGCTCGCCAGCACGGCCACCGGATAGAAACGTCCTGTCATGTTTGTAGTTCGGAGATAGTGCGACTGCTTGAACAGGCCGACCGAAATTTCGTTTGAGAATATCTTTGGGGTCCGCGAGAGACGATATACATACGTTTCCGTCGATTGAAGATGACGCAATGTAGATCGAATTCGATGGGTTAAGCGGGACAGGCGCATGCTGATTCGACCTTGGCGGGCCACGGATACTGCCTGAAGCTGTAGAAGTTCGCGTTAGAGGGCGAGGATCTTCTGCGCTTTTCTGGAAAGAGGCATCGGGCCTAGAAGACGGCACAGGAGGCGGAAAAGGCGACACAGATATGGATGTTACACTTGCTGAATGTGCCTGGTATACACGGAGCGGCTGCAACAGAGGCAAGGACAGAACATGCTTGGCAAAGGTTAGCTTGGTCACGACGTGAATTTGCGCCAGAAAGGACAACTCACGACTACTCCATTATGAGTTCCTATGATCTAGACAACTTGTTAATTTGGGGTATCAATTAAGAGCTGAAAAGGATATTTACCATCTTATCGCCCGCAACAAGGAATGCACTGGTCGCGTCCCCATTGCGGTACACCGATCCCAGATGTTTAGTGAGAAAGGCGTATTTCAATCGAGGCTCTTCGTCGTCGTCGTCGTCGTCGTCGTCGTCCTCCTCCTCCTCCTCCTCCTCCTCCTCCCCGTCTTCTTCTTCTTCTTCTTCCCCATTATCATCATCTTCCTCTTGGTTATCACTTTCCTCGGAACTGCCCTCGCTCCCTCGATGACGTCGATTCTGGTTGTTGGGCTTGGGTCTTGGGGGTCGGTCTGGGGTGGTGGGGGTTTCGTGCTCTGAGAGGCCCTTCTCGGAGCCCCCGTTTGCGTTGTGTGCGCCAGGGGCGTCCATGGGAAGTCCCTTATGCAGCCCCGAAGCTCCTGGGCGGGTTAGGTCGAGATGCGACAATGCACCGGGACCTGGATGCAGCTTGGGAGCTGGGGTTGGCTTTCTCCACCTCTGACTAAGCGGGGGACCGGGCTCTTCACGACGCGATGGGATGTCGGTTCTAAGTTGTCCTAGAGCACTCACCATGTTTGCGAGGACTTTTATCTGCTCCGGGTGCAAGCGCCCTGTGCCTTTTCGGCTAATACGACAGCCGCAGTCTCAATACCTCCATGCATCGCCAGCATTGGGTCTTCCACGTCGGAAAGACTTCTTCTCGTCCAACGCCTATTTAACGCAACGACAGGCAAATTCGAACGAAGACACTGAAGGCCCCGCGGAGAATCAAAAGCAGCGACGCCGGAGTGCTAGGTCTCCAGCTGCGGGCACATCTTTGCGCCGAGTGGCTGTCGAGGCACAAAGATCCCGGGATGGGATGATCTCCAAGGCCCGGCTCATGGAGCAGGGCATCCACCAGACCAAGGTGAGTATGGCAGGCGCACAACTCTTTAGAGAGACGGAATGACGCAATTGACCCTGAGGCCTTGCAGATAATCACTGCTTATGCTGTCGCCGAGCAATTCGATATTCGCCGAGTTCGAGATATTCTGCAGGAGAAAGGCTATGAGCCGGATCCACTGGGCACAGGTCTCTTTCCACAAGTCGTGCACGTCCAAATACCTATCGACGCGATTCGAAGGGTCGGAAACCCATCAACAACCGATCTAGGGTCCGATGAGGTTGGCGACATCTTTGTCTTCCCGTCCGGCACGGTCGTAGCATGGGCTCTGCCGGAGGGCTTCACCTCATTCCTTGCCACGAGGACACTTCTTCCCGCAGCCCAGAATGCCCACGTGGAGGAACTCGAAACCGAAGACCTCGAATATATGGAAGATCCGTCACGGGAAAACAGCAGCATCAAGGGCGATACCATCATCCTCGGCACCAAGAACGGAGGCCAAGGGCCGGAGCAGCCTTTAGCCCAGCAACAATCTATCGACACCGTCTTGACTAAAGTCGCGTTCTCATCGGGACTGGCTCGAAGTACTAAACTTGCCGTTCTTGAGAGTCTGTTGGCGAATTACTTCGAGTCCACGCGTACTATCCCTACCCAATTGTCTAAGGGCTCCCGCCTTCCCTACACTCGCGACTTCATCCTTCGCAAGACCGGACAGCTCCTCAGTGTGCGCGCACAACTGAACTTATACTCAGAACTTACCGACTCTCTGCCAGACATTTTCTGGGACAGTCGTCACGAACTCGGTCTCGAAGGGTACTACGAGCAAGTCGGCAGGGCTTTGGATGTCGGGATCCGTATCAAGCTCTTGAATGAAAAAATGGACTACGCGCAGGAAATCGCGAGCGTTTTACGAGAGCGACTTAGTGAAACCCACGGCCTTCGGTTGGAGTGGATCATCATCTTGCTCATTGCCGTGGAGGTCGGCTTCGAAGTTCTCCGGCTCTGGAAAGAAAGAGTCCACGAGCAAGAGAAGGCCAAAGATACTGCTTCAACTTCCTGAATCGCCTCCAAATCGCGTACATGCATAGATCTCCCTTTTCAGAAATAGTATCCTTACCTAGCGAGACAATATGATACCCCTTCACTCTTTCGATGCCGCATTGTTCCCGTAGGCACTTTTTCCTCCGAATTTGGATGATGCGAGGCATGCTCCTGCATTGTCTTCACAACCAGTGCACATCCCCAATCATCCCCGTGCGTAAGCCGTGGCTGAGTGTCCGTCCTTGGCACGACGTGCCTCGGAATATCCCGATCTTTCAAGGCTCGATCAGTAAACCCTTGAGCCCCTTTGAATTAGTATGTCTCCCGTCTCTCTTCACATGGGAGGAAGGGTGGTACCAGCTGGCGTAGCTTTCAAAACATACAATGCGAAACCCGAGGCCGAGTTTGCGCGTTTGTCACCTGGTACCATGGGATCGAGGCGGACGACCCAGCAGAGGCCTTATCTGAAATCAATTTGAATGGCTTCATCATGACGGGAGCTTGTAGTGGAGGTAGATGGGACTTTTTGCCAGTGGAATGGATTTTGAACGGGTGTAGGCTGCCAAAATACGATCCAGTCTTTGGCAGCTCGAAGCTGGGACTGGTCAAGATTTGGCATGGAAGCGGCTTTGAGCCGAAATAGGCTTATGAATAATAGTCTTGCTGTAATTATGCTCCATCATAATCGACTCCTTTTCTTGCTACGATAATGAGGCCAGACAAATGTAAAGGGGGGTGGGGCTTAGACTAGATAGAGTAGGGCTACCCAGGCTAATCTTCGCATGCCGGAGCGTCCCTCCACAAAGAATAACTATTACTTAGTCCAATTTTGTCTCGATTGCCTTTCTCCGTGTATTTGTGCCTAAAGCCTGGCAACCGTTGTACCCTACACCACATGTCAATGCCTTCCCCGCATGTGGCCATATCGATCATATTCGCCCCGCATTAGGATTATTAGGATATATATGGGAGATATAGTGTTGCATTTGAGTGCCCACTTGCTGTACATTCATAAGAGCAAGTAGCTCTATATCCTCCGATCCGTATTCATGGCCTCGAATCGACTTGTGATCGCAGCAAATGACTCAACCAGATGATCGACTTAGTCATGGTGTGGGGTCGACACCCCCGGGTATCGCGATAAGAGCTCCGAGGTCGAGCTGCCTAATCTACCCCAACCTCACTCTCCTTTGAAGCTGCAATTCGAAGCTCCATTCACTCCTCTGAGACTTGCAGCTTCAGATTACCACTTTTTGATTTGCACAATGTGGGGTCCAGCACAACAGTGGCCAGAGATCCCCGGACCCCAGAAGATCCTCCAAACCCTAGGCTCGCTATGGCTGTCGCAGACTGCGGATGAGAAGCCCAGTCTCGGAACCTCCTCGTCATGCTCTGGGTCGGAAATTAGCTGCCAGGCGAAATACCACGGCCAAGATACCTGTTGCTTCAACTACCCAGGTGGTCAGATGCTTCAAACGCAGTTCTGGGACGTCGACCCCTCCCTCGGTCCTGATGACTCCTGGACGATCCACGGGCTTTGGTAAGCACGGACCTTGAAGCTTCCCGCGTATCTCGAACTAAGTTTCCTTAGGCCTGACCACTGCAATGGTGGGTTTGACCAATATTGTGATTCCAAACGCAAGTACAGCAATATCTCTTTGATCCTGGTAGACTCTGGCCGCGGCGACCTGCTGGAGTACATGAGCGAGTACTGGAAAGACTTCCGTGGCGACGATAATAATCTTTGGGAACATGAGTGGAACAAGCATGGGACTTGTGTCAGCACACTGGAAACACATTGCTACGAGGACTACATTCCTCAGCAAGAGGTTGTAGACTACTTCGACAAGACAGTCGAAGTGTTCAAGGAGGTCCCTTCGTATGAGGTATGTACAACATGGTTTCTTTTCTTTTCTTTTCTTTTTTTTCAACAGACAATTTCCATTCCAAGGTACTGACTGGGCTTAGTTCTTGGCAAAAGCGGGTATACTACCTTCTAATCACGATACATACGATCTGGCCGATATTGAAGCTGCTCTCTCGGACGGTCATGGCGCACCGGTGGTCGTCCACTGCCGGCGTGGCGCATTAAATGAGATTTGGTATCATTACAATATTGCCGGCAGCTTACAGAATGGGGAATTCGTGGCGGCACAGCCAGGTTTGTCTTTCCCTGAAAGTGACACCTTACGAAATGATAAGTCTCATCGATTTGTTACAGATGGCCAGATTTCCAATTGCCCTTCGCGAGGCATTCGATACCCACTGAAACGCCCCCAAAATGACCCTACTAAGACCACCACCCACGGTCCAGGGCCTACCACTCCTCCGGGAGCGCCATTCGTTGGTCGGGGGAACTTGGTCGTCACAACACTAAATCAGCAACGCGGTTGCATTATCAGCACCGGGGCTTGGTACTCCTCTGGCACATGTGCTACATTCAGAGCGACCAAGGTGTCAGGTGCGTCACAATATGCATAGCCTTTCCAATGCAAGCGAAAGCTAACGTTACCTTCCAGAGAATACCTTTTCTCTCAAATCAAGAAAGGGACAGTGTGCCTTCAAGCATGATCGACTTATTTGCGGACCAAATATTCATTATCCAACGGAGTTCTCAGTAGGGCTTTCCTTCCATGTCGAATTTATGAAGATGAATCTCTAACCCACCAGCAGGCCCAGGATGGAAAATTGAGCTATGAAGGTAAAGCAACATTCTATGCAGATGCAGCGCCCAAAGGTTGGACACAGAGCATAGTCTACTCCTCTGAGGAAGGACACCCGGTTGAGATAGAAATCAGCTGGAGATCATAGAAACCGGACATAGACATTTTATAGAGCTTCGATCAGTTTACTGCCAATAACTCGATGACTTTCACATAAAAGATCGATGACCGGCGCTTCTTTGCGGTGTAGCCCGCGTTTAGTTCATTACAGCTTCCTAGGAATTGCAATACTGGTAATGCTTGGAGCTAGGCAAGGAGGCTTACATTATAGTTCCCCCACTGGAAAGATCTAGTCGTGATTAAATTTTTCTGGCGGTAGACGCATATTTCGTTGATGGACAAGTCCTTTGCTTTGGATTGCATTTCCTGTCAAAAGTCCATTATTCGGCCTGCAATCATTCATGTACCATGGTTGCTGTACAGCGTTCTTTTCTCTAAATACCATTCGCAATAGCCCTGCCTTTGTCAAAGAAGCCATAGGTGTCGGCAAGTCTCGAAGCCGCCTCTCACGGACAAATACTTTGATACTATCAGCCTGAATAAGGTTGAGGTGCAATGCGACATCACAAAGAACTAGTCTACTGCTACTGCATTAATTGATTATATCCTAGAATCATGAACGATATCCATTCAAGCATAATTCATATTCCCATGGAATGACAAAGGAGACTAGAACGCTAAAATACAGTCCTTTAGGAAGTCCTGAAAGGCCAAAAAGTCCCACATAAATGATTGATGGGAAGTAGCTAGCTACAGAAAATTCCATCAAAGGTACATGTCAAAAGGGGAAGAGAATTAAAAAAGGCGCCAATGAAAATGACATGCATAAGGAAGACCCGAGACCGGGAGGCCCTCATGGATGGCCAAATACATCAAAAGCGAATGTGGAAAGAGAAAATAGAAAATGACCACGGGAACAAAATGGGGACAACAGCAATGGCCAGAACACCATACCAGAGATCCCAGGGCCCCCCACAATAAGGCAATAATGTGCGCTAAGAAGAAACAGATGTCCAAAAGAAAGAAGTGAGTGCGCTCACGCCCGAAATGGAAGAAAGTAGAACGCCCCAAATTGTGTCGTGTGTCATGTGACGTAAACGCTCGTCTCGTGTCGTTGCAGAAGTTGTCACGCGGTAATAAAGATATAACGTGCACGCCATCTATGTCATGCTTTTCGTAAAATCAAATCCAGTCTTCGTTGCGAGATGTCCTCGTGTGTTGGTGGTACAGATTGGTCATTGTGCGGTCGACTTATGGATCAACCAGGAATTCACTTGAAAGGGAGTCGATCTGATCCGAGTAAGGATCCATGTCGAGCGGCCCGAGAGCAGCAAGGGACTTTCCAGGGACATCCGGGTAGATAGACGAGGTAAAGCCGAAGTCACTTGTGTCCATGTAGGTATAGCTGGAAGGGAAGTTGGTGAATGCTTCGTCTGTGAGGTTGGCAAACTCTTCCTTCAGCTGGTCTGTGGATTCCTGGGTCATGAAGACATCAATCTCAGAGCCGACGGTAGACTCGGCAAGAGTTGGCGCAGTGTGGGGAGAAGACATATCATATGGCGAAAGCGCTGCGTCACTATAAAGTGACTCTTGGGAAGACTCATTGCTCACTTGGGTCTCAAATTGTTCCATAGCGCGGGCGTATCGGTTGTGTGCCAATTGAGGAGGCGAAAGTGGCAATGGGAGCATGTCATCTTCGAATTTTTGAGAGATCATCGACAGGCCGGATTGAGTGGGAGAAGGAATATTGTCAAAGCCACCTCCAGGCGATGTGGGAGGCGTGAATGATGACATAGTGGAAGACGGGGCATAGTTGGGCGAGCGGAACATGGTGGTCTCCTCGAAGCTGCCTTCGATCTTGACGGGCGACATAGAGACGGACTTCTCAGCAACACGTTGGCGAGTACGACTAGATTTTTCTTGACGACTTTCGATATCGGGGCGGTTCTTCTTGGGCGGACGGCCGCGCTTGGTAGTCTTGGGGACGAACCCAGTGAAACCTCCAATGCACATATCGCGCTGACGGTGGCGTGTTAAAGCATCTTGACGAGCGAAGCTTGCACCGCAAGCACAAGCAAAGGGCTTCTTGCCTGAATGGGTCTTGAGGTGGCGCTTGAGATCATGTCCACGAACGAAATCCTTTCCGCATCGGTCACAGACGTATTGGCGATCATTGAGATGGGTCTGAACATGAGACTTGATATTTTCTTTTCGGCCAAAGCGACAGTGGCACCCAGTGAAAAGACAGACCCATTTGTTGTCTTTGGGGTCTGGACCGGAGATGTACTGAGCGATCTCATCACCGGAGACAGTGCTCTCCTTCAAAGAGGCCTTGACTCGAGCATCAAGGTCAAACTCATCAACGGTGTCAGGCTGGGTATCAGTGGTGTCCTCGTCAGAAGAGGAGGACATAGATCGGTTCACACGCCCATGGGCGGAAGGAGTTGATGGTAAGCTATACTTCTGTGGCGACACGGTGCAGGATCTAGGCGACGGCATGGCAGCAAGCTCCGCAAAGTCGGCGACCGAATTGGCGGGGGATGGCATCTGATGGTTCATGTGCATAATGCTTGGACCAGGGACTCCTTGAAGAGATTGGGCTCTCTGCATTTTGGGGAGCCCCAGGTGTGGGGGGGAAAGAAAAGCTCTGGGGTTTGCTGGGGGTCTGGTCATTTGTGTACATGGATAAATCAAAAGAACTCTTCATGGGGGTAGCATTGGGGGTCATGGGGGAAGTATCTGGTAAGAAAAAACAAAAAAAAGTCAGCTTTTACACCTGGGCAGTAGTGATTCGTGCAGTCATACATGAAAGATAAGGATTCATCTTAGGTGAGATATTCTCCGATTGTATGGAGAGCGGCTGAAGTGATTGGGCCTGCTGAGAGAGAGCTTCCCAATTGTTTTGCTCTCGACCCTGTACCTGGTGTACACGCTCACCCCTCATCCTGCGAGACACCGGCTTGATAGTAGCATTTGGATCGGTGTTATCGCTCGCAGACCGGGTAAGGGCTGGCGCAATTTGAGGGAAGGTAACAGGGCTACCAGCGGCGGTATACATATCCGGTGTCTCCTCCAGGCTCCACATATATGTAGATTGATATTGGTCAAGTGGTTGGGGAGGAGGGCCTGAAGGAAGAGCAGCGGATACATAGCGCTGGTGATCTTGCCCAGACGCAAACTGCTGAACAGCGGCCTGGCGGGAGTAACCTGCTTTTTCGTTAAAGAAGTCGCGAAGCTGCGTGACCTTGTTGGTCGCACTTCGACGGTCGAGGGGCACAGCTTGTGGACCAAATCGGCCATAGTCCACAGTCTGGCCGCGGCGATGTGTCCGGCGAGGTGGCATGGCGTTCATATTCGGTTGGCGTGCAGCTTCGAACGACGGGGTTGATATTTGACGACGGTGACCGTGAGATAGAGTCGAGGGGTTCATGGCTAACGGGCCACTCGATATTCAGGTCCCTGTCACAGTGTTAGTCTGTGAACACGAACAATTCAACGCAGCCAAAAACGCAGAAAACGAAAAGAAAGGTAGCTAGAGCCTCAGTAAGCTAGCTCAGTGTAGATTGATGGATTGTCTTTAGTAGATCTCGTCAAAAGGTTCAGGCGTCAGAAGCCCAGCAGTGACCGGATGGTGACACAGTTCCCAAGGATGGTTGAATTATAAAATTCAAGGTGGAGGCAGAAATGCAACTCAATAAAGACCATGAAGCGGGCCAAAAAGCATTGGCGATCCACCAGCTCCAGCCCATGGTTCCCGTCAACAAGCGGGTGGGTTGGCATGGCAACGGGGGCTGCGCGGGAGTCTGGGAAACCAGATGTGACGAATTGGGTCCACTCTCGCAGCGGATCCTGCTTATAGATCCTGTCGATTGCTTTGGCGCCCTTTAGATCGAGTCCGAGCCTTGGAATAGTCGGTATTGGCCATCGGCTCCCTGGCTTCCCAAAGGCCCTTTCTCACGGGCTCTGCAAGGGCCTATACCATGGCTGCGAGGAGGACGGTGCCAACGCCGTCCCTAGATCTGAAGGGGGCTGGATCTCCTGTGATGGTCGCCATGGAAATGTCCTGCATCAGGCAATCGTCAAGGCTGATCTCCACGATCGTGCTCCGCTCGTTGGGGCCTTGTGGGTGCCCGCAAGCGATGCGATGCAAGGCGATGTCATTTAATGCCTAAGGCAGTAACGAGTAAACACAGCTCTTATCTACTTATCGACTTCTCTTATCGTCTTATCGATAGTCGGCTGCGGAAGATCCTTGTTCCTGCTCCCCTCATTCACTAAACCCGAAACGGCTTGAAATTCCACACGTGACCGCACAACGATTTTAATCGTCAGCCGAGCCCGCACACTTGTGTTTCTTCATCAAGGTTGAGGAAGACATACGACTTGTCGAGGTACGTTAGATCTCCGACAGCACGAGAGTTTCGGTTTGATGATCGCGATGGTGCCTATGCGCACTGTCTGATCTGTGGCGCTCTCCTCTCGCTGTCGCCGCCGCCAATATGAAAATTTCAAAATCTAACTCGCTATCGCTGTACAGGCCTTCATCATGCAGATCTTCGTCAAGACCCTGACGGGGAAGACTATCACCCTTGAGGTGGAGTCCTCCGACACCATTGACAACGTCAAGTCCAAGATTCAGGGTATGCGACTCGTCCACACACTCAAAAATCGTACCCGACTAGGGCCGAAAACTAAAGTCTCATAGACAAGGAGGGTATCCCCCCCGACCAGCAGCGCCTGATCTTCGCTGGTAAGCAGCTCGAGGACGGCCGTACCCTTTCGGACTACAACATCCAGAAGGAGTCGACCCTCCACCTGGTGCTCCGCCTGCGTGGTGGTGGTAAGAAGCGCAAGAAGAAGGTGTACACCACCCCCAAGAAGATCAAGCACAAGCACAAGAAGACCAAGCTCGCCGTCCTTAAGTACTACAAGGTTGACGGTGATGGCAAGATCGAGCGTCTCCGCCGCGAGTGCCCTGCCCCCGAGGTATGTCTCAGTCTCGTATCTACTCGCTTCCCGCGTGCATATCTAACTTTCTATCCTTAGTGTGGCGCTGGTATCTTCATGGCCGCTATGCACAACCGCCAGTACTGCGGAAAGTGCCACCTTACCTACGTCTTCGACGAGTCCAAATAGATGGACCAAGTCTGACCGTGCGGGAAGTTATTTGAGTTCTGGTGTGGTGTCCAGCTATACTAGGGTAGGAATATGAATACCTCACGGTGGATGTGATGGTTGATGAGCACCTCTGTCAATACTGAAAATTAAAATGATCAAAAAAAATCCGGCTCTTGCCAATCTTGATATCTTGTAGTGGTCCGAAGCCATATAAAAAATTTGGACGAAGTAACGGAAGACATTTCCGCGCAAATCAGCTTGGGCCCTTCCACGCCTGCAGCACGTGTATACTCTGGTCGGCAAAATCAATTAGTTTCAAAGCAGAATTCTTTTTGATTTGCTACTACTGTATCAATCATACAAATACTTATTCACGCAACTTGGTGTCATGACGGCCGCCTGTCTTTTTTGGGGCGGGGGGGGCGTAAACGCTACTTGTGTAGGCTAATTTTTGTGCAGTGTTACTACAGTGGCACACATACTTTCCCCTATTCTATTTGTTCCATCGGCAACTTGAACCTCCGAAGTCTGAATACTAGTACGTATGTACGCCAGCCGCGCCAGCCCATCGATCCTTTTTCTTTTTGCGACGACCTAAGACATTCCAGAACGAATGTTATCATACTTACTTTCTGGAAACTCAATCGCGTTAGGAAGCTGCTCCAGGCCCCCCGCCCCACCAACAGCATCAACGAAGACACCAATCAGACTGCCATCGTTAGGGTTCGCATCCCTGCCGCCCTTGTCACCGCTACTCTCCCACCACATGCCACCACCAAGCCGGGCTTGCTGAATGAAGTCGGCCTTCTGACGGGCCACCTGGACGTTATCATACGAAACGACCGTGCGCGAGCCTGCATCGTAGCTCCACGAGCTGCCAGTTGCTGGATCGAAGTTCTCACTCGCTCCGGGCCTGGGGAGAGCCTTGTAGTCCCAGACGCCGTTTTCCCAACTTCCAGCGCCAACGCCGGAGAACGGGGCGCCCATGCCGTCCGTGTTCTCGAATGCACGGCCGTATAGGGGCATACCTATGACGATCTTGGAGGGCGGGACGCCACAGACATTGATGTAGTGGTTAAGCGCAGCGTGGGTGGAGAAGGGAGTAGAGGAGGGATTGTCGTTGGATGGGTAGATGTTGGCCTGGTGACCTGCGTGCTGGTCCCAGCTGCCGGCATAATCGTAGGCCATTAGGTTGTAAAAATCCAGCAGAGGCGTCATCTGCGGGATGCGGAGTTTGACGAAGTTGCTTGGGCCTGCAGGACAAGCGATTGTCAGATAGAACTTCCGGCCCGCACCGGCCGCACGGTCGAGGCTCTGTGGATGAGGTTAGTTGCGAGTTTTCCGGGGTTGATTGGTGCGCAGGGAGAAGGGGATCGAGGGGCTCCCTTACTTCGCGGCAGGCTTGTAGCAGTTCCACCAGGTTCTGCGCCTGGTTGTCATCTATCGGATGTATCAGATTGCATGTCCGTGCTGATTAGGATTTCCTTGATTCGTTGGGAGGGGCGCTTACCTTGAGGATACTCCCAATCGATATCAATGCCTGTCAAAGCACCACGTTAGTCAAAGGGGCGGGGACTCTAATTGGGTTGAATGATTGCGCCCACCATCGAATCCCAAATCCAGGACTAATTGCGTTGCTGTCTCGGCGAATTTGGCCCGCCCTGCGGCCGAACTGGCAGGTTGGGCGAAATTAGGGGAATATGTCCAACCGCCAATGGAAAGCAAGACCTTCAAGTTTCGATTCTGTTTCTTGAGGAGGAACAATTGCTTCACACATCCGTAGACATTGCTGCCAGTGTCATTCCACGAGTCACCCTCATAATGCTTCTCGACGTCAGACCAACTGTCAGTGAGGTATCTGTAGGGTCTTATTTAGCACGGCAGTTTGACGGGACAGCGCTGCGAGGCAATTGAACAAACCGAAAGAGATACTAACACTTCACCGCTCTCCGGGCGTACGTTGGCGAATGCATAGAGCACATGTGTCAATTTATCAGCCGGAAGGTCTTGAGGGTTATGGTTACGGCCATAGATCGCCTAAGAGGTGTTAGCGCGGAAGTGTGCTTTTATCGATAGATAAGGGACTCGGAGCGGAGGCCTCAGCAACCCTCATGCAAGGAGAGCATTTATGGTCGAATCGACAGACAAGCCCAGATCAACATACCCAGTTAACGAAGTAGACAACGGATCTCGACATGCCGGCCGGAGGTGGGGTGGTACGGTCGATGTTAAAAAGGTTGAACTGTTGTGCAAGGAAAGCCACGAGGCATAGAAGCACGGAGATCCAAACGACGGGAATACGAGCCACAGTTGGAATGGCGTTAACGCTGAGTTCAACCAAACGGTAGACCCTTGAAAGCTCGAGGTCAGGAACACTTTTATGGCGGGGTACCTTTATGTCGCAGCCTAGCAGTTAGCGGCAAGAAGCTCTAGCAGGATAAAAATAACAACACTGCTGCCTCATTGGTGGATTTCCTGTGGCTGTGTGTGGCTGATGACGTGCGGCTGACTTGATCTCAGCAATTCCAGCGTGATTGAATCATGCAACACATTGGCTGGATTTGCGATTGGACTCGAGACGTAAAGCTTACCATGGTCTTGGAGCAATTGGGCTATTTACTTGATCACTATTCTGAGTGGTGCTTGACGACCCTACCATTCTGAAAACCTCAGCGGCGTTGCGGGGTTTCCGTTGGCATGAATATATTGCCAACCTTGAAACTGGATCATGACTCATGCTTCTCATGATTCAAGTTCTGAGGTGAACCCGAACATCCATAGATCGCCCTACCAACTCTAACCTGAACCTGATTTTGGTAGTATCACGTCGGGCTTCAAGTTCAGATGTACCAAGACTGAATTATGGGCGTTTCCGACCCATCATTAAATTACAAGTACGATTCGTCAACTATTTTTGACAGAGCTCGGACACACTGCATTCAAATACTAGTATAATACCTAGGTAGTGGAGCTTGAATAGAAGCCACGGTCACGAGATCTCATTCCGCACTGGCCATCAAAATCCTTGAACTGATGGTGAAGGCCGTTACAAGATCTCAAGTACCAAGCCCACTGTGCTACTAGTATTATAGCTCCCAGGGCACACTGGCATGAACGTGGTTTTGGGGGCACACGGTAGGAGACCGCTAACATGCAAGACCACCAGTCACCATTGCCTGTAGCATCACTAGTACTACGAGCAGAGGAGAAGACGGGCCTTGCAAATTCCAGAACTAAAATTCTTATCGTAGTAGTCCGCTCTCGCGGGTGTGACGTACTAATGCCACCGCAACTATAGACACGGGATGAACATGGGTGGCCCCTAGAAGATCTCGATGTCCAAGAGTGGAGCATCGGTAAAGGTGAAACGACACCTCAACTCGCAAAAGACACAAACCGGTTCAACGCAAAATCGCTTCGTGAATGACACTTGATCACTAAACATGGGTCACCCATATTAGTCTGCAGGGTTGCGACCAAGGGACAGCAAAGCACGAACTGTAACTCCGAACAAAGACGATGCCCCACAATCTGCAGTAGCGGTGGTTAGTGCGCCGTTGTGGTGGCGTCGATCGTATTCCTGAGGCAGGGCCAATCCGCCAACAAGAGAACCCCAGAGGACCGGGGAATGCCCTCCGAAGTGGATTCAGCTGTCGGCCGACCCTCGGGACTATACAGGGGTAAGTTGGAAGCAATCCTTGAGAAACGGGCATGAAAAAATTTTCTCCTGGGGCACCAAACGACCAACCTCAGCTGAACAGCGAGCCGACGGTCGCGATCTGCCCGCCGATTGGCATAGCCGCCGTGGCACTAAGCCCTTAGTCCTGGCTCCACATGCAAGATCCAATCCATCTGGGATCCATCGTGATAGACGGAGTTTCCCTCTCAACTCGCCCGCCACGATCCATGGAATCATGCAGTGGAGCATTTAGCGGTTTTGCGTATCCGGTACTCTGGCAAGCCCCCTGTCCCTTCTATTCCTCGCTGTGAAATCGTGGAGACCCTTGCCTAATGCGTTCGCCTGCAGTTGACTATCGCCTAAGCGATTGCCCTATCGGACTCCTTATTTACCAATGCTGCCCCCCTCTATGGGTGAGATCGGGGACGGAAAAAAAGAAGAAAAAAAAGAAAAGAAAAAAAAAAAAGCTCTATCGACAAAAGTGGGGCGGCGAAGTAAACTACCGGCAGCTATGGAGCATGCATGACACTGTGATGGGATAGTCTTTTCAGCTGCCATTGTTTGCCTCGAGGTCCAGGTGTCTGGATCTTCCCCTGTTTGCGGAGCCGAACGCAAGGGTGGGCTCGTATTGATTGGCGAATCGTAGAGAAAGAAGTGTAACCTGTTTGTTGGGAACAGGTTTCCCTCCCCTGGACTAAGCCCTTCGCGTAATTTAGATTGTCACGAAGTCAAAACTAGTCTATTACGTTGTCTGTTAGATGAGTGGATAACAGCATTGGCCATACCCCCGGGACATGGCCTCTCCATATGCAATCTGCACTGGAGAGTCGTGCTCATCGTGTGGGGAGTTCCTAGAATGGCGGGAAGAAGGCCTGAACCTTTCTATTGTCGGCATGGCGCAGCCTACCAGAGTCTGCGAAACATATCAATGCGCCTAGTTGAGACTGGAATATAGACTAGGACACAAAAACATGTACTTCAGAACAAGTGATATTGGGGAACTCCTCGCCGGGAGGAGCGTATAATATACTAGTAGTTGTTCTCCAGTGATGCCCCCGCGTCAAACCCACAAGCGCCAGAAAACAATGCAGAAGATAACAATGGACAATAAAGTCCAAAAGCATGAGGGTATGTCTTCGCTATGCTCGAGATACGAAAATTTTAGTGGTTTTTCTTTTCCCAATAATTGCGACCCGCGCTGTACCCGCCCAGGGCGCCGATGCGGAAAAAGGGCCCCCGCATCCCCATCCCACACAAAGCCCCGATGGGGGCAGAAAATAATGAAGTAGCCTTCCGCGGTTGTGGAAGAAGCCCTGCCTGGTCGAGACCGGGCCGTAATTACCGACCCTGGATCCAGCGACGCAGCACGTCCAAAGAAGGGTCGTCATCAACCCAATGACCTGCCCGCAGGTCCGCATTGCGAAGATCCGCAACGACGTGCTGATCGGTGATGCGTGCGAGTTCTTGCTGGAGCACCGTGTTTGCCGCTTTCAAGGCAGTGGCTTGGTTTGCAGTGGGCGCCTGGCCACGTAGAGCGCTCTCGCGGGACATCGCCCATCGTCGAGCGGCCGCTGCACGAAGGTAGATCTTGTGTGCTTGAAATCGACGGGCACTACTGTCGATAATGACTCTGGAGGGGCAATCTGTATTAAGCCGTGCGTCTCTCTCATCGTACTCTGGTCTTGGCCTACCTTTGTAATTCCGCTTTCTCTGTCTCGGCACCGCTGCTGCCCACCACAGGCGCTGGCTGGTAGTTGGCAGCCATTAACCGCTGAGCAGCCGCCTGGCATTCGCGGACGACTACAAATCCTTCTTCGTTGTATTCTTCTGGCCTCGAGGCCACATTTTGCTGAGAGATATGCATCATCAGAGTGCGGTAGTCGTTCATCAGTTCAGCCACTCGCAGTGCGCGGGCCTCGTTGACTATTCGTTGCACGGGGTCGTCAGTACGTGGCGTGGACCTCAGTCAATTTGGATTTCCGGATGGTCATTGCTTACGTCCGTCCGCCATTGAAGGTGTTTGAAGTGGAAAAAAAATAGGTATTAGAAAGGAAGTAAATACGCAAGACACGAAGGGACGGGTTAAGGATCGTGTCATAGAAAGAGGGACCAATTGAGAACTTGAAAGAGCACGAGGCAAAAATTATTAAAGCCGGTCAAAGCACCAGTTATTAGAAAAAAAAATGAAGGTGAAGGAAGTTCGATGATCAATGGTGTGGGAGAGAACCCTGGAAGAGACCGAGAGACTTTATAAGCCTGGAACAACCCAGCGTGCCAATGCAGCATCGTCTCCTCTACGCCATATATGACAGCAAATGATATAAAGATAGGCCTGTTGGAAAGGGGATAGGGCAGTCAGGAGATCTCATTGGCCGATCCAGATTAATGTAAATTGTATAAAAAATCGAAAGAGGAATGTAGGAAAAGGTAAAGGGGGGTGGGGGATGATCAGAAAAACAATAAAAGCGAATAAAAAGCAAAGAGGAAAGGAATGACAGCAGAGAGGAACTGGAGATCAACGGACAGAATTTAGTCGCGCCAATGGCTGGAGGGCAAAGCGCATGCAGGAACGAGTGGGAGGACCAAGACAAGCTGGAAATGCAAAACTGCGTGGGCCCCAGGGCAAGAGCTCCCGAGTCCCCCGTCAACGGCTGCTACTCCTGCAAGCCTCCCCAAAAGCCACCCACAGCTGACCCGATCCCAAGACGACGGATCTGTCAGAAATTAGCCCTTCATGGAAACTCGTAGAGACACCGAGCTTCATCCGGATATGCGACTTGGATCTGGGATCCCGGGATTGTAGGGCGGTGGAGCCCGCCACGAGATTGAGTTCCTGGACGAGTCAGTCATGTCAAGAACCAGGGCGCTTACAGTCGTTGATTGGTGACAGGGTCAACCCACCGAAGGACTCCATAGTGGGGACGAACAATGCCTCGTGGATTAGCAGGCCGCTAACCCTCATGGGGTAGTGACGAGATCATGGAAAATCTCGGTCCAAAAGTAAATCTTCGAAGCACAATCCTCCAAATCTGGGCCAGTTCGTGAACTCCACAAACCCTACTTGGCAGCATTCAGCTGGAGCCGATCTTCCAGGGTTGCGCCCCAGCCACGTTGGAGCCGAGCCACATGTGGCGTTTCCGCCAACAGCTGAGAAAGCAATTGCTTCTATCTAAAATCTTCTTCCTCTCCTCTTTTTTGCGATCAATGTGATCAATCTCACTGTGGCAAAAAAAAAAGGTCCAGGTCAATTATTCTGCTGAGTTCCCCTGCGCAAGCCAAAACACAACGTCCTGCAGGGAATGCAGATGCTGAACAACTCAGAAGCCTGGCACTACATAGATGAAACCCCACTGGGAAACTAGCTCTCATGATGGAAACCAATCGATTCGATCATTCGTCATGCTCTCTTTCTCTCTAGAATAAGAAAGGGGGAGGGGGAAATTTAGATAGAAGTTATCTCATACGCATCTTGAGCCGGAGCTGTTCGGTTGGCTCTCCTTCCGCAACGTCATGCTTCCCACAGCTCCTGCGGGATAGCAGGTGGTTCACATTTAGTCCTTCTCGGCTATGGCCTGCAACCGTTCGTCGATCTCCTCCTCTGTCAGGGCACGGAATTCCGTAGTGGTGCCTTCGCCTTCGATCTGCGGTCCACCGACAATGCCAATCTCCAGCTCATGCTTTTTAAAGTCCACACTCAACACGTTGCTGAGAGCTGTAATGCCCAGCTCCACCACTTCTTCCCAGTTTCCAGGGGCGGCATCCTTGTTCTTCAGCTTCTTCTCGAGGTGATTTAGCGCCTCCTGCTGCTTGGGTCCGGAGGCGGTCGCCTTGTACCCAACGTAGTAACCAGCCGGGTCGCACTTGTACAGTTGTGGGCCTTTCTCATCATCGACAGAGATCAGAGTAGTTGCAACACCTAGTGGTCGCATGTAAGCCTGCAATGAGGGAATTGTATCAGCAAAGCTATCTCCAATTGATTGGTGGTGGGGCTGCAGAGGGGGACTTTCGCTGGGAAGCAGCCCGATATCCCCCCAGAGCATGAACGATCAAAGAGAAGGACTTACTCGTTGTGTGTAGACTTGGTTGATATTCGCCAATCGCTTGGCGAGAACATCACAGGGCATCTCATATCCAAACTTGTATCGGAACTCGGCCGCTTCACCGCGAGCTCGATCCACCGAAGCGCGGGCATCTGCGATCGAACCGGTCATAACGCAGCCCACAGAGGGCGAGATCTTGAAGATGTGTGACACGGAGGATGGGTCGATCAGTTTGTCCTGCGAGGGGAGCGGATGTCAGCTCATAGCAATGGCACGGCATCAAGGATTCGACATATCGCTTACAGCAACTTTCTTCTGGGAGAGGACGACAGCGCAGTCCTTTCCCCTCACGCCGATGGAAGTGATATTGGCCGAAGTGATAGCCTTGAAGGCATATTCTGGATAGCAAGGTTGTCAGCGATGAGCATGGTGCCGTGGGGCGTCTGTGGTTCTCGGGGTCTGCGGTTTCGAAGATCGACGAGCAACCTGGCACTTACCGACTTGGTACAGTCGACCCTGGTCGGAGAAGATAGTGATATGTCTGTCGTACCCTGCTGCGGAGAAGATGAAGGTCAGCTGAGATGTCGTCAGGCCGGGCCAGGCCAGGCTTGGAATGTTCTTACCAGACATAGTGGCGGTATTGAAAGTGGCTTGTGGCAGGAGGAAGAGAGAGAGAGAGGCTGTAGGGGTGGGATGGAGAAGAGGTAGATGAGGTGGATGGGGAGAATGGCCAGTGACGCGTGCCAGCCGATGCCTAGTGAGCTTGAGCTTTGAGCTTGGGGCACCCAAAGGCGGTGTGATGGTCCATTCCCACTGGCAGTTGGTACACAACGTGGGCTACAAAGAAAAGTCATTCGTAGGAAAGAAGAACGCGTATTTAGAATAAAATCTGAAATTCATAGAAATTGAATATTTTGGAATGATGCTGATCACCTCATCTTCAATTTCTACAGTGGAACTGAGCTGTTCGAACAAAGATACATCTTCATGCAGTCCATGGTATCTATATGCAACTTTTGACTATACTAACACCGTAACCAATAAAGACAAAAGAAAGCGTACGACCCCAGTGGCGAACCTAATCACTGTCGCTCTCACTGCTGGAGATCTCGATTTGGGCAGTTCGAAGCTTCCGCTTTTGCGTTTTCTTGTTCTTGGCCGGGGCAGGCTGAGCGGCCTGCGCGGCCTGCTTCTTCAATTTCTTTTCTTCTTTCTTCTTCTCTTTGAGCTGCTCCTTTTTAGAGAGTATTTTCTTCGGAGCAGGTGCCGGTGTGGGAGCAGGAGCCGGGGCTGCGGCGTCGTCGTCACTGCTGCTCTCTGATGAAGAAGTCTCGTCTGTATCAGTATTTCCCTTTATCGCAGGAGTAGCAGGAGTAGCAGAATCATCACCATCCTCGTCGCTGTCGCTGCTACTGTCACTGCTACTATCGCTGCCACTGTCGCTGGACCCGGAACTAGACGTCTCGTCTTCGCTGCTACTTGAGACATCAATCACAGCAGTCCGGTTCTTCCGCTTCTTAGTGACCGGCTCAGGCTTAGCCTCGACCTTCTTCGGCCGAGCAGCCTCCATGTTGAACAGCTCGGCCGTAACAGCAAAGAATACCAGCTCAGCCCGTAGTCGTTTCTGAAGACGAGTGCGTTTGTCCGCGCTCAAACCCTCAGCCAATCCAAGCGAATTCAACTCCTCTCCTCCTGCAGGCAAAGCACTCCGGAACGTATCCACAGCCTCTTGGTACTCATCATCAGCTCCAGCTTTCTCCCCGGCCTCCACATCAGCCCTAGCAACCTCCACAGCCCCCTCCCTCAACCGCGCCTTTGCGGCATCACCCTTCAAGCCCTGCAAGTACGTCAAAAGCGGCGCATTATAGCGTGCCGGCACATGCTCCGCCGAATAAAGATGCTTGAACAGATTCGTCTCCCGATTCTTCTGGAATTTCCACGACGCTCGACCCCGGTAGTAGTGTGTCAGGTACGAGAGAATAGGCGTCTCATGGATATGGGCTGATGAGTCTGGCGCTTTATTCTTGCGCTCCTTCTTCTTCTCGCGCTTGCGCTTGCGCATTTCCTCCAGCGCCTTCTCGTTGTCTGCGCGGGCCTCCGAGTCTTCCGCGTTCGTCACCGTGTCGCTGCTGTCGTCGGCTTCATTGTCTGCTTCGTCAGAGCTGTCGCTGGGCTGAGAGCCATCGTTGTCTTTTGTGCCTGCGCCGAAGGAGACGCGCTTCTTGGATTCCCTTTTGGGGAGGTCGTCGTCGCTTTCGCGGGTTTTGGTGTGCCGGCGTTTTTTGGTCGAGAGACCGTCGTCTTCTTCGGATTCGGGCTTTCGCTTTTTTTTGGTCCCTTTCAGAGCTCTTGGATTGACTAGGGATTGATTCGTCGGACATGTCGAGGTTCTCTTCTAGGGCAGACTTGCGCTTTGAGCGCTCTTTTTTTTCTGGCCGGGGTGACTTTGAAGAATCTGTTGTTGCCATGATGGAAGGTATCCGACAGGTACCCCAGGAGCCGTGACCCGAATTGAATATAAAATTTTGTGATATTCGTGAGTGAAAAAGCACAATCTGTTAATGAGTCAAGACAGCGACGCTCGAACGTCCTTCAGATCGAAGCCCGACTATTTTTTTTCTGCCGGGCGGCTTTGATAAGGCTGAGGATCTCTGCAGCTGATAAGGCTGAAGTGTAAACAGCACTTGCGATTAGAATCAGACAGATTCCAACTGTATTTCGATGGTATAAAAAGAAGAAAGCCAATACTAGGCCTCGAAGGGGCCTCAAATTCGTCTCACATGAAAGGGGTATTAATCCACTACTCTATCGCCTGAATCCCGACTAGCAAGCCCTAATAGCCGTCCATGAACGCCCCCATCTTTACACAACAGCTTATTCCGGTGCTTCCCTTCGCTCTCTCCGCGGCTCTTTTGCAGCACTCCCTTCAGTACCTGATCCAGTAGCGGCAGAGCCAGCGGCACTAGCAGCAGCAGCCTTCCTTTTACTTCGCTCTCGTTCTCGCTCTTTTTCCTTGTCCCTAGAACTAGGCGCTGCAGAACGACGGCGCGGCTTCACCGGCTCGTAGACATCATTGAAGTTCATCACGACACCCAAGAAGCGCATGTCTACGTCAGGCTGATATGCCAGGTCACCTAGAAGGATATTAAGTCGTGAGCGGAAATCAGCCGAGAGCTCGCGCAGGCGGCTGCGAAGAGAGGTAAGCATGTGGTCGTCTGCTGCCAAATCCTGTGCCGATAGTGGGAGCGGAGTATCGATGCCGTCCGGACCAGAGCTTGCAGGTCTGAGATCAGGCGTTGATCCACCGCGGCTATTTGCGCGGCGGGGCAGGATATCGCGCTCCGTAACACCCCAGCGACCTTGGGCAGTGCGTGTTTCGATTTTTGCGTTGAGCTCCTGCCGGCGAGTGAATTCGGCCACGGAGAAGGAGTAGAGGCCATCGACGGCATCCTTATATGCAAGCATAATCTTCAGGATCTGGTGTAGCTGGCTGAGGAAGCTTTCCTCGGGTCCTCGGGCGGAGGCAGATGTGGACATGCCGTGGCGTGAGGAAGCAGAGCCTAGAAGGCCCTTGTGAGTAATGGCATCAAGATATGCTCTGTGTGCCTCGATCAGATCGTCCAGCGTACAGCCAGGCTTGGAGATGGCCGCCTGCAGAGTATCCCAGCTGGACTCGATCACCTCGAAGAGGATGTAGAACTGCAGCTGGCAGACAAAGTGGATCATTTCAGCTGTGACGCAGCGGGCGCGCTTCCAATCTGGGCCGACCTTATCGTCCACATTGGCGAGCACGCCTCGTGCACCGGTCATACAGCGTCGCCAGGTGCTAGTTAGTGCGAATTCGACCCGCTTCACTCGCCAGAGGAAGTTGAAGACTTTGAGATATTGAGTGGAACCGTAGGGGGTGATAACAACATCAACTGGGGCATCGATCTTGTATTCCAATGTAAAGCAGTCCCACCCAATCTCGCCGTGACTGAGTTCAAGCATACGTGCGTCTAACCGCCGGAGCACATCTGGGGGGTCATATTGCGCATTGGATGCCCGAATGGCATGTTCCAATTGTGCAGTTAGAGTATGTCGATACTGCGAGTTGGCAGGCCGGTCCAAGTTTGTGGCGAGAGATTCCATGAGCAGGGCGATAAAGTCCCCTTGCCCAAGGAGGAGATACTTCTTCAACGCCCGTAGATGCTCGAAGAGTTTGAATTTGGTGTCCATGAGATGGATCAGTCTTTCCATAGTGGTCTTGTAAGCCTCGTCAATCGAGGTCTCAAGGGTTGCAGTATCGCCATATCGAAGTTCTTTCGACGTTTCTTTAGAGTAAGCTTCTACCCACGCAGAATCACCACAGCCATATCGAATGAAGTTCAAAGATTTGCCAATAAGGAAGACTTTCTTGGCAAACTCCTGAGTGATGATTGATGGAAGCATATCTTCACTCAGCTTGTATTTGGATTCCCAGACACTTGACGCAAAACGTCTTGGATCTTCATTGGAATGCTCGGGCGGACGTTCTGCAACGAAGAATTCTTGGTACGGATCTGTCAACTCGCCCTCATAGATCCATGACCACAGCATGTCGTAGAAAGGCTGCGTGACATGAGCTAGTAGCTTCTCAGCAAATGCGCCCACAAACGGGTCCCCATGCGACGAAGAGTAGCCATGGATTAGAGAAATCAATTGACCTCCCTTCTTATCTAGAGAGGAGTATCAGCATTTTAGTCCAAAGTCAGCAATGGCTTCGAACGGCCTACCTCGCGATTCTTCCACAATAATACTCATCAACCGGAGCGCCATTGTAGCATCCCTAGTCCAAACCATGCACCGTTTCAGAGTGACACCTCCTTTCCTCATGCCCTTGATATTACTCGCATCCCCAATAGCAACAAGTGCCTGGCGAATTTCCGCCTCAAGCGTCGCAACCAGCCCAAGGTAGGAACGCAGTTCATTCGCAATAGCAGCCCGCAAGCTCTGATTCACAAGACCACCTTCCGAGCTCTCCACAAAAATAGACAGCTCCTTATACAGAAGGCACGGTTCAGCCAAAGAATTCAACAATGAAATCATCGGCACCGGCAAGTTGTTCGGCAAGTCGATCGCAGAGTCCGACTCAAAATGCATATGGCTGGAAGACAGCCCCTGTAGATTGAACGGCAGATCTCGCAGGAGCCTATTCTCTACAGAATCAGGCGGCGCTTCATTGAACGACGGCTTGGCCGTCGATGGCCGCATTCTATCCTCGTCCCGATCAGCCGACGCCTCGTGAAAGCTAGACTGGTACGCATTTCCCTCGCGCACACGCTCTTTCTCCTTCTCGTACGCGCCTAACTCTGCCTCCCACTCCTCGCGCAGCGTGCTCTGCCGCTCGGCTCGGGATGCCTGCGGGGGTCGCTGGGACGCAGACGAGCTGACGGCAGGCCCGTCGTCGTCCTCAGAGTCCACGGCGCGTGCGCCTGCCGAGCGCCCTGCGCTCCTTCCCCGACCAAGCATGTTGTGTAAGTTCCCGTCATCCATGAGCGGGCTTCGGCTGCGGTCATTGGGGTCGTGCTCGGAGTCCCCAGATAGCTTGTAGAGGAGGTACAGAATGCCCCATTTTTGCGAAAGGACGGGCTGGGTCAGAAGCTTGGAGTACAAGTTTGAGAACTTGACAGCCAGCTCGGGGCTCGCATGCTCGCGTCGCAATTTGCGCTTGATCAGGTCGGCGGCATTGTTGACGTTGTCGGAGATAGTGCCACGGCGGCCACCTGGGGAGGCCGCGTCGGCCGGATTGGTAGGGGCATTGGGATGGGTGTCGAGGATGTGCCAGGCGTGTTCAAGCTGGACAGCATGGCGGCGTTCTTCGGCGGCAGCGAGGGCTTCGTCGACATCGGAGAGGTCATCGTCTTGGAGGGCGGTGATGGGGAGCGGCGGGGTTAGGGAGTCGACGAGTTGCGAGAGTGCATCGTCAATTCGTCGTGGGCGAGCAGGCTGCCGGGTCGAGACTGACATCCTTCTGCCCTAGGCCCCAGTAGAGAGACTAAACGGGCTTTGTGGCGGTTACTTTCTGGAGGCTCGTCGCGCCGAGGTTTGTTTCCTTCAGTGTATGTGGGTGCCCAGTTGGGCCACAAGGTCGAGGGTTACCGCTTCGGTTTCGAAATAGAGCAGATTGTTGGCCTCTGTTATTTGCAAGACGTCAATGCCCCCGGTCTATGCAGGGCTTGTTCCAATTACCGCAGCCCTAGTACCTTAAGTGATAAGAGTTCATGCGGCTGCCGGGGTCGTGTTTGTGATGTTTGGGGTGTTTGCTACGCGTCTCTTATCAAACGTTATCAGCCAATAATCCAAGTCTACACATTAAAGTATACTCTCCTCTCCAGGGCATACTTGATAGGTATTTAACAACGGGTTTTGAATGCGAATTTGGATTCAACTGCAGAGCCACGTTTTCAATTGCTCAGAGATCCCAAATCAAGGAAACTAATCAAACAGAACATCACGAAACCACCTAGAACGCCACCTAGAAATCATTTCTCTCAACGAGCAACCCGATTCGAATCGAACGAGAAAGGAGAAGACAAGCACCCGCGGGCCCTCCAAGTATTAGACAAGCGAAGAGAAGAAGGGACCATTTCCCATAGGGCATCAAGAAGATATTAAGAATGTGAGGACAAAAAGGATCGAAAAGAATACAAACGGAGGAAGTTGGTGAAGGAAGCCGTGAAAAGAGAAAAGATACGTTGAGAGCCATCAGAAACCAAAGCAATCCTGAAGCAGCCGCAATAACCTCAAGACGCCAGAATGACGCGCCCCTCGAGACTGGATGAAATCCATTTTGGTGCAGACCATCGGGTTTCAGCCCGCCAATCTTAAATCGTGTGGATCATAAACACCTGCCAATGCCATGTGCCAGCGAGGATTTCGCCGAAGCACTAAAAAGAGTGCCGGAGAAAGAACGTACATCTCCGGCAGAAAAAAAGTGAGCCGCCTAGTCTAAGCAACGGCCTTGTTAAGCCATGCTTGCGGTCGAGCAAAGATGAAAAGCTCTATCCATGGAGGAAGAAACGGTCGGGGCTAGCCCTTATGCCCGACGCATGCCTTGAGCAGGAATCGCACCAGGCTGCATGCCCATACCCCCGGGGATGCTATAGCCATGGTGGTCGAAGCCGGCAGACATTCCGTTCATCATCAATGGGCCAATGCCTTGGGCCTGGGAAACTGGGCAGTCTTTGTGCGCTAGCAAGAGGGTCTTGAGGTTGACGATCTCTTCACGGAGTTGAGTGACCGTGGCTGTCAGAGCATCATTCTCAGTGGTAAAAAGCTCAACCTTAGCTTGGAGGTTGGCCAACCATTGCTTCTTTCGCTGACGACATTTGAGAGCGGCAACACTGGATTTAGACTGTTAGCAAACTGCCCCCAAAAAAAAAAAGGCGGGCCGGGGTGGATCCGTAAAGCATACCGGTTACGCTCCAGGAAGTTCTTTCTCTTCTCATCATCGGTCATCTTCTTCGGGTCTCCTCCTCCAGTCTTCATCTTCATGTCTTCCTCGTCGGAATCCATCTCGGATTGTGGTTCCTCCGTAGCGGTCTTCGCCTTCTTATTCGGTCCCTTGGCCATATCATCCGCCTTACGTCGGTTGTTTGCGGGGGTAGACGCTTTAGCATTCTTTTTGCCTTTACCCTTAGCAGCAGGCTTCGCCATCTCCTGCTCCGAGCCATCCCCACCTGTGCTGGTGCCGTTTGTATTCTGTGAGACGCGACGAGCTGCTGCGGAACGAGTTTCGTTTTGCAAGGCACCCTGGTTCATTTGCTGCATGTTGTTGTTCTGACCACCCTTCGCGAGCATGAAGAGACCGTTGGCGGCATCAGCGGCATCGTGTTGGGTGAACTGATCGGCAGCTTCCGGCTGGCCAGGTTTTACATCCATGGTTGCGGCGCCTTCCTGTTCATTACCGTTGGCGTTGCTACCCTTCTTTGCGGCCAGCGCGGTACGGTGGAATTCGATCGTGGATGGGGTCGCGCCTCCACCTTGGAGTTGCTGCAGCAAAGCCTGTGAGTTTGGGCTTGGGGCAGGGAACATAGAGCCCCCACCACCAGGGGTCAAGCCAGTCCGGAGGGAGGATTCGTTAGGGGTCGGGAAGCCTCTGCCGATACTGTCGAAGTAATCATTTGATCCAGTTGGGCCGGGAAGCATGGCGGGGCTCAAAGGCCCGGAGCGCAGAGAGTTGGACCAGTTGTAACCACCGCCAGAACTTGAGCCGCCGAGGGCTGGCGATGCGAGGGCTGCGACGGGTGGCAGCAGCGACTTCCCGGGGGTATCGCCAGAGTTCCCGCTGAACGATTGCTCAAACGGGTTGGGCTCCAGTGAGAAGGGGTTGTGAACCGAATTGAAGTAGTCGGGGGTGTCACTGGCAGTAGTCGCGGCGGGTCGTGGGGGGGGAGCCAGGGACGTTTGGCTCTCATTCGGCTTCTCTGCTGAAGACGCGACCTGCGAGTCTATCGAGCGAGGATTAGTATGCATGCGACAAGGACGAAATGACTGAGCGCAATGAGCGCATGTGTAAAGGTACCAGTTGGGCTCCGAAATCGAGTGGCTTTCATTGTAGAGAGGAGTGTGGAAGATCGATGACGCCAGTTGTGAGATCATCTCAACGGAAGAGGACCTGGTTAAAAGTATCAGGTGCCTCGGTGGCGATTGACCTCGCCAAAAGGGGGGTTTCCGGGCAAGGCGTTTAATGGATCATCCACAATCCTCCCACAGATTCCCACATATACAATACTTTATGTATATGATGGAAGGGAGGTGGTTGAGTGCGTTGTTCATTTTTCTATGGTGCCGCAGGGATGGAGATTTGGGGGTCACGGGCGCTGCCTCACCTTCTTTTGAATTTTTCTTAGAATCCATGGTGGACAATGTATTCGAAATGGTCGACACGCTGGGGGCAACAGCGGCAGACATTATCGTGAAGTCGAGCACAAGAATTTAGCGGATTGTACACGGCGAGAGCGCGATCTCCGTATAGGGCACGGTGGCTGCAGCGTCTGGAAAGTGAGAAGAAGGAAAGTGACGTAGAGGCGGAGGGGGATGACGACAATTTAGCCCTGGGGGGAGCAAAACGCTTAAGTAACGAAAGTAACGCGGGAAATTATGGATCTTGGAAAATAAACGAAATTAATGATTGGAAATACTCCAGATTCGGGCAGGATACGGCTGGATTACGAACAAATACGTCCAGTGGGTCGCCCCACGGGCCCTGTTTTGTATTTTGCGGTCTCTGTATGCTGTTCCATTGGTTACCGTTACAGTGCTGACTCAGGCGACGCGAGTCGTGTGAGATAGTTACTGGGTCCATTGCCACTCTGAACTTGGAGTAGCATCAGGTATCCAGTAACATGGTCTCCTAAAAGTCTAGGGCACCTCTGCGAATTACATTCAACTCTTAGGATACATACCAGCCACCTCCTATCAATACAATTTCCGCGCTAGGGGAGTGCGCGAGTGCATACGACGCGCTGAAAAGGATCCGTACCGGGAGCTGTAGCCGGTCCTCCACCCTTCAACCCATAGTATCGTACCGGACCAAAACCAGTTGAACAGCTCTACTCCAAGTCTGGACCGGTCGTGCATGCAGATCCGACTCCAGTTTCTTTCTCCTGTTTCGTGCGATCTCAAAATGAGACCAATCTAGGAGATTTTGAGTCCTCACTTGTGAACACCTGGACCGTGTCAACCCTGCGTACATACAAGTAGACCGCGAAACTGCGACTGTACTTCAATGGGGGGCTCGCGGGGTCCGGGTGTCAACCCTGGAGACAGACAGGTTGGGGTCTGATACGTCTCGGTCCAATCCCCATCATCGAATATGACGGAAAAGCGGGGAATGCCCCCCTCCGGCAGATACCAAAAAAATTTTCGCTCCGTAATTTATTGTTCTCGAACAGACAGGTTTTTTTGGAGCAAAGGGTGAATCCGAGCACTTGGACCTCTAAACCCCCTCTTCTGTTCTCAGATATCATTGGCACAGTGAGATTCTACGCAGTAGATAATCCTGGGGCTGCTTTGACAAAGAAACTTAGTATGTCAAGTATCAGATCGAGGTCTGATCAATGGCAGGTCCTTTGAGTTCAATGATTTCACGATGACGGAGCTAGGAATCCAAACGACCCACTAGAGTGGATGCGCCGTGATGTCAGCCAATAAGAGGCGATATCGCGACTCCTCGAAGACTACGCATTGGAATGCAAGCGGTGAGGATGATGACGCAACCCACGTGAACGCAGTCCACAAATTACGGATGACGTGTGTTCCGTGGAACGAGCCCAGATCTGTCTCACGATAACAGATAAAGGTAAAAATGCTAATTGATCATTGTTGATTGTTGATTCGAGGGACACGTATAACAAGAACTTCCTCCATGGACTCCTGTCTCCTTAGCGTAATATCACACACCGTCACACCAATCAAGCAGCTCTTCCCGTCCCAGATAGATTCGCTTGTAAGATAAGGCATGTTGGCCTCTTCAGGGCACTCAGGGAACGTGTTGTGGATGCCGCTACTAGTATGCGAAGGCTCAATGCTGATATTAGACCGCCCCACTGTTTCAATCTGCGATGGGTAGATTGGCTGGGTATTATGCCCCGTTCTGCTTTGTAGAGCCGCCTCGCATGTTGGCCCATGATGTTGCGGCGTTCGAGGACTTAAGCCTCTCCCGGCGCTTGGCTTGTTGCGGCGCTTCCGTTTTTGGCTTGGTCTGCCAGTATCACTTAGTTGAAAAGCTCCGAAAGGAATTTGGAGGCGATGGGGGAATTTGACGAATACATCAGCAGTGGAAATGCATGTTTTGACAGTAACGAGAAGTCATCCGCAGTACGGCGATATATCATTAGGAAGGGTTACAAACAAAAGGTTGGCTACTTCTTCCAGGGTCTGCAGATCAACCAGCTTTGCCTTGGGAAGTGGGCAGCTGGAAACAGGTAGTCTGGCCTCGAAGAATGGAGAGAAAGGGCGCTACTTGAAAGGGCTGTCGTTCGAGCCAGCCTGATATATAAGGGCTTGAATGTGTTGCTCCTAGGATTGAAAGCTATTATAGTCGAAGGGCCATGACTGTAGCCTGCGCAGCTCAGAGCTTTTTCGTCGCCCTGATGCACTACTTTGCTCCAAACTGATATCGCTCTAGAAGGTCACTGACGTCTTGTGCTCTCTGAGAGTCAAGGATACGCGAAGTTCCCGTTGAATAGAGCTTTTCGAACTCTGCCGAGTACGTGACTAGCGGGAGTCGGGCAGTGTAAGCGGACGGAGCTGAATGGACCAATGTGAAAGAAGAGCAAGCCCGGATGGAATCAACTATCTTCGCCTGTCGCACGAATTACTCCTATCTGAGAGGCGGAGACGGATATTCACCGGCAAGGAGCCTCCCGTCTGGTCTGTGGAGCTCAGCCCCCTATTATCCGTCGAGATCGAAGCCATAGGCAAAGGTTATAAGGAAGTCGGCAGAACTGCCAGACACTGCTACCATGGCTAGTCGTTCCCTTTATTACAACAGACGCATAGCACTCAAGAGATATACCTTCCCCTCCATACATTAGGCTTTCCCACGCGCCATCCTGGAACATGTCCGTCACTGCCTTCCCTATTGAAGCCTTCAGGCCATGGCAACCCTCACGGCCCAAGCTAATCCCGCGACGACGCCCTCCCCATCCCATCATCACAAAGCCCCAGTTCCTATCAGAAGCAGCCCTGCCCCTCCCTGTGCACTTCATACCCCTGCTCCTCCGTCTAGGCTAGATAGCCAAAACAATTCACAACACCGCCTCCCTACACGACCACCTGCCGAAATTCATATACACAGGGATCCTCGGTCAGATATTCGGCAGAGTACATATTCTGAGCTCAGTAAGGGGCCGGCCCCGGCCTCCGACGGTTCAAACGAATTATCTCTCACAGAGCCCGATAAATTGCCTACAGTTGCTGCGATACACACCACAACGTCACTACAAGCGTAAATACAGCGTACTTCCCCGGTTTCAGACCTAAATCACCTCGGTAAATGCCATTACGACCGATATTTCTATCGGATCGCGGCGCTCTATTTATAGAGCTACTAGATACCGCTCTCCATCGGAAAATCCGGCAAGCTTAGCATAACGATCGCTAAGTCTGTATAAGCCGACGGCTATGCCGATAAGCACTAAGTTTCCGTTCAGAGTCGAGCCATCCCTATCAAAACATCTGAGAGAGCGATACCCTCTAATCCAGTCAACAACCGATAATTTATCCATATCCCGAACTACCGATAATACCGCACAGCATATTCGACAATAACCACTTCTCTCTTAGATTAATCGACGAGGATAGGCCAGCTACTTATCGTCCGTACAGTAGACACTCCCAAAAAAACACATTCAGGTAATAATACTAACAACAACCTTACAATAACAACATCAACAAAGCAACGATATACGCTCAGGTCAGCGGAACTTTGTTTCCCCAATGCCAAGTCCCAATTTTGCCTATAGGGCTGGATTTTCTGTTTAGGCTCATGATAGCGATATTTCTCTCTACCCAATATGCTTGTTGTTTCAAGACCAAGAGAATTCGTTCGCAACGCTTCGATCCCACTCGCTGCCTGTGCCTAGTGAACATTTACAACTCCTTACTTGACTGTCCCTGGGCAATGCAAGCCTAGCCTGATCTTCCGAGAACTGGAACGATTGAGACCTCACTAGACACAGGAGGCAGGTTTCTTTTCAGACAGATTTTCAGACGGGGGCGGGCCAGGGAGCGAGCAAGTTGGAAATCGACTCGAGGTTCCAGGCCTGGAACACCACCAAATCCTCTCAATTTCCTCGACGTCACTCATCAACTAATTACAATAGTCTTCGAAAACGCAATTCAACGAGTCCATAGGTCGAGATGGATATCAGCATCAGTTTATCGAACATAGTTCGTGGCCTAGTATAGATTGAATCAAGTCTTACCTTAGCCCTTCACACTGGCTGTTCTTTCCACCGAGGGGTCCAAGTTTATATCGATTGACAGTAAAGGCGAGCCGAATAACGGGAATACCATTCGCAACATTGTCGAATCAGTTTTATGTTGCTGAAGGAATCCGAGCAGTTCAGCGAGTGTGAGATCAACAACCGTTGGAGGAGGAGCAGAGTCGCTATGTATATTATTCCTGTGAACCATTAGCACCTCCAGTTACGAGTGGCCCTATCAGGAGCTTGCAGCTGTATACGTTTCAAAGTGAGATTCACACTGCAAATCTCATCGGCTTTGAGGAAGAGACCGTGTGGCTATTGATCTGCCCTGCCGAACCATTGATGAATTTCATAACTTCCTAGTAAATTATCTTTCATGGTGATGTAGCAAAGTAGTGCCTGGTAATTAAACAAAACGGCAAGATGGCCGAGTTGGTCCAAGGCGCACGGTTCAGGTTCACCTGATCCACACATCCGTGTCTCGATTTCGGGGCGTGAGTTCGAATCTCACTCTTGTCAAATTGGATTTTCTTTTTCTTTTTCCCGTATATAAAGCTCCATCTTTCAAGTTCTGCACCCTCCAATTTTGCCATTGGAAGACGAGATTGCTTTCAATGATTTTGTAAGCCAGTCAACAGAAAAACAACCAATTTTGGAAATGTATTGTGCAGAATATTTATAAATACAGTCTTTTTCACCTAGCTATAACTACCAGACATTGAGACTAAATCATACATTGTGCGCAATGACCGGTCATGGGCGATAATAGCTCCAGGACTGCACGAAGGTCTAGGCGCAGATGACCCGCTCAATAAACTAATGAAAGCTAGCACGAGCCCCGCACCGTACAATCCACCCACCCAACTCGGCATGACCTCGATGCTTGACAGATTGTTTACTTGTGATTTTGCGAACGTGTCGCTACCAAGTATCCGGGGGCTTGGTCCCTGTGAGCGATGCGGTGGTCATTTCTGCTCAACCCATCACCGCCCGCCATTTCATACTTGCGATCACACAGTACGTCCTATCACTAAACACAAACTTAAATGGGTTCTGACAACACTTAGCCCCTTCCAGATGATTTATTTGAAGCCAACGTACATGCTGAAGTGAAGAATATTCGTGCCAAAATCAACGACAAGGCTGTTTGCGAGCGTGCATCAGAACTAAACGGCGGTGTCCAGTGCCAGATTGAGCACCCACCAGCATGGGGACGCGAATCCCTCATGGGCTGTGCTAACTATCATGCTCGAATCCGCTTCACCAACAACGGCTCTGTTTGGCTCCTTCGAGTGCCCCGAATGAATGGCAGTATCCCTCAATCACTTGTCAACTACCTAATTCGCAGCGAATACGCGACTCTCAAATTCCTCGAAACGACCAAAGTACCTGCTCCTCGGGCTTTCGATTACGGGATCCTGGGCGAGGACGAAAACCAGGTGGGCGTGAGCTATATACTCATGGAAGAAATGCCTGGCAAGACTTGGAACCTGCAAGGCCCCGGTGGGAAGCGCTTTGCAGATGAGAAAGACAAGGAAAGGATTTGGAACGGCTTGGCAGATATCCTGATTGAGCTCAAACACCATCCATTCTCTGAAGCTGGGTCCCTCCTCCCCGGCCCTTCGGCTTCCGAGCCAATAGTCTCAGCAATTGCTAGTGAGCGATTTCTTGTTCTGAGTCCTTCAGGGCCGTTTGATACATCCAACGACTATTACACTTCATTCGTGGAGCAAAACATGGCCTTGATTTCTGATGGCCAGCTTTTCGCATCCTTTCCCGCAAATGCCTATATAGTGTTTTCCTACATGAAATCTCAGCTAGAGGTCGCGGCAGCGAAACCGAAACATGATTCAGTGGAAGCTACAGAGCAATTCTACCTCAAGCATGTGGACGATAAGGGAGATCACTTGATGGTGGACGACGAGTTGAATATCGTTGGAATCATAGATTGGCAAATGGCTCGCGTTGTCCCAGCTGACGAAGCATTTGGGCCGTCTTTGGTGACAGCGGAAATGGACGGCAATTACAATGGAACCTCATCCTTGACTGTTCATGATCTCGTGTTAGCTCGTTTCTTGAAAGCTAAGGGGGCGGCTGATTTGGCTGACATTATGAGCGGGAATGAAAGACTACGGAGATTCTTCTTCGGTCTTGATGTTGATCTTCCTTGGGAAGAGACGCTGCTACTCATTCGGGGTATTTGGGCCGCATTTGGCGTCGAAAAGGATACCGAATGGAGTACTTGGAAATGGACATGCTTGAAAAATACAACCAAGATGACCGCCTTCAGCACATCCTGGATAGATTTGGAGCAGGCCCGTGACATAATGCAATTATGCTTGTCTTTGAGAATGGATATCGGATATTGTCGTTGTATGGCTATGTTCAACTAACACCAATCGCACCAATTGCACAATCCCACACATGAAACCTTGTCACTAATAGAAGATCTCCAGTTATGGAAGACTGTGGATAATATATATGGAGTCGTACTGTGTCAACCGAGGCGGGTCACCGCATACCAAGGACTACGTGCGGCGCACCTGGGGGCAAAAGTTCGTCAAGCAGTGCCTCCGTGCATGGTTAAAACTGGTCAGAGAGAAGATGAGAAAGCAGGTGATGGAAAGTGTCAACACATACTGAAAAAGGAATGGTCAGACCCACCGACTTGCAGAAACGATCATGAGCTTGAATTTGTTTCCAGAGCGTGTTGTTACAGTGAGGATGAGGTCATTTACAATAAACGTAGAAAGAATATCTCCTCGTGCGTGGGATCGTCTTAACGAGCTCTTAGGTTAACAAACAGTGGCAACTGGCTAAACAGAGGGCTCCCACAAGGTATCAGCCTGTGCCTTAGCGCGGGCGTAGAACCTTATATGAGCATAAGGCCCTGGAGAGTAAGCTTAAACCACACTACCTAGGTAGGACAGGATTTCAACAAGATGGATAAACGAAAAATTCACGAGTATGCATAGTATTGTACAGCAAAATCGTCACTGTCTGCAGGAAGAAAAGATCCTCATTTCTTCACAAAAGTTTTCTCCACCTGCCCCTCGTCTGAGATATGGTTGTACGGTCGATCATAGCGATTTTCCATGTCTGCATTGTGCCGCTTCACATCATGTGGCAGATCCTCCTTGAGTTTCCCATCCATATCAGCCATCGGCGACACTCTTCCGTCATTTAGAGTGGGGTGCGCCTTGTTGGAGGGGATCGGGTGATTTGGAGACTTGTCGTCCTTAGCTGGCTTCTGTGACGACTTGTCTTCGTTGCTGGATTTGGAGGCGCTTTGGGCGAATGATCGATGGCTAGGGAGAGTGATTGTAGATCGTGGGAGGGAGGCGCAAGCTGGGAGTCGTTGGATTCTTCGTATAGACATCATTGTGGTTGTAGCTCGTTATTACCAGATTAACGGGACACCTGGACTTATGTTGGTGTTGTTTAATGAGCTGGGAAAGATAGACCAAGAAGAATATTAGGACAGCTTGGGATATGAATTCTAAATCGAGATTCTGGTTTCGAGGTCGCGCACGGGGTACTCCGTACATGATTGCCCCTAGTTAAATGCTATCCATACCCGATGACGTAGGCTAGTGTCATTTCTTGCCACTGTCCATAACCTGATATCCGATAAGGATCAGCGAATCGCAACCGCGATAAATCTACAGGCTCCTGAGCTCGAACGCGACCGTTATCGTTGCGGACGCCAAGAGCAACTACTTCGTGTTCTTCGTTGCGGTGTTGCGCATCCACGAAGAAGCCAGCGATGAGACCCGCATCAGCAAAAGCGACGTACTGCAAGATTCGAAGAATTTAAAAAGGTAATCCGAAAGCTGAGGGTTTAGCTTACCATAATCCATATTGTTCGTAGTGATTTGTAGAAGGCCTGCTGAGCTGCAGCTTTGGGACTCGCGGGTAAAGAGTTGATCAGCTCGATATTCGCAATCGCGCCGCCATCTGCAAGCTAACTAGCCAATTCTTTGCCTAGCGCTGCAATAAGCTTGGGCCCCTCGAGCGCCATCTGATCCTGGAAAGCCACTGCGCCGATCACCACCGACACTGCTGAGGAGAATTTCTCACAAGACCGATCGATGCTGTTACCGTTACAGTGTTTTCCGACCCGACGACAGCTTGGAGGGCCAGCAAAGGCCCTTCGAAGTTGAGCCCCACGCCAGCGCCATTTATGATTTAAAATCCAATGATCTTGCCCCAGTTGGCAGTTCCGTCGAGTCTGACAAGTAGGCCTACGCCTAGTGTCAAGAGAACCAAGCCCGCCCACATCGCGGGTATATACTCGCCTCTTTTCTGAATGAAAACTCCCGTCAAGGCAGCAGATATCGATATCGAGATGATAAGGGGTAGCGGATAAACGCCCGACATGATAGGACTCACGCCGAGAACACCTTGGAAATAGAGTGGCAGGTAATAGGACCGACCTAGGAAAATAAAGCCGTGGCAGAAACCACTAAGAATGAAGCAATTCCCGACCTGTCGGCAAAAAGGACCAGCGGGACAATTGGATACTTCAGTAATTTCCACTCATTAAAAACGAACAGAGCGGCTGTCACTACGCTGAAAATAATTAGGCAGAGGACGGTAGCGGAGTCCCAGGGATGGGTCACGCCGAAGTCGAGGCCAAGTAGTAACATTATGGGGCTTCCAATGACAAATAAAGATCCTGTCCAATTGACAGCCTTGATTCCAGTCCACATCGGCGTCTGTGGTATTTCGAGTTTGAGGTAAAGAGCAGAAGAAAGAAAACAAGACTGGATATGGGCACTGCGTGAAATACCATGTTAATGGAAGAGGAGAGAAATTCAGAATGACACCACCACATACGATTGATCCAGAAGCACCATTGCCAGCTATGTTTATTGAATGCTCTGAGTAAGTTGTCGAAGGTGCCGTTTATAGCTTCTCATGCCCAGGTGTGTAGCCGCATAGTGCAAGTTCAAGCGCGGGTGCTTGAACTTGCATCTGTAAGCGGGACTCGGAAGGCCCCAGAGCCGCCGTCAGTGGGATCCATTGTGGAAGACCGTACGCGTCTATAGATCGGTATGCGAAGTTCGAAGAGGAGATCGTTTGAAACATGATGGTTCTTGCTAGTTCAACTGAAAAGGATATCAGCTATTAATGGTCAACATATATGGGTGACTGAAGGGAAAGTAAGTGAAGCTCCTCAGTCGAATCACAAAAAGGAGTATTGCGAATGCTTTCATCACCGGAGCTCAGAGAAGGAGACAGGGAAGGGAGGCAAAGTCCTTTCTAAAGGAGAGTTCCTCGTATCACAATAGAAATAATAAAAGATATTGTGAATGTTTTCGTCATCGGAACTCAGGGAAGGGAGGGAAGGGGGGAGGACGAGGTAATTGTCAAAAAGAGCTCCTCAGATCACGATAACGACAATAAAAATAAAAGATATCGTGAGTGTGTTCATCACTGGAGCTCAGAAGAAGGGGAAAGGGGCAGGGAGGGAAGGTATTTGCCGAGAGAGCTCCTCAGATCGCAATAAAAAAACATTGTAATCATCACCGGAATTGAACTCGACGGGAATGCGACTATATCAAAAGTAAGCGTGGAACAACATGAGGGGGAGGGGCATACCGCTGGGGACTAGTTTGTAACAAGCTCCTCCGTTGATTCAAGACAGCGGCCCCCAGTATCTTGAATACTTATCCATCATCGGAGCTAGGTGGGTGACGAGGATCTATATGAGGAGTTAGCATGGAACAACATGAGGTGGAGGGGGTTACCGTCGGGGCTAGTTTGTAACAAGCTCCTCCGTTGATTCAAGACAGCGGCCCCCATTATCTCGAATACTTATCCATCATCGGAGCTAGGTGGGTGACGAGGATCTATATGAGGAGTTAGCATGGAACAACATGAGGTGGAGGGGGTTACCGTCGGGGCTAGTTTGTAACAAGCTCCTCCGTTGATTCAGGACAGAGGCCCCCAGTATCTTGAATACTTATCCATCATAGGAGGTGGGCGGAGCGGCACCGAGTGTTGAGGGTCGCGAGGAACTGTAGCAAAGTTAGCATGAAGAATCAAACAGAGAGGGGAAAGTGGGGGAGGAGGGGAGGAGGGGAGGGAGGCAGCTCCTCAGTTTATTTAAGATAGACCAAGCTATATTGAATAGTCATCATTGGAGCTGCGGTGGACCTGACACAAAGTTAGCATTGGAACAGAAAATAAAGGCAAAGAGGGGGAGGGGGATGGGGGCTCCTCAGATATTGCAAGATAGGCCAAGCTATATTGTATAGTCATCACTGGAGCTTCAAGGATGGATCTATAGTAAAGTTAGCATAAAGTCGAGCAGGGGGGGGAAGAGGGCGGCTCCTCAGTTTATTTAAGATAGACCAAGCTATGTTGAATAGTCATCATTGGAGCTGCGGTGGACCTGACACAAAGTTGGCATAAGGTCGGCCAGGGAGGGGAGGGGGATGGGGGCAACTCCTCAGCTGATCCAAAATAGACCAAACTATCCTGAACAGACATCACTGAAGCTTCAAGGATGGCCCTGCAGCAAAGTAAGTATAAAGTCAAGCAGAAGGGGAGGGGAGGGGACGAGGGGCGATTTTTTGTTTGATCCAAGGAAGAGGTCCCCCGGTATCTTGAACCCTTGTCCACCATCAGCGATGGGAGACGTGCCAAGAGAAGGTGGCCTCGGTATGGCCTCGGAGAATTTGAAAAGAAAAAAGATGGAGGGGGAAGAAGAAGAAGAAAGAAGAAAGTTTCGAGGGGGGGGGGGGGGAATTTATAATTCACAACATGCACAGGATGCGCGCACCACCGCTGCGACGACATCATCGCCGACGACATCATCGCCGACGACATCACCGCTAACATAAGCGACGGTGATGTAGACTGGGCATGTGTGAGTTAACAAGACATTTCTAGCGAAAGACCTACCTGCCTACCTGCGCGAGGTGCACGACATTGAGGATAACATAAGTACTACAACAATGAATAGATGCAATTAGTATGCTTTCAAGTTATTTTGTGAACATTATTGAAAGATCCTATATCAAGCATTGGGCTATGTGATCTCCATTTAGTCTGTCAAGTTCTACAACAAAGCAATCTGTTTGGTTTGTACGCCACCAATGTACTAGTAATGAATATCCTATGAGCCTTATGGTGGTTTTAGCTAGAAGATGATCATGGACAGCCTCTTTGTGGTGTTCCAGGCACACATAATGAATATCGACTACAATTTGTGGATTATACTTGAAGAAGAGCCCACCCATTGATCGCGCGGAGACTTGAAATTTGGCAAGCGTTCATGATTTCGATGTTCAGAAGCTTGGGGGTTTAACGTGGAGTTGAAGTTTATTTAACGACCTCGGGCCTGCGGTCGCGTAGGAACAAGAAGATTGGCAATTGTTGACATATTTGATCATTGCAAATAGCAGGGCTACGAGGAAGTGAACTTGGTACGGCGACATGGGCCATGTGGTCGCGCCGAGACATACATATCAGCAATTTTGACACACCCGCTAATTGGAAATTTTAGGGCTTACGTGAAAATGAACTCCGTATGATCACCTCGGCCATGGGGTCGCGCCAGACCCAGCGGGAACTCGAATAGAGGCAAACGTTGACGTACTCAATAGTTGGAAATCTTCGTACTCAGATATTTATGTTACTAGCATTATATATTCATGTATTATGGATCTCGGAAGCCCTCGAAATAAGATGTACGTTTGTAATGCTTGCAGTATGAAGTCCACTTGCATCGCATAATACTATTGGTTGAGTCATCAGATACATAACACCTCTACTGCAAATGTAGCCCCTCAGCATAGAGGAGTTCGTGCATACTGGGTGGATATTAACTACATAAGTAAAGATGATTTGAACTTGAATACTTTGTGGCCATCAACTTGAAATAGCAAGAATAGAGATCTGCTGCCGCATTTTAACAATCACATACATGGCAGCGGGAACAATTACGATAGAAAGAATGCATTGGAGATACAATCCGGATTATTATTGCCGAAGAAATTCTTGTTCTCATGCTCCACGGAAGAGGGCAGCCAATCGTTATCATCTGCCCTAGAATCCACAGGTCCATCCACGCCTATATTGATGCCCAGGAAAAGGTGAAAAAATCAGATTCAAATACCAAGTAGCCAAGAATGCTTTGCTCCGATACTGCGACTCCAGTCGCTGCAAACGGGATCAGGATCTGAAAAAAAGAGCTTTCTTGCCGTGATAAACTGTATTTGATCCGGCTGGTAAGCCCGTTTGAGCTATCAATATAATATTGCGAATTGTGTGATGCTGTATTTTTCGTTCGCTTCTGCAGGGGTCAGTCGGTTCCTAGATCAGGTGTGTCCTGTGATCGTTTGGAAGACCACGAGGTCTGAATCGTAATAGTACTAATATTGGGATTGACCAGAGGCGCAGGGAGTGCCGAGAAATCTGACCGTCCCATTCAAGGACAGTGCTGATCAAATTGAGATAGGCACTAACGACTTGTGCTCTTGCAGTGGCGGTAGAGAGTCAGAAATTACGCAGGACCCGGCAAATGTATGATTCGGATTGTGGAGGAAAGGAAGTAACTTCGAGAGTTTGCAAGGAATGACCCGATCACCCAGGGGTGGCACCCAGGTGATCGAAAACGCAAATCAACATCTATCAGACAGGATGCTTCATAGATGACGATATTGTCGTTGATTCGGCTTCGGATGTCATATAGCATTTTCAATTCATTCCCTAATCTGACTATCTTGTTAAGCAGAAGCAGGATGGCCAAACTTTCCAGTTCTTGTGGAGTCACTGCGACAAGAATCCTCGGGTTCTGAGAAAGATTCATCACTACGATCACAGCTAGCAATCCAAGCATCATATATGGGCTCTGAGTGTGGCATGCCCTCGTGGTTGGTGATAACCCAGCGGAAACCTTCCAAAGACGCCGCACGGGGTGCATCCTTGCTCTGCAGGGTCAGGGTATGTCGGATAAACGTAGCTATAAGTATGATAATATTGTGTATTGAGTAATGACGAGGTAGCAGGGTCTCACCTTCTAAAATCCTGCTCATATAGAGACAAGCCATCTTCCAATCGCCAGGTCTAGGGATTGTAAACGAGACAGTATCTCGTGCAGAAATTATGCATACGCGTCCGTAATGCACAATTCTCCTCGACGGTTTCCCAAACAGGGTACTATGGTAAAAAAGGAAGACTATTATAGAGACCTCGTCCTCTGACACCAGGAGATACAAAAGCCTCCAGGCATCAATCCTTCATATAGCATTTCCCCTAAGATATCGCTTGTAGATTTACGACCACAAGCCGGAAATACCCATAAAAGACTACAGATAGGATATACAGGAGAACTCATTTGATCAAGAGGAGGCATCCCACTCCTTACGGGATTAGAAACTAATAGCACAAGCCTACTTAAGGCAGCTCCGATCCAGAGAAGCCGAAACGGTGGACGGCGCATACTACACATCAAGGAAGTAACTTCTTTCTACTATCGTCTCGTCTCGGCTATTGCGCTAGCTTTAGGAATCTCTCTTAAGACTGGATGTAACATCGGACTGACAAGATTGTACGCGACTTCTGGTTCCTAAAATGGGCCACAGAGATTGGACATCAGGATATTATACTTAAAACTCAGAGATATATAATAGGAGAGGTCCTACTGTATATTTGCTGACCGAATGTTGATTCAAAGAAAGCCCCGCCGGGTCTTTTCCCGGCATTAGTAGCGGGAGTTGAATAGCTACCTTGTACTGTGAATGTGTTGGAAACGTTAATACAGTAGAGCAAGTGGCAAAGAATTGGCTACCGAGGTCTTGCGGAGAGTAAAATTCAGCCAGAACTTCCAAGAATCACTGAAATAAAGGTGGCGCAGAAGGAACAAAGCCCTAATCTGTGGCACAGGGATCCTACCGCTTGATACTAACGCTAAGCGCACTTTCCAAACACATTGGCTAAGGTGAGACATGCGGTACCCTGATTTCTTAGTTACAATTGCTTTCCTTCCTTGGGATAGCGCTAGGACGGCTGCCCACTACCGAGCAGGTCTCTCGTCTACCCTGCCAAAGTCGATCTTGATAGAAGGCGTATCCTCTGCGCTTTGGTCCATCACATTCACGAAATTACAGACGACGCCGGTCTAACACGGGCAACAGGCCAATCTTCGATCCCAACGCACACTGCGACTTCGTCATTGATCGCAGGCGGCAATTGCTGTGTCCGCAAGCCGCTTCATTGCTTAAGTTCCAACGTGCTATGGCCGACTGGCCAGAATAACAGTGATCTACAACACGAGATCCTCATACCGGAGCTATCGGTCGTCAACATCTGGCTGACCTGGGGCTGTGTTCAGTTATCGCTTGGGAAGCGGAGGAGGGCCTGGGGCTATCTAGGTATAGACTATACTAATATAGACTTTGTAGACATATCAGACAACTATTCTGAGCATGATCTTGTGCTTGTTCCATATCTTAGTTGTCTTCATTTCGACCATGCTGAGGGCTCGGCGAAGTCAATAGTAGTGGCAGACCAATTTAGTCATAGTTTTGGGAAGCATGCGTGGTCGACAGTTGCAAAATTGAACACACGGTGATAATCCAGATATCAGTGCTATGAAGTCTTGCTGTCTCACATTGGACCCGGAACACCATACAAGGGTTTAGCCGTTCGCGGGAATTACCCTGTCGATCGCTCTGGATTCAGGGCAGTTACACACGAGCACGTCCTGTGGCAGGTCTGACGTGATGCTTGCGGAGGACAGCCCGTAGGCCAATCAGAGCGTCTGTAAAGCACGCCGGGAGCATGCCCGCCGCCTTACGTAACCCATCGATAAGCCGCGGTCCACAGCCGATCCCTTTGGATGGCGAATCTCTCTACGTCCGGTGAGTTTGACTTCACCAGACTCTCTATCCTCCTCGTCTCGGAAAATGATCTTGAATGCTCCGAGTTCGAGTGCACGACTCTAAGGATTCATTCTGAATTTCTCTCCTTCCCCAACGATGGCCTCTCTCCCTGGATATACTCCCACTGGGAGAACAAGATCCACTACTGATGGCGTCACTTCCGCCCCCGATGATGCTTCTAATCTGCACGGAACGCCTCATTCAGAACAGCTGGAGGAAGCCCCAACCGTCTTTCTCAACAAAAGCACGGACAATGCGGGGGGATATAACTGAAAAGTCTGTTGCCCGGCTCTCGCATTCCATGGATACGCAAGAAGAGCCGCGCAAATGCTGGATCTGTTACACCGATGAGACCGAGGAGTCGCCGCTGAATTCACAATGGCGGTCTCCTTGTCCGTGTGCCTTGACGGCTCATGAGGCCTGTCTGCTCGACTGGCTCGCCGACCTCGAGAACCCTCGTACCCGCAGGCGGAATGGCGGCGGCTCCAAGATGCAGTGCCCGCAATGCAAATCGGAAATTGTTGTCACGCGACCGCGGAGCTACATCGTAGATCTATTGCGGGTTCTCGAAAGGCTCGCTGGCCGATTAATACTCCCCGGTATGGTTTTCACACTGGCTGGTACAGTGTGGGCAGGGTGCTGTGCCCACGGGGTTTACTCGACATACCTGATTTTTGGCCCCGAAGACGCCAAACATATTATCGAAGATAGCATTGACGGCACTTGGAACCCGGGACTGAGCATGGGTCTGCCTCTCATTCCGATTGTTTTAATCTTCTCCCGCACTCGCTACGCCGAGGGTCTCCTCCCCGCCATTCCCGTTCTCTTTTTCGCAGCACACAGCCCGGGTCCTGAACCTGATTTTGACCTATGGCCGCCCACACCAGCAATGGCCTTTGCTGCTTTGCCCTATGTCAAAAGCCTTTATGGTGCGCTTTACGACCGTATGTTTAGTGGGTTGGAACGGAAATGGATCGCAGAAGTACAACCCCGCGCCGCGGAAGAAATCCTCGACGACGCACAGCAGCAGGACCAGGCGGAGGGGTTGCATCGCTTTGGCGACAATGGAAACGATCATGTTTTCATGGAGATCGATCTCGCGTTACAGGTAGGGGTGCCCAATGACGACGAGCCAGCCGACGCTCAAGCTCTACCTGCCGTCGAGAACAACAATGGCGCTGACGAAGCCGCCCAGGACGGCCATGCCCAACCAGAACAAAATCAGAACAATGGTCAAGGACTTGATCTCGGCCGTCGTCAGAACGAAATCATTGCGGACACTGGTAACATCGCCGAAACTGTGCTCGGAGCACTTGTGTTCCCGGCCATCTCTGCCGCGGTTGGTGGTCTACTGAAGAAAGTGCTACCAACGTCATGGACCACACCGACCACAGTCCTTGAGCGTAGCCGGCCAGGACTCCTTCAGACTAGATGGGGTCGGAGCGTGATTGGTGGATGCGCTTTCGTGATACTGAAAGATGCGCTTGTGCTCTACTGCCGGTGGAAACTGGCCCAAACTCATCGACGACGCAAGGTGCTGAACTACGATAAGAAAAAGCGGGGCTCATTGCGGGAATAGCGATTGTTCAGCGAGGATCAACTCTCTTGTATTACACTATTCGGGTTTTCCATTTGCATTTCCGGCGTTGATCATGGGGTCTCCTTGGGTGGGATGTGCCATTTGCACCGCATATCGCGTTTACTATGATACCTCACGACCAAGATGCCGCTCCGCTTTATGACCTTCTTCCCTTCTGAGCCGAACGATGAATACCAATTTGATCTCTGGGACTTGGATATCCATTCTTGTTAGCAGCGATAAGCTATCCCTGCGCATTATTTCGGAATGAATAACATTCATGGTGCGAAGAAAATTGTATAAAATGGTACATATTTTGCAACATTTGAATATCTTTAACAGGCGCTTTGAGTGGAATGATTTCAAAACTATTATTCAACGCTCCTGCAAGCTATTCTTCTCTATATTGTCACATAGTAGTAAGACGTAAATCTGACTGTAATAATAAGTTGTTAACTTGGCATATGGTCAGATTCTTCAGGAAGGCTCTATTAATTAAGGTCAAGGTTGAATGCAGACCGAAAGGATCTAACATCGTAGAGGCAATGACTGGGGCGATCACGGAGAAACTTAAGCGCGCGGCTAACTCAGGGCCGACTCGCTGGATTCTGCCGTCAAAGACTGCAGACCAATTCTCGCGTCCCCCAACACTCCAGTTACCCACCACAATGCGATCCCTATCACCACTCGCGTCGCTCGCGAATGTCTTCCGCATCCCAATGTCCATGGCCCCTGCTCGCCCGTCGGTGAGCCGAGCATGCCAGGAAACCCTCGCCCGAGCAAGCCCGGCGACCGGACAATCAGCACCCTTCTCTTCAACAAGCACAGTAGCGGCCCGACAAAGCAAAGGACCGATGGTCGATAAGCGAATCAGTATGTCTTCCCTATTGAGGCTACTGTGCCCCATGTTTCAGGCACTGTCAACCGGCAGACTTGTACTCTGCAAAAAATCCTCCCGAGTGTTTCCAAACGCCCAGAATCTCTATGCTAACCCTCTCCTCTCCCCTTTAGCCCTCATCCGCTACTTCCTTTACCACCCTCTCACCCCTCGCCCCCCTCCGCTTCTCTCGCAACCGCTACCTCCGCCACTGGACCATCCACCGTGCCTGGCAGCTTCTGCAGGCTAAGCAGCGCCGCAACCAGGAATTAGAGCTGCAGCGCCAGTACCAAAGCATGCACGCTGCCTGTGAGGAATTGCGCACCGGCGCCGGCGATGGCGGCAAGCTGTTCCGTGTGGCAATGAATAAGAAGGGGGTCTTCAGTGAGATGTTCCCCATCGAGTACGGGCGTATGCAGACCGATTATCCCCCGCCGAGGGTTGGAACCATGAGTGGAAACGCCCTGAGAAGAAGTACTAGGTGTTTGTTTGAGGATAGATATACCATGCGCTGATGGGGGTAAGTGTCTGGGTGGATCATGATGTCAGGAGGGCTTCGCCGTTGGCGCCGTGTACTTGTATTGCATACCACTTTTTTTTTCTTGTTCTTAGTATTTTGTCGAATCTGGCATTTTGGCCATTATGGCATACAAATAGAGAGCTGTCTATCAGTACAGATCGTTTGTCGAATAAATGAGGCGAACTAAGATGATAAATAATTTACAGGCTAGGGATTCAAGCTCTAGCTTGCGAAGTTCAGTCTATTTTCCGTGTGTGCAATCATACCAAATGGATGAATGAGAGCATATCATGATTTATTACAGGAAAAGGATAAAAAAAAATAAAAAAAAAATTCAAAGGAGTGGTATCCAATATGCATCAGGGAATATGTAAGGAGGGACAGGAAACTTGGTGCACTTGCATCAATTTGGAAAAAGGGCAAAAAGCTATCAAGAAAGGCATAGTAAAGCATGTCTGAAGGACAAAACAGACGTCACTCCGAGAGGAATAGAAGGGCAGAATAGACGACACAAGGACAAAGAGAAAGAAATGGCAATAAGAGTGCCAGGTCAAATGACCCTGCAAGTACAAATTGCCTCCCAGAACGCCAATGATGCATAGTACAACGGAGAGGTCGAGTGAGCAACTCAGCCCGAAGGGTAGATCAGATACGTCGCATCCCCGGAACCACAAGAGACCGCAGCAGTAAAAACAGAACCGAACTGAACGCTGATAGGAAAGGCAGAGGCGCAATGTCGCATGTTCACTCGAGGGGGAAAAAAAAGTCATTAAAGGACCACGCAGCAGGAGCTTTTGCGCTTCTCGAAGGTCAGCAGCGCCGCACGGGTAGCTGCTTCGAAGACATCATCGACGCCCTCGCCGGTAAGCGACGAGCACTCGAGGTATTTGCGGGCACCGACCTGAGCGCAGGTCTCGCTGCCCTCTTTGGTGGTGATAAATTTTAGGGACTTTTTGCGCATTTCTTCAATTGCGAGAGGATCTTCGCGGAGATCTTTCTTGAGGCCGACCAGGATTATGGGCACGTTCGGGCATCGCTCTTGGGCTTCTTCAATCCACTATTTATCATCAATGGTTAGAGGCTGATCGGGGTTGAATTTCCATGTTGCTTCCCTTTCCCCTCTCTCGTGGGCCCGGGAGCTTCGACGCACCTTGTGTTTCACATTCTCTAGTGAATCAGGCGAATCCACCGCAAAGCCGATTAAGATTACATGCGCCTTGGAGTATGCAAGAGGGCGTAGGCGCTCGTAATCCTCTTGTCCGGCCGTATCCCAAAGCGCCAATTGAACCGAGCGGCCATCGACGCGGCAGTCCGTTACGTAGTTTTCGAATACTGTAGGCACCTAGAGGGAAGTGTTAAAAGTGGGGTGGCTCGGCGGAAGAGAATCGGGGAGACGAACATAGTGCTATAAATAAACGAAGAGTTAGCATATCCTGAAATTATCTGCATGTGCAGGGAGAGGGGTCGACCAAGAGGAACTCACAGTTGGAAAGTAGCCGAGAGTGAAGACACTGAGCAGACTAGTTTTCCCGCAAGCACCGTCTCCGATGATCACGAGCTTCCTGCTTACGGTTTTATGATTAGCCTACGAGAATGGACGCCTCAAAATATAAAGCGCATTCCAGCGTGGGCCCAGCGGGGAACGGGGGGCCGACGAGGAAGACCTGAATCGGATCGGGCATGGGAGGGGGTGGGACAATAAGGAAACATAGGTCGCGCATACCTCCGCATCACATTATCAGCTTGTTGTTGTGCCATGGTTCAGGACTGGATGAGAGAAGGGAAAAGGATGGGCCGTTCAGCCTTATGAGGGTTGCGAGATTGAGTCCGGCCCAGAGGCGACACACGGGGCAAGGGTCAGGGAGAGCTCAGCTCGGGTTCGACGTGACGTCCCAAGGGTTTGGCCTGAGTACGCAAGAAGAGAATAAGGCGGTCGCGTTGTGGCTGAGGATTTGACGGCGACTGGGGCGTCGAGAAATGGACAGGGGGATGCGGTCTTTGGGAGTGAATTGGGGGAGGGGGGAATTTCACAGGTTGATTGGCCCCCGACGATCACGGATGATCTGATCCACTACCAGAAGCCTACAGGATTTACCCGCGGAAGAGAAAAGAGAATGGTTTCTAAGAGAAAATGGAATCTAAGTGAAAATGAGAGGAAATAAAAAAAGAAAGAAAGAAAACAAAAGAGGGAAGATACGAGGGTGAACGGGATGAGAATGCGGCGCTAGACCAGGATAATCCGGAGTGCTTGGGGAGCTGGGTCTAGGCTCGGGACCCTTCTATATGATTCAACTGTCACCAAGCCACGGGCTCGGACACAGTAGAATGGGCAAACTGCAGCAGATGCGACCTCAGGCTCATGGAAAGGGGCATGGATTCCAGTATATTCTAGCAATTTCGCAATCTGCGTTGTCGGGCTGAAGAGTTTTCGAGTTATTTTTATGCCATCGGATGTCATTAGCGCTGAACGTGTCTCACTGTGGAGAACCCTCCTGGCACCGGAAATCCAGAGTAATCTTTCCGCGGGTCTCAGCTCGCATATGCGGGACACTGCCATCCACATGTACAATCGCAGCATTTTACCCAATTAGTCGAATAGAGGTTCCCAATTGTTCATCAATTCCACTGGCAGTGATTTACATCTGACCAAGTATGTACCTGTAAATGCCGATAGACAGGGGACCTTGAGGATTGGGTATACTAGTATACTGTATGGAGAACATGCACCTACTCCTAGTAGCAAATCGGGAAGCATCATTGCAAGTACGTTCACAGCCCCAGTGTTTATCAACGGATGACAGCAACAACTGGGGTCAAGGGCAGAAACAGGCATGGAAGGCGGTATAGGTCACGTGATGAAGCGAATGCCATCGATAACTAAGGGCAGGCAGTTATAATTGATACGCGGCAGAATCGAGCTAACAAGTCCACTCGTATACAGAATACGGCCATCAATTGGCTGCTTCGGTCGACTATCTCATAGTAGTAGAACTGAGATTGCTCCATGTACAATCTGAAATTGTTTTGAGTAGACACGCTCGCTCGTAGGGACAATCTCAAGTGCAGGCCTTATATACCAGGCACCAGCTCGCTTGCGGCGGCTAACACATCCCATTGCGGCGGCACGACAACCAGCCAGAAGGCAGGAAAGCCCATCGTTCGACCATCATCATCGGCCTAAGATCTCGCCTTTGTGACCCGCGCTTTCAAGGGCTCTCTGACACGCCGACCCCGATTCCCTTCGACTGCTCCTTGTCATCCACAGATCTCCTTTCGACAGCCCCGGTCTGTCCTGCACGTCCTGCGCCGTCGGCTTTATTGGGCCTTTAAAAGACCCCCCTCCTCACGCCGTGTCCCAATCCCGCAAGCCCCTCGCCTTTGCTTCCCCTCGGCGCCCCGAGTAAACAACAAGGGGACTGTGTGAACCTTTTCTGTGGACCCGTACGCCGGGTTTCTATTATTGTAAGTGTCTGCATTGCATTGATCGGAGCTTTGTTGGTTCTTTCGCCCTCCCGTTCTCCGCTTTTGCCCTGTCCGCTCTCCTTCCACCCCCACTCACCCTGCCCTGCCACCCCTTCTTACTGACGACACCTGTGGGAAATAGCTACTAGCGGAGGTTCGACCTCAGCCTCCTGCCCAGCATGGCTACCCACACTTCCACCAAGCCCACATCAGCCAACGGCGACGCGCGGGGACCTTTGAGCAACACCGCCGGAGCCATGCCTGCACCACCACCTGTGAATCGCAAAAAGCAAAAACGCCGACAGAAGCAAGCCGCCAGATTAGCTGGTGAGACTTCGGATGTCCAGGCAACTAACGGAGCCGCTTCCCCCATCGACGACCGTCCCTCGAATGACCCTGATGTCGATAGCGCCGATCTCAACCATGCCAATGGCGATAATGTGTATCGGAATGGAAATCCAAGCACGCAGAACCACACGAACGGACCGGCTTCTTCGATTGATCGCGATGACCTCGACCACAGCCGATCGGGCTCGAAATCCAAGAAAAAGAAGAACAAGAAAGGTCGATCCGGCTCACACACACATGCTGACGGTAGCTCGACTCCTCTCTCTACACCTTCCGCCTCCTTCTCCCATCCGCCATCATCCCACTCTCTACCGTACCACAATCGATTCTCTTCCAAGTCCGGCAAGGAAAGCAACATTTGGAACCAGTCGTCGTTGGAGGAGCGCGAAAACATCCGAACTTTTTGGTTTGAATTAGGTGAGGAAGAGCGTCGCCAGCTGGTAAAGGTAGAGAAGGACGCGGTTTTGAAGAAGATGAAGGAGCAGCAGAAGCATTCGTGCAGCTGCTCCGTCTGTGGCCGCAAGCGAACCGCCATCGAAGAAGAGCTGGAGGTCTTGTATGACGCGTACTACGAAGAGCTCGAACAGTACGCAAACAACAATCAAGGCTCATTCGAAGAAGGCGCCCCCATTATCCCTCCACCTCGACTCTATCAACCCCCGCTCCGATCTCCCGGTCAGCACACACGAACGCACGGCCAGTACCACCCATCAAGAAGCCGAGTGGAAGAAATACATGAAGACGATCAAGAAGAGGACGAAGATGATTTGGAGGACGACTACGATGAAGAGGAGGAACATGACGAGGAGGAAGACGCTGAGCTGTACACTGACGACGAATTCGAGGACGAGGAAACTCGAGCAGCCCGAGCAGACTTTTTCGCTTTTGGGAACAGTCTCACTGTAAAAGGTACGCGATGATCTTTCTCTTGGGGTTCTTTCGAAAGAGTGTTGGTTTCTAATTGCTATTTTACAGATGGTATCCTAACAGTGGCAGATGACTTGCTCAAAAATGATGGCAAGCACTTTATTGACATGATGGAGCAATTGGCTGAGCGCCGGATGCAACGAGAAGAAGATACCCAGTACAACATAGCTGCCGCCCACCAAAACTTTCACGCCGATCACAACCACGGCCCTCTCGATGATGACTATGACGATGAAGAAGAAGAAGACGACTACGATAGTGAGGACGAGGAAGAGGAGTTTGACGAGGATGAAATGGTTAGCTCTCGTCAATGTCTTTTTCCTCATAGCATATTTATCTAACATTTCCAAGGATGCCATGACCGAGGAGCAGCGGATGCAAGAAGGGCGACGAATGTTTCAAATATTTGCCGCCCGCATGTTCGAGCAACGCGTAATGACAGCGTACCGGGAAAAGGTCGCTGAACAACGCCAACAGCAGCTCCTCGAAGAACTCTTAGAGGAGGAGAATCGAACAGAGCAACGAAATGCTAAGAAGGCACGGGAGGCACAGAAGAAGAAGGACAAGAAGCGTTTGCAGAAGCAGGCTAAAGAGGAGGAGAAGGCTCGTCGAGATGCCGAGAAAGCGGCTGAAGAAGCGGCTGCCAAAGCTGCCCAGGAAAAGAAGATGGAAGAACAGCGGCTAAAGCGTGAAGAGCAACGGAAGAAGCGCGAGGCCGAACGCAAGGCTCAAGAAGAGGAACGGGCCAAGAAGGAGGCCGAGAAGCAGAAGCGTCTCAAGGAGGAAAGAGAGCGCCAAGCCGAGATTGAACGAAAGCAGCGCGAGCAGAAGGAGGAGAAGAAAAGGAAGGAGGACGCCAAGCGCAAAGAGAAAGAGGAACGGGAGGCCCGGGAGAAGAAAGCCAAAGAGGAGTCCGAGCGGAAGTTGCGCGAGGAGCATGCAAAGAAGGAGCATGATGCTGCCGTCAAAGATGGACAAGAAGCTAGGGTTGGCAGTGGAAAGGGCGTGGTGGTTCAAACAAGGCCACCAATCCCTAATGCAGTTCCAGCTCCAGCTCCAGCTCCAGCTACTTCTGTGCATCCGCCTCTTCAATCACAGCATCTCCCCGGTCTTCTCAAGTCTCCACAAGCTAGCTTTAACCCTCCCAAGGTTGCTACTTCCCATGAGACCGCGTCAGCCATCACAACAAGGCTCTCACTCTTCATCTCCTCATTCTCAGACGACATCCTCGGAGTACCCCCTCCAACCATCGATCTCGCCAGGATCAATGATGCACCATGGCGCCATTGGGGGCAGGCCTGTTTCTCATCAACCTCCTCCTCTGCACCACCCTCAGCCTTCAGCTCCTCTATCGCCTCTGGGAAGAGCCAACCCGCCAGGCTTCTCGAAACTTGGAGGCCTGCCTGCAAACCCCCCCCGGGCTGCCGCCAATGGGCGGTCGGCCTCTCCATGCTGATTTGCAGATGTACTCTCCAAACTCACCCATCATGAACCCACTCCGTGGCTTCAATGGACCAAACGGGGTTCCCCCACCCCCTGGGATAAATGGCGGGCGCCCTGTTCATCCTGGTCGCGGATTTCCCCCAGGACCCCGGACATGGCTTCCCTTTCCCTGGAATGCCTGCTGGGTTCCCAATGCCACAGCCAGGTCTGAGCAAACCTCACTCGAGGCAACCGTCTGCTTCGTTTGACCGATCTCCATTGGATTCAAGCAACCAGCCGTTCCAGTTTTCGCGGCCTAGCCCTATGAAACAGCTGTCGAGCGATGCACAGGAACAAGAGGCTGGTCATACTCCGTCTCAACGAGAGGTGGACAGTCTGAGCACACAGCTGGGCAGCAGTGCACTTCTCGACGATATTGATCCTCAATTCCCGTCGACGCTTTCCCAGTCGCTGCCGCATGGTGGTATCGCTCCAGGACAATTCCCTACACCATCGAGGGCCAGCTTCCAAGGCTCCTCATTCTTCCCAGACCCGCTGGGTAAGTTCTTGATCTACTCCCCCGCTTGCATCTGACGTAACTTAACTAACTGGTTGATTTAGGACCCAAATCTACGAATTTCGCAGTTGGCTCCTCTGGCTGGGGCGCAGCCCCCTTTGGAAGCACCGCCTTCCCCAGCGCATCGACCTGGGGACCCACACCTGGTAGGAATTACCAAGACCCTGACGCTATAGAGATTGCCTTGAATTAACATCTCTCTTCTAGCGAGCGGCTGGCCGCACCCGCAGCCCCACAATGTCTTCGCAGCCGGTGGACATCTCCGCGGTCATACATCCCGACCCGTCACCATCCGTCTCCTGATGATCCAAGCTTGCAAGCATCTAAATGCTGTGAGTCCACAGTCTGGTTCAGGAGGCTACCATAACGTGGACGTGCTTCTGAGCCAAGTGGAACAGCTTCGTGCTTCTAGTGAGCCTGCTATCACATTGAACGAGATGCTTGAGATCTGCGACACAGAAGGCAATCATCAGAATGGCGGCGGTCAGTTCTCTGTCAAGGAAGAAGGAAGCACCCGCTATGTTAAATTCGATCCTGAGCCTAATAGCGCCGTCTCTGGCCACCGTGGCAGTCTTGTCCCTGGTGATATTGGCAGTCCAGTTCCTGGAAACAGCAACCCGGCTGCCTTTGGTGGGTTCAGCACTCACTCTGTTCTACGACAATACACCTCTCCTCCGGCTGGGATGTACGGGTCATAGTTTTGGACTCGGGGCCTCGTTCATCCCTTCCTCTCCCTTACCTCTCCACCCCCTCTTTTTACCTTTTCACGTCTGTCTCCTGATTTGAAGCGTCATGGGTTAACGTCACGTACGCACACACTGCGGAGTGGGTGCTATTTGAATGTCTGGGTTATTGCTGATCGGTTTCTTCTCGTGTGTTTTTTTCTTTCGTATTTTTTGCGGTCGGAAGGACTTGCGCCCTGGGCATGGGCTTTATCTTCTTTTTTTGTATACGGTATCGGCTTTCTTTGTTAGCTTTTGTCGGCCTTTCTGCATTATGCAGCGATATCCACGGAGCGTGGGTTAGTCCCCCTCCTTCATCGTCCTTGACCAATTGCATGATTGAAGGTTTCTTCGTCCGTCTTTTGCTCGGCAGTCAATACTTATAACCCCCCAGCGTAACTTTTCACTTGAATGTCTATCCTCTGTCGATTACAAGCATGCGTTGAATCATCAACGCGCTCAAATTGGAGGAAATTGCTCTACTACTACTAGAAGTACTAAAGCCTGATACCGTTTTTATCACTACGCGCGGAATCTGAAAGAATATTTATTCCAATGTGACAATGAATCGGACAACTTGGAAATATCGTAAAGGGTATGTTGTGCTATCCAAGGGCAATGGTACACTTTATATACTCAAAATCAAGCAGGCAAGAAAGTACCATACGCAGAGGCCGGCTTCCGGAAAGACAGAAAGGGGTGGAGGGGGGGGACAAAAGCCAATCAATCAAAGAGTAAAAAGGGGTGGGAAACCTGGAGAAAGCCCTCCAACTGCCCACAATTAGACATCATACACAAGACCTTCATACAATTATGAAAGCGAAAACTAAACGCATAGCCCGTTCCATCATTGCCGTTCGGTAACGACACCCTCGTACTCCCGCGATCGGATGTATTCTAGGGTGCGCTCGAAATGGCGCTTCGGGCCATCGAGATTGGGATTGGAATCCTCTTCGTTGCTCTGAAGGTTGGAGTGGATCAGCTCGATTAGGCCGTTGAGGTATTTGGTGGTGACTGTTTCGTTTTGCTGGTCGAAGTAGTAGACGTAGCGGTTCAGAATCTCGACGAAAAGCTCGACGGAGACCGCTGTGTCCATGCAAGCATCGGCGACACGGAGGGCACGCTGTAGGCATTCCAGAACACGTTTACCATCGCGGTAGAGCTGTTGCAGTTGTTAATTTGGGGTAAAACCAGAATACGAACTGGGGAGTTGCTGGCGCTTACCTCTGAGGGATCCTCTTCACCTCGCTGGGGATTTTCCACAACCCACCAGAGGTGACTGGCGAGGTATACGGCACGGCACTGGTCTGGTTTCTTGAGGAGCTTGCTGCCGTGTAGAGCGGCCTTGGTGATCAAGGTGTCGTAGTTCTCTTTTGAAAAGCCACGTGTGCCATGTAAAGCACCTGCAATTACACAGACTGCTTGGAATTGTGCTCGGGAGTCGCTAATGGCGTCCTCGTAGATGGTGAAAGCTTGCGCGAAGAACTCGTAGCTCACCTCTTCGAAGCCGGTTTGGTCCGCAACTTCACCGCACATTACGAATAGTCGCAGAGCAAGATCTGCACAGCCGGGGTTCACTCGCTGGTAGAGGTTATTGATGCACTGGTGCATGAAGCGGTAGAGGGCTGAAGACTGAGACTGCCAGTTGTCTTCGTAGTGCTCCCTTGACTTCAGTTTCCGGGCAAGACGGATTGATGCCGTCACAATAGCCGGAGTGGTGTAGCGAATCCGCTCATTGCCATCAGCATAAGCTTTGCGTGTTGCTTGAAGAAGCTGGGTGTTGCCGTTAGCTTGGAATGAGTGAGAAATACATTTGCGAAGCAAATTTACCTTTAATTGAAGATCATTATCCGGTGCCTGGATCAAGTGCACCAATCTTGCCAGCCATCCTTGTTCTTCGATGGTCTCGTCCGTTTCTCCTCCACGTCGCTGGGACTGAGCGCCTGGGTAGCCAGTCGATTGCTGGAGACCCTCCTTAATCAGAACCCTTGCAGCCTGTAAAACACGCTCAAGGTTCTCCGAAGAGGAGATGTAAATCTTGTTTTTGAGCAGACTGCGGATGATTTCACCTGCAACTGATCTCCGGGTAAGGTAGGACTGAGATGTCAAGAGTGGTAGGTAATGTGGCAAAGCAAGAGCTGTGAAAATAGAGACATATGAGCGGAGCGGCGCGCTGAGAAGATGTAGGATGTGCTGTTGTGTGGGTGCAGAGTGAAGATCAGCGTGATCAGTAAATTCCACAGTCTTTTCAGTCGCAAAGTCAAGGACTTGGTCGACATATTCCAGGCGATCAGGGTAGATATTCAAGGCCAGATTGACAAGAGACACCAGGAGGGCCATAGTATCCTGGATCGACAATGCACGTGTCTTGATCAGATTCACCACCTGCTCGTAGAAAATGTCGTACAGTTTGACCTGTGCCGGGATATTGCTCTTCTCATTCTCATTTGCATCCTGCTCTGGTTCCTGCTCTGGTTCAGCCGACTCCTCGGGTTCTGTCTTGCTGGAGTCTTCGGTTCCATTTTCTTGAGTTGCCTTTGCAGCTTCATCCGCCTCCTGATTCTTTTTCTTCTCCTTGTCAAGCTCTAATTTCTGTAGTAGTTTAGTCACGGCTTCTTCCTCGTTCTTGACCCGTGCCTCTGGCTCCGCTGTTGAGTCGTTCTCCTTCGTTGCATACGTTGACAGGCGATCCATCAATCCAATGACAATCTTCTTTAGGTCCACTGCCGGATTGAGTCGAGAGATAGCTGACAAGAGCATGTCGAGCGTATGCAGATGGAACTCATCCGGGAAGACTTTGGTGATGACCTCCAGCAAGTATTCTTGCGCCAGCACATCCCGACATTGCACAATCTGCTCCAAAAGCGCTTGGAGAATGCCAGATTTGTATGCCTCCAGATCCACCAGTTGGCTGAGCCGAACAACGTTGCTACCCACGAGTAGCTCAAGCTCGCGCCGTTCTTGCATCCGTCTTTCCCGTTCCCGCGAGGGACCTTGGTGCTGAAGTCGAACCCAGAGCTTGTTCATTTCCACAAAATTTGTTAAAACAAAGCTGATGGAGTCCTGCAGGTTTCCTTCGGGGCCATCGCTGGTTCCCGATGGTAGGTAATCGCGTGCTTGGCCGGAGAGGTAGTATCGCAAGAATAGCCCGCGAATCGGATGCTGAACCCCCCGGCTCATTTCCATCATGTCCTTCATGATCTCCTTGACCGGCGCATCTTCGACGGACATGTAAACAGTGCCAACGGTGATCATCAGGTACAACCGAGGAACAATGTTGCCGGCATACTGAACCAGCTCGTAAAGGTCTGCCAGGTGGTTGACTGGGTGGTTCTCTTTAAGGTAAACGGATAGGTGTCGGAGAGCATCGAAAACGGCCATGTACAATTCATAATACTGCTTAGGGCCGAGGCTCGGCGTTCGCAATTCGGAAACGAGGGTTGATCTAGAATTGGGAGGCCAATTAGCTACCGTGACGTATTGCGCGGCTGACCCGAGACATCGTTGCCTAGGCGGAAAGGGCCACGAGGGGGAAGAGCACACGATCATACCCGCACTTGAGCGCATCCATGAGTTTGCCCGGAGTTTCCAGGCATTTGCGCATCATGGTCGACTGCTGCCTCACCACCCCCAATGCCTCTTCTAGGAGGCGGGTCTGGTCCTCGGCGACGGGCGGTGGGCTGGCCATTCTGGAGCAGTGAGGGAGAGCTGAGGGAAGGAGACAGGCGGGAAAGACCTGCGGTTTCAGAGCAATGAGCTAGCAAGGGGCTCTTAACCGCGATCGCTCCAGATCATAAAGAGTCACAGGTGGAAAAGAGTGGCAGAGTGCGTGCGTTTGGGGGGGCCGGAGAGGTGTTCAAGTTGGAGACCAAAGAAGGTTAAGCTCATTGGTGAGGTACCGCTCAACTATGGGGACGAGCATTACCGGCCCTGGCAAGACACTAGGCCCGTTTAGGCATTATTTGCTGCCGCATGCTAGTACCGCCTCTCGCGCTCGTCTACATCTACTCTTTCGGACCAAGAAACCACAGATGGAAGAGACAAGTTTGTTGACCAAGGACAGCTATGATACAAGTCATGGTCGCTTAGCATGTATTTTTGCTTTATGTATTTTATTGAATCCTTCAAATCAAATGACATTTCCCCAATTGCTTTTGGTGAACTCGCCAGTAGAACGCCATGGATATTAATGAAGAAAGGAAAAGGCGTCGGACAAAGTGGGCAGCCAGGGGGTGAATAATCTAGCTATACGGGCTAGCCAATTTAACGGCGAACTTCGAAGTCAACATTACGCTCGCGCATCAAGGCCTTGCGCTCCTTCTCCTTGGCTGTAATCACCAGTCAGTTCATTGCTCAGATATCTGGGGGAGGTGGGATTATGCTGACCTTCATCGTAAACCAGGAACTCGTGGAGACCACGACCAGCGGGCACCATAGGAAGAACAGGGACCTTACGGTCAGTGATGACCTCAAGGAGAGCAGGCCCATCGTGCTCGATCAGCCACTTAAGCTTCTCCTCGACCTCAGAAGCCTTGGACACGCGCTTAGCAGAGACGCGCATAGCTTCAGCAAGGGGAACAAAGTGAGGGTTCTGCTGGTGGGTGTGAGAGTAGCGGTCCTCATAAAACAGATTTTGCCTATACTCAAGTCAGTTAACTGAGACTTTCGAGTTGACAGGAGAAAGCCCTTACCATTGGGTAACCATGCCCTGCTCCTCATTGTTCAGCAAAAGAACCTTGATACCGATACCGAACTGAGCGGCGGTGGACAGCTCAGTCAAAGTCATGTTGAAAGAAGCATCGCCGTCAATGTCCACAACGAGGCAGTCGGGACGGGCAACTTTAGCGCCAATGGCGGCAGGCAGACCGAAACCCATCGTACCAAGACCACCGGAGGTGATCATGGTACGGGGGTGGCGCCAGCGGAAGTGCTGAGCAGCCCACATCTGATGTTGACCGACGCCGGTGGTGATAATGGTCTTGTCCTTGATGTCTGCAGTGAGATCACTAAGCTTCTCGATGACAGCCTGAGGCTTGATGGGACCCTCCTCGGTCTGCTGCTCGTAAAGAGAAAGAGGAAAGCGAGACTTCCAGTCGTTGATCTGCTCAAACCACTCAGGGCGCTCACTGACGGCCTTCACGTGGGGCATAAGGGCACGGAGGTTGTCAGCACAGTCGCCCTCAACAGCCTCGGTGGCCTGAACGACCTTGTTGATGTTCTTGGGCATGATCTCGAAGTGAACAATTCCACCACGGCCCTCGGAGGCAGCAAGCTTAGCCTGGGGGGCAAACTTGGGAATGCTGAGGGTGACACGGTCATCAAAACGAGCACCAACCGCAATGATCAAATCGGACTCTTGCATCGCCATGTTGGCATAGGCGGAGCCGTGCATACCTAGCATGTGCAAAGACTTGGGATCCAATTCATCATATCCACCAAGACCTTGAAGAGTAGTAGTCACAGGAATGCAGGCCTTGTCGGCGAACTCCTTCAAGATTTGGGGACCTTCTGGGCGTGCGAGGAGACCCTGGCCGACGTAGAGAATGGGCTTTTGAGCCATGTTGACGAGGCGGGCGACGCGGCTGATGGTGGCATCGAGAGAACGCTGGCTCATTTCGCGAGCGGCGACGGTAGCAGCGCTTGGGAGAGAGGGAATCGAGCTCTGGATCGGGATGGGGTTGCGGAGGATACCGGCGGTCACGTCCTTGGGCAAGTCGACCAGGACGGGTCCAGGGCGGCCACTGGTGGCGATCTCGAAGGCCTCCTGGATACGGCGTGGAAGTTCCCCAACAGACTTCACCATGACGTTCCACTTGGTACAAGCACGAGAGATACCGACCACGTCGGCTTCTTGGAAGGCATCAGTTCCAATGGCACCCGTCACGACTTGACCAGTGAAGACGACCATGGGAATACCATCGGACATGGCATCCTGCATGGGGGTGATCACATTGGTTGCTCCAGGACCGGAAGTGACCAATACGACACCGGGCTTGCCAGACGCACGAGCGTAGCCCTCGGCCATGTGGCCGGCACCTTGCTCGTGCTTGGGAAGGACGAAATCGAAGTGTTTTGAGTTGTAGATAGCATCGAAGACGGGAAGAATAGCACCACCAGGGTAGCCAACTGTAACATTCCATCACCGTCAACATGGAAAAGCCGAGGCTATATTGAATGCCAAGGATTACTCACAGATATGCTTCACCCCGAGACGCAGCATCATCTCGTGGAAAATCTCACCACCGCTGAGCCCGACCATTCTGTTCGGCGATTGGTATTAGCGTCTGTGTTTTGCAGGAGTCAGTCAAAGAGAGCAACGTACGAGTCATCAAGGTCGGGAACCGAGCGGTTCTGCAGCGGTGATACTTCATTACGATGGGGTTCCTGATTGAAAGCCGGGCTTGGAACGGGTCTGGAGGTCGCCCTGCAAGGACAAATGTCAGTTGAAGGAGCTTGATCTCAGTGAAACTCGAAGAAAGACCCACGAAGTAGCGGTTGCAGTGCTCTGAGCACGCTTCTGGGGAGAAGAGCGGTGGGGCGCGGCGGAGGCGACGAAGGAGGTCGAGAAAGGGCGGCGACCGGTGAATTGTCTCTGTAACTGGATGGAGCGCAGAGCGCTTTTTGATGGCCTGAGAGACATCATCGTGGCCCAGCAAAACGAGGAAGCGTGGGGAGAATCAATTGGCCTCGAGGAAGAACGAAAAAGTTGCCTTCGAACCAAAATTGGTCCACCGCCCTCTGACTCAACTTGGGGGACAGCTGATTGGCCTGGGGCGCCACGCCCTATTGTTTGTCCTTCTCCGCACCTCCGACCTCGGCGCCCCCATTCCGGAGTAGCAACCTCTTGTCCCCGGGAGTTTCAGGAAGCTATGGACGTGAGGGGTACTACAAGCCATGCTACGTTTGACTTCATATCATATGCACTCCCATATATGCCGGCTTCGGCGCTGTGTACCCTGCCGCAGATCAGCGATCATATCTCCCTTGCCCGTGCGGGTTCGAACTACTTTAGTTGAAGGCTTCAAAAGGGGTAGGCCTTTCCGCCAGAAGCGTTCTAATTTGAACGGAGCATGAGGGTGCCCAGCTGGGTTACCCAAAGATTGGGTGATCTTGGCTCAATAATTTAAGAGCTAAAGCTGTAACCCACAAATAGTCGGGATCTTTGCATGACTTATTGCATATGCAGCATTAGTTAAAGCCAGAGAGCATGGACAGCAGCCTGACGACAGATATGCGACATTGGAAGTGCTGCGTTCAGATGCAAAGGGCAATGTGAATCGAGCCTGTCGGGGGAAATTCCCAGCTTCCTGAAACATCCAAGCTCCCATCTCCCTATCTGCATGAGATCGAAGGAGATCTGGGGTAACTGTTTCCTTCTGCCGCGGGGTGTTATCGGCCCGCTTAAGCACGGTTCAGGCCCGATCGAGTAGATCCGAGGCTTCTCAACTTGGAGTTGCAATTGTCCTTAAAGATCAGATTTGGATACTTGGAATACCTCGTATTCCTGAAGGTTGCACGCAATTTGACTGTCGATTGTGATACAACTGTCACTGACAACGTCTGGTCACCGCAAACAAGAACGAGCTTTTCGAAAGAACATCACTACTAGTTATCTAGGTATAACTAACTAGTCCACGGGTCCTTCTTTCTTGCTTACAATCATCTACAGCTTAAGCGCTGTTTTAATGGCATTCCTGCTGGTTATCACAAATCATCCCGATGTGGGGGCTTCCTAGGAGCTTCGATCCATTACATGCATGTAGGGTGACCCGCGTCTCAGGTGATCCTCTGCTTGTCTGTGGTGTCCCAGACTACGGCATGCAGACGGAATATGAACCAGGTTGACCAATCACTTCTGGCAGTTCATTAGACGAGGACTGTTGAAATGTCTCTTTTCCAGTAGGAAATGTAAATTAGAATTACAGTTTCGCGTTTGACAGCGGTGGCTCCGTGTCGGCAAATGGAAGCGCAGAAGGTAGCCAGGTCTGTCAACAGTAGATAAGTCGGGCTGAAGGTAATCAGATGGGCTTGGGACTGCCAGCGGATTCTGAGATCCCCAGGACAACATGATTCTGAAATAACTGTACTGTCTAACCACCCAGGTAGGAGTACTGACGCGCATCGGGAATAGTGGAGTTCAGTCGGTGTAGGTTGGGTATACGTACGGTTGTTACGCCTTAGACTCGCTTCTCTTCTTTAAGCCATTTTCTACACGGTTTATGGCCTAGCTAGGTTATGTCTAAGTCTTGCTTCAGCCCTTTGCTCTGCTACTTATGGCCCTTTGCTGTGCTACTTATGGAATCTTCCTCTTAGAGCTAGAAAAGTCACCTCCCTCGTACCACGTGATCGCTTCACCAGCCGTGCCTGGGCTCCTTGGTCTTCAACAACCTCTATCTTATCCTCATCAGCTCACGGGAATTAGCTTTGTAATGAACACCAGCAGGTCAGTCATGCGAAATTTCTCTGCCTTGCTTCGCAAGAAACCGTTTGCAATTCCCTCATCAGGGGTACCTTTACCGCCCGGCATACTCGTTGATGAAGAGATCTCGCCAGTATATGATTCCAAGAACTTCTACCCAGCGAAGCCTGGAGAGGTACTCGCCGATCGTTATCAAACCATGGTCAAGGTTGGTTGGGGAGTGTCTTCAACAGTATGGCTCGCACGCGATTTACAAGGGTAACCTTCAATCATTTTGTCCAATTCGAGGCTCCTCTTGTCTCTGACAATATATAGGCATATCGAAGAGCCAGAGAGCATCGTGGCACTCAAAATCGCCAATAACAATACGAGTTCCGCTGGTCACGAGCGCGAAGTTGAAGAGCATATATCCACAGCAGACCCATCACATCGCGGGCGCTCACTCATCCGAACATTACTAGACTATTTTGAAGTCAAAGGCCCAGAAGGATCTCATTCGTGTCTCGTGTATATGCCTATGAGGGAGCCATTGTCGATGTACCAGCGGCGCTTTGACGATAGCAAGATGCCACTGCCTCTCATTAAAACATACATTCGTGCTCTTCTTACGGGGCTTGATTATCTTCACAAAGAATGCAGGACAGTTCACACAGGTATGTTCATCTTCCACTCTGCTTCTTGTTGGAAATACTGAGCCCAAGTGGCTGCCTAGACCTAAAGCTTGAGAACATCATGGTCTCATTTGAGGATCCAGCGGTGCTTGCTGATTTCATGGAGAATCAGCTTGAAAACCCGATGCCTTTCAAGATCGACTCAGTGGGACGACCGGTATATCAGTCCCGTAATGACTTCGGGCCACTCAAAAGCCTGAGAAGTATACCACAGCTTGTCGATTTCGGCTTGGCAACCAGACTCGAAGAAGACGATGACTGGGGCGTCTGGCCTATTCAGCCAGATCACTATCGGGCTCCAGAGGTGATACTGGGCAATGGATGGCAAATGCATGCTGATATTTGGAATCTCGGTGTCCTGGTGTGTTCTGTTGTTCTCCCAAAGTTGTTACATCCACTGACGTCAGACTAGTTGTGGGATATGATCGAAGGCAAAGAGCTATTTCGGCATATTCATGATCAAGAAGGTCGTTACGATGCTAAACTACACCTCGCCGAAATGATAGCCTTACTCGGCCTGCCCCCTCCCGAGATCATGCAAAGGTATCAATACATGCGAGAATACTCGTGGCCGGAACCTGTCAGACGAGAAGATGGCAGAATATGCGAGACTGCGGAGGAGTACTTCTGTGGGCCATTTTTTGATGCTAAAGGTATTACTGAGCTCCATATCTCGAACGAATCATTCTCAGACTCACACACCATCTTAGGTCGCTTCCTCTACGAAGATCTAATTCCCAACCGCAAACTAGACGACACAATTTCATTCCTTGAAGGAGATGAGAAAGAAGCGTTTCTGGATCTCGCGAAGGGAATGCTTGTCTGGCATCCAAACTTCAGAAAACCGGCAGCTGAACTGGCGGCGCACCCTTTTCTTCAACCAAAGCAGAAAAGTGCCTAATTTCTACAAGCGTTTCCTAGCGAATGCCTCAACTAGCATAGGATAGAAGCCAGTAGGAGTTAGCTACTGAAGTGGAGCACGATATTCAGAAGAACCGTGAGGTGACCTGCGATAGGTCGCAACTAACGCCGGCTACCGGCGCAGTGAGCTCGATCTGTGCATTGCATCAGATGATAGTATCCTATCCTGCCCTAGTGAGCAGAGCTATGACCTGGCCAAGAGCATTTGGAGCCCTTCCAGGAATGGGAGACTGTTCTATACGGATATCATGCTCTCCTAGTTGCAAATTAAGCGAACCTAGGAAGCATCGCGTAACTGATATGCCTCATCAGGATTAAGAGTAACAAAAACCTCCTGAGATTTCTTCAGACAGAATGCCGAAAAAGCAGAGGTATTCCAAGAATTCTCACCGCTCCATTTTGCGCGATTAATGAAAGAAAATGGATCACTGGCACTGGAACTTATGGTCCTAAGATAGTGACGTCTTCCTGTCTCAATTGCATCTACCACGGTGGTCGTCACTGCAGGAGGCCATCAATGCGGGAGGCTCTGCAGACTTCCATAGGTCGACGGGTCCACGGGTAGCTGGATCTGGCTTAGGATGATATCTATCATGTCGCATATATGGAATGTTATTGGACGAGATGCGGCTGCAGTTTACCCTCCCACCGCCACTTAGCCAGTGTCCTATGTATACCCCTTCTTATAAATCGACAAGACTTTTCCTGGACAAAAGTATCCGGAGTTCAGCTTGATCTCATCTTTCGACAACACAAATTCGTTTCAGAATACAATGTCTAAGAACCAGCCCACCAAAGTCGGAGATGGTTGGTTGAACCTCACCACTAATCATTCATCGACGCCGCCGCCCATGGCTGGAACTAACAACTCCCTATTAGATTCCCACTTCGCGTATCATATCAGTCTTCTGAATTTAAAGAATCGTGATGACGAGAACGATAAATCGGTCTCAGCGCCCATCTTTACTGGACCCCTTCTGCGGCAACCGAACATGTTACCGTCTCAATTTGGGCTCCTAGCAGGACTGGAGGCGACACAGCACTCGGGGCTTATCGATTTGAAGCATGAGCTCATTAAGGAAGACCCTCGAGTCTTCTTCAATGTATCATCTCCGTCGAGTACCTTCATCTGTGGGTCTCAAGGATCTGGCAAAAGCCATACCCTTTCGTGCCTGCTTGAGGGCTGCTTGATAAAGTCTAAGGCAGGATGTCTCAAGAGTCCCCTCACAGCAGTGGTCTTCCACTACGATACTTTTATCTATGACAATGGGGGTTCGCCATGTGAAGCGGCCTTCCTGGCCTCGCACTCTAGTATCAAAGTCAGGGTTCTGTGCGCGCCGACAAACCTAAGAACAATCCAGGTAGATCGAGGTTTGCATTATCTAATTTCCTTCTTACTAAAATGCTTTAGGGAACATACGCAAGATTGAGGATTCCTGTTGAGCCTTTGCAAATTGACCAGGCCGACCTGAACACCAAACGTATGCTTGATCTTATGGCGGTAGGTCAAGAAAAAGGTGCAATGCCGCTATATATGCATACTGTTCAGCGAATTTTACGAGAGATGCGTTTACTCCAGCAAGAGACTGGCTGTCCGTTCGACTATCATGATTTCAAAAAACGCATTTTAGGCGCTGACCTCCTTCCAGCCCAGCTTGAGCCTTTGAAACAAAGATTAGACACCCTTGAAAGTTTCATGCCTCGTCAGCAAGTTGGCTCAGGTGTTCCCAACGACAAAAAGGGGAAGAACGTGAAAAGCAAAGGATCATGCTGGACACTAGAGGTTTGGATGTCAATTCTTTCCCCAGCAAAACATGACTAACTTCCCCTAGCCATCTCTATTAACCATTGTGGATCTCTCTTGTCCGTGTATTTCTCCAGACACGGCCTGTTCGCTCTTCAACGTCTGTTTTGAAATTTTCATGGAGCAGAACACTCGAGTTGGAAGAGTGGTTGCGCTTGATGAAGCACACAAGGTAAGCATGCCTCAAATAATCTATCAGCACAAATATTGAAAAGTGTTCCTAGTACATGAAAAGTTCTATCGAATCGCAGAACTTCACCAACACACTTCTATCGACAGTTAGGCTGCAACGTCACTTAGGAGTCCGTGTGATCATCTCCACACAAGAACCTACAATCTCGAGTGACTTGCTCAGCCTTTGCTCAGTCACTATTGTTCACAAATTCTCCTCACCCGCTTGGTTACGCGCGTTACAAGGCCATGTAGCGGCAGCAGCTATAGGCGTCAAGTCGGAGGGGCAAAGGCTCCCTGAGACTGAAGGCAGCCTGAATCCTGAATCCTCAGGTCAACTCTCCTTTTTCCATCAAATAGTCAATTTGCGTGTGGGAGAAGCTCTGCTTTTTGCCCCAGGCGCGATTCTTGCAACTATAGCCAAAGACTCGGGTTCTTTGCAGCTGAAGAGCCTAGGGGCAGGCTACATGAAAGTCCAAGTTCGACAAAGATTAACTGAGGATGGGGGAAAGAGCGTGCTATCCTCTTGATATCTCGAAAGGTCGAATCGTTTGTCCATTGTGAGTAAAAAGACTCCTTACTTGCGGTGAATCAGAAAGTACCAGACTGATTTCTTTAGTGACTCGAATCTCACCTATCATGTTGCTGCACCTTATTTTGATCTATAACTTATCTACGCTTAAGGAGACCATGGTCACAACTACGATGCTGGCTGATGAGGCTGTTCAAATTTGATTGAAAAGGCTTTTTGTAGCTATTTCATTACCCAGGAAGACGTTATCAACCTAAAGGAGTTTCCATCGTCGGAAACTCTCGTTACAGCAACCCACATTTTGCTAGTTCACAAAGTACTTTTGCGGAATATTCATTCTCAGTATCAATTTCTCCATCCATAATGAGGACCCCAGTCGACCCTTTCACCTGGAATACAATCTCAGAAGGGTTTGACTAGTACTTTTGGGATCTAAGGTTGGTATCAGATGCTTTCACTCATCCAGCACGGCAAGAGAACTATTCTAGAAGCTTGGACCAGCGCCAGTATTCTTCAGGAGACTCCTGTTGTTGGCTTTTACTTTTGCTCTGGATTTTAAACACTCTGTCCTGACGCTTGAGGATGATTTCATTCTCAATGACTCACTCGCTAAGCTAAGAACGAGAGGACTGATCGATGCCTATCTTCAGTCTCTCACAAATGCGCTTTGCTGCGAGATTCCCAGCAATTTTCTTATTTCGACCAGTTTCTACGGCCACAAAAGCACCAAAAACAATCGTAACTTTAACTTCAGGGGGGATCTTGGCTGATTACGGCCAAGGTACGCTCTGGAACAACCCCTCGCTTTTGTGCTTCATGATACATGAGAGAGGTATAGTTGGAAGATACCCCCACCTCCGGGACCAGACCGTCAGAGGGTTCCGGGAGCTCAACGCCATGGACGTTATGACTTGTAGCGCCATCATGTTCTGCTCTTCCGGAAGTTAACAAAATCTTTTGTGTTATCTCAAAACTCTGCGGCCCTGGAAATACGCGACAGACAAGTCCGATCATTTGAAAGACTGTTTTTCGCGGATTTAACAATGGGTCGGAACCCGGATTAATGTTCAGAGCTCGAAAGTACTGTATTGCACCCCTGAAGTTGAAGGACTCGATAAAAAGGGAGGTTCTGCATTTCTATTCCGCTGAAATGAGTTTTCTGAGATGATCTCAAGGCAATGAGGATAACTTACTAGCTCCTCGGGTGATAAATTCAATCGGGCGAATGAAACTGATACAGCTGCTCGGAATAACGACAGCCCCACCAGCTCATCTAAGAATGATCAGATCAGCTGCAAATTTCTGTAAGCCAAAAAACAAGGAAATCCCACTCGTTCCTGGATCTGTGGCGCGTAGTTGGTCAGGCAAGTCGATCATTATCGTGGTGTTAGGGCTAGACAATACACTCTTTTCGGACTAGAAATTCAGTTTTAATGGCTAGTTATAAGAAGCGGGAGGAGAAGGGCTCAGCAGGTTAACCCTCGCGGGGCCTCATGCGGCTAGTGTAGGTAAACTGATAGCCAAAGTCGAAATGACATCAATATATCGCAATCAATCTAGAGTAGTATAGGTACATATCAGTACTCGAATGAAGAGTTGTTGTATTTGATTGGTGTGCAGGTAAGTTGGTAATAGACTCATCACAAAACACCCGACTGACGTGTTGAATACTCACCGTGTTTTGAAATCAGCCTCACCACTGGGTCGATAAGATAGCGGTGAACAGTTCATCAAAGATAGGCAGGCTAAACATGCCCAATAACATTGCTGTCCGCACGAGGGGAACCATGGGTCATAGCGTAATACTGTATAGGCTACCGAAAAGATCATGCATGTTAGAAGCTCTCAAGCTAATGATCTCTGAGAACTAGATAATGGGTTGTGGTATAGAACATAGGTTTATAAAACCTTCCTAGATCTTGCCCTGAAGTTAGGAATTTCTCAACTTGGCTCCATTCATCAACGATGGAGGCGGATATCCTATCGCAGGACGCTATTCAATATGACGAGAGCTTCAACGTTTACCCTCCGACCAATTTTCGGATGAGCGCACCATCAGACTTGCTGCCCAGTAATGATGTTGATACGCCAGAGCGGTTTCCTGAGACGTCTTTGATCACATCTCCTGAGAGAAGCGCCGATGAACATCACACATCGCCTAACATCCTTCACCACTCGCATACGACCTATGTGGACCCCCTTCAGACCTTGGATGATTCTTTGAATCCTCAGCCTCTGTAGAGTGCCGATTCATCACCTTCATCAAGTAGTAGGGAGCCGTATGAGTCTATTTCTGCGGAAGTGGAGTCCGGAGACAGCAGTATCGTGTGGAGAGATTTATCGGCGGATATTGGAAGCTCGTCAGCAGTACAGAATCCTCGGTTCAAGTTTGAAGAAGCCGAAATGCCTTCTCTTGACCAGTGTTCTGTGTCTATTGGTGAATTTTCAGTATGTACTTTTTCGGATTGTGATCCAAAATCATGTTTGCAACCCAAGAATCGCATCAGGTAAGAACTGAACAGCGAAATGATACAACAAAAGCTAAAGTGCTACATAGGAAACATATTCGAAGCCACACCAAGCCGGTCTTGTGCCCGGAGAAACAATGCAACCATCGAGCAGCAGGGCAAACTGAGATGCGCCGTCATGTGAGGACATACCATCCTCAGTGGGCCTGTGAACATTTAGGATTGGAAAGCAAACCGAAATGTACGCGCTGTGGTCGTAAATTTACTAGGGAGGATAATTTGGTGAAGCACATGAAGAAGAACATATGTCTATAAACATCTGGAGCTTTTTCTCAATTACAAATTTGATTTTCACTTCAAAAAAATGATAACTGCATCAAATCATGCTCCTAACTAGCTCTATTCGAACTTAGGTGGTGCTGAATTAGGTAGGGTATCCATAGGAAGGCATTGCTGCATTACTGCATTACTGCCCTAAATCATTAGGTGATGACTTCAGTTGCAAATAGGAAAATAGTGTTGAGTCCTGGGCTCTTCATCTTGTAGATTCTGGTCCATTAGGTTTGCGACCGATCTTGCAGGGCCTAGATGTGGCAGAAGCAGATAGGGGTTCAGCTTTGCTTTGGTAGACTTTTGAACGTATCTATTTTTCAGTCTTGGCCGTTGAGCTGCTTTGGTCACACTTTGACCAGCCGTTTATCATGTACCTCGGAAGTATTTTGACTTCTTGCAAGTGCATAGCGACCTGCAGATATAGCCTCCCCGCATGGTGGCCTCCCGCATGGCGGCCTCCTACAGCGATGGCCTCCCGCATGGCAGCCTCCTACAGCGATGGCCTCCTACAGCGATGGGGCCATTCGAATCGTAAATTACACTTTGTACTCGTAGGCATAAATATTTGGGAATGCTTCTCAGCTAGTCGTACATTTGGCTCCTATCCAGTCAAAGCACAACTCCGGGAATCGATATGAACAGACAAGACGAAAGGCCTTTGGAGCTCTTACCCAGCCGCATAGGGGCTCCAAGGCTGGACAAGCATTCAAGAATCCTTGCTCGTTTCTACGAGCCGCTGACCCTACTTTATGCATCGGGTCAAACCAGAGGTGCCCAATCCGACCGGCCCTGTCATGACGATCCATTCGCAGAGTCAAGGCGAAAATTTCTAGAAAATCTTTGCTTCATTTGTGACTTCAAGAAGGGCGGAGAGTCTTGCACAGCGATTGGACTGGAGGAATGCGCAGATAAATATTGTTTCTGGGTTTGCTCGAACAAGCACACCGCAAAGGTGGCTCAATTCCTCAAGGGTGCCCTCTCAATTTTGTACGAATGCGTCAATCACGATGAAGAAGAGAAAGCGGCTATGGACAGGGAGTTTGAACGGCTGTGCGTGGAGTTTGCAAAGCCTCGAATACAGCAAGAGCAAAAGCTACTTGTTTGTGAGGCAGATAACTGCATCAAATTACTCCAAGAGGAGGATTCAATAGCAGGTAGGTCCGAATTGGGAAGAAACTCGAATGGGAAGAGAACTCCATGAGATCAGTGTTAATGAATTTCAGGAGAGAAACTTTCCGAATGGCTGTCCAAATTGAAAAGCCAGGATGACCCATTAGAGCTCTGTAAGCTCTTATACGCGCAACGGCAGACGAAGATGATGAGGACAGTCATGATCTATGCGGAAACAGCTGAGGATGCCCAAAACCCACAGGCCAGCCGGTCGCCCTTCTCTTCACTCCGGCATTACATTGGGAAACTTTCCGGTCGCATTAGGGCACATAAAGAGCTTGTGAGGGACGCCCGCGACTTTTGGAATATACTGCAGAGTCATACAGTCATGAGTGTCGATACTATCTCAGGTGTGCGAATGCCATTGCGTGATGGGCATACCAATCTCCGAGGGATTACGAATCGGATGTTCAGGGAAGGTTCAAAAGAGCGGGACAAATTTGAGGAGGGCCTTATTCACCTAGATTCCATACAGGGCATCTTTAAAAAGTTCTTGCGTTGTTACAGCCAGTCTGAGACTTCTGTACATGCTGAGGTTGCAGTCCTTGAGCATTTCCATCGAGCAGAACGGGACTTCGCAGGGAATGATCACTTCATTGCCTGTAGTAAGCCGGCGTGTCTGTGCTGTGAACTCTACTTCAGACACCATCCTGCTCGTATGGTGAGGCCGTCATCGCACAAAAAGTTATGGCCAAAGTGGAGTCCCCCATATGAGAGGGAGCCACCTACCGAGTCTGTGGCAAGACAGCAAAGGATGATCCTGAGTAAGATGACCCAAGATCTCCGTGAAGAGCTTATCAATCAAGTGCTTCAAAAGACCCGAAAAAGTCGTTGGCATCCAGACTCGAGGTCGTGCCTCACAGACTTGCAGAGTAGGGATATTTCATTTTTGTTTGAAGATTCAGAGTCGGCATCAATGAGCTGCCTTGAGGAGGATCGCAGCTCGAAGGAAAGTGACAGCTCGGAGGAGAATGAAGGATCAGATTCCGACGATGGCGGCATCTTAATCTGTTAGTAGACAATATAACGGTCATTTTTCTCGATGCGTTCACCCGTTCCAGGCGGTTTATTGAGGCATGGATGTTCCCATAATGCTTGCGTACTAGCAAAAGGTTATCGATCGTGAAGGCATCTTGTCGAGATATATGGGCCCCAGGAACGACTCTGCGGTTGTGGTACAGCTGGCGGTTGCTGCAATGGTTGAGGGTCGCTCTGGCCGCAACGTATTGAAGGCCCACTCTCGTTGAGAGTCGAGTCGCCATTAATTGCTGCACCGTACTCCGCCCTTTGACCCGCGGACTGGGCGTAGTGAGTCACAAGATAAAATAGCTTGAGTACAGCCTCCCATTCATACTCTTCATACTACGATTACCGGCAGCGGTGGAGAGCTATAATGGTTATAGATAGCAATTGAGTTTTATAGATAAATCCTCTTCAATTCGTGCGTATATCTATATTTGTCCGTGCTTTGTTCTATATTGAACGGGTTTAGATAACCGATAGTAGAGTTATATCCTAGATATACATGCGCATATCTTAGCACAAGCACTTATATCAATCTATCTAGAACGAGGGAACTCTGAAAGGCCATCGAAACTCGGCGAGATATCATCTCCTTGCATAAGATATTCTCCTTGGCTTGATAAATCAAAACCAGCTCCAGTTACAAAGCGACAGAATGCCAAAGAACCGGAAAGCAGAGTGGGAGGACCCGGCCCGAGTCTGGGTCAGCGTTCTGTAGGCCGACTAAAACTTGAATGGAAGGTCCGAGCGAGATGCTATGGGGTTGGATGGCTTTGAACTTCAGTTTTTCAGCTTCATGGAGGTCATTGGATCCGTGTGGTCTCAGCTACGGTATACCACGGGCATAAATTTCCACATAGGGAATTCTCGACTCCCGAATTTCCGCATCGTTCTGAGACTATACCCACTGTGACATGGTGCCAATCGCGACGACAATCTGATTCAAGAAGTCCAGTCCCTGAAATTCCCTAGCCAATGGATGCTCTGAGGGTAGATGACGGACGCGGGTCAATGCGACCCCCCGCAAAGCTACGCTGTATAGGGACACCGGAATGAAACATCTCCCCACTGTATTCCAACGAGCCGCGGGGTGTCCCGCGTCATCGCCTCTCTTGCGGGTCCGAACTTGGGAAAGTCAATGCTTCATTTCGTCTAAGGAACTTTGACAGGATTTGTCTTTCACAGTTCCTATTCTTGTTCTCCTTCTCCTCTCCTTTCCTCCATCGTTGCGTAACCTGGATCTCTACCCCGCCATGGCGACCCCGCAAGAACTTGTCCCGCAAACAGAATCGATCGCGGAGGTCTACGCCACCGACGATGCCTCCGTGAACACCGCGGCTGCAGAGCACCAGCAGCGCTTTACCAACCTGGTTTCGCAATTCAACAAGGAATACAGCCATCGTCCAGACTTTGTTGCGCGCAGCCCTGGGCGTGTGAACATTATTGGCGAGCACATCGACTACTCTCTTTACGATGTCCTCCCACCGCCGTCAGCGTCGATGTGATCATGGCTGTCAAGATCGTCCCCGCTGGTGCCGCCGAGTCCACAGTCAAGATTGCCAACGTCTCACCGGAGAAATTCCCCACACGCGAATTCAGTGTGCCTCACAAGACCGATATCGAGATCGACCCGAAGAAGCACGAATGGATCAATTACTTCAAGGCCGGTCTGTTAGGTGCCTTGAAGTTCCTGCGCAAGGAGCGTCCAGATGGCATTGCACCCGTCAGCATGGAAATCCTCGTTGACGGTAACGTACCCCCAGGCGGTGGTATCTCAAGCAGTGCTGCCTTCGTCTGTGCCAGTGCGCTTGCCGTCATGAAGGCCAACAACCACAATGTGTCAAAGCAGGATCTGCTCGACCTGGCTGTCGTATCAGAACGGGCAGTCGGCGTCTACTCGGGCGGGTAAGTCGGACTCCTATCGCTATACCAATGAGAAAACTTTTGTGGGTTGGATACTAATCCGATACTCCTAACAGCATGGACCAAGCCGCCTCAATCTTCTCCAAGCGCGGCTTCCTGCTCTATACCCAATTCTTCCCTGCCTTCGCAGTGGAACACGTTGCAATTCCCAAGGCCGCCGACGAAATTACCTTCCTCATGGCCCAGAGTTTCGTGACCTCCAACAAGGCCGACACCGCCCCTCGACACTACAATCTGCGCGTCGCAGAGTGCACTCTCGCCGCCGCAATCCTGGCCAAGAATTACGACCTCACCCTCCCCAAGGACAACAGCTCCCTGGGCTACAGCTTGCGCAACTTCCAGAACCAGCTGATGACCAAGGAAGGCCGCCTCGGCGACCCACTCAAGTACCAGATTGACTCCGTCATCCAAGCCACTCAAGACCTCTTTACCAAAGAAGAGGGCTACACCCGTGAAGAGATGGCCGCCCTCCTCGGAACCAGCGTGGCTGACTTGGAAACGGAATTCCTCTCCTCATTCCCGGTTCAAGCAGACCGCTTCAAGCTGCGCCAGCGAGCTCTGCACTGCTTCAAGGAGGCGCGCCGCGTGCTCGACTTCAAGGCCTGCTTAGCCAAGGCCTCACAGTTGGACGAGAAACGTATCCACTACCTCGGCCAGCTTCTGAACGAGTCGCAGGAGTCGTGCCGCGATTCCTACGAGTGCAGTGCTCCCGAGGTCGATGAGATCTGCGCTATTGCTCGCAAGGCTGGTACTTGGGGTAGTCGGTTGACTGGTGCTGGGTGGGGTGGCTGTACTGTGCACATGCTGCCTCAGGGTAAGGTGGAGGCTGTTACCACTGCATTGCGAAATGAGTATTACCTTAAACACTTCCCTGATATCACTGCGGAGAAGCTGCAGGAAGCTATGGTTATCAGCAAGCCTTCCAACGGCTCTTTTGTGTATGTTTCAACCTGACGAGCATCCTTCACTTTGGAATGATTGTTGCTAACACGTGAATTAGGGTTACCGGTGCTGCGATTGACCAGGTTGCTCTATGAGCTCTTGAGAATTGAGGTGGAAAAATTTGTGTGGAAAATTTGTGTTATTGGGTCCCGAGGGACTAATAGATAATAAATCAAAATTTATTCAAGCTTCAAGAGTCCTGTGCTCTAGTGTCTTTTGTGGATGCTTCAAGCACACGAGCAAACCTGGAAGGAGGCAGGGATTCTCGAATCGGGTAGAGATGTACCCGTCCGGTCCCGAAGACGGATTTTCCACAGATGAATGGCCGATTCGACAAACGGGAGATGATCCCAGAATATATGTCGCTCAGTAACCAAGACTACTTTCTGTGAGCCAAGGTAACACACCCCGTGGACGTAGACGAAGCTGGGCAGTGGCTAGATTTGGCCACTCCTGTGAGCCATAGAATTGGCAAAGTGCATAATAGGTTGTGCCGACAAGGACTTCGTTCAAGACTTTTTCTTGAAAAAATCACTCATCTTCTTCATACCGGTAGTGTTAACCTTCTTCAAGTTCTTCACGCTACGGGACTCTGAAGCTTTGGCCTTCTTCTCTTCTTCTTCCTTCTTGCGTTTCTTCTCGGCACGAGCTTCAACCTCTTCATCGTCCAAGCCTCGCTTCCGGGTGAAGTCAGACATCTTACGAGATGCAAGAGCCTCAGCGCGCATATCAGCGAGCTCTTTCAACCGATCTATCAACGGCTTGAAGTCCACTGGGCTTTCAGGGGCGGCGAGAAGCACATCCAATCGACTAGCCAGTGCTGGAGATAGGTATGTCTCCTTCATGTACGCCAGCGCAGTAGATATACGTAGCAGACGTGCAACGTTCTCTCCCGCAGCTGACTCGTCGCCTGGCAACTGCGGCACGGGCGTCGACTCCCCGACTGGCGTTGAAACAGACGGCGTCGCCGCCGTAGCGACGGTGGATGGCGATTCTGGCTTGTCTTCTGCGACGGAGACTGCATCCTCGATGCTGGGCGCCTGATTAGTCAATACATCCTCGCGTTTAACTGCCATTAATGGCGCGGCAAGCGCCTGGCGGATGAAGCGCTCCTCCAAGCTAGCTGGAAGCCCAGCAGTGGCCATTCGCTCTGCCTTTCCGACTATTTCTTTGAGGAGCTGCGTCTCGCTAAACCGCAGCATGACTTCGTCGCCTGCTTCTACGGTGTCGCAGATCGATCCGGCGCGCGATAGAAGCGTGCTGCGGAATTTGTCGTCGTAAAGAACATGGCGCAGGTGAGGGGAGAGGTCATCGTTGGAATCAATTATATCGTCCAAGGGTTGGAAGAGGGATTGCCCTGACTTTGAAGAGGGCACAAGAAGGGGGATCAAGAAGAATATGGGGTCAATAGGCGTCGCGACTAGTAGATCGGCCTTTTTCGCTATCATGGCATTGGAAGCGTTTGCTCCATTCTCCCGGCTCAATTGGCGCGCATAGGTGAACAGGATACTGCGCGGCGCATGAGAAGGTGTCGAGACGACTATGAATTCGAATATTCCGCGTTCAGGGCAGAAGTAGTAGCGTGACAGGTCGCCGGTCTGCGGGTTCGGAAGGGAGAGCAAGCGCGCGTCGCTGCTGGTGGATTTGGGCAAGATGAAAGTTTTGCTGGGAGTCTCCACGGAGGTCAATACTCCCTTCTGTCCCTTCACAGGCTCAGCCGTCTCTGATGGGGCAGCAGATCGTGTTCGAGGCATTGTGGGCAAAGAGGGTGAAGATAAGAAGTACGTTCGCTGCGGAAAGAAGGGAAATTCGCGAGACGCGCCCCGACGCGCCAATCATGTGCGGGCCATGCAGGGTGATCCATCACTTCCAATCCCTGTGATCCCTGCGGGTTTTTGTTTCGTTGTGGCTTGATCCCATTTCGTGTTTTTCTCGCGGCTCTTTCGACTGTCTGCCATAATCCCGACACTGTCTTTACTGTTGTCAGGCAAACTTGCGTGTTTCACCGGTGAAACAGTTGAAGGTGCGGGGAATGACGCTCAACGGTCGCCGCAATTTTGGAGAAATCGCCCCTTAATCGTGGATCAAAAGTGAGTTCTTCCGGTTTGCTACACTTTGATTATTGTTAAGTGAAGGAATCCCCAGTGGCGGACTCAGCTTGGCCTCCAAAGTCACCCCGAGACGCCATGCTCAGCTCCCCGGGAGGTCGCCGAAAATACCAGGATATGCAACGCCGCCGAGAATTACTTTCGTCTCCCATGAAACGCTCGAGCACAACTCCCAATTTGCACTCAAAAGCGAACCAGATCTTGGATGATGAGCTGGAAGATGGCGAGGACGAGGAGACCCTGCAGCTGAAGCTCGCCGAAATCCAGGCCCGTCTAAAGTTGAAGCAACTGCAAAAGAACCGAGGCCGCTCAGGAACTCTCACCTCGAATCCGGACGATGAGGACGAAATGCCTGCATCGACATCCAAGGTTCCGTCACGCGCCTCTGCGCTGAGGAGTCCTCCACCTTCACACCAAAGGGCGCCTAGCGACGGAGTTCAGGTTCCCATGTCACCTACGAAGAAGCTGACCCCAGCCCCGGAGCCCTGGTCGCCTCGACGACGCCAATTGGGTATCGATAAAGGATGGAAAGCTTCTGATGTGTCATTAAAACGGCCGCGGAGCTCAAGGCCTGACCCTCGCCCCGCCAGTCACCTTGGAACTCGTCCCGGTGCTACGTCCCGTTCAAGCGACCTGTTCTCACCAAGGCCCCAAACTTCCCCAGCAGGAGGTGGGGGATTGACGCGTATCAAAAGCTTCAGTGAGCGAATGGCAGAAGGACGAGCAGCAGAGAAGGCCGAAAAGGCCCGACTGGAGAGAGCGGAGAGGGTCCAAGCAAGTCGCAGCTCAGGCTTCCAACTGGACCAAGCAGAGATAGAATCCTACAAAGCCATGGCCGCGAAGGAACCGGATTCGGCACTTCCGTCCGCAAACCGAGAACCACAGGTGCAACAATTCAATCGGGAAGAAATCCTTCGGTCTCTCGACGTGGCTCCGCGGCCTGGAGGTCTCAAGAGAAGCCAAACAACCTCCAATATAAGGGAGGGGAATGGCAAAAGACAGCTCACGAATAGCGGGGCCCGGAAAGATCTACCCTCTGATACTCCAGATCGAGAATCGTCGAGTACGCCTGATCCTTCCAAGTTTGAGTCTTATTCATCGCTTCACTTATCGAGCCGCATTTTGCCTCATTCGTTCCTGAGTCGCAGTATGGCTGATAAGAAGATCCTTCGCATTCCGGACCTCCTGAAAACCATTAAAACACCCGACTTCGAGCTACCAGACGAGATAGATGGCGATTATGTGGTATTCGGGATCGTGGCCTCGAAATCAGACCCGAAAGAAACCAAGCAGAAGGAGAATTCGACTGCTAAAGAGGCCAACCCTTATGATGACGGACTCAACAACACTAATAAGTACATGGTGATCACGCTGACCGATCTCAAGTGGACCATCGATCTCTTCCTCTTCGACACAGCCTTCCCACGCTACTACAAGATCACAGAGGGCACTCTCGTCGCAATCCTCAATCCCACAATCATGCCGCCTCCGAAGCACAAACTAGACACTAACCGTTTCAGCCTGGTTCTCTCCTCATCCGACGACAAAGTCCTCGAAATAGGCAAGGCCCAGGACATCGGCTTTTGCAAAGCCATGCGCAAAGATGGCAAAACCTGTCAATCCTGGGTTGATGGGCGAAAGACCGAGTTCTGCGATTTCCACATTGACCTCCAGGTCCGGAGGACCCAAGGCCAGCGCTCCGGTGTGAACAGCCAAAACACCAACTATGGCCCAGGCGGGCGATCCGGCTCACGAACAGGATTCTTTTCTCACGCCCACAGCGGAAGTAATGGCAGCGGCTGGAGAAACAGCCATGACATGTCGAAAAGGGCCATAGAAGGGTTATTGGATGAAGGCCCCAAATATGATCTCAGCTCCCAGTCCACATACTATGTGGCACCAGCTCCAAAAAACCGTGGCGCAGGTCGTACCTCATACAACCCAGTTACGGGCGGTGGCTCTGCAGCGAGCTTGATCGATGCAATTGACGACCCCTTTATTGCGGCAGCAGGCATGGGACCCCGAGGCAGAGGGAGCAAAGAGGACATGATGCGTAGACGTCTTGCAGAGCAGAAGCGCGAGCGGGATATCAGACAGAGACTTGTTGCTGGCCGCATTGGGGGTCCCGGCGCCGATTACCTCCGGCAAGGCGTGGGGTCGCCTTCTACTGAGAACAAGGATCAAAAGCCCTCTGCGTCTACGCCTAACAGAATCCCGGCTAGTATCAGTGATTTTAGCTTGGGGAGTTACGGCAGGGCGGAAAGAGTACGATTGAGTCCGAAGAAAAAAATGCGCGGACGACGGAGACAGGTCGGGGGCTGAGGTCAAGAAGACTCGCTTTATTACGGCGAAGGGAATCAGAGAGGCTGGACGAGAAAGCTTGGGTGGCCCTGATACCTCTCAGCAGCCAATTCTGTCTGATGATGATGATCTAGAGTTTATCTGATTTCAGGTGACCCTTGATCGGGATTACTGAAGCGTGGTGTTACGCATTCACCTCTGGAGTTACGTTGGGGCTTTCCATTACGCGGTTTATGACGATAAAGAGACGTTCTCTGATTTGCATTGTACGATTTTCCTTTGTTGGCAGCCCTGTTTCATGCACATGAGTTGTACCTCTTTCATAGATTGGTGCCAATACACAACATTGAGGATAGTGGGGATGGCCTCCCCAACCATCATTCTACATACTTACATACCATTTACGGAAGTGAGAATATGCTAGATTCCATATTGGAAACACTTCATTTTGATTTGAGTAGCGTAGAAGCTTCACCTAGGGGCATCTCACAGATCCCTAGAAAAGCCGCCAGGAAGAGCAAGAACAAAACGATTATTCGCAAAGGAACCATGACTCCGCAAGGCCCATCATAAAACGCTAGTTACCATTGGTATTCCAGTCCCAGATCCATGCCACACGCCAGTTGAAAAAGGAGTAAGAAACAAAACCCTTATGCTTGATAACGATATCCATCAGTCGTAGGGGACGAAGCAGATTAAATCATGGAAGAAATAGCACTTCCACTATCCTGCAGGGACACAAAGCAAAGGCAGAAGAAATGTGCAGCAACAAGGCCTGGCATACTTGAGTGCAGCGCATGAAAGAAAAGAAAAATAATTAAAGAAAAAAAAAGAAAGTTAAAAAAAAGAAAAGAAAAGAAAAGAAAAGAAAAAAACAAGGTGCCCGCGCCCGTATGATGCAGAATTTGTCGAAGCCTTCCCGAAGCATCAGAGCCCGTGAAATGTAAGCGGGAGATGCCTAACGGCGTCCACCTGCCCGGGTTCGCTTGGACGAAGGGACGTCGACTGGGTTGGCCATATCATCACTAGGTCCACGCTTGACAGGTGTGGTGGCAGGAGAGATGTCATCAGGGTTCTTCTTGCGCATCCAGTTGGCGAAGGGGCGTTTGGGTTGAGTATCGGTCGCGGTCGCCGCTTGCTTGGCTCCGGAAGGAGTTTCCTCAGGGGTGCCAAAGCGTCCATCAGAAAGCGTACGTGCACCAGGGGCATTCTGCAGATCAAGGGAAGTAGGAGCAGGAGACTTTGGATCTAGATTGAAGATATCTTCATCATCAGTCGCGGCGTCTTCCAGAGACTCCTCATAGCTGGTACTCTGCTTGCGAGGCTTATCCTTGCGCTCCCAGAGCATGCGGGGTTTGACATCCTCGGCACGCAGAGGCTTGAGGTCATTCAGGACCTCAGAGTCAGGCAAGAGATCCGGGCGTGACAAGAACAGACTCAAGCCGTTGGGGTCATCAGAGTCGGTTTCCTCATCCTCAACCATCTTTCGAATGACACGCTTGCCACGGCTGCAGATTTTCATCAGTGATGGGGGTAGATGATGGAGGAAGGGAATCTACTTACAACATGAAGTTCATGGATTCATTACTCTCCAGATCCATCTCCCTCTGTGCGGCACGGGTCACACGGCCCTCGCGACGAGGGGAAGGCTTACGACGTGCAGGAGTCTTGGGCATTTCAGCAGGTGCAGCACTGAAAGGGTTTGATTGATCAGTGGACGCCTCAGGGATACGGTCGCGAGAATCAGTGAATATCTCGATATTGTTGGAGAATGCGGGATCGTCGGCGAAACACTCCAGAGCAAAGGGAGTACGACGTCGACCCATTTTGCTGGCTGAAGGGAACAGTGTGCGCGAAGTGGAAGAAAAGTTGGATGGGGTGCTTTTCTTGGAAGGAGTCTTTGCAGGTGTGGGAAGAGGGTGGCTTGTAGAGGCACGGGACGAAGAAGAAAATCCAAACTGAGAGTTGCTGCATTCACTACTCATCAGAGAAGCCATAGCCTTTCCGCGTCGCTGGTTGGTTGAGCTGGAGCCAGAGGGTGTGGATAAAGCTGTTTCTCCGGTCCTTCGTCCTTTCTTTGGTGATCCGATTCGCGTACTGGGTGACCCTGGGTTTGGTGGGGTTGTCTCCTTCCTTGACGCGCGTTGGCTGGCCAGTCTTGCTGAAGATCGCGTTGGGTAGGGCTCGAAGGTGTCATATCCAGAGCCATGCAGTGGTGCAGCAGGCATCCTCAGCGCAGATGGCGATGGAGGAGGTGGAGTGGTCGCCATATTGGATATCGTTTTGCCACAAATTGTTTGGTCTTTGCTTCGAAGTTTGTTCCTTTGTTGGGAGTAGGCTACTCGGAGCCCTACAGTCGCGGTCGCTGTCGGGGATTCCTTGGATATGGATGAATCAAGGGCAAGTCAACAAATTCGAGTGAACAACAGTATCCAGGGCGCTTGAGTGAGTGAATCCAAGTAGCAGACTATGCTTTCAAAAGAGATCAATGCAAACAAAACGCAGCAGAGAAGTTGAGGATGAAAGAAGGGAGGTGTTTCAAGGCGGAATGTTCACCCAGCCCTTCCCAGCCTCCTCCATTGACCGCCTCCTCGGTTTGGGCGCCAAGGCCCCAATAACAGCCCCGCCCGTTGTTGACAATATTTCCCGATTGGATCACTCTTGATTATCGTCAGCTCTGGGCATTTGATGCGTCTTGCTACACTGTTTCGCTCCATCTGAGCTCGAATCGCAACAATGGCACGGAGCGCTGCCGAGGAAATGGAGAGACTAGACCTGTCTGATGAGGATACGGAGGATCTGTGGAATTCTCCCTCCAAGCGTGGCAACCAGAAAGCATTCAAGCGCCAACCAGGAACACAAAGCCCAACAACTGAATCCCACGCGCCGCATAATGCTGGAGACACCTTATTTGACCGACAAGAGGCACGAGAAGCAGCTCTCCATGCGGAGCTACACAGCGTACGAAACATCAACAATGTAATTGAAGGTCTCCTGAAAAGTTTAGACAATGCCAAGGGCAATATGGAGGTGAGCTAGCTCTGGTCGCCATGGCGAAGCAATACATTCTCTTTGCATGAAACAAGAAGGCACTGACAAAGACATACATGAAGACGGTCTCGAATACTGTAACATCTGCGTCTACTCTTCTCAACACATGGACAAAGATTCTCTCGCAAACCGAACACAACCAGCGACTTATCCTGAACCCGAAATGGCAGGGTGCTACACAGGATGTGGCCGATATGGAGCAGGAGGCTATACAAAAACAGCAAGCAGCTGAACGACGCGAGCTGGCGCTCCAGCAACAGCGGGAGGCAGCAGCACGCAAGGCCGAGGAGGATGAGCGGCGCCGACTGGCGGGCACGAGGGGTTCTCGTGGCACCAGTCGAGGAACTGTCCGCAGTACCGGCCTTGGAAGGACGCCGAGTGTGAGTACCAGCCGGACGGCGGCTACGAGAGGCTCTTCGACTGCCACTCGACGGCCCGTTAGTGGGATCGCGCGAGGCGGAGCTGCACGGGGTAGAGGCAGCAAGGCTTAAACCCGGCATATAGATTTGTTTATGTCAATGTATTTTACGGATTGATGAGCCCAATGAAAAACAAGATACCCAAAGAGATTGACCCAGGTCATCCTGTACTCAAATCAGATATTCAGTGTCTGCCTGAGGCCTCTACTCGTACTCGTACTCGTAACGCGAAGCCACGCGACCCGATAACGTCCCCCATTTGACGGTTGAAGCGATAAGGAGAGCTTCACGGCCTCCTTATCGCGAACAATTTCCTCTCGGAACGCTTCCCTCCTTACAGACAGCATGAATTTCGCGCCTTATCAGGACGAGTCCCCGGAGCTCGAGCGAGCTCTCTCGCCCCTGTCGAGAGCCGCGTTAGATCTCCTAATCCCCGCTCGCCCCGAGCATCAGCCGATCTCCCATCGCCGCGCCATTTTGCTGGACATGGGAACACCCGCTTGAGGGACGTCGAGGGTGGCCATGTGAGCTTGGGGGCTTTTGAGACAAGCCTTCCGATTCGTATGGATGTGGAAGCAGCTCTGGCATATCTACTACTGCCTCCCGCGGGAGGATTGTTCCTCCTATTGACCGAGCACAGGAGCGATTACGTCCGGTAGGCGCTGCCCTTGGCTCTAGCCTGTGCTCAGCCTCAACCTTAGTTACTGACCTCATTGTTTGTGGTAGATTTCATGCCTGGCAGTCGAGCATGCTTTTCGCTACCATGTTTGTAAGTCTTCAGGTTTCCGAACACGAGGTTCTTCCTGTTTGGCAGCATATCGGTCTGACTAGATCACAGGTCATCCATCTGATGTTCGCCTGGACCTCGTTTATATCTTGGACGCTCTTTGCCATTGACCTCTTCTTGATTTGCTACCTGGGGTTGCATGCTTATCGAGATGGTAAGTTTTCTAGGTATAACAGACTCAACATTCACTGACCGTCTCGATCATGGTATAGTGGAAACCCTTGACCATTTTGAGGTCCCCTTCTTCGGCCGCCTGGCCAACTCGTTCGTTGATAATGAATGATTGACCTGAGCTGTGATTCGGATGTCTTTGGGCTTTGCGGATGTTGAAATGCGGGGCTAGAAGGGTGGATGTGTTCTTTTGCAATATACCCCGGCAGTATGCCCATGTGGCTTGTCTCTCTTTCAATTTAGGTTTCGATGTTATTGTTTGTTACTTGCTGGTAATACAGTCTTCGATGCTATGGATGTTACTCATGCCACGCAAATTACAGGTCGGCCGTGGTTTCTTACCTACTCCTGAAGCTCATTGCCCTGAGTATTACGGAAACTCACGTACCGGTTTATATTTGAAGATCCCCACTCCATAATTGGTCCAGAGGTCTGCTCGCAATGCACCAAATTGTCAGCGGTAGCCCGTCCTTTTCCCCGGAAAATGCAAAGTGCGGATCCGCCCCACACTAGCCCGCCTTACCCGCATTTCCACTATTACTGACCTGAACTATAGTACCTTCAGACATTATCTGTGCCTATGTCAATGGGAAGCTCAATTCATAGAGCCCTTCGGAACTCGACAAAAACTCACTACGTCAGGCCTGAGATATATGGTGACCTACTTGTGCGCACGTTATATGATCAAGAAATTGATTTGGAACAAAAAAGGGTTCTGTATTTGAAGCTCCTCATATATCGACCAGTGGTATCCCTGCATCTGCGCCAAAAGGTGTATCCACGGGTAGTCATAGGACCAAATACACAGAAACTAGTTCGAAGCATATTTTTGATTGCATAGTCCACCGGGCTCGTGCGGAATAGATATGTCGTCCATGGTTTACCAGAATTGTCCGAAAACACGGCGCAAGATTCCGGACATTCAGGAGCGACTGCTGGAGGATCAGCGGAGCATTCAATAGGCTGATCCCAAACACCAAGTTATGCGAGAGCTCAAGAATAGAGAGTCCGCATCGTCGGAGCTTTAGTCAAATGCTCGGTCGGAGTGACCTTTCCTAGGAAGCGATGTCTTGGACGCTTGGCTTGATATATGGGAAACATGACGCCTTTCTTGATCCTTTTGGTTGTTGGAAAAGGGAAAATCTGGCTCTCAATCTGGGATGTCGATGAATATATAACCATGACATGATATATGATCAAGGTGAATGACATTTATGGAGTTTATCGACTTGCAACAACGACTTTTAATATCATATTGCCGACTCACATCTGATGCTTTCCGCTTGGCATCCCAGAGGTATTGGGGTAGATAGTGCCACGACTATTGACCGCAGTGTCTATATTGATCACTCGGCTGGAGAGAACCTCAGCATCAGCTTCCGGCCTCGGGGCAATGCAATGAACGCGTATTCTTGCTCGATTCCCTCGTCGTCCACAATAGCTGTCGAGTAATTGGAATAGACAGCCGCCATAACCAATTTGATTTCTGCATTATTAGTTCTCTTCCCAATGATTCCGATCTCGAACACGTTACCTTGCAATGCAAAATTACTGCCCAGGCACATCCGCCCGCCGCTCCCGAACGGCCAAAACAGTCGTCTCATATCATGGATCTTGTCACCAGCTTCGAGCCAGCGGTGCGGCAGCCATTCTAGCGGATTCGGATAAACATCACTGATACGATGCAGAGAATAAGCAGTCGAGCTGACCCTCACTCTCGCCTGGAATATTATCGTAGCCGTGCAGAGAAGTTCCTCCAGGCACTTTGGGAGTGACTCGAGGCAGTTGAGCCGGAGCCGGGGAGTGAAGACGAAGCGTTTCACGGACGACAGCATCCAACAAAGGGAGGGCGTCAACTGCAGAAAGAGGAGGGAGAGATCTCTCGCCATCTAGATCTGCATAGCGGAGAGACGGAGCTAAAGTGAGAAGCTCCTTTCGCAGTTCAGACTGAAGCGTTGGATGCTGCGACAGCTCCCACATCATGTATGTGAAAGTGATGCCTGTCGTTTCATGGCCTGCGACTAGGTGGTCGAGCAGTTCGGATGCCACGGCGAGCTGGAGCGGACGTGGATCGGGTTCTTTTTGCTCAGCAAGACTTCGCCTTAGCTGGTCGTAGACGACTGGATGCGTGAATGGCAGTTTCTCGTCTTTTTGATTGTCCTCAATGGGCGTCTCTAACTGTTCGCAGAAGTCCATGCACCACCGTTCTATAAATCCCATATATTGGTCGTCTCGGCTGAGGAACTTGAATCGCTCATACTCCTCTAACCAGATATTCCACTCGGGAAGATTGAACAGAAATCTTGTGCCTTGCCTTAATCCGAACAGAAACGAGGAAGTGAAGTCCATTCCGACGGCCTGGAACAATGGAAGGACGTTCAGCACCTCTCCGCTGCGCGCTGCACCTCTCCGCTGCGCGCTGCATGTTGCAAAATCGGCATCAATCTGTCCCATAGTACGACTTCGCAGATCATGCGCAGATCAGTCGACTCGAGCAGAAATGACTTGGAATAGATCTTGCTGAGCATGCGTTTCTGGTGCGCATGCGGCGCATTATGCACCATCCCCACCATATTTTCCGTGTTGAAATTGACGAAAAATTCATTGTAGAAGCTATGTTTCTCAAAAGCGCCCGTATATATCACTTTCAGCCCATGGAGAGAGTTCACACTCAGCTCCTGGGGGCCGAGCCGGACGATCGGGCCATACTTTTGGTGCAGGGCATAGATGGCAAGGACTTCAGCGCCTGTGTCGCGCTTATGGTCGATCCAACGGCTGGAAAGGGGAGAGGTGAAATGAGCATTCGGAATGGATGCTAGTGGAGACAGGACGTAGGGTGTTATGACATGGCGGTAGACAAGATATGCGAGCCAAAGAAGTGCGATGGGGATGAGCGGGATCATGGTGAAGTTAAGAAAATACCCCAAAGCCCCCCAAAATCCCCAGGCGTTAGGTCTTTCCCCCCGCCATGCAAGGAGTCGAGGAGGCTCCCAAAAAAGAAGATCCAGATCCAGGTTTCAAGTGCTCCTCACCCCCACTCTGTGGAAATAAGCACTCTTCCAAATCCACAATCAACACAAGGCGCTAATTCACACTAACTCCCGCGATAGTGCAACCGCAGCGTTAGCCCCGTCTCGGGTTTGACGGCGCCCATACAGAATAAAAGACAGCTCCACCATGGGCGTGCGCGGATTAGATACCGAAAGGGGAGGAGGGGAGGATTTTGCGAAAGGTTAAACACTTTCTTGCTCCCTACCTTAACTCTGGTCCCCTCTAAGCCAGCGTGTCTACCATGTTCTGGGATAAGGACCCTTCTGCGGTTTCTACTATGGAAGAAGCGCCATCCAAGGGCCGTGTGGCGCCTAAATGGCGCGGCACGCAGGCCGACCAGGCCGACATGAGCATTCTTGGGAGAGAGCAGGTCTTGCGGGTATGTGTGTTTAATCCTGGGGCCGATACGACCGAGCTGACCCTCACAGCGTAACTTTCGATTTATCTCGATTGTAGGGTTCGGCTGTACCTTGATCGCCACGTGGGAGGTTGTTTTGACGTATGCTACGAGGGTCCCAGACGGGCTCATCGATGTAACTGACGTTGTGTTTAGTTTACTACAGCAAGGCCTTACTGATGGGGGGACGGCTGGCCTGATCTGGGGCTTCGTGATTGTCGCCGTCGGTTTTCTTCTGGTATTTCTGAGTCTAGCCGAGATGGCTTCGATGTAAGACCCTTCGAAAGGTATTGATTTGCATGCATTCTGACTTTCCAGGGCTCCCACCTCGGGTGGACAGTACCATTGGGTATCGGAATTTGTGCCTCCGAGCTGTCAAAAATTCCTTAGTTACATAACTGGTAAGATGGTTCCTTGTCCTCATCCTCGCTATGGCTACGAACTAAACGATGGCAGGCTGGCTGTGCGCCATGGGATGGCAGTGCGCGATCGTGTCGATCGCCTTTTTAGCTGGAACCATCATTCAAGGCCTGATCGTGCTGAACAATCCCACGTATGATTTCCAGCAATGGCACGGGACCCTGCTGGTGATCGCGATCACTCTGTTTTCCATTATCTTCAACACCTTCCTGGCTAAGCGGCTCCCGTTTGTCGAAGTGTTGATTCTCATTCTGCATGTGTGTGGCCTGTTCGCCATCATCATTCCATTATGGGTCCTTGCGCCTCGCCGCAGCGCAAAACAGGTCTTTACCGAGTTCAACAATGGGGGCATGTGGAACAGCGACGGCACTGCTACCCTTGTGGGGTTCTCGACCACCATCACCGCATTGATTGGGTATGACTGTGCGGTGCATATGTGTAGGTTTTAATCTCTATGCCATCGAGTTCCTGGATTCCATTAATATTCTTCTTGTTTTCGCAGCAGAGGAGATCAAAGATGCCTCTGAGACGCTGCCAAAAGCTATGATTACGTCGGTCTGCGTCAATGCCGCATGTGGCTTCTTGTTGCTGGTGACGATTTGCTTCACCTTGGGCGACATTGACGATATCTTGGCGACGCCAACAGGGTACCCGTTCATCCAGGTGTTCTACAATGCCACCGAGAGTCTTCCAGGCACAAACACCATGACGGCCATTCTGGTGCTGACTCTGACCGCAAGTACCATCACAGAAATAGCAACAGCATCACGCCAGCTATGGTCCTTTGCACGAGACCGCGGTCTCCCTTTCTCCGATTTCTTCGGATATGTATGCTTTCCTTCTTGAACGGGGTAACATAATGCTAACCGCACTAGGTCAATCCGGACTGGAATATCCCCTTGAACGCCGTGATGGTTTCGCTGGTCGTAACAGTTCTCTTGTCGCTCATCAATATCGGCTCCTCCACGGCGCTCCTGGCCATTGTAACCCTCACCATAGGTGCCATGATGTCTTCCTACATCATCACCATCGGATGTGTGCTCCTCAAGCGGATCCGAGGCGAGCCTCTTCGACCTCACAGGTGGACGCTGGGCCGATTCGGCATGGCAATTAATATCGGGGCATTGTGCTTCCTGCTCCCGGTGTTCGTATTTGCTTTTTTTCCGCTCTCCTCAACGGTCACTCCCGAGACCATGAACTGGTGCATTGTTATGTATGGGGGCGTTTTAATCATTGCAGTGGTGTACTACGTGCTCCGGGGCCGGCATCACTACGTCCCACCCGTCGCGTTGGTGAAGAGGGAAATCTGATGACGCACTCGGCGGGCCTGATCTTCTCCGTAACAGATGTTAATACTTCGCCATATGTGGGCCTATCGGGATCCCTCCCAATAAAATAAAAGAGCGCGTTACATCTGTATGCAGTATTGAGTTTGCTTTTCCGAGGAGAAATTACGCTGCGTATCTCGCAATCCACTGCATCCTGCGACCAGGGTAGGGTTAAACAGGGGTTTGTTCTTGGCAGACGTAGGAAGGCCCCCCGGGGGCCGGCTGGGGCCAAACCTCCGGCCAGTCGAGATTCGATCTGCGTGGCTCAGCTGAAAAGAAGAGAAAAAAGAGAAAAAAAAAAAAGATCCGCAGGATTGAAATTAGAATGATGGAATATCCCAAGCTATGTCCTAATACAGGTGAAACCCGAGTTCCTGTGCAGCAATGACCGGAAATGCATTTGCACAATAAAAGTGGGCATGCAGGCCGTGTCCATAAGACTGCGACTTGTTGCGACTTTCCTACGCATTCGCCAGTCTCGTTCGACAGAGTTTTGCAGTTGGCCCCAGTGGGGCTCCGGATTCTCCGTCGCAGACTTTCTTGAACAAGATGAATGGCTCGGCACGTCGGCTCCGACCTGGTTGCTCGCCTGTTCCTTCGTGGGCGTTTCCGAGCGAAGTTCCCCAACACCTCGAGGTCGCCTGTAGGATTTCCGAGCCTCGGAACATCTCTTGCTCCTATCTCTATCTTCTCTATTCTTTTATATCCCGAGTCGATCAGGGGGGGGGGGGGGTTTACCTTGTTGTATTGGACCCCAACTCTGTTTAAGTCCATCGTTCGAGCTGCATGGGTCTGCCCATTGTAAATCAACTGTACACAGTAATACACATGCAAAATGCCACCATCATGATCCCTGTCTTGTGCCCTATTTCCTGGACTGTTTCTCCCAAGGTATTCACTCGCGTCAATAATTTGATCCTGCCCTGATGGCGATCAAAGTTCCCCCTGGCCAGTCGCCGCCCTTCGAGACCATCGACGATAAACACCATGCCGGGATTATCATAATCACCGGCGCCATCTGCTTGATGATCTCCCTGGTCTGCCTGCTGATCCGGGTGTACGTGCGCGCGTTCCTGAGTCCCCCATGGGGGTCAGACGATGTTATCTTGCTCGCAGCGACGGTAGGCAATTGGAAAGTTCGAAGTGCCCGTAGTCAAGGAACTGATCAAAACAGATTACCGCCCTTTCCGAATCGATTGTCATCTTCCAAGCTGCAAGTATAGGGTTAGGGACCGACGTTTCGCTCCTGGCTGAAAGTGCGGTTGATAGAATCCAACGTGTATGCACGCCCCCACCTTTCCATTAGATGCGAGAGGGCTAACGCAGATATAGTCCGTTCTTGCGGCCGATATCCTCTACCTTCTCACCATCTACCTCTCCAAATGCTGCATAGTAGCAATCTACCTCCGCCTAACGCCCCGCAAGCGCCACCAGAGCATCTTATGGGCCACAGGCGGATTGGCCGTGGTAGGGTTCCTCGTGTCAGTCCTTCTTCTTGCCATCGAGTGCGAAGCGAGCCAGCCATGGCACATCTCCGGCGAACAATGCCATAACCTGGTATGTCAAAACGATGCAATGGCTTTTCCAACTTGACAAACGTCATGCGCCGACTGAATCGATCCCGGAAAGCGCTAACGACTTGAAACCACAAAGTTTGCCCGCTGGCAAGCCATCACTGCCCTGGACATCTCGACCGAAATCATCCTCTTCGCCTTCTCCATCGCCCTCGTCTGGGGCCTCCAGATGAAGGTCCCCCACAAACTGGTGATCATGATATCCTTCGCAGCAAGACTACCGTACGCTCTACCCCCAGACTGCACCCCCACCATTGGCATCCAGCCCTACCAACCTGCAGATCAGTGAGGAAAGAAAAACTAACCAAAGCCGCACAATGGCAGACTAATCGTATTCGCCGCCCTCCACCTCTCCCGCCTGGCAGGCTACACTACCTCCACCAACCCAACCTTCGCCGCGGTCCGCCCCGCCGTCTTTTTCCAAGTCCAACTCAACTATGCCCTGGTCGCGTGCACGGTCTTCTGTCTCCGGCCCTTCATGCACGCCGTGACAAACTACTACGGCACGGCCGGCGACTCGAATCTCGGCAGTAGCGGGGGATATGGGTCCGGGTCTCGATATGGGAAACGCAGGAATTCCGATCCGTATGCGTCGGGGCGGTCGCAGGAATTGGAGATGGGGAGGCTGAAGGGCCGTGGGCGGCGGGAGGGCGTGCGGGAAGAGGGCCTGATGGGGCCTGAAGAAGGTGGGTCGAGCGCAGGGGAGCAGCGATATCTTGGTGGCCGGAGTGGCGAGGGTGCGGAGAGTAGACGGAGTGAAAGTTGCGGGAGTACGAGGGGGATTCTGAGGAAGGATCATCATGATGGGGATTATCAAGGTTCATAGATATAGAGCGGGCAACGGTTTATAGATCAGCATAGAAGTATCGATTTCAAAAAGTCGTTCTGTATACTATCACTAAAAGAGGTGCAGCTAACTTGGAACAGGAATCGAGAACATACTACTTCTACTCGTAATGCGACGGCTTATTCAATCGGCAGCAACCTGGGCAATGGCAAATTCAATACAAATGGGACACGTTAAATTCAATTACAGGAAGCATCTCGTATCCTCCGAGCAGATCGGGAGAATCAGGAAAAGCAAAGAGGATTAAACACAAACCAGTATCCGTCGAGCATGAAATCGCGAATGTACATTGTAGATCGTCCCTCGTGCAATTTGGCTTTGAACAGATCTCGTATCACTTCAAGCATGAACATAGTCCCCCGAAAAGAGAAAGAGATAAACAAAATACCGCGAACAAAAAAAATGATATCACCAAGAAACAAGCTGCGCTAAGACTCCCGGGAAAGACAAAGAAGCAGTCAATCGCAAGAACAGGATCGAAATGTTGAACAGGCCATCGAGCGATCGTAGTACGCGCATAGCGCAAGGAGGCAACAGCTGATGGGAAAATGATCGTAAATGTGCAAAAGGGCTCGAAGAAGACATGGTATCTACGTGAAAGGGTGAAGGAAAGCAAAGCAAAAACAAACAGGAAAGAAAAAAAACAGATAAGAAATAGATCTCCGTCAGGACTGGTGCTTGAGATTGGGTCGTGACAGGTCGTGAGAGAGTTGAGCATTCGATCAAGGTTTGATCTAGATGATCTGGAGGTAGTTGCTTGGCACCAGGCCAGGGTGACCACGAGAGTTGGTGACTTCAGCCTCCCACCATCCGTCGTCTTGAAGGCGGATTACAGCCAGAACATCGCCCTTCGTAAAGCCGAGTTCCTCAGGAATGGCGGCGCTGTAGCTGTACATGGCACGAGCTGCAGGATGACAAGGTCAGTAATCTCGTTTGTATGAACATAAGAATGGGTAAAATCTTACCGAAATGAAGGATTGGGCGGCCATCGCGACTGAATCGTCGACCAGGCTCAGCAACAGCAAGAGTACGGCTTCGGGAACGGCCAATAGGGGGCCCACCGCCGCCGCTGCCTCCACCAACGCTACCGCCATCGCCATAGTGAGACATAGGACGACCATCGCGTCGAGGCGAAGAGCCATACTGGCTACCACCGTACATGTCAGGGCCACCGCTCAGCTGCAATTCCATTCCACCAGCACTAGATGGACGAGCCTGTTGGCGGAACTGGGGCTGAGGAGAGACAGCACGGTGGGTAGCGGCTGGCGAGGTTCGTTGCGCGTAGTCATTTGGGGGAATAAGGGGGTTCTTGCGCACGACGAGGCGTTGGGGACTGGCTGTAGCGGCTACGCACGCTACTGGTCTGGTATGTCGAAGGGCTAGGGCTAGCACCCCGACCACTCATACGACTGTCGACACGGGAAGAGACCTGGGGGCTAGCGCTGCGGCGGGGAACTGGGGAACGAGCGCGCGGGACTTCCTGGGCCATGGGAGCTGGGTTCTGATTGCCCCGAAGCATGCTCTGGGTCTGACCGGTGTAACGCTGGGTCGTCTTCTGCATCTGCTTGGCGGTGAAAGCAGGCTCCGGCGCATCAAGTCGCTTAGCCGATGGATCATTGTAAGCCGGAGGAGCGGCTGCAGAACTTCCACCGTATGCAGAGGACTGGGCGGAAGGAGTTGGTGAGTGAATTCCATGGTATCGGTCAGCGGAAACACGCACGCTGGCTTGCTTGCCGCTCGTCTTCAAATCGGCTAGGGCTCGAGCAATAGGATCCACATCGTCACCATCGCCCTTCGACCCTTGAGATGCTGACTTGGGATCTTTTTTCTCCGGAGATGCCACATCAAAGACGTTGTTCCCAACATTCAACTGGAAATTGGCCCGCGGATCAACAGGCTCAGGGCTCACGGCACGATCAGGCTGAGTGCCTGGCGCGGAAGCCTTGGTTGGGCTGGTGTGCTTCGATGGCGAATTCCACGGGCTACGGGAGGGGGACTGATTGCCAATAGCTGGTCGATCCTTGTCGTGGCGGCTCTTGCGTCGGAAAGGGCTGTTGCTGAAGAACGCAGTCTTTTTCTTGGGTGAAACCTGCTTGTCTTCCTGGGAGACAGGGACGGGTACATTGCTCATGGGCCCAGGCTGGGGAGGTGCTTGTTTCGCAGCTACGGGTGCTTGGGTAGGTCCCGGTGGCTCCACGCTGGACATGGAAGCAGGGTTCGATACGTCGCTTGCGGAGTCTCGGCTGGATGGCCGATACTGGCTCAGGGCCGAGCTTCTGTCTGAAGGAGGACCGGCGCGGCAGAACATTGTCATACCGTCAGTTGGGTATGCGTTGTGCGGAACCTTGTTGATCTCTCCATGCTGCTCAGGATCATAGTTGGGTGGCAGATAGCCACCTCGGCGAAGGTCCAAGGGCGCGGGATGCTGAGCATGGTTCTGCATAGGGACCGGGGCAGGTGCTGCAGCTGGCATAGCTGGAGGCGCAGCCGCGGGCGCAGGAGCTGCACCTGGAGCTGGCATAGGTGCTGGGGCAGCCACAGGTGCAGGAGCAGAGGCTTGTGCCGGTGCTGGGTGGCCCATCTGGGCGGCAAGATCAGACTGAGGATCATGATGAGATTCGAAAGTTGATGGCTGTGGCGAAGATGTACGGGAATGCAGGGTTCATAGTGCGCTGAAATTGTGCAACTGAGTAGCCTTCACCCCCGTCCATGTCAGAATCGTCGTCGGCATCTTCTTTGCTGAAGTTGATGAAGCGAGGGGGGTCGGGAATTTCCTGCCCCGTTCCGTGGTGTTTGATGAAGAAGACGATATCCTTCTCAACCTCACATTCTTCCAGTGCAAGTCGGATCTTTTCGCAAGATGCATCGTCGCTGACACAAACAGTGGATGCAATGTTTGCGTAAGTCCAAAGACTGCTCTTAGTAAAATCGATTCTCTCCTCCTCAAGATCCTGGAACTTGTCGCAAGCAGACTTCCACTCCTTATTCCATCGGCCAGTGGTTTCTTCGAGTGTCTTCACCGCCGCTTCATACTCCTGGCTATTGGCAGCTCGTTGGATCTGGGTCTTTTCAAGCTTGGCCTTGTTCTTACGCTCTTCCTGTCCCATAACCATATGTCCTTGAGCCAAGTATCCCTTGATGCGAAGACAATCTTGCTCAAACCGATCTCGAGTCTATTCAATCATATTAGGAACAGCCCCCTCAAGCAAGCTGTGGTCACATTATACATACCTTGTTAACGACCTGCGTTTGCTGGACCTTGATTTTATGCAGGCGTTCAATGCCATTTTGGATGATCTTCCGGCGCTCCTTGAGACCACTAGCAAAAGCCGCCAGTGGCTCTTCAAGTTCGCTCTTCATCTGCCCAGCAATAGCCAAGTGTGCCTTGGCAATAGCCTCCGTTTCGCCGCGGACTGTGTCTAACGATAACCGGAGTGATCCGGTCTCCGCCGTCCCAAGGGGTTTGCGACAGAGGGCTTGGAGTTTGCGTGCATATTCGTCTTCGATCGCAGCTCGAACTGTATGCCAGATATCAGTAAATAGATCTTTGAATCTGTCAAGAAACCTGGCGTACCGGAGTAAAACGCTTTCAATTCATCGTTCGTAGTCTTCGATCCGTGCATTCTATCGAGCATAGGTTGCAGGCCCGCATCATGGCTACCCCAGAAATTGTTGGCAACTAATCCACTGTTAGGAGTAATTTCAATTGAGAGAGTTGTCCGCTTACAAGACATGGACACTGATGGTCCATCAGCCACCGTTCCAGGCATATTGTTGGTGTGTTGAGCCTCGGCCAGCCTTTGCTCTTGGGGAATCGAAAGAAAGCGGGAAGAATGAATGTAGCAAGATGAGAAACAATATCAAATAATCACGGTGTTTAACCGGTAACAGGGAAACACAAGAGAGCCCCTACGGTCGCAAAGTGTGGCGAGAGGGAGAGGATAAGGTGACGAGATGATGTTTACGCAGTGTCGCCCGGGGCAACCACAGCCACCCTCTCGCGTTCTTTGACCGCAACGTAGATCTGCCGCCACAATCCGATCTAACTAGAGAAGGCTACTTGCAGATTGGCAACTGTTCTAGACGCAGCGATTAGTCTAGCTCATGCTCCACTTATAGCTGCATAGAAATGCCACCATCATGTTTACAATGGTCTCCCCGGAAATGATATCTACTCTATCCGAGAGTTTCATATTAGGCACTTGAATACAAACCTGGAGGGGGCAACCAAATTATGGACAGGGGCCATAGGGGCGCTGAAATACCTGAAAACAAAAAAAATAAGTCAGCGTGGTTCGAACGCAGACCTTCTCAATTATTTGATCGCGATTGTAAATTACGACCACGGCGTATTATCGTATACACACGCACCAGAGATGATTAAGGTCATTTTACGAGCATAAAGGGAGTGAAAATAAAGAATCTGGAATGATTGTCAGTACGTAAGAGGAGTGAGTTGGGTCATGTGGGCTTTGAACAAAAAGAAAACTGTCCTCAACTGCTATGTTAAGGTCATGGTTCCAAATATTGATCAGAGGAGTATATCTGGGTAGACAGCTACTGCGTTTGGTAAAAGGCAAAGCTCAGATTACTGCGTCATCTAACCCACTCCTCACTTGGCGGAACATCTGAGGCCTTATATAAGGGGCTTGGACCACGTTCATCCCCTACATCACCAGTTCTTGCCGGTATCCAACTGTACATGATCATGACTTGGATATCAACAGCGGTTCCTCGCGTGACCCTACCTTTCGCGCAAATACAAGACACTACAATTAGACTCTTTACTACAAGTCAGAAAGCTTTACTCGGAAAATGTGTAATAAGGAGGTTTTTCGTTTTCATTATAGTTCCCATTCTATCTAAAAATGAACCATTTGGTGTCCTTCTATGAGGCCCAGCCCCCACGAAATCATCTCACAAAGTAACAGTCTGAAGAGGGAAAGAATACACAGAAAGGGGGGGCCGGACCATATTGCACCGCAAACTCCATTGATGCATCCCAGAAGAAGAGCCGCCCACAAAGAAAATAAACAAAAACAAAGATCCGACAAGAATCTTTTGCACATCGTCATCAGTAAACAATTTCCATATCAAGTCGTAGATGCCAACAATCATTCATAGGAACTCATGTTCACGTTCACGGTTCTCAAAATCCATATGTCGTTTCTCATATGTATCCACTTAGTGAAGAGGTGCAAAAGTGGGAGTGACACTCCAGCTAGAAGCGGGAGTAGCAGAGCCGGTGATGCTGGAAGCAGGAGTGCCGTAGGCACGGCGCACAGCATATCTAGTGGAAGAGGCTGGGGCGCTAGAAGACACACCGCGAGCATACAGAGAAGCCGATGCAGTAGGAGTGACAGTAGAGGTAGCAGAGTAGGCAGGGGTGGATACCGAGCTCCAGCCCCAGCGGCGAGCAATCAGAGAGACACTGCTGGAAGGAGTGGCGGTGGTGACAGCGGCAGCGGATGAGCTAACGGAGGGGCTGTAGGCGCGGGCAAAATGGAGAGGGTTGCCAGCGGCTGACAGACCACGGCGAATGAAGCCATTCTGAGGAGGGAAGAAAGACTCTCCTGGGGGGAGGAGGGAAGTGCCAGACGGGGGTTGAGCTAGAGGCTCCAGAAGAGTATGGTACACTGGAGGGAGTGGCAGTCACTGTGATGGTCTGCGGCCCAATGGTAGAAACAGATCCAGGCTCGGTGACAATAGAGCTGATAGTCTGAGTCACGGTCTCAACAGTGGGAGCAGTGGTAGATTCCCCATCGACATTGACGACACTGTAGTCCTGGCGCTTAGCGGCCTCGAAGGGGGCAGCGTAGGTAACGCTGACGGAAGAGAGAGCCAGGAAGGCTGAGGCGTATGAGAAATGCATGTCGACGGATAATGGATTCGAGCAAGTATGTGTAGAACAAAGAAAGCGGGTCGCGCTGGAGGTTATGAAGTAGAATTTTACTCCAGTCAATTCGGACTGATCTTGAGGAAAGGTGGTTTGGGAAGTTGTTGTGCAAGAAAACTAGTGAAAGAGATGGCAGGTTTAAATGGCAGAAACTGGCGGCGCTGGGCATGATGTATATAGATGGGGATTTCTTTCTGCCATGTCAAAAATAGGTGGGCTGGAGCCTTCGGTGGCTGGGAATTAGCTGTTGGGCCGTCTAGCCCATCGTCCTCATCATCCGCGTAGCCACCCAGCCACACGCTAAGTGGAGTTCCAGAGAAGATCAACGCTACCGCGATCCAATTAGCGCCTAAGCGGCCCTGCAGAAGCGGGGGTCACGAAGCGGCCAGGAAAAACCCACTCAAACGACACTGCCATGTGGAACCAAGATTGGGTGGCTGGGGGTTCCACTCGGAGAGCTGTAAGCGCTGTGGAGAGAATAAACCCGTTGCCTAGTTCGTTACTGTTCTTACATCTTGATCCACTACGGAGTAATCATGCATCCATATATCTCCCATCATATCATAATGATGCTCAGGGATTTTGGTGATCTACCGCTAAATCCTGGTGGCAGGTCAGGTCGCCAAATCCTCCACGCGGATCAGGCCACACCCAAGCGCAGCGCATCCCCAACCCGCACAAGAGCGGTTCGGGTTCCACCCTAGTGCTGTGACGTGCTGGTTTTCATCATAAATGGTAGTGATGGTGAAGCCACTAGGTCTTCCCTCGTTGGTTCGATCTCGGGCACTCCCCTGGGTTTCGGATTGAAACCCGTCGTAAAATCTGCTGATGCCGGGGCCTTGGCCTTTTTGGTCGGGCACCCAGTCGTGTGTGAACCATGTCTGTTGCCATTGTTTCTCTTTTGAGTAAAGAAGTCTTCGGAGGGGATTGCTGGCAAGCACCTCCCCACCGGTCCCTCCGCTGAGAAGACTTGGATGCCAGAAACTACACGGCGAAATGCACGAGATACTGCTGGGAACTTTCGCCGTGGCGTTCGTGCCAAAGAATCTTCGTACCGGCATGATTCGGCCACTCTCGTTGTCATCGCCAGCGCAAACCGATTGGAGAATGGGGGAGTAGGTGAGTTGACCCGAGGGGGTTCGGACACGGACAGTAGAGGAAGTGTCGCCTTGAGGGTCAATGATAGAGCAAAGACGGGTATCACCATCCATGCTGACTGTAGCTAGAAGGTGCGGATTTGTTGGATACATCGATATGATGTTCAACACATAAGTGCTGTGTAAACTCTGGTAGAAGTACGGCTGAGGGTTGGATGTAGAGGATGGCACGATGCTCCAGACGGCCGCAAAGCCATTCGCACATCCGACCGCAATGTCACTAGGCGAGAGCCAAGCCACCGAAGTGCAAATGGTGGATTTTGGGATGGCCTCGAAGGCAGGCGATGTCATGTGGACTATACCCTCAAGTGAGTATAGTGGCATTTTGGTGAGATATTCACGAATGGTCACGACTTACTATATTCTTTGTGGGGATTATGGCGAATCTTTACATCCAGGATCCGCACTTTCCCGTCTCCCCAAATGGTAGCCAAAAGGCCCAGGTTTATGAAGCCACCGTCTTTGTCCTGGCTGCGACTTTCACGATCCACGGGGCACCAAGTCATGCGCCGTAGGTCTCCCCACTCAGAGCATATCACGAGCCGTAGACGTGGTTGAAAAGACATATCTAAAGTATGAGTAACAGATGCGACTTTCCTTCCCTTGAATTCCCATATCTGGAGCGCACTTGGGTATGGCGGAGACGGTCGGAATGATGATTTTAGATCAGACTCCCCATCAACCTTCGCCTTTTGCTCGTTTGTAATTGGGGAAGCGACAGCCAAATACTGGAAATTACCATCCTGGTTCGGAGCCCATGCCATACAGTTGACCTTATGCCCCACACTGATCAGCCATCCCTCACGCATCTTAGCATCGATCGGCATAGTTCTTTTGACCTTCTTATCTGGCCACGCCTCGCTGATATCGAGAGCATCGTGGCATTTGAGACGGTACTCCGTTTGGGCATTAGATGGCCCCAAGAGGACTGTATGCATTCCTGGCTTGGGGTTTGGTAAGTATCTGAGGTTTGCATCGGTCTCTTTGATCTTTGCGGTCCGTTGGGCTGTCCGAAATTTCTCGCCAGTCTCTTTGCTGTAGTACCAGTCCCATGCTTTCGTTCTTTCGTTCTCCATATCTGCATCGCTCAGGCCAAAAGTTTGCCCAAGTGGCAGGTCTGACTCTCCTCTAGATTGTTCCAGAGACACACGCGACGGAAAGGTCGCATCCCTACTGTAGCGCCACCGGCCCCGCGAGTGGACAATAGGCCCTAGGTCACGATCATCGGAACCAAATGTTGAGATGTAATGCATGAATTTTGAAACATGGTTCTTCGGGTCCATGATCCCGCGAGAATGCGTCTCGTTCGGATCCATTCGCATCGAGCCGTCGGGGTCGCGTCCAGGAAGGGATTTGGCTAGCTGGCCCCTCCTTGGCTTCCCGCGAGGCGTGTCCACCTCCATATCCTCGTCGTCCTGACTCCCGAGGTCGCTGGGTTCATCGTCTTCGTCTTCATCGTCCAGCGCATCCTGAAATTCATTGACTTCAGGTTCGTCAGTGCGGGGTGCATATTCACCACCTGAAGAATCTTCCTGCTTCACTCTTGCTGACTTTCGCTTAGAACCACGGGCTGCCGGCATAGGCTTTGGTATACCTTCAACCAGATCCGAGCTGGAGGTATCATCTAATACCATGGGATCCTCGGAGTACACGGTCCTTGAGCCCTTGGTGCGGGCTGACTTCCGCACTGGAGGCATATTTCTGCCAAAATTGACGTGGCGTAAGCTTTACGCAGATGGAGCATATAAGGGCCAGCCAATGCGAGCTTACTCTTGACCTCTAGGCCATGTTACAGCCTGTTTGCGAATGGCGAACAAGGCGGCACGAGTTTACAGGTTCACATTCCTTTCAGACCACCAAGCTTGGGGCACTATTCCTAATTCGGATGTCTCCACTGGGCGCACATCGAAGATCGGAGAGTTCTTTCCTATTGGCGTACCTGCTCGTAAATAACAGAACTAGGGGGGGGGTTCCTCTATGGAAACTAATTTTTGGGCCGGGTCTTTCTTTTGAGATTAGCTCCAACAGAACCTCCTCTAAGTATCGTTGCAGCAGGAAGTGTGTGCCTCCCAGGAACTCCCTCAGAGTGCAATGGGGCAGACGTGCTGCCATATACATCACCAGCTCTACTGATGCATTCCTATCTTTGGTTCCATACCATATTTTGGCCTTGTAGTAATTCTCGTCCTCAAACTTGACACCCCAGTTCGACGTCAAGAGCTGCGCATCGAGTACTGCTGGCTGCACTCCTTGGCGAAATGCCTCAAAGGCTTGATTGACCAGGACTTGTCTCAACTCCACTGCAGAATCCTGCGGGTTTGTTAACAGATTCCCTTCGATCCATTTGTCTATCGCATAAAGTCCTGAGAGGGGAACTCAGAGCTCGACGGCCCATCCACAATATGAATACCAGGAGGCCTCCATAACTGGAGGGCCAATACCGAGCAGACGAAGCAGTGATACGGCATGGGGAGAGTGTTGTAGTCAGCGCCGCCTTCTCAAGGTCCCGCTCCAGTCATGATCCCAACGCCAGAGAGCATTCCTGCGGGTAGCTGGTGAGCGCAGACCAAAGTATATGGACTGCTGCCAGAGCCACCCAGAAGCGCAAATTGATACAGGCTCAAATGCTGAGCGAGTGCTTTTACATCAGCCGGCCAGTCAGCAATCTTTCGATCTGAGTTAAGATTCGTGAACCCATACCCGTTGCGGTCGGGGTAGATAATACGCAAGCTGTGGCGACGAGCAATGTCCTCCAGCCCGAGAGTTTCTCGGCGGGACCTGGGATAGCCGTGCATGAACAAGAGTGGATAGTCGTTAGATTGACCGTGCTCGGTAATCCCAGTGTGCGTCCATCAGGAAGCCGCATTTGCTGGTTGTATCGTGCATCCAATGCACTCGCATAGCGAACTGTGGAGTTGCCACGAAATGCCCGAAGGACTATTGGAAGAGTCAAGCCTCATCGCATCAGTATGACTGCGCTGTAAACATGATCAAGGACCTGATTCATGAATCCGCATACAATCTATACGACGCGACACCTGGACCTGTCGAGGCTGAGCGATTACTCAAGTCGCGATTCCTAAACGGGTTTCATGTACCGCTCGCCCATGACATCAGCCTTGGGGGCGATAAATTCAAAGAATTAAACCACTCGGGTGGGTAATCTGCACATAAAGCTTGATTTCAAGTACAGGCTTTGTCAATAAAATGATAGTCATAACTAGTGTCTAGTTAAGTTATACCACAGTCGATTCCCTTACTAATATAGCTTAACTAGTTAGTTAACTAACTATTATCTACCAGCGCGGATACCTCGGAGCCTGAAGTTCTACCCGCTCTGAGATACCTGGCGGCACCGGACGCTTAAGTATATTATAAGGGAACAAAGCGAGTGCCTAGAGTTAAAACGTCATCCTTTCCAGTGGTACTTATTCTCCGAAATCGCTTTTAAGTTGCAAGTCATTCACTCGACTGGAATGTGCCGAGTGCCGTCAGGCAGACGTCCAGACCCTCAACCGGATTAGCGCGAACCAAGTATCACGGACATCACGCCCAATCCGGCACGTGGTGCGCCTTTTTACCACTATATCTACGCGGCGCTGGAAATGTCTTTCAAGTGACTTTCCAAGAACATTCCATAAGCCTACCTGACCTCGCCAAGAAACACGATGTCAAAGCACGACCCGCCATCTTATGCGGCTACAACACGTGGCCCACATAGCGGGCACACCAATGCGGTCACCAAGGCAGCGAATCTCCGGGCCAAGGATGAAGTACAGTTATCCAACCATGGTAATGCAGTACTATGCTAATGTGCATTCAATCAACAGCAGCGAATGCAGAACCTACTACAATCCGTCCAATTTCACTACCAAATATTTAATAGCGATCTTGAACCAGAACATGACACCGACTATCCTTGCGGTTGCATGGCTTGTCAGTATAAATTGAGGAAACAAAACCGGCTTGGCGTGCTAAATGCATGGTCCAATGCTGTGATGTACCCAGGTAATTTCCCAAATGCAGATACTACCTTCGGCTCTCTTCTTTTGCTTATGGTCACACCAGGCGAGAGATCGTACCATGATTGTTATCAGGGGATATTCTTGAGTGGAAATCCATACTTCAGGATAATCAGTCCATATCCTCCCCAATTTGCGTCTCCTTTCCGGGGCGTATCAAGACCGGACCCCTTCCTTTATACCAGGTCCCTTCAAATGACTATTCAACTAAATGCAAATCTGAATGCGCAAGCCCAGCGGTCCATCGATGGGAAAGAACCTGAATTTAATATCTGGGAACTCGAAGAGCTCGAAGAAACAGTGGCATCTATTTCGTCAGCGCTAGCGAACGAAAAGCTTGCAAAACCATCGCGTTTGAGTGGTCTAAAGAGAGCATTTTCAATTAAATCCCCGGAAGAAAAGGCAGTTATCAAACGACAGCGGGAAATCAATGAGGCTAAAGGCCTTCGGGCTGAGATCCTCAAAGAAGAAGATGGCAGATGGCCAGACAAAGAATGGCGATCAATAGTGATTGCCTACCAAGAACATATCGGCATGGCCCGGAGAATAGCGGAGTTCCGTGCCAAAAAGCCCATTCAGTATCTTCACCTTCTTCGCGCCGGATACTTCGAGCCCATACCAGTGGCCTGGGCGAACATGGCATCCAATCCGCTCAAATTCAGCATTGACGCAGCGGCTGGATGGCGAGGAATCACCCCCGCGTGGAGAGGATACGAAGACACCGCCGAGGAGCGCCTGTACTGGGTGTTGAATCACAGGAAGGAAGTACAGGGCCGCGTCTGAAGCCCGATGTTATCTCTGCACTTACCATGGCCCGTGCAAGGATGCAATCGGCTGTCGAACCGCCTCCGGTGTACTTTTCTGCCGACGACACTTGTCATGTCCAGCATAAATCTAAGGGGTATTCAAGACAAGTGATGCCGCCCCCTTTCAGATCAGTCGATGGGCCCGAGGTGCCGACAGATGACACAATGATATTGTTGGATGTCTCTGGATCGATGAACTTTGACCCTGTTCGCCCGGTCTATAATCAATTTCTTATACAAGACTATGTTGCCTCCACACAGCCCAAAAACAAAGGTAATGCCGAATATTACGAGCTGTCTTGTAGTAGAACTAACATTGTACTCGAATAGATGTCGCAAAGTCAATAATTAGGCGTTTCACAGATGCTATGATCAATCATGATCAGAACTCTGGGGGGTTACCAGCTGACTACGTTCTCTGATAAATCCGAATACATCGGCTTTTTGAATCACTGGAACTTCGATGAGACATGGAATAAAATTCATTTCGGGGGGCTCACCAGAGTAATGACCGGCTGGCAATTGGTGAAGGATCTCCATTTCCAGAAACATGCTGAATCCGCCACATACCACCCTGTGTATGGATGGCAAGCCGGCCCACAAACCCCGAAACTGCGACTTTTGCTCTTATTGGATGGCGAAGCCAGTGACATGGATGAGTTTGAACTTGATCTTCTCAGCCTTTCTTGGGTCCATGTGACAATCTTTCTTATTGGTGTCGACGGATGTCCTCACCATCATCGTCATGCGAATGAACTCCAGAGAATCAGTGAGGTAAACCCTCATGTCTCGTTTGTCGACGCCCAAGGAAATATGCCTGAGCGCTATGTGACGCATGAACTTCTGAAAAGGCATCTCGGATATGATATAACAATGTCTGAGTTTGAAGAAATGGAGCAGCCGCCTCCATATGCAGAGCTGTAAAGGCTCTGCAACCTAGAAGTTTTAAATCAATAAGGTGCTTCAGGGAACCCGATAGGCTATCGTCTTTGCATGTTCTAAGCTACTCAGAAATTGAGTATCCGTCCTCTTATGTGAATAATGAAACTCTACTAGTATCACATCACCTCCGGGTCTTCCGACTTCTAAATGGACTACTACAGCTTACCGTGGATAAAGCTTGCCCCACGGTGGGCCAAACTTCCGTCATGGGTTGATGGACCCGTCCTCAGCCCTGCCCCTCCAACTTTTGTCTCACACCGGCATCATGTCCACAGCTTCGCACCCTGGAATTCTCCACGAATATGTATAGCTACACATTGGTACCGCCTTCTTTCCGCTACGGGTGCTAATAAAAAGTCAATCATATAGGCCCCTAGCCTGGTAACCTTCGAGTTCACGTCCCCGGGAAGACCACAAGGCAAACCGAACAGCTTGATCTTCGTGGGCGGATTAACGGATGGCCTGAAAACCGTGCCATACGTGGCCAATCTTGCGAAAGCTCTTGAACCAACAGAGTGGTCCGTGTTCAATACTCTGCTGTCATCGTCATATATTGGGTTCGGGCTGAGCAGTCTCGACCAAGATGTGGAACAAATCGGACAGTGCGTACAGTTCGTCCAGAATCTGAAGGCCTCTCAAGGGGTGGTAAAGTGGTCATCATGGGTCACTCCACTGGTAGCCAGGACGTACTTCATTATATTTATGCCCAGAACCCGTTCCCCAGAGATCCCGCTTTCGATGTCGGCCTCAAGTTCCTCACACGACCGCCAGTGGACGGCGCCATATTACAAGCCCCGGTCTCGGATCGGGAAGCTGTGGCCCATCTCATCAAAATGGCAGATAAGCCCAACGAGGCCCGTGGCGCTTACGAGCAACTCGTCAGCGCTGCGAAGAGGCAACCCTGGACAGACGATAAGAAGGACTGTATTCTTCCATTGAAGCTCACTTCACAGCTAGGCCTTCCGGGACATGCGCCCATCAGCGCCCGTCGATTCCTCAGTCTTCTTAGTCCAGACAGCCCCGAACATCCAGAGCAAGATGATTTATTTAGCTCCGACTTGACGGACAAGCGCCACAAAGAAACATTTGGCCAGATTGCAGCGCGTGGGCTCTTGCGATCTAAGCTTCTGGTGCTGTACTCCGGCAGCGATGAATATTGCCCGCCTTCGGTGGACAAAACTCGCCTGCTGGAGAGGTGGAAGCAGGCGACGGAAGATGGAGGCGCTTCTTGGGATGAGAACAGTGGGATTGTCCCGGGTGCTACACATAATGCTAGGGATGAGGGACAAGAAGACCTCATCGGCCGTGTTGTGCGCTATCTTCAAGGCATCTGAACTCAGGAGCATTGTATGCCTTGGCATATCAGAGTTTCACAGACATTACAAAGCATTTGAATTAACTATTGACATTCAAGACTTTCTCGAAAATAGGATGGAAAGACATAAAACACCGCCCATGAACACAGATTTGGTAGTAAAAGGAGAGGCCAAATGGGGTATATCGAAGTACGGACCATGCAGGCTGAACACCTTGAGGCCCACAATGCGTAGCCTTCAATAAGATTGAACCTTCAGGTCAACGGGAAAGCTGTTTCAGACCTTGAGCCAAAGGTTTAGCACACCCTTGAGATACTCGACGATCTCAGAACCACCCAGCTTGCTGTCGCCGTACAGACGGTCGACGAAAGTGATAGGGCATTCATCGACCTTGTATCCCAATGCCTTAGCACGAACCATCATTTCCATTTGGAAACTGTAGCCCTTGCTCTCTGTGCTAGTAATGACCTTTTCCAAGACGGGCTTCTTGTACAAACGGAAGCTACCAGTCAAGTCACTAACTCCGGGCATCAACATAACATCGGCGATCAAGTTGGCGGTACGCGAAGTGAACTTGCGGAAAAGATCCCAGCCGTAGACACCTCCCTTGATGTTTCCGCGGCTTGCATATCGAGTACCGGTGACAATGTCGGCGTCGGTCTCCTTCTGAATGCGGATCATTTCGGGGATGAACTTGGGGTGGTGGCTAAAGTCGGCGTCCATGATAATCACGAAGTTACCGGTGGTGAACTTCAGACCGTGAACGTAAGCCGTGCCCAGACCGAGCTTGCCCTCGCGCGGCTTGAGGATAATGTGCTCTGGTCCGTAGAGCTTCTGGAGTTGCTTGGCGATCTCGAGGGTTCCGTCAGGAGAGCCATCGTCCACAACGATGACTTCCCAGTCCAGCTTGCTGTAAGTAGGAAAACATTGTCAATCATTCAGTTCGCCTAGTTGATCCGATCTACCCATACTTCTCGTTGAAGGTCTTCTGAAGCAGCCAAATGATAATAGGGAGGTTCTTGCGCTCGTTGTAGGTAGGCAAAATCACGGAGTACTTGTTTGTGGCAGCCATAATTGCGGTTGTGTGGTTTTGAGAGAAAGGCTAACCGAAGACACCAGGATGAACGCGATCAAGGAAAGAAGGTAGGGAGCGAATGGCTGAGCAGCTTGTTGTATTCGAAAGGCCAGTGTTCGCGCGTGTACTTGGCCGGATGTATCCACCGCCTTGGGCAAAATCGTTATCGCATCCACGAGCCTCCCCTCCCCGGATTCTGTCCGTTGTTTCTCGTGGGATCTACTTGCGGACCAAGCGCTTCTGAACATGTCACCGCCGAAGCACTTGAGGAATGAATCAAGGGGTTCGTTATGTTTGCCCCCAGCCTGCTATGCATCCTCCCGCCTCAAACTAACAAACGACAGCTTCCCGTCCCCGCAGCTCGACCCGCGGGCCTTTAGATGAATCAGATGAGTAGGTTCTCGAGTCTAGAATTCCGGAATTATTTCTCACGTCTGGCAGTCCTCTTGCACCAAATTCTCCCATTGCACCTACTGGGGCCAAGCAAACCGGCGTCGACGCCTTCAATGGCGCATCCTTCCACGAATTAGACCCGCTGGCCCCAGATAACCTTCCAGAGTCGCAGAAGAAAGATCTCTCATACCTTCTCCGGCCAAATATATTCCATCCGCTTTCCCAAATCGATATTCCTTCCCCCCTGCGCTCCGAGTTTCCCATCTTAGACCCCGGCGAACCGCTCTCGTCTTCCCTCGGCGTACTCGAGAAACTACTTTCAGAAGGCCGGTTTTTAGTAGCCGCACATTTCGCGGGTTCCATTCTGACCTCCTCATTGATATCCTCAACTGATATAAGCATCATATTCTCATTATTTTACACCCGTTTAGCTTGTCTTGAGCTATCTGGGAATACGGTGCTTGCGGCACAGGAGTCCAAAGCATTGGAGGATCTCAATTCGGCCTTTTACTATGTTGCGCCTGAGTCTGATGCAGCCAATACGAAAAGCCCTGAAAGCAACACCCCGCAAGTACGCCATATTGTTCCTTGGCCATTGCGAGTACTGGCTGTCAGACTTCAGAGCATTGGGTTTGGCGACTCTCGAAGGAGTATCGGCGGTCTTTACGAGATCGGGCTAGAAGCGCGAGGAGAGATCATGAAGAAAGACACAGATGATGCAACAAGGAAAATATGGAGAGACAGACTCGAGGATTTGGGGGTGAGAAGTGTCAATGCACTGGTCGAGATGGGCGACCTGGATGCTGCAAAGCGGTCACTCGAGAGTTTAAGGACGTCCGGTCCTGAATCAGAGTCAAATAAGCTAAGAAGAGCGCTTCTCCTATTGCGCATAGGTGATACAGATGCTGCCGCGCGAGTCTTTGATGATTCTCAAGACTCGAAAGAGGCTGCCTTGATGCAGCCTCTTCTAAGCATGTCAGACGGCCGCTATAGCGACGCTGTATCTCAATGGCGGGCTCTCCAGGAAGACAGTTCGAGAAACGATGGGGCACTTGTCGCCCAGAATCTAGCAGTTTGTCTTCTCTATTCTGGGGAGCTAGATGAGGTATGTGTTCTTGCCTAAGACAGCTCGCGATAATCCTGTTAACAATCCCTAGGCACGTCAGCTTCTGGAGTCGCAGATCTCCTCCAATCATTCTTTTACTAGTCTCATTTTCAATCTTTCGACGATCTACGAGCTCTGTTCCGATGTTGCTGGTCAATTGAAGGGACGGCTGGCGGCTAGTATTGCCGCCCAACCTGTTTCAGGGCAGACGAACTTAGACCGACCAAACACAGACTTCAAACTATGACCTATCTAACACGATCGAATGAATGCTCTAGGTTTCCAATTCTCTGTAAAGCGCCCAACGCACAGAAGGTTTCAAGCCCTGTGTCCCACCAAAGTAATGCTACCAAATAATAATAATTAACGCCAGAACTGCCAATATACGTCCAAAAAGCAACGCCGGTGAGACCATGCACGCCGTAAACCGAGAGTTTCCATCTCCGTCATTATGTCGAAGCTGGGGTTGGCGCCGGCCGGGTCTTTGGGCGTCGAATAACGATCTTGTCGCCTTCTCTTTCCCAGCCCAGATTCTCTGTATCAACCAGTTTCTCCCAGGTCCAAGACCCATCGCCACCAGTGCACCCACCGACCACCCAACTTACATGAACATTAAGATAGGCACTACCGACAGCCTTCAATGCGTGCCTTCGCATCCGGTCCACAGCCCAGTTCATGACTGCGCGCTGGTATGAGTCAACGCTCTTGTGTACCTGCCAAAAAAACCACCCAATTATCCTGTATGAGAGACTCCAACAGACGGTCCACAACCTGAGAATGGAATCCGTGCTCCCGTCGCGCCCGGGCGCGCAACTCGAAAGCCGATGCCATTGCCTCTTGGCGACATGCATAGTCCAGGATCAAGTATGTGACCAGCTCTTTGACTTCCGCGGCCGGAAGGGGATGCGCTTTCGAATGGAGTCTTTCTAGTGTGTGCTCTAGGGAAGGGGAATACGAAGGAGGGTGGTGGGCGAGTATGGACAGACGAATCGAAAACACGTGGACGCGCTGTGCAAAAGCCACGGGGGTAGCTTTCGAGGCTGCGAGCATTCCTTCGCGCAGCTTCCGGAGGGAAAGAAGCAGCTTGGACAATTCCACCGAAGGTGGGGTGTTTCCCTTTCCTGCTGCGTTCGTCCCGTGCGCAGCTGGGGGGGTTCGAGGTTGCATCATTTGAGGAACTCGTGGGAAGCGATGTCAATGCCGCATCGAGATCCTTGGAGTGATTGGAGCAAAAGCGCAGCCATCGCTCGACAATGATGTTGTAGTATTTCTCTTGCTCCTCGTGGTCGAGTAGCCTTGCATGAGGTTCTGGGTCAACAAAGAGGCATAACGTGCTTTCTGGGGGTTACATACATCCGGTCACCCTTGGTAACAAAACCGGCCCTATCTAGAGGGTCGGCCACGGGCCGCAATCGGCTTCCCTGCGGTTTTCTGGACTGCATGGATGAGCGTGAGACGACTCACCTTACTAGATTCGCGATCTGTCGATCTATGTGGAGATGTTTGTCACGTTTGCACCGAGGTTTCCCAACGACACATGTGATCCAGTTTCCTCCCCAACTACCCAACGTCCTAGTTTCGATAGAAATTCATTTTTTGCTATAAATTCTTTTTTTTCTCCTCCTTTAATAACAGAATCAGGGAATTCTTTGGAACGCCGCTAGATCTGCTTACATGTTGCGCATGATCTGGGGCTGATCAGTCAAATTTTAAACCTTTTAACGCATGTGAAGATGGCCCGTCAACGCCGTGCAGTACAAGAAAAGGAGTCAGATAATACAGAAGGCTCCTTTGCTGACTCGGTACTTGATGCTCCTTCCAAAGTAATCAAGAAACACCTCCATTGGGATGAGCTGCCTCCTTGGTTACAAGACAATCACCATATCCATTCGGGCTATCGACCTGCATCATCCTCGTTCCTGGTATCTTTCCAGTCCTTGGGTTACCTCCACAATGAGAGCGTCAATATCTATACACACTTGTTACCGGGATTACTGGCTATCCCAGCCGGGTATCAACTCTATTGTGCACTAGCTCCACGCTACCAAACCGCAACCGACGCAGATATTGTGGCGTTTGCATGCTTTTTTGCCGGTGCTGCCTTTTGCTTGGGGATGTCCGCAACTTACCACACCATTTCGAACCACTCTCCCAGTGTAGCTCGTATTGGCAACGCTCTTGACTATATCGGGATTGTGGGGTTGATTGTGGGAAGCTTTGTCCCAAGTATCTTCTATGGATTCTATTGCGATCCGCAACTTCAGCAGCGATACTGGACAATGATCAGCACTATAGGAATGGGATGTATGTGCGTATCGATCATGCCTCGGTTCCGAACACCCCGTTGGCGCCCGTTCCGCGCAGGCATGTTTGTTGGGATGGGTCTGTCCGCCGTTTTCCCTGTCATACATGGCGTCTACAAGTTTAGCTTCGGTCAAATGCGGCAACAGATTGGACTCAGCTGGCTGCTCCTTCAGGGATTCCTGTATATTCTTGGAGCGGGTATCTATGCCGCTCGCGTGCCAGAGAGGCTATGGCCGGGCAAGTTTGATATCTTCGGCCATTCTCACCAGATTTTCCATGTGCTGGTCGTTTGTGCAGCGGCAGCTCATCTGACTGGGCTCCTCAAAGCGTTTGATTATCGGCACAGCGGCACTGCCGAGCTTTGTCAGATTCCACGCGGCTGAGTCGTGACTGTGCAGAAGGGGGAGGCAAGGTTGGACAACATGCTCATGGCATTTCGCAGAGGTAGCATGAACTGAAACATGTGCTTCTAGCAGTGTGGCGGAAGGCAATGCCCGTTTTCTCGATCAGAGCCCTGCTGACGACGACCCGATCCACGATGTGCAACGATGAATGCCAGGTTGGCGAAGCAGTGCAAAGCCTCCCTTTAGGGTAAAAGGGCTTCGATAGAACACGAACTGGATTCGGGTCAGCCGAGTCAAAAAGCTACTCCTCAATTTCACATGGCGCATTAGTCACGACAACGAGCAACGTCAAGAGGATCTTATTGGTGGCGCATTCGGGCCTACCCGACAGGCAAGGACCTAGAATGGCCCTTGTCATCTGCGGTGTCCTTTTAGGCTCTCGAAGAAGAACCTCCCAAAAAAGAAAAGAATAATCTAATTTTATTTTATTTTATTTTTTCCCTGGATTTGTTTCCCTCTAATCATTTCCAAAAACCTAAGCCCGTGGGCTATTTACGATGTTGCAGCAGGGGTGTACGACATTGAGGACCGCCAGGTGGTTCCCGGGAAGCCCGAATTTCCTCTTCTTCTGGTCTCTACCTATCACGAGCGTAGCTCCAGTCCAGCAACGACTTGAACCAATAGGGCTTCCTAATCAGGACGGATCAGCCCAACACAGTAAGAGTTCGAGGAAGAACAAAGAACAACCCTTTTATGCTTCCTGCAAAAAGGCCCGTGGCTATCCCATGCGAGGGTGATCAGATGGAAGCATCTTGGGGTTCCACAGCGGCTGACCTCTTGATCCCGATTTCCAGCCGCCGGTACATGAATCCGAATGCGAGTGTGACATTTTGGAGTCCCGGATCCTTAGGCGACGAAGCTTGAGTTTGTTTTTCTTGTATATATACGAGGAAGAGTGGGATTAGAGCGAGGGGAAAGGGGGGGGGATCTTGATGCATCTCATTGGACGCCAGCCGCACGCTGAACCTATCTTTGACTTTTTGAATTGGGATTCTTCTCTATCTCTCTTCGAATTTGCCCTCCTGTGTTGATCGCTCCGAGCCTGGGGGACCTTTTGTGTAATACCTTTCGTTGTTGCCTTGTTCTGGATCCAAACAGACGAACGGGGCAAAAGCAAAAGCACAAGCCATATAACTGCTGGATGTTTCTTGCGGAGGGCAAGTTGACCCCGAACGTCCTCTTGACAGCCAATCCCTGCCTCTTGCTTCTTGCCGGCAATGCCTGCTGAGTCTAATGGTAGTCCGTATGGTGGGGGCGATGCACCAAAACTTCGAACCGCATGCGAGAATTGCAGACAATCGAAGGTCAAATGCAACTTGTCCGGCAAAAATGTTTGCACAAGATGCCTACGACACGGGCTCCAATGTCAATACGGGTTTGCCAATCGATCCGGGAAGCCTAAGGGCAGTAAGAATCGAGCTACGCTGCGTAAACTAGGGCAGTTGCAAGACGACAAGCCACCCATACGAGGATTCCGTGGGAGTCGAGTCGTACCTCCAATGCCAGAACGAGAGCCGCTTGTTGCAACTAGTTATTCAGCACACTTGAGTGACCCTATGATAGACGATGATGTGAGTCTAATGTTCTGCAATCGATGTAGAATCGGTTTGTTTAACCCATGTAACGTAGGTGTGTTTAATCCCCGGTCCGCCGGGGATTTGGGAAAGCTCCAGGAGCTTTGGCAGTGCTACGGCACTCGATCCCCCGATTTGTCCATCTCAACTAGGCACAATTGATGGTTCGCCATTCACCGATCTAATGGACTTGTGTCCTTCTCTGCCACCGGGATTGGGATATCCACATACCCCTGTTACGCCAACATTCCTGTCACCAGACCCTCTCGTGGATGGAATGGCGAGCCCACCTTTTGTTGGATCCGTGTCGTCGTCGTATTCGAATGCTCGATGTGAATGTATGGACAAGCAGCTTTTCTACATGAACCGCATGAATCATCTGCTTGCGGAGTCCGTGCCCCTCCGGTTTGACCAAAGCCTTCAAACCATCAAGGCTACATTCTGCGCATGTCGAATGTTTCTTCAGTGTGTCAAGTGCCCCAAAGAGAGTGGGAATCTATTGCTGGCGACATCTGTGCTTAATTTAACCCTACAACTGTTTGAACATTGGATCACGCGGGAGACTTCCCGTGCGCCGCGGGCGGAGCACGGAATTGACATTCGCTACGGCCATTACGAGGCTTGCTCTGAGGAGAACCAGCGCATTCGGTCCTTTTTGCTTCGTGGGCTTCTTCTCCAGTGCAGGGACGTCTTGTCCATGTTGACCGCGACGGTGAGTTCCGTCTGCCTTGAAGTCCTCAAAACTGAGGGCGAAAATTCTCGCGATCCCTGCCTGGCAGAAGAACCGCTCCCACGAGCCTGGGCAGCTTCTGAGCATTTGGCGAGGATCCCAGACCCAGAACTGGAACCCCTCGGCGGTGATCCGGGTGGTAATTGTCTTCTGCCCATCATTGCGGGCTATGAAGCAACCGTGGAGGCGTTTCTACACTCTATCCCGCTGAATGACTGTATCTGCCGGTCTAAATACTCGTCTTGAGACGGGCACAGTTCAACATCCAGTGAATATCGGTAATGGAATAGTACAAGGTGGATGTCTGCTTTTATTTGCGTTTTGTTGAATTTCTCGTCGTGGTAGGGGGAACGGATCCCCAGATGTAGATGACATTGACATTCCAGCTCGACAGGAAACACACTCCACTACTTCGGTAGGCACAAGCAATCTGGATTGAAAGTATTGCACAGAATGATGTTCTTACTCCATATTCTTTATACACCTCTTCTTCACTCTGTACTCCGTAGAATTCCCGAATGAGCAGCCCCACTCACTGCTTGTTTCGGCCCGCGGAGAACCTCGGCATTTACGAATGTATAAAGTTCCTCCAAGAGCTCCCCCTCTTCTTTCCTCACCCGCGCAATCATGGCTCCTTCTGATCGTCTCAATCAGGTGAACAAGCACCTTAATTTCCCTGCCGGTCTTCTTGCTGGCCAGGTGGCCATCATCACTGGTGCAGGTCAGGGTATTGGCGCAGAGGCAGCTCGGCTGTTTGCCAACGAGGGTGCCAAGGTGATCGTCGCTGACATTGATGCTGGTACGTATTAAGCGATCTTGATCGTGATCAGCCCCTTCTCTAGGATTCACCTGTTCTGAAGACTGTGAAAAATGCTAAATATCTTATAGCAAAGGCCAATGCGGTCGCGGATGCCATCAACGCTGCCGAGCAAGGACGAGCCCTCGCTGTAGCTGGGGATGTCCTTGACTCCAACTATATCAAAGAGCTTGTAAAGCGTGCTGCTGAATTCGGCGGCGGCAAGATCCACATCATAGTCAACAACGCCGGATTCACCTGGGACGGTGTGATCCACAAGGTCCGTGACCCCGTGCTAATTACCCTTCTTCGCTTGGCGTCAGGCCAATCGAAAGCACCCAAGCTAGTCATCTGTTGATGTAAGCCCAACTAGCTAACGAGTTACGCTATCGAGCAATGTAGATGACAGATAAGCAATGGGACACCATGCTGGCTGTGCACAACACTGCGCCCTTCCGACTCGTGCGCGAGGCCGCGCCATACTTCCGTGTCAAGGATAAGGAGCCGCGGGTGATTATCAACATCAGCAGTACCAGCGGTGTCCATGGCAATGCGTAAGTACAATCTCTAGCACTTTGAGCAATAGCTCACGTTCGATCGGGATTCAACCCTCTTTACGGATCAATCGTGCTGACCATTACGCAGGGGCCAGGCCAACTACGCCGTTGCCAAAGCCGGTGTTGTAGGATTGACTCGCACCATCGCGAAGGAATGGGGTCCAGCCTTTGGCGTGCGTTCGAACACTATTGCATTTGGGTTCGTCAAGACTCGCTTGACCGCTGCTAAGGAGGCGGGCGCCTTCATCACTACTCCTGACGGAACTAAGGTTGCCCTCGGAATCCCCGGGAAGCAACTCACAGCCAGGGCTGGTGGCCAGGAAGCTAAGGTGGAAAGCTACCCTGATATCCCGCTGGGACGACCGGCGACGCCCGAAGAAGCAGCCCGGTCTATTCTGGGTGTTGCTAGCCCATGGTTCTCGTACGTGAATGGAGAGACTATTCGGGTTACTGGAGGGCGTAATATGTGATTTATCAATATTGATACTACATGTAGGAACTGCACTGCCCCCCCCCCCCCCCCCAAAAAAAAAGGGGCCCATGTATCTAGCTAGCCTTCGGGCTAACTCAATAAATGTCTTGAATTAAGTTTTCATGCAGACATCATCTGACCGAGGCTCTGGCTCCCACTGGCAGGGCCCTTGGTCTGCAGTATGCCAGGGCTGCCTGGTATTGGTCATATGACAGGGTCTGTTGTGCACAATACCCTGCGCTATCATGTAGTGACAAGGACTGGTTCTGTCACACTTTCATTCATTGAATAACTCCCTGAGCCTATGATTGTTGAGCACTTGCTTGTCGCACAGCACATGAACGTACTGCACTTGTTCGCTTTCTCAAATCTTCAAGGGTTACGAGGGAATGGTTCGCTTCTTTTCCCATTCGCCTTCACATTTTCATTTATTCCTTTCGGCATACTTGGAGATTCGGTCTGTTGGCGATATCCAGTATCAGGACTACTGTCATTGTCAATTACACACCCCCCCCCCCGGCGCGGACAAGACAATACTACTATTTTACAGCCAGCTAGTAAAGGCCCTTTAATGGGCGGGACTCGCAGAACAGTAAAGAGCTACTAGTATTGAATGGACAAAGTCCACCAGTCCTATCTCCATAATCCGCACCTCGCACAAGCAGCAGCAAAGCAGCACCGGAGTTTCCCCCTAATACCACGATATGATTATAGCGAGGGGTAGATTTTGCATCTGAGGCTTAGTTTCATTACCCTAGCCCTCCTCGCTAATGGTAGCCCCTCCAGGGTCAAAGGGTCTGCATGCAGAATATCAATAATACACTGCATAAGGCAGAACAGTGTCAGTGGAACCCCTGTACTGCATCCTGAGCTGGAGGGAGGCATTCCAGTTGCTGTACTACTAGCAATGATTCTCTCGAGAATTACCTGGCTATTCGAGATACCTTGGCAACTAGACCCCAAACTCTCAGGCGACAAACTTGGCATTCAAACCTATCACTAGTATAGCTAGGAAAAGCAAGCCAATTGACGTAGCAGACGGATACTCTCAAGATAGGAAGCTGGATGCGATCAATAGAGGTTGCATAGGATCATTCCAAGGTGGAAAGGAGCCGAGGCCTTGCATATCCACCGGGGGAAGCATCTAAATAATCGGATGGTTTTTACGGTTCATCACAACTGCATGGATCCTTCTCCGCTCAACCCATGCAGCCGAAGATTAAGTTCGACCAATCAAGAGAGCGTCTCGCCAATCAGATGCGCCTCTTGGGTGCTCCCGCGAGGCAATGACGAATAAGTCGTGATCGCCAAACCCACATAGCACACAGGGGACGCGGAGTACCCGGTGCAAAATGCTCCGTACAAGGCTGGTCTTGGGTCTGTAGGGTTCTTGGGCTCTGGTTGATCAAGATCTCGTTCCATATTGCCCAAAAGTAGCCTTGTCCCGCATTCCAGGCACGTTCTTCATGTAGAACAAAAGCGTACATGGTCAGCTCAAGCATTCCATGCAGAACATCAATACAGAACAACAAATAGCGAGGTCCCAGATGGAAGGATCGTATCCTGCGCCCAGGCTGACTATGGTGATTTGGTGGACACGGATGTCGTCATGAATGTCAAGAACGTTGAAGCGCCCCAGCGGCAGGGCAGCCTTTCGCCTCTTCTAGCGGCATCCTACCACTGTGGAAAAGATCATCTCCCACGCGGATGGCGTGCTCTTGTTAGCGACGGATAATGTTCGTCTGTGGAGCGGCCGGGCACTGGATTACCCTGTTTGGACATATATCAGTCGCGAGGCTGCCCTTCGAAATTATCCCGCACCATCTCAGCATCATATCGGAGGGAGGAAAACCGCTGGACTGATACATTGAACCGAAATGGGGGGAGACTACAATAAAGGAGATATTTCTGAGACCAGTGCTGAGACTCATCCCGCATCCTATGAAGGGGAAGGCGATATTCAGGATGGCGATGCGAAATATACCATGACGGTGGGCATGAACTCTTCTAAAGCGACGTATCAAGATGCTTCTGGAGCGCCCGTCGAAACAGATTCGCCTTTGGGCTATTCTGTCAATTTCTGGGTGACCTTGGCTCTCAACATCAATCAGATGGTCGGCACTGGGATCTTTTCAACGCGTGAGTGCCCCCTTCCCCTACGTCTGTTTCGCGCTCATGCTAATCCTCCTCGACTGGACTAGCGGCCACCATCCTTAAGGGCGTCGGGTCGGTGGGCCTGACTATGATCTATTGGTTCATAGGGTACCTTCTGTCGCACTCAACGCTCGCATGCTACTTGGAGCTGGCATCTTATTTCCCCAGTCGGTCGGGGGCTGAAGTGGTCTATCTGGAACAGGCGTTTCCCAAGCCCAAGTATTTCTTCCCCACCGTGTTTGCGGCGAAACATATCATCTTTTCGTTCATGAGCAGCAATGCGATTGTGTTCGCAGAGTATGTATACAATATTGGCAATGTCAAGTATACAGCTTGGGAGCAGAAGGGCCTTGCCATAGGAGCATACACTCTGTCTCTACTTGGTTTGTCACCGTCTTCATCGCATCGGGAAGGGTTGCCTAACAGGAAATCCTAGTATGCTGCTCTAGTACCAAGTGGTCATTGCGCTGCGTGGTTTGGTTTGGATTTGTCAAAATCGCAACGCTTTTACTGTATGTGGCCCCCCTCACCACCCCAATCCCCTTCCGGATGCTGATACAGCTTAAGCATCTCCATTGCTGGCTTGGTCGTGCTTGGAGGACATACTCGCGTGAAAAACCCTCAAATCAACTGGAGCGATCCTTGGAGAGGCAACACGCAAGCCTCTGCATACGGAGCCACCAACGCGATGATCAAGCTCATTTTCTCCTACGCTGGATATCAAAATGCGTTCGGCCTGGTCAATGAGATCAAGGTTGGTTCATCCCTGGGAACTCACCAGAAGGTAGACTAATGAATATATGCAGAACCCTATCAAAACCCTGCGATGGAGCGCTCCATCCTCCTTGATCCTGGTGGCCACCCTCTATATTCTGACCAACGTAGCATACTTCTCCGTCGCTTCCAGAGAAGAAATCCTAGAATCCAAGCAGATCGCCGCGGGTATCTTCTTCGAAAAGGTATTCGGTACCTCCGGAGCATCGCGCGGCTTGAACGTGCTCATTGCCATCAGTGCTTTCGGGAACCTCCTAGCAGTAATGGTGAACTACTCCCGACTGCTCCGCGAAACGGGCCGGTAAGCGCAGACCCTAAACCTTCCTCCAGGTATCTCCCCAGCGCACGACTAAAACACTCGAAACAGCCAAGGCGTGATTCCCTGGCCTCGATTCTGGACCTCAACCAAGCCCTGGGGAACCCCCATCGGGCCATACCTGGTGATCTGGGCCATCACACTAATTATGATTCTCGCGCCGCCGGCCGGTGACGCCTTCAATTTCAGTACGCGCTCACTGTTCAGCTCCTCCGGAGAGTATTCTCGGATTCTAATCTTCTCGCTCCCCAGTTGTCGATCTCTCAAACTACCCTACCAACATTTTCAACCTTCTCCTGGTTGTGGGGCTCGTGGTCATTCGCCGCCGTCGCAGCAGGCTCGGTTTCCCACGGCCAGAATATCGCGCTTGGGATATCGCAATTGGATTCTCGATTCTAGCAAATCTGTACATGATCGTTGCGCCCTGGTACCCTCCTACGGGCGGCGCAACTGGCGGCGACGTAAGCTTTTGGTACGGCACGTACTTGGTTGTCGGCATCGGACTGTACGTCTTCTTGTTGCTCGCGTTCCGGGATCGAAGCTAACTGCGACGAAGGCTGGTGGCCTGTGGTATCTACTATGTTTTCTGGATCGACATCATCCCCAAGTGGAAGGGGTACGAGTACCGACAGACGATTGCGCGATTCGAAGACGGAGCTATTTCGCATAAGCTCGTCAAGGTGCCGAACGCCGAGTTGCCGCAGTGGGATGAGGAACACGATGCGGCTGGTAATCTGCGGAGGCGAGCGCCGCGAGAGCAGAGTGATGGTAGTTTTTAGTCTTCGTGTAGATTTCCACGGGAGTTTTCTGCATGAGCCAATGGAAGATGCGATGATCCCGGAATGTTCATTGTATATGACTCCAACTACGCTACTCCTTTAGTTTTTCAACTTTTGTTGCCTTGTTGCTCACCTTCGCCTTTCCAGCTCATCTCTTCCAGTCACTCAAGCAGGTCAGAACTAGAGTTAGACCCAGAACCAAAAGACGAGGAACGCCAGGGCAAGCGGCCCAAACCCTGGAAACCCACCAAACCCAAAAGATATCAGATCAAACCACCATGACCAAGACCCCAAAAGACCGCCGTGGAATCATAAGATCCCGCCGCCTCTTGGCTTCGCTAGCGCCCGCTGTTCTAGTCCCACCCGACTGTTTGTTCTCCACTCAGCTGACGTTCTAGATTCCTGCAAGGCCTAATGGGGCGGGCGATGCAGGAGAGAGGAAAAGCGGGAAAAAAAAAAAGCAGGCGTAGAAAAGGACCAAAAGTCAGATCCAGCGCAGGGTCTCGGCTGCATGGCGTCCTCGACCATCCCACTTAGGTTGCCGCTCCACGTTCATGCCTCACGTCTCACTTGGGCATCAATGGGGCCGAGCTTTCGGCGTGACACAGGCCAGCTGGAAGTGGACAGACAGACGCCGATGCGCAGCTTGGCGCTTGACTTCTAGTATGTTTGGTTTGGGGCATGTGGGACAGGGCGACGTTGCACGGGTCAGGTGAAACAGCTTATGATAAGGAGGGGGGGGGTGTGTTGGGGATAGCCTGGGTGTTGCTTGGATTGTGTTAAGTTTAGCGAATAGGCTACTGGAGACAACGAATATCAAATGGATGGGTGGAAACATAGTTCATTTGGTATTTAGTATATGGGCATGCAAACCTGCAAAATAAAGCCCGAGGTATCATATCGTAAAAAGCCCAGTCCAGCCATCCCTCCCAAAAAAAAAAGAAAAAAAAGGAGAAAAAAGAAAAAAAAGAAAAAAAAAGTCCCAACCCTTCCATGCGGTTATAGTCTATACAAACAATGCAGAACGAAAACAGAACCGAGATCACCACCCATAACACAGACAGGTCCCGAGACAGGAACAAAGGCAATAGAGAAGATAATTAAGACACCACCGATAAAAGACCGCAGCCATCCTGGCTGGGTGAAACGCCTCAAAACGACCATGCGTAACGCAACTCCAAGCAAAATAGATCGTTGGCCCGCCCAGGGGCTCCAATATTCTTCAGTCGTGCCTCCCAATATATTATCATGCCAGATATTTCAAAGAAAAAAAAATTCCAACGGAAGAGACGGGAAAACATCAAAAGGCTGGCCTTTGGCAAGAACCATGAAACAAGGTCATCAACCTTTCCGGAATGTGGCAAGTATTAAAACAGCGAAATCCAAGCAGGCCTCCATCGTGGAAAATGGCCTGTTCTGAAACGGGCCGATGTTTGACCAGTGGGTCATGTCCAGTGGAATGGAGAAAAGGAGCAGGAAGCCCCTTTTTCATCGGAAAGAGAAGTCCAGGATAATAAAAGTGGATATGTCCAGTAAACAGAAATAAGCAGGACGCAAAAGCAAAAGGCGAGGTGGCCGGGACCGACGCCGTGCGTTCCGACTCGACAACCTAATTTTTGGCAGCTTTTGAAGAAAATATCCGATAGAACGGAAGGGAGATAAGAGGAAGCCTGAAACTGTACGCAGGCTGAGAGAGGAATGGTCCAGACGAAAAGGCGGAAATGGCAAAACCGAAAGACGTGAAGATCATGTAAAGGCGTAATGTAGGCAGAAAGTCGATACTGCCTAGCAGACCGGAATCGGCGGGCAAGTGACAAATTGATCGGGGATATGATGGTCCACGCAGATCGCGTTGGGGAACACGACCTTGCAATCCGGCATCTGTTCAGAAACAGCAGGCGAGATACAGCTGTAGTCGGTATAATCCTCAGTCAGGGCGGACGTATCGGAGAGAGCAGCATCGGAGAAGTCCGAGTACTGGGAAGAATCCGACGATGACCCAGAAGGCTGGGCATGCAAGGGCTCCAAGGGGACAAAGGTGGGGATTTGGGGCTGGACAAGGTAGTCGGCCTGCGGAATCTGGTCCGGCACCCAGGGGGAAGGCATGGGAGCCTCAGTGAAGCGGGGACACTCCACGATCAGCTGGCGAAGCTCGGGGATGGTGATCCGCTTGGCAGGATCACGCTCGAACACGCGGCTAAGAATACAAACCATCTCCGTGGACAGGGGCAAAATAGTCTTGAGGAAGAACGGATCTTTGAGGTATGCCCGGAAAGTGGAATCCTCAAGGGATGCGCGCTTCCATGGGTTGCGCCCGCAGGTCAAGTTAACGAGCATGACGCCGAGGCCCCAAACATCATTGACGGGTGAGGCGTAGTAGGACATGGGTCGCGGGTTGGTCTGTTGGCATTCTGTTTCGATTACATTAGCCCGACGTTCGAAGAAGCGTTTCAGCTTCGGGCCAGACAAAGCACTTACCTGGCGACATGTAGAATGTGGAGCCGCATCCGAAATCCGAGGTGTAGAAGTCCGTGGTGGCCAGGCCAAAGTCGGCCAGTTTAACCGTCATCCCCTGATCCGTCACCAGGACGTTCTCGGGCTTCAGGTCCCGGTGGTAGATGCCCATGGAGTGGCAATACTGCACGGCATCCAACAGCTGCAAGAAGACACGCTTAACCAAGGGGTCATTGCCGACGTAGTTTCCCTTATCGGTGATGCTAGAAAAAAGATCTCCTTCGGGGCAGAACTCCATGACAACGTAGGTGCAGTCCACGGAATCCATAATGCGAACCAAGGAGACAACATTGGGGTGCTGGCTGGCCATATGGTGCAGACGAATCTCCCGCTGTTGATACCTTAATTGCCGCGGGTCCAGTCCGGTCTTGTTGAGAGCCTTGACGGCATAGGTCATGTTGGTATGGATATCCACGGCGGTATAGACTACTCCGTAGGCACCGACGCCTAGGATACCAGTCAGTTCTAGCCGGTTGGCCAGAATGTATCCTGAATCGGTCCTCGGGGGTGGGAGCATAACAGCGGGGCGGAGATGGAGAAGCAGGAGGAGTTGGAAGCATGGCCGGATACATGGTCACAACTATACAACCGATGCGGTTTGTGGGAAGTCCAAGGAGTTCTTAACCTTTTTAGGGGGAAAAGGGAAAGAATGTTGTTCAAGAATCCGGGGATATATTATAATTTCTGATCGGGTCCGAGAAGTCCAGGCATTCAGGAGGAATCCATTCCACGGAGAGGGTTATAAGTCCAGGAGGGTTGAGGCAATCCAAAAGGGAGAGAAGTCGGGATCCGGGCGTAAATAAACTACACTTGACGAGGGAGCAAGTGCAGCTTCGGAGGCGAAAACAGAAAAAATCAAATGGAGAAAGGAAAAAAGGAATGGAAGTAAATAACACAAACAGGCGGGCCAAAGAAGAACGATAATAGGTTTTAAGAAGACGTCAACAGAAGTATAAGGGAGTCAGTGCAGGCGGGCGAGAGAGGAGGGGGGGAGGCGTAAGATAAAAATAATCAATGATGCGTCGACCACCATGTGGACAAGGGAAAATGGAGGGAAATGGACAAGGGGCCCGGCCCCCGGTGGGCCAGTTCTAGTGGAGGCCTTGACGGTAATAGGGCCTGATAGGCTTTTCAGCGACTGGGACCTTCAGAGGCCACCGTAGGCCACCGTAGGCCACCGTGGCTCCAAGCGGTGTGCAGCCCGCACGCCTCCCCTAGTCTCGTCTAGTTCGCCCGCATGGTTGCTGCTCCACTCACGCCCAATCACATCTCGCCTAACAGACTCAGGCTGCAGCCAACATAACGATCGACGACCCCCCTATTCCCTCTTTCTGACGCATTTTGACTTTCCTTTTGGCCTTGCTAGGCCTTGCTAGGCCACGATGGCATAGGCGGAGGGCCTGCGGTGACTCGCCCCTCGTGGCGACCAAACGGTCTTCGGTTCCCTCCCTTTGCCTGGCCATGAGCCCGCCACCTCATCCGCATTGTCCCGCCCATGTGCAGTGAGAACGCTCAGCCCCCCCTCCCCGCAGTAGTCAACCTGTAACTGGGTAACGAATCTACGGGGTATCACTACATTTCCTGTCTAATCTCTCCCACGATTCCAAGTCTGACATTCCGTGTTTCGTTTCACCCGGAGGGTCTGGGTCAGCGAAACCCAGTTTCCAAGGCAAAAGATTAATTTTAGAGGGCGTCCCCTCTCCTCCACCGTACTTCCACTCTAGTCCCCACTTTTTGGGAAGTGAGCATTTGCAAAGTGAGGCGATGCGGGATGGGGCGCTCTGGCCAACCAGGCATTGAGGCGTTCGCTCTTCGAGAACGAGTGGATCTTCCCGTTGCGTCGCACGGGCCCGACGTGCTAGGGATTGCCACTGGTTGGTCTCCTCCCGCCTGTGCGAGTCCCTCAGGCGCCTAAGGACCGGGGCTAGTCACAGGGGAGATTCAGAGTCAACCTTCCCCACCTGGGGCCCCCGACCAATGTCACAGCTGCCCGTCAAACCCATGATGTCTCTGTCCAAAGCTTGCTCGACCTGTGGTGAGGATCACCTGACACAGATACATCACATCGTCTGTACTCGCGTCCTGGGACTATTTGATGCACCCCAGGATTGGCAACGCAGCTGAAACGCTTACTTCCGAAAGCTGCCTTGGAAGCTGCGCTAGATATCAACTGCAGCCCTCACCGCTACGACTACATTTGCAGTTCCCTTCCCCTGGATATAGACAGGTAGTACGTACGATTCTCAGCCATCCTACCCGATATGCGAGATCATCTGCGGTAGATCATTCTTCTTTCACCCGCCGAAGAAGAAAGAAGAAGAAAAAAAAGGAGGATGCCGCTCGAGGATGGCGGCCCTGCAGGTGGCGGCCAGGGGGGCGCTCCTACGGAGTAGAAAATGCTCCAATGCAGAATGACTACTTTGTCTGGATGAAATCACCGTGGATATCCGACCCACCAAGCACATTCCACATCATCCATGGCGTACGGGGAAAGATCGTACCATTAACCATCCAATGCCATCAGCTGTTCAGTCAAAAGACTTGTTGTAGATCCAAGAAACCCGGAAACGGAGCCCAGTTTGTCGCCATCCACGGGAAACAATTGCCACCCAAGATCCAATGTGGGGAATGGTCGCCTTCGAGAAAAAAAAAAGCTAAATTCTCTCTACCGAAACTCTCACCAACCCTGGGAGGGGAACTATCGACCAAGATCTCGAACTAGTGGCAGTAGCAAGATGGAGCACCAGCGCCAGGTGTTTTCTTTTTTTTGAGGAACAGAAGCCAGTGCTGGCCCCCACGCATTCCACCAGCCATTGGCTGGATCTTGGCCCCATACTTTTACTCCGTACATTGACATCGCATTGCACGGAGACAGATTGTTCCGGATGCATGCGTCCAAATGCACCACCCACGGCATCCCGCTACTGTAGTTCCTTCTGGCCCTCCATGCTTGTTTGCACGTACTTTCTGTAGACCTGCCCAGCCATCCCCGCAAGTCCAGCGCAGCCTTATTCAATTGGTAGTCAGTGGTTGTTGACCTCCGGATTCAACTGGCCATACTTTTTAGTCCGCTGCCCAATCGGCTCCAATCCTCCACTCATTTTCCCAGCCACGTAGCTGCTCGGCTTCTTATTCGTGCTGCGAAGTACCAAAACTTGGCTACAGCGAGGGGGGGGTTGGCGAAGTACTTCGCTCTCGTTGGCCACATCAGCTACGCAAACGTCTTATCGTTCTAGTCTTCGGCCGAACACCGCACATGTCTCAACGGTATCATCCACCCTGAGGTCTAGATTATGGCTTGCTACTCCGTACAAGAGTTGAGTTGATGCAAGCATTGAGGGGTTTTCTAGTCAGCCAATGATTTGTTTTATGACGAGTCGTCAACCCACAATAGTCTAACTGACCTCAACCGTGGTCGCAACTGTGGTCGCAACTCAGCAGAAGCGTCGATCTAGAACCTGTCTCGGCATCCAAAATGGTGGGGGTCTCAATGTGACGGGCACGAAGAACAAGTCGGAGGCAAGGTCTCCTTCACACGCTTTGGCCACAGGCCTGGGTGGGGGGTTCTTTGTTCCGTCACGCAGTAGCTGGGGAGGAAAGTTCCATGGTTCCCAGCGAACTCGGTCTGAAACGGGTCACACCCTGTGATAGGTGCCCTAATCAAATGGCCTTTCATTGATCGCGTCATTCAATGCATACGAGCGTCGATTATTGATTCCGTTCCCGGTTTCGATTCTGCAAGCGTTTTGGGGGGCTGTCATCCAGGCGGACATGGATGTCTTTGTGAGCTGTTCAATTGTCGCCCACTTCAGCCCCCTTCCATGTCAATGCGCAGTTGGTCTCTGCTCATACCTCGAATGTGCTTGGACCAGTCCTCTTAGTGTCAACGGCGCATGCTGCAGATCAAGTCTCCTGGCGAAACTCAAAATCAGGGCGCCATCATCACCGCTAATTCAACCGAGAATGAAATTCCCTATGTATCCAGAAAGCCGTGGCCGACATCGCATCTGTTCTATACTAGCAGGTGCGATGCAGGGCATCAGATAATCGTAGACCACGTAAAACGGCTGTCTCAAGGCGCATGCCATCTGTTGCTCAATAATCTGACATTACGGTCTGTCTAACTTCACAATGCGGTAGTATTTCATCCTGGGCGGATTTTGTAGTACCTATCCTCCTGGTGAAAGACCCATGAGCCATGTACTCCTATCGTAGCCGCCCGGTCAATGTCTACCACTCGATTGTAAGCCTGCCATCCAAGTCCAAGAATATATTTCCATCGACTCATTGCCACCTGTAACAACTCCCGAGTCCGCGAACTACGTGACTTGAGGAACCCGGCATCTGCACCGCAAATATAACCAGCATCCCATTCGCACGAAGTCCAATCTACCAACAAATGTCATGCAGTAGTCTCGCCACTCCCGCACCAGGCATCCCATCCCTCTCGAATCCTTGATTACCGCAACTAAAAGTGTCAGATGAGCAAGGGTCCCCCCCTGCACACACCGTACATATGGTTCTAGCTCCTGTTCTAGCGCCTGCGGCCTGAGTGAGCCTGGGCACCTGAATCCTCGGGCAGAGATAGGAATGAGACGTGGTGAGCTGCTGTATAACCCACATTAGTCCCCCGGCAGGATCATTTGCCTTGCGGGTTGGGATGAGAGACGAGGGTGTTTTGACCTTTTTCCTTTTTGCCCAGCACCTGGCGAGTCCCGCTTTGTGATTGGGGGGTATGCCGGTGGTCAGGGTACATGGGTGGCGTCATGATGCATTTGGGGGTGGCAGTGGCATGGGTTGTCCCATGCTCGCGTTTCGATGTTGGCTACAACCTCGGCATTTTAACATATGATGTGGGTTTCTGACTGGGCTGGGTGGCCTGGTGGGATTGCGACCGGTTAGCAATGGGGCTGGGGATGGAGGGGGTTGTGCCAGTGGTTGGTGTTCCGGGCTGGTTTGTGAGACCAGCCACAAAAAGCTCTTCCAAGTTTCTCAGAAGTGGTTGGATTAATGTGTTGACGGGGTCGCCGATCCTGAGAGCGGCGAAATTCATTATCGATCTTCGAGTACCTTTTATTAGTAGTAGTAGTAGGGCTACAAGACAATAAGGGTACTGGCAGTACTGGGAAGAGTTTCCTAAATTGCAGTTATTCTCAAGTTTTCAAAGAGCTTCGATATCGCTAAGGATGCGGTGTGAATATCTCTCGTATATGTACATAGGTTCTTCCGAAATATGCTCGCTGATGAATGTTGAGAAGAGGTGTATGTAAAGACTGATTAAGATCCAATCATTGCCAACAACATGATTGCTTCTGAGGGCGCCGCGTATTCGTGCCCTGCAGGGTGGGACGAACGCCCAGCACACCAAAACAAAACCGGCCGGAGAAATGCGGCTTACGCCAAGTCAGGCAAGGTCGAGCCCCACAGTCCACGGAGCCTCGTATAGGAATCGAAAGGAGTCACTGATACGAGGCGGGGCGGGCTCACCCCGCTCTCTTTGCGAGCCTTGGATTCGGTATGGTCGTTGCTCACGAAGTCAGGGCTAGTCAAAACCCCATATCGCCTGCGACGCGGCTGATCGCTGGTCCTTACCACCCAGTAGCAAAGTCGTAGGCAAGATAAAGACTATGTATTCTCACAAAAGAGTCTGTCCAGCAGACTCCTAATCAACTGAAAAAGACCCGGGGTATATAAGTTTCATGGCCGGCGCGAGCGCCGCAAAATCACAAAGGGAGTGGAAAGAAGAAAAGGGGGGGTTGTTCGGCGTAGTTCGTCTCTTTCGCCATAAACAACAATGGTTGCTAGCGAGGAAACCCAGGACTAGATTGGTAGAGCCCGACAGGCACAAGTTACCCGTCGACCTTTGGGTGAGGGATCATTTTGTGCGTAGTCATCCAATTTGAGAGCCATCTCCCAAACCCAGCCGCTGAAATAGTTCTCAGGGGGGGACGGTGGTTCGGCGACTTTGACTCTCTGCAGTAGCACTCAGCATCTTCTGACAAATCCTGGATATTATCTCCAGGGCTCAGTCGCGGCTTCCTTTTCTGCCAGTATTGCGAATCTTCCTCATTCAGCGGTGACAGACTTCAAGTTTTCGTCACTTGACTGGCGCGGGTCCATCAGCGGAAACTTGAGAAGGCATCGCTCAAGTGTCAAAGTTATCAAGGGATTCGCAAAAAGAAAGCGCTGTTTATCGCTTCGCGAAGGCTGAGCGTTTACCGTGGCTTAGGCCATCCGTCCAGCTCTCCGAACCAACGTGAACGATAAATCTCGTCGCCGACCATGATCTTTCTCCGCACGCCATTCTCGACAATACTGGTGTGAAAGCCACGGAGGAAGCGCCATAATGACTGTACATATACATAGGACCCATCCGGCGCGAGACTGAAGCCCTTCAGATCCGATCGGGGCAACTCCAAGTAGTTGCCGGCACGATCGAACCCGTGGCGGTCATCTGTGGTGACCTCGAAACCGGGCATGTACTTATCAGTGACATTGGTCCCCTCATTGATAAAGGCACCGTCGTTGATATCAAATTCATAGATGTCGCGATCGGTCGAGACGAGGAACTTGCGCTCGTTGGGGACGGGCACGAGATCATGGGGTCCCACCCACCAGGGGTAACCACTGCCCCATTCCGTCTCCTGGTCGTAAGCATGGGGCATGAGGTACCATTTCGCATCCTCCTGGCTGAGTTCGTTCGTTTCGCTATTGAAGGGATAGGCCACCAGGGCCCCGTACGCTGGGACAGGGTCCGAACCATCAGCTGCGGCATCTGTACCGGCAGCCCACAGCAGCTGTTCCTCTTCGTCCCAGATCAGCCCATGGATGGCGCGGAGCCCCGTGATATTCTGCAGGATTGGCGGGTCGTCAACGAGTTCCTTGTCCATGCTCATGTCATACACGATGATTCCATCCCACGGTCGCTCACCCGTGGTACCGACCGCCACCCGGTTTCCGGGTAGGGCTTCGAGGGCATGGGCGTTCCAAAAGAACTCATTATCGCGACAAATGGCCCACGTGATCTTTTTATCGTTCTCGGGGTCCTCCGGGGTGTGGTTGACGACCATGACCAAGTTCGAGTAGACGGCGCCGACACTCTTTCCGCTCCGCATCCATTTCAGGTCGGTTGCATCATTGGCATCGCTCCAAAGACATCTTTCCAGAGCAGGGGGCAGAGGCTGTGTCACGTCTTCTCGCTGCCAGCTCCAGCTCACGTTTCCTTTCCTATCATGAAGCTTCAAGACTGCGGGGACACCATATGCTCCAGTGATAATCGTATTCCAGGGTCGGTTTTCGGGGCGCAGTCGGGCTTGGGGTTGTATTGGGGGGATGTCCCACTCCGCCAATGGTTCAAAGAGCAGGCCCAGCCAGCTCAGATATCCACCGAGCATGGTTTTCCTGATGTTTCCAGGCCACAGGGGGGGGGGGTGCTGGGGAGGGGGGAAAGGTGCAGGAAAGAATGTATGTTTTTTTCTCGGAAGGGGAACGAGTACGATGGTTAGACAACGGTACGAACTGATCGTCGAAGAAGGGCCCTACAGAAGGACGGATACGTCTTCCTTTTTCCTTCTGCCCTTCCCCTGGAAACCGGAATCGACGCTTGATTTGGTTGACGCTGCAGTGGAGTCGCAGATAGGGGAATCCGGTCGCAGTATTGGCTGAACCAGCACTGTCCGCGCGTCCCCGCCTCTGAGAGGACCTCTCTGTATCTGGCGGCCTGTCTCTCTCCCTGTTCCACCCTAGGTGGCCCACAACGGGGGGAGGGAACGCCCACTACACCAATCATGCGAGATGCAGCCCTAAGCCACAGTCGGGCTTGGCGTCTTGGCTGGCGGTATCTTGCTTATTCGTTTTCTTAACCCTTGACAGAAGCCGGGCTTAGTCCGTCAAGTGGAGGTAACGGGAATAGTGGGGAAGGGGGGCCACTTTCGTAACCCTGAGGAGCCCCCCCAGTCGTATTCGCCCCATTCGGGAGATGGGTCGCGTGTCTCGCTCCTAAGGCCTGAAATGGAAATTTTTCTATTCTTGAACTTGGCCTTATTTCACGGAGACGGCAGTTCCAGCACAGCCCTCTGAGACCCTGAGATCCTCCCAGAGCCCCGAAAATTGGAGACTGACAGGAGAAGCACGGCATATCTCCACTTAACCCCCCTTCTCGACCCCGAATTCCTGGGATTCTATCTGATCTTTCTCTCCCCTTCCCCTCTCTTTCTTTCCTTTCCCTTCCCATCCATATCCGAATGGTTGTTCGGTAGCCCATTGATGCTGCCGTCATTCTTCAGAATGAAGGTGGCCAACCTGGTGAACACTCTCGGCCACCAAGTGACACAGGTCTCCGGGGTCTCATTGCTCAAGACCCTAGATGTCTTCTGGGATATCTCGCGCCGTTATTTTTACACTTTGGCCTTTTGGTCCCTCATTGGTGCCAAGATCTTGCATCTGTACGCACACCTGTTCTCTCTGTCGCCTCAGAAGTTCCTTCTCTGGGGTCCTTCATTCTTTTACCAAGATGTCCTTCTCTTATTGCTGCTGCGGATTTGCGTCCAGAGGCTATCTGGCCCGATCGCGGTTCTGTGCGCTCTCTTCGTTATCCCGTTTAGGTAAGTATCCGCGTGTCCAACACCCCTTCTACCATGAAGAACTGATCACGACGATGGGGAGCACCGTGGGCTAATCGGAACTTTTCTCCCATTAGTATAATCGTATCGGGCATGTCCGCGGCCAACTTCTCCGTATACGTTTTTACCGGTGCCGAAATCCACTGGCGACAGGCGAAAACCTTCGCGGGCGACGGCGCCGCCGTTCGCACCCTTCTCACTGGCCTGACCGGATTCCTCATTGGCGAAGCCCTGCTCGTGGCAGGCACAGTTTTCACTGCCCGCTATATACATACTTTCACCGGAGGGGTTTTGCACGTACTGGCTTGGCCCTGTCGGTGGGTACTCGCGCGCTTGTCTTTCTGTCTGGACCCTTTGCTCGGGCGCCTGCGTCGCCGATTCCAGCGTGAGCAGCCGCTTCCAGATCCTCGTCGATACGAGCAGATCTCGCTCGAGGACGATTATCTGAACGATTCGGGTGACGAGGATGAGGGAGACTATTTCCTGGATAACAACCATGCGAACATCACGACGGCCGCCGAGCTCACCAACAGACGACCGTCGGATCGTCTACTGCCACGGCTGCTGGTAATTGCGTTCATGATCTCGGCGGTGATCTTGCGCTCGATCCGCCCTGCGGAACCTGTATATCTGTATCTGTCGGGCACGTTACCATTGAGCATGTTCTTTGAGGGCGGGACTAGCCGTTATACCGCGATTGATATCTCGGCCCTCCCTTGGAACTATAATTACTTGGTGGTCAATTCATCCTTGGCTGCCGCTCCGGATTGGGACTGGATGACAAAACAGGCTGGTCCCGGGTTTGAGGATTGGAAGAAAGGTAGCGAGGTTACCGAAGCTACTGGATTGCATTACGACCCCCACAAGAGCCCCCTTCACATCTCCAACTTGAAAAACCCTGTTCTCGAGTCTATCAGCAACGCTTTGACATCAGGCGATGTCAAGATCAAGCATGTCATTCTGCTGAAACTAGAGAGTGCGCGTGCAGACATCTTCCCGCTGCGCAAAGACTCATTCATGTACCGCCGCATTGAAGAGACTTACGCGGACAAAAAGATCCCCAGCAGTGTCAACGAACTGATTGCCAATCTGACCCCTACTGCCGAGCGACTGACCGGCTTTCCCACCGGATTCGATTCCAATGACACCTTAACCGGAAATCGGAAGCCATACGGTGGCATTGCTGCCAAAAATGCCTACACAACCTCCACCTATACTCTGAAAAGTCTTGCTGGCACTCTTTGCGGTGTGACACCTCTTGTGGCTGATTTCAACCGCGAATGGGAGCATCACATCTACCAACCATGTCTCCCACACGTGCTCGACATGCTCAACAACCAACAGGAGACCTTGGATGACACCCCGGATTTCACTCACTACCCGTGGCACTCAGTCTGGATGCAGTCGGTCACTGAGGGCTATGACAACCAGGACAAGCTGACTCCTAAGATGGGCTTTTTTGACAAGAAGACCAAGGAAATCCTGGATGAGCCCAACGCTACTCACCCAGTCACCTCGGAGGAGATTAATTACTACGGCTACGCCGACACTGAGCTCCGCGAATATATTCGCGATGCCATTGATGAGGCTGAGAGTAATAACACTCGCCTTTTTCTCACTCATCTTACTGGCACAACTCACCATCCATGGGGTCTGCCAAACGACACTTACGCCGATATCCTCGGGAACCAAAAGGGTTCCAACAACGACCTCAACCGTTATCTCAACACAGTTGGCTTCGTGGATGACTGGATCGCTGAAATTCTCAATATCCTGGAAGAGAAGGGGATCGCAAACGAAACATTGATCGCAATGGCCGGTGATCATGGCCTCTCGCTCCCCAACGACGGTGGAATCACCCCCTACGATAACCCCCACGTAGGCTCCTTCCAGGTGCCAATCGTCCTTGCTCACCCACACCTGCCACCGGTCACCATTGAAGCACCCACCTCTAGCGACCAGATCGTGCCCACCATCATCGATCTGCTCGTGGAGTCCCGCTCGCTCACCAAGAAGTCTTCCCACGCAGCCAAAGACATTCTCTCCATCTACGAGGGCCAATCGCTGATCCGCCCGTTGATCCAAGAGCACGGTGGCATGCAAGACTGGCAGTTTACAGTCATGAACACCGGTGGCTCATGGCTGGCTGTCCGCTCAGCTGCACGCCCGCAGTTCCGTCTCGTGATCCCGCTGGTCAGCGACGTCGAATGGCGTTTTTCTGATCTGAACGTCGACCCCTACGAGCTGGAACCCATCTCTCGCTTCAGCCTCGGCGACCTAGCACTCGATCTCGCCAAATCCTACGAGCAGGATGTCATCGACTGGTTATACGAAGCTGCGTACGTGACCAACTGGTGGGTCGCCGACAACTGGGCACGGTGGCGGTACGACCCTCCAGTTAAGAAGTCAGATGAATGAGGAGGCATGCTTAGCATGTCCTCTGGGACCTTCATAGAGTATTTGTTGTTCAGTATTGCATTTTTTTCGGAGTTCTGGGAATCTGTATCTTCGTTGTATTTTGGAGGGGTGGGGCGCTTTCCATGCCTGGGCTGTTCTTTTACTAGTTCTTCATTTCGTCAAGCGTGTCTGATTATCTACATCATGCTTTTGTCGGTCTAGTCAGGACTGGGCTGCGCTTGATGGGCTTTCTTTGTCTTTGGCGTTGGAAATTGTCGATTGGTCAACTTGAGAATCTATGCGTTGGGCAGATTTCATGCTGCGCTGGGTTATGCTAATCTTGGTCAGATCCGTTGATCAAGATATGCTGGGTTTACTGTACATATCAATCTGGCGATGGGTCGTAGTTTGTCATGTCCACCACGCCACATGGTCGGTTCGGTGGATTAAAGAATGAATATACGAAGACGAAGACACCTGAACTACGTACAATAGAGATATGTAATGCGCTTGGAGGTTTTTTGTTAGAAAAAAAAAATATCTTCATATTGTCTACGCGTGGAATGTCGTCCTTAGATAAACTACCAGATTGTAAGTAGTAGTTAGTTATATCCTAGACAGCCACCGTGACGTAACTACTTTACAGACCCCCGGGGCCCCCTTCAGGGGTAACAAAACTTCGATTATTACTTCGCTTGCGCGAAGAAAGGGTGATCCAACGCACTGGCCGGAGTGATGCGCTTCTCCGGACTCAAGCACAGACATCGATCCAAGAGGTCTACGAAGTGGGCCAACATCTTCGCTTCCTCATTCGCCAGACGCCTGGGTTGCTTTTTGGCCCAGACGCGGCTCTTGAGGTCCTGGATCGGCCGCTTGAAATCCGGATTGCGGATCACGGGCCGGCCAGTCGTCGTTGATCTCGTGGCTGGCAAACACGAGATGCTGGTCGTAGTGGAGCGGTGAGCATTCCCCACGACGCACCACCCTGGGTGGGGATCTTCCCACGGCACTCCATGATGACTCTCAGCATCTGGTTATTGTTGCGGCCGGTGAAAAAGAATCTCCCCAGTGAGGAGTTCGTATAGGGTGCAGCCCACGGACCACACGTCGACCGCGTAGTCGCGTTTGCAGCCGAGGATGACTTCTGGTGCACGGTAGAATCGGCTGACCAGATAAGGCGCGACCTCATCTTCTTCGATAGGCGCTGCAGAGCCGAGATCGCACAGTTTGAGGAAGTCACGCGTCTCGTTGACAAGAAGGTTGTCTGGCTTGATATCCGCGTGCACGATTTCACAAGCTCGAAGTAACTTCAAGGCCACGAACATCTGCCGACCGTATTTGCGAACATCATCGAGCTTCAGCCCACTTGTCAAGCCGTACTTTCTGATGACGGTACGCAGATCCATACTCAAGTTCTCAAACACCATGCACAGATGGCCCTTGTGGTCGAAATGCTGCTTGTACATGATCAGGTGGTGTTTGTCGTCGGGGTCTGCCTTGCGGAGCTTCCCCAGAATCCCGATTTCTCGGAAACCGGTCTTGCGCATGCTCTCGTTTTGACGGACGATCTTGATGGCAACCATATTCTGAGCCTTCTTGTCATAAGCTCGCACCACTGTGGAGAACACGCCCTTTCCGATAGTTTCCTTCACGACATATTGCTGCTTGATCAGCTCGCCAAGCTGTATCTTGTAGTAACCTTCGCTGTCGTTCCAGTCGTCCATCATGCTGGCTGCCAGCTCCCTGCCAGCCTCCGGCGCGATCGACTCCGGTCCCTCCCCAAACATGTCAACGTCATCGTCCAACGCAAACATATCGAACGCATCTTTCTTGGGTGCACGGTGGGGGGGCATTAGGAGCTGAAGTATCCTGTGTTGCCGGCTTTGTTTCATCTGATGCTGCAGACGAGACATCCTGAGTGGTCGTGGGAGTTATGCCATGCTTCGATCGATCCTCCTTCGTGTCCAGCACAGGATCGTAATCGGCGGCCGATAGCCCAGCTTTTCCGGGCGTTATTTGTGGAGAGTCTGTGGATAGATTGGGAAACACGTCAGCTTGCTCTAAAACTGGAATCGGAATGTGAACATGAGACATACCGGTCGTCTCTCGTGTGCTACCTGCATTAGTACCTGGAGTAGACGCTTCCACTTCAGGACCAACTTGCAGCGCTTTGAGATGCAAAACGCCGGCCTCAGTTTCAGCTCGGCTCTTGACTTCGGTTTCAGCTGGGCTTTTTGCTTCAGATCCGGCTTGGTACTTGGCGCGGATAGCTGCCCGTTTCCTGCGGCGCTCTTCCCGGATAGCCTCCTCGTCAAGTGGTTCCTGCTCCGTTTGACCTACAACCTCAGATGTTGACTGGTCATTTGGCCTTCGGAAGTTGTTAGCTGCAGATATCTGGGAGTGGACACGTTGTCTAACATACTTATCGGCCACTTTGACTTGGTGAGAGGCGGGCTCCTTGGACACCGGAGAGTTTGGGGTTTTAGCCTCATTCATTTCCTGCTTGGGAACGAATTCATTACTTCGCCCCGAGTCTTCGTACTGCTTCGGCTTTCGCGCACGGTATGGGGAGAAACTGCGCTGCCGGTTCTGCTTGTGGTGGTCGTACTCGTCGTCGTTGTAAGGAAGTCCGCTACCATAGCTTTCGCTGCGATCGTAATCGTGATAGCCTCGGGATCGACGGAGGGTATCTCGACCATGCTGTCGGTCATTGTACTGGGATTCATATCGCTCCGGGTGTCTTCCTTCATACTCCTCGTGCTCCTCGTAGCGCCTGCGCTTATGGCCCTTATCATGTCGGTAAGGTGACCGGGAGCGCGAGCGTGATCTCACCTTCGTTGCCTGGGCTAGCGAGCGAATGTCGCGTGACTGGGGTTGAGAGAATTTCAAATTACCATGGCCGCGCGATCGCTCAATGCCACCACTTGGAAGCCTGTTCGATACAGGTGCCTTGGACTCTGAGCCCAATTCAACAATTTCCCCCTCCTCAGATGGGGTCGAACTATATCGCGACTCCCGGCGCGACGCCATTGCTCGTATTGTAATTGGTGCTATCAGTGTCGTTGCAAAGTCTTTCGGCAATCAAGGAGGGCGATTCGACAGTTTGACTGTTCAACTGGTGATGCTATCCTTGAAATTCTTGTGTCTCTCTTCTGATGGCAGGCGGCTTTTGGAGGAGGCTTCAGGAATAAGTCTTCAGTTAGCTCGAGCTCCGCGACGATATGCAATCTTCAGGGATGTTTGAAAGTCCAACCGGCTTGATAGGCCTGCCTGCGCACCAAAGCCTCTGCAGATTCTGATGAACTTTAGCGCATGGGCAGGTGAGAATTTGCGTGTTGCCGATGATGTGGGGTTGCGATGGGGAATATGGGGAAACGAAAGTCGCAGTCGCGTCGAGATAGGACTTTCGTTCGGGATAATGGTTTCGCCGCAAGTCACCGCTTTCCTTTTCTGTATCCCCCGCGCCCGATAAGAATATTTTGCTTCTTTTCGCGGCTTTTTTTTTTTTTCTAATTCCTTTCATTCGCCACGAGTCATCTCTCTACACACCCTTCGCCAAGCCTCACACACAGTTTGCACTTACCAACATGGGTGGTCAAGGTAGAGAAGGTAAGTAGTCGTTTCTAGACCGGAAGTTCCACGTTGTGAATATCGACTAACCCTACTCTAAAGGTGGCAAGGCGAAGCCTTTGAAGGCCCCGAAGAAGGAGAAGAAGGAGCTTGATGAGGACGAGATTGCATTCCGTGAGAAGCAGAAGGCCGGTAAGCATATTGATTTGCCAATTTGGACAAACGCAGCATCCATATTGACCAATCTATAGATGCCAAGGCCAAGAAGGAGATGCAGGAAGCAGCCAAGGGCAAGAAGGGTCCTCTGAACACCGGCCAGCAGGGAATCAAGAAGTCTGGCAAGAAATAAATGAAATGCGTCCTGCTAGAACCACATTTGTGCGCTGCATGCAGGAGAACGAATTTGTCCTGCCCAGTTTACGAATCATACGAATATCGAATACCAAATGAAAGCGCCATATCCTACTGTTTGTTTAGCTACAACGGACACCAACGTGAATATAGCTCTAGTACTACAAATATAAAATATTTGTTCAACAATATTCACTTGGCATTTACAATCCTGGTAAATCTAAGAAGGAGCTACAGGGCTCTGCAGTCTTCCAAGGGTTCAACGACTAATAGCGACCTTTCAAGTTCAAATTGGAATGTTGGCAGTATCAAATTTATTACCGCTGGTCATGTAGCAGTGGAGGATACTGGAATGCATAAACTTATTGTCTGGGATGCAAGTCTTAGGGACATTCTTCACTAGTCGTGAATGATTCGTTAGGTGAGTTATGAGGGTGGGAAATAGCACAGGTGCCAGCAGTTAGGGCATGGATAATCCCAGATGCTGTAAGCAGTATATGACAGTAGGGGAGTAAGGGTTCAACAGTCACATTTCTGTATAGCGCCAAATGATCTTGGAAGAAAGAGAGCATAAAGAAAAGAGTATTCCCGGGTATCCAAACCAATCAGAATCAAATAATCCGAACTCCCAGCACAATAATACATGAAGAAAAAGAGCATACCGACTCCCCATTCACCCCATGACCTACGACTTATTGAATAGTGCAATTAACTAGTCACACGCTTGATCCACAGATTGCTACCATCACCATTGTTTTCCTGTTCGTCCCACCGTTTCCAAGCCCTACTAAGTTTAAAACCAATCTCATGCTCTTCACGCTTGATCTCGGCAATTTCACTTTCCATACTTTGAAGGCTCTTCTTGACCTCTGCCTTGGCAGCCATGTCGTACGACAAGGCGCCAGGACCAGGTTGAATGGCTCGTGTCAATTCATTGACTAGAGTTTCCAAGCTCATGCGGCGCTTCTCCAATTCTCTTCGCTTAGCCTCCATGATTCTGATACGGCTCTGAGGATCTCGTGGATCTTTTGGTTCTTCAGCGTTTTGCGGCTGAGGAGAGGCCCTGGGCCCTGAGGCCGTTTCTGAAGGGGTCGGTTTGCGAACTGGTTTTCGAGACGATGGAAGCACATTCGCATTGGGAATCGGGCGCCGTCGGGACATGATGGAGGCAAAGTCCTCAGTGGAACTGGGTACAGAAACACCCTCTGGAGTGCCCTCTCGAGCGGGCTCTTGGACACTGCGCGAAGCATTCACCGGGGTACTCTGCGAGGACTTGAAGACTTCTGGGGCAGTTGCTGGTGGATCTTGATTAGACTTATCTCGCGGACTATCTGCGAGGCTGGAAGCCCGAGTCTCTATCTCTGGAAGAATTGTTGTCGAGCCAAATCGAACACTAGGCTTCTCACGCCGCACCGTGTCTGCGGGTGTACCTAGATTAAGCTCCCTCTTCGGCTCTGAGGACCTATCGCGACGCAATCTACTGTAAGGCCTCTCTGTCGATCGTTCTCGTCCTCGCCCTCCAGGAGTGATAGTCGTCACAGTAGTAGGCACAAAACCAAGGTATTCATTTGAGTCAAAAGGGCTTTCTCGGCCGTTGGGAGTGATAGCTGGTTGCTCTGCTCGCGAGGATTCATATGGTGGTGAGGATCGTCCTTGGGTTTCCTTCGAGTCGGTAGGATCGTTCTTGGAAAAGCTCGAGATTCGACTGCGAGCCTGCGCAAACTTCTTCTTTGGCTGGAGCTGCTCGCGTCCCCATTGCAAGATATTGGACGCGGCTGACCCGGACGGTTTATGGAATTTCGCGTTGTGCGGGTTGGCCTGACCAGGTCTTCCATATGCTCTTATAGTGGGCCCCCCCTGAAAAGCTATCCCAACGTGTCTCGTGTGGCTCATCGGGACTCGAGGTAGAGGGAAGGCTCTTATCTTCTTCTTTGGGAGGCACGGGCTTTGGAGGCGCATCTTGTGGTATTGAAGAAGACGGGTCACTCTTATGTTCTAGCCAAGTGGACAATTGCGGCAAGGACGCATCTTCGGGCTCGGGCTGAGCCTGTGGGGGAGATAGGTCTCACGCGTGACGCTTGGTTGTCTTCGGACCCTTTGCGCAAATATTGAGGGGTCGGGCTGTTCTCACTAATGGGCGAAACGCAGAAGCTGCTTTCACTCGCATCGTCGCCGGAGTGCAGAGATGAAATGGCGGAGACAACGGAGTATCGTTTCTGGATGCGGCTTCTATATGAACCTAGTGGTGGTGGATTTGCTTCAGTTGGGGTAGGGTCTGGATTGCTGCTTTTTGAGAATGAGTATACTCGTTTGGTCTGCCGACTCTGGTCGCAACGGATAATACTTACTTTGGCACGGCCGGCAGCTCCTTCGAGAAGCCCGAGGAAATAGGCACCGCGGGTGTGCTGCCGGTAGTACTAACGACCGAAGTGGGGTTGCCAGTCGACTGTCGCGATCGATTGAATCCCGACTTCGTGAACATCTTGATCTCCCCTCTAGGAGCCAAAAACGACTTTTCCTTGGAACCGGTGAAGTGAATTCGTTGACAAGGCCGGGTCCGTTAAGACGAAAGGGACCTCGAGGTCTCAGGTGTATGGGTCCAAGGAAGCAAAATGACTAGAAGCTGTAGTAGAGTTTCGCGAGACCTGCGCGGGGCGCGAACCTGAAGGTAATAATATTGAGAAAGAAGAAGCGCTCGCAAAGACGAGATCAGAGACAGAACAACATGTCATCATCGCAAGGGCCCGTGGGCAGGCGACAAATTAAATTGGGGGCGACACCCGTAGTGGAGTGGGAACAATGGAGCTTTGCAGGGCGAGTTTCATGTTGCCGGCGGTAATTTCCTTCGTAGTAGACTTAATTTAGTCACAGACAATAATAGCATTATGTTTTAGGTTATTATTGGCCCACTTGGCACCAGATCCAGAGCCGACAGCCTTGCGGAAAAAAAAAAAAATACAAGCACCGAAAAACGCATCTAACTTGTAGAAGAGGAACCAACAAAACGTGTACGCAGTATAGAATCACGTGGCGGAGATGTCATTCCCCGCTGACTCTCTCCGCACGACTTCGATTCTTCCTGATTGACAACTGAATCTCCCTGGTTGATAACTGAAACTCAAGCTTTAAAGGTTTATTTTCGGAATGTCTACTGCCGGTATGTAGCTCCGTCACAATTTCTTGGTCGATCTACGACTAACCTCGAATATCGTCAGAGCCGCATGCCGAGGTGTCCGTTCTCTCACCCTCGCCATCACCAAAGACATGTGTTCACCAATGATCTAACAACCGCAGCAGGGCTTCCATCGCCACTCCCATTAACCTCATTCTCGGATCACTGTTCGTCCTCATTATCTACTACCACTTCCGCCCCAAGGCTCCCACCAGCCTTCCTCGAGGCCCTGCCCCCATCGTGTTCCGCACGTATACCCCGAAGACCCTCCTCGAGTTCAATGGCGCGAACGGCGCTCCAGTCTTCCTAGCCGTGCGAGGCCGCGTCTTTGACGTGACCCCTGGCCGGAACTTCTACGGACCCGTAAGTGTGGAAACCCTGTAGCCTGGAGCGTAATTGGAGGCTGTGCAACCACGTTGACATTCGGACTATAGGGCGGCCCCTACGAGAACTTCGCTGGCCGTGACGCATCCCGTGGCTTGGCTAATCAGAGCTTCGACGAGGATATGCTGACCAAAGATTTGTCCGGTCCGCTGGATGATCTGGCGGACTTGGATGCCGACCAGCTGGATAACCTCCTGGCCTGGGAGGAGCGTTTCTCCGAGAAATATCTGGTGGTCGGTAAATTAGTTGCCGAAGGAGATCCCGAGGCTCCCAAGGCATGAACAGAACTCCTAGGGTTTTCAGCTACGAAGCTATTGGGATATTGACGGAAAAAAAAAATCGAGATCGGATATCGGCGGATCGTCATGAGGCGAGCGTTCAAAAAAGGGTATCCGTCAACCGACTGTCAGGGGTTATGGGAATATTAGCAGATATGACAAATGCAATATTTGACATGTCCGGTCAGACTCTTTACTGCGTGTCTACGCTAAATTCCGTAGGACTTTCAAAGGCGAGCAAAAGCCGCATGGGGCGAAAAATTCAAGGGCCGAAACTTATTATTGACAGCCTGAAGATCCCGAGAACGAATAGCCAACCCTGGTAAAACCCATGATCCAGATAAGAATTCAATTTCAAAAAAAGTGTCATGTCGTCGTGACCAAAGAATTAGAAACACAGAACATAGAAAGCAAGCAATCGACTTTAATAGTCTTGGGAATTTCGTTTACAGCTCTCCACGAATGCTTTGAGCTTTCTCAGAAACCTTCTCACGAGCGTTCTCAGCCGCTTCTTGTCCTTGCGCGCGGCCGTTGGCAGCACCGATCTTGACCTGGTCAAGAGCCCAGTGAACAGCATCCATAAGCTTGGCGTAGATTGTGTCCTGGGGGTTATTGGTTCCGTACTTGAAGTAGGTTGCCTGGCGGCGGGCAGCAGCACGAAGCTCATTGATGCTGGATCCTTGGTATACGGGGATACCGTACGAGTCGAGATATTTCTTGAGGTCAGAGGATGACCACTCGTTGAAAGTAGTGTCCTTGGCTGAGCTTGTGGCCTGCGAAAGGGCAGAGGTGGCTGATGCATACTGCTCACCACCTGCCTTGGACGCCTTCGAGTAAGAGTCCTTTGCGTGTTTGATCAGTTCCTCGCGGGACGCATCGGCCTTCTTCGCGGCGTTGGAGTTCACTGCAGATAAGTATTTCCTGAATAGCGTTAGCCGAGTCTTCAGGGCTTCGTGCAAAACCATTAAACATCGGAAAGACTCACAATAGGTGCTCCTTGTCCCAAGTATCAAAGTTGTACTCATTCCAGCCACTAGAAGCCTTGTGTGCATTTGCGCGAACCTTGGCGATGAGTTCGTCCCGCTTAGAGGCCTGGGGGACAGGCACACCACGAGCATCCAGGAAGGCCTTCAGGCGAGAGTCAGACCAAGTATTGACCGCTGCGTCGAACCCGTCGTTCGCCTTGAGCTTGACGTCGTCAGTCGCACGGGCATACTGGTTTCCAGCCTTGGTAGTAGCAGCACCGAAAGCATCCTGGGCAGCAGCAGTAGCACTTGCGGCCTTGTCGAAGAGATAGGCACGGTGCTTGCGAGCAAGAGCGATGAGCTCATTGCGCTTAGAGCCCTGGGGCACATGAACGTTGTGCTCGTCAAGGACCTCCTTCAGCTTGGAGTCAGACCAGGCGTTGAAAAGCTCATCGCTCAACGACTCTTTGGCGGCTTCAGCAGAAGCGACAGCATCGGCAGCAATGCTGCGCGCCTGCAAGCTAGCAATCCGCGAGTTACGGCGAACCGAGGCAATGAGCTTATCGCGAGTTGTGGGCTGAGGAGCTGGCCAACCGCGCTCATCCAGCCACTGCTTCAGATCGGAGTCAGACCATTGTTCGTACAGCCAGTTGCCGGGATATGAGGCAGCTTCGCCAGTCTTTTTGGCAATGGCATCATAGTTCTCACGGGCCGCTTTGACAAGAGAATCGCGCTTGCGGGGTTGAGGTGCAGGGATGCCGTGGTAATCGAGGAATGACTTGAGCTGAGAATCGGTCCAACTAAACCACAGATTAGTTCGAGCACAGCAATCAGGAGAATCGATATGACATACGTATCGAAGATCCATTCTTTGGCGTTGTGAGCTTCATCCGAGATTTGCTCGGCAACGCTGCCCAGGGGCTTTTGGACCTTGACTTCCCAGTTGGTCTTCACCAAATTCTCAAGGTCTTTGCGGTCGGCAGGTGTCGGGTAAGGAATGTCTGGACGCTATGTTAGCTCCTCCTAGCTTGCCGAAGTCGCAGTCCCCCTTCAGAGCTCACCATGGTCGGAGAGCCAGCGCTCAAGTTCCGTTTCATGCCATTTATTGTATACTGTGGATAAGGTTAGCGTCAAATTAGCGTGATGCGGCTGAGATGGGAACTCTGTGACGAACCAGCTTTACTCCACCAGCTTGAAGCTCCAACCGCGTCGGTGGTCGCAAGGAAGAACACCAAGCCTGTGGCAAGATGAAACTTCATTTTCAAGGATTTGTAGGCTGTAGGCTGCTATGGGTAGAAGGTGCTTAGCTGTGTCAGCGCTCAGCTCTGTCAACTTCAATGTGGATGGCCAGGAAACTGATAAGGTGTAAGGGGTAGATAAATTCCAAGAGAAAAAAACAAAGCAGGCGACTGGATCTTCTTTAATACGGGGGCTCAGATCTCGGCAAGGTGCGTTGAGTGCACAGCTCCTAGTAAAACACGCCGCAGGGATGATCGCGGAGTGACGTAGTTGGGCGGTTTTACTTGGTTCGCAGGTGCATGATTCATCGAGTGGCCCATTCTTCCCCGTAGAAATTGGCAGAAATTGGCGTCATTTGCCAACCCTGATCCTCCTGTGGGGCTGACTAGCAGTTGCTGCTACTACACGACCATCGTTGGTGTGGCGCTGTCGTGGTCTTTACTTCCACTGCGTCTGCACTTGGGGGTTTCCTATTCTGCACCGCCAACGCTCATACACAAGACTAATACACAAGAATGAGAGATGTCATTCATCTGGAATATGGCAAGCTTTAGTCATCAGGATTAGGACAATGCACTCATAAGGAGCAGGCATTTAGCCCCTGAGAGTGGCAGCAACTTGAAGCATGTAGAATATAGAGAAGTACATAAATTCTTGTGACTGTATCTCAGACGACATTGACTCCGCATGCCTGCCCCAATCTTCAATCAGGACCAAAGAGGCCATTATCCATTATACGATCTGTCAGCCGACTAGCATATGTTATAAGGTTTGATTCAACATTTGTAGCCGTTTCATAACAGTACTAATAGTAACTACCTACAGGATGTATCCGAGGCTACCAATCACGATTATCATATGTTCCACATATGCCTGAGGCGTCAAATCATATTTTCGTTCCGACCAATCACAGTTCAACATGGACTAACCGCTTTATTGCCTTGCCCAGGTGGACATTGAACGTGTACAGCCATTCAAGTTGCTGCCTGTCTTCTCAGGCGCCCACGGTGAAGAAATTGTTACCATGTAGCCTCAGGCAGCAATTCGTATAGTTCGAGGTTGGCCAACCAACGTTTGAGGATCACGACGGCTCGTTTCGGTCAACATGACCATAATGATGCTGGGATATCCCTAAAGCAAGCAATTATTTATGTTGAGAGTGCCTCAAACGAGTGAATCTCATATCTCCAAGGCTGATTCACTAAATCAGTCTTCTTTCGGAGTAAGCCTGTTGGTTGGAGCAAGATGCATACTAGTAATTAATATAGGAAGTCAAGGCTGAGATTACAGTAAGGCATTTGGAAGAAAAGCTACCCTTACAAGTGAATGAAAGCCCTGTCACATACTAGTTTGGCTTCTGCCTTTTTATTGCCCTTTTAACAATCCCCTCTCCCTCCTTGAGAAGTTTCCTCTCGTAATAATCTATTCCCTGCCCAAGTTCTCTGCCAAGCGACTCTCATTGCACAGCTTTCCAGAGATCAACCACAGACTAAGGTAGGTAGGTGAGTTCTAATCAACATTTGGGTGACAAGAAATACAGGCACACATGCTTGACGTGCTATCAAACCCCCATTATGGTTTGGAAAGTAGCATGTTGGGCATGTTATGCATACCTGACTGGCCTGACGGACACGCCTTGCAGAGGGACTCTTCAGCTAATATGCTACTGAGTAGACACCAAAGCCGAAATGACAGCACCACCAGCTGTCGCTGCTGCTCCTGCTTGGGTTCCTTACCTCTTTACGGTGCCCAATGAAATCCTGCTTGAAGTTACCGATTACCTAGATAATCGGCAACTCTCCTGCTTCATACAGGCAAGCAGGCATCTCTGCAAGCCCCTGGAAAGGGTGCTGTACAAGCGTTCTGCGAAAAGCACGAACGCCGCCTTGGTCTGGGCATTGGACCAGATGCATGTGGAAGTAGCCCGCAAAGCCTTGGAGCATGGGGCCAATCCGGACCACCATGTCCAAGGGCGAGGCTACCCACTGCAGCGTGTCCTGGACAGCAAAGGGCATTGGGAAATTCTCAATGCGCTCCTCGAGAAAGGAGCAAATCCGAATTTGTTCAGCTCGCCGGGCAACCCGCCGCTTTACTCCGCCGTGATGTCAGGGCTCGAGAGAGAGACCAATCTTTTGCTGGCATATGGCGCAGATCCCAACTGTGAATCTGCTGGTAGACCTGTCCTATCGTTGACCTACCCCATGTACCCAATGGCCAAGTTCCTGCGGGTGCACAGGGCCCTCCTGAAGAATGGAGCGGACCCCAACGGTCAGGATAACGATGGACTTACCGCCCTCCATCGTGCTGCCAGCAACTCGAAGCTCGCCCCTTTTGTCCACCTGCTACTAGAGTACAAGGCAGATGTTACAATCCAGGCCAAGGACGGAACTACATGCTTCGTGAAAGCCCTCAAGGCCAGGGATCGGAGCTTGATGAAGCGTTTCCTAAAGGCTGATGCGAGCCTCATCAATGCTGCTGGCGCGAAGGGGACTACGCCGTTGCACTATGCTGCATCTAGGGGCATGGACTCGGAAGTGGACTTCTTGATCCAGAAGGAAGCCAACATCAATGCGGTGAACGATTTCGGTGAGACGGCTGCCCACCAGGCTCTCAAGATGAACAAGTTCGAGACCGCGAAGAAACTTGTCGTTGCGGGGATCGATCTGGACATCCCGAATAGGAGCCATGAGACAGTCTTCCTGTTGTGCATGAAACAACTGGTCATCACCGAACGCCGGACCTATCTGGACCTGATACAATTCATGCTCGAGAATAATCAGGACCCCGAGACCTGTGCGGTCTTTCGGGGGGTCAGCCCTTGGGATTATGACCGGGGGCAGGCAGCTCGGATCTTGGCCAGGAAAGGTCTCTCTGGAGCGCGAATCTGTGAGCTCCTCCTGAGCATGAAATATCCACGGCTATGAACCTCTCGAGTCCTCCGTCCGGCGATGCTACGGCCGCCACAGAGAAAGGCCAGTGACTTTGTTCAGCCCTGCTTGGGCCCAGGAAGATACTCTTAGTGATTTCGAAAAAGCTATGCCCTGTAATTTTCCTTCTACGCTTATTCCGTTCTATCGTAAGGTACCTGTATCCCATTAACGTTGCACGGAGCCGCTCTGCCTTGCCATTACCTAGCAACAGCGAGATCCCTTGAGAACCAACCTAAATTTCCGCCATTAAATAAATTCCCTTTTCACAGCTTTCGCTATGCATGCATAAGAACACTCTTTGCGACCGCTAAACTTGCATTTGCAGCTCTGGAAGCAATAAGATCCGTGCTTGCTATGGCGCTAATCCTCAAGAGGATTAGCGCAGGAACCCGGGACGGGTAGTTATCGGTTTGCGGGGCCTCGAAGCCCAACCTTCCCTGTTGCCCATCTGTTGCTCATCCGTTGCTCGTCCGGGGTGAAACCGATCGTTTGAATAATCGTTTAGACTGATGGTTGTCTGCATGTACGGTCACTAGCATCTGCTGTGCACACTGAAGCTACACTTAGGGATCTCAGAAGCCTCAGAACTCCCAAGATTCCAGGAGAGCCCCGTCTCCTACGTCACCACAGGCTATGGATCCGTCGAATCCTGCCTGTCGCGAGCTGGCCTCGCCAAGCATCTTCCAGGCTGTTCTGTCGACGTAAGTGCTTGAATTCAGGACAGTTCTCGTTTCAATCCCGCTGACGAAAAGACAGTCTGATTGTCCTAGGCATCGTCGTCTCCTATCTGCCCCAGCATCTGCGAATCATCTCTCTCAAGAGCTCATTCGGGATCTCTCCTTATTTCATCCTCCTCGGTACAACATCCGGCACTGCGGCCTTTACAAACATCCTCATATTCCCAAGACAGCCGAAGATGTCGCTTGCTGCTCAGAGATCAGCGGACTGGCCTGCTTCGCCGGCCTTCTGGGTGTAATCCAGATGGGCATGCAGTGGCTATGCTTCTTCTCAATGTGAGTGAACCCATATAAGCTGGGCCCTAGCTTCCAAGCTCTTTGAGAATGAGAGGTTCTAAATAAAAGCTAGCCTCCTGCTCTTCGTGATCTACTTCCCTAGAGCAACTTCCCCAACCGATCCAGTCTCCAACGTTGCCTCGACTGCGGGTGCGCCCACCTATCGCACTGCCCTGGTTGTAACCGCCATATGCATCCTTCATGCCCTCGTCACAGCCATCATCTCAGTCGCGTTCGCTATCCGGCGCCCCTCAGCTATCCCGGCCTGGGCCAACTTCCTAGGGGTCCTCGCTACGATCCTTACCTCGATCCAGTATTTCCCTCAAATATACACTACATTCCGGCTGCGCCGGGTGGGGAGTCTGAGCATTCCAATGATGTGTATCCAGACGCCCGGTAGTCTGGTTTGGGCAGCGAGCTTGATTGCCCGGGAGGGGGCGAAGGGATGGAGCATTTGGGGCATGCTAGTTGTGACAGCTGGTCTGCAAGGCACGCTCCTAGTGATGGCGCTATATTTTGAATACCTGGGGCCGAATGCGAAATCCAAGGGTGGAAGAATTGGCGATGGGAACGGGCAAGAGGTCCCGTCTAATGGGGATGCTGCTCCAGAGCGCCCAGGCACCCAAGGACAGGCTTCTGTGGCTGAAGACCAGCCATCTGAGGAGACGCCCCTCCTTCAGAGCCAATAGACTTCTCGTTGATATGATTTGATCGTTCCAGGTACCGTAAAAGGGAGTTTCGTCTTGTTAATATATACTGCGCTGGTAAGCATCGTGGTCGTCAAAAGCGACTGGGGAAATGTCGAGGATGGTTACGAAAGATGGATTCAAAATAGCTTATATCATTTCTTAAGGCTCGAGAGGAAGCCTTCGTTCTACTTGCTATGGCTTGACCAATCATGCAAATCCATTCATTTCTACCTACTGCTCCAATACGCCAAAGCTGGCATCTTTTATTAACATATCCTCCATCATCGCTTCGTGGCAACCATCGAGCCAAGGAATATGTTTAGGCAGCAGCGTAGATGAGACGGAAGACGTCGTTAAGCACAAAGTAGCTACCCGCACCATCAGGCTGCAGCTTGAACAGCTGAGTGTAGTTCATGGGCTTCTGCTCCTCATCGACCTGTGTAGAGGCATTAGTAGACAGTTCAATGGATGCGCATGTTTCTTTTTTCGATTTGAAAAGATTTCAGGAGAAGCCATGCTCGGACCAACGTCAAGGCATGGAATCACACCAACATCGACAAGAGAGGGAAGGAGGGTTGGATTAGGACGATCGCTTACAATGAGAGCGCCAGTCACCAGAACGATAATGCCGTTCTCGGAGGAGGGCTGGGCATCCAGGGTAGCAAGCTGGTGGCGAACCTGCTGGAAGGGAAGAGTCTGTAGGGGAAAGCATTGAGAATTAGTATACTGTATATCGACGGCATGGCTGGATGAACTTGGCCCCCAATATGGCTCAAGTGGACTCACAGTCAACTTCTCGGTGATCGCAGTGGCGCCCATGACGGAGGAAGTCTCGAAAGTGAGCATCGAATTGTCGCGCTACAAACCGGTCCACTCTTTGTTAGCTTTTACCCGTTCTATCCAACATACTCCATGGGCTTTGCGCCGAGGGATCATGTGCTAGCTGGAGCAGCCAGGGACTAGATGAACTCACGTAGAGAGGAGTGAGGCCTTGACGGTTACTGTCGAAGGTCTGGTAGTAGAACTCAACGAACTGTTCTGTTACAAGGGAAGCCCGATCAGCATACGTTCGATTTCTGCGGTTATTGAAGACCACCATGATGCGCCTAGCGTAACCATGCGGGGCTCGATCTGTGCGCCGGTGCGCGCGGAATCAGGGGGAAAGGGATAGGAGACACGTACGAGCAACGGTGGTGTAGTCTAACAGGAGGAAAGTTAGCAAGTTTTCATAATTGATCTGGTCTACAGCCCATCGATTCCATTTGCAGCCGTGTAAGTGCTCTGGCGCAACCAGGGTGGGGTGCCCATAGAGGGCTACGGCGACCCTGTCGCGTAATGGAGAGACTCGAGGACTTGAGAACGGGGTCTCTGGGAAAGCGGTCAACTTACCAGCCATTGTGGAGTAAGTACGAAAGACGCGACTGTAAACGGTCGAAGGGAGAAGACTTGGGAGGAAGGTATTTGTTGATGCGGGAAGATTATAGGAGGGGTTGTGGGGCACGAATTCTGCCGCAAGTGCCTCGTCGCCTTGTGCCCAGTCAAAGCGTCAACTGTTTACCCGAATTGGGGAAATTGCTAGACAAGGAGTCTACCGATCATAAGGAATACTTATATATGCTACGCACAGATTAGAGGTGGGTGGATTAATAAACAAAGCACGGATTCATTTTCGCCATGGGGTATCAATTTTTTCCTGCCTAGCTCTCTGGCGCACGTTGGGACATTGGGTTCACTCCGAATCCGAGGCAAACATGTCTTGGGCTTTGGGCCGCGGGTGGCGAGGGCGTCGAATAGTAGTCTCCTCCTTTTCAGGGTTCCCAAGCTTTGCTGGCGATGGCTCTTTGGTGTTGGTAACTTCTTGTTGGGGACTGTCTTCCTCCATTGGATCACCCTCGACAACGGGATCTTCCAAGTCACTATCCACCATTGGCACTCCATCAATGTCGCTCATGATCTCATCTTCCATATTGTCAACCCCGCCTACAAATTCACTCTGACTAGGCTTGCTCGAGTCCAAATTGCGGCTGTCGGGCTCATTTTCAACAACCTTCCAACGGCTCTTGGAAAAGGCGGCTGCGGCCCGATCAGCCTCAGCCTTGTCTTGTTCCATTTTGGATTCTTCTTCTTCCAGAAGCGCCGGCTGGTCGAAGACATCCTTGAAGTGACGCTGGTTCGGCATCTGGAAAGCGCTCCATAGTTCCCAAATGTCGAAAAGGGCGTTCATGCTGCGCTTCCATTTTTCGGCCCTGAGCCGTCCCCATTTGAGATCTTTTTCAAGGGATCCGAGATGCTCAAACACCTTGCGTGAACGAAGAGCTGATTCGAACATTTGCCGGTACCTCCACGCATGTCGCACGCCACTGCCCGCGGATGCCCCGAGGATGTCGGACATAGCGTAGACAGCAACGAGCTTGGCGGGAGATACATCGATTGCTTCCGTAGTATTAGCTTTCTCACTGTCAACGTTCTCTGATTTGATAGCAGCTATTTCTGCTTTATGATTCGGGTTGGCTTCGGTGTAGGCGAAGGGGGTTAAGATGTTTTGGATGATCATATCAACGACCTCCTCAGCACCTGCTGCAGCATTGTCCATCGCAAATGCTGTGACTCGAGCGATGTCACCATTTCGCAGCTTTGTATTCGTTGTTGGTAGCCGAGCTAACAGATGCGTGAGCTTAGCCTTCTTCAATGGGCCCATGTAGTTCACGTCATCTTCTTGTCCACCCGCCCCTTCGGGTGGAGGCCCGCCGCCAAGATTCCGCTTCTCTGCTTCATCATTAAGGTCTTCTTCATCAGATGAGTCGTAGTCGTCATCCGACACAAATTCTTCAAGTCGGGTAACCCACTCGAATTTAAGGTGATTTGCGGGAGGCTTCCAGCGAGGACCTTCTTCAAAGATTGCAACGGGTTCCTTGTCTAAAGGATCATGATTGGTGACTATCTCGAAGAATTTCCAGCGATAGTACACACCACCAGGGCTCCGTGGGTTGAAAAGCCAAGCCCATTTCTCATCCATTATCACTTCTGGCCGACTCATGAGCAAGGCTTCGAACTCTGGCCCATTGGTTATGAGCTTTTCGATTGTCATGTGGATAAGTCTCAATTGCTTGATATCTGAGGGTATTTTGACTTCCACTAGCGCAGGGTCGCCTCCGCTAGCATTTGAAACGGAGGGGTTTGGAGGCGCAATCCCCCCCACGATGAGGACCTGACGGCGGAGCTCGTTTGGTGATAACATAGTTTGGCTGTACTTTCTTTGCTCCAAAGGGTAGTGGGCTGCCTGTTGATAAGCCAAGGGTAGCGGTCGTCCAGGTCGAGTTCGTTCCTGCCGAAGAGAGAGACCGGGAGATTGAAAGATAGTATCCATATCCAAGGTACTTATGTTGCAACGAGCTCACCGCACTATCAATAGCGGATGCCGGTGTATCACTTGCAAACGTGACAATGGCAGCCATTGATGCTCGTTCCGTTGTGTGCTGGGGCGTTGGTCGGATCATGTTCACGTTGTCAACAATCAACGAAGAAGGAATCAATGATTTGACTACTGAAAGTGAAGTCCCAGGAGGAAGCGATGAGAGCTGTACCGCAGGCTTTGGAACTGCTCGCTCAGCCTCTTTCGCGTCTGAACTCTGCTCTTCTTCATCATCCGAGGCATTGCGAAACGCAGCCCGGGGCCCAGATAGACCAGTAGCTCCTTGGTTGAGTCCTAATGCGCCCGGTGCCGAGTCTCTATTACGTGTGAATCCTTCGTGCGGTTTCTTCCGAGCTAATGACGGTGGGGGAGGACCTAGTGTACCCGGGCCACTGCGTCGCGGACCAGAGTTGGTGAAATGGCGCTTGGGTCCTCCTCCAAACCCACCACGCCCTGGACCATGCGTGTGTGCTCGGAGATCCGAGGGACGAGTTTCGGTATCATCCTCGAAGGATTTGACGAACTCTTCCAACGCGGCGGCATTTTCGGCGGCCTCGCGTTCGCGTTTGGCTTCGGCTTCGGCTTTCTGGCGCTCAAATAATGATTTCTTTGGTAGCGGATTGAGCTTATTTATAGGTCTAGGGGGCCCTTTCCCTTTTTGATCGTCGGCCATCGTAGGGGTTTGCTGCAAATGCAGCAGTTGGATGCTAGCCAGTTGATGCGAAAGAGTCGAAGTAGCTGGTGGTTGCAAGTTGGAGACAAGGCAGCGCGGGCGGTGAGTGAGCTATCACGCATCCTTATCGGCTATCGCCCCAATCGACTCCAATTAGTTACTATTTCTCGAGTTCCCACCAGCTTGGCCCTCCAAGGGCTTCTTTGTTTTAAGAAAAACCATACGTGATCCCATTACGATTGATCAAAATGTCCTCTGCACAAGTTCCCGCCTTGCTACGGTTTCTCTCACAAGATGCCAAGGTTTCTCTGGCTGTCGCAATGGCCAAAGTGCCAGAGCTACAGAAAGCTAACTTAGCCAGGTAAATCCTTGCTTTTCTTGGGCTCCGTTACACTTTCTTACTAGATTAAAGCTCAGATAAAATCTCAAAATCTGATCTGAACACACTCGAAGGCATATTTTCAGACACGAAAGTCGCCAAACAAGTCCTCAATGCTGCCAAGCGAGTAGCCAAGAAGCGGGGAGCTCCATCTGACAATTCAACTCCGACCAAAAAGAAAAGGGCTCAAATAGGTCCAGAATCGACACCTTTCGAAATTGAAACAAGCCTTCGCTTTCCGAGCTCCTCTATCAATGATGATGAACTCCGAAAAGTGATCATAGTCACCAATCGGGCACCTCTTGTGCTTGCTTTTGCATTATCCGTCTTGAAGTACACAAGGCCAGAACAACCAATCTCTAGCAGGTTGAGTCTTGCGCAGGCGCTTGTCAGTGCTAATAGTCGAACAAAAGCCGTCAGCTTGGGGATTGAGAGGGGAGAGCCGGCTGAGCAAGAACGCTTGCCAGAAGGCCATCCAGCCATCAAAGTTTTGGGACGAGAGATTCCCGTATTGAAGAGATGGGATTACGACCCACGAGAGGGCCAGCCAGACGATTCGTTGGATGAGCAAGCTGAGCCGGCAGAGGTAGCCAGTGAATTCTTAGGTACCAAGGCCAGCGGCGATGAGTCAGACCGAATGCCACCGCTATGGGGCCTTGATCCAGAGGCCTTACAAAATTCCAACTTGAACACGGCTGCTGAGACTGATAAAAAGCCCACCAAAGCTTTGCCAATACATACCCCACAGGCCGCAAGGTCCTATATCATTCGGTCTATCTCTTTGTTGAAGAATGATGGTCCGGAAACAAAGCCAAAGTTAACAAGTGCAGTCGATGATGACAAGGAGATGTGTGTGAGCTATCTCTTGCATGCAATCGATTCTGTCTGCCACTTCCTGGGCCGATACACTTGATGCCTCCGAGCTGGACAAACGGGCCTGGTTCTGGTATCTCAAGGTCCGCCCGGATGTTCAGACCGGAGTTCAGGGGTGGGGCGAGAAAGGACAGGTAAAGCTGGCCCATATCATCAATCTTCGGAAAACACCAGATGCTAGTGCTTCAAGTTGAAGAGGCGATAAAGATTGCTTCATAAATCTCTCTGGGTATATATAAGAATAATGGCTCAAGTCGGTAGAAAATGAACGGCTTATCCAGCTCTCCAAACATTCTGTCCTTTCCCATTTTGCAAGAGGCCTTAAGCATTTTTGGACCTGTCCCTTTAGACATTTTCAACCGTCTCAATATTTGTGATAGCAGGCTTGCCTTAGAAACGTTCTTTCTTCCAAGGCAATATCTTTGCTGATAGGCACTGAAAAATTTAACTCAGTGTTCCGATCCAGGTCCATTGGCTCCTTTTGTAAATGTTTATATATATTGGGAAGACCAAAGTGATGATATAATCCACCATTGGGATAGCGATGGTAGTGTGTGCATTGAACTTGTGCCAAGGTTTCAAGGTTTCCCCGAATCAGTACTCACTCTAATCATCCAAATCCCCGGGCCCTCTGGAGATTGAACATACCACGACTGCTCCCATGACAGCCGAGGCCACGCAGAGCAAGGTGAGAATGGTCGCGAAGCTATTTATATATTAGAAAAACATTTCGCAGAATCCTCAATTGGGCAGATAGCTTACCGATTTGGCGCACAAAACCAGGACGATCATTGCGGCGACAGATGCTGTTCCCATTGTAACAATAGCAACAATACAGAAGATAATGCAAGGAACAAAACTAACGTCAGCATATAATGAGGCTTGAGAGTTCTAAGTATCATCAGTCTACTGCACACAAAATGTATGGAAGCATAAAGACACTGTGCCACTGACAGCAAGTCCGCTATAAAAGAATCATTAGAATGTCAATTCATCCGTGGTCCCCATAGATGGAAACTCACAGCTTGCAGCGGAGCTTCTGCCAGCTTCCTCGTAGAATTGATGAAATACCTGGCGACGGCTGCGCGTGCTCCAACATAGCAGATCTGACTCAATACAACGAGGAAAGGTTGGTCGATACGCAGAGTCGGCTGGAAGTGGGAGTTCAAAGTGTCCAGAAGACCGTAGCCGAATCCCCACAGGAAGAACAAAATAGTCACTGTTCGGTGATCAGCAGAGGCCCGTGACCGTATAGAATGTTTCAAGCATACTCAATGCACTGGGGGAAACAGACTGTCGAAAGGTTAAGTGCACAGCAGCCTTGACGGCGTCGTCCTGAATGATCAATTTTCGCTTATAGAGCGCCATGGTGGCAAAAGATCTGCTATAGCAATCCTCGAGGACAAGACGACGGGATCCAGAGGTTCTTCACGGTGGAGCAGGCCCTCCACGTCCTTGTACACAATGACCCACCTTCTGCACAAACCTGACGTGTAGGCCATTGATCCCGCGAGGCCGGGGTCATAAGCAGCGAAGCCCCCGTGGACTGGCTGGTCGGGACTTTGTCACCCCAGTGAACTGCTGTAAGTCATTCTTATTTGAGCAGCCATTTCACTTGAAGGCCTGTTGACACATGGCGTTTGGAGTCATTTATTCCTGGAAATGGTCTGTTTTGCGTACCATGTCTGGACAGTCCTCATTCGCAGGCCGGGATGCCCCTCCTGTAAATGGGATTTGTGGAGAAGCCGGGGAAATGGAGGGTGGAAGAGCCAGAAGACGCCAATCCCCGCCATATCTTGTCATCCGGGGTTTTACTCTCTGAAACCTATACGCCAGATATATCCGAGTATATATCATTGCTGCGAGTACATATGATAACACCGCGTTCCAAGATCTCTTCTTGGAGCGCAGGAACTACAAACGCAGCTACTATTTAATATTTACACGTACTGTTATTCCAATTTGAACCTCCAGTGTCAAATTGGTAAGTATTACTGGAGTCAGATCAAAAAATTGTCGTCTATTCCCAGTGTGAAGAACGCAAGCAAAACTCCAATCAAGCTCCAGCCCACCGGGATATCGTTTCGCGAGTAGCTCTAAGGGGACGACACACCAATCGGGTCACGCCCGTTGCAATTGGCTTCCGGAGGCTTACGATCAACGCCATAGCGTGTTCAGAGCACCTTCGGCCACATACTCCAAGGAGAATCCTATAGCGACGGCACAAAACGTGGCATTCGGATGGCTACATGTACCCCAGGGCTCCTTGCATTCAGCCAAGAGCTTGTGCGGGAGATTCTAGAGAACTTTACTATACGCTATACTTCATCGTGATACCATTCAAGCTAACTAAATCTCATATGCTTGATCATTCCCGGGTTTGAGCGTGACAAAATATTGCTTCATGCTCGAGTCTGGATCGACCGTGACCTTCATTTCCAAGGCTTCTGCGTAGACGAACCGCGGACAGGAAAGCACAATAATCATCAACCTTCTGTGGATTATCCCCTGGGGGAAAACATCAACGTTTAACCAATCAAGATCCGTTTCTCGTCAATCCCATCATTATCGAAACCATCGTGGACCGGCTTTACCAGCACGTGAACGCACCAGCAATGTTCCAGGTTATGTGTTATGTATGGCCTTGCCCCACCTGCTGAAGGCAGTACCCATTCAACATCAAGTCCCGACTCATCAAGAGTGATTCATCTAGAAATAAGGAAAAGTACTGCAGTATGTATATCTGCAATTTAGTTTACTCATGGTGAGTGCAACGAATGTTACGGTTCACCGGTCGTTCCCGTTCCACGGGTCATGATGCAATCTCTTCGTTCATCTACATTCCGTTTCGCACTTGTACTGTAAACATGTTGAATCCGATTTACCCCGAAGCGATTCACCTTGAAAGAGACCCGGAGGTATGAAAGAAGAGACATGTTCTACGCAAGTAGACCTGAGACATGCTGCCAAGTCCGAGATGATCTGGCCAATCTTTTCCGCCCTGTTGGGCCCGGAGGCCTGTACACCTCGGGAGTGGTCCTCTTGAACTCCTACGGCAACTAAATTGACTTTTTGCGTCGTCCACCTCCTACCGAGCCCTTAGGCGGCTTGCCATGCAAGTCTAAAGTAGAAATTAGGAGCGCACATTGGCGGTTGCTGAGTTCTGCAGAGTCTGATCTCCTTTTGATAGATCAAGACGGACCATGAGGTTTCCCAATTATACACTTGCTTGTCGCGAAACCTCCAAGATTCCAGACCCGGACACAGACCGGACAGTGGTGGTTCTAGGCTCATGGGGGGTGGAGACCCCTCCATCGCGGATCATACGAAGCAGATTCTAGAATGACAGACATAAAAGCCCCAAGAATACGCATTGTCAGCGCGTCTGAATGGTTAGCTGTTTTGGTGGGTTTTGCAATATAGGTTTACGAGGGGGAAAATGTGGCAATGGCAACGGTCTGACCCACTGAGTGCCGGCCGACTCTGCGTAGTTTGGAGGCTAGTGGCTTTAGCGCACACGGAGTAGTCCCATATTTAAAGGGTAGGGGTCTTGAGAGCAACGAGACCCTTGGGGAAATCAGAGGCTGAGATGAAGAGGAAACTGTATCAAAAACCCCCAAGGATACCGCTCGAGCCTAAGAGTGTGGAAGGAAGAAAGCCATAAGCTGCGTATCGAAGTGTTTCGAGAGAGCGGTACCTGTAAAACCCTGTAAAACCAGGGAATCTAAGCCACCCGCTCGAACTCAACTACAGCGCCCCTCCCCCGACCGTATTACCGCCGTCACACCCTCAAACTCAGTCATTCTCTTTCCCTCTCTTTCCCTCCATCCTTCCTCTAGTGATCACCGCTGCCTCCATCCACCCCGAAATCCACACATCTTCGCCATCAGACGACTTATCTCCACGGCTCGCCATCTCTGCCTTACCCCTTTTCCCTACTCGGACCCCCCGAGTGAGCCGGATTGAACCGAATCATCAAGAGGTGGCCCGACAGGGCTGCCGTCTCAAGGGGATATGTCTGGACGTATCTCATCCGACCATTCGCGGTCGGAATCGCACTCATCTCAGCTGCCTCAACCATCCCAGAGTCAACATGAGTCGCTTCCTGGTCACTCCATCGGTCGCTCGTCGCGCGCCTCGAATCCCAATGTATTCTCCGACGAGTACTCCTTAGATCCGATCGACCCGGACCAAATTGATCGTGCTCCTAGCCCTGATTCCATATCCTCAGCAACGACTTTGCGTTCTACCAACCCAGTTCCCAAAAATGTTCCCACGACAGCTGCAGCGGCCGCGGCCGCGACCGCAGAGAACGACAATCCGTTCGCTGATGACGCAAGAGCGTCATTCGATGAGCCCCATCGTTCCAGTCTGCCACAGAAAGGAGGCGGGTTCGCTACCGACCGCAATTCCGTCTCTTCAATCAATAATGCACAATTCGCCATGCAACGGAACCACAGCGTCTCCTCGCGCTTCTCGACACCTCGTGCCATGAGCCCATATACTGGTGCGACCGGCCCAAGTCACCCGTACGCCATGTACTCCCAAGTCGGTGTTAGCCGAACCCCCAGTGTAGGAAGTACATCAACCATTCGCCCAGCTGAGCGCCCGTTGGGTGAACTCAGCGGCCCGCAACACCCCTATGCAATGTACACCCAGAACGTCGTGGAAGAAGGGATGGATGACGATCAGATCCCAGTCGGCTTTCCGGGACACAACCTGGCTTACCAGCCACGCCCTGATCGTCGAATTGACGACGTTGGCGATATTATTGGTCCGGATGGACACACAGAGCCGCTGCCGCCATATTCGCGCTACCCGACAGGCGTGGTTCCCAAGCCCCCTGGTGCGGAGGACGCGACAGATGTTCCTGCGTCGCCACCGGAGGAACAGCAGCTGCATTCGACTTCAAGAGAAGCAGTGCCGGTGCCACCAGTTCCGGTCTCGGAGACATCATCCAGGGCTCTGGTCCCTGATAACACCGGCACCAGTGAACGGGAAAATGATGGCGAACAGGCAGCTCCCACGTCTGGAATCATGGCTTTTGAAGAGAAAGTAAAGCAGAAAGGAAAGCAAACTGCATGCTGCGGGTTGCCTGTCTGGACTCTTGTTCTTGTTGCCACTGTCATGCTAATCGGAGGTTCAATTGGCGGTGCAATTGGTGGTGTCTTGGGCACCAAGAAAGCTCAAGAAGCTGAACATCAGTCCGAGGCTGCAAGCCACAAGCCAGGCCCAGACATTGTCACCGTAACTGCCACGCCCCAACTGGACTACTCTGCTATTACAAGCACTCCGACCAACATCCAGGCGGCACCCACCGGTCATTATCTCATCCCCGCTGTCTTACGAAATTATTCGCGATTTTGCGTCGATGACCACGATATAAAACAGGTTTGGAGTTGTGTGGAGAAGCCCAGCGATTTTGAAATTAAGTTGGAGGAATCTGATGGTCAGAAGTCTATCATTTTCGATTATAGTACACCGACATCAACCTATACATATGGAGCACAACAACCTTATCTCCCAACACCTACCCAAAACCTCAGCATGGCTTTTGACACCAGCGAGGCCGGTCTGGGCCCAGCCCTATTTTTCTTCGCGTTATTCAACAAACTTGTGATTCTGCCTGAGGACACCTTCACATCCAGTTCCATCTCATCACGAGACCTATCGGAGCGCGAACTATCCGACCCATATGCTGACGCTTTTCTTGATCGAACGACGGTCGCTAAGCCTGGTGATAAACCGTGGTTTTGTTGGTGGAACAGTACTCTGATGGAATTTTTCCTCTATGTCAACCAGTCCACGGTTGATCAATTCCCCAGCACTGAGACCGCTGTCACCGGGGGTGATCTCGCTGCCAGTACGGCAACCGCGCAGCCTTACGCTAAGCGCTCCGATCCCATTGCCAACTATCCCAGGAAGATCAAGATCGAAGAAAGACGTGACTATGCAGAGGCTGAGTCGCCTTACTGCCAACAGATGCAAGTCGACAAGAATGGTAACCTCGACCCCATTCCTCAATCGATTGTCCAGATCAAAGAAATCGAGCCTGCCCCAACCACTACATATTTTCCCACCGCCCTTGGCGCAGGTCAAACGTACACGGCCAAGGCACAGTATGCAACTCCATGTTACTGTCTATCCTCGTCTGATTGACGGCTTTCCTTTTTGACTTGACGTTCGAGCGTTTGTTTTTGCCCTGTGGGCTTATGGCAAGGTCTGGGACCTTGGGGCGTTGGCGTTGAACCTGGCTATCAGACTTGCATCCGTTCACGTGCACACGATTACCTTTTTCGTTTCTGCCTTCTGTCATTCTATTTGTTTGTCTACGACTGTCTTGGCCATGTGGTTTTTATTTTGGATCTTCGGCTCACATAAGTATCATCATGTCTTCATTCCGACTTACCATCCTTCTTTTATCCTTTGTCTGGGGTATCTACCTGTTGCGATTTGAGATATTTCTCCTCGCCTTTTTTCGAGTAGCTCCTGTTTTCCTATCCGGATATATCTTGTCCAATTCCCAACTGTGTGAGCCTGGATCTTTGGCGTTCATTGGGGGATCAGGTATGATCCAGGTACTCTGATATTAATCAGGTTCATTTAAGTGCTATCGTGATTTGGTCCTCCTCCGTGCGTTCTGGGCCTCATGAGCCTGACTTTGGCCAAGTCTATCCCTCAGTCCCGCTTCTTTTAGGTGGTGTTGATTCAACAAAGTCGACTTACAATAGTCATATCGACCCTTTCCGACAAAGCTTTCATGCTCCCCATGTTTGCTTCTTGTAGTTATACCATCGGTAGGACTATAACGGATGTGGAAATAGTAGTAGCGAAACAGGTTCTCTGAATGAAGTCGAGCTCTTCCAAGGCCCGCGCCATACATATTTCAAAGGTTCTTGGCTCTCATTCTTCAGCGTCAGGTTGGCATTCAATGTTCCACTTTATCAAGAACCTCCCTACTGATCATTCATGACTGAGTGGCGGGGTTTGTATTATCATTATCATCTAGTCTCGAACCCCGATATCCAGTCGTACTGGTATGTGGGATTGAGCTTGAAAGCGGTGGCCTCATGAAGATCCAGCATATGCCTGTCACTCTGGGGGAAGCCCACCTTCCGCTCCGCTCGGCAGAAACGTGACTAAGCAGGGTGCGTGAGAAACTGAGGTATCAAAAGGTGGGGGACATGCATTGAACGAGGAATAGAAGGCTCAGCCTAGGTCATGCGACTCTTCCTGGGGAGAGGGGCTTGATACTCATCTTCTCACTGGGATCTCACGTCTTATCTTTGCATCTTGCTCTGTGGAGTCAGCTCGTTCGTCTCGGGTATCTCCAGCCTAAAGTGCCCAAGCTCCTTCCCCGCCTGAGGCACCAATTCTCCCGACACCTCACTTCGACACACTATCCCTCCGGCTTCTTCTCTCTCCATCGCCTACCTATTCTCTCTTCCCACTCCCCCCTCTCTCCATCCTTTCTTCACCCCACTCCGATTGCCATCCTCTCTCCATTGCGTCACCCCACCTTTCGATCGGTCATTTTGATCGCGTCGGCTGCGCCCACCTTCTTAAAAATCTGTCGTTGGACCATCCAGATCAAATGATCGCGTCTCCTAGATGACCTTCCCTCCTCCTCACCCTTCCGCCCAATCGTCGATTGCTTCTGGCACCGATAAATCTTCCTCGAATAGACCTGAAATTGGTGCCTGGGGTCGGTCCGCGTCGCAGTCTGGCATTCGTCGTGGGTTGACTCCGCTCGCGACTAACCTCTCCTCCGCTCCCTCTGCTTCCTCCCGGGGCTTGGACGCGGGTCCTGGGGTTTCGACACCTTCCTCTTTCTCTGCTGTTCTGAGCTCTTCAAGGGGTCTCTCAGGCGGCAGTCCTAAGCCCGCACACTCCCCGTTCACCGCGCTGGCTGGCTCGCAACAGCAGGCCCAGTCGCTTTCATCACCGAAGTTCCGAGCGCATACCCCTTCCGCAGGGTCTTACTTCGCTTCAACAACAAGCTCCATCACCGGTGGTGGAGGCTCCCGGGGAGGAGGTGGGCCAGGATCTTCGAGAGGTATCGCCTTTTCACCACTCTCGTCCGGCACAACCGTGAACTCACCCACAGGCTTCGCCTCTGACAAGCCCGGCTCGGCGGCTGCTCATTCAAGTCAGTCGTCGTTGACCAAAATATCTATCGCACAGGTCTTCCTGCTCCTTGATTCTATCACCGAGAAAGAAGGCAAGGAAAAGTGGGAGACGAAAGCTGCTCAGATCCACAAGGTACAACTTCTAGACCCCAACTTTGTCCCTCAATCCCCGTACCAACGGGCTAACAACAATTTTTCAGCTTGTTACTTCTAACGGCATGGAGGTCTTCTCAAAATACTTCCGCCGCCTGCTTACCGGCAACGCACCCCAGATCTTCCCTGGAGTGAACAAGTCTGTCGAGAATGCAGGCAACTACCCTCTTCTTGTCCAGGAGATCCAGAAAGTCTCTTCGGATGTCGAGCAAGCACAAAAGATAGCCGAAACAGTGGATACATCAGAGGGTGATATTTTCCGCGATTTTGATCTTTCTACATTCCTTGATCATTTCCGCCTAGATCCTATTGTGAAGGTCGCTCTCGCTTTGGCTTTCAAAATGACCAACAGATCGGACCTTCGCGCTAAAGGTCAGTTCCTGAGCCAAGCATTAACCCACTCCCCGCGTCCTACGTGACTTTGAATCAGTACTAATTATTTTTCACTAGCCGACGCCATCATCTCCAATTCTCTCATGCCATTCTTGCAGAGCTTAGCCAAACCCTCCGAAGTCAACAAGGACTTCCCAAGTTCATTCATCGGCGTTACGATTGAGCGCTTCATTCTCTACCCCCCCCCGTACCTTCACCGACGAGATCAAACGGGACTTGATATACGCGATTAATCTGCGATATCAGAGCGTGGATATGCCATTTGAAGTTTCGTCGGCTCTACAATTGTTCACTTTTGTCGACCCTCGCTATCCTCTTCTGCGTCAGCTTCATCTTAAGGGCCCTCGCGCGACAGCCAGTATCGAGGCAATAACCGAACTTATCAATGCCTCCGGCCCAGAGTGCTGGGGTGAAGATCATCTCGCTAGTGCCCTTCTCTTTGTGACTCTGTCGCAGCAGTGGCAGCGATTCTCACCTGAGAACCTCTTGGCAGCATACACCACTGAGAAGCAAGTCAATTGGTCCCAGTTCTTCAGCTTCTTCGATCGCGAGGGCTTGATTATTGAGCCAAAGCAGTTTGAGAGAATTTATAATGCGCTCCTTGCGTATGTCAAAGCATCAGACGGTGTTCCGCTGGACGTACAGAAGCTATGGGGTGGTGACTGGGAGCACCGTGAGACACAGATCTCTTTTTTGACGGCTTTCATTGCCTCACGAACCGATGTCTCCCAGATTCCCAACCTTCGCGCATCGTTTCCTCACACCTTTTTCGACGACGCCCCGGAGCCTGTCAAAGTACAGGGTGAGCGCGCTGCAAAATCTCCACTCCGCTCTATGGACGCCATAAAGGCGATTTTCGACCTCGCCCTCTTCTCCCAGAGTTCGTGGACTTTCCCCGATAGTCAGCTTTTGATCAAGACCTTGGTTCAGCATGATCTACCTGTTTTCCTAGTGTCGGCTTTAGCTGTTCCGCAACCATGGACAAGTGTGCAGCAAAATTTCGTCCTTCGCACTTTTGTTGTGTTCATCTCCCAGCAAGAAGAGGGCTACCAAGTTGCCCTTCACGGAGCATGGCACCAAGACCGCCAGTGGGTCTCTGAGCAATTGTTCGCTGCATTCACCCAAGATCCAACTGCCACTCCCGTCATTTATGAGCATGCAGCCAATTTCGGCTGGCTTGATTACCTCCTCGGCTTTACTAATGGTCTAGCCTTGGATTTGGCTTGCTATTCTCACCGCAAGAAATCATTCGACCTCGAACAGTGGGTCCGTGCTGCTTCCCAGAAAGGAACGATGGATATGGGCAGTCTCTTGTCGAAATTTCTGCGGATCAAAGCTGAAGATGAAGTCCATGTACAACGAAAGGAGCAGTCGGCCCCACAGATGGTCAGTCTCTCTGTCAAGACTGTTTACACGCTCCTTTCGGTTTTGGAAGAATTCGTCGGTGACCGCGAAAATCTTACCCCCGTGCAACGCATATGTATTCAAACCTACCCGCGTTTGATCAACTATGGCGAGGGCTTTGACGACATTATCGATGCGAATGGCGCGAACGACAACAAACTCCCTGACCATATTGACAAGCAGATGCAAGACTTGTTTGGCAAAATGTATCATGAGGAGCTGTCGTTGAGGGAGATGTTAGAGCTGATGCGGCAGTACAAGACATCGCGCGAGCCTCAGGACCAGGATCTCTTTGCGTGCATGGTACATGGTTTGATTGATGAATACCACTGCTATCACGAATATCCCCTTGAGGCCCTTACCAAGACCGCCGTGATGTTTGGTGGCATCATTAATTTCCGTCTGGTTGATGGTATCACTCTCAAGGTTGGCCTTGGCATGATCCTGGAAGCTGTCCGGGAGCATGAGGTGCATGATCCAATGTTCAAGTTTGGCGTGGAGGCTATTGAACAGTTGATCAACCGTCTTTCCGAGTGGGCTGGTTTCTGTCATCTTCTTCTGCAGATTCCAAACTTGCAAGGAACACCAATTTTTCAGAAGGCAGAGGAGGTTCTCCGAGAGCAAGGAAACCAAGTACTCGACGGTGAAGCTGCAAGCTATGATATCAACTCTGCTGCCTTGACCAACGGTAACCTTGATGACTCCAATGGGGCTGATGGGGCTTCTCGCAAATTTAGATCTATCCAGGTCGGTCCCCCTCTCCGGTCCGAGCTGTATCAAGACCCGGACGAGGAAATCCAGGATAAAATCTTGTTTGTGCTCAACAACGTGTCGGAGCAAAACATCGATGAGAAGTTGAGTGACCTGCGTGAGGTCTTGCGCGACCAGCATCATCAATGGTTTGCCGCATACCTGGTGGAGGAGCGTGCGAAGCTCCAACCCAACTTCCAAAAGCTTTACCTTGACCTCCTTGACCGTATTGGAGACAAGATCCTCTGGGCAGAGGTTCTCCGCGAGACCTATGTTAGCGTTGCAAAGCTACTGAACTCTGAAGGCACTCTGAATTCATCAACTGATCGTGGGCATCTTAAAAATCTGGGTGCTTGGCTTGGCTCATTGACGATCGCTAAAGATAAGCCTGTCAAGCACAAGAATATCTACTTCAAGGGACTTCTTTTAGAAGGCTACGACTCTCAGCGCCTTATGGTGACTATTCCTTTCACGTGTAAGGTCCTGGTGCAAGCAACCAAGTCAACGGTATTCAAGCCTCCGAACCCATGGCTAATGGATATCCTTGGCTTATTGCTTGAACTATACCATTTCGCTGAACTGAAGCTCAATTTGAAATTTGAAATTGAGGTACTTTGCAAAGATCTTGCCCTTGATCACAAGACAATTGAGCCCTCCGTTGTCATCCGTGAGCGCACGGCTCAAGACGAGGAGGCTTTGCCCCCTTCTAATATTCCAGAGGGCTTGGAAGCCTTCGAAGACATGGCGCTCAATCCAATCGGGCAAGGAATCCGCAACGAGAGACTTTCGCCGGCTGCTATCATGTCAACATTGCCAAGTCTTGACAAGATTCTTGTTTTGCCGGCTTCTGCTAGCAGCATGGTTGATCCCGGCGTTTTACGCCAAATTGTCAATCATGCAGTGGAGCGAGCTATCGGTGAGATCATCACCCCTGTGGTTGAGCGCTCTGTGACGATTGCTTCAATCTCAACTGTCCAACTTATCTCAAAGGACTTCGCTATGGAGCCGGATGAGGAGAAAGTGCGTCATGCTGCGGGCATCATGGCTCGACAACTCGCCGGCAGCCTTGCTCTGGTCACTTGCAAGGAGCCACTCAAGGTTAGCATGACAAACTACATCCGGATGACTCAACAGGAGCACCCAGAGCAGCCCATGCCCGAGGGGTTGGTTCTGATGTGTGTCAACGATAACTTGGATGCTGCATGCGGCATTGTGGAAAAGGCTGCTGAGGACAAGTCTGTCCCTGAGATTGAAAAGATGATCGAACCCCAACTTGAGGCGCGCCGTCGTCATCTTGCCACCCGCCCCGATGAGCCATTCATTGATCCATCTATGAACCGCTGGGGCTTGTTCATTCCTGAACCTTACCGCCAAGCCCCTGGTGGTCTCAACAAAGAGCAACTCGCCATCTACGAAGAGTTTGCTCGCCAGTCTCGGGGTTCTGGTGCAGCGCACCCTCAAAATATCTCCACTGATTCTGGCCGCCAGCTCCCTGATATCCTGCAGGAATCATATCCAGCCATTCCGAACCTTTCTACTCCCGCTGAGCAGCCTGCTGTTCCCCACCGAACACCGCAAGCACAACACGCTGTCTCTCAAATCGGTGTTCCCACCAATGGCTTCCTGGATGCTCAAAGCCCGGCTGAAAAGGTTGATGCATTCATCGCTGAGCTTAAGTTGTCTGCTCGCAATGCTTCTGTGGAGCGCCTGAAGGATCTTGATCGCGATACCGAGACGTGGCAAGGATTTCACCAGGTACTACGCCTCATTTTACATTCGGCGAACGGTGAAGAGCTTGCCCGTCTGACTACCATGAAAGTCTGCTCGATACTATATCATGAATCTTCTACTCCCCTGCAGCTCGACGTTCTCGTGCAGCTTCTGGCCAGGCTCTGCGACATGTCCACTTTGATCGCACGGTACGCATGGGCCTTACTGGCGGAGGTTGATGATGACCTATTGTTCAACGCACCAGTTACTGCGGCTCTGATTGAGGCAGGTCTCTTAGACCTTCGCCGTGTGGATGGGGTTTTGTCACGCCTGATCCAGCAGAAGAATGTCGGTGCTGTAGAGCTCCTTGACAATATCATGAGCCGCGTACTTTTGAATGACGAGCCCGCCGTTCTCCGATCTGACTTTATTGCCAGCCTCGAGGCAATTTGCCAATGGCTTAGCGAGGATGGTGATGTCGCACCAGCTTTGGAATTGATTCGCAAGCTGCAGGACAAGGGTATCCCGAGGTTGTGGCTCCTCTTCTTAGTACTGACGTAGGCCGTGCCCAAGCCAAACGTGACCAAATGGAGTACGTCTTCAACGAGTGGGTCAATATTTATAAGTCCAGCTGTGTCACCGACCAGGCTTATTATGCATTCCTTCAAGCCCTGCACGATCGCCAAGTGATGAACAATGCCGAAGATTCGACCCTTTTTTTCCGCCTCACCATCGATATTTCCGTCACCATGTTTGAGCACGAATCACAGGCTCCCGGCGGTAGCCCTGAGGATGCCTTCCTTCACATTGATGGCCTGGCCAAGCTAATTATTCTTCTGGTCAAGTTCCAAGGTGAAAGCTCTGGTGCAGTCAAGGGTAACAAGGCTTCTTACTTTGGCTCCATTCTTTCGACGCTGGTTTTGGTCCTCAACCATCATTATGTCATGCGGGGGAGAGGGTTCCAACCAGCGTGTGTTCTTCCGCTTGTTCTCCAGTATCCTCTGCGAATACTCCCTCGCCGGGCTCCAGGATCACGCAGAGCACAAGGAAATGATCTTTGCCCTTTGCTCAGCGGCTCTTATCACTCCAGCCTCGCTATGTCCCAGGATTCGTCTATGGCTGGCTGGCTCTTGTTTCCCACCGCGTGTTCATGTCAGACATGCTTAACATGCCGGAACGTGCAGGATGGGCACCTTACTGTGAGATCATGCAAGCCTTGCTTTCATTCATTGGAGAGCAGCTCAAGGCTACTAGCGTGTCCTATGTCGCCAGGGACTTGTACAAGGGCGTTCTTCGTGTCCTGCTTGTCCTGCACCACGACTTCCCCGAGTTTGTTGCGGAGAATCACTTCCAGTTCTGCAATGTGATCCCCGCTCACTGCGCACAGCTTCGCAACCTCGTCCTCAGTGCCTACCCATCATCCTTCGCGAAGCTCCCGGATCCTTTCCGTGAGGGCCTCAAGGTGGAACGCATTGAGGAGATGCGAGAGATCCCTCAGATTGCAGGGACATTGCCACTCCTTTGGAGCAGGCGAATATCAAGCGCATTGTGGATGCCGTCCTCCAAGGTGGCGAAGTCTCGGAGAACGTGGCACAGCAACTCTATGACGCCGTTTCGAGCCCTGAAACTCGCGACACGGCACTATTCTACGTGCCCATCGAGGTGGATATTGTGCTCATCAACGCTCTTGTTTTGTACATCGGCCAGCAGGCAGCTCTTGAGCATGCCTCGAAGAGTGATCCTCGCAGTGCATTCGAAAACTCAACCCACTCTGCCCTTCTGGAGAAGATTGCTCAGATCATGCAGCCAGAGGCTCGCTATTACCTTTTGAGTGCTATGGCGAACCAGCTCCGGTATCCGAACAGCCACACCTACTTTTTCAGCTTCACCATTCTGCGCTTATTTGGCGTAGACCTTTCTGACCAGGACGAGTCGGATATCCGCCAGCAGATCATCCGTGTGTTGCTGGAGCGTCTTATTGTCCACCGACCACACCCATGGGGCTTGATCATAACCCTGCAAGAGCTGCTTCAGAACCGGAGCTACTCCTTCTTCCATCTTCCCTTCATCCAAGCGGCGCCTGAGGTATGTTCCTGGCTTGTCCAATATTTCTAATTTTTTTCCTTTTATTGACTCTTCCTCCCAGATCGGTCGCCTCTTCGATGCTCTCCTCCAGCACATCCAGCAACAGAGCCCTCGCCCTCTGGCGTAAGCTGCTTTTTCTCCCTCCGCACACTTTCACGACCAGACATCATTTGATGTGCCCATTTCTTCTTCCTCATTGTACTTTTCTTCTTCTTTTGTGCCATGGGGGGTTTTTGCTTTCTCGTTTCTATTTCCTTTTATTGTCTCATGTTACGGCCGGGATTTGCCATGGGGATGGTTGCATCTTTCCTATTCGTGTCACGACTTCCTCATGACCTTGAGATACTATGATTTTTTTTTTTTTCGCGTTCCACAGCCGCTCGCGACCTGTAATGATAAGATCGTAAAAGCTGGAGTCTTTGCATTTACGGGTTGGGCTTAATTCAAATTATTATTATCATCTCAAGTATGATCCCTGAACGTAGCTTTACATAACTTGAAAGTGTGGTATGGCCTGTGTGATCGCATAATAGGGCTCTTTAAAACCTTGGAACCTGTCAGCTACCCAGGTGCGATGCTGAATGTGTCCGAGCGATAAGCCAGGTGGGCCCGCATCTGCCGAGCAACTTCCAGGGTTCCCCTTCTCTCCGCAAGCCACAATGGCAGGATCAGAATACAGTGATGACGAAATCTACGAAGAAGGTCCATCATCGCAAGCGATTGTGCTGGTATGAATGATCTTCTAGCCTAGCAACACACCCTACTAACACAACACAGGACGCGCTCCTGACACCATTCCGCGTGCTCTTCTCCAAAACCGCGCTCCGCATCTACCTAAACATCCTCCTCTTCAGCGTCGCAACTGTGGTATTACTTGGTATCTCCAGCATTGCGTATGGGATCTTCTACTTCAGGTTCATCCCAACGGTTGGCGTCGACAGAGAAGTCCATCTACAATTTGGGTACCCCAACGCCCCCACTTCCCATTCCGACATCCATAGACTAACCTCCCACAGGGACGGCCATCCCTGGGGAACCGCCTCATTCGGCTCTGAATTCGCCCACTCGCAGCCATACGATGTCGCCGTCACCCTCGACATGCCTCGTACCCCCGCCAATCTTGACGCGGGGAATTTCATGCTCGATCTCACCCTTCACTCTTGCCAGCAGGGCTCCTCCGTGCTCCCCACCTCTTCCAGCTCCTTGACCACGATCTCACAGACCCGTCGGCCAGCTATCTTGGCTTACTCGTCGCCTTTGGTTGATTTGGCCCGCAGGTTGCTGCGCTTGCCGCTCTACGTTTTGGGATTGCGTCGCGAAGCAGAGAAGCTGGAAGTGTCTATGGGAGAGAAGATTGAGTTCGCGCGAGGAGCGTGTAATCTACCGCAATCCCTGCGGTTGGAGATCCAGAGCGAGACCAAGATGCAGATATACTCTGCACAAGTGGCATTCCGGGCGCGGTTTACCGGGCTGCGGTATGTTTTGCTCTTAATATTATACGTTTTCGTCTTTTTATATGGACTTCTTGCTAATACCCCGGTATAGCTGGTTTATGTACCGATGGAAGGTTACTTCATTCATCGTCTTCAGCAGTTTCTTCTGGAGTGTCTCAATGGCTTCGGCTAGCGTGACCTGGGCCGTACTTACCTGGGTGGTACATACCCAGCCTGGAGCTGATAGGGTCAAGGATGAGGATCAAGAGCTGCTCAAGAATGAGCCAGAAGAAGCAGATCATGAATCTGGCAAAGATGTTGAGGTTAAGAAGGAGCCGGAGCAGGAAGAGAGCAGCTCCTTGCTACAGAGGTTCCCCACCAACGATGATGACGGTCTAGGCTCTGGTTTGGAGAGCGCAGAGGCACGCGGGCTCCAGAGGAGACGGAGCCATCGGCGAGAGGGTGATCATGATTCATGATTGTTTGGTGTCTTCCAGAAAAGTATGCGCATCTCGATCGTGTTAGTCCTAAACTACCCGCACCGGGTCAGCTTATTCAATGCCACAGCTTTTGGACAGAGTGTCAAGTCAGATATCAAGTCAGATAAATGAATCTCTCCATTCGTAGGTCGAAACGGCGCACGAGAACGATCACTGTTTCGTCGGCTTACAGAACGTTGTTTTGGGTATTAGAACTATAGAGTGGAGTATGACGTGCCCAGGCCCAAGTTGATGCGGATAAAGTCGCCCCGCGGTATCGGAATATTCTGCCCCTCCAACTCTCCCACCCCAATTCACCATGCATATCCTGGTAAGTACTCCTGGGGCTCATTCGATTCCGACGCGATGGCTCATGAGTCAGTAGGTTACCAATGATGACGGGCCTCCGTCCAACCTGTCGTCGCCCCATGTGCACTCCCTCGTCCAGAAACTCCAAGCCGCCGGTCACACGGTCTCGGTCATCCTGCCGCACCAGCAGCGATCATGGATCGGCAAGGCCCATATGATTGGAGCATCTGTCAAGCCAACCTACTTCCGCCCAGGAACTCTACACAAAGATGACGGCACCGTACACCATCTGCCGCGGGCAGCGACGGTGAGCCCGACGACGGGGGCGACGAATGGATCCTGGTCGACTCGACCCTGCAGCTTGCGTGCAGATCGGTCTGTACCACTACTTCCAGGAACGGGGGCCCCATCGACTTGGTTGTGTCAGGACCGAATTATGGGCGGAACACGACCGCGCTGTTCGCCTTGTCAAGTGGAACCATCGGTGCCGCCATGGAAGCCGCTGTCTGTGGCAAGCGCTCTATCGCGTTGTCCTTCGCCTACAGCTCTCGTGACAATGACCCCGACGTCATTGCCGAGGCATCGATCCACTCTGTGCGTCTGATTGAGTATCTTTATGCCAATTGGGCTCCCGACGTGGATCTCTACAATGTGAACGTTCCGCTTGAGCCTGGCGTGAGCAAGAACAAGGTCCTCTACACTGATATGCTGATCAACAAGTGGAAGTCTGGAAGCTGTTTTCAGGCAGTAGAGCCGACGGTGGGTGGAGACGCGGAGCTTGATGAGCAGCGCTTGCGCATCCACGAGGCAGTCGGTGACAATGTGAAGGTGGACGAATCGGCTGTGCGAAAGGGCGGTGCTTCGACGGAAGGAAAATCCCGATTTCAACACAAGCACTTCAAGTGGGCACCTAATCTCAAGGATGTGTACCAAAGTGTCGAGGAGAGTACACCAGGAAATGACGGCTGGGCCGTGAAGAATGAGATTACTAGGTCAGTATGCCCTGCGGCATCCGGAAAGAGAGCTCTACTAATTTTATCGCAGCGTCACGCCTTTGAAAGCGAGCTTTATGCATGCACCCGGCTTTACGGGGGGAGATCCAGCTGTGAGTGGAGAATCTGGCATTATGGTTGCATCTTTCTTTTGTCAGATATACAGGGACCATGTGCTTGAAAGTTATCTGGTATTAGCTGATAGACGCCATGCCCCCCCCCAACCCGCAACTCCTAATTTTTGATACGTCTTTTTCTCTTATGGTATGAGATGGTTCTGATAGAGAAGAGCATGTAGATTCAGCAATCAGCCTACGATATACTCCATTGTCGACTGTGACGATCCCTATGTTCAAGATCTCGTGGACCGAGCATTGAATCGACGCATGGGTGATAGTATCCGACCCCAGCGCATTTCATCCGTCTCAGATCTGCCGAACTCGTCAGCACCTTTGTTCCAATACCGGGAGTACGAACGATTAGACTTCGAACACGCGTTGTCGGAATCGTCAACATCCCTCGTAAGCGCATACATCATCCGGAAAGCTCTCATTCGCAAACACTATCTCTCAAACACAGTCGCCAACTGGATATCAAAGCACCCCGATAGTGTTTTAAAACACCATTTCAAACCGGCATTCGACTTCGAACTAGACTACGCAGAGTTCCTCGACGAGGCCCTTCTTGAAGCCTACGAACTCAACGAAAGTCTCCAGAAGAACGAAGAACGCGCGGAGTCCGAAAAAGAATGGTGGATTCTCAAACCAGGCATGAGCGACCGTGGCCAAGGAATCCGACTTTTCAACAGTGAAGACCAACTGCGCGAGATCTTTGAAGAATGGGAAGAAGACTCTGATGACGAGAGCGGATCCGAGAAACCGGAAGACGAAGAAAAGCTTGAGGTCTCCGCCGCTCACGATGCCGGCGTGGTCACCTCCCAGCTCCGCCACTTCCTTGCACAGCCCTACATTGACCCCCCCGCTGCTTCTGCCTTCTTCTTCAAACCGGAAATTCCACATTCGCACGTACGTGCTCGCGGCGGGGGCCCTCAAGGTCTACGTTTTCAAAGAGATGCTCGCCCTCTTCGCCGCGAAGCCCTATTGTGCTCCACACGAGGAGGACGACGAAGTCAAGGATCTCGCGCGCCATCTTACCAATACCTGTTTCCAGGAGGGCGGTAGCTCGAACGAGGGCAGTGTGCGCCGTTTCTGGGACCTGGATCATCATGTTCCCGGGTTGGCGGATGACTGGAAAGAGCAGATTTTCTCGCAGATCTGTGCGGTAACCGGCGAGATCTTTGAAGCGGCAGCACGGGCATGATGGTCCATTTTCAGACGCTCCCGAATGCATTTGAGCTGTTCGGCGTCGACTTTTTGGTTGATAGTAGTGGGAATGCGTGGCTGCTGGAGATGAACGCCTACCCTGATTTTGGGCAAACTGGAGAGGCTTTGAAGGAGGTTGTTGTTGGGCGCTTGTTTGAGGAGACCATCGATGTTGCTGTGAAGCCATTTTTTGGTCTGGGGGGGGCCTGAGAAGGAGGGTGATATGAAGTTGGTCAAGGAGCTGGATTTAGGCAGACGGGCATAGATGGAAATAGGGAAATAAAATAGAGATATGGTGGGCATAAGGTGTTCGGTTAGGCTTCCTCTTCGAGACAATGAGACAAAAGCGTCACTTCTGATTTATCTAATGGCTATATGATATGTTTACTTCGAACCCAGACTCGGCTTTGAGACCCATGGGGTCAGACCCAGGTCCTATTGAGTAGTCTTCTTGTAGCCGCTTTTCATGAGAGGGCCCTCCATTAGTGTGTCCCAGTGATGATAGGAGTACATCTGTTTGAGAGATAGGTCGATGTCGGTCTTTCCGCGTTCGTATGTCGACTGTCCGTACGAATCCAACGCGGATTTCAGGTCCTGGTCTTCCTGCACGGTCTTTGTGATTATATCGACCAGGGTCTCGGCATCTTGAATAGCACTGTTCAAGCCCTGTGCTCGGTCTACAGTTCGTCTATCTCAGTCAAATCTCGTGACCTCCACGGTTGGATACTTACGGGGTGTCATTGGGTGTGCTGCATCGCCAGCGAGAGTCGCCCGGCCGTCAAGGTTATCCCAGGGACAGATCCTTCCCCAGTAGCGGTACTATTCGCTCATTAGATCTTGAAGGATTGAAAAACCAGAGGAATTCCATCCAAAGGTGCGGACTCGCTATTCACCTTCTCTGCACTAACGTGAATATCATCGGTCGTCCATTCCCCGATTGATCGCCACGGTTCACAGTACGAGGATAAGTACTCCTTCATCAAACGCCGCGTCTCTTCAGGGACGGAACAGGATCTTTGCCCCAGACAGAGACCGAGATCTGGAAAACCCAAGTCTCTGGCTTCTGGGGATCAACAATATCAACCACTTTTTAGCGAGTTAGGATGTGAGGCTGAAAGCGAAAGGGGAGTCGAAGCTACTGAGAAACTGACCAGTGGCAAAAAGGAAAGAACTGAGCTTTGGGTGCGGAAGAAGCTGCAGGCCGTGGATTAGCAACGAAGCCCACGCAACCTCTCTGGTATGACTAACCTGCGCAATGGGATGTATCCTCTCTCGAACAAACAGGGCTTGTTCTCTGGGAAATGACCGGAAGATGCTCTGCATGCCATTAGCCAGGTGCCTACGGGAGGAAGAACTAGGTTACATACTATACATGTAGTAGGGGTTTCATCCAGTACACCCGCACCCGAGGGGACCAAGTGATCTCGAACTGCGCTTCGCGCTATTTAGCAGGTCAGCAGAGACCTTGTTGGAAGAGCTCAAGTGGAAGAAATGGGGCTGATACCTCCATCAGCTCCAATGACCAGCGATCCCCTAGCACTTAGCTCTACATCATTGAATACAGCAACAACACTGCCGCCCTCCACCTTGAGATCAGTCAAGCGCTTTTCGAAGTTGATCTCGATGCCAGCTGTGAGGAGATTACGAAGCTTGCCTCGCACCACTCGCTTAGGATTTGACATTGGAACTTGGGCCAACAGTTCTCCAGTGGCACCATTGACGATCGGAATCTGCGAAGCAATATTTGCGTCGATCTCTTCCCATCTGTTGGTATAGGTTGTAGACAAGAGGCTGTACACGCCTGGTGGGAGAAGCTTCTCAATCAGAGGAAGAGACCAGTGTAATGCCATCGACCACTGCCCTGACCTTGCTTTGTACTCTCTTTCTGAGTACCGTTCATAGATTGTTGAACTGATGCCTGCCTATATGGACGTCGCGAAAGTCAGAAACTATGGTGACTTCGCAACAAGGGCGGTAGGCACCTTTTTCAAGCCTTGTGCGATAAAGAGGCCCGTGGCGCCTACAAATCTCATACATTAATCAAGCTGATCTGTTCTTCAGATATTATTCACATTGGGGCGCTTTACCAGCTCCAATAATGAGGATGTGGAGGTTATCGCCCATGTTGACACGCGGCTAAGATAACACTTGTGGTATATTGTGGCCTCTGTGGTCGAAATATGGGGTTCAAATATAAAGAACGTGTGCTTGAAGCCTCTATGCCAGAATGCAGTGAGTCTGTTTATATTCTAATCCTCCACCCTCGTGGATTCGGTTGCGGGTGGGGTTCTCCGAACAACCGAACGGGTCAATCTGCAACTTTCGCCTCTTCGGCTTTAACAACCACCGAGACGCTAACGTTTCACTGCATGCTTGGGCCTCCAGTACCGTGAGGATGGGCTCCTGCTGATATGCGTGAGGATGTATCAATGCAGGGCTCTGTGGTACTATATTTCCCCTTCAAGCTGTATTCCCACTGATCTTCGGGCGTTCCAGGATCGGGACTATCCTAGGAAGCATGAGCCAATCATTCGTGGACTATCCACCAAAATAACCTGGCAATCTATGGAGTCTGAACAGTCCGATTCGTATTCTTGGTGGCTAGTCTTCCTCGTCTTCGTACCATCTTCATCTCCATTGCGCTTGAATGAAGGAGAGTTGCTTCAACAGTCTCGGCAGAGGAGGAGGGGGTCGGAACCTCAGTTGAAGACAACTCCTAGTGCAATAGGGGTCAAAAGTCCGTGTGCATACCGATTCACCTACCCCATCAAATACTGATGTACATTCACGGTTACATATCCTACACCACCAATCCTTATTGGATCGTACTAAGAATATATATATATTGAATAATCAGAGGTATATACAGACTTCTCTTGCTTAATCTCTTGTCTAATAACCCTGATTCGTATACAATCAATCCATCCTTCTTCCTATATTCAATATTAATATATCAATCTTCGTCTGGTCTAGCATATCCTATATCGCATTAATACACTCTTTAAAATAAGCCAGATCCTCTTCAGATCCTCCTCAGATCCTCCTATCTATATAAGGTCTTTAAATATACAAAAAAGTTAACATTTTAATACTTTCCAGACCAGTTAAATAAGACTAAGATCAGGCGAGTATCCAGGCCAATCTTTAATATATATCCTGTGCTCTTTAAACCAAACCTGTATATCTTTCGCTATAAAGATATTTTTATTATTTTGCTAAAATGTCATTTCAAACTGATAGTGATCGACGCCATGGGGAGGTGTCGGAGAAAAAATGAAAACGTGGGTGGTTGTTAGAGTGATGGTAATGGGGGCCGAGTGCACACAGACTTCTGGCCGGGTGGTGTAGTAGAATTATTATCCATTCTCATCCGCTCAAATGGCCTACATCCTATGAAGCAGCACACTGAATGTTGGAAACGAGAAACGAGAAACGAGGCCCCCGCAAGGCATTCGAGGTGTCGGAGGTGTCAAGCTCGACCTATTTTCGTAGTCGTTTAAGAGTTGGACCCATTGCTTCGCCAGCTCGCAGCGCTTCCATTGTCTTTTCATCAATTTCAAATCGCTCCTGGCAAAGCTCGACGACTTGCTCTAGGAGAGAAGGCGGTACAACGACCACGCCATTCTCATCGCCAACCAGGATATCCTTGGGGTAGACCCAAAGGTCGCCCTTGAATTGCAAGGGGACATTGATTTCGGAAGCCCGCGTGTACCCATTAGACCCCAAAACTGCAGTTCCTCGAGCAAAGACCTAGTCATCCTTTAGTGTCATCCTTATGATTAACCGCAGGAAATCAAAGGGGTTTGTTGATTTCCAGAATCCTGATGTGTGAAGGGGGGGGGGGGAATCCTCACCGGAAATCCCATATCGCGGTGCTCCTGCGCATCCCTTACACGGCCGTCGACCATCACCCCAAGACTCTTGAGTTGCTGTGCACGCGTGGACATCAAACCGCCCCAGCAGGCTGAGGGCAGCCCCTTAGGCTGCTGGATGTACATGATGTGGCCAGCCTCGTTGGCATCTGCAAAGTGCAACGGCGGCGTCGGCCCAGGGCTGTTAGTCTCCACCATCTTGACAGTAATCGCTGGGCCATAAATGCTTGTGCCAGCACCTGGCGAGATCATCTGGAGGCCATCCAGGAAGCCGCCATAGGGCTGCTTGAGCTTCACCAGTGCATCGCCAATCTAGGGACCTCAAAGTTCGTCATTTCTTTTTCCGGATCAAGTAAGCCTGGCTGAGGAGGACATACGTCGCAAGTGGTAAAGCGCTTGAGACCCTGCAGGGCCTTGGTAATTGCAGTCATGCTGCAGGTGTGGGGGAGGGGAAGGTAAGCTTACCATATCAGAAATCACGTCTTCCAAGGTTATCAACGCGGCTTTTCCTCCCCCACATGCTCCGAGCCGCCGATCTGCAGTCGTGATTCGACACTTTCCCCGAGGGGGGCTCTGAGTCAATTCTTGGTACAAGGATCCAATCTATAAGGCTGTTAAAAGTGAAATTGAAATAGGCGTGGTCTCCGCTGGAATATCAATTGCCATTGATTCTCACCCTGTACTTCTTAAGCCTCGTCAATCCTTCAACTTGATCACCACATTCAGCGCCAGTACTTCTCAATACCGCAACAATGGGGGTCGGAGTTCCCGTGGATGCACACCCTGCGAAAGCACCATCTCCATCACCTGTGGATGGTCGAGCTGTCTATCTGGAAAAGCTCGAGCCTCGGCATGCAGATGATCTGTGGGAGGCCCTTGGCCCTCAGGAGTACAGTGGCATCTGGGACTACATCCCTGACGGTCCATTTCCCCACAAAGAGTCTTTCGTCCTATTCATTGAGCACATTTCGCGGTCTGCAGACCCATACCTATACTGTCTAATTGACAAGGCCCGCGGCAAAGCCGTTGGCTTCTTCTCGCTCATGCGCATCGACCAGAAGAACCGCGTCATCGAGATCGGGTATGTTGTATTCTCGCCGCTGTTGCAGCGCACTACTGCAGCCACGGAGGCTGTGTACCTACTCGCCAAGAAGATTTTCGAGGAGTTGGACTACCGGCGTTTTGAGTGGAAATGCAATAACTTGAACGAGGCGTCAAAGCGTGCTGCGCTGCGCTATGGTTTTACCTTCGAGGGTGTCTTTCGTCAACATATGATTGTCAAGGGCCATAATCGGGATACTGCTTGGTTCTCTATCCTCGATTCTGAATGGCCAGCTGTGCGTGGTGCTTTTGAGAAGTGGCTAGACCCTAAGAATTTCGATGCCGACGGGAAGCAGATCCAAAGTCTGGCCTCGTTGCGCGGCTAAAGGGATATATACAAGGTAATAGAATTATGCAATAGCGGCTATCACGGAGAATCTATTCTCGATAGATGGAATATTATAGAATGACGCTTCGCTTTTCCCGAAATGGCTATAATATCAGGGGTCATCAAAATGTAAAACAAACATCATGGCTCTGTCTCAGGTAAGTCGCAGGCGCTAAGTAAGAACAACTGGAAGCATATTTGGCATCGTATTGAGCCTGCTGCATTCTCTCAGCCAAATCGTTGTTTGGCCAACGCCTGCAGCCAACCAATCGTCTCTTCCTCCTTCTGGCGATACTGTTGAACGCGTTCCTCGCGCTCAGCCGCCCGCGCTCGAAGAATTTCCTCTCTCCGAAGCTCGCGCTCATTCTTCTTGCGCTGCTCCCTTTCTTTTTCGCGCTTCAGTGCAGCAAGATCATTCTCGCCCGAACCCATCAATTGTTCATCGGGCGCGGCTTCCGGAGAGCCGCCGCGCTGGGCCTCGGCAAATGACTTATTCGCAGCTGCCGCCTCTCGGCGCTTCTCGAGCTGCCGCTCGCGAGTTCCAGGTTCTGCGCGAGGTGCGATTTCATTTTCGATGTACTTGTGTTCGGCTTTGTGGGAGCGCAGCTCGTTGCGATATTTTTGGCGAGACTCGTGGCGTGCGGCAATGGCATCTTCCATTGCAGTTTCTATCGCAAAATGTCAGATGAAAATCAAGGAGGACCTTTCATAATAGTAGCCTTACCTCTTTTCAGTTCGATATCTTGCGTATTGGGCATCGTCGGTCCTGAATGAGCCACTTGTCGAGTGTACCCTGAGTTTGGGAGTTTCGGTCCGTACTCATCGTCCTCATCTTCGTCCTCGCTCCTAGGTTGCGCCGATCTATCCGTTTCTTGTGGCCTACCACCGAGGGTATAATCTGGTGAATCTGGGCGCATGGTGGAGGCCCGGGGTTGCTCGGATGCTGCTTGGCGAGCTCTCTCCAATGTAGCTGGGTCGTACCATCCTTCAGCCAGTTCACCGCGGTTCCTAGAGTACCATTAGCCCAACCGTTTGAGGCGTTGACGAAGTTTCCTCGAGGCTTACCATTTTCGGATAAAGCTCTTCCACCGCCCTTTGATCTCCTCTTCTGGCAATTCGTCGAGGAAAAGCCCTTTTTGAATGTCGAGGTACATGGCGAACATTGGCTTGTACACCTCCAAGTCCCGCCTTGAGAGTTCCCGGGCATTCAGTGGGAGAATGACAGGCGCTGATGAAGGTTCTTTGCTCCCACGATGATGGTAGTCCCGGTCTCTGTCATGACGGTGATGGCGGTCTGATTTGTGTCTATCGGATCGGTAGGGTGAACGTGAGCGCGAGTGGTCGCGGTGTCGGTGCCGGCGAGAACTCGAATGATCATCATGATGGCGGCTCCGATGGCTCCGATGGCTGTGACGGTCGTCACTGTCTTGCTTCGATGTAAATGGGGAACGCGACCGGTGAGAGGGAGACGGCATTGTTACTGATTGGGGACTGAAAGAGATCCGGAGGAAAAGAAGGTCGCCCTTCGAGAAACTTTGCCCGCACATTGATGCCAGCTGCCTTATCGCGTACGCTTATCGTATCGCGCCCCGGAATTACATGCACATCCACCGCAACACCTTACAGGGAAGGTTACAGGTCTGTCAATAAGAAATTGCACTTTTCAATAAAAACAGCGTCCTAGAAAGGAATAACAAGGGACTCAGGAATTAAGATGCCTGGATAAATACATGTAGGTAAAGAGATGTACACAATTTATTTCAATTTATCTCTCCAACTTAGCTGGGCGGAGCGCTCTGCTCAGCATTGCCACCAGCCGGGGTCGAGCTTGACTGTGAGGAGCTCTTGTTCCGGTTGGCCGCAGCCATCTGCCAGGCCGGAATGGAGGCAGATCGGTTAAGCTGTGAGAGAGGGTTGCTGCTTGGGGTGGCGGGCGCAGTAGCAGCTGGCTGCGACTCCTGCTCGGGAGAAGTCACAGTAGCTTGAAGGCCGTTGGCGGCCGGAGCAGATGAACCATTAGGTGTCTCCACTGCAGTTGGAGCAGCAGGGGTAGGGGCTGGGCTAGGAGAAGAAATAGGGATAGAGGTTGCGCTGCTCACGGTTCTACCCGCGGCGGGGGTCGCACCACCACCCAGACGGTTACCCAAGAGGACCTTCAAGCTCTTTAGTTCAGATCCCAGTTCCTTCAACATGTTCTCATTACCTTCCCTAGCGCCCTCGAGAGCTTTAGGAATAGCATCCTTTAAGGACTTGACCTCATCGCTGATTCGACGGGTCTCGTCATCCCGGCGCCGGGATGAGGTCTTCAGATCTGCAACGAGATTTTCCACGTCCTTGAGGGCAGCATCAAGGCGCTCGGTCCGGGCGTCCTCGGCAGCCTTCAAAGCCGCAGTATCGGTCGATAGTTGGTCGATCAGACCAAACGCGCGTGTGAACTGTTCATCGATATTCTCCTTGTCCTGCTCTAGTTGAGGAGGTGTAGGTGGGGCAATAAGGGGGAGATATAACGCTAGATAAATTAGTATAACATAAAAAAAAAAGAGCGATTTAGGCAAATCCTTTACCTTTGTTACAAAGTAGAGCCCATACCCCACACCACCCATCACTGTAGCCATGATAAACCAGTCTCGCCAGTCACGCTTGGGCGGCCTATTCAATGCAATTAGTGATGGTCCTCCGCCAGCTATACAGACCTACATACTCTGGAGGGGGCTGCCATTGCCCATATGGAGGGTATCCATATCCCTGTGGTGCTTGTGGTGGTGGTCGGTACGCGACCTGTTGTGAAGAGGGGGCTGGGGACGATGCGGTAGCTACGGCGGCGGCGGAGGGATCCTCGCCGACTCGGGATAACGCAAGATCGACTTCTTCTTGGGTAAGGTTTTTTGATTGCAAGAACTGGACTCTCTTCTCAATAGGGGATGCTGCCACAGAGGGATCCTGGAGGACTTTTTCTCGGTTAGCGGAGTCGCCATCACGCGATGAGGGCAATTGGTCTTACAAGTCACCTAAGAGATGTCAGTAAAGAAGCGCACAGCGTCCTATCACGCAAACTTACAGCAGATGCGATCAGCTCCTCTCGGGGAGCCATGGTGATTGACTGTCAACTCTGGGATCGATGGGAGGAAAGATTCAAAAGGAATGCGAACATCGGCGTTGGCCGTGGACCTCGGAACTGCCAGCCGCCGAGCTTCCCCACACCGAAAAGGGAAGTCTCGTGATTCTGCCCCCCGGCCCAACCTTTCTCCGCTTCCCTCATGCGGGAGCGACACCGCCTACCTTATCTGCATGACCCGCTCTTGTCTTGTTTACATCTTCTGCACGATAACAACGGTCCCCTCCAGACCAATTTGTGTGGCCTCTGTTGGGGTTGAAATAAAGCCCACTCGACTTGGCTACTCGAGGTCGTGTGGACATAATCGCATCTTTAGATTGCTACGCGCGCCGCTACTCGCGGCTTTTGTGAACATGTCTCAAGATACTGGGTTGTTCAGTGTGAGGCGCCCACGAGAGGTAGGTGAAATTTTGTGGCCCTGTCGCACGCTGTAGACTAACTGGACACTCGTATTCAGACCCTCGGGAGCGTCCAAAACTTCACTGCAATCCCTCAGCCTGCCTCTGCGCTCAAGCGCACAAGCTCAGTTGGATTTAACAACCCCCCATTTTCTTCGCAACATCACCGACCATCTCTGCTCAACTCAGCAGGCCGACCCCAGCAGCCTAACTTCGCGCGCGCGTCTGTCGGAGGCCAGTTTGGAGCCGACACTGGTCTCTCGTCTGTGCGACGATCCGTGTCGAGCAACATGTTTGGGAGCCATGGCCTCAGCACTGGTCGACAAAGCTACGCGCCAGGCTCCACTTCCTCCAACCCTGCTCCTCCAAACTTGCAACGCCGAAGCAGTGTCTTTTCCCGGCCCTCGATGGGAGGATCCATGGGACATCAGTCATTTTTCAATCAAGTTCCAAATGTTGCTGGAGTTCCGAGAGATCCACGACCTCTCCGAGACCGGGCCTTTCAAGCGCGCATTGGGCAGGAATTGCTAGAGTATCTAACGAACAACAAATTCGAGCTGGAAATGAAGCACTCCCTTGGACAGAATACACTGCGCTCACCTACCCAAAAAGATTTCAACTACATCTTCCAGTGGCTCTACCATCGCATTGACCCCGGGTACAAATTCCAGAAAGCAATGGATGCCGAGGTCCCTGCTATTCTTAAGCAACTACGATATCCTTACGAGAAAGGCATTACGAAGTCACAAATTGCGGCCGTTGGTGGCCAGAATTGGTCGACCTTCCTGGGAATGTTGCACTGGTTAATGCAATTGGCGCAGATGATGGATGGTTATGTTCATGGCGATTACGACGAGGCGTCTGCGGAAGCTGGAGTCGATACGACGGGGGATCGAATCATTTTCCGCTTCTTGACCGAAGCCTACCACGACTGGCTTCAAGGTGGCGAGGAGGAAGACGACGAGATGGCGGAGCAAAGGCTACTTCCACATATTGAGAATATGTCACAAGAGTTTGCCCGTGGAAATGAGCGATATGTGCAGGAGATGGAGGCTCTGGAGGCAGAAAACCAGGCTCTCCGTGAGCAGATAGAAGAATTGGAGAAGAACGCCCCCCGATATGGCCAAGTTAGACAAACACTTCCGCATTTTGGAAGATGATAAACGGAAGTTCGAAGACTACAACCAGAACGTCCAGGGCAAGATCGAGAAATATGAGACTCGCATCAAGTTCTTGGATACAGAGATCCAGAAAACCGACGTGGAACTCCAGGCGACCGAAGAAGAGCGAGCGCAGCTTCAGGCTAGTGTTGATCGGCAGGGCATCACTACACAAGATATTGATCGCATGAACACAGAGCGAGAGCGTCTCCAAAGAAGTCTTGAAGACACCATGGCTCGCTTAGAAGAGACCCATGCACGTGTCATGGAGAAAGAGGCGGAAGCTAGCCAGAAGCTTGAAGACCTTGAGCAGATCGTCAAGGCTTACAATACTCTAGGCTACCAAACCAGTTTAATACCCGAATCCGCCGAGAATGCCAAAGGCCAAAATTTCGAGCTTCATCTACAAGTCAACGAGAATAACTTCTCCGCCAGCCAAATTGGAGGCCCGTCCAACCGGATCCCCTCTGAGCGCGATCGTCTTTTGGCAGAGCCTTTCACTGGATACCACCCAGCACATCTGCTGAATCTCGACCTACGAGGATTTGTACGGAACAGCCTACATTCTCTACGGAAGGAGATCAACGAACGGCGTAACCAGGGGATCAATGATGATATTGAACACCGGAACCTTCTCGACAATATCAAGGAGGCCATGGATGAAAAGCGGAGTGAGGTGGAGGCCCTTGAGCACCGACGCCGGGCAGCCGAGGAGGAATTTGAGCGAACGAAGGAGATCACGACCACACAAAAGACGGCATCGGATGCACAGATCGAAAAGATGGAGAAAGAGCTCGCCAAGATGCGAGCGACTCTCAGCGATAGTGTTCAATTAATGGAGCAACGGGAGATGAATACCAATATCGAGTATGAGCAGTTGACCCTCCGGGCGAATGCGCTCCGAGAGGAATTGCATACCAATGTTGAGAACATGCTCAACGATGTCATCAAGTTCAAGGTCCACGTCCAAAAGGGCTTGGAAGATTATGAAAGCTTTGTGGTTGATGAGGTGGAGCAGGAGTTGGGCGGCGATATGCCCCCGGATGAGGAGCTATGAAGACTCTGTGGCGCGTTCATGATTTGATGATATCCTGGTGTTTTTTTTTTTTTGGTCCCTCTTGCATCATTGGTAATTGTTTTTTTCATCCCGTACCACGTTAATTGAGACCCCCTTTGCTTGTTTCTAGTAGCCACTTCTTCCGTTCCAGCGTAGCTTGCTGTCTGTACGAGACAAGAGACGCGCAATTGGTGGAGCTCTTGTACAACGGGCTTCTCGAGTAATACTTCCCCTTGTGGCTTGATATGCAGGGAGGAGCACTGCCGATCCAGGGGCAACTGCACGCATTATCCTTTTTACCGTTTCTTGCCTCCTTATTTTGCGTGTATGAAGTCTGTTCACGACGGGCCAATCACAAATGCAAAGCCTTCAATCTGAAGCAAACAGCGGGGGCGATCGACAGGGCATGTAAGGCCCAAGAGCTTCTCCTCCAACGAGCTCCTTAAACTACTTCCGTTTCATATTGATCTCCATGCCTTTGCTTCCACCTATAAACGGGGTGCCCGTGAGTTTCGCAGGGCCGTTACAAATGAAAACCCCGAATTACGGTCAAGCACACGACCCAGAAAAGCGCTGCTGGCGAAATTTGGAGAATCCCTGATGACCTGTATACTCGCGAGGTTGGCCCTTTACCCAGCTCCCCCACCCCACCACGGAGACGTACGTACGGAGCCCTAGAAACTTTGTCCGTCCACTGGCTGTCTGTTCCAACGAAGACGCTTTTTACTCCCCATGGTCCGAGATCGCCAAAGTAGGCATAATATTCATCTTAAGTTGGAACTGTAGATCTGCACTATTCCCAGCAAGCTGCTCTGGGCCTAGACGTCTCACCTTCCCCTAGTGGCTGACTCCATAGATACCTCATCTGGTCTGAGAGCAGCCACAAAATAGAGCACCGCACATTGGAGCAGTGCTCAAGGGTATATAATGTCTCTGCAGACCTTGGATTTCCCTTGGACCAGAGTGCTGGGCGTTTACTTTCTTGATCACTAGCCTTCATATTTCTTTCTTGTACGAGTTTGATACTCTATACCTTCATCTTTGTGCTTCTAGAAGCCAACTTGGAATCTCGAATCCTTGTTTTCTTATCACTTTCAAGATGAAGCTCAACTTTGCCCACGGTATCACCGCCGCTCTTCTGGCCCCCAGTGCCTTTGCCATGTCGCCTGAGGTAAGTCAATTCATCTGAACAACACTGGACCTGCATATTAACCAGTGTCCTTATAGATGGAGAAGCGCCAGGCCTTGAGCTCATTTCCCTCCCGGCCCTGAGCCTACTGGCATCCCAACTGGAGGTTTCCCCTTTCCCACTGGCAGTTTTCCTGGAGGCTTCCCCGGTGGTTTTCCGGGTGGCGGCTCTGGTGGCTTTCCTGGAGGCGGCAGCATGCCTTCTGGGATTCCCTCTGGCTTCCCTATTCCTGCTGGAGGCTTCCCCGGTGGTTCTTCTGGTGGCTCCCCATCTAGCGGTGGTCTGGGTGGTCTGCTCGGCGATATTCCGGGTGGCAAGCGCAACTTCTTCCACCACGGCCATGGCCACCATGACGGTAGCGCTCCCACTGGCTTCCCGACTGACTTCCCTGAAGGTAGCACCCCTACTCCCACTGGCGCTTTCCCTGGTGGTGGCTCCTCTAGCGTCCCTTTCCCTAGCCCAACTCCTCCCGCGGGGCCTTTCCAGCGCATTCACGCCCGCCAGATGCGCCCCATCCAAAGTTAGATTGTCAAGATCCGTCCTTCTTTTGCTGTGTCACATCGGTGCCGCTTTACTCATTTCTGCACAGCGTGATTAAACTGTCACTATCTGAACAAAATCTCTTAAATATGTATAGATCCGATATTGTAAGTTCTGGGACTTCTACTGTATGTAGGCTTGATTAGCGTATTCCATCTCTTTTTGGGGCGTGGACTCGAATGAGAACTACAGTATCACACTTAGTCTTGTTTTATATCACCTGGTAGAGACACTATGAGTAGTGGCTCTTATAGTACGAGACGGACCTTGATTTTTCTTTCTTACTCGGAGTAAATAATCATTCAACACCATATACACGCATCGGTAAATAGGGCTTGCCTTAACACTCCTGGTATCCGCAGATAGTTCGGGCCTCTGTCTTTCCAAAGGAATTAAAGACCCAAATAACAGTAGTTCTATGTTCGTCGGATTCCTTATCATTTGGTGAAGGTTTTGGTTCCATTGAGAACGTCAAAGTACATACTGCAGTTTCTATTGGCTGATGCTGCGCGCCCCTGTCTGCTGACTCATCCAAAATCGCCGGCCTGGAAATTTCGCGACTCCGATCACTTTTTTGAAGCTCTTTACAAATCCCGAAGTTGGCGACAAGTTGATAGGCGCCCATACCCCAAATCACCTTGGCGTCTGGTCCCTCGAGACCGAAAGCATAGTGCGATATGCAAATCTCATGATCGACCCGCAATGCCCCGTGCCTTCTCCGCCTCCGACGAGTTCGTGAATCTTCCGCAGGCGCCTCACGCGAGGCTTATCGCCGGGTCATGAGAGTGCCTCCATGCGCCGGCTCTCTCTTGAGGGCCGGTAAAAGGCCACATCTTCCTCGACCACATATTTCCTCCTACTCAGCGCTCCTCCATATCCACAGCCAGCTGCCCTCAGACATCAAAAGTATCACGCCAAAAGAACAACGCTTACTGGAGGCCCTCGGCGAAACCGAAAAGGTTAATTTTCGGGGGAAGACAATCAGAGAAAGCTTAGACCCTTCTATATGGACCCCGTTCATACACGAGTGGCGAAAACCAGATGAGAATGGCAGGACGAGCGGAACGTTACCCTCAGAGACTTCGTCGCTATTGAAGATCGCAAAGCATCTTAAGCGCGGCCATAGATTGAAGTCCTTTGCATGGATGCTCAGCACTTCTCGCAATGTGGATATCATCTCCCATTACGGTCTGGAACAAAAGAATTGGCCCTTGGCTGACGCCCTCTTGAACACGCTTATCGACACCAATGAAATGCTTATTCCTTTCGTCACGCCCCGAGTTGCTGCCTTTCAAAGTTTTGATTGGGGCGGGAAGCACACCTCATTATCAGCTCTGACAAATGCAGCGAACCTTCAAAGGACTCAGGATGGTGTTCTTTGGCAGGATGGCGGTTACAATCCCGTGAAACCCCTTCCCTTACCCAACAGTATCGATCTCCACAGCTCAACGATGAAACCCACAGCACGATATCTTGCGGATTCATTCCTAGCGCAAACGTTGATGAGTCTCGGTTCAATTGTCCTCGCCGCAGCCGATAAACCACTCAACGAATCCCGGATTGCTATGTCTTATGTCTACCGTGCCCTTGCGCGAATGCATCATTTGGATCTTCTATCTAACAAACTTTATCAAGATCCAACTAATAGTATAGACCAACAGAACCTTCGACCTCCTTGGCTCTACCTATTGTCTGGTGACATAATGAGTGTTTTGTCTGATGCAGCGTGGCTAGAACACCAGGCCGCACTTGCAAGTGCAGCGACACGAGCGGGCCAAGAACCCCCGTTCGTCTCATTCAATGTTGGCGTGCGCGAACTCGGTCCTGAAATCTGGTTTGAGTACATTCTCTGGTGTTGCGTTGAGCATGGTTTCGTAAGACAGGGTGCCTGGCTCGTGAAAACCATGCAGTCCAAGGCTGAATCCTGGAAGACTGAGAGCTGGGAACCACTTTTGAAGAATCTTGACATAGTACGCGACACCAACATCAGCAGGGAACAGTCATGGCGGCGTCCTGGCAATGATAACCCACCGGAGACGTTCAGAGATATGCGCGAGAAGCCGGCATTCAACGGGCTCGGAAAGAAAACTATTAGCACAGAGGTTGTATTGGCTCTCCGAGCTGGCTTGCCCATTCAGGCGTACAATGGCCTTGGTTTTCACGGCCTCACGCCTCAGCAGCTAATCAGACTAATGAGGCCCTTGAATGCTGCTCTTGGCATTCCGACCGATGATCAAAAGCTTTGCCCAACTCGCAAGATTTCGACAACAAACATATTTCGGATATTGGATTCTGGAGCTGTGGATCCTGTCACTGACCCAGCTGCTTTCGAGCAGGTCATCCGATCTACGCGGAATAGTATAGCCCCCTGGCACATAAACACGCCCCTGGTGCCTCCAGATCTTGATCGCATGACCAAGACACAGTTGTCTGATGAGACATCAGCCATGATTGGCTTGGCGGAATATAGTGTCAGGGCTTATTCCAATCAAGGTCAATCCAGTCATGCTTTCTCGGAATATTCGCGACTCCAGAATCTGATCGATGCCAGCAAATTCCAACATATCACCTCTTTCTTTGAGAAACTCCGCGATGCGTCTTCTGAAGATTTACCGTTTTTCAACTCAAAACAGTTGGAGCCCTCCTTGGTCCCTGAATCCTCCGTACCTCAAGTTTCCAACGTCACCCTGGCTGGATTGCTTGATCTGGCCACAGCTGGTCATCACTTCAACTTTGGCAAAAGTTTAGTGTTTGATGACTCTGTCGATAACCCACCTATACCTGCCAGCTCATACCATGATCAGGCTTTAATTCCCGCTCTCCTTCGCTTCGCGGATGCGACCGAAAATACCGAACTCAGTAGTCAGATTCTGAGCAAAGTGAGAATGCCACTGTCTGTCAACACGCTAAACGCAATGTTGGCGCACTACGTGAATGTTGAAGACTGGGATCGTGTGATCATGATCAGTGAATATACACGCGACTTCCGCCTCAAATCTTGGGGCTACAGCACTATTATGACCTTAGCCGCCAAGATCCTCAGGCTGGAGGCTGAAGCCTCTAAAGCATCATATCGTGACCAGCTGCCCGCAGAATTGGGAGACACGCTGTCGAGTCTTGCGCGCGCTAAAAACATTTTCTTCCGCTTCTTCGAAGGAGAATTCAATAACCGAGCCCTCCCGATTTCAAGACAAAAGCACTCTGTCAACTTCCAACAAAAGGCCCTCCAACGTCTCCATGCCTTCTTTCTCTCACTGCCGGGTCCTCTGAGCGATATCATGCAGCAAGTGAAACTCAAGAAAGTCTACTCCGGCCAACATAAATTATCCCTCATCCCGTCAAAATCCTTCAACGTGTATCTTCACGCCGTTATTGAAACCGGTTCCAGCTACGACGGCTATCTCCTTTGCCGAAAGTGGTGTCTGGGTAACTCTGCCCCTGAGTACTGGCGCCGCCGACCGGGAGGCGCATCCCGTCTCTCCTCAAAGAAGAGGTTGAAAAGCAGCCTTTCATGGAACCGGGCTACAGCCCGAAATGGGCCCAAGCCATCCAACATAAAGCTATCATGACAGACATCACCACCATCCGCATTCTTGCACAGGCCGCTTGCCGCGAGTTCACAGAAAGCAAGACGCGCAGGATTCTCCATAAGGAAGCAAGTCGGCAGAGAGCCGGTCGCTCGCCCGATCTTGCTGTACCTCGCCCCTCAGAAATAGAAGAGGAACTTATCCCTTCCAGCCAAAACGTCTGGCCGGGTCCAAGCGACGGGTCTGCGCCTCCAGTTCTCGAGTCTTCTGTTTCCGGATATAAACTCGATGTTCCTCTGGCCCGACTCGGACACCAATCCATGAACGGCGGCAAGGCGCCCCGTTGGAAAACAGAGGCTGTGCTCGACTACTGTGTTGCCATGTACCTCCGTCTTGGGCTATCTGAGGAGCAGATCGACCTTGAATTACCAGGGTACTCTTCTCATCTGAGACACCGCGGGGTTTTGACAAATCGACAGGCGAAGCGGGTGAGAGATAGGTATAAGGAAATCCAAAATAGTCCCTGGATGGACTCTTATGTTCAGCAGAGCTTAAGCCAGTGAGGGGTTTGTACAGACTATCTCTCGCATTTCGAGACGTTCGATCAGGCTGACTCTTAACACCCATGTATAATTATGCGTTGTGATTTTGGTTCTTTCTTGCTTAGCTTGGCTGGTGCATTGCCTGGAATCTCATGCATATATCCTCTATATCCTCCTTTTCTTTTACAATGTACATATTATAGTCTTCTGGTGGTAGGCACGCTTCTTGTATAGCATTGCTGCAAATCTATAAAATGATAAAAAGCGGTAGTAGAATCGGCTTCCTTGGGTCATGCAATCTTGATCCAATAAGTCAGTAACGCCAGAGAGTAAAATATCCATCCATGCCATCCATAGTTCATGAATTGAACTTTCCGACTCCGTTCAGAGTCCCAACCACCCAATAACTTGTGCAAAATGGAGATCCCGAGGGTTTAAGCGAGAAGCAATGAGAGAAAAGCACCGAAGATCAAAGAAAGCACATTTGTGCAATGCCAATAAGTGAACATCCTTCGCAAAAATCACCAGTCCATTGAAAACGAGAACGGCCGCCGAGCTCCCGAGAAATATACATAAATCATTTATAAGAAGAAGAAGAAGAAGAAGAAGAAGAAGAAGAAAAAGTAGGAGACAAGAATAGAAGACAAAACCTGATATGGAAGGACGAGACAATCGATGAGAGAAAGGTCAGGTTCAACTTCTCCTAGATCATTGATTGAACCGCACTACCGAACAGCAAAGAGAGGGCAATTTAATATAAACTGTAAAATCAAGCTTGTTGTTCTTGGTCCCACGGCAGTTCCTCATTAGCCTGTGGGAAGAAGGACCGAATAAATTCACCACTGATAGGATCATATGGGAAATATAGATCGTCTGCAATCTGGCTCTCCGCCGAGAGAGAAGCGACTGGATCTGAGGTCGGCATAGTCGAGAAAGACGGATAATTGAGCATATCTGTGCCCACATTATGGTGTAAAGAAGAGGTGAAGTCCAGTTCATCCATAGTGGGATTCCAAAGACCTGTCGCAGCAGGGGCAATAGTTTGATGCGACTCTTGAGGGTTTGTGTTCGAGAAAGTGGTTGTCGGAGCAGGCTGATAGGTGTTTACGGGCATATCAGAGACGTCAAACTTCATGCCTTCGGCAAGACGACGAAGACTAACGTCGCATAGTTGCCAGGCACGACGGGAGGCGATGCTATGCTCTGACATGGTGTAGAGCCAGCGGGTGGCCTTTTTGGCCAGGGCAACGAAGGTTTTCTCTTCGTCCGGCATGTGTACGCAGCCGAATGAAATTTCGAGGAGGAGGACCGTTGCTGCTTGCATCAGATAATGAAGAACGCACCACCAAGGGGAGATCTCGTAGAGTTGAAGCGCGTTAGGTTCATCAGGGATGAGGTCCAGCATCAACTTCGCAGACTCTAGGGTAATCTCCGCCATATCATGACTGAAGGTTGACGATTCAGATGGCGTCTTTTTTCGGGCGTCACGCCGACAGAGACACGGACGGCCGAGCGTGATGCGTGCGCTGTAATAATGAAATGCAAGTGCCAGCTTATACCGTAATCGCTCAGGGCCTTCGTCTTCTTTCTTTGTAAAGTCGAGCCCGGGCGGAAGACTGTAGAACCATACATCAATCCGAGCCCTTAGCTCACCGATTCGATTCTCGATATGAGTCCATGGAACCAATACACAGTCCACCGAGTAGACCTTGTTCACGATTTCCTGCACGACGACAGCCAGGTCGCAGTAGTATAGATGGCAAAGTCCCGCATTGATATGCACGCTCTTCACCCACGAGTTGTAGCGATCACGATTGGCATGAATGGCTTCCTTCCCTCCAGTCGGGTTAAGAGGCATATGACGAACCCATGCACTTGCCATGACCCTATTGATACGCTCGTCGCGAGTGACAGAGTTATTTAGCAGTTCAGCTGCCGGCGCCTCGTGCATTTCTTCCTCCTCGAAAGGGATAGGGAGAGGCGTGGTGCATATACCGTCCAGTATACACGTAGCCCGACCAGTCATGATTCCGAGGAGGTGCTCAAAGGTATACAGACACCACCACACTCGGTAGCGGGCTTCCTTCGCCACATTTGGCGTAGTGGGACTACTGCTCTTCATATTGATCCCCAAGGTGATTGCAGACCGGACTGCCAAAGCTGAGATCCTCCATGCGCTTGAAGAAAAATTAGATACTAAGATCCATCAAAGGGATGTTGTTATGCGGGCACTTACCGGTTGATCTGGTCGGATGCAAGTAGGTAGAAGGCAATAAGGCCTTCCACTTGAACTTGTTGAAGATCGGGATGGCTGAACAGAACATCGCCATTCATGCTCAAGATTCTGGCTCTGGTCAAATACACTAGATGGTCTTTATCGTCACCGCGCCATGGTGCTTCGATAAGAGTGGCATGTTTCGCACCAATAGCGAAAATCATATTTAAGATGGCCAGCCATTTGTCACCTGGCTGCGCATTGCTATCAAAGAAAGTCTTGTACTGTGCGGAGAACAGAGGTCGGCTAATGATAGGGAAGAACGGATGGACGGTCCTGAGGAAGCTGTCGAAGTAGTGATCAGCCTGGCTTCGAGGTGGAACAGCATAGGTATCGACAGGTCCGGGAGCGGAGATTCCCAGGTCGTCTAGATGGTAGTTGACGGCGTGAAGCGCTAGGTCCTCGTCCTGCCGCTTGCTTTGGCCAGGTTCCAGAGATCCAGGTAATCCTTGAGATCGATGCTCGGCTTCTCGTTGTAATCGCTGCATCCAAGTGACTTCGGAATTTTTGCCCATATACCCAGTTGCCCTTGAATTCTCGTTCCTGTTCAGATCTTCTTCAACTCGGTCGATCGCCTCTAATGACCCAATCGAGGAAGGTGAGCTTGGGTCATCCGCGTCAGGAAGATCATCTTGCGGGGTCACCGAATGGGACGGGTTGCTGTTCGATGAATACTCAACGTCCTGACCATACTTGTCCAGCAAGATCCTGATCCGGTCCGCTGTGCGCGACTCGACAAGTCCGCCCAAATCCTTCAACAGATTCTCATAATCTTGCGCCTTTTCCGATAATTTCTCAACTTGTTTCTTGGTTTTCTCTCTCCACCCGACGGGATAGTGACAAGAAACCCTGAGCTCCCGACACTGTCGGCATACAGGGGTATCGCCACTGCATTTCGTCTTGCGTTGCCGACAAGATTCACAAGCCCGGGGTACTCTCCGGCTATACTTGGGCGCAATACCCGAACGAGAACGAGGGATGGCGACTTTACCATTAGAAGAAGGTTTCGATCCGGGGTGGTTGGACGTGGCCTTCGGAGCGCTCAGGGTCGACGCAGTCTCGGGGTTTGAAGTAGGCTTCGACGAAGCCAGGCTAGGGCGTCCCAGATGCAAATTTGTTGCATCTACCGATAGGCCATAATTGTATTCTGTCGACTGCTGGGCTTCTTCGTCGGGCACCATGATTGCGTCGCTCGAGCGGTCTTGTTCTGGGATGCGGTTGGGTCTAATTTTCCTCTGTGGCGACAAGCGAGTACGGGTTTATCAATTCAACGTTGATCAATCCCGATAATGCGCAATGCGATTCGTCAGCCTGCGGACCGAATAGTTATGGATCGCGTGCGATCAAGCAACTATGTTTACGCAGCGCGGTGACCCATCTGGAATGGAATGTAGTTAATATTGACGATAGATGACAGGTCTTGGATTCTGCGGGGTTTGCTGAATTGTTGGTGGACTGTTATCGAAGTTATCGGGCGGGGGGAATCTACGGGTCTAAAAAAGGAATGCGCTTAGGTAAGAATTTTCATTTCGTACTTTCCAGTTTCCATGGATCTCAATAATTCGCCAGGCAAGCCTCAGCACGCTTTTCCCGCCCCTTCGTCTGGATGTCCATAATAAACCCGAGCCCATTCACCCATCCAGGGCGACGTAAAAAAAAAAAGAGAAGAAGAATCAAAAACGGTCATATATATGTACAGGAAATAGATTAAGAAAAACGAGTAAGAAGCCAAGGCGTAGAACAGTTGAGAGCCGACATGTACAGAGATAATAGAGGAAAGGCTTCAGGAGGGTATAGCGACAATGCTGGCTCTCAACTCAACCGTTGAGAGGAGAGTAGAGTAGGGATGAATAAGAGTAAAAGAAAAGAAGGAGTCAGAGACCAGAAGAGATATATTTAGATTTCGCCAAACATCTCATCCAGCTCATCGACCTCGACAGTCTCAGGGTTGCGCATCTCACGCCAGGAGTCGAAGACAGTCAAGTCCATCGCGGTCAAGTTACGAGGGCCAAGGCTGAGCTTCTCGTGCGACTCGGTAAGATCGGACATCTTCAGGTCTACTTCGTCAAACCCGCTATTCAACATATCCAGCGATCGCTTGAGAGTTGAGACAGGAACAACGTCAACGGGAAGACTGATCTGCGGAGCGCCAGGCAGTACAGACCGGCTCTCCTCGACAATAAGATCGCTGGCAGCGCTCGTACCAGACGAGATGGAAGATGCGACAGAAGTGAGAGAAGGTGAAGGCGAGGTGCCAAACAAAGTAACAGCAGCAGCCTCATCGAGATCTTGAGAACCCTCCTCCGTGGGGTTCACGTGGGCAAAATAATCACTGTATTCCTTCTCTGACATCCCATCGCCGTGGACTGATGGAGAGATCGAGCCACCATTTACAGGCGAGTCGGTGTGCATATCTTCGTCCATGGTACTCAGGCTCTCAGAAAGGACGGACTGTCCCCGAACCGTTTGGTCCAGACGGTGGGCTTTCTCTTCCGAGGCCCGCTCTCGTACAGCACTAGCGGTCTGCGTGAATTCCTTCTCGTCGCCCTCCAGGGGCGGAGAGGCCGCGCGGTTCGAGTGCATCAGCCGGTTTTGGCTATCTGGGTTGGGAAATTGATCGGGCGAATGTACCCGGCCAGCGGGGGTGTTCATGTTGGTTGTACCCTCTTCCTCAAAGTCGGGCGATGACAGGTCGACTTCAGGACTGGGACTACGAGCCCGCGCATTGATTTCATCTTCGTCTTGGTCCAAACTAGACACGCTGGGGGTAATTTGCTTGCCGTCGACGCCCGAGAGCAAGTCGTCTGAAGGCTCAGGGATGGGCTGGCGAGGGTAGGTCGTCAGGTAATAGTACACTTTGCGCGGGTGGATCAAAACCAGTTCTTTGGCCATTGGGCATGGAGCTAAAGCTGTCCATGAACGCTTCATATAGGCTGCTAGGCGCGAAGATAGCAGAGCGGCGGGGTTTGCGGAACTAAACATACTGTTAGACTGACTTTGCGACATCAGAGGAATAGGTGAGAAGCAAAAGCAGAAACACTTACCTTGCGACACTGGCATTCTGCGCGATCAAGACCGCCGCTAATTCCTTCACCAGGTGGGGACGATTCCCTGTCTTCTCCAGCTGCTCGATGGCAGCGACCACAATATCATCGTCGATGCCCTGAGTGTCGATCTTTGGAGCGCCTAAGCGATCCAAAGGGGACGGAGGGGGGGTGTGCTCAAGAAGGCCATTCCGGATGGCGCGCACGGGTTCCTTCGGCTCGGGAGATAATGAAGCATGCGACCGCTTTACTTTCTTCATAGGCGGGACATCTTCGGTGTTGGAGCCTTTTGAAACGGGAGGGGAGCGGCGTGAGGAGTTGGGAAGATAAATGCCTAGTGAGGGGAGAGAGAGTGACTTCCGACGAGTGTTGTATGGCATGGTGAGATGTGGGAAGGATGTAATGGAGCGGAACGGACAATAGGAGTATGGTGAAAAGAAAAGAGAGAGGTTGGGGGGGAATAAACCAAAAGTAGCAGAATAATAGAAATAGTAATAATAATAACAAACTGATCACCGAAACACAACTTTTTTTTCTTTTAAACTAACTCAGAGAAACTCTAGAGTTAAGGGGGGGAGAGGAAAGGAAGATGCGACGAGAGCTGTAGAAGGCGAACAGTTACCGGGCCTGAGGAATCTCTCGATTCGTATGGGGACCTCACTTTTTTTTTTCTTTCCCTTTTTTTTTGATTTTTCCGTTCCATAGTTTCCCCAAAAGGTTAGCTTCCTGTAATGTTACGATACGACCCACTTGCGTCGACTGGCGAGTCACAATCCAGGTGGCGCTGATTGGCGTGGAAACTCATTTTGGGTTTCCGTTACGGCATCTGCCCCCTTGAGCCAACGGTTCAGCGTCGGAGCTGGGACTTTCTTTAGCAACCCATCGGAATCCCAAGAAGCTGAGAGCTGATTATAGCAGGCATAATATTTCAAGCTTTCGATTTGATATTGACTGCAGACTAAGAATTCATACTTCCGCAGCTACACCGCCAAGGAAGATCCAAGCCAGAAAGGGATGCGACATGCACCAAAAGTTGCGAAGATTTAGGAGATTCTAGGCGGTGAAGATGCCCAACTTGATTTAGCTGAGCAGGGCAGAGCAAGGCCATTCCTCGGCCATGCATACTCCGTCCCGCGAGACGGGAGGGGAAAAAAAACATAACAGAAAATGGCTGGATCCTTCGTGGCCTCTTGGTGGGGCGCCATGTGTCCCATAACCCGAACAGGCGTCTTAGGACTTCGCTCTTTCGATTAGGAACAGGAGCGGTTGTTGGTAACTGGGTAGTTACATGCTCCGTAGTACATAATTAGCCCACTTGTGAAGAGCCCGCTTACTATATACATCGCGATCCATCGAAACTCGGTCCAATCAGGGAGCTTACAGAAATTGATGCTCCAGTTGGACGGTCCATAATAAGACCCGTCTGATTGGTGTTCCCTCTGGGCGAACGGTGCCTGCGTACCTGTCGCATGCGACAGCAGAATTGGATATGTCAATGGTTGCTAGAGTGACGAGTCTCTTGACCGCTCCAGCGTTATGCATGTGCACGGAATCCGGGTATCAAAGTACATCGTATTTGTCTTATCTTTCTTAGATCGAGCTCTGTGGCTTTTCTCGATATTGAGCTTCTCTTCGCGCTTCAGTGCTTCAGTTCTTCAGCTTAGCCCCGATCTCCGATTCCATAACAAGACCCGAGCCCTCCGAAAGCACTAAGGGCAAAAAAAAAAAAGGAAAAATTTGAAAATGAAAAAAAGAAAAGAAAAAAACGATCCCTAGCGTCACCGTCCGGGACCGAAGTATCCACACATGGAGCCCCGACCGAATCTAATGGTAACGTATTGTCACAAGGGGATGAGCCTCGCCACTGTCAATGAAGCCGCCTACGCTGCGTAGATTGTTGTATACGCAGTCTGATCCTGCTATTCTGAGTTTCTTTGTTGGATCTGGGCAACATATCTCTTCTCCCTTTCCGGTGAGACTCCGGCTAGTATCCTTCCTCAAACAGATTGTCAGAATGGTGCTGTAGACCCCCCGCTATTAACGTTTCCCTCCCCAAAGCTCTCTATCGACGTCGATATGATGCCACAGCGGCACTCCGCTCCACTGGGGATCCCTCGGCCCCCTCCTCTCTACAAATAATTCAGATTGACATATCTATGCAAAATGAATCGTTTTGATTTGAGGGCTTAGATACCACCGCCGAGGCATGTCGTATCCTGCACATCATCGCCTCAACCTGCTGCTCGCTTGGCAGCTCAGCAAGGGCGGGTACCAGCGTCGAGCATTCAGCGATTCATGATCCTCCATTCCATTCCTCCATCTGTATATCCCTGCCATTTCAAGCGCCCCCATACGTAACATGTACCCGTTCCTGCGGTGTGGTCGCGATCCTTAACCACCCAATAATTGCTTTGCGGCTGTTTACTCCAAAAGTGATGACATCGTCTACTGCCCGGGGAGATGAAGGTTACCTCCACTCGGTACCATGAAATATCCCCCGCCCATGGAACGCCCCTCCATTACCTACCCTTTGTTCGCATGCGTCGGCTGGGGGGAACTATGGGTTTGTAAATCTGTAGTCTGATATGTTGATCTAATCCAGGGCTGATGTACGTATGTTTGCGACTGGGTACATGCGAGATGCAGCTGGACACTAATTCTCCGGCGTCTCCACTGTGATGGGGGTTGGTACATCTAGTCAGCTTGCACCGCGAAAAGTTACTACCGTTGGGTTGAGTGGGCGATCGCATATTGAGACCAGTTCTGTGTAAGTCCATCCTAACCTAGTACTTCCTGCGCGCCTGGGAGAGCATATGAGCCAAGTCCCTGGTTTCCCAGCCTTGTGTCGAAAGTGCTCGGCGTATGAGGTTGCCATGAACTCAATGGCGCATGATACAGTCCCGAAGCCTTGACGCATGGGAAGTTTAGCCAATCGCTGTCCCCGCCCAAAGATGCGATCTACAAAAGTCACTCAATGAGTACGGGGTATGCGATCATCCATCCCACTTCCCCTCATGAAAGAAGCATGGCATGGAATCCAATACCTCCCATACAACCTTTGCGCAAGCATATACTTCCGCCGCCATTCTCCCCTCCGGAGTGGCAAGAAGCCATCCACTTTTTCTATCCCATTCAAATCGCCCCGTTATCTGGCCAATGCAGCAAGCCGTGGGTCTGCAGTCAGCAAGCAAAAATAAGTCTCAAGTCCTTGCATGTGTCTCGTCAATGGAAACCCCGCTCTCGGCCCTAATCCAAGACATGCGCGGCGACTGGAAAATAATATGTCGATACCCCTGCAGGCGATCTGCTATTTGCATATGGCGACTGGCTCAGACGTAGAAAGGCGCTTTGATCCATCTGAGGGCACCGTTTGTGTGCTGCTCCAACCAGCCAGATTGGCTGCCCACCCCCCTCTTCCGGGGAAGGCTTGCCGGCTGCCTTGGATAGGGTTCTCTCGATTGCACTAGTAAGACTGACTTTGGTGAATTTAAGGTTTCATTGGCCGGATATTGATAACGTTTGTCCCCAGTTGGCAAATGTGTGTGCGCTTCCAGGTTTAAACCAGCCCCCATGCCATGTTTTGAGATCTAGATGCTGGTCACCGGGTCATGGCACGTACTCGTATTTCAAAAGGGTCGCTTAGATTGTAATAGACTCTAGGGATTGTTTCATGGTGCCCCGCCCTTTCATTAGCCTGTGACAGGAGAGGCAGGGATGGAAGGCGACTGCAACATCTCTCAAGCCTAAACGCAACTACTGCGTACTGAATGTCTAGTCAAACCGATCGGTCTCATGTGAAGGAGAACCAACGCAGCTTTTAACTGGCACATACCAGTACCAAAATTTTACGTTCAAGTTCTATGAAATACTCTTTAGACTAGTCTTGTCTCAAAAAGTAGTTTATATCGCAAATATTGTACAGCACTAGATATATACATACCATAGCCAAATTGTCCTTAGATCTCCTAGAAACCCCGACCCAAGGCATTCGACTTTGCGCATTCAGGTAATTTCTAACCCTAAGAACTCAGCCCCTGGCCAGTCTTCTTCGGCCGTAGCACAAGCCACCAAGTTGTTCCAAAATGATACCTCTTCTCCTCCACAATCTCCAACCCACTTTCTTTCACAATAGCCCCGATGTCCCGATTCCACCAACACCCGTACCGATTCGCATGCGCCGTCGCAAGATTATCCAACATGGTATTCAACCATCCGTAATACGACCTCCCATGCTCCAGCAACAAAATCCTCCCATGCTCCGGCTCTGTAATTTCCCCCAAATGCCTCAACGTGCCCACAGGATCCGGCATCGAGCAAAGCCCCATAGTCTGCACCACCGTATCATAGTAGGATCCCGGCGTAACCCCCTCATGCACTCCCTCGCTCCCTGTTCCCCCCCTCGACGGCTTCAATCCCGGTATATCGACCTCGACTTCCTTCGCATCGCGCACCCGGAACACCACATTCTCTGCCCCAGGATGCAGCGCCGCAAACTTCTTCTTCGCAACCTCCACCATCGGCGCGCTCAGATCCGTGAACGTCACAGACCGGCACCCCTTCACCGTCGCCCGTCCCTTTTCGTCTATCCCACGCCGCATCCCGAGCTCGTAGTACGGGATATTACGGCCCGTGCCGCAGGAGACCTCGAGAACGTCGCCGCGGGCGAGCGCGATCAGAGACGCGCGCTTCGCGCCGAGCCGCATCAGCTTCTCATCCAGTTCGATCTCGGCATCGAAGCGGGTGGCGCTGTCGTTGTATCGGTCCGAGACGTCCGGGTCGATTTCCAGAGCGCGTGAAGCGGCGACTTGGCGCGTATAGGAGGTGTAGAGGTAGCCGCAGTAGGTGCTCAGGCCGAGGACTGAGATGCCGAAGAAGGTCATTAGGCGGGGGGGACATTGTTGGGCCTTTGTAGGTATTGGAGGGGTCGGGAGGTAGTGAGGCCTTGGTTCTTCTTGTTCGTCTTTGGGGGGGCCCTGGGTTCTGCTTTGGGCTCTTTCTTTGCTGGCGACTTGGATGTCGTCGTACTGTAGAGCTTATTAGTATGCGGTTCGACAGTGATTCGGTCTAGGGTTCGCGGATTGTAGGATATGGGTAGTAATAGCAATGCACAGGATCCCGACAATGTGAGATCACTGAGTTCTGACGATTTTACCTTGTCTTTTGAGCGCGAGGCGTCTTGCTTTGCACCCCACGGCATGGCGTCCTGGCCCCAAACGGGCTAGCCCTGAAGGCGAACTTTCCGATGCGAGTTGTGTTCATCGCGAACCTGCCACCCTATCGTCTCTGGGACCGAAGAGAGAAGGAGAAAGAAGCCGCAGGCGAGAGATGTGCGACTATTTCCCCCGTGATAGGACCATCAAGTGCCCTCCCTACTCCGCGCCCAAGTTTCAGGCCTATCGACCCGGTGGTACGCGACAAAAAAACTCCCAGGGGCCCGCGCGTCAGGCAGCGAATCAGGGGCGCCAGCAGATCAAGAAGGCTATATCAAATCCTGTCAGCCTCTATAAATTGCAAGATCGGCTCGATGGACGCGCAGGTTCGGCTTCGGGCCGCAATGGTAGAGTTTCGCGCGGTAATGAGGTCGGGATTTGATGCGAAGCAGATCGACTCCGTTATCGGGGATATCGAATCCACAATCGTGTATCTCCAATCCCCCGCACCAACTCCGACTCTCCTTATATACTGCTGGGTGAAAAACCGTCCATGGTAATGGGTCTGCCGTCCAGTGTTTTGATTGTGGGAGGTGGTGTCTTCGGACGTAAGTCGATATACTATACCCTTGCTGATGATAGCAATATTGCGGAGAGAGTCTTGTTGGCCGGAAGAACTAATATACCCTGATGGATTTTCCCAATTCCCCTTGTGTACTCTTCTAACCCGCGCTCGATAGTCTCCACTGCACTCTCTCTAAGCAAGCGGTATCCCGAATGCCGAATCACATTAGTGGAAGCAGCGTCCACGATCCCCAACCCGCACGGCTCGTCCGTCGACACATCCCGCATCGTGCGCGCAGATTACGCCAATGCCGCCTACGCGAAGCTCGCGGCCACCGCTATAGAGCGCTGGCGTGGTACCGATTGGGGTCGCGAGGGCAGGTATACGCAGGCGGGTCTGCTTCTCGTGTACCCAGAGTCCAGCGCCAGCGCCAAGGAATATGCGCGGAAGAGCTACGAGAACGTGCGGGATATCGAGGGCGACAAGGTGGTATTCCTGCCGACAAAGCGCGATATTCTAGGCGTTGTGCCGTCGTATGGTGAGACGCTGGATGTCGCGGGAGGCTATGTGAACTGGGGCTCTGGGTGGTCTGATGCGGAGGCCAGCGTGAAATATGCGAAAGAGTGTTTGGACCGAGATGGGAAGGTTGTGTTCCGGACTGGAGAGGTTGAACGGGTGATCTTTGAGGATCGGGGCGCAAAGCCTCGAGCTACAGGAGTTTCCTTGAAGGACGGATCGAGGATCGAGGCGGATTTGGTGGTGCTTGCTACGGGGGCGTGGACGCCCAGGCTGGTGGATTTGCGGGGGAAGGCTGTTGCTACAGGACAGGCAATTGCATATATCAAGATTTCGGATGAGGAGCAGAAGGAGCTAGAGAACCTGCCTACAATTTTGAACTTTGCTACTGGCATCTTTATTATCCCGCCGCGTGGTAACTTGCTCAAGATTGCTCGCCATGCATTTGGGTATAGGAACCCGACGACAGTGCCAGTGCCTGGTGTCGCGCAGACAGGCGAGACTATGCAGGTTAGTCTGCCAGAGACTGATGTGCCAGTGCCCTTGGAGGGCGAGGAGGCTTTCCGTGCTGCGTTGAGGCAGCTGCTGCCACGGTTTGTTGACCGGCCATTTGCTGGGACTCGGATTTGTTGGTACACCGACACGTAAGTCTTAGCCATGGGTACTATCTTGGATAGCATGTCCAAGGGGCTTTTTACTAAACTTGGTTTGCACAGTCCTAACGGAGACTTCATTATCTCCTATCATCCATCGTACGAGGGTTTATTTATGGCTACTGGGGGCAGTGGCCATGGTTATAAATTTTTCCCCGTCCTCGGCGACAAAATTGTGGATGCGATGGAAGGCACACTTGACCCTGAATTACGTGCGCTGTGGGAATGGACAGAAGCGACAGTACCAGGTCCTGATGCCAGTGATCTCTTCTATGGTGATGGAAGCCGTTCGGGGGAGCGAAACTCGAACCTGAAGGACGAGTTGGCCAAGACACGAAAGAGTACAAGAGGAAGTGCTCTGTGAGCGTGGTGCTTCAAGTTGATAGATAGCATCTCGAGATTTTGAACATAAACGACATATGTAGGGTGGCACAACCAATGAACATGTCCGCCTGAGCCTGAATTCAGTATAAGTATGCTGAGTTCTAGTCAATATCTGTCATGCGCATTTCAAGCTCAAGCTCAAGCTCAAGTCAGATACACCAACGTTGAAACACTGCCTCCGGCAACTTAAAAATATATACCACTATAGTACAGTGCGGCTCGAATTCGGACCAGAATAACATCCACTGTCAGTGCCGGTGACAGGTCTTATTACTCAAGCTACCTACCTCCTAGACATCGGTAAAATATTAAACTACGATGGAAAGGAAAAAAAGCCACTTAAACATTCCATTTGAAGAACGGAAGCGCCATGGTATCTGCGGATCCTCAGTCTCCGGAAACCGTTCCGAAACAGTAGCGATGGAGGAATGGAGGGAACAAAGCAATCCTGAAAAATTTTTTTTGGGCCCCGCGGCAGGTTACCCCTCCAACGGGGGTTGATCAAATGACAGTTAAAAGAATTAAGAGGCAGCCATTCGACCAGCGCACAGTACCGCCTCACTGCGGGTGTGCAGCAATCTAAATTGTAAACCAGACAAACCGGGGATCATCCGAGTCGCTAAAACGCCAAAACAATGCTTGCGTGGAGGATCGTGAATCAAAAGTAGAAGGCACAAAAGGGCATATGGGCTTCACAGCAAACGTCACAGCGTTGCTCAGCCACGGTCCGCGAACAAGAAGATAAAAGGCGAGATGTTAATACATAGCTGAACGCGAAGAAGACGCGACGTGTGATCTTGCCGAGGCAGTTGACTTAAATTTTGCGGAAGTCTGAAGAGATAATTAGTGACCGGATTGAGGACAAGAAGGAAGGGGTGGGGGCAGTAGCAACATACCAGAAAGCACAGGGTAGATCAACTCGAAAGCTTGGTAAATTTCTTCACGAACTTTAGCTCCGGTCAACACAATCTTGCCGCTGACGAAGATCAAGAGAACAATCTTCGGCTTCATCATACGGTAGATCAGACCAGGGAACAGTTCAGGTTCATAAGAAGAGAAATTGTGGTGGCGAGAAGCCAGACCCTCCAGACGAATCGGGAACTTGATATCGCAAGAACCAACGATATTCTGGATCTTGAAGTCGGTAAACTTGGCGTTGAAACCAAGCTTCTGAATGATACGCGCGTACTTGCGCGAAGCCAACTTCGAATCATCCTCGGACTTAGCACCAGTCACAACCATCTTGCCTGAAGCGAAGATCAACGCGGTAGTCTTAGGCTCCCGAATACGCATGATGACGGCGGCGAAACGCTAAGATAACAGTTCAGCCACACTGTAACCCGATAACTCATGTCAAGTCAGATATACCTTTGGGTTGTATTCGGCGTTACGAGCATGCAACGCGATAGTCTTCAGATCCAGACGACAGTCAAGGTTGACAGTGGCCACGATGTTTCTAATCACGAGAATGTTCAGCCACTTTCACTTTCGCGAAAATAGGCAACAAGCCAGGTTAGGCAAATACTCACTGCAACGTAGGCACAATGCCACTGCCTCCCGTGGTGGCGCCAGGCGTCGCAGCGGGGGTAGCGGGAGTAGCGGGAGTCACCCCGTTGCCGGTGCTGGCATTTCCTCCAACTTGGCTGTTGACACCTTGAGCCTCCTTCTCAGAGGAAGGTGGTGTCATGTCCCCAACACCAGCGCCACCAGGGAAGGACAGCGAGGAAGGGGAGGTGAAGGCACGTGCCTGAACCGCGTTCGACGGGTGGGTAGTGAGAGAGTCCATGCTGGGCTCGCTGCACAAGAGAATAGTCAAAGACTAGCAACACGTGACACGTAAAGAAAGTGAATGCACGATCTGGCGACGAGGATAAGTTAGATGGTGTTTACGGATGAACGACAAGTTCGCAAAGCGGTGGGGTGCGGCAGAATATGGAAGGGTCGACTCACAGTGGATGGGAGATGGACAAGCAAATGTATCCCCCAACGATCTCCCAAAAAAAGATGAGACCGAGGTGATGTTGACTCGAAACCAAAGACGATGAACTCGACCGGTTTCACGAGATCAAGAAAAGCACACTGAAGTGTTTTCGAGGTAAAAGATCACCAAGACAGGAAAGATTAGGAAGGCAGCGACTTTTTTTGGGGGGGGAACAAAAAGATGACCTTTTTGTTCCTGTCGATTTTTTTTCTTTTTCAAATTGGATTGTCTATCTGCGAAGCGATCTGAATGAGAGTGAAAGCAAGACTCTTTTTGTTATGTCCCAAGGTCGATGAGACTGGGAGGTATCAATGACTTCCTTTTTCGGAAGGAAAATCAGGTACTTTTTTTCTTCTTTCCCGGTGTATTAAGGTTATTTTGGAACGAAGCCCCAAAAAGACCTGATTAGTAGGCGGAAGTAGCGATATATGCAATATCGGCCACAAAAGGAAGGAGGGGAGGGGGCGGGAAGAAGAAGACGTTCCAGAGACAGTTCCGGAGTGCCAAGACCGAGACAGGAATCCTAGAGCGACATGGGGAGTGGGAGGTTGGCTCTTTATATAGTGCTGACTCACTGCCCGCACTCAGGGGAGGCTGGGCCCGCTGGGCCCGCCTGGTGGCGCCTAAAGCAGCACTGCCTTTCTCCCTTCACCCATGGCTGACTTTCCCGCGAGCGGCTCCAATCTCCCAATGACATTCGTTGTTCTAAACAAGGAGCTTTCATTGGTTCTGTGGCGCTGACTGTACCCACCGGGCTTTCTTATACCCATATTTATTTTCCTTTCTCGCCTCCTGAGTGGCGACCTGCTCCTTGCTTTATCCTCCGCCGCGCCATGGTTGCAGCCAGTAGTCGTCCAGTCCGTAGCGCTCCTGCAGCTGATAGTGGGATTCATCCCCCCATCCTGCCCAAGTCTTCCAATCACCGCCGCCCTTCTTCTCGGCCACTCCCTGTACGACGCGCTATCCTGTCGCCGCTTTAGCAGATCGCAACTGAACAAAAATTCTTTCTTGCCGTCATCCATCTTCCCTCTTCCCCCCATTTCGACCCCCTAAACTTGTTTGCCTACGCGCCAACTGTCCCTACCCTGGTCCAAATGGGCGCCAACAAGGAAATACAGCTTTAAAAAATAATCCATATGCGCCTGTATGGCTGAACTCAAAGGAGTAACCTCAGATTTTTGAACTCTGTTTCCAGTTGGAATTTCGGGCTAAAAAGACACGGTGGCCTGTTCGGGATTTCGCGGTGGATCACAGTCTTATGGTATGCGATCATCGAACCAAGTCCGTACTCCGTACTGTACCCGCCAATACGAAGTACGGTATTGTCGACATTGCTACATATGTATGATGGTATGCTAAATACCAGTACTGCCGTCACATTCCGTTGCCGTAATAACAATTCATATCGATTCTGGCGGTGTGATTGAGAAGCAGTCTAAGGTGAGGCCAACGGGAGAACGAAAGTGCTGATGGACGCAGTTTGGTAATAAGCTTATTTAGTAAATACGCTCCTGGGCTTTTTGGTTTTTTTTTTTTATTTTTTTTTATTTTTCCCTCTGAGAGGTGCAGCTCGTAAAATCAGCCCGCCAGGTCCTGAAAATTGGGTCATCAATAGTACCGTGATCGGCGGCAGAATGCCGAGGCTCGAGCTCTGGAGCTCTATCCTCAAGTCGTCGAAACAATACCTGAATGTCCAGCTTTCTTTGGATAGGATGCTTGATCTGAATGCTCTATAGAGAATGTGTATCATTGCTATTCTGTACCTTTTATCTCTCTGTACACAATAGCTTGAAACTTGTACGGGGTTCAGTGGGACCGTTGGAAACAGACCATGCACATACTCCGCCATACGAGAATTAGAACGAGCATGCATATCACATCTGAGTAGGTGAGGCCCAGTGAATTTGTACCCGGCATATGGCTCCGAGTTGGACTGATATAAAATTGAACCTTGCATTGGGAAAGGAAGCCCTTAGGGCGCAAGATCGTGGGTCTGAATTAGTACACGTCTGTTTACAGTACATGTCAGAGAACTTGCGCCTCCATCTGGTTTCTTTGATTCCCTGGTCGCTAATATCTTAGAGTCGTCATTGGCTCACTGTGGACCTGCCAGATAACCATATCGTTTTATTTTTAGTTCTGGCTTTGTGGAAGTAAAGCTCACTTTTGCAAGGCCTTTAAGCTCGAGGTGAGACGTTCAGAAATGGCTGAATCAACAGAAAGTTCAAGTAAAACGATGATGAACCTTTGACACGATCGGGTTGAAAGAATGATTTGTCTTTGACATCCTGTGGCTTCTGAAAGGCCCATGCGGGGAATCCGTAGTAGCAGCGCTCGTCAAGCCTATTACCAGTACTTGACATGCCCGAAAAACCAAAGGTGTTTTCCATTCGGATTAGGCTTGGGGTCAGTATTTCGAGCTACCTGCTGGCGTCCGAGGTCATATGAGAGAGTCGGCTTGTCCTTTCAAGTCAACGGTACGATTGTATGAGCATTGATTTCTCGGTTTTTGATATTCATTGTGATGAGGTTATTAAATGCAGGACAAGTCAAGAAAGGACTGGCTAGCTGAGGACATCGTATCCCAAGGTGGTTTCAATCAGGGCATGAGTTTGATGCCATCGGCGAGCCATGCTTGTAGGTTATTGTAGGCTCCTAGTTAAAGCGGCCGCTACAAGCTGAAGTGAAGACAGACTACGCCCCGTAGATGAAAAAAGGACGCTTATCTAGAGTCAGGGTTTAAATTACTTCCACATATAATCCTGGCTTGCTGTATTAGCATCGATTTACTTACCTTTGCTGCTCCCCACATACAAATGCACTCATCGCTTAAGGCTGGGCTCTGGAGAAAAAAGCTGAAAAGTACTCTATGGAATATTTGGTTCATATCTGATCTGCTGGGGTGGCCAAATGATTTACACTGTTCTGTCTACCGTCACCTGCAGTATTACTTTATTCGGGACGTCATGGCAGAGGCCGATGATGTCAAGACGAACGTAGGTGGTTTGCATGTGATTCAGCGGGCAGATAATCTTTCATTGGCATTAAAGCGGACGGTAAATAGCTGTCCTAGTATCAGAATGAGCATTTCAACTTAAGAGATCTAGCCCACTGAAAGGAGTCCTGTGATATGTAGATTTCAGCCAAAAAGAAAAAATAAGAAAAAGAAAAAGGTGAGTTTTGCGCAAACATGATAGGAACGCAGCAGTTGCTCATCAGGCGAGCTCTGATTGGCTGGAATGACCCTCGGCTAGGCGATTCTCGGCGATTTTGATCGACCGCAAAAAGAATCAGGCTCGACTCGGCTATTCAAGGTAGCGCTGATTACATCCAGATTACTCCTCGGTTCAGTTCCAGCCGATTTGCTTGTTTCTACCTTTTCGTGCTAAGAGGGAGCTTACACTACTATCCCGTGAACCAATTTGCCCCTCTGTCGCTTCGACACCTGCACGATGGCATCCAAAGGCGCTGTCTTGCCTCTGCTGAGGCGTGAGCTGCGATCATCTGTCCGATTTGCTCGTGCGAACCCCTCCACCGTGCTCGCCTCTCCCTCCCGCCATATTTCGACCTCCAGTCGCCGATTAACCCCCCGGGCGGCTCCCTTCAATGTTCCGACCCAGACTCGCGCTTTCTCGAATTCATTAGGGCGGCGACTCACCGACGAAAATGGCGATTTCGATCCTCGGACCGTGGAGCGAGAGTCTGACGAGGTGGATGTGTGCATTGTTGGCGGTGGTATGTGTGACAGCGTCCCGCGTGGCAACCTTACTGTATCTCTTAGCTGACTGAGGCTATAATGGCAGGTCCCGCCGGTCTCGCCGCTGCAATTAAGCTGAAGCAGCTCGCAAATGAAGCCGGCAATGAGGAATTTCGAGTCATTTTGCTAGAGAAGGCTGGTGAGCTCGGCGCTCATATAGTTTCCGGAAATGTTCTCCAACCCACGGCCATGAACGAGCTCTTCCCGGACTGGCTGGCCGAAGACAATCCTTCGCGCTTTGAGGGTGCCACCCCCGCCAAGGGCGACAAGATGCGCTTCCTTACTGAGACTGGATCCTACCCCCTCCCAGCTCCCCCCACAGATGAACAACCACGGAAACTACATTGTGAGTTTAAATGAACTGACAAAGTGGCTGGGTGATCGCGCAGAGGAGATCGGCGTGGAGGTGTATCCCGGTTTCGCGGCCAGCGAGATTGTCTACAAACAAGACGGATCAGTAAAAGGGGTTGCGACCAATGACCTGGGACTGGACCGACAGGGCAAGCCCAAGGATACCTTTGAGCGTGGAATGGAGTTTCACGCGAGGGTTACTCTTCTCGCCGAGGGTTGTCATGGGAGCTTGACCAAGCAGGTGATCAAGAAATATGATCTGCGCCGGGACAGTCAGCCTCAAACATACGCACTCGGTATTAAGGAGATCTGGGAGATTCAGCCAGAGAAGTTCAAGTCTGGTGAGATTGTCCACTCAATGGGTTATCCGCTCCCCAGGGATACTTACGGTGGCGCTTGGATGTACCACTTCGGCGACAACATGGTGAGCATTGGTCTAGTGGTAGGATTAGATTACCCCAACCCATGGCTCTCTCCATATGGAGAATTTCAAAAGTTAAAGCACCACCCTCTGTTTAAGGAGGTTTTGGAGGGCGGGAAATGTATCTCCTATGGTGCTCGTGCTCTGAATGAGGGTGGTTTCCAATCCATTCCCAAGTGCGCATTCCCCGGCGGTGCTCTTATTGGCGATACGGCTGGCTTCCTTAATGTCCCCAAGATCAAGGGTACCCATACAGCCATGAAGTCAGGTATGCTAGCTGCCGAGGCCGCATTCTCTGCGCTTCAGGGCGAGGGAGACAGCGGCACCGTGTTCTTGTTTGACTACGAGAAGGCGCTGCGTGATTCATCCATCTGGAAAGAGCTGAAGGAAGTACGCAATATTCGACCGTCTTTCAATAGCCCGCTTGGTTTCTTCGGTGGCCTGTTGTACTCTGGCCTGGAAGCATACATCTTCCGTGGCCGTGTGCCCTGGACTCTCAACCACCACGGCACCGACTCCGGAGCTACCAAGCCTGCTTCACAGTACAACAAGATCGAATACCCCAAGCCAGATGGAGAGATCAGCTTTGATATCCTGACCAGTGTGAGTCGCACTGGTACTAATCATGAGGAGGACCAACCCGTCCACTTGCAGGTGGAGGACTGGGACAAGCACAAGGACCTGGCATGGCCTGTCTACAAGGGGATTGAGAACCGTTTCTGTCCCGCCGGTGTGTACGAATACGTCGAGGATTCAAGCAAGCAGCACGGCGTGCGATTCCAAATCAACGCACAAAAGTAAGTATCTCTTACATCTGGCGCCTTATCCGAATTCCTGCTGACCCGATCTAGCTGCATCCACTGTAAGACTTGTGACATCAAGGTGCCCACCCAGGACATCAACTGGCAAACTCCTCAAGGCGGAGAAGGTCCCAAATATGTTTTGACTTAATGCCCGTCCTTAAGGAGAATCGGAGTCAGCGGATCTGTTCAAATATATTTGCAGTAAGAGGCGCGCGCCTGTGTATATAAGAGAATACCGAAAAGGGAAATACCAATATGTTGAGACCAAGATCTCCAAATCTGAATCTCCAAACACCAGTAATCCGTGGATCTATTCAGTATGGTTCCCGCCCTTGCGGCTGTGGCAGAACCGTGGAATGCGAGTGGAGGCCCACGAGGCGGATCTACTGGAATCTCCATGCATAACCGACCATTGTTCGTAGCATATTTAGGCGTAAGGCCATTGAAGCTGCCTCTTTAGCTCCATAAGCTCGGGTCTAGAGTTCTCTAAAGTAAGCGCTTCTCCGTCCACCTGAAACGGTGGTGGACCACGTGGATACGCCAGAAAAACAAAAGCAAAGAAAAACGAAAAACCAAAGTGAGGCGGCCAGAAAACCCAGGTTTTATCTTCCACCGCCACTGTGTAGTACTCCTTCTTCTTTTTCCCCTCTTCCCAAAGGATTCTTGCTTCCCCCATCTCATCAAGCTGACCTCCGTGTTTGATGCCCAAGTGGATGTGCGCGAGAAACCTGGGAAAGCTCCCACTCCGCCCTTCTCTCAGCCGAACTGCCCATCATCACCGTCTTCCCTGATTTGGCCGTGTTCCACGGCTTTCCGATCGCTCTGGGACTTTTCTTTGGCCACGACTTCCCTTAAGGTTTTCCGTTGTGTCTCGGTCCTTCAACGTCCCTGAACAATGACGGAGGTTTCTTCCACCCGTCTGTATCTCGGGAATCTTCCCCGCAACGGTATGCTTGCACAGCTCCTGGATCTCATGCGCTCTCGTCGCGCGTGGCGTCTGATGTTACCCCGAACCCCCCCCCCAGGGTTGCTTAGACCCGCCCTGGATGATAACAGAGATCTCCTTTCTTTCACGTCGCTGACACCTTTTTTACTCAACTAGTCACCAAGAACGACGTCGAAGAACACTTCAGCGCCCATGGATCTGGCAAGATAACCGAGATCAAGCTTATGAATGGCTTCGGCTTTATCGAATATGAAGATGCCATGGATGCCCGCGATGTTGTGCCTGGTATGTCAGACCAGCAATCATTTTGTATGGAATTTTGCTAATCAACCCCTCAGCCTTCCGTACGTGTCTTCCGCAATGGCGAACCTCCGTAACCCAATACTCTTAGCTCACAAGATACACAGATGGCAGTGACTTCAAGGGTGAACGCCTGACGGTGCAGTTTGCTCGTGGTCCCCGCCGCAAGGAGACCTTCCCCGGTCCTAACCCAGATCGCCCCGCTCCTCCGCGCCCACGCCGAACCATCTATCGGATGCAGATTTCTGGTCTCCCCGAAACGAGTTGGCAGGTGAGTAGCTAACCCTTCCCGCCCTAAAAATTGCCCGGATTCCTTTGCTCGGCCTTCTCTGCCCTTCATATTCCCTGGTCCTCGGCTAGGTCATTAGTCTTGATACTTGGTACCTAGAGCCCAAGGACCCTTTGCACTATCGGTCCTGGTGCTGTGGCCAAACCTTGTTTGGTCCCTCGTCCTGTGAAGTTCCTTCCTTCTTTCAAGACCGCAGCAGCTGAAGCGCGACCATTGCCCGGGGACTCAACTCCACTTCCGTCTCTCTTGGCCACATCGGATATCCATCTCCCCCATGTCCGGACGTAGAATTCCACCCCCCTTTCCCCATTCTACCTGGATCACATCGACACGTCATACTTTTCCCGGAATCTGGACTCATCAAGCCTTTAGGATCTGAAAGACTTTGCCCGTCTATCTGGATTGGACGTGGTCTACTCTGAAACCGGTCGCGAGCAAGGCAAAGGGTAGGTTTGACCATCAGAGGTCCACCACGGCCAGATTGAATTAACATTGGAAACAAGGTTTGTGGAGTTTGAAACGGGCAACGACCTCAAGACCGCCGTGGAGAAGCTCGACCAGCGAGACTTCAAAGGCGCACGGGTGACTTGCACTGCCGACGTAAGAATCCAATTTCCAGGACCCGCCCGGAGACATCCTAAACAATTCCAGATCCAAAATTTTGAAGATCGCGCTTACCGGGAGCCTGCCTACCGTTCTCGTTCTCCTCGCCGTGGCCCGTACCCCATGGATGAATATGACCGCCGGTTCACCCCTCGAGGATACAGCCCCCGGGACCATTATCGTGAGCGTTCGCCCATCCCTATCCGCCGGGACTACTATGACTCCCGGGATGCCTATGGACGTCGCACTCCCCCGCGACCTCGGATTGAGGATTCCCCCCCCCCTCGTCGTCCTTACGATGATCCTTATCCTCCCCCACCTCCCCGTCACTATGATGACCCATACCTTGCGGCGCGCGCTCCTTATGGCCGGCCTCGCACCCCCCCGCGTGGCGAATACGTTGGATATGACCGCCGCTACTGGTAAATGGCCTGACCCTTCTTCCTGGGTGAATGCCTTTTTCGACATTTCGCCTTCTGTTTCCGTTCCTCTGTTCAGTTCCCGAATACCCTTTCCGTATCGTATGAGCTTTATGGTACCATGAATCTTCTTTTCATCTTCCGAGGGTTAGCGCGGCCTTTTTAGTGTTCTTTTCTGGATTCTGCGAAATTACGGACAATGCGCTGTGTGTGTTTTTTTATCCTCATCTCATCTCCACCGACCGGGCGCCGGTTGATGCTAATTCCCTTCCAACCTGGAATTCCCGGATCGTCCATGCTAGTTCTTTGTGCTTTTCTATTGCCCTGTGTTAAGCTTTCTGGTTCTCATATTCCTGAGGCCAAGGCCCGACTCTGGTAAAACAGTCAGTTTGCTTCTAGCGATGATGCGTTCTATGACCATAGTATCAAACGACAGATCTTATCGACAGAATTCAAGAGATTTACCCAGATACACCCATGTTTACAAGGGGACGGGATAGCGTGCTACGTAGATCGATAGAGTTACGTGCCCAAACCTTACTTTTAGTGCCGATCAGCGGCTCAACCCCGCCTAAAAACTTCCCTAGCTTCACCCCACCCTTTGCGGGTTTTAGCCCTCCCCTTTCAACCAAGTCATAGGAGGCAATTCATACCAGGAGACATATTGAAGATGTCGATCAATCAATCGGGTGCAAGCTCGACCCGGGGTCCCGCCCTCTATGTGCCTACTTCCCTAGACTACACACCAACCGCCCCAGCTCCAGAATTCCTTGACAGCGTCCAACTTCGCGGCATCCAGCTTCCCCTCTCCCCAGCCCCCGAGGCATGGCATAGACTTGGCAAATCGCAGCCCTGCACCGCTACGTTGAAGCTCACATATTCCTCTACCGTCGCCGCGGCCGCTGCAGACGACGTCTCCCTGACTTTGGACTACGGCAAACTATACCGACGAATTGAATCAGACCTTGCTAAGCATGACACGCCACGCCATCAGACAGCTAGTATAGCAGGGATCGAGTACGAGGAGTTCAAGGCTGAAGCTGCCGGCCAGAATCCCCGGATTACGGCGAGTATAATCGCGAGTGCTGCATTCGATCTGTTACATGACAGTGCGCTGGCGCAGGCTCAGACTGTCGGCACAATCAGTAATAGCCACATTACTGGTTCTGAGTGGACGATCACAGCCGACAGGTGCGAAGTTACGTTGCACTTGCCCAAAGCTATCTTGCGAGCTTCTGAGGGATTGAAGTATCGTAACGTCACAGCATGGGGGTGCCCGGCTGAGAAGAGCGGGGCAGAGCAGCGAACGCTGATCGTTATCGAGGAGGAATTTCGAATCGACGGTATACGCTGCTATCCTGTACTAGGGGTGAACCCGCACGAGCGGCTTGAGAAGCAGGCTGTGATCGTGTCACTTGTGTTTACTGGCGCTGCGCACTTTGCGAGAGTTCTTGAGACCTATCAGGAAGTGACGAGAGCTGTAGCGGAGGTACGTATATCATGTCTATACCACCCCCACCACCCCCAACAACATACATATTCCTATGCTAACAGCCCATTCCAGAAAGTTGACGAGACTTCATTCCTAAGCGTAGAGTCTCTGGTAGCGTTCATAGCGCGCATCGTGACTGTAGACTTTGGAAACGAACATGTGACGGTACATGCGGAAAAACCAAGTGCGCTGGCATTTGTGGAGGGATCGGGCGTCGAGATCACCCGATCGCGGACATTCTTCCAGAACGAGGCACGGTGATGTTGTGCATGGCGATCGGAGATCGCTGCAGGAACCAACATTGCCGCAATTACCTCAAGTGTGTACTAAATATTGGACCATAGGACATACCTAGGCCCTCGAAACCCTCATAGACAATAAAACCACCGAAAAGAAAATGAAAACAGGGCGAATCCTATCCAATGGCGTCGCATGTGAAACCAACACGTGAATACCGGATTGGGCTTAGTGGGCTCCCCGGATTTCCGCCTGAAGACCGTGAATTTCTTGCCCTTGACTTTCACTTCCATTCCCACCTTGTGGACCCTAAGTTCAGCTTTATTACTCTTCGCCTCTTACGAAACATCTTTCCAGCTCTCTATGTACCTGTCTGCGCCCTCTTCAGTTGCCTCTATCCCTTTGTCCAGCTGCCTGGCCAACCGCAACTTAATCTTCCAGGCCCCCAACGTGCCTCGCACCTCAAGTGACCTCAGCGTGTCAGCTTCTCCCGGCCTCGCTTGGCCAACCTTGGCATTTGACCCCACGGCAGGCCAGGTGTTTTGTGTAGGGGTCCCAGGTCCGTCCTGAAGAAGGGCGGACGGTAAACCTGCTCAGGGAACTTTTGATTTGGCGTGGACCAAATTAAAGAAGGGATCGGATTCCTTGCTTGATAATTCAAGGTAGGTGCTTGCACGTACTCCTGGGTTTCCCATCAATATCGCAAGTGGGGCGTCAAACTTGTCAAGGCACAAAATACGCTCAAATTACCCCTCCATTCACTACCCCTCTACAAACGTCGCAAAATGAAGCTCACGGATTTTTGTGAATAGTAACGTAGTAACGCCGGCCGTATTGCCTCGAGAGACGATTTACCAATTTGATTCCCTGCGCGTGAGCAATTGCCTACCGGAGCAATACTTTGCACGACACTCTCGCGAAGACAACGGTCGAGACTAGACCTTTCCATTGGCGAGACCGGAACAGCTCTACCAGTGCGCATACCTCTCTGGGCGTTATGGACTCTTCTGAACACCAGGACGACCTCTCTGTGGGTGATGTTTTCACCCCACAGGCTGACAGCGCCTTGTCCTGCGCGGATTTTCCGACCAATCATCATGTCTCGGACGTCCACATGGGGGACCAGCAATTGCCGCGTAAGCAGATGGCCAACGATAGAACCAATGGCAATAGTGCCATGGTGTCACCTGCATTCAAGCCAAACCTGCTACCGGTAAAGCCGCAACGTCGAAAGAAGAACAAGAAGAAGCAGGTCGGCCAGGTAGATCCGGCGCTCTCGACCGTGCGTGGCTTCACACCATTAGCCTCAGCCGATGAGGACTCCGACTTTTCGACTACGAGCTCTATACCCGCTACCTCCGTCTGTGGAAGTCCCTCTGTTCACCCTGTTGTAGGAAATAGCGTTAGTGCGTTGAAGCTCCAGCTCGATGCGCTCAGCCTCTCGGGAACTCCCGCCCTAGGTACTAATGGGGCATGTTCTGAGACCCCCAGCAATGCTAGCGTGTACTCCGATAACAGCGATCAAACTGAGGTTCTCACTAGCTACGAGGTGCCTCTCGACCACGACTTCGTTAGCGCCGATGCCGTGCGAGAAGACGGCCCCGTTCAAGTCAGCAGCACAGGAGTCGCCCCCGCTGGCGATGAAAAGCGAAGTCAACTCTGCCGCAAAATGACTGCCGACGACTTTCAGCCTATTCTATGTCTTGGCAAGGGCTCTTTCGGGACTGTTCTGCTTGTGCGCCATGTTGCCACAGGCAAGCTCTTATGCGCAGAAGCAGTTCCGCAAGGCATCCCTAACCGTACACAAGAAGCTCGTGGAGCAGACAAAAACGGAACGCATGGTTTTGGAAAGCGTCAACCGACACGCATTCGTGGTCAAATTATTCTACGCTTTCCAGGACCACGAAAAGCTCTATCTTATCCTCGAATACGCACAGGGCGGTGAACTATTCCACCACCTTGCCATGGAACGGATGTTTGAGGAAGAGACAGCAGCTTTCTACATGGCCGAAATGGTCCTCGCTCTCGAGCACCTCCACCAGAACGTCGGTGTGCTTTACCGTGATCTCAAACCCGAGAACTGCCTCCTCGACAGCCACGGCCACTTGCTTCTCACAGACTTCGGCCTGAGCAAGATTGCTCTCAGTGATGATGACCGCTGCAACTCTTCACTTGGTACGATCGAGTACATGGCGCCCGAAGTCATCCAAGGCCGACCTTACGGCAAAGCCTGCGACTGGTGGTCTCTAGGCGCTCTAGGCTTCGACCTCCTCACCGGCTCTCCTCCCTTTCGCGCAAACAATCATGCCAAGCTGCGCGAGAAAATCGTCAAGCAGAAGATCGCCATGCCGTATTTCCTGGGACCCGATGCGAAAGACCTCCTCACTCGCCTGCTTCGCAAGGAACCCTCCAAGCGTCTGGGCTACCACATGCCCAAGGATTTGGTCACCATCAAGCAGCATCGCTTCTTCCGCAAGATCGACTGGGCTGCCCTCGAGCGTCGTGAACTCGAGCCACCTATCCAGCCCATCGTGACCGACCCTGCGCTTGCGGAGAATTTCTCCGTTGATTTTACCAATCTCCCTCTTAGCCCGACTATGGCTTCTGGCTTCGGCGATTTCAGTGATGGACAATCAGCCTCGCGTGCTATGTCTACTGGTATCAGCGGTCACACCCCGGGGGGATTCTGATCCGTTCGGTGGCTTCAGCTTCGTTGCTTCAAGCAGCCTGCTTGACCATGGCGTGGGTGTCACTGCCGGATTTTAGAATGGCGTCTCAGCCACAATCACCTATCCTCTTTATGGCAGCGGCTTGAACAGCCTTGGAGTTCTGGTGTCATCTCTCTTATCCCTCACCTATTTTGTTTTGTTTTCTAGCCGACGTCCTTTGGCATGCTGCGTCTTCCGATTGCTTCGACTTTCTCAGTGGCTCTGTATACTCTTGCGCCTCTGACTAGCATATCTACTTCCTGCAAGACCTACATTCCGGGCTGGAGTTATTGCTAGCTTTCATTTTTGCTTTTGTATTCCTAGTCAAGATAGAGAGAAGCCTTGGATCTTAAAAAAAAGTCCCGTGAATTGCATTGCATCAAACCTTCGACAAACCTGAAAAATAAAACGCCCTCAGCGAAACTCCCTATGCTAGATCATGCTATGACTTTGGCCACCCAAGCAACCTAATGAAGATACTCGTAAGAACAGGAGACACGCTTTAAATTTCGCCCTCCTCGCTACCCCCGCCGTCATTATCATGAGAATCATCCCGAGCAGGAGGATCAGCGGGCCTGTTATCGACGGGCTCTGTCCCACCTGGTCTGGCATCAGCAGGTTTAGTATCAACCGGCTTGGCAGCAACGGACTTGTCATCAGACACCTCGCCTTCTTCGGTGCTAACTTCCTCTTTCGGCTGGTTTGGAGTATTTTCATGATTAGAGTCTTGCGGCTTGCTGCCAGGGATAGGCCGTGAAGGCACAGAGCCTAGTGCTCGCGTTGGGATGCGCGGCTGAGACGCCGGAGCAGGAGCAGAAGAGCCTGCATTAGATGTAGGGGATAAGGTGCGCTGGCGCTTGGGCGAGCGTCCACCGTTTAATGAGGGGTGAGAATGAGAGTGCGAGAGAGGGGCGGGAGAGGCATGGGATGTCTCTGGGCCCAGGGAGTCTGGCTCGCGGGAGCGTTTCCGCCCATTGTGTGCAGGGGAATCGGGGGCGGGGGTGAGATTTGAAGAATGGGAAGATGGGTGGTAGTCCTGGGAGGCAGGGTTTGTGTGGAACAGACGTGTCGGGTCATTCAGGTCCACCACATCTCCGGCGTTGAAGCTCGGGAAGCCCTTGCTCAGGTTCTGTTGGACTCTCTCGTAGATCTTGATGATCAGTTTGCAGGCTTTGGTGATATCTTCGAAGCGGACGTCGATCTGGTCCCACCATGGCCGGCCCTTGTCGTCGTCGGGGAAAGAGACTTTGCAATGGCGGGCTGCGGCGTAGAGCGCAGCTGCGGCGATCACGCGCTGGGGGAATTGCAGGCAGAGGACGGTATAGGTGGAGTCGTTGAGGAATGCCTGGGTGGCGTTTCGGAGGGGTCTGTGGTCAGGGACATTGAGGAAACAGGCGTATTCCCACACAATGCGATATGGGGACTCCAGCTGCAGGTCGAAGCAGAGGTACTCCAGCATAACACTCTCGTTCTGCAGGATCAGATCGCGCCATCTCCAGTAATCCTTTGATTGCTCGTCAACAACCATATCTGCCTTCTTCATCGCAACACGGCAGCAAGCCACGATGAAGTCTTTCATCCGCCGCATGGTCTCGTCCACCTTGAACGCCACAAACAATGCCACCGCAGCGATAACCTTCGGATGCATCAAGTCTCCGCCCTGTTCTGGGTAATGTCCACGCAATGAATAGCGCATAAGGAACCGATGCATGAAGATCGTTGCGGTCATGGACGTTTGTGGCGGCATCTTAAGCATCATGCTGACCTGCCAGATGAACTCCACGGAGCGATGCCGGATGTAGTCCTCCTTTTCACGATCGATCTTATCTGCGTGCGAGGGCGTGCGCTCGAGCTCGTCGTCTGTGAACAGCCATTTTTGCTCGGCTTCGGCGACCACAGGGTTCGGCTGGCCAGGCAGGTGCTTCTTCGCCGGCGGAGCTGTGGACTCCATTTGAAGACCAAACGGAGGGACGAAGGGGCCTGGTTGTGCACGGGGGAAAATTTATGATGAGACTCGAAACGGGACGGGTTGCTGCGCTAGGAATAGAGAGTCATTTCAAGCCGGCAGCATGGCAGGTAGTGAATGAAGCAAGCGCGCCGGCGCACTCGCGAAGTTCAACGATTCCGGCATTGAATCCATGGATGAAGTCATGTGATTAGTCACGCTGGTCGCAACTCCCGTGAGGCTGATGGCACACTTGCTGGTAGCGCTCAATTGTACAGATCAGGCCTCGGAAAGCAAAGTGAATTTGAAAGGGACCTAAGGAGGTTTCCATCCATTGCGATCCGGGGAGACGGCCCTTTGCCTTTTTTTTTATGATTTTATTGCGGACATATACACGAAGTAATTGTGGCATCCATACCACGACCAAGAAACATCGAATAAGGGGTTCGAGCCCCGAGATTGTAAATTGGATACTACCAAGACAAAACACGCTCCAGAATGTATCAAGATTTCATTAAAATTGATATGGGACTTTGGTATCTTGGGTGCTGCACCCCAGCGCCACGCTAACATGCAAATATTAGGGAAAGTAGAAACCGCAAAATGCGTTCCTGCCAAGTTGTTGTGAGGCGTCACTCCTCCTCGCTCACCTCACTCTCATCATCACTTTGCACGTAATGATTCGAGGTATTGTGAGAGTATTGCTGGCTCTCTTCGAAAGCCGCCTCTTCGAAAGCCGCCTCCATCTCTGCCGCAAGTGGATCCTCCTCGAACTCCTCGCCCTCATCGGTGGGGGCAGGAGCAGGAGCTGGGGCAGGCTCCTGGGCCTGCTGAGTTCTGGCGGGAGAAGGGAGACGGAAATCCTCCATGTAATCCTCCTCTTCCTCGTCCTCTTCCTCGTCTTTGGGAGTATTATTGGAGGAGAAGAAAGCAGGGTTGATGTTAAATGCGGGCCGAGCCTTAGGCGATCCCATATCGATGATAAGGTCACCATCGATGATGAGATTCGAATTCGGAGATTGGACGGTCTGCTGCGAGCCGGAACCTGTCTCTGCATCGGACAGAGTCGACCGGGTCTCTTCCTGGTCTGGTGGTGGATCGAGCCGCCCAGAGCTTGCAGCGGCATGCTTGGGAGGATTTGGCTTGGCAGCTACTCGGGGGGGTTTTCTTTGTCTCGCGGAAAGGATTCGCTTGCTTCTTGGGCCGGGCCATTGGCTTTGGAGCCGGTTTGGATGCAGGCATAACCGGAGTATTAGCTTTGCTGGTGTGGATTGGTTCCGGAGTGCTGTTGCCAGAGGCGGGTTTAGCGATTTGAGCCCCGGGCTTGGCGAAGAAGTGTCGAAAATCATAGGGATTGCTGTCATCTGCTGCCCCCTCGTCGTCACTGGTATTTCCTGCGTTACGATCGTCGCCAGATGTGGTCTCGTCCTCGTGGGTTAGCCGCAGTTGCTCGTACTGCTCCCGCACCTGCTTCTCCGTCTTCCCGGGCGCTGATCGCAGGTTGAAATTCCATTTAGCCGATACGGGCTCGAGCACAAAGACTTTGTCATCTGGATTCCACACTAGCACATAGGAGTCACGTTCATGGTCCGGGTCCTCGGTGCCCTTGTAGGTATACGTCACAGTATGATCGGCGCTCGGGGCCTTATCAGTGACGGTCAGGTCGTACACGCCGCGCGACTGGGAGGGGGTAACGGTAGAGCATTGCTGTGAAGTTGCATGCTTGGCTTTGTAGTTGTAATTGATGTTGACCAATCGATTGGTCCCAGCGTTCAACAGGCGGTCGCCGAGGACAATGGGGTATTCAGCCTGCTTGGTCGGATCAACCAGCGTGGGGGCGGCCATGGCGCCGAGAAAGGACTCGAGTGATGGCGCAGAACGAGATACTGCGAGGGAGAGAGATTAAGATCGAGAGGAAAGGGCGTTAGCTCAGGATATAAGGAGAATGTTCCGGGGGCATGAAAGTTGACTGGTGTTGGATGAAAGAGAGTTCCACAAGGCCCAAAACACGGGGAACAGGGGCGGAGACCCGTTCTGGGCCCATGATTAATCGGAGCTTGGCAGACTTTCTTTGGAGGCCTTGCAACTGATGGGAATCATTTATATAGATTGGATTATATACATGTGAATTTAGCGCCGACTAGTGCGCAGCCACGCGACTTGTTAATTGTTCCAAACGGCCGGCCAACGCTCGGTGTTTCCGCATCACCTCTTCCCATTCGTACTCCATCTCTTCTTCCCCGCTCAGCTCGGTCAGAATCATTCCAAAGTCGCCCCCAAGACGCCCCAAACTGGCCGCGCAGTATAGCAGCTGCGTTAACAGGCTTTCGCGGGAGCTCCGATCTCGAACATTAGGCAGATATGCCCGCATCGTATCCGTAAGCAGCTGAACCAAGTGCATGGGGAAGGTCGCAAGGGCAGAGGGTCTGTTCTGCAGAGGGTCCTTCGCCTTCTGGCTGGAATCAGTAGACTCGGACTGCTCGGTGGCGAATATGTTCTTGTATAGGGAAACAATGGCAAAACTTTGCTCGCGGAAGATTTCGATGTATCGTTTCAAATAACGGTCCGTCTGTTGTCCATCTGACCAAGACTCGGACTTCTGTTTCGCATCCACCCTGCGTTGCGTTTCTTGGTCTGCAAGTTCCCGGAGTGGATCTAATGCTTCTAAGGTTGACACAAGATGAGCCAGTCGGCAGATCAGGAAAATGGCGCCCAGCGCTCCTTCTCCCGTTCCTGACGATCCATCTCCTTGTAACAGTTCCAAGTCCGGAGCAACTCGACGCAGCCATCCAACGGTCCGCATACCGGCTGCAAGCCGTAGGTTTTGTGCGCGGAGGCCTGCAATCAGATTGGACGTCATTTCTTTCATCGCATCCTCGGCCTGAGAGGCAACATCTTGGATTAGAGGGGAGTCGGGGTATAGTGTTTGCAAGCGCTTGATGTGGGCGTGTAAGTCGAGAGCAGAGGAGTAAGTGGTGGAGGAGGCGCCCGCGCCCGAGTTGGCTGATGCTGCGGACACAGCCGTGGAGAGCAGACTTGGGAGCTCCAAGATATCGGACAGTCGGTCTACATTGCGCGCTAACTGCGTCGCCTTCTTCCGGCGCTCCAGGGCCGGATTATCGGTGATCTTGCTATACTTGGTGGAGAAGCCCACCGCCGCCTCGTCGAGTTTGGGGATGGCATCTCTTAATTGCTGGGCCTCGCGCGTCAATTGTGGGATTGACGTGCGCAAAGAAGATAAATTGTCGGCGGAGGTAATAAATGACCGGTGAGATCGATTGGACAGTGCCTGGAGGGAGAGGAGGGTCGAGTGGGAGGATTGGGCGAGAGACTGGAGCTCGGTAGACTGCAGATCCTGGATTGAGAGAGTGGAAAGATGATTGAGATACTGAGAGGTCGTGTCATCCGCCCTGGGAGTCTCGAGATGTGGAGCGAGAAGCTCCAGCAATGAGTCGGTCATGGTTGACGAGGGAAAGTCCGATGTGGTGACCGCGCTGGTTGGAGCCCGGCCTGGTCCGTGCGGCCAACGGCCATAGCATCGACGGTCTTGTTGTTTCTTTTCTCCCTTCTTGCTGGAGGTTGAGAGGATGTGGCATTTCTCCGTCTTGGACTCGAACTACGTTGGTCCTTTGAGCTCATCTCTGCGTTTGCTCTCCAATAGCCTCTTGGCCTTACCTGTGCTTCCCCTCCCCCGCAACCCCCCGGTATTGTCCGCTTCTATGCAGCCATGGGGAAACCACGGGTGAGTCTTCGAAGGCGAGCTTCATGGATTAACCGAGACTGACCGGGAGTCACCCTGCAGATGATCATTCTCATTCGCCATGCGCAATCAGAGGGCAACAAGAACCGCGAGATCCACCAGACTACTCCCGATCACCGAGTGAAACTTACCTCAGAGGGTCACCGACAGGCCCACGAGGCTGGCTTGCGACTTCGTGAGCTTCTTCGTCCGGACGATACTCTCCATTCTTTACTTCTCCATATCGCCGGACGAGAGAGACTACGGAAGGGATCCTCAATTCGCTTACGTCGGATTCTCCGTCCCCCTCGCCGTTTCCTAGACATACGATCAAAGTGTACGAGGAACCTCGCCTCCGGGAACAGGACTTTGGCAACTTTCAGCCATGCTCTGCCGAAATGGAACGTATGTGGATGGAGCGGGCGGATTATGGGCATTTCTTCTATCGTATTCCTAACGGCGAGTCTGCGGCCGATGCATACGACCGAGTCAGTGGGTTCAACGAGTCTCTGTGGCGCCTTTTCGGGGAGGATGATTTTGCGAACGTCTGCGTCCTGGTAACCCATGGACTTATGACGCGGGTATTTCTCATGAAGTGGTATCACTGGAGCGTGGAGTATTTTGAAGATCTCCGCAATATCAACCATTGCGAGTTCGTGATTCTGACGCACAATCCGGATAACGGCAAGTATACATTGCAGAACAAGCTTCGGACTTGGTCCGATCTGCGGAAAGAACGAGATCTCGAGAGGAACATAGAAAAGGAGTCAAAGGAGTTAAGCCCGGTTTCTTCGACACCCGCAACAGAGCATGTCCCGATCCGCAGAAGATGGGGCGGTTGTCCTGATGGGTGCAACCACGGCTTATCAGCAGAATCCAAGCGCTCTCTACGTAACAAGCTAGCTGAGCAGATGCGTCCCGATACTTCGCGAAGTAAGGCAGGCGATATAACTGTCCACGGCAGCAAACCAGCCACTGCTTCGCAAGCTTCGACGGCGTCAGCGACAACACCTGCAAATCCGGAAGATACACAATATTCGAACGAGCAATCTACAAACAACAACAACAATGATGATCCCAGTTCCCGATCTCTTGAGACAAAAGATATAGAAAGGCCATCCCAAACCGGCGATTCAAGTCTAGACTCACCTGCTAACAGGGTGTCACGGCCTCCTCTGACAGCCCTTCCAAGCAAGAACCACAACAGGAACAGCGAAGACCATTTATTCCACAACCCCAGCTCATCTTCTTCAAGTGCATATCTCCAACTAGCACTGCTGCATCTGGGCGGTCGCGATGGCGGCGGCTCTCTGAGCGGCGCCAACAGTCTCGCTCCCTCCGACGACGAAACCGATGACACCACTCACCGCAGGAATCGAAACCACGGCCACTCCAGATTAGCCTCGGATCGAGTCAGCCATGATCACGGCGAAGACGGCGACGATGAGCTCAGTGCAGCCCCGGGAGAAGGTACCAAGCGCTCACGTCCACACCATCACCATACCCACCATAACCACTACCATGTCCACACCAATATTTCTCACCACCGCCATACTTCCTCCAGTGTTTCCTTGCCCCCACCGCGCATGGCTAATATTCTGGGTGATGGTGATGACGCCTCGACGCATTCTGATTCCCCTGAGTCGGGCTATTCGGGCCCTAGTTCCAATACTCACCCAGAAGGCGATCAGAATACCGACGAGCCAGGCCGTGAAGCGAGTAGCTTGTCGCTGGAAGCGCAGCGGGAAGAGGATCAGAGTATTCACGGGAGCGTCTACTGAAATCGGACCAGATTCATTGAAGCTGCAGTGGATGCTGTGTTTTACTCATTTTCATTTGGAGGGCTCTGCGGTCTACGCTCGTCTGCAGGATTGGATGTGGCTGGAAGGCAGCATTGGTATTGATGAATTGATACGTCGACGAAGATATTACGACTGGCAACGAATATACATCAGCACTACGAGTATGCTAGGTTTGAAGGTTAATAAGATAGATGGGATCAGGTCTTTCACTACGCATCCTCAGGCGTGTTTTGTTTTTGCAGTTTTCTACTGGTTTAGAGAAATTGAGAAACGAACTTTGCACACCATTCTGGAGACTTAGTCGCGAGGTGTTATTCCCATTAGATGAGACGAGAACCACTCATACAAAAGCCCATTTCAGATACTAGAACTCGTAATACCTTTAGCTTGAATTTGAATTTTATTGGACAAAACGAAATCCTACTCTGAACAACGCCCTTCCTCCATGTCTACTCGGACTCACCACTGAGGCAGCCTACGACGATAAAAAAAAAAAACAAATTCAAAAGAAAGAGGAAACTAGTCGCGCCCGGGATCGAACCGGGAACCATCTCAGATCTCTTGCTTCCGCTGTGAATGAGATATCATGACCATTAGACCACGCAACTGAAGTCATATGACTTCGCCTCCTATAAAGCATCGCTAGGTGGTGATCTTGGTGTACCGCCAACAAGGTACGCAAGAGGACCCTTGGGAACATTCTACTTCTTCCCGATTCTGAAAACTAAACGTTGGGGTAGGATGGTCACAGTGGGCCCTAGAACATCTAGCGTGGTGGTTTAGGCGAGAGAAGCTTGGGTGTAGAAAGGGGAGCAGCACACACTAGCATTACAGAGAATTGGAGGTAGTCTCATTGAGATGGGTATTCGACAAAAATTTGTATACAGCGGTTTGATCCAACCAACAATCAGGGTTCATTAAGTCATCAGTTGATAGAGAAAAAGTGCGAGTCGCACGCTGCCATATTCAACACCAGCAGTTTACGAGAGACCAGCGTGACCAATGTAGAAGACAAAGATAATAGTTTGTCATATTTTTTCTGTTTTTGTTCGAATAATCTTCAAAGAGCATATCGAAAGACAGAGGCCCCTGGCGGTTGACGAGCTAGACTCCATTGAGCAGCAGCGCTCTGCCAGAATGGCCTTGTAGAGTACACGATCGCGCAAGGATCAAGGATCGAGGACCGTATGCTCGACGAGCCGCCAGGGCAAAAGCATTTGAAGAAAAAAGACAATCGGAAATCGAATCGGAAACGAAAACCAATACTACATACATCAGCCTCCTGAGAGGCTGTCTCGATCCCATGCGCTTGGCGCGATAGCGAGTCAAAAAAGACAACACTTCAAAAAGCAAGAGCAGTCAGAGACTGGAAGAAAATCACGGGCGTTCGAGGGTCGCCGGTAGATGTTCAGAACCGAGATCTGGCTCCACCTGCGCCATGCGATTTTGAAGAAGAATCAAGAAGAGAAATTGCAAGTCGATCTGTTTGCGAAGAATTGAAAGCCGAAGACAATGCGCTGACAAAACGAGTTTGTTTGATCGATTTCGGTGTTTCAGTGGGTTTGGAAAAATCCAAGAAGACGTAACGAGAAGAGAAGTAGAAGTATTAAACGCCAGAAACTGTTTGTAGCGTGGGGAATTCGGAGTGGTAACAAGATAAGATACCAACATGAAAAGAATAACAATCTATGGGTAATCACAGCCAGAGGTAAAGCCGAGCACGGAAAAAAAAATGAGAAGAGAAAGAAGAAATGGACCGAAGATATGAACCGAAGTCATGGGTAATAAACAAATGGTCAGATTTTGGGAATTCGTGATCGTCGTGACTGCGGTCCTAGCCGTGGGAATACCGGAATGATGAGTACCCGGGTAACCCTGTGGAGAACGTCGAACCTCAGAACAAGGTCCAGAAGGCGTTCCGATTGGCAGGGTGTGTGCTAATGTCGCCGCGGTAGCGTTTTTTCCTTTTTTTTTTTGTGTTTTTGAGTTTTTCGCTGAGCTGACACGAACCAGCAAACGCAGAACAAAGTACTTTTAGGGGGGAACGCGGATTGCCGAACGCTCAGAGGCGAAAGTCAGCGGGTCCAAAAACAAAGATGAGGGCGTAAACGTCGAATCAGATCAAGAAGAAATAAGACAACGGTATCGTCGAAGAGAAACAGAAAACCATGCAAGCTCGCCTGATCATGAGGCGATGAAAATTCTAGTGCCGCAATGCGATAAAGACAAGAGACGACCAGGCCGTTGACGGCTAATGTTGTCGTCAAAATCCCTCCCGGAGTCATAAAGTAGCAAAGTTCAAAGTAACCGAGCCGCATTATGCAGCGATGGGCTGCAAGGCCGGAAACATGTTCTGCATGTAATGCTCGACATGTTTGGCACAGTACATGCAGCCACAAGATGAGCCGTGGCCGGTCCACACACTCTGAGCAAAGGGCAAGCCGTAGGCTGGGGTGTGGTGGTACGACGGAGGCTGAGATCGTGGTGCCGACGTGGGAAGGTACTGCGAAGGAGGCATCCAAGATCGCGAGTACGGGGGTGGCGGGTTTGAGTAGGCCCAGGGACCGACCGAATAGTAGTCCGGAGTGTTGGGACCACTGTGGGGGGCGGATGGGGGCGAGTACTCAGAAGCTGCCGGGTTAAGCCAGGAGTTCTCGATTTGAGAACTACGCTGGTACTGAGGAGGAATAGGACCTTCAGGGGACATCAGGGGTTTGGAAACGTTCTGGTGGCGCACAACGTTAGTGTCAAGAGGGGCCAACGGCTGCGTGCGGATCTCTTGGGCCCGCACGTTAGCCTTGTTGGACCAGTTCTTCCAGTGTAAGCGCCAGAAGTTGAATCCATCCTGCTGCTCGTAGATTCGGTCGTGTATCTTCCAGTCAAAAGCAAAGAGCCACTCCAATTCCATCTTGTTCAGATCCGCCACAGGAATGTTGCTGACTTCAGACCAGGATTTGTTCTGGAAGGTGTTGTCATCCAAGAACTTGCTTCCCAGGAGAAGAGCCACAGTTAGCATGTGGTAGATCTGACCACTACCGGAGTGGTAGACCCGTTGGCTGGATAGCTGTCGCATCCGGCTGGACAGGTAGAAAAGGCCCAGTAAGATGGTCGAGCTCGGCAGACGGGTAGAGGACAGGATTTGAAAGACATATTTCCGAAATTGAGAGGTCACCGCGGTTCCTGGGGAGATGCTTCGCGCAAGGTCAATATCTGGCAGGTGAAGCTTGGTGTTGTACAGATCATACATTCCCTGGGTCATTTCCGCCACGAAGTCGGACATGCGTTCCATTTCGTAATCCAGATGGGCGGCGACTCCTCCGGCAGGTTTCTCTTCCTTGCGAGGCTGCTCCTGTTGCATTGCGGCCAGGTCCTGACGCCGGTACTGCGGGGGGATGGCACTCTCCATGGGGGGGCAGTTGAACATTGGACCTGATAGGCGGCAAGGCGTTTGTCACAGGCCCATAGATGGGCTGCTGTCCTAGTGGGTGCATCTCACGGGCCGGATGCATCGGGTGGGAAGCCGGGTGCAAGTTCATTGCGTTGGGTTTGGCGTAGCACAAGGACTGGGAGTACTGCTCGATGAACTCGCAACCACTCTGGTGGTATCTAGGCGGGAAGGCAGAATGGGCGACCGGGTAAAAGGATGGCTCTTCAAGGCGACCACCGCTGTTGATGTGAGGAGGAGTGGGAGGCAGGCCGTGGCCTGGAACGAAGAAGGACGGCATTTCGGAGAGATGAGGGAAAAACCAGTTCAGGACGTGGAGCAAGACGAATTTGAATGCTATATATAGAGCGAGTCAAATGAGCACCAATGCTGCGGAAACAAAGCCGTCAAGTGCAGATCCAAGAGGTAAGACGAACCGTCTGACTCCGCGCCGCCCTGATCCTGGGGGAAGTAGAGCGCTGCTCGACGAGCGCGTCGCTCTTTTATGATCGAAGTGAAAGTCTCTAGTTGAATGACATTGAGGGAACTTCAACTGTGGCTTGAACGAACAACAAATGAGACAGAAGGAGCGTGATGAATCGTCGTAAACCTGTAGGTCAATCCTCGAGGGGAGGGTTGAGTCGAAGGGGACGATTCGCAGGGTGACTTCAAGATATCACAAGCGCGCGCACACAACGGACAATCGTGAGAATTGGGGAGACCAGATTTTTGGGGGGGGGGGTATTCCCTCGCGTAGAGGCGAACCTCACTCTCGTGAGGTCAGCAACGACACTTAGTGAAAAGCTCGTTGGAAGGAAAAAGAGAAGACGGGGGATGGAGAAGAGTAAAGGAGTAGGAGATGCAAAGGGAAGGGAAAAGGGTGTTGTGTGTTGAGCGTGACAATACCGAACGGTAAAGTATCGGCCTCGACTCGATTCGGTGCTTTAGCCCACTTTTCTACTGAAATTTTCAGGTCCCGGCGAACACGTTACGGCCGTTTCACTGCGAGACCCGAACCCCGAGGAAGGTTGAAGAAGGGCTGGGATTATTCAGATATTTCATGGGGATGAATAGATGATCTTACAAAGTAGAGATGAAACGTCTGTCCTATTGAGAAAAGACAAGGGGAAATGGAGATTCCCCATTCAGCTCTACACGCTGCTAAAAATTACCACCGGTACCAAGCAACAAGAAATGAAAGTAGGGGGGGAAAGAAAAGTCGCCTCCTGACGACCCTCCAGCCATGAGGCAAGAACACTAGCTGCTCCGTGTGCACCAGTTCATTGAAGGGCTCGATGGGGCCCCCCCCCCTAACCGGTGATGCAACGCCCGTGTCACTCCTACGGGCAAATTCTAAAAAAAGGTAAGAAAAAAAAAAGAAAAAATGGAAAAGAAATGGAACTCCTGCAAGCTCCACCTGACTAAGCGTGGCCGCCATAGGATACAAGGACAAGATGGGTCTAAGCGTTGCAACAGACATTCCAGCCCGTTGCTTGGTCTACGGCCTGTCTGGCCTGTAGGAAGGATTGTACGGTTGAACGGAGTGTTCCCAGCAGGATGTACTAGTGACTGGAAGGCTGGGCGGTTTCAGCCTTCAGTAGCTTTCCCATGGATCATGTTTTCCTCTTACCAGACATACACTCTATTGAATCCGTAAGAACATTAATACCGAATCGCATTCACGATCACACGCTCCCTCATCACCCGTACAACCACGGGCCAGAGAACCCCCGCTGAGTTGTCACGACCCTCTGAGTCATAGAGAGTTGGAGACGATCCCTGCAGACCGCATAGCGTCATGCCGGAGGCGTGTTTGACGGGGCGAGTAGCGGTGGCCGATCCTATTGGGTTAGGATTACCACCTGGTGTCTTCGCCGCGGTGGGTTGGCCCCCCCCCCGGAGGTCGAGCCCTTATGGACCACCTCACTCGTGAGTATTTAGGGGAGGTCCCACAAAGTGTACCTGTCGTACTTGCCGTTACTGCCTTCACGGAGGGCTCCCTAGTGACAGTGACTAGTGATCCACCGTAGCCCAATTTCTAGAAAACTCGCCGTGCTTGTGATCGTGAAGAACCCCCCTTCGACCTTGTAGTTACTTCGACCTTGTGGTACTTGTTTTGCGGTCGGAACCCCGGTGGTAGTCGTGGCCAAACAATAGCGACAAGTCTAAATCCCGCACGACCTAAGTTACCTTTTCCTACTAGTCCCATTCCCCCCCCTTTTCGGTGGAGAAAGTGTTCTCACCGGATACACTCGGCCCAACATCCACCGTCGGGCAGACTCCAGTCCCTTAACCCCGCCATAGCAGGAACATTCCGGGCGCACCCCTCTTGCGGTGGAGGCACGAACCGGATCGAGGGGAGAGGTCTGAGTGAGCCTTGATTAGTTATGGAACGTAAGCTACTTCCAGCGACATACATGCCGCTAACCGAGTATCAGCGTGAAACTCCTTGGAATAACTAAGTATTGCGTTGGGCAATTACCAATCCTACGGCCCTACGGCGTTCCTGATTTGCCCCGTGGAAGAACGGTGGGATTTCTATCATGCTAGCTTTTGATTTTGGTTTCGAAACCGTGTACCGCTTAGGTGGCGGGAAGTTTAAAACAAAGAAGGGAAGAGACGAACAGGCAGGCTCGGGAGCTACCGAGCCCTCCCCAAAGAGCAAACTCTCAAAATGGCAAAGAACACAATAGTAGAGGTAGCAAGCCTGAAAGAAATTCGAAAAGACGTTCAGGCGCTCGCCTGCCAGAACAGAGGGATATCATTAAGGAAAAAACCCATAAACAAAGGCATAGACTCGTGTATTCGGTAAGTCATCAGAGAGAGGACCCAATCCGTCCCGGTCGAGCGTGCCTGATGCTCCAATGAACAAAACCTCCGGTAAGAGATATCCCTGGATAGCAACGGCCCACCGGGTTACAACCCAACAGTCAACAAGATGCAAAAAAGATAAAAGAAAACGCCGGGGTACCCGCTCATTAATCGTGGCACAAAGGAGGACGAAAGACGAAAGATGAGATGAGCCCACACATGCCGCTCCCTGAGCAAGATGCTTTTTATTCTTCCTTGAGCCTCTGGACCAAGTCGCGGAGGATGCCAATGATAACACCTTCATCTTTAGGCTCACCACCGGGGAAGGAACTCTCTGTAGCGTTGCCTATAACCCGGGCACGCGCACTCCGGAGGACCTCTCGAATGTAGTTCTTGTCTTCGTAATCGTCCATCAAAACGGTCTCGAAGGAGTCGATGGCCTTGTTTGCCCGCTGCAGGAATGAGTTATCATCCGGGGTCCCTTGGAGCACATGGTTTTGCGGAGGCATATGTTGGGACTGTGCATGCGGTGGCGGAGCTGACACCGGCATTGACTGATGTTGCTGACTATGAGCCGGCGCGTGCTGGACAGAATGAGGCTGTGGCTGATGAAGCGGTTGAGACTGAACCGACTGTTGCCTCTGAGGCTGTTGGTAGTGGGCTCCAGGAGGAGGGTGGTAGGCCTGCGGTTGCGGATTGATAGGTGGTGGTGCCTGAGGAGTAGGCGGCTTTTGCGCGGAATAAGGAGATTGGTGCTGAGGTGTTCCCTGACTCGGCTGAGGCCCTTGTGACTGCCTCGGAGCAGGCGGCGGAGGAGGGTTGGAAGCGTAAGGGGAGGTGTACGTGGATGGAACGGTCTTTGCAAAAGCCGCGGGCAGATTGTTGCGGATGGTGCTTGGGATGGGAAAAGAGGCAGGTGTAGGGACTGGGGGAGCAGGAGCAGGAGCAGAAGCAGGAGCAGTAGCAGTACTTGGCACGGGGGCTGACGCAGAAGCCGGTGCCGGTGCGGGAGCAGACGCTGGAGCAGGTGTAGGGACGGGGGCAGTGGGAGGAGCAGGAGCAGAAGGTGGAGCAGTCGTAGGAGCGGTGGCCTGCGCCGGAGGCGTGGGAACGGGAGCCGACACAGGCGGAGGAGCTGTGGATTGAGGCGGATATGGGCTTGAATGCTGAGGTGTCGCCGGCGGCGGTGCAGAGAAATTGGCAGATGGAACAGATGGGAATTGGAATTGTTGATGTTGACTCTGCATTGGCGGATGGCCACCGGGAGGAGCATAAGAATGAGACATAGGGCCCATATAGGATTGAGGCGGCGGCGCTGACTGCTGCGGCGGTATAGGTTGCGCTGGAGGAGGTGGTGATGGCCTCCGCTTCTTCTCTTTCTCCACTGACGCGCCAGGTCGAAGTTGCCAGGACCAACCCTTGCCATCTCGCTCAGCATGCATGAACAAATGATTGTTGCCATTCAGGTTATGCCGCACACTCGACGTCCAACCCTCAGTCTCACACTTGAAGCGGAAATAAGGGTACTTGAGCTTTAATGCCCGATATATCTGCTTCAAGGTCATCGGAGTGCCCGCCTCTGTTAACGCATCAAAAATAAGGACAGCGTAGTTGTAAGGCGGTTTCGCCAAGTCTTCCGGCGTGTAAGCAGACTCTGGAGGGTAATTCGGAGACGGAGAACGAGAGGGCTTGCGCTTCTTGACTGGCGGCGGTTTCACGTATTCCTCTGTACGCTGCTCTGAGAATTGACCTGGCTCTGTTGAAGGGAGAGGTACGTCCATCGAGGTGCTGTCCTTCTTTCGCTTGGTGTACTTCTTCTTGTCTACCGGCTTCACTGACGACGGAGGTGACTCTGCGCCAACAGAATCCTTCGTAGTCTTGCCAGCCTTGGGCTTCGGAGGTGGAGGTGGAGTTACACCACCATTAGCTTCGCGCTTGGCTGCCATCTTTTGTTCGCGTGCAAGTTCCGCTCTTTCACGCTTGGACATGATACCGTCCTTGGGAGGTCGACCGGGGCCACGCCGACGGGCAGGCTGCCCATTATCCCCGGGCTCAAGAGAGGAAACAGCCTTGGAGTCGGCGTCCTTGCTCTTCAAGTCAAACTTGGAGCTCTTAGAAGCCTCTCTACTTTCACTGTCGCTCATGTCTCTGTCCATCTCATCATCAATCTCATGTTCAGCATCGATAGAGCCTTGATCAACATCTTCTTCTTCGGCCGGTGGCTCTTCCAAACGATCCGCTCCGGTTTCTCCGACTGGAACGTCTGGAAGAAGAAAGCGGATGCGAACGCCACCAATTTGGATGTAATCCCCGCTGTGTAATGGACGAACCTGCCCTGGCGAGAGCCAGTCAGCTCCAATGAAAGCGCCATTACGGCCTGTGACTTCCATTTCGAATAAATTGCGCTCAAAGTTGTACGCGATTTTCACATGTCGGCGCGAGATACCGCGGTGACCAGCGGCATTTCCGTCAATGGTTGTGGGGGGATGAATAGGAATAGTAGGACAAGAGCTTGGGGATGGGAGAAGGGCCAAAGCATCAACAGGCTTTGGACCGTCTCGAAGAGAGTCGATAGCAAGGGCATTGTAATCCTTGCTAGGAGCTTGTAGTTGCGATGGAGTCGCATGAGTAGGCATAGATTCGTCAACTGAAGACCTGGAAGACCTTCGGCTAGCGTTCAATCTACCAGGGAGATGTGGAGGCACATCCGGGTCAAACCCCATGATACCTCCGCGGTCACTGACAACACTACCCATGATGGCTGCGCTTTCCTCTCTTCACACGGTTTCGGGTATGGGAGTTACCGCCACTTGAGCTCTTTGCCCGAGAGCTCCGCACGGCCTGCCGGTGATGAATCTCTCGTTGGTGGGCCGCGCGAGCAGCTCGGATATCTCGACCCAGGATGAATGAATAGGTGTTGACATAGAAATGGCCGTCATCAAATTCTAGCTTCGCAAACGCCTGGATTCGAGGCTCCGAGCCAGCAACCGAAGCATTGCCATCCTGATACCCCAGGGCAGACAAATCGGCGCCATTCTGGAGATAAGCAGCTGTTACCATCTCATTATGCTGGAGAGCGTCGAATGCATTTCTTTGGGCCCTCGGACATCTCAAAAGCGGGGAGAAGAGAAGGCTCGATGTCCGATTTCGAGTTCAATGGATCGGTCAGGGCGTTCATTGCGTCGGATGAGGGATGTTCCAGACCATTTGCGTCTTGCGGAGAGTTTCCCAGCCCTCCGAAGATATCAGCCATTTGTCCACCATTTGACACTTGCGTTCCTCCTGGTACTGAGCCTGAGTCTCCTTGGAAGGACTGATCGAAAAAGAGATTATTCTGGGCGTTCGCATCCGACTGCTGGTGGCGTGAATCAAACAAATTGGCATCCTGTTGTTCCGTTTTTTCGCCGGCTGTTTGTCCTGACGCGGAAGCCGAGGTCGAGGATTGGTTTCCGAGCAGTTGAGCGAGTAGCACACCGGCAGCCGATTGGGCGCTCTTCTCCTTCTGTTGGTGTAGGGAGAAATCCTGGCTCTCTGAGGGTTCTGTTTTAATTTCAATCGGGGTGGCGGGCGAGCCCTTCGAGGCTGGGGCAGAATTATGCATGTCGCGGATTGCGGAGGCGCTCCTTGATTCGATGGGGGGCGAGGCGTCATTTGGGGAGGCGCCATAGTCGCGCATGGGCGTATCGGTACCTGGATCAGGCGGACGATGCCCCACTGCTGGCGCCGTCATGGTCGACGACATGACTCTGGAGAAATACGAAGGGAAAGCAAAAGCTGAAGTTCTCACCCTCTGGGCCGGGCGGTGAGGGCCGATTGCACAGTTGGTCCATTCACGTGCCCGTACACGTTTCTCCAGATCTATGAGATTTGCGTCCAATCCATGGAAGAAAGTAGGGATGGATAGTAAATGGGGCCGAATTCGAGATTGATTGAATTTAAAGTATCGTATTCTAGAATTCCAGGGGTTTTCTTTTTCAAAGGAAGCCCCGAAGAAGAGAAAGGGAAAAAAAAAAACCACCCAAGGAAAAAAAAAGACGCCGCTATTCCCCTGGACCAGACGATCCTCCATCAAATTTTCTTCCCGCCCCGCCCAATCGTTTCGCTCCACTAGATTGGGTGCTTGGTTCCTCACCGATTCGAACGATCGACAAGCTGATAGCTCACGCTTGGGCTCTCCGGTCTTTCTGGAATCTGCCTGATTTCCATCATCCTGCAGAGGTGCAACAGCATGGACCATAGTCTATGTATAGTTTAGGTGGAGTCCGAATCCTGCGTCGGGGGCTTTTCTCCGCTTGAAACCTCGGGATGTACAAACTGGATGCGAATGCCAAACTTTGATCATCTCTGAGCTCCACCTTCTTCATGTACAACAGGTAACATGAGGCCCAAATGCAAGATCCATCCAGATTGCGGAGACAAAATCACTGTCTGTCGATAATTATAATATAAAAAAAAAGTATAAAGCAAATTGCATTGATAGGGCAAATCGGTTAAGGACCAATCCAATCCGCCGTAGTACAAGAAAAGCCCAAAAAACTACGCGCAACCCCTCCCCCTCAGACGGCAGACCACCCCCGCTCTGGCTGCACCTGCTTGCTAGTCCAGACCTCGACTACCGGCCTGCAACCCCCAAACCCGAAACCAGCATGCCCAAAGCCAAAAAGTCAGACCCGAAGCCCCAATCCAAGGCCCCCCTCAGCACCGAGCCCCGCCACCCCCAACTGGCCACCCCTACGCCCCCTCCTCCCCGCCGAGGACCTCGCCCTCGAAGCTCTAGTCCCCGGTCAGATCTACCTGGTTCGGAACTTTCTCCCAGGCTCGCTCTGCAAAACATATGCCTCGTTTCTTGCATCCCTTCCACTGACTACTACGCCGGGAAAGCCCAAGAAAGATGAGGCAGTGCGCGTAAATGATCGCTTCCAGGTCCAAGATGCCCGGTTTGCAGAGATGCTATGGAGCGGGACGGCAATGAAAGAGCTTCTCACCACCCGCTTTAGCGAGGGCGAGGAAGAGCATGGTGGAGAGCTTCCGTTGGAGGCAGCGGCGCGGAAAACACAGCAAGTATGGGGTGGGGAGCCGTTGGGCTTGAATCCTAATATCCGTATCTATCGCTATTCGCCGGGGCAATTCTTTGCGCAGCATTGTAAGTATATCCTATCGTTCTTCTGGGCCTCAATCGTAGACACGGTTTCTGAAAGCTTGCAAGCGAACTCTTGTTGATTTGATTGTAGATGACGAGTCAAATGCTTTGACCTTCCTTCCCCAGGGCTCCAACAGGGCTACTCCGGCCCGCACCACTTGGACTCTTCTTATCTATCTCACAGCTTGCTCGGGGGGTGAAACGGTATTTTATCCCGAGCCTACACGGGCTGATCGCAGTCCTGCACCGATATCTGTGGCACCGGAGGTCGGGATGGCTCTGTTCCATCGGCATGGGGATCATTGTATGCTGCATGAAGGTACGGAGGTGACGAAAGGGGAGAAATGGGTGTTGCGGAGCGATTTGGTAGTACCGCGATGATGCTATCAGTACTGGTTATATGCAGCCAAATATTACTATTTCAAGCACGATAGCATGCGCCTACTAACCTAGGCAGTAAGCAGCAGTAATGTCGATACCTGATTATGATTGACGTAGCTAGGATAAACAGGCTCGTTGTACCAGTAAAGGACAAAGTTCTACTCAATTTGCTCTGCCCTAGTTGTCCGCGGACAATGCATGGGGTAAACTCAAAAAGTTACTACAGCAAGATAGTGTGACAGGAAGACAGTAGGTACCTGTGCCAGGGGGCGCCGCAGGTCAACGAGAACAGAAACTTGTAGATACAGGAAGTCGTAAAGAGTGTCGGGACTGGGAGGACGAGATATTTGAAAGAGAAATTCGAAGATAGCGGAAGCAGGAGGACATGAGCAGACAAGGTAAGATGCAACAAAGGGAATATAGCATCAAAACCAGCGTTGCGTCTGTGGGTCGCTCTTCCGCACTGGCAGGGAGTATTCGTCGTATCGTGTCACATTCATGAAGAAACGGGGGACTTGGCGGAGTCAATCTGGTACTCAGTCCGCCGCATGATCTCCTCCACTGGCCCGAGAAGTCTCTTGAAGCCGTCTCGGCCCAACCGAGCAACCTTGACATCAGTTTTGGTGACGATGCTTGCTGCACGAGGTTTGTCATCCAGCAGTGCAAGCTCACCGAAATAATCCCCACGGCGATAGCTCTTGACTGAAACACCGTTCTTGAGCGCCTCTGCCTCCCCTGACTCCAGTAGGTAGAATGCATCTCCGGGGTCACCTTCCGCGATAACAGTCGCCCCTGCAGGATATTTGATAGTGTCCAAGGCATCGGCAATCTTGGATCGTTCGTAAGGCTTTAGGGATGAGAGCAAGGGCACTTCTTCCAAAAAGGCTTCATACATCCGTCGTCGCTGGAATGCTGAATCCATCAGAATTCGGCGGAATGTAATCCGATCTAAAGCCCACAAGGTGCTCTTGGGCTCCGTGGAGACCACGGTAGCCGCACGCGGAGCATTGTACATGAGGGCAAGCTCACCGAACGAGCCCCCAGGGCCTGTAGTGGCTACTTTGTTACCCAGCCCATCTGCGCCGGGTTGAATAGCCCCCGATGGATGGATGTAGATATCAAAGTGGCCGTCTTCGACGATATAGAAATAATCACCCGCATCACCCTGCGAGATAACCTTGATATCCTTGGCAGGGATTGGCTTCTCAACCAAAGCATCCAGAACGGTCCTGAATTGCTCATCGTCGAGGTGAGAGAATAAGAAGTTGTTGCTGACCGCAGTCTTTAAGCGTTCCAGTTGCTCATCCGACTTGGGGTGGCGCGGAGGAGTCCAGCTATCAGCGCCTGCAGATGTGGGATTCAAAGACTCCGCCGAAACTGAAGTTCGACGGCCTAAGGCGTAGTTATTTGGTAGGCCCAATCCCCCACTTGCAGGCGGGACCTCTCTACGCTCCTCATCCCCCTGACCATCGCCGGACTGCGCCCCGGTGTCGAATGGGTCACGGCCGAACAGTGAGGCTCCCGATCCGCTGCCATGTGATGCATTCTCACGGAATGCGCTTCCTCCAAAGATGGCGTTTCCTGAGGAGTCACCGGCATTTGACTGGCGGAAGGTCATGTCTGTTGGCGATGTCACCTCGAATTCGTCATCTTCAGAGATCTTGGGAATGCTAGGGGCCTTTTCAGGAGTCGAACTAGTATTGAGGAAGGGGTTGGACCCGGGAAACGAGCTGTCTGCCATTATTGGGTCGTAAGGGCCGGAGAGGCCGCCGCTCCGGCCTCGCTGAAGCTGAGAAAGGGAGGGAGGGGAGAGAATGGTGGAGTGTGGATTGAACTGGACTTCCGGATGTCTGCGATCTGGGTGGTCAAAAGGGATGTTGAAGAATCACGGTGTGGAGAGAGCGGGATTAGGGTTCATGAAGAGGGAAGGTGAATAGTAGGAAAAGGGTAGATGGTCACGGGTAGGAGGGGCAAGCCTGCAAGTCTGCGGGCAGGCCAGAAAGTGGGGATCCACGCAAGAGTCTAATTGGGGTGCCCAGACGATGGGAGGGTTTCGGGAACAGTGCAGAACACGAGTCATGGAGGGTCTCACCTGAGGGGGGGCTGAGAGGTGTCACAGTTTGCAGAGCTGGACGAACTTCTTACAAACCAATTGGGGAAGCGAGAGGAAGGAGGAAGAGGAGGGGTAACTAAAGTTGGGGCGCTGGTCTGAGCTTCTTCGTCGATCTCCGTCCTGGATGATGCTTGGTGATCGACGTCACTCATTCCCATCTTTGGGTCGCCAGCAAAGCTGGGATCGAGGTCGGTCCAATGATCGCTCCCAGCAAGATTGGGTTGGCCCAGAAATGCACACGACCTAGTCCGACCCTGATGCGGCCAGGAGGAACCATCCAGGGATGAGACCGACGAAGGAAAAGGCGAGGCATAAAGAAGCTCGTATCGAAGCTTTCCATGTGTCTTCTAGAACAGCGGGTAGGGGTGACGGAAAATCAGTGGCACAATTGGTCGCCACTGGAGTGGGACACGCCGGTGGCAAATTTCGGCCCCAGGGCTTGATGACTCTTGAAGTCATCCATACGACAGACAGCCTTGGACTTTTCTTTACTAGAAGATCCATATGTACGACGTTGCCAAAACTTGGGTCTCGTAAGCCTCAACCTTAAGCGACTTCTGGCCGCTGGAGATGGAATTTCCTGGCATCCACGCGGGTAGCCGTTTCCGGCTGCTCTAGAACAATTCTTCAGCAACCACCCCGGAAGGGCAACCATGTAGATAGAAACAGAAATTTCCAGTGGTACCTAGGAGAGAAGCCTTAGATTGACCCCCATTTCGGAAAGTATGAAATTTTGAGTAGGCTACTACTATTACTATATCAGCTAGAAGCTATGTGGCCCAGTTCGTAGAGAGTAGACTACACTACATCGTATGACTACTCCTAGGCCCTCTCATTGGAAGCTCAGCAGGGCGTTCCTAGTATGCAGCGCCTACTACATTGACTGGTGCAGGAACTTGATCAGTGGCAGGGGCAAAGAGAGGAACTGCAGCCACTGTCGCAGATCAGTCTTTTGTTTGCTTTTTGTTTGTGCTCAGTAGCCTTGAAAAGCCCCTTTCTTGCTGGTTTCTGGCAACATATCTATTCTTGTATAACATGGTATTGTTTGACAAGGCGCAACCCACTATAGCATCAAAGGCTTCTCACCTAGAGCAACCAGTCTTGTAATTTTGAGTAGGCTGGGAATACTAGTAGTCTTTGGCTTCATTTGCAGTAGCAAAGGCGGCTTCGTGATGTCTCCTTGAGTTCCAGGTCTTGCGTGACGCATGCCATTCATACATAGACACCTTCTGCTGTATGCAGGCCCTGAGATCTGCTCATGATTTTGGGTCCCTGTACATCGGCTTTAATGATTTTCCACCGGGGCTTCTCTCTCGCTCATGGGATTGAGTTGCCGACCAAGTAACCAAGGTCAACTCTGGAGTGTGGCTGATCGGTTTATGCCAACATTCTGATGGTGATTTGTCCTAAGCACAATATGCCATGTTCCTCCAAAGAGAAATTTGGAGGCCTGAGGCAAGGAGCAAATCTGCGAGGGTTACAGTCACGTAGTTCATGGAGCACTGACCATCGACCCCAAAGCGGCACGTCAAGATCGCACAGCCCCCCGCGTGATCCACGGTCCCGCCACTCTGTATGAATTCGCGACTCTTCCTCAGGCTCATCCTTCAAGCTCTCGGTCTCTGATGAGGGTTGATTCTTGGCCCCTTGTGCCTCGAACTATACAGATATGCTAAGTCCAGACCGCTCTTTTTGTGGGTCTCTCAGTCGCAAAGGTCTAGTCCAATGTAGGTCCAGGTCAACCGTGGGTCATGAGCCGCCGCGGAAGCTACAGGGCGCAAAGCTCCAATGGCCAGATGCAGGATTTTATCAGAAGATTGTAAAAGCTGCCTACCAGAAGATGGGCAGGTGTAAGCCGGGCATGTCATATAAGCCTTACCATTTTCTCTAGGTTGGGCAAAGAAAGTTCATCAAGTTCAGTGCCTTGATCCTGGCTGGTCTGTGTCACCCCCACTCGATTTAGAGCTTGTAAGCGCCCTCCCCCGGCGCCATTCTTCGTTCTGCCCCTTTCCTTTCCTCTCTACTCCCCCATTCCTGGTTGCCCGATCCGAGGATTGACTTTTGCACGAAGTTATGGGTACCTTCACTTTCCGATGGTGAGTCCATGCCGCTCAATTGCGGATGTGCATGCTGTAGAGCTCCCCCCGGGCGCAGCTGCCTGCGGAGAGTTCGAGTCCTTCCCACCTCCCATTCAGTGGCACAGACTCTCGCCTTGGATTGGTTCGCTGACTGGACGGTTCCTCGCATTTGCATCTAGGCCCGAAACTGCCAGCGAGGTGTTCGTAACAGGCACCTTCGACGATTGGGGTAAGACGGTGAAATTAGACCGAGTGGGCGACGTCTTCGAAAAAGAAGTCACTCTTCCTGTAGAGAAGACACAGTACAAGGTATGCCGGCCCCTCTTCCCTTCCAGATTCTGGGATCATGACTCCGCCCAACATTGCGGTGAGGGGAGTGGTTCGCCTCAGGATCTAGGCACCAACCCCAGCTTTTTCTTTTTCGTCCATGACGCCTCCAGCGCTCTCGGTCCGCTGACGTCACTCAATCTATCCGCCACGCTATAAACTCGCTTGGAGCGCCTGCTAACTTTGCCCCTGACAGTTTGTTGTTGACGGCGTCTGGACTACCGATAAGAAAGTGCGTCAAGAAAGTGACGGCCATAACAATATCAACAACGTCCTGCTGCCAGAGGAGATCACTCCCGTATCCGAAACCTCCGGTTCCACCCCTGCTATGTCTGGCGTCACTCCTGACTCCACCACCGCCACTCTGGCCGCCGATGTTCCTAAAGAACAACCCAACGGCAACCTCCCCGGAGCCTTCCCCGAGACGCCTGCACAAGAGACTGAGAAGGCCTTCTCTGTGAACCCAATCCCCGCTTCAGAGGGCATCGGCAACCCCATCCAGTTGCAGCCTGGCGAGAAGGTTCCAGATCCCAGCACGATCCACAACAACACCATTGACTCGACCGTTAAGCTCGACAAGGAGTCTTACGAGAAACCCGATAGCGTCCCCTTTACCGGTGCCGGTGCCCAGAACGAGAGCCCCGATTCAAGTGCCTTCAACGTACCTCCTGTCTCGAAGAACACCATTCCCGAGTCAAGCTTACCTATCGGCGGACCTGCGCAGCAGGCCGCTGCGGCTGACCCCGGCTACATGATTCAGTCCGCTGCTCCCACTTCTACTACGGCCGCCCTGGCTGCGGAGGTCCCTCTGGAGAAGGATAAGCAGGCCAGCGACGCTACTATCCAATCTGCAGCACCTACCTCCACCGCCACCGATCTGGCTTCCGAAGTCCCACTGGAGAAGAAGAAGGATGAAGAGGAGCAGCAGTTCTCTATTCAGCCTGCGCCCTCTGAGCCCCCGGTAACGGAGAGCAAGGAGACAAACAATGCAACTATCCAATCCGCAGCTCCCACCTCTACCACTGCAGCCTTAGCCGCTGCCGTGCCTCTTGAGAAAGACAAGAAAGAAAATGGCACTGAGCCCGTGAGCGATGTACCTGAGGTGGTTAAAGAGTCACTTGCTGAGGCCCATCAAGACCCCGAGGCCGCAGCCAACAAGGAAGCCGTTGAGGAGAAGAAGGACGTGGAGCAAGAGCTCCAGAAAACAGTCGGTCTAGATGAATCCCAGGGTGCTCCTGCACCCACCGTCACTGCGGCCACCTCCGCCATTGCTCCCGGGGTTGCTGCTAACACTGGCTTTGACTCTGCCAATGTTTCCCCCACCTCAAGCCCTCCTCCTGGTCGTGCGGCCCCGACCTCAGCCCCTCCCCCTGCCGAATCTAAAGACATTCCCGCTTCAACCGAGTCTAATGGCCCGGCTGTGACCACCGGCGTGACTACCGGCAACACCGCCGAGGTTACCACCCCTAAGCCCGCCGAGTCCCACAAGGATGAGAAAAAGAAGAAGCGTCTGAGCGGGTTCTTCAGTAAGCTGAAGGAAAAGCTCAAGTAGACGTGAACTTCAGTTTCCTTTGAAAGACATCTGCCCGCTAAATTCTCAATCCCCGCGCACTTGGGTCTGTACAAGGTGGGGGCTAATTCCTGGTTTCTTTTGGAGGGACCCATTTCCTTTGCTATTGTTCTTACTGCGTTCTTGATTTTGACCTGGATACCTCATTTGCAGCCTCCTCGCATTGTATTCAGCAATCCTTGATGACATGTCCCTTAATAATGTTTGTCGCTCAGTGCACATGCTCAATATTCATTTGGTAACTGTAGAGTACATAAAGACGCTAGCTCCCATGGTCTCGTGTATGTAGGAGACGACGGTTGCTTTCCAAATGGGTAGGCCAAAGCAACGGCCGATACCCAAATACCCTCTGGCACGTGACCAGTCCGTGGTTATATTGAATAAATCTGGTGCTCAGTTGTCCTTCGGGACATTTGGTCAAATGAAAATATACAGAGAAGATTAGCATGGCCCCTGCACTAAGGATGACACGCTCAATCAAAGAGAAGCTACCAGTTTTTTTTTCCTTACTGAAGCGATCTCGAGGTGCTAGACTACTTTGGGATTTCGTGGTCGCGGTTCGAGTCACGCGTTGGGCAGCTTCCGGTCTTTTGTCTTTCTTTCTTTTTTTTTTCCCCCTTTCTTATTGTTCGCGGTGTACCATCAACGTATGGACTTGGATCCTCTCATGCTCGTTCAATAGCTAGTGAGATGCTTGGAATTCCAGATATGGGCACAAGCTACCACTCCAAGTAATATGGTGATCGATTACTGACTCGAGGCTTTGGGGCCGGCTGGTCCGGAGTCCCTTGTTTCCAGAAGATAGAACATAGCGAGGGAGTTCCAAGGCTGGAAAGTAGCCGTAGCCTACCATTTCTGTATTTCTATATCAGAAAATCCAGTATTTATTTCCCATTCATTTGTGCGCCCTTGTATTCTAGTTATTAAAGGAGCCAGATGATATCAATTCAATGAAGCATACCCAACTCCGAATTCTTGAGCCTCGAAATTCATTTGCGGCTCATTGACCGCAAATTACTCCTTGTCGCCGCACTGATGCAGGTCTCAAAACGGTATGGCGTTGCTTACTTGCCCGTTGAGCTTGACAGGGAATCCCAGCATACTACATGGCTTGTCAGTGATGCTTTCCGAAAAGTTCTCGAAGGGGAGACAGACTCTTTCCCGGTCTTGGTACAACCGCAGCCGCAGAAGATCGAAGCTGGCCAACAGATCACCTTGGTTTGGGTGAGCATGCGAATGTGAAGGGTGTTGAGACACCCGACAGGTGCCGTAGCTAGGGAGGATCTGTCTTGCTTACAGCCGCAACAATAGTACAACAGAAACCTGAACGGAGCAACCATTCGTTAGATGATCATGCAAAGCGACGCCTCTGAGGCAACTCTCCAGGGCTGAGTAAGAAAGACTTACCTAATGTCGGCCCGACGACTTTACAGTGGCAGGGATTCTGGTCGGTGCCGCATTGGAAGCAGATGGGGAAAATGGGGATGAACGGGACGTCACACATGGCTGGGAGAACGGGATAGGCGAGACAAGGGGACAGAGAGGAAGGATTGAAGATGCCAGTATGGAGTATATTCAAGCTGCCTTGCGGGGGGGTTCCTTCACCTGGCGGTCGTCTTGTTCATGTAGGATTTGATCATGATGACGCACTTGAGATGATAGCTCCTCGATTTGCGATAGCGTGGAGTGGAGAGTGTGGGTCACGATCGCTGCAACACAACGGCCTTTTGCCTTTACGGTCTGATATTCAATTTGAATGAAGTGAATATTGGTGGTTTCGGGTATTCCAATTCAGAACGCTTGTCGAAGCACATCCCATACCTTTCTTGCAATTGATGTAGACGAGCTAAACCCTCCGCTGAACGTTGCATTTGGTGATTTTGGGCGTGTTGGAGCTAGCTTTCAACTTACGCGTTCCTTCCAATATCTTGGGTTCTAAGGGCTTGGCTCACCCTCGGCGTTTTCTTCAAGTTCTTCGTCGGTGGATCCAATGCGTAGCCAAGAATGCTGGCACACCGGACATTCATTACGCTTGCCTTGGCCATCCGGATATCCCAGGGGCCAAAACCATAGCCGCACGCCCCACGCCTACCTAGGTTATCACTGGGAGGGACGGTAGTCCCCTTACGCGGTCAAGAACTGCAAGATAATTTCCTTTGCCGAGATGAGCCCTTATACTCCGCGTCAGCCTGAGAGGGGATGGTCTTCTTAAGAGTCTCACGGCCATTTGACGGCCAACTGCTAACATCAGCTGCGTTCGCAGGACCGGAGCAACCCTCGGCTGGGACATATGTTCGAGGTTCTCCACGTTGGCCGGCAATGTACGGCAGCATAGCTCCCTTTCCATTCTCCGATTGCCCTTTCCTCACATGCAAATGGGATCCCACCCACAGGTAGGCCACAGCCAAGGAAAGGCGGGTCTAATGACGAGAGGCCCCAAGCCTACAGTGACATGTGAGGGAAGAGGGTGATCTTGGCCTTAGAGCCCAAATACCAGAGGACCATGTCTTTACACCTAAAGGACGGTGAATTTCGTCATGTGGGGCGATCTAGCTCGGGGATCAGATCAGAGATCCTCTTGCCGCCTGGTTTGTATGGGCCCAGTTTACTTGGCGCACAACCAGAACACCAGGCAACAGTCAAATCCCCAGCAACTCATGCTAACCGGCAGTTGGGATTACGGCTTGGGTTATTTTGTAATGTGCCATTTCGCCGCTATTCCTTTCTGCTACGATCCTGCAGCCACAATGTACACAGCCACTGGCAGACGGAAACCCCTCGTGGGGCCCCAAACCCGCCCCTGATTTGGTTGCATCATTTCCATGATTTTTCGATTTTTCTTCTCTTTCCCTGTGCCTTCGTATCTGTAATACCTTCAGCTCCCGGCCAGTTGTCCATCTTGCGTATCCGGCCCACACTCGGTCTTTGGCGACAAAACTCAACCCGGTTCTCCCTTGAAACCGTGCAACGTGAACTCCACACGCGATCTGCCGCAAGCCTCAGTTTGACCAACATTCTCAGCCCCTTCGGTCTGTCGCAATCTGCAGTCTTTTGGGTTTCGATCTCGAAATGCATAAAATTCTGTCTCTCGTGTTCCTTCTCCTCTTCGTCGGCGTGGTCGCCGCCGTCGGCTTTGTCGCCTACAGCATTTACCAGGAAGTCAGCAAAAACACCCGTGAAAAGATGGAGCACAAGAACATTGCCTTCACAAAGGATGGAATGAAGGTCGGCGTGAGAGAGCTGAAGGATGAGGCCTACAAGGATCGCACTCAGAGGTTCGTTGGCCGTCAAGTTCCCTGTCTGGGCCCTTTTCACGCGTCCTCGCTGTCGCTCTCCCAGAAGGCCTGATCTCGTCATCTGGTCCTAACAACCTTATCTACATAGTGTTCTCGTCAATGTTTGGAATAATACCTCCTTCCCCAACTACAAGAGTCGCCTTTGGGATATGAGTGGCAAACAGGGTCAGAGCGCAGAGAAGCGCAAGCCGTACGCCTTTCTCGTCGTACCTTGATCCACCCCGATTGAAGCTAACATGCCTCGCCTGACCAGTCACTGAATAACCATTTTGATTCATTGGTTCTCGTTCAATGGAGGCCGTGTTGTCTCATTCGGAACGTAGGTTGGGACCTCGCTATAGGGCCCAACCTACGGCCAGAACAGTAGTGCTGCGCATTGCCATCTTGGCCGATTTGGGGGGTTGTTTCCCCCTTTCCGAAACTTGAATATTTCTCTGTACAGGTTTTTGCTTTCTCAACCTTTTCTTGAACTCCCAATTTTCCATCAAATACCCATGAAGTGCTTTTCCGGAATGCGTCACGATGTATGAGTATGCTTTTACCTAGGACCCGTCACTCCTAGTGCTGTGACCCTCGCCCTGGATACAGCTGGGGTTAGGATTCCTATGGCATTGCTGCATTGATCCGACCTTGGTTGCGAGATATTTTTTTCTTTCGATCTATGCCATTTGTACGATTCTTCTCCAAGTGTCATCTAGTAGAGCGTCAATGTACAGCACTCCCCTATGAATGAGTTTCATAATAGAACCCTTTTTTTCTTCTCATGATATGGGCCGAGTTGTACCATATATACTTGCTATCACTTCCGGCTATCCTACGTATCGAGACGGTCGTGGCTTTGTCTCTTGGGTGGGGTTCCTACGAGACGACCCAATTAAATCACGCAAACAAAGCATAAATAATCTGTACTCTCGAGTTTCACATTTCGATGCAATCAGCTCTAGCCATATTTGTCTTCCTCTGGCAACCTCTTATCTCGCGTGGTTAGTATCGAGTGGCCATGTTCCGAATATGGCTGCTGATGGATGAATTGACCGATGTATCTCTATTGAAATCGACCTGCCTTGGCTAGGGGGATGATCTCAACGATGACTTGCCTAATGGCGGTACAGATCTGGCTAGCCAGTAGACTCACGCCTGCACTCGGGACTGTCACTGAGTTGGGCTTCCATTTGATCGGAATAAGGTTCTTAGAATGTCAGATTAAGTATTGGGGGAAAATTTGGAGTTTGGACGGTACGATGGATCTAGTTCTTTTGAACATCAAGTTCTTTGGTGTTTTGTTTTAGCCCGCGGGCTAATTCAGTCGGCTTGGAGTCCTGCTTCGGGTATTCGATTTGTTTGGTCGTGTACTTGATGTACCGTGATGAAATCCGACTTGATGGTTGGATCTCTGCAGGACGGTTTAATGCGAGACAAGTGCACCAAGGAGTCTGTGCTACAATGGAGGAAATCGAGATAAAGCAAAGGACTTTATTTCACTAGTAATGGCGCAAAGACCTGGAACTGAAAGGTGTACACGTTGACAAAGAGACGTCCCATCATTGGCAGATTCTTGAAAACAATTGATCTTCACACGATCAAGTCAATTCGAACAACAGTCAAGTCTCAGCTTTATTAACCTCAGGGGCCCCCTAAACCAGCAACCGAAAACGGGCTGCAAGTACAAGCAAGAAAGGTGCATCCGGGTTTCAAACAACCTTCATAAGATGTCTGACAATCTTGAGCATACATTCACAAATACAAGGCCCGTTATGTGGGTAAATGTGTTCTTCGAAAGCCACTGTAAATACTTATCAGATGAACAGCTACTCCTCTATATCCACGAGTATGTCCGAAGCGAGAGTCTTGCCATGACAGCTACTCCAGATCCTCTAGAGGACTACACAGATAGCTGCCTTTCTATCAATGTTGATACTAGGGATACTCAATGGAGTAACTCCGTTAATATTGACGGGATGGTGTTCGAGAGGGTCCAACAGTGGATTCGCGATTTTCCAATGAATGGACTTCCTTTTGATCGTGGTAAGATCTTCACCAAAAGAACGACCGGAGGGAACCACGGATATAGAGCCATGGCGTACGTCGTTCCTCTAATGATTCTGCTGTTTGTTGATATTTGGTTCCGCATTTTCCCCTGTGACTGATGGAGGAAAAGGGCATAGGCAGAAAGATGGGACAGACCTTCCTATCAAATACACTTGCATCTCCAAGTCTTTGGTTTATTTTCCCTTTCCTCCAGGTTCCCTGCTGACTTTCTTCGCTTTTTACCTCCTCCTCATCCTTGACCATTTCCAAGCCTATCCCAAGGACAAGCCTGAAGCGCGTTCATCTCATCACCAAGCTTGCACGAACTCCTCTCTCCTCTCTCCTCTCTGCTCCAAGATGGTTTCTTCGACATTTAACGCGTCCAGTGACTTTGAGGCCCCGCAGAACTCGGACCTTGGCCTTCTGCCGGACCCGAATCTACGCGATGATTCCCTGACGCCAGAGGGCATTGTTCCCTTGACTGGAAAGCCGCCCCACTACCAAGCTAGAAGAGTATTGAACGCCTTACTTAACAAAAATATCCCAGTCATGGAGTACGGAGCACAATTTGTTTTCAGACACGGCCATACACGAGAATTGATGGTGAGCTCTTCTCTCTGTTGTTATGTTCGTCGACGGTGACCACTGACTATATCCCAGGCATATGAATGGACTATTCCTGATGCCCAAATGGAAAAGGCCTCGCAGATTGTACAAGAACATGGGTTTTCTCTTAGGACTCCTGATTTTCGATGGGACACTTCGATCCAGGATATCTGGCTTCGGCGAGAACCTGATGGAGACGGCAATCGATGGGGTGCATATCCACATCATACCTCTGTCAGCAACCTTCCTCACCTTCGAGGACGCCGAGCGGGCTCCTTCAATCATCGACACAGACGCGATGATTCACACTCCAACTCCCCTGAAGTACATGGAGTCTCTGATCAAGCAATTGATCAGAATTCCTGCTGGGGAGATATGCCGAGGCCCATTTGAGGAGGACCTTCTGGGACTCATCCGTTCCTATGTTATTCGCCAGCATGAGCCCGAGATCTGCCAGGTAACCCGCAGACAAGTGATCGATTCGGCTTACCGGCGCATGGAGAGTTGGGACTGGAGCAATGTCGGGAATGGATATGATGATATTCTCAAGGAGTTGGTCGAAGATCCTGGATTCATCGAGGAGCTAACATCTGACGACCCCAGTTTCTAGGCTGTTTGCGGATGCTTTGCACCAAATCCTGTAGGAAATGAAAAATCAAGGTAAGAAATAAAAGAATTCAAAAAAGAAAGGAAAACGCAGAGGAAGAAAGCGAGAGAAAAGAGTAGACCTCTTACCACCGGCCTGCTGTATTTGAATGCTGGACACCCCCTCCCCACTCGCCCCTTAGATAGTTATGGTAAGAATAGAGTGGAGTACCTAGGTTGCTATATGTACCATTTTTCTATACTATATGGGGCTTTCCTATCTTAGCCGCCGCTTTGATAAGGGTGATCAGAGTCAGGCTCACTTAATTTTCAGTCCAGGCTCAGATTCACTGAGCTACTCATTTCTACCTTCTGATAATCAGGGAGAGTCCAATTACGCTCACTGAGCGCCCAGTGAGTCTGATTGGCTGCTCGTTGAGCCACCGGTAGTTACTCAGAAATTCATCTTTCCTCAAAGGTAAGACTTCTCTTGGTCAATCGCCACCCCAAGTATGTCCCGTCACTCTGTCGAGATACTTAAGATGAACGCACACAGAGAGAGATAGAGGAAAGATTGATTCAACTGGAGATCAGAATTCCATACAGAAAAGCGGGGGTCAAAGTAGATTATGCGAATGTTGTAGACTAGCTTGTATAACATAAAGGAAGGGCTTCAAACGAATGGTAGAGGTCTAGAAGAAGTAAAACAAAACTCAAGGCTAAATAGATGTTGCATCCAAAGTAGGCTAATCCGAGCCACGTAGGCCTACATAGGAGGAAGTCTCAAGATTAGTTAGAGACAGGACCTCCCAATGGGGAGATATCGAACAGGGTGTCAAGAGAAGAGTCAGAAAACTGGCAGCCAGCGAAATAGGAGCAACACTATTTCTTGCTTCAAGGACGTGAAACGAGACGATCCATCTAAGTACACGATTCCAAGGGGCTTTCTATGAGCCCCCCTCGTCCCATGATAACCAAGAAGCGAGCATTGAATATGAAGCAAGGGAAATGCACGAGAGTCTGATCTCAGTGTCTCGTCTCACCTCCGGATGATGGGACTTACCACAGGTTCAAACGGGAATCTAGATGATAGCTATTTGTCACGTGTTTTTCTTTTCCTTCTCAAGTCTTGATACGTTCGTCGAATGCTAGCTACTATGGCGATTTGAAACATACGTATCTAATTGTAGCACTATTCAGAGTACCTCATTGCATTAAGCGGCCAAGCTTCTCTCCTACCATGCTCTTCAAATATTCTGGTACATTCTGTCTTGACCGACTAACAGTGGATTATCCTGCAGCAATGAATCTCACGAGTGGTGCCTGTGCTTATGTTCCACTTGGGCCGCAACTTGTTGGGTCAGTTGGGGCCTTGTGGATCTCAGCCAGAAGGACAGACCGAGACTCACTACAGAGAAGGGGATCAGAGAATACCAAACAAATTTGAACGCGTGGGCGTAAGCATTGCCTACTCCACGTTCTGCCGCCGCAAGGATCGTAGGAGTGACGCCGCGCACCGCCATCAGAGCCGATTCTTGTTTGGTGGAGAGGGCCTGGAGGAAGGCGGGTAGAGAACTCTGTGGGAGGCCTGCTTTGAGTGCCTCGTCCGCCACCTCTTCTGGCAGGAAAGATTTGATCTTGGAGGCGAAGATCTGGCTGAAGATAACGGTGCCAATACTGCCACCGAGAGCACGCGCTGCCGCAGCCACACTGACCGCTGATGCGATCAGATGATTTGGAGTACAGATACTCACGACAATAATCAGAAGTGAGGTCATAATCCCAACAGCGGTGCCCAGAAGAGCAGTCGGGAAGAACCAGGCAGCATAGTTGATATGCGGTTTCATGACAAGCATCAGACAAGTCCCGACCAGTAACATAACAAACGCTGCAACGACCGTCCATTTTCGCCTCCTTGGTAATACCAAGGACAACAGCGCTCGCCATAGCGCCCCCGATAGTCATCGCATTGAAGGGGATATTCCATACCCCGGTCATAATAGCGTCGGAAGTGAATAACGCGGTAATTTCTTGTGGGAGAAATGCTTGACCCCCAAACATGACAATTCCACCGACAAAATTTAGCACAAGGCATATGGGGTAGTTAGCGTCTGTGAAGAGGCTATGGGCGACGATACCGTCACTAACCGCCAGCCATTCCCATAAACAAAACACAATCATACAAACACCTCCGACAATTATACAGGCAAGCACCCGGCCAGAGACCCACGGGGTCGGGTTGTCACCAGATTCTATCCCCACAAGAAAGAGGGTTAGACCTGCTGCAGCAAGGAATACCCCGATCCAGTCGATCTTGAGGAAGCGGGTCATAGGAGATAGATTTTCGGGATTAGGACGAGGGGCTGGGTGATAAAACACCACAATAAGAATAAAGGTAAGGCCTGAAAGTCCAGCAAGAAAATAGAAAGGGGCCCTCCAGCCCTCTCCATCGCCACCGACATTATACTTAATAAAGGCGCCAGCGATTATAGGCCCTGAAATATACGCAAGACCGGCAAAAATACCGCTGAGGGCTTGTACACGGGCACGTTGGTCTTTTGGCACAATCTCAGCAGAGAGTGGGATTGCCAGGAAGCCACAGGTAAGGCCAATACCGTTAAGCACTTGGCCACCAATGACCATTCCCATGCTGTCGGCACGGCCGGCGATCATTGAGCCGGCGAAAATCAGCGCCATACCAAGAAGCAGAGGCCACTTGCGCCCAAAATGGTCTGATAGATCTCCAAGAAATGCCTGAATCACGCAGTTGGCGATAGTAACAGAAGAGGCAATCCAGATAGAAATGCCAGCTTCCTCGGGAAAGGCCGCAGAAATGAAACTGATACTAGAGTTGGGGATGGCAAGCGAGTAGGTTGAGGTCAAGTAACAACCCCATAAGGCAGTCAAATTGAGCCAGATGTCAAGGTCCCATGTGAAACTCTCTTGAGCGCCTTCGATATCAACATTGTCAATGGAGGTTTCCTGTGGGCTGTCTGCGGCAGATGCATGCTCGATGTGGGTTGCTGCATCATTGGAGGAGGACGGCTTTTCCTCGATGATGGCTGTCGCTTCGGGATTCATGGTCAAGGTCAATGGATAGAATTGAGCTGCCACGGCTGGTGTTTTCTTAAAGAGCCAAAAATCTGGGTGTATTTATATATTGTGACTTTGCTGACCTGGAATTAAATCCGTGATCCTGGGGAAGAAGGCCCCGCATTGCGGAGTATTTAAGCTCTGGACACTGAGTCAGTGGTCTGGGGAAGAACCCCCCCCCCTTGCGGAGTATTTAAGCTTTAGACACTGAGTCAGTGGCCCAAATTCGACTACGAATGACTCAGGTTCAGTCAACATGCTTCTGGAGACGATTGGCTCGGGCGAAAGGCAAAGTGGTAGTTAGCCAAGCACAGGTGCACCGGCACAGGATGGGCTGCGGTCTCTGGAGCGAGGTGGAATTTCACCAGGGGCGGAAGTTGGAGAGAGGAGCAACTCTAACGGACGAAGGGAAGAAATGAAGCTCGACGACCAACAAATCAATGTCCCTGTCTTGCTGTGAATATATATAGATGGAGCTACTCAACACACTTGGATGTCATACATCATCACTTTCATTCCCACAGCCAAAAAGATGCTCCTCTCAAGAAGGACAATCTGGGCCCCCATCACCCACCATGTCTGTCACTCACAGCCGGACTTCGTAAGTCATCAACTTGCCCATCGAAGAGGTGTGGAAATTTGCCACGGTCCCTGCCAACTGGATTAAACTTGGACTGGGCACTTGGAAACTGCACAGCTCCGGTGGTGAGGACAACGTCGAGCCCGTCCAGCGCACGATGCTACCGGGCGAGCATTTCTTCGAATATATGCACATGCCTAATCGATTCGACTTTGTTGGCGACTGGGTGGTCACTCTCCATGAGTATCCCTACAAGTGGGGATTCAAGTCTGCCCATTGGCACGGCACCGCAATGCCTACGCACATCGACGTGACTTACACGTTTGAGAAAATCGACGACAACACTACCAGATGGTCCCGCCATCGAATCAACACCCTCCGATCTGGTTGCTCTAATGAGGTTGATTTCCTCGAGGGGAAAAACGATCTGGAGGAGGAGTATCAGGAAATCACTAAGCAGTATCTGGAGAAGGGGATCCCTCGGCAGCCCCCGCATAATCCGAAGCCCGTTCACGAGCCAGGCTGGCTCGCCACTCTTCCAGTAGTAGCAACCGAATAGATGGATCGGAAGCCGTGATGAATTTGACGGTTGAGACGAGAGAGAGATTGCCATAGGGCTCTACATAGAGGAATCTACCATGGTTACTGGAGGAGTTGTAAATAGAAGCCTTCATGGAAGATAGCTTTCTTCTCCTTTCTCTTCCTTCTCTACCCTTGATACCTGCCTTGAATACTACCGTTTTGATTTTACATCTGCCTGCCTGGTGTAAGGGTGTAACAAACAACTATCCTAGATACGAAGTCAAAGACGAGTTGACAGCCTTGCCCTGGAGAAGCATTTGACCCCGGAGCCAACTTCAACATTAGTACATAATATTCTGCGGAAAGATGAGGAATGTCTACATGGAATAACTAGTTAGTCAAAAAGTTTAATAGGTCATCAAGGAGAGGCACACATGAATCCAATGAGGAGGCGGTAGGCAAGGGGGGCCAAAATATGTCGAGGAGCACTGTACGCATGACATTCCGGCAAGCTTATCCGACAGTTAAGACTGGCGGCACATGATTGGAGGCCACCAGGTGTAAACGTAACAATTTGCCTAGCCGGACGCTGGTTTTGGAGGGACGGCAGGCTGAAAGAAACAACGCGGGAAATCCGTGCAAAATCGGAATCGAGATGCGGAATTGACCCTGGCCCCCTGAACGCGTGCGGACCGAGCGCGAATAGGTAGGAATACATCGTCTAGCGGACCTCCCATTATAGACAGTGGACCAGGGAAAAGAACGTATATAATGGGTTGTCTACAGCGATTTAGCAGAAAGGTTTCAAACACAAGCTATAGTGCAACTAGAAAAAGTCAACATGAGCCAGACCAAAGAGAAACGTCCAGTGTTCATTGCAGGATGCTCGGGAGGTTGCTTGACTGGCGATCCCAAAGCACGTCCAGCGATACTAACAGACCGTCGACCGGGCACGGGCTCTGTTCTCTCTTTCCCAGATCCCGGAGTTGGATGCTATCGTTGGCGACTGGATGTCGGAGGCAGACATGACCCAGAACGGTGCCAAACGGACACCTTTCAAGAATAAACTCCAGAATGTAAACCGCCTAGGGGAGGTGCGGGATGGCTACCATGCAAACTTTCTAGTCAAATTACAGCCCGCCCTGAAGCACCTCGCCGCCAATGGAACCAAGGTGGTTTGCAACGCCGGCGGAGGTAATGCGCACGGGCTCGCCGAGGCGGTCAAGGAGCTTGTTGCCCTAGAGAAGCTGAATCTCCGTGTCGGATGGATTGAGGGAGACGATGTGACAGAAGCTGTGAAAGAGCTGATTGCCTCCAACGATCCCCTGACCAACTTGACCACTGGAAAATCCTTCTCCAGCTGGGGCCGCGAGATGATCAGCAGGGCGTGACGGAGAGATATCCGTAGGGACCGTGACTTCTCAGCTTCTGTACGAGATCCAGGGTCCCCTGTACTTCAACACAGATGTCGTCGCCCAGATTGACCAGATTCAAGTGCAAGAGGTCGGCCCTAACAGGGTCAAGGTGTCGGGCGTGAAAGGACACCCTCCGCCCCCGACAACCAAGGCCGGAATTACGGCGAATGGTGGGTTTGCGGCCGAGTACCACGTCTATCTGACTGGGCTCGATATCTCGGAGAAGGTCGAGATGGTCAAACAACAAACACTGCACGCCATAGGGGATCGAATCAAGGAATTTTCTCTGTTAACCTTCACGCAAGTTGGGGTGCCCCAGGAGGATCCAATTTCGCAGGATCTAGCGACCGTCGACTGCCGCATATTTGCCCAAGCCCCAAACGCTGAGCTTCTCGGACCGGATGCATTCCTGACCTGGTGCAAGATGAACATTCTACAGAGCTGCCCTGGCCTAACTCCGACATTAGACTCGCGACAAGGGATAGCGCGCCCTTACTACGAGTACTGGGTGGCACTGATCGAGCAGCAGCTGGTGCAAGAACGAGCGCACCTCCCCAACGGTGAATCCGTCCTGCTTCCCCCTCCCCAGAACACTGCCGTCTACCCCGCACTGCAGGCGAGTCAGGATATGACAGCCGACCCACTGCCTGGCGATTCATGGGGTCCCGTCAAGAAGGCCCCACTGGGGTTCATTTGCCTAGGCAGATCCGGTGACAAATCATCGGACGCCAACCTGGGCCTGTTTGTGCGCCACGTGGACGAGTGGGACTGGCTCCGGGGCTTCTTGTCGAATCGGCGGCTGCAAGAACTGCTCGGCCGGGACTACCCCGGAAAGCCCATTCTGCGATTTGAGTTGCCACACTTGAGGGCCGTGCACTTCCTGCTGAAGGATCACCTGGACCGAGGGTACAATGCGGGGGGTGGGCTGGACACTCTGGGGAAGAACCTTGCGGGGTATATCTGGGCCAAGGAGGTGGAAATTCCGCTGCGGTTCCTGGAGAGGAGCCGCATCTAGACTGAGCCATACCAAATGCATATTATCATCCTAGATCATCCCATGGCTGAATCACAAGATGGCTTTAATTCCGAATTCCGCCCGTCGCGATTCGTAATATGCATAGTGGCTGCTGCACCGCGGTAGTTACTCCTCCACCACGCTCCAAGGCTCATCGCAGCACTATAGCCGCCTCTTACACCTTGCAGGTTCGGTGCGACCGCCCAGAGATTCAGGATTGCCGACTCCCATATTCTCCCTTTTCTTTCCGTTTATCTCTCCCTCCTGTCCGCAGTGCACCAGCTGATCATATTGTGCCAAGTCCCGCGCGACTCCTCCTCCCATAGGACCTTTGGGACTTCCCGAGGGACCATGTACAGTGCAAAATAGCGAAAAAAGAAGAAGGTGGACCAGGATAATCCTGCTTTTTCTCTGGTAAATTCAGGTATTGTATATATGTACTATTACTAGGTAGCTCCTCTCGTTACAACGGACCCTGCGGATCACTCTGAGGAGGAGAGAAGATCTGAGAGGACGGAAAAGTTAATAGCAGAGGGATCCTGGTACTCAAACGGATCTCTTTGCTTCATCCCGAACCTGGATCATGCCTTCATCGCCCGGACGTCAATGATGTGCTGCCCAATTGCGTGAGAGCTCGTGCTGAAAGTGCTGAAGGCGTGTGTGCATGTTTTACGCAAGGGTACACTTTTATTCAGACCGGTGCTCCTTGTTACCAGTATGTAGTCGAAACTCGATGATTCCTCAAGGGCAGCTACAGCAAGGACATACCAAACACGCAGATATGCACCCTTATTGTGTGCTATTTTATCTCAGCACGCATGTATGCATGTATGGACAATCAGCAATAATTTGAATATAATGTACATAGCTTTGAATGTGTTGTGTTTCAGCAGTCTTCAATGCCGCTGAGGGTTTGGGCTACCTTGTCATTCTCTTTTTAAGCCTTATAAGATAAACCTTGGAAACTTGGAAGTCATTCAAGTGGACAGTCGGGAAGCGTGTAAAGCAAGAGACCCCCTCGGCGATTATCGTAATTAGTTACATTCAATATTATTCAATCGCTGGCTTATGCTTTAACTCTTCCCTAGCTCCTATCTCCTCATCTCAACAAGATCAAGATGAATTGAGATGACATACTTAATGAAGTTGTACCTGAGCCTCGTGGGGTCTATAGATTATGCCTCTGTTGATTACGATCGTGCTCTCCGACTCGCTCAAACGACTGGACTAGTACTCAGCGCACATTTATAGATCCTTTTGAATTGTTCCCTACACACTACCACTACCCAACTGTTTATTAAGATGTCTGAATTACCCAATTATGTCGCATTATTCGCCGTTCAACAGAACACCTCTGATATCTTGAAGCAGCTAAACCTATATGGCAACGTCGGCCTTGCCGTTGATGGTAGGTAAACTCACTCTAATACTCAACCCATACCGGGGGAAGACCTGGAGAATAACTGGCGGACAGAGGGGGCCGAACTCGAAGACGGATACGAGCTTCCGGAGGAATGGTTCGCTGCTCGAGGAGTCAACAAAGGTGATCTGAATGCGGCCGTTGCCGTCCGCTTCCCTGCCGACCCGTACATGCATGTCTGGCTATATAGCTGGAGAAACCTCGATACAAGGAAGCAATGGCCGCCAAAGTTCAATCAGATCGGCTCTCGTGGTTTTACCCTTCTTTTCGACGACGTGGAGCAGGAGCTGGCGCGAATCACGCGTGATTTCCCCGAAACGCGGATCCTGCACGCGCCGATTGACATTAAGCGCAAATGGGGCCTCACCAAGTCGGCTCTTGTCCTTGATCCAGATGGGAACTTTGTGGAATTGATTTCAATCGTTGGGAATCCCCTTATTGCGAAAGCGAAGCCTGCTCTTCCGCATCATCGCAGTTTCTTGCACTTCATGGTGAATTGTCTCGATTTCGAGAAGATGTTGCCTTGGTATAAAGCCTTTGGTAGGGACTGCCATACCCAGATCACCGATGTCATAATCTAGTGCTAACTACGAATCCTTCCACAGGAATGGCCCATGATGCCGGCGTCGACTTCCGGCCTGATGTCGGGTTCCCCACAGGCTACGATCATTTCATGGGCCAGATGAAGGTCTTTACTCATGGCGAGAAGAACAAGTGGACCGACTGCCACTTCCTGCGCGGGACCAGGGATCCGAGCCATATGCACCTAGAGCTGCTGGGATATGCGGAAAACGGTAAACACCTGAAAGATCCAGGCCTAAACCCGACCTGGTTTCAGAAAGGTAATTCATGGCGGTTTTGCTTCTACATGAGGTTGCAGCTGATCTTTAGTAGGCATCGCACGGTACTGTATAAAGACACCTGATTTTGAAGATGCACAGCGAATGGCCGTGGACCGAGGCTATAAGATCTATATAGATGAACAGCGCGCTTGTTTGAACTGGAGCGACTCCGTGTGGCTTTACTTTGGCGACGTCGACGGTAACATCTTGACATTGTAAGTTTCACCTGAAATCTGTGTTGATATGGCTAAAATTGAAAAATCCAGGGAGCAATGGCATCCCCACCGGTACTTTGGCGCGAGAGATTGAGAGGACCAGGGGAATTGTGGAGTAGAATAGTGAGCCTTTCTTACTTGACTGATCAGAATATGAAGCAAATTTCGACTGGAGAAATCATGACCTGAGTCAACCACACCCTTTCGCACAAGTCTCATTGATTCATTTGGTCATATGACCGTCACTAGAAGGATGTAACTCGGTTGAATGACTTTTCAAATATGACGGCCCAGGCGGAACCACGAGTGGCCCTACGGAATAGGGCTCAGTTGTACGGAGAGCCTACCATCCTCTCTTGGTAAAATAACAGTGAATTGCTACAAAGATGCGTCTTTTGCCAGATTAAGCATATTTTTATCCGAAAAAGAAGTGTTTGTGAATCTCGAGTATACCGAGAATCGCAGCTGTGACGATGGCCCAGTCAAAAGACAAATACACAAACGTCAGAGGGGCGGGTTTGATTCTAGACTCTATGCCTCTCATAACCACTTCTTCGCACAGCTAAGCCCGCGTTTCGAGACCGCCCAGACAGCTGTATTTTCTTACCTGCGGATCGCTGTCATCTGAGGGCCGTCGGCGCCATGGTGCGAATTCCTCCCAAGTGTTGGATTGATACTAGAACATATATGGGAAGACGACCATCACCACCATCTACGTGGGCTTCTGTAGACTCTTACACTGCGTGATATGTAGGGCAATGAGCGCGCCCGCAATCAGGTCGGCCATCTGGCTCCTATCATAGATCATTCTACTCTCGAGTCAGTCGAACAGGGACCGGGGGATGTCATGAACAAGAACCAATATATACAGCGCGAGAAAGAAAAGCTAGAATATGCGTTGCGGACGGAGTTCCCCTCGTAATAAATTCTCCCACTCTAGCCCGCATGCTTCTTGACTTCGAAGCCCTCCCAACTGTCTAGGGTAGCCCTGCATTCGGCCTCATACTGGGGAATGCCCCCGATATACGTTAAAAGCTCCTTCTTCTTACCTGGGATATTTGACTTAGTCCACCAAGAATCAGTCTCGGCGAACAATGTGTTTTCGCCGGACTCAACGATTTTCCGCCGCCATTCTTCTTCTGCCTCCGGTGTAGGCTCGATTGTTTCGAGCCCGTCCCTTTCCATTCTCGCGATGACATCAACTATAAAGTCTACCTGGCACTCGAGGATAGTGGGGCCATTTGACAGTGTCGTCGGCGCTGTATTCGCTTGTCAGTCTTGCAAACACTGACGTGGGACAATCAGCAGATCCACGTACCCTGAGGGCTGTAGCTGAGGAAGCAGTTCAGGAAACCGCTGACCAACATTCCAAGGCATGTGCGAATGCCATTAGACCAGATATCTTTGAGGTCGCTCCCTCAAGGCGGGAGTGGTCATAGGATACCACCATGCCACTTCGAGTACCCAAGTACCAGGCTCTGCCCATTTAGTCGGATGCTCCACCACCCTCCTGCAGGGGAGATTTGATGAGAATGGTGAACATGATGTTTACGGGACGCTTCAATTTACTATATCCTCCCCATGAACCGTGCCCTGGACGCAAGCTGCTGCAACATCAAGTCCATGCTGGCCTGCACGGAATGCTGAACTGCGACGATGGGACCATCCTTAACAGGCAAGAATCCAGTCACAACGATGCTTCGGATCTTAGTGAAGATACGATCCGAACGAAAACTCCAATTTTCGCTAGCCCATCTCAAAGAAATTGGTTGAGGAAGCCAGGGTAAAACTTCGACAAGGTGACATTCTAATCATTCGAGCTGGAATGAGCACGTGGATCCATGCCTCAACCTCAGAATTCAAAGGTCGATGGAGTAAAGTGGAAGTCCTGGGTAGTTGACACCACGCCCGATCTCATCGGGTGGGTCTGGGATCATAATATCGCCGCGGTAGGAAGCGATATGATAGTAGCGGAGGCTATCATATAGGATACTGACAACGATGCTGGCAATGCGCTTACATGAATCCTGTCTAGTGGGCTGGGGTATGCCTCTCTGGATCTGAAGGCCTTGGCCCAAATGGCAGAGAAGAATCAGCGATGGGCTTTTTTCCTTACCATCTGTCCACTGGACTTGCCAGAGGCGTAGCCACGTCATCAAAGCATTGCAGTATTCTGAGTTTTCCTTCATCAATTTTACCCTTCTATCTCACCCATCACTAGCCTCGTCCCGCAGCTGAGGAGGTGTCGGGTCCTTGGGGGGGAGGGGCGCATGTTACTTGTCAGAAGTCTTCAATACCACCGTGGTTTTGATGGCTAGCTTGCCATCTTCCTTGGACACACTACGTCTTACATGGTAATGCGAACAGGTAGGAAACGTCAGACACGCTTCCCACTTCGCAGTTATGTTAGAGTTCTTCAAGATCAACAGGATCGCTGGCTCACGCTATAGCTCTCCTCCGAACGCCTATCTCGTCACCTCAAACCCCCCAATATTCGGAGTCCAATAGACGAAAACTGGGAAATATGGGTTTGGACTGAAATTTGCTCGACGTTGTATGAAGTTCATAGATTATTTCGATAGAATATGAGCATATTACTGCTCTCCCCCATTTCTGCTTAGGAATTTGCATCGATCCCTGGCTTTAATCACAATCCACATTATCTTCCTAATCCACATCAACATCCATCGCCTCTCACTCTCTTATTGGTCCCATTTATGAGTGAAAGAAAGAATCTAGCAATGAAGAGGGTAAAAGCGATGAGAAGACCGAATCCGGTGAATCCAACAAGGATAGCGAGCAAAGAAGGAGGGCCATGGAGGATCAAAAATGGCTAAATTGGTCCTACAACGTCGGGAAGGCTTTTGACGTTGATGCCCTCAAACGGGTTCTTAAGAAGTAAATTAATACATTGCTTCACGAACCAGTCATGGGAAGCACTCTAGCTATTGATTATGCCTTTCCCAAGCCGCGTTTAATGACCGCCAAGCCGTGACTCGTTGTGAGCCGAGTCGTTGGCACGTCCTTCCCATATCCCCCATTGTGCATTTACGGAAAGAAAGAGCGAGTTAACTCCCGGCATTGTATGGCTACTGGCCTAGCAGCAGACCTATCTAGAGAATGGAATTTAGGTCACCGGAGCGAACTCCATCAAAATTCCATCACTGAGTCAGCGTACATGGCTTCCGCTGGGTCGATCTGTATTAAAAGGTCTGTTCGCGCTCTTGTAAGACTCTAGTTAACAAAACTTCAGCTTCAATCTCCTACTAGCATTTCCGGTACCACCATGGCAGTTGAACAAATTCCTAGCACGATGCGTGCTGCTACATTCGGGAAGGTCCGGTCCCAGAATCTCCTCTTGATCGACGAGGTCACAGCTAATCGGAAACTATAGGCTGGAAGCATATCCATTCAGGAAATCCCGGTTCCAGAGATAAACCCTGATGAAATTTTGGTCAAACTAGCAGGGACATCCCTTTGCGGCTCAGATTTAGTTCCCTTCATGGGCTACCTGGGAGAGAAGACCGAGGAACTAGCTGCGGGTCACGAAGGGGTGGGGATTGTTGCTAAAGGTGTGCTTGTGAGTCCGCTGCGCCCGGAGGAAGGCAAAGGAGAGCTCGGGATCCAGTTCTGCGCCTACCATACAATCTTGACGTCGCAGCTTGACCGTGCTCTTGCGCTGTACGTAGACGTCCTCGGCGGAACTGTCATCCATCAAGCCAAGAATGCTGTCAGAGGCATTCACAGCACCTACGTCCAACTCGTAGATGCGGTATACGAGTTTGGGGTTCCAGACTCTGGAGCTGGACACGCGCAAATGTCCTTTAACGAGCGTAAATCGGCTTCGGAAGATGTGTACCATGCGTTGACCTTCAAAGTCAAAGACATTACAAGCGTGAAAGAGCAGCTGCTAGGACAGGGCCTCCGTATTCTCTCGGAAGGTCCCAAGCTTCTCATTCTAGACCCGGAAGATGGGCTCGGAATACCGTGGGGGTTCACGAGCCACGCTGTTCCCGGAGATTCGCGGTACGATTAAGAGAATTGTTGTATATAGTTCATTAGAAACTAAATAAAACGAATTAACCGTCGAAGTTAAGATCAGTGGAAGGAAACTTCATCGCCTGGTGATGCACCCAGAACGCCGAAAAGAACGCCGCCCGGCGGCTGCTGTGATGTATTTGTATCCCCAGATGCATTATCAGCAACGTTCTGGCCGGTCAGGTCACGCTGCGAGCTTGGGGAGGCGCTGCAACAAGTCATCATTTGCTGCCAGAGACCTAATCTAAAATAGGGTGGATAAGACCTGGTCTGAGCTGGTCCCACTGAGAGACAATGGCCTTTCAGGAACTAGCCTAGGCCTGGATCTATATAGAATATATCAACGAAGCGTCTGCAGAGCTGAGAATCAATATGGCTTGGCCAAGACTCAAGAGATGCTTGCGGTTACAGGTCTCAACAAGCGGTCAACGCCGATATGGGTAAAAGCGTGTGTGTTGTCCTAGAAAAATGGATTTCTGCTATTGTCACCGAGATTTATATGCCCGGTGTCGTTCTTTTCCGATGAACTGGCAGCCAAGCCGTAGCTTTTCTTGGATCATAGCCAATGATCAGCCTTATCAACGATACTTCCATATGCTTCACTGTAATTGTCAAGCAGTAGAAGTGATCTTAGCAGTCAATTAATCCACGCTTACATTAGCTAACATGGCTCGTTAATGCAAAAAGATCTTGTTGATTCTGTCGAAGTGGGTAATATGAAATCTACAATAGCTCCAATCCAGCATGGCAAACGGACAAATGAAGGGGTCAAGGTACGACTTGGATCAGAACCAAACGCAAGGAATTGAGTTGTCCTACATTGCCTGCCTTGCCACTGTCGTCAACTTATCCCCATAATCTTTCGCGTTATGAGTACTGAACAGATCTCCAAAGACTGACGACCCGTCATCGTATTCACGAATATAGAATGCAATGTCAGCTTTAGGGTTCATCTCACGCTGGCTAAACCCATTTCCTAAGTACGCGAATCGGTTCTTTGACGCATAAGTGACGTCGAAGTCGTCGTACCGTGGCTTAGCCAGGGTTTCCATATAGTGCAAGGTGCTCCCAGGCCACAGAGCGGTGATCTTCCCCGTTTTGGGATTCTTGTACCATGACTGACAGCTGGTGTTCCAGACCGTCGTTTCCATGAAGAGATCCTTCTGTTCCATGAAGTCGTCGACTGCCTCCTTCTTGGCATCAAAGGCTTTGATGTCTTCCTTTTGCCATCGATTGAGGAACTCAGCAATGTAAGAGCCCTGCAGCTCAATACTAAAGATAATCGGACCATTGCCGATCGGGCAGTTTGGGCCTAAGAACATGAAGTAATTTGGGAACCCGGAAGCGGCTAAACCAAGATAGCTTCGAGGTTCATGCTCCCACTCAGCCTGGAGGTTTCTCCCGCCGCGGCCAAGTACTGGGAAGCGAGGCTTAAAGGTTGTGTCGAAGCCCGTGGCGCAAATGAGTACATCGAGGTCCGTCTCCACGCCGTTCTCTGTCACGCAGCCAGTCGGTGTGATCTTGGTAATCTCGCCATAGATGGTTGTAACGTTGGGAAGAGTCAAGCTCTCCAAATAGTTGACTCCGGGCTATGCATTCACGGTTAGCGACAGCCATAGTTTGATGTCAAGGGTGGATGGCCAACTCACAGTTAGGCGACGGCATCCGAGCGCAAATTCGGGAATCAATTTACTCGCCAGTTCATCATTCTTGAGCTTTTTAATCATCTGTTCCTTCATGTAGGCTACATTCTGGACTTGTGTTTCCGACCCCTTGATCAATAGAGGAAAGACGGACCCCATGGCCTTCTCTGTCGCCTTGCGCATCTCGAGTAGGAGCCCCGGCTGCTCCTTAAAGGCCTTCTTCTCCTCTTCGGAATACGTGTGTAGCTCCATGCCAAGGGTCGGACTCACCCAGGTTGGCTCCCGGATGAAGGTGGTGACATGCTTGGCGACCTTTTGCACTTGCGGCAGGATTTGAATACCAGATGAACTTCACGCATGTACGTCTGGTTGTCAGCCGGGTGCTGGTAGAAGAGGGGAAAAGAAAAAAAAAAAGCAAAACTCGCTCACCCGTTTCCAATCAGTCCAACATGCTTCCCAGTCAGATCGATCGACTCATCCCAAGCAGCACTGTGCAAGAGTTGGCCTTTAAAGGACTGGATCCCCGGGATGGGTGGCCAACGCCAAGCGTTGAGAATTCCAGCGGCGTTGATCACGAAGTCGCAGCACTGCTCGAAGATAGATCCATTGTGCTTGCGAACTTGCACGACCCATTGGCCTTTGTCCTCTTCCCAGCGAGCCCCGATTACCTCGTGCCGAAGACTGATGTAGCTGCGCAGGTCGTACTTGTCGAGAAAATCGTTGAAGTAGGTGAAGATTTCGCGAGACGAGGCGTAGTTGGCGGACCAGTCCGTTTTGGGCTCGAAGGAATACGTGTAGTTGTGGCTGCCATAGACTGTCAACATCATTTGTCAATGCTATAGGGAAAAGAAAGAAGACCCACGCCGGCACATCACAGGCACACCCGGGGTACCGGTTCTCAAACCAGGTGCCACCAATGTCGGAATTCTTCTCGTAGACATCCAGGACGACATCAGTGAAGGAGTACTTCAGCTTGTAGGCCATATAGATTCCCGAAGCGCCAGCGCCGATGACTATGACCCTCATTTTGCGGTTGGCATGGATGGGGGCTGCACGGCACTTGGGGGCCTCGGCCCCGTTGGAGGTAGCATTCAAGTGATTGACGGTCATGGTGGGAATGAATAAATTTCTCTGCGTGGATGATCGCAACAGAGCTTGCAACCTTGCAATGCTAAATAATATATGTCTTTTCTCATTCTATTAAGGCTCGGGTTTCTCGTGCATCTAGCTAAGCCAAAGTCCGCGGAATTAATCAGGGCGATTCAGCGCTGACTCGATGGCGGGTTGTCCGAGGTTGCTAGTGCCACCGCGCTGCACTTCTCCGGGTCTCCACTTCTCCGGGTTTCCACTTCTCCAGCTCCTCCACTTCTCCAGATCTCCAGTCCCCAAGAAGCCGCGGCCCCGGAGCAAAATGCGGGGCTGACCGGGATGTCCGGAAATCTCTAAGTGCCTTTGATCATTTACGATCTGTCGCTGTGCTCACTCTCCCGCCATTACGGGTTTCGTCCCAGAGGAACCGTGTTTCCTAACAGTAATTGTCCACCTGGGCAGCCACTGTGGGTCGCTCCATTACCCCGCATTTCCCAACGTCGGTGCTCGGTCTCTCGTTCTTTTTCTTCCTCTTGAAGGCCACCAGAGGTGACAGAGACGACAGACAAACGAGAGGAGCATTTACAGAACCTACGCCACAAATCACCGCCCCCAAGGATCGGCGCAAATGCAGAGATGAGAGAAATGTCGCCTCCCCTCACTGAGTCTCCCGCGAGTGGAGAGCACAATGAGGAATCTCCCATAAGACTCTCCTCCTCCGAGAAGAAGCGCCTGCGCGACAGGCGCGCTCAGCGGACATTGAGGGAGCGGCGCGACAATCAGTTGAAGCTCTTGCAGCAGGAGGTGGCTGACTGTCACCGCCTGCACGATCACGAGGGCAACCGCCGCCTGACAGAGCGGGTGCAGAGGCTCGAGGATGAGAACCAACTCCTCAGGCAGCGACAGGAAGAGTTACAGTACTCTCTAGGCTCATGGTCGCCTCTCAATGAGTCGCGAGCGCATCCGCTCCACAGGAGTCGTGGTACGGTTACACAGAGACCGGAGGCTCAGGTCCGGGACGAGGTTATCCCCACGCTCGACAGTCCTCATTCCACGCCGGCCACCACCTCCAGCCTGCTTCCGGATGCCACTCTTACTAGCCCTTCGGCAGAACAAGCACAGCTTCCCATCATCGATGCTTGCCTCGCGCCGACGGCTGACTCCCGATCGGAAAGGTCTTTGATTCCAGTGACTCAACTTCTCGCGCAGAACCCCGAAATCACTGCATTCCAGGTTTCTGACCTTCCCACGGACACTTCGGGAGCTCCGCCTTTTGACGGGATGAAGCACAGGCCTCTGAGCCTTCAAGTGCTTCCACCCCTGGTTCCCGCCTGGATGCTTACGCCCCCCAACGATGACCCTAGATCAGCCCTTAGCATATACACCTCGCCCTGGCTTTCACGGCCCGATCTAATCACAGAGTGTCCCAATATACCGTCCCCGCTCGACCTGCTGCATGGTACGCGCCGCAATTTTCTTGCTAACAGTATTCACCACTCTCTCCGCGTACGTAATTGCCGCGACCCAGAGGTACTCGCCATGGGATGGCTGGTATATGTCTATTCAAAGTGGCTCATATCACCGAGCCCGGAGACATTCTCCAGGATTGCGCCATGTATGAGACCCGTTATGGGTCAACTCCAGAAGAGCCACCCGGCTTGCTTGGATCATATCATCTGGCCCCGGCTCCGGCGAAACATGATGCAATTCTGTCCCAAGGACAAAATGCTCGACGTAGTGAGCCTCCTATCTTGCTGTCTCAAGGTCCGTTGGAAATGGGGCGAAAGTATTTTGGTACGCGATGAAAATGATGACCTTCAAATCCGTCCCAGCTTCTTCGACAACTTCATGACCGCAGAAGGCTGGGGTCTTACCTCGGAGTTTACCAACACCCATCCTGACCTTGTGGATGGCATGGATCCGTCGCAATTGCTATACGTACCGACTTGAAACGGGTATCTGCAACATCATTAAAGCGGGTAATCCATACACACTACCCTTTTCGGCGCTAATAGTCTGAGGAATCGACCTACCTCGCAGCACCGAGACTCGTGTCACAGCGCAACATGGCGGATGCTCGGGTATATAATTTAAATCTATGCTCCGGCATATCCCACCCTGGGTCGAAAACTACGACCCAGAACCCAACCCGGGACGAGCTACTGGAGCCCCAGTAAATCTCAATTTGGACCCAATTCGACCCAATCTTGCATAAAATTGCAAACCACTTATAAAACTGCTAACTAATCTATGAACTTTAACTACCATATCTACGATAGTTTTGGTTTCCTTGCCGGTATACCTGGATACCACGTTTAAAATATAAAGAACTTTGTATAGTATGATATAGACTCAGAAGTATCTTTTTTAGTTCAGTTTCTTGCTTAACTATCCTAATTACTCAGAAACATCGTGGTTGGATCCAGGACATATATATATATTATGCACTTGTAGAGAGTCTCCCTGAGTGGTTTCTCAAAGGTGATATTTCTTTTGGTCGCTCTGCACCCCAGGTATGTCGCGTCATTCTATCTTAATGGTTAGGTTGAAGAGTTAGATGCACGCAGGTATTGGATCTATAAGCTAAAGAAGCTCTCGTACTTGCGACTGTTGAAAGATTACTAGCTAGGATTGTCTGAGGTGGGTGGAAGTCCCCCAGCCTGTCTTATGCTGCATAATACGATCCCTATTTACATAACAGTATACCTTGTAAACGAGTACTTGTCTGGGGGTTAAACGTTTATCTCTGGAACGCCTATGGGGTGAATGCCTTGATTACTTGGCAGCAAGCCTCCGGAACAGGAGCAGGACATCACATTCTCGTGCAATGATTATGCGCGGAGCCGGAAGTAAACGCCGAAACCCGTACCTCGGGCAGCATAAGGCATCCAAAGTACAGCGCGGAATTAGATACATAATTACGAGGCTTATTGGTACGAGTCCGAACGGTACATAGCCAATCAATATGCATTCCTTATACTCTTCATATCAAGCTCGATAGCAGTGAGGGCGGGAATACTTTCCAGAACATACAGCCATGTTCCATAAGTTCAACTCCCCCTAGACCCACCCACCTGAACGCGGACATCACTCTATACGAGCAGCAGAGAATACGCCTCGCCTTGCCCCAAACCTAGGGAGTTGGCACCGAGAAAGCCCCCTTGATTATGAACTCATATTTTCGACACCACCAGGGAGTCTAACTAGTTGGGGTGGATACACTGTGCTTGCCATAGGGACATTTGACGGGCAGGATTTTATGGAACACCACCGTACATGTTTCTGGGCTACGGAGTAAACTGAGCGCAGCTATTAGTTCAAGCTTATGCTCTTTGTCAGGTCTAATCAGGAGCGTGAATTTGCTTCTCTCCAGCTCCACTTGACCCTGGTTTCATCTACGTGGATCCCATTGAGAAAATTGGCGCAGCACTGACTCAGTGCCGATGCGGGGTAATTGCGGAAATTGGCAGACACCAACAATGCCTCCGAAAACCCTGGGGACGGACATGTTAAAGCCTCTAGCTCTAGGAATGCCGGAATTGAGCGCATACGGGGAGCACTGAAGCCTGTGTTTGTGGAGGATTTATTTATTTAAATTGGATACGCTTCTTCCGAAGCTCCAAATGCCCCACGCAACCGTCCGCTGCCAAAGCTCATTCTTGAACAATCATGACGAATACTACAGCGTCCCTGGAAACGAGACTCTTCATCGATGGCAAGGTAAAGCTCATATTCTTGCCCCCCGAATAATGAGACAACTTACACAACTACATGTAGTATGTCGATGCTAAGCACCCTGAGCGTCTGACCTGTTACCGACCAACCGACAACACTATTGTTACCGATGATGTGCACGTCGCCAACCAAGAGGACGTGGATGCTGCGGTGGCAGCTGCACGAGCAGCCTTCCCGAAATGGGCCGCGATGGCTCCAGCCGAGAGGGCAAAGATTCTGTTGAAGTTTGCCGACTTGATCGAGCAACATGGCGATGAACTAGCTAATCTTGAGGCGCTTTGCAATGGCAAACCCACTGCCGTATTTAAGGCTTATGAAGTGCCATTATGTGCTGGGGCCTACCGATGTGAGATGCGTATGCCTTATATCTTCTGTGCTACATAAATTAATTCAATGCTCTGCAGATTACGCTGGATGGTGCGATAAAGTGGAGGGCCAGTCGTTCCCTGCCGACAACGGCTTCCTGAAGATAGTCCGCCACGAACCTATCGGCGTGTGTGCTGCGATCAATGCATTTAATGGCCCTCTAGTGATGTGCGGTTTCAAAGGAGCGCCATGCCTCGCTGCGGGCAATACAATGATTATGAAAGCAAGCGAGAAATCGCCTCTTTCGAGTCTCTACCTTGGAAAGCTGGCAAACGAAGCTGGCATTCCTCCGGGAGTGATCAATTTCATTTCGGGCGCGGGTCTGACAGGCGCTCTTCTAGCAAGCCACATGGGAATTGACAAGGTTTCATTCACAGGAAGTACAGCGACTGGGAAAAAGATCGCCAAAGCAGCCGTTGAATCCAATCTCAAGCGTGTTTCTCTCGAACTAGGAGGAAAGAGCCCGAGCATCGTCTTCCCTGATGCAAACCTGGATGTAGCGGTGCAATGGTGCACCCAAGGAATAGTGGGCAATTCTGGCCAAGCGTGTATTGCAAGTTCGCGCGTCTATGTTCATGAGAGCATAAGAGATGTTTTCATCGATCAGATGAAAACAGCTTTTGAAGCTGCGAAAGCTGGCTTCGGAGACCCTTTCTCGAAGACGACTACTCTTCCACCACTTATCGATAAGCTCCAGTTTGACCGGGTTTCGAAGTTTGTCGAGGAAGGTAAAAAGCAGAGCACGATTGTCACTGGCGGTTGTGCTCTTTCCTCCGAAGTAAGTCTAACAATCGAGATGAAGATACAATCTGACTAACCAAAAAACCTAGGGATGCTGGATGGTTCCCACAATCTTTGTTGACCCCGAACCTGGTGCAAGTATATACAAGGAAGAGATATTCGGGCCTGTTGTCGTGATCTCGAGCTTTAAAGACGAAGAAGAGGTGTTGGCCAGAGCCAATGATACCGAGTTCGGCCTTTCAGGCGCAGTCTTCAGCCAGGATGTCAACCGTGCCCTGCGTGTGGCGGGTAAATTGCGAAGTGGTACTGCTTGTGTAAATTGTTGCACCTTGGTTGACTTGACAACTCCTTTCGGAGGCTACAAACAAAGCGGATGGGGACGGGAACTGGGAAAGGTATGTTAACTCTTGGGTTTTGATTAGTGATCTGGCTAACTTGTCCCTTTAGGCCGGAATCATGTCCTACCTCGAAACAAAGACAGTATTTGTCAAGTGAGTAGTCTCGACATGCAAAGATGAGCATCGCTAACATGTGCTTAGTATGACATACTGATCGCCCGAGTCTCCCTGCTGGCATTCCAGCCCGTTTCCATAGTTAGTGAATGAATTCAATTGCTGGCACTGCTGACTAGCCAGATAATGATAAGGGACTTAATAGGCATGGGCCGTAATACAGTAGCTACGGTATAACAAGTCTAGAAATGACGAGCCATTCGGAGAAACAGGATTTCAAGATGGGATTCCAATGGTCGGAATGGAAAACAGGGTAGATTGGAATACCGAGAAGGATACCAACAATAGGGGGGGGGGGGACCTAGAAGGTGTGAAGAACGTAACGATTTCTTCTGATATATTCTACGGAAGACATGCTGCTGCCCGGATCGACCAGGCAGGAACAATTAGGACAGACGAGATACAAGCTGACGGTGATTGAAGAAGACGCACTGTTTAAGCAGCTGCTAAATGCAGACAAGCGAGGCTTTCTAATTTGACTGGAGGTTCTACCTGGAATGGCACATAGTTTGCTTCGTGAGCTTATACAGGATTCAACTCACATACAGAACTTGATAGTTAGCTACGTTAACCTATGCGAAAGCACTGACTCAGCGCTGTACTTTCTACTTAATTAGTTGTGTGCATAGCAAAGTACTGATTCGGGCTATGCCGAGGTATAGCGTGGAACTTAATGTATACAGTGTTGTGAGTATGCCAGCAAATAGAGGTTTATCTCAACTAATGTATATTACACTCGGTATGGTATCCTCCCAATGGTGATAATTCCTCTGAGCTGGGTCTAGAGCTTAGCTACAGAGGGCTTCACGAGCAGTTTGGAACCATTCCCAACCAACATGGCGGCCTGGTCTACCATGTCATCGATGATCTTCTTAGCTGGCAGTGTGGTCTCGACCACTGCAGCCACTTTCCCCATGAGAAGAGGCATAGAGTATTCCAGCACTTCATCATCATCGGGCTTTGTTTCCAGGTCATGCTGAACGGGAACAATTCCCCTGGACTGCAAGTCGAGCATCTCATTCCGCCTCTCTTCTTCCCATCGGCGGAGATATGGGGTTGCACGCGAGTTAATCGGACGACCGCTGAAAATGGTCGACCGAATGATCTCACCATGGCCGGCTGTCCGTACCGCTTCCTTAAGATGGGGACTGGCGCCAGACTCTTCAGATAAGATAAACCGAGTGCCCACCCAGACAGCACTGGCCCCGAGCATCAAAGCTGCAGCCAGGGACCGGCCGTTATAGATTCCACCGCCGGCAATGAGCTGCACCTGTTTGCCAGTCAACGGGCTTATATGGCCTTGGATGGCCTCATAGACGGCCGGAATAAGGACAACCGTAGGAACGTCGCCTGTATGGCCACCGCCCTCTCCACCTTGCGCGCACACAAGATCAGCCCCTAACTCGGCGGCGCGTTTTGCATGCTTAGGATGGCCGCACATGTTCATGTATAGGATCCCGTTGGCATGTAGGCGATCAACCACATGTTTGGGAGGAGTACCCACAGCACAAACAAAGATCTTCACCTTTTCTTCAATCATGATTCCTACTAGGTTGTCAAGCTGCCCTTTAAGGTAGTCGTAGCTAATCAAGGAAAAAGTTATGTGTCTGTTCTTCTCAAAGATGAGTGGGTAGCGGAAACATACTTTGTCTTTCTAGCACCGCCTCCGACTTTCGGGATCAACAAGTCCACGCCGAACGGGGCATTCTTGTCATGTAGAAAAGTTTTCAGCTCGCGAATGCTGTCACGCAACTGTTCAGGCGTGTAGCTACCGCCTCCAATGACCCCCAAACCTCCGGCATTGGTGACAGCGGCAGCCAAACGAGGACTGGCGACCATATTCATACCGGCAAGCAGAACTGGGTGCTTGATACCCAGAATTTCGGTTGCCGTGGTCGAGATTTTCTCTGCGTTGAACGGATTGTGTTAGTAAGAGGCTGCTCTACAGACGAAAAGCTGCTCCAACTCACGAGGGGATGCCATCTTTGCCGTGCAATTATCGCAAACCTAATGGATATGCGATAGCAAGAAATTGAAAATCAGGGTAAGTATTATAGTTTGGTGCAGGATCGCATCCCTTATTAACAGGGAGGGGCGGAATTAGCGGAATTAGATCGGCGATTCAACCGAGGTGGTACACTTCCCCCTTCCCCCCCCTCCCACCCCCCCAAAAACCAAAAACAAAATTACCAGAACACCCGAGGCATAGTTTGTATGATCTATAATTTTAGGTGGATCGCGTTAATAAGTACGGGTAATGGGTTTGTTACCATGGTCAATTATCCGCATGCTAATGAAGGCGTCTTAGGCTTGCAAACCCGGAAAGAGATACGTTATGGCAGTTTAACCTAATTGAGCTGTGAGACATAAATACTATGCTGATATCTTCGCTTTCAATATGTTTATTTCTGGGGAGCAGTCCGCCACGAGTTCTCTTGCGGTTCATGACACGCAACATGTATTTCGCCACTCCCGTGGACCAGAAACTGGCGAGAATTGTAAACCCCAACCATGGATTTATAGTCACCAGTAGCCTGAAAGAGGGTAGTAAATCGAAATGGAAACGCATGGGAGGTCAGAATCGCGGTCGAGAAAGAATGTCCAATGAACCCATGGATCCTATGATGGGGAGCTTTTGTAGCAGGGTTGACGGTAGGCTGGTGAAAGTCATTCGGCGTTCACTGTAAAAAGTGAATACTGAGACCGCATGAACAGGTCAAGATTACCATCCAGCATAGGCTGTCACTCCCGGGTCCCATAATCAACATCAGTAGATGCAAACCCCCGGGCTCCTCAGTGGATCCACCTACCACCGGCTACTCGGACAACTACCAGAATGTGGAGCTAGTTATTCCCAACGAGCCCTTCCCCGCCATGCTCATACTGGGAAAAATCACTGTTAGTTAACAGTAAAGGAAGGGAGCATGGGGGTTTCCTGAAAAGTACTGCGGGGGTTACTTCGTCATTGACTGACTACCATCCGCGGGTATTCAGGGTTCAACTTGGCATTCATAAACTATACAATAAGTAGAAGACACCAGTCACGTACGCAGCGTAATTATAAATCATGTGATGAGGCCACGCCTAAAGCAATTTAGGGTTTCGCTCAACTGGAGCCCGGGCTGTAACGTCCGGCGGCTCCGGGTGGCGGGCAATATTACGGCTAGGCTATTGTTACGGCCAGTAGGGGTAAAGCTAGGGAAGGCCATTATGGACCGGTTCTGCGCGCTCGGGCGGCCTTGCCCAGTTTTGTTGGGGAATTCCCATTTCCCCACTTTTAGAATAGCACTGATACGTCAATCTGAATTTGAGAGTCCCACTTCCCCAATCTTCCACCCTTGACTGGGCGCGTAAGGCCCCTGTATCTGGGGAAGAGATCCTTGGGTATGTGTCCGCTGTCCGCTTGCGAGCGTTACGGCCCCGAGGGCGATTTATGTGCTTCCAAGGTTCATCAGTGGGTGATGAGTAAGCCATGCCAAGACGCTTAACTAGTTACCCAGCATGGGTGGATTTGCGGGGAAAGCTGAGGTGGTCGTTCTCTTCTGACGCTGGAGTTACCCCCTGCTTTTGATCGCTTTGACTGGAATCCGCAAACTCACAATCAGCAGCTCGTCACGCAGTCAGGCATGCCTGACTCTGAGAGGAAACGAAAGTTATCCGCAAGGTCGATCATGTCGGTGGCAGACGACCAGCAGCGGGAGAAGAAACGGCTGCAAAATCGCATCTCTCAACAGTGTTTCCGGGAGAAACAGGCAACTTATATCCGACATCTGGAGCAATTTGTCGACAGTATCGAAAAGGCTGATGGGTTTTCGACTACCAATGCCGCCGAGAATTTGCGGCTCATACGCGAAAACCATGCGCTCCGGGAATCCCTCAATCAGATGAGAAAGAAGTTGCTGAGCTTCAGCGCTCAGGCAGCATCTATGGCAAGTATGTTGTCGTTGGATAATAGCACGAAGTGCAGCGTACAAGTCATGATGGGGCTTCGTCCTGACAGTTTGCAGTGATACACGATGATATCATAAATCGAGAAACCGTCAACCAGGAGAGCAACAGCTCATCCTCAGGCGTCGAGTGTCCGCGCTTGAAACCTGCCGACTCTGAGGCGACCGAGAATGGGGATTCAGTAGACGAAGTGCCGGCGCCATTATCATTGGATACACGGAGTCACGTTGCCTTTGCGGAGTTAACGACTGGAGCCGATACGAAGAAGACGGACCCCCCGCCAGTTGACCAAACGACCCCTGTTGCAATCACCATTGCTCAACATACAACAGAATATCATGCGAAGAACTTCTGTCACGACAAACCCTCTGATAATTCACATGATAATCATGCAGTTGACACAGACATCTCGACCTTCTTTGCCGGAGACTGTGTTAAGTTCAGTCCGTCGAGGGGCCTCATCATATGCAAACCGCCCAATGCCTCAACAAAGAGCCCCTTATTGTTGCTGGAAGCGATGATACAGAAGGCGATCCAACAGTTCAACGTCTTTTCGTTACATGATGCCGTTTTGATTCGGCCCTTCGTGAGCGACTTATCAGAAGCCGAAGTACAGCAGATCAACAATCAGACTTTATCGCAGATTGTCCATCTCGCCGCAGATGCTCTAATACAAGGGAGTCGAATGGGAGGATACTCGCACGTCATAGTAAGAACCTCTACTTAGAGCAAGCCTGCAAGATTTGCTAATACCTCCCCCCGAAAGTGTCCGACGCCAGTATTGGAAAAAGTTCTTCTCTGGCGGTGTAACCCAACAAGCGAGAATCGCAACCGTATCGAACTGCCCTTCCGACCAACTGTCCTACAACAGCGATTCCCCGATCATCATCCGGCCATTGACTTGCTGTACTGGGGTGAATTGCGGGATCAACTGATTTTATGCCAGGAGGAGATCGAGATCAGCACCGTAGTCTATCGGTGGCAGCTGTCATCGGTCATTGAATTTCCAGAGCAAGGCGCCTCCTTGTCCGTGCTTGAGCTCTTTATATATCTCGCCAATCCGACCCAATTTACTCTCAAGAGTGGGGTCAATGAAGACGGAATTTCTATTCCCCTCGCCGATGTGACGGTACGCGATGTGACCGACGAACTCGAGAAGTTGATCACCACATACCGACTGGACCAATTCGGGGAACGGAAACTTCCCCCATGGATAGGGGAGGATTATCCATTTATTGACATGACTAATAGTAAGTTGCTTTTCCAAGGTTGTTTGATGGTCAAGTATCAGAAGAGCATTGCGTCTAACTCTGTGGGCGTTTCATGCTAGGTATAACTAAATATCCGATAGTCAGTATCGGGCAGTTCTTTTCATTTTCAGACAAAACATGAAGGGGACTGAATCTCCAAAGAGTTTACCTATGAGCATAGGATGTACTTGTTAATGGGGGTACCCAAATGCCCCGGGCCTGATGGTTCGCTGACGCGCATAAAGAGTATTATGTCGCATCACCCGAAGCGAGGTTTGGTCTTCCCGAAGTCGACGTTGGACTATAGGCCGGTGCAGGTGGTTTGTTGAGAATCACACGGAGCGCTGGCTTGCGAGTGGCATCTGAGGTCACTCTGATGGAAGGAGAAGATATATCGTGTAGTCCACATTTCCAACTATATTGCCACAAGAATAATGTCATTTTCGAAGTATCTACAAAGACGAGGCTCTCTTCTTCGCCCAACCCTGCTCCTGCCGGATGGCTAAATCAGTGAGAATCTCCTCGCTTCCACCACCAACCACCATCATCCTCAAGTCACGGCTAATCTGTTCTACCTTGGAACCGACCCCGCCGCGCTGATATCCTGCTCCGCCAAAGATCTGCTGAGCTTCTCGGTTTGCTAGCTCCAACAGTCGGCCACCATGGACCTTAGCCAAGGCAATACGTGCGGACAGATCATCGATTGCACCATCGTTGACCTTGATATGGTAGGCCAGCTGCTCAATCCATGCCCAGTGACCCTCCACGTAGCGCGCAATAGTTGCCAACTTTGCACGGATGATCTGGTGAGAGATCAAGGGTTTGCCAAAGGTATGGCGATCAACGGAGTAGTTATATGCCTCCTCCAGACATGTCCGCGCTCTGGCGTTGCAGCCCACTGCAATGAGAAGCCGCTCCTTGTTGAAGTCTTCCAACGAGAGTCACTTAGTCTGTGGTTCAAGATATAATGGCGGGGACCATTTTCAACTTACTCGTCATCAGGGTTCGAAATCCCTGGTTTTCCTCTCCAATTAAATTCTCCGCTGGAACCCGGACATTGTCCAAAGTTACCCACTGGCTGTTAGAGGCATTTGAGCCGCTGTTTTGGATCTTGCGCATGCTGAGCCCGGGGCTGTTCGTCGGGATGACCAGAACTGAGATCCCTTCAGCGCCAGGGCCGCCAGTACGAACGGCGGTGGTCATATGAGTGGACTGCGCCGCTCCAGTGATCCATTTCTATTGGCAGCATCATCGGATCAGCACAAATGACCTTGGAGAGAAATGACGGACCGCGGTAACAAATCAGAACTTGAGAATATAATACGAACCTTATTACCATTGACAATATAAAAGTCGCCTGTCGGGTCCTTCTTGGCTGTCGTTTTTAAACCGGCCAGGTCGGATCCGCCAGTGGGTTCTGTCGCGCCCAAGCAAAAGCTCAGGTCGCCAGTCAAGATCCCCGGAAGCCATTTCTGCTTTTGTTCTTCTGTCCCAAAATGCACAATTGGTGGAGCTCCAATGACTGAAGATCCTCCAAGGCCCCCACTCACACCGCCGTGGGTTCTAGCCATCTCGTAGCTTAGAACAATAAAGTGGAAGATATCCCATTCTAGGAACCGATGTCAGTATCCTCTTCCGGGAGCATGGAAGGTAGTTCGACGTCGTCAAGTCACTCACGTTCAAAAGGGATGTTACACGGCAGGGGCACCCCGTTGCGATATTCAAGGGGTAAGTCCTGGAAAATAAGCCCTGCCTTGATGAACTTGCGTCGGGCTTCTTCTGGCACCAGTCCCTCTTCTTCCCATTTCTCGGCGTAGGGTTCTATGTTTTCCTCCACGTATTTGCGTACATACCTGCGCAGCGCGCGGTGACTGTCATTGTAATATGGCGATGCGAGAGCATTATACCACGCTGGTTCAGCGAAGGGAGTGCTATTCCCAAACGGCTCCACTACTCCCCGGTTCTTTGCTGTACGAGGCATTTTGATGTTGTCTGGGAAAGAATCGCTGGTGTAAATTTATCTCGAGCTGAAAACATTACCACGGCTAATATGTAGGCATGCTCAACCGCAATTAATTCCGACGAAGAGTTGCGGGGCATCGGTCAGTGAAGAAACTACCTCGGTTCCGCTTGAAGGGGCACAGTTAACTCTCGGTCTGTCCAGATCCGGGTGACTATATTCCTATGTGACTGTATCTTATCTGTTTTCTGTCTGACTGTATTTTCTCTGACGGCATTTTCTCTGACTGTATTTTCTCTGACTGTATTTTCTCTGACTGTATTTTTTTCGGACAGCATTTTTCTGGGACTGTATTTTCTGTGACTGTATTTTCTGTGACTGTATTTTCTCGGACAGCATTTTCTCGGACAGCACTTTACTCCGCATTGTTAAGTTAGGATGATCTGCACGGTGCCATAACGCTCTCGGGTGTCCTTATCTCGAGATCAGTCGTTTCCAACCTCCTTGTTTACTGGCTTTACATTTGCAGAGTGACAAAATCCAAGTAGGGATGTACATTTGTACTCTATCTAGAGATGAGAATTGGGATGAAAGGTGAACAAGTTCCTCCCATCCGACCCTCGAGACACCCTCCCCTTGCGCCCGATCGGCTCAACTGTGGTGCTGGCCAACTGGGTCAGCGTGGTCTCATCGCCGTGGTTCGCCAGAAACCGCTGCTGGTCTTTCAAGAGCCGGCCGACAATACATCCGCGGGCTGGATGGCCCTTCCGATTGAATTCGACAGTATATGTCTGTCGCAGGATTACGGTTAGAAACCAATTGCCACGGTCATACCGACGGGACTCGAAAGGAATATATTGTTCTTACCTCAATAACTGCGTCACCTTCCGCGTGCTCCGTAAAACGAGGCACCCCAACGGCTGAGACGTCGTGGTGGGCCTGCTCCAGAGGTAATCCGAATTTTCGCGGCGCCGAGCTCGATAAGATGATGGCATGCTCATGAGTCAGGAAACCGCCGTTGGCAACGACGAGGCCGTTTTTCTTGTTGGAATTGCGCAATTCCCGAGTCATCGCCACCAATGCCTTCAATATGTGCGCTCGCTGATCAGCAGGAGCCCGAATTGGACAAGATGCGGAAGGGGATTCTTCTTACATTGCCTGAATAATTATTCCCAGCTCCGCCGAAGGAAGTTAAGCCCCCGAGCAGTGTGATGGGCTTGGGAGGGTTGGTAATCGAAATGCCCAGATGCTGGCACACCAGTTTCGGGACAATAGGAAAACAGCTGGAAAAGGTCAGAACACATTCGTCCGTGGAATCAGGAATCCCCCATGACTCACGAGTAGACGTCGAGCACATCCAACTCATCCTTCCTCATCCCTGCCAAGTCGAGTGCAGTGTCAATAGCCTTCTCCACGGAAGGGCATGCATGGTAACTCGGTCGCATCCAGACTATTACCACGAAAAATTAGAAGGCTTCGTAAGAGGGGGCAACTTGATTATGGGGATCTCGGAAAGACCTACAATCATTATGTTCCTCAAACCCCGCACCCCCAACTGGATACACCCAGCGATCCTGCGGAATGCCCAGTTGAGCTGCCATTGCCTCACTAGTCAAGAGACAGGCCGACGCCATGTTCACGTTATTGAACGCATTCATTAAAAGGGGATCTAGGAGTTTCTGTGAGTTTTGCGCTCCCTGACATTGTTTGATATTGAAGCATACAGGGGGTACAGATCATTCTGTTCTTGCCGACTGCCTGCTGGAGGACCTCGGCTGATGTAGGCGGTTTGCCGTAGTTTCCACGCCGCGGGATTCTTCGATGCCGTCTCCGAAAAGGAAGCATACAGCTTGGCGGATTCAAGCAGATTCTCCTCGTATGTTTGTCTGCGGTGAGCGCGCAGTGCATTCTCGTACAAGGGATAGACGTGAATGGCCTGGTTGACGCCATGTTTGGATCCCACCGCTAGGAGTTGATGAGTTTAGTCAGTGGTACGGTTCTAGAAGACAGACTAGAATCACTGCAACTAACACTCGGCCGTAACACTGCCCGTCATCATCTTCTCTAGCAAAGAGCTTTCTCCTTCAGGGCGACGAGTCCAGCCCGTGGGGTCCTTGATGCCTGCGCGATGGAGGGCAACCACTGTAGCAGATCAGCCATAATTCGGCGCCATACGGGGCGAGGAAATTACAAGACCCCAGCGCTTCTCCTCCGGTAACAAGAGCAACATTGCAGGTTCCGTCGGCAATCCGCGCGGCCGATTGGTGAAGCATCAGTCCGGGCGAGTTGCCCCCATGTTCACTCAATCGTTTATGTTTCAATTGAGCGCCCAACTTCTCTCCAATCAAGCCCGGCAAGTCGCTGTAGGGCCAGGACCAGGTCGCCACTACATCCACGCTATCGATTTGTTGTTGCAGCTGGCGCCAGCGATCGGTGGGTAATCCTGTATCGCGCAGGGCGTTGTAGATGGCGTCCAACATCAACTGCATTGGCTCCTTTGCATCTTCGATACGGGTGGAGTGGTTGGTGAAATCACCGACTCCGATCAGGACCGGTACTTTCGGGGATGTAGACATGGTGCTTGTAGAATTTTGCTTCGCGGCTTGTTCCTCCTCATTGGCGGGAGCGTCCATTATATATACCCGCGGAAATAGACTCCACTCCGGTCGGAATTAGCAGGCCTCGGCTGCTGGATGTTGCGACGCAAGGACAATGACTCGGGGGCTAGGGAGGGTTCCCAGGCATAAAATCGTTCTCTGTACCCTTCATGAGGATGTAGTTGGATCCGTTATTATGGCTAATCCGATTCTCATCCCGATCCTGAATGGGGCTAGCTGTATTTGAGAGCAACTCAAGTCTCCCCGGGCGCTAACCCCCCATGATCCTCCAGGGGAAAAAACTAACGTGTATGATATTCGCCGTCTGCACAAGAAGTAGTCCGAGATTATCACGATTTATCCAGCACATGGAGCCCGCGATGGCCTTCCTCCCCGTCTAAGTCGACTGCTGGGCCACGGCGAAAGTCGCCGCGCTCAAGAGCCTACGCGCCAGACTGTGACCGCGATTCTGACGCTGCTAGAACACCACATCAAGCGCACGAATGGCGAGGCATACCGGGAGGAAAGCTTTCGCAAATATTCCGACGAAACAGACGAGACCGACATCGACGAAAAAGGCGGCCCCCCTCCCCGGCGTGGGCCCTCACCGGCTGTCCTGAAGGATTGAACTGTGGGATGAGTTGCGGTGCCTGGATGGCCAGCTGTTCTCCCGAAGGAGTCATTTAGAAACTATTGGGGTCCAGCGGAGCAAGCCTAATAGCCCTGAATAATGAGCGCACGATCCGCTCCACTTTCACCAACGACGTAACGCAGAGCTTAATCGATGGTTATGCGGAGGATAGCCAATTCCTGGAAGGCCCTGCTCGACGCAGTTAAGAGGGCCTTTACTGGGTTTGGTCTTCGAGCAGCGCATATCCAGCCAGCATAACCGACAAGACAGAGATCACTTTTGGTGCGGGTAGCGTCAATCTTCTACAGAAAACCCAGCACGCGGCTCTGGCGGCCCATGAGTCTTTAATCCGCCGCCTCCTGGGCTGCGGGCAAGAAAGCTTAGGCCTCTGTCATGGCAAACACCACTGATGACAACCCAGATGATACCATTGACCGGACGGAGGCGGCGCAGAAGAAGCTCTGCCTAAGTCGGAAATATCGCAGGAAAGACCCTAGCACCGCTGGGTGGATCATCTTTGGCAGTAACCATTGATATACTTGGTACGAAGGGCTCTACGCGTGGCGAGTGGTGGCCAGAAATATCGCACTGGGCATCCCCGGTTTATTACCCAGCCGTGCAGGCTTTTACTACCGCGAGAAAGGCTTGTCAGGGCTGACCATGACCTGGATGGGGCTTTTGGTGTATATGGCAGGCTTCAAGCTTGCCTTTTGTCCCTCGTCGGCGGCACCGTGGCCGGGGGTGTTTGGGGCCTGCTGGCGTGGCATATTGGCTCGGTCAGCGGCTCAGGGAAACCCCTATGGGTTGTTGGCAGTGATTGCGGGCTTGTCAGCGTACGACTCTTATCTACCACATAACATACTCCAAGGAAGGCATCATGGGCGCTACGACCTTTTCACTGGCCTTGTTCTACAGCTACAACGACACGTAAGATTTCTCCTTCCCTGAAATCCCAAGGGTTCCTTCACGCATTGCTATCGTCCGAATCGAAACCACGGGCGCCTGTTAGTGCTGCCCTCTGCCGCCCGATCTGCCGGAGCGACTCGCGCGACAGGCACGCCTTTTTCAACCACAAACTGATTGGCGAGGTCCCGGTGGCGCTGGGCATCTACGAGCAAGCTCATAAGTCGGGGGATACGCCGCCCCCAATTTGGTCTTTAGTCGTTTAGTCGTAGCCAGTACAATAACTATCTCATCTTGACGCATTCCACTAGTGATCCAGGAAAGGTATCATTACGAGTAAGCTCCCTAATTAATTGGCCCTATGATTCCATCAAATACCCTTCTCGGCTGGCGCTGATTCGGTGGTCCACATAATCGGTTTTATTCACCAGCCAGTCACATCGACCGACGATCGGACCTAACATTGTTAACTAGTCCTTGAACGCTGACGTACCCGTGGACAGTCAGACATGTGTGACTAAGTGGACTACGTGCTGCTGCAATCCCCGTCCTTGCCCCCTTGCTTTAGTAAGGATCACGTATGCAGCCCAGGAGGAAACGCACCTATCCTTATCTCACGATTATCCAGGCCGCAGTATTTAGGGGATAGCTCGATACTTGGCAAGGCCGCTCTTTTCCAGTCGACTCCGCCTTGCACGGAAACTAACCGAATTAATTTGCTATTACCCGAGTCGTTGATTTCGACAATGAGTGTATAGAGCTCTTCCTGGATTAATAACTCAGACTATCAGTCCAGGGTAAACGAGCAGACAGAAGAGTCGACCATGGCGAGGGCGTCCTATGTCTACAAGGCCTGGTAAGCCGACCGTTGATCTGGCGTCAACATGGCCATCGACTGATGTAGTGGCGAGATATAGCTTGAACTGTCGAAAGCACAAGACCAAAGTACGAGACTTGTCATCTTTTTTACGTATACAAGCGTTCAGAGTAGCGCATACACCAGCCGGTGAAAGCTAACGTGTTCACCCAGTGTACGGGCCGCAGTCCATGTGAGCAATGTTGCCTGAAAAGCCTGGAGTGCACATACCCCTCTGGGCCACCACGGCGAAAAGCCACGCAGCGCACGAAGACAGCCATGTCAGAAGAAGGCTTAGCGGTCGGAATGCGTTCACATGCATCGCCCGCGGTGAAGCAACGGGATGGTAAGACGGACTCCCGGCGAACTCCTATTGCAAAATCACAAGCACCAGATGCCAGGAATACTACTGCCAACCGGGGTGTAATGAGTTTTGCCTTTGATTGCTTTGGTTGTGGCGACTCGATAGTGCTATCCCCGGGATCCAATGCCTGGACATGCCCATCCTCGCTGCCGACACACACTTGTCGCGAGACACATGCAACGCCAATACCAGAAGTCAAGCAAGATCGGTCGGTCTTCGGAGCCGGGCCGAGGATTGATGGATGGGATATTCAATCAAAGCTGATCGAGGTGCAATTCATGCGGCGAATGGTGGAAACCTATCTTGCAAAAGTAAACCCCTTCCTTCCGTGTCTCAACGTCACTCGGATGCGGTCAGACGTGGAGGCAATGCTAGCCGGGAAGCTCCCAAGGAAAGAGAGTCGTCAAGTTGGGGCGGCGGCCGACTTGATGACGGCCGTTATGATGGCAATGACGGAGGATGCGGCCTGTATAACGAGGCCAGGATGGATCCCAGGATGGACCGAGTATGATCGGGCGGAGCGCCTGTTACGCGACGGGAGCCATTCAGATCGTGAAACGCTAGGGACGGTACAGTGCTTCATCTTGAAAGCCCTCTACCTCATATGCATCGACAAATTCAATCTAGCATACGACACCATGGGCACCGTGGCCAGGCTTTGCTACCAGCTCGAGTTGCATGACGAAAAACGTTGGCGAAACCAGAGCTCGTTTGAGATCCATCTGCGACAGCGGATCCTTTGGACGGCATTCTTCCTCGACAGTCACATCTCCCAGTACTGTAATGCCCCGTACCTGCTGAGGTTCTCGGACGTAGACGTCCCCATTCCGCGACACATCGACGATAAGAAGCTGCAGCCGGACAGTGACCTGCTCCCCGAGGAAGACAGCAATGCGCCCATTGTGAATCTCGACACTTGCAGCCAATACGCGAGACTCTATAGTGAGATCTGGGATCGTGTACTCACGGTGAACGCGTCCCGCCGGTGCAGTCCAGAAACGGCCGCAGCGATCGAGCGACAAATAAAAGACTTGCGCCGTGGTCTACCCGTCCACCTCCAGTGGAATCAGTATGATTCGTCTAGGCTATCTGCCGAACGTTCCTCTCATTTTCATGTGCGGCAGAGCATGCTACTCCATTTGGTAAGCTTTTGCAGAATTGGCTGTTTACTCGGAATCGCAGATACTAATGTCGAGTGAAGCAAATCAACAATCTGCACTTACTGCTCAAAGACAGATGTATGGAGACTGGTGGGATGGATGACGGTACGGTGGACGCCTACACCGAAACAGCTATCGACAGCATCCAGATCATCTGGGAATACTATCAGGCCAATCTTCATGACCCAATTGAACGCACAGGGTCTACCCGATACCTTATACAGTCAATCCAAGCGCTCAACTGTATGGTTCTGCGTCGCTCTGAAACAGGAGGTACAATGCATCCGATGGCGGTCGAAGCGCTCTCGAGAGGGCTGTCTGTCCTCGAGACATTCGCACCGCATCTAACGCTGGCGAAGATGGCCCTAGATCAACTGGAAATCCCCATCCAGGAGTTCATGGGCTTGAGTTGTAAGCCTACTCCGGGACATTTGGCTGAGAAATCTTTTGCCTGTGAAGAAGACATGACTGCATCGTGTGTTCCGCATGGCTTGTACGAATATCATGCTGCAGAAACCTCAGTAGGCGATGAGGATTGGGTGGGCGACATTGTGGACACGAGCACGATTCACTCGACATGTAATAGCGACAATTGGCTTTATGACTTTCTGAATGAATGAAGTTACTGAGTCAACTGGCATATATCATGGAAGCGCATTGTGCTAGGTCCTGGACCCTTCTTTCGACCTGGGATAAAGGACTCGCGGGGGTGAACTACGCCGGGGCAGATAGCCACAGACAGTGCTCTAATTTTCGTATCCAAGATCCGGGCCCAAGGGCGTGTGCTTTGCCATTGTGCTGCCCAAAAAAAAAGAGCATGAGTTGGGAAATCCTTTTCCACTACAGAGTTGCAGATCATGATCGCTTGGCAACAAGCTCGAGTAGGCACGTAGACCTAAACCTCTTTCTCGCATGAATTTCTCGCATGAAGATATCCAAGGAGTTTCAAGCCAATACCGATGTTTCCTCGATCCACCTCGGACTTCGGCATCAACGCCAAATTTCTCAGTAGAATCAAGTATCGTGTCACCGCGGAAGCTGACCCCATGCCCGCCGCTCCTTGTCCTTGATCAATCGGCATTCTTCTGCATTCTTGAAGACGCTCCGGCATTCAATGGTCCAGGCTGGTAAGATGCCCCTTACAGCCAAATCAGGCTGCAAACACATAATTGTGAGTAAACCAGATGATCCACATCTGTACATACCTCGGTACATTCAATACATTCCATCAAGCTTGGAAGCTATCCTCCGGAGCCTATCGCTTAGAAGCAGGCTGCTTGGTCACTAGTCTCTGGCCCGAATTCAACAGATTCGCTGCCAGGTTCACCATATCGTCGAAAGTCTGCTTCACCCGGAAGCTTGTCCTTGACAAGAGCGCCGAAGCTTGCCAGTCCAAAGTGGGAAGCTATATTCAAGGATCTCATCATCAGGCTTCGGGTCAAGGTCATGCTGCACCTAAACGATTCCGCGGGCCTGGCGACTAACCATCTCCTCACGCCGTTCTTTGATCCCAGTAGGTCCGTAGCGGCGGTCATAAATTTTGTTTTTTTTTCTTCCCCTTTTCTGTGCTCATGAGTTAACAGTGCGCGGCAAGAATTGAAGAGGCCTGTAGCGGCGGCTCCCCGCCGGGTCGGAGATGGCTTAACACCGTGAGGTCATGATGAAATTGTGTAAATGGATGAGGACGGTGATAATGAACAGAAAACTATCTGATTTTTCGTTACTCAAAACTGGATAGTTAATTAACTACGTTAGTTTTGCTTATGTAAACTCGTTTATCGCCGAGGGATCGTCCGGAACTATTCTGTAATTCCGCAGTGGAGGTCTACTTTATGTTAATTCCGGTGCTGATGGCGGTATGCCAATAAGTACAGATTCATGTCTCGTGAACATCTTGGTCCATATGCTGCCGGGAGTCGTTCTCCAACAGCCTACAACAGCCTACGAAGCTCACACACTCCCTCAATAGCCCCTTGGTAACCATGCCCCTCGCAACGGCTGCCATCGCCGCTGCGGCGGTCAGTGTTCCCAGTCTGATGTACCTGAATGCAAAGCACCAGGTTGGGAAGGACCTTAACGCCCTCTTGACGGGCGTTGCTATGCAGAGAGATGTAAATGCCCGCCGTAAGCTACCGCTCTCTCCCCTTCATGGGCCAAAGCTCTGTTGCCCATTCAGACCCGTCCAGCTCGGCTTACTTGAAGGAACCCCAGTCAAGAAGAATCGAATCTCGCCGTGGTTCCGTTTTCAAGAGACCGTCCGCAAGTATTCCACCGCAGAGGCCATCTGGACTCCACAGCGGAGCTACTCTTTTTCTGAGGTATATACGCGATCCTGCCAATATGCCGCCTGGCTACTAGATCTCGGAGTCACACCTGGCGAGCTGGTCGTGCTGTACATGCAGAATTCACCAGATATGCTCTGCGTTTGGCTTGCCTGTTGGTCCCTCGGCTCTGCCCCAGCTTTTATCAACTACAATCTCTCTGGCGAAGCTTTGGCACACACCGTCCAGGTCAGTAAGGCCCAGGTGATCATTTCGGATGCAGATATCGCGCATAAACTGGATGCCGTGCAAGGATCCCTGGGTGCAGAACAAAGGATCGTGCCACTTGACGAGGCTGCGCAAGCCCAGGCCTTCCGGACAACCCCCGATGCGCCAGATGCTGCGTATGCAGCGGCTGTCAAGATGACGGACACCGCGCTCATGCTCTACACCAGGTTCTGACCCCCCTCTCACCCCACCAATTAACTACGGAAGAGACTGAGCTGACTGTCGCACTGGGGATAGCGGTACCTCGGGCTATCCCAAAGCCTGTCCTATGGCATATAGTATGGTGTGCACGGGTATGGCTGGCCGCCTCAGCAGCGGGCTGTGCACTACCCCAGGCCCCAACGGAGATCGATGGTACAATTGCATGCCTTTGGTAAGTTACCCACATTCTCCCCGCTTCTTATCGTTGGTCTCAAGGCCTTGGCAACTGACTGGTTTTGCATGTGTAAGTATCACGGAACGGGCGGTATTACGAGCATGATTGCAATCTGTGGTGGTATCACACTCTGCTTGGCGAAGAAGTTCAGCGTTACGAATTTTTGGAAGGAAATCCGCCAGTCGCGTGCAACCCTCTTCGTTTACGTTGGCGAGACCGCACGCTGTACGTTGTGGCCTCAACCCCTCTCTCCTTGTTGTCCGGAGCTAATTGGTAGCCAGACCTTCTTGGGGCGCCGCCTAGTCCTCTCGACAGAGCGCATAATGTCAAAGTCATATGGGGCAATGGAATGCGCCCGGATGTATGGACGGCCTTCCAGGAGCGTTTCGGCATCGAGTGCATCTGCGAGTTCTTCGGCGCGAGCGAGGGAGTGCTCGGCCTCCAGAACCAAGCACGCGGCCCGTTCCTTGCAACGGCCGTGGGGTACGAGGGCGGCTTGATGCGGTTCCTTCTGCGCAAAAAGTACTTCACGGCTGCTCTTGACCCCGAAACTGGGGAGCCCTTTCGTGACCCGACCACCGGATTGATCGTTGAGGCACCGCTCAGCGTCGGTGGGGAGCTCATGGTGCAGCTAGAAAATGAGAGCCAGTTCAGTGGATATTACGGTAACCCCGAGGCCACGGAGAAGCGGCTGGCGCGCGATGTGAGGCGCAAGGGTGATGTCTTCTACCGCACGGGCGACGCCCTGCGCCGGGATGAGGACGGCCGATGGTTCTTTATGGACCGCCTGGGGGATACCTTCCGGTGGAAGAGTGAGAATGTGAGTACAAGCGAGGTCTCGGCTGTTGTGGGTGCTTTACCGGGGATCCCAGAGGCCGTGGTCTATGGGGTCCTCGTGCCGCGCCACGATGGGCGAGCTGGATGTGCACGTCTGTATGCCCCCAACGGGCCATCCTCCTTAGATTATGCATCTCTGCTTCAGTAAGTTGCTTTAGTTTCCCGGCCTGCTGTCTAAGTGCCCTGGCTGATGCCCTTCTAGGTCCTTGCAAAAGAGCCTTCCCAAATATGCGGTTCCCTTGTTTCTCCGGGTTTCTAGCAAGCCCGCCGAGACAACCGGTAACAATAAATTCATCAAAACTGCGCTTCAGAAAGAGGGAGTCAACCCAGAGTTGGTGGACAAGGCTGATACGCTGATGTGGGCGCCCCCTGGGGCTCAGAAGTACGTTGAGTTCACACAGGCGGATTACGCTCGTCTGGAAGCTGGCCAGGCACGCCTGTGAGGGGGTTCCAGGCACTGGCTTCATTCCGTGGATGAATCTTGTGAATTATCATTGTATATTGCACACTCTATGTCCTCCACACCCCTCCCAGCCAGGGCGACAAGATCGCAATCCGCGAATACTTGTCTCCATGTTATAGTAGGCTCGAGGATTATTACTGGAAGTAGTGTCCTGACAATAAAGGGTATTCTAGACCTATGCTGCAAGACGGGAACAAAGGGCTCGTACTACTCTATGAAGCCAAAAAATTTCATCCAATTTAGTTTATGAAGGATTTGGTGATGCCGCAGTATATAGAACGGTGGCAACCTGTTGGTTTATAACAGGCATGGGAAACAGGGTCATCTTTCGGCCCACTGCGCGACTGCGGCGCACTTGCCACCGATTCCCATGCCAAGGTACTCCTCAACAATACCCCAGAGTCACCTTCCCCTAATCTGGGGAACCCCCGCCTCAAGGGAGCTTCCGGAGTTGCCGAGTTGGTGTGAACATAGAATTATAGACCGAGGTTGACCGGAATGCGGCTTCCCCGAAGCTCCAACACCGAATCCCGGTGGATTTATTCCGCTCACGCCGGGGGATAATTCTTAGTATGCTACAATATCCCCCCAACGGAGCAAGAAAATAGTCAACGAATTTCTCTCAGTTCCTCACCACAATGGCACCAACATTTAGCACCCCGCCGCCCAAAGTCACCTTCTTTGACCTGCAATTCCCCAGCCCTGGCGTGCTCCTCGCTACAATCAACCGTGAAAGGCGTATGAATGCGTTACCCATGGGAGCTCATGACGAAGGCACGGCACTCTGGAACTGGTTGGACTCCGAGCCTTCGATGCGGGTGGGCGTCATTACCGGCAAAGGGACCAAGGCGTTTTGCGCTGGCGCCGACCTCCTCGAGCAGCGCGATTCCAGCAAGGACGTTGGTAACTCTCAACCCAAGGGTACTCAGAAAATAGCTGAGGGCGGATTCGCGGGTCTGACCTCGCGCCGGGGAAAGAAGCCTGTCATTGCGGCGGTCAACGGACTTGCGCTCGGCGGGGGGGTTTGAAATTTGTTTGAGCTGGTAGGGTCCTCTCCCTTTCCCGCTGGTTCTCCGGTATTTGAAGACCAGACACTAACATCGCTCTGTGCTGTGTAGTGACCTTGTCGTCGCCTCCCCCCAGGCGCAATTCGCTCTTCCCGAGGTCCTGCGAGGACTTTATGCCGGTGCTGGGGGACTTGCGCGAGTGGTCCGGAATTGTGGTATGCAGATCGGTACTGAGATCGCCTTGACGGGGCGTCGGCTTACCACTGAGGAGGCTGTCAAATATAACCTGGTTAACAGGGTGGCTGCTACTCCCGAGAGCACGCTGCCCGAGGCATTAGAGCTCGCCAAGTCGATTGCAAGCATGTCTCCGGATGCTATCATTGTTTCGCGCGCGGGATTACGGGAGGCCTGGGAGACTGGAAATGTCCTTGAAGCCATCCGCACGACCGCAGACCGGTACTCGGACGCTCTACGCTCTTCGGAGAATCTACGCATTGGCCTAGAGGCGTTTGCTCAGAAGAAGCAGCCACAGTGGGTGCCTTCTAAGCTGTAGAGTAATGTTGAGGTTGAAGGGTGCTTTTTTGCGTCTTCTATCTACGGCCCGTGCTTCTTCCACGACTCGATAAGGTCGTTGGTTCCTCGGGATCCAGTGGTTCCTAGACTCGCCTCATCTTTCGCCGGGACCATTCCAGCGTGGCAAGAATTCGAAGGTCCTATAGCTATTACCGATCATCCCGTGCAAGTTAATCAATGAAATTCACACGCTTTTGCAAGCAAAAATGTTCACCCCCACATGGGGCACCGACCCGCACCGGCGTAATGACTCTTCTCTCGTTCCTCCCGACGTTCAGCAAATCACAGGCCATATCTTACTGAAACAAGTGGTATCGGCTCCAATGGCTCAGTATCATAGACGTGATGGCTTCTGAATGCGTTCTACGCTACGCTCGATTGTCAAAGGTAGTCTGCAGATATGTCCTGACTATATAACCGGAAAGGTGGCAACTGCGGATAGATATAGGAATCGTGAAAACTTTTCGAAACACTTGAGGAATTCATTATTTGAAAATTGAATATCGCAGTTATTGCGGTTAGACAGGCGGGAAGAAGTCCCGCTCCAGCATGGAGCACCAGATCTTGAACTGGGTAGTTGTCTGCAGCATCGCGAGAGGTATCTGTCATTTGCTGGTAGGGGTGGCACGTCTCATCACGGCCCGCCCTGGTACAGTGGAGTTGGCATGCAGATCATGATGAGTTGGTACATGGCATGGAGCTTTCGTTCAATCGTCTGGATTTTCAAGCAAGATATGACTCCAAAAGGCTTTGGAGCACAACGTCCGGCTCTAACAACAATAGTTCGGGGCCCCAGTCCTGAAAAAGGGATGTCTCGTCTGACACGCCTCCCGCATTCGACACGGAGAAAGGCTCAGTCAAAGATTCGGTTTTTTCGACCGAGGAGGGGGAACATGTCGAGGAGGGTCCATCCGGCTGTTGTCCTCTCTCGGGGGCATGCATACGCACCTCGGCATCAAGGACTGGTGGCGACGACTTGGGCCGACCAATGCATGGCTGCCGGTCAAATGGAAGATCTGCGTCTTGAGGGAAAGAGCCTTTAGCCAAAGCTGCATCCATCGCGAGGATAAGGCGAAGGTAAGCTTTAGGGCTGCGGGCTAAGATATCTCCCCAGCTCATAACGCCAGAATCCGGCGCCATCAAGCGCGCCTCAAGGCTGATACGGTGAGCAGCACTCAGGACAAGGTCCGTGTTGTCGTAGAGCGACTGGTAGACTCTCATCGCTTCAAGAACGACCCCCAACTTGCCATACCCCATGGTGGACTCGTCGTTAGCTAATGTATGATCCAACAGATTCAAGAGAAACGGTTGGACGGTACATGTCACACTGCGCAAATTTAGCTTCAACTATCTCCAACCAGGTAGGTGAACAGTACGCACGCGCTTGTTGGGAGATATTTGACCAGATCTAGTTTCACCAGCTCGCGAAGCAGCTCAGTTATAGCGCCGGTGGATTCTTGAACTTCATTTTGATTGCGGCTGATTTGGAGTTTATCCTCACAGCCGCTTTGGTTGCATTCTACTTCCAGTTGGAGCTCATAGTTGGTCAACAGAATTAACGCGGAGCTATCATGGTCAACCTGTGTGCCGGTCGGAGTGGGGGTCAATCAGAAGAAACATACTGGGAATACATCTGTAACAGATGCGAAAACAAGACGATCGCTTTATTTGATTGATGGTGTCTCTGGGCCGATAACAGTCGTCTTGCAAAATCCCGTTGCCATGAAGTAATGCTATCACGGAGGCGGGCGATACGGCTGAACTTGTGTGATCGAGGCTCGGACAGCGAATGAGTCGGTGTGATGGGGGGGATAGACGAGGACGAGAATATCTGTCAAGTTGGAACATAGCTCGCATAGTGAGACGGTGATGATAAGAAGGAGGCGTCGCAATCTGGGGTGGTGAGCCGTTGGCTCGTCAAGGGCGCCCGCAATATCATCCACCGTCAACCTGTCGTTCTCAAAGTCAAAGATCTCCCGCGTAATAAGAATAGCAACAGACAACAAACATCAGCACATATGCATCGGCACAGGGTGACCTGGAAATCCTGGCCCTGCCGGGTGACACTCCATCAGAAACAACTTGCTAACTTGGACCGCAATAAGCTCGGGCTTCAATTCACCAGCCCACTGGGAGATTGGGTAGCGATATAAACAAGTGACGAAAGGAAACAGGTAAAAGTTTCATCGTGGGCCAGGCTGTACGTGGGAATCCAATGGACGGCGGGAGATAAATGCAAGGGAGCTCCATTTAGTTAGTTATGGGGCCTCAGTGAAGCCGAAAACCCTGACTTATACGATAGGGCTTGGCCGGGAGAATATAAAAGCATAGCGATGGTATCCATTGGGACTGCAATTTTCCTCCAAAGTCTCCAACTATGACCTCCACACCTGCAGCAGTGGTGACAGGCGCCGCCTGAGGAATCGGGCAGGCCACCGCAATCGAACTGGCCCGTGTGGGCTACAATATCATCCTGTGGGATTTGAATGAGCAAGGAATGCACGAGACAGCCCAGCAAATTGAAAAGCTTGGCCAGCAAACCAAGGTTCAGGTTGTTGACGTTTCCGATGCAAAGCAAGCGGAGGAGGCGAGTCGGAGTGCACGAGCCGGCGGATTTACAGTGCGTGCGGTGGTCGCAGCGGCCGGGATTGTTCGACTGGACTCTCTCCGCAACCCAGATCCTGTGAGCGCACAGCAGATGATGGCAGTCAATGTTGACGGAGTCTACAATACGCTTCAAGTCTGGACGTAGGATCTGGTGGCTGGGGGTTCCGAGTCGTCCGCCCTCATCGTCGGGTCAACTGAGGGGTTCAAGGGTGCTCCAGCGCTAAACACCTACTGCAGAAGCAAAGCGGCCGTCCTCGGAATCGCACGGGCGGCAGCGCTAGAACTGGGGCCCCTCGGAGTTCGAGTGAACACGATCCAACCAGGAACTATTCGCACACCCATGTACCAGCCGGAGAAGATGGGTCCAGGGGCATGCGAGCTGGCCACAGAGCTTCAGCGCAGAACGCCTCTTCGCCGCGTCGGCCAACCGGAAGAGGTTGCCAAGGTTGCTCGCTTTTTGATTTCGGCCGATGCAAGCTATAACTTAACTAGTTAGTTATCACAGGTGCGGAATTAGTCATAGACGGAGGGCTGACCTCGGGACAGTTTGAGAGCGAGTCAGCGCTGACAAGGCTTCCCCCACTGTGGGGAAAGCCGGGGGAAGGATTAGGGCTTCGGTGCCGCGACATTCCGGTGTTTATATGTAGACACATGTCATAGTACAGTCGAGTACAGTTCGAACCTGTAAATTCAAAGTTCTTCTGGTCTTTCTTCCTCTATGGCGCCCAAACACACACTTTCTGCCCTTGAGTGGCTCAGTGTTGGAAGTGCCGCGTTGAAAACCTGTGCGTAAATCCTGGCTGTACTCTTGGATTAGTCCGGTTGACCATTGCAGTGTCCCTGGGGTTCTTGTCCCTGTTCGTGATCCCTTTCCAGCGGTCCAAGGGCCCACCCACATTTTCGCAACACCTCGCCTACACCATTTCCCGTACCTACACCACGAACTTTTCCCCAAAATCTATCGTGTAAGGATTCGATGAACTCTATTGCTCCCCGGAAACCAAGGTCAGGATTGATTGGGATAAAGCGCTACCTCCCCAACGACCGGGGAATGTTACCAGAAGTTCGTTACGTCCCAGGGGCTAAACGCAAAGACGGTCACACTCCCTGACGGCACCAAAGCACACTGGCTCGGTGACCCAACAGCGGAGAAGATCCTGCTCTTTTTCCATGGTATGTCCGGCATCCATCCAGTCGAGAACAAGATCGCTAACGTGGCATTGAGGTGGTGGTTACCTCGTGTACGCCACCGATGGCCACTTTCACCTTCTCCACGAGAGCCTTAAGGCCGTAGAGCAGCAGGGTGGTAAACTCGCCGTCCTGTTTCTAGAGTACGGTATGTTCTCTCCGCTGCCCATGCTATCACAAGGCATCTGTTGATTAGGACACCTTGCCGGTAGATGTCAGTCTGGACGCGCCGTACCCCCGGCAGTTACAGCAAGCGACGGCCTTGCTACAGTACACTTTGACAGAACTTCAGAAGAAGCCTGAACAGGTTGGTGATCTCTCCATCCCAACAAAGTGAAACTCGCTAACTCCTCCAGATCCTTTTGGCCGGTGATTCTGCGGGAGGTAACCTTGCGTTGGCTCTGCTATCACACCTAAGTCATCCGCATCCTCAAGTAGATGCTGTCAACCTCTCTGCTAGTCTTAGTGGTACCGCACTGCTTTCGCCCTGGGTGACCTTTGAGACCACATCAGAATCGATGAAAGCCAATGCGCACCGCGATGCGCTTGCTATTCCGGCACTCCACAAGTGGGCCTCACTTTTTAGGGGCTCTGCACCATCTGATCCGTATCTGGAGCCCCTCTCGGCCCCTGCCAATTGGTGGCAGCCCCTACTGACAAAGAAAGTCCTGATTACGGCCGGTGCTGATGAGATATTTGTCGATGATATCCAGAAGTTTGCAGCGCAGCTGAGCAGCGCTTCCAAAGATGTCGAAATGCATACCACAACTGGAGAGCCTCATGATTATCTTGTGATGGAGTTTTTGATGGGACACCCGCGGACCCAGCAGCGGGATATATTCGAGAAATGGGTCTGTGACAGTGTACTGACATAGTTTCAGGCGTTGTGCATGTCCGAGAACGTGGACATGAATTTCATCCTGTATGCCCCGAGCCATTGACAACGATAACGGGACGACAATATTTCAATCGTCAAATACCACATATCCGTGGCGTGTCCAGCACACAAGTCGCAAGATCATGTCAGACAGCCTAACTGAAAAAGCGCCTCTTCATAAACAATTTCTATACCCCTGACAAAGGCGGGCATCATCTGCACGGGGCCTAGACCGCAATAGCTCCCTTAAATGGACCTGTCACAGTACCCATATTGAAGACGCCCTGCTGTGCTTATTGCGAGGAATATTCTGGTGGTACGAGATCGAAATAGGCACCATTGGCAAGCATTCAAATTACGAACAAATGTGCTCGTGAAACGGGGTTTCCGTGAGGTGTGATCAACGCCCTTAGTGGATTTAGAATTCCCTTTAGGGAGGCCCCTTGCATCGCATATGAAGACCCGTAAAATCTTTGCCCACGGGGTCAGTCGCTACGAGTAAGACCGTGTAGGAAGCAGCAGCGAGATCGAAGCTGGAAGAAAATAATGTTGGAACTTAGGGGTAAGTCGGTATTATCCCGTTCGATAAATAACCCTCGATAGAGCGGCGGATAGAGCTGCAGTCTCATTTTCCCGAGTCAACAATAGACGCACATTACAAGTTCACACATGTACGTGCATGAGTATATAGATCTCACGAGTTCCGAGATAAGCTAGTCGGCTTTCCAAGAGAAAAAGGAGCGAGCCCGCTAGGTAAGAATAACACTCGCTTTCCTGGAGCCAAGCGCGGTGTCGGGGCCTGCTTCGTTCTACGCTTGTCAGATATGGAGATGGATCAGAGTGGAGAAAACCCCATGACTACTGACCCTAGGCAAAGCCTACCAACGAGGTAGTGGATTCAGTGATACTGTATGACATGACTATACTTGCAATAATCCACAAAATGGCGGTCGACCCGGCGGACCCGCCTCCAGTGGAGCGAATGGCAGCTAAGCAGGCGCGAGCATACAAGGCAACCTATTACGACCAGAATCTACGGCAGATACCCCCTGGGCAGTGCTTCGATGCGGCGATTAAAGATGGCACGAACACGGGTTTCATGACATTCAGCGACGATCTGATCTGACTGTAAATGAAGCGACGATGGAGTTGACTTGATCATACGGGCACTCCAAGCATCCTGGCCAAGGCCAACAACTTCCAACTTTACAGGGATGGACATATATACCTCCGTACCATATTTCCTTTCAAACACGATCCTTCATATCAAAATCCGTCATGTAATACACTGTTCATATTCGGACAAGTATAGTAGACAGCGAAGTTCGGAGTCTCGCCTCCTGGACCGGAATGTGGGCGCCGCGAGAGCATGAGAAGTGCTCAATTGGCTTCACTGCTACCTTCATCCACCATTGCCACTTTAATGATAGTTTTCCGCGGGAAGAAAGATATGAGTGGCCTAATACTATCCTCCATGTTCAGTGCCTCATAGACCGAGTCTACCCTGCGATCACTATAATAAAAAACTTAACTCAAAGGGCTGAGGCTCTGTCGCATTTGGATCGAGGACCCCTTTCTAAAGCAAAACATTCCTAAAGCAGCACTCGCCGCTTTCAAAAAAGGGTATGCGGAGCCTTTGTGGCTTAGCAGAGCTCCAAGAGTGTGGGCGGCCAAGGCTCCAAGACCCGTATAGGCCGCGGCATTTCCAGAAGATAAATGCGATATTGAATTTTAAGACCTGATTCTACATTTCTCGCTCTTCATATAACCTTCCTGTCTTTCTAAATACAACAAATCACCAGATAAAACTATCCAATAATCCATGGAAATGTCCGAAATATCTGTTGACGGCCAAGAGTCGAAGGCAGTTCCATGCTACCACGACCAACTTCCGCCATACCGTTCAAAACAGCCAAACCAAGATATGCTCACCTCTATTATTGAGACAGAGCATACTCGCCGAATACTAAAACAACGAATAGATGATTTTATAGAAGAGACCGAAGACTTAATTGCGAGGGAGCCAACCGATAAATCAAGCCGGCTTGCATCGGCAAAATGGTTGCAAAAGTGCGGTGAAAACTTCAAAGGCATGGGACCGATCATGATCAAAGCAGCAGGTATTCAGGAAAAATGGGCCGGTGAGAACGGCGGTCTCTATATCGCCCTATCAAAACCCACTGAGAGTGAGTTCAACCAGACGAAGTCTTTTTTGATGCGATACGCGAACCAGCAGTTACGACATGCCCCAGTGGAAGATCATCAAGGCGGCAGCCATTGCAATGACACAGATTCTGGCAACAAGTTTCAAAGCGCTCCGTTGACCGAGTATGGAAAAGGAGCTGGAGATTATGCCCACGACTCTATATGCTCTTGTGACCGGGTCTCCAATCTCGCGACAACGGCGGATCACATCAATGAAAAAAGTTGACAGAAACCTTCGCCCTCATGATAAGGCCGATATATTAACACGGACTGATCGGGCTGAAACACAAAGTCCCCTAAGAGCCTTTGGAAGAGAATCGTGAGGCATTAAGCTCGGCATTGCTATCGGGATGAATGCCTTCGGAGTGATTGGGTCGTGATAGACCCACTGATTCAAGTCGGTGCCTGTACATCGTGCTTTTTTCTGCTTATATTACCTCTACAAAGATAGAGTTGCTAAGGAGAGTGGCTTCTTCCTTAGCGTAATGCATTCTTACTACTTCTGGTCCTTCTTCAGCTTCCTAACGCATCCCATACAGCATCAGCATCAATACACTCTTTAAAAAGGGTCCTATCCTCTTCAGGCCTTCCCATCTACATAAGGTCTTCAAATATTTTAGTATATTCCAGACCGGTCTAATAGGGTTAAGATCAGGCCAGCGTACAGGCCAATCTTCAACGTACATCCCGTGCTCTTTAACCCAGACCTGTATATCTTTCGCTATATGCATCTTTTTGGTGTCTTGCTAAAATATTCTTTCAGGTTAATACGATCGAGGCCGGGGGAGAGGTGTAGGAGAAAGTATAAAATTGTTGGGTGGCTGTTAGGGTATAATGGGACTGAATGCACACAGACTTTTGCGAATGCCCAGGGAAGCCCCATATTGCGTTCCTTAAGCCTTCATACACTTCTAACTGAAGTAAATGAATATTCATGGAGTATCCGAAAATGTAACTTGTATGTTATCGTTAGACTATCAGAGCCAAGTCGCTCCATTGATTGTTGAAGCTCCCTTATCTACTGCTCAGCGTAATACGCATAATCCTGGTTCAACAAGTAGAAAGGACTAGGCTCTGGCTCACCGCTGCCACCATACCACGTAGGGGTACTCAATGCCTTGGGCTTGTCCGCAATACGGTCGTTCGTAAAGACAGTCTCAAAGGTCTTGGCCCACTGCACGCGGTTGTTTAGCCCCTCCAGACCCCAAAGCTCCTGCAGAAAGTGTAGGATAGAGCTATGTGTGTAGGCCGAGTTGTCGGCGTATATAGTGCCTTGGTCATGGATAAGGGTGTTGGCAGGAATATAAGGAGAGATCAGGAAAGCAGGTACACTATCGGTGTAGGTATTGGGTTAGTTATGGCTGTATCCTTTGTGGAAACATCGTATGTATAACATCGTATGTATATTGGAGGAGCAAGCCTACCGGACGCCTAGACGCGAGAAATCATAGGTGACATTGTGACCGTCGGATTTGCCGGTGAATGCGATGCCGTCCTCAGGCTTCGGGATGTTCATAGGCGGAGCAACATGATCAGCGAAACCGCCATGCTCATCAAAGTTGATAATTAGCAGACTGCGTTTCGTCAGCAATGTGTCGATGTTGACTGACGGTTAGAAAACTCACACGTTGTCCCAGTATTTGGAGCTTCGGAGAGCGTCGTACAGGTGCTTGACCATTTGCTCACCAGAAGCCATGGGACTAGTTGGATGCATTGAGTCAATGGTGCAGCATTCTGGGTTGATATAAGAGAAAGTGGGCAGGGTGCCGTCCTTCAGGTCCTTGTAAAACTCGCTGGCGTGAGCGAGTTGACCCATGGCGTTGTCCTGAACCCACTGTACAGAGTTAGATACGCTTAAATGAAACGGACGATGCGACAAGTATAGCGGGTATGGTGATTACCTTGTACATGAAGGCATCGATAATGTCCGTTTCGTAGTACTGTTTCCATTGTTTTAGCATCAATCGATTCCAGTCTCTCCGGATTATTCTCGACCAAACCCACGTTCTTCCAAGAGATATTTTTTTTGCTCAGGGACTCAAATACAGATGTAGCGCAGGTAGTGCCGGTCACATTATTCCAAAATCCCGCCGATTGATCGGTATTATCGACAAAGCCGCATGAGGATCCAGAGGTAGCAAACTGACGGTTCACGTTGGTAGGGCCCGGGTGTTCAGCAAACTAGGACGGTCAGCACGAATCCCAAGCTCACGACTTCGTGATTTGAGGCTCTGTTTCAGTACTCACATACGAATCGAAGAACCCGAAGTTCTTGGCCAGTTCCGCGAGAAGCGCAGTCTTTTTTTCATCATACGCCTTGATGACGAACGAGGCATCGCCGGGGGTTTCGCTGTACTTCTCAGACTGCCGCTCAATAAAGCCACCCATGTTAGGGACATCTGTGCTTGTGGGATTCCACTTGCGGAAGATCTCGTAGCTGACACCTGCAAAGTTGTGATCCGGGTCTTTGAGCGGCACTTCGGTCTCGTAAGGTTTGGCGCAGATCTCTAATGGCTCGCCCCAAACAGTCCAGTTTGGATTGGTATACTCATTGCAGAAGGAGATATTGCGCAAGTTGTCAATGTCCGGATGGAAATCCCAGTAGCCCGCAATATTGTCGAAGGAATGGTTCTCAAGGGTGAGGTAAACAACATGTTTGATCTGTATGTAAATAGGATAAGCTATGGAATCTTCACAGCATCCCGGGGGGCTAATCAGAACTGAGTACGCACGTTCTCACGAAGCTTGCCCCAGACATCCTGATGGCCCGTTGGCAGCGCAGAAGTCGACGCAATAAGACTAGCCAGACCAGCCACAGTAAAAGACCTCATTGTCGACTCTCTTAGACAATAATAAGCACAGGAAATCTGTAACTACGGTGAGCCGTGCTCTCTATTCCCTAGTAGGCAGCCTATTTGAACGAAGGATAGACTCTATATTTATAGGGTGGATATGTCAAGTTTCCGTTCTACGACGCCAGCTATCCTCTTTGATTCCCGCTAAGGTCGCTCTTCCAAGGTCGGTGTTCTCGGTCATTGTGCGAGATGAGAAGCCACGCGCCACTTTGGCGAGCATCTAGGGATGAAGCTAACGAGCACGAGGGCGACTTCCGACGCTACTAGTGGGACTATGGAACAGAGTGTTCGTACCAACCCTATCACGTTTACGACTTACAGGATCTAACACGATCCACAAGACCTACGCAACTGACGCCCGATACTTAGTGCGGTGGATACTGAATTAGCCGACTAATCCTACTGGGCTGTTGCCTGGGAGTTAGACAGAGGGAACAAAGCAGGTAGCCCCAATATGGAATTGGTATGCTATCTCGACTCTATAGTACCAAAGGCCATCATCTGTCTGATCAGGAGATGATCAGCCTGCGCTAAAGCAGCGCCTCCTTCGGAAGGAAAACTGGATGTTCGATCAGGCCGCATGTACTAACTGTAGGCTAGCTTCTAGAGCCTATGATCCCTCGCTTCTATGCGGTCTAATGTTCGACGGGTCAAATCAATTCGAGGTGGGGCCTCCCTTGTGCCTGATCGAATATATCAGCCAATCACAGATGAAGATGCATATCGGGTGGCACATCGTCTCCATAGATAAAGCCCTGTGCTGACTTTACGCGATATGTGATTGGCTGGGATCTCCTAAATAAGCACTGATGGGCCCCCTTGGGTCCACTCGAATGCCTTGCTCCTGCTGATCCTCTCCAATCAGAGCTGCACGTGTACGCAGTTGCATTAACGAGCAAAGGGCCTTTGCCAAGGCACGTTCTGCATCAACAGCTTGTGATGGGCCCGCGTGCCTGTGTTCTCCGCAGTAGCAAGCAACGTCCCCAAGCGAGGCACACGCCTATCCTCCCTATTAAGCCCTCCAATCTCAAGCTCTTTTTTTTTTTACGGTCTTTCCTTCCACCCACTCCTCCAGCTGAGCCACTCAAGGGATAAAATTCATAATGTCTGTGACTTCAGCGAGCTCGTTCATGTCGGACTACACACGAGTTGCCGATCGCGATTCATCGGTCGACGACGAGAAGAGTCTGCACGCGCGCCTGAACACTGATGTCGAGTCCGGTGACTCGAAAACGGGCGAGAAGAAGAGTTCGCGCTTCTCCATTGACGGGCGTACGGTCTCGGATGCCATCATTGGTCTCTCCGACGGCATGACCGTGCCGTTCGCCCTCACAGCCGGGCTGTCTGCGCTAGGTGATACGAAAGTGGTTGTCTTTGGCGGCATGGCAGAACTGATAGCCGGTGCTATCTCGATGGGCCTGGGTGGCTACTTGGGAGCTAAGAGCGAAGAGTGAGTTATCCCTTGAATGAGCGGAGGTCTCGTCGCCAGACACCAATATGTCCTGCGGACCGCAGACTGCCGTAGACGTCTTACTAATTTTTTTTTTTATATAGGGAGTCCTACAAAGCGACCCTTAAAGAAACCAAAGAGCAGACGTTGACCGACCCCGCATCGGTAAAGGGCACAATTGCGGAGATCTTCGAGCCGTACGAGCTCCCCTCCGAGCTGGTCTCCCAGTTGACCCACCACCTCTCCGCCTCCCCCGAGCTCCCCTCTTTCCTGATGAACTTCCATCACACCCTCCCTGAGCCATCTGGTTCGCGCGCGGTAATCTGCGCAATCACAATCGCGCTGGGATATTTCATTGGCGGGTTTGTTCCCCTGCTTCCATACTTCTTTGTCGGACCCACCGATGCGTACCTTGCGCTGAAGTGGTCAATTGCGACGATGGCGGTCGCGCTGTTCATTTTCGGCTATGGCAAGACCTGTTTTGTAAGTGGCTGGAAGGGTCGGCGCAATATCCGCAAGGGCGTGGTTGGGGGTCTCCAAATGGTTCTTGTGGGAGGGGTCGCGGCTGGTTCAGCAATGGGTCTAGTTAAGGGATTTCAACTGCTCGCTGGCAATGATCACGCGTAGCTGGCTTTGTGGGCGTGATGAAATGGCGGGATTTGGAATTTCATTCATGGCATTATGACATGGCGACATTTGGACATCAATCGGCGTTAGGATTTTGTTTGTGGTCTTTGGGGCCTTTTTGAGGCTTGCGATATGGAGAAGATACACCAGTACTAACTCTATAGAATATATGGCGAAAATCACCCTTCTATCCATGAAAACCTGTTGACAGCAGCGTTGCATTGGCCTAGTATAGCTACAGAAGTAAATACAAGTTTTCAACCGCGCCTCGCAACTATCCTCATTACCTGTGATTGGTCGTACCAGAGCTCAGCCGCTCAACCAGAGCCGACAAAGGCCGCTCTGGTACAGCAACTCTCAAAATAGTTGTGGGGGGGGGGGGCAGTTCATCTCATGTTGCGGCTATTCATAGGCAGATAATCCACCAGGTGCCTGATTCCGGTTCATGCACATTGCGCCCTTGGGTAACCTGCACAGCCAAGACGATGATACAAAGGATGAGGGTAGTATAGGTGTGGCTCTGATTTCATCTACCCAAGTCTCCCGGTCAGTTGCCAAGATCTAGTTCTGGGGCTCACAGCCTCCTTTGCCTAGGCGGACGACTGGCGCCTGCTGTGACGCTCAACACAACTGAGGTCGACTTGCATCACCGAGCGTGGCAGGCGATGACGGCGTGTTTCAATTCAGAGGCATACCGAGCAGTAGTGATCACCTCCCCGCTGTTGATGACCTAGCTTTACTAGACCAGAAAGACCCAAGTACAACAGGACTTGCCGGATACTATGCAACTCGAGATGCGAGCAAGGGCGATATCACCAAGCCAAGCATCTCGATGCCACTCGTCTGCGCGACGAAGACCTTGCAGTGGTGCAAGATTCAAGGTCCTTGAAACCCGTCGAAATGACCAACAAAACCATCAGAAAGCCACATCAGCCCGTCTGACTCTAAATCAATTTTACTTTACCGGTCGGCTTTACTCGCCTCATACCTTGGGTATGAGGCGGGTACTAGGCCCCAAAAAGGCCCCCGTAGCGCACTGCGATCGTACCAAAAATAACCCGTTAGTAAACGGCCATGGCCCCCAAACCCATGGAATGCGTCAATCAGGGCTGTAAACCTGCACGCTGATCTCATGGAGCGCACTGGTTACTTGATACGTGTACGTATGTCCCCACCCGCCCACGAGGCGCTGCCGGTGGACATGCCCAGCATCATCAGCCACGATACCAGAAACGGGGGTATTCCAGGGAAGTTCTCCCGCTAGGTGAGGGAAACTCAGCCTTGCGGCTTGCATGTCCATTCCGGTTCTTACCCCCGCTTCTCCAGCCAGTGGTCTCCCATTTCGATACCGAAGGCCCCCGTACGAATACGAACATCTCTTGAACGCGCAGCCTGGCTCACGCCCCGGCCATATGGACGCAGAGGCTGACCAATGCGTAATGGTGGGTATTGAGTTCTTTCATGACACGTAAGATCCTGAACCTGGCATGTTGTATGCGTAATTGCTGTAAGCGCCATGGGGTCGAACTTAGGTCAGGTAATTACTGGGGTTGGAGTTTTGTTGCGCGGCGTTGGGACTTGAAACCTTGCACATATTCACGGTTCCTGGAGTCAACATACCTTTATTCCATCGCGTGGCAATGTGGGCCAGATTTGTCTTAAGATCGCATCTTAGAATACCCAATTTTGGGGGTTCTTTGAGAGCCAACATGTGTCACAAGATCGAGGGCCTAGAGACAAAAGGCTGACAAGCGAATCACAGTCGTGGAAACGAGACGTTTACGTCGATCAGAACATGCCCGTGGCACTAATGCATGGTCATCACTAGCAGCGTCAGCACAGCTTGAACCAAGAACCGCCATCATCCGAGTTCCGGCAAAGACTGAGCTCGGAACAACCACGCTCCGTAGGTTCGATAGGTCAGCCTCAGTACGATGTTTTACGAAGCAGGTATGCTTGAGCATTGATCCTCTGCAATGCCATAAGGTCTGCTATCCTTGCATCTACTTCTTGTACCTGCAGTACCCCAACACTATTCACGAAGGTGTCCATCGTTCTCAGCACATGTAGACACGGTGGTTCAGGGGAGTTTACTGTATATACACACGCCGACCCGGGGAAAGAAGCCCTTCTTGCCAGCCCGGCACGGGAGCGCGGAGAATAATGGGACCATTTGTGCAGAGGGATCAGGGAAAAATCGCCCCAAAGGGGACATTCTGATTGGACGTGGTTGCACGATCCCTCAACTCTGAAACTGAACGCGACCGGCTCGGTTATGATCAGCTTCCTGTAATCTGCGGTCTTTCGTCGGCACCGGGGCCGCGTCGAAGTTTTGGGGGACTTGAGAGAGGATTTGGAATACAGCCGCAAGCACGATACCACGAAATTATTGGGAGGCTGGTGTCAAGAGCGGCTGCTCTCTACTCTGCCACAGGGTCCAAAGTGCATATCCTCATCTACGCGCTGGGCCAAGCGATCTAAAACATTGGCAAGGGAATAGCGCGTCGTAGTGCCGAGTCTCTCGATTTTCAGGAGTGAACGGGAGGTGCTCATTGGCTGCTGCAGCTTGTCCAAGTCGTCTGGACTAAGCTGTCACAATCCGCTTTTATTGAACCTTTTTGGGGGGGGCACACGGGAGCTACACCACATGCGACTGGCACGCGAGCACAAAACGCTATGCTCGATATCCGGATGCTACTAAGGTACAGGCTTGACCTTAAGCGGTTCAAGCAACATTGTATTGTAGTACTCTCGAACGCGACTTGGACCCAGCACCATCACAAATCCGGCATGGATTCGAAGTGGACCAAGCGAAATTGGACATGAGGATCGGACGCCTCCCGTTGGCTAGCGTGACAGAACGACGGGGCGGAAAGGAGAGGAAAGGGTGGGTGGGCCAATCACCTGCCCTTGCGATCTTCGAAATTTTAGGGGGGAAATGAGGGCCATTGGCGTCTCAGCCGTATTCAATACGCAGAGTCTGCACAACTGTACGTAGCTCGGCATAGCGGCACAACGCACCCTTCTCGTCTGTACCTGGATTGACATAATTTCCCGACCGTAGTCCACGGGTTATTTGGTTTGAGTTACGGATCACTTGCGTATTACCCAAACTCTGGTCGGTTCTAAGCTCCAGGTACTCCCTTCTTCGCTTCCTTTTGGCTTTTGTGTCTGTTTATATCTTAGCTTTGAAGCTGTGGTCTGTGCAGAGTATCTTGACTACAATCTATCGCGTATTCGATGTACTCCGTACGGGTCCTTGTAATCGTGCAAACATAGCGGCATCCAAACAAGATATGCTAAGCCTCAAGATAGTCTCCCAGAGCCGGACAGCCACGGACATGTGAATGATGAATGACCTCTGGGCTTGCAACCCCTCTGGGTAAAGGGATCGGAAGTTGGAATCTCCGTTTTGCATGGCATTCGGGCTCCGTCCAGTCCGTTCCGTCGCATCCGCTCGGCACTCGACCGCGTGACTTGGATGGACGAGATTCTCTTGATCAGGCGTCATAAGAGAAGGATGGAGCATGAGAGCGGAGTTCGGAGTAGGGTTCGTTTGTAATTACTCGGTAGAGATGAGCTGACCTGATAATTGAAGTGATGGTGCATTCATCATGACCTCCCAAAACCGGGCCGGGCGGATCTCGGAAGCCAGTGACGACATACACTTCATAATTTCATTAGTTTTTTTTTTTTCTCCCCTTGTTATTCCTTTTTGCCTCGGGCGCCAAACCTGTATTGGCGTATTATTACCCGTATTGCCATTACGACCGACAGGCAATCTTCCCAATTTCTTCTTCCCCTTCTTAATCCTTACCTCCCCCTCCTCTCTCTGATTCCATTCTTCAACCTTCCTCTGGGCTCGGCGCCTTACTGCAGTCGCTGTTCTTGACTTCGCTCGTCCCATGCCGGTTGGTTCACGTTGAATTCCTCCCCACGAGTCTTCCCGTCTCATCCTGCGGTATCCCTCGACCCTGTCCGACGCCCCCCTTCTTCAATCGAGTGATCTAGAGTCTCCGGGGAGGAGGCTTGCTGTGAAATGATGAATACCTTCCCATCATGGAAGGACCGCACTCAAAACCAGCTCGGTAAACTTCAGATTCAGGTGCCATGGCGATCCTTTCAGCTCCTGGTACCACATCGCATGCGCCGCAAGATCCGTTCGAAGCTTCGCAGTCGTATCTCACCAACCTCATCCATCTCGACACTGCAGACGTCGATCTCGCCTGTTGATACCCTCCGGTCGCTTCAGTCGCACCGATGGACTTTCTACGACTTTCAATACCTGTTGTTGTTGATCATTGGCTTCTTCTCCCTCACCATGATCCAATCCCCTGGACCCTCGCCAAGACCGCCATCGCGACCATGCTCCTATTCTCCCTGCTCCTCCCCCTCACCAGGCAGTTCTTCCTCCCTTTCTTGCCCATTGCGGGATGGCTCATCTTTTTCTACGCTTGCCAGTATGTACACCCCTGCCACTATTGCCCCACCTGACGGCAGCGTTTTATCACGCGAGCACAACCTGGACGGGGTGCTGTGGTTTGAGCAACGGCCCAGATAGTTAACATGTACGCTTTGCAGATTCGTTCCAAGTGATTGGCGACCCGCTATCTGGGTCCGGGTCCTTCCCGCCATGGAAAACATCCTCTACGGCGCCAACATTAGCAACATTCTGTCGGCTCACCAAAGCGTAGTTCTTGATATTCTGGCTTGGATTCCATATGGACTCTGCCACTACGGAGCTCCCTTTGTCGTGTCGCTCATTCTCTTCATCTTCGGTCCCCCGGGTACAACTCCACTGTTTGCCCGAACTCTCGGATACATGAGCATGGTTGCTGTGACTATTCAGTTGGCGTTCCCCTGCTCACCACCATGGTATGAGAACTTGTACGGCTTAGCTCCAGCAGACTACTCGATGCAAGGAAACCCGGCTGGTCTTGCTCGCATTGACAAGCTCCTCGGCATCGACCTGTACACCTCGGGTTTCAAGCAGTCCCCCGTGGTTTTCGGAGCTTTCCCCTCGCTCCATGCTGCTGATTCCACCCTGGCTGCTCTGTTCATGAGCCATGTTTTCCCTCGACTGAAGCCCCTCTGGGTCACCTACACGCTCTGGATGTGGTGGGCTACTATGTACCTATCCCACCATTACGCCGTCGACCTCGTCTGTGGCGGTCTTCTCGCCACGGTGGCATTCTACTTTGCCAAGACTCGTTTCCTCCCACGCGCTCAACCAGACAAGATGTTCCGCTGGGATTACGATTTTGTCGAGGTCGGGGACTCGTTCCGTGAGGTCGGTTACGACCTGGCCAGCCTGGACGGTGATTTCAACCTTGACAGCGATGAATGGACCATGGGCTCTTCTTCCTCCGTTTCTTCAGGCTCTTTGAGCCCTGTTGAGGATCACTATGCCTGGGAAGGCGAAACTCTGACTTCGAACCACGACTTGGAGTCCGGTCGGTAAATCCGGTCACCGTGCATGCGCATAGCCTGCGTGTCATGTTCATGTTGCATCTACTTCTGTTTTGAACGGCGTTTCTCTGACGATTTCTGGAACATTATCTGCATCGCCATTTTTTTTCGACACCTATGGTTTTTAATTCCTCCCGAAAACCTTCGGTTTGCGCGGTGATCAATCCGCCGTGAGCTGAGGGTAACCTCCCCCGTTTTTCCACCTTCTAGCTGTACATGCCCTTGTCGCACCTCGTTGGAGCGACTCATCCTCCGTCCATAATACTAATTCCGGTGGCGGCCCTGTTCACCGGGTTTTACTTGCGACCCTTTTCGCCGCAATCGCCACCGTCGGGAAACATTCGCTTGTACAGATTCGGTCATCCCGCTCTGATCCGATCCTACTTCGCTTCTGACCTCATGTCTTTCGCTACGACCCTTTTTCGCCGGATGGGCACCCCCTTTCTTCGCTTCTCGCTCATCCGGTTGCACATTATTATTCTTCATGTCGATCGCTTATGAAATGGCGCCTGGTGTTAGGGGAAAACGACTTGCACGGGATCTCAAAAAAATGGCGCCTCTTGCACTACACTCGCTGTGCATATGATTTTTGGACATGGTTTTTCGCACATAGAGAAGGACTTCACCATGGCCACGGATACGGCTAATCCTTCGATGTTATGAGTGCCTTTTGCCGGCAGGTGACGGGCGGCATGGGTACTGGGTATGAGTCTATCCAACGAGTCTCTGCCCTGGTGAACCAATGGAAAATAGTCTGGCGGGGACGAGCCGGTACAGACTACTTATGGGCAGAGGGGGTTTTCGACGGAGGCCCTCCTCTCGCCTTGCCTCTCTTCACTTCCAGCTGGGGATGAAGCACGACCCAACCTACAAACTGATCAACTTACACCTGCAACTCCCGCTCCTCCATGTAATGTTTTGTTTTCCCTCTTCCTGTGGGCGGAGCGGTGTGCATGGTCTTCTCTACCTAAGTGTCTCGGGCAACAAGTTGGGTATCGTTAGCATTCTTAATCACTAGATGAGCTTATGAAGAATTGTACATTACTTCCAACACCAACTCTCAGCTTTGTAGCCCAAACGTCGACCCCCAACCTACTCTTATCTACCGGGTAAGCCCCAAACGATCAGCGCACCGGCCTGATTCGGCTCTCTGCAGGTCCCACACAACATCACCCCCGTGAAGCCCCGCAGCCCAACCAACATGCCCCCCCTCTAACTGGCTCTGCCCATAGCTCTGTCGACCCGACGGGCTGATCTTACATATTGGCCCCTTCCGAGACACACCGGCGTGAGGGGTTCCTGTCGCTTGATTGACATTCCAGACGCTCGTAGCCATCCTCGCTAAGACCTGTGATTCCTCGATCGAGGCAGGCTACAAGACTGGCTTGCAATGCATGACTTGTCTTGTCATGCATCATGCATTCCTGCTGCTGGTTAATACGGATACCCTCCCCTCGGCTGTACGTTTGAGTCAAAGTGTTTTAAGGTTTCGGTGCACGCCACAGTACGTCATATCGAGTCCTATGGGATCTACTGGTAAGGTACGGTAGGTGGATAGGACTGGGGGGAAGGAGGTCATTATATTCGTACAAAGCGCCCATTTCTAATCCCGTATACTGTGCAGTTCGGTCATTGCTTCGCCTAAAATACTAGGAACCCAGCCTGTCCGTCTAAGGTTTATCAGTGCAAACGCCGGTAGCTTTAGTTCCTGCCCGCGAGCGATTGTTAGGGAATGTGGGAACGGGAGCTCGGCGCTCATCGGGTGGGCGCAAGTCTATTTATTCATCGTCAAAAATTTGCACACGGTCGGCGTACTCGCGGATGTTGGAGTAGAAGGTTTCCTCAATATCGTCGCCTTTGCCGCTGGCGACGCGGAGGATTAGCTCGTTGAGCGAGGCGCGGCCGAGGATATCGACATGGTCACCTGGTGGCTTGTGAGCACGCAAGGGTGAGTGTGAAAAGGGGAAGAGAGTGTTTGGACCTACCGGTGTTTGGTCCGCCTCGAGGCGAGAAGCGGTCCGGCTCATGCGGCATCTCGAAGACCTTGATCTTTGTCCCGGCTGGGTTATACCGTTTGATGTGCCATCCCTTAGCACACATGTAGCCTGTGCTGAGAAGGTTGACAGTGCCGTCCCCCTCGCCCATGAAGACACCGCGGTCGATGCCGTCTTCTAAGTTTACAGTCGTATCGATGCTGACATTAAGCTTGACGGAGGGGTCGCTCTCCTCTTGGTACCAGTAACTGCGCTCCGTGGGTTTACCAACGCCGTAGAAACAGTATATCTTCATGTCTGGAGCATGAGGCAAACGGGTTTCGAGGGGGTTCAGCCATGTACGCGGGTCCTTTTCGTTGGCTTCGACCTCAGCGGCAGTGTGCGCGACGCCATGCGAGTAGCTACCAAGCACTTGGTCGCGGAACCAGTCCTCGCTCTGCTCGAAGAGATAGTCTAAGCTCTCGGACGTAGTGAGATTGCGACGGGTGAACGAGGAGTTGGCTTCACGGAAGTTGAGGAGGTTTCCGTAGCTCAAGGCCTGGCCGGGCTGGTCGTCGGGGGCCCAGGTCGCATTACCCCAGACCGCATCACCACCCTTGGGAAGCATGCTAGAGATACCCGGCATGGCGCGGAATATCTCTGCGCGTTCTTCCCTGGACAAGAACTTTTCCAGCCCGTAGACCGCGAAGGCGTTCAGCTGTGCCGTATCTCGCATCTCGCCAGATAACACGGCCGTCATGCCCTTGACGGCGCCAAGCATGCAACCGCTGATATTGATCCACGAGTCAATGTGCCTATTAACCCAGTCTTTTCCGCCTTTGCCATGCTGGTCGCTCTCTACCCACTTGAAGAAGTATAGAACGACCTGAGACCCCATGCTGTGGGAAGCGAGGGTAATTTTCTCGCCCTTCACTTCCACTGCGGTTTCGATGTAAGACTTCAGACGGCTGAAATAATTATCCCGAACCTCAAGGTTGGGATAGGAAAGCCGCCAATCGTATGCAGCAGAAAAGGCATTGGTCGGATCGTATCCAATCGTCGCCAGGTTCTCCAAGATCTTGCTCCATATCCAGTAGCCGGTAATGAAAAAGTCGGTGGCGTCGAAACCTTGAGCCGCACGGAGCTTGATGCCTGGCGGGTCAAGGCCTGTCTGACGATCCAGCATGATGTGGTTCTTCCATTCGGCCTTGTCCATCACCAGCGCCCGCATCATGCTCCAACTTCCCCAAAGGCGCCGCCGGAAATAGGGTCGCGAGGTCTCGCCCGTTCCCCAGCTCTCTAGGCCGGTAGAGATTACTCCTGGAATCATGACCACTGGGTGCTTGGCTGTGACGCCTTGAGACTGGAGGTGTAATCCAACGGAGAAAGAGTCGTAATTGACGGCCTCGCGCTCCCATTGCTATCGGAACAGGACGGTCAGCAGTCTGGATCAGATTGGAGAGTCAAATTCTAGAGGTGAGCAAATACCGAGAATTCCTTTGCGTCACGAATGATCCCTTGAGGAATCGCATCGATCCACGACTCGAGGTTCAAATCCACCAAAGATTCCAAGCTGATAACATCCTGCTGATTCGCGAAGAACAGCGCAACAAACACACCGAATAGACCCCCGAGTATGAAGAACAGACTGCTGCGACGCTTAGTCCGCGGGCGAATCACCAGCTGTTTCACCGGGGCATTATCGAATTCCGCGCGGAGCTCGTCTGTCTGCTGGCGGGTAACTCGGGGTCTCGCGTTTTTGTCTTTGGCGGATTCGTCTCCGTCTTTGACGCGGCGGCGCAACATGACGACCGCTCGGGGTGCACGCAGGTAAAGTGACTGGGCCCAATCGAAAGGAGAAAAAGGGGGGAGGCGACAAATCGACCGTGAAGCCGCAAAAGACTCGAAACGAGAGCAAGGAACTTCAGCGGGCGGATCGGCGTCACATGGTAATCCTCAGGTTCTCCATCCCGCTCTGACTTGCCTCCTTCCCCACCAACACCCGCAGCTCCATCGAATTGGGCCCTTCCATGAGTTCGCCGGGATGAGCCAGGATGATTCTCAGTCCCTCCGCTATGTGCGGTACGATAGTTCGCGCGAGAACGAGTATGTTGCCGCGATGCGCCAATTGATTTCGAAGGACCTCTCGGAACCGTACAGCATCTACGTCTACCGCTACTTCCTATATCAGTGGGGTGACCTCTGTTTCCTCGCGATGAACGAGAAGGACGAGATGGTTGGAGTGGTGGTGTCCAAGCTGGAGCCCCATCGCGGTGGCCCCATGAGAGGCTATATCGCCATGCTGGCCGTACGCACGGAATACCGGGGTCAGCGCATCGCAACGAAGCTAGTGCGCATGGCAATCGATGCAATGATTGAAAGACAAGCCGACGAGGTATGTTCCTGGTGGTCCCCGTGAGTCGGATACTGTGCTAACCAGCGGGTCCGACTAGATCGTCCTCGAGACCGAAATTACCAACACCGCCGCAATGAAACTATACGAGCGTCTCGGATTCCTTCGCAGCAAGCGACTTCACCGGTACTATCTGAATGGCAACTCTGCGTATCGCCTGGTACTCTACCTGAAGGACGGGGTTGGCTCCAACCGAACGGATTTCGAGCTAGGGTCACTTCCTCCGCCAATCGCCGAGGCACCAAGTGTGGCTCCTGCAGCTGTGGAAGGAAATGGGAGGGGGTGATATATATCGTGACATGCCATGATGATGCGAAATGACCAAACATAGATACACCTGCACATTTTTACGAAACGGCGCTTGGGACTCACCAGAACGCATTTATCTAAAGACCTCTTGTTTTTCCACTGCTGAGGTATGTCTGTATATCAAAGGAAGCTGCCAGGTCCATCAGGGTCATCGAATGGGTCTATATCTAAGCAGGTTGGAACCAGTAGTTTTTGACAGAACGGAACTCAGTCTCATTGCGTATGTGCTGCAATGGGGTACTTCCATGGAGTATACTAATTATCCTTCTTCTCCCCTCGATCTGTTGGCTCGCCTTCGCCTTGGTCTCCCTCTGCTTTACTCTGTGCCTGCACCTTGGAAAACCAGAATTTGTTGAGCATGCCACCCAAAAATTTCTGATCAATCCACTTCACCAAACCATAGACTACCCACCCCCAGCCCCACAGGGAGACGCCCATCATACTAGCGACAAGCAAGACCGGTCCAAGGATCAACAGGGCCAAGACCACATATAGCAAGAGTGCAACCGCCGCAAAGAGAAACACCCCAACCAGAAAGACGAGTAGCGGAACACCACAGCAAATCAGTTGGCAAACAAGGAAAGTAGAGGCAATCGGCCGATTCAACGCTTTTTCGTAGATGGCCGCTTGTCTTGGCGGAGGAAGGTATCGGTCCACCAGCCATTGAACGAGCCATTCGAAGCTATCCATGGCCCGGGGAACAGTCCACAGATCCAGCCGCTGAATGCTGTCCAGATGGCGCCGACTGAGATCTCGCCTTGGGGCTCGCTCTGCTTGCTGGGTTGATCGTCCGATGGGAACTCGCCAGGCATGATGTCGTCTGTCACATCTCCCGTGGTATCTTGTACTTGCTGCAAAGGCTTTTCGGTCACCTTCTGCGCGTTGTCCGTCACGGATTCGACTTGATTCGGGAGTTGACTTCCGACGCCGCTGACACCGCTGGTCACTGTATTCAGTGACATTTTCGATCAGGAGTGATGGCGTGAATATTAGAAATACAATCTGGCGATGAGAAATTTCCCCAGGGTTTGCGGTGCCAGAATGGGATTACCTGACAGTTGGATATTTTAATCTATACAACCATCACAATCTGGGCGACGACCCGATGACGTAGAGGGCGCCCGTCAAACTTGTTAAAATATATTAATTTCTGCATCCACCTCTATCCATGTAACGAAAGCGGACCCGTCAAAGCATAACATACGAGTACGTTTGCATGATGCAAATAAACGCTGTGACCCATTGAAGCTACGTCTGTACAGCCACATGGCGGACTCGAGCCACGCGTTAGTCGATCCAAGTATCCAGCCCGGCATCCAGAGCCTTCAGACTTTCATACGATGCTTCCTTATTGTTTTTCCCCGGCAGAGCTTGAACACGAAATAATGGGTCAGGCGTCATGTGGGGGTTTCGCTGTTCGTATGAAAGTGTTATCGCCTCCCGGAATATATACGTCAATATTCCTGCGATCGACTCGAAGTGCTCTCGCATCTTAGTAGTCTGATGGGGCCTCACACAGCTGCAATCCCCCAGGGACAATCTTTGGGAGCTTCCAAGTGGATGTACGACCACTGAAGGGGTTAGACCGGCTCCGTGTATGATTGACGTGGGACGAAATCCTCACCTCGCCACCATTGTCGACATGGTAGAACCAAAAGTCTTGGGAATTCGCCGCTAGGCCATACACGCGACAGTTCCACTCTCCTCGTCGTCTCCGTGCGGCATGTACCATTCCTACGAGTAGTCAGACATGTCTCCTGTCGGTAAGGGTGTGAACTCGCCTACCCATGTAAGTGTGGATCTCTGAACTTTCGAAGAAGGCCGGCTTGTTGGTGTGTACAATGATGAGATAGATACCCAAGTCTTGTTCAGATCCATACCATAGAGTATAGTATGGCACGCCATAGATGCTGTACTCTTTCCGCTTGGACTGAACACCTCCGTGTATGAACTCGACGTCTGTCTCCAGGCGCAAGCTCGCAGCTGCTTCTGGCTTGAGCTTCTCGAAGACATGCCTGATAATGTCATCCAAGCGAGTCTTCCTGGTAGCTTCCTTCTTATCTATACTTGAATCACGCCGTAGCAGCATCCTCACTATGGACTCTGACGATTACTCGTGGGATCATGGCGCTGGAAACGAAACTTACCAAAATCAGAGCTAAGACGAAGGCTTTTGTGATTCACCATCCAGGGCCGTTCTTTTTCGGCCAGAAGACTCTCCCCTATACTGCCATCTAAAGTTGCCGGGTGGCGAGTGAATAATGAGCGACTGCTGTTATTGTTGAGGCCTTGGGCGGAAATGAAGCTGGGCTGCATAAGACGTCTCGACTTCCACTCTGCTTTCTGGGCAATGACTTTCAGCTGCTCCGGGCATATTCTTCCGGCATTGAACTCCAATGCAGCAGCGAACACCCTCCTGATCTGCATCTTCATGCTTTGAAGCCTGGAATCGCTGTATACCATTTTGTTGGGTCACGGGTGTTCCGTAAGAGCTGTTCTGTGAGAAGGGAGTGTAAGCATTGTAAACCCAAGATACGAATATGTCATCGAACGAAACAATGACCTGTCAAAATTTGTCGTTCTATTACCAGACCACACTGTTTTGAGAGCGGAAGTCGATAGAGCGAGAGCGGTTTGGGTAATTTCGTCCAGATTGGGAGCGGAGCGGTTGTAAGGGTCTCATGTACTGATCATAGCGAAGCGATGGGCTCTATATCATACTATGAAGCATTCTTATAAAGTTGGTTCACGGACCATTGGCCCCGGCGATGGTAGCTCATGGATATCTTGTCCTAGATGGATTTGATCCGCTTGGAATTTCCAGTTGTATAGAGCTAGCCTTCTTGTCCGTTGAATAATACGCTACGCCCAGCAACATCCGGCCCCGAACGGCCAGAAAAGGACAGAAGCAACATGCGGGGACTGAGTAATTCGTTTTGTCCTTAAAGATGAAGATTGCTCCTAATTCCTTAGAAGTGCAGCTTCTTGGACCAACTTGTGGCAACGTGAAGTAGGATGAATGATAGACCAACTCCGGGCTAATCTCTTCTGGGAAAGAGCAGTTCCGAGGGTTGCTAGGCGCAACTTCGTACTCAGTGCATTCTGTGGAAGCTGCTACAATCGTTGGCTCGCTGAGCTTCAAATATATAGGAGTTGATGACTTCGTAGTTCGGGGCCACTCGAATGGAGCGGGCCAGTTCCTACCTGCCATACCGATTTGAGCTGGGCGTTATCAGAGCACGGTTTCGTGATAAGGTCAAGAAGTAATCTCGAATCACATAAGAAACACTTATCGAACGCATCGATGAGTATGTAGCTGTCTTGAAAAGTGACTTGGTTTTCATGACATCGGCGAAGACCTTCCAAAAACCCTCTCGTGCATTGGCATTCTCGAACAGCCGTTCCAGGGCTTGGCCATGCCGTCACCGCAGTCACAATGCCGGAACCTGGGCATGCCCAGTGAGATGCCTCGTGGAACTATTACAGATCGTATACTAACAGTTCCCGCACGAGCATGTCAGCGCCTGAAACGTACTCAGTCCCAGTGGAACAGATATCCGTGCTATGATACCCACGCAGACTATGTTTCCATCCTCGCATGCTAGCTCTCGCAATATGTATTAGGGTCCACCCGTTATTTCGTGCTGTCCATCGCGCCAGAGTCACGTGGAATGCGGTCATGCCCTGCCCTATATCACGCCTTATCTTTCCACGCCGATCTCCAAGGAATGGCATCACAGGCACAGACAACAAGGCGGCATTGCGGTCAGGCGACCCATCGATGACGCCCAAACTGCCAGTTCCAATATCATCGTAGAGTTTGCCGGCGCGCCATCAGTTCGCTTCGGGAAGAATCCTAGCGCCAAGCCCCTTTTTCCCATCAAGGTATTTGTAGATCGCAGCAGCATTTGCGAGTTCTAAAGGGACCGGCCCGCTGGGTCTCAGCCTAGAACGGCCGGTATGCTCGCAATGTAGCGGAGTTATGCATGCATAGCTAGCTCGAGTCTTTTTGGCGCGATAAATGTACGCAGTGTAGAGTCGAGCATGGGTCGGGAATTCCAAATCGGGAGAGGGGCTGAGATGCCACGGATCTGCGGCAGGACTTTGACGTGTATCGATGGATGGGATGCATGTGGTCCGTGTGGTTGATCCACAGGATGCTCAGTGTATTTGTATCGGGAGGACTTATCTTTCCAGGTTCTATCTGTACTCCGTATCCAGATGCCGCGGTACTAGTATCTTCCATTCTAGCCTGGCTTGAGGAAGAACCGGCTCGTGAATACTGCCGGGCCTCTCCCCCAAAAAATGCGTCATCACGAACTGATGGCGTTATGCCCGAAGTGGTGGCTCTTCGTGAAGTACAGATTGGATGTTTCAATCCTTGTTTTTCTCTCCTGCATACAGTGCGGCTCGGTCTCACGTTGACATTCCTGTCAACACGAGACCCTGCGTGCTTGTCTCAGCCACGGAGAGCGTCTGAACGGTTGATCAGGGGCAACTAAAAAGATGGTCGGGCTACAGCCTCCATGCGTCCGTTGTTATTTGAGTTCATGCTGCGGAGGAATCAGCCGTCGAGTCCTCCCGAGTCCCACCCAGGCTCCACTCGGGTGCCCATTTACCCCTGAGCGAAAGCATGGACCAGGAATGTACTATGTAGAGGACCAGGGAGATGGGGAAAGCAGAATAAAAAAAAAGTAAAAATAAAAAAAATAAAGAGCAAAGAGCAAAGAGCATCGGACGCTGTCCAGTGCACCCCCGCATACGAGACACAAGCAGATTGGGGTTAGCTAGATTGAGCTTGGGACACTAAACGGTCCCGGAACCCGGATGAGCCATTTATTGGAATCAAGTGACGCTATGCATGGTGCGGTGATTTCTGGGATCTTGACAGGGAAGACAAGGATGCTCACTATCCATGTCCCTCGAGTATACGGACGGTCCAGAAGGAAGGCTACAGGGTTATCCGCGGCCTCCGGCACATCGTTGGGGCCAGCACGGCTGCAAGATCCGCCTGGCGCTTGAGACACACCAAAACATACCAATGCGCCAACAGCTCCGGAATACAAGAGCAGTTGACTCAATCCGGAATGGCCGCAAAGTCGATGAGGTCAGAGGTGGGCAGAAGCGATAAGCAACCCTGCGTCTCGATTGCCAGGATTTCTTTTTCTGAAGGCTGCAAGGCTTGTTCATGTGCTTTGCTTTTGTTTTTTCCACCTGGGCAGGTTTCTCATACAAGGTGTTTTTGCCGGAGGTTCTGGGGATGTTTGAGCCTGGCCTCACTCCGATTCCAAGTAGATTATTCAATTGAACCTGAAACCTTGCGCGAACGGGAATGCCCACATCCACATGGAGGTCTCGTGGACAAAGCACCCCAAACGGGAGGCCCGTTCAACCCTGCTAATCCCCACTCGAGAGTCAGTGCGGCCCCTCTCGACTCGGATGCAGGTACAATGATGGCCTGTGTGACACTTTTCGTTCTCCCCTTTGCGATCTATAGAAAGATTCTGCGCATTACAATCGCACTGAGGGCCCGAATCCTTTGCACAGAGAAGCCGTTGATAGGTGGTGCTCCGGTTTGCCGGCGCTGTGGAGCCTTCCATGGCTGGGAAGATTACGCAGTCACAAAGTAGGAACAGGGGCTATCGGCGATCATCCTAGCGGGATTGGGGGGGAAACAAATCTCCCGAGAGTTTTTCGGGGACACACATCCTCCAGATTGACAGTAGTACGCTGGATCTGGTGTTCCGATCGTAGTACGGCTGCAGAAGCGTTGCGCAAGCTGTACCAAGTATGGTTTCAGGGGAAGTGGCGAAAAAGATAACCCTGGCCCAGGGGTCGGATCTCTATCAACGCTGAGGCATAGAAACGACTCGTCATACTCCCTTGCATGGAGACGCATGGAAAAGGGCGAATTGGCTTATCTTCTATCGATTCGCCTTTTCACAGATCTGGGAATTATTGCAAATATCGTCGGAACTCTCCCAACACGCTATGCGATCTCTTTCATCTCCTGTAGTCCGTAGCCCGCAGTCCCCGCTGCCACTTGTACTGGTTAAACTCGTAGAGATCGTAGCAAGTCTGGGCTTCGATCCTTTGCTTGCATGCTTTTCTGCCACTAATATTGGCAGCAAGAATCAGCACTAATACCATTGGGCTTTTGGGGAAAAAAAAGCAAAACCATTTATTTTTTTTTATTTTTTTTTTCACCCAAAAATGCGAGGAAATCATGATGGACGGCGACTCCACCGCAAAACCCACCTGGGAGACTACTTTGTCCCCCTCCTGTCCTATTTCTCCCCCCCCAGACCCGCACGCCCTAAGAAATCTAATTAACCCCCTCCTAATTCCTCCCCTCTTTCTACCTCTTTCGCCTTCCTGTTCCTACTGTGACAGGGCTTCCCAATTCCTCGCCTAATCTTACTTGCTCGAACTTCCCCTTGCAAAGTTGGGACTCGACCATATTTTCCGCCCTTATCCTCCCCTGTCCAGAGGGTTCAGCTCCTGCGAGGTATGCGAACTACTCAGAACGCCTGATCGTCACATTCTAGACATGTACCTGATGATCGTGCTCATGACTTCTATTGGAGACAACAGTTAACACTATCCGCTCGCCAGTGTCTCGCGCGACCTTCGTATCACGGTTGTCGGTGGTGTCGAACCCACTAGTCTTCCAACCCGCGACCACCCTTCATCACACAATGTCCGTTGCGACCATGCTACAACCCGCATCAAGAATCTCACGGGCATCCTCGTCCTCATCCTCGTCCTTTCAGCCCGTCACACGACAGAACACCATGTCGTCGCACGATACGCGGTCGCTCCGCCAGTCCAAGCGCATGTCAGTGACTGCGTTGTACCTGTCTATGTCCGCGAAGGACAGAGACTTGGAAATTTCGGATGACCTGGCTCGCGGTACGCACACGAATTCCTGACTGACTGCCTGATACCCCGTACTGATCCTCTCATAGCCCAGAAATACCTGCGTGAACTCAAGTCGAAGATCTCCACCCAGTCCAAGAAGAACTTCGTCCTCGAAAAAGATGTACGGTACTTGGACTCGCGAATCGCATTGCTGATCCAGAACCGGATGGCTTTGGAGGAGGTAAGTTCTGATAGTCACGGAACCCTAGATCTCCTCAGGCTCACATGACCATCTAGCAAAACGAAGTCGCAAGCCACCTTGATGATGTTGACCCTGCCGAGGGCTTCTTCCCGAACGATGACCGAACTCAGAAATACGGGAACCTCCTTTTCTTGCTCCAATCCGAACCTCGTCACATCGCCCACCTTTGCCGTCTCGTTTCCATGGCCGAGATCGACGCCCTTCTGCAGACTGTGATGTTTACCATTTACGGTAACCAGTATGAGAGCCGTGAGGAGCATCTGCTGCTCACCATGTTTCAGTCCGTCCTCACCTATCAATTCGACAACACCCCCGAATACTCCTCCCTCCTGCGCCAAAACACCCCCGTGTCCCGAATGATGACTACCTACACACGCCGCGGCCCCGGCCAGAGCTATCTTAAGCAGGTGCTCGCCGAGCGAATCAACTCCCTTATCGAATTGGACGATGTCGACTTGGAAATCAACCCCCTCAAGGTGTATGAGACCATGGTAAAACAGATCGAAGAGGAGACTGGCACTCTGCCCGACCACCTTGCCCGATCTGTCACTGCTGAGGATGCGGAGGCAAACCAGCAGGTGCAGGCGATTATTGCCCCTCGTTTGAAGATGTTGACAGACATTGCGAACGGTTTCTTGAACACGATCATCGATTCGGTGAATGAGGCGCCCTACGGTATTCGGTGGATCTGCAAGCAGATTCGATCCCTGTCTCGTCGCAAGTACCCCGATGCGCAAGACCAGACGATCTGTACTCTGATCGGTGGTTTCTTCTTCTTGCGCTTCATCAACCCTGCCGTGGTTACGCCTCGTTCCTATATGTTGATTGATGCGGTTCCCGGCGACAAGCCTCGTCGAACTCTGACCCTGATTGCGAAGATGATCCAGAATTTGGCTAACAAGCCCTCGTATGCCAAGGAGCCTTACATGGCCAGCTTGCAGCCATTCATTGAGTCAAACAAGGAGCGAGTCAACAAGTTCCTACTGGACCTCTGCGAAGTCCAGGACTTTTATGAGAGTCTTGAAATGGACAACTACGTCGCTCTGTCCAAGCGTGATTTGGAGTTGCAGATCACCCTCAACGAAATGTACTCCACGCACTCGCTTTTGGAGAAGCATGCCACCGCTCTGACTCAGGACGCCAACTCCCACCTTGCGCTTTTGTTGCAGGAGCTGGGAACAGCCCCTGCCCAGGTTCCCGGAAGGAGAACCGAACTATCACCGTGCCCCTTTTCAGTCGGTGGGAAACCGCTTTAGACGACATGACGGCGGCTCTGGATATCACCCAAGAAGAAGTCTTTTTCATGGAGGCGAAGTCAACCTTCGTCCAGATCCTGCGATCTCTGCCTCAGAACTCCTCCGTCGCTCGCCGACCCTTGCGGCTAGACCGCATTGCCGAAGCTGCTGCAACCTTGAAGAACGATGCCGTTATGGTCCGCAAGGGTATTCGCACCATGGAGCTCCTGAGCCAACTACAGGACATGGGTGTGATCGACCGCTCCGATGAGTTTAGTCTGCTCCGCGACGAAGTTGAGCAGGAGCTTGTTCATCTTGGTTCGCTGAAAGAAAAGGTGCTGGTTGAGACCAAGCAACTGGAGGAGGTTTTCTCCACCATCCGTGACCACAACGCGTACCTGGTGGGTCAACTGGAGACTTACAAGTCCTATCTCCACAACGTGCGTAGTCAGTCCGAAGGCAAAACTCGGGCGGGCGGTAAATCGAATGAGAAGAAGCAGGAGCTTGGCCCGTACAAGTTCACCCACCAGCAACTGGAGAAGGAGGGTGTGATTCGACGCAGCAATGTTCCCGAGAACCGTCGTGCGAACATCTACTTCATGTTCAAGAGTCCACTCCCTGGTACTTTTGTTATTAGTCTCCACTACAAGGGCCGCGCTCGTGGGCTGCTCGAGCTTGACCTCAAACTTGATGATCTTCTTGAGATGCAAAAGGACAACCAAGAAGATCTGGACCTGGAATACGTGCAATTCAATGTCACCAAAGTGCTTGCTCTTCTGAACAAGCGATTTGCTCGCAAAAAGGGATGGTAAACGCCTCACCCCTAGTCTTTATTACGATCTACGAAGCCAATCTCCAGAAGAAGCCACTGGGGGTTTCCGTTGGCCTGGAGTCTGGCTAGCTGCCCACTGCGGCACCTAATCTACATGATTTGCTGGTTCGAATCATTACACCCCCGATTCCAATATTTCTATCAGCGATTGTTGATGGAGGACATGAAATGCTCTCTCATGACTCGGACTTGATCTCTATTCTGGAAGACAATCCTTGTGAATGCCGCCCATACACGAACATACCTGAAGAAGACGATGAAGCGATCCCGCTGGCGGGACCTGAGATAAAGCGTCAGCGTTTTATTTTCCCCTTTGTTTCGCAAGTGATTTTGTTTTTTGTTGCCAATTTTATACCCAGCGCATCGTTTTCATGGTTCTTTTTTGCGAGTTCTGGAGGTTTGGATTGGACTCAGTCCTGTAATCCTATCTTGATGTTGCACCGCTTGGTCCGTTTTGGGCCCCCCTTGCGCTGTGTATAATAAATGCTTTGTGTGGTTTTCTTTCTTTTTTCGTTTTTGCACCTGGATTGAATACCCGTATCGTTTTTTGTTGGATTTAGTGTACAGGGTTTTAGAAAGACGATTTCGATTATCATTCGACAGCATACGTAACCTCGAATTAGCGTGGCGAACCGGCCCACGCCCCTCGCTGCGCCCCTCCAGGCTTCGGATCGCGTTCGACTGCTGATTTGTGCCGTTTGCGGGCAGTGCTGGAGATGCTGCAACCGTCGTCATAATATGTTCGTAGGACTGTTGACTTGGTTTCATCGCACAGGATTATCGTTTTTATCTGTTCGATCTTCCTCTAGTCCGTAATATCAATCATCTAATCGCAGATTTGTACTTTCGTCGGAAGGGAACATCGGATCAGAGCCCCTTTCTTCAGCAGACACCCTGCCAATGGGAAAGTCGTAGAATTGTTCCTGGTTCTCAAATTCTTCGTTCAGATCGACTGTCCCCGTGATTCTGTCACTAAACCAAACCCTGTTGTTTACCGCAAGACTCCGCCGATCATCCGGGCGGTTCTTAGCCTGGAAGTGGCCACTCCACGCGGACTTCCGCCTTTCCTCTCACAACTCCCCTTCCCTCTCCACTCCTCAATCCTTGATCTCTTTCCCACTTCTAGACCTTCATCATGGCGGCTACAGAGCTGAAACCTCCGTTCGACCCTAAGTACGATCATTACGACTTCCCCACCACTGCCCCCGAGCCGCAGAGTGGTCACCCCGGCCACACCACCCCAGAGCAAAATGCTAAGGTCCACCAGCTTCGGACTCTCCTGGAGCAAATGGGCTACACCGAGCGATTGGATACATTGTCTATGCTGCGATTCCTGAGAGCCCGCAAGTTCGATGTCGAGGCTGCCAAGACCATGTACGTGCTATAGCCATAATTTTTTTTATTCTTATTTCGCCCCCCTCCCCCTCCCCTGCTACATTTGCGGGGCCTTTCTGAGAAAGAGCAACAGAGCTTCTACAAGCTCAATTCATCTTGTCTTGAACCTTTTAATAGACTTTGCTAATCTTATCTTCGCAGGTTCGTGGACTGTGAAAAGTGGCGCAAGGAGTTTGGTACAGATGACCTGCCCCGCACCTTCAACTACGAGGAGAAGGCAAAGGTTTTCGAGTATTACCCTCAATACTACCATAAAATCGATAAGGTAGATGCTCTCTGCTAGTCCGGTCGTTCTAGAAGGAATCTTTAAAGCAGACTAACCACCCACTCATTTAGGACGGCCGTCCTGTCTACATCGAGAAGCTCGGAAAGATCGACCTCAATGCGATGTACAAGATCACCACTGCCGAACGCATGCTGGCTAACCTTGTCACCGAGTACGAGAAACTCGTCGATCCTCGTCTGCCCGCCTGCTCTCGCAAGTCCGGCAAGCTCCTCGAGACCTGCTGCACGATCATGGATCTGAAGGGTGTCGGCATCACCAGCATTCCCTCCGTCTATGGATACGTTCAACAAGCTTCCAAGATCTCCCAGAACTACTATCCCGAGCGTCTGGGCAAGCTATACCTCATCAATGCCCCCTGGGGCTTCAGCAGCGTCTTCAGCGTCGTCAAGGGCTTCCTCGACCCCGTCACCGTTGCCAAGATCCACGTCCTGGGCAGCGGCTACCAGAAGGAGCTGCTCGCCCAGGTCCCTGCCGAGAACCTGCCGGTCGAATTCGGTGGAAAGTGCAAGTGTGAGGGTGGCTGTGAGTTCTCCGATGATGGCCCCTGGCAAGACCCCGAGTGGTCGCGCACCCCTGCGTGGGCGGAACCTAAGGGCGACGCGGCTGTTGTTGAGAACGAGGATCCCGGATACGAGAAGAAGGCTGCCGAGGGTCAGGAAGGCGCCCAGGCTAGCGCTTAAGCAAGTATATACTCGGGGCTCCCCTCTCCCGCTCGTTACAATGCTTTCGCTGGGAGCTGGTCACCGCTCTTTCTGTGGCCTTGGCACCTTCCTGTGAGAAAATCTAGAAAAGGAAAAGACCCCTCGATGGTTGATCCAGGGTTGCTGGTTGACCTCTATCAATACCAAATCTATCGGTCGTTAAATATCATCGGTCGACGGAGGCGTCTCTCTTCGTCCATGTTTGCTGGCAGACCCAGGTTTTTTTTCTTTTTTCTTTTCCCCTTGATTCTCCCCTTTTCTTTCTCTCTTCAGGGAGACTTCGCCATCTCATCGCCAACCCTCTTTATCCACTAGCCTCATGTTGGTGGACTCTTTGTCCTTTCCCTTGCTTTTGATCTAGATATCGTGAGTGTACTGTTCAGACATACTTTTTTTTGGCCTGCTTATTAGAGAAGAACGGAGAATCTGGGGGTGAGGCTTTAAAAGCGAGTTGAGGAGTGGAATGCTGGGCTTTGTTTTTTTTCCCTCTTGGTTCTACGATGTGGAGTGAACATGGCAGAGCACATAACGAAATATGGCTATCAAGCTTGGGAATATATTTCTCGCTCTTGACCTACGCAAAGATCCTTTCGTAGGGTGCCATATGACATTCGTGGAGAACTAGTATAACAAAACAAGACATGGTATCATGATAACCAGTTAGACCTGGACACCGAAACGCCCCGTAGAAATTCAAATCCCCCCTAGGAAAGAATAGAAAAGAAATAAAAAAAAAGAGAATAGTCGTAAACCTTCTCTCACATTTGCTCCACCACATCCGCTGCTCTACCCGCCCTTTCGGCCTTGCCCACTGTCGTAGCCAATGCATTGCCCTCGGCACTATCCTCCATGTCCGCGTCGCCTTGTAACCGCTGAAGTGTCCGCAACGTCTTCTCATAGACTTCCGCCATTTCTCCGCTCCGCCACCGCTCCGCCTCCGCATCTGTCCCAAGGGGAACCTCCAATGTCCACGCAGGATCCGGCCCACGCCGAGCTTTCGTCCGTCGCGGTTGTGCCTCGGTATTATTCTCCTCATTCCGACTCGTTTCTTCCCCATCCGCCGTCTCATCCATTCGGCCCCCATCTTCATGTTCTTGTGTACTCTCCTTATCAAGTCCATCATCCAGGCCCGCCTCATCTTCTTCTTGGATTACCCTCGCCAGCTCAGCCCCATAGTCCCGAGCTGCACGCCGCGGCGCATCCCGTCTCAATTGTGCAACGGTCGTAGTGAGCGATTCCAGCTGAGCGTATAGCGCCGTCACACGCGAGGCGAGCTCCGCATCATAGGCTTCATATTCCACCGTCTCTGGCGCGGTAAAGGCCTCCGGGAATGGGAACTGCGGGGATGAAGAATCGAGCCCGTTGATACTGATCGATGCGGACGCCGTGGTGAAGGTGCGTGCTATGTACTATAAGCTCGGAAAGTCAGAGAAATAAGTCTAGCCGGGTTTACCGTTCCACGGACTCCTAGGTAAAACATACCTCGTCAACCAGCTCCCTTACGCGTTCGCGCATAGGATCCGGCGTCTCATTGTTGGTGGCGGAAAGGGGCAGGTGCAGGTCGAGCTTTTCGCGGGCGAGATTAGTTACATTGGCAAAGAGGTATGTAAAGTCTGCGGGCGATTGGAGCTCGATCTTTCGAGGGTAATCTGGCGTGGGCATTTTAGAGGTTGTTGATTGTTGGTGGAGAGCGCGTGGGTGGAAGTGGGACCGCAGTTGGGCGTGTTCACCGCCTGCGGTTCTGTGGGGGTTTTCCAATTGGCCGCTTGCAACGGTTATAGTTCGATCGTTTGCTTATCTTGAGCTTGTTTTTTGAGCCAATTGTAGAAGAATTCTGCGTCGAGATGGTTGAATTTACTAGTAGCTGTGGCTTGTTTTAAGCTGTCATGCTATTTGCAGAAATCAGTATGGCTTGGTGGAGGGTATTAGGTCAGTGGCATCCGCCAGACTATCACAAGGAGAGACGGGGGCACATAGACTGATTGAGCTTCATGATCGAGGAATCATTAGAGGCCAGAAGCCAAAGTATCCTTATAGCTAATATATGCTTGGCTCGGATCATCTGGATTTGTGTCAAGCCTCAACCAAGGCAACAGGATGAGTTAAGAAGCAAATGCTGCTTGCTATCATCTCGGTCTATCTACTTATATTTCCTTGGGCCATACGGCCACCCTAGCATCAATGGCGTTACAGTTCTGTGAGTATGGTAGGGGGAATGTGGATATAGGACGAATAACTGAGTGGTCAACTATTGAGTTTCGCTTTCCTCGAACGTGTTGCTGCTTATCCTCATCTCTCACTTTCTGTGTTTTCAAACCTCCAATCTTTCTTACCTTCGCCCTTTCTCATCTTCCAGTCGTGTTATTTTTCGAGTTTTCACGTGTCTTCACCACTTTTCTCGAGAACTGATCGATCTTTGGTTTCTTATCTCCTGGAAGCCCTTACGGGCCCAACAGGGGATTTCGAAGTCATCATGTCGACCTACACTTCGGAAGGCACATGCAATCGCGTCTTGGATCTGCTTTGCCTTGTGGACGATGGATCAAATGTTTTGACTGTCAAGATGTACGAACCCCCCTCTTACTGACGCGAAATATACTAAGCTGAACATGTATCTCTCCAGGACATTGCTTTTGAATGGATACATGTATCCACAGGCCGACCATCTCTTCAACGTGGAGACAAATCTCGAGCCATGCCTGCCATTAGATCCACTGTCTGAGCTTACCGTCCGCCTTCAAGCACAGTCTGTCACTCAAGATGGAATCGTATCCAAGGTCTCCACTCTCCTTCGACTCCTGCAGGACCCGTCACACCTTGCAACAATCCAGATCCGGGCTAATACAAGCGCCAATGATCTTGCTGCCATAAATGCCGAGCCGTTGTACATACTCACAACTAGGTTCACCAATAGTCCTTCTCTAGATGGAGGGTCCATTTCCAACTCTCCTGTTTCAGATGACCCGGATTTCTCCCCAACCCATGATACCATTTTGCTGGCGCAAAATGGTCAGTTTCCACCACTTCCACTTCCACAGGACTTAACTGGTAGTCCCCAGGCTCCCCAGGCTTCCCAGGCGACATTTCCTTTTCGACAGCATCCGCCAACCCAGCTGCAAAGTACTGTACAACAGGAAGAATATAATGTCGGTGTTGACAGTCAGCAACCCGGGCCAGTTGCCAGCCAGTCTGGCTTCACCGCACCATCTTCCACGTATGTTCCACGATACTGGCTCCGTTTACGCTCCGCGTCCCAAACCCGTCGATCCCCCCCCAAGCTAATGACCAGGCTTCTTGGCCCCATAAGGTCTTCTCCTGGAAACTCTGACTACCAAATGCTGCGAATTCCTGAAGCCTCTTGGAACCCACGATCCCAATACTCATTGCCGCAAGAGCTGCGTCGGTTTCTTTTATTAGAGCTCAAGCGAAAGTAAGTCGTGCTGAGAATCTATAGGAGTGAGTCCGGAGGGGGTAAATTGACACGGGAAACAGCCTGGCAGATTGTCCTGATTGCGAAGTGGTCTTGGATTTCTTTGAGTGGCGACTGTGGAATGTTGATTCTGATCCTCCAGGCCAGCCGGTTACCCTGGCACAATTCCATGGAAGCTTGTTGAATCTTATCACTTTTCTCGGTAACACCTACCCTGGCTTCTTTTGGACATTCGACGATGATGAAATGTTCATAAATTTTGCTCTCGACAGGCTGGAAAATGGCGAATTGTGTTCTCGTTGACAAGTCCAAGATGCAAATCAATTGGCTTTTGAGAAAACCAAAAGGCCATCTTCAGTCCCCCCGGACAGTCAGCGCTTCTAAAGTCCTGTTGGCCTCTTTGACTTCCTTGCTGGTTTTGGTCTTTATGCTTTGCTTACTTCCGTGTTTTCCTTGTTTTGGCTGCCTCTATGAGTTTCTGATTCCCTTGACTCTGCTGCTTCCCCTAGTTTTTTGTGCCTAGGTTAATTTCTGAGCTTACCCTGATCTCTGTGCTTTCCCTTATTGTCCCTTCTTCGATTGAATCTTCTGTCCACTTGATGTCAGCCCATTGTCATTGTGACTGCATATTCGCGGCCGAAATATCAATTGAATTGTTTGTAAGAGTCTTGTCCGTAGGAATATACACCGGGATTAGCTTTTTCCCGAAAAGGACTAGCGTGGGCGCAAACCTGCAATATCGTCCCGCAACTTGCGCCAACGATGTCATGGAACTTTTTCGCTCCGGCTCATCAGTCCCTTCGTTTTTTCTCGTCGCTACCGTTCGTCACCTTCTTTTACGACCCATATTGGGTTCGACTGTCCTAATCACATTCTTTTGTCCTCTACGGCATAGCTCTGTGTTGTCGATTCCTTCTTCGAGCAACAGCCGCCAGTCGGGACCGCGATCGGAGACGATGACTGCGACATTGTGACGTTGAACCTGGTCTTGCAAGCGTCTGGCCTCCGGACATATTGACCGAGTCGATTATCAAGCGGCCTCAATTCCTTCTTGATCCTTCTTTCGTGCTCTCCAACCATGGAGGGTGCATTCAATATCTCCTTGGTGGACAACACAGCCCCCTCGCAACAAGCCGCAAGCGGGGAATCGCCCCGACGAGCCTCACATTCCCGCCAAGGCAGCTTGACCAGAAACCTCAGTCGAGTCTCCGTAGCAAAACAGATCACAAAACGCAAATACGCAAAATGGCAGCCCGACCGACTAGGTGCTGGACCTAACCCCGAAGCGTCCTTATCCCAAGAATCATCCCGGGCGCCGGGCGGCTCAATCTCTGCTGAAAGCACCGACACTCAGGACGCGTCAAATGACACCAGCACCGAGACGACTCGCGTTGACACCACCGATCACGCGGCCTCTGGCGTACCCAGCCTTACTGGAAATACTACCATCCGTTCGTCAACTGCCGGCTTGCCCGTCTCCGACCCTGAGTCGAGTGCCAAGCCGAGGACTGAACTCGATATTCTGTACGAGAACCAGCGTGGTTGGTTCCTCTTCGGTGTACCTTGGTATTCCCACAGATCACTGCTCAATTTCGATCCTAGTGCTTGGATGACACAGGACCGTCGCGATAGTCCTGTTAATATCACCAATGCTCAAGTTCCTGATCCCAGCTGGGAGTGGGCCTGGCGCACCTGGTACGTCGATATGTCGGGTGATGTCGACGAGCAAGGGTGGCAATACTCTGTTTCTTTCAAATCTTCTCAATGGCACGGGACCCATCCGTGGTTTCACTCATTCGTGAGGCGGAGGCGCTGGGTCCGATTACGATCTAAGATCCCGGAGAAACGACATCGAGAACGCACCGAATTCGAGAAGGGCCACATGCTGAATGAAGATTACTTTACTATTCACTCTTCTAAAGCGAAGAGCCGCGAACAGAGCATTGCCGGGGCTTCGAGGGTCGAATCTGGCTTTTTGAGTCGTGTTGGCACCAAGGTCGAAGAAGAACCGCAGTTTGAGGAGATCGGGGATGTTCCGTCCCTGATGAATGCCTTGAAGTCCAGCTCAATCGACCGAGAGAGGCTTGATGCGTTGAAGAGGTTTATCAAAGATGGTGGCGAGGAGATCTACTATTTGAATGATAAGGTCCCAGAGATCCTGTCCATGTTCTTGTTCCAGGCATCCCGCTGGCAATTTTTGGACTATCTTACCAGTACCGCCCAAAATATTTCCCAAGATACTGAAGACCAGGACGACAAGGATGCCGGGAAGCTACAACGCAGAAAAGATAACCTCATTCGCGTGGCACAGACTGTGCAACGCCACATAACGGGGCCAGATGGGTCTACGGATATCTACGGTGGCGCAGCAGCTGAGCTACTGGACCTGACACCGATTTCGAAACATGACACACTCTTATCCAGGAGATCGTTGGTCGCGGACGAGCCTTTGCTCGTGCTCAAAGAAAAAGGGATCAAGGGAATTTCCAAGGCTGCGGAAGTAGGTCGCGAAGACCACATATATTAATCCTGATAATCGAAACCCATGCCTCGTACTAGGAGCGATGGATGCATATCCGGTGTTTCATTTGCGACGTCAATATGGTGTATATAGTCAGTCGTTCTTTAGCCGATAACATTGAGCGAATTAGCTTTTTTCTTCTTCTGTTGTCTCGAACGGTCAACCCCTAATGTGTTACCTCTTTTCATCGTTGTGTGGCGTTCCTCAGTCACAGGCTACATAACATTGGCCCAAACCTACCATAGAATATCAAATTGAGAATGCAGCGGGGAAAAACACGCCCCCTGCGCGATTTCGTAAGTAAATCAGACTTGTGTATGTAATTCACTAAAAACTGCGCTCGTGATAATCTCCCTGCAAAAGTGCTGGTGCGATCTCAAAGCCGTGGCACGTACAAGCGCATTCACCGCCTTCGACTTCCGCGGCGCCGCGTAGCAATATTTTCGGCGTCAAAAAGAACCAAAAGCTTCACGCGGCAAACACCTCGACAGCACTTTTGCATCGTCGTGTGTCTCCTGTTTACCGGGCGCATACCTCCCTATGCTAGTGCGGGGCCAGTGTCTGGGGAGGCGTCTGCCTGCCATTTTGGACACCGTGGCTGGCGCTGATGAACCTCTCCTCTTCCTCTACCCCCGATGGGCTGCTTCCGCCCTGCAGCAACGACGACCGATCGCATCTGTGGCGTCTACCGCTTCAATAACGCATCGTAGATCTCGATCATCCAGCTACTCTTGCCAACCTGCACACTTTAGGGGGGCAATTGGCGCGATTCACCCGCCGATGGATCTCGACCAGTCCTACGACTTGCGCAGGCCATTCGTCTGAAGGAAAAATGGGCTGGATGCCGCTGGGAGTGCCTCCAGGGATGAAACGGAGGACCATGTCAGTCATGAGCTTGATTTCTCGGGCTCTAAGGAGGAACATCAATACTCGAAAGGCTTTCTTGCCCATGTCGAAGATGCAGCATCGGGCACTCTGGGTAAATCACGGAGGAAACTCACCGAATGGGAAAAATCTAGGCGACACCGACTCCGGGCACAATTAAATCCCAGCAGACGCGCCCCAAGCAACCCAGGGTCAAGAAAAGCTATCTTGGCAGAGTACGGTCACAGCTCACAAAAGAAACTACGATCCGAGTTTCACATTGCAGACTTCTGGAAGAAGCGAAGAATCCCGGGTCCCAATTTTGGTTGGACTGCGATGCAGAGACTGTTAGGGCGGCTTGAGGACACTCCTCCGCGAAAGTCCCCGGTGCCTGCGAAAGTGAGAGAGATCAAAGTTTTGGAGGAGGTAGTTGTACGATTTGCAGGAACATTACGCAAAGGTGTGCTCGAAAACATCTGGTTCGAGAGTATCCGACACGGATGTCGAGTTCACGTTCTGAGTGCTAAAGAAGGCGATGGCTTTTACCGCAGAGTGATTCTCTCGGGCACGGAACGTGCCACGGCGCTTGTTGCAGCTCAATTCATACGCGCCCATGACTCCTTGATTATCGGCACTCCGTCGGATGAGTCTATAATCCCGCTTGTCGCCTCAAGAGCTGCCCTGCATGCTTCCAGGGCCGAGCCAGATGGCTCCCCTGTGATTCGCAAAATTTGGGATGACAGTTCGCTGGGTGATGATCTTTCATCTTCCTCTCATAGGCGTCCACCGATCAAATCTGTGGCGGATTTTGCGACTTATATTGGTAGACTGACCAACGACTATTCTCCCACGGGACAAAGTGGTAACGAATCGACACAACCCTACAAGCAGGCGTCATCTGTCATTGGCCGACACGCTATCGCATCGCGTCTTGTAGCCGAATTTCAACGGGAGGCTAACGCCAAGTACCTCTCTTCAGCAGCCTTGAATCAGGCTTTGGAGTATTTAGTCCAAGTTGACCAATTGAAACAAGCGCGCATGGTGTTTTCGAAAGCCGAGCATGTGGTCACCACACATACGTTCAATATTCTTCTCGAGGCCGCAGCCAAACGTCGCGATCTCCGAGGATTTGAGCGCCTTCTCCGTGCCATGTTTCAGTCTCGGATCCGGCCCACCGGAAAGACTTGGATGGCGTTACTCACCGCGTTGGTGAATCCTAACGTCAAAGCTAGATTGATCAAAGAGATGGCCGAAAGGGGCCATCTGAAGGATCCAAACATCGTTCGAGGAGCTTTACAGATGACAATCCATGATTCTTTGTTTCTTCATCTCGAGGGTGGTGGCGACATCATCACCTTTATCTCTTTGATCGCGAAAACCTTTGGTGCGAACTGGTTTACGCCGCCGTTACTCGGTCAGATGTTCCAAGCAACCTCTGACTTGAGGGATCACCGAGCTGCCGGACAACTCCTCGAGTATTGCCTTGACCGGAAGTTCATCATCAACGATTCAATTCTCCATTCGGTTCTCGGCATGTGTCACAACAATTCATTCGCTACAGCCCATTTCACCTTGCGTTGCATGGGGAGTCCCACGTTCAAGATGACCCCAAGACTCTTCGAAAGGGTCTTCTTCATTTTTTACAAAACCAGAAAACTGAACGCATGCCGTGTCCTTTGGCAGTATGCTTGCTTGACGGACTGTTTAACCGTGGCGATGAAGCATGCCGTCCGCAACGATCTCACTCACCCTGTTCCTTTGACAGAGGCAGCTCCTCCGGGCAAATGGGGCAGGATTTTCCCATTTCTTGTGAGCAAAGTGATCTTGGGTGTTAACCCTACTTTCGAACTCGAAGAATCTATCAAAGAGGATCTTCCTCCCGAGTTCCACGAGAACCCCCTCCGCTACTTCACCGATGAACACATGTACACCGATCGAGATAGCCAGGACCCCTTCTCTGTTCGTTTGGCGTGGGCGCTGCTCAATCACGACATCCAGGCTGGGCAAAACTCCGTTCCTCTGTATTCCCTACCTATTATGTTGGAAGCTGCAACTGCCCTCGACCGTGAATGGGGGACCAAGCCTAAATCTCTGGAATGGGCCTTACAGAACGCCATCAATGTGCCTGTGGCACATGTGTTGTACTAGTCCCTTCTCCCGCGGACCCAGCCATCTCTATGTCTCTTCTCCGTTTTCTGCGCTGCTCTCACGAATAACAGCGTGCCGCATCAAGTACTCCGCCAATCGGGAAGACTTGCTTTGTATACTATTGCATGGTTTGCCTTTGGCTTGTATATACCTGTACACTACTCAAACATAGAAACATAGATGAGGATACCTAACTATTGCATAATCACGAATCCTCCGAGTCGGGCTTCTAAGTCAGTACTTCTGAGTCAACATCCACATGTTATATTTCGCACAGCAATCGGAATACTAGGCGACGCGCGAGAATAGTAGCTTATTCGTAGTATAATGCGAAGTCATCAGGTGAGCATCGCACTTCCCTTCAGTTTAAGAATGTGCACGCCTATAGTGGGGATCAACCGTGGATGGAAATGGATGAAAGAGAACCATGAGACTCGTATCTACTAATAGAACTGGCAGAGAATTTTCCGTCCGAGTTTGGCATAGCATCGCTCAGCTCCCATTTGCATGTCGCGTCCACGGTATTTGCCACCATAACCTCCCTCAGTGTTCTCTACGAGTTATCCCCTGCCTCACATTCGGAGAGACCGGGAGCCACCGCTTATCCCCGAAGTCTAGTCAACGGAAAAACGCCGGGGCTGCACCGCAGCTGCACGCATGAACCATGCGATGAGCAGGTGGAGTGACCCATCGATGGCGCCTAGATCTTGATCGAGAATAGCCGTCGCTAGGGGAGGCGGACCAGTAGAAATTTTGAACATTAGTGCTGGTAAAGAGTGGCTCTCCGGATCACCTGTAGGGTACGGATCCGGTTCATGGGGGCCATCGTAGAATACCAATCGGTTCCCTCCGGTGAGAATACTGTGGAATAAGGAACGCAAAGAGCCCCGGCGCCGGCTCGGCCTCCCCCTCTGGTTTGATCGGCCAGTCGCCGTGGCGATATGGGAGCACGTTTTCTCCTGCTAGCACGCGTAAGTTCTGTTGATGTGGATGCTAGATCCTAGCGCCATGTGCTCGAACTTATATGCAGACAGCAAGCCATCGGCTCATGGCAATCCTAAAAAAGAGGGGCAGGTGGTAGCAAAACGAATCATGTTGCTAATGCCCAGGGTTCCAGTCTCGCCAGTGTTGTAGTTCTCAATAGCGGCTTGGGTGGCGTATGACCATCGGGCTGAGGCTGAGGATGGTCTAGCGTCTGTTGCAGCGGTTAACGGGCGCAGCTATTTTGGTTTACTCTCCGGGCAGTCTTCAGAATGCAACCTGGCATTTGAGATGTCATACTCCGTATGCTTGCCTCGTCAATCCATATTTGTCTGGTGCTCTACATGACTCCGTATTGACGACCCTTGCACCATTCGGGAGATCCCCGACATATCGATGGTCGTGTGTCAACGCACATGGAGTCTCCACTGAGGGAGGTGGGACGTGGGCCGGGTGGAGTGCATTTTACGTGATCGGCAATGTCATGTCCTTTTTCATGCTCGTTGCTCGACAATCGAAATCTTCTATCGCTACGTCGAAGGAGATGATCGAACTATAGAGTCAACCTACCGTGCATCCATATTCAAGTTAGCGAGGAATCTGACGGTGGCCAAGCACTGTTGCGATAGCTTGTAATAACTTGGGAAATCGTATTCCTATCGTTGGAACCACTCAAAGTTGAAGAGAGCAGAAATCTATAATCCCAGCGAAGTGTCCTAGACCTGGAATCGACTTGAGATCGCGCAGGTCTAGTGCACCTGGCATCAGAAGTCTATCAACAATGTATCAGACGTGCAGGAGTCAACAGCCATGTGCTCTGGTTCAGCCCTTTGACTCGATAGAATGGAGTCAGAAAAGTGGGCCCCATTTGGACTAGACCGCGATTGCTGGTCGCAGTGGGGCTGGACCAGCAGTGGGTCTGAGGAATAAGCATCCGCGCTGCACCCACGGGGAGAATCCAGACAACATGATTGGCCCTTTGCCGCAACAACAATAACCTCCTCGCTTCGACGCTCTCGCAATATCCCCCATTCCAGACTCTCTCTGACCTTCCAGGAACGGCCTCGCTACATCTTGCTCCATACGCAGGTGCAAGCATTGCCCAGGCCGGAAGGCGCATCACAAGCTCTTTCCAAGCCTGCTCAAGCTCCTGCCAAGGCCACGCCATTTGGCTTGGAAAGTCTGGGACTCTCGTGATATCCAACCGCAGGTAAATCTGGGCTATCCAGGACATGGATCCAATGAGGAAGAAAACTTCTTCCCTCTGTTGCTGGGGAGGACACACGTAGTCACCTAATGCGGATAAACCAGAGCTCGTTTCAGATCACCGGATCAGATCCTGCCACAGGTGGAGTCCAATCACCACGGCTCGTTAAACATTCCATGCGAGTAATCATGTTGTTCTAGAAGGCCCTAACCATGCTAGGCAGCCTGGTGTGCCTTCCTGTCGGAGAAGTCCAGGGACAGGCCAAGGTGGATCGAGAATGGAACCAGTGGAGCTCCCCCCATGGACAATCAGCGCCTGTTCCCCCCTCCTGTCGCTGTGCCCGAGAACTATCAAAACCTAGACGGACCACTCGCGTGGTTCGAGGGTCTCACTCGGTCAATGCACCCGAAGTGCGCCCCCGCCTAGTGCGACCAAAGGAAATTGTCCGTCTCCACCCATCAGCAACCGTCGTGCGCTCATGCATGCCTGCAATAGGGCAGCCCCGTCCCCTCGGGGGCCTAGTTCTGGAAGACATGGTTCTTGAATCTGTTTTAGCGTGTTGCCCTTCGTGTTTTGCCCGAGAGGACCGGAGAAATAAATAATAGATCGGCCGCCTGCCCTGGCTCCTTTTGTGCCATCCTCCATTCACTCTTCCCTTCGCTTCTTTGGAAGTTTGCTTTTACACCCTAGACGGGCTTGTATTTTGCCAACCATGGAAGCCCCTCGGGAGATCCTCTACCACTATGAGGACATGGAGGTTCATGAGAAGGCTGCCTTCGATGAGATCATCCGTCCTGCCGACTCGTACCTCCCCGATGGCCGCTACTGGGCCGATCTGCCCGTTGGCCAGCGTATCGGCTTCATCATGAAGCAGGATCGTGAGGAGACCGCCAAGGAATGGAAGTGGTTGGTGGAGATGTTCAAGGCCGACCCCTTGTCGCCGATCAGCTACTATTTCAAGAATTTCGTCCTGCCCGGTGCTGGGCTGGGTCTTGAGGGGTGAGTTCTCGATTCTGTGCTCTGGGTGTCGGGGTGCCCAAATTGCGAAAAGAGCCATGTGCTGACATTCGACTCGCCCATAGTTATGTGCTTTTCTCCATCTCCAACGTTTCGACTCTCTTCAAAACATCCTTCAAGTCGTGCTGGGGAGGCGGCAAGCATGCCATCTGTAACGCCAACTGGATTGCTGCGGTCAACTACATGGAGGTTGCTGGTATCATTGTCGGTCAGATTCTGGTCGGTTACCTTGGTGATGCGTGAGTATATCCCCTCTCTCAGAAGCCCAGGTTGTTCTCGTTGCGCACAAGCTAACGCGCCTCAGTATCGGTCGTCGCTGGGGTCTGATTCAGGATGCCGCGATCATGTTCGTCGGTCTGATTATGCTGGTCGCCGCCTGGGGTGTTACCCAGAACGGTTGGGTCATCTGTTACGCGTGGTCTCTGTTCTTCTACTCCATTGGTGTCGGTGGTGAATATCCCATGACGGCCACCATTGGTTGCGAGAATGGATATGGTTCCGGAAAGATCACCACCTCTCACGATCGTCTCCACCGTGGTCGTACCGTCGTCGGTGCCTTCACCATGCAGGGTTGGGGACAATTCGCCAACCAGGCGATCTTAATCCTACTACTCCTAATCTTCAACTCCGGCCACGGATCTCCCCCAATCAGCGAGACGACCACCCAGTGGACCTACCGTGTCTCCTTCGCCATCCCCGCTGTCGGTACCGCCTGGCTCATTTACTACCGTGCCTACCACATGAAGGCTGCCTCCAAGCAGCTCGAAGCCGCGAAGGCGAAAAGCTCGGTCACTGGCTACGATATCCAGTCCTTGAAGCTCACCTTCAAGCACTTCAGTCCCCGTCTCATCGCTACCGCCGGTGGTTGGTTCTGTAACGACGTCTTCTTCTACGGCAACAAGCTCTTCCAGAGCAGATTCATCAAAGTCATTAGCCCCCACGACAACAGTGTGATTACCAGCTGGCTCTGGACCCTCGCCAACGTTGGCGTGGAACTGGCTGGCTACTACGGTGCCATGTGGATGGTTGACAACAAGCTGTACGGTCGTAAGTGGGGTCAAATTCTCGGCTTCATGATGTGTTTCATTCTCTTCGTCATCCCCTGCTTCAAGCTCAAGTACTACGAGAGCCCGGAGCACATCCATTCTTTCCAGGCGATGTACTTCCTGAGCTCCTTCTTCAACCAGTTCGGCCCCAACTGCATCACCTTCCTCGTCGCTGCGGAGGTCTACCCTGCTCCCATCCGTGGTACTGCCCACGGTATCTCCGCCGCTGCTGGTAAGGTCGGTGCCCTGATCATTGCCATCGTTGGCGCCTACACCACCACCCAGCAGCAATTCTACATTGTGCCATGGTTCGGTCTTGCCGGTGCTCTGATGACCTGGCTTTTCCTCCCCGATACCACCGGTCTTGATCTGCGCGAGCAGGAGCGCCGGTGGGACTATATCCGCCGCGGCCGTCCCGAAGATTACCATGGCCCTGCGGTTCACAGCAAGCACTTGTCGCTCTGGGAGCGCTGGACCGGCAAGGGCAAGTACTACGATACCGACCTCGACTACAAGATGAAGGTCCAGGAGTTCCGTGCCGAATGGGAGGCTGCCATGGCTGCCCGCGGCTCTGAGACCGATGGCTCCATCACGGAGCTCGATGAGGTCTCGGAGAGCATTCTGCATGGCTCCCTGCACAAGTACTTCGAGCGTACTTCCCCCGAGATGAAGGGTATGAAGAAGGAGATCGCCGAGCCTCTTGTTCTGCCCGCTCCTGCCTCTTCCCACGAGGATACTGAGACTCTCCGCCACGAGTAAACCACTCGTCCGCTTGTGGGCCCATGGTTCTCCACAGCTTTGTTTCCCCCCCTGGAGGAAAGCATCAGTAGAGTGGACTGGTGGTGTTCCCGACACTCTTTTTTGGATTGGATATACGTCCCCTTGTTTTTGAACAAACCTCATGAGAGCAGTTGATCGGGCTCTTGTATAATAATTGTTGGCACGTCCACGGGTGCCAAGTCACGGTGTTTACGTGGATGGTGGAAGTCGAGAAATTGTCCTTTTGCAATGCCCCGAAGTTGTTATTAGAATACCCTAAGTACCCTCAATTATTAACCTTGCTCTTCACTTTACTTTTATGACAAAAAGAAAATTTGCTTCAAATGTACTCCTTTACCACCCTTTTTGAGAACTTTTTTCTTTGAGAAGCCTTCGTTGTCGACTGTTTCCCAATCCTAATTTTAGTAGGCGTTCCACCTTGCTCCACTCTAAGTTCGGAGATTTGAGTCTGCATATGGTTTCTATCTTAGAAAAAGTTTCTTCGGTTTACTCGAAGTATACTAAGAAAAAGAGACCTTTTAATACTATTTTCTACTTTAAACTAGAAGACGGCAGATGGGCTGCCCAAAACGGCCGCAGTCGACGCCGTTTTTGGCCGTCCATCTGCCACGCCTTCCGCCACTCCCCCGTGGACTTATGTCCACGCACCGCCAAGCACGGATCGTCGACCCACCCAAACCTCATTTGTCCGCAGTGTAGTATAACTACCTCCCGGCCAATACTGACTTCCCATACACGTCGCTGCGGTCTCTGAAATGCGCCAAAAATGGCGCTCTCTCAATGGTGACCATTATAAGCGGTGGCCCCTCGCTCGGGCAACCTCCGTTGCTACCTACACCCGAGTCTTCAGATTTCTCTACTGGTCTTCCCGATCCACTGCTGAGCAATAGTGCCACAAAGACCTGAAGCAGGAGGACTATCTCGAAACGCATATTGTCATCGAATACATTGTATCGTATAATGGCTCGCCGACAACGAAAGACAGTTGACCCGTTACCCGACGACAGCGACCCAGAGAGCACCGAAGATGGTCACTATGATACGGACTTCACAGAGCCTGAAGACGAGGGCTCGCAGGACAAAGATGTCAGTGATGCGGCACTTCTCTTTGCGGATAACGAGCATCCACCAGAGTACTATATCCAGCAGCTTGCGGACTTCGACGAGACCGACTACACCAAGGAGGACTATGGAAAGGGTACCCAATCGGGTGGAAGAAAAGTGGTCGCAAAAGTGGTCGCAGTATGACTTACCCTTTCAACCACTGATACATGTTTGCCTGACTCTGGCTGATAGATTCTGTGCTTTTCTACGAAAAGACCCTCGAGAGGAATTTACACGCCTATCGATTTCGATCATGTATATCTTCCTGGATTGGGTTCTCAATCTTCGGCGTGGAAAAGATGGAAGGCTCCCAGTTACAAAGTGTAAGAGCTCACTTGACACTTTTTGGAAGGTGTTTCGCCTGGTGTATAAAAGAGCAACTTCGAACAAGATCACAAAGCAAATGAACGGCCAGATGCGTCGTGTACGTTTAAACATGCCCTTCCCCGAAGCACAAAACTATGATCCAAACGATTTTTACTTATATCGTACAGGACATGGAGCACCATTGTGTCTAGGTGATTCGAAGGCTGGCCAAAAAACACAAACTGTCCTCAAAAGGGCGCGACAAACCGGCGATGGATGTCGAGGATTTGACCAAGGTTGTAGAGACCACGGTCAGTACGACGAAGAAGAAGTTTGGCCATGGTCGTCACCGTATCGAACTAGCACTCTTCCTGCAGTTTGCTGGCCTGACAACCAACCGTCCTCAGGCCATTCTGAATCTTCGGCATCGCCACATTCAAGTCAGCTTGCTACGTGACCCGCAAGGCGGCCCTCATCGCATTATTATCGAGTTCACTTTTGGGTTTACTAAAGAATGGCTCGGTGCAAAGGATGCGTAAGTTCACAGTGACCGTTCGATTTTCGCGTCTGACCTGGTCTTTAGCGACACATACATTCTCCCTGAAATCATCTTTGATCCTTCTCTCGTCCTTAGTCCTCACATTTTCTCCTGGGCTTGATCTGCGCAGACCGTGCTTTTGACCGTGTTGAAGGCGAGGAAGTCCTTGTTTCTGCATGCCAGATCCCACAGCTTCGGATCCCTGATGGATGCAACGAGCTCCCGCTGCACATCGATCCGGCACTGGATGATGTACCTATATTCCGAATGTCAGAACGAACAATGCAAGGCATCTCCATATCTCCTGATAAGCCGCTTCCTTATACGACGATTGAACCTTGGGTAAAGAAGATAGGCGTGATCACCGGCTTTCCGCAAGTTACGTGTCCATACAGCTTGCGATATGGGGCCGGGACAGCATTAGACAGCAGCGGTAGGTTATTCCAGCATACTGGCCTTCGGTCTACCCTAACTAACGCGTCTTAGGATCTGTTAGTGATTCACTGCGCAACCTTATCATGCATCATGCCGACACTCGCACCTTTTTGCGCTATTATCTCAGCAGAAGGATCAATAAAAACCTCCCTGTCATTACTTGCGGTCTGAACCCTGAAGACGACATCATGCGTGCTGCATGCCGGATAAGCCGATCTATCGATCCGAATCGCCCTCAGGAATTGACTACCGCACAATCGTCCTCCGTCAACCAAAATCCGGAAATCGCTGACCTCATTCGCCGGCGTGATGAGCTTAGTCGCCAAATGGGGCGCCCATTGTCAAATTATTATAAGACAGAGCAATACACAATATACAAGAAGCTGAACCAAGAGATCGCGGGGGCTAGGCAGCGCGCACGGAATGCATTGCTCACTCAAATTCAAGCAAAGTACGACCGCGAGCAACCGATGTTGGAAATCAGACGTCAGCTGTCTGGATTCAACCTGGCCGAGGAAGAAAAACCTCTCAAATGTTCAGAAGCGGTACCACTGCCTCAGAAGCGACTGATTGAGAGCCTTCTCACCCTACCTCGCCCGACACTCGAAGAGGAAGTGGCTGAGACGGACGGAAACCATTGATGCCGTGGCTGCTTATACTCTTTTCGAAGAAGGTGATACCCCGCCGTCTTTTACGCGATAAGCGTTCTGCTACAGAGCCCTCCGCCACCGGACCAGATGACGATGTCAAAGAAGAGATGCAGTTGACCCGGCCTTCTTCCCCAATAAATAACAGGCTGGTATCTGCGGTTCAATCAATAATGAAGAACAAGCCCTCCGAGAAGGGAATTAAGAGGCCTCTCTTCTGTTTCATCTGCCTTGGTCAGCAAGATTTGGATTTTGAAAAGCGAACTTACAAATTCTCCAGCCATGGAGACGTTACCAAGCACATTAAGCGAAAGCATCTTCGTCATATCTCCACACAATCTGAGATAAGGTGTAATGTCTGCGACGAGATTTTCTCGTGCAAAATGCATCTTCAGCGGCACGCATTTGATATGCATTCGACTGTCACATAGCCTCTGCAATGACTGCCGACACTATAGTCAGTGGTGATGAGATTTGTCATAACGCTTGGATGTTCTTTCCAGAGGGCGCATATAGCAGCCGGCGTGAATGAAGACTTATGGCGAAGGGATTCTCCGGCGCGGACAATGGACCTGTACCAGAGTTTCATGTTGCCTTTTTCTTCCGGAGATATATGGCTTCCCTCCCAAAAGACGTTCAGGGGTTCACTTCGGAGGCCAGATTCTTTATCATCATCAATGTAGTCTGGCTCTAACACTCTTATGAGGCTCTATCTAGCCTGAAGAGGTTTCCCTACTTGATCATCCTTCCTGTCAGCGGGCAGCTGCTTCCTAACCTGCATCACGGCAGCTTTTAACTCAGATCACAGTATGCGGGATCGATTCATGGACGGGGGCCTAAGCGGCCAATCGAAGCTAGTTTCCGCAGAATGTGGGCCCCGTACCGCAGTGCGCTGCAGTGCACCACAGCCATTGATGATCTGGAACAGTAGAGGTAGCAATCTCCAATCACCATTGTTTTCGGCCATCGTAGTATCACAAGTCGTCATTTTCTTTCGCTCAGTACAAGAGGACACGCACAAAAAAACGGCAAGGAGCAGTATGGGAATCTTCATCGCGCTTCGTTCATGGCCACAAGGATTATGGTGCATTCTACCAGGTGCAGCTGTCGGCGAAGCACCAAGGCAGCCTTCATTGGCTCATGCCATGACGCCAGCGGCGTCACCTCCGCAGAGGGTATGCCCAACAATCCAATGGGCTGTGGTTGGCTCCTGAGTCAAAAGGTTGGCATCCCCTGGGTAGTCAGTCAGTCGGGCGTCCCCGCTTTTTCTTCTCACCCGGCTCCATTTAACCACTTCACTCTTAATCCAAACGATGGAACTTGGCCCATATCTTACCTTTGATGGGATTTACTATGAGTGTACTCTCTGTGAGAAGGTTTTTGCTTCCAAAAGTTCGCTCTACGCACACTGCAGGAACACATCCCGACACGAGTGGTGTGAGAGGTGCTGTCGAGTCTTTATTTCGACGGCATCGAAAGGTGCGCATCTGAAAACGTCCGGCAGACATAACTTTTGCCTACGATGTTCAACGTCACGAGATTTCGAAACCCTTGACGAGCTTGAAACCCACTTGACTGAATATCATCACTTCTGCTCAGACTGCAACCTTTATCATCAGTCCACTGAGGAACTTAGAGAGCACGATATCGACGTGCACAACTTGTGTATCAAGTGTGAGAGATATTTTGTGAACAAGAACAACTTCGAAATGGTATAAGGTACCCGATCAACATTGTGCATTCGATGCTGACCTGACTTTTCAGCATCAACAGAAACATCAACCTCGAACGATGGAATGCTGCGGTTGCTACAAGACCTTCAAGTCCTTCTCCGGAGTCCTGATCCATCTCGAGTCTGGAGGCTGCTCATCGAATATCACCGAGGATGATCTTGACGACTTGGCCCGCGAATGTTACCAAAGTAGGAAGTATATCAATGATGAGCTCGAGGATGGAGGTTGGCTTTATACCTGCACACATTGTGTGTCAGAATTCTCAAAACTCTCCGCCCTTTACCAGCATGCTGAGGATGTTCCGTCTTGCTCATACCTTGCCAAAGACCACGGGTGTTTAGCCAAGTTGGAACGTTTTATATCCCGCAACCTGGAGTAGGCTTTGGCGAATATATCCTCACATTCTCGATGTACTTCTTTTCACGGCCAGAATTAACAAAGTGTTCGGGTTTCTTGAGATAGATTGGGTTGACCCTGTAAACCCTGATGTGGATGTAATCAGCGCTTCGTCGAAGGCACCCTGACTGGACGTTTTACGGGTGTCTGGCGTGTGGATACGAGTTGGAGCGTCCCCGGGCTACCGTGGATGTTTTTTATATCGGAGTTAAGGCTTTCCAGCTGCGGGAGTATCCATAGTCAACCTTGATAAACCTCGGACAAAGTATCTGCGGGATGTGGATACGGTCTCCACTATACCACAGCCACTCGTCTCTTCGCAAGGTCTGACCCATGTTCGGTTATAGGTTACGTTGTTTGGGCAGATCATATAAAGAATAGCACACCTGTACCTCTTGTTTCCTTTCCGATATTCGTACCTATGGTCTGCGTAAACGCACGTGAATACCTGTGTCATTGGTCTGATCATTGCGAATCTTGTTTACCATCACTGATCATAATGCGACCCAATCATCATGGGTAAGACAAAGTGTCATGAAGAGCGAACGCTTCTATGACTGACACACACTCATTATTATGTAATCTAGGACTGTTGGGTTCATTATCGGCAAAAGCTGAAAGCGGTTCTGGATCCACAATGTGTTGACAGACTTTGGCCGTTGCTGTGAATTCGTAGACACCGGTGATTACTCCATTCCGTTTCCAACTAGAGAGTCTCATCTTATTGAAGAGGACAGACCCGCCTGGACTCCACTGAAGCGGTGGAACCCTACACAGTTATCCGAAAACATTTTCCATTCGACATCAATTGATGGTTACATAGCTCGACTGGGTGAACAAGTTGGCCGGTCAACGTGGGACGAAGATGATGAGCCAACTGACCCTACGGAGGATTACACGGAGATCCTCTTGGCCCATGCTAGGGTGCACCGTGTTGCTCACCAAACGGAATGGACCTCACTACGCGTCCTGTCCTTGTACCGGCTCACTCGGTTGTTGGCAAATTTCACCATCTCTGAAGATCGAAGATCGTACCGGAGGTATTGTGAGTTTGTTAAGATTTGTCTTTGTGGAAAGCGAACAGATGAAAGATATTCAGAAGCTGCTGTGTGATTATGCGGCGTGGAATGTGGAGATTCTGATGCATGATGCCGGATTTGAGGAACTCCTGGACGCTGCGCCTTCATTGGAAAAGGTCATCTTTCGCTTGATGTAGATGTAAATGTTGCGTCGATGGGACTCAAAACATTGTATACTCCCGCTATTTTAGATGGGTTATTAAATGTAATCTGTCCCTGTGGCATATGTCCTCCGAGGCTTTCTGAGTACACATCATTGTTCCTAACCTATTTTCTGTGTGACTTAAAGCCGAGGTATTCTTAGCGAGATCCTTAGCAGGCAAATGTTAGGTCGCACTCAAGATCACTTCGATCGTGCGATAGACACAGGCTATACACTGGAAATGTTCTTACTTGCCATCAGAAATGAGTCTCACTGTTGTCAATCTATTCTGGTGCGCAAGATATATCACCTTAGCAGGTCGAGTCAATAATATCTGCCAATTTCTTGAGGCAGGAGATAGCATCGTCGTAATCCTGCCTCGCCGGTTCATATGTACGGTCCTGGAACGCGGACAAAAACATCTCACAAGAAGCCAAAAGAACTCTGATATCCATTGCATAGTTAATATCACTCATTGGCAGGTCCGCTAAATGTCTGCGAAGAAGCTTATTATGCCTCTCATAGAAACCGATTATTTGAGCGCGGCAATCATCCGCAAGATGCTCCCTTCTAAAGGGGAACCCAGATGCCCGACAAAGTAATGGTAAGAAGTCATCAATTATTGACCGGATGTCACGTGTGATAGACGAAGCTGATACCTGAAGGGACGATAATTGCTCTTCGAGAGAGCGTTGGTCGTGAATTCGGCCACTTTCGCTCGCAAACCAGTCCCTTTGCTGATTGCCGCGTATAACGAGCCATGACATTACGTGGTCATATAGCGGGTCTTCTTCGAAATGTCGCTTCCAGAGAAACAAGACGGTTTTTGCGATAGCAAGGCCACCAAAGGCATTGGAATTCCCAAACAACCGTTTTAAAGACCCGTACAAAGCACTGAACGCTTGAGCCTGTTTGCTGCGGCTCTCTGATGGGGTCTCATCTGCAAACGCAATAAAGTGCATATAAAACAGGCTTTTATATGGCTTTTCTAGCACTTGTGAGATGCGACGCGCAGCTTGCCATGGTTCGTACTTGCAAATGTCACTGGGTTTTCTTTCGCCCTTTTCGAGACATAGCTTTCTTATCCCTTCCGCTGCGTCCGGAAGAATAAACTTGGATATTAGTTCGGAAAATGCAGCCACAAAGTGGTACATCAATAAGGCCCTATATTCAGGTCTGCGGTCGGCATTATTCACGGCGCATGATGGATGAAAAGTTTGTAGCACGATTGTCTTATGACCGTCGAAGATAGAGATTTCCTTGCGCCCCAGTTGATAACTTTCTCCAGGCAGCTCGATTTGCTTCAGCCACTCGTCGCAATATGTGTCACGGTGGCATCGTAATATGACTTTTGGTTTCTTCACTTTCAGGATCTGTGCGAGGACTTCATGGCATTTTTTATCTTCATCTGTTGCGCGTTTATCAGGTTGATAAGAAAATGCGTCCAGGACAGTGACAGTGTGTATGCTTCGGGCGCCTTTGGTAGCGAAGCGAATCAGTTCGTCGATTGCTAGCAGTGTCTCGCAACTTTGGACAAATTCCTCGAAACTGACGTCGAATTTGTGGTTTCTTCTGTGGCGTGGACGTTCCAATATAACCACTATGTCCGAGAAGCCGGCTGCCAAGTTCTGCGCTTGAGCTATTTCGTCTCCTGGTCGAAGTAGAGCTTTGCCGAATTTCTCGAGTATCTCAATGGCTTCGTGATCTCCGCGGGTAGGAAGACAAACCGGCGGAGCATGGGCTAGGTCTTTCATCGACAGAGGAACAGGAATTTGGAGGCAAGTTTGGATATCGTGAGAGGACATCTTTTTCAGCTGCTCGCTACCAAAATACACGCTTTGGGATGGAGAGAGAGATACCCAAGTGAGCTGAGGTCGAACTGATGATCATGACACGTGCTGATGGCAGCGAGTGGGGTTGGAATTCATTACAATACAGACTAGTACATTTGAAGTATAGCGACCGCGGAGTTCCAGATGGGTATCCACCATCAGCCCCAGTGCACCGCAGCCATTCAATTCGCCACTATGGCGAATAACAACAGAGAACGCGATGGCCCAACCAAGTATGTGTGCGGGTTTCGTTGATGCCCGAGCATCTTAAAGTCTTGTTGACTCTGAGAACATCGCTTCAGCGGGGTCGAAAGAGAAACACGTTCCAAACCAAGCGAGAAATCGAACAGTAAGACCCTGAAGTTCATTATATTAGTTCCACAAGTGATTCTCTTGCCACAAGTAATCGAGTTCACAGGCCCATAAGATTGTGAAGCTGAGATTACCCTTAGCTTCCGTTTCTTCCGCAAACATGGAGACCTCAGCCGATATTCGCGACAAGCTCAGTGGACAAGGTATGTGGATCTGCAAATTTGCATTCAGATTGGAAGCTCACAAAGTGCCCCAAGCATCGGAGCTTTTGGAATGGATCCATCTGATTGAGAGTAAGTGAGATCTTATAGTCGCCTTAAGGCCTATCAGGGTATTGATCCCTTCTTAGAAAACTTTACTTCGCTGAAGAAAACGCTATGATCCAGACCTAGGACTGCCAGTCGGGTCCAATCAGCCGCTTCACGTACCACAAGCAGCTTACCAGATATTTAAAGTTAAGAGGGGCTCCGACAAATACTTCCAACAACTTCCGGCAATGATGGCATCTAAATCAGGGCGTGTATCCCCGGATACTGCTATGGTTAGCCAGTTCATAAAGTAGATCTCTGACAAAGAAGCTTTACATGGCCAACTCGACATCCGTGGGGAGTTGCTAAGCTACTGGCTGGTCCCGCCTAGTTACGTGATCAACTTGAGCCACCATAAACCAGGCATTGCTGTAGCAGCTGTAGGGGGGTCGAATCTTAAATATCATGACCTGTGAAGGAGAACGGATACAACTTCTACAGTCAATGATTCCCAATACTCCTAATTTCACTATCGAAGAATCGTCATTTTTCAAAAAATAGGATCGACTACCTTCACCAAATAAAATGTAAGCACGCGCAAAGGCATAACATCTCGCTGGAGGATATCCAGATCGAAGTCAAACCCATTCGATAGCAGCCCTATATATACAACCACCATCTACTATTTTCGAAGAGTTAGGCCTATTTGTCAAATAAGAGAGCTCTATCTAACCATCCGAAGCCCAGTACCTATATACCATCCGTCAAACCCTTAAGGGCGATATTCCTATACCCGAAATATATAGCTAACATACTAAAAGAGAACAAGAAATATATTTATATAGAGTGTATAAATAAGAAATCTCTTAAGCGAGTATGGCTAGTCATGGGATATGATGATAAAGCTGGTATCTGTTGCGAACTGAGGATAATTTATTAGTGTCTCCGATGGCTCGAATAGGACCTAGAGAAACCATTTATTAGTACTTATCCTCTGTATATCTGATTCTGTTAGTTAATCTTTTTTTGTAGGTAATATTACAAAAGGACTGTTTTATGATAGGGCATTTTATATGAATTGTATACACGAAGCAGGCCTTTTTGTTACTGTTTATAAATTTCATAACTGGTTTATGTTTCTTTACCGAAGACTAATATTAGATCTATATTTAGTGCTGATAGAACCATTCCATCATGGCCTCCCGGATGACTATACAATCAAGTTTACTTATAATTCGCTAGTACTTAGGATCTATAAGACTACTATACAACAACAATAAGATATTAAATTGTGACACAGTACACTAATTGTTCTTACAGCCTATCGCCACAGATAGCCATTCAAGAAAACTTTTACCAACCGTGAGAAGATTGGAATTATTAAACCCTATCAGATCAGTTAAAACAGATTGATTTAGTACTTTATAAAATAAGCTTTTAGATACGAAATAGCCGAGCCCTATAAGATCTGTCTCAACCATTATTATCAGCACTGTAAAAGGATGCAAGTAACGGAACCCGCAACGCAACACCCAGGTCACAGCAGTCTCGGAGTGTTCTAAACAACTGAACCAGCGCTGCTCGCAAGCAGGCTGTCGGTAATATAGTCTCTGGATATAGTCTTGCATCCAGTTCTAACAGTTGGGTGCCTGAAATAATAATCAGTATATATGGTCGGTCCAATGGTTGACCTGGCTTACGGATGGATCAAATGGATTGGCACGCATCAATAATGATACAGGCTTGAGCTTTATACACAATGATTTTACCCAATCCAATTATATTGTGGACAATGACAAGATCGTGGGACTGATCGATTAGGAAATGGCTGGATTCTTCGGTTGGAAGACGGCTGGCGAAATTCATCGAAAGATTCGGACCCCTCAGAGGGAGCATTTCGTGAATGCGTCTTTGAGTGAAGAGAGCCTCCGGGATATTATGTCCTGGAACGACCTTTATGACTGAGATTCTGGACTTGGAGGTCAACAGACGTCGTCAAAATGGAAATTCACATGTCCCAACATTACAAATCATAAAAGACTGAGGGAACCAAGGATTCGAATCAGTCTAGATCTGAGAGACCTTGTTCTCTAAACTCTATGTGTATGCTTAAAGGGGAATTAGAGTTTCGTATATGGAATGAGATTTGCGTTTCAAAGTCTAGGTGGTCTATCATGGTCTATCTTTATATACAAAACAACTTTTTTTTTTTTTAGAACAAGAGGCTCTCTTTCCATAAGCCCCTAGCGCACAACCAGCATGCGACAAGGAAACCTCTATCTGAACATACTGTTTGGTATCAACGAAAGGAATGGACCCAGCATGAAACCCGGGGGATGATCAATAAACGGCCCCGAAGGGACAAGACAACAGAGAATAACGGATGAATGGAACGCCATTGTCAGCCCGTTTAACCAAGGGTCAGAGTGTACTGGACATCGGTTGAGCAAGACAGGGTAGCCACGTCATCGGGGTGCTGGTACGCAGCCTGGCAGTTGGAGTCACCAGCGTCACAGGTAGCAGAGGGGCAGCTCTGGTCGCTGGGGGTAGCAGAGAAACCGGCAGTAATGAAGTCGGAGTTGGAGTCCAGGTTGATGGAGGACAGATCCCAGTACAGCGTGTCGCCGTCCTGGGTGTACTCGAACTGCAGAACGGAGTCCTCGTCCTGGGAGGTGGACATCTTGATGGAGATGCCCCCGCCATTAGAGTTGGTGCCCCATTTCTCACTGTAGGTGCCGCCACCGGAGGTCATAGTCTGCATGGAGCCGGACTCGGCGGCGGTGCTCCACAGGTAGACATCCTTGGACAGGTTGTTGATAATCTGCACGTTGCCAGAGCCTGAGTCGCGGGGAGCGAGAGGCTTGGGCAGAGCAACGGCGGTGGTGGCCAGAATGGCGGAGAGGGCGACGTTGGTGAAGAACATTTTGGTGATGTGGATGTGTAAAGACGGAACTTTAGAGATTGTGTTCTTGACAAGAGATCGTCTGATCAATGTAGACAAAGAGAATGTGGTTGGAAAGAAAAGGATAAACCGAGAACCTAAGAGAAGGAACGAGTTGAACTCTGAAAGACTGTCGTGGTTGATGAGAAGGAGAGAAAGGCCCTCTGGCCGTCAGGCACAGGGGTATTTATCTCTCTCGGTGGAGAAGACTTTGCATTCTGCTCTGTTGCCTTTCATCGTCATTTTTTTTTCCCCCTGGAGAATGAACGCTTGGATGGTTCCCAACTTGACATTGTAAGGTACGCCAGGAGGCAACTGCCAGATCCGGCGACGTATAGATCCGGGTGAAGCAATGAGCTTAAAGCCGGTGGAGACGGTCGTCATGGTCTGGACCAGCTTTGTGGGTGCGGACCGACGGAGGTCTTGGGGCGATTCTAGAATCCTTCGCTCCCCTTTCCCGGCCATGTCTGGAACAAGCCCCTGTTCGTTCACTCTGGGGGGAACAATGGGGCAAAAAGGACCTCCAGCGGTTCTCGACTCCGCGTCATCTGGTTCCGACGCGCAGCCTTCATACACCATCGGATGCAATCCGGAAGGCAGTTTTAAGTTCGTGTACGAACCAGCGCCTCTTTGGATTTGGTTCTTGGAAGCCTTTAGGCACACGCAGGGGTGAGCCTTCTCGGATTGGCTCGGTATGTCCCCAATGCGCTCTACCACGCGGTTGGACGTAAATGGTGCCAGCCAACCATCTTGCCGATACTCCAATTTTGCGCCAACGTGGTCTGGAACACATGTACCACACTCCTTGGGTCTGTCATTCACATGGCTCTTCCCACGGATCACGCAAGGAACCACCTGCGTTCCTGAGGGGAAGTTCTTGGGGCAAAGTTTATGACTTGTTAGGGGACTTCTTCGGAGGATTCGTAAATTGACCAGGATTGGTCAAGAGTTCCCTTTGGGAAAGTTGCGATTTCGGAGAGGAAGTAGGCTGCCTGCCCAGAAAGCCTTGAAAATCTGATCTGGGATGATCTGCATCTGACAGCAGCGACAGGCATGTGGAGATATGAATGTTCTGGGGCCGTCGCATGGAGCCCGCAACGGCAGACGTTCGTGATCTGCGCAAATTGTATGGAGTCACCTCTTAGTGCGACTGACCACCATCGGAAAAAGCTCCATTAGCAGTGGATGACTCCATTCCCCCATGCCGCGACTTATCTGCCGTCCCCCAATGAGAATATGCAAAAGTTCAGTCTTTCCCCACATATAGCGACCATGGTTCAGTGGCTCACTTAGGTTTGGCTCGGTATTCAGTCGGGGATAAAGTGGGGCTCTCAAAGAGAATAATCCCCAAAATTTGGGAACGCCTTGAGAGGTTTGGTTAATCCTGATGTTTGGTTCTCTGGATCGAACGCACTCGAAGTAAGACTCGGAGTAAGTGTGAATCAGGTGATTAGAGGGCCGATCTCGGCGCGCAAGTTATTCCGGTGTCTCACACAAGGCCTAACCTTAATGTGGCAAAACGGTTATTTATGGCGACACAGGCGGTGAATTGGCCGGCGGATTGGCATCTGATATCAGCCTTCGCAGGCTGACGGACCCCGCGAAGGACGCTGCTTCCTGTAATCTGGCTTCATTTGCTCCGTCAAGTCCCAAGGTTGCCCTCTGGATAATATTTGGAGCTCATCTATAGCCATTAGCATGTTCAAGAAGAAAGATTCTTATATCAACACCACCCCCATCCCGCCGAACATTCCGCGTCAACTGGCATTGGACCTCTTACATAGCCATAGCGAGATCATCACTCTGAACCCACTCGTTCTTTCCCACAACCCGATTAAGGCTCCGCGGGATGCACCTGCTGATGAGTATTACCACACCTGGTATGAGATTCACGAGCGAGTACAATATATTCCTGGCATAGGGAAGCTCGGGTCTGGCAAGATCAGCTTCAAAGGCAGTTTCCACAATACCTCGCTCGGGATTTACACCCACACATACGTCCCGCTAGGAATCGAACTCAAAAGCAAATGGCACGTGGGCGGAAGCCAACCTGATGAGCCCCCGGAGCCGGTAGAACAGCGCCCGGAGGGGGCTCCAGCCAATGGGCTTTATCTACACGAAGACATTGAGATCATTGCCAATCGCACACTCATTTCATTTGTGAAAAGCCAGCTCAAGGCCGCCTCGAAGGTCCTGATCGAGCGCCTAATTAAAAAGGCTGAGCTGCTTGACGCGGGTGTCTTGCAGGCTATGTTTGAAGACGGGAAGCTGAGAACCATCAATCCGGCTGACCGAACGATGACATTTTCCCAACAACCATCGATGTTTTCTCCGACTATTCCCTCTGATCAGCGCTCTTCTAGGTGGTCAGCTTCTGGGCCTACACGCTCAGGATCGATGTCGTCAACCTCGACGGGCTCACATGCTGGGCGTACACCCTCCATGTCACAGTACTCGGTTGGTCCAGGGCATTATAGGACTGTGGCTGCAGAGTTACCTGGTAGTACCTCACGTCCCCAGTCATTACCGGCGCCTGGAAAACATTTTGAAATAGCTGAGATGGAAGGCAGCGGTCATCTACCCGACCAGGGCTTCCGTTCTCCGAAGCTTTATCAAGGACATGCTGTTGAACTGCCTGCCATGACAGAAACTTCGGAAGAGCACGCGTCAAATCGGCCGTCATATCAATGGTAACGCTCTTTGCAACAGTTTGTAGTGCTGCTATGTTCCTCTTATATCTGATACCCTAAAATTTGTTCATTCAGGTCGCAATGATGAATCAATGAATCTGTATGTTCTACTTGAGTCTGAACACTCTGATCCGTGGAGTTTTATGCAGAACCACTTTTCGACTAGTATTAGGTACTGGTGTCCTGCAGGTTATTGCGAGGCCCCGATCAATTTGGGGCTTTCTATGGTACTCCAGTTTGTTCATTTTCAACTTCCGCCTTTACAAGGTCTTATATACGACTAGTAAATACTCGCGATGTATTTAACATGCCGTGGCTAATATGATAAGATCGCTTCCCGGTGAAAGCCTGCTTAAGAACTTCTGCTTAGAGTGATATTATGAGACCTTGGTAAGAGCGGTAGAGGGCACGGCGTAACGGCTGTCCCTTTGCGTCTTCCCAATCAGGGAGTCATCAAAACTGGTGAGGCAGTGTCGTTGTTATCTTCGTTTCTCCCAGACCTTTCTAGTCTCCTCAGCTTGTCTCATTTCGAGGTACTTCCGCAGTTCCGTCATCGATGATACGCTGGGCCCGGACTCCAGACTCACAAAGATCAAAGTTTTTTCATCCTTGATACACGTAGGGTATCTCTCATACACATACATTGGTTGACGCTGACATGCCCCCAGGTCTCATTCACCCTGCGCGTGTCCGCATACCTTCTTCGCCCAAAACCCATGGAGATGCGTCCACGGGTGCTACGGACGCGCTGAGTCATGTCGGTTATCCCAACTTCCTTCTCTTCACTCTGCCCCTCACAAAAGTGGAGTATAACTTGGTCACTCACAGGCAGGAAGATGGGCAATCTGGTAGGGTCAGTCACCGCCAGGAACAGCCTGCCAGAGTCAACAGGCACCGGTCGAATGACGTAGAGAGAGGTGATTGAGGCCTTCGTGAAGACGGAATGACTCCTCAAGAGCTTAGAAGACACACTCCTCCTGCCCGTCATCGACGGGGCTAACGGCCGCATCGCAGTACAGCCCAAGAATGCGGCTTACTTATCCACCAACATGCTGCCCATGTGTTCAACCCCGCTCGTCAAGGCCGTTGTGTTGTCGGCGAATGCCCCTCGAAGAACACATATCCGGATGTTAGTCTGGAGTCCCCGGCGCGAAGATTGCTAGGGGCCTTGCGCCTGATTTGGACGCCGCTGAAAAGAATGTGGCTCGGGAGCAAGAATGAATTAATGATCAGCTTGCTTCTATTCGTTCGTAGGTGATGCTGAAAAGGAAGCTTTAGCGCCTGGTAAAAGTCGCGATAATCATCCGTATTTACCATTGTTTACACCCTTTGTTCCGTGCTCCACTAGCAGCTTACTATCGTTCGCTGGCTAATGTTTGAACGATCTCCTTTGTTTTCCACCTCGGGGATGGGATTCCCTTGGGCGTTTAGATACGGGGACATGTGTGAGAGAGTAACTCCCCTGAGCGTACATGATCTTTCAGCGGCCATGTACGTAGCGAATACAAAGGTAAGTATTATTACTCGAATGATGGCCCCGTACTCCAAACATAAATCCTTTAGTCCCGACGTCGATCCGGCTGCCGTGGTATGCAAGAGTCTTTTTGGGCAACAGCCTTCCCTTTCGCGGCAACGATTTCGCATGGGACCTCAGCAGTGAGTACTGACTCTTGGCTCGTAGGCCAAGCCATCTACACGTAGGTATACTGCTAGGAGGTACAGAGGCATCGAGAATACCCAGTAGGGGACGGCTTACCTCGGAACTGTATACATCCCCAACCCACCTGCCAAGATGCCAATCAAATGAATCCCAGAAATGTCTCCACCAGCCCCCGAAGAACCAGCAGTCTCGCCAATGAAATGTCCCAGCTCGTTGAGCAATGACGCAGTGCGATGCACTCTGCGGTCGGCATGTGCCGAACGGACGGTTTACCTCATTGTCTGCTTCTTACGTCAGAGAGCAGATCCTGAGTTTGAAACTTCACAGGATCTCTCACAAAGGCTTCCTGCGGCTCTCTGTTCCGAAGGGCCCAGAATCGGAACGGGTTGCAGTGATTGTAAAGTTTGGGAAGCATCCAGTTACATTGCACGCGCAGCGATGCCGACTGAAGTGTAACCAGTGACCACTAGCTGTGCCAAGGCAAGTTGGGCGAATGGACTAAAATTTGGAAACCGGAGGCGTTTTGACTTGCTTTCCGAGGATCCGTAAGGCAGCCCTAGGGCGAGACCAGTAGTGTAAGAAATTAGGCGAGAAGGGCTCTGAGAAGTCCATGACTCCAAGGCTTGCAGCAGGGCTTGCAGGCGGATGACTGATCTCGCATCCGATCCTCCAACACTACAGATACGATTTGCGCCGTTCCAGATACGAGCGGGAGATGGGCATAGATTGTCCCATCGCAGCCGTACTGTAACTTTGTACGGGACTACTGTATTCTCAGGGTTCAATAGCGCCACCGTACCAGAAGGGTCCTCCTATGACCCAATTTCGCAAATCTTTGAGCCCCACAAGCCAGGGTGCCCGAAACAGGCGGCGATGTGAGTGGTTGGGCCCTGCTGAGGCTTGTAACCCTGACTCGGATCGCCGGCCAATTTTACCGTTGTGGGAAATGGCAATGCGGAGACTCTCGGTTAGCGCGTTCTTGGGCCAAGGAAAGTCATTGAAAGATTTTTGAGCATAATAGGACCAAATTAGGCCTAATTGGGGGCCAATCATGGGCTCCATTGGGGAAGGAGAGAGGGTCCAAGATGCCAGCGGCCACGGTACTCTGTATGCGGACCCTCGACTTTGTTTAAAAAGGGAGTTCGTCTTCTTTTTGGGCTTAGTATACGGTGTATACTGTGCAGACTAATCTCGTAGTACGGAAGTATTCTGGTCTCTCGATCTGTAATTTGTCGCATCGGTCTGGTAATATTAATACCTCGTTTGTTTTTCTCCTTTCCCCTTACGGGGTTTGCTCGGCCCTCCGTGGTTTCATCTGGAATTTGACGGGGAAAATAAATAACAACTTAAATACCAGATCGCAGACGAGAATGCGACTGGAATTCCAAAGGGTCTCGTAGAGCAGAAGACTTCTATTGCCATTTCCAGGGTTCAGGTTCATTTCCCCCTTCGAGATACCCTTGTTTCCCTCTTTTGTTCCCACTCCGTTGCCGAGCATCAGCTCCACTTTAATTGGGGGTCTCAAAGCCTGTAAAAAGGCCAACTGGAATAGGCAGGGTCAAATACATGATCCCCCTAGTGCTGCGGGGGCTGTTTTCCGCTGTAGGCCCGAGTCAGTTGCAACCGTTGATACCGACCTGTTGGTTCTTGTGCTTCTCGTCTCTGTTTTCTACCCCCCGACAATGAGCTTGTATGTCACCGGTTTGACTACCTCCCTCTCGCCATCTCACATCTGAGGGGCCAGGTCGCTCTCTCCGCCCTCCGATCATCTCCACCGATCCTCTCGAGGTTTGATCGAAATGGCTTGCTTCCAAGGGCTTGGGCTGAGAGTCCAGCCCTGGGTAGTGCTGGCTATTCTCGCCCTGCTGCAGTGTGGCTCGGCCCAGTTCTGTTCCTTTTGGAATAACAATTGTATTGATCCTCTCGCCCAAACTGCCGTGCCTTTCGACTTCCAGCCGCTCTTCAACGACCCCATAAGCCTCTATTATTCCTTCGACTCTAGCTCATCCGGCAAGGGCGAGGGTCCTATGACGAAGACTGCTTTCTGGCTTGGATACGAGGATAGGAAAATCAACCCCTACGCCGTCAATTCGAACCGAACCGCCGAGGTCGCTTTACGCGTCGGAAACTTCACAGGAACCCCTGCTGGGACCACGAATGGTTGTGATGGCATTTGGGGCAAGTCCTGCTCTCGCGATATCAAAAATACTCTGCAGGCGGCCATCTTTCAACTCACCACATCCGAAGGTCACTGGTCACAGCCTCTGGCAACGGCCTTGGACCAATTGATGACGAATCAGCCAGATCTTCCGTCATGCGGCGCGCCTGTCTTCGATGTCGCCTCTATTCCAGTGCAGGGTACGTTGGTCTGATTCGGGTAGTTGAGAAGAAAGGAGTGAGGAATTAACATTCGACTAGATTTTGCCTATGAACGAACCCCCGATCAACAGGTTACTGTGATGAAGGCAGGGAGCAGTTATCGTCCGTGGCAGGTGTGGTATCTCGACGGCATGACTGCTCATCAACAGGCCTCTCAAGTGGCCGTCGGTATCATTAGTCGCGCGCCGAGCTACGACAGTAGTCCGCCTACCAGCCCCGACGATATTCAGATCGAGCTAGTGTGTCTACAAGCACCTCAAGGTCCGCCAAGTGGTTCATCAAAGGATGATGATTAGACTGTTGCCGTGCGAGACCTCCAGCGCCTCCATGCCCACGAATTCCTCGGTCGCCCGTTCACGATTTCCCGTCCACCACACCATGGCTTCCAACTCCGGCAATAAGCACGCTCTTCTTTTTCTTGCTTTGTTGATCCGTTTACCGATTCGCCCACGTTCCAAGGTCGTCGGTGGGCAATGGACTGGAACGTAATATGGTTTCTCGAGCAAGCATGTCACTTCGGCAGAAACTTTCACAGCATCCGCCCGTTCTTTTGCCCGATGTTCTGTCGTCACATGTCAACGCGTCATGGCTATTTGTATGACAGGATGTCGGTCGAGAGCACCGCTTGTCTCAGTCGTCAAACCTGTTGTTGCCCATATTCAGAACTCTACTACCAAACTGCCGAACATGTCCGGGATCAAATTGGCCACCCGTCAACCAAAACTTTTCACCACCGTCCTCCGCGAAGTGTCACCTGTCAGCATGGAACCTGGCATTCTACAAAGATAACCACCCAGGCGTGACACAACTGTGGAGGAAGAAGAATTCTAACCAGAGATCACTTCTCCAACACGGCTCGCCCTATATCTACCACCACCGATAGATCCATTTCATCTAGGGGTAGTGTAATCGTCACCCCCTCTACACGTAACAGAAGATGGAAGATTGATATGCGGCGGAGACAGAGCCGCACTCCGGATCCCACAAATACCCATTGAGGCCATACCATCATGCATTATATACCCAAGTCCTAAGCTTTCACCATGGGACGCATCCAAAGGCGTTTGTTTGATTTTCGCAACGGTTGCAATGAATAGCCTTATGCTCAGCTCTCAGGTCGGAAGACCAACTTCTCGAAATGATAGACCATTTTCTACAAATCCATCTCAGTACTTGTAAGCCTCCGGTCCACTTTAGTAGAACCTCACGGTCTAGTTTCCGGAAGTCCCTGTCGATCATCATCAGCGACGTCGTGTCAGATCGGAAATACAGATCCCTTCATTCTGATTTGCGGACTGCCATCGAGCAGCCAGAGCACATAAGCCGGGACGCGTCATCTATCGGGCCATTTTATTGGTGCTGATGTCGAGGTGGAGATGTTGATCGCTCTTCCGCCACACGCGGGTGCTTGCAGATCGGATGGAGTTTCATCATAGACGTGGAGATGGGGATGGCGTATTCGTAGGCTTGGGTCGAAATGATCGTCGTTTGTCTCGGCTGGCTGTTGATCGTCTGCGGATCTGTTACCAGATAGTCCACCACGACTCGATGGAGTTCTTATCAAAAAGGCTTCGCCAGTAAACAATCTAGCGATTTCTCCGCTACAGCTTTGAATTGGGACTTAATGTTTTACAGTACACCTTCGATTCTCGCACACAGCCATGTTCAAACCTTGTATACTTGATTGAATCTTGTGTGCAAGGTCCCGTTTTAAGGTACTATGAGCATGGAACTACCGATCATCACTTAGGCTCGAGCTTCAAGGCAGACATCCTCTCCTTTTCCCTCACTAATCGTGATGAGATCCAGTCTACTCGATGGCATCGACTGATAACACTTCTCCTCCCATTACCCATGATTGGAAGTAATCGGCCCCAACCTGACACCATGATTGAGAAAATTCCACCTGTTCCATTATCAACGTGCGGTCTATCGTCTAACCTGGTGGTGTTAACACCATGATTGAGAAAGTTCCACCTGTTCTATGATGAAGTTGCGGTCTATCTCCTAACCTGGTGCTTAATTTAAAACCCTAGTAGTATGAATACCACGATTGAGAAAATTCCACCTATTCCAATATTAACCCGGGGTAGATTTTCTAATCTGGTGGTATGAACACCACAGTTAAGGAAATTCCACCTGGTTCATTATTAACCCGCGGTCTATTTTCTAACCTGGTGGTATTGGCACCATGATTAAGAAAATCCCATATATTCTATGATTGATCGGCGGTCTCGAGCCCTTACGCGGCGATGGCGCTTCTGACTGCAAGGCACATGCGGTACCTGATGCATTTGCTGCCTATACAAGCTTGGCTGGAGTTAGTGCCCTTGCCCAATGCCAATGCTAATAAATTCTTTAAGTCGTTTGCTTCCAAGGAAATTCTCCTATGTCGCTGCTCCATATTTGTCGATCTGCGCTTTTTTTTCGAACGTGCTCGCCTCTCATATCACTAATAGCCCGCACTGATCTGCTGCCGCAGTTCATACTATGAGTCTCCGGCGTTGCCAACCACAGAACCGCAGCCGATCATTAATGATCCGGTGCTGAACCAGCAGATGCAGGGCCACCCAGGACGTACGGCGAGTGCATCAAAGTCCTCCATATGACCGCTGGCTGCTCTGCAGGGCAGGCTGTCGGTCATTTGACTGGTGCTGGAAAGAGGTCTGATGAGGAGTCTCTAGCTTTCGCGCGCTATATTAGTGATTACAGGCATATGATCCAAATTTGTAGAACTCGCGAGGATGTCTCGAGTATAGCGAGACTAGCGTCTTTGAGATGCTCATGGATAAACTTGACTGGGCCCGTGTTCGTCATGATGGGCAATCATGACACAAGTCCTCCTACTGTTGAAGCGTGCGTATCGGCTTCTAGGGCAGCTTGGCGAACAGGCGAGTTGGAATCATGAGAAGTAGTTGCTCGCCTCTGGCCCTATGAAGGGTGGATAGGTGGCCCACCAGCCCAAGAGGCGCGGGGTCATTATGGTGGATACTCGACGAAGACGCATTATGGACTGCGTATCATCGCGCTCGACACCGGTATGTTAAATGAAGGTTCTTACTTTCATTTCTCTTTTTATTTTATTTCTACTGTATTTTATTTCTCCTTTTTTTAAAGAGCTGTATGCGTAGGGAGGGTGCTGGACTCGGGTATAACAGTCCGCAAGGGTATTTATTTTCCCTGGTTTGTTACATTTATAGAGACTATCTGTTCGTGCTCGGGAGGGATGGCTCCGTTCAGAGCGTTTCCACAGGGAAGCAGGAATAAGTGTATTTGGGATCTCCGTGTCCGGGTTCCAGCTCAAAAATTCTTGGGGTCCACCCAGTTGGGTGCCCTCCAGGGCTCCGTGTCTAGGGCTTAGTGTGCGTTCGGAGGATTGCCACTTGTGGGGCTTGCAGCTGAATACTTAGTACAGCTTTACCATATTCGATAGAAACTTCCAATTTTCAAGGCAGGGGGGAGCTCAACGAAACCTGATTGTGCAGATAACGAACTACTGTAATATTAAGCATATATTTCATGGGAAAACTCAAAGCTGGGACAATCCAACACAATTCTCTGCATGCCCCTTCCGGGCTAGCTACAATTAAAGTTACACTATCGCCGAGCTACGAACCTCTCAGAAACCCCCATTTTTGAGGGGTCGTGGGAGCCCGAATCCTGTTTGGAGTAATGAGAGTCATGCAGCAAAGCAACCAAAGAAAAGAGGGCAAAAAAGATCCTGTAACCTACAATATATACTGAAGGGGTCTACTGATGAGATACCGCGAACTCTAATGGCACCCTGAGGAATGTAGTCTATACCCGTACCCGTCCCCGTACCCGTAGGGCCGTAGGGGATTTACGCACAGAGGTCCAGGATTAGTTCGCGTTAGTTTTCTTAGGGGAAATTCTCATGAAGAGCCATCCATTCGATTAAGTCATTTAAGTCAGTTAAGTCGATTAAGTCAGGGTTTTCGTGCAACCCCTCCCCTGGTACCGCCGGCTCCCGGGCGCGTCGATGGATGACGTAGGGGATCCTGAAGCTTTGGGCGTTCAATACCGTCATCACCATTCACCAACTCCTCCGGGGGATCCGTGGCTTATAAGGCCGTTCCTGCCTTAAACTCGAACCTGCAACTCCGTTGATCTCTGCCTTCTGTGCGACTCTCACCCCTGCCTCTACACTTCCCCACGATCTACACGCGATCTAATCTTCCCGTTCCGATGGCTTTGAAGGGCGTTCAGTTGGGCCTGCGGGTCTGGCAGGTATGAGAGATCAAGAAGACAGGCTTATGCAGGAAGAAAGCTGACCACCTTTTCGCGCGCAGTTTCTCTGGACTCTTCTCGTCATGGCCCTCATCGGTAACATGATCGCCTCGGCCTTCAGCGGAACCCCGGCCTCTGTGAACTATGCCATGTTCACCTCAGCCTTCTCTATGTTCACCCTGTTCTATCTGGTCCCAGCATCCTTCAACCTGGACTGGGCGATCCACCCGATCATCATGATTATCGTGGATCTTCTGAACTGTATTTTCTTCTTCTGCGCTGCCATCGTGCTCGCTGCCCGCTTGGAAGTCCACTCCTGCAGCAACCAGGTACGCGACTACCACAAATGTACACGCGCGAGAAGAAGCCCCTAATTAACACTCGGTTTCCTAGAACTACCTGATGCACAACGAAGTCGTCAACGGCTCCCACCACCGTGAGAGGAGCTGCCGCGAGGCCCAGGCCTCCACCGCATTCCTGTGGTTTGGCTGGGCTGGGTACATGGCCTCGGTCATCGTCTCTATCTTCATGGCCCGCTCAAGCGGCCTGCCCAGTGGTGGTGCCCGTCGTGTTGTTGGACGTCCCAGCATGGCTCAGGTCTAAAGGGTCAAAAGAGCTGTCAACGTGGGAGAGTGTCGCGAGAGGTTCTTTGTACACCAAAAAGGTTTCCATCTGAAACCCTCCTTCTAGAGGGACTTTTCTAGAAACAGTTGGTGTCTCTGCGTCTCGGCTCCCGAGTTACGATGACTATGAGTGCCCTTAGTGGGCATGAGGAGGATGTGATGATGACGTTTGGCGTTTGCGATGGGTGTTTGACTTGGCGATCAGCGGATTCTGCCCTGTCTTCGCAATCGACCCACCCTCGCTTGGATGATTGAAAATTAGTAGAGCTTGTTATGGCTCATGGATAGGCGCATATGGGTTGGACTTCCTGTGTCAGTGATAATACCTAGTACTGGTTTAATTGTGAGATTTCAACTGCATGTGCACCTCTTGGGATTTCCCATGAATGTTATACTCGAACTTGTTAATTCTATCGACTTTCATGGGAGGTACTAGTTCTTGAGAGTATTCCTAGTTAGTTTGTGTTTCCGGGTGCCATTAGAGAGTTGCCGAAGGAGAGAGCTCTCTTTGTTGCCCGTTGGCCATGTCTACTAGTAGTTCGGGACTACCACCGCCCCTAAAGCCTAGACCCAGTAGGTCATAGTCTCAAGCTTAACCCCTGGAACATGGACAGTCAACTGTATCCAAGCAGGGGGCAAAAAGGTGCCACTCGCGGTACAATTGTCTATGTACCGATTCGAAGGAACGATAATATACTCAAGAGTCCAAATGGAGCTTGCTTCAGGAAAGGAGCGAGAGAAAACCTTGACCCTCAAATAGAGACTTCCAAATAAGGAGCAGACTAACACGAGAATTGAACCTATACCATGCTGCTAATAAATTGTATGTGTTTCCCGTGCTGACCCGGGTAGGTCTCGCCGGCTGTTAGCTTACCAGTCCGGGGTAAGGGTGCTTGCTGCAGGTTGACTCACTCGCTTCCAACTGCGACGAGTCCCCATCATTTTCGATCATTTCAATATATTTGATCGTTACATTCATCTCATCTATGCGAATATTCCTTGTCATTCACCCTCTGTCTAAACTTAGGGCACTGTAGCGGGGCACCTCCCCTCCGCTCCACCCAAAGAATCTGTGCTAAGCTCGGATCCGCCAGGACTTGACACGCCCCTTCTCCATCCCTTTTCCTCCCACCCTCTCCCCATTCCCCCTCCATCATGGCTATCAGGTCTGTTTCGATCCTCTGCCTACCCAGCCGCTTTGATACTGATAGATTCTGCAGCTACCTGATTCTGTTGTCCCGCCAGGGCAAAGTGGTACGTCGTGTGGCCCACCCTACTATGGGGCTTGAAGATTAATCCCGCGCAAACTAACACAACATTTTTTTTCCCCTCCAGCGTCTCGCCAAGTGGTTCACTACCCTCTCCCCCAAGGAAAAGGCCAAGATTATCAAAGATGTGACCCAGCTGGTCCTGTCGCGCCGGACGCGCATGTGCAATTTCCTCGAATACAAAGGTCATTAGCCACCCACCCTCTCATACCCCAAACGCCCCCCCATTACTGCCGCCGCTGACATGGTATCGCCCACAGACTCCAAAGTCATCTACCGCCGTTATGCTTCCCTCTTCTTCATCGCCGGTTGTGGTCCCACGGACAATGAATTGATCACTCTGGAGGTGGTGCATCGCTATGTCGAGCAGATGGACAAGTACTATGGCAACGTGTGCGAGCTGGACATCATTTTCAATTTCCAGAAGGCCTATTTCATCCTGGATGAGCTGCTATTGGCAGGGGAAATACAAGAAAGCAGCAAGAAGAATGTTCTTCGCTGCATTAGCCAGCAGGACAGCCTGGAAGATATGGAGGTGAGTTCCAGTTATCGGGTTTCCATTCACGTTTCCTCTTTCACTTCCCTACGGCTTTGGGAGGATTGGGGACAGTCGGGTCCTCGACGTGTCGCTCGACTAACCCCGATCGGACCTCGCCGTTCTTTGTCGTCTTACCTTGCTATTTCAACTGGGCTAATACCTGCCCCAGGTCGAGGAGGATGTCGTCACCAAGATCATGTAAATGTTCTTTGTGATGGTTCATCAGATTCCTTAAATTTTTGTATGGCGTTTTGTTATATAGCGATTCTTTTGTTTTACTGATCAATACCACCTCCATTCAGGACACCGAAGAAGTGGCTCGCAACTTGGCCCGCGTTGGCCTTTGAACCGTGGAACCAGCGAGTTTGCGCTGCGTGAGGTCAGTGCGGCCTCTCACTGGCTTATCCAGGGGTCCACGTGATCGTCCGGTCGCAACTCCTCCCCTCATCCTCTGGACGTCTAATGCCCGAGTTATCTCTGGTGTCTTTATTCCTGGCCATTTATCCCCCCCAACCCTCTCTTCCGACCTGTAGTTGTGGCATTATATACTGTGCGGCCTGCTTATCTGGGTGCTCCGGTTGCAGCCTCCGATCGGCGCTCCTCACCTCCGTCTCCGGCGACAACGCGATCCCCCGCGTCGTCTCACTTCCAACGACTTTCATATCGCCTGATAAGGAAACCTGAAAGGTCCAACACCTCTTGCTTGTCTTGCAGGCAAAACTGACTTGCTCCGCCGACTTCACGATGAAGGTTCGTCGCTATCCCCCCCCTATGGACCCATCCGTTGCCCTCTTTGCGCGGGTATCGCCAATGCTCTTCATCAAATCCTGTGCTCATCCCATCGAATTCAGTTTCTACCTTTACCAGAGTTCGAAGACGTGACTAGTTCGCTCAATTTCGACACAGCCGATTGTCACATCGAGGGTGGATGTGATCTGTACACAACCAAGGCTGCCCGATCCGATCGCAAGCTATATAATCATATTGAGCAATCGCTAGAAGCCCAATATGAATCAGTTCTCCGCCTATCAGCCTCGCTGTCCCCTCCTCACGCCCACGATGCCGCAGAGACTTTGAACCTCTCGCGATCGAGTCCATTTGGCCCCCTGAGCGAGCATTCGAGTCGCCGAACGTTCGCTTATCTTATTGCGACTCTGAACGCCAGCCATCCGGATTACGATTTCTCACATGTCTTGCGCCCGACCGATTTTCGTCGTGAGCGACATTTGAAGCGCATTATGAACACGATTGATTCCACGTTGTACAATCTGCGGCCGCGTGAGTCACTTGACTTCTCGCCCTCTTCGCCCGCGACACTCTCTGGTTCATACAATGGAGCACCTGCCTGGGGCCCACGGATGTGGAGGATTCTAGATGAGCATATGTCCTTGAAGGAATGCGCAATCTACTCGTACTCACCAGATGAGGACCCCTCAGATGCCGATGACGGAGCGATCTGGAGTATGCATTACTTCTTTTTCAACCCGCTCCGTAAGCGTGTCTGCTACCTCTATTTGAGAGCCATTCCGATCCTCAGCCACTCTCCCCCGACGAGGGCGCCGCTACCCCCACGGGGAAGCGAAACTTCGACGATGGCTACCTGACGCCCGACTTGAGCTCTAGCAAGAGGGCGCGATACTGGCTTGGAAGTCGTGCCGAATCGTCTCTCCGACAGGAGCTCAGTGAAGATGAGTTGGAGGCCGATTCGGAGACTATCCACCCAGTTATCGACGACGATGATCATTTCATGTTCAGCGATGAGGAAATGCAGTCCCGGTCGGGTCGCAAGGGGACAGTGCGGGCCATGAGTGAGGAGATGATGGACACCATGGAAGTCTAAGTTTTGCACATGTAGGTTGTTTTTGGTTCAGTCTGTTTTGTTGCAGTTATTCCTTAACGTCAGTGTTTCTTAATTTAGCCGGAGGCGTTTCTTGGTGACTTCGGTTGGTTTTTGGCGCAATTCAACCTGCATATGTCTTCACCCACCAGAGGCGTTGGGCAAGATTGACATGATACGCCTCGTTTGAGATCTCGTTTCCTGTTCTAATGTCCATATTGTTTTAATGATACTTAACATTTACTCCTGATAAAGGGCGGGGTTGTTATGGGGCCACTTGTACTAGCAGTCGCACTGTTTTGGCTCGGCTGGCGCATCTTAGAAATGTCTGATGCTTGTGTACCTGCTATGGCATTTGACTTGTCTAGATTGCACCGTTATGATCTCAATTTGAAAGCAACTTGCATACCGGGGCATCTGAATTCCATGCATGTCCGTATCGTAGATCGCATGGTCTGTGCACCGAATGGGGAAAGCTGTCCATTCTCCTCCACTTCAACCCTCGACACACAACCTTGCTGGCCACGCATTCGTCATGGCCGACGAAGAAGAGCGTATCAAAGCTGAGAAGCTGGCCGCCGCGAAGAAAAGGGTACGCCTCAAACAACTCGGCCGCGCAGCAATCACTAACCTGGGTATTCCATAGGTGGCCCAGCTCCAGAAACAGAAGAAGAAAGCCAACAAAAAGAGCACCGCCTCCGCCGACGCGCCTAAAGATACAGACGCAGATAAAGATGCAGATGCCCCCGTGGAGAACACTTCACAAGACACCACCACCGCAGACCAGCCCGAGCCAGCGTCAGAGCCAGCGCCAGAACCAGAATCGCAAGCAAAGCCCGACGAAGGCGCTGAGTCTCCAGTCGAGCCTATGCCCCCCGCTCCCACTTCACCGGACCCAGAAGCCGACCCTCAGGCGTCTAGTCGTCTCGATAACCCTCGCGCGGGCCACACCCGCCAGCCCTCCCTGTCCATCCAGTCGAAGATGCGCTCGTCGTCTTTCCGGAAGACCTCTGTCTCGCAGGGTAGTCATTCGCCCTCACCAGCAAGTGCAGCACTCAAGTCCCCGCCGCAGTCACTTCCCCCATTGACAGGGACGGGGAGTCGGTGCATGAAGTGTTCCGTAAGCAGTCGACGCGCATTGAGGAGTTGGAGAAGGATAACAAGCGGCTGGAGAAGGAGCTTGCGGAGACGTCTACACGGTTCCGGAAGACGGAGGACGAGCTGGAGGATCTGCGCGAGGCAAATGTGGATGTTGCCGAGCTACGGGAGAAATTGAAGGAGGCGGAGGAGAAGGCGGCTGGAATCGAGTCATTGGTATGGCTTTGACGCTGATCTATATATCAAGCGAACATCGCTAACGAGCGTTCTTTTACAGAAAGAGGAAATTGCTTCGCTACAGCGCCAGAATTCACAGCTTCAGTCACGCTCACATCGCAGCAATGCTAGTTCCGCCCCTGGGACATCAGAGTCTCCGCCAGCCGATCTGGTTCGCCAGTTAGAGTCCAAGTCGGCTGCGGTCGAGGCTATGGAATTGGAGATCTCCAATCTCCGCGCTCAGATCAACTCTCAGTCATCGTCTCACAGCGAGCATGAGTCTCAATTGGCGGCATTGAATGATCAAGTATCGGAGGGCAAGGCCGCTCTAGAAAAGTGCCAACAGGAGCTCGCAGAGGCTAAGCAAGAGCTCAGCCGTGCCTCAGAGAAGGCTGTCAAAGAAGGCGCTGACAAGTCCTCCACTGAAACCCGGGTCAAGAATCTGGAACGAGAGATCGAGGGGCTCAAGAAAGAAAAGATGGAGGCAGAGAAGAAGATAGAGACTCTGGAGAAGAAGCTCCAAGCCATCGGTAATCTACACAAGGAAACTGAGGCTAGGCACCAGACGCGACTCCGCGAAAGCGAGAAAATTGAGAAAGACCTTGCAACGCTCAAGAAGAAACTCGGCAGCATCGAAAATGAAAACCTCCGTCTTCGCGAAGAACGAGACCGGGTCCGTAAGCGCGATACCGCCGGCGGGGCCGACGACGAAGCCCTCGATGAGCTCGAAGACGAGGAGCGCCAGCGACTGGAACGCCGCATCCGAGAGCTGGAAGGCGAGATATTCGATCTGCGCCGTGGCGTCTGGCAAGAGAAGCGGCAAGAACTTGCCAGCGGCGAGGAGCTGCCCGACGAAGAGCCCAGGGCCGTCGACGCCGGCGCAAACGCGTTCGACGATGTCGATCTTGTCGGTGGCAAGCCCGATCACTCACGCCGCCGCAGCATAGCTTTCCAGCAACAGCAACAGCACTCATCCTTCTCAACGGTGCTGTCTAGCGGCTTTGCTGCATTCACTGGCGGCAATCACTACAATAACAACCGTGCGCGGGCGGGTTCGTCGAATCCGCCGCATCCCCATGCCCCTGCGACTCGGGGCAGTCTTGAGCTGCTTGCTGAAGAGAATCTGCAGGATGATTATGATGAGGCCGAGTTCCGCCGCGCACAGGCTGAGGAGGAAGCACGTAAGCGGGTGGAATGGGTTCGCGAGATTAAGCGCAAGCTGCGGGATTGGAACAAGTGGCGCTTGGATTTGGTGGATAGTCGGGCTGGTGCTGTGGGGGTCGGCATGGGCGATATCTTCGAGGTTTAGGCCATTGTTACATTATATACCACTTTTCAGCTATTTGTGTTTCCCGCATATGCTTGTGGCCGTCGGCCAATCTTGAATTCGGCGGTTTAGGGAGTAGCAAACACCTTAGGAGTTATCAACCTTGGAAAGTCCTTGAAAGCTGCAAGCTTGACATGATTTTTTACGGAAATATATTAGGCTGGGAGCCTCCCCCCGCTTAACCGGTTTGAAATCAAGCTCGTCTACGATGATAACGATGGTATACAGCGCTCTGGCGCTGAGTCGTCAACAGAATATCTCCTACCACTGAAGGAACATGGTAGGCTTTGACTATGGCGCTGTAAAAAAACACTCCACCTAACAGTGGAAATACTGTATAGTATCGCCTACTAGTAATATGATTTGTCTCAACCTTGGAAAACTCCAGGCCCACAAGGGCAAATGCAATTGGGATCATGGAACCACAAACATAAAGCAGATCAACAGCCAAAGCTGGCGCAACACAGGATAATATCTCAAAACTAGTCCGAATAATGCTTGCCAGTCAACACACCCTCCGAGTGCTGCCTCCGCCTCTTTCCTACGATCTCTGTAACCCAGGTGGAGATCTGATAGATCCAGCCGCCAGTCACCAAAACGCCCGAGACAGTATTGATCAGCCTAATTACCAGCGCAAGAAAGCCTGTGCGCTCCTCACTGACCAGCAGCATGATCGGCTCGATGTTGTACTTGAAGAAGATCCCAGGCACAAAATATGGGTTCTCAGGAATGGCATCGGACTGGCTAGTCGCCGCATACTGGTTTGTGAAGACCGTGTTCCGACCACTGCGCGTCTCAGCTGCAGCTGGTGCCTTGGTGTATGCGTCGTAGGCACTCTTGCCCTTAGTGTACAGCGTGGGAACCACAGAGAGAAAATATTGGAACTTATAGTAGTGATCGCTTGTCTCGGCAATCGTCTTATCCAGAGGGTTGAGAAGCGAGGGGTAATGAGGACCAAACGAGAGCTCAGTGATCATATGTGAGAAATTAAATGCTATAACGAGTTAGTCCTGCCGCAAAGCATCCATCACTTCCGCCATCCCAAAGAGCATAAATAAGAACATACCCGAATGATCCAGATGCGGCGCCATCTCGCGATATCCATGTCCGCGCGCCGTGATATGGAAGTCCCCCCTGGACCTTGTTCCCCTCAAGGCTCCCGTAGATGCGACATGAGTCCTTCTCGTCGCCCCAGCGCATGCGCGGGCCCTTGGCGAATTTCCGCTTCGTGTTCCGGCGCACCTCGCTCAGGACGTGGCCGGCGTGGGCATCCGTCTCCTGCTCGGATAGACGGTCGGCGGACTCGTGGCTCAGGGTCTGGTACTCGTGTTCGCCGTCGTAGCTCTCGTAGTTGCGCTTCTGCATCCAGAGGCCCCAGTTGGTGTCTTCGCGTTTTAAGAGGTCGCCGGCTAAGATGCGGTCGCCGGAGGCGTCTTGGATATTGACTCGGAGGGCGTCGCATTGCATATGGACGACTATGTCGAGGTTCAATTGCATTTGGTGGGAGACGCCCTTCTCCACGCTGAAGTGGTGCTGCTCAGTGCCGTGCCACCATGTTTTTAATTCCGACAGGCCGAACACGGTGCAGATAACCAGGATCAAGACCGTCCATTGGCCGCCGCGGTGGGTGGGGGTGGTGTAAGAAGTTTTGGTTTTGGCTGTATTGACGAGGGGGACATGTTAGCAATTGTATGTTTTGTGGTGTTGGCCGGCATGATCTCCACTCGATCGCGTGTCCACGGGGAATAAGACTCACGAAAAGCGTCGAAGGTCTTTAGCCCAGACACATTGGACTTCTCCCCAAAGGCGTCCTCGTCGAGACCTTTAGCGTCGAAGCCATTCATTGCGGATGGTCGACATACAGGAGGATGGCAAGAGGTGGAGTTCGATAAGACGATGTGGCCAAGTAGCCCGATTGCGGGACCCACTCAGGTACGTGAACTTTGTTGATAGAACATGCAGGTACACCGCGAATATTCTGCGGCGGATCTCGAGTTTACCTGTACTTGCACAGACAGTTAGAAGAGAATTGATTGATTTATCATAGCTATGTGTATTCATCTTAATAAGGTATGACCCATCCGAATGGCTCTACGTGAGGCCCAACATCTAGGGCTCTCCGAAGAGATGCAAGAAAACGCGTCGAAAATGTACAGCGGCAAAGCCCTTTTTACAAGGAACCAGGCCCAGAAGAAGGGTAAGGATGATCATCAGTATAGGAAAGCGAAAGACAACAAACGAAAGACATGTACGCAATAAAACCCGTCGCAAACCGTATCAGGACCCCAATGTAAATGCAGTCAACGAACATAACGGGTATAGTATGATTGCCGTCCTTTCGTCTCCGGGGTTTCCGGCCAGTTGCGACATGAAGTGACATGACCGACCACCTGATGCATGAACAGCGGAACATGACAGAGAAAAAGAGAAAAGAAAAACGCAAATCAGAAACAAATATGATTACAGAGCAAACAATCATAGGGGTTTGGGGTGGGGGGTAGGAGGGGTGATTGAGACAAGCCTGGAATAGGAAAGCTGCGTGGATTCCCTTATTTTGTCTTCTGTTCGTCGGTTAGCGAGTTTTCATCGCTGTAAAAATACTATAAGTAATGATCAGAACTAACCAGGCTAGTTGCCGCCGCTGCGGTGGCGAGGTCAGGCTTTCCACTGATACTTCGAGCAGAAGCACGCGGAAGACCAGTTCCACCGGTGGTGGAGCTATGTGAGCCTCGTTTGGCGGGACTGGAAGGCGGCAATCCGCTTACAGTCGAATGCCGTTTCCCATTTTTGGTGGGAGAGCTTCCAGACGGATTACGCATGTAACCAGTCTTTGCGCCTGTGGTAGGTGGCTCTGGAAGGGGCCGTCCGCTGGATGATATACCACGTTTGGCAGGTGAGGAGTTAGCCGCAGCATACACGCGAGGGCGAGCAGTCGACTTGATGCCTGTGATGAATTCGTGCTTCAAAGCCTCCTGAGGGCTCATTCGCCTGGCAGGGTCCCAGCGTAAGCAGCGAGTGATGAAGTCGAGGAAAGCATCGTCTTCGCACTTCAGAGCCTGTCGGAGGTCCTTGGTGCTCGGACGGCGACGTCGACCCTTCGAAGAGACCGTCAACCGCGGTTTACCCAGCGAGTCGAAGAAAAGCTTCTTTCGTGTACTCTTTTCGATCAAATGTTTCTCTGGGGGGCCGAAGATCTCCATAATGCAAGCCAATTGCTCTTGTTCATTCTCACCAGGGAAGATAGGGTAGCCAGTGAATAATTCAGCGAGGATACACCCAAGACTCCACATGTCGATAGGCATGCCGTACGACATCCCAAGAATAACCTCGGGCGAACGATAGAATCGACTTTGGATGTAAGTGTAGACCTTCTCATTTTCGAAGCAGCTGGAGCCAAAATCAATGACACGAATCTCCGAATTCAATGGGTGAACCAGGAGAATGTTTTCAGGCTTCAAGTCGCAGTGGATGACCTTCTTAGCATGGAGCAGGATAAGACTGCTGAGCATTTGTTTGGTGAACCGCCGGATCAGTTTGAGGGAGAAACCGCGGAAGTCGTGTGCCTTGATGAACTCATACAAATTAATCCCCAGGAGCTCGGTTGAAATACAGAGGTGGCCGCGGAAGTAAAAGCTCTCGACGAAATTGACCACACTGTGCTCGCGATTAGGGTCCCAATCCTTCAGCTTTTTAAGAAGATTGACTTCAATCAGAGCCTGCTGATGGAATCGCTTCTTGTTGCGAATGATCTTCACCGCGACCAAAGCACCAGTCTTATGATCGACACATCTCACAACTTGTCCGAAACTACCCTTGCCAAGGACATCGACAACTTCATAGCGATACGCAAGATGGTCACCTATGACAATATTATAGTCACCACGATCGTCATCATAGCCAAAGTTCGCAGCACCTGAATGGAGATCCCCGACATGCTTCTTCGCGGTTTGAGTACCACAGAAAAAGATATCGCGATAGTCGATGATCTCTCCTCGCTCAAAAATGTTGAGATTAGCCATCTTTAGTGCAGAGGCGGGGCTGACCCGATCTTTCGGGCCTGCCTTACGGCGTAGCTCATCCAGCTGCTTGGCAGCAGTCTCAAAGTCCTTTCTTTTGGCGCCTAGCCGTCTCATTTCTTCATCTGCAATGACCGTGTCCGCGTCGGCAGTGGATTCACTCGGTCGAGATGTGACAGCAGCACTGGAACGAGCTGAACTGATGATCTTATGGACTGGCGACACGTAATTGCTGCTGGAACGAGATTGCTGCTCATTTCCAGTGGACTCGTTGGATGGCGTCATCTCAAGTGTTAAACTTCGTTCACTGCTCACACTCGGTTTCCTGGGGGAAGAAGGCTGTTTGGTGATGCTCGAGACTGACGATTGACGACGCGGTTTCAGGTAGGAGGTCTTATGGACTGGACTTGTGGAGGGAACAGAGGATAAATTGTTCCAGGTGGCAGATGCTGGGAGCTTAGGGGGAGGCATGTTATCGTACTTGGCCGGATCCATGTTAACATCTGAGGAGCTGTTGGTCTTGGAGCTACTGCGGATACGCGCCACGTTCAATCGATCACGCAGTGATGGAGTGGGCGCGGTGGCACTCTCCGGCTCAGATGGTGTTGAGGCCTGGCTAAGGCGTTCAGTGGCAGGTGTGAATATGGCGCTCTGAGTCTGAGGTCTTGGTCCGGTCAACTTATACGAATGAGATGCCCGGTTGGAAGAATAATCTGCGCTAGGTTGGTGCCGAAGCGAATTGAAGTCCGTACTAGACTTGGGCAAGGTGTACGACGCGTAAGGTGAGATATTTCGTGTTCCGTTCGGCGTCTCGAAGCTCTCAAATGCACTAGTGCTGCTCGCCGCTCGCAACGCAGCAGCTGTTGAAGAGGTGCTGATTGCGAAATGGGAAGTGTTGCTTCGCGGAAAATTGGCAGCTGCTCTATCATCGTCATCGTCGTCATCATCGTATGTCCAGAAGTTTGATGCCTTTGACGCGGTCATAGGCGTGCTGGGAGTCTTCGCCCCGAGTTGGTGAGAGGGCGTATGGGCTTTGCGATCCTCAGCTTCTCGGTCTTTCAATGCTTCAATCTTCGTGGTCATTGGCGTGCCCAAGGGGAGAAGATTTAGCGGCGGTAGCTTCAGAGGCTGTAGACCTTTGCGCGTTGTGACTGTGGACGTCTTTGTTCGTGAGTCTGCAGTCTTCGTCCCTCGCCCAGCAGAGAAGTCATTGCCATCGCCATTGCCATTGCCATTGCCATTCGTGACAGGGCTATATCGGCCAATAGCATCCGAGTCCGAGTCTCGCGCAATGCTTAGTTGTCCAATATCAACAGGGAGGCTAGACTTTCTTGGAGCCGGGAAAACGGGGGCTTCCAGTTCAGCCTTGGGAGATTCATAGGCCTTGGGGATTGCGGGGACGGGGGCACCTCCTCTTCGTTATTTGTTGAATTCTGTTCCGTGCGCGGTTTAGGAGTTGGCAATCGCGATGTGGAAAGATTTTGAGAAAGTCGCGGTTGAAGTGAGCTGCTTGAATTTCGCACGGAGTTGTAGCTCGTGTTTGAGGACAAGGACAGCCCAGAGCTATAGGACTTGCGGTTCGGATCTGGGGTTGTCCGGTTAGAGGATGGCGTGACGCTTTTTCTTGGAAGGAAAGAAGGGGAGTGATTCAAGGTGTGTGTGGACGAGAGAGGCCGAGTGGGGAGAGGTTCAGCAGTCTGTGTGGGAGGGGTATGAGGCATGGGAGGGGCAGGAGGCATTGTTGACATCCGCTTCATTCGCCTCGCATCAGTGGGGCTAATGGTGCGGGCGCCCAAGCCTGTTGCATGCAATGCCTGCGGTGCGACAGACATACGCTTAGATGATGAGGAAGGCGTTGTTACGACATTGCCAGAAGTATCCTTAACCGGAGTGCGCACGGCATTGTTGGTCGATGAGGAGCGACTATGATCCGTAGGCCCAGATGCGGTCAAGTAAGGCCCCCGCGGCTCACGTACGCTTGGCTGAAATGACTTGGCTTTGAGACTTCGGACTGAAGACGGCACCTTCTCGTCCTCCAAGCTGAGATTCGCTTGCGATGCTCGAGGTTGCAGGGAATTCCCTGCAATATTGTTTCGCGCAGTAGTGTCGGTGCTGACTTTGCGGGCACTGAGACTTGCCCGTCTTGCAGATGCAGTGGTTGGTGCGAAGGCTCCGGAGCTGATCGATTTTCGGGATCCCCGGGTGGTAGTACCGTTTGAAGGCTGCGCAAGACTTTGGCGGCGCGCTCGTGCATTGGTTGGTGTGGATGACAGGCCTGTGCTGTTGGGGGCAGCCGGTGGCATATTAACGCGCGAGACCTCACTTTTCCTGCGAGCGGAGCCAGATCGAGTGCGATCTGAAAAGTTGCTATCATAACTATGGTTCGTCCAATTGCTGTTGTTTGACAAGCCGGAGTGTCTATTTTCAGATCCGTTTCCACCATTTCCAGGCATGGGGAAATGGTTCAAACTAGGCTCCGCCATGATACTGTTATGGAAATCGTCGAAGTTTATAGGCGCAAGGAACTCCATGCTCTCTGGGGGAGTTCGACTGGGTTCCTGCTTAGCAAGGTTTCCCACACTTGTGGTTCGGATATTGTAGGGATATGGCTTGTTGGATTCACCGGTCGAGTCGATCGAAGAAGTTTCGGAATGGAAGTAGCCACCGGTCGGTTTGCTACTGAGTGATCAATCGTTAGCAATCGGCAAATGGGGCAGGAGACTCAGACGCTCCCAAGCGGCCTCCCGCTCGTAACACAGGGGCAATCATAAAGCGGGATGCTCACCTCCAGCGCGAACCCTCCTGGGGCCGTGGCCCCTGAGGAGCCTTCTGATCTCTGATGGACAGTCTTCGGCGGCCCATTCCACCTGAACGCGGGCTGGCTACGCCCCGGGAGGACTGAGGGTCGAGGTTTGCGGAGTTACTCGTATGGAAGGTAGTCGAGGCGGCTTTCTGCAGGCGTCGTCGGGCCGGGGTTTCTGCTGTATAATCTTGTCAATTTCGCTGCTATCAGCTCGCCGGGGTTGTTGTGATTGCCATACCTCCTGATCCGGAATCGTCATTTCGTGAGGGGTTTGAAGAAGTGGACTGGATCACACCAGCCTGACCCCTCCCCGGAGTCTGCGACGGCTTGGCCGGCATTGTTCCAGCCCCTTAACGTCGAGGGGCTAGGCGAGGAGCTATGCGAGGCAACGTTCCAATACACAATTCGACTGGCTCAGCACACCCAAAACTGCTTTGATCCGAATGCAATGGCTTTCAGGAGAAAGCAGCAGTTCGATCAAAACAGAAGGATTGTCGCGCGACCCGATCAAAGGCGGTTACCGGTCCATTTCGAGGACAAAACTCCAGGAAGAAGGGACTTCAACGGTGCCCGACAGATAGAAGTGGGTTTGGGCGACTCCAAACACGGAGAAAATAATTTGGTGTAGCTTTGGCCGTGTTGCTGGGGCAAGTGCACTAGGCGGTCGCAGAAGGGTATACCCTGTTCGAGATCCGCCCCAAACAAAGCAGAGGGAAAATTGTGAGGGAAATAGGAGCAAATTGCTGCAGGACGAAGAGACCAGATAATGCACGTTATTGTCCCACTATCTTTTTTGAGTGGAGACGTCGCAAAAAAAGGAGCGACACCTCTTACTCAAAGGTTCCCCTGATTGCGAGCTGCAAGCGGGAGTATATTACCCTGGTTTTACGCAGCGTAATTCTACTGCTCACATCAAGCGGGGCAGGATACGGCAAGAGGAACTCGCGATCTACGTAACTTCGGTACGGTCAATACGACCAATACACAACCCCGGAAAGGAAGCACCTGACCCAAAGAAGCAGGCATCGACATCTGCACATGCTTATGTTGGACTAGAACCTCTCGGTCCTTCCAGCTTTGGTTCTCTTCTCTTCTTCCTCACCTCCTGGCCATGCGGGCTATCCTGACATCATGGATGAGAACTCCCCAGAGGCCCCAGTAAACCGTGACGAGTCATCGCGCTGGTCCATCCCACTGCCCAAGCCGAGGCACAATCGCAACGGTTCCCCGGATAGTGCACACTCTCGGTCGTCTTCGCATTCGAAAGCTTCGATCCAGGAGCGCCTATTCACCAAGTATGCTTGTGTAGCCTCCGTGGTGGAAATTTGTGCAGACCGCTAACCAAAGTGTAATATAGGCTTCTTCAACAGGTCATCCCAACTGATGATGACGATGATGAACCAAGTCCTGAAGACAAGGCCGCAACGGCTTCTCCTAAGAAGCCAGCATTCAGTCTACCGGTCATGACAAATAATTTTCGACGCTTTAATGCTAGGTGAGCATCTTAATCAAGTTAGTCTGCTGAACAGAACGTCGACTAACATGATAAACTTGCGATATAGAATTGGTGTGGTTTTCCTGTTCCAGGAGCAAGTAGAGCGCCTGCTCACCTGGAAGACACCGACCCATACCCTCTCCTTTCTTTTCGTGTATTCCTTCATCTGCCTAGCTCCACATTTGCTGCTTGTGCTACCGCTGGTGGTATTACTACTCTTTATTATGGTGCCTGCGTTTTTGGCTCGCCATCCTCCCCCGCCCTCAACATCTACTTCTAGTACAACTCCTTACTATTCCTACGAGGGCCCTGCTCTGGCTCCAGCAAAGACTATCAAGCCTGCGCCGGAGACCTCGAAGGATTTCTTCCGTAATATGAGAGATCTCCAGAACTGCATGGCCGACTTCTCAGATGCGCATGATGCCGCCGTTTCTCTTATCGCTCCTCTGACAAATTTCTCAAATGAAAAGCTCTCGTCTGCGCTTTTCCTTGGCTGCACCGTTGCTACAGCTGTGCTCTTTCTGTCTGCGCATCTTTTACCAGTCCGGTTTTTCATGCTTGCGGCTGGTAATGCAGGCATATTGATGAATAACTCGACCATTCGGCAATTCGTCATGAACCTAATGCAAGACGTTAGTGGTATAGAGGACCTGGATCCACTTGAAGAAACCGCCGAAGGCAAAGAGCTCTTTGGCCAACCTGTTCCAGAAACCCCGTCTGCAGCAGTATCCGCCCTGGAGAAATTAGCAGATATTTCCCTCGATACAGATCCAGAGGAGCGAGAAGTTGAAATCTTCGAAATTCAGTATCGAGCCTCTGGCTCTTCAGAGTCCTCATGGGAAAATTACCTGTTCAGTCCCCAGCCATATGACCCACTGTCACCATCACGTATCGCTGGTGACCGACCCCGGGGTTGTCGCTTCTTTGACGACGTCCGACCACCAAATGGATGGAAATGGAAGAGTAAGAAGTGGCAACTTGATCTGGATTGTCGCGAGTGGGTGGTCGAGCGTATGATTACTGGCGTTGGATTTGAGATTCCGGGCATGGGCCCGGATGGCAGTGCTTTAGTAGACGAAATTGGAGGTTGGGTATGGGATCTCCCTTCCGGGTCTGCGGAAACGCATGGTGATGATATCACAGCATTGGCTTATGGTGACCTCGAAGAGGTTAAGTCTGTGAACCAGCCTCCACCACCCAAGATTGAAGACCGCCAAAGGCGGACCACACAAGACTGGGAGGTCACAAACTCTACAGCTTATGGAGTTGGGGAATGGAGACGCCGTCGCTGGGTGCGAGTTGTTCAACGAGTCAACCTCCCACGCACTAGCACTGTCCCAGTGACATACTCGACCCTTGCTCATTGATGCGCCCACGGTAGCGTGAAATGTGACTTAGATGGACTATGAATGTATTCGATCTTCAAATCTGCACCGTAAGACTAATGGTAGACACAGAACAAGGTACTTTTCTCGGAAAGAAACCACAAGATACAAACGCCTTTATCGCCAGCCCTGAAATGCTCATGAAAGAAATATCGATATTTTCAAGATTGGCTCTTCTTCCACTTGTTGATTCTCCTCCGCAGATCCCCCACGCTCTGTTGCATAGGGTTCAACTTCCGATCCCGCGCCATGGCCGTAAAATCATCACCGTATTTCGCAACCAACCGCTCAGCCCATTCGCTCTCTCGCGTGCTTTGGTGTCGCGGCTTCTTGGCCTTGGTGGCAACGCCTTCTTTATCCGCTTGGGATTCCAATTGCTTGACAACAGCACTACCAGGGCCCTTGTATGTGGATAGAGGCACGCTTTTCTCTTCCAAATCGTTCAATGGATCGTTAAGTGGATTCGCTGCCCGTCTCTTGCGTCCAGCAACCTCGATCTCATCGTCGTCGCGAATTACTCGTAAGATCTTGCCGGTCTCTGGATCACGCTCCACCTTTGTCTCGGTAACGTCGAGTTGAGCAGCAGCTTTGGCGCTGCCGTTGATCTGGAGAGAATGTGATGTGTTGCCTACTTCCTCGTCTTGACCAGGAGTCGCTCACGCCCACCAGCGGCAGGTGCGTTGAGCTTGTGAAGAAGACCCAGGCGCTGGTAGTTCTGTGTAAGAGTAAGACTCTTGTCCCTGAAACCGAGCGAATTAGCGTTGTTACAGCTTAGGTATCTGCTCGCTTGTGCCCGCATACCAGTTCTCGGCGATGATCGCATTCCCCAAGACATTAATCTTGCGGTTGCCGCTCTTCAAACGATTATTCTTCGTCCTGGCCTTGGGACGACCGGATCTGTTCTTTCGCTTCTGCAAAATCTTGCCCATTTTGTATGGCTTGGACTGTTGGCTGAGGCTGCGAAGAAATTATCTCGACTATCGGTGTTATCGAAACTTTTTTGGGGTGTTTGCATGATGGTCTTGGCGTGTTTGTTCCAGAGAACCGATAAAGTCGCCTAACTCGGCGATAAGACCCCCCGCGAGATGCTGTGTTTGCTTTGTATTGCGTCTTAGCCACTGTGCTGCTTCCGCAATGGCTTCGAAATTCTTACCTTCGCATCCTACGGGCCTCTCTCTAGCCGTAGGATGTCTGTTTTTTCTGCACTGGCCGCTGCCAGTGCTAGTTCTCAAGACTTGTCGGTCGCGCAGATCGAGGAGCAGCTGCAGGTATGGAGATTCCCGAGCTGAGCATTGTGCTGTTCTAACTTCCCCAGAACTGTCCTCTCGTCGCATCTCTCAATGAGCATAAACGTGCGACTGCCCCGGAGACTACCAGCCTATCTTCCCAGATTTTTGTGGTTCTTTTTCCTGGCAGTCCGGCTGTGAACGCTCTCTTGGCAACTTTGTACATATCTGGACCCCCTAGTAAGGCTGTCAATACTTGCTCCCCAGCCCAGATTCCTAATCCTTTTATTCTGCAATAGACTTCCTCCTCGCATTGTGTCCTCCCAACATCGACCCCTCGTCCCTGTCAGTCATGGTTGCCTTTGCCGTCGGTGGACTCCTAGGCGACACCCTCTTCCACTTGCTCCCGGAGATTTTTCTTGGTGAAGACTCTCCCGACCACGTCAGCTTCGTAATGGTCGAACCAAACAAGAATCTTTTGCTAGGACTAGGTATAATGGTTGGTTTCTTTACCTTCGTCGCAATGGACAAGGCCCTCCGCATTGCCACAGGCGGCGAAGGCCACGACCACGCGCACGGCCACGGCCCCGAAGAGACTAAAGCTTCCAGCACCGGCGCTGAAGCAGGCGGCAAGTCTGGAGAATTGAAACAGCGCAAGGGTAAGAAGGGTAAGGATTCCGCAGATGCCGTAGAAGAAAAGGAAATCAACCCCAGCGTCAAACTGGGCGGATACCTGAACCTTATTGCGGATTTCACGCATAATATCACCGATGGACTGGCACTTTCCTCCTCATTCTATGCCTCGCCAACAATCGGTGCCACAACGACAGTTGCGGTATTTTTTCACGAGATCCCGCACGAGGTCGGTGATTTTGCGCTGCTTGTGCAGTCTGGCTTTTCGAAGCGCAAGGCTATGGGCGCACAGTTTGTTACTGCTGTTGGTGCCTTCTTGGGAACTCTCATTGGTATCGCAGTTCAGGAATTCGGAGGCCATGATGCTGTGTCGGACGGCTCCCTTGCTGCGGGTCTCTGGGGTACCAGCTTGAGCTGGGGCGACATGCTCCTCCCCTTCACTGCAGGCACATTCTTGTATGTTGGCACTGTGGCGGTCATCCCAGAGCTGCTGGAGACCGGGAAAGACAAGGGTGCCGAGCTGCGCAAGACTATTGTGCAGTTCTTGGCCGTTGCTGTTGGCGCTGGTATCATGCTTGCGTGAGTAACTCCCCTGTCGTGGTTTGCAATCCGATAACTGATTTATCTTCCAGCATTTCCTGGGACTAAGAATACCGTGGGCCCACGATGGAAGAATACAAAAATGGCCACTAAATATATATGTAGAAATTGAGGAGGACCGGAGATGCTTCGAGGCTGCTTATTCAATTCAGCCAAGAGATCGATCCCGAAACGATGAGGAGCTAGGTTTCATCATTGGTATTGGATCACAATAATGAAAAAAGGATGCGAATTGCGTCTAATGAATACCATTTCAGTGCCCCACAAATGCATAAATCCCCTGAAGAGTATCAACGCCTTGGCCTAACTCCAGAGCATACGCTGAACCGATTTAATGTGTCGTCCTGTGGAAGTGTCAATTCAAACTCCCTTCAAAAACTACATGATAAATCCAGCAGCATCCATAGATGAGAAACTACGGATGAGAAGATGGACTAGTGACCAAGGAGCTTGAAGACTAGACAGACTCGGTGAGTCTTTGCCTGTCGGGAGAACAGGTATGAAAAACCGAAGACGCCGCGCACACCCATGCATGTGACCTCGTTATTCATAAGAGCCAGTGAAGAACGGCACGGATTGTTTCGATCATTCATTATAATGATAGACCTGTTGCAAGAAGGGTGAGTTGAGGCTCCTTGGACGAGGGGTGAATAAGCAGAGAGGTAAGACATACGAAGTAGTCTGGCAATCCAAATAACGAATAGCCCAGTCTCTGACACATCTTCGCAAATCCCTCAGTTTCGACTAGGTGGTAGAACGGGAAAGCAGGGAACATAGCACCATCACGATGCACATCTGCCTTGACCATCAGAGCAGTCCCGCCCACTCCGTCAAGCTCGACCATGCGGGAGGGATCTAGTGCTTTCCAGTCGGGCAAATAAGCCATGAGCGACCGATAGGTTGGCATATCAGCGTAACCCTCTAGTAAAATCTCATCAGGACCCATCGTTGCAGCTAGCTCTTGCGCGGTGTTACTATCGATCCACGAGTTATAGTCGTAGGGCCGGATGTCCCATTTCCGAGCTTCGGAATTGTAATACCGCTGGAAACAGTTAGGGACGATGACGGGTTGATTGTGTCGAGTGAGATCTTGGATAAGAGACGTGGGTGTCTCGACGATATCCGCGTCCAGCCAGAGAACCCACGAGGTGCTGGGGCCGAGAGTTGTGAACAGGAGACTGTTGCGAGCACGGCTCATTGATTCCCGTCGCTCCTTTTGGGCACTCATCTTGTGGCGCTCTTTCTCATCTTGCGACGGTAATGGCGGCTCGAAGTCCTGACGGAGGATCGAGATACTTGCGAACCGGTTGTCGATTGGGCCTGATTGGGTCTTCGAGATTGCTTTCTCGAGCGCCGAGATGGCCGAGTTCCCGTCTTTGGTCTTCGGGGCAATGAAACCTAGGGAGATGAGTTCGTGAGGATAGTCCAGCTTTTCAAGATTGTCCCAATATTCCTGGTAGAAGCGCGCGAGCGGAGTGAGAATGAGCACCCGCTCGCCATTGGCGGCGGCGGTGCTTGTGCTGGTAAGGTTGTTGAGGTCGTAGTGTACCACCGGCGGGGCAGCTTTATATCCATCGCTGCGGATGGGTTGCGATTTCAGGAAGGGTTTCGTGGGAGGAGAGAGAGGGTGTTCGGCGGCGTCTTGCTGACGTGACTGTGAGGTGGCTGCGGCAGACGCGGGTGTCGACGGCGACAGGAGGAAACAGACGAAGCCGAGGGCGAGCAAAGTGGCCAGCACCAAGGTAATGGGACTTGTGCGTCGCATTGAGCGTGCGACGGCCATGGCCGTTCGACCAGATGACAAGATTGTAGGTTGTACAGGTGTTGGATTGATCCTTGGATCTGAAACGTCGTATCAATCATTGGATCGCCGCGATGCCTCAGGCAGGGAGATTCAAGGGTCCCCGAGAATCCTTTCGCTCTTGAGCCACCACGACAACGTCGTCACTCTAGAGAAATTATAAGAGGTGAACAAGGATTCAGGGCGAAAAAGAAGAGCTCCAATCAAAATCTACGGATATTTTTTTGCCGGAAAAAGTGTCGCTTATCTTCATATGGTTTTAGTGCATACCACCTTCCAGCAGATCAGGGTGGGTTTCGAGTACCAATGACGGGTGACAGACCCACTGGAGATCCTTTTTTCTTTTAATAATTACAGCAATAATTACAGCTGCATCTGGATGTATTTTATCTTTGCCGAAACCCTGAAACAGATCGGTCAAGGAGCCCAATTGGCCGGATGCAGTTGAGCTTCATCAGTCCGGCGCACGGACATCTTGGTGAATGGCACTACCATGTCCGAGTAGCTGCTATTCCCTGCAACAGAACAACAAAACCATACGTTATACGTTAGAAATTCGAGATCTACTGTTCTATATTGAGAATATTTTAGATGGAGGTACGTCATGAGCCCTTCTCTGTACCTCGCGCAGTATGTACATCTTCCGGTAGGACATTGGGTTGGTCCATGCTCAAGGCAGGGACCGCATCACTTCCCTCAAATGCAACAAGAGCCATCGCGTTTGCTGGGAATGCTCTGAGAAAGCAGGGCAAGAATCCTCGCCAGTATCCTCCCCATCCGCGTTCGCGGTATACGGCGACAGCGGCATCCTTCCAGCCGCGGAATTGCCGCTGTCCGTCGGCACCACCCATTGGATCAGTCATGAGGCGCTGCTTGACAACATCCGACGGGTATGAAGTGATCCAGAATACCTGTGCAGAGAGACCGCCAGCCCAGAAGTTGATCGCAGGCGCAGATAAATTGGTATGCCGCTGGAAGTAGCGAGTAAATAAGTCGTAAGAGCCCCACCAGCAGAAGAAAAAGCCTCGGAAAATTATTGTTGCAAAAAGACCGCGGTATACACCACTTATACCATGTGATCGAAACTAATAAATTACGAATCAGATAAGTAGGCATAAAATGCAGTCTATGATGTACTCACAATTTTCCGGAGGCAGTCGATCGGCCCGCTGTATAGTCGCTTAGACTTATCAGCGGCATATTGAATCTGGAGTCGAGCTTTGATATGCTCGACGGGTGCAGCAATAAAGCTGACAGTTGTACCGGCCATGATACCTGCGATACCATGTCCGAAGGTAGGGAGGGTCGCCAAATCAGTTTGGTTTGAAAATGGTATCAAAGAACGAAGGTGAGGTTTGGAGTAGACATTCTCAAGGAGGATTCGCCGATAGAAGGATAGAGAGCCGAGCATACTGCATAGCAAGACGATTAGCTCTCAAAATCATCCATCAATCCGATATGATACAGCGCTCAGGCAGATATTCCTTACACTGAATCCATCATCATCCATCCGACCAGCGGTGGACTAGCACCTTTATATAGACCCCTCACGCCCTCTTTCCTCAAGGTTTGCATTGTGCAATCTAAAGGACCCTTGAAGTGGCCATCTTTACTGGTCTGCAGGCGAACCTTAATAGTGTCGAATCTGCAGGGGAAAGTTAGGACCGAAGGGTGGGATTCGGAGGAGCAAACAGGACTGCGACATACGGATGACCAACTATAGAGTAGGCGCGACTGTTAGCTACTAAGAGTTCCATTATTGATGTGGACACGACAGGAACTTACCGCTCAGCTTTGCGACACCTGAAAACACCCCAGCGACAAACCCTTTGTAGTCACTTTTCTTCGGAGCCGTGGACGGCGCCGGTGCCGGAGCAGGCGCGGGCATGCTGCTAGGGCCCTTTTTTAAGGTCGATTGCTCCGTCATCTGGCTCAGATATGTGTAGGAAAGGCGCCTGCGCCTGATATGAAGTGGAGTTCAAGCTGGAACTTAGAGAAAGTGAGCTAGGAGAGTAATTGAAGAATATGGGGAGAGAGCTCTGAACGATTTCGAGGGCCCCGCATGCAAAGCGTTCCTTCGGGGAGCAAATGCCCGTCTCCGGGGCCCCATTTCTGTTGACACCTCAGGCCACAATGACATTCTTCAGCGATCGGTGCGGTCGCTGATCGGCGGAACACGCAAGGATGTACTTAGGGCCAGGCAGGGAACCAAAGTGACATGTGACTAATCTGGTCAGGTCGTCCTCTGGGTCATGATCGATTGAGTGTGACACTAGAAGGGTCCAGATTGGACATCTCCATGCGTCAATTTCAACATTGGAAAAAGAGTCTTGGGAGCGTAGGCGAGTCATCTGGTAGATGATGGGGATCAACAACTTGAACGAACATGAGACGGTACAGGGCGATGATGACAAGATTGGATGGAAAATGGGCGGTGTAGGGTAGCAACAAAAAGTATACCAGGCAGAGAACCGGAAAGAATCGTATTACTACTCTGCGTTAGACTTTGCCTCGATTCCCGAGGGACTAGCCACAGGAAAAGTGGAAGAAGCGACCTCACGATAGAGGCTTTAGAGCCTTCAATGTCATTGGGGAAAATCTAGGCTGTGTATGCACGGATAAGGTTGGGTATAGATACATGAATGCAAGGGCCGACAAATATCTTATCTATAGAGAAGACCCATAAGGAAAAAAAAAGGAAAACCAAAGACTACACGCCCCATGAAACTCCAGTGCTGCAGGAGATCTCTCTTTTCGCCCCCCTAACACCAAAGAGTCAAGAATAAGAGCGTATGGAGCAAGCAGGTAAGAGGGCTCTGCAAAGTTCCAAAACAAATGAGAAACCAAGACCATTTACAGGAAGGAATGACAAAATGAAAGGATAGCACAGGCTAGTACAGTAGCAGTAGCTGCAATAGCCAGATGTCCGTGCGGGATCTGATTGGGCCAAGCCACCGCATCATCGTCCCTTGGCGGCGATGCGGCTCTTCTGGCGGGCGGCTTCTTTTTCCCGGGCAATCAACCTCTCAATCAGATCAGGTGAAGGGCCGCTGTTATGAGTGCCGCTGTCCCTGGGAACACGCTCCGAGGCCGCTCCTGATCCCGCAGCTAAATAGTCACCGGCCTCCAATGCCAAGGGAGTCACCGGGCCGGGACTGCGGAGAGGATCGAGACGCGGGGCAGATGGACTCTGATTCGAGCCTTCTAAAAGATCTCTATACTGCCATTTCACCTCACGTGGTCCCGAGCTGGGGCGGTAATTATGCGAGCGAGTCTGGCGAGAAGGCAACGACTGACCTGCCGCCGTTTGGCTCGATGTGCTGGGTTGATAAACCGCCGGGTGGAAGCGTGGAAGACTCCCCAACTGAAAATTCGGAATGGCCTTGGTGGGGGTCTGGCCTCTTGCGCGGGCTGCTGTCTGGGGAGAACCCGGCTGCCGTGGGGACATGGTGGGCGAAGCGACAGGCGAGTAGTAGGGTGAGTGATCAGAACGCATGCTTGAATAGTGACTTCTCCGAGGAGGTGCAAGCGGCAAAGTGTGCCGAGACTTAGCGGACAACGAGGCACGCTCCCAATCCTCGAAATAATCGTCCTTATCAAATCTGCCCGTGAGCGGAGTGACGGGTAGATCTTCGTCGTAGACGGAGATTGAGCGCCGAGGGATCGGGATGGGGCGAGTAGTCGAAGACAAAGAGAGCGAGTCAAATGCTTCCACCGGAGGAGAGTCTGATCGGTAGCGGTGAAGTCGAGAAGGAGGAGGGCTGTAGGCGGACGAAGTAGACGTTAAATCCCGCAAGGAGGACAGGGAGACCGGGGTGGGGTAGCCGTGTTTGGAGATCAGACTCTCAAGGTGATCTCTGGGCGGAAGCGACGAACGAGGTGAAGCGGATGAGAGCCCTAGACATGCACGCTATCAGAAAAGGAATGGAACGGTGGCATGCCAACACGTGTCGCGTGTCCAGGGCGTTTGGAGGTCTTTCACTGGCCCATGGCCGGGACAAACATACCGGAATATGAACTGCTCAAGGATGAAGGATAAAACGACGAGGAAGACGAGGAAGACGAAATCAAGGGAGGCGATCGCAATTGCTTTTTGCGCCTAGTCTGGCCATTTTGTTAGTGTGCATATTCGTTTTGCGGGGGTTCCGGCTCCACGTCGATTCCAAGCGACCATGGCGTCACTGGGCATCGGCCCTGTGAAATGAGCCAAGGGGAGCAATAAGCGGGTGCAAATTGGGCCCAAAAGGGGCGGCGACCAGCGTAGAACAAATCCACTTTCCAAGGAAGACAAGCAAGCCTCCGCCCCACCCGGCATAAACCCATGGCTCCAAGCTGCGGATGGCGGTTGGTTCCTGGAGCCGGAAAAGAAGGAAAAGAAGAAAAAGCAGGAATAATGAAGTCGAGAACTTACTATTGGCATGGGAGTAGACCGTGGATAGTCCATTCTCTTCTGTATCCTCCAAGCGTCCGAGCCCCCCGCCAATTCCCTTTGTTCAGCATATGCAGGCGCGGGTACGGATTTACTTTGCGGGTCAACCAAGTGTATGCGGGGGATCTACTCCGAAGAGGCATGAAGAGAGCAGAAGGGGTTTCCCTCAACAAGGGCAGTCGAGCTTCTTAACAACCATGATAAACCGCCTCACTGGGCAAAAAAAGAGAAAAAAAAATAGTTCCGCGCGGCCAGGCACCTGTGAAACCACCATGACTCGCTTAGGAACCCAGGTACTCGTCCTCTCCCACGCGGTGGCGCCCGGTGACCAGCAAGTTCGCGATTCCAAGGCACAGCAGAGACATCCCTCCTCTTCCGTTATGAACCCTCGTCACACTGTACCTTGGACTAGATCATCCCCAATCCCGATCGGGCTATTAGTGGCTGAGCTCGACACGGAAATGGGGTTTGACGATCGCTGTCCAGGCGCGGTTGATCGTCCGGGGTCATGCGAGAATGATGGGTTGGTCATCCTGTGATTCGCACGCGTTCAGCTCCAGTGGACTGACTTGCGGGCTTGCCCCCTCTCTCGGCCACTGAAAAGCATCGCCGTTCTGGTCCTGCAGTCCCCTCAGGGATATCCCACCCAGCCAACCAGAACCGCGGCAGCTCCCACTTCCAACCCTATCAGCCGACACCGATCACCACACGAGAAGGGAAGAACCCCCCCCACTTCTGATTGGCGAAGATCCATGGAGAATGTCCCCAATGTCGCCTCTTGTATCCGCACACCTTCTTCACCATCTAGGTGTGCGGGTGTCTCGGGAAGGGTGACTTTGATTGATTACCCCCGCTCCACACCCCCCTCCCTATGCACTGAGGGGGAGCTCCTAGTGAGTCAGAGGGGTTGTTGACCAGTCCAAAGCAATGTGATTGGAGTTCCGTCCTATCCTATTTGGCTTTTGGGTTGCAGCGAGCTATCCCTTGCGGAGGTATAGATCTGAATGAACCTTGCTCTTCCCTGATCTCCAGCCCAGGTTGCAATGTCTGCAGAACTTGCAGATTCCTGCAAGCTGGCGCAAGCGAGACATGGATGATGCACGGGGATGGAACTGGATAACGAATCACAGCGAGCTCCAAGGAAAGCCCATCAAGTCTCATCCCCGACATGAAGTAGTCTAGTTCTACTACCTGCGCGATTTTACATGAATACGGCAAGAGGCAGCTGCGGGTCTTCAGAAGAATGTTGTCTAGACCTTTCTGAGAGACTCAGACTGGAACAGCAACCTGGAACGGATAATGAAAAAAGAAAGTGAAAATGGAGCACCCAGGTATGATATGTACGTACAGTCAAGATCGGGTCAGCCCGTAGATTCCCCTGCAGGTGCGGCCTAATGCATGACAGCCAAGACCCGGACCCCGTCTCTTCACTCACCACTGCCCACTGCACTCCCTCGATAACATGACGCCATATACTGATTTCTGTTTCCCAGTGCGCGAACTATCTGATGGTTTCGTCAAACTCACCCCGTTCGATGTAGGTCTGCCAAATATACAACCTCAGATCGGGCCCGGCCAGGCTGTAGATCTTCTTGCATGACTCACTGTCTCAGTAGCCAACGAGACATGCCGCCCCATACTTTCAGGGCTCGAAAGACCACCCAGAGCTATACAGCTATATGTCGATAGGCCCGTTTGCAACCGAGCAGGAATTTGTATCAAAATTCGTCGACGGCTTCATGAGCCAGCCCTCTGTTGCTTGCTATGCAGTGATCGACAAGACGAGACCAACCTCAGAAGCAGACTTGGAAGGCGAACTCGCCGGAATGGTCTCCTACATGAGCGCCTCTGCCGTCCACTTGTCCGCAGAGGTTGGTTATATTATCACGCTCCCGCCCTATCAACGAACGCATGTGACAACCCACGCTGTCGGATTGCTCCTTCATTATGCCTTGGATACCCCCGAACAAGGTGGATTAGGCCTACGCCGAATGCAGTGGCTTGCTGACCCGCCCAATAAGGCCTCGCTGGCGGCGGCTCAGCGGATGGGGTTTCAGCTTGAAGGTATTTTGCGCTGGAATAAGGTTGTGCCGGATGCGGAGGCTCGTGGGAAGGTGCATAACGGACGAGAGAGACCTTCATATGGGGAGGTAAAGGACGGTGGGAGAGACACGGCCTATCTATCCTTATGCTGGGATGAATGGATAGCTGGGAAGCGAGAAGCTGTTGACATGCTCCTTGCAAGACATCTGTAAGCGTTGCTGAATTGTTATTACTGAACATAGTTCAAAGAGTGGAGTAAGTCATTCGGCCTACTCGTCGGGTGGCGGGAAACTGTCCAGTACTTGTAGCTCAGTAGTATATTAGAGTACTACTTATGGAATTTAGAGGAAGACTAGCTCTTTATTCTTACTTCCTTAATATATATTTCCTGACGAATAAGTTCTGAGGGGATAAGAACCTCATAAAAGCAGATTCTTCTATTTAGGCTACCATCGTACTTTATTATAGTTTCTGAAGCCCAAGTTTCTGATTGGGAAGAGAGTGTGAGACTCAGACTGTTCGTTTCAAGTTGTGGCGTGCTTGTCCATTTGTCCATTTCATCGTTGTTCGCCTTACCGCGTTTGTTTGTCCTTCATCCGCCACATCATCTTCTCTTCTCCCTTCTCACAACTCTTGTACCTCTAGCTCTTCCCTACCAAGACTGACAACTCCATCAACTTTCAACGTTTTTAGCATTTGCGTAAGCACGCTTTGAAGATGTCTTCGCTGCCCCCGGGGGATTTAGCTCTTCCATTTCTCCCACCGGAGATAATGATGATGATTTGCGAGATGGTAAGAGTACTCTGTTTTGCCGACACCAAACCGCCATCTCCAACTAACGCGTCCAACCCAGCTTGCTGAGCGAGGCACACGTGATGTATTCAACTTCTGCATGGCCAGCAAGTACTTCAATGAAATAGGCACCGCAATCCTCTATCGCAGGGTCTCATTGGGCCCATGGGTTTCAAGCAACCACTTCGAATGGCTTAGGTCCCGGCGCCAGGAGCATCCGGTTTGGAAAATGTCCGGTGACCTTGCAGACCGGTTGCTGGGATTCCCGAATCAAACTCTACGGGCTCCCAACATACTAGTGCGTGAACTCACGATCACCTGTGATCTCAAACGCAATTTCGCGAGGGAAGTCGCGCAAGGTGGCCGCAAACATGCAACCAGGTTGTTCGAAAGTCGCTTTGTACTTGCCAAATTGGTCAAATCATTACCCAATCTCATGCGACTTCGGTATGTTATTATACGTAATGTCTGATAAAAGATTGTGTGCTCAACTATGAGTTGTCTCATGAAGAATTGGCTTTCCACACAATTTCGACGATGCGCTTCTTCAAGCTCTGAACAACCACCCCGTGAAAATCGACATCCATCTGCTGGAAGAACATGGACAAAACACAGTTTGCCAGAAGAAGAACGTCACGCTTCCCTGGGTCTCCACAATGACCATCTATGTTGATCACAATGTGAAGTTCCATCTTCGCCTGAACCCCCTGAAGGCTCTGATTCTGCAATGCCCGAATCTCAAGAGACTCTCTATTGATGAAAAGCTGGACTCTCTTTTCTACAAACAGCCTATTGGCCACATGCCCTATGTGATCCGACCAAAGTTCCCACCGATCGAATCCATTTACATGAACTCGGCCAATGTCCTGGTGGACAACGCGTGGAAACCCGAATTCCAATTTGATAAGCTCGTGTCTCTCTTCATCGGACGTAGGTGTATGGGCTGGCCGCTGGTGCTAGGCATGGGTGCTGCCGGCAATTTCTGGAACCTCAAGTCATTCAGCTTCGACTACCCTGTCAGAAACATTGCCCTGGGAGATGGTGATGGGCTTCACCTCTGTCTTCTAGGGATGCCACTCCTAGAGACACTTTATGTGAAAAATTTCCCTTGCTCGGCTCGATCGCTCACTCACCTCGGTTGTCTGAAAAAGCTAGGCTTACTTTACGATGAGCCTTACATATGGCAACCTGTTGCAGCCGGAGCCCAACCTGGGCTAGGCGGTCACGCTTTCAGTACCTTCATGGTCATGCTTTCCCATGTTCGTCATGCTCATGTCCCTGGTCGGCCTATGTTCCCCACGATAGGAACACCGACTCGGAATGCTTTGTCCCTGGACGAGTTAGACGACCTGGATATGAATTGCCCAGATCTCCGGATGCTCAAATTAGAGGCCGACCGCGGAATAAATTCGTGGGTGAGAGCGCACCCTTGCCGTACTAACACCCACTTCCAGTGCTAGATGCTGATATAATTCTTGCCTAGCCTTATGCGTTTCTGGACAAGCTCGCAGCCAAATTTCCGAATCTAGAATATCTTTCCTTGCATTTCCAACTTCGTGGGCTCTCCGGACTAAGCGTTCAGAAGCCGATCTTGAACTACTCCTCTGCCCTCTCCATAGGCCGTTATTTTTTCGAGCGCAAGTGGAATGGCAAGTTCCGCAAGCTGATTGTGAAGACCCGGGACAAGAAGCCCTTAACCGGAGAAGAGATCCCTTGCCGGGAGCAGAGATCTTATGCGTCGACGTTCGTGATGTTGCGTCCAGCGAAGAAGGGAGGCGACCCTGTCTTCATCCATGTGAGAGAGAAGAAATGGGGCCTCACACTGATCTAAAAGACGTGGGATTGGCGAATAGCGACGCCGAATTCAGAATCGCACAGGCCGTGCATGGAATACCTCCAGACCAACCTCTAACACGTGCACTCTCCGCCGGCTCTCATACCCAATCGCGCATATGATTTCAAACCCAAACCATGTACTTGTACCATCCCAGAGAGGTTGAAGGATGATTACCATGTGGGAAGAAGGAAATGGGGGTATGACATACGGGGAGGGAATTTTTGAGGGAACTTTTGAGGGAATTCTGGGGGAATCTCTGGATGGAATGTCATTAGGAAGCATTTAGTCTCCTATTTCGCGCGTCAGCATGAGACTGACAACAGAACAGTATTGTTATCTGACCACTTTGCTTCTCTTATCCACGAAATCCGAACATCTGCAGATCTTCTTGTCTAAGCCCCTCGAGCCCCACCTCTCTACCCCACTTAACTCCGCATAATTTCCCCCCCCCCCACCAAGAAGCCCGTCGAAGCAAAGTTGATCAAGATGGGAATGCAAGCACGCTGTCAGTGTGCCAAGGTCCGATTCACTACGCCTCTCGATGAACCCCTGGCTCTCTACGCCTGCCACTGCACCGAGTGTAGACATCAGAGCTCTGCCGCATTCGGCATCACCGCCTCCTTTCCCTACTTCGAGCTCCCCGCATCAGTATCTGGGCTTGTGGGAAGCTACACGCGCAAGACCCTTACTGGGCGACACCTGGAATGTTTGTTCTGCAAGAATTGTGGCTCGAGATTGCTGCATCGAATCCACGAGGCGAAGCCTGCTCCAGGAGAAGCGCCGTCGCCCACTGCTACCACGAACGTTAAGGGCGGGTGTTTGGAGGCATTAGATAAAAAGATGATGAGGGGGATTGTTCATATATGGACGGAAAATGCCATAATTTATATTCCAGAAGGCGTAGAGCAGTGGCCAAAAGAACCTCAGAAACACTAGTCCCCCTCTGGAAAATGGACTCTTACCGAGGCTAATATGGATTGAAAAGGCGTCGGGGGGATTGCCCTCAACGCTGGCCAAGCTCAGTCCATGAATCAATTCTTGACCAATTCGAGCCCAATCCAAACCCCTCATATTTTCAGGCCAGGTGCTCAAAGTAGTAATCATGTTTGCTATGTAAGTCTTGGTAGAATACACGCATTAACCAACAATAGAGGTCCATCCATTGTCAGCGGCGAGACATGCACCATTGACGATGCCCATTCCCTTGCCAGACACCAAAGTGACACACAGGTTGGCGGCATCTTCCACCTCGCACGTCGGCACCTTGATGCTTCCGAGAATATCGTGCAGTTTTTGATAGCCCTCCATGTTCATATTGCTTTTCATGTTATCACCGATATTCGTATTCATTCCACCCATCATCAACGCATTGCAGCGAATCCCCTTCGAGCCATAGAAGGCGGCGGTGTTCTTGGTTAAACCGACTAGACCATGTTTGCTGGAAGTGTAAGCAGCACCTGGCGCACAAGCGTTAGCTCACGGACCGCTGGAACATAAATGGGATCTAAACATACCGCTGGCCCATCCAGCCTTGCCAGCGACCGAGATAATGTTGACGATCTGGCCGTTAGGATTCGGCTGCTCCAGCATGTTGCGAACAGCCAATTTACTCAGAATGAATGGAGCAGTCAGATTGACGGCCATCACCCGGTTCCATAATTCGACCTCTAGATCCCCGACAGGGTCGAACTTATCCATGATCCCGGCATTATTAATAAGAATATCGAGTCTGCCGAATTCGCCCACAATTTCTTGGAAGAGACTGGCGACCGCTTCTTGATTGGTGATGTCTGTCTTGATAGCCTTAAATGGGCCTTTGGGAGACAGTTCGGCCGTTACCTCCTGCAGGCGCTCGTCGCTGATATCGCAAACCACCACGCTGGCCCCGGCCTCAATGAGCTTCGTTGCGATGGCTTTTCCGAGCCCGCCCCTTGCGCCTGTGACAAGGCATATTTTACCAGACAAAGCTTGATCGGTCATGTTGTAAGAGTCTCGTGATTCTGCCGATGGCTGGTTTCTTTGAAAAGGGTCACTGAAGCGCAATTTATACAAGTGTCAGGAAGCTGTGGGCCTGAGCCTCTGATTTCCGTCTTTCTTGGTGGCATCACTCCTAGGATCCTACGGAGGACATAGTACCCGTATTCTCGCGCAACGTGGCTGCGAATTCCTGGGGACGGGGGACCAACATCCGCTCCGCGTGGGCTGGAGACAACCCACTCTGGCAGCCACTATTGGCTAGCCGGTTCGTACAAGTCCCAGATCCGTAGCACATCCAACCACTTGTGGGGAAACTGGGCTTGCCGAGGCTCGTCGGTACGAAGAAATACGACCATAATCCCTTATACAGGCAATAGCACTGGAGAGGGGGGGCCTTTCACCGTCACCGGTTGGCAACTACGGAGGAATATGCAATTATGGTATGCATTATCCCACTCTGCAGTCGCTCATGATAGGCAGAGAATATTCTGTATTATATTGGACCGGAGAATTTCAGAGATAACTAGAGATTCTAGGAATGTCAAAATAAGTCATTATGACAGTCTCTGTCTTTTTCTTTTCCTTCTGTTTCTTTTCCCCTCTTTTTACACAACGGCTATCGCCAACTGTCCTCTGCAAAGTACTGGAACCCGGCTCCTCCTTCGGTAGCGCTATACCCTATTTCCTAATCTGGACCTAATAGAGGCTCGGATCGAAGCAGAGCCAATCCGATTGGGCTATCTTCGAGTGACCATGAGTGTCCCAAGGTAAGCTTATTCCTATGAGGAATGGGCAGGAAGACCCCTTTCAAGAACTTGACGACCTCAGTTTTGCTCGGGCCACGGACTCTGCTAGACAACGCTAAACCAAATCCTACACGAGACGAGGCCAAGACGCCAGCATCTCAGCGATTACAAGATTTTGATGACAGGCACTTATCATTCTGATATGAGAAGATGAGCCTAATTCCACCAGCGAATGACAAGCTCCAGAGCTAGGTCTGCTTATCAGTCCAACGCTCGACTCCGATCCAATGGGCCTTGAACCTCCCCGCAATGGGCCTCCGAAACAGTTAGTGCTCCCTCCCGCTCCGGGCACATTGGCCCACCAGCATCGCGCAGACTTGCTATATTAGGAAAAGCTTGCCTGGCCATCTATCTTATCACTTCTCTCCTCCGTAGGGCCTCGAGCCATCAAGAGGCAAAACGGAATATCAGAGACGATGGAATGCTTAAATGCCCCGATCCCGCAGAGTCAGGATGCAACCAGCTACTGCGCGCTCCCTGAGCCATGTCGAAAGAAGACGCGAATCAGGTATTCGACAATGCCACGAACGAAGATGTCCGCCTGGAGAGTCTGGGCTATGAGCAGGGTAGGTATATCGAGACCCTATTTTATCACTGCCCCTCATACTGACATTCCTGTGTCTCTAGAGCTCAAGCGCTCCTTCGGCCTGCTTAGTATGATTGGCTTCAGCTTCAGCGTGGTGACATCGTAGGGACCATCTATCTAAAGAAAAAGGGGGGTTTTGGAGTGTATTAACGGTTTTGATAGATGGACAGCCCTTAGTGGTGTATTTGTTGTCGGCGTGACATCTGGTGGTCCGCCGGTAATGGTCTTTAGCTACATTGGTGTCAGTCTCTTGACTCTTGCAGTGGCCATCCCAATGGCGGAAATGTGCTCGATGTATCCCGTTGCAGGAGGACAATACTCATGGGTAGCAGCCCTTGCTCCACCAAAGATTGCCCGAGGTCTATCGTATGTGACTGGATGGTTCATGTTGATCGGTACGTCACGATAATGCCCATTTGATGACATAGAGACTGAATTTATAGGTGTTCTTGCCATGGGCGCGACGAACAACTCAATCGCCTCGAATTTTGTGCTGGGGATGTCAAACCTCATCTTTCCGGACTATGCTATCCAACGATGGCACACGGTGCTTGTTGCGTATCTGGTTGCCTTTCTTTCCACCGGGGTCAACCTTTGGGGATCCCACCTGCTTTCTCGCGTCGCGAAGTTCATTCTGATCTGGAATGTCGGGTCCTTTGTAGTCATCACAATCACGTTGTTGGCCACGAACGACCATAAGCAGCCGGCCCACTTCGTATTCCAGGATTTCGAAAACTCGACTGGATGGGGCACTGCCATGGCTGCAATTCTTGGAATTCTACAATCCTGTTTCGGAATGTGCTGCTATGACGCGCCGGCACACATGACCGAGGAAATGACATCGGCCTCCAAGGAAGCGCCGAAAGCCATTATCCTAGCAGTTGCCCTCGGGGCTGTCACTGGCTTCATATTCCTCCTGGCCCTGTGCTTCTGCATTGGCGACATTAATGAGACAGCGAACTCTGCCACGGGGGTTCCTGTTATCCAGATCATCTACGATTCCACGGGTAACAAAGCAGCCACGGTCATTCTGAGCTGCCTGATTACAGTGATTGTGATCGTTGCCGGCAACAACCTCATCGCCGAAGGATCGCGATCCGTGTATGCCTTTGCTCGGGATAACGGCCTTCCGTTCTCGAAGGTTTTCAGCAAGGTCGACGAGAAAAGCAAAGTCCCCGTGAATGCGGTGCTCTTGACCCTCGCGGTGCAATTGGCCCTCGATGCCATCGACTTCGGCACGACCACCGGGTTCGAGACTGTCATTTCCATTGCGACGGAAGGCTTCTGTAAGTGCCATATGTTCCTGCTGGGCGATCTCATGACTCATTATGGTGTTTAGATCTTTCATACGCCATGGCTTTAGGCAGCCGCCTCGTGGGGTATTTTACCGGCCATGTGACCAAAATGGAAGGACCGTATACGTTATCCGTGCCTGTATCAATCGGATTGAACCTATTGGGACTTTTATTCCTTTTGTTTGCCTCGATCACTTTCAATTTCCCCAGCACGTACCCGGTCAATCAAGAGTCGATGAACTACACTAGTGCCGCCATCGGTGTCATAGCGCTCATCAGCCTCTTAACCTGGTTCACGACGGGCAAAGACCATTTTACCGGGCCCGGGGCCGTCAGCGTTCTGAAGGGCCAGAACACCCCCCAGCAGGGATCATCCCCGACCGAGGCGGGAGAGAAGAAGAGCTAGAGGCCGGATTGGAGGGATGTGGGGGGGGGACCTTATCCTTCCTCTTTCCAAGACTCCGAGCTATAATAAGGATTATATATGTAGAACTATGAATCGGGATATTGTCTTGTTCGCTTCTCAATCTACCAGCCGAACTCGACCAGTGTGTTCTCGTCATCAACAAGCTTGCCAAATAGTTCTTCCGGCGAACCCTCCGTAGCAGCCCGCACAATAGGCCGAGCCCCCTCCTCTGCTGATTTGACACCCTGGCCACCCCCAAAGTTGGTGCGACAGAAGCCTGGGGCAGCATGAACAGCGAGAATGTTCTCCTTCTCGAGACGGACAGCATCAACGGCAGTAATCATATTCACCGCAGACTTGCTACTACGGTAAACAGGCAGCTCCCAAATCTTGGCACCGTACTCCGAAGTTGGCGAGTACGCGATGCCGATTTGGCCAAGGCCGCTCGTCACGTTGACAATACGTCGGTCATGGTACTTAGATGCGCGTAGGAGGGGTAGGAAAGTTGCCGTCATCACGGCCACACCGAAAACATTTGTTTCAAACACGGCTCGGTAGCTCTCGCGTAGAGTTGCATTCGGGTCGGGCGATCTGTTGATGCCAGCGTTATTGATGAGGATATCCAGCGCTCCGAACCGCTCTTCAACAAGCTTGGCGGCGGCAGTGATGGATTCGTCTTGGTCGAGATCGATGACGACAGGCGTCAAAGAGGCATCAGGGCTAGAGACTTGCAGTTGCTTGACTGCACCTTCGGCTTTTTCTGGGAGCGGGCGGCAAGAAGAAGGTTGTATTGGCCAGTGCTGGCAAGCTGTTGTGCCGTCGCGAATCCGAGGCCCTGGTTGGCACCGGTGATCAGAATCAAGGGTTTAGCGACGGCCATCGTAGGAAGGTTTGTAATTGAAGGTATGAAGAAAAATCTTGTTATGGATTTGTTGATGTTGATGGGAAGGCAGTGGCGAATTAATACCAAACATCCCAAAACAAAGAGATGGCCTCAACGGAGTTTAGGGTTTTAGGAAATTCGAATCTGACGGACTTAGATCGGATTTAGGATTTCCGCCTTCCATGTCATATACCCCAATTCTACAAGGGTACTGTAGGGTACTGTACATTGGACTAAGGTAGCGACTAGTACTTAGTTACCCGCCACTAAGACATACATTGCTTTTGATCTGGCGATCGAGTTTCACAAGGTTGGCTGGCCGAGCACGGCATACGTCGACGGTTTGGCAGTTCGCAAAGTCACCAACACCTTGTCTGTTCCCCCGTCCTCAGCGCTCCAGCCCAGTGAGTACCAGCCAGGGGTATCGAAGATGGGTTCTGCGTAGAAGCTTGCATTGTGCACTTTTGTCATTACATAGCCACCGTAGGTCCACCAGATACTAGTCAGCTTCCCCTGCGTATCATTCGATGAGGTCAGGCCCACCTCCGGGCCTGATGAGTTCAGATAGAGGACCTCATTTGCCGTACTGGTATTGGGATGCGCGAGCCAGGTGTAATCGGCCGAAGTCGAGACAGTAACTGGAGCACATGACTGGATTAGTTTCGAGACAGCACCAATAGCTGGACACACAGAGCGCCTTACAAGACACAGAGGATAAGTCCATTCCGCTGGGTTTAGTTGGATCGCCAATCCAAGCTAGGCCTTCAGGGTCTTCTGTTTAGTCCCGGTGCCATGATGCACTTCGTCGAGAGAGCCGAAGAGGGGATCACACCTTTTGCAGTATATACCTCGAGACCACCAATGTTTTCGCCGAATGCGTAGAGATGGAAAGGAGAATCATCGGCACGTCTTTCCAAAGGGCTTGCAAAACTGAGGGATTGGAGCAAGGCAGCTCCTAGAAGAAAGACAGTGGGACGGCGAGCCATATTGGGAAATTTGTGGGCGATACCAGGCAGAGAGATCATAGCCAGCCTTTTCACAGTATTGGAGAAAATGAGACAATGAGACAGGATTCAGACAAATATAAGCAACTACACGGCCACCGTCTAGTAGAGTAGGGCCGCGCGGCATCCACCATTCCCTGCTTACCAATTCAGATGATTCCATAAATATCAGACTCGTATATGCATCTCAGACCGGGGTGACAAACTTGACATTCAGGCGGCCCGGGCTCATCCTCGAGCCCTTCGCCAATTATTGCCGGTTTCCAGCCCAATGCGAGCTCATAGCAGCTGGGGATATCAGGGCCTCCTGCCAGACATCTAAGCGTTCATGCAAAGCATCGCAGCTCGGGGCTCCTGTCACGATCAGGTCCCTCAAGCCACTCAGCTGATGCTGCGTATCATCCAGTAACGATAGCTGTTACGAAACAATAGAGTGGATACTGGCGCCTACCATCTGCCAGGTGACCGCGGTCTATCCGACCAGCTTTCCTTCTTTTCACTAGTTCAGAGGCCATGATACGCGCTCAGCAGACAATCAAACACGGCCCTTGCTCGTAATCGTGGATATCGAGAGCCAGAAATAGCTCTCGTCCCAGCAGGCGTACCGCGAGAGTCGGCCTTGCAGGCCCAGGGCGCGCCTCGCATCCTTTGCGCTCTGATCGTATCCGGATTTTTGGACCCTGAGGAGGCTGCATCTATTCCCGGAACTTCCTGTTATCCAGAACACCAGACGTGAGCTGACCGATTGAGCGATTGCTTCGATGTATATAAACATAGCAAAGATCGATTGTCATCATATATAGTTCCGCTCAACCCATTCGTCTCATGAGGCTTTCGTTTGCATAGCTCGGTCAAATCGTATACCATCTATCCTTTTACAAGATGAGACTTCATACAGTCTTGTCTTGGGTATATGCCCTAGGGGGCAACAGCGTCTACCATACCATGGCTCGGGACTCGAGCAGTGGACCTCCATCCAAAGCCCAAGAGATGTGCAGGCAATTCGGCCAACAATAGACAGAAGTGGTGCGACTACAGGATCAACACCGATTATACCACTGTCGTCCCTGACACCGGTGTCACTCGCGAGTACTGGCTCGCAATCGACGAATTGAATCTAGCTCCAGATGGCGTTTCCCGCCCTGTCATGGCTGTCAACGGCACTATCCCCGGCCCTACGATCTATGCAGACTGGGGCGACGAGGTTGTCATCCATGTCACCAACAATCTCCACCATGCGGAGAACGGGACTAGCATTCACTGGCATGGTATTCGCCAGAACTATACCAATCAAAATGATGGCGTGGTATCAGTCACCCAATGCCCCAGCCCGCCTGGGTCCACTTTCACATACAAGTGGCGTGCTGTTCAATATGGCTCAACCTGGTACCATTCGCACATTGGCCTTCAGGCCTGGGAAGGGGTCTTTGGCGGGGTGGTTATCAACGGCCCTGCGAGCGCCAATTATGATCACGATGTGGGCACCGTGATTCTGAGCGACTGGTCCCATCAGACCGCGGACGAGCTTTATACTTACGCACAAACTGTTGGGCCAGTCCCGATGGACAATGGCTTGATCAACGGGACCAACGTATGGAACAACCAAGGGTCGCGTTTCCAGATGAAGGTCCAGAAGAACCAATCTTACCGGATTAGACTGGTCAATGCCGCCATCGACACGGTCTTCAAATTTATGATCGATAACCATACCCTGACCGTGATTAGCTCGGACCTAGTGCCGATCAAGCCCTATACGGCTGACTTTGTCACTATCGCGATGGGTAAATGAGAACGACCCTCCCCCTCCACCTTCGAGGAAGACAAAACCTTTAACCTTGGGATAGGCCAGCGATACGATGTGATCGTCACAGCGAACCAGCAGAGGATCGCCGACGACTTCTGGATCCGGTCAATTCCACAAACCGCATGCTCCGCCAACAACTCCCGAATCGACGATATCAAAGGCATCCTGCATTACAACCACCGGGCCGGAACACCCACGACCAGCGCCTGGGACTACGTTGACGGGTGCATCGACGAAACCAACCTGGTCCCCGTCGTCGCCAAGAATGTCGGCACCGCAGACTTCATGACCCTCGAGGATGTCACGTTGGGCAGCAACGCCGACGACCTCTTCCGCTGGGAATTGAACAGCACCACCATGCTCGTGTCGTGGGAGGACCCCACCCTGCTTCAGATCCACGAGAATACCACTTCCTTCCCGGCCTCCAGCGGGGTCATCGAGCTCCCCCAGGCGAACGAATGGTTTTACCTGTTTATCAATACCAGCTTCGTCGTGACGCACCCGGTCCATCTGCACGGGCATGATTTCTTCATTCTCTCCCAGGGCCCAAACCCATATAACGGCACCCTGAACACGAAGAACCCGCCGAGGAGAGATACCGCGCTCTTGGAGGGCCAAGGGCATCTGTTGATTGCGTTCCAAACGGACAACCCCGGGGCGTGGCTCATGCACTGCCATATCGGATGGCACGTCGAGGAGGGCTTTGCGCTGCAGTTTGTGGAGCGCGAGAGTGAAATCGAAGATGTGATCGACTACAAATCACTCAAGTCAAATTGTGGCTCTTGGCGCGCATACGATACGAAGTTCGACATTCAGCAGATCGACTCGGGGGTTTGAGCCCGGGGGGGCGTCTCGCTTATCATCATCTGTACTTAGCCTTTGCGGCATCCACGAAATCTGTCCATATACTTGTATCTCCTAATTCAGCAATATACTTGATTGGTCGGTTTTGGGCAATGTATCTCCTCGTACTTGCAGGCTCAGTATGCACCCCGCTATCAAACCATGCGCTTTGCCACTGCGCACCCTGGCCTCTAAGATTCTGCGACAGGAGCAAATATTGATGTCATATCTTTGGATAGCCCCGAGAGACGAATCAAAATTGCAGCAACGAGACGCGAGCATAGACTGATCTCATACTGAGCCCAGACATGTTTCCAACTTGACCACGTCGCAGCCGTGTAACCAGCTCCTGCGGGAGCCGCAAGTGAGGGCGCAATCTTGAACCCTAAAGAGGCCCGTGGAGCCCATGGAAGGTCCAGTCACCTCCAGGGCCTTCGGCTTTCATGCTCGATGTTACGGTGTGCTTAGCGTGGCCCGTGTACCCCGTATAGGCCGTATAGGAGCGGAGTTTTACTTTTTTTTTTTTTTGGTTTTTTTGTTTTTCCCCCCAAGCACTCCAGCCAGGGGAACCCAAAGTCGCCAACCCGAATAGAGAATGGCGCGCGATAGGGTTTCAGGCACTAGCGCCTTGGAGAAGTCCAACACGAGCTCGGCAAGGGCAGGGTTAAGTGGCGGTCTACTGGCTAAATTGCGGTCGCGCTGCGGGCATGGGCTGACGGGGGCTCGACCCTGGGTGGGGACCCGTCCAGCCCCCCCCGCGGGCTTGTTAGTGCCAATCTGGAAAGCAAGAACCAATCCCACTGGGGATCAAGTGACAGTGAATCTCACTAGACACTGCATCGTAGGAGAAGCGGTATGACCCCGGCCAATCGGGGAGCTGGAAGAAAACTAGTCGATCGTGCCTGGAGTCCTCCGTACTCGCAAAGGCAAAAAAAAATCCATCGCAGTGGGCCCGTGGAAAGCTTCTCTTTGTGCTTCATATGAGATGCAGTATCACCACACCTCTTCCTAGCAACTTGCTGCCAGTCGTACGTGGGGTTGATCCCAAGTTAAAAGGCACTTACAAGTTATCCATCTGCGCTTCCTTCCGCGGTTTGTCTATCATTCTAGATACTCTCTCCGGGCGCTTGCATGTGTCGGAATCTCCAATATCATCATGATCACATTCTTCCTGCTGGGCAGCGTGGTGGCTTATGGGCTGGTGGCTCTGATCTATCGTCTTCAGATTCACCCGCTGAGCAAATTCCCTGGGCCGCGCCTGGCAGCTATCTCGGGCCTCTATGAGGTCTACTTCACCTTGACAACTGGCTCATTTGAAGAGCAGATCGAGAAACTGCACGAACAATACGGTAACGGCAACCGCCCCATCTGCCAGTATTGCACGGATCCAATGGATGACTGACGGTATGAACAGGCCCGGTCGTGCGCATTACCCCGGACGAGGTACATGTCACATCGACAACGTCCAACTCTGCCGATCGCTGGATCAAGGGCAGCGAGACGCTAGACTCTGGCCGTCACCAATCTCGGTCCAGCCCATATTTCCAGGCGAGCAAGCGCCCCTCGATTTTCCAGGTGGAGGTACATCAGATTGTCCGGCTGCTGCAGCGGCCGCACTCGCATCGCGTGTTCACGCTGCCACGGTTCTACCAGGGCCGGTTCATGCCAGAAGAGAGCGATCTGAGGACGGCCATTCGCAGCCCCTCAATGGCGCCCGAACATCCAACAGGGTGAACTATGTCCTCGGCAAAAGCCCAAGCGCTTGATTCCCCATTGGACCGTCGCTCACGGGAGCCGCCAAAGCAGCCGGTTTAGAGTTGACTCCCCCGCAATGACGAGAAAGAGCCGGGGCGCCGTGACAGCTTTCAGGTTTGGCTGGCACATGGTTCCACGTTTACCGCTTATTGAGCTGGGTCTGTTTGGTGGGGGAACTAGGGGCAATGCGCCGGATCCAGAACAAAGAAAACCAGAGTCGCGAGTCCCGTGCGGAGGAGTTGGAGCTGGGCTCCACTATCCCGAACCCGATTTTTCTAGACTTTTGGACTTACGCCATTGTCTCCTTTTCAAAAAAGCCTTTCTCCTCCCCTGGACCTTTTCTCTGGAGGAGTCAGTCGCCATGGTATGTACCTGATTGCTTCATCGTTTCTGCGTGGGAGTTCCTGCACGGCCAGCATAGGCCATGTTGATCACCGCGCGTATCGGATCCAGGCACAAACTAACATCGCGCATGTATAGCCTCACGCGGATTCTTCCTATTTCCTGCCCGGCCAGTCCAAGGCTGAGGTCTACACACAGGTCCTCGAACAGGCACAGGGTCTGCTGCACGGCCAGCGCAATTGGGTCAGTACCATTCCCTGCGATCGTCGCGTCTCCGCAATCCTTTGCAGCTGTCAAAACCTTTATACCATCCTCGTAATCATGGACGGACATGAATTGTTCTAAGCTAACGTGTGTCGGCAATTATAGGTCAGGTAAGGTTCACACATCACCGAACTTCAAGCTGTTACACCCAAACTCACCCTCGTCAAGCAACCTCTCCAACGTCTCCTCCCTCCTCTGGCACGCCTTCGCCGCTCTCCCCGCTCCCTCTTCCTCGGTCAACTGGGCCGGCTTCTACATCCGCGATGACAAGTTTCCGGTCCTCGCCTCTCCTATCTCCTCGCCCCCCTTGAGTGGTCCCGAGGGGGGTCGCCGGCGTCACCATCACCACCACCTACGCTTCAGCCGAAGACCAAGTCCTCCTCCTGGGTCCTTTCCACGGCAAACCTGCTTGCCAGGAGATCCGCTTCGGCAAAGGCGTCTGCGGCACGGCGGCCGCTAATAAGAAAACCCTGATTGTGCCGGATGTCCTGGAGTTCCCCGGCCACATCGCCTGCGACGCAGAAAGCCGAAGTGAGATCGTTGTGCCTATTCTTGTTCGCGGCGAGGTGAGTTTTTTTTTTTCCTTGTTCCCCTCTCTTTCACTTCGCTGGTCTTGCGTGGTGTTGTTCCCGTTTTCGGGCGTCTTGCTGATTTCGCCTTATCAGACTGTCGCCATTATCGATATTGATTGCGTGGAGCCTTCGGGCTTCGACGAGGAAGATCAGAAGTACCTCGAGCAGCTGGCGGCTATCCTGGCCGATAGCTGTGATTGGTGATTGAGGGGGGGGGGGGGGCTCGGCATACAGACAAGCTTATGTGCTACGATTGAGATTATAATGACGGGTTTGGGCATTTAGATATCGGGCTTCCGATGGCACAAAGGATCCGAGTCGCGGGTTTGTGCATAAAAGTCATGCTTCCGCGTTGTACAATTGACTTACGATTAACGTGTCTGTTGTTCCTTTTTTTTTTTCTACATTTTTCTTCTTCTTTTTCTGTATTTATCAAAAGTGAAACAGATTGCTTCAGAGGGTCCATTACCGCCAAGCTGTTCCTTCGAGGGACCATTCATCTAAGATGAATCTAGATAATTTAGATGTGACTATACGGATCCACGCGAGGTCCGCTCATCGTCGCCACCGTTCCGGCTCAGCGCACAGAGCATCATAACATGCCTACTTTCAGGGTGTCACTGATGTTGGGAATGCTGGAGCATTGGGCAGTGATACAGTCGCTTCATGCATAACCGCTGCTACGTCTTCGAGTCCAGCATGCATGGATACCAGTAGACCTGGAATCCAAGACAACCCCAACGCAGTATCTGCCAACTGATCCCTCCCCAGATACACCACCGACGTTCTCTCCCAGCCCTAAAACCCAACCGTAACCTCATACCCATCGCCTGTCACCTCCGTCCGGAAATCCACCTGCCCAACACAATCCCCATATTCATGGGGCTTGCCTGCACGGCCCTGCATCCCCGCACTCACCGGATTCCCGAAAACAACCTGTGTCGCCGGCAACTGCCCACACGAATGCGACCCCGAATTCCACGGATAATACTCCACAAACCCGACCTGGCTGCCCTGAGACCCCCGGACCCAGCCGGCAGCGTATAAGCCCCGATATGCGTGCGCGCCCCCGTCACCGTATCCACCAGCGTCCCTGTCCACGTCTCGCCTCCCGAATTCACCACTTCGAGCGCGAACCCGTGCGCGTAGTTGCCGGGGACCTCGACCGCGCAGCTCACCCCCGCGCCGCCGTCCGCGCCGTCGTGGCAGTTCGCGTCGCGGGTGGTCGTCCCGTTGACGAAGCTGGAGAAGACGCCGTGGATGATGGGGGTGGAGGCGGAGTCTTCGCGCGGCTGCAGACCTGTGTAGCCGACGTCGGCGGCGCCGGCGAAGCCGAATTGTCGGCGAAGTAGTAGCCTGATTTGTGGGGGGCGGAGGGCATGGAGATTGGGAAGGTGATTTCGGTGAGTCCGGTGGAGGGGGCGGACGGGATGTTCCAGGAGAGACCGACGAGGGCGGTGCTGGAGTGGATGAGAGTGGTGAGGAGGGTGGTATGGAGGAGGGAGGATGAGGGCTTCATTCTGGGGCCTGGGGTGATGAGGAATGAGAGGGGGGGTTCTACCTGGGATTCTAGGTGAATAGCTTGGGGCCCCTTTTCATGCGAGCGGATCTGTGAGCTTTTATATTCATAGTTTTGCGCATGCTTGCGAGGAAATTAATCGAACGGATGATCAAGATGAACCGTCGTGTTTCGACTCTATGATCTGCAAACTTTATCGAGGTTAAGCGATGTTACATGACGGCTTACCGGTGATTCATTTGGACGGATTGAGAAGGACCAAGCGAAATGGCTGCACGAAGAGCATGAAAAGCGTTGGGGGCATGTTCCAATGTCGTAGACTCGTTAAATATGGCCCCCGTTGCAAGAGTGTCTTGAGCTCCAGCAGGTCGAGCGCCATGTGGAGACCGAGGTGTCACTAGCGGGAGATCTTCCCAAGCTCCATTCTCCAACTCTCTACAACCTGCCCGCGGTAGTCGGAGGGCGGGCCATCAGGAACAAAATCTCCACGATATGTAGATAAACCTGGTGAGGATGGTGTCTAGCCAGGAGCGAGGAAAGACAGTCGAAACATCAGATACAATAACCGAAACCCGAGATCCATGACGGCTGAACCGAAATGACCAAAAGTATGATAGAGTAACCGCTAACCGTATCTAAATACAACAAGGAGCAAATATATCGTTAGTCTATGCAAGGAACAGCTCTAGTTGGCGGGACAAATCGATGATACCGCAAGAACGCCGTGGCCCGAAACGACAGACATCAAGGTGTGGATGGTCATGACAAAAAGAATCTCTCCCGAGATACTCTGTAGAGGATCACATATTCAAAAGACTCAATTGCCGTCGCATCGAATAAGGAGACACGGAGTCCCCATCTTCGCTCGGACCAATGCCGCTATCCGTACCGTTCAATCCTGCGTCGGTATCAATGTCCCATTGCTCGTCCGCGGCGTCTTGGGCTTCTGGCTCCTCCCCGCTGCCATCCCAGCCCTTTTGAACAGCCCCTCGTGTGTTCCAGCGCAGAGCACGCTGGACGCTGGTGAACCACTCCCCGCTATCAGATACGACGGTGGGGAATGGGTACTGGCTGGCTTCGACGGTAACATAGTCGCCTTGTCGGAGCTCGACGCGGCCCTTGCCGTCAAAGGAACAGTAGGCCGTTGATCGGGAGGCATGGGGCACAGCAATGCGAAGCAAGTGGGAGTCCGAGAGGACCATCGGGCGGAATGAAAGAGTATGAGGGCAGATGGGAGTGAGAAGGATTCCCGGAATAGAAGGATGCATGAGAGAGCCGCCAGCGGACAAAGAATAAGCAGTCGATCCTAAGATTCAGTTAGCCAAAGACAGACACAGGCTCAATTCGATATGCAGGGAGACATACCAGTAGGTGTTGAGAAGATGCAGCCGTCGGCCTGAACGACCGTCAACAGCTCGTTATCGGCGTATAGTTCCAAGTTGGATACATAGGGCGAGGGCCCGCGGTCGATGACCACTTCATTGAGGACTTCAAACTGTTCGCCTTCCTCAACTGCCCCAGCCTCGGCGCCTTTACTCCGGTCTTTCCGGAAGACCGTGCAGGTGAACCGCATGCGCAGATTCACGCGCATGCCGACCTCACCCATGACTGCATTGAGATGGGATTTATATTCCGAAAACTCGAAGTTGGTCAGGAAACCGAGGCTTCCGAGGGAGAAGCAGAAGACGGGCGGCACGACGCGCTGGAAGAGCCACGAGGTGAACAGCACAGTACCGTCGCCGCCAAGCGTCAAGACCAGATCGAATTTATCCGGCGATGTCCAGCAGAGATCAGGGGTCCAGTACTGCAGCATCTGGGCGAACCGCGGGTCTTTCTGAACGAGTCCCGCGGCGTCGAAGCGCTTGGAATTTCGGAGCTTCGCATCAACATAAACGTTGACCCCTACTTCGCTGCCATATCGGGGCGTCGAGAGGAGCCATTCGGCCAGTTCCCGGGTGAGATGGACCAGGCTGTTATCGCGGGCCTTGGTGACAATCATGACATTGCGCACCGCCCGCTTGATAGGTCGCCTCTGCAGCTGCTTCGAAACCTCTCGGACGCCCGTTGCAGTCTGGACTAGCCGCGAATGTGAGAGCCACTCATCATCTGCAATCTCCTCCAAGACCTTCTTGATATTTACCGCATCGTCGAATCGCTGGTGGAAGTAACACGGCGACTGCATCACGAGTCTGGCCGTGGCGGGCGACCGATCGAGATATGTGCCAAGCTGCAGACTGGATAGCGCCGCGGAGAGCTTTTGAGAAGCACTGCTACACCGACGCTCTTTCTCCCTCCGGCGGGCCCGGGTTCTGGCTGCTACCCTGGTTATTGCTCTGGTTGGCAACCAGGTCTGACCAAGCGCTGGGGGCGGGGACGCCCACGCCCTGGTTATTGGTATTGGCAGCTGGCCCAGCGCTGCCACCGATCGAGCCATGTCCTCGTGATGCCAGGGCTTTCATGATCGTTTGTCGAGGGATTCGATCGACAGAAAGCGTTCGCTGGGTCGTCGGCCGATGTCCGGAGACTGACTTCTGGCGGAGTCGCTGCAGAGTCGGGGAGGGCAACGACCGAACGGCCTCCTCTTGGGATGAATAATCTATCTTCTGTGAAGGCAGCGCTCCGCTGCCGGGAGGTCTGAGGGCGGAATCGTGCGGATGGATGTCGTGTGTCTGAAAGGGTTCTATATGAAAGGCATAGTCCCGTAGAAGAGCTGCACCGACAACGGTGGATGCGGACGGAGGAGGTGGGGCAGTTGGGGTCGGAGATAACGACGCGGCGTGATCTGAAGCCTCTGGCTTCAAGGGTTTCGAGGGAGGCACGTCAGATTGGAGAGATTCATTGCCGGGCGACGCCATGAAGGGCCTGATTTTCGGCGGGATTCCTGGAGATACCAGTTAGAAACCCGGGGTTCGGCTGTAGCGGGCTTTAAACGGCCCTTACTAGTCCTGTTCAATCTTACTCCTGGTTGTAAGCCGCCCTGGAAAGGGTGAGATTCTACCGTCTTCCACAGTACTTTTTTTTTTTTTGGTAAACAGAGATCTGCAGAGCAGGGGGGTGCTCGGGTAGACTGGGGTGTCCCCGATCGGCGATGCTTATGATTTGTAAGGTACACGCGTTTTTTAGGTAGAGAAGGATGGCGAGAGGAAAGACAGAGTAACTCACCTCGAAGCGCTCAAAGCGCAGCTCTTGCGCAATTGCGACAAGTCCTTTTACCCCTTTTACCACTTTTGGGATGCTGTGGCCGAATATGGGTTGGTTTTTCCAGGTGACGTTTACATACGCTTTACATCTAACTACCAAAAGTTAATGGTTCTGGCGGTTCCAATCCGGCAATCCCAAAAGGGTCTGGGCCGCCACCCCGTACTCGTTGGAAAATTTAGCTATTAGATATGGATTGGTCTTGTTTACGTTTCGAACTCGGATCCTGGTCTCATGGAATAAGAATGCGGCGTAGAAACAAAGTTTTGAATCTTTGACCTGGACACAGTGCAAATGCCATGTTTGAAAAGCTCTCGCTTTCTTCACTCACTTGGCGCCGCCCTTGCTATGGATGGTTTCACAAGGGCGACCGGGCTCAGGAACCCGCCGGTCGGCTTTGGAGAGATCTCAACAGACATGCCAGAGGCCACTGGTTGAGTAGCCGGTTTGACACATCTAAGAACACGTATCAGACGGTAGGGATTCAGGCTTCCTGTGTAACCTTCCCACTTAAACTGTGACACGCATCGTACGGGCGAGAAAGCGGTTTGCCAGTTGCACGAGACAGAAGAGTTGGGGAAGTGGACTCTCAGGGGTTCGGCAATCTGTACAGACAATGTGGAGAAAGCGAAGCTGGGTTTTCCGTTGGGGCATCGATAGGCAGTCACTGCGTATTTTCAGTTTGATTCGATCTTCCAGCTGTACACGCGATGGAGGTGGTCTTCCATGGCCTCGCGAATGAAGTTATCCAGGGTACCATCCTTTGACTCATCATCCATGGCAGTATCACCATCAGATCCGCGGGGATTCGCCCCTTGGCAAATTGAAGCTGCCTGTTCTCGAACTGACTCCCATGTCTCGAAATCAAACCGCCCTTGACTCTCGTTGAGTAACAAGTGGCCCTTTGAGGAGAATGCAAGCACATGGAGTGACACAGCATTAGCCACATCCTCCACCGGTGGGTCCTGAACGATCTGTCCTGATGGTGTCACAGCAAGCAACGTGGTAGCGAAGGTCATCGACAAAGGCACGGCAGCGGAAATCAGAGCGAGAAGCGACGCGTGGAGAAGGGCCGGGAGGATTGTCAGATACTGTATACATCAGCAGGCGTCCCCAAAATATCCAAAGCGAATCGATACGTACAGAATCACCGCGCTCCACGGCTTCGCCTCCAATGATAGCCAGTGTGATAACCACACCCCGGCGGGGGAATCCTTTCTCACGCCCGAGGACGATGCTCCCTAGCACACTGCGGAGAACCGACTCGACATACCCTTCACCGACACCTGCGGTGGTGTTACCTGGCTTAACAAAGACCTCAATGGTGGCATCTTCGGGCCTGAGGGCATCCTTGCGGGCGGGCAACTCGACGGGAGCGTTCACCGCGCCAAGCACATCGTATCCAGTGACAGGACATTTATAGGATGCAGAACCGTCTGCCCGTCTCAAGCCAGAGAGTGATACTGTAGGGCCGACCATTGTGTGAGAGAGAGTGGAGGGATTGGGGATTTGAGGAAGATAGTTGCTGGAGCATTAGAGTGATTTTTTTGATGGGCAATGCGGGCCGTGATCTGATTGGCCCGGTCCCGTGGATCCATGCTTGCCACGAGGAGTAAGTAGAGCAAGGCTGGCATTGTATTTCCTAAGCCCTTATTGGAATAAGTGCCTGGAATAACACCTGGTCTATATGCTTACAAGGAGCTATCCCATCCCTTAGCTAGTCGCTGGTATGTAGCGCAGACGCATAGAAATACCAATGACCATACCTTGTAATCTAATTAGAACTAGCATTTGACTGGGGTAATCTACACAAGAGCCTGCTGTTACAAGCTCGTAACTTGGCTGTCAATAAATTCCTATGCTATTGGATCTGGTACATCTAGGCTTGGTCGCACTCATCTGTCGACATCCTAGGGCTGATGGATATAATTGTCGATACTAACGAACGCCAATCCGCCCTACATTAGATCTTACCACGTACATGGTCGAGAGGACAATACGAAAGAGCAGACAGCTTACATTTCGGTTTATGAAACGCTAAGAATCTGAAGGCTATAATGGGATTCATAATCAAGAAACCTGGTGCCATGCAGTCATGGACTTCTCGGAACCATGGGTCCCTACATCGTGAAAGGAAAAGGCGAGAGCGAAGAATAAGCCCAACCACCTCCATTGGCTGGAAAGCCTCTCATGCGAAGAGCTCCATAGAACCAGGTTTCCTCCTTGCTTGGCCGAGTGGCTTATGATGAGCAAGCCGGGACACCGGGAATCAACGCCTCATCGGACACGCCCAATCAGACGAGGCACTCGGATAGCTCCAAGACAAACTAACCCAGCAGCCTCGCAAATTGTAGCAAGTTGTAGACCGGATCTTGGCCAGCCAAGCACTTGGGCTGGCTTAGCGCCCCAATAGGATCATCTCCAAGAAAGTGACAATTCATCCCCCGCTCATGGTATACGTGATGCTTCCCCTCATTTGACCGATCACACATACCAGTACGAGCACCCTTCTCTAAGAGATCTCCGTTCATTCAGTTCTTTTTTTCTTCTTTTCCTTTTTGCTTCGGGGCGTAAAAACGTATGACTGTGAAGAAAGGAACTTGGCTAGACTTCTAAAGCAGACTTCCACATATTATCCTCTTGACATTTTCTTTTCATCTTCTTGAATGGGCATAGAGACTATCGCTGACGTCGAGGAGTCGACGGAGCCTCCTATATGTGCTTATACTGATCCGAAGCCACATTCCGCAGCAACAAATGCAAAATACAGCTCTAGAGTGAGCACCGCCGACGCAAAAGCTCGGCCACTGATCAACGAACACCCAACACTTGCGCTCCGGGGGAAGTTCGAAACAGATCGCCCAGCCTTCCACTGCGTGGAACCTTCCACTATATGTGAGCTACTTCAAACAGATCTTCAAAATGGGTTATCTGATTCGGAGGCCGGTCTGCGCCTCGAGCGCGATGGCCCGAATACTGTACTCGAGGTCAAGGGCGTCTCGCCCTTGGAAATATTCTTGAGACAGGTATCCAATAGCTTAACCATTGTGAGTGTTTGCAGAATTCTACAGCCACATAGTCTGACTGTTCAAAGGTTCTACTGATAACCATGGGATTGTCCTTTGGTATCGACGACTATATTGAGGGAGAGTGATCACCGCCGTTATACTCCTGAACATTGTAGTCGGGTAAGTGCGGTATTCCCTTTCAATCTCGGTCTCAACTTGGCTAAATTGTTTTCAAGATTCATCCAGGATTATCGGGCAGAAAAGACAATCCTCTCGCTGCACCGCCTCTCTGCGCCAGTCTGTAAAGCCATCCGAGGTGGGCGAGTGGCGTCAGTCAAAGCGCAGTCACTCGTGGTGGGCGATATAGTGCGTCTATCTGTAGGTGATATAGTTCCCGCTGACCTACGTTTGTTCGAGGGCATGAATGCCTCGACCGACGAGGCACTCCTCACGGGAGAGTCTTTGCCTGTATTGAAGAACCCTCATCAAACCTTTGACTTGCCGGATATCCCAATCGGCGACCGAACGAACATGGCATACTCAGGGTGCAGTACCACTCAAGGCCGAGCCACCGGGATTGTTGTGGCAACTGGAATGGACACAGAGGTTGGAAAGATTGCACAGTTGCTTCGGCAGCAAACTCAAAACGCGAGCGAACCTCCTCTCTTTCGCCTCCTTCGGCGAATACAGACCTCGGCTAAGAATATCCTGGGGCTTGTGGGTACACCCTTGCAAGTAAAGCTTAGCAAGTTTGCTCTTTTGCTCTTCGCGCTTGCAATTCTCCTGGCTATCATTGTCTTCTCGGTCAATCTCTGGGATGTGCAAGGCGAAGTCCTGATTTACGGCATAGCTGTGGCCGTGGCAGTCATCCCAGAATCTCTGGTGGCTGTGCTCACTATCACCATTGCAGTGGGCACCAAGGCTATGGCGAGGGGCAATGTTGTCGTCCGCAAGCTCCAATGCTTAGAGGCTGTCGGCGGGGTAACAAATATCTGTTCTGATAAAACGGGCACTTTGACCCAAGGAAAGATGATCGCTCGGGCAGCCTGGATCCCAGGAGCCGGAGATCTGAGTGTATACAATACCAGTGACCCGTATGACCCCACAAGTGGCATGGTGCAGCTGAATGATATCACTTGTAGCTCTATTGACCCCAAAGACAACTTTTTCCTTGACTCATTTCTCTCGGCTCTGTCGCTTTGCAATCTGTCAATGGTGCATCAGGATGGCACAAGATGGACCGCCGTTGGTGAGCCAACAGAGATTGCTCTCCACGTTTTGGCCATGCGTTTTGACTATGGCAAAAACAAAGTACTATCTCGCAATCAGCTACAACTTCACTCTGAGTACCCTTTTGACTCAGCGATCAAAAAGATGACCGTCGTCTACATGAACAAGCAAGGGAACATCTATCAAGTCTACACGAAAGGTGCACCGGAAGCTGTCATCCCACATCTTTCCATCTCACCGGAGGAAGAACGCGATATTCGAAAGAAAGCAGACACAATGGCGGAAGCAGGACTTCGAGTGCTTTGCATCGGATTCAAGCAAACTCTCAGAGATGAAGAGAACAAAGTCACCCCAAGAAGTGCCGCCGAATCGACTCTGCGGTTTGGCGGGCTGGTAGGCCTGTACGATCCTCCACGGATCGAGACTGCCGCTGCTGTGCGGAAATGCCAGATGGCGGGCATCACCGTGCATATGCTCACTGGGGATCATATCAAGACTGCTACTGCCATTGCCTCAGAAGTCGGCATACTGGATCGTATCTCAACTATTTCAAAACCAGGAGAACTGATTATGGCAGCCGATAAATTCGATCAGCTGGCAGATACGGAGGTTGACTCGATAGAACAGCTTCCTCTCGTCATCGCTCGCTGCAGCCCGGCTACCAAAGTCCGAATGGTCGAAGCCATGCATCGACGGCAAGCGTTCTGTGTTATGACTGGTGATGGCGTGAATGACTCTCCTGCTTTGAAAAGAGCAGATGTCGGGATTGCCATGGGCAAAAATGGGAGTGACGTCGCCAAAGAAGCGGCCGACATGGTGCTCACAGACGACAACTTTTCGTCTATTGTCAAGGCCGTTGAGGAGGGAGACGTCTTTTTGATAATATCCAGAAGGTGAGCTACGCTATTTTGTTCTTCGTTCCGAGTGGCTAATGTTGTACTAGTTCCTCATGCACCTGCTCGTATCGAACATAGCACAGGTACTGCTGCTTCTTATTGCTCTTGCGTTCAAGGACGGTGGTGGGGATTCGGTCTTTCCACTATCTCCTCTGGAGATTTTATGGGCCAATTTAGTCACATCGTCCTTTCTTGCTGTGGGACTCGGCCTTGAAGAAGCACAGCCAGATATCATGATCCGCCCACCGCATGACCTCAAGGTCGGCGTCTTTACTTGGGAACTTATCATTGACAAGATGATATACGGAACCTTTATGGGGGCTCTCTGTTTAGTGGCCTTCGTCTGCGTGATCTATGCCGCCGGATCTGGCGTCACAGACCTGGGAGACGGGTGCAACGAAGGCTTCAATTCCAGCTGCGATACTGTGTTCCGGGCTCGAGCGACAACCTTTGCCACTTTGACGTTCCTACTGCTTGTAACTGCGTGGGAGGTTAAACATTTTTCACGTTCTCTATTTAACATGGATCCGATGCGAACTCCAGGACGGCTCTCAATCTTTCCTACCATCTGGAGAAATCGTTTCCTATTTTGGGCGGTCTTGGCAGGTTTCGCCCTTGCATTCCCCATTGTGTACCTCCCAGTGGTCAACGAGGTGGTTTTCAGACACCATGCTATCACCTGGGAATGGGGGCTTGTGTTTGGCTGTACAGTCACCTATCTTGCATGTGTCGAAAGCTGGAAGGCTATCAAGCGGAGGTTTCGTATTGGGAGTGGTAAATATGGAATTGCCACACTCGAAGATGGAAGGGCCGACGTTGACCTGAAAACGCCAACACTGCTGTCTCTCAATGCGAGCATGGAGAAGTGATTCAGATGGAAAGTAAACATGAGGCTTGATTCAACATCAAGCATGAGGCGAAGCAGTCTTTTTTTTCTTTTTCTTTTTTTGTGGCTTCTGTTTCATTCTCGCGTAATAGTTGATAGCCGCTTTTTTGTACTGCATCGTGCTGGTATTCCTTGTTGAAGCTACTGGTATTGTGTAAACGGGCTTGACCGTTGCAGCAAAGCCTGGTATCCATACAATCTAGTTGACATTTCCCAGCCCATAATTTGCACTTGTATTGTCGGATTTTAGCGTATATGAACTATGTATTCGAAATTAGCGAATTTATGATATCTGAAGAATAAGAAAAAAAAAAAGGAAAGTAAAGGGGAAAAAAAAAGACAAATTATGCTCCGAATGGGGGAATCGAACCCCCGGCTATCGTGTGAGAGACGATGAGGTTAGCCACTACCCCAATTCGGACGGCTCATCCACTAGACTACTCTAGTGAACTGATGGAGAACGACCAGAGTTTGCCAACATGAGCGTACACTCCCCAATTTGGGTCCTCCTGCACTGACGGCCTTGGCGTGCCAGCTCGGTCGCTAGAAATGCTCGATTATTGAGTTGACCAGGCTTGATAAATCAATTAAAATTCCCTGCTCGACATCATCTTGGGGTTGAAGAACTATCGGCCGGTAGCAATTGTCGGATGAATCTTAATTGATTTCAAATCACCATCACTCAAATTAAGGTCAACCAATCGTGCTCTCGATCCGGGGCCCTCATCTGAACAAGCTTGATACGGCTTAGTCTCCGCTTGTTCCCGCCACTGGTGGCTACAAATCTTGTTTCTTGGTACGTCTTGATCGAGACCTGCAGAACAATTATATTAGCCATCACCCAGCGAATAAAATGACCTTCTCTTACGAAAAAGTACTCATTATCGGGGCAACCTCAGGCATTGGCAAGGCCCTAGCCACTAAGCTGGTGCAAAATGGAACAAAAGTGATCATATCGGGTCGGAGAAAGGAAAATCTCGAGACTTTCATTCAAGACAATGGCTCTGACAAGGTTCAGGCCAAGCCTTTCGACATCACCCAGCTGGACCAGGTACGTTACATCTTCTGCAACAAAAGACACAAGGGCTAACTATGAGGAAGATCAATAAGTTTGCATCCGACGTGATTGCCGAGAACCCTGATTTAGACTGTATCTTCGTGAACGCCGGCATCCAGCGGCCTTTTGATTTCTCCAAGACCGATACCGTTGACCTTGACATCCTCGACCAGGAGCTGGTCATCAACTATACAGCACCTGTCCGCATTGCCAAGGCATTTATCCCTCATCTGCAGAGGCAGGAGAAGCAGACTGCTCTTGCATTTACCACCTCTCAGCTTGCGATTATCCCCATGCTGCGTTGCCCAAACTATGGTGCGTCCAAGGCTGCTCTACACCATTTCATCATTACTCTACGTACCCAAATGCAAAACGGCCCTGGTAATGTGAAGGTGCTAGAGATTCTGCCACCCGCAGTTCAGACTGAGCTTCATGATACGAAGCACTAACCTGATCTGAAAAACGGACATCTCATTGGCATGCCGCTGCAGGAGTTTATGGATGATGCTTGGGCCCAGATCAATGCAGGAGATGAGCAGATCGCGGTCGGCTCGGCGAAGGATATCGTCGATGCGGTCGAGCCGAAACGTAACGAGCTTTACCAGCACATGACACAGATGTTGACGGGCCTTATAAAACAGTTTTTGAAATAGACCCCCACTGCCCTTATTCTGGTGATACGATGATATAGAACAAACTCTGACAGGTCTAAGGTGCTTTCACGTAAGAACAGGTACCAAACATATACAATTTAATTATTTAAACATGAGACTCGGGGCGGGAACGATATTATAGACACAGTTTTACCTTTACAAGGAGCCAGTATAAGCGCACCAAGATATACGGGCCAGTGAACAACATCATTTGCCGGCGGTCCATATATTCGTACAGCGGGACCATATAATCTTTGGTGTATTCTGGAGCGTTGCCCCATGTTCTTCCGAGTCATGGCCTCACAGGTACATTTGTAGGTCAACAGATGTCTGCCAAGCAATAGAGTGCAAGCAGAATGGCTCAAATTGTGGGGAGAGTAGGCACTCCATAGAACAGGCATAAAGATTATTATGGATCGGGCACTCTCAACCAGCAGCCATGCACTTTGTATACTTCTGCTAGCAACTGAATGAGCGCTTGTTCTCATAGTCGGATGGTGATTCATTCGAGTGCATCACTTATACTTTTCGAATAGGTAGCTTGGTCATGCCGTGGGAAGAGCAGGACGCCCCGCACGGGTGGGGATTGTGCACTGCACATAAGCTCTTTGAAAGTCGAGGCATGTTTCAAGTAAGAGTACAACCCCTCGGATCTCTGCCGAATGATTTGTAGAAAGTCGCACTAGCATAAGTAGTGTATTGGGCCTGCTCGTATATTGCATAGCTAGAAGGCATCTTTCGTCGAGTTCGGAATTCGCTACAAACTATATATGATCTATGATTGATATAGCACTTCCGATTAGTAGAACAATTGGCAGTGGTGGTTAGCCTGTGAAAAATCCTCCTGTCCAAGGGCAGTGAGTTTTATGAAGACTTAGCATGGATTAACTCTAGAATATAATTCCGTAACGTCATTCATTGCGAAAAGCAGCTAAGCAGGCAACCTTCTTTGTATATCTCATTGACTCTAAAAGGCAACTCTCTGTTCTTGTGCATCTGCAGTACAAGTATTGGCGAGCCTAAGCGCAAAATGCCGTCGGCCTTAGTATTACCAACTTGGTCGCTTTGAATTGATGATCCCATAGACAAAAGACCCTAAAGCGAGAAAGAAACAGCCGACATTCCATGCTGTTCCCCACTCACCAAAAACAAATTTCGCAACAATGATTGTTAAGAACAGCAAGGTCAAGACCAAAGGAATAGTAGTCCGTTGATTTGTGGTATCCAAGCTTTCCTCAACTAGGATCCCGCGGAATTCCACCTCGCGAAGTTTCTGGCAGTGCCACTGGCTTATCATCCTAAGTATATCCCTTTATTGCAAAGTCACAAAAGATCAGAAAAGATACTGAGATCAGGTCGATTTCATGTACTGACCTATGCCCATAAATCACGCTTTTGTCTTGCAGAAAATCATTTAATGATGCAAGATCGGGATCTTCAAACGCAAGGCTCATGAGTGAGAGTGTTTTCAAGTTCTGAAGCTGTCTTTCAGCTTCAAACTTCCTCCTCTCCGGGCAATCAACGTCTATCATCTGTGAAATGCAATCTTGAAAGCACTCTGTTCTTCCGGTGAGAGAATTATATCCACAGGGCCATTCTTGGGCCTCATAGTTTTGAATGATGCGTTCCGCACGATCAATATCGAGTTGCAGGTCTTCTTTGGTATACTTCCCGATAAACTTCACAGCACTTCTCGGGTTGTTGGTTCCCTTGGCTACACCGCCAATATAAATCTGTGGGGATTTGTCAGGCCAGGAATGAGAAAAGTTCATTACTTCGTGACATACTTTGACGATGCTAATGTGACTAATAATGCCAAAGTTAAAGATTCTTCTCCACCAGCCTTGATAAGAAGCCTTTGTCTGTCTGAGTTGTCTCCAGATAGCAACTTCATCAGTGGGGTCCGGAATGGATACTGGGACGATATGACACTTGTCCGGTACACCAAAACATAACAGAAGCGTAGAGTCTGTGGAATCCCCGAGGAGTGGCTGTAATTTATTTGCCAAGTCCCTTTTGCGAGCATTGTGATCTTCTTCACACGCGTACTTCACGAAGAAGACATCCTCCAAGATCGACAATTCTTCTTGTATGCTTCCAGACTGTGTCGGTCCATCCATTGAATGACTTACACGTTCTGACGAATCTGTTAAACTCTGGCGACCTCTGTTGGGGATTCGTCTCGGATGTGGTGGCTGTAAATGGCGTCGAGGAAACATATTGGAACTAGCACGAGTAGCTGCGACCGGTAAAGATGGCGTTTCTGTAGTAAGGAGGGATTTCACCATTTTCATAATGAACGAACCATAGAGCGCTTGGTTTTGGGTATTTTGCGGGAAATGAAGAGTGGCATGTTCCCAGTCACCGAGGAATTCATATTCGTCGGGGCGACTGGGGGGGCAAGAGAGCTCTTGTTGGAGCGGCAATATGATCCATTCTTGCTTGTCAGAAGTAAACCTGTTTCTGTCTGTGATTCTAAAGATTTGCAAGACGATTTTACGCAAAGAAAGCGCGGTGAGTGGATTTATTACTCAAAAATCGACCCTAGGCACCCCTCAAGTCCGCCTATCGAATTGAGCTTTGGGCTATCGAAGTGGCTGAGCCTCTATCGTATCACCTAGCAGCCGACAACGCCCGACAAGGCAGAGTTCAAAGATAGATGCCAGAATCATGCGGGGCCATTTCGGGAAAGGCGCCTTCTTCGACGAGCCTGCTGATTAGCTGAATATACTAAAATAGATCACGCCACCGCCTTCTCATCTTATTCCAGGACTCATCGCTCAAGAATCTTGGTTTGACTGGGTTGGACGTATTATTATTTGCAGGTATTGAGGTGCTCCTGAGCTTAAAACATTTTTGAATGCGAAAGTCACTTCGGAACGAGCACGGCGGCTACCTTTAAAGCGATAGTTAAATAAAAGAATTGACCACTTTCGTCTGTGCACAGTGTATACACTCAGTGACTCCAAGCATGTACCAGACCAGAATGTTTCATTCAACAAGCAGAAATAGTGAAAAGGCCCCAGCCCCATCTGGCGAGGGCTGCCCCAGCTCAAAGTTGGGTATCTTTGCATGCATATAGTGCGGGAAAGGGCGAAAGAAAGAAAATTTACACTAGTAAAGACACCGGCAACGGCTCATTGGCTGTTATGATATCACTTTGCCAGACGCACGGACTCAGCAATCAACCAAGGCAAGGTTGCTTTTTCTTTCTTGAGTGCCTCACAGAACCAAAATCTCCCGCATGTAGTAAGGACAGTCCCCGTTGACAGGAATAACGTAATTCCACGTTGAGCGAATCTTTCCTACAATAAATCTTGGAATAAATCTTGGAAAGATTTATTCTTCTTAGCTTGTATTTGGACTCGCGACACCTGCAGGAAAATACTATGAATATCTGCTAGAATGGGCATGGCTTGACCTGTCGTCGTGGCTATGGAATTCTGCCAACTTCGCTCCATTCTCAACCTTGGAGGCTCTATTTTTGAAGTAGTCAGTCCCCAATACGCCATGCACAGAGCAGACAGCGAGTTCATTGATCAGTCCAGGGTGAAATTTGGGACCTTCTTCGAGCTGCCATAGTCAAAGTGGGACTACAAGCTCTCACTTTGACATCGAAGTGTGTGGTTTCATGATTCCATGTTATCTACCCCGTACAGTATATGACAACGGAAATGAGCCCATTCATGCCGCTACATTCATCTTTTCGGCCATTTGGTGATATCACATACCGTTAGTGTACAGCCATAATTAGTAAGATTATAGAATCTACCTAATTTATTTAAGCATAGAGAGCACTAATATCCGCCTAGTGGCAAAACTGGAGTGTTACTGCAATAGGCAGGGGTTACACATAATGACATCTAGAGCAATACGTCATATTGATATGTTGGGGAAATTGAAGTGATCACTTACTTGGACTTAAGAAACACGGCAGATAAATAGCCGCCTCAAGGACTCTATCCCTCTGCAGTAATAGCAATACCAGGCCGAACCTGCTTCTTAGTCAATATGGATAGCGACAATGTGTACGACAAAAATGGTGAACCTATTCACGAAGGAGATTACGTTTACACTAGAATTCGCGGCGGAACACACGAAGGCAAGGTATGTTGAGAGCACCATACAATAGCGGTCCTGGCTTGAAGCAGTCGGCCCAAGAACATACGTTGAGCTGATGTTTTGCCCTTAGGTCGAGGAAATCGTCACGGATGAAGCGCGTGCTGAAGAAACATCAGTGAAGCATCCTCCTAAGGTAAGCAAGGCATATGATGCCGTACTAAAAGCTGTGGCAAATGATAATAGATACCTTTAGGTCATACTGCACAACAAGGATGGAAAGACAAGGGCGCACAACCCTGGCACTCTAGAAATACGCAACGAGGATGCCTGAACACAGTACAGCAAGCCAATCTTGTGAAACGGCTTTAGGGGCCGGCTACTGCTTGAAATAACAACAAATGAGCTTCATATTTGTGCATGTATAGCTGTACTTAATTAAATATAGATATCTATTAGTATTCACATATTACTTCTCTTGTTTTCGAGACCAGCGTGATCCTTGCTATTTTTGAGCGAATTTCCTTCATCTATACTATATCGCTGATACTCAGTTAACAAGGCAATAGCCGAAGCACAATAGCTCATCTGATGTTTTCAATACTATGAGGTACTGATCAAACGAAGGGAGAGAACGCCGGCGATTTTATGACATCATATTAGCGCACTATCTCAGCTTCCACCTTTCCGATGATCTACAACTACTACCGTTAAGAGGCAGATTCCTATGGCGCAGGGTTTCTAATCCAGAAGGAAACAGCCCGTGGTCACTGCAAATTCCCTAGATTAGTCCGATGCAATGATCATAAATAGGGTCCTGAGCCTCATCATCATATGATATCCAAAGTTCTTTCACATTGAGCTGGACGCTAGAGCTTGGTCACTCTGACTTCAATATGACGCATTCTGATTGCAAGCTCCTTTACCTTCAAGACTAATCAAGTATAGTACTTCCCACATCTAGTCAGATAAACATGCTCATCCACGATGTGGTTGTTAGCCAAGATTCACGCTTTCCTCGACGCCAGCCTTCGCCGGCTCAAACTCCTTGAGGATCGGCAGGTGGGCTGGCTTACTCTAGATCGCAAGTCAGGCAATTTAAAGCGCGAACAACAAACTCTTTGGAAAAAGCTGAAGCTCTTATTGCTCTTCAATCCTTTAACAGAATGGATTGATCGCACTCATGCTCTTCGTATCTGGACGCACAGGAAGAATCTCGAAGCTGGTAAGTGCATAACCCCTAAAGGAGAGCCTGCTTTTTTATTGTCTGCGCGGGACAAAGACGCCGATCAAAGTTCGCAGGCAAGACGAGGGCAAGCCCCAATCCCACGCCCAAATCAAATCCTTCATTGATTTCTACCATATCGACATGTGTAGCTTTGAGCCGTCAGATCCTGAAAGCTACCCTACCTTTAAGGATTTCTTCATTCGCAGATTCGCTCCTGGCGCCAGGCCCATCTTCGCGCCTGAGGACCCGACTAAAGCTATTGTTTCGGCGGACTCTCGAGCAGTCGTATACCCAACCGTTGAAAAGCTCCGGGCGCTGTGGATTAAAGGAAACCGATTTACAATTGCGAACCTGATCAAGGACGATGAGCGCAGTCTCCGATGGATCAACGGCTCGGTCGCAAGCTTGAGGTTGAGTCCACAAGACTATCATCGATACCACTCTCCAGTCAAAGGAAAGGTCAAATGGTACAAACATATCCCGGGAGACTACCTTCAAGTTGATCCCATGGCACTTCATAGTTCCGTCAATATCTTGACCGAGAACGCTAGAAGCTGCGTTTGTATCGAAAGTGAAGAATTCGGCGATGTACTTTTTGTGGCAATCGGTGCTACCGACGTAGGTACGGTCGAGTAAGTGTCAGCCCTCCATTTTTGGCTTTCGAATTCCACACTCACAGCAGGACAGGATCCACGACGAGATGAGGAAAGAAGGGCACGCTGTGGAAAAGGGGGATGAGATCGGACTTTTTCAATTTGGTGGATCAAGTATCATTATAGCTTTCGAGCCGGGTCGAATCGATTTTGATGAAGACCTCGAACGCCTCAGTAATGAGGAAACCATGGTGGATGTCGAGGTTGGAATGAGTCTCGGCAAAGCAAGCCGTCCTGACATACCGCCAACGGATGAGGCTTCGTAGTTGAGGTGGAACGAATCGAGAGAGAAGAGAGTGGATTTCCTAATCTCATCTAGTTACCAGTTCATGTGGTGCCACATCCTCTGTGTCTTAAAGTTGTTTAAGTGAATGTGCCCTGATGAAGCTGGATAGTCTTGTTACCAAAATTCCTTGGGTGGAAGAGAGAGAGAGTACCTGACCTCTCCACGAAAGTGATAGGGCCCTTTCGCCGCTATCGGTCTAGGAAATATATCATATCGTCGCTAGGTATTTGGTTACATTCGCCGAGTTTGGTAGTGTGTACGTAGCTATGTATGCCCAAATTGACGGGATTCCGCCTGTAAAGCCGGATCTATCTCCCACAACTCAGAGGGCGCACACAGACTTCATCAGCAACTCCGGCAGAACTGAAAAGAGGAATGTATTGCAATGCAATGCTTCACTATGTGTATTTACAGGCCATTTATCTACGCCTTGCTTTCCTGTTTTGGAATATTTAGACATATGTATCTTTCGCTATCTACGCATACAGTAGAGATTATTTAGGGGATAACCTAAGAACTAAGAGCAGTCGCCGTCTCTTAAACTAAGCCAGAAATCAAATAAAGCACTTGTAATCAGTTCTCTACGCTTCACGGTTTGCTATCAAAGATCAGAGAGCAGCGTAGCTATACTATCCTTATAGCAAGTATCTGCAATCGACATATCACTAAGAATTTACCAACTTCGTAGGATTCCTTGGTAGCAGAAAGATACTAAGACAAATCTACACACTCCTGGTCCAGCACCGTCTAGATTTCCTGTGACGATGGCGAATTGTATTGAGGCACACACTGCTTTTTAAGTTCGGCTTCGAATTTAAGCGATCCAAATCAGACCTATAAATTTCTAAGTTTTGGTTTTGCAAATGAATCCAGGTACAAGGCCAGATCAAAATACAAGGGCGACAACGTATAGGACTTCCAAAGATAGCTGGCCAGTTGCAAGTCCGCGTTCAATATCTCCTTGACTGAAGCCAACCTGCAAGCATTGTTTCTCTCGATAAATCCAGACCTGACTATCAGACACATTAATAATTTGGTTTACAGAGAAAATGAGACCAAAATAAAGTAATTAATTGTACCAGACTTTCTCATACCAATCAGGCCGTAGATGGAGTTGTTGATGTAAACACTAAGGGGCTCATCTTAAAACATGGCCATGCAAGCAAGCACCTTTTCGGCGAGAGACCGACTGCAACTTTAATCCACCCCCAACTTCTCCGCTCTCGCCATCTTCAATTGTTGGCGAAAATTTTCGGTATATTCATCCGGATCCCATGCCAAGACCCTTTCTTCCATCTCTGCAAGCTTAGAAGTCACTAGTCGTTCCATGTCACGTCTTTGGTCTTGATCTAGTAGGTATAATCGCTCTTTCCATGCCTCATTTGGGTCATTGGTCTTTGTGGGCCCAAAAAAACGCCGGTCAATCTTTTGCCAATAGATTGCGTCAAAAGCAAAGCTGTGCAAAAGGCCATAAACTACCCAGAAGTCGCCAGTCTCCCAGCTTTGTCGCATTTTCTCCGACAGGCGGCACTGGCCTTGCTGGGAAGCCATTTCTTCACAATGTCTCATTGCGGCGAGGAATGTTTCTAGACGGCGTTCAAATACCCTTGTCCAGCCATCAAGGCCCTCCCGCCAGAATTCAGGTTTTTCGATGAGGAGCCACCAGGGTGGCGCATACGAGAACTCCAGTGGCGCTGCATATGTGAACTCCCAATCCACTATACCAGCAATAGTGAGGTCATCATGAAGCAGGATGTTCGCCGGCCGGAAGTCATCACACCAGAGTTTGAATGGTCCATTCTCGTGGCATGATTGAGACAATTTTTTGTCTTTGGCAAGCTTGTGAAACAGCAGCCTTGCCACGTATTTCCGACGGCAGTCATCTGCAGACTTTACTGCATCATTCCTTTGATATATCAAATGTAGAATGTTGAGCTGCGCCAAATATTCAATATATGATGATGCAGTCTGAAAAGTGCTAAATTGCGGTGGTAATTTCGATCGAGGCAATGTTCCCAAACGCACAAGCTCGTTCATGTTCATTGATAATGGTCGGCCAGTCACCTTCCAGGTGAAGTCATCCACTTGGCTTAGAGACCCTATTCGTTGAAACTGTGGCTTGGAAAGATCAAGGAGGACCATTGCCAGTTGCCTGTATAGCTTGTCAAGCTGATTTTGGTCGATGTTTGGATTCAAGATGCCCCGCTCCTCGTTTGAACACCCTGGTACATTGAGAGCATCGTACATGGTCGTTGAATGGGCAATATGGCTCATCATGATAAACGGGCCTAGGCTGAGGGGGGCTCTCTTTCTGTGTGCCAGAATGCAGAACGAAGGGAATCGGGACTGATGTTTGGTCCGAGATATATCGCATGACAGCCACTTCATTCTGGACCTTTTCTTCGGGAAACAGAACTGCCCCAGGCTGTGGAAATCGAATATTTGTCGCGCCATATGTATACTTCATTTGTAATGTGATATTGAACGATCCCTTTTGAAGAATTTTAAACTCAGGATCATCTCCGGAGTCATGCTTCAGGATAAACTGAGCGATAGGTCTTTTGATGTTGATATCCAGAAACTGGGATAGCCAATTATCAGAAATGTCATCGGATTGCTCCCATGCGACGTCATCGTAGCACATCTGGGACTCCATACTTCGAAGGACCAGTAGCTGCTGTGTTTTTATAGAGTTTTTTTTATAGAGAACCGCTTTCTTGGGCGTAAAATGACCACAATGATGATGAACTTTCTCTGGGTAGTATGAGCAAAATGGAGCTATAAACTATAAAGCAGCAATGTAATTTGTCGATGTGGCTCAGGAAATAATGAGGCGGAAAAGCTTTGTGCTCCTAGGAACATTGCAAGTCGAGGAAAAGGAGACGGCATGGTCGAGGGTCATGTCACGTGATTTTGATGTATCGAATGAACCAGCGGGGCAACTCAATCATGTACAACTGGGTGAAATCAGGACTCTTGCGGGACCGTATTCGGAAGACGGGGCCTCATGGTCCAGAATGTCGTCCAGAAGTTCAGCGGGAATCAGCTGGGTTGAGAAATAAGTGTTTGTGAAGGCCGTCAAGAAATGTGGGGGTCGGTTTTCGAGGGACGCTGTCGCGAAATTGGTAGCTGCTGTTGAGATGCCGTCAGCTGTTGCTGGATGCTGAAAGCCGTTCTTCGGCTGCTGCTAGCTGACGCCGAAGCAACTCAACTTCCAAAGACATGTGAATTCACGGCTGGGAATGCATTTTTGACAGTGGATTTTCAAGTAGTTATTAGTAAACGAAGGGAAACAAACACCGCGCATGATTCCTACTTTCGGAATAACAATTTCCCGTCCGAGCCTGTGAATCAATTGATATCATGTGATAATGACAAGCAAACAAACATAATCGGCGATGTAAATATCACCGGCTCATAAATAGGAGATGCCGCCGGCTGTTTTCATTCTTTTATCACGACTCTTCAGTCTATCTACTCTCTGATTTCGGGTGGCAATGCAGGATTTCTTTGATATTCCATTTTATGCAACCGACTTGCCCTGCCCTCTACCCACAAATGCAGAAATCGAGGATGCTCCAGACAAATCCTTGGAATACGGAGGGCGAAGAATCGTCGGTCTAGGCCAGCATTTTGTTGTGAAGTTTGGCCAAGGAGTCGATCTCACCGAAGGAGAAAATATGTTGTTTGTGCGGAAAAATACAAATATTCGTGTTCCACGAGTCTTCGCTCTTTATTCGGACTCCGAAACTGGCAAAAACTTTATCGTCATGGAGCGCATCATCGGTCAAACACTTCTCGCGGCCTGGCCAAAACTTACAGAATCGGAGAAACAAAGTATACTGAGCGACCTGCGGATACAACTTGATGAACTGCGTCAGCTTCCATCTCCCAACTACTTTGGCAGCCTCGGCAAAAGAAAACTTCTGGATGGAATATTTTGGACAGAAGAACCAGACCTATCAGTAAATGGGCCGTTCGATTCCGAAGAAGCCCTCAACGAAGCGATGATGCGAAAGTATTCCTATAATGGAGGTCCATATTACAGAATAGAATATCTTCGAAAATGCCTCCCTCTCATTTTCCAAGGTCACAAAGCGACTTTTACCCACGGCGATGTACAAAGAAAGAATGTTATGATTAGCGAGAAAATCCAGCAGGATGAGGAGCGACCACGGGTCGTGCTGATCGATTGGGAAAAGTCCGGATGGTATCCAGTGTATTGGGAATATTGCTTGGCTGTTTGTGCTCTACGATGGGATGATGACTGGCCCCTTTGGATTGACGCAATTCTGACGCCATTTGCCTCGGAAGCTGCATGGCTGCAATCACTGCGACTCGAATTATGGTCATAGATGTTGGGAAGACACAAATTGCTTCTGTGCATTCAGCGGCTATGAAAAAGAGCAGGGACGAATGTGCACTCGATCCGAGCCTTATTTTTCATTCAGCAGTCAAACATGAGCTGAAGCCGAGGGGTGGGGACCAATGCTAGTCCCACATTGCTGTCCACTTAGATAGCAGTCGATTGATAGTGTTGACAGCATTAAGCATGTAAAAAGCTGATTCACCTCATTTATTTCCAGCGACCGGGTTTCCCGATTCCGGCCAATTGATATTAGCCGGTTGCCTTTCTTCCTTTCCGAACCGCGAATGGTCACTAGTAACGGAGCCGGGTAGTGAGGGCTCTGGAAAGTTAGTTTTCATCCTTACTGTAAATTTCCTCCAAATCCCGAAGGATCTGCCGACAGACCCGTCGCTCGCATGCGAATGCCGATGTGTACGTCTATTGCACAGCTTGCTATACTCGATTGCCTGTTTCATCATAGTTGTTCTGCGACGGCATTGTTTTTGGCGCTTTAACCTTTTGGCCGAATTATTCTTATCCGAGGAGTCGTTCATCGAAGCCATCGGTAGCCATTGTCTTATGCTTGGAGGGCATGCCGTGTATTATCTGGAAATTTTGTTTTTATAGCGAGAAATATTGTGCCCTGCACAGATGCTATCCATGATGAAGTCAAATTGAACATTTATAGGAATTATTCCAAGTCTATGGGAGTGTAGTTCGTCCACAATGGTAGGCAAGCTGGCTGCCATATTAAACATCTGTGGACACAGTTCCAAAGTTGGTTCAACAAATTTTGAGGCCAACAGGGTCTTAAGACCAACAGGGTCTTGAGGCTAACAGGGTCTTGAGAATAGCTGGATCTTGAGACTAACTGGTAATCAATGCTTTTCCATTTTTAATTAAATGTCCACTGTTAACGGCGGCTTACATTAGAAACAGGAAACTGGCAATGGTGCTCGGATTCGAGATAAAGCTCGAATATGTATAAAATATGCAAATCATAAGTTTCCACCTATTTACATTATTTGACTATCCACAGGTACTATAGGTATTATCTAGCTACCTATTACCTGTTAAGAAATGGGTAAACTCTGTTTAGGTCGACTTGTACAGGTCATGGTAAGGTATGGTTATTATTTGATTTCGAAGATGATCAACTTTTCTTGAAGCAGGATTTGTTCATGATTGCGTCGCAACACGTGTTAGGGAGGCCCATGATGCGTAAGCTCAGCGAATGAGTTCACGGATTTGACAACAGGCCTATGGGATACGGCAAATGGAAATTGTTTCCCACCATAACACAGTCCTTTAGAAGCGTCCCGTCCAAAAGTCTGTGTGCACTCAGCCCGCCCTAACAACGATCTATATTTTCAATTTCCTCCTACACCACCCCAATGGCCTCGGCCGCTATCAAGCAGGAATAATGTTTTAGCAAGATCACGCAAATGATTATATAGCGAAAAATACATGGATTTAGTTTGAAGATTAGGGGATATAGGATATGTAAGTATGGATATATATATTTCGTAGGGCGGCGGAAGCGGTATGCACACAGACTGCGCCCTATTGCGAGCCTTCAGAGTCGAAGATACACTGTCGTCATCAAGTTTACTACAGCAGAGAAGAGCCTCGTCTCCAAGTGGACATGAAAAATTATATGCAGCTGACACGCCTGCAGGGCCAGCAGATTTCCATTAGAGCAGTCTCGGCCAACAAAGCGGGATTGGAGTGTCTATTGAATATGTGGCTACCAGGACCCACTAAACGCGCCGTCATATAGCCAAAATATCGCCGTTTTACCACGAATTCACTGGAGTAGTCTAGTGGATGAGCCGTCCGAATTGGGGTAGTGGCTAACCTCATCGTCTCTCACACGATAGCCGGGGGTTCGATTCCCCCATTCGGAGCAAGAAACTTCACTTTTTCCCCTCTGTTTTTCTTATTATTTTCACCCCCGAGTCTCACCACCACCTACCAGCATCGACCTTTAGCTTGATCACTAATAGGCGACACACTGAAATGTGGGGAATCGACTTTTCAACACGCAGATACTTTTGGCCAAAAAGCCGAACGCCACAATTTTAAAATCCGTACTCATGGTGGAAGCTTGAAGAAATTGCTAAGTGTTATTGTACTTTCTCTCGAGCAAAAGTGCCAACCAACCGTACTATCAAAGTTTTTGAATCGCGGAGGATCGTCTAAGAAAAATCGCTTAGCATCCGAAAGTTTTTTTATAGTCCCCATGTAACTAGTTAGTTAGTTATCGGGCCTTATAAACAGCCCGCCCTGGTCACATGACCATGCATCATTATCCTACCCGACGCCTCTTTCAAGAGGAAACATTCCGGGCAAACAGAAAAACTAGCGTGGAAAACTTCACTAGCTGAAGACAAAGCACAATCAGGATAGAGCCAAGCCAAGAAGAAGCCTGAATTGTACTCCGAAGAGACGCTTGTGTAAGGGATGAGGGTATGAAGTTACGTTGACCCGCAATGCCGAGCATTGGTATCCCGCTCAGGAAGACATGAGACAGACCAGTTACAGCATTGTCAAAGCATCAAAACCAGGAAAACTACAGATGCTCCCAGTCGTAACTCCAAGGTCCTGGCTTTACGCACTCCCATCACTCCTACCACATCCTGTGCTCCCAACACAACATGCGTTCCAAATCCACAAACAAAGACGACGCTTCCTCGTCTGGGAAGGCCCATGGAAAGAAGTCAAAGTCCTCCCAAGGCACGCAGCCAGCCAAGACTGAGTTTGCCAATACGCTTTCGGCTTTGATGCACGAATCCTGGGCACAACTATCGGCGCGGCCCACTCAAAGCCACACGTCTAGTTATGATACGCACGACACGCCCAAGGACTGGACGTCCGCACAAAAGCACGATACATCTTCAGAAGAGGAAAAGGATGACGACAATGCATCAATCATCTCCTACGAAGACGAACTCGGCCGCTCACGCCGAGGGACCCGCGCCCAGGCCGCTCGTGCAGCCGCCCTCAAGGAAGACTTGAACGACGAACCCCAGCGCCCAAGTTGGCAGCCCGAGCAGCCCAAGAACCTCATCCATGGTGTCACGGTGCAGACCGAGGCATTCAATCCCGACGCCAGACTCGCCGCTCACATGGCTCATATTGCCGAGTTGCGGGATCGTTCCTCGAGCCCCGAGCTAGTGCACTACGATGCCGACGCTGATCCGCGCAAGCGGGGTGCCGGTTTCTATAATTTCTCAAAGGACGAGGCTGAGCGGCGCCGTCAAATGGAAGAGCTCGAGAAAGCGCGGGCCGAGACCGAGGATATGCGGCAAAAGCATGCCCGTGAGAAGAGAGCGAAGGCTGAAGAGCGTGCGAAGTTCAAGAAGGGCCGGAGCGAACGGCTTCTCCAACAACGGACGGTCGCAATGATGGATATCCTAGGGCAGGACCTGCTGGCAAGGGACCTGGCCCCAGATGAGTGGACCTTCTTGCATCGCCGATACATCGATGGCGACACGCTTCGCTGTGAGAAGTGCAGCGCTCGGGAGGGTGAGGAGAGTGCAGTCCAGATGTCGGAGTGCACATGTACTCTCCCTTCGGCTGCTGAGACTTAGGAGCCACGACGGCTAAAGCTGCCAGGTCTCTTGACCTTGTGGGAAACCTAAACTCAATCCCCTAGCGATGCACGCGGTCCAGGACACATAGCTGTGCTACTAGTAGGTGGCCCATGTTCTCACAGAAAATGCACGAGCGGTCCATAATATTCTCTATGTAGGCGTCAGTTGGGCCGTCGAACCCGCGCAGTGATAGCTTTGGCTAGGTACCGGCACTGCTAATATGCGGGTTTAAGAAAGCCATCTTAAAAGTTGCAATACCATCCTGATACGTTAATTCTGGAGTTCTGAAGATCAGTCCTGTAGCAGTAGAGGAATGCGTCCAATCAACACAAGCAAATGCTCAGTGTAACTTGAATGCAAGAAATAATTCGAATAATATCTTCTAATCATCAAACACGCCGAAGGAGGGGAAAAAAAAGGCGCTGCCTCGCTTTAAAGTAGACTGAATCGAATTCATATCACACATAGCTGAGTACTAAGAAGAGAAAGTGGCATCAAAAAATTAGTCCTATCCCATTCCAACTTTTCATTTTGTTCATGATAATCATATCGGCGTAACTCATCATTAATGGCCACTCAGCAAAGTAATCCGCAGAAGTTCAAGGTAGCGCATCGGCGATGTCTTCGATGGTGTCCAGGAAGCCCTCAGCATCTGGGATAAATGTTAGCTCACGTGCTGTTTGGTTCCCAGAAAGAATGTCCTACCGCTCGCATATCTGAACTTGAGTATGTGCTCTCCACGCGACGTCTTGGGTGGACGATACCTGTCCTCGGACATGAATACAAACGGCTCCATCCTGCGGACAACTACGGTTCGCGAGTCGACCAGTTTCAACCAGCCCCGACGGTGAAGGTGATGAGTGATGAAGGCTGTCCAGACAGGCGTTCTAAGAATAAAGAGTTAGGAACATGAGGTAAACCCGTCCGGGTATCATCGTACCGTTGCTTGGGCCCATTGTGGATGGATGCCTGGAGCCGGATAGACTTGGACGGAATGTCTTGATAGACGCGCAGGGCGTGGAGGTATCCATCGTCGTCAATTTGACTGCTGTATGTCAGGATCATATTCCAAGCTCAAGTTCGAAGAACGGTCCTACCCGCCGAAAAGCTCCTCTTCCTCTTCCATCTCGTAGTCTCGAATATCCTTCACGTCGCGGGCGGTGTCTTGCGCGCGAAGAGCCAAGAACGTGCAATAGAATGCTACCAAACCTAGAGGGGCAAATTGAATCTCAGAATCAGATTATGGCTCCTTGGTTAGCAAGACTCACTTTCAATGGTCATGAAGTTCAGGGTGGCCCAGATCACGAGTTCAGAGCCTCCATTTCGTCGCCGGCACAGATGCAGACTGGAACCCGAGCGAGCGATCTCTAGCAGATTCAGCGGAAAGCAGAAAGACTCGCTTGGTCGAGAGCGATGGGGCACTTTGCAAACAATGCGAGTTCGATGGTCGGATTGTCGGATAAAGTAGTAGACAGTAATCTGCGACCTGTCGTTGAAGGCTCTGCTACGAGTTGGCCATAAACCTCAATACACGGGACAACACCTCATCATGTGAACTTACAATTGAAGTACCTGCTCAAAGCCGTCCTCCTTGAGTGTCCGCTTGTCAACCTGATAGTCATCATAACATCCTGCTCTGTAGGTTCTGTTAGTTGGGAGGGGGGAAGATCATCATGCCCCCGGACCAGAAAACTTACTTGTGGTCCGCTTCCGGGATTGCGGTCTCCGTTTCGTAACTGGAAAACACTTCTTTGATCCAGTGTTGCTGTATGAAATCAACGGCGGAGCACTCTCATTGCTGAACCGGGCCGGCATTCTAGGCCTTGATGGCGGAGAGCTGGAGACCTCTGAAATAGAGGGCGGGAGATCCGAGAAACCCCCGGAGGAGGGAGACAGCGGAGATTGAGGCGGGGAGAGATGAGATGGGCGCTGGCGTTCGTACGACCGTTGACGTCGGTGAGTCTCGGTGGGGGGGACGAGGAGCCTCAACGATCACATCGGTGGATGGTTGGCGGCGTAATCTCCTGCGCTCTGATCGCTCTGCGCGATCTTCTTGGATCACCAGCAAAGTCTTGATTCCGTGACGATAGCCGAGCAGTACTGCGGTATCGGACGAGCTGCTGCAGAACACTGTCAGGCATTGGTCCGGTACATCTTATATATCTTGACCCTGCGGGGAATGAGTAACGCACTCTTTAAGCATATCGTTCAGTTCGCGGAGGAGGGCTTTGTATTTGGCGAAGCGAGTTGTGAGAGAGTACTGTGACTCATCCCAGAAGAACCGATTCATGGACCCCCATGTCCGCTTGTAAATGTCTGGGGAGACCTTCCCGCCGTCCAGCCGGCCGAAATGATCAAAGATATCGCTGATGGTGTACTTGAGGCTTTTCTGTACTAATTCCAGGTCGGCCTGGATGCGTGACCAATTGCGTGCGATCCGGGCATCCTTGGACAAGTCGTCTAAGCTAGTAAGCGAGGCGCTGATTGAGTACAGGTCAGCAATATAGCTGGTGATCTCCGTAGAGTGTTCGGGAAGAGGGGCACGAAAGGCGCTGAAGCCGGCCGCAGCGTCCTCAGCCTCCTCGGCAGATGTACGCAGGGCCATGAGGCTAGGTCAGGCCATGGAGTTTTGCTCTTCACAGTCAAAGAAGATACGAGTCGGGTCAACCCCTCACGTGTGCGGCTCTTTGCCCTCTCACGGATTTGATTTCTCACCCTTGCGTCCTGACGTGGCCGTGCGGGAAAGGCGGGGCGCACTGTGGTGGGGGGGGGGGGAACACAAGAGCCCTCGGGATCACAAGAGGGTTCAGTCGAAGTCTCTCTGGAGAACCTGGACTCGGAGTAGGCTGTACGCGATGAGGGGGCCTTAGAGGATGTATAGACCGGATCACAGATGCTAGGATTGTTTACTCCCCCTTCCAGGTACAAATCTACTGTGCGTGGCCCCCACCCGCAAATTAAGCATGATTACACTTTCGGGAGTTTTGGATCCCCAGAGGGCCTTCAATGGGCAGCCTCGTCTAAATTCACTTTCTTTGTTCCTTCTAGCCCACTGGAAATGTCTCCGTAGTTTGGGCTAGATCCTACTCGTCGGCCAGAAACTTCTAAGCATCTTACAGGTGGAACTAGACCACAATGCAACCAGCAGTAACTTTTCATATGGTACAGCCAGCACCGTTCACTAATGCAGAATTCGAAACTACTGCTGGCAGATGGATGTGGGTGCACCAAAACCGCCCTGGGACCAAATGGTTGTAATCCTGTACTTTGGAGGAGATCCCGTTGCGATGGTAGAAGTAGTTGCTTCGCAACTCCTTGATGCCTTGGTATCAGTTGCTTCACTAGTATCTTCATATCGGCAATGCATTACATGCCAGTCATGGCCTGGTACGAATCCCAGCAACCCGGTTGTATGGACTAGTTCGTAATGAGGCCCCCGTTGAACCCTCTGCGGAAATAATCCTTTCCGGGGCGAACGACGATTCCCAGGAAATTGAATCCGCTGAGGATTCCCGTGGTCGATCGCTGACCCACATCAGCCCAAGGGATCCTTGGTTGGGAAGTCCCGCTGCGAACTTCGGGGGTATGCGAAGAGTCCCTGGTATTCTCCTAGAAGTGGCCAATGCAACCACCTTCACTGCATGCCCCCAAGCTAGTCCTACTAGTGGGAGAGTTCATGCGGCACTTGCAGCTGAGGTGTCATGGGGCATCTCCAGAGCGATGTTTTACCCTGAGACAGGGGTGGTGAGCAACCGACCCCTGGTTGGGGGCCATACTGTCATTGATTGAAAGCCTGTAATTCGTCAAGCCTGGCGATCGACAGATTCACTAAAAGATCCGTCAAGATCCGTTACGGGCAGTCAAAAACAGTCAAAGCCAAGGACGATCGGGGCATAAACAGATTCCGACTGCCCGGATTCCTCTAAAATCCTGCTGCTGTCTCACCAGACGCTAGAGGCCCACTCTGGACATGTCTAATTCTTTGCCATTCGGGCGTTCATAGATTGGTGGGGAGCTGATTACTGACGAGGTCCTGGAACAGACCGTTAAACTCAAGTCGTCCAACGCCACCAGGCATATCTCCTATTGGCTACCTAGGTGAACGTTAAGGTCCACCCCATTGTTCCGGCATCGTTACACGTGGAAAGAACCACGCGGGCCGGTTTTGCATCTCAGATGCTGCCCTGATTCTCCGGCGGGGCAGGTCTGCGGTCGACGCTGATTACCCCGACGTAGTATTCGCCTAAAGCAGTAAGAGAACTACTAACTTTAGACCTCGAGGGCCAAGGACAAATAGGGGTGGAGGGGGAAAGTATGTTTTGCGGATACGAGAACGACTGCCAGGTTAGCGTGCAAGTAGTGCGCCTGGGCGTGAACCGTGACGATGTTGATTTCGCACCCAATTGGCCAATCAAAATCCATAGATCTTTTTCTTCATACCTTGGTGATCAAGTGGAACGAGTCTAGTGGCGGGACTGCATAAATTAAAGTATGGATTGCTAAATAGGGCATGCCGAGGTCCGTGCCGGAGACGCCCGGTTTATGCCAACCTGATCTGCGACTAGATGCTTTTCGTAAAATTCCCGAGGGTGATTCCTCCCTACTGATCATTCCTGGCCCCTTAACACGGCAAACATCGGACCATTGCATCTCAGGTATGCTCCGAGTCGAGAACTAGATCTTGATCCTTGGTATAGGCTTTCCAGATTAGATGGTGAATATGCAGGGGACGTAAAGTATCGTCCGGTCAAGCGATTGGCATGGGCGTGCTCTAGATTCCCCCTAAACCAAATTAAGGTCGGCATGCGAGCATAAAGTCAATTTCCCGCTGACTTTGACCAATCAATCCCCTGCTGGGGCCTTGATCCACGGACCCGCTTGTGTTACTTACCCATGGTGGATCGCGAGTGTATATGACCCCGTCCACCGGGAATGCCCCCATCGCTAAAAGCTCTGGGCAACGTTTGGGTAGTTCTTCGGACCCTCAGCTTGCGAGTGCCCAGCTCCGCCCCCCTTCTATGCCTCCATTGTATAGGACGTCATCAAACGTGACGCCCCGCCACCACGTGTTTAACCCGTCCATGGCGATCTTAAGAACCCCTTGACTAGAGTTTTCGGTCCCCTCCTTCAACGCTCTACAAGGCTGGCAAGTAGCATCTGTGCGTTCTTGTTTGGGTCTCGGTGTGAGCAAATATCTGACGAGGCCCTCCCCAGACCCAATGGTATGGGAAGTATAAGCCTTTGCCCCGGATCCTTCAGACAAGGTCAAAAAGAAAAAAGGTGGATCGCGGCTTATTGCTCACGCAACGTTCGACATATGGTTTTGGCTGTAGGGTTTGAATCCTGCGATACAAGCTGAGCTTTGAACCTCGTTGCTAAAAGCCAGCACGGACTATTGAAAGGCTTGAACGCCTGATACGCTCTTGTGCAGTCACTGTCACCCACATATCCTGAACCATGTCGGTTTCCAGAGAGGAGGGTTCAAAAAGCCGGTCCGAGACACCTCAACGCTGGCAATTCATTGATAGTTCGAAGAACAGTCGAAGCAATCTGACCCAAGTCAAGCGCCATGTAATGCAAGAGTACATGCGTCAGAAGAAAGGAGGCCCGCACCAGAGCGAAGATGAGAGCGAGACCACCCCGCGGCGGAAACGCGGGAGACCTAGGAAAACGGACTCGAAACCTCGTGAACCGACAAGACAGCCCGCGACATCGGGAAGCAGCTCAAGCCCGCTGAAACTGGCTCCCAACCCGGACTCTTCTGGGCCGAGTGAGGAAGATGCGCTGGCCGATCTTGATCAAGTCGTTCACGCGATGGGCCCCTTAGTGCCTGCCCAGCCCACTAAACTTGACACATATGAACGAACCCTCCCCTTTAGACCTCCTGTTCAGCATTCTGGATCTGTGCCGGAAGAGTCCCGAGTCCAATTCAGCTTTGTCGACATCACACCGGCCTCACTGGATACGCCATATAATATGAGCGTGGACCCCGCTTCCTCCAGCGTCGACCTGCAGTTGTCGCCACGGACTATAATGAGCGCAGCCAGAAGAGATCCATTCAATGCGCTTCCCCTGGAACTGAACGAAGAAGGACATCGGCTATTTGACTTCTACGTGAATGATATGCCGGCTTGTTCCTATGGAGGCCACTATCGGTCGAAAAAGGCACACAATTGGTACACAATGGTCTTTGTCCCCGAGGCGATGAAAGGAGGTGTCGCATTTCAGAATACTATTCTGGTACATGCTGCCAATACCTGGGCCTGGCTCCGCAACGAGGTCGAGACAACACGAACTCTCCTATACCGAGACCGGGCCCTCACAATGCTCCGCGAGCATCTTCAGAACGATCCATATGATAATTCGGACGTCTCTATCATCTCATGTCTGAGTGCTGCCGCACTCGAAGACTTTGATCCCCGGCCAGGCCACAAAGAAATCAGCTGGATGCACATGCGAGCAGCCCGCAACATGATCAGGTCGCGCGGAGGATCCTCTGCGTTTGCGAATACTCGTCTTGGCATGCTGATAAACTGGCAAGACTATATCCTATCCGGCTACGAGACACACGGGGCCAGCTTCTTCTTCGATCCATCCGATCCCATTGTCACTCCCAAAAACGCACCTTCTCACCCCCGTCTTCACACCCTTTCCACAACATGCCATCCCCACCCAGCTCTGTCGACTCTCCACCGTCCGACGCCGCCTCTTTCCCACTTCCCGAAGCGGGTCCGCCTGCACCCATTCCATCAACTCAAGGGACTCCTATCGATGAAATTCGTTTGCAATGCGAAGAATTTCTCCATTTCCTCCGTCGATGCGAGCATCTGGCTCTCTACCAACGAGACCACCCAGAAACATGCGTTCCAGCCCGCAGCACCACCGTGCACGAAACATCCATCCTATACCGAGTGATAGCGGCGCCTCCAATTGCTCGATCCACCAAATCAGGCGACCGCAAGCAAATGATCGCTCGACTGGCAGCTCTGATAATGCTCAACGCTGGTCTCTGGGACTATCGCTACACCCCAACTCTAGCAGGAAGCTTCCTGACGACACTCGAGCAGGCCATGATCGACAGCGAAGTGAGCATGAGTGGCTCGGTCGAGGCGATCCTCCAGATCCTTCTAGAATGCAACGATGGCTTGGGTCCCGAACTATTCGACCACAGCGCCCTCGAGCCATTGCCTGATTATTCGCAATACGCCCCCAATGATGCATCGCCGTATTCCCGGCCGTGGTTTGTCGGTCGCATGCTCAAGATTGCGAAGCGGCTGAGTGCTGAATCCTGGTACCGCGTGAACAGTATGCTGTTCGCTTGTCTTACTCTCCAGGCGTGTGAGCTTTCGTTCTGTCTTTGGGAGCCCGATCTTCGTCGTGAGATACTCGATGCGCCATTGACGAACTATGTGATGCCGTCGCTTCTTTGATCCGATGTGATTCGACCGTGAATGAGATTCGCCCCTTCTGTTGGTCACGGAGCCCTGCACTTGATTGAAAGTACTCGTGTGGAATGAAGGCGGCTGTTGGTAATATTTTAATACTGGCTGTGTGAGATCGGATTCGTCTGTACATTGCTATGTCATTTATGATTTATGATTGAAGAGTCCGATAGTGAGTCTACCATCGCAAACTGCATATAATCTCAGTATGTCTCAATATTTGAAAAAACATCTGTAAGGAACCATATTACGTACGATAATTCCTAGCCATTCAAAGAGATGGAGGGTATAAACTTCAGTTATCTTTCACTCATCAATTGAAATATCATACATGACCGCTAAATCGTAGGTTCATACATCTTCAACCTTCTTATCCGAAGACCTCGGCGAACTCGCACTCAAAGAACTCCAACTAATATTGGTCGGATGCATAGACAAAGGATCCATTCCCTTATGTCTAATGTGTGAGCGCGGCCTCGCCGGACTTGGCGCCGCAGCCCGAGTAACCTCCTGCACTACCTCCCTCGGCTTCTCTACAAACACGTCCTCGACCTCTTCCAGCGAGCAGGCAACCGTATCGGGATACCAGAACCAGATGAGGAAGATCGCCGCCCAGTTAAAGCCGACAAAGCAGTAGAAGTACGTCGACCCCATATTCGTCAGCGCGATGGGCGAGCACTGCGCAAAGACCAGGTTCAGACTCCAGTTCGTCGCAGTCGCGAGCGCCGAGCCGCGCGCGCGGATGGCTGTCGGGAAGATCTCGGCTGGGTAGACCCAGGAGATCAGGCCGAGCGCAGTGAAGGAGAAGGAGAAGACGAAGAACATGGCGATGGCAGCGCGAAGGGCATCTGGATTAGCGGTTGAGTCGCTGAAGTCGATGTAGTGGACTAGTGTTGCCTCGACGCACATGGCTGCCCCCATGCCGAAGAGGGAGGGAATGAGCAGCTTGCGGCGGGAGACTTTGTCGATGAAGAGCATAAAAACTGTATTCCAGAAAAGGCTTAGAGCGCCCCAGATCCCGATGATCATGAGAGAGCGCGACGTGGAAAACCCGAGGGACTTGTAAAGCCGAGGCCCGTAGTTTTGGATGACGTTTGTACCAGAGCATTGGGTCATTGCCTGCAGACCGCACGCGAGGAGGATGCGGTAGCGCCATTGTTTGGATGTGAGTAGTTGGCGCCAGGAACGAACGACGGCTTCCTGTTCGTAGAGGACGCTTTCTTGGATCTGGGCTATTTCGTGCTCGACGAGTTCGGTGTTTGTAGCACGGGAGTCGAGGTGCAGGCGTGCTAGCACTGCCCTTCCGGCGGCTTCTCTGCCGTTCTCGATGAGCCAACGTGGTGATTCTGGAAGAAGCCAGACTCCACAGGCGAGAATAACGGCAGGGGCTGTTTGCAGGGATAGAGGGAATCTCCACGCAAAATCAGTTTCATAGTGAGAAGCGCCGTAGCCGACCCATTGCTGAACACTGTTAGTGATGAAGAGAACCTTTGGGATAATTGGGCTAGACTGACAGCAACCATAATCCCAAGCCCAATCATCCATTGTTGCATACTTGCCAGCAATCCGCGGATTCTAGGAGGCGCAACCTCGATCTGAGACAAGTCAGCCCTACTACCCCGAGCAAATAGCCAGGGTATCGCCAAATATCATCTTCACATACGCAGTAGACGGGGATAGTGGCCGACATCAGCCCAATGGCGACCCCAGCGATGAATCGACCGGCAATTAGCATCGCGATGGTGGTCGTGCCTCCCTGAAGCGCAGCACCCAAGGTAGCGAGGAGGGCGCCATTGAAAACCACCATTCGACGTCCCCAGCAGTCGGAGATGTAGGGCGCAACTAAAGACCCCACGATGGCACCACCTAATGATGAAGTTTAGTCGAGGCCGTGCAATTGGAAGGGGCAATTGTTGCGAGGTACCTGTGTAAGCGGAGATGATGCCCCCACTCGCAGCGTCGGAGAGTCCAGGCGACCCGAATTTATGAAGGAAAGCATCTTGTTCAATGCTTGATGAGATGATCCCCGAGTCGTAGCCAAAAAGAAATGACCCGAGGGCCACAAACACACAGCACAGAGTGACGAGCACGAACGCCATTGTGTTATTGCAGCGCAGCTGCCATTGCCGGCTAGGAATCAGAGCTCCAAGTTTGGGCGACCAGAGGATCGAGAGCTGCGCAGCGACACAGACCCATATAAGGAACAGCCCCTGTAGAAGTAGTCGCGGTGGAGAAGAATGTGGCGATCTGGAGAAGTTGGACCAAAGGGGGGAATACGGCCGCGAATCCAGAAAACTTTCTGGAGCGTTTTACCCACCAAAAATACCAGGGGTGGGGGAAGTGAGGGATCTGCACCTAACGGTTGACAAGAGCAGCACTAGTCTAGACTATTCATCCGATTTTACTGAAACGCAGGTCGATGCGAAGGAATTGCCATGCCCCCACGCCTGAGCTTAAAAAGATCGGAAGCCAAATTCCTTGGGCCACGCCTTGGGGGCGAAAACCGCGCTGCCACACGGGGGAGACCAGCGAGAGCAGCAGGCAGCTTCCCAGATGCTTGGATTGCCTTGGTACCTTGGTGTTCGTGGTTTGCCCTTTGCAGTTCGTAGTTGGCAGTGTTCAGCCCGCGTGGTCTACATTCTCTGTCGCGTCCCAGGGCGTCCCCAGGGTGTCCGTCATGCCGCCCTGTGCATGGTTGATCCCTTTATAAAGTCTACCACTGCCTGCTACAGACGCGAGCACCATAGCTAGTGCAAGGGCGAAAAGGAAAGATACTCGGATGGAAACCGGATTAGTCGCACCTCCATGCGTCGTTTAATGTAACGGGCTATGCACAAGGCAATTGAGTCTGAGGTGTCGCAAAGCATAAATTAGTCGGAATTTGGTAGCGATCGTCCTTTCTCAGGTCCGCTCAGTACGGAGTGGATAAGAGATAATTCAAGCAATAATGGATGTGACCAGTAGAATCATCACTGCGGGGAAGGTTTATGCGATGCTAAGCGGCAGACGAGAGTCACCTGGTCGTGATAGTACATTCAAGTTGAGGGATTGGGGATTTTCCCAGATTCAAGCCATGGACTTGAGACTGGGGACTTACTTCTTAAGGCTCCCCGAGTCCAGATTCAGGACCGCGTCCAATTGGAGCCCATGATGCCCCACCGGCGACTTGAAGGGCCCGTCTCGCAAAAGGATCAACAGAGCTAGCAACGGGAAGCAGAGATGCGGGAGTTGCGGGCGATGCGGGTAAATTATGAAGCGCATAATCGCGCATACAATAGACTCATATAGAAACACGAAAATCCCGCGTACCATGACTCATGAGTCCTGGCTCTCAGCGGCCCAATGCCCAGGGGGGATGCCGAAGTTGGCGTCTTCCAAGAACCACGAAGATCCAGAGGCCCGAAGATCCAGAAACCCCAGAGTGTACGTGGTCCCCAGGCCGTAAAGGGCCGACGCCTGGAAGACCGAAGCTGAGCGGAACGATTACGCAGTAGAAAACCTGGAAACCGGGAAAATCTACGTAGGAAACTCAATCGGCAATTCTCCTTAAATCCCCGAGCCCTCGGAGTTAGAAAACCGAAGCCACTCTTCCAACGGGCTCAAAGCTGGTCCAGGTTCAAACATTCGAGGTGGGTACAGCGCCCCCCGCTGTACATCGAGCCCAGGCTATATTGACCATCATTTTTGGTTCCCTTTGGCGGAGGCATCTGTTTAGGCTAGTCGGAACTTCGCCGTATGCCCTATTACAGAAGCTGCTCCCCTCTCAACCAATCCCAGAGCGATCCATTGATCAGCCTAGGTGGGATGAGCCATAAAATGTCTCATGGGTACGTGACAGAGTCTTCTTGATAGGGGAAGCGAATCGAGAAAGCGCTCCCCGTGCGGCCCCTAATTGCCTCGGACATCCGATCCATGGGGGTCCGATGGGGCGCTCCGTCACGAGGTGCAGAAAGTAACCATAGCTGAGTGAACTCGGCTGTGGAGCGTATTATTCATCCTCTCGAAGCGAGCCCTGAGAGCCCTGGAGTCCTGGAGTAGATACGTTGTACGGAGTATAGCGAGGGTTTTCGAGGACCTCAAAACTTATCACTATCTAGATGACCCTCAGAAAACGGGGCCCCCCCCCTCCCCTCCCGATAGAGACGTAGTTGCGGTCAAGCTTTCGGAAATCAGGAATCCTTATGCGAACCCCCGAATTGGAGGGACCCAAAGTCGTAATTGGCGTAGTAATCAGCTAGCCGACCCCCCCCCAGGGCGGGAGGAAGTCTCTTCTCCTTAATCGTTCTGGAGTGATTTTTTGGGTGCTTTTTTTTCTCCGCGGCCCACTTTCGCCCACCGCTTTCACGCCTTTGCATCATCGGCGTGATCCGCTTCTTCAACTCTTGCGATTTTCCCCTGTTCTTTCCCCCAAGAATTCGAACTTGGGTTACATGAATTGTCCTTTCGCTCACATCTCCGCTCCACCATGGCCGCGAATTCAGGCCTTCATTCTGGAGAGAATGACGACGACCCGGCCTTGAATGACTCTTACCTCGACGACGATCCTAACCATGATGGCTCTCTTGCAGATGGGAAACACAACCAGTCAATACCCTTGCAAAAGAGGCGGCGAGTAGGCCGCGCCTGTGACGAGTGCCGCAGGAAAAAGATCAAATGCGACGGGAAACAGCCGTGTACGCACTGTACAGTTTATAGCTATGGTGCGCCCAATCCATGCCCCCAGACCAAGCAATGTCCCAAATAAAAGAAAAAAGGAATACTAGAAAGTCTGCTTGAGTCTGGCGAGTAGATACCCCTTCTTGGCTAACTTCCTTCAAGAATGCACGTATGACCAGCCCTCTAATCGCCGCCGTAATCCCGCCCCGCAGCACCTGGAGGCCCTGGAGGCCCGACTGCATAAGGCAGAAGCCATCTTACGAGTCGTATGTCCGGATGTCAACCTGAACGACCCAAAGCTGAGACATCAATGCCGTTATTCAGCGCCTGGCGTCTGCGCAACAGGGGCAAGCAAAACAGGCGCTTAGTGAACCAACTGCCGGAGCTCCAGCTGCAAAGTCCTCGGATTCGGCTTCGGGACAGGGAGATGCAGCGCAAGAAGGAGGTGAAGAGGGGCTGTTGGAGACGATGGTGGATCAATCGGGCTGGCTAGACCGCGACGACCAAGGGCATTGGGATTATCATGGGCATTCGTCAGGCATCATCTTTGCGCGGCGCCTCCGCAGACGGTTGGGGGACCAGAGCGAATTCCCCCACTACCCGTCTCGCTCCATGCTCGAAAGCCCTAAATCAATGTCCGAGTCCCCACAGGACGGATCGTCCCTCCCCCCGACACATGATCTGCCTCCTGTCACGGTGGCCCGCAGGCTGTGTCACAATGCGCTAGACGATGCCTGCACCTTGATGCGCTTCGTGCATGAGCCATCGTTCTACGCTTCTCTTGAGCGCATATACGACCGGCCGCATGATCAATATACCAACGAAGAGAACTCATTCTTGCCTCTTCTCTACATAGTGATGGCTGTCGGCTGCTTATTCTCCGACGATGGAATTGGTACTCTGGATGTAGATGGTTATGAAGGCGCGATCGGCCAAGGGTAAGCTATGAGAAGGCAACCTTCATCGGCGGAGATATCTTATTAATGTTCCAAATGTCAGGTTCCAATTTTTCAAGGCTGGACGACAACTCTTGGAGATCACCGACTGTCGAGATCTCACCTCTCTGCAAGCTATCTGTTTCATGGTGCTTTTCCTCCAGTCCTCTGCGAAGCTAAGCACTTGCTATTCGTATGTGGGAATTGCGCTTCGCTCTGCCCTGCGGCTAGGCCTTCATCGAACCGTCAACACAGACTTCAACCCGATCGAGAAACAATTGCGCAGTCGAATCTTTTGGGTGATCCGCAAAATGGATGTTTACGTGAGCACACTTCTGGGTTTCCCTGTGATGCTGAGCGACGACGACATCGACCAAGAATATCCCCTCCCAGTTGATGGCGAATACATCACTGCAAATGGCATCATTCCGATGCCAGAGTATTACACTCCACTGATGGCCGCACCCAATGCTCACACTCATCTGGGAAAGATCATCATGAAGGTTGTCAAATACATTTACCCACAAAGAATGCGCGCTATCGTTCGAAACACGATCAGCGGTACATGGTCAGCCACTCGAAGATCCGCGAGATTGAGCGTGATCTCCAGAAGTGGATGGAAGACCTGCCTCCAGCGTTGCGTCCCGGGACCGAAGTCTCACCACAGCTAGAAAGGTAAAGCACCCCATCGGAGACATGAGTGACAATCAGATGACTGATATTCCTTAGAGCGCGGCAATTATTGCGTATAAGTTATGCTCACGTACAAATGATGATGTACCGTCCGTTCTTGCACTATGTATCCGGCGGATCGCAAGCCAGCGGTATGGATAAACGCTCTTATGCCTGTGCCGCGGCCTGTGTTAGTGTCTCGAGAAATATCGTCCATATCACGGCTGGCATGCACAAACGAGGACTCCTCAACGGATCTTTCTGGTTTGTCATGTACACAACTTATTTTGCCATCCTATCCTTGATCTTCTTCGTGGTGGAGAATCCGGATTCTCCTACTGCCAAAGATGGCGTGCTGAAAGACGCCATGGAGGGCAAGGCGACCCTGGCCGGGCTTGCCAAAAGGAGTATGGCCGCAGACCGCTGTTCGCAAAGCTTGAATGTAACGTTTGCCACCTGCTTGAGCAAGAACTTGTACTAATATACCATAGTGTTTGTTCAAATCCCTGCCAGAGATTTTGAAAACACGACAGAGCTCAAAAGCGCCGGTCAACCTGAAGCGTCCGGCTCCTTCGGCTGCTGCCGAACCAGATCTGAAAATTGAACAAGGCGTGCCTCGCGCAAAGACATTCCCTACCAAGAGAATGCAGCAGACCTACCCGGGATCGTCGAACCGCCGACAAAAGAGTATGGATACTACGCCGCCTGTCAACAACCGACCTGTCGACAACGGAACGCCATCGGCCTGGGTGAGCACCACTCCGGAGTTACAGACAGAGGGAATGGCTACCCCCGAGACAATCACTTCCAATTCTATGCATCCATCGATTGGTCCACAAGAAACGTCAAGTCTAGCTTGGTCCCAGCAGTTTAATAACCCAAACAACCTTCCGGACCTCATGCAATTCATGTTTCCATCTGACGACCCATTTGCCTATCCTACCCAGCCCATGTCCAAATTGGAAGATGACCATTTCCGTTACGACAATCATCCCTCCCGCTTCCAAGTTGACAGCTCACAACAAGGAATGGATTCCAATTCGTCCAGTGATCCCTCTGTGCACAACACCACAACTCCTGGGTTAGATTCTTTCCCGACCTTTGGAAACTTCGGGTCCTCGTCTGGAGTCAAGTCCTCCGTCCCAAGCCGGCTTCACACGTCACAGCCGATGGGATCACCTCTCCTCGGCTCTCCCATTTCACACAGTCAGACCACCCCCAGCGAAGGGATCAGCAGCCCCGACCTTGTCTCAATTCCGAACCAGAACTTCGTCTGGCAAGGCTACAACTTCCAGCCGATGAATGTGCCCTCAGATCAGGTCCCACGGCCACCGGAAAATCCCTCATTATCGAACGCCCCTTTAGATCTTAATATGAGCATGGATGAGAATACCTTCGGCGCTAATGCAGATCTTGGCATCTTATTCGATGACCTCTTCGGTAATGAACCGGACTATCGGCCTGGGAACGGGGCACCGAATGAAGACTGGACCCAGTGGATGAACCCGGCAGTGCCAAATCTATGATGAACTTACGAATCGCGTCACAACGAAGAGCATATATATACCTGGATGGCGTTCCGCTGATGGATTCTTAATACGATCTTCAAATGAGACAATTGGTTTGATCAACCCAGGCTTGGTTACTAGGACTGCTCATTTAACTCTCAGAAGTGAACCCAATGTGTGAATTGTAATTAAGAACTAATTGACATTCAATGATTCGGAGCCCTTCTTCGCTGGTATATACTACGTTTGGCTGTAGAATAGGAACCTACCAACCTCCCCACGAGGGGGTAAGTCGGATATGGGAAGTGCGACGCTCTTTCCTTTCCCTCTCTTCCCTTTTCGTCGGCTGAGGCTCCCCATGTCTCTGCCATGTATCCATAACCAAAAGGCTCTCGTTTCAGGACCAAACGGCATATTCCGGGCGGAGATTTCCTTATATTCTGCGTTGAGTGCGCCATTCTTGGTACCGACTTACCATGGTCGGTTTAGACTGAATCAGAATAGCAGACCCACATGGATCCTCGCATGCCCCAGCTGCTCCGAGATTCTCGTCCCTTCAACATGGCTCTTCTTTCCCAAGCGGACCTTCTTGTCGTCCCAGCCCCTCCCAAATCCGCATCAATTGAACCCTTCAGTCTGACTCAAGGCTCAGATAGAGCCTTCTACGAGCTCTGAAGCCTCCTATGAAGCTGCAACCACCCTCGTCCGACTTGTAAATTGCTAGGACCAGACCGCCATCTACGAAAAGTGAATATATAAAGCCTACAACTGCGTCTGCCATGGCATCTCTCCCCAAGCCTGCGACCTTGGTTACGTGGGCTCTCTACTTCATTCCAGTATACCTCTTCATCCTCGACCCGCTCCTCCGCAGCGTCTTCCCTGCCAACCCCGAGTCTGAAATAAACATCTTCGACGTCCCAGCCTCAGATCCCTCCACTCCTCTCCCCTCCCACCTCACAGATGACAGCTTCATCAGCCCCGAAGATGGCGTGCCCTACACCTGCCCTGACACGCCCGCAAACTACAAAGTGCACCTCCTCTCCCGCACCCCTCTCATCCTGTACCTAGAGAACTTCATCAGCGACTCGGAAGCGGACCACCTCGTCGACATAAGCCTGAACAAGTACACGCCGTCCATCGTCTGGGACGGCGTTTCCGAGCGCGTGGACCCAGACCGCCGCCTCTCCGACCGCGCCCTCCTGGATCGCGACGATACGGTGCGCTGCCTGGAGGACCGCGCGCGGGCATTCCAGGGCTGGCGTCCGCACCTGTATATCGAGCGGATGTGGGCGCAGCGGTACAACACCTCCGGCCACTACCGGCATCACTATGACTGGACGGGATCATTGTCACGAGGCGGGGACCGACTGAGCACGTTCATGGTGTATCTGGGGGCGGATTGCCAGGGGGGAGGGACGAATTTCCCCCGGTTGAGGATGCCGCCGGGGAAGCAGTGGTGTCGGTTCCTGGAGTGCGAGGAGGAAGGAGGAGAGGGGGAGGCGCGAAAAAGGAGGGAATTACGTTTAAGCCGATTAAGGGGAACGCGATTTTCTGGGAGAACCTTCGCCCCGATGGCACGGGGTACCCAGAGACTTGGCATGCGGCGTTTCCGGTGACGAAGGGGACGAAGGTGGGACTGAATATTTGGAGTTGGTATCAGCCGCCGGGGATTGGGAGGGGCTAATCTTTTTCATTTGTTGAGTTATTTCCCTCCACTTGGGGAGGTTTGCGGGAGCCTAATGCTTTTTTTGGCCAAGACTGCAGGCTTGATAGGAGTGTTTCGCTCTGCTAGAATGCTTGCGTGACCGGTTCAAGGTGGTGAACTGCCGGTGTCGATCATACTACTATTAGTCGCGAATAAGGAGATAGAGACTGCTAGTTAGAGATTATACCGTTGGGGCTGGCGACAAGATGCCTGATGTGGTAGATTCAGACGACCGTGAGGCCCACAGCGTATAAGGAGGCCGTAACTGGGCGCCCAATATTACTAGTAAGGCCGTCCCGGTCTTCATTTCCGCGTCTCGCGGGCGATTTACAAAATCCTTTGAAGTTAAGCATCATCCCTAAGAGATCGGATTCCTGAAGTCGATCATAGGATTGCCAAGTTCACTGCTATGTTTCGTCCGACTGTTGGGACCGAGGGATGGGACGCCAAGTCAAAATACCAAGAGCCCAAGACCTCAGAGCGTCTTGGGGTCGGAGCGGGATTCAGAGGAAATCCTTGGCTGCCAAGATGTCTCGGCCATGGCTGAGTATTCTTGGCAGGGTGGCCCCCAAATATGGGGGATGATGCCAATTAGAGATCCACCTCACCTGGTATGAGTGAACTGATTTGGAGGTGTCCAATGGTACGAATGGCCCGGAGGCCAAGGGACCAGGCAGAAGCTAAAAGCCAAATCCCGTAAACCCGGACCGTACTACCGGGTTTAGCCGAAAGTAGGCTGGATACCAACAGGAGGATTGCAGGGGGCCGAATCGGATCTTAGTCGATAGTCTGTAGGACGATGTAGTGGTAAGTATTCAATAGTGATAGTAGTGTCTACAGTATTCAGGAGAGAGCATGCCAAAGACAAGAATGCACAGCCCCTCGAGGGCTCGGCGCAACTGGGGAGGCTCGCCCAGACAGGCTCCACCAGTGAGAAGGCGAGGTGGTCGCTGCTTTGGCCTCTCGGGTCTTGGAAGGCCCGCACCACGGCTTGGCTCGCTCTTGTCCCTTTTTCTTGGTTCTTCTCCGCCCGCACTGGCCTGGGCAAAGGCTCGGCTTATTTTTCCTCCACCAGGTTTCCCCCCCCACCTCCTTTTCTCCCATCTTCAACTTCCCACGCATTTTGTTGTTGCCGACTGCACTGCTACACACCTGCATCTGGCTAGTGTGACTTCGGCGTCGCGTATTGCGTATCATATACGAGAGCAACCTGTCTGTCCTTATAAAGACGCGCCCCGGTTCCGCGATCTTGACAAGACTTTCTATTTCTTGGCATCATGAGCGACAATAACCTCCCCTCATCATCAACTCCACAGACAGCTGCTGCTGCCCCTGTCGAGTCTCAGCCATCTGCTGCTCCTACAACTCCCAACGCCTCTGTCACTGCTACTGCTGCGGCTGCCACGGCTGCAATCAACAGCTCCATGAACGGTGGTGATCAGCTCCCCTGCCAGTGGGTCGGCTGCACTGAACGGTCTCCTACGGCTGAGGCCCTCTATGTCAGTGAACTGTAAAGCCACTGCGCATCTGGCTCCTTTTGTGCGCATCTGTGACCCCCCCGCTAACGTGACTGACCAAACAGGAACACGTCTGTGAACGCCACGTTGGCCGGAAGAGCACTAACAATTTAAATTTGACCTGCCAATGGGGCACTTGCACCACCACCACTGTCAAGCGCGACCATATCACCTCCCATATCAGAGTCCATGTGCCGCTGAAGCCTCACAAGTGTGACTTCTGTGGCAAGGCCTTCAAGCGCCCCCAGGATCTCAAGAAACACGTCAAAACCCATGCTGATGATTCGGAGATCCGTTCTCCTGAGCCTGGCCTGAAGCATCACCCGGACATGATGTTTCCTCAAAACCCAAAGGGCTATGCTGCAGCAACCCACTACTTCGAGACTCCGGTCAATGGCATCTCAGGCCAGGCCTACAGCCATGGTGCTCAATACTACTCTCACCACCCAGCACCTCCCCAAGCTGCAAACCCTCACTCATATGGCAATGTGTACTACGCTTTGAGCCAAGGTCCTGATGGAACCTCCTCATATGACCGTAAGCGCGGGTACGATGCCTTGAATGAATTCTTCGGTGACCTGAAGCGCCGCCAATTCGACCCGAGCTCTTACGCTGCTGTTGGCCAGCGCTTGCTCGGCCTCCAGGCTCTCCAGCTCCCAATTCTGAATGGCCCAGTTCCCGAGTATCAGCCAATGGCTGCTCCTGTCCCTGTTGCGGGAGGTGGCGGTGGAGGCTACAGTCCAGGCGGCGCGCCCGCTCCTGCTTACCACCTACCTCCTATGTCCAATGTTCGCTCCAAGAACGACCTGATCAACATCGACCAATTCCTGGAGCAGATGCAGAACACCATTTACGAGAGTGATGAGAATGTAGCTGCCGCCGGCGTTGCTCAGCCCGGTGCTCACTACGTCCACGGCGGCATGAACTACCGTACCAGCAACTCTCCTCCCTCCCAGCTCCCTCCTAGCCATGTCACCGCTACCACCTCTGCTTCCATGATGCCTGCCTCGGCTCACTCTCCCACTCCTGCCTTGACTCCTCCCTCTAGCGTGCAGTCGTACGCGTCCGCCCGCTCCCCAATGTCGATCCAGTCGCACCGTGTTTCGCCCCCCCCACGAAAGCGGTGCGGGTATGTACCCGCGTCTGCCCTCCACCATGGCGGACAGCATGCCTGCGGGATACGCGACTTCTGGGGCTGCTCCACCAACTCTCGGCGCATATGACCACGATGATCGCCGTCGCTACACCGGCGGTACGCTGCAACGCGCCCGCCCTGCCGAGCGTGAGACCCGTGACGCTAGCATGGGTATCTCGGAGGACGGCAGCAAAGATGGCGACCGCACTCCAACCAAGAAGCGCTCTCCTGCCGTTTCTGAGCACTTGATCGACCCGGCCCTCTCCGTCGCAGACCCCGATCAGGAGGCTGCTCAGCGTACTGCCCAGGCAGCCACCGAGGTTGCCGAGCGGGATGTCAATGTGGCCTGGGTGGAGAAGGTTCGCCTACTGGAGAACCTGCGTCGTCTAGTCTCAGAGATGATGGAGGGCGGTAACTTTGGCGAGTCGGAAAACTCGGACCAGAGCAAGAGCCGATCCGTCACTCCTTCGGTCGATGGCATGGAGGGTCTTGAAACTGCCAGCACCCACCATTCACCCGCCAAGGAGGAGTCGGGCAAGACCGAGTCAGAAGAGAACTCGGTCATGTACCCGACTCTCCACGGTCTGGATGATGATGGAGATGCCAAGATCTCGGAGTAGGCGAACAGCTTGCTCTCCCTCAGTCTTATCTAACGCCGTTATGAACGATTCTCGCCTTACTTTTTCTTTTCTTTCCTGCCTTTTTCGTCCACTCGATCTCTGCTTTTCCTTTGTCTACGGCGCTTGTGGGTTTCCTCTCCACCTAGTGGGCCCTTTTCTCATTCAATCATCTATTATCTTCTTATGTGTCTTTTATTCTTATTCTTGAGACCTTGTTCTCTGCATCGGCATCAGAGGGTCTCCATTTGTAGCAATAAAACCGCTCCGCTGTTTATTTACCAACTTTTGATTGTTTGCGTACACATTGAGGAGAAAGTGTAACCAAAGTCCAGTCGATGATTCTATCGAGGTTACGTTGAGATGTTCCTTGATTTCCAGATCGACACTCCCGGAAGTAGAAGATCTTGCTATGCTTGTTCGGGAATTGACACATTCCAAACGGGCGACTAAACTGCTTCCGGGGCACCCAATGACGCAAACGACCTTTCCCGGCCCCATTACCTGGGGCTCTGTCGAGTTTTGGGGAGGGCCGTATACACAGAATCGCCATTCGTTCTATTTCCCATTGACCCTATTCCACTAGGACACAGGTGCTATAGAGGGTTTTCTAGGCTAGGCGAGGCGGTTACAGTTACCAGGTACCTGGGAATCATCTGGGGTGTACGTAGGAACAGCTAAAACAAGGAACCGGGCTCACATGCCATTCCAAACGTCAGATCCGATTGGGATCCATAGCTCAATCGTTCTAGCGTAGGATAATCTGGAAGGGAAGCGATGATGGCCTGCACTCGGAAGCTGCTCTGGGACGCCCTGCTGCTCCAATCCCACGTTAAAGAACCGTGTATTTTCGCAGGGGTATTGGTATTACCGCCCTGCGTTTGCCCCTCTACGCGCATCCACGGGCCGAAGGTACCGTTCCATACGCCGCTGTGACCCCCAACTCCACCACTGTTTACGGCCAAACGGCCCTTCTATTTTATTCTGGACTCTTGCTTCTTTTTCTGTTTCATCTTTCTCTGTCCTGGCGGCTTCTTTTCCCTGTGATCTAGACGAGACGTGCTCTGGACCTTCCTTCGGTGGCTGGGGTGAAACAAGTTTACACGCTCCCCACGCGACAAGGCGGTCACAAACAGACGCCATCGCGTCGATCGTAAAAGGATTATCGATAATCAAACAACCAGCCACCCATCGTGGGATCGTTCTTGAGCCCCTCCCGTCCTCTGGATTCGACTACTTTGATTTCCTAGGTGGTGCTTCCTTTAAAAATTTCCTTTTCTTTTTTTTTTTCCATCTCGGCTTCTTGTTGCGGTGGCAAACTCCGAATCAATCGGGTGGCTCTGACGATTGCCATTCTTTGGTTCTACCTCTGAGCGAGCCTCCGAGACTGGGGCGACCGTCGAAATCCGGCACCGGTTGTTTGTGATCAATTTTCACTTCCAGGCTGTTTTTGCCTCTTCTTGCCTTTGGTCTTCTTCTCTCTGTCCCGTGTTGACCACATTCGCTTTCTCACCCGGTGACATTGCCCACATTCCGATTCCGCAGTCTCCGGTTATATCACCCACTTGCTTTTGTTCCCACTGCCCAACTCTTCCGAAACGAAGAGATATGCCTCTCTCGAATCGCCGCCGTGCGCGGCGCAAGGAACTCCAGCTGCAAGAGACCTCTGACGCTGAGGCGCCAGACTCGTCACCCAGTCGCCCCTCCGCAAAGAAGCGCAAGGTGAGATTTACTTTGTCGCAAAACTTGGGCTTCAAGCCGTGCTCCCCCCGACCGCAGAATAATAACTAATACTGTCGCCGCTGCTAGGTTGAGCGCCGTGCTTCTCCGTCGCGTGCCAATGTTAAACCGCCCCGATCCGACGATGAGGACTCAGTTGGCGAGCACGACCAGTCCACCCACCAAGATGTGCAAGATCTGGTTATCTCCTATTTGAATACGCCTCGTGAAGAGCTGCGCGTGATGCGCGACCACTCCAACACCAAGACCGAAAATGAGTCCAGCATCCAAGCCTATGCCAAGATCGCCGGGCGCGACTGGACCTATTACGTCAAGTCGCTCCAGATCAACATTGGCCGCGAGCCGGACCGCGAACAGAGACCCAATGAGCAGTCAAGCCCGGTGACCGTCGCCGCTCGTTCACTCCCAGATGTTCATGTCGACCTGGGCCCCAGCAAATTTGTTTCGCGCCTGCATGCGGAGATCTTCTATGACGGCAAAGTTGCACCCGCCTGGCACATCCGTGTCAACGGGCGTAATGGCGTGCGCCTCAACAACTCAATTCTTAAGCGTGGCGCTGATGCTGTTCTTCGTTGCGGTGATATCATTGAGGTTGCCAATTGCCAGATGATGTTCGTCACCCCCGACGACGAGCCAAACATCCACCCCAGCTTCATCGAGCGCGCCCAGCGCATTGCCAGTGGCCAAGAGCCGGACCCTTCTTCTTTGGCCTGGGATGCGTCGCAGCATGCCCATCCTCACCACTCACAGGCTACAGAAGACGCGCGCCCATCGTCTTCGGGTGGTCCATCTTTGGCACCAGCACCAAGCTTCTTGAAGCGCGCTGTGACACCGCCGCCGCGCTCGCCCGATACAGCGGGACAACGGACCGCCAAGCAGTCGCCTCTCTACAACCGTGGTATGATGATGGAAAGTACCGAAGAGATCGACTACAGCCAGGACAATTCAAAAGATCTGAAGCCGCCCTACAGCTATGCCACGCTGATTGCGCAGGCGATTTTCTCCAGCGAGGAAGAGAAGCTCACTCTGAACAGCATTTACAACTGGATCATGGATCGATATGCGTTTTACCGACACTCGCAGAGCGGATGGCAGAATTCTATTCGACACAATCTGTCTCTGAACAAGGCTTTTCAGAAGGTCCCCCGTCGAACCGACGAGCCGGGCAAGGGCATGAAGTGGCAGATCGCTGCGGAGTATCGCGAGGAATACCGCAAGAAGCAGATGCGCAAAGGAAATCAATCATCTGCTCCCTCCTCGCCGGCTACGAAGGAGCCTCCGTCTTCAGCTCGCGGCACTCATATCGCGTCCATTGACACATCGTTCCCGGCCACGTCGAAGAAATCTCCGCCTGTCTCATCTCCGGGCTTTAGCTCATTCCCCGTTGCCCCAGTGGAGGCTTTTACCCCGGAGCGTGGCTCTCGGGCTGGCCGTGGGGTTGGCTCCGACCACCCTCTGCGCCACATGAATCCCCTGACGTACGAGGAGCCATCGCCTTTGCCGGCTCGCGCGCGTAACGCCAATCCCACCCGAACGCAGACCAACGCGAGCAGTTCCCGGGATGCCTACGGGTTGTCTGACGCCGCTGCTGGCTCTCCACCTGTGCTTTCGTCCTCGTATTACGACGATGGGCCTTCTTCCATGATTACGCCCGCGCCACAGCGTCACCAGCCTCGTCTTCCGCCTCCTAGCACTGCCCAGATCCCGTCCAAGTTTATGCCTATGAGCTCCCCGGCCCAGTTCTGGAAATTTGCGGATATCGGTAGCACTCCAGCACGCCCCGTCCCCGACATGAGCCCACTCAAGGGTGAGCCAGATGACCGGGTCATTGCCGAGTTCCCTAGCAGCAGCCCACCTCCGCCCAATCTTGTGAGCCCCAGCAAGCCGGGAACTTCAAACGGCCTGGGGTCTAGCCGCCAGCTGCCACCGCTCCAACCCGACAGTGGAGATACGGGCGCCAATAGACCCCGAAAGGAAGAGGAAGATGATGAAGAGGATGGCAACGGTGGCTTTGACCTTGCTCGGTATGTTCTCCCTGAGGATTTGACGCCCCCGCATGCCAATGCTAACTTACAAATATAGTGGTTTCCAACCTATTGGCTCGTACCATCGCCAGTTGAACAACGCTGCGCGGGCCACGGCCACCTAAGCCAATCCGAATTTTCCAACGTTTATGATGTACAACACGCTGAGATAGATTGTATTTTGGGTCTTTTGCTCTTATCCGGTTTGCTCGGCATGAATAGGTGTTGGCAGGTTATTCTCATATTGATATGTTTCGGGAGCAATGATGGTGTTTCTGGGAGTTTTAGTTGCTGGTTTATTACTCTTTTCAGGTGGCTGGTATCTGCTCTGTGTTTGCAATTTTGCTGGTCTTTTTTGCCTTTTCCTTTTCCTTTTTCTTTTTCCTTTTTCTTTTTCCTTTTTTTTTTTTGGGCCCGGGTATGCCATTCGAACTCAAGGGCGCTACGCACTAAATGCAACGCCCTATGTATGATACATATGCCCTACAATGTGAAAATATCGTATCGCAATCTTTTTCTCTTATAAATCGTAAAGCCACATATTGTCTCAATAGCCAGTAGAGCTTGAACAGCCTCAACATTGGACCCCTTTCATTTCATAGACGTCCCTCCAATTAATCCATCGGAGGCCAGAACCGCTCCTCCAGCCAAACAACCTGCCTCCACCACTCCAGACATCTCGCCCTCATCAGCTCACTCTCCTCAGCCCCCTTAATCTGCCCCGCAAGTGCATCCAGCACATCTCCAATCTGATTCACAAATCCTTCAAACTCATCACTCGACCAATTGGGAATAAACTTCTCTCTCAAAGCGCCCCCATCAGCATCCACCTTCCCATCTTCCACGCCCCTCGCCTCCAGAAAAGTAGCCGCATACCTCCAAGCCCGAAGATAACAAACTTCAGTAGCCCAAAGCACCGCCAACCCCTCAATCAGCGAGACCCCCGCGCTCCCCGCAGACATAAACATATCAATATACCCCCTCGTAATCCTGGTCGCCGCAAAAAACACTCTACCCCCCGCCTCAGCCGGCATCGCCGTCCCCGGCCGTCCCCCCACAGCCCGAGCCGGGTGACAATCCGCCACGGGCGCCCCTCTCCCCGTCGACGACGGGGATGACACACTTCCTCACTCCTGGCCTGCACCTGGCACTCCCCCTGCGCTCCACACAGCCGATGCCGCTGGGCCCCTTCACCCTGCACGGGCTCCACCGTTGAAGGAGTCGCAGCGGGGTCCTCAACTGCGCCTGAGCCTGTACCACCCCCGGTCCCGGGACACGACGCCGACCCCGTTGTCGAGATCCCGGCGGATGCATTGATCGCCGTGCTGCCGGTCGACCCGCCGCCGTCTTCGGCGCTGATGGCCGTGAGATCGAGGCCGTAGGCTGCGGCAGTGGACTCGAAGAAGAGCAGCTCGGTGCGGATGTTCACGAGCGCGTCGATGAGCACGTTGGCGGCTTGTCGGGAGAGCGCGCTGGTGGCGGTCGAGGTGGAGTCCAGGCGGATTTTGGTGAGGAGGTGCCCGATGAAGCGGATGTAGGACTGGGCGTAGAGGCGGTCTTGCGAGAGCCATTGGGAGAGCGTTTGTTTGGGGAGGGTGCCGCGGCCGGCGGAGGCGAGGAAGGGGTGGGTTGTTGCGCGTTGGAGGGCGTCTGGGGTGGCGGATAGGAGCCAGGCTGTTAAAGGGCCTTGGCTGGTCATTTTGGAGGGAGGTTGAGGGGTCAATTGGAGGAGTTGCGACTCCAAGGTGCTACAGTTTTCGGTGGTGGTTCTCGATGGTGGGGGAGGGGCATAGAGAATGTGGCGATTGCGGAGCCTCAATCCGAACCTTATTTGGAGCTTTGGGAAGAGCGAACAGTAGGGTGGAAGGTTTTTGTCCGTCTTGGAATAAGAAACGAAAGTGTTTATTAGAGACGAGAAGCAGAAGCGAATAGCCAATTTAAAGTAGGGGAAGCAAATGGAGGGTTGAGTTTTCAGTTGTGATTAGAGGCGTGGGGAGGAATAGGAGAAATTTTGCGCGGACTAGTGATATTGACAGAACATTGGAGATCAGCTACTTCCATATTTGCTAGAAAAGGACGAACATGAAGCTCAGACAAATGATGGGTAGCATGCTTGAGATTTGGCGGGGGAGCGAGTTATCAAACTGAGCCAGGAACTATCACTTAGGGGCTTACGATTCTAGTACTGGCCTATTGTATCCTTCTAAGACCCTTGGAATTGTTCAATACAATACCGATGAGAACGAAAGATATCCTCGGGCCTAATTGAAAGCATCCAACCCAAGACCGGACGAGGCAGTGGGCTCATACGTCTAGCTTGAGCTATCATTAAGCTTCAAGCTCATGTGCTATTAGCTCACCCAGCCCCAATGCAAAACTGATAGGCTGCTTGATATTTTTGAAGGCCAATTAGACTTCGTTTTTGGTTATTTGGTGTTGCTACGAGTCAGATTAAATATGTTGAACAAGGAGGATCAAAGACTAGTCAGATGACTTAGGCGCGGCCTATTAAGATGCCAAACGTTGAAGAATCCGGAGTCCCCCATGGTATATTGCTCTTCAAGTCTTCCGCATTCCCCAGAAAACCAGCTTCATGGAGTACAACCCCATTATCTATGCATGTACACAGTAGCTTCAAGGTTAGATTGGCCTCGCGGTTACCCAGTAAGGCGCCAAGACTAGAGGGGGGTCCACTTCGTGAAGCTCACGTGTTTATGTAAGCAAACCAGGCCTGGACCTTGGGGGAGACATTGTTTGGCGTTGCAGCCGCTCACCTAGGCCTGGATTGCCATACTTTGTGCGTCGTTCTCCAGCTGGACTGTTGACCTGGAGTCTTTGATTCTATCTTCGATACTGGCTGTCACCGCCACCCTGGGTATTGCCTCGACGCGCCTCTTGATCCGTCCTCTGACCCGTCAGGATGGCCATGACTGACGAGTCGGACCACAGCGGCGGGGTCATTCTGGATGGTCCCTTTGATCCAGATGCGCAAGCCACTGTGACTGACTACATCGACTACCTCCCTGCCGATCTCATTCGATCCCTCACTCTTATCCGCGGCCTGGACGAGCGGTACCTGGACTCCGCGCAAGACATCCACGCCCTGACCCAGACCTATGGTCAGCTCCCTGGCCTTCCCTCTGACGAACGGCCAAGCGCAATCTCCCTTCGCAAGGATATCTCCTTACACCTCGATCGCGCGATCAATGCCCGCGAGTCGGCCTACGCAGAAGCTTGTCGTCTTTACGATGTCGTGGATCGCCACTTCGACCGGTTGAGCTGTATCCGAAAGAAACTAGAGGAGCTGCCGCGACCTCCTTCCGTCGAGCCATCCCCACCGCCGGAGCCGACCCCCAAACGTGCGCGCTCTCATAAGAAAGGCGCATCTACAACGCGTATTACTCTCCGGCTGGACAATCACAAGAAGGGTGGATCACAGAAGTCGCGCTCGCGGCGTTCAAACATTGAGCACTTGGCTGGCTTCAACCCAGACTCGCCTATCGCCAGTACAGAGCATTCTGATGTAGACGGTGACCTAGATTTGATTCCTCCAAGCCCGCTCGGCCTCCGAAGAAGGAGAAGCAGCGGCGGCAGAGCTCCGGGGCAGGCGTCTCTACCAGCAATGCCCTTGCGCTTCTGAAGCCTCCGCCTCCAGATGCCAAGATCGGCAGTGCAGATCTGCCATGGATGCGCTTGACTGAATATGAAATGACAAAGCTGCGAAAGAAGATGAAGAAGAATGCTGTGTGGCAGCCAAGCGAGGTAATGATTCAACGTGAACTAGCATTGTCTGGCCGTGGATGGGAGGCTTATAGAGCAGCGAAGATCGCGGCGAAAGAGGCAGGAGAAGAGTTCATCGATTGCGATGATATTGAGAACAGTCGTTTGGCCGAGAAAACTAACGACTTGGAGACCAAGTTAAGCAACCGCGGGATGAAGCTCAATGAAGCGAAGAAGCTAAAGCGGGAGGCTCAAGCCCGAGAGGCAGCCGCAAATGGAGAGTCTCTACCCATTCTGCCCTCCAAGACTCCCGTTTCTGCACAAGCTACGCCCGTTAGTCGATCCTCGCGCAAGAGAAAGCGTGACGAAACAGCGGCCGACGAAGCTATGGAAGATGCAGTAGCTCCCGAGCCTGCGGGGGCCCCCGAGCCCACGCCATTGCAATTCAATTCTACCCGCCGGCGATCTATCAGAGGGGCACCCGCCAATGGCGCAGCGGAGGAGACCAAAGACCCAGTCGCTCCCATCGCGACGAAGGCCGCGAATGAAATGAAGATGTCGCCTCCACTGGTATCACCTGCTGAATCGCGACGCTCTGCAAAGTCTGTTGCACAGCCTGCTGGCACTCCCACTCCACCCGTGACTCGACCTTCGTCACGACGCTCAAACGCAGCTCAGTCTATCGAGCTCGGGGGCTTGGCAGGGATTAGTGCCACTGCAGCGGCTGGCGGGAGAGATCTGCGGATCAAAAGTGCTACGCCCGCGCGCAAGACCCCCGTCCGAGAGCCATCTCATGCACCCAGCGTTCCCGGCCCTGCTCGCCGACGCAAGCGCCCTGCTCCGGGGCCCGTCTCGTCTGGTCAAGACGGTGGTGCGGCCGTCAGCTTTGGGCGCCGCAAAGCAAAGCCGGGCAAGAAACGTCTCAGTGTCCCCAATTCACAGGATATTCGCGTTGATGAAGACGGAGTGCTGGAGCAGATCGATGCCAATGAACCACGCTATTGCATATGTGGGGATGTGAGCTTTGGGACCATGATATGCTGCGAGAATCAGGATGTATGGCTTTCAACCCCCCCCCTTGTGCGAAGTTTCAATGCTAATCGATCTTAGTGCGACCGCGAATGGTTCCACCTTGACTGTGTTGGTCTTTCCGAAGTTCCTTCACGCACAGCTAAATGGTATTGTCCGGATTGCCGCGTCAAATTCCACAAGGGCCCGGATGGTATTGTGAAGAGTGGCTCGCGCCGTTGATTATTCTTATGGTTCTTGGTACTCATTTTCGAAGGATGGAAGCGCACGCATGATACCACGGGGTGTTTTCTTTTCTTTTCTCTTTTCCTTTCTTTTTTTTCTTTTTCTCTTTTTGCGTATTCTAGCGGACCCGGCGTTGCGGTTGACGTGGTAGGAACCAAGGGTTTAAGGTTTAACCATGGAATCTATCTGCGGATCTACTCTACTTGCTCCTGTGGACTATGACTAATTTTGATGTCCAATGCCTAGGTACTACCAATTTTGGACAATATGCATACTATTCCCATCAATTTTGATACTTCCGAGTCCTTACTTCAGCTCCCACTTGTCCCCCTCTGACACAATCTCCACTGGTCGTCGCTCATCAAGCGACTTTCGGCCAGCATGCAGAATCGCAGTGGTACCAATGGTATTGCGGAGAGTAGGCAAAGGGCGAGCATCAAGCTGGTCGAGGGTCACCCGGCCCTCATTCACAGCAGTCACAGCGTCAATGAACTTCTCGAAGCTGACATAGCCATATCCAGTCTGGCCACCAAAATTCCCTTCTTCATCAGGGGCATATCGCATATAGAAACTGCGAAGAATGGTCAGCCCTGGCTCCACCCGGCACCGAACTATCAAGGCAAAACAAAACAGGATCTACAAACTTACGGGTTCACCCATACCAGACCCCCTTCATCCGTCGTCACATCATAGCTCCGCTTAGCCTGATTCACCCGGATCTCACCCTTAGCCCCAAGATAATGGAAGTACTGCGCCGAATGCACGCCCGCATTCTGCGGCGCAGTCCAGCTAGCCGTATACACCCCCGTAGCAATCTTCCCCGGATTATCACGCCGGCGCCACTCCACCAAAAGGGTAATAGTGTCTTCAGTCTCCGGGACACAGCCCAACTCCGCAGCAATACCCTGCGACGCCGTCGCCGTGACCCGCACAGGCTTATAATCCGGCACCATGCTCTCGTTAATATCGATGTGGTGCGAGTTCAGGTAGTAGGAGATATCGGACTCCTTGCCGGCCCACGCTTTGAAGGTCTCCAGCTGGCTTTTGGGCTGGCTCATGTAGCTGTAGAAGTAGTTGAAGTCACCGAGGGACTGGGCCTTTGCACGGGCGTCTGAGTACGCGGGGTCGAAGCGTTTGTGGTGCTCGACGAAGACAAAGACGCCGTGTTTGCGCGCAGCTTCAATGAGGGCGAGATGGTCTTCTAGTTTCTGGGTTGCGGGCTTGGTGATCATTACGTGGATGCCCCGCTCAATCGCATAGAGGGCAATGGGATAGTGCGTTGGGTTGGGGTGAAGATTGTGATCGCGGAGCCCTTGGGGAGAGCGTCGATTGCCGTTTTGTAGGCGTCCGGGTCAGTCTGGTCATCCGCTGGGTATGAGGTGAAAGACACATCGAGGCCGTTGTAGACCTGGCTGATGTTGCGGTGTAGGTGGTCGCCTGTACTCAATTGGTTAGGGTTTTTGTCTGGAAATGGCTATTTGTAGATCTACTTACGGATGCCAGGGTATTTCTTGCCGGATACACCAACCATGCTCAGGTCGCCCACCTTGCCACGACGGCGCAAGTCAAACAATGATAGACCGACCACACCGACCTTTTTGTCTGATCCGGAGGCAGCACCGCCAACGAAGCCGGTGGTGTACTCGCCGGTGCCGACCTGGTTGTGATCAGCATGATGCCGTTGAACGTCCCAGAGCCATTGAACCTACCATCAATACACTGGGAGGCGCCATGGCGAAATTGAGAAGGCTATGAGGAGTTGGGAGTAAAATGCGAGGGAGAAAGAGGGAGAAGATTATATTTCTGTTCGGCTGAAGAACCAAGGGCTGGGCATGATTCTTCCGGCGTTTGGAACGTCATTTCAATAGCCGACGCCATATCTTATCGCATATAGCAACCCCTCTTGGTACTGTCTAGGTATTTATCTCCTTTCCTCAGAACTGCCAGGCGATGGCTGGCTTTTAGTGATTGCGGATAGTAAAGACCTTCAATTTAATCAACTCCATTGGATTGCCTCTCCAAGATTCATGAAAAAAAAAAGAACATATGACCCTTTCGCCTCTCCCCTCTTCGCAAGCCCCTCCGCGTTCACCCCACACTGAGTAGCGACGCGTTTATTGGTGGGAATTAATTCTCCACCATACAGAACGATCGGGGGATTCGCCGACGTGGGGGAACTGTGCAGCCGGTTAAAAGAAGAGCATCTACCAATATTTTCTATCACTTCTCGTTTTGTTGAATATTTGAAGAACATTTCATCAAAAATAAAGTGAGTTGCACGTATATTGATCAATGAGGATGAGCAAACCGGCAAAGAACCTTCTAATAGACCCATTAGCGTCATGCCTCTCACGCCGTTACGTCCCGGCGTCTATGCGCCTACCATGACCTTCTTCAACCCCGAAACCGAAGAGCTGGACGTCCCTACCATCCGCCGTCATGCCGTCCGCCTGGCCAAGGCCGGTCTGGTCGGTCTAGTGACCATGGGTTCTAACGGCGAAGCCGTCCACCTCACCCGCGAGGAACGCTCGACGGTGACACGCGAGACCCGGTCTGCGCTGGACGAGGCCGGCTTCCAGAATGTGCCGGTCATTGCCGGTGCCAGCGAGAACAGCATCCGGGGCACAATCGAGCTCACCAAGGAAGTCGCAGCGGCCGGCGGCGAGTATGCCCTCATTGTACCTCCCAGTTACTACCGCGGCGCCGTAGGCAATGACGAGACATTGTACGACTATTACACCGCGGTCGCCGACAAGTCTCCCGTCCCCCTGATTCTGTACAACTATCCCGGTGCTGTGGCAGGCATTGACATGGACTCCGACCTCATCATCCGCATCTCCGAACACCCCAATATCGTCGGCACTAAGTTCACCTGCGCCAACACTGGAAAGTTGACTCGCGTGGCTGCAGCCTTGGGTGCTGTGACTCCCGGCTCGCCCCTAGCTCCTGCCCAGCGCACAGCGACTGTCTCCAAGCCCAACGCCAAGCACCCGTATGTGGCCTTTGGCGGTATCGCCGACTTCACTCTGCAGACCCTCGTGTCGGGCGGCTCTGCCATCTTGGCTGGAGGCGCCAATGTGATCCCGCGCCTTTGCGTGCGCATCTTCGATCTTTGGTCGGAGGGTAAGATTGCCGAGGCCATTGAGGCACAGCAGCAGCTGAGCGCGGCCGATTGGGTTCTGACCAAGGCCGCTATCCCTGGCACTAAGTCGGCCATCCAGTCCTACTATGGATATGGTGGGCATCCCCGCCGGCCCCTGGCTCGTCTGAGCGATGCCCAGGCTAAGAGCATTGCGGACCAGATCAAGGATGCTATGGATGTGGAGTTTTCGCTGAAAGACAAGGCATAATGGACGGAGGTAGATAGATATAGTTACTATTACCACTTCTGTACACGACCGAATGACCAATTGATACTTTTTCCTCAATCCCTCTCGAATTGTAGTCTCTTCCAAAAGAGCTTTTCCCTGAATCTTCGGGTCCTAATATGAAGCTCTATCAAGACGAGAGCCCCACACTCACCAAGCGACCACTGCGATTCGATGAACCCCAGTGGAAACCACATAACCCGAGCACCAGATAGTCCCCACATGGACGGGCCATCTTCAAGATCAGGACTTCTCCCCGATCTCGCACATGCAGTCCCAAGATAAGCACCAGCCAATAGCAGGTATACAACACATCGCAGGAGGCCTTGTTTAACAAGTTCAAGGGCATTATCGTGAGGCACTTGGAAAGTGCGATAGATTGGTGGCTGTAATACCGATTACGAGGGATTTGTGACGCCAGGTGGAGCCCAATTTGCTGAGAGCTTCGACTAGACACGGTATACACTATACAGGCCCGGTACAGCGCCTTGATCGCGGGCTATGTCAGCGGGGGGGTTAATTGGGAGGGGAGGGGGCCTTGTTTGATAAAACGTCCCACCCCCGCGTCCAGAGCATAGTTTTATTCTCATATCCAACTTGAACTGCTTTCTGCTCTAGACTAATTGGCTCTGGACTTGATTCTTTCTTCTATTAGTGTTTCCATTCCTATTCCACAATGCCATACCCTGATGAAGCTGTGGGATTCATGGCCGATGGGCCTGAATCCTTTGGCACGTTCACCAAGCGTGCTGTAAGTGACTTTCCTGATGATTGCCATCCCTGGAGAGGCACTGTTTGATTCTCACACGGCTCTGTGTTCTTGCAGTACAAATTGAAGCCTTTTGAGGAATTTGGTAAGTGAGCGGGATTGACAATCCTCCAAGAAAGGCCTGACTAATGACTGTTATAGATATCGACGTCAAGGTCGAAGCATGCGGGATCTGTGGAAGTGATGTCCACACCGTTAGCGGTAAGACTGGCAAACATGAGCAACTCCCAAAGGGGCGCAACTGATGAACATCCCAGGTGGCTGGGGCGAGCAGCTCTTTCCTCTCTGCTGCGGCCACGGTAAGTGCCCCGCAGCGACTTGAAGACCAAAGCTATTCGCAAAGCAACCCACTTATAATCCTCACCGCACTAGAGATCGTCGGAACTGCCGTACGCGTGGGCCCTAAGGTCACCACCATCAAAGAAGGCCAGCGCGTCGGCATCGGGGCTCAAGCCTACTCCTGCGGCGAATGCAAGCAATGCCGCAACGGTAACGAGAACTACTGTCCGGTGAACTCGATCAACACGTACGGCTCCAAGTGGCCCGACACCGGGATCGTGAGCCAGGGCGGATACGGTTCGCACGTGCGGGCGCACGAGCACTGGGTGTTCCCGATACCCGAAGCTCTCGAGACCACAAACGTCGCGCCCATGCTGTGCGCCGGTCTGACGGCGTTCTCCCGCTGGTACGCCACGGTGCCGGGCCGGGGAAGAAGGTTGGTATTGTGGGGCTGGGTGGAATTGGACACTACGGAATCATGTTCGCCAAGGCCCTGGGTGCCGAGACATGGGCAATTTCTCGCTCGCGTGCTAAGGAAGCGGATGCGAAGAAGTTGGGCGCGGATGGTTATATCGCTACCGCGGAAGAGGGGTGGGAGAAGCCTCATCTGACATCGTTCGATTTGATTGTTAACTGTGCCAACTCATCCAAAGGCTTTGATCTGCCTCGCTATCTGTCCATGATGGATGTTCATGGTCGCTGGATCAGTGTGGGTCTGCCTGAAGAGGAGGGCCAGGTTATCAAGGCTCAGAACTTGATCTCGAACGGTGTGCTCATTGGTGCCACCCATATCGGCAACCGTCAAGAGATGCTTGCTATGCTGAAGCTGGCTGCTGAGAAGGGTCTCCGGAGCTATGTTGAGGAGATCCAGATCGGAGAGGAGGGGCTTAAGCAGGCTATGCAGCGGATGAAGAAGGGTGATGTTCGCTACCGGTTCATTTTGACCGGCTATGACAAGCATTTTGCTCGAGATTTGAAGATTTGAGTTGGTTTTTAGAGTGGTGTCATGGACAGGCGGTAGGGGCGTTGACGTGTGAAGTTCTGAGAAGGTTGATACCTTGGGCAGTTGAATGTTACCTACTAGATGAGGAATGGTCCTAGCATAGAAAGGAATTCAGGAATTTGAGAAGTTCATCTGAATCCATCCTGTAGATAAGCAGTGCTAAAAGGTACCTTGATGGCTCGTGGATCTGGTTCAGATGTAGCTTGCATGGGATCTTTAGGATTAGGGTTGGCAGTATATATCGATCCTCGTCCCGTGGAAACTCTTCAATGGGTTGTACACCACGATTACTCCATGGTTCATTGTTCCCAAGATCTATTCCAAGCTTATAGTATGTGTAAAAGGGTTCAAGCTGTACAGACAGTTTGAAATCTATGTTAAAGTTTTTGATCCTGTGCAACGATTCCTCCAAGGTGGATCCACTTGGGACGAACAGGATCGCCGCAAGAGCCGCAGTGTATTCGGCCTAAAAAATCGGCGTGCCTACCAGGGTCCCCCTTTGTAACGAAGTTGGGCCAAACCTTGAATCCAGCCTGAAACCGCCACTTGAAAGACAATTGTGCAAGTTCTTTTGTGCCCAGGCACGCAGAAGTACTCGGTACTTCGATCGTTGACCCGCAGGGGCGTAGATCAAAGTACTGTATACTCCGCACGTCCCCCATAACTCGCCCCCCGGATCCTCAGAGAAAAAGTTTTAATCTTGCAGTCCCAGGCATGTACCCGGTACATGGAACCAGACAGTGAAATCGACCTATCGGAAGTACCAGTACAAACTCTCAACTAAAGTTGATGTGGTTCAGCCAATCACTTGTTGGCCATTCACCGCCCAAGCCTCGGGCCCGACGCTCAGTTTGGCTTCTGGAATTCTTCCGTTTCTCCCTACTTCTCCTTGCGCCCTCGTTTACTTTTTTGGTTCTTCTTTCCTTTTCATTTGTGTTTCTCCCTCCTTTTCTTCCCACCATATTTGCATCTTGGCTGTTGCGTTCAGTGTATTTTCCATCATTCAACCGTTGATAGATTCGCCCTCTCCCCCTTTGCGACCCCAACGCGAATTGCATTGACCATTAGAAGCCCCCGGATTTTTGAATCCCACTAAGAAGGATTGGAAAAAGTCCAGTCGTTTGGAGCAGATCCAACTGTTCAATATATCGAAAGATCGCACGTGCACTATTTGTTTTCGCCTTTCGTCTGTATCCATCAACGTCATGTCGCCCGAAGATCAACTCGGCTCCACCCGGCGGCGCCCCTCGCTATCACTGCGCCCTCGACCTCGGACCGCAGCGTATCCCTTCCATGTTACCAAGGAACATATTGTCGACCAGTGGCGAGAGCCCTCCCAGGTGGAGGCACCATATGATAGTGGACTGCTTGGGGTGGCTGTGGAGGAAAAAGAGACGGAGCCATTTCCAGAAGCCATGCCCCGTCGCCGCTCCTCCAAGAGCTTCTCGACTCTACGCCATCCGATGGACGGATTGGTGGCTTTGGGCCGTCGTCTGTCTTTCACAATCCGCAGCAAGTCTTCCAGGAACAACCTACGAGTTCCGGGAGACGAAGACGACGAGTCTCACAACTACCATCTTTCAGGTCATTTCCACCTGAAACGTCATACTGCCTCTGGAAATTACGAGGGGCGGACTCGTGGCTGGCTTAATGGCCATAGCATCAACCGTCGTCCGTCATTGAATAGCGTCTCCGCTCTACAGAGCTTTTATGCCCCCACTGCCTCTATCCCTACCCCCATCCCGGGTCATGGGCAGGAGCCACCAATTCTTCCTAACCACAAAGGCGCAGGCGCCGCAGCTCGTGCAGCTGCAGCTGCGCAGAATGAGCGAATGGAGTTAGCGAAGCTCGAACTTGCCCGGGCGGAGCGAGAAAGATTCCTGGACTCGAAGTTGCCACAAGACTCCGAAAGTGGTATTGGAATTGATCTTCGCGATCGTTCCGATCTCTCCAAAGAAGAGCTGGGTCTGATCCGTATTGGTAAGGGACAAATCTCTCTCCCACCTTTCGCTGGTATGTTGTACTAATGAGCGTGGATAGACCCGGCATCTTATCTGCCCGCCGAAATCACGGCTCACATTCTTTCATATTTGGACCCGTCATCTCTTATGAACTGTGAATGTGTTTCGCGCTCCTGGCAAAAGCAGGCGTCTTCGCCTCATGTTTGGAAGCACGTCTTCCATGGTGCACATCCTCGTCGCCCAGCCAGTTCCACCACCACCAAGAAGAAGCAATTTCTCGGTCTGGGGAAGGAAACTTTGCACCAGGATTGGAAGAGAATGTACCTGGTCCGCCAGGCTCTGGAGCAGCGCTGGAAAGAGGGCAAAGCAGCCGCTATCTATCTGCACGGCCACAAGGATAGTGTCTACTGTGCACAGTTTGATGAGTCAGTTGAATCCCTCCCTCTCATAGTTGGTTTAGCCCTTCTAACCGTTCTGGACAGACATAAAATCATCACTGGCTCTCGTGACCGTACCATTCGCGTGTGGGATGCTCACTATCCTTGGCCTTGCCTTAAGGTCATCGGCCCGCCTCCTGGAGAGCTGCCTGGTATCGGGCAAGTAAACAACCCGACACAACAAGCTTCCGGCAAATCACCCTTTCTGACCATTTGTCCGCCATCTACGCCTCTGGAGGATATTATGACCCCTATGGAACAACCCTCCAAATATCATAGCGCATCTATCCTTTGCTTGCGTTTCGACGAAGAGATCATGGTCACTGGTTCTTCGGACCATACTTGCATCGTTTGGGATATCAAGCGGGACTACCGGCCAATCTGTCGCCTTTCTGGCCACAGTGCTGGCGTGCTGGATGTCTGTTTTGACGATCGATATATCGTGTCTTGCTCGAAGGACAGTACCATCTGTGTCTGGGACCGCAAAACCGGTGCACTTCTCAAACAGCTTCTGGGACATCTTGGCCCCGTCAATGCGGTGCAGTTGCGCGGAGACCTGGTCGTCTCCGCCAGCGGTGACGGAGTAGCCAGGCTTTGGAACGTCATCTCTGGCCAATGCGTCAAGGAATTCCCAAGCAAAGACCGAGGTTTGGCCTGTGTCGAGTTCAGCGACGATGGCCGGACTATTCTGACCGGTGGTAATGATCGGACCATCTACCAGTTCGATGCGAACACCGGCGAGTTGGTCAACGAGTTGAAAGGTCACAGTGGTCTCATTCGGTCTCTCCATCTCGACAGCATGAACAAGCGAATTGTGAGTGGCAGCTACGATATGAGTGTCAAAGTCTTCGATACCGAGTCGGGCGAGCTGTCACTTGACCTGCCAGGCTGGACTACTAGCTGGATGTTGAACGTCCAGTCAGACTATCGTCGTATCCTAGCCACCAGCCAGGATTCGCGCGCTGTCATCATGGACTTCGGGTATGGTCTCGATGGCATTGATCTGTTAGAAAGCTGATCGTTGATTTCGTTTGCATGTTCTGTACAATCTGTTTTCACTCATTAGCGTTCTCGTTTCGTTCATTATATTTATATTCACATTTGGGTTAAGCTTGGTTCACGGATGGATCCCGAGGAGTTAGGAAACACATGGAAACACACTGGGACATCAGGATTAGACGCTGGACATGCATTGCTCTATTCCTTTTCTTCCTCGTCTATTTCTTCTTTTTTCTTCTTGTTATTTTGCTCACTAGACTATCAGTTGGCTACAGAAGTAAATATTCACTGATTGAGAAAGACCCATTTCAGTAGTTTGTATACTTCGCAATACTCGTAGGCTCTGCAAGTGACCGCCTTCAGTCTCGAGAGAAAACCGGGAACGAGTCGAAGGCGGTGCGATGAGATAAGCGTCACTGATTGGCTCAGAGGCGGTGATTGGGGTTAGCGCCGTTAAAAACCGTGGGTTTGGCATCAAAACAAACCCTCGGATTGATTTGGCATCATCAACAGACAGGACCCTCACGAGGTGTGCTCTGATTGTGCGATATTTGCCTCTACTCTTTACTCTCTGTCCTTCGTCTTTCCTCCTCGCTCGTCTTGCCAATCTTCCTTGATCATAACGGCTGCGATTACCACTACCCCACCATGGGCGAATCCAGGTACGCTCTGCCCCTAGTCGACATTTGAGACCCCGCCCGAAATGGCGCGAGATAGATCGCTGAATAGTTTTTTCGATACAGACAAGAGCTTTTGGCTTGGTTGAACAACCTGCTGCAGTTGAACATCACCAAGATCGAGCAATGTGGAACCGGGTATGAATGGATCGGCAGCCCTTCCCCCCGGGATTGACGCCAGCGACAGGGACAACTTGGACTGACATGTTCCTCGGTATACAGTGCTGCGTTATGCCAGATCTTCGATTCGATCTTCAGTAAGACCAGCCGCTGCAAGCCATGGCTGATCGTTAGTTAGAAACAGCCTAGAGGGACAAAAGCTAACCAGGATTTCTTCATAGTGGACGTGCCTATGTCCCGGGTCAAGTTCAACGTTAACACCGAATACGCCTATCTGCAGAACTTCAAAATTCTCCAGAGTACGTGACGGCAATCGCTCTCGCTCTCGGCCCCTACACGCCCCTCATTCCCGCTAACGTGTTCCCCCCCAGACGTCTTTGCCAAGCACGGCATAGAGAAGCCCATCCCGGTTCAATCCCTCTCGAAATGCCGCATGCAAGATAACCTGGAGTTCCTCCAATGGGTGAAGCGATACTGGGACCAGCATTACCCAGGTGGTGATTACGATGCCCCCGGTCGACGAAAGGCCTCTGGTGCCCCCGCTGCCGCTCCCGCTGCTGCGCGCCCCCTCGGCTGGCTCACGCCGCGGCGTGACTCCAACGACAGCCGGTGCGGCTCGTCCTCGCGTTGCTGCTTCGGCTGGTGGTGGTGCGGCCACCGCGGCTCTCCAGCAGGAGATTGCTACACAGAGAGAGGCGATTGCGGGACTCGAGAAGGAGCGCGATTTCTACTTCGCTAAGCTTCGCGATATTGAGCTCCTGCTGCAGACTGCTATCGAGCAAGACCCAGAGTTGGATCAGGAGGGCGATACTTTGGTGAAACATATCCAGGGCATTTTGTATTCGACTGAGGTAAGTACTGCGATATGGGGCATTCCCCTCGTCGTTTCATCAAATTTCATATCTGCGGATGGTGGGCTAATATTTCTATTCCAACTAGGACGGATTCGAGATCCCGGAAGCGGAGGAGGGTGTGGCTGATGAGCTGGAGACTTTTTAGATGACTGCAAGGACTGGGCTCTTGAGAAAGAGACGTGTTTCCCTTACTAAATCCCCCCCTCGTCCCGCTACCGGTGATGTTTCTCAACGAGAGCGTAGATAGCGAATTTGCCATGACCATGATCTCTCCGCCTGAACTCCGTGTAAGCGTAAGCCTGGAGATGGTGTCTGTTATTGTGTACTTCTTTGAGGAGCTTCCAAGGTTTCCTTGCTGTCCAGAGTGCGCTCGGTGAACCTCTCCGCCCCAGTCAGTTGCTAGTAATTCCCCGAGATTTTTCCCGAGCATCCTTGTTCGATGTACGTTTCGAAACACTAGCGCGTCTAAGCAGGGCCGTAGCACGCCCTGGGTATATTGACCAAGGAAACAACTTTTCCAGTTCTCACTTTGGCTTGAGTCGACATGAGACTCTACTCATGCAATGGCAACGAAGAGCCAAGAACGGAAGACTTCCAAGATTGACTCGAACCATGCAACAGCTGGATATATACTAATACGTATCAGACACCACAGGGATCTCTTCGTATAAACCCCCTGTTAGCATTTCGGCGTTTCGCCTTCTTGTAGAGCTCCGATGAAAGCCAAATAAACTCAAATGTTCTACAAGATATCCCGGAGATCCGCCCGCCGAGATAGAGCAGTAATTCGGAGGGAGAGATCCAGGGCAACAAGCCGATTGCAGTGAGCCTTAAGACTGGATTCACCGCGCGCATCTGGCACTGAAGTGACTATTCATGCGGGCCGGAGTATGGCATTCCTTCCATTCTCCGAGCCCACAAGTCTAGGCTTGGCTAGCTTAGGATAAGCGGGAACCTCACGATCTTGCAATGGAAGTATTCACGATTTTTTCTCCATTGGGTTTAGCACATCTAGCCTGGTGGGCCATCAAGTAGACTTTGACTTTTGTGCCACGATGAGACACAGTTCCGCCTTTGCGGAGGGAGGCAGTCTATACGAGAGGAGTAATGAGGCCTGGACCTACCGGTTGACCTCGGTCTTTAGCACGTGAGATCCTTGGAAGTTATCATATCACTGTTCATATTCGCGTACTTCCGCGTGATCAGTATCTCCTGTGTTGCTGCATGTTTGCAAGGCACCCATGTGGTGGACAGTGCTTCCTACGGAGTATAGCGAAAGATGATTGGATCGCCTTACGACTCCCGTTTGGCCTATGTATACTCCGTAGCCCCCCGAGGACTCCAGCAGGAAAGACCGTATACAGAGGATTGGCACATGCAATGTCACACACAATATTGGCAGTAGGCTCCACCCTCATGCATCCATGGAGCTCCAGGCCAGTGATTGGATGTAGATGCAGCCTGAACCCTTGCGGGATGCCAGAATCTTCTGCTAATAATAAGTTCCATGTTGGTAATAATTAAACTTGTGCGGGGACGCTTTACTAGAAGTAGCCTAGTGAAATTGGGCCAGACCCAAACAGGCCCAAAAAGCCCTTAGTCCAAGTCCCACCTGTCGCTTCTGACTGGCTGGTCCCTTCGTACCTGCAGCAGAGGCTATTCCCGTTTCGACGTTGTGCTTCTTTCTCTCCTCGCTTCACTTCAGTCTTTATGCTACGAAACCGTAAACAAAAGAAGTGCGAGGGATCGGATTCCTCGCAAACAGTTTGCCCAAAACCATCCGCAGTACTATCCTCTGCAAGAATCTCTCAGACCTTCCACGATTCACCCAAGATTAGGTCTCCAATCTCGGTTCCCGGTCGCCCCCTCCGCGGGCGAGTTCGCCATCCGCACGGGTCGCCTAGACTTGGCTTCGATAGGGGAGATTACTGGGTCCAGGCGTTCTGCGCCCATTTTCATTTGTTCCCCACTGGCTTCTTTTTCTCTTCCTTTTCTCACTAACGACCAACGCGAGCAGCGCTCTGCCTAGAGCCTTCGGTTTTCCAGAGCGTGTGTACCTCTGTGCCAAACCCACGTATCGACTCTGTTGCATCGGGTCGACCCCGATATCAGACAACAACCTTGGCTGTGCTCGAACTTCACTTCACTGCATCATGGACTAAGGAACCGGAGGCTTGGATCTGCTTCTATCCGATCTTTCCGATTCCCTTCACTCATTCATTTTCGTAGGTGCGTGAAGAAATGTACAGTCCGGGTTGATTAGAACCGCAAAGCTAACACGCACAAGCTGTTCTAGACGCGATCGAATGGCATTCGCTCTTTACTGATCTTACTAGTCGGCAACCCAGGCAGAGGCAGTCGACATCCACTCATTACCCAACACATCCTATCTCGCATTCAAGTCGAGGAACTTTCCAAAACGCGCCTTCGTTTTGACTCCAGCAGCAGGCAAGATCCTCTGCCAAAAGAAAAGGAACGCATTTGCTTGTTATTTTTCTTTTCCTCTTCGCCTCCGAACTGGTCGGCCCAATCCCAGCCTCTGTGAGGATTCACCTTTGTACTTATCTTCTTCTTTTTTTTCTTATCCCCGCCAATTTGCCCATCATGGCTCGCCACCCCCACAATGGCCCCTCGCGGATCAATCGGATTATCTACGCCAAACACCGACGGGACAAGACAGATATCTCAGCCGATGGAAAATCCGATCTGCTAGGCACTGTGGACCGAATCCAAGTACCTCTTCTAGGTTCAGCGGACACCTACTCGCACAAGCCTTGCGGCCCCCAGAATACAGTATGCCCGGAGGATAGCGTTGGTGGATCTGACGTGACTGTTGAGAAACGCGAGTCTGACGCGACCCCAGGCGTGGCCGTCCAAACAGTTATCCAAGTCGTCGACACTAATTCAAATACGCTGTGGCGGTCGATTGGCACGGAATTCCCTCCTACCATTTCTAACTCTCTTTTTGGAGTTGTGACTATTCCCGGGATTTCGGTTACCGCATTGAAGGATACGTCGTCAGATGTTACTACGGGTGCTGTCGATCACCATATGCTCACACCTCCCGCCACAAGTAGTCCAACTACGGCGCCTACGGCCACAGCCAGCACCTCGACCGCGGCAACTACGTCCAGCAAGCAACTGCTACCCCCGGTCTCGTCGCCAAAAGCTTCTGCTCCTGCAAGCTCCAAGTCTCATTCTCCTCTGCCTCCAGATGTATCCACCACTTCAACGGTCTTGGGTACTCCTATTGTTGATATCGTTAATTCGTCAACTAGCTCTTACCTAGACAGCTCGACAAGCCGGTCTTCCTATACCTCTTACGTCACCTCGCACGGACCGAGCTCCAGCATCAATCGCCTGGCTGGTACGGCGTCTCCAACCCCTACCAGCTCGAGTTCGAGCTCCAGCACGGGATCGGGATTAAGCCCAAGTACGAAGACGCCTCAAATTGTGGGCGGTGTTGTGGGAAGCGTGGCAGGTGTGGCAGTGCTGATTCTCCTCCTGCTGGTGATTCTTCGCCGGCGACAATTCCTGGCTTTCTTCCAGCGTAAAAGTGCTGATACCCTCCCAAGTGAACCCGGTACTACACGCGGGATGTCTGAGCGAGGCTCGACCCACCCCAGCACTTCTCAGCATCGTACTTTGCGCCAGCATTCATGAAGCGCTGGCGAACTTCCACGATGACCACCAGGACAGACAGCACAGCCGATACAAACACCACTGAGCGTGGATTCCAGAAAGTTTCCGGCCGCAAGATTCCACCCGTGCTCACCCACGGTGGCGATGGCTATGGCGGCGGCCTAGAGGGAGACTCACCCACAATCCCGGACAGTTTGATCGGGATTACTCCTGCGTCTCCGGTGGGTGGACCGCCTCCGTCGTCGCCGCATGGCATGCCTTTGGACAGCAACGTCGTCCGTGAGGCTGACGAGTCGCTTTCGCCCGTGCCCCCGTCCAATGCGCAAATCCCTGTCGCAAGCTCCGTGAGATTTGGCAACCCAACTCCAGTCACGCAGTCGTCTTTGCTTCCTCAGCCGCAAAGTGCCATTCCCGGGTCTCCGACACGGCCAGACGGAGTGGGCCGCAGCAATCCCAGCTTTGACGGGAGCCGAAGTAGTCGCTTCACGGAAAGTCTTGACTTGTGACGGGAGCGCTCGAGATGAGTGATAAGCGATACACGATACGATAATGGGAAAAGTTGAACGTGACTATGGGACCTAGGTGCGACCTTCGCTATTTCTGCGATTTTATGATCATTTTGAGCGATCTCCTACAAGAGAGCTTCTTGTTTCATACAAGTTCTTTTGACATTCTCTGATAATACTTTTTTTGCTGCTTCTGCTCAATTTTTGAGAACTTTTCTCGACCATTCCTGTCATTTACCTGCTGCCGTTTTCTGCACTTACCAAAGATACCCCTCACCTTACCATCGTTCGTTTGATTACCTCTGTCGACCCTAATTCTGGATACTACCACTCAGCTTACCTGAGACCAGTCTAATGAAACGCAAAGTTCTAATACTCGTGAATTATTCCACCGTTCGCCATCCTGCCATAGAGTCGGGGCATACTAAGACTGAAGCCTTTAGGCGAAACTAGCAGAGCCGTCTTATAGCGACCTCATACATTGGTTTCATCAGCGTGTAGACTTAACTGGAAGTAACCGGCATGTGAGATACAGACAAGACTGGATGGAAAGGGGCAAGCAGATTGGGGGCGGTGATGTGAACTGTGTACGTATTGAGTCTGTACCCCGCGATGTCCAAACTGTGATTGGAAGCACTGCCTCGATCAGACTGTGTCTCAGCTGGTCATGGAGGTATTTGGCCACATATGTGATGACCAGGAACCACCCCGGAGACACACCTCATTACCCTAAAGCAGCGGCAAGGTTGACTCGTTCTCGGGCCTCAATCGCCAAATGCTGACTAAATCTGCACCGCCCCACGAGCTTAATTGCTCTGCAAGCCACAGGTGGCGCGTGGCAACATGTGGCAACCTTCAGGAACTCGTATCGCGTGGTCATGCGAAGGGAACTTCCTCTTCTAGTAGATTGCCGTCGTATCCTCCTTCCCAGTTGGTTCTTTCGCCCGCCTCAGTTGGCTGGCTTTGCCTCTGCCAAGCAGCCCTGGATTCTGGGAAGTTGAGAAAGGATTCAGAAGCTCCAGCATAGCCGCCCGGATTCCCGTTGTGGAGTCCTAAGCCCACCTTCAACTCCAAAGCAAGTCGATGACACTTGCTCTGGACCCTAGACAGGAATTACAAGATCAATCTCTTCATAAATCTGAGGTACACGAAGTGAGCGGGGTTGCAGCAGTCAGTTTGATGATTGGCTATTTGAGAGGGTGTTCAAGGAGGCGCAGCAGACCCACGAAGGCCTCGGCGGCAAGCCTCCCATCACATCACGTCGTTAGATTGGTTCATCCTGGCCCGCGACCCCAGCAATGGTATCATATTCTATAGGGATATTCCCTGATTAGGCCACGGCGGCTCAGGTGAGAGTTGAAACTAGAGAACTATCTCCAAAGGCGCTTAGAATCACTCTCAGCGCCTGGGTGATCTGCGTGAGCCACATGTAGCTTCGTTTCAATGCATATCCCATCGTATCCTCCGCACGCCCAAACGGACTCTATACATCGATATTGGGCGAAGCCTTAACCAAGGGGCAAAGGAGCGGCGTGCAGTGGCTGTGTCGAAATTCTCTTTCTTGTGCAGCTCGTCATCAATAGATACCCAGGTTTCTTGCGGCGCATCCAGTCTCGTCTAAACCATATTCTCACTGCGTCGCTTCCTTGGCTTTCTGTGGATATTCTAATCATTTATCACCCTTGGCGAAAACCGCCTACAGCAGCAGACTTTGGGTCGAGGCCTTAATTCCTCCCAACCAAGACGCCTCGGCATTTTGCACAGCCAGCTTGAGGGGTAAAATATCTATTGGTCATAATTCCCAACTTGAAACCATTCCCTCCCACAAACATACGTCTGATTTGAAGTTGAGTAACGGGGCACTCGCCGGGGTGTACATGCAGAGCGCAAATCCATGTCTTCCAATAACCCTACGTCCGATCAGGACTCCCGTCTTGCTCCGGTTATCACCACAAATACTTCGGGCAGAGAGGTAAGAACCCAATCCAAAACATCATCCCAGCAGGAAAAGAACCAGACTGACATATCTCCTTCCCCACCAGCGACCACTTTCTATTTCCTCAGCGGCCGCATCATCATGCTCGCCCACAGATCTGAACCATAGTCCAATCTCCCCATCTTCTCCGGTATCTCCTGAGATGCAATGGAATCCAGACACTGTGCACCTGACGGTGCACAGTGCTTCTCACCGACCCTCTTTATCTGTCGACGGCGAGACTCTACGTACTCGTTCCGGCTCTTTCGCTTCCAGTGCAGATACAGTAGTCCGCTCAAGAGCGGGTTCCAGTGTCAGCCATACTGCACACAAAGAACCTACGCACCAAGAGAATATCTACGATGATGTGCCCTTAACAGAAGCGTTAAAGCCAGACCCACGTACCGAGGCTGATTTTAAGGTCGAGGGCAACCGGTTTGCCTTCTCACCTGGTCAGCTTAATAAATTACAGAACCCCAAGTCCCTCGCTGCCTTCCATGCTCTTGGTGGCCTGCAGGGGTTGGAACGGGGTCTGCGGACTGATCTGACTGCTGGTCTTTCTGTCGAGGAAGGTCGGTTAGAAGGGACTGTTGATTTCCAGGAGGTGACACCTCCGCTTTATAACGAGAGGCCTCCGGTGTGCAAGGCGCAAAAAGAAGAGGTACCGGCACCAATCTCTGCTGCTGGCAGTGAAGGTACACCGTTCGAGGATCGGATAAGGGTGTTCAGTCAGAATAAGCTTCCTGCTAGGAAATCTACCGGGTTCTTGAAACTCTTTTGGATTGCTTATAATGATAAGATCATCATTCTTCTGACCATCGCGGCGATTGTCTCATTGTCACTGGGGATCTATGAAACAGTGAGCGAGGGTTCGGGCGTCGACTGGGTCGAGGGTGTGGCGATTTGTGTGGCGATTCTCATCGTCACAGTCGTTACTGCTGCGAATGACTGGCAGAAGGAAAGGCAGTTTACCAAGCTCAATAAACGCGTGAGTAGCAATGATGCCGTCTCGCAATGAGCCCACAGCTAATTCCTCCAGAACAATGACCGCGAGGTTAAAGCTACTCGCTCCGGAAAAGCAATGATGATCTCGATCTATGATATTATGGTCGGCGATGTCCTACACCTCGAACCTGGAGACTCCGTCGCTGCCGACGGGGTCTTGATATCCGGCCATGGCATTAAATGCGATGAATCGTCTGCCACCGGTGAATCCGATCAAATGAAGAAGACTGATGGACATGAAGTCTGGCAGCAGATCATGGAGAACCGAGCCACGAAAAAGCTGGACCCATTCATGATCTCCGGAAGCAAGGTCCTTGAGGGCGTTGGGACTTATCTCGTCACTAGCGTTGGACCTTACTCTACATATGGCCGCATCATGCTCTCGCTTCAGGTATCGAATGATCCGACGCCGCTTCAGGTCAAGCTCGGTCGCTTGGCTGATTGGATTGGGTATTTGGGCTCCGGGTATGTTAAAACCCTCCTGAAAAAGAGTCCACTAATTGCTAACTCCTTTTTGGTCCAGAGCTGCGATTGTACTATTCCTCGTCTTGCTAATTCGCTTTCTTGTCGACCTCCCCAACAATACGGGTTCAGCCGCTGTGAAAGGCGCAGAATTTGTAGATATTCTTATTGTGGCCGTAACAGTTATCGTCGTCGCTATTCCAGGTGAGGGATTCGCAAACACTTTTATTCGTTCCGGCTTCTAATGTGATACAGAGGGCCTTCCACTGGCCGTAACCCTTGCTCTTGCCTTCGCTACCACTCGCATGGTCAAAGAGAATAACTTGGTTCGCGTTCTCCGCGCTTGCGAGACCATGGGAAATGCTACAGTCATTTGCTCCGATAAAACAGGAACTTTGACCCAGAACAAAATGACGGTCGTTGCGGGAACCTGGGGAGCTGACCAACGCTTCAGTCGACCCTCCGAGGTTCAAGCTGAATCGAGCTCTCAAACAGTATCGGATGTTTTCAGGAATTGCTCTGCTGCTGTCCGGGATCTCATCGTCAAAAGCGTTGCTCTCAATTCCACCGCGTTCCAGGAAAACAATGGAGCAAAGGAATTCGTGGGAAGTAAGACCGAAGTGGCACTTCTTCAGCTCGCTCAAGAGCATTTGGGCATGGATCTCGCCTCAGAGCGTGGGTCTGCTGAAATCGTCCAGCTCATCCCGTTCGATTCTACCAGAAAATGCATGGGTGTCGTGTACCGTACTCCGAAAACGGGCTACCGACTGCTCGTGAAGGGTGCATCTGAATTGATGGTCGGCGCCTGTACTGGAAAAATCACAGAGATCGACAACCAAAGTGATAGCGTTCGCACTGCACCCTTGTACGAGAGCGACCGCGATGCCATTATAGCGATCATTGATGAGTACGCACAGGCATCTCTCCGGACCATTGGACTTGTCTACAAAGATTTCGCCTCTTGGCCTCCAACCGCGACTCCGACGCTCGAGGATGATCCCTCTTCTGTTGTTTTTGACGATATCTTCTGCGACATGACATGGATTGGCGTGGTTGGAATTCAGGACCCCCTGCGCCCCGAAGTACCGCCTGCAATCCGCCAATGTCACTCTGCTGGCGTCCAAGTCAAGATGGTCACGGGAGACAACATCGCAACGGCCACTGCCATTGCTTCCTCGTGCGGCATCAAGACAGAAGACGGGCTCGTCATGGAAGGCCCCAAGTTTCGACAGTTGTCAGACAAGGAAATGGACGAAGTCATTCCTCGTCTCCAGGTCCTGGCTCGTTCGTCGCCGGACGACAAGCGGATCTTGGTTGAGCGACTGAAGGTTCTTGGGGAGACTGTTGCCGTGACGGGCGATGGTACCAATGACGGGCCTGCATTGCGAACAGCCGACGTCGGCTTTTCCATGGGCATTGCTGGCACTGAAGTCGCAAAGGAAGCGAGCTCTATCATCTTGCTGGATGATAACTTCCGGTCGATTGTGACGGCGATTTCGTGGGGACGGGCAGTCAATGATGCAGTGGCCAAGTTCCTGCAGTTCCAGATCACGGTGAACATTACGGCGGTTGCTCTGACGTTCGTGTCGTCTGTGTACAGCAGCTCCAATAGCAGTGTGCTCAGCGCGGTGCAGCTACTGTGGGTCAATCTCATCATGGACACGTTTGCTGCCCTAGCCTTGTAAGTAATGTATCTCGCCGGCAAAGTTGCCTTTGACTAACACCCCAACAGAGCGACTGATGCACCGACCGAAAAGATTCTTGATCGAAAGCCTGTTCCCAAAAACGCCTCGCTCTTCACTTTAACAATGTGGAAGATGATCCTTGGTCAGGCTTTGTATCAGCTGGCTGTAACTTTTATGCTCTACTTCGCAGGTGATAAGCTGCTCAGCGCCCATCTTGACAGTACGGACATGGACGTTCGAGCGAAGCAACTTTCCACCGTCGTCTTCAACACCTTTGTGTGGATGCAAATATTCAACGAGTTCAACAATCGCCGCCTGGATAACAAGCTGAACATTTTCGAAGGCATGTTCCGGAACTACTGGTTTCTCGGAATCAACGCGATTATGGTAGGCGGACAAATTATGATTATCTTTGTTGGCGGCCAGGCCTTCAGCGTGACCAGAATCAGTGGGATTCTGTGGGCAGTCTGTTTGATCTGTGCTCTAGGATGTCTCCCCTGGGCTGTCCTCCTTCGCATTCTGCCCGATCGCTACTTCGGCCTTGTATTCAACGCTGTTGTGGGCGGGGTGGCATTTATCCTGAACCCGGTAGTGAAAGGGTTGAAGGCCGTCGGTCATGGAGTAAAGGCTCTTTTCCGACCGATTGGTCGATCTGTCCGACGGATTCGCCCCCGGCGTACCTCCAATACTGAGCAGTCATTCGTCAAGGAGCTATCGCATGTCCCTGGGCATGATGAAGAGGCGCCAGCTCCGGTTTCAGTACCAGCTCCCCTCCCGACGATACAAATTCGCCAGGAGAGTCCCGAACGTCCACAGACACCTATACTGGTAGTGCCTCCGATTACAGTGACGGCGTCTCCCTAGTTTCAAGATGTATGATATATGATGACATGACGTGTTGCATGGGTTTGCTTTTGTGGATTTGGTCATAGCGTTTATTTAGCATTTCGGCGTCCGGATCTTGCAAACGTAATAGGCGAGTAATTCGTGAACTTTCCACGGTGCCTCGTTTGAAGTAGATATCATGCCCTGCTGGATTAGAAACCTCAATGAATATACTGTGAATATACTGCCAAGGACCCGGCTGATCTGCATTTGACTATACTTAAGCTACCCCCTGTATGGCGGGCGCCGACTGCCTCGACGATCTTTCTGCACTTTGTAATAGCCCTTTTTCGCCGCTGATCTGTGCTCATTTGCAAGAAATAATAATCCAAATGTAATCAGCTCAACCCCCGCTCAGAAGCTACACAGGCGCAATGGGAGCCACGGAAGCGTATCCTCGTGAAGATCGACAAGCGTATCCGTGCCCTTGCGCGTGTCCCGCCCAACTTAGCACTAAATTAGTGTTAGGGTTCGCCGCAGTCCATACTTCATTCGCCTTAGCGGCATCGCATTCAGCCCCCACGCTATGCAGATCTTTGCGAGGCTGAGGACGTTGGAATCCTGACTAATGCCCCCCCTGCCTTCGGGGTAAGAATAAAAAAAAGTATTAGTAGGCTGTGGCTACCGGAAGGTCCAAGTTGGGCGCGTGTCTGGGACTGCTACTGCTAGTAACTTGTATATCCGCTATATGCAGCCATGTCAACCAGCACCAGCTCCAAAACTCCGCTAGGGCTCCGGAACCCGATCCACAACCCATTCCCATCGTCGCTGTCCAGTGCGTGAGCTCCTGACTTAAGAGCAGTGGCAGAGCTAACACCCTCACCCTAGGCCAATGTATCAAAGCGGCTAGGATCATAGACTCCTTCATCAACCCATTAATTGTCGGCGATGGCGGCATTCCGCGCAAGATCCTGGGCCGCGCCAAGGTAGGGCACCATTCTCTGGCTCCTCCCTCCTCCTCCCTCCTTCTAGCCTGGCGATGCTAAATTCGCTGCCTAGGTCCTTATCATCTGCACGGTTGCCCGGGTAGGCTGCTGCGGCACCCTCCGTTTTGGCTCCGGCATCATGGTCTCGCGCCTGCCGGACGGAAACTGGTCTGCGCCCTCCGCCGTGGCCCTCAGCGGCGTAGGCTGCGGCATGACCTTCGGCGTCGAGCTCACCGACTACGTGTTCGCCATGAGCACGGACGAGGCCGTCGCGAAAGTAATGCACATGCCCGGCGTGTCGCTGGGCCTCAACGTCTCGCTGGCGCTGGGACTGGGCCGGACGGCCGAGTCGGGCACCATATTCGGTATGCGGGGCGCTTCGGGCTTCTATTCCTTCTCGAAGACCCGGGGCGTGTATGCGGGACTCTCGGGCGAGGTCTCGATCGTGGTCGAGAATCCGTCGGCGAATAAGAAGATCTATGAGCGGAAGCTCAAAGCGAGGCATCTGGTTGGGGGGGGAGATCCCGTTTCCTCGCGAGGCGGAGCTGCTTATGCGCGTGCTGAATTCGGATGCTATGCAACCGCAGTCGTCGAGTACGACGGGCAGCATGGGTCGGGGGGCGTCGAAGGTCCCAGATGTGTTTTATCAGGCGCCCAAGCCGATTGCGGAGCTGGATAGTGACAGGCCGTTGGCGCACCAGTGGCCGCGAGATATTCTTCCAGACTCGGAGCCGAGAGAGGCCCCCGCAGACCAAAATCAGGTCTATGAGCTTGCGCAAGTGCAAACTCGTGGATCGGGGAGTGTGGCCCCTACTTAAAGAGAATTAGGGTCTTTAAGAACGTGCCAAAGAGCCCATCTCAACGGGGTCCGGCTGAGGTCTGGCGAGATGATACGATCGATCTCCAGAGTCTTTGACCCTGTTCCTTCTCCCCTCCCATCTCCTATGAGTTTCTATTCTTTGTGTTGGGTTGGTCGCATTTAGCCTGTCCTTGATTTGCATCTTGTCTCCTTTGCGATATACCCCCGCGCGCTTTGCTTGGTCTCGTACTAGATTGTTGCTCGGAATTTTGGTGAGCATCCGAACATTATATTGGCTTTTCCATATTGCTCCCTTGTTCAAAAACTTTGTTGTCTGAACTTGACAACCGGCTCTCATAGTATATAGTGGCCTAGCATACATTGAAGATACGAGTGGACACTTCGATGAATATGTACAGTTCCATCACATTAGCGACAGGCCCGCCTACCTATGGGCGAACCAAAGTCCAAATTATCTAGGGGGGAGCTGACAAAAGACCGGTAAAGACAGAAAACCCGAAGTGCTCAGGCGAGAAGCAAAGAAAAAAAAAAGCAGAAATTAAGGGGCCTTCTCTCCCCCGTCTACCACGAAAAGCTCTCTTCGATATAGTCAAGGTTGGACCCGGACTGCCGCCTCCTACACACTTGACGCACATCATCGCTCAAGCTACCATTTCCACAGACTAGCACGCCCATCGCCCCAACCTGGTTCTCAACCTCCATGCCAACGAGCGTGTCGATATTAGGTCGGCCGGGGAACATCTGCACCGTAGAAGACGGGCTCTGGATCTCCTTCGCGCTGCGCGGCCGAGTAATAAACAGCTTGATCTGCAGGACCTCGCGGCGGCGATCCATGGCCAGAATCTGCGTCATCCACGGCCGGATCCACTCCAGATGCTCTGGCGACTGAATAATCCACACGAGCGTCACGCGGCGGGCAGCCACCGTGCCCTCTGCATGGCCGGCAACGAGGTGGCGCACAAAGGGGATGTGGTGGGTTACCCCCACGCCGCCGGCGAAGAGCATGACGGTGCCGTAGGAGTCCATCGAGTGGATGCTGCCGTAGGGTCCCTCGGCAAAGGCACGCAGTTTCAGGCCCGTCGTGGCGAGGGCCTTGAGAAACAGCTTGTCGGTTAGGCCGGTGCAGCGGCGGACGAGGAGGGAGATGGTTTCCTGTTTGGCGTAGTCAAAGGAGTCTCCAGACGAGACGGGGAGACCCTTCTCATTTAGGACCGTCTGTTCGCTCCAAGCGACAGAGAATGGGTGCGAGGTCCACCAGCCTATGGCTGGGATGTAGAGATAGAGGTGTTGGCCGGGTCGGACGGTCCAGGGGCGTGCCAGACGAAGGTGGATTCGCATTGCATCGCCGTATAAGGCTTCGACGGTTGCCGTAGTGCAGTTGCTACCGATATTGCGGTAGATGATGGTCACAAGGCGGATGAAGCGCTACAAAGGCCTTTTTGTCAGTCCTGCATGCCAGAAATTCAATACTGTCCATATGAACTTACTTCCACAATCCAGAGAATGATAGCGGCGAGCAGGTAATTCTGGGATGGCATACCATCAAGGTGCACCCATAGCCCGCCCATACAAACTGCTGCAAAGATGATGTGGAGAGAGAGGAACGTTTCATAGAAAGCATGGCGGAGCGGCGAAGGGGAGTGCACGAATAGCGCACCCAACGCCACGGTACCCTAGACGAGGAATCCTTGATTAGTACTATGCTGTAATGCTCGTATACATACATACATATGTATGTATGTATATAAGTTGGTGGGGGAAGGCAGGAATCTCACCATCAAGCCATGCCACAGGAAACTCTCGCCCATCACAGCCTCGTTGACAACACTCCAGCCCATCGTCTGAGCCTTGGACACTGCCCAAGCAAGGGTATGCGCAACGCCTTCCAAAACGACAACACGACCGAGCCAGCGATGAAGGAGATTCCACGTATCGAATGGCACGTGCAGAAGGGAAATCAGAGGGTTATTTCGACCAACCATGATCATAAGAGGGATCAAGTTGATCGTGGCCAGAGTACCGGTGCGACTGATCACGGCTCCGACTACCGCCTCGCTGCCCAACGAATACGGAAGCTTCACCACGCAGAGAGCGACATTCATCCCAATAAGACCGAAGGTCAGCGCGCCATGGACTCGACTGGGGAGGTTTCCCATGTTAATCGCCGACGACAGCTGGAATTCGCGGTTGTGGCGGTTGCGGAACAGAGGAGCATAGATGATATGCTCTTTGAACCATGCGAATGTGCCATGGGCGGAGATAAAGTACCGCTGCCTGGTGTCTCCAAAGCTAGATATGAGACGAAGGTGGCGGTTGAACCGAAACATCATCTGCCAGATGAGATAAAAAGCAGCCGTGCAGCCAAAGGCAACGAGACTCCATTTTCCCAGCTGATCGGAAATAGAGCCAGTAATGGCGGAGCGCTTCTCGATGTCCATCGCGTCTCGTCGAACAATATCTGTCCCAGGATGATGTACTATGTCAATGGGCGGCTAGTAGAGCCGATAAGGGCAGTCGAAAAGAATGGAAGGTTGATTCCGCAAGACCAGCTTGCAGCACAACCGGCTCTCTAGCAGGCCTTTGACACGCAATAGATTGATTCAGCCCCTCCCAAGGATTGAATAGCTCCAGGTGGATTTGAGAAAGAGTGAAGAGGTTTCTGAACGAGACGGACGTGAATATCACTCCAACATACCGGCCGCCAAAGAAGCGACAAGATTCTTGAATATACCAAAGATGAGCAGATGCACGATATGGTAGATGTGTCTGGGGCGCAAAATCCTGGAGAATAAATTGGAAGGATCAATCCAAAGGAGAGAGAGAGAGAGAGAGAGAGAGAGAGAGAGAGTAGTGAATGTCTATGTTATTGCGCCAGCATAGAGACCGAATAAAGAATTGAAGGAGGGCTAGCCTCGTGAAGTGAAAGGCAAGAAAGACACAAAGTGATTGTCCAAGGAATCCGCGACAAGAACCTCACGGTACGGAGTACTCATTCTCTATATAGCGCCAAGAAACCCATAGGCGCGTTTCACAAGTCAGGAGATTTTCCAGAAACCCTGGTCCGTCCGCCTTTTGGCCACTCGACCTACAGGCTTGGCTGAAACTGATCAGAGATCTGACGGTACCGATGCGACGTAATCCACCGCATCCATCGAAGCGGGACATGTGAATCGTCTGAAAACCCTGACCAGGCATAGCGTCATGACCAAACTGGTGGGATCGAAGTCCAATAGGTGCTCTAGGCGCCTCCTTGCGTCGATCCCCGCCGGGCGCACTAGCGGTTTGAGATTTGCGCCCACCCCGCCAATCCTGGTGCTGCGCTGGAGGTGATGGGATTGCTGGGGACGAGAAGCATGTAGTGCCTGTCCAGGAATCCTGAAGATATATCACACATTGTGACGGAGGTTCGAGTCATGGGGAGGTGCAGGGTGCATGCAGAACATTTTCTCTGTACCTGGCGCACCCAACTATGGAAGTCTGGTAGGGTCTTGGCACTTCATCTACCTCAGACTCTACAATTTCCCTAAAGATCGGCTCGCCCGTGCGGGATTGGCCCCTTGGGTTTGAGAGCTTGGATCATCGCTGTCATAATGGCCTTTGTGCTGTACCGAACGTCGCGCTTCCAGACCAGTCCACAGCTACCATGAACCCCTACGGAAAAATGAGACCCGTATCCTGGGAGAGACAGTCGGCGTCCGTAGTGGTTTACATTGCAGTCTACTAACTGAAATAAGGTAGACCGAAGTCAAGGAGGAGCACGAACAGGTTCGCTTAAACATAAATCAAACTGGGGGACCAGGGCACAGAACTCAAAATCTAAACAAAAAGGGGGTATCAAGCCAGAAGCCCAGAACACCAAATCTCCAGGACACCAAGAACACAAGAAAAACATAGGAGGGGATTATCGTATCCACCAGTCTCAAAATACGGACCTCATCTCGATCCAGTTCACTCGGTCGAGTTCGGCCGATCAAAACTTCGACCTTTCAACTCCCAGGCCCATTCGTAAGGCTAAACAGGAGAGACAACGGATCCATGGAACCAAACTAGGTTTTGGATATGAAGCATGGTCCTCAAGCGAAGCAAAGTTGGTCATGAGACCCATATTGGAAGGGCCCCGTAACTTAGATGAAGCTCAATTCGTCTTCACTGTCATCCTCGGAGCATGGAATGACCGATCGTCGCTGAGGAGCGCGGGATTCGGTGGCGACACGCGAGACTGGAGGTCGTCCCGGTCTGCGTCGCTCCACTGTCCGATGGATCTCTGTCTCGACGACCTCTCGAGCGGAACGGATTGGTTTCTCGTCCGCAGGCCTTTTCTGGTTGATGATGACAACCTCAATTCTGGACGGTTTCATGATCGTGGAGTCGGGCTGGCTCCTCTTGCGATTTGACAAGTCACGCAAGATACGCCGCGAAGGCAGCACAGGTTCCAAGGATGGAGATTTCGATTCTGCGCGGGCAGATCGCGGTCTGCTTGTGCTGCCCTCGTCTCTTTTGACAACGATGATGGGGGCCTCGCGCCGACGTTTAGCCGGTCGAGTGGGCGAGCATTCGCTCTCTTGGAAATCTCGCTTAGTGCCGGGACCAATCGAAGGGGACGAAGTCAGGCTCGAAGCGGAGTGATCGGAATGCTCTGGCTCAGTCGAACTGCTGTCGATGGAATTTGGGACATAGGGTGCTCGTCGTGGGGCTGTGGGCATCTGGCCGCCTTTGTCAGGGAATAATTGGCTTGTCTTAAGTGCCGGTGTCCGAGCCACCCATTCTCCAATGCTCTCTTCCCAACGGAAAAGACCTTTTCTTGGACACGGAGGCTGGGCTTCACCGGCACAGGCGGAGTTAGACTCTGTTCGATCCTGGATGGCATTGACTGTCTCCTGGATCTCCATCGCCCATAGATGATCCTCGGGCTCACCCGTTGTCTCCGCAAATTCCATCGCTGCGTCCACGGCGACACGACTCCACAGTCTGCATAACCCGACAGATGCCCCGTCGGCTACATGTGGGAGCATTGAAATCATTTCACGAATGTCACTCCCGGTGTTGTTAGGTTGTTCGCTATCCGAGGCACTGGAATAGCACCGAAAAGTCTGTTTCATAAATAAGGCCAACTCTTTCACTAGGTCTGGCCGCGAAGCCACAATATTCGAACATTCTTCCAGACCAGGTGCTGACTCCAGAGCGAACTCGTGGTTATCGGCCAAGATTGCGTCACTACACAGGACCAGACAATTTGCCAATATAATGCAGCTGCGCCTGAATAGTTCATGCGAGGTGAGATCAGCAATCGCCGAGGGCGATTGCTTTTCTATGTTTTCTTCGACCCTGAACGACAAATAACCGAGTATATGGCCTGCTCGGGTGCCTTTTGCTTCTTCGTAGTCACTTGATCGTGACCGGGAGATATGCATACCACAGAGCGCTGCCAAAAGACTGATGACGTGGTTGCTCAAGGCATCTTCCACGGGCACAGGACACATCCGGGCATTATCGAACCTCTCGATCGACGAGACGGAGAGAGCTCGCGTAAACTGATCCGGGGTCTGGGGGTTGGCTTCCATCGACGGAGAGGTGCTGAGTGGAAGACTCCTGCTAGCGCGTAAGAGAACAGCCTCAATCAGCCTTGAGGCTGTCGCAGAATCGCCATCCTCTCTCGAAAACGAAACTGTAGCCCGAGTCATCCAGTGGTTCCATAATTTGGTTGCCATCCATTCTGGAGGCAAAACCCCACGCTGAAGCAACTTGGAGAGCTCTTTGAAAATGAAAGACCGTGGGCTCGAGTTATGGCTAGAATATTTTCGTAATGCTCGCATGGGGTCTCCCAGTGGGTGAAGGTCGAGTGACGGCCTCAGAGACGGAGGCGGAGGATAAGACGTACGCGTAGAAAGAAATGTTGATAGTAATGTTTCGCACGCGTCGTGGTCGTTCCATTTGCAATTTTCAATCAATGCACAGGCGATTGAATCGGTCAACCATCCATTCTTGATCATCGATGTCACCAGGAACATGCCTTGGGCCCGGACAGCCTCACGGAGTGGCCTCCAGCCCTTGCCATGGGGTGCGTAGTATAGTTCCAGCTCAGTAAAGTATGCATCGCACATATCCTCGTCTATCTCCCTTCTTCTTTTTGTACTTCCTGCTCCGCTGCGAGGAATTCCGGCAATCGTCGCATCACCATTGAAAGCAAAGAGCGTGCACCGCTGTTTCTTTTCGGCGGATTATCGTCCGTATTTTTAGCGATGCGGGTATTATTCAGAAAGTTCTGCAAAATACGGTCGAGATTATGTACGATGTCGCCGAAGCCCGGGTCGCCTGACGCATCCAGAAGTTCCTGCCAAGGGCTTCTATGCAACGAATATCGATCACGGAATACCTGTTGTTGTCTCTGATTATGCAAAGCTTTCGGCTCGCGAGAGGCGGATCGCTGTGACTGCGCACTCGGCGGAAGCTCCCATCGCTTGCCGGTGATCACGGGTGTCGCAAGTTCAATTGCGCCGGGAAGGGTACGAGAGGTTTCGGGGCTTTGGATCGATAGTCTGGTCCGTCGTTTCCCTGCTTTGCCTCTTCCTCGCGCTGAGTATTTGTGCTTGACGCGCCGCTGATCCGGCTTCTTCCCTGGTATCCATACTGGGTCCTCCTCGTCGGCGTCGGAGCCTGATGCAGAGAGGCTTTCGACCGCGGGGATGGGCTGGGAGATAACAGCAGCCACCCCTTCTGGCGTTCGGCTTCTTGATCTCCTCGCTGACTCGGCATTGATGATCGTCAAGGTTTCCTGGTGCTTCTCCAGTCGGCGGTAAATGGAGGTCAAAGGGCGTAGCATGCGATTTGCCCATTTAGCCGTGGGAAGGATGTCATCCATTGGTGCACGCCAAAGATAATTCTATTCACTTAATCTCTGGTCGCTTCGGTCGTTAGTCACGATCCTCGAAGGCTCGGGGTTTTTGAGACATACCGGGATATGAATTGGCGTAAAATCTGCCGCCCGACATGATAATTACCATGCAAAGCCTCCAAATAATGCCGAGTATTCGGAGGCGATGTTGATAAGAAATATTAGATACTCGCGACCGCAATATAAAGCGGCGCGCTCACGTAGGATGTCTCGGGGTGAAAGAAGGAGAAGCGGCACAAGTTGAAAGGTAAACAAAGTGTGGATCCGCCCGAGTGCGGTCAACGAGACGTGGGGGGGGAGCAACATGATCTCCGGTAGTGATATGGTGTCACCTGGGCATGATGCGTTTAGATTACCTAAATTACTTGGGACTATGTCGTTCACACTGTCATATATATTCTGGAGTATTTGGGACACGTCGCATCATCAATGCATGTCAAGATAAAGGGCCATATGGTGCAACCAAATCCATAAACCTCCCCATGCAGTAACCCAGGATAAGATCAACAGACGGAAACCCATAAAACCAAACCAAAGAGGGGAGAGAGATCTAAAATACAACTATTTTCCTGCTCATCACGCTTGACCGAAGCCCCTTCCCCAAAACCGATCATGGAGTATTCTGTTAAGACACGAGACAATGAAAGACAAAAGGTCGAGAACACCGAAAGAACCCTTTTTTTGTTAGGGATAGACTTTCTATGCAGACTTCTTGGAGCCGCGGAGCTTAGGGTTCGCCGCAGTGCGCTTCTTCTTGGAGCGGGAAGCGCCAGCATCAGTGCCCTCGATGAACTTCAGGAGCTCATCGATGCTGCGGGAGTCCAGGCCAGAGGGATCAGCAGTGGGCATCAAGTTCTCTGGAAGACTCTGGCCGATTTGAGGCTGGACGCGCGTGCCCATGGTAGGTGCACGAGGGTTGATGTTGATACGGCGCAGGCGGCGGGCCTGGATATCCTTCGCGTGCTTGGCAATGGAAACAGCATTCTGGGTCAACTGCTCCAACCAAGTCTCGGCTTCCTTGGTGTTGCGGTCCTCCGGGCCGAGCTGAGCAAGGAAGATGTTGTAGGCCTCGCGCATCTTGACAACGGCAGCCTTGGAATCTTGGTCAAGAGCAAGAGCCTGTGCCAACTGGAAGAGGATGGTAGCAGCGTTGATGGACTGCTTGCCAAACAGGTCCTCGCAGACCGAAAGGGAGGCCTCGAACCACTTGCGAGAATCGGCGTACAACTTCAAGCCCTGGAGCATCACCGCGGCGTTGTTCATAGTCGTGATAGAGTCGGGGTGGTTGGTACCATAGATGATCTTCCAGAGATCCATGGCATGTTTGATATATACCAACGCAAGCTTGGTGTTGCCAGAGGCATGCTCAAACAAGCTCAAGTTGAGATAGGCCAAGATGGTGTCGTGGGAGTCCACACCCAGGGTACGTTCAGTGACAATGACAGCCTTGCGAGCCAGCTCAACAGCGGCTTCCTTCTCATCGGTCTGGTAGTAGAGCATGGAGAGCTGGTGGTACAGCTTGGCAACCTCGGGGTGAAGAATGCCGTAGATCTGCTCGTGCAAAGAGAGGGACTCCAGAATGAGCTCCTGGCCCAATTGCTTCTGTTGTTGCATGAGCGAGATACGGCCAGCCTCGAGGGCCTCCTCGGCGAGAGCGCTACGTGGAGACGCATCCTTGACCAAAGGAACAATGTTAAGAATATCGTCAGCAGTGATGCTGACAGGGGGCTTGGACGCCACAGGGGCCGGGCTAGGGGACTTGTTGTCACCGCCCTTCTTGTTGCCCTTCTTCTTCTTGTGGTCCTCCTGGCTAGTGCCATTGGTTCCGTTGGGTACAGGAGCAGGCTCCTTGACGTCAGCTTTAGCGAAAGCAAATTCACGGGCGCCCAACTGAAGACCCAGCTTGATGGCAATATCACGCAGAAGTTGGAGGTGGCGCAAAGAGCCAACCCATCCCTTCTCAAGGGAGAAGCGGTAGCGAATGGTGACCTGCTTCTCAATCTCGGCTTGGAGAGATGCAGGAGTGACCTGCTCGAAAGAGAAGTCACCCTCGGGGTAGACTGCACGCAGCGCCTCATCAATTTCAGGGCGAGGAGCGGCGTTGACATCAGTACCCAGTAAACAGTTGAGCAGATGAGCAGCGCAAGGAGCAGCGAAGGGAGCGGGCACATTGCGCAGGTAGCGGTTAGCAATGTGCTTGAAGGCACGGGCGATCATCTCCTGGACAAGCAGGGTGGAGAGAGCGTGGAGGCGAGCACCCTTCTCGCTAGACAGCTGAGCCAGCTTACCCAGGTAACGGACGTTGATACCACGCTTGTGCAGCAGCTGGGTCAACGACTGTCCGTCCATAAGGAAACCAACATCACCATCATGCAGATCCTGGATGAGGTCAGGAATGACCTTAGATCGGAGATGGTTGCAAGCCTCCTGCACTTCCTTCTCGTCTTGAGCCCACTGTTCCTTCTCCTCCTTGGTCTGAGGCACTTGGCCACTGAAGACATCAGGGTTGAGAGACAAGTTGAAGCCAGAGATATCAACGCGGTCCTGGTCAGCATTTTCCTTGGGCTTCTCGGAATCGCCCTCGGACTTCTCCTTGGGGGCTTCCTTGGCCTTGGCAGCCTTGCGGCGCTCAACCTCAGCATTGACATACTGGCTCATCTTGCTGCGCCAGTAAGACTCAACCAGCTCAAGTCGCAAAACAGACATGCGGTGAGGGTAGACATCACTGCCGTCCTCATTTTGCCACTGGGCATCGAGTGGAGCGACACGGTAAAGGTCAAGGACATATTTGCGACCATCCGTACCCAGCAGGCCCTTGGTCTCAACACTTCCTTCCAGATCGTGTCGCTTGCCATCCTTGTCCCAGACAGGGTGCTTCTTGATGCGAAGAGCCTTGGAAAGCTTCTCAAAAACAGGAACAAAGTCCTGGTGAGTAGCCACGACTTCCTTGCCCTCGACACCACCGTAGTCAATTTGATGCTCGCCAGGCTCGCGCTGCTTGAAGATACCAGGCACGATACTCTGACCTACGATACGCTTGCCGAGGTAATCAACGACGATGGTACCAGGGGTAAACAGGCCGTCGATATCTAGCTGGTTCACAGCCTTGATGCCCAACACGTCCTTGCCCACGGCCACACGAGCAGCCTCGTCACCACCCTCGGAAGCGAAAGTGCCAACACCGTCAGCACCGAAGGAGTAGAAGATATTATTATAAACGAAGATCTGGGCATCCAACTCCTCAGTGGGGTTGAGAGGGGCCACTTCTCCGCGGGCAACCAGCACGGCACCGCGAGCAGCAGCCTCATTATAGTCAGCAAAGAGCTTGGAAGTCAACCGTTCCCGGAAGACGCGGTCCTGAACGCTCTCTCGGGGAAGCTCGCGGGTGGTTTGGAACTCCTCATTCCAGTCACGCAGCGTCTCGGCATTGTCCGCGCCGGCGATCAGGAAGCTCTCCTGGGAGCGGGTGATGTCAGCCTGGTGGGTGCTGAGGCTAGAGTTTGTCGGGGCGACAAGCCATGGGCTATTGGGGATAGCATTCTGGAAGGGGAATGTGGTGAGGAGATCCTTTGCGTTGTTGGACTCCTGCAGCGCCTCGAAAGAAGAGGCAAACGAAGGCGAAATCTGAGAAATCAGGGTAAGAAGAGAGTGAGCGTGGTTCTTCTTAGCCAGCGGGCGGGGGAAAGGATCAAATTTCGCATTGGAAGACTTGTTGACAAAGAATCCCGAAACGTGTGCGGTGATCTGGAAGTACTCGCTCTCGTTGGTGATCACCTGCAGATAAAGCAGGTGGCCCTTCTGGCGAAGGTGGTACGGAACTGGATTCCATGAAGACAGCGAGATCGACTTGACAGTCTTGGGAGGAGGGGTTTCCGCTCGGGGCAAGATTGTTTGCAGCGAGGAGGCGCCCTCCAGGTCGTACTTTGCCAAAGAGTGATCCTTCTCAGAGTCGCCAGCCTTGGCAGCCTCAGCAGTGATAGCATCGTGAAGCGAAAGGCCAGCTGAGATACCGTGGAGGTTGTCGACCCGGTTACCAGCGGCGCCCACCAACTCGCGCATGCGCACAATGTGCATGCGAGCCTCCTTCTCGGTGTATGGGTCCTCAACCAGGACGATCTCGGAGTCGGCCTTCAGGCCAGGCACCTCGGACAGCTCGACGAAGTCATTGATGCGGTTGCCGTTGAATTCGAGGTGGAAGCAAGTGTACTGGAAAGTGCCAGGCAGCTCGACGATCGATTGACGGACATCCTGAACCTGCTCTTGGCTCGAAACCTACATGGTTTGAATTAGAAGGGGAATCAGAGGGGCCAACTGTACGGGAATCACCTACCGTCACCTGGATCTTGTGAGGTGCATGAGGAAGCTTCACAGTAATCAGGAAGAGACCTAGACTAAAGTAAGTAATCTGTCGCATGCCTCCCCTCGAAGAATTGATGCATACCACCAGCATTCTCGTCATCGACAGTCTCATCAGGAGCGGTAACGGCCTGTTCCTTCGGAACTTGCGGAGTCTCTGTAAGATATTAGTATATCTGGTCTCCCGCGTCGTGTGCTTTATTGAATTTCCATTCTGCGTCTACACAGATTGTGGTCGGAGCGCACAGGCGTGTCCGAGTTCACCACCAACCTTTCGAGGGCTCCTGTTCTCCATTTGCCTGAGCCATTATACGTAATCGGTCTGTCGGATAGCAGCTATAGCCAGGTCAACCGACGAAACGGTATCCTTAGCGGAGTAAAGAAATGGCGAAAGGATGGGGAGGGGAAAAAAGGTGTAGCCTCTGAGGGCAGAAAAAAAGAAGTCGCTATTATACAAGAAGAGACGAGAGCAATTGAAGCCAAATAACCCCGGTTCCCCAATGCAATTAAAAGGAAAGGGAGTCTAGTGGAGGTGAAACGGAGAAAATTTCGCGGATGCGGCATACCCTCGGAAGTGCTCGGGCGGTGGGCTCGGGGAAGCTGTCGGGGGAAAGGGCCTCCCCACAGGATCTTAGCGAGTTCTGCATCGACGAGCTCTTTCGTTGCAGGTGTTCTTGGGTATTCGGTCTGATTCATGCAGGATACACGAGGGAACTTGGGAATTGCGTCGGTTTAGGACGTACTGCAGCTCTCGCCTGCCTCAGGCCGCTAACGACGTTGATTGCGAGTCCATTCATGTACCCCTGCCTTTTTGTTCTCTTTTTCTTTTTTGTTCTTCCTTTACTAGACGGACAGCATACCGGCCTATGTTATCGAATTCGATGATTGGCTCCAAGTGTAATATGCTGTGTCTCCCAGAGTCTTTTGCGGATAGAAAGTAGATACCTTGGAAGCCGGAAACTACAAGGTGGGTGAATCAAAGTTCAAGCCATTACCTGAGAAGCCCACCTGGGCAACATCAAAACAAACCCCTGCGCCCTATCAAGCAGATACAACTAACATTGGCTCGTTCTATTGGCTGGCCCGTCCGGTTCATCGCTCAGCCTTATCTTGCACGCCCAAAGCTCTCAGAAAAGCTTGAAACTCGTGTGAGACGGCCACTTGCCAAGCCCCCATAGGGGAGGCTTTGGGGCTGAACGGCTCCACCGCGACTAAGCCACACTCACGTCTCCAGCTGTCTCCTTATCCCCGCCACTCTCTCATTGTCTTTCATTCTCTTTTCGTTTTTGTCACTCTTTCGATCCAATTTCGGGCTATCGCCTGTCCATTCCCTTCAATTTCGCCGCGTGTCATCCCCTGGTGGTGTGGCACAAACTACGGGGATAAGCTTAACGTAGTCGAGTTGGTCTACTCTTTACGAAGTACTTTACACCACACTACCCCAGATCTCCGGATCGCCTTGCACCATATTAGGTTACAGGATTGCATCCAGCATATTCTCAGTGTTGAGCAGCTGTCTTATTCCTTAAGTACAAACTCTGGCCATTAAGGGAAGCCGCAATGCTATGGGCGAAGATCGCATCGCCTTTGTCGTCTTGTGCACGCCGAGGGTTAGGAGGGCAGTTGAGAGCCGCCACTCGTAATTTTCAATCCATTGCTGTGCATCACCACCCAAATCCGCAAAGCTATGGCCAATACACGCCGGACCCTACAGACCAAGCCGACGGGGATGAGGGTGGGGGTAAGGGCCGCAGAAGCGATGACCCAACCTTCAAATCCACTATCTTGAAGATGCTCGAGACCTCTGCGACGACAGCGGCGTCGATATTCATTCTTGGGTAAGATCATTCCTGGACTTACTTTTGGCCGGGCCGGGCCCAGCTAATCCTGCGCTAGTGTGGCTGGTTACTCATACCATCAATACTACAAACGCTTGATCCTTGACAAAATGGACAATGCGTTCAATCCCGGCGACCCCGCCCTTGAAGTAGCCGGCGTCGTCTCGGGCAAACATCAGTACCAGCACGAAGAACACTGGGTTCTCCGGGATGAGCAAGCCAAGATCGACAAAATCGTGTCCGGGGACATTGGAGCTGGCCATTACTATCTCATTATTGGTGAGAAGGGTACTGGAAAGACATCAATGCTCCTCGAGGCAATGCGCAAGATCAATGGCACCGGCTGTGCTATGTTCGAAGCGCATGCTGATTTGGAAATCTTTCGTATTCGACTCGGAAAGGCCCTAGACTATGAATTCCATGAAGAGTACGTCACGCGCTGCTCATCTTTTGTTTTGTGATACTCATCCCTTTGAACAGCTACATCGGCAGTTTGTTCAGTATTCGCGGTCCGAGAGATACCACTGCATTGCTGGATATTGAACGTGCTTTTAACAAACTGGAGAAAGTCGCCCTTGCCAGAAGACGCAAGGGTACCCCACCACTGGTCCTCATCATCAACAGCACTCATCTGGTTCGCGACGATCACGATGGGCAAGACCTCCTCGAGATGATCCAACAGCGTGCTGAGCAATGGGCGGCAAGTGGACTGGTTACCACTAGTAAGTGACTTCGCGGCCATCTATGACTCCCCTGTCTTAACCTCCCGTATAGTCCTCAACAGTGATGACTACTGGGTATATGAACGGCTGAAGCGCTATGCGACCCGGATGGAGGTTATTCCAGTCACGGATCTACCCAAGGATAAGGCGATGAGTGCATTGAAGAGATATCGTCAACAGTTCTGTCACGAAGACCTCCCCGCTTCCATGCTCGAAGAAATCTACAACAAGATCGGTGGCCGCCTTTCTTTCCTAAGCAGGATAGCCAAGTCAAACAATGTCATGGCGACTTGCGACGAGATCTGCCGTGCAGAGAAGTCCTGGTTCCTTAACAAGTGTTGGATTCTCGGTACAGAGATGGATGACGATGTCATGGACGAACAAAAGTTCTCGGTAAGATCACCCCCCCCCCCCTTCCCCGGTTTTTGCGTTCACCCACTGTTCCATTCTATGAGGAATAAGCAGTCTAACAGAATTTCCAGTCTGCTGCAATGGTGCTTGCTAAAGCTCTGGTCGATCGGGAAAAAGAAATGGAGATCTACCACCCAGAGAGAGGCCACATTCTTCCGGAAATTCCTCTTCATAAGGCCCGTGAGATCATGACGCGTGCCGATTTCATCCAGGCATACGATCATGAGAACCTCTTTACCATTGACTCGCGGGCAATGGTGCGTGCTGATTCTGTGCCTATGCAACGTGCTTTCCGGGAGGTTTGCGCACTAGAAGGCTTCGACGATCATCTCGAAGGGACTTTGCAACGCATTGGTGACATTGAGTCCTTGGGCCGTACTCGCGAAATTACTATCAAGGACCTTTGGAACCAGGGCAAATATCGAATTGTTATGCGTGATAACAAGGGCAGGGAGAGCGGTACCATGGAATTTGCTGTAGCAGAGACCGAAGGAGAGGACGACTAGAAGAGTCCTACATTGTGTTATGTGTAATTCTAAACAAGCCAAATTCTTCCTCGTTAATGATCGATTCTTGTCAGTTGGGAAATATTCACGAAATTATTTGATCTTTTGTCAATTATCATGAGGTCATAAGGCAATTTGGCCTTTATGTGTTTGGTTTTGCATCCAAGAAAATGAGTGGCGGGAAGTGGAAAAAGCAAAGGATGACATCATCTCTCACCGCTGCCACCATCAGCTTTCCCAATTCCGTCTCGATTACCTCCTGTTGGAGCTTTCTGTACCTCATGGTTCAAGAAATATCACACGTATTGATCATGGCTTCCAAGAAGGAACAGTCTGAAACAGCTGTCACGCCGCGGGGAGCTCGAGACTCTCGCAGGGCCGACTCGGACAGCTTTCAGCTGTCGCGAACCGCCTGCGCCGCCCGCTTCCTCCTGGTGCTCTTCGCCAGCCTCCTGCTGAGCACGCTCTTCTTCTCGTTGACTGCAAGCCTGAATCGCGATGATCTCGCCATCATCAGTAAGCACCTGGAAGGATGGGAGGAGGTTGCCGGCCTACTAAGCTGGAGAGCTGTTGAGATCGGCTTATCTTGGGGCTTAGGATTTGACAGTAAGCAGACCCCGTAACCACATTCCCTATCAATCGGAAGTAAAACAATCCATCTCACTAGTAATGACAGACAGAGATGTCGCCTCCTTCTTGTTCCTCACCCACCTCCCCACTTACTCCCTGCTGTACTTCTTCTACGGCGTCCGGCCGACTTCGATCCTGGTATCTTTCGCGATCACCATTCTATCAACCGTGATTCCATTCACCTACTTGCGCAAGCCCGCTTCGGTCCATGATCTATCGCACGCGCCTTCCGGCTCCGTGGCAAATCGGACTATCCTGCAAGACCGCCTTACTACCCTCTATACCTCTTTCGCAGCAACCTCTATTTTCAGCGTGATAATCTACGTCTGCTACTCCACGTGGCTTCCAGCTCAGCTGGTGGTTCACTTCGAAAGCATCCCCGATATCACAGCTGCAAGTTCAGGCGCTGCAGGTCTCTTTGGTCTCTACCTGACCCTCATCCCAGCCGGTTTCGCCATACGCGACTTCCTCTTTGTCAGCTCGGCTGGTCGCTCATCGAATGCGGGAGAGCCCCAGCACCCTGTTAGTCGCGAGGGCGAGTATCTGATCACGGCCATCTATCGTAAGACGTGGGGCCGGCTTTCGGCAAAGACTCAGGTTCTCGTTTCCCGCACGTTCATCCTTGCTGCTGCGGTCTTAATCAATTCGACCGTGCAGATTGCAGGAACTATCCGTGGTGTCTCGGCTCAGGGTGCATCCGTGTGGGGTGCGGTTTGGGCCCTTGCGACTGTGGTTGTGGGAGCGCTTTTCGGCTGGATTGAAGCTGCCGAAGGCGTGTAATGCGCGCTAGGAAGAAATAATTCAATTACAGCAAGAGGGAGTATGAAAAGGAGGGCGTTGAATAATGGCTTTTTAATCTGACCCGGCAAGCCTTTACCAGTGCAGTGTATGTGCTCCGTTCTTCCCATTCCCTGCGGTTTCTTTTCTTTTTCTCTTCTTTTGAGGGTCTCAATCGTGTTGAGCTTACTTTCTATTCATGTGAAGAAGACCGGGCTTGTATTATAATTTGTTTCATTGAAGTTGAAGACCACATAAGTGGTAAATTGAGTTTCCAGTAATGGGTTATGATATGCTGCCGTCTGACAGCCGTCGCTTTGCGCCGATGCAATAAGAAGCTCTATATCGATCTAGCTCTCCCAAGGTATCTTGTAAAAAAGGGAATCACACCAAAGAAAAAGCAACCAAAGAAAATACAAAACAACTCCGCAGATATAGACCGAGTCTCACAAACAGAACACCAAGACGCCTAGGCGGCGCGCTGCAGCTCAATCTCCGAGTTGTAATCATTCTTATGCTCGACATTCTCCGGAAGCAACCAGCCAGGGTGCAAGAAGTTGAACACCCCCACAGCAATAACCATCATGGCACCGTCAAGGGCAATGAAGTAGACTTCATGGGTAATCAGATAGCCCGACCAACCCTGCACCAACTCGATAGTACGATAGATGCTCCGCGCGTAAATGACCATCACGGAGAGAACCATGGCAGCCAGCAGCGGGACCACTGAGCCCGATAACTTCTGCAGCAGGCGGCGACGCACAGTACGGAAGGCGAAATCGACCGCACAGATAACGAAGATAGTGATCGAGAACAGCTGGAATACAATACCGGCAACCATGATGTCTGTTCCGGTGCCGGTGTTTCCGTCGTCGACTCCCGCAGAGGCCATGCCGCCACCGATGGCTTGGACGACGAGCGAGATCACGTCGCAGGTGCAGAAGATCCAGAGATACAGACTTGGCGATAGAATGGATGATTCGCGGCCGAGGATCTGGATGAAGCGTCCCAGGAGGACGTAGATGCCTGCGGTGAAGAAGGTGGGCGCTTATATCGAGTTAGTGTTGGATCCCCGGGAGAAGTTCATGGGAAAAAGATACCAATAATGAGGGTGGAAATCTGCATTAGGAATGCGGTGTCGTTGTATGGACAATCGTGGGACCATGTTCGTCCCGCCCATCCGATTAATTCAACTGTAGGGAAGCATCGTTAGACCTTCCCAGTCCTTGGGTTAAGGGCTTGCTGGTAGTTCCTTACCCATACAGCCAATGCTAAACACCACACACCACCATGTCCGCTTCCAGCACAGTTGCACCGTGTGAGCGATCATGGAAACTCCAAATAGAACACAGAAGGTAATACCTGCCCCTAGGCTTGGTACGTATCCATATGAAGTTCCGATTCCGGGGACATAGGCTGCGCATGCTGCCTTCCTCATCGCAAGCAGATCGCTGTGAGACATCTTGGGAGACAGACGCTCCAGCCGTAAGGAGCGTGATATACAGTGGGAGATAAAACGAGTGGACAGACTTGCGGGAGGAATGTTTTTACTGGGCTCAAGTTCTCCGTGCGTTGGAGCAAGAGCAGAACTCGGGTACTCTTCAGCCTCGGGTCTGGTAGGTGATATAAGAAATATATAGGAAAGGGGAATTAGGCTTGGGCACGAGGCTCACGGCAGTGAAGTATGAAATGTCCGCACGGAGTAGGTGTAAATTTCCACGCCCTGCGAGATACTTTACAACAATTATATCATAAAGCCCAGGTTGGAGGACTCCGATCGGATTTCAAAAAAAAAAAAATTCCGACGGCAGCTAGATTGTGCCAAGTCGCGGCTGCAGTGGTTTCCTCCGTACATCCCTGAGGATTATCTGCTTGGGGAATTGATATCGCGGAGGAATATGGCGTAGCCTATAAGCGATCGAGATTTGCATGACTCGCTGCCAAGGTAGAAACGTGGCAAGGCAAAAAACGTACTCGGATAGTATGGTCGACTCGCAAGAAATCCCAGGAAGGGTTTAGCGTGGATGGAGCCTGCGAAACGTCTCGCAAACGAGTCCGTGCGGTCGCATTGTCCCGCAATTCTTTTCACGTTTTTTTCGCACGTTTGATACCCCATTGGGACGTGGCGCGTATCTCCGATCCGGCACACCCGCGCCTCGTTCAAGTATATAGACCCTTGTAAACAGAGGGTGTCTTTGGGGCTCAATTGGGCTGTCTAGACTCCACGGGAATCATGGGAGAAGGTTGACCTCATCAGGATGAGATACCTCCGACAAGGCTTGGGGCATTCTGCATAGCGAGCATTATAATTAGACTTCCGGGCTTGGAGCCAATAGTAGGACCTGCTAGCACCAGAGGAACAAAGTCTGATTCAGATGAAATTAACGGAAAGCTCATGAATTCAAGCGGACCGAAGCAGATGAAGCCTTTAAGAACGAGAAACAAAAAAGGCTTTTCGCAATCACGGCCTTGCCTTGTATCCAGTCGCAGTCTCAGCACAAATCTCACGGCCACTAAGCCCGAGTGGGCCATGGATTGTTCTCGGAAGCCGCTTAAATTACTAACCACTTCTCGAGGGTGGGCGGAGCTGTAAGCATCATCGGGTATTGCAAACTGCCTGCACCTCCGCAGTAGCATGTGTCCTGAGCTCGACGCCTCACATGTGCTCGTTCTGATGCAGGCGTCGACAACCGATTATGCCCTGTGCGAGATGGTGGGCATGGATGTGTCCTCCGATGGCATGGACAGGGAGATCGAGGAAAGAGGTACAGATATTGTCTCCGGAGCTCTGCTGGTCCCAGGACAAGAAATCGGCAACTAATAGGGCAATGCGTCAAGGCGAAGCCATCCCCATCATCCATAGATCAGAGCTTGTACCACTCAACTTACCCCCGTTGCCAGTGCCGCGACATTACGTGGAGCGGGCCTTGTCGTATCGTAAGCTTGAACCCCATAGGCCTCAGGGAGGGCCCCCTCGCTAGCAGAGCTTACGGGACTATAGGGCTCTCCGTAATGACGCCTCGTGTACTGCCATCTCGCAACGCATCCAATCCCTATCTCCAACACTGGTGGCCAATGGCACTGACTGATCAGGCACTTTTGCAAGCGGTTGTACTTTCTTCGCTCTCTCACGAGAGAATTAATGGCTGGCTTTCAGCTAAACCGGGCGGTCTCAGCATAGATAGCTATATTCTTCCAGGCTTAGAGACATGCTACTCCGAGGCCGTAGCAACACTAAACGGAGTCCTCCGTGACCCACGTCGAGCAACAACCGACACCACCATATTAGCGGTTCTCATGATGCTTGAAAAGCCTATCACCAAGCACCACGACAAATGGATCAAAAAGTCTCCGTTCCAAGCTCCACTCCAGGGGCTACAATGGTTAAACGTTCATAGTGCCAGAGAACCCGATTTACAGCATCAAATGGGCCTTTGCAAGCTCATCCATATGCGGGGTGGCCTCGCCAATATCGAAACGCCGGGACTTGCAGCGGCAGCATTTTAGTAGGTAGTCAGCTTCGCTTCCCCATTACCCGTGTCATCAAGATTATGAAGTGGCCGAGACCTAACCGTTGTCCAGTCGGGTCTTGGTAAATTCGACGCTTCTCCTCTGCCGTCCATCCCTTCCCTTTTGTGCCTTGTCAGACCAACGCACGTCTGAGCTCTATATCCCCATCGGAGCCACTGATAGTCTAGACATCCTGGATGGGATTGGCCTCAGTCCGGTCGTGCATCAAGTGATGCGTGAACTGAAAGCTTATACGTCCATTATTGAGCAATACATGGAAGGAAGCAGTCCGACATATGGCGCGCCTGCAATCTGCGACATGCGAAATCTTGTCCAGTATCATCTAATGTCCATAGGCCCCGTCTGCAGCACGAGACTCAATGATCTATCAGAGGTCTGTCGGCTTGCCACCATAATTTACAGTGTCGGCGTAACCTTCCCCCTAGCTGGAGGCAGTACGCCCTTCGCGACACTCTCAGTAGACTTGATGAGCGAACTGACTGCCAATAAACTCATGGACTCATGGTATCTGCTAGAGAAGGGTGACATCTTGCTCCTGTGGGTTTTAGCAATGGGGGGCATTGCAGCCCCGGACAGGGCAACGCGGGATTGGTTCATTGAGAGCTTCGCTGAGGTCATGTACTGCTCCCAGAATGTCCAGTGGAGACGCCTAGGTCCAAAGCTGCAGATGATCCTGTGGTCAGAGAGCGCATGCAATGCAGCGGGGACTGAACTATGGAGCGAGGCTTATTCACTTCTCCAGCAGCGAGCGGAGAAGCATTCTGTACGTTGGTCGCCTGTCCAGCGATCTCCTTGTGCTCAGTGCCGCGCAAAAAAAGGTCAGATGTGACAAGGTCGTACCGTGTCACAACTGTGTGAGCAGTGGATTAGAGTGTGCTCCGGGATATCTCTCTGAGGATCGTCCGGCCAGGGTATCGGGCTTTTCTTCGCGTCAGATACCATGTGATTTATGCCGGCGGCGGAGAGTCCGGTGTGATAAAGGGAGACCTTGTAAACGCTGTCAGGATGGAGGCGTTGAATGCGCTTACGCAGATGGCTGATTGGTCCGGTTTGGGAAGGAAATGGGTGGGGTTCCATAACCGCATCTTCTGAGCTCAGACCTCGCAGGAACCGTACAGCTTCGGGGCTAGGGTGAATACGAGACTTTCAGGATATTATGGGAAGCTACATCACATAGATTCAAGGACCGGCAAACTTCGGGACTTGGGGAGAGCTGGGTAGTTGAACATATATTATCGTGAATTTCCGGTACAAATTATATGTAGCTAGAGAGCTAAGGCTTGAATTTCAAACTTCACGATGTTGGGAATGGTCTCCCAGATAGAAGGACCCTCCGGCTCCCAGCCCAAAGCGCGAAGGCGGCTAGCACGGCTGCGGCAGTTCCCTCCCCAGAGCACCGGAGCCCATGGGTGAAACTTGAGTGCTTCCTCAACGGACAACTCTTCAACTTCCGCAGTGGCAATCTTGCCTTCCTGGGAAGCCGCCTGGGCCACTTTCTCACTCACCTCCTTCCATGAAAATTCGCCAGACTCAACGAAGTAGTAGCCCTCGGGTCCCCAGGCAGCTGCACCACCGTTGGGTTTCAAAGCTTCCTCGGCCAGCAGGACGAATGCCCTGGCCAAGTCCTTGATGTGGACATCTAAAAGAAAGGTTAGCCGCTTTCCTTGTGGGCTGGGAGAGCATGCATGATTTGCGGGCGACTTACAGTCCCGAAGATTGTTTCCTTTACCGACAGTGAAGCCCTTGCCCCTCTTCAGAATAGCCTCGGTGAGGAATGGCACCTGCATACTACGCTTCTTGACAGGGCCCTCTCCCACGCCATAGATAGTAGGAGGGCACACAATGGCCGTCGGGACCTTTTCACGCAGTCCGCCCGTGATAACGGCATCGTCAACATTGCGGTGGAGAGCTTCAGCTGGCAAATTGATGATCTCGGCAATATCAGTCACATCATCGTAGATCTTCTCGGTGGGGTTTCCTGGGCCAGTAGACATGTCGTTCAGGACACCAGTTCCGGAAATGTGGATGAAATGACCCTTTCCAGCCCCCAATCCCTTCAGCAAGGAGTTCACGGCGGGGACGTGGTCGGAACTTGCGGTTTCTGGCCAGAGAAAAGATAAGTCGGGGGGCGCTCAGAAGTATAGAGCTTGAAGAAGAGACTTACGCAGCACAACATCGGCCTTTACCGCCTCCTTCTTCAATACCTCGTCGTCATCAAGGGTCCCAATGACAGTGCTGATCTTGGGCCAGACACTCTTCAGCTTGCTTGCTTGTTGCTGGTCGCGCACCAGCGCCACTACGTCGAGCTCGGGATGCGCAGCAATCATAGTCGCTGCGACCTGGCCACCGACATATCCAGTTGCACCAGTGATGAAGATTCTTGGGGACATCGTAGTGTCGGGCTAGAGTGTTTGGGTTTGGAAGATAATTGATCGATGATCGATTGATTGTTGGATGCAGTGCTTGGGAAGATTGGATAGCCATCTTGAGGCGGGTGCAGACTGCGTCTTTATACCAGAGTCAGGTTGATTTATTAGTGAGATTGCTAATGCAGTTTTCTCCAAGTCCATGTTTAAGCGAATGACAAATCCCCGTGGTTGGGAGGTGAAGCGATTCAGAGATTCTATAGACCGTCTTCCCTTTTGGGTAAAGCTTCGCCGGGCTCGCCGAGCTCGCCGGGACTCAAAAGACCAACCCGCCAATCATGGGCTTCAGCGTGAACCTCACAAAAGTCGCTGGGTCCTAATATAGTAACTGTCTAGCCGGCTAAACAGTTTTGCACCCTTAGTGTGCATTGTCACATCACCATCCTATCTACCTCATGGTTTTGATGAGCTTCCAGTGGTCAGGTTCCAGAATAGAGAATGACCGATTCTAGCAGGAAGCAATAATGGGCGGTCGACTCCTTACCATCCACCTGAGTGCTGTCGCCGTGTTTCAGTCAAAGGCCAGGCTACTAGAAATACCAGGGAAGGCGTATTCTGATGGAGGGGTGCATAATAAGATTAACGCATCAAATCACTAAATCATGAAAGCTTCTGTCTCTAGACCTGATCCACATTCACCACCATTCAGTTGAACTTCGGGACATCGTACAAGCCGTCGGGGTCTACCACCATTCACATTAGTATATCATATTTTTCCACTTGAGATTCTTTCACTAACCTTGGTGATGCGCAAGGATGTATTTCCTTGATTCGGCAATGTCATGACCGAACCCTGCTTGCAGCTCTTGACTTGCAATCTGAACCTTTGGATTGTGCCTGGCAGCACCTGCCACAGCCGCCTGCGCGACGTGGTAACGCGAAGTGTGATTCAGAATCATCATATCAAACGGCGTGGTTGTACTGCCTTCTTCCATGTAACCGGCGATGGAAACCCTCTCGAGGCGCGGGCGACCAAATAGCAAGCCCTGCAGCTCTGTCGGATAGCCATGGTAATTGAAGTGAATTGGTTTATCCGGAGTAAATAGATTGTCAAATGACTCGGTGGACAACGCATGAGGGTGAGAATTAGCGGTCTCTAGAATCATCAGGTCCGTGACATTGACCACGCGGACGCGCAGAGAAGGCGCTCGCTTTCGAAGGAGGGCCGCTGCTGCAATGACTTCAAACATCACCTCAACTCCAATACCTACCAGCACCACGTCTGGGTTAATTCCTTCGTCGGTGCTGCAGAATTTCCAAACAGATGCCCCAGCACGGCAGTGGCTCTCGGCTTCCTCTGCCGAGAGTACACGGGAGTGGGCTGCTTCGCGCCGACCATAAGATTGACATGGTCTTTCGAACGCAGGCAATGATTCACAGTCGATAGGAAGGTATTCGCATCAGGCGGCAGATAAACTCTGGCGGCGGTGGGCTTGAGTTTCAACAATGCCCCGATGAACGATGGGTTCTGGTGTGAGAAGCCGTTGTGTTCCTGTCGAGTCCAGGTGCTTGTTTCGATATAGTTGATGCTGGCGATCGATGCGTGCCATTTGGTCTCCTCGGCCTGTGACAAGGATGAGACAACGATGAGCAAGGAAGCAATATAACACATAACAAAGAGATCTCTCATACCATTTTCATGAATTTGGAATATTGCACCATCATCGTGTGAATAATCCCAAGGAAACTTTCATAGGAAGGGAAGAGAGCCACTCTGCCAGTCAAGGTATACCCCTGCATGAAGCCCTGGCACAGATGCTCACTCAGGACCTCAATGACACGACCTCCACGGGCGTTGGAAAACTCGTCCCATTGGAAGTTCCGGTTGGTACTTTCGAGGGCCGCACCAAGCTTGTTGCTCTCCAGTTCGTCAGGCGAGAACAGTCGCACGCTGTGTGGATTCTGAATGAAAACTTCATTTATTAGCTTGCCCACCGATTTCATGGCGCTTTCTTCAGTCCCGGGCTTGGCGCAGAACTTTTCCCATTCTGGTAGCTTGGGCGCCGTATAGGCATTGTAGGCTTCAATTCGCTGTCCAAGCTTCTTGGCGTTCTCTGTGGGAATGACAGATTTGATCTCGTCGATTGCATCACCGTTCGAAGTGAAAAGCTCCTGAGGGCCATAACCTTCGAGCCACTTCTGAAGCAAATCCAACTCTTCTTTGTCTGACTTGGCTTTTGGCAGTGGGACCTGGTGGGAGTGGAAAGACCCCTCAATGAACTGCCCATGGAGCTGCTTAGGTCCAGACCATCCCTGTTTCGCTGAATCAGTGTCACGCTCCACCTATCTAGATTCTCCCCACGAGTGAACTCACTTTGGGTGTTCGGAGGATCAACATTGGCCATCGCGGTTTGATAATTGGTTTCCCGGATCGGGCGGCCTGCTGAATCTTGTGGATCTCGTCGATCGCCCAAGCCATTGAGCAGTGGAGGTCTGTGTCAATATCATTCAGATCCTCCACAATCCGTACCTGATATCCATATCCACTGAAAAGAGCCAGGAGCTCCTTGTTATCCATGCACCCGAAGATAGTCCGCTCGCTGATCTTGAATCCATTGACATGGAGGATCGGCAGGACAGCACCGGACTCCTTCGGATCAAGATACTTGATAGCGTGCCAAGATCTGCCACTGTCAGCGCCTTTGCGTAATGATTCTTGCGATTTGGAGATACGAACGTAGCTGTTGGGCCTGTCTCAGCCTCTCCATCACCAACAATGCAGGGCACAATCAAGTCTGGGTTGTCCATAACGGCACCGAATGATACCGCCAATGCATATCCAAGTTCTCCACCTTCATGGATTGCACCGGGGGTCTCGGCGTTTATATGGCTGTGGAACTGTTAGTCCAGAAATTCCGGCTGTGGTACAGGGAGCTGACCTTGGAAGCCCTGCAGTCGTGCTGAAGGTAGAAACAAGCTGGTGAAGCCCCTTCGCGTCCCGCGAGTACTGAGGATAGAATTTCTCCAGCGATCCTTCTAGCCATAGAGCAGCCAGAATTGCGGGTGCTCCGTGTCCTGGGCCGACGACAAGAAGCATATCTAGATTCTTCGTTCGGATGAGGTAGTTGAGGTGAGAATAGACGAGAATGAGACCAGGACATGTTCCCCAGTGACCTGAATAGATAGAATTTCATAAGTGACTTTGTTTTTCCTGGTAAGCGAGGGGACAAATCGTACCCAGCAGGCGTGGCTTGATATCGTCAAAGGTGATCTTCCGTTTCAAAAGAGTATTATCCTGCAGGAAAATCATAGCTGCCATTCTTTAGCTCCATGCCCGATCACTCAAGGAGAATACGCGATGTGTATACCTGCGGCGATATAGGCCGCTGCCCTTCTGAATTTGATCAAGGCATCACAGGCCTTTTGGTCCAGCGTCTCATTTGGAAGGCTGATTCGGAGATCATAGAGGCTGTCTGGCAGGTGGGAAGGCAAAGGCTGGGGATTTGGGCGGTCGATCACTTCTCCTGGCATTGTGACTACTAGTACCTGCTGAGGTCTTCAACCAGTGCCTTCGAAAGTTGCTGATGAAAGTATCCATTAGTGCCAGTCGCGGATGACCCGGATGGCCCGGATGACAGTGACGGTGTGGTTTCTCACTTCAAGTTCAGGTTGTTCCAAGGTTGGAACTCGAATGGTATGCAAGTCCTGGGGCTTGAGAGGGCACGATATGTTTCTAAAGATTTGGCGGGCGTTGCGAAGGGAGAATCCAAGTTCACAACCTATCTAGATGAGACTAATGGGACGACACTGGTACTAGTAGTCCATGATTCAATAAATTACTAAGGATGGTGTCATTCAAGTTATGTTTTATCCAGGCCTTGCTTGCAATTGAGTACTTAGTGTGAAGTGCGACGTCACCATTCCCTCATACCCGGACACTATTTCCGCCATCAGAACCAAGTTGCTCACAGCTATTTATCGCGCTCGAAGAAGTTTTGAGCTCTCCCAGGATTGTGAATGCAACATGGCTAAGAAAATCCTCTCCGTCAATGCGGGCTCGTCGTCGGTCAAAGCGACCTTTTACACGCTTGAGAACCCGCCCGCCGTTATCGCCGAAGCGCAAGTTTCAGGCATCACTGCCCCACCGCCCGTTTTCAAATACAAAGGTGGCTCGAAAAAGAACATCAAGGAGGAGCTGAAGGAGCAGATTAATTCACCACAGGACGCATTCAAATATATTCTGCATCGTTGTTTCAATGACCCTGAGCTCTCTGGTGTAGCCAGCAAAGACGATCTGGCCTATATCTGCCACCGAGTGGTCCACGGCGGCGACTATGGAGCGTCGGTCGAGATCAATGATGAGACTATACACCACCTCGAGGAACTAGAGGATCTTGCGCCGCTGTAAGTTCTTAAGAGTCTTAGTATAGCTGGAAACCCCGCCAACCGCCAAACTAACCATGAGCTTTATCTAGACATAATTCATCTGCGCTGGGGATCATCAAACTCTGCCAGAAAGAACTCCCAGGCGTAACAAGCATTACATGCTTCGACACAGCTTTCCACAACACTCTCCCCGACCACGTGAAAACATACGCCATAAACCAAGATATCGCCAAAGCAAACGGGCTGCGCAAATACGGCTTCCATGGAATAAGCTACTCCTTCATCCTCCGATCGGTGGCCCAATTCCTCGGTAAACCAGCCGAGAAGACCAACGTGATCGCAATGCATCTCGGTAGTGGAGCCTCGATCTGCGCGATCAAGGAAGGGAAGTCAATCGATACCTCGTGAGCACATGAAGTACCCCAATGAACAAGGGCCACTCAACTAACGCGGCTAGAATGGGCCTGACTCCAGTGACAGGACTCCCTGGTGCGACTCGAAGTGGTGATATTGATCCCTCGTGAGTTTGTCCCGGTGTACATTTTCCCGATGCCATCCTCTCTCCTCTCGTGGTCGAATGCTAAACGCGGCTCCAGATTGGTGTTCCACTACACGAGCGATGCCGGCAAGCTGAGTCCGGCCAGCACAAAGGATATGCATATTAGCACGGTATCGGGTCTTGCCCACCCTGCGACATAAAGCACGGAAGCTGACTGTATACCAGGCGGAAGAGATCCTGAACAAGAAATCCGGCTGGAAGTCATTGACGGGTACGACCGACTTCGGCGAAATTGCCGTCGACAACGCCCCGCCCTCGCATAAGCTCGCTTTTGATATTTTGGTCGATCGCGTGCTGGGGTATATCGGGAACTACTTCCTCAAACTAGACGGGCGGGTAGACGCTTTGGTGTTTGCCGGCGGGATTGGCGAGAAAAGCGCATTGCTACGGCAAGCACTCTGCGCGCGATGCGAGAGTCTAGGCGTGTCGATCAATGCTGAAGAGAATGACAAAGGCCCCGATAACGAGACAGTGAAGGATATCTCCCAGGGATCCGGCAAGGGGCCGCGGGTGCTGATTTGCCAGACCGATGAGCAGGTGAGATTCTTTCCCGATCGCTGGTGGTGGTTCTTTGCTAATTGGCGATTTTTACCCCTCAGTTCGAGATGGCATACCATTGTGTTTGCTCGCGGGCACACTGAGGCGTCGCGCCGTGGCGACCTTGGAAACAAGATTGTGGGATTCCTGGAAGCTACAAATGCAGATGTGACAGGTGGATATGTGGATACGTGGGCTTGAAATATTTTGGCTATGACATAGATCAACAAAGCCGGAGAGATCCGCAAGGATCTCCGATTGAGATTTGCCAGGAACGCGGTCGGAGGGGGGTCCTTTCGAGGTTGATTGGCCCTCAGCTTGTGGGCGGAGTACGTAAAGAAATAGACGGAGGCGGTCCCTACATTCCAGTGTCCTGTATCGATTTTGTGAGCGTCCGCGATGATTCGGTCTAGAATGCTGAGCCATGGTCATTGGTCGCACTACGTATTCTTGCGGGCAGAATCCATGGATGTATCACATTAGCTATGACGGAGCTACCAAATGCGATAGCTTGCATTCGGATACGCGATCGCGCCAGACATCCCCCAGCCCGGGGGTGTAGCGCCATGGATGCGAGAAAGGGTTCTTGGAGAGGGTAGGATCGTGTGGCAGCTTGATGTGACCAGAGCAAACCTTGGGTAAATAGAATGAAGCATGCTAATCATTAAGGGACCTTTGGATCCCGATGGATCTGCGCCAAGCGCTCGAGTCCAAGACAGAGAGATCCGAGAGCTGCGATAATGTACTCCGTACATCACCCAGCAGCTCGCCCATTTGTTTACATATTTGGTCCGAGACTCCGGATGTAAAGAGATGCAGCAGATGTACCTGATAATGCAAGCCGCAGGTCAAACAATGTTGCACAGGGTGAAGTGATCGCTGCTGCAGGAGATGTTGTGCTTTGCAGCGCAACTCTGCACTCCGCAGCCTGCACTCTGCAGCTATTGTAAGAGCCGAGGACTCACCACGACAAGACCTCAAAGGATACATATTTCAGGGGCTCTAAAGGAGGGGGGGTTCTTTCGTATCTCACAACCTTGAGCTAAGTGAGCACATTTTGAGTCAAAGACTCCACTGAACCGCTAGCGTCCATGGGGGAAAACAGGCGTTGCTCGTTGAATGGCCGCGGAAGTTGGAGCACCGAAGCCGGATCCCAGAAAATAGTTCCAAGTGGGTCGACCTTGCCGAGTGTCTTCGCATTGTTCTCTGTTTGGTTCGATCCATCGACACCAAGGCTGTAATCTTCTGCCCCCATGCTTCTAGCCTAGACTCTGCTGCATCACCGTGAACTAGGTGATGCAGGCCGATGGAGACCCCATCGCCAAAGGGGTGGGGGATGGGCGCACCAGACCCGGCAGGGAGGAAGTGCTGATGATCTCTCCCGACAACATGGGTGCTGGGGCGGTGGAGCTTCGGCGATCGTCATTTTTTCGATTTCCTTTCCCCCCCCAAGCACGCTTGACACCTGCGAGGTGTCCTGCCGTAAATGGAGATGTCACTCGATACCTGAACTAGGAGCCGGAATCTCCACTCCTCTGGACTCTGGACGCGTTCCGGCTGGCTCATCCTAGCAGAGACGGCTAATGCTGGCGGATGTCCCCGTGGTGCAGTTTCCCGCCGATCTTCAGCCAGCCGATAGTTCGAGGCGTACGAAGTACCTGTTCGGTGGAAGTCAGAGAGATCGAGATGGTGCTCAAAAACAAGTCTAGAAGCGGACCGGAATCCCAGGTGGTGTTTCCCCGAGAAAGAAAAGGACGGGTCCAGCCTTGACAGCCCGCCAAAATCCCCGTAGGGAGCCCCGGCTTGCCCTTTTCAGGATTCCATCGTGGATCATTCGATCCAAATGCTCGGGCAAGCGCAGTTTCCTTCTTTCACGCCGTTGCGGAGTACACCGTACCAGCGGAATACGATCCGGGCCCGGCCGCGAGAAGCCAGTTGTTCCAGAAGGCTTCTTTTTAATGGGTTCCAGAAACCCTTTTTGGGCCTAAGGATCGTCCGGCTTCTCTTCCGCGATAATCTAGCGATTCGCCTTGGAATTTGGGCCTGTAATCTGCCCTATCCCAGCCCGAGGATTTTCGTTGGGTGGCTAGGAATAAAGTAGGGTGAGGAGATTTTCTAAAAAAAAGCTAAAAACATAAACTAAAATGGGGATCACAAGCCTCCTTCCTAATAATCAGAAAAGGGAAAAAGAAAATCACAGGTTCTAGGCAGTGATTCTGCGACTAATCAACAGGTGACCGACGAGACACCCAAAATACGCGCTGCGGACAAAGCGAATAACGTTCGCCACAATTTTTGGGTAGTTGACACATCGATCGGCTGTCAAATCGTACAAAGAATTGGATGTCAAAGCTAGTGGCTCCCCCCCCCCCCTGCTTGTCCATCAGCTGCAAGGCGATCAATGTATGTCCACGATGGCCCCTGTTCTCAACGCCACTTGAAAGGCGCACTGCATGTACATTGGAACGGCCAGTGTCGACCTGGCGGTATACCGCGACCGGAAGATTCCACTGTTATTGATGTGCATCCTGCATGATCAGCAAAGGGAAGAGGTACTTTTGAATCCTTTTTTCCATTTTGTGGCTACCGAATCCCTGCCCTTGGGACCCCAAGGAGCCTGCAGGGAGCACGACCCCATCCATACTGATACAGGTCACAATCTCAATACCTTGATAAGTCGGGCTCAGCAGCGGTTCATGCATTACAGGTAAACCTTGTTCCCGCGCGGGTGGACTAATGCATCGAGCCGAAGTCTGGAGACGCGTTTCCAGGAACCCGCTGTGGCGAGGGCATTTGACTGGGTCGCGTCTCTCGTTCCAAAAGAACCGACGCCGTGGTCCGATTGACCGTTGCTAGCGTCAGGGGGAGGAAGATAATCTCACTCTACGTCAAACACAGTCGCGATCCAACGCGCTTGCGGACGGCTTTTCTTTTCTTTTTTTCTTTTTGCTTCCTTTTCATCTCAGCGTGCCCGGAATCTCTTAAATGGGAAGCTCGACGGAGAGTGCCCGCGAAGGCTTTTGGCTTTTCTTCGGGATTACCCAAGCCATTGGGTCTTGAAAGCGTTCTGGAAGGGTCGCGTCCACAGTAAACGGGTCTTTCTCTCCCGTTTCTAGCCTCGTTCTAGCTGTGAGACAAACGGGGGCTTTCCCGAGGGAGTTTAGTAGTCGGGCCCACCAAAGAAACGGAATCATGTTCTTCTCTCCGGCGGATTGCCCTCCCCTATTTTTCCTTACCGTGAGCCCCCCCAAGTTCCACTGGGGGAATCGAGCTGCAACGTAAATTACCGGCCCATAAATTGGGGCTTCTCAACCGCGTGCGGCCCACTATGGATCAACAACAAGCCCCATCTTGGGGCCAGTTTAGTCCCCTTGTCTTGGGTCCGCTATCATTACGAATAGGAGACTCGGGGCCTAGCCGCAGGGAAGACAAAGGTGGCTGGGGAGATAATTTTGCACCTATGGCAAGGGCCAGTACGGAAGAGAGATGGTGGCTTCTCGCGACCTCCTTTTTCTGGTCCCGTGGAGAAGCCTCTGCCCGTCTTTCTCGATCTCGCCAACGGCTGGCGGACTCAATTCCGCGGGTAGATCATTCAGGCCCGATGACAGAGTACAATTGCTTCTCCTATGGAAATCCCCGACGCCACAGACTTCATACTTTTGTCAATAGGATGTCTATGGCGGGTGCGGTTACGTTGGTCAACTTCAGCCCCTCGGAGAAAGTATAACCTGTATGGAACACGTCGACCTCGATATTTGTCAAAATCATCGTCGCTTTGCCCACAAACCGCTGAAAGCGCTGGACTTGTCAGAGGTTGGCCTTTGAGAAGCCCTTTTGTTAGACAGCCACAAATAGACCGAAAAATCGAACCTCGAGTGAAACAGGTTCTCCCTGAGGTGGCGCTGGATCGAAGGAATTGATAGCGAATAGTGTTTTGGCGTTTTTTTTTTCCTGACAGGGGGGGTTTGGGAAATTTCGCAGAATGGGGAAACACCCCCAGGCTACCAATGACGAGTTCCAGAGTGGCGAGAAAGGGCGGACGCAGCTATAAGCTTGCGGTATTCTACCTCGAAGGAATCAACAAATCCTCGAGATATGGGGGTGGAGCTCCCGGGACTTTGTAACTGCTTTCTGCAGTTCGCGGACCACCGAGAGAAGAAATCCAGAAGGGTTGGATGGAGCATTTTTACCCAGGCTTGTATCGTTACATACCCCGATGTGATTGACCCGAGCTATCGGGTATGGAAAGGCTAGAAGGGAAGAAGAATGTTCATACGTAACCGAGACCGGAGTGGGCTTGTTCGGGATTCCTGATTTGACTTCTTTCGACCCACCTGCGACGGAGCCCCGTAGTGCGCCCTAGGAAGATCCACCTTCCCCCTTATGATGAATCCCTGATCCCATCACGTCGAGCTTCAGACGGGGAATATCGGTTGGTTCGTGATACTCTATGTGGGCGCCTACGCCAGGATGTACTGGCCACGAGATCAGACGGGCAAAAAAAAGTAAAGAGAATAATACGAGGCGCCAAAAAAAAGCAACAGGTTGTTTGTTTCGCAATCTTGAGACATTCAACGGGCGTCGGGCGCGACCACAAAGGAAAAGTGATCACACCACGATCGGCTTTGTTGGAATCGAGGATTGGTGGTGGGATGCAACCATGGGGGAGTAGAAGAAAGCGCTATTGGCCGGGGGCCAGACCTAGGGCTTCCCGGGACCCTTCCTGATGGGAAAGAGAGATAACGGACTCGAAGAATAGAAACCGTCCAGGTTGGCATGCAAACCTTGTGAGAAGCCAAGCGTCTGGTCTTGATTACCTCGATTACCTTGATTACCCGGGGGATGTGCAATAGCGAGGTGCTAGCCTGCTTTTAGTCTGTTAGGGGGGGAGGGGAGCCTAGGTATCATATGTCACTGGGAAAGACACGCTCCGCCTATAACCATCGTCGGCACTAGCTAGGATGTTGTCCGGAACGAACATAGGTTAAACAGCCCAAGTGACCCATCCGCCCGAACGACCGAACCACGCGAGAGACGGATTGAACCAAGGGTAGACCTGCTCGGATGGATCCGCCTCTTGTTCCTGCCTCCCCTGCTCCACTTTGGAACATGCCCCGGGGCTCTGGTTCTGAGCTTCCTGGTGGGGATAGAACGGAGTACAGATTACATGTCGAGAAATCCCCGAAGCCTGTACGGAGTAAGTTCAAGAGAACGAGGGAAAGACCTGAGATGTCTTTCAAGGTTCTTCCCGAGGCGCGGGATCAACCCTGGAAGGCGCGAAGCAACCTATCGAATCTAAAGTTGCTGCATCGTACTTTTGGAAGAGGCTAGGGTCCCCAGATGCAATACATCCACGACAAAAGTTGACGGATCGCATTAGAGGTGATCTACGGAGTACGTGACGTTGGGAAAGGGGGTGTCTACATCTTGCATCGCATCTGGCATTGGGGCTTTTTGTTTTTTTGGAGCCTGTTCCCCAGGGACGGGAGAGCCGCTCGACTGCTAAACAAAGAATTTATGGATCCCAGGAAGCCCCAGAAGCCCCAGAAGCTTATGATTGTCTCCTTTTCCGTCTCTTTGGGATTTTTTGCCCTTTTAGTAATCGGATTTTAGCTTTTCTGGTAATTTCCCTTTTCCACTTTTCCATTCCTTTTTTTTTTCTACTTTCTTTTTTTTTCTTTTTTTTTTTCCCCCCCTTTTTCTGATTTGACTGTTCCATGTCGTCCCTTTTTTTTAGGTCCCCGGTTTGACTATTTTGTATTTATCATTTATTTATTATTTTACCAAAATTTCGTTCAAGGGATGGTTTTCGCTTTACGTTCCCCCATACTAGCCCAACACGTAGTCTCCTTCAGATTAAAAATTCAATTCGTGAAATCATTAAAGAAAAATAATTTATCACAAGATCGTCCCGTGCCTCTAGACTAAGCGCCTATATCTATGCAATCGCCCCCCCTGGGATTTCGGAGATTCTTCTAGTTAAACATTTATTATGACCTCTACCCTCGACCTCTGAACATACTTGCCGACCGCCACCCCTACCCGCCCTGTGCTCTCCCTTCTCTCCCTTGGGCTGTTGGTTTTCAACCGGATCTACCGGACCCAAGTTCCGCGGCACTTCTCCTTTCCCAGGGCCTCCCTTGCCGGCTTAGCTATCCCTTCTCGCCGTTATTGCTGGTTGAGATCGCGATTTTCATGGCCTTGATTCTGCAGCCACCCTCGCGCTTATCATTTTGATTTTCTGGTGTCTTTTCTTTTTCCTGTTCGGGGAGAACTATCCGTGCGATTCGGCGGTAGTACAAAATAAAAGCCAGCGACGACCTGCCGAGCCTCTTTGCTGCAAGAAGGGAAGAAAAAAGAAAAAGCCAAACCGCCTTTATTTGTCGCCCCGTCACATTCCTGCCTACTGCTGGCGCCCGCGTTGTCCTAGTGGTCATCTTTTAAAAAGGATATCCTACCTGTTTCCGATCTCGACTGCACCCACATCACCGCCGCCGCCATCCTTGTCGACAACCACATTTATTCTATTCTAGCCGTTTTTCGCTAGGGGGTGGGATTGGGTAGTTCGTTTGCCGGCTCTCGAAACCACCGGTTAGAACTACTTTATAAGAACCGTTCCTGGTGTCTACTTGGTACGTTCTTCATCTCATTCTCCAGCCTTCAAATCCTCCCAACTTCACCGTGAAAACCCGCCTTTGTGCCAAACCCATCTAACGATGATCTCTCCAGACCTTACTATGATTCTTCGAGACCTGTCGGCCTTCAACATGGGACGCGGTGCTTACGATACAACCGGTGTGAAGAAGCCTGGTGCTCCGCAACCACCACCAAAATAATTCTGTTTTCCATGATACCCTCAATCCTCTCTGTTCGCGCAGCGGCAGGGGACATTGCCTGTGATGGCTGCACCTTGAAGAGCTATGTTTAGAGCTTTCACCCTATTTCGGTATGTCTGAAAAGCAAGCCTCATTTTGGGCATCGAGCTAACAGTATTGCTAGACATCTGTATCACTATTCGAACTTGCCTTTCTTTTTTTTTTTCGGTCACATTATTTGCTGTCTATTCGCCACCGGCCTCGCGCAATCATATACCCACTTTTAATCCTCTCTCTTGCATCGGTTTCGGATCCCCAGCGTCGACTTTTTCTTTCAACCTTTCTCGTCTTCGCGTTCTCATCTTCTCGTCCCGACTACCTCGAAAACTCTATCTACCGACTCAACCCTTTCTACCTCCCTCCGATACGATTACCGAGATTCCTTCTTCTTTTTTTTTTTTTTGGTTTTGATCTCAAAAAGTTCATTATGTGTTTATTTACGCGCGGTCCTTTTGATTTGATTGGTTCTCCGACGGCGTTTTGGGATAGATGGAAGGAACTTGGGATGCATGGACTGATACCTGAAGAACCTAGATTTTTCGACCTCGCGGTCATTTGCAACATTTGCTGATTCTATTTTGGGATGTTTCTCTATTGCTCTGTACTTGTACGTGTACTTTTTATGTTTTGATGTCTGTATCATACTCTGCGCCTTGCAATACCAGCGCCGATTTCCCTTTGTCCCCATCGGAGACTTCGGTCTAGACCGTGGTCGAACGCGCCGCCACTCCCCCAACGTGGTTTCGTAAACAGCTAGTAATGACCGACTGTCGTGTTCCTTGACATTTTGATAGCTGCGCCAAGGGGCGTCTAGCGCGTCGGGCAGATTTGCTTGGGGACTAATGCCGAGTCCAGGAACCGCCAGTCTGATTCCTGATGCGGTCCTTGTCAATGCATCGGCAGAGACGTTCCGAGTAGGGTTTGGCACCCGGCATCATCTCGCATACCCATTGGGCACTAGTCTACACCAGGAACGAGGTTCGTGCTTACTGTCGTGCCGTCTTTTTTTTTTCTTTTTCAAAAAAAAAAAAGAAAAGAAGAAAAAACCACAGTTTTAAGCTGCGTAGGGTTTTGACGATGATCGTCGACCCGCGGGGTCGGTGGTGAGGTTTCTTGGTAACCAATGCATGTGCCACCGGGACAGCGGATTCCATTCAATCCAAGAATTTGCGTTAGATCCGTCACTGCGCTGGCAAGTAGTGCCCAATCAGTGGGAAAGTGTTCGTTGACTCATAGCAGGGACGGTCCTTGTCATGAGGTGCTAGTCCTACTGGGCCCATCTTGGTGACGAATTGCGACAGTAGGATATCCCTGGCATTTGGTATTTTGGTATTATCTGCATTGGTACTTCACTGTATATGCTGTCTGCTGATCAAGCTTTTCTAGAATGGAACTGAGAGGAAGCGCTTGCAGAGAAGATCCAGATATGTATGCAGCTATTCTCCATGTAGGAATTTGACATCGAACTATGGAACCTGAGGCGCTCAATGGCTACGGTCATTTCAACCCGTATCCAGAGCCATAGGCTAATACTAAAAGACTTGGATTGTGGGGACCTCATCAATCCAGATACTATCCAGTAATTATGCTGTTCATGGTCCACTTTGTGGGAGTATACTGTGCAAACCATCCCGTGACTTGATTTGACGCTAATCTGCATTCGGTAACCGCATCATCATTATCGACCTCCGCCTCCGGACGGACTCTCTGACCATCTCCCGCGGATTGCGGCATCTTCTGAACTGCATCTAATTATCCCACTTGACTTTTGGGAACATACGAGAAGACTCTTCGTGTGTTTCAGCTCCTGTCTCACCAGCCCGGCTCTCGACCTGAACGGCGGAGGTTTCAGCTGAGCATTGCCAGCTCATCCTTCTGCCTGACCACCGATTGTTTGACAGGCGTCGCTTTCTGCACGACGGCCTGATCCGTGCTTTTTCTCACTTTCCGCTATCTCCGCTTCATCCATCATGTCAGAATCAGCTAGCGGAAACGCCCCGAAACCAAGCAGCAGCGTCAAACTCGTGTTGCTTGGAGAGGCCGCTGTTGGCAAGGTATGGTCCTCATCGCCACGTCACGCGGGAGCCAATAGCTGATGAGTATTAACTTGCCAGTCGTCTCTCGTCCTGCGATTCGTCAACGATGATTTCCAAGAGAACAAGGAGCCAACGATCGGCGGTAAGCGATACCCTCTATCTCAACCCCCGTCTCATGTGCGCGATACTCTCATGGCCCAAAGTCGTATCCTATTCTTGCTAGCCGTAATTTACGGCAAAGTGAATATGTCAAAGGAACCGTCACTGGGTTACACTGGGGGCGATCCATCCGGGAGGGTTGTCATGTCCCATCAGCTCTATTTAGCCCCCAACGGATCGCCTTAGCATTGGCGTAGCATGCGAGTTGACAGGTCAGAATATTTTGCTAACGTCACCGCCCAGCCGCCTTTCTGACTCAGAAATGCTCGCTTCCGACACGTACTATCAAATTTGAGATCTGGGATACCGCCGGCCAAGAGCGATTCGCCTCGCTTGCTCCGATGTACTACCGCAACGCGCAAGCAGCCCTTGTCGTTTACGATGTCACCAAGCCTTCCTCGTTGACCAAGGCGAAACACTGGGTGGCTGAGCTGCAACGTCAAGCAAGCCCGGGAATTGTCATCGCCCTGGTTGGTAACAAGCTGGATCTGACCAATGACGGTGGTGATGCGTCGAGCGCCTCGCCTTCCGCCAGAGAGCCCGAATCAGCCGAGGGAGACGAGGAAGGTGCCGGGCAGGAGGAGGGAGACGCCCAGGATGCCACGCCGGGTGATGCACGAAAGGTTTCTACTCGCGAGGCTAGCACATATGCCGAGGAGGAGAGCCTTTTGTTCTTTGAGACCAGTGCCAAGACTGGAACCAATGTGGTGGATGTCTTCACTGCCATCGCTAATGCGATTCCAGAAAGTAGTCTGAAGACCGGCAAGGGCCCTGCTGCTGGTCAAACTGGGTTGGGTGGTCGCGCTGCAGACGAATCCCGAGTAAACCTTGGAGATCGGAATACGGCAACTGCGAAGGAGGGTTGTGCTTGCTGATATTAAGCAATAGCATGTTTCCCCTTTCCTTCTTCCGTTTCCTTCTTGTCTTCTCCTTCGTTTTGCGAAATCGATTTCCCCTGTTTTCATGGGTACAGGCGTCTCTCTTTGTTTTCTAGCTGGTTGAATTTCGTTGTGTGTTCATTTGATCAATCAGACCAGTGTCTATTGCATGTTCTGTAGTATAGTATTCCTTCCGGGATGAACCTTCCTCGATAGACTGAAGTCAAAGAAAGCCTACTATTGCATTTCTCTGCCGTAAAAGCGGCACTCCAGATAACAGAAATCTTTCCTGCGTATACTTGACTGTGCAGGGCGTACATCGACCGGCCAATCAGAGCCTGCTCCAGGGCAGCCCCGGTCACGGGACCAAACCGCGGTACTAACCGTGTTTGGACTAGTGTCTACTAAGCGAAAGTGCCGATCCCACACGAAATTCCCCAATTACTTCTTGATAGCGAGTTCATTCCCCTCAGCCGACACTCCGACAAGCCACCCTCGCCGTCGCAATCATGTCTGCCATCAACAAGATTGCCCTCAACTCGCCCTCCCGGCAGAACCCCTCCGAGTTGGAGACCGCCATCGCTGGCGCCCTCTTCGATCTCGAGAGCAACACCCAGGATCTGAAGGCCACCCTTCGTCCTCTGCAGTTCGCCTCTGCCCGCGAGGTAAGAAATTTGCGCCTTCGCAATTCGAGCTATCCAGGATCTCCTTCAACAATTATTCCTTGGTGCGCGGAAATGTGTGATTGGAGCGACCAATGTCGATTCCAGTGTGGATTTTCGAGCAATACAATGGACATCCGATTTTGTCATAATTGTGTCGAAGCATATCAGCATTGGGAGAGACATTGCCCACGGTCATACCTGGCGCACAACATCCAGTCACAGGATCTTTATTTCGTTGTCGTTCCTGGATTGTTTGGATTCGAAGTTTTTATTTTTTATATATTTTTTTCTTATTTCATCCCCGTGCTTCTCCGTGCGCACATTGCACTTAAGCATCCCAATTGCTAACTTTACTTCTCTATCAGGTTGAGGTCGGCCACGGCAAGAAGGCTATTGTCATCTTCGTCCCCGTTCCCCTTCTCCAGGGTTTCCACAAGATCCAGCAGCGGTAAGAAAGAACACACGGAGCAGAAGCCTAGTTGCATGAGGCGAAGCAAAAAAAAAAAAAAAGAAGTGAACAGAGGGAACTGACGTGTGGATTCTTTACAACAACAGCCTGACCCGCGAGCTGGAGAAGAAGTTCTCTGACCGCCACGTCCTCTTCGTCGCTCAGCGCCGTATCCTCCCCCGCCCCAAGCGCTCCGTCAACTCCCGCACCACCCAGACCCAGAAGCGTCCCCGCTCTCGCACTCTGACGGCTGTCCACGACGCCATTCTCAGCGACCTGGTCTACCCCGTCGAGATTGTCGGCAAGCGCATCCGCACCAAGGAGGATGGTAGCAAGACCCTCAAGGTTGTCCTTGACGAGAAGGAGAAGGGTGGTGTTGACCACCGCCTCGATGCCTACGGTGAGGTCTACCGTCGTCTGACCGGCCGCACCGTTGCCTTCGAGTTCCCCCAGAGCAGTGCTGAGTACTAAGCTCGTCGCTTTTTTTTCTGTTGAGGGATAAAAGGGAGGTTGGTGTATGGGGGGTTGCTTGTTTCTAGGGTGTTTGAAACTCAACTAGATTCAAGAGCATGATGGGTTTAAGACCAAAAAATGCATTCACGGGTTTTTCTTGATTTACGTGCCCCATGGCCATTGGCTTGGTCCGGTGCTGAATTCCATCCAAGCCGTGTTTTTTTTTCTCTTTAATGAGGATGGGATGGGATATGTGATAAAATATTCCAATTGATACATTCCGATTCGATCTGTTCTATAATGTAAGACTTAGCTTAGTCTTGTAGGGTTTCATGTCCTGCCATTGCTGCATTCCCGAGCCTTTGGGGCACTCGCTTGCTACCCATGGGTAAGTAGCCTGAGTATCGAGCGTCACCATGGTGAGAGTAATAGCCTTCTCTCGGAAGAAGAGAAGTTCGAGTCGCTGGCCGCCACTCACTTCTCTAAAATCCCCTAGACCTTTTGCCCCGTGTCCGATACATTGGGGTCAATGGAATCTAATTCTTGAAGTCCGGGTAGATAATAGATTATAAATTGTACATATACGACAAAAAGCTAATCACACTCGGGGGGGGTATGGGGCCTATCTTCCACGTAAAAAGACAAAACACATATCAACCAAAAGATCGAACTAGAATGAAGGCTGAATTCGACCAACCCCAAGAACCATCCAATAAGCCAACTCCCTCGCCACCAGATCATCGGGCTTAGAAGCCTTCCCGACGTCCTGCTGCTCAAGCTGGCCTTCCGCATCCCACTCCATGTGCACGAAGACCGGAATCTCCAACACATCCTCATCAGGCTGCGCAGGAGCAGAGCCAGCACCGCTACGCACCTCCCCATCTCCTCCGCCAGCATCAGCATCGGAGCTAGGAAGCGTCCCCGGAACAACCTCAAGTACAACAGTCGTCCAATTACGACCCTTATCCCAGACCTTCCCAGCCTCGGGAACCTTCTCTGCAGCCCTGAGCTTCGGATCTGTCGTGAGAGGCGCAGATGCCCCCTGCAGCGCCTCATCCCAGACATCACTATTCGCACCGATGTCAAATTGCGGCGAAAGCACAGTAACCTTCGATGCAACACGGCCTGGCGTCACGGATGGCGTGGCGAGGGTGACCCGGACAGGATCAAACATGTGGTTCTTTAGCGTGAGAAGCACATGGATAGGGCGAAGCGGGGTGAGCGCGTTCAGGTCGGGATTCGGCGACGGAGCAGACGCAGCGGATGTTGACGAGGGAGAGCCAGGGGCCGTAGTGACGGCAGCGGGATATAGCTGAGCGCAATGAGACGGATACGGAAGCGCGTAGACTGGGGCTTCGTCTCAGGCTTGACGAGGATGTGCTTGCAGGCTTTGCAGCGCTTGGCTCGCTTTGTGCGGAGGAGGACTGGGAGTGGGAGCAAGTCGTCTGTAAATCGCACGTCCGGTGATTGTTCTGCGCGCTGTGCGATGGAGGCTACGCCGTCCCAGCCGCCTTCAGCGGAGCGAAGGCGGGAAATGACTGGGTCTGGGTTGGGAGTGGCGCTGATGCGGAGGCCTTCGCTGGGGGTGAGGGCTTCGCGCATAACAGGGGGTTTTGATTTGGCTTTTTTGTTTCCGCCGTAGAGACTGCCCAGGCGTGTCGAAGAGGTGTAAAGTGACATGAGACGATTGAGAGCTCCAGGGGATGAGAAGCCGAAGTCTGAACCTAGAGGGTCGCTGGGTGAAGTTGATGTTTCGGAAATTTGGTTGCGGTAGAATGATTTCAGGGCAGCAAATTGGGCCTCTGCGTTGGATGGCGTTGCCGTTTGGTCCTGTTTGGTAATATGTTGGTCTGAGGGGGCTTCGCGATTACCTGCTTGCTCGTCGACAGAAGCCAAATTGGACAAAGGCGATTTGAGATCTGCAAATGCTCGGGAGCCCTGCCTGGTCCGTGTATCAAAGGGCGGCGCAGCGGTGGTATCTGTCATTTTTTGTAACTGGCTGCGAATATTGGTTGGCTTATCGAACTTGATGCCGATGTCAAGTGTTGTCCACATGCAATAGCTGCAAGACAAGACCCAGGGACCTTGTTGACTCCCACCACCGGTGACACTTTCAATCGTACTCACAGCAAGAGGAGCTGTGCAAATTGGGCAATTGAAGCAGTTACGGCCACAGCTGGTTGAAGTATTAGTAGGACCCATTCGCATATCGAGAGCAAGTACATTACCGATTGCCATCGCTTTTGACCATGCTGCTAGGGGTTTCGAAGAGACAGCTCGGGCAGAACCAGCTCACAATCTCTTCCGTTATGCATCGTGGGCATTTTATTTGGTGACAATCTTCGCAGTAGAGTAATTGTTCTGGCGGGTACATAGAGAAATTAGATCGCGGAGATCTGGGATCGAACGTCTGCTCTTCCTCTTCTTCTTCTTCCTCCTCCTCGTCGGAATCTTCTTTATGTTCATTATTTGTAGAATCTTTCGAGTCTCCTCCGGCGGTCTGTTCTCCTTGCTCGGGCGTTTGCTTCTGTGATCCCTCTCTCGACTTGCGTTTCCTTGCGGGGTCAGGGACGGGCGTATCGGCACAAGGGCACGAGACGTATGTGTAGGGGAATGGACGAGACATTGCGAATGTGAACTGCCGTATGCAACCTCAAAATATGCTAAGGCGTGATGCAAAGCGATTATTCCATCCTTTCTGTTGGCGGGGTGGGAGACGAGACGATGAAGGAGATAGGGGTTGGAAGGCGGGATTGCGAGATTATCGTACGAGAAGGAGGACCCTGATGAACTTGCAGTCCAGTTGAAGTTAGCGACACTGCATCAGCACGATAAAACATAGGGCTGCCCATGAGGACAGTTCAGTCGTGGGGAGGGGAACTGGTGCCCGGGGATTGAATGGCATACCAAAGCACTGTCAAAAAAAGAACGAGTAGCCCAGTCTAGCGCAGAGCACGTACGATATCGACAAAGATACCCTAAAAGCAGAAGCGCTCGCGCTGGACAGCAGCCAATGGCGGGCGCGAAAAAAAAAAAAGCGCCTGAAGTCGCGGAAGTTGAGCTGCGGAGGTCCGCAACAACAATCGACGTCAGTTTACAAAATTCGGGGCTCGCCCACTCTCCATCTCCACCTTTGCCATCTACAAACGCAGCAGGCAAGATGGCCTAAGGACCTAGTACAATATCCATATCTATGATACAGAGAGTCCACGCTGTTGCTATGAATCCTCTTTATACCGTTCGCGCGGCCGCGCCGCGGCGAGTCTTTGCCAGAGCCTCTATCCGAACCTACGCCAGCCAAACACCCGGCAACCCCATGCTTGAAGTATTCAACCGCAAAACAAAGCATCTTCAAAAGGACCGTGCAGCACAGAATGTCGAGGAAAGCAGGAAAGTCGACTACTTGAAAGATGAGGTAGCAATGCGATTATGCGAGCGGTTACTGGTGAGCGATTTCCCCCTCGCAGCAGAAGCAGCCTGCGAGAGCTGCAAAGAAACACACCATGAGTTAACCGGGTCCATCGGGGTCGGATGAATAGGACATCAAACGCGATTTCCCCCAAGTACTTGACCTCGGCGCAAACAGCTGCAACATTGCGCGGGCACTGACCATGCCTAACCTCGACACGGCCGCTCCGGAAGGCACATTGACGCCGCCGCTGGCAGAGCGCATACAAAAGCTGACGTGCGTAGAGACATCGCGCGCTCTCCTCCACCGGGACGAAGACCTTCCGTTCAATAAAGAGATCGATCTCACCCGCGACGTGATTCCAGACTTGGAGACGCTTCCCCTATGCACCCAACTCGTTTGATGCAGTCTTGTCGTCACTTTCAATCCACTGGGTCAATGACCTACCTGCGCTGCTTGCGCAGGTCAATACCATTCTTAAGCCTGACAGCCCTTTCATCGGAGTGATGTTTGGTGGGGACACGCTCTTTGAGCTACGAGGGTCAATGCAGCTGGCTGATCTCGAACGCCGGGGTGGTGTGAGCCCGCACGTCTCGCCACTGGCGGATGTGAAGGACGTCGGCAGCCTTTTGACCCGCGCTGGGTTCAAGATGCTTACGGTTGACGTGGAGGATATTGTCGTGGAATTTCCGGATACATTTGCTCTCATGCAAGATCTGCAGGCTATGGGCGAGAGCAATGCTATCATGCATCGAGAGGCTGGTCCCTTGTCGCGCGATGTGCTCCTAGCCAACGAGGCTATCTATCGAGCTTTGCACATGGAGGACGGGGCCCCGGGCATCCCGGCAACTTTCAGAATGATCTACATGATCGGCTGGAAGGAGGGGAAGGACCAGCCCCAGCCTTTACAGCGTGGTACTGGTGATATCAACTTGACGGAAGTACTGGGCGGTGGAGATTTCTCCAAAAAATGAGTCCATCCCCTCTCCATCCCAAAAAGAAGGGGACAAAATAGTCTCAACATAATGGTTTTTTTTATCAGTCTCTCAATGTACAACAATTACGCTGAAAGCCACTCGTAAAGAAGATCGTGTGAAACAAGAACCTGTTGGGAATGCAATAAGCCTCTACCAATAAACCGCAAGCAGCTCGTAACAAGTCGACCAGTTCTCATCCTCAGACCGTCCGGCGGTCGGTCATTACCCGGACGATACACCCAGTTCCTGCCACTTCGACGAGCTTCTCGTGCCAATTGAGCAGCACACTCATCTGCTGGCCACCGCCACCCTCGCCCACATTGCGGGCCTGGATCTGCGAGAAGCCCCCCGTGCTCTGTGGGGAGATGGTGTTGCGTGGGGATTGGCCTCCGCCGCTGGGGCCACTCGAGGACATGCCCTTGTAGCTATTTCTCGTTAGGGTATGTGGTCAGGAATGAGGGCCGCTTCTTGTCGTGGCCCAAGGCAGACGAGGTGGGCACTTACATATACTTCATCAAGCAATCCGCCCGCTCGGCTCCGCCGTCTCCGCCGCAGACGCTCTCGAGCACTCGTGTCATGTCTGCCTGTCGGATACCCTGCAGCACTTCTGTGACCGTGGCCATGTGTACCTCCTTCGCCCGGTCGTCGCCGCCGAGCGGCGCGGTGTCCAGCGCCGCGCGCAGGGCACCCTCGGTGTCACCACCGCGCAGTAATTGGCGGACCTGGCTTGCCACATTGGCAGCGTCACTGGAGGTCTCGGGCGCAGGCAGGTTGGCGGGGAGTAGGGTTTCCATGGGGAAATTGACCGACGACTCGGGGTCGAGCTGGTCGATGTTGATGGTGCGGTAATTGAGTTGCGACATGGTGGCGAGTACTCCTTTTATACACGGGCGGCAAGCTTGGGAAAGGGGAATCAGGGATTAGCTCCTGGAAGCTGTATTTTCCTAGGCACCACGGCTGAGGTGTATTGGATCCTGGAGCTCGTAGGTGGGATCGAAGTGGGCTGTGAGCCGGGGTAGGAGTTCGCCGGGGAGGGAGGGGAATTGAGGATTGGATTGGATGAACCAATCGAAGAACCTGAACGTAGTTTCTGATGAGCGAGATTCAGAAGGTCGATTGTGTATTGCAGTTCAATCTCCCAGGGTATGCGATCAGACAGGGTGCGGAGGCAGTGCTGGTAACCTAACGGCTTGATCAATCCCCACCGCCAAAGGGCAAATGGGTGGGGAGTTAACATGGCCTCAGGCAGAAAAAAGTATAGGGAGTCAACTCCAGCTACTGATCCACCAACTCAACAAGGAATTGAGGTATAGTATACAACATACGCCATCAGAGGAGAGTACATTTTCCTGTGATGGTATTAGCGAATGCTTGGTAAATCATTGGACGCTGCCCTGGGGAGTTCTTTCTAAATTGTGAGTGGATATATTACTAGTAAGAATTACATTGTTTGAAAACTATGATGGTAAATCGTGCCTTAGATTGTTCAAACGGTAAATACTACATACTGCTTTTCCAGGAGCTTAATATCAACTCGATAGACTCGAGTGGCAAGAGGCTTTCCCAAACCCCTTTCAAGTTTGGGACATTGGTCCACATCACCAAACTATGTAGATCACAGCTCATCTCCTGCGTAACGGCTACGGGTAGGACGCTCGAAGTCGACAGCTGCAGTCTCGGCAGTATCATACCATGCCTGCAAAGTCTTTTGGTCAACATCGTCCAAGAAAGACAGACCAGGCATAGCACGACCACCGCAGGCACGCTGGAGAGCCAGGAAAGCAAAATGGCCACCAATGACGGGACGAGCAAAGAAGTTCGGGCCGGGGAAGTTGCCATCGCCCTCGGTCTGGTGAAGATCCGTGAATGGGCGGTCGGTAACAGTCTCGTTGACCCATTTGGCGACAGACTCAAGGATCTCAGTACGAACGGGCTTCGACGTAACTGCCATTGAGAAGAACTCCCAGTCGGTCTTTGTGTATAGATGCCGGCTGTCAAGAGGCAGACCGTATTTCTGCCGCACGTAGTGGTACCACACTGATTGCTTCTGGTAGATGTGGCGGGGAACGAACCCTGGCGATGTATTCGAAGAGTTGTCGGCTCCGTCAAGGTGGAAGCAGAGCTGGGCGTCGGCGTACAGGTTGTAGATGGTTGTCCAAGACCCATACCAGTCGTAGGCCAGTTTGGCGTGGGTGCCATCGCGGGACATGCCCTTCTCTTCCCACTTGGCGACGTAGTCACCGGCAATAGTCTATATTTCAGTTGAGTACTCTGTTCTAGCATTTGATTTAATGTGGGCAATCTTTCGTACCTTGAAGTATCTAGCATCATCATCATGCCCGGTAAGCTCAGCGAGCTTGGCCATCGCATTAATACCAACAATACCTTTCAGGGCAAGGTTGGTCTGCAGAGCCAGCCAGCCAGCAAAATCATCGGTAGAAACTACACGTGGGTCAGTGAATGCTTTGGAGCTCCATGGTAAGTCGGACTTACGTTGGTTGGCAGGTTCGAGAGAGAACTCCACCAGATATCCAGTCCACTGCTTCCATAGTCGGTAGCTACGTTTGACCCATTTCTTAGCAAGGTTCTTGCCAGCTATGCCCCCTCCCCATTTACCATCTTGGTGGGCAATTCCTGACTGCACTTGGAGGTCATTGAGAGGGAAGAACCCGGATGACTCGCTTGAGTAGACAGGAGGATTGCTACCCTGGCTTGACCACATGGAAGAGGCTTCAGATGCCCCTTCATACTGCAGGGAGTTTGCAATGGCAAGACCCATGATCAAAATATTGCCACACTCCTCCACTGGCATGTATTCGTCCTTGCCATCAGGGTGTCCAGTAGCATTGGGGAAGTGGGTTCCCAGATCATGCATCGCATAGGTATTCGGGTATTGACCGCTCAACATATGCTCAATCAAAGGCTCCAAGAGATAAGCTAGCCAACGCGGGTTGGTATACAAGAAGAAGGGGAAAGCAGGGAAGATGACATCGATGGTTTGGAAGTTTCCGTTGGAGGAAATCTCCTTCAGGAACAAAATGGGGTTATCTGGGGTTCCCGAGAATGTGGTTGCTCCCAGCACCTGGCGTGCGGAGAGAGCAACAATATCAACATAGTCTTCCGCGCCGGAGAGATAAGCGTCATCGGCAAGCTGGTGGGAATAGTTGGATGCAAGAGAGATGGCCGCGGCGTGGTCGTTATAGTGGAATTCCAGGAGCTCTTCAGTAGTAGGGAACCACGATTCCCAGAGCGGTCGCATCTGAGTTAATCCCCGAGCGGATGCGTACTGGACAACGGGGAATTGAATGAGAGCGATCGTAAAGGTCACGCTGTCGGCAGTTCGCTTGAAAGACTCGCCGAGATTGAATGTCTTGGAGAACGCGAAGACAGGCGAACGGTCTCGAATGGCACGCAATTCTCCATCGTTCTCGTTCCCAAGGACACCAGCGCTGGCAAATGCTTTCCTGACCTTACCAGCCTCTCCTGACTCAAAATATGCGTCCTACACCAAGTTAGAACAACGTAAACTAAGATGTATTGTGTGCGTAGATGCTTACAGCAGGTCCAGTGAAATGGATCGTGCCCCATTCGGCTCGGTCACGGATCTCCGAAAGGTGGAGCTCGTTTTCCCTTCGAACCTGCCATCTCTGGAGGCTTGGCTTTTTGTCGCTAGCTTGCACAGCGTTATGCTGCCAGTTCAGCTGGGAACCAGTGTCACCACTGACCCAGCGTCCGTCAATGTCTATGTAAACGTTGACTGGAACTTCGCCATGTACATCAACTGTGATGTAAGAAGCCGGAATCGACTGTCGCAAAGTCGATGTGGGCGTAATTGGAGAGAGGAACGAGACAGTAATTTCAATGGGGGCTGGGCTTCCTGTATCAATCCGGTAGGTCAAGTTGGTCGTGGATGCGTCGTAGTTGTGACCGAGATACTCAGGGTAGTGGACGTTATATCTATGGAGACACCGATTCAGTTCTCGTGTTAAGATACCCTACACTGACAGAGAAATACGGCTCTTACCCTTCGTTTTTGTCCAGGGAATCCTGGGGCTTGCCAACAAGCGGATAAACGGAGCCCTTGCTGGGGACATGGGCTAACACAGAGAGCCCAACTTCCTCTCCGGTATAAAACATAGGCCATTTGGACCAAGGTGCTTCACGGGCATTTCCCAGCCAAGTGCTCAAGTAAGGGTTGCGCACGATGAGCGGCAGTACTGGCGGTGTAAGCGATGATGCTGTTGTGACGGCCGCCTGAGCGACGACCGCCAGCACGGCAAGCGACAGCTGCATGGTGGTGCAGCAGTTACGATAAGGATTGGCAGATGGTCAGGGTCGGTTAAAACTAGGGGAGGTGATGACGAAGGATGAAACGAAGGGGTCCAGGAATGCGAAATGCGGGGAAATGCAGGTTGCGCTGGGATCCGAGGATCGATGCTGGGGAAGTTTGCCTAGATCTTCGCCCTGCGGCCGCGAATAACCAAGTAGATGCTATAATAAGAGGCCCCGCCTATCCAATTCTGTTCTCCTGGCAACAGGGTACATCCTCGCGTCCCTAGACCAGAGCACTCAGCTCAACGCTCCGCTGCGTTGGTTGTCCTTTTCTCCGATGATGTCATGCGGAGATTATTTCGAGGATGCGACTAAAAGCCCGAACATCGTCGATCTCGATCTGAAGCACATGCGCCTCGAGGCATCGCTCGACCCCAGTGGATGACTGCCGCATGATCTTGTGCAATTGGCCTTCTTGAACGGCCCCTTACATGGTGACACGACAGCGGATGGCTGAAATATGGGGCCAAAGATTACACTGCCTGTTGCTCCGTGTCACTCCTCGTAGTTCGCGTACAGGACTTCAAATAGATGAAGAGGGAATTAGAAGAATGAACTTTTTCCCGAGAACTATCTCTGCGGGGAAGGTCCTTATAGCTACGGGCCTTGGAAGTGAAACCCTAAAAACTAGCTACTGCAATTTGCGCGTGCTAAAGTCGCGTGTGCCCGCACCACCAACGCCCGCGGACGCAGAGGCATTTCAGACCACGCGAAGTTACCCTCTCGAGTTTTCGCGGTCTGGTAACTTTGCATACTTGCATACCTTGGTGGCGTACATTCCATCAATTCGTAGAAGCCATTCAATCATACCAATAATGGCGTCAACGATCATGAGATATCCGAGCCCGGTTGAGGGCAAATCCTCATAAATCAAAAACACAAGCCAAGGTCGCCAGGGCAAAGGCCCGCAAGCAGCTCAAGAAAGGGCGCCTCCACGGTAACGCCAATGCTGTTTTCAGGCTAGCAGACTCGGGCCACACCAAAACCGTGGACGCGTGCTCAACACGACCTGTGGGGCTTCGTCCGTGCTCTATACAAAGCTAGTACCGCAAAAGTATACGCGATTGACGCGACCGTTTCTAGTTCTCTTCTCTTCCAATTCCCTTCTGTCCAACACGTCAATCCGTTGAATTGTTTCAATTGTTTCAATTGTTTCTCCCGTCTTCGCGTGGTTCGCATTGCAACGCCCCAGGCCCCCGAGCCCCAACCCCACCCTGCCCTTCCACTTGGACTCTCGCCACCTTCCATCTCAAGGATATCGGAACCCTGAGACCTCTGCAATGATGCAAACGACCTCAATTCAGACCAGTCCAATGAAGGACGGGCGCCGCATTCTGGGCGAGAAGGATACCAATGCGTGCTTCTCGCCAGTCCACCAGAATAAACAGTCGATTTTGGTCGGAACGCCCACCAAACGAGCCCTCTTTGCTCCCGTGTCTCCTAAGAAGCTCCTACCCTCGCCAATATTTGCCGGTCAAAAGCGTTCACGGGACCAAGTTGAGGAAACTGAATTGAACAATGCCCCGCCGGCCACGCGGGGCGAAGAAAACTTCAATTCCACGGACACACAAGATACCCAGCAGGTAAGCTCTAAACTTAACAAATGAACACGTCTCGACGTCTATTTTCCAGAGAAACCAAGAACAACACGATTAACAGGAACTTTAACATTAGACAAACAGAGGAAAAGACGCGCTGGATCGCGTCGCTGCACCATCATCAAGCTCCGAGCGCGACCAGCGTCAGCAGGAGACGAAACAAAACCCACCAAGCGTGGCCGGGAGCGCTGTTCAAGCTTCACGGAAAGTCCCCGAAGACTTCCATGCACGAAAGATTTTCATTCAAGAAGTGTGTCTCGACCCCCCTCTTTCCCAACTGACCTTGCGTTCACACAAACTAACGGTGCTTCTAGAAAGCGGCTCTTCTCCGAAACACGCTCCAAACTGCCATGCAGAGCGTGACAGACCACCAAATCGACCGCCGTGTCTCTGATCTCGAGGAACACAGTCGTAAAGTCCCCCGAATCACGCCCTCGTCCTTCTCTTCTCCCCTCCCTGCCTTGTCCTTCCGGAAACCCACTACGCCCCAATTCCACACGCCGCGTCTTGGGTCTATGCTAGACATGAGTTCTACTCCCACCCAGCAAACCCCCGATCTTCCACGGCGGTACTCTCCTATCAAGCACACTTCCGTCAAGCTGCAGAGCACGCCTCTCCCCGAGGGCGGCTCTCCTATGCAGCTGAGTAGCCCGCCGGCAACCGTAATCCATCATGGCAATGATGAAAGCAGTGATCGGATGGAACAAGATCGGAAGGAGACGAGTGAGGGGGCTTTCTCCTTCGCAAAGAGGAGATGCTGTTGACGGCTTGCTCAAGCTTATGAGTACGACAGACAGACACGACAGTTCGGATGCATGGATTGGGTCATAATGCGAATGTGACGAATGCTTTATACAAACCTCATGCCTTTTATTTCTTGGACTGACCGGTCGGCACAATTAGATGATATGGTGTGGGTTTGGCAAAATACATTTTGTGGGTGTGCTCAGTGTTTGAACTGGGTTTAATACTTGGGAGTTGTTGGTGTTGTGCTAGAATACGGCTATTGGATTACAACTTGAAATGAATGATACCAGTTTCTATGACTTCACCTTTCATACGTGTCTCGGGGGCTAAGATCTCGGAGATTAAGCAGAACGCTCCAATTCAACTAGCTTTTAAACGTGGTATCAAGATCACATCATGAAATATACAAATGCCTCCCAACTTACTACCGGACCTTCTTCAGCTTATTACGCTTCCGGCCAAGTACATCACGGCCTTCCTCAATCTCTCCAATAACCTCCCGCTTTGCCGCACCGACCTCCTTGAGAGCACCGCTGCGAACCACACGGCCTTCGACATTAACTCCTTCTTCAGCCCATTCTTCCATCCGCCTTTCCACTCGCTCCTCGATAGCCAGGATAAGCTCCACATCTCGCTGCCCAACCATGGTAACAGCTTCACCACTTCGACCGGCACGGGCGGTACGACCAACACGGTGAACGTAGTCATCCGGATTCCGAGGAACATCGAAGTTGATGACCAGGGAGACGCTAGGGATATCCAAACCACGAGACGCCACATCCGTAGCCACGAGTATCCGCGCGGCCGCAGCCCGGAACCGAGCAAGGTTCGACGTACGCTCCGACTGCGGAAGCAGACTATGCAGGGAAGTAGCACGATGGCCGAGCCGTCGGAGCATGCGCTCCAGCATGTCCGCCGTCTTGGTATGGTTGCAGAAAACTATGACTGGCTTCGAGACATTCCCCTCTGTAGAGAGAATAACGTGTAAGAAAGCTTCGCGGTGTGTCATAGGAACCTTCAAGTAGGTCTGTTTGAGGGTCGGCGGGATCTTGCCCTGGTCTTCGGTCGAGATCTCGGTCATGAAAACAGGCTGCTTTCCCTCGGAGGGCGGCATTTCCTTCAGTGCCCGCACTTCCGGAGTCAGGGTGGCCGTGAATAGGAGCGTTTGGCGGTCTTTGGAGGGTGGGACGGCGCCGAGGCAGGTTTCCACGTCTGGGAGCATGCTGCCGCGGCCACTGGTGAGAAGTCGATCGGCTTCGTCGAGCACGACCATCTTCACTCGTTTTAACCCGGCCATTGTGTCTGCGCCGGAGGACTTGATGTGATCCGCTAGTCGACCGGGGGTTGCTATTACGACGTGCGGTCGTTCTGCGAGGGCGATGGCCTGGGGGCGCATATCGGTACCACCGGTGATGAGAACAGGCTTCATACTTTGTGGGGCAGAAATGGCCTTGATCTGCTCGTAGATCTGGAGCGCAAGCTCTCTTTACAAGAAGGATAACAATTAGCAATGTAGCATGGCGAAATCGGTAAACGCCCGCATTACTTACCGAGTCGGAGTCAAGATCAGCCCATATATACCAAACGGATCCTGCGCCCATTTTTGCAGCATAGGAACAGCAAAAGCAATTGTTTTACCAGAGCCAGTCCGGCTACCACCGATGCAGTCTCGTCCATTAATAATCTGAGGAATACACGCTTTCTGAATAGATGTTGGTCGTCGGACAGCCAGAGTCGTTAGAGAGCCAACAAGCCATGGGGACACGCCCAAAGCTCCAAAGGTAGATTCTTCGCTCCGCAGGCCAATATCAAGAGCATCCTTTATAAGAACCGGGTCCTCTTCGTCTGCCGGTTCAGCCTTCGTGGCGTTCTCATCCTTCTTCTTGATGCGAGAGAGGGTGGGTAGAGGCGCTGGAGCAACGTAGGAGTCGTTTGAAGACTCGGAGAGACGGCGTCTTTTGGGAGCACGGTCATGGGTCCCAGCCTGCTCCTCGCCTGAGATATCAGACTCATACGATCCCTCGGAGACCTCGTCTTCTGAATGCGCCATTGTGATTGCTGGTCAAGAGAAATAATTTTGCGGCAGAAAAAGCAAGGTAGATCAGGCGGTGTGGGCGGGCTTATATTATGCCTTGATTACGAGGCAGAAACACACAACTAAGATTCGTGGCATGATACCCCACTTTCTCGGGGATGAAGAAAGAAATTACAATTGCTTCCTGAGAGATCCTTCCAAAACTCATCTCTGAGCTGACTAGCTAAAGACGTTGAAATATCAAGAAATAGCCACATTGGGGTGCTGAGGTGGTTATATATCATTAAATTTGTGACTTCTGCATCGAATGGCAAGATGGCCGAGTTGGTCTAAGGCGTCAGGTTAAGGCTTACCTTAACACCATTTCCTGATCTCGTTTACGGGGCGTGAGTTCGAGTCTCACTCTTGTCATATCTATTTCCTTTTTTTCCTCTTCATTTTTTCTTTCCAAATTATATAATATTCTTAAAAGAATGTTGTTCGCTTTGCTTTTTTCCTATCCCTTTTCTTTTTCTTTCCCTTTCCTTCTCTCTTTTTTATTGTGTAATCATTCAACCGCCTCTTTCGTATTGTTAATGTACATACATGATCATCCCAACAGAAACGATTGCTTTACCCAACCAGAATAATGTTACTATTTTAGAAGGCGTTCGGAAGTATATGGAGTATACAATCAGCCAGCTCGACTGGCCGTACTCCGTCTCCGAACAGCCCGAAGCTCATGAACTTCGCCGCTTTCCAAATCATTGTCCGCGACAGCAGACTCGGAGGAAGAACGCTGCGCCTCTAGAATGCCATTATCACCCTCCAGACAACCCCCGCTAGTCGTCGCTTCTGCAGACACATTTTCATAATCCAGTCCGTACGTACCACCAACGCTTTCCATAGTAAAGGGACTAGCGGTAGGACCATCCAAGGCATTCAGCTCTTCACGGGTGAACCACAGCGGTAAGAGGAATGAGCGAACAGGAATCAAGAAGAGAATGATAACAGGGAACCCGATAGCGGCAATGGTCTGGGTGATGGCAAAAGTGGCGCCAAACCCAATCAATTCGAGTATAACAAATGCCCAGATAGCAACTCGGCGTTCTAGCCGTTTCAAGGGATTGGAAGCAGGAGTGAGACTTTTGTCTTGAGCAAGGAAAATCAGCTTCTGGGTGATGCCGTTTCCTTGCAGGGCCTGGACACCCATGATAAAGAATAAACCAGCCATGACGCCTTGCGGGATGAGATGGAGGACTATCAGAAGTGGACCAGACATGGTACCTAGAGTGAGAAGTCCTTGCGCCAGGTTGCTGACTCGCTGCTCGACGACGTGATCCGTTACTCGGATAGCCTTGCCCTTATTCGTGTCGTCCTCGTCTGCAACTTGGCGAGTCACGCAAAGGGCTGCTGTATGGAAAGGGGCTTGCGGGATAAGTCCATTTGGGAATGGAATTCCGAGCAGACCGGCAACAAAGGTTGTAAGTCCTAGAAGCCAGAGGTCCCAGTGGAATCCAGCAGGCTTTTTCAGTGGGAACTCGGTGCCTTGGGCAATGAGTGAGGAAACTGGCAGACATTTTCAATCAACATATTCGAAGAATACTGGTTAAAGGCTGGAAACATACCATTGTGATCAAAGTAGAAGAGAATTGTGAGGAGCACGGCAAATGGAATAGCGAGGAATACATCTCCAACGCTGATATCCCAGAAATGCACCAGCCAAGGCCGGTCAAGGGTAGGGAAGAAAGATTTGCTGGTCGGCAAAGTGGCAACGTTGACGTCTCGCATGTGGCCGATATGGACAAATCCAGTGAAAAAGACGATGGTCAAAGGCGTGCCGTAGTCTTCTATAAATTTGCGAATATATCGCTGGAACAGATTGCTATTCCCAAGCTCTCCACAAATCCAACCCACCATCAGGACCAGAAGCGCAACCATAATGGCAAGGTAGGCCGAAGTTTCGCCCACACTGCCCCATTGTCGAGTCAGGACCTGGATTCCTTTTTGGAGGTAGATGCAGGCAACATAGAACCCAAAAATATCGCATGAGAATCGGGTGACATATGTCAATCCGTTGCACGCATTTGTAATAGCGAGAACCCAGTGCATGATCAAAGACCATCTTATTACTGTCAGCTAGCTGGAACCATATGGCAATGGCGTGGTTGGTAACATACATGCCGATCCAGCACATAAATGCAAGATATGGAGTCCCACGGGGACTAATAATATCGTAAACCGTGTAGTTGAAAACAGTAATTGGACCTAAATCGTCAGTCATGGAAGTTGTTTTCCCTGGGGCTACACATACCCGTCACGCCAACAATGACCAGAGGCTGGGCCGCCAATAGAGAAAAGACGACCGCACCGAGAACCGAGGCAAGCAAGACTTCATTTACACCGTAGCTTTGGTTGGTCTTCTCGAACATGTCCAGGGAGAAAGCCAGAGCGGGTAGGATGCTAAGTTGCGTATTAGTGACGGGAGGCCATGAATATGGTTCGTCAAATATTGAAGACTGAATAGACTAAACTCAGAATTTGTGAAACATATTGGGGCAGTCCATACTTTGCAAAGTACATGTAAATGGTCGCAGGAACAATACGGTAGTCCCATGCATCGGTCCAGTCGCTCCAATAGTAGGGGGCTCTACGCTTGACATCTTGGTACATTCCTCGAAACAACCGCACGCGCCACCACTTTTGTTGCGACTGGGCCGACGCAGGAGTTGAGGCGCCGTGCTGTGGCTCCTCATTAGGCGCTTCGGGAGCTGCGGGCATACCTGAGCGATGCGAGGAGCCCATGCTCAACCTGCTTGACCGAAGAGTGTTCCTGCGTTGCGATTGCCAAGAATTCCGTTCTGCCGACGAAGCGGAAGCGTACATGTTGGCAGCTCCAGGGAGAGCGAAGTCTCCCGATCCAGGCATGCTGGGATGTCCAGAAAATTAAGCTCGTAGATGCCCCAAGTTGGGGCGGGCGAAGATTTAAGCAGTCAGAGAAGGTAAGGTCACTGAGACGTAATCGAATTCCCGCTGGGAAGAGCTGTACCCCAAAAAGCAGCCAAACCGGGCGGGGGGTGGTTGGGGTCTGTGGGGCCCCGTTGGTATGTGACTCTTTCTGGTAGACTAACTACACCTCCGCAGCCTTCCTCTTTTACGAGTTAAAGAAAGCAATCATACGAAGATGACATGGGAGAATACGACTATGGATTAACTGCAGACCATAGCAATAGCAAGAGATAGTAATAGCAAGGGATAATAGCAACGTATCATGTTAAGAACTAAAATACCCGATCCTTCGGTATCACGGAGAAAGCAAAAGCAAGTAGCTAACGAGACTGCGACCAGTCGAGCTAAGTGACAAGACTTTACGCAGGCGGGGGGGAGGGGGGGTGGCTGATCACTGGGAGGAGGAGGTGGGGGTCCATCGGTAGGAGGAGGAGGGGGTGGAGGGGCGTCAACAGGAGCCCCAGGGGGAGCGCCAGGAGGAGCACCAGGAGGAGCACCAGGGGGTGTAACAGGAGGGAGCACCAGGGGGTGCAACAGGAGGAACACCAGGAGGCGCACCGTACGACTGCCAAGGAGAAGGAGCCATCCCAGGTGGCGGGGGAGCCATGCTAGCGGGGTAACCATATCCTCCATACCCATAGGCGGCCTGCCCACTAGAGGGAGGAGGAGGGGGGAGTCTGTTGCCAGGGATTAGCAGCAGCCGGCATACCAGGAACCGGGTATGCGGCTTGAGCTCCATAGCCGTAGTCGGGTCCACCACGCTGGGCCCAAGGGCAGCTCCAGAGCCATTGTCACGAGAGCCATAGTCGTCTCGGGGACGATGCTCGCGACGTGATTGCCATGGAGCCACATCGCTGGATGGTGGTGGACCACGCTGCTGCCAGGGCTTGGCATCATTATCGTCGGCATAACCGTCATTTTCAGGACCGGCCTCGATGCGACGAGGTGGATAATCAGCAGGCGCACCACCAGACAATTCGTTCATGAGTTGCTAAAGAGATAGTTAATATAAGACCCTAAGAAGGGACCGATGGTGTCATGATTGAGACGTACCTCCATTTCACGGTCGACGGCATCCCCCTGTGCCGATAGCACGAGGACCACGGCCGCCAGCAGGGTTGTTGCGCCAGTCACTACCACGTTGGCGGTCGGGACAATCACGAGCCATGTGTCCAGCATTGCCACAAGTGCGACAAATGATGTTCGCGGTGAAGTTGCGCTGCTCAGGACAATCGTACTTACGATGTCCGATTTGACCACCTGTACTCATTATCAGTATGTAACTCAAACCGGCGTACTTGAAAGGTAGGAGCTTACAGTTCTGACAAGCTTGGTTTTCATCATCACGGAGGGTACCGTTGAGGGCAGCGAGCTCACGCAGTTGGTTTCGCTTGAGCTCATTTTGACCCTCCGGAATAGAAGCAGCCTATGATTTGTTTAGTAGCTCGCACGAAATTATAGCGATCCGGGGTTTCATACCGTTTCGATGACGTTGTGAACTAGCTTTTTGGCCTTGTTCACCTTCTCCTCGGTGTCTGCCATGATCAGACAATGTAAGTCTTCTTCCTGGTTGCTAGAGTGAGCAGCATCAGATCGGCCTTTGCCTTCCTTAACGGAACCTTTGCCACGGATAGCGATTTTGGCACCGGACTCGGTTTCCATCTTCTTCAAAGTGTTACCACGAGGTCCTATGAGTAAGCCAACTTAAAAAAGAAAGCAAAAAGCTGAGTGTTAGTCATCCTGTAGTTCTGAATATCAAGCAGCGTTAAGTATGGTGAGTAGGGTTAGCAAGAAACGGGCCGAGGACATCTCAGCTCGAGTCGAGCAGACAGACACAAAAGGGAAGGGGATAAAGGGGGAATGGTTAGGACTTAGAGGGTTAGTTATCATACTGAAGTTAATCTCCGGATAGTCGTTCACCGGAACGTAAACCTTCTCCTGAGTCTTGGTGGGGCGTCGGTATTCGGAAGGCGGGTGGTAGTTAGGAATATGCTTCATGGCCCTTTCAACCAGCTTGTGACGCTCATCTTCCAGTCGCTTACGATAACGGAACTCGCGCGTATTCACACGTCGACCAAAGTTGTCATATTGGGGCGCAGGGGAAGGCGACCTGTTTCGATAGTTAGGAATGGATTCGAGCAAGCTATTGAGTGTGCACTTACCTATCACCATCCGCAGGGACGACATCGTTGATGCGAAGCTTCTGGCTGATCTCTTCAATGCGCAGGTGCAAAGTGTAGGCTTCCATTTGCTCGCTGGTGAAGCTGGCCATGACCGACGTGGGCAGACTCATCAAGCCGGCAGCTTTGTTCTCATTCGATTCGCCCCAGCGGTTGCGCTTCTTGCGGCGCTTAGAATCATCGTTGGTAGGGTCTGCTATACAATTGCGATGTCAGGAAATGTGAGACAGTACAAGGGCGACGCGAACTTACCTCGAGCAGGGCTGCGACCGCGTTTGGGGCCATCGTGAACGGACGAAGGCGTCGCGGTCCGACTGTCCTCCTCGTCCTCCCCAGCGAAGCGACGACGCCCCAAAGGGATGTTGTTAGAGCCCGTAATACCTTGATTACGCCAGGCCATAGCTCTTGGTGACCAAGGAGGATGTTAGTGGAAACAGAAAGCGTCTTCTACGAAGGAGGCGAAGTTCGCAAAAAAGCGTGTCTCTGAAAAGTGGAGTGGTAGTCACGTGTAAAGCGGTGAATATGCTTGGCTTCTCTTTGATCTACCGCGGAGTTGTATAGCATGGCACGTGATATTTTGATTGGTCAAGTTTATTCTTCTTAAAACTAATTAACGGAGTAGTTAGTTATACGTTTTTGGCTTATGCATCCACCTATGGGCCTTTAGCATGGGCTTTATCAGCAGAGATCACTCGAGACATAGGCGCGCCAAAGGCGTCCGAGCCGAAGCATCTCCGGGTTGGCTTGCAGACTTCTTCATTGTAGTCGTTATACTGCAAGTGCTAGTCTCCCTTCGATGGGGCAGATATTAGAAGAAGTTACGAAAGTTCAACGGTAAGTCAAGCCTGAGAAGCGGGGAGGAACGATTTCCCGTGCTTAGGCTAGTAGAGACAAGGAACAGGAATACGATAGCTCAATAAGGCGCCGTTATTAATCCCAAACATCACTGCCCAAGTGTACCCGCAAGAAAAACAAATATAATTCTTTGCTTCAGCCACGACTAGTAGCCAATCATTTATTGACTATCAAGACAAGAGTCCAATTTGGTAGATATATTCACTTTTCCGCCTTCATGTGGACCCATCTCAGATACTTATTTCTTAGAATCCTCCTTCATACCTTGCTGAATCCAAGCCCGAGACTCAGCAGCAAGCTTATCCGCGGCAGCCTTATCCTTGATCAAATCTTTCATAGTATGAGGGGAGGGCACATGGCGTCCCTTCTCAGTACCAGGCCTCTTCGCAATGAAGTCCTCCCAAGCTTTCAAGTGAGGAAATTCCTCAATCTCGACTCCCGCCCACCCAGCAGCCGCCACCCATCCCCACAGCGAAATATCCGCAATGGAGATGTGGTCGCCGACCAGGTATCCCGACTTGGACTGTGAGAGGTGCTTGTCAAGCACGCCGTACAGGCGGCGGGTCTCATTCACGTAGCGGTTCACGCCGTACTCGATGCGCTCGGGTGCGTAGCGGGAGAAGTGGTTCGCTTGGCCCTGCATGGGGCCCACGCCGGCGTTCTGGAAGAAGAGCCAGTTGTTCACCTCGTAGTACTCGCGGGTGCCCTTGGGGTAGGAGATCTTGTGCTCTGGATCATATTGGTCGGCGAGGTATTGCAGGATGCTGCCAGATTCGAAGAGATTAATTGTTTGGCCATCTTCGAAAGTATCTGTTAAGGCCGGGATGCGGCCGTTGGGGTTGATTTTGAGGAACCATCTACAGAACTGGTTAATGTTGTTTCTGATATGGAGGCAAGCTCCGGAGACTTACTCTTCCTTCTGCACGTTCTTCGCGATGTCGATCTTCTCGAACTTGTATGGGATGCTGGTATAATGGTGAGCGCCGGCTAAACATACATTGGCGGGGAGAGCTTACCCAAGCTCCTCCAAAGCCATGGAGATCTTGATCCCATTGGGGGTTTGCGCAGTGTACAGAGTGATGTTTGGACGAGACATGATGGGTGTCGGTTTCAGTTGCTGTGCAAGTGAAAAAAGGCGTCTCATTGAGGTGTGGGGGGGTTTAAATGGTTGATGTCATGTCCTAGACCTTTGAAGTACTGAGATAGCGGAGCCCCGCGGCTGGATTTATAATCTTCTCCCGAGAGCCCGGGCCTTGTTCCCGAGTCCTCACGTCCAAGTAACCAACCCCCCCCCCCACTTGGCTTGGATGAGCTGAGGGCAATTGGTTCTATCCGATCCTCGACGAGCAATGGATGGTTCGAGAATGTTGCTAATGAACCTTGAGCATTCGTACCCGACAAGTCGCTTGGACATGGTCTACCGATACTCGTAGCTTATTGTACTGCGTTTCTGCCTAAGAACTTCTAACTCAAAAGGGATAGTAGTAAGTGGGGCTGATTGGTTTCTGCACAACGCAGGAGCTACACACGTCCTACGTGGGCAGCTACAAAAGCCATTTGTCATCTATCGTTCAAAGCACGCCATAGCACAAGAACTGTACCAGTAGCACTAGTAGCACCGATTGTTGGGAATCCCAGGGTCCTCTTCTCTTCATCCATTTGTACAATATGTACATTGCGCGAATATTCCAGGGACAGCTTGTAATGACTCTATGCCATAGCACCATTGACTCGGACAATCTGGCCAGACATCCATTTGCTGTCCTCTCCTGCTAGGAATCCCAAGACTGAAGCAATCTCACTTGGCTCCCCGATGCGGTTGAAAGGACTGAATCCTGCAACGGTCTTGAGAACTTGCTCTGACTTGCCCTTCAAGAAGAGCTCTGTTCTGGTTGGCCCCGGGCAATAGCGTTGACCAAAATTCCCTTTCGCGCCAAGTCCTTCGACATGATACGGGTCATACCCTCAATTGCACCCTTCGCAGATCCATAAAGAAGGTATGCGGGGCCGATGGAGCTGGTGCTGAGAACTGAGCTGGAAACAAAGATGACACGGCCGCCTGCTGGCATATGCTTCACTGCTTTCTAAGAGGAAGTAAGTCACCGTTTTCTCCCTGGCATGAAAAATTGGGCCTTATGGAGCTTTACCTGGGCGAGGAAGTACGGCCCCTTCACCAGCAAATTATAAGTTTTATCGAAGTCCTCTTCACTGGTGCTCTCCAGATCTCTCATAGGCAAGATGCCTGCATTGGGAACAACCACATCAATCTTACCAAACCGAGCGACGGTGGTATCGACCAGACGGTCCAAGTCGGCCAGGTTTCCAGCGTCGGCTTGGATGGCAATTGCTCGATCCGATCCGATCTCGTTGACCACTTTATCGGCCTCGGCTGAATTGGAATTGTAATTGATGACGATACTGGCACCTTTACTGGCGAGGTGCAGAGCAACGGCTTTGCCGATCCCTTGAGAAGAGCCAGTGATAAGGATAACCTTTCCGGAGAGAGACATGATACTGTGTGCAAATATTGAACTTTTCCGTATGAAGTTGTTACTTTGGAATCTAGAGTACCTGATGATTTGAATCAATTCCTCGTTTGACAGTGTTCAGGGCTCGTTCTTATATCTTTGTGTCGACTCGTTCTCTACCACCATGATCTTCATGCTCTTACATGGCTCGGCCCACAAGACGGTGACCGAAAGACGGTGACCGATGGCCGATTTGCTTAAGTAGAAGCCCGTATATCCGTAACGAGATATTAGCGGCCTTAACGCTAAGCTTTGGATATGAGATCAGCGGCGGGCCGGTGAGTCCAACCAGGCCTTGCAGACGAGGGCAAGTTTCTCCACAGCTGGGCCGAAGGAAGAAGTCCGGTCTTCGAAGTTGCTGAGTCATAGTCGAAGTCGGAGATCGAGTCTTAAGGCCGAAATGGTATCTATCATCGCTAAAATAAACCCGGTCGAGATTCGTTTTACTAGCACTAGTACCTGTAGTTTATGTTACACCGATGGCCCTTTGAGGCCGGTGATATATTAGTTCGTTGCTCGTGGGTATGAGTTTTGGCCCTCACTATCCAGCTAAACACACTACACAGGGCTATCCGCAAGGGACAAGATGAAAAGGAAAGCGAAGAAGACAAAATAGCAAATACCTTGGGCCGAATATTGGGCCCGTTTCATTTGTACAGACAACGCGGCAAAATAGACAGTGGCCCACATAATAACTATGAAGAAGATATACTACAGAAAATATGAATCAGATAGCACTAGTCCGCGTCGTACACGCCTGATATTCTCGTAACCATAAGAAATCCCTGCCAGCCTCGGAGTATCACAACAGGATTAGATAAATAGCCAATCCAGCCGAGAAGCATCTAGTTCATCCACCCAATCAAATGATGAATCAAATGTCTCCTCATCAGCTTGACCCCCGGACACGTCCGTATCTTGGTCATCGACGATCGCAAACAGCATATTCTCCCGTCGCCGGAGGTCTTGCTTCTGCCACATAAGCCTGAGCACCCAAGCAGCATTCCGTACATTGACGCTTGTAACAGCCTTGTACAAAGCGCCCAGTTGCTCCAGCACCAACGCACGTTGAGCTAGCCGACGGCACTCGACGCCGGCGATGAAAGTGGGCCAGATGAGGCACTTGAAGTGTGGGTCAGAGCGCGGTATAGAACAGATGCGCGCGATGAGGTCATTGGCTATTATAGAATGATCGTCTGGGAGGTTGATTTCCTTCCACGGGGGTGAGAAGCCCTCGCGTGCGCGGGAGAGCACTCGGCTGGTGTATAGGTAGACGGCCGCCTGGTAGGCACTAGCTAGTGCGATGCGAGACGAGAGGTCGTCAAGGTAAAAGTAAGCTTGCATCTCGTGGGACCAGGAGACGGGGTCAAAGGTGCGAATGCTATGTAAAAGAGCCGCGAAGGATTCACGTGTAAGCGGTTGGCCGTGTTGCATGGTCGTTGAGAGGGTTGCAGGTCTGGGTGTTGAGGATAGTATTTCGGACTCTGGGTACCACAGAGTGTGGATGAAGAAAATTACTTCGAGTAGGAAGGCTGGACAGCCTACCCAGGAGGTCTCTTCGAGGCGCTTGAGCATTGATGCGCCCGAGGCGGGCAAGAAGGGCCTGGAGAGTGCGCCCGGGCGAGCAAGTGTTGAACCCATGATTTCCATGCTGAGTTCCTAGTTAGTCGCAACGTTCGATAGAAAACTCAAAACGGCTTGGGATACTTACATTACACAGCCTTCGATAGCGAACTCCTCGAGTCCTTGGAGTATGCCTCGGCCGATTTTGTTTCCAGGTCGGTCTCTGAGTAGTTTCTTTAAGCCCTCGATATGATAGCTCCACGCGCCGCTCCCAGACTCGAACACGTCAAGCAGAGCGAGAAGAACAATAGCCGCCAAATTGATATCATCGTTCTGCGTAGCTGGGTTCATGAGATCCCTGGATAATTCGGATAGAGTGCGCTGTTTGAATTCCAAAAAGTCTTGGTAAGCCCTCGAAGGTGGCCGACGAGAGTTTGATGGGAGAATCATATTCTCAATTTCCTCAGTAGATAGAAGCGAATCGGCCGTCAGGGGATTATGAGATGACCAGGGCAAGACCGATGGATCTGAGCTTGACATCAAAGAATAATGTACAGCCCCCATAGCACACAGGGTATTAGTTATTAGTGGTGAATAGCCGACCAAAGCCATTATATCTCGCCACGGATTCTTGGTTTGAGGATATACCAGAAGTTCATTGGTGATACATTGATTGTCTGCATCGAGAGATATTAGCGGGGTGGTCCAACCGAGGAAGCATGTTAAACATACAGTGTGAAAGGTAAAACCTAGTAAGCGGACTGAAATCTTTCATTGTAGGATCTACCAAGCCCCATGGCGCTGGAACATAATCGAAAGGGTGATTCCGCGATACTTGGACTAATTGTCCATGTGCCTCCAAATTATTTGCCGGCCCGGGATATATAGAAGCTTCAGTTGGGCCAATCTCTTCAGCTTCCAACATGTCCAATGATTCCTGGATCCAAGCATCCGCCTCGGGGCTCTTCTGATAACTGGAGCTTGGAGAAATCGTATCGGGGGACTCGGACGCGAGGAGGAGATCTGTGTTGTTTGAAGCACTGGAGCCGTGTGTGGTCTCTGGCTCTGGCTCTGGCTCTGGCTCTGATGGCCGATCTCTAGACTTTTTCATGGACTTCTCCGCGTCGTCAAAACTGCGACCCATCATCTTCCCCCGGCTGGCGACACCACCCTTGACCCACACCAGAGGCTTTTGGTAGCCTAGGCATTCTTTCCCTGCATCTCTGCATTTTCGACAGGTCGGCTGGCCATTGTCGCAGATGATGCGACGGCGCCGGCACGTATAGCAGCCCTTGGTCATGGTGGTGGGGCTTGTAGGTCGTGCAAACAGTATGTAAGAATCCTAGCCACTCGTGTCTGCGGCGTGCCCGCCATCGCGGACAGGAAGCGGTGGTAGATTAGCCGGGCCACTCAAGTTAGCTTTGGCTAACGGTGGTCATGAAGAGCTAGGAAAAGATGAGCGATAAGCGCTGTTCCCAGTTGAGAAAAGAAGAGCAAAAAGGCGATTCCTAAAGCGTGGAAGCACCTAGGCCATTGGTGTGGGGCTTAGTAAGAGCTGGACTTTTCCCAAGTCTGGAGATCCCCTCCGCTTTTCCGCCTCAGCGATTAGCTGGCTGTCAGTTTTCCTCATGCCGACATGCTTTTCAGAGTGATCCAACTCCTCCTGAGCGCGCAAGGTAAGCTGCTCTCTCTTATACTGGAGAGGTTAGGTGATTAACACCGCCCAGGCGCGACATGGCTGCACAACCGCGTATGTACAATGCCTTAGTCGGGCTATGAGGCGCTCCACTAACCATGCCCAGCTATTGCGGAGTCCAACCTTTCATAAAATGGTTGGACATATCCATCAACGCGTGCAGTATCATCGCCATGGAATTCCAATGGAAGAAAGCCGAACCTCCCTTCCAGGCCACGGTAAGCTATCGCGCTTCAAAGTCCCCGCTGGGCCGGCGCTGATGTACCTGATGAATTAGGAGATCGGTTCCAGAGGTTCTTCAGTCATTTCAAGGATGAGTTCAAGAACCAGCTTAAGGGGAAGCCGACGGAGAAATTCTGATTTGCTTTTTCTTTGTCCTCAGGCCCTTTGGCAATTGTGTGACTCCACGCAAAGTAACCCCTTGATACCCACAATATGAATTTTTAATTGCGCATCAGATTCTGCTCGGTTTGATTGCCATATCCTCTAGCCGTGAGCATCCGCCAAGATCTTTTGAAACACTCCGTTTGTTTCCGATGGTAGAAGTGACGTGTTCGCAGAGCTTCGTACGTACGTAAATGGGATTATAACAAAAGGGGGAAGCGTATCGAACACATAGATCGATTACTTTGTATCTGGCAAAAGGGGTTCTTCGATTATTGGTGTTTTTAACGTGGATTTGAAGTCAAAGTCTGACTTATGGCTAGTAGTATTGGCTCTGTCAAGGGCGTAAATATTTGGAACGAATCAGATTAAAGCCGCAGCCTCCAGGCCGACCTCGGGAGGCTCTTGGGGGATAGAGAATCATCAGAGAAGCCCCAGCATTCTGAGCATTCTGCTGGGGCTAGGGATTCACAGGTACGAAATATACGCTACTATTTGAACTCTGCAGGATAGAAATTGCTGATAGGGCTGGGATGTAGGCTGGGATTCGCTATGGTAGATGCAGACCCCGTAAACGCCGTAGAACCCCCCGGCTAACCGGCTCTGCAGTTGATGTGTCCTCGGGTCGTCCGAACCAGGTACAAAACAACCCACTCACACAGCCCTTTTGGAGATAGATCATGGGTCCAGCCCTGGGGTGCCATTCTGGGATCGGTGTACTTGTGCGATGTTTCTAGTGCCAATATTCGCTGTAAGTACCGTGCGCCGCCTTGAATTACGAGCTGGGTGGCCTTGGCGAAGGCGACCGATTACATTAAGGCCAATCTGATGACTGGAATGATCACCTGCACAGCCATGGTCAGCGTCAAGATGGTAGCAGTCCAACGCTACCACATGGGCGATCGTGACAACAGTGTCATGTAGGGTGGCCCTGCAGGCGTTGCTAAATATGGCCCGGTGCGAGGGGCGACGCTTACGAATGGCTGGAAAGGCTAGTCAGGCCTCGATGGGGCCTTCGCAACCGAGCCGAGCCCTGCCCTGGTTGTCGGTAGGGCTTGGGGGAAAGACGAGAAGGGCTTGTCAAAGCTGTAGGGCTCGACTTGGAGGTGTGAACAGGTGTTAACATCAACATCGCATTTTGTACCACCAGCAGCCCTCTAGAAGCATTTTTTTCAAGAAGTTCTTTGAGACTTGTGGAGACCAAAAAGCAACAAGGATGGCGGCCTAAAAAGGCACTACCTGAAACTAGGGCGGCGCTAACCCCTAAACCAGTTAGCGCCCACGGCAACTACGAATCCACCCAAAGAGGCCGATTCTTCCCTACTCCTTTCTCTTTTCTCTCCAAGCATTCCTGTCGTTCGTTCCTTTTCCCCACGATCGTTTCTGTCCCTGCATCTATCAGGGCTCCAACACCTTCGAATAAAGAAAGTTCGAGGTTTTATATTCGCCATGCGTCTCCTTAACCTCTCAGTACTCGTCCACGCCCTGTTAGCGACGGCGGTCGCTGCTCAGGGCCTGAGCGACAATCTCTCCAGTGCCGTATCGGATGTTGCTGGCGCATCTCCTACATCATCTGAAGATGCTCCCACTACTTCACAGGCCCCGCCTACCTCCAGTGCTGCTCCCACGACCTCTGAAGCACCCACCACCTCGGCGGCTCCCACTACCACCAGTGTTGACTCAACCACTAGCACCTCTTCCACCACCTCATCCTCTTCGTCCTCCTCCGACGAGCCCACCACTACTCCTGCTCCCCAAACAACCACCTCCGACTCTGTAGCTCCGTCTACCACTACTTCGGAGCCTTCAAAGACCACTTCTTCTGAAGATAGTAAAAGCACCACTTCAACAGATAAACCCCACACTACCGCAACTCCTGTTGTTCATACCATCACCTCGGAGGTCACTATCAGTGGCACCCCTCAGCCAACCGAAATCAAGACCACTTCTACTCCCACTGCCGACGCATCTCTCAACTCTGACAACAGCAGCTCTTCCGGCGGCGGTGGTCTGTCGGACAGCAGCAAGAAAGTTGTCATCGGTGTTGTTGTCGGTGTCGGTGGTGCTATCGTCCTCGGTGTCCTCGGTGTCGTGATCTGGCGTATCCAGAAGAAGCGCAAGGAGCAGTTGAATGATGAGCAAGACGATCTGATGGGTGGTACTGCTGTGGGCTCCAACCCTCACGAGAAGGCTCCAAGCCCAGTTGGCGGAACCCCGTTCAGGAACACTCTGGACCAGTACCACAACCCTGGCCCCATCAACGCTTCATCGAATTTCTAAGAACGGACTGTGTCCTCTTAACTTTCGTTTGATCTAGGTTTTCGAAAGTGTAAAAACCTCTGTACGATCATCACGCAATTTCTCAGGCGCTTTGGGCGAGGCAGGCGAACATTTGTCTATTCTTGTTTCATCTCTGGTTTTCGGTATCATTATTGTGCTCAAATGCACTTCCACTCATTTCGACATCATAGACACGGCTACATCATTTCACTCATTTGAACGATCAAGATTCGACAACCTCGACATTCTTTACCAATCACAACACGCTTCGCGGCTTTCATCCTTTCGGTATCCTTCGGGCTCTCCCGGAACGCCCACAAACTGCCTCATCTCTTTTTGATTCCCCATGTTGTGGCGCCGCCCCATCAATATCATGTTATTTAATAATCCTTTATTTTGAGGACCTGTCAACCTATTTGTTTGGCCGAAGTGTACATTGTTTGAAGTGTTTGATATGGAAAAAAAAAGTTTGATCTGAATCATTCTCTAGTCTTACGACCAGCGTAGTATATATCGTCGATTTGGACTGTTTCATCCAGTACATGTCTGGAGATCTTCGCCTATGACCGATGCGTATGGCTCCCGGTCTTCCCTGGACTTCCTATAAACGCCCGCTTTGCTATATCAAAACAACTCCATCTTTGGCTAGGTTAAGTTTGTAACTCCGTCCCACATAGAAAGTCGCTTATTATTTTCCATCCAGACTATTTAAGTTGCAGAGATCGAGAATCATGTTTTGCCAGAATAAGATAAGATCGAACGCCAAATTAAGATCATCTCGGTCCACATTCCCCCATCCCGACGCGCTTCCTCTCACGTGGCGGAATGCGCGTCGCGGTCAGATCGACACATCCTCCCAGCCTTCGCCCCTCTTCAAAAACATCGCGACCCAGGGATTCCTGTCTAGATCCCAAATCTACAACCCTTAGCATCCGCAAAGCGGCCCACATCCATTTTCGTCGAACTTGGAGAATCGCCCAAGAAACAACCTTCCGCAAACGAACCACGGAAACCCACACCCACCCAGCTCAATCTCAACCACAATGTTCGCTTCACAACCCCCCTCCACCCCAGCAACACCCTTCCGCCAAACAGGCCACTACACACCATCACGGCCCTCCCCCTCGGCCTCCGCAGCGCCAATATCGCCACACCCCCATGGGCAATGGGATCGCCCTCCCAGGGGACCAAGTCCGGCATCGACGAGAATGCGCACTGCACGCCCGTAACATTCCCCACCTTCGCCATCCACACCGAGCCCCCAAAGATGCAAACCCAGCAGCCCACTCAGATCTTCGGCCCTGCCTCCTCGCCCTTCATGCCCTCCCATGCAGCTAGCCAGATGTCTCCTGGCTCGCCCTCGCCATCAACACGCGGCAAGTACGCGGATCGCTTCGCGGCGCAGATCGCGAACCCCATGAAGAGCTCCGCGTCTCTCGCACGCTCGAAGACGAGGAAGATGTTTCTGAACCGCGTGAAGGACGAGCGCGACTCGAGCCGGTTCGAGGCGCGCGGGGAGCAGATGATGCGTCTGGACTATTTGGCCGAAAAGAGGCGGTGGGAGGAGTCCATGGCGCGGGACATGGATGTGGTGAGGGACGTGGATATTGAGGAGGGTGGCATGATTCCTGGTAAGTTTGTGCTGCGAGTCATGAGATGCGGGGAAATCGGGCTAACGGCGTTGTTGTAGACGAGGCGGATCTTCGCGCTCTTGACGAGTATACCTCGCAGGAGCAGGCTATGGAGAATGCGATTTTGGAGACTATGGGCCATGCGGAGACGAATTCGTCATTCGGGGATGATGAGTATGATGATCTCTTCATGGCGCTGCAGAATCAACAGGGGACTGGCCAGTCTCAGGATATAGACATGTCGTGATCTGTGTGGCTTGTTCAGGATAATTATGTTGATTCATTGATTGCATTGGGCGTGGCGTTATTGGGATGGGTATGTGGGTTACTACATGTGGTTTGGAAATCTATCGATGAATACCTGTGAATATTGGAAATGGCGAAGCACTTGTGAATAGATCAGGGTATCGGACGTCTGGGGTATGTAAAGTACAAGCAAGCCGATGAATATGGAAATCTTGTGAAATCTCGAAGAATCCCGATATATTCCTACTGCTGGGGGCAATCGGGTACGCCTTCAGCACCAGCACCGGCACCTCCAAGGTCTCCCATGAGTGGATTCGAGATAAGCTCTTCCCGGTGGGCTGCCCGCAGCTTGCATCTAGTGGGAAAATTAGCATAGTAACCAAAGTATGGGAGAAAGCGTCTTGACAAGCACATACCTCTTGCATCCGCTCCCACACATACTCGCGGCATTTGGAATCTTCATCCGAGTACCCCGGTTCCTCGAACTTTTTCACAATCTGCCCGACAATGCGTGCCTGCGACTCATACCTCTCCATATCCTCCACAGGAACCGTCCCTTCCGCCTTATTCTTCGCAATCCAAGGGCCGAACTTGCCATCCAGCTCCTTCATCGGCTCATACAGCATCTCTTTATTTGACAACTGCTCCATCATCCCCATAAACATTTTACTCAGGTCTCCATCATCTCCGGCCCCCGACGCCCCCGCCTCAACAGCCTTCAGCAGCTGCGCAATCATATCATCCCCATCGTCTGTACTAGCAGCTTCCGTTGCCTTATCACCAGATGCCTTCATGCGCTCCATCGTCCGCTGAATTGCATCATTGAAATCAGAGGCCTGTTCGGCCCCATGTCCTGCGACACTGGATGCTGCGGCCGCAGCTGCCGAAGCAGCCGCCGATCCAGTCCCCGCTGGAGCCGAGCTGCCCTTCACGCTGCTCTCCTCATTCATTACGTCGGCGAGCAGTTGCTTCAGGAAGTCGCCCGGTGGGATCCCGCTCTCTTCGAGCTGCTTGGCAAATGCGTCTGCGCCCTGCTCCATTGAAGCCAGGTCTGCGGCGTTTCTGCCGGAGGGCGCACCACCGGCTGCGTTACCCATCAGATTTGCCATGTCGGCTTCCAGTTGCTTCAGGAAGTCGTCTTCGTTGAAGTCGGCGGGGCCTAGGGCTGGTTCTGTGGACGCGGGCGCCGCGGGCGCCGCAGGTGCTGGCTTGGGTTTGGAGAAGTCATCTAGGACGTCTGATGTAGGGTAAGGTTAGTTTTCTGGCTCTTCAGTAGCATAGTGGTGATGCCGAGGTCCAATGAAGCATAGCATAGAAGGAATGAAGGCATATAATGCGCAAAGCATAGGCCATTGTAGGTATGGAGAGGACGCTTTCAAGCGGAGTATGCAGTAGGGCAGGGAGCTTACCGTCCAATTCATCTAGGTCCGAGTCCGAGTCCTCGTCGTGAACCGTGGGCCTGGGCTGCGCGGGCTGCACTGGCTCTTGTGGCGGCGCAGAGTTCGCAGGTTGCGTATTGGCCGCATCCTGTTCAGCCTTGGCGGGAAGGACTGCCGGCGATAATGCCTGGTGGTCGGGGCCAGGGGAGGACATTGTTGTCTAGATCTGGGGAAGAAGTGACGTGCAACCGCAGGGCATCTGTTTGGTTGGAGGCCCGAAGGAGAGGGGCATGTGACTATTTGGCGGGGAAGCGACTGCCGATCGCCTCGGCCATTGTAAATTATTGGACCAGATTGAGATTCAGATCTGATCTGACAAGAAACCCTGAGTGCAGTTCTGGCTATTGGACTGTATGGGCCTTGTAGATCTAGGACCCCAAGGGTGATGGGGACCGGAACCGTCCTCTTACTACTTGTACGGATAAGTGCAATTACACGAGTCCGCAACTGCGGCATTGCATCATAAGGTGAGAGGGCGGACCGCGTGATCGCATCCTCCTTCGACCTGCCTCCTAGGGAAGCGTGACTAAGTGTTGCCCCCTTGGAGGAGCCTTGGAAGAGCATGAAACTCGGTGACTGGAAGCGGATGGCGCGGACCTTTCGCCCCGGTATCGGCTATTCAGCCCTTCTTCTCACGCCATGGAGTTGGAGTTCGTAATTCGTAGCTTGTTGTCCAGAAGTACACTGTACACCAAGTCCATCGCCCGTCGCACGTCGCATCCCTGAACCCCTCTTGTACAAAGTACTCGGGGCGCGCCAAGAGCACGCCCCAAGAGGACATCTCCGCGGAAAAAATCCTTCTGGCAGGTTTTTCCTTCCCCACAGTCTAGAAGAACGACGTGGCCAACCAGTTGTTCCGCGGTGGACCCGTGCCGTCGTAGCCACTCATCGCCTAGAGGTGAAAATTTGCTGTTTGGAGAACAAGAGGGAAAAGGAGAAAAAAAAGAAAAGAAAAAAAAAAAAGTCAAAACATACTAGGCGGACCCCTCTCTCGCCTGACCTCGTTTTTAACCCTTTTACCCCAAATAGTTACAATTGCCATTATTATTCGTTTAGTCAATCGGTTGACTCAACTTTTCTCTTCCCTTCCTCCCCCGCTCTCCGTTTATCTCAATTCTTCTGACTCCTTCTTTTTCATAATCATCTCATTTCTTTTATGTCATTCTCTTCGCCTCTCGCACGTCCCCTGTAACCGCGCGGCTCCGCGGATCCTGCGTCTGTCTTTTGCTCCGACTACACGCGGGGGAGAAAACGATTAACGCCCCTCTGGGTCGGAAAGGAAAACACATTCCTTTTACATAACTTATATTCAGCGGGGTCTTCCAATGGTCTCCATGGTCGAGTCTGCCCGTCCTGATCACAATGACTCGGTCATGGACCCCGTGCCCAAGTCTGAACCTTTGCCAGATGGCTCCATCAGCTCCGCCGTCTCGACCCCCGACCCGGAGGTCGAACCCTTGACTCAAGACCCTGCCCAGACGCAAAAGCGCAAGGGAGGAAGAAAACCTGTACGTAAATCTTGAACTACTGCACGTATTCTGGGGCCCCGCATTCCCTTTATATCCCCTTGTTGATTCCTTATCTGTCGCGCCTATGATGACGTGCAGGCGATCCCTCTGATACCCGGCGGCGAGATAACGGAATTCCGATGGCTAACCCGACCCCCCTCTTCGAGATAGATCTACGCCACTTCTGAAGAGCGCAAACAGCGCAACAGACAAGCTCAAGCAGCTTTCCGCGAACGTCGCACCGAGTACATTCGCCAACTTGAGACCACCATCAAGCGGAATGAGGAATCCCTGCAGAGCCTACAGCAGAGCCACCGCAGCGCTGCCGACGAATGTTTAATGCTGCGCTACAAGAACTCCTTACTGGAACGCATCCTCCTCGAGAAGGGCATCGATGTACAAGCTGAGCTACGACTGAAGACCGGTGCTCCCGGCGCTGCTGCCAAACCCCCCCATGTCTTCCAAGGCTACACCGGCTCCTGGCCCTCGCCCGGTTCAAAGGCACCCAGCTGGTCTCACCTCTAAGCCCGACGCCTTCGCCATGTCGCAGCGCGAAGGCGCCTACGGTGTCCCCTCGCCGCAGTTCCAAGCCACCCCAACGTCGCACGTTTCGTCGCCGTCGCATACCAAGTCCCCCGGGTTTGGATTCCAGGGTGCCATGTCCCCTGTCGGTGTGGACCAGCAAGGCGGTCGCCCGCAGCTGCTCCCGCAGCCTCGGACCTTCAACAACCAGACCTCACCGCCGGCTATCAGCATGCCGCAGACTGACCCCACGGACCCTAAATCTCGCGGAGCTCGTGGTCAGCGAGTTGCTGCTGCATACTATCCTTCTCCCTTCCAAAAACATTATGACCAACTCGGTATGTCGGCTTCATCCCACCCTTTCGAGACGATCGATACTAATTATTATCGCAGAGCAAGAGTATGATGCACAGGCCGATATGGTCGACGACGACCACGACGGCTCAGTGAATGCCTCCTATATGCCAGGTTTTACTCCGCAGTCTGTTGCCTCCGGCTCGCACAGCTTATCCGGATTTAATCCACCCCCTGGCGGGGACAGTGCAGCCGGCGACTTCGGCACTGCGAACCAATTATTGGGCCAGTATGAGCCCATGCTCGATGCAGACCCCTTTGGACTTAGTGCGAGCATGCATTTCCCAACACCATTCAACTACGAGCAAAATCATCCTCGCAATTGAACGGGGTCGGGAAGAATGAACAAAACCCGAAAACAAGACAAACGTTATTCAGCCATCATTCTGGGCGGTTACTCTCCTCTTCTTCAAAAAGTTCTATCTTTTATTTCCCATTAAGCATCGCATGGCGTTATGTGAGATGATTTTTTCCAAGGCTGCTTTTCTTCCCTTGCGGAGAGGTGAGGGTTTGATACCACGGAGCTGTATATATGGTGATTATTCTGTTATTCTTACTGTGATGTGAATACGTGATATATCTACGACGGCTGCGGCCATTGGGATTGTAGACTTGCTGAATTGCCCCTAGCTATCTGGAGATTGAATGTATGATATATGAACTACGTGGCGACACCGTATTTGACCGACTAGAGCAGGTTGTCAAGTATCAGGTGTCAACCCAGGGGTAGATAGCATTAGCTATGATAAGGTGTAAGCGGCCTCGGGTCACCGTTCCAGGACACTTCGTCAGGTCCAATCAGACATGGGCAGCACCAGCAAGCACGTTGAGCAGCTGGCCCAGCATGGTCGGGCGAGGGGGATCGCCCGGGTGGATCCATGTCAATTGGATCTGTCCATCTGCGCGGAGGAAAGCTAAATGTATGATAGTTAACTAGTTAGTTACCATCTCCGCGTGACGCAATGCTGGCATGATTACCCTAAACCCTAGCTGACGCTGACTAAACGACGAGCGACTGGATTGGCGGGCGCGATGCTGATTGGTTGGACCGCACTGATGCCTCGCTTAGTAAATCCGGCGCTTAGCCGAATTCGGAATCCCGCCACAAACCTCATCCTCCTTCTTAGACCACCCCCTTCATCACCATCAATCTACAGAGGCCGGAATCTTCAGTAGGTTCTGCCTTGTGCTTCCTTTAAATCCTCTGTGATCGTCGAGTGCCTTCCCCCGCCGGAAGGACTCCATAACATCAGGCGTCATGGTGGACGTACGGTCCAAGGTACGCTGATAGTGCTGAACGTTGAGCTATCTGCCTTTTATGCCTCAATTCAGCTTCTCCATTGCGGGCGCCCTGGCTAACATGCTTATTTCCTTTTTTCTTGCGTTTCAATAGAACCTCTATGAGCTTCTTGGTATGTGATTTAACTCTTAACCTCGAATTCCTTGCAAAACGCCTCCATCCGTGCAATCCCACGCACCGCTCGACACACTCCTCTCTAATCCGCTTCAACCACTCCATCATCCGCCTATGAAGCTAACCACACTTGAACAGGCAATGACCCTGAACTCGACCCCAACAGACCCCCACCCCCCCCAGCCAAGGCCGTGGACCGCCCAGTTCCCCGTATCGGCAAGCGTGATACTCCCAAGGAGGCTCCCAGCCAGGCTCCCAACCAGGCTCCCCGTGAGAACAATGGCCGCCGTGGTGGCCGTGTGACCGCCGGCAACGAGGCTGGTATGTGACGATATAAAAATTTCCATAAATGTAGGGTAGCACCAGCTAATAGTCTTGATACAGCTTTCCGTGACCGCAATGCCGGCCGTTCCAACAACCGCTCCAAGCCCACCGATGAGGCCGAGCAGCCCACTCGCCGTGGTGGCAACCGTGGTGGCCGTGGTGACCGCCAGTCCCGCACTGGTCATGCGTAAGTTCACCCGCAATTGGATCAATGCACACACAATCGGAAGTGTCGCCCAGCGTACCATCATATCCGAATCCGACCGTGCAATTGTGTTTGTGGTTCGCCTGGCTATGATAGAATCAACTAACACCATATAACAGCGACACCCGCAAGCAGGTCCAGCAGGGCTGGGGTGCCGAGAGCGGCGAGAAGGCTTTCGATGATGAACGTGCCGCTGAGAAGATCGCCAAGGACGAGGAGAACGAACCCCAGACTCCCGCCGCCGAGGAGGAAGAGGTCGACAAGTCCAAGTCGTTCAGCGAATACCTCGCCGAGAAGGCCCAGCGCGAGAGCCTGGCCGCTAAGCCCATCCGTGCCGCCAACGAGGGCTCCAAGGACGACAAGAAGTGGGCCGGAGCTACCGAGCTGAAGCAGTCCGAGGAGGACAGCTACATCCAGCCCTCCTACGAGAAGACCAAGAGCCAGAAGCAGCGCAAGGAAAAGAACTACCTTGACGTCGACCTCCGCTACGTCGAGCCCCCTCGCTCCGGCCCCTCCAATGGCGCTCGCGGCGGCCGTGGTGGCCGTGGCGGTGACCGTGCCCCCCGTGGCGACCGCGCCCCTCGTGGCGGTGACCGTGCTCCCCGCGGTGCTCCCCGTGGTGGTGCTGCTGGTGCTCCTCGTGGTGGCCGTGGTGGCGCCCGTAGTGCCCCCGTTGCCGGCCCCACTGTCGACGAGAAGAACTTCCCCAGCCTGGGCGGTAACTAAATCTACTCGTCAAACGTTCCCCACCATTCTCGCGTGGGAAGAGCTGCCCAGAACCGCCTTTGATCGTTGTTTCAACCCCTCGGTCTTTTCTCTGCTCGTGCCCAAATATCCTCTCAGCGTGCTAAAAAGAAAACATGCTTGGGAAGGGTTGAGATTTCTTTGTTTGTTAGTCATCCATGAAATCAACCCCGTGTGATACGTGATGATGTTTGCGCGCGGGATTGCTGAAATTCTTTTGTGTTGCGTTTAGGGGCGAGGGAGAAGGCTGAGTTGGAAGCTATCTTCGGTGGGACAGAATTGGTTTTGTTTCCTTGACTTGTTTTTCTGGGCCGCGAAAAAAAATAACCCTTTGGCCAACCTTGGAGTCTTCTGTCTACTGAATGATGGGAAAGATCTTCTTGGCTGTGTCTTCTATGCTCTTTGACATGTTTACTATACGTGTGGATGTGCAAATGTGAATTGGATGACTAAAACTCAACCGTGACCAGGACTATGTAAGTTCTTAAGTTGAAAGTAGGAACGCAAGCATTTCCTTTCTCTTTTCAGGAGGATTTTGTAAGCTCTGTAGACTGCCAGTATCGCATTTCAGAATACGTCGCCTGCCGGTGTCCCATGTCAATTGATAATAGAATTGAAGAGCCCTTGAAATTTTTCAGGTTTGCACGATTCAAGTAATTGACAACCGATTCAATGTCCATATATATAACCTGCGTCGGACCTCTTAAGAAAAATTTGAGTTTAAGAGGTCTGCAGATGTCTCAAGAGTCATCTGACAGTGGGTCCAGGTACACTAAAAGCTACTAGTATCAGTTTTAAACCCATGTAGGTACGACAAGTATTACTTTAGAACCCGTTAAGATATGCCCATATATAGTCCTAAGGGGCAGCATGCATTGGGACTTCCCAGCAAGTAAGAAAGTGCATATTCGAATTTAAATATCCTCGTCCAACAGAAGAAAGCATAATGAGATCCGCTAACTGAAGATCGGGTATATCAATTTTTGACTCTCACAAGAAGACAAGAAATGAGATGGAGTATGGAAGGACTGGATAGAAAGGGGGAAGAAAAATGGTAATCGAAATGCAAAGGGAATAGCAGTCCGAGCAAAGGACTAGGCAAGGTCGTTTGAAAGCTGAAGGCCCAAGGCCCGAAAATAAGAAATAGCGATCGAATGGCTTCTGAGCCAGGCTTTTTGGAGGTTGAAAGGCGTGACAAAGAAAAGAACGAGGTTGAAAACGTAACAGACTTCTACTGCAGCGCATAGCTAGACAGCGATGAATATCTTGGGGACTCGCCAAATGTGGAGAAATGAACACAAGGCTTCGGAAAAGGCGTCGAACGATGCATCAAATCAAACCAGGGATATATAACAGTGGACACAATGAATCAGGAGAGAAGAGACTCGTATGATATGGGGAAAACCCTGAGAAAAGGGGAGGAGAAACAAGAAAATGCATACTTCCGTCCGGTTCTAAATGCAAAACATAGCCCGACACGACAAAACACGCTCATCACGAAAAGATGCAGTGGAAAAAGAATATGCAGAAGGGTTTATTGTCTTCCCTGCAGAAGCGGGCAGGACGTTGAACGGACATTGGGGGAGGGGGAGGGAGTGGACAAGGGAATTCAAGGCACAGAAAGGCAACAAGTGATGTCCCAGGCGCGATCCCAAACCTATGTCGAAACAATATCAAGTAATGAGGGTAGGGCGGATGCCACCTGGACATCCTGTTTCCCTACAATCTAGAATGCAGCAGCAAGGCCATTTTTGGAATGGCGTCTGCTGAACCTCTTCTTCCCCTTGACCGATTCTGAATCGTGCTGCTGGTGCTTAACCAATGTATTCCGAGTCGGCGGATGAGATGTGTTTTCACCCTGTAGATCGGCTGTGCGATCGAGCGTGTTGGTATGGCTGGAGAACTCCGATGGGATGTCGCGGAATGCATCATCAGCGGAGTATGGCCCAGCACTGGGTTGGGTCAAAGCAATTTCCTTGGCTCGATCCAATGCATCAAGCCACTCCTGTACTGTAACGGCTGACGCCCCAGGAGATAATTTGGGATCTTCAAATACAAAGTGCTTATCTCGCTGTAATCATCTTAGTAGGTAGTTTTGAAAGATGGCCGTGGGTAGAGGGGGGAGGGGGCTACATACCGTATCCACTATCCAGGATGAGTGACCTTTGACATCAGTGGTGCTTCTGAAGGTCGTTCCTGTAGCAAGAAGAGATATCTCCGCTTTCGCTTTCTTTTCATCCCCGCCCGGCGCCGCTAGAATAACTCGTCCTGACGATGTGACCATTACTAGGCGGTTTCGTTTCTTTGTTGTCGAACTTGAGAAGAAGCGCGAGAATTTCTTGGACGTGGTGTCCAGCTCGCCACTGCTATTCTTCCCGGTCGGGCTATGACTTGCCGCGGAGGATATGACGACCATATTCCCGAGTTTGAGGATTCGCTCATTGGATCTGCTGAGGACTGGCGACCATTCAATATCCAACTGACTTGGCGGAGGTAACTCAGTCACTACTCTAGGCAGGTTCCTCGTGCTAGCGGCGTTCGGCGCGTTGGATGGAGCAGTGGAGATTGCAGGAGGGAAGTTGTCGCTATTGTCACCATTGAGCTTGATCGGCTCTCGTGGGGGCGGAACATAGGCCTTCAAGCGGGGGGCCTTCTGCTTCCACATGTCGGTACCCCATGAGATACCATCAAAGAATTCATGATTCTTGATATGCTCTATCTGCAGTCGCTGAGCAGGGTCAAGAACCAGCAGACGTTCGACAAGGTCCCGAGCAACGGCCGGGAACCCAATCAGGAAAATCGTAATCCAGGCCAACGATCTTCTGGAATGTTTGGTACTCGTTTCCAGCCTTGAAAGGCGGGCGACCAGCCAGCAACTGATATATGATACAACCAAACGCCCACAAATCGCTGGCTTTGCAAGCATTCTTGTCCGTCAAAAGTTCTGGACTGACGTACTCGGCTGTACCGACGAAAGAGCTTGCTCGCTCTTCCTCGGGCACTTCTGAGGAATCCATGTTTGGAATGGAACTCGTGCTCTCGTCCGGTCGCCGTGGCGCTTTCAAAATCTTTGCTGTGCCAAAGTCGGTGATTTTGACATGCATTTGGTGATCGAGTAATACATTTTCCGGCTTCAGGTCTCGATGGATCACCCCACGCTTGTGCATGTAATCTATCGTGTCAAGGATTTGGGCGCCGTAGAACCTGGTGCACTCTTCATCAAACGTCGACATCCGCTTCAGTACACCAAGAAGCTCGCCTCCTTTGCAAAGATCCAACACGAAGTACAGCGAACGTTCATCCTGGAAAGTATAGTATAGACGGACAATTCCCGGGTGGTCGGTGAGGCGATTCAGCGTATCCTTCTCGATATTAACGTATTTCACCTTCTTCTCTTTGATGATGTGCCGTTTGTCGAGGATCTTGATCGCATATTCCTTTAACGTCTGTCTATCCGTTGCGAAGACCACGGTACTGTACGAGCCTTCTCCGAGGGTATTGCCGAACGAAAAATCGCGCACTCCTTTCTTAACAAAACGTGATACTGTGTGGCCATTCGCATCCACTTCCTGCCTCACGGAAACAGCTGCGCCGCGATCCTGCCAGTCTTCGCTGCTGGGCGGGGGTCCGTTTTCTAAGCCATAGGGGGATCGGGCCATCGCGGGTTGCTGTGTGCTACCTCGGGCATGTGCTCTTGATGTCTGACGCATCACTGCCGGCCCATTGGGGATCTGAGCAGTTCTGTAGGACCGGTCGCTGTGGGAGTTATCACGAACAGGGACACCTGCCTGGGCCTGCATGGCCGCAACGCCCGACGCGCCTCGGACGTCTTTCCGGGACTGCTGGGTGGAAGTCGATGAGGCACCTGAGTCGGTCCGCATACGATATTCATTGTCACGGGAAAGTACTGAGGGGGGCTGAGCCATTCGCGTAGACGGAGGAAAGGGGGCGGGAGTGGCCTGGGGGCGTCGAGTGTGTCGCCGAATAAGGCTGATATGGACCGACTTGGGCCTGAGGAAGGTCAGGTACAGGATAGGTCAGAGAGGATCGGGTCTCGTATGAAGATGGGTAGTCGGTCGGGGCTGGAGGAAATGATGCGGATTGCTCGTCGTGCGGTACAGATTCGGAAAACTGTGGATGTGTTGATACCGAATCGCCCATGTCGGATGGACTGGCTACCATCGAACCGGCGGTCGCGTCCTCCGATTGGAGAGGAGAATCGTCTGGATTCGCTATGCGAAGCCCTCCCAGAGACTGGGAGAGACTGAGATCCCCGTTCATGACGGGGACGTTGGCGGATGATCGAGTGAGCTGACCTCTAGTCCCGAAGGAGGGGGGCGATGTGGGAATTGAGGGTAGAGCAAGGGGGGAGGGAAGTAGCACGATTTCGAGAAGAAATCAAACGAAAGGCAGCCGACAGACTAGGACGGCGGTGACTGAGGCCGAGGAGGCATGATCCAGTCCAGATGACGTTGGAGGGAGGGGGAGGGAAAGAGAGGGCAAGATGTTCAACAGGAGGCTCCGGAGACTTAGGAGGAATTGGGTCTAGTGTCGGAGGGGGCTGAGCATGGGCTATTAATACATGTAGGCCAGAATATCACCATCTAAATCTGGGAGATATGGGGAAATTGGTCAACAAGTAGAGACCGAGTGATTTCATTTACGCTGAAATCAGAAAGTGAAATTCTCAAATGGGTTTGTCGCGTCGCTATCGCGCACGGCGCTGATTTGTCTAGTTTCGAGAACTGGCAGGGTCGACCCATGACATGACCTTCCTTACTCTCACTTGCTGAGGTTTGGGGAATCTTTCTCCTGCCAGGGTGCTATCCTTCCTATTCTTCCCTCCAGGCGCCCGTACGACCTCTCCAGCACGCTCTAACGTGGGTCATTTCCATCGGCATCATGCTCCGGCGCCCGCCAACGATGGTTTGGCTGCGCGAGGAGGAGGTCGAAATTACTCTGCAAAGCGTCTTTGACAAGAACAAGGTGCTTATTGCGCTAGGCCAACTGAATCTCAACGATCGAAGCCAAATCCCTGTCGGCCATTCAATTGGCTCCTCGTCCGCCTCTTTCCAATCCGGCCCTTCGCATGGGGATCTTGATACGATCCCCCACGCATCAGTGCTGGGATCTTCTTCTGCCTCTTACTACTCTACCTCGATTTTCAACGAACAGCCTACCTCGGACGAAACGATGGAAGAAGCTCCGTCTGTACGAACCTCTGTAGGAAATAGCCTTGTCAACCCAGTGGATACTACCGCCACTATCACCCGTCTTCGCCAAGCATCTGCTCGAACCCAGTATCGAGTGACTCCGCTTCGCGAGCGTAAGCGGCCGCGTATTGTTATTAACTCAGTCAATCTACCCCGCGAGCACCGTAAAGGTCGTGGGCAAATCGGACATCGGGGCCGTGACAAGGGTGAGTGTGAGCAAGGAGGGTCCAATAGTCGGATTATGGATGATCATCTCGCTAACCCATATTGCCTGGTAGAAAACTACCGACGCAACTCACAGATCCGTGTCAGTGCGAGACCCACCGTCCATGATGAACAGCTGCTGTATCCTACATTCACCAACTCCCGCCTGTGGCCTGATGCTAAGCCCAATGTGAGCAAGGGCACGAATTTGGCCCGAGAGTCGAACCTGGCGTCTTCATCTTACGAGGTTACGATGGCCGATTCGTCAGCTAACACTTTCCAGGATACTTTTCGCATGAAGAAAGTCGATGAGTACTTTTTACTGGGCGAGCCCAAGGGCGATCGTGGAGATGTTGTGTGGTAGAAGAATTGTACGCGCCCAATGGTGCCCATGGTGCCAGCCAAGTCGGAGTTCCCTGCGTTGAAAGTTCACGAAAGTACTATTGACGCACATCGCTGACCATGTATTATTCTACGAGTCCTGAAGGAGGAAGTCGGTTTGTATTAGCTTAATCCATATTACCGAAAATTTGCTTTGCTACTTTATCCTATGGCTTTTACTAGAATTTCAAATGTAAGAAAGTTGATCGGTATGTGGCGTCCCTCTGCAGAATAGGAGACACCCACGCGCCTCCTCCCGGATAAGGACCCCTGTCGTACGCCGTTTAAATCTGCTTGGTATGAAGATGGTTCATAAAACAAGTGCCCGCATGGACTCCGAGCAGGCAGTCTGAGCTGTGGAGTGGCCTTGGCTGGCTTTAGTCTGTTTCGGTGACGCATCCTTTGCCCCTCGGTGGGCTCTACTTAAAGCAGAGATTCTTTTCCCTATCTCCATTGCGGCAATTCATGTTGGATAGTACACAGGAATCATGATTATTTGGTGTTCCTTGCCGCTCACCAAACCCGTCGCGGACTGGACACATTTGTCTCACTCGGGGGTGTCCACTTTACTATAGGCTACCGCCAAGCTTTACAGTCTGGTTGCCAGAGGCTAAAGTATTAATAGAACTAGAATCAGCGCGGGGTGGGCGGCAGCAGATCATGACTTGAAGTGAATTTCCCCGCTCAAGAACCGACTACTAGTAGAGTACATAGCCAAATCATAGCTTCTATTTCTGTCGCAGTGCTGAACAAAAATAGTTGCCATCGCATGCCGTGTATCGAGTTATATTGCAAATGCGACTTGTTCAACTTCAATATCGCCTTTGGTACTCCGTTTGGCTAGTACAACATTCGACTCCAGATATCCAAGTGCTAACCGTTGTTCTATCAATAGATCAATTAATTCGACTTTGAGCTCTTCTCAACCAGCATCCATGATGTGCGCATACGTTATTGGATTCATGCTAGTATGCTATTTATATGAAACGACTTGAAGACGTCCTGATACCACGTGAAACACTATAAAACTCCTAATTCGAACTTGAGCTTGACTGTTGCTCCAGTCTTCTACTCGCCACCTACTGGTACCTACACGTACACCGCACCTTCAAGCTTAAGGGGGGGAAGAAAGAAAAGAAAACCAGGCGATCTTCCATTGATACAGAGATCTGAAAAGTCTTAGCTTTGTATTTAGCAAACCTGGAAAAGTGTCACCACCACGGAGTACGGCGGCAAGCGTATCCACCGGTCTTCATCTTTAGCACGCTCGCAAAAAATGTAGCGTGGCTGGCTTTTTTTTAGCCGATCGACGTGGTCCTTTTTCAGGCGCCCCATTATGGAGACTACGGACAGACAGAACTTGAGGTAGGAACATCTACCTACCCAGTTACCCTACCCAAGGATGGATAGACAAGGACCCAAAGGACGGATTGCGTTGAATGGTGGCTAATACGCACCGCCCGGCTACCCCAAGTTCATGATCCGAGTTCCATGGAAGCCGGACTGACCAATGACCAACCCCCGGGGAAACATATGATCTCTTAGCACATTCTCCCCCTGACGATCGATGTCCGCCCCAGGGCAAACGGCAACAAAAAGATACGAACGTTTCGAAGGTCGTACATTCGACCAATGATGACATGTCATTTTCTTGATCAAATGCTCCGGCCCGGTATGTGCCATTCCAAAGGATTATTCTGATCTCTAAGACAGGGCAGTAAAATAAGTGGTTTGTACATCGCAATGACTGCCAATGACACATTACTGGTACGAGATATGCATGAGGAGTTGAAGATGTATTGAAATAGACCCTGCTAATTATAGGTCTGCCGATAACATCACCCAGAGAACGTCGAAGCGTTGCAGAAATCTCCATAGGGAGATCCTACAGTCCCTACGGGGTCCCTGCAAGCTAAGGGTTGGCTGGTATGCCCAAAGACCTGAATAAGACCCTGAGAACAATTAGAAACCCTGGGAGTAAGCATACTAGTAACTTCCACGATAAACGATCCAGAGTCCATGTAACATCAACAACTGCCTAAGCGTCTTAGAGCGGCTCTGGGAGGTTACATGGTGGCCGATTCCTTCGAACTTTGCTGCGATCTCCGTCGTCAGCGTGTGGGAAACTCCGCCGGCACCCATCGCACTAGCGCCCGTTCGAGTAAAGGCGAGGCCACCCACCAGCCGGTGTCTCAGAACCCAAAGAGTATATAAAAACCGTGCACCTGGGTTCTCGAGCTCCAAGAGTTTCTCATCATCCCAAGCATAAACCGTCCGATCTTTGCAAAAAGAACAGCCCCTAAAAATCTACCAAAATGTCCTCCTGCAACGTCCTCCAAAACCCATCTTTCGAGTCCGGCTCGCTGGCTCCATGGAAGGCCACTGTTGCAAACTCCGTCACCGTTTTGAACTCCAGCTCAGGCACCCCAGCTGCCGACGGCTACTCCTTCGCGTAAGGAAGTTCTCTCAAACAATTTGCCCAGTTAACCGTGCGCAAGCTGACACTCGTCACTAGCCAGATCAAGACCGCCATTGATAACGGCGGCCGCTCTTTCTACCAGAATATCAAAGACCTGAAGCCTTCCGTCGAGTACACATTCGATGCTCAGATCCAGGTTCCCTGGGACTCGCCGGCCAGCTACTGCGCAGTCTACGCCTACATGGGCCACAACGTCACCTTCACTGGCCCCAGGAAGGTCGCCCACGCCGACATCCAGGAAACACAGCTGGGCATTTGGATGTCCCTGAACGGCACCTATACCCCCAAAACATCACACGGCGTCCTGAGCATCTTCGGATACTGCGACTTGGAAGATCCGTCCATCACCTCCGAAGTCTTCGTCGATGCTGTCAGCTTTGCTCCCACCCAGTGCTAAGCATTTTAATGAATACAACGGATTGCCGGCAGCTGCCATATAGAGTTGGCTGACACGATTTTTGTGCTATTTCCGTCATTTGCTTTACTTGGATGAAACTACCAAATATCACTCTTCTCATCAAAGCGTTTTGTTTATGCTTTTTGTGTTTTTTTTTTCTTTTCTTTTTACATCTTACACAACAGCGACCCCAAGGCTGTCGTGGGTATCGACTATATAACGCATACTGAGAAATTAATTGAGTAAGCTGTGGACTTCGGGGCATCAATGGATAGCATCAACGGATATGTCTGTCTTCCATTCATCTACAAGCCACACGTAAACTCAATTCTTTAAAAGGATTTTTCCAAAAAGAAAGAAATCCACCTATTCATCCACTTGAACATGGGTCTAGAACCCCGGGCCGGTCATCTGATGTAACACTCCGAATAAGCAAACCAGATCCTCCAGACCCAACCTAAACATTGGAATAAACCCCTCTCACAATTTCTATTGTGAGAAGAGTCTCAACCTTGGAAATAGCCTGGGAAAGGGGTTTGGTCCAGCCGGTCGCAAAACACTTCGCTCGATCCACTCAAAGCGCTACTCGGGATAACGTTGATAGGGTTGCGGCCAACCAGCGGCCGCAACCACACAACGACAAAGTCTGGTTCCAAGGAGAACTCCCACAGGCTCACCAGTGGGGGCATATTAGGGTTATCTGGTGGCGTTCGAGATTGCGCGTCCGAGATCTCTGGTTCGATCGGTTTTGAGGGATTATGGATCATTCGGATGAATGGGAGGCTCCGAGGAGCCTATGTTCTCGCCAGGTCGTGAATTATGAAAGGAGGTAAATTTGTTCGTCGACGATATTAATTGGGGGTAGGATAAACCCAAACCCTTCAAGGCCAAATCAGACTAAATAGGGTGTATCAATGAATGAAAAGACCGCCAATTGAAACTAATTCTAGGATAACAGGAAAAGAGAAAGAGAAATTGTATGAAATTTGGGAATTGATTCACATGCAACGCCAACAAAAATCTTCTCTTCCAGATGCCGCTTCAAATGCTTCCTTGCATGTATGGTTTTATTTTCCAAACCGTCCGACTTCGTGGCAACTTGCGTCAAATAAGAGGGAAAAGGAAACAAGCTCTGGGCATTACTCTCTCAGAGCCATAATATATGAATAAAAGAAAAGACAAAAGACGAAAGGAAATGCCGAAAAGAAAAAGGGAAAAAAAAGCATGATTATCTACTGCTTGTTCTTCTTCGCGGCAGCGAACATCTGGGCACCGTCAACCAGACGACGCTCGGTGTTCTGGCGGCCGTTGACGAAGTCGGGGTAGTTAAGGGTCAGCTCAACGGCACCGTTGACGATGTTGTCGACAGCCTCGACACCCAGCATGAACGAGTGATCCTGGTTGCCGACCTCGTAGCGCCAGCTACCGAAGCGACCACGAGACCAGATACCCTTCTCCTGCAGCTTGGGGAGGATCTGAGTGAGGGCACCCTCACGCTCCAGGCTAGGGGTGGGGTAACCGTGGTCGAAGCGACGGTGGTAGGTGGAGACGATTTCATCGCTGGGCTGCAGCATCTGCGTGTTGATGAGACCCTGGATAGACTCAGCAAGGAGCTTCTCGTGGTTAACGGGCTTCATGGAAGACTCGGAAACCTCAAGCATGATGGACCAGTAAGGGCCCTCCTTAGCCTCCGTGCTTGAGGGCTTAGAGCCGTCCGCGAGCTGGATGGTGGGCAGCTTCTTGGAGCTGTCAGGCTGGTTGTAGGGAGAGTAGTTGGAGAAGATGGTGGCACGGTAAAAGGGGCTGTCATCCTCGGGGAAGTACAACCAGCACTTGTCACCAATGCGCTCGGGACGAGCACCACGGATACCGACACCAATAACGTGGGTGGAGGAGTAGAAGAGCTGCTTGGTGAGGGGGAATCAGCTCAGTGTCTCCCATGGCCTCGGCAAGGTAGTCCACGGCCATGGTAGACACCAGCTTGCTATAGCCAATAGTGGTGCCATCAGCCAAGGTAACGGTCTTAGCGCTGGCGTTGACCTTGGTGACCTTGCCCTGCTCACCGAAGCGAGTGTTCTTCTTGGGGAGGGTGTTGGCAACGGCAATCCAGATACCACCGGTACCGTCGCGGGCGGGGAAGCGGAAAGTAGCATTGGGACCCCAGTTACCGGCGGTCTTGTTCAGGATGACGTTGGTGGTGACAGCCTTGAGGTTAGGAGCGGCGACACGCTCACCGAGCCAAGCGCATTGCATCTAAATAATATAAGTTCTTGATTTGAACCATTTCCAAGATGCTGAAAGAAGTGGGTCTTACCTTGGTGGTAGGGACGGCCCAGACCTTGTAGTTGTAAGGGCGCATGAAGAGGTCGGCAATACCACTACCCATAGTACGAAGGATCCACTCATCGAAAGTCTTGGGCTTGGTGTTGGAGACACGAGCCTCCATGGCAGCATCGATCATGCCATCGATACACTTCACCTGCTCTTCTTTGGGGAGCATGGAAATATTGTTCTGGAAAGGGTAAGGGACCCATTGGTTCTGGCAGCGGACGTAGGAGATACGCTGGTGGGTGAACCAGTCATCCTCATTAGGGAGGGCCTCGTCGATGCAGTCATCGAAGTACTTGTAGTGGGAAAAGATAACGTGGCCACCAACATCGTACAACTGTTAACACGCTGTCAGTGCACTTGTTCCCCGCACAGGACGAAACAACCAGGGAGGGAGAACATACGAAGCCTTCAGGGGTTACATCAGTGGAAGCAAGACCACCGGGAGTCTCGTTAGAGTCGATGATCAACCACGAGGGGCCATCCTAAGGATTGTGTTAGCTGTTGTTCTGTGTGAGTTGTTGTTTTCCTCCCCGTGGTGTACCCCTCCTTATTCCCCCCCTTATTTTTTTTTCTGCCTCTCCCCCGCCATCACCACGTTTTGGAAAAGGAAATTGAGATACTTACGATCTGGTTCAAACGCTTCGCAGCACCCAGACCAGTGGGGCCAGCGCCAATGACGAGAACGTCAACGGAACTGAAAGCCATTGGGTTAGTAGCGGTCTGGCAAGACGGGGAGGTATAACGTACATGTCGGGGTGGGTCATTCTGCCTTGGAGGAGGTCCTGGAAGCTGGGGACACGTTTGAAGGTTTTGCGGGCGATGTTCAGCATAGAAGAAGAACGGAGCAGAAAGGCCTGCAGGTACTCGAGGGGAACTTGAAGAATAAAAGAGGAGGGTTGAGAAAGGAAAGTGGGAGGGCAACACCGCAAACCGTGGGTTCAGGGTGAACGGACCCGGCACCTGGGAGCGGTGTCGTTGAGTGGGGAGCAACGTACCTGTTTCAGGTCTACGCCCACTACTGCCAATCCCTCTAATGATTGCTTTTGATTACCTTGTAGGTAATTTTGCCCTCCTTTTTTTTTCTTCATTGGTTCCTCCCTTTTTCCAATGGTCCAGATCTTGCAGTATCACACCCATTGTGGCTCCCCATACTGTCCCTGTAAGACGCTTTCAGGGGCAAAAAGCACGTTGTTACTTCCTTAATTCCTTAATTCTTGGTTTGGAATTTTCTCACATTTCAGTCTTCCAGAAATATCTACTGGAAAGTCTGGAGAGATGAGCGTTTATCCGCCGAATCGCCACTGGCTGGACCCCGTGTTGACTGTATCGAACCTATCACACTCCGCACGCGGCCGTGGTTGACCTCGAGAGAGGGGCAGAATCCTTATCTACAACAATAGCCTCGGGGCCGGCTGGTCGCATGCGGCCAATCTACAGCCCATCTACAGCCCTGTGCAGCTTGGAGCTTTCCGAAGAATGCTGTTATCTTCTGATAGCGCGAAATAATTTTCTTAATTTTTTTTTCTTTTTTTAACATGTCCCAAGAGGAACCTAAGTTACAGCGTACGTACTACACATCCTTGGGCATTTCAATTCTGCTCCGTAAAAAAGAATGCGACGAACCTTCTTCCGATCAGCGCTGGGATGGGCTAAAAACGCCACCGATGTCGTTGCAGCTTGCTAGTGAGGCTATCACCATCCTAGCCCTGACGGAAGTATCCGTGGACTCCGCTTCAGGGGGTGTCTGGTGTAAAGTGGATGGATGGTTAATCCTCATCTCTTTGTTTTGTTCCGATTTGCCCTGAACCCTCCGGGCGGACATCCGTAGGTGATCGCCGATGGGCAAGGTGCAGGGTACACAGCTCGAGGAGATTCGTGTCCAGGCGCTCAGGCGAGGTTCCACTGATTATCCCCTCCTAAACAAGACAGGGAAACGGAGGCAGGATCTTCTCTTGGTACTGGATCTCAATTGATCGACAGAAGAAATCAAAAAGCTTCTCGAACCAGCACTGTCGGCGATATCCTTCCGTGCAAAGGTATGATTCAAACACAGATGTGATAATGTCGCCTTGATCACATGGAACACCAGTCTCAAGATATCCCCATACGGTTCCGATCTCTGACAAGTGGGATTAGACATGGCGCTAGGGTCTGCAAGAAACTCCAATAAAAACAAGCTTCTTTTGAATCTAACCGCCATAGGACCAGCCCCTATTCCTCGTCCGGCCACCTGGTCCAGGGCAACGATGGCGAGTGGGCCACGCCCCGGGGGCGTTAAGCACAGCCTCCTCAAGGGATCGTCGCATTCTCCACCCGTAAGGGACCAGGGCTCGCGCTCTGGCCCAGTGGACTGCCCAGGAGCGGGTCTGAGGTGGGTCTACACCAACAGCTGCTTGCGTAATGCCGTCTCTGTCAACGGAGGGTTAATTTCGATCAGCGTTGCCATGGAGGGCGTGCATCTGTACTCCGTGCGGTGTCGCTACCTCAAACCGGTGTCTCGTACAGAGGCAAATCCAGTAGCCTCAGTAGCCCCATACGCAGAAGGTTACAGTTCCGAGGAACGCCAAGGCGAGATAAGGAACGCGTAAGCCTCCCAAGGATGTTCCAGGACTAAAATTTAAGGATGATCAGAGTTGTTGGTTGACACCGTGGGTACAATGGACAACGCTTATTGGTACGAGCAGCGCAATAAGCGACTCGCCACGAGCTGAGATGCAGAGGACCGCAGGGCAATACGCAGCGGAGTCAACGGGAGACATTCGCTCTAGTCTGTATTGGGCGTGGATTTCGAGGCCCTGAGTATTGCGTATGGTTTGCGGCAGGTTTGGTTCTGGTATTTCGGTCAAGGTCGTGGCGGGCAGTACTGGCAGTACCTACTTGCCATACGGTCCCCCGTAGCAAGTCTCGGGCGAGCGAGATAGGTGGCCTCAGCTGTAACGGATCCCCATCGGTAACAATACAGTCATAACCAATACCACGGCCTGTGTCAACGAATTGCCCAGCTCTCCGCAGTCTGTTTGCAGCCCCGTTGAATCCACGATTCCACTTCGTTTCCTACCCTTGGATCCTATCTCCGTGCTGTTCCAGCCCTCGACATTAACGGTTTACTTCTTTAGGCTTTTCCAGTTTCGGTTCTTAGGCTGGGAAGCTCTACAAACTGATGTGGTGCCAAATTTAGTGGCCCCTCTTCCTCGACGTACGTACTCCCATTCCATCCCTTTACCTTTTTTTTTTACCATCATCATTTCTTCATCCCCTCACCACGCTCGCTTGTCTCTTTTTGGGTCGTTCCCAGTTACATTCGTTAATAAACGTGGTTTCACCAGCGTTGCGTAATTCTTCTGCCATCTTCACCCCCCGTGGCTTCCTCCGCCTTTAGCCAAGGAAGCTTCTCGCGTCCGCGGCCTTTCGACTTTCGACAGTTTATCCACGACCAAACTAGAGCATCTTTCGCTATGTCTGAAGGCGAGAAGGTCCGTACCTCCGGCGAGTCGCCGCGCGAGCAGAGCCTCCCGACTGTCAACCCGGCTGCCGAGAAGCAGCAGGCCCCCAAGGCCGTTCTTCACCCCGCGGTCTACGTAGCGTGAGAACCCATACAATTGCCCATACTATGCAATGACTGCTAATCGGTTCCATGAACAGCACCTGGATTACCCTCAGCTCCGGTGTCATTCTATTCAACAAGTGGCTCCTTGACTACAAGAACTTTCGTGAGTAGATTCCCTGTCGTGTGCGATCCGTGCAGAGCTTCAGACTAACCGCTCAACCCTCCTAGGCTTCCGTATGTCCCCTACTCTGCCTTGTTTCCTTCGTCTTTAACACGTATTCTAGCTATTATCCTTACAACATGGCACTTGGGCTTCGCCTCTCTCATGACCCAGATCCTCGCCCGCACCACCACTGTCCTCGATGGCCGTAAGAATGTCAAGATGACAGGCCGTGTCTACCTTCGCGCTATTGTCCCCATCGGGCTTATGTTCAGTCTGTCCTTGATCTGCGGCAACGTGACCTATCTATATCTGAGTGTCGCTTTCATCCAGATGTTGAAGGCTACCACTCCTGTTGCTGTCCTTCTGGCTACGTGGGGTATGGGCATGGCTCCGGTCAATTACAAGACCCTCATGAACGTTTCTGTCATTGTCATTGGTGTCATAATTGCGTCCTTCGGCGAGATCAAGTTCGTTATGATTGGTTTCCTCTTCCAGCTTGGTGGTATTGTTTTCGAGGCTACTCGTTTGGTCATGGTGCAGCGTCTCCTCAGCTCCCCCGAGTATAAGATGGACCCTATGGTTTCTCTGTATTACTTCGCTCCCATCTGCGCCATCATGAACGGTACCGTTGCTCTGTTCCTGGAGGTGCCCAAGCTCACCATGGGCCATATCTACGAGGTTGGAGTGTGGACTCTGCTTGCCAATGCCATGATTGCCTTCCTCTTGAACGTTTCCGTGGTCTTCCTGATCGGCAAGACCTCGTCTCTGGTCATGACTCTCTGCGGTGTTCTGAAGGATATCTTGCTCGTGGCCGCTTCCATGATCCTCTGGAACACCCCGGTCACCGGTCTCCAGTTCTTTGGTTACTCTCTGGCTCTTGTTGGTCTCGTCTACTACAAGCTTGGTGGGGACAATATGGCTGAGTACGCCGGCCAGGTCGGTCGCGCCTGGGCGGAATACGGACAAACCAACCCTGGGATGCGCCGCTTCGTCATCTTCGGTGCTGCTGCCTTGATTTTCTTCCTTTTCCTGGGCTCTATGGCCCCAACCTACGCGCCCGAGTCCTACCAGAGCGTCAAGGGTATGATTGGCGGCGCCACCCCCAGTAACTAAAGTTCATTACATGGACGATCCCTCTGGCAGGCCCGCCAGATTATCTCAATTCTATGCATACATGAAAGTTTGAGACCCGATGAGCTTATTCTTTAATAGCGCTTGTGCTTAAAGGAGACCAAAGCAGTGTCTCACCTCTCTGCTTTTCCTCACAATCCTTCCAATTTCTGGGTCTGGGTACGGCCACATGCAGGAAATGCAGCCAGTATTCGGCCCTTATCTCCGGAGCCTTCTTCCCGCTCCATTCGATAAACAAAACCCAAAGGGGCTTGTCATTTTTCATTATCTTCTCGATCACCTCCCCGTGTATCCAGTTTGCAAGTCGGAGTTTCTGGCGGAGTACGAAATAGTTCCTGCTCTTTTTTCCTACTCTTTTCTCTTTCTACTTTCCACGAACGTTTGATTTAAAAGATTACTCTGCACGAGCTCTTGGTGTCGGATTTGCTTCAGTTCTTCAGGATTTTCTTTCCCACTCTCCTTCATGTGATTATAGCATTTTCCCCTCCCAATAGACTTTTGTTCAAGGTTTGGAATTGTCTCCTGGCCATTTTCGAACGTTCCTGCGATACTACCCAGCCTTCTGGAGGGGGGTGGGATGTGATCCATGTCACCCGGGCGAACAGAGGTACAGGTCAGCCCAGACCCGGACTTATGAAAATCCGGGAGCCCTCAGCGGAAAAAAATTAGACTAGCAAGAGCGAGGCGCCATCGCGAGGCGGTTGGGGCCTCTACCCATTGGCCAATGACTCGCAGCTGAAGACGGTCCACTCCAGCCAAACAGCGCAAGCGGTTGGAATCTACTTTGGTACGGACCCACACACGTTCCATTACAGTCACGGCCGATCGGAAAACCTGTCCAGCGCGCGGTATCGCCGTATGGTATTGTACCCTCCGCATTGCAGATGGATCGCCTCAGATCCTCTTCTGCTCATCCCGGCGCAGTTCAGTCTTCTTCCTCTTCCCTACTTCTCCTTCTCTCCCTCTCACCCTTGATTTTTTTTTACTCTTTCCTCCCCACCCCTTAAGCTTTATACCACACTCGGGTTTCTTTGATTCTTCTTATATTTGCCATCCCACCCCCTCTCATATCGACTTGCTCTACTCTATCTATCACTTGGCACCAGCTTTGCCGTGGTCTAAAAGTTGAAGCTTGCTCTTTGTTGCTCACCTAACCCAGCAGTACAGTTTTCGGGTCTTATTCGCATTCAAAATGTGTCCCATGCTTCTCAATCGCATATCCGATGGCCCTGTCATTGGCCTTCCTCCTTCCCAGGAACACGCCTTCGCTCAGTTCCCCTCCCAGTCCCTTTTGGACACACCTAATGGCTTGCATGGTTGCAGTCCCAGCTCCAATACGACTTTTGTCGGCAATGGATCTACCTCGGCTGCCCACGGCGCAGGCAATACAGCCGCACCCGTCCCATCTAAGCCATCTCGCAAGAGATCGCGTGACGAGGCGTCTTTCGAAGAGGCCACCACTAGCACACCTCCAGTCCCCAAGCCCGCTCCGGCTCCGAAGTGGGAACCCATCTATGGCGAAGGAATGGTCCTCTTGAACCCTCAAACTGGACTGGCAGTCTCCGCGGAAAGTCAAACTGGAACATGGTATGAGGAATCCGCGGAGGCACAAGCTGCCGCCAAGCCCCCGGTCTCGTCACGTTCAATGGAACTCGAATCCGATGCGGCCGAGCTCAGTCGGAAGTCTCAGCGGCTGGACGTGTCTGCCCCTGGCCTGGATGACATTGCACTTTCTTCGATACAGCAGCGCCTGAACGGCTCTGAGATGGCTGATCAGCACCGCACCCTCAATGGCGGATCAACACCTCCCCATGAGCCACTTATCGATGATGCCACCCGCCTCCTCGGCATCAGCTGGCAACGTATCGACAATGAAGGTGACATGGCCCCAGCTATCCGTGGGTGGACCAAGTATATCGACAATGAATTCGGCGCCTACTTGCATGGCTCACAAATGCTTCTGAAGTGCCGTGCTCTCAATGCCTTCCTCGTGGCTGCAACCCCAGTGTCTTCAATGTCACCAGCTTTCTATCTTTTCAATGAAGACCTGACCCAGGCACAGCTTGTTGCTTCTTCGTGGGACGCCTGCGTGCAGAATTTGCGCCACAATCCCATTGTCTTCGAGGGTGCGGCGCCAATTGCTGCCGCTAGTCAATCAAAGACTCTGTCTGCAACTCCTTTTACAACCGCGGACTCCGGTGTACCTCTCCTCCAGCAAGCCCTTGCAGGTCAGCCAAACGTGCCTGGGACGGGGCTGAACGGGGGCGTCGACACGGGAATGGAGATCGATTCGTGATCGACGCCGTCTTCCTCCCATATCAGCCTTCATTCGCCAAAATCTTCGAATAATCTCGTTTCGAGATGAGGCGACTCAACTCATCGTCAAGCTTACGACTTTCGCAATCCACCACCGCTCGGCTCCGATCCTCGTCGCTTTTGGCTCTTCTGATTTTCATACTCGATTTTAGTATTTCGTATTTCGTTTTCTCGCTTAACTGACCCAGTTCGGCCCCCGTTATCTTCTTGCGTCCCTGGAGGGCGCCGCGTTTTGGTGTTTTTACCGGCTCTATGGGTGGCAGTATCGGTCTTTGGTGGCGTAAAAATCTTTTGGGCTATGCTTTTTTTTTTATTTACTCTACCCTTTATTGAATCTTTACGAATGAAAATGCCAAAAATAAAATACCTTGACTGAACCTTCTGGTGCCATTTATAGTTAGCTATAAACAATGTATCAACATTTTCCCACTTGCGGGCGGTGGTGCACTCTGGCGGTTGCAAATTCTGCCAAGGATATACGCATCCCTGTGCCAGTCTACAGCATTGAAGGGCTACCTGTATTTGTAGAACGTGTTCAGAGGATATAGTAGAAGTATGCCAGCCTTCTCTCTCATTTTCCGAGGGTCAGCCCTCAGATCAGCAACATCGAATACCACATTCTCTGAACCATAAATTCCCCTTGGCATTGTCAAGCCCCCCCCTCCTAAACCAGTCCTCTCGCCCTCGGACCTTCTGCCATGAAAAGGCGGTGGCGGGGGGAGGGGTCGGGGCTTGGCCCGTTCGACCCCAAACGAACTTCCGTGCTAACAGCTGGATAAAGCAAGCTGGCTTCACATGCATTCCCAAGATGGCCCCAGGTCTCACTCCTTGTCAACATGCGCCATCTGGACTACTTCTTTGGTGCTCTCTCCACCCGTCTGGTCACCTTTCTTGTGGCTTGGCGCGGCATTTGAGTGCTGGGAAGGATGCTGGGCGCGGTCTGTGGAAAGATAGTCGAGCTCTTCCAGGGCGAGATTCGCTGTTTTCAGGGCAGAAGGAGTAAACGATCTGGGCTGGTGAGGGTTGTTTTCCCCATGGAGAAATCGGCGTAGACGAATGCCCTGCTCGATCTTGATGCAGAGAAACATGTGAAAGGACTCCCCGTTACAAAACCAAGATTCAGGCCCATGAAAATTGAGTATCGTTTCCATTATAAGCTTGTCGAGGCCGGGGAGGATCGTCACCGCGAAGAAGTCCCATAGCCTGTTAGCAGAAGGAGACAATCGTGCCACTGAAACAACCCAGGTTATAGATCGATACGACGATGTCGAGGATCCCTGCGCTGGGATAATCTAGCACGCGAAGGAAAGTCCTCGTCGCCCACAATCCCGGAGAAGACTTCTTGGTCATAATCTGCCTGCCATTCGCGTGGGGACTCCAGGGATTCTTAGGAGTATAATATATCCCAAGCCTCGTGACTCCTAGCACGCTGCTTCTACTCTGCACCGAAGAACACAGACGCAAACTGGCAAGTAAACAAAATGGTTATCCTGGGTGGCAAGCCCCGGCCGTACAGATTCAGTTTCACCATACTAAAATGGGAGAAGAGTCTCCGGGCTGGATCGCAGGACAAAGGCGCACCAGGTAAGAATCCCCACGGCCCTGCTCCGGCGGAGCAGCTGCCTTTTTGTACGAGCATACTCCCAGGAAGCATTAAAATACGAGGTCAAAAAAAAAAAGCGGACTACTGGAACGTGCAATTGCTCGTAGAAACTCCGACCACCGGCATGAAGAGCAGACGGGGTCTCTACCCCCTAGGGCCTATGGTTGCCGATGCTACCAGAAGGGATGTGAAAACAGACAACTTCAAGACACTTCTACGTATTATGCAGTTGGCCAATCATGCGAGATGAGAGACTGATCAGGTGCGGCGTCCAAAGAGAAGAAAGCTGAGAATGTGGGGAATCGACTCTGGAGAAAACCCACAAACCAGCTTTCCCCGCATCGCACTGGAGCTGCAGATCAACCGATTGTGTAATCTCATTAGGCTGAAGACGGCACCACAGCGCTTCAGAATACCGGATTTGAGCGTGTGAAGAGAGTTCAAAGGGATGAATTTATGGACAGGGAATGCTGGCTATAGCCAGATCGAGTATTTTAAGCGGGCTCACGGTGAGAGAATGGCCTTTGTTTCGCCGCTAACTCATACGGACAGGGAGTAAGAGATGGGAGAGAGCAAAGTCCTTAATGCACAATAGAGCTTTTGAGCGCTAAATGATATTTGGAGCTCTACAGAAAGGGGTATTGTGAACATCTGAAAGCAAGTAATAATAAGAGGCCGTAAAGGGACATTCGGGGCCTCCGATCCCAAGATCAGGCAAGCATCACTAGTCGGAGCCGTAGTCATAGTCACTGGCGTAGTTGTCCGAGTCATTTCCCCCGTAACCCCCAAACTTTCCTGCAAACGCATCTTCGAGATGGTCGTCTGCAGGATCATCCTCGTCCTCATCTACCTCGTCAGGGTCATTGAAATCCCCGTCATCATCCTCCCGGAGGTCTCCCTCGATTTCCCCGAACCACCTCCTCGCCATAGTTACCCCCCTGGGTGGCAGTAGGTGCTGTAGATGGTGGAGTAGGCACGGCGAACCTCCCCCCAGAGGGTTTGGCAGGAGGTGCCGGGGCCGGAGACTTCGACGGGAGACGATGCGACGGTTTCCAGGACTTACGGGTCGCACCCCGGATGGCGCGCCGGGGGGTATCGGGCGGGGCAATGCTCGCGCTCCGGCGAGAAGTGACACTACGGCTCCGGCTAGTGCGGCTCCTTGCGTCGTCGGCGGCATCAGAGGGGCTTTCCTCCTTCTTGGTGCCATAGATACTCTCGAGAAGAGAGTAGTTGATCTTGCGGCTAAAGCCGCGCGTCTCCAGCATGCGGCGGGTCGCTTCGGCAGGAGTGGTGGCACGGGTTTCGCGCCCTTCGCCGCCGTCACCCTCCAAATAGGTCACATCACCGAGACGGCCCTTGCGACGCTTGCGAGGCTTTGGTGCTGCTCCACCGTTGAGTGCTTCCGCGAGAGCGCGTTTGAGGTTTTTCGCTTGCTGGGTGCGGAGGTATTCTTTATTCTCGCTGACCCAGATCCGCTCTTTGATATCTACCTCGGCTGGACTGAGGAGGCAGTCTACTACCTCCGGGTCGTCTTTGAATTCAAGTTCGTCAATTTCCGTGTCGTCGGAGACAACCATTCGGGCAGGTTGCACTGCACTGTCTACCATGGTAGAACCAGTGGTCAGCATCCCACGGATTTCATCTTCTAGAGCATCTTCGGCTTCGATCTGCTCTTTGGTGGGTTCGGGTGGCTGCTTTCGTGGCGCTTTCCCCTTGGCTTTGGCAAGAGCCATATCCTCTCTATTGTCCTCAATCACTTCGTTGACAGCCTTTGTGATGGATGACCGCCGATGAGCGGCTCCGGTGATGGCAGGATCGATGGGAATGTTTGGAATAGCGAAGCCGTCTGCATCAACCCTTAGAGGCTGGCTCGTATCTGCTTCGCTTTCGACATCACTTTCGGGCAAGTCGTCTTCGATCTCAGCCGCTGTATCTGGAGCTGCCCTCTTTGTACCTCGAACGGGCTTTCGGCCTTCTCGTGCTCGGGTGAAAGATGGAGGGTCGTGTGCGTTTTCAAGTTGTACAGACCGGAATTGGTCTACAGTCAGCTCACCACTCTCGGTGGAACTGAACTCGTTAAGTCGTTGGGTGATAGTAATCTCGGTGACCTTAACAACATACACAACTTCTCGGACTGTTCGGCGGAAGTTGTTCATGCGCGCAGCCAGGATCAGTGCAGCGCCACAGACACCAGCAGGACGCCGACCAGTTGTCATCCAATCTCGATTCATTCGCTGGACGATGCGTACGGCTTCACTGGCAACCAGCATGGTGGACGAACCAAATTCAAGCTGCTTTGCAAACCGATAGATGAAACTTTCAGGTTCGATTGGGTTCATCAAGAAAACATTTCCACCAAGGCGAAGCTCGTCGAGGAGCGCTTTATAAGTACGACCAAGTTTGAACACATTGACCTATGGATAAGATGTTAGAGAAATTGGGGGTAAAATGGGTCAAGACAGAGGTTTGAGACCTACCATAAGATTGTCCGCGAAATCGATGAGCATGATTGTATTTCCGGTCTGACGCCGACAGGCAATGTAGAGACAGACCGCTGCAACGGTTTTTGTGCGGCGACCTTGGATGAAGTTCAGTCCTACTGCAAGCTTGAAGACTTGATTTGCCGCCTTTTGAGTACTTTCGGGGACAGACATATTCCGTCCCAATGCGTTGATGTAACGATTACCTGTCTCATGATTTAGCTGATAGTCACGTCTGAAGGACGGAGGGATGTTAGCGGCTTACCAGTTTGCTCTGTCAACTCTCGGCTTTCCATACCACCACCTCGCTGGAAGCTGGGACCGTAGCTGCGGACGTGGGTCTGGTCCTCCCCAACGAAGGCACCTTGGACAACAGCGGCGCCGGACGCTGATTCACCAAATGACACTTCAGATACAATGTTAGATTCACTAACGACTGTACCACAGCCGGAACAGACTTTCTGTCCCTCATCCTCAACGATATTTGGAGCCGGACAGGAGGGGTTGGGACAGCTAGAGGTTTTGGGATGTGTGGTAGGGCGGGGGAGTGGACGGGGTCCAATGGACTGCCCACGTTTGATGGAATTGAGGCCACCGGGCTTGGTGCTTGCCAGGCGCTCGACGCGGCCTTGAGGGCGGCGCGGAGTGACGGTGATGCGCGTAGGCTTTACCGGCATTCGTTTTGCGGGAACGGAAGTCGACATGGCGGCAAATGGAAAAGCCAGTGGAAGAACGAGTAGTATATGGAGACCAAGTGTAGGCCAAAGGCCTAAACGATCGCTTCCAAGACCTGAATTAGAGCCCTCGAGCTCCTGTATTGGTCTAATGACTGTACCGCGCTCAGGTGTGTACAGGGCGTGTTATTCCCGATAAGGATAAATTGCGACGCGAGAAAATGAGAGGGCGGTTTTGGAGGGGGAGGAGTGGGGCCGACGGACGACGCTGGCAATGGCCCCAAAGGCAGTGAATTCTGCCACAGCAAAAAGCACTTGAAGTCTGGTCCCTTGACCAGCTCTTAAGATGTGAGTGACTTTTTGGATTTGGAGACGATAAGTGATAAGAAGAATGTGACGGAGAGGTCGGCGGCAATGGTAGGGGAGAAAATTTCGAGTTTGGCTGCGGGACGTGGCTCAGTGGTCTGGTCACCTGACCCGGAACAGATCCAGCGCGCGTTCAACTCAGGCGGCAGGAAAACGTGGAGCGCTTTCGAAAGACGAATTTCAGATTTCGAAGAGATGGGGTATAAACAGGAGAAGATGAAGCAAAAGCAAGAAGGGATCATGGTATACTAGCTATCCCTCATCGTGGAGCTTGCATTCACTATTCGTCGCATTCACGAGGCCTCTTCTGGCTTCCACTTAGGATTCACTTCCAGTACGAAACAGACCTGTCTGGTTTACTTTGGCTTGTCGACATTCAAGCCTGTTCCAGCATGGATTTGTATGGGTAGATCTACGAGTACGAGAACATCCCCGCGGCCGCAGCTCAGCCCCTACGATATTGGCGCTTAGGACTGGGCTTCCAGGTAACTGAGCGCTAACCTGAAAGACCATCGAAATCAGTACTTACGCTACAATTAACATAGAAAACGGTACACGTGATCAAATCAATAATATGTCCTTCCTGTTTGCATCAGATTGATCTCAAAAGAAGTAATAAAAAGGAATCATAAGAACCTAGGCCTGATTATTGAGCACTACTGTATGTACAAGTGGCCGTGGAAGAAGCTATCCTGGTGGGGCTCAGTGGCGACCAACTTGAACTTCTTTCGAACCACTCGCCCACTATGACTCGGCCTTTGTCCAGTAGATAGACTTCCACATGGACAGGGTGGAGATCTCATCGACTCACATTCCTTATCTTACTCCACGTCACGCTGCGGTTGCTCAGGGCCAGTTCGCTGGAGTCTTGGAATGCAGTTGCGGCATTTGTGCGTGTTTTAGTACGGGACCACGCACAAATGCCGCATCCACGCCTTTCTTGCGCCCTCTGCCCGATTCCTGGAAATTTCTTTTCTTTTCCTCAATAGCTATGTACTTCTGCATTATCATTCCTTATTGGCTTTGCAGTCTTTTCATGATGTAACATGATTGTCTCGTGGGTGCAGCATCTAGAAAGCGATTCGCCAGATCTACATGACCCACACGACCCGCGCGACAGCTCTAACACGATACTTAAGCTCCAGAGTCCCTCGCGTGATACTCTGCCAGGGGTATATTTGAGCTGGCCCTTCTTAGACGACAAAACATTCTCGTTGCAAAACTTATTTCCCAACTTGGCCCAACTATGTCAACATCGAAGGGCCTGCCAAGCACGCCTACGATCCAATCGATCGATCCAGATATGGATACCATTCGCAGCCTCTTCTGGGTGGGTAATGTCCACTGCGCCTCCTGCGTGGACTATGTCACGGAGGTCCTGTCCGAATTTCCATCCGTTAAAGAAGTCGATGTATCGGTCTTGACTCACGAGGTGCGAGTCATTCATGGGGCTTCTGCACAACCATCCGATCTAGTCAACGCTCTGATTCACGCTGCCTTTGAAGTACACCATGCAACCACATACGACGGCCGCGGTGAAGTTATTGCCGATATTAATACCACATCATGGAACTCACGATCGTCAGTTCTTTTTGGCACACCCCGAAATTCATACTCAAGTCTGTCCTCAAATATCAAAGAGCGATGGCACACCAGCCGAGAAAAGCGTCATATTTCCAATTGTGATGCCTGCAGAAAGGAGCAATCAAACCATCAGTCTGGTGAATCAACTCTAAATGACCATGAAGTCTCCAAAGAAAAGCCTTCTCATACGGGGAACTCTTGGGAAACTGACCTGGAGTCGGGCCTCGAGGGGAGTGAAAAGACTCTGATTTCTGAACCTGGCACCCCATCTTTTGCAGCCGAAACATGGGCGAGTCCCACTTTACCTCATTCACCCAAGACCCTTCCGGGGATACCAGAGACGCCTCAGGCTCCTTCAGAGGCCCTTGACGAGTTTAGTGCGAGAGTTAGCATTGGCGGCATGAGCTGTGCTGCCTGCGTAAACTCTGTTACTGCCGCTATTCGGGAAATAGAATGTGTCAAGGAAGCCACTGTCAACCTTCTTACGAACAGTGCCACGTTAACCTATTCTGGCCCACGAGCAAATATCGATGTAATCACAGAGCATATCGAGGACATTGGGTTTGAGGCCTTCATCGACGAAGTGAACCCGGTACCAAAAGCTGTGAGCTCGCGCCAAGAACCGGCTGCTTTCATTACAGAGATTGCTATCACGGGGATGACATGTGGCTCCTGTGTAGGAACTGTGACTCGAGGACTAGAAGAGCTTCCGTTTGTACAGAATGTGTCAGTCAATTTACTGTCACATAGTGGGAAAGTGGAGTTCGAAGGCCGAGAGAATCTGGATAAAATCATAGAGAAGATTGAGGACATGGGGTTTGACGCCTCGGTAAGCAGCGTCCATCCATCGGACGCAAGTGCTCGCCAGGCTGGTCCTGCCCAAGCCAGGATAGTTTCTATCCATATCGACGGGATGTTCTGCCACCACTGCCCCCAGAAAGTCCTCAGCTCGCTGGCGTCTCTGCCTGGCGTGGAAGTGGTAGATGAGCCCTCCGAAAAGAAGCCCTTGTTGAAACTGACATACACGCCCGATGCACCTTCCATCACGATTCGCTCAATCATTTCGACCATCAATAATGCCGACGATGCCTTTAATGCCACAATCCATCACCCGCCTAGCATTGAGGACCGCTCGCGGGCTATGCAGCTTCATGAGCGATCAAGATTGCTTTGCCGTCTACTCTTTGTGTTTGCCGTGGCTATTCCGACTTTTATAGTTGGCATTGTCTTCATGTCTCTTGTATCTCCTCAAAATCCTGTCCGTCGATTCCTGGAGCAAAATATGTGGTCGGGCAGTGTGAGCCGAACGGAGTGGGCGCTGTTCATCATGTCGACCCCGGTCATGTTTTACGGCACCGATGTGTTTCATACCCGAGCCCTGAAAGAAATCTACGCCCTATGGAGACCTGGAAGTCGAACTCCGCTGCTGCGACGCTTCTATCGATTCGGCAGTATGAACATGCTCATCTCAGCTGGAACATCCGTCGCATACTTCGCGTCGCTGGCTGTTCTCATCGTTGATGCTGTTGCGGGAAATAAATCCAGCGCTTCCAGTACCACCTACTTTGATTCAGTCGTCTTTTTGACTCTTTTTATCCTCGCAGGCAGGTTTCTCGAGGCTTACAGCAAGGCGAAGACGGGCGATGCAGTATCATCATTGGGAAATTTGCGCCCTTCCGAAGCTTTGCTGGTGGAAGGACATGCCTTGGGCGGCGATTCTTCCGGGGATGCTTCAGATCGAACGAGCCGCGTCAGTGTGGATCTCCTTGAGGTCGGAGATATTGTCCGGATTCCTCACGGTGCATCACCTCCTGCAGATGGTATTGTTGTTGGTGAAGGGGCTTACCAATTTGATGAAAGCTCCTTGACCGGAGAGTCGCGGCCTGTCAAGAAAGCCGCCGGCGACTGTGTGTATACCGGCTCCGTGAATACCGGGCAGCCAATCCAAGTACGCATTACTGAACTTGGAGGCTCGTCTATGCTTGACCGGATCATTGCTGTTGTGCGTGAAGGTCAAAGCAAACGTGCTCCTGTGGAGCGAGTGGCCGATCTTCTGACATCCCATTTTGTACCTGTGATTACTCTGATTGCTATTTCAACCTTCATCATTTGGCTCGCTTTGGGTCACTCCGGGGCACTTCCTGCCGACTATCTTGATAACGCTCGAGGAGGCTGGACATTTTGGAGTCTGGAATTTGCTATTGCTGTCTTTGTGGTTGCTTGTCCTTGTGGACTGGCTCTCGCTGCTCCCACCGCCCTCTTCGTCGGAGGTGGTCTTGCAGCGAAGCATGGAATCTTGGTCAAAGGTGGCGGCGAAGCATTCCAGGAAGCCAGTCGCTTGGACGCTATAGTATTTGACAAGACAGGCACCTTAACCGAGGGTGGAAGTCTGAAGGTTTCTAATCATGCAGTCCTCACTACAGATGAGAATCTCCTGAAAATGGCTTGGGCCATGACCCAGAGACTCGAAGAGAGCAGCAATCACCCAATTGCGCAGGCAATTGTTGCTTTCTGTGCGTCGAAACCCCAAGTTAGTGTTCTCTCATCCGATATTCAAGAAATCGGTGGCCAAGGAATGAAAGGAACTTTTGTCATATCGGATGGCGAGACCGAGCATCGCTACGAAGCCGCCATCGGCAATGAGCGGCTCTTCCACAGCTTATCACCCTCTGAAGCCCACTCGCGTGAAGTTGGGAAGCATCTGTCAGGATACCAAATCGCAGGTAAATCGACGGCGATTCTCTCCTTACGTTGCATCGATCCAGAGGCTCTGGAAAAGTCCTCATTCGCCCCGGCTCTCGTGCTCGCAACATCCGATACCATACGACCCGAGACCATCAGTGTTATCTCCGAGCTCCAGAACCGCAAGGTTGAAGTTTTTATGTGCACAGGCGACAACCCGACAACCGCCCACGCAGTCGCTGACATGGTTGGGATCCCACGCACCAACGTCATGGCCAACGCCCTCCCAGCCGAAAAAGCGACCTTCCTCCGCAAGATCCAAGACGGTACCGCCAAGGGCCCTCATGACCAACCAGCGACTCGACCGATCGTTGCATTCGTGGGCGATGGAGTGAATGACTCTCCTGCTCTCGCAGCCGCCGATGTGAGCATTGCCATGGCCTCTGGCTCCGACGTCGCGATCAACTCTGCCAGCTTTATCCTGCTTAACTCGGACCTGAGTACGATTCTCCAACTGGTTCTGCTCAGCCGGCGGGTGTTCAACCGCGTGCGCTTGAACTTTGTCTGGGCTGTGTTCTACAACATGTGTCTTGTTCCTGTTGCGGCTGGCGTCTTCTATCCAATCGTCAGTGGTCATCATCAAAAAGTAGTCAATGGTGAGGTCATGACTGTTAATGAGCACTGGCGACTGAATCCTGTCTGGGCTGCGCTGGCTATGGCCCTGAGTAGTATTTCGGTTGTCTCTAGCAGTTTGGCACTCAGGATTGACATGCAGAGCATTAAGAAGGCTTTTTGGAAGCGGAAGTGAAGGGATAGTTACAAATGGAGCGGGCTTGGTCTAGTCTATTGATACCCCCTGTGTTTAGCGATATTTCATTTTGTATAGAAATCATCCATTTGGTCTTTCGGCTTGTGTATTAGTTCAAGGCTTCATCAAGTTTCCTCTGACAGCTATTGATTCTAGACTCTTCTCACCGTATGGATTTGATTCAAAGCCCTGTAGCCCGCGAAAACCTTTAGCAAGCACTTGAAATTTTGATTACTCTTGCATATTAGCTATTGATTATTTCGATCTTACCGATCTGATCTCTAATATGCACCGATGGACTGTTTCTTTTATCCACCTTCTCCCCATACCTCTGCGATCTTTTTACTGAGAGATTTAGCAATTTTCTTTCGTCCAACCAAGGATTGCAGTCTTTCTGATACCATCCCTTCCCGGTCTTTAGGCTCCAATGCCATGTATGCTTCCACCAAATGTCGAGGGGTTGGCCATCGGCGCTGGATTTCCAGTGCTTTTTCACCCGTCACTCCACGCGTGCACATGAGCATTTTCAGGTAGACGTCGCGGAGAGACAGAACGTCGGATTTAGATGTGAGGGCTGAGAAAGTAGAAAACGTGACACCGTATGTAAGGGATGGGTCTTTAGCTCGGAGCTCTTCTATCTGGGTGAGATAATTCTGTATTGAAGATATGTGCCCACTGGGGATGAGAGACACCTTTGCCGTGGCGGACTGGCTGGCGCCGAGGCCTTCCTCGGGCGATTCATATGCCCCGTACATCCTTCGTAGGAGCAGCGTCATCCGAGCTAAATATCGAATCGAATCATCCAAGTTGCGCGTTTTCTTGATGAAGTAGCCGTTGACCACTTGGGTCGACGCGATGGCAGAAGCCACCATTTCTTGGTATTTTGCGGCGCTCCCACCGCCGGCCTCAGCATGTACGGCTGTGAATTCCTCAACGAGGTAAATGACATTCTTGATACCAGAGCGGCGGAGTCGAAACTTTTGTTCGTGAAATCGACCATCTTTGATGGACCCAATTAAGTCGTCAAGACGTTTCCGTTCAATAATCCAATCCAGCATGATTTCGTCCCCCTCTTCCCCATACTGAGAAAGAAACGTTGGGTCGCGGCACTTTGCAACCCACATCACGTCGCCCAGCTCCATTGCACGTACTTGAGGCGTGATGCCTTTTTTTCCTAAGTTCGTTTCCAATGTAATCTCTATCTGTCGAGGTGCGCACTTCACGAGTATCAAGGACCAATTGGATGGTAAAACTATTTGGTGGAAGTGTAATTGGTTCAGTCGGGCCATTATTGAGAGTATGGCCATTGAATATACGCCTTTGCGGAGGCGCTGCGGACTCGTCCTCATCTGCATCATGAAACGAGGTTACCTCGCCGGCCTGGCCTTGTCGCAAGGGCTGGCTGTCAGACTCGCGACCGGTGGACGGGAACATGGCCTGAGCAGACTCGGGTAGTGTTTTCTGGATTCGTTTAGCGACTTCCCAGCCATCCTCGGACAATGCGTATTTCCGAAGCGGCCGGCCATGTTCGTAGACCAGGTCTTTCTGGATAAGGGTCTTCATGGAGTTCCATGCCGTGTAGAACTTGGTAGGATCGGTAGGTGCCGTGAACGAGCTATCACAAAAGGGCTGGGCAACTTCAATCAGATGGGCCTTCGTCATGCCCTGGCTTGAATTCTCACGAGCGGTAGATAAACCCAACATGAGAGCGTACGCGCCAGAGCGGAGAGCGGGGACATATGGCTTTGCTTTGCGAGGCTTCTTTGCGGGCTGCTCGGAAATGCCGCTGTCGGAAGTCCTCTTGTTGGCTGTTCATCAGTATCAGTAATTTGTAGGCGCATAGTGGCCATAGACAAGCGATCTATCAACGGTACTAACCTTGACCGGGAGGCTCGGGCATGGGGAGCCCGTTCTCCTGACAATAGGCCTTCAATTTGTCCGTTAGACGATCGCATAGTTTTGGGCCGAGCCCATTGAGCTGCTGTGCTTGAGATGGATGCTCAAACGCTAAGGGGCATGCTTTCATCGACTCATATGCCTTCTTATAGCTGGAAATTCTGGTTAAACACGCGGAAGGCGTAGGGATCCGGAAAGACTTACACAGTCGCGCCTTTACTGTTCCGTTCCCGGGCCTGATCGAGCCATTCCTTAATCCACCCCAAGAGGAGGGGATTGGCACACTCCTCGCTCATCGTGGTCGTTCAGCCATCGAGTTGGCGATGAAATGCTGGCTGGTTGGACGCGACCGCGTTCCTCAGGAACGCGCGCAGTCACGTGACTGTGAGGTGTGTACGCAGGGTACAAAGGATGATAGATAACCTTGGGAGAGTGAAGTGGAGATGATAGTATTGCGTCGAATCACAAATGAAAACCCACCCCCTGCTACGTGATACGTGCGTGGCTCTCCTCGCGCCAATCCCAATGGAGGTGGGCGGTGGTCTCTGCCCGGTCGAAGCCGGGAAGGATGACGTCGACGAGTAAGTATACAAGGAACAAACCCTGCTAGGGTGCTATAAAATGGTGTACCCCAATGTTTCGCATCTCTGATCTGAGATCAGATCGTCCCTCACGAACTACTAGTATTGATCTGCATCTGCATCTGTCCCGTACCTCCACGGGTACAAAAACCATCGTGGACGCCTCACTGGCCCTGCCTTGCATCTAGCAACAAACGCATTCGCCAACATGGAAAACACACCTCCAAGCAGCAAACCACCCTCCTCTTCTACAAAGACAGAAGCGAAGATGGAGACAGAGAGTCACAGATTATCCAAAGAGTACCATGATTGCCTTCTCGCCGCCAAAAAACCCGATGACCCTACAACAATTGCTGATCTTGGATGGCACAGGCCACCCGCCGAGTTTGAGGAGCCTATAGTCGCAGGGCTGTCGAACGACGATCTGTGGATGCTGATCAGGCGCTTTGACAGAGTAAGCCCCTTACAATTTCTGCACATGGAACCCAAAAGCGCTAATATTCGCAGCAAATCTACAATGTCAGAGCCTTGCCAGAGGCACCTCCCCAAGACCTCGATCTGATTCGGGCAGCAGAAGAAGAGTTCTCACCAGACAAGCTCCGATCAACTCTTGAGCGCTTCTACATGACTGTCGTGATTAGTTTGGCAAACTTTGTCAAACACTGTGCTCGCTTGCGCTCATGGAAAGAGCCGCAACGAACTGGACTTTTCTGCGCTGTTTATTGCATCGCGTGGCTTCGAGACGGACTCATTCCAACTTTCTTCGCCCTTTTACTTGCATTGATTCTCTCGCCAGCTTGTCGCAAGGCTCTTTTCCCCCCCGCTCCCATTGCTTTGGTAGACAAAAGCACCGGAGGGGTCCAAAAGCCCAAGGCAGGTGTCTTGGGATCCCACGATAGCATTACAGGTGCACCTGAGAACTTCAAAGGCGAGGCGGTGGAGAACGAGGCTAGCAATCTTGTAGCCGGCGTTGCCAGCGTTGCTGTTGGAAGCGCCATCGGCAAGGATGAGCAAGCCAAACCAGATGATGATACTTTGGAGGAGAAAGTCCCCGACCCTACGGCCATTGTCGACAGGGGTGCTGACGCACAAAATGCTGCAAATGGCGAGTCACCTACAGACTCCGCCGACAAGACTCGACAACCTATGAAAAAATCTGTCATGGAAACTGCGAATTGGTTGATGAATATCATCAATGACATCAGCGATACCCATGAGAAATTCGGGAAGTAAGTAGTTCATGCGAACCTTGAATCAAAATGCTCGAGCTCATGCATCATCGACTCAGTGCTTTGTCCGGGACACCCCCGTTTTCACAGCAACTGGCCCGTCTACGCCTGGCGAGTGTTGTTTTCCCGCTATGGCTCGTTTCCATGTTCACGCCAAGCTACGTTATGATCAAGATCTCCGGGCTTTTGACAGGCTTCATTATCTTTGGAGACCCGGTGGTAGTTCGCGGCATTGCATACTTGAACCGCTATTACCCAAATTGGCCCGAACTCCTTCAACTCGGAAAGTACGTTATCTGTCCAGGGATTTACCAGGTATCCCATTCCTTTCTAACCTACAATCTAGTACACTCCTCAAGGGAATTCCAACCAATGCGCAGTTGACCTTGACTCTTCTCCGTATTGGCGAGGCTAACTTGTCGCCGCTGCCCCCTCCGCCTGCCGCTGGAGAAAACCCTCCCTCTAGACCAGCCTCGCTCCATAAAGAAGAGCTTAGCCTTGGCGCCTCTCACAGTGAGATCGAGGAAGCAGCACTCAAGAAGGACAAGCACCCTGCGACACCACCAGAGCCCTCAAACACGCACAAAAAGACATGGACGAGCAGTATCATTGCCATATTCCGAGGGACAACAGCCGGGGGAATCGAAAGTAAACGAGCTTTCGATCGGGTCCGCGCAGTGGCTGGCAGTTCTCGTGCTGCCAACAGAACAGGTGTTTTGCGCACGAAAGGCAAAATGGATCCACACGTTGGGCCCGTGGAGTTCGAGGGCCGATACAAGGGGAAGCGCGGCGTTGCTGTGATCGACACAAGTAAAGAGCCGCCGGTCCTCTACTTTACTACGGATAAGAAAGAAGATAATCTCCAGGTGGAGAGCCGGAAGAGTAGTTCCGTGCTATTTACAATTCCAGTGACAGAAATTCAAGCTTTGAAGAAGCAAGGGGGTATGGGCTGGAAAGGGAAGCTTGTTGTGGGATGGGCAATGGGAAGTAAAGAGGTTGTGGATGGACTACTCATCGAAGGGAAGGATCCTAAGCACCGTTACCAGTTAACAGCTATGGGGACAAGGGACCAGCTATTCAACCGCCTGATTGCTATGGATGGACAGATGTGGGAACGCTGTTGATTTAAAACTAAATTGATTGCTAAGGCAAATATAAGTTTTGAGTGCCTCATTGAGGCCTCAATTCCTCAGCTTCCTCCTCTCGCACCGAGGGAACGGTCTTCCCCTTAAGAAGCAGCCGACTCCACGAAGGAGCGGCGGTGACCACCAGCACCGATTAACTATTGAGACATCATTAGCACCTGCATTGCGTGATGAGGGGATTGGATTTCTCTCGGGGGTCACTTACATTCGGTCTGGGTCCTCGGAGTCCGAGATGGACTCGAACATCTTCGCGATGCCCTCAGTCCGCTCGTTGGCGGTGATTGCCCCCGCCAGCTCCAACTCCAACAGGGCCTCCTTGACCCATTCTTGGCAGCTCCACTCTTCGCCGCCTTCGTGCCCGTCCTCGCGGATGCGAGTCCTGGCCAAGATGTCATCTAGCATCCCTCTAGTCAGGGTGTTAGGGGCGAAGGCGACGAAGAGGAGCGCCTCGATGGTCTGCTCACCTCGGCCGGCGTGGCGAGTCCCGCCGAGGAAGCTGTGAGCCGCGAACGTGTTGCTCATATACGCGATGAGCTCTTCGCTGCCCTCAAACTGAATGTGGAGGGCGACGTGGTGGTGGCCGGCGGTCTCAGGTGCCGCGCCGTGGTAGATCACAATCGAGATCTTGGTGGTCTTCGCGGCTGGGGTGACTGCCAGCCGGATGCTCATGCGCTTTCCGCCTGACTTCGTGAACTTCTTGTCCTTCATAGCGTCTGTCGAGTTCGCAAGCTGGGGTAGAAGATGTGGGTGTGCGTGGAGAGATGAAAAAGTGCGTGTTTGGATGGAGTGAGGTGGTGATGACCGTAGCAACTGTCAACGAAGCTGAGAGGATTGAAAAGAGAAGTCGGAGAAAATAAAATCTTGTTTAAAACAAGAGGAGCACAAATTTTGTTTACTTCGACGACTAAGCAACTGGAAGTCGGTGCCTAACGGATTTGACAATGTGAGGAAATTGCGTCTCGCAGCTCGAACTATACACATTCGTTTTGTGTGCGACTCGAACGAATTGGCCGACACAACTCACTCAAATGGACATTCATGCCCTTTGCATTCCATATATCCTGGGCCTAAGACAGGGTAACTTCTACACGGAATATTTTGATTGGATATCTTGAGAATGCATAAGTTGTCTGGTCTTCTGACCTACTTGTAGGGCTGTTAGCGGAAGGCAGATTCACATTGCACTGTCTACCATTAACCACACTGCTTGTTCCAGCTATGAAAAGTCATTGTCTAGATATGCATTTATGTTCTGCTCTTTGATGTGAATAGGAACGAATTTTCCTGGTGTGTGCGGCATACTTTCCTATACACTTGTACACAAAAAATGCAGAAGTTCTAGTTCAATAGTGCGTGGCATTAGCAGTTTCAACATCCCCAGTGTTGGTACTTTGTCAAACTTATGAACTAGTACCTGTAAATGTTGATACAATCTAGCCACTGCTCTTTTGTAGATTACTATTTTCTAGGTATATTGTTCGATACTCATATACATTGGACACAAAATACTGTGAACACTTATCCTATACTATGACCCTCATCTCCTGCGCTTAGGATGGTGCGCTTCCGACCCCAAATCGCGCGGCAAACCTCCTTAAACCTGTACTAGTATTACATGGCTAGGAATGTGCTTTCAAACACCAGGTTGATTTAAAAAAGATATATTGATTGTCCGTGGGATGAAGGCAGTGCCGGCAATCCTAGTATCACTATTGGGAGTAAGGAACAAAGGGGAATTTCCAAAATCCCATCATGGCATAACCACTAGCAAGTGCTCAACATCCGGGAATCAATTGACTTGGATCTAATCCTTAAGCTTTGTGATAAGCTTGCCGGTGTTTCCTCCGGAGTAAAGCATACTCCATGTGCGAGGGATATCAGAGAAATTAGTGTCGACAACAGTCTCGGCCTGCTCTCCGAGAAGTAATTTACCATTTTGCCATGCTTCTACAAGGGCCGCTCGTGCACCTGATAGAAGGTGGAGCCCATCAATGACGATAAAACCGAGGATTTGCAGGCGCATAGAAACAACTTCCTGAGGGGTTGTCAGCAAGAAGCATGGACCAAGGGCTCTATACAAGCGAGAAGGCTTACAAAGTAGTTCTTGAGAGCGGTGGGGTCCGAATCCCGGTTGTAGTTGGAAATTGCACCACTGCAATCATTAGATTAGAATGTTCCTTTGTTAAAGAATGTAAAGCTTACCAGGCTGCAACGCGGCCATGCCGGGCCAACCGAGTCAACATGAAATCAAGAATCTCTCCGCCAACATTGTCTTTTGTTCGGTTAGCTTCAAAGGTCTTCAACCAGTCTAAAGGACAGCTTACCAAAATAAACCTCGACAAATCCGTCCGTCGCCTTGGTCAGGTCTTCCTTGAAGGATGGAGATTTGTAGTTTAAACATACATCTGCTCCAAGGACTTCTACCCCTCGACATTTGTCGTCAGTGCCAGCGATTCCAATGACCTTTTTAAAGTCCTATTTCAGCATGTGAACTTTCGGCTCGGACTTCTCGAACTTACCTTTCGACAGCCAATCAGTTTCTTCGCAATCTGGACCGCAACATTGCCCACAGCGCCGGCAGCGCCACTGATCACAATAGCATCCTTGCTGGTCACCTTCGCAACCTCATACAAACCATACCAGGCTGTAAAGCCAGCCAGCCCCAGGGCACCTAAGAAATGAGTTACAGCAAGACCGGCAGGTGGGTCAATCACGGAGACGCTGTCGCCATCATGAACCGAATAATCTGTCCATCCGATAGTTGTCGTGACAAGATCGCCAGGCTTCAAGGTAGAGTGGCGGGAATTGACAACCTGCCCGATACCACCAGCTCTCATGACCTCACCGGTCTCCACGGGCGGAACATATAAACGGCCTGGTTGAACAGCTCGTGAGATCCAGGTTCGCTGTGCCGGATCGTTGCTCAGATAGAGAGTCTTTAGCAGAACCTGGCCATCCTGCAGTTCGGGAATGCTTGCAGTTCCTTGGGTGAACGTGGGGTTGGCGCCCTCTAGTACGGGATCGGCGTGGGGTTTCTCACGAAGAGTCCATTGCCGGGCGGATGTTGGAATGCTCATTTTGAATTGATATGCTGAAGGTTCGTTGCCGATTGAGGTATTTAACGAGGACGAAGGTGCGAGATGGGTTGATGTCGACTAATCATCATTGTCTCCACTAAACCCCCTCAGGTCCGCGGCACTCCGTAACTACAAGACTTGATTTGTCAGAGCCTAGATGACTTCACTTTTCAGACTCGAAGCTCACAGTCTTATGCTTTCTTTTATGCAAGAATATGCTCGCATAACTTGTTTGATTATTCAACGATTCGAGAGTCGGCCCAGGTGGCCGTGATCCAAATACCGAGGATACAGGTAATCCCTGAATGCCCCCGTTGAAGAACCAGTACAGTTTGCAATGGATATTATGAGGCTGAATACTGAGAAGAATCGGGCTGCTGGAGCTTTCTGGATTGAAGGAGCAGTGTTTGTTCAGTCGAGCTCTCATTTGATTAACCTGGGGCAATTGAAATGAACTACTAGTAGTGAGTAGCTTATAGAAGGAACTTCCAAGCCGCCGATACAAAAGCGCAGAACCGGAAATATATTTCTCAGCCTGTGGGATATGATTCTCCCCTGGTTGAGATTGTTCCCGATGTCAGGTATGTTCAGTTACTAACAGGAGATTATCGACGTAAAGAACGCGCCCATGAGTAGTACGTGAAGGGGAGGGGAAGATGGAACCTTCCAATGTGAAGTATAGAGGTCAGTATTTGGGGTCTTCCAAGCCTTGAGAAAGTTTTGAGGAACCTGTGTGGAATATGCTTTGGTTGTTATTCGTTGCTGAATCCTGGTGGTTGGCATTTTCTAATGGATAAAACTCGCAGGTTTGAGCCTTCAAGTTTTCAGGGCTCAGTCTTTTACGGTCACATAAGAATTCCATATTTCTTTTTTGACGTGATTCAAGAAGAAACTTAACATTTCGTATCCTTCCCAATTATGAATTCCGAGAGGATAATTGGGCGCAATCAAGAACTCTCTAAATTCTGCTTGTAATCCCTTACGGCTTGCTCAAACGAGCTATCCCGCTTATAGCCCAACCCAATGGCCTGACTGTTGTCGAAACGTGTTGGCCACGACTTGAGAATTGGAACCAGGGAAGGGTCATGTTTTTCAGAAAGGAGGGCCAATTTATCCTTGCCGCCCACCTTCTCCAACGCATCCATCATTTCTTGAATAGTAGCACAGATCCCAGGCACATTGATCTGGCGAATATGTGGAGGAAGTGATTCGGCCGGAATGCTTAATGTGAAAATAAGATTGTGTACGAGCGTCTTAGGCGAGCAGAGCCATGAGGCGAACGACCGGTCCTCAATAGGAATCACGCACTCCTTCCCATCCAGAGGCTCCCGGATCATGCCCGAGAGGAAGGACGATGCCGCGGCAGTGGGGGCTCCGGGACGAACGGAGATGGTGGGAAATCGTAAAGTGAACCCGGTGATGAACTTCCGACGAGTATACTCATTAATCAGCGTTTCACAGACGAGCTTCTCCGCCCCGTAAGAAGACTCGGGTGTTGGAATGACGCTATCTGTGACGACAGCAGGCAATGGCTGGCCATACACAGCCTGACTGAGACGAATAGATCACCCGCACTCCTGGGCAAGTATGCCGCAAGGCCTCTAGCAGATTCCGGGTGGCGTCCACGTTCACACTCATACCCAGTTCAAAGTTGGCCTCGGAGCCAGAAGACATAATGCCATGAAAAGCGTAGACAGCATCGATAGAGGAATCGATAATCTCCTTCGCAGCAGAAAGGAGGTCTGCTTTCACGGTAGTGGCATTCTGTGGATAGGCCACGCCCTTGGGAAGGGGGGGTTGCTGGACATCAGTCAACGTAACGCGGTATGTAGAGTCGTTAAGGAGCTCTTTGGCGAGTAATTGGCCGATAAACCCGGCGGCGCCAGTGATAAGGATATGCATGTTTGAGGGCTAGAAATACGATGAAACGAAATTGGTGACATATGCGTATTCCACAACTTATGAGGAAACGGGGCGGTTCTCCGCATTCGCATCAAGTCCGAGATAATCCGTCCCTGATGCTCCCCCACCGGACTTTGCCCGGCCAGCCAGCGCTGTGGATATACAGCTCGAACGGGGCTTTAATCGCTTTTCCTCCCGGCCATTGTACCTTGGGAGCTGCCTATTCAGGTTGGGCCAACTGAGCGATGCATTCTCGGGGCGCAGGCCGCACTGCCACTAGACAGCTACGTCATTGCTAGACTAGGAGGCTGGTGTGCCTGGAGCTGAGGAGATGAAGATACTAGAAGAATAGATAGAGAGAGAAAAAGAAGAATGAGCCTCCTTACAATAGGGTACTGAGTGGAGGCCTCGTATTCCAAGTGTATGGCCGAATAAACCTCGGCGCTGGCCGATCTGCTCGCTTCACCGAAACGCCTCACCCGCCAAACGGGGGTTTGCCCCTACGGAGCATCACCGATCGTTTTCCTCCAGCATGGATGCGTCTACTCCACTCAAACGGTCGTCAACAGAGGCTGACCTAGATTCGCCAAAGAGCTCTGCACTTCCACAGCCACGTCCAACGCCCAAGATTTCCAAAGCTCGAGCATGCGAGTCTCCCCCACAATTGGCCGTACAGAAATACTAATCCTGCTCCAGGTGCTGAGTGTAAGCGCCATAAAATCCGATGCGAATTTCGCGCAGGCGAATCCAATTGCACAAAATGCATCCGGAGTGGAATCAAATGTGTCGTGAATGACTTCTCGCAAAAGTTCGTTGACGATGATGGCATGTGCGTACTCTCCATCTCTCCGTCCCCGCAGCAACCTCTGCGACTAACATTGATCTCTGGGGCCTAGATGGAAATCAGAGGCAACAGCTTCGATACAACAGCTTCAGGCTGCGGTATCGCAGCTCCTCAGCCAGGCAGGGTTGCCTGATCTCTCCTCATACACGGTCGGGGACACTCGAAATGGACCCAGCCCAGTCACCTCACACAATACCCACCGATCATCCATTGGCACGTCGCATCCCCATACAAGCCACCAAGAGGGCCCCGGCGTAGTTATGGATGTCACTCGAGAGCCATCGCAGGAGGCAGATCTTCAAAATCCGGACCTAGTTCCTGCCCCCATGCGCAGCCTGTACGAAGTTACGAAACTCAGCAATCTACGGAATAATCATACTGAGGCGCCCAGAAAGACACTCTTGGAAGAGGACTTCATCACGAGGGGACTCATCTCTATCCATGAGGCTGAGGAGCTTTTTGCATACTTTAGTCGGACAATGAATCAACTTCTCTGGGGTGGGATCATCCTCGTGCATCACGACCTTACGTCCGTTCGTCGTGCGTCCACCTTGCTTTCAGCCGCGGTCCTGACTGTCGCGGCACTCCACATCCCCAACCGGACAGCGACCCTCAACCGATGCTATAGCGAGTATGTGTCATTGGTCTCGAGCATGGCTCTGACTCGGGCCCATACGCTGGATGACATTCGGGGACTCTGTGTGGGCGCATTCTGGCTATCAGAATTAAGTTGGAAGCTCTCGGGGCATGCAGTTCGCATCGCCACCGAGATGGGCCTCCATCAAAGCTACCAGCGCTTGACCCGCGGTCATACCGATCAATATAAGCGGGCCCAACTATGGTACCTGCTCTATGTATGTGATCATCATTTCAGTATAGCTTATGGACGACCGCCGGTGATTCACGAGGATATTGCCATCCGCAACTGCGAGACCTTCCTTGAACTCCCCATGGTCGTCTCGGGCGATTTTCGGCTGCTGGCACAAGTGGCATTGTTCACAATTTTGACTGAGGCGTACCGTATGTTTGGCAGTGATACTGAACAAGCACTCATCGAGTCGGATTTCAACCAACTGCGCGTATATAATGTAGCCGTGGATCAATGGCGCTTACTATGGCAGCCTCGCTCAGGTGAGTTCTACGGCAACGTGCTACCTACGTAAGCAACTCGACTGACTCTATCTAGCGGACAGCCCGTATGTACGAACCTACCCGTCGAAGGGAGTAGTTCTACATTACCATTTCGCCAAATTCCAACTCAACTCGCTCTCCTTACGCGGCCTGTCTCCATCCAACACCCCTTCTTTCTCCATGGACCGTAAGGAATCCGCCAACATCGCCATTTCATCCGCGATCGCATGCCTCAACATGGTGCTCGAAGAACCGGATATTCGGGATGCGATAGTTGGGGTGCCCATCTTCACCCACACCATGGTCACATTCTCGGCGGCCTTTCTGATCAAAGTTGCTATGAACTGGAATTCGGCCTACTTGAGTATTAATGCTCGTCAGGTCCGACAGATTGTAGAGCGAGTGATCGAGCTGATGAATTGTGTGTCTGCCGGCGAGCGGCATTTGACCCGGCACATTGCACGTGGGTTGGGCAAGATGCTCGAGCGTTTCGACTCCTGGGAAGCTGCATGGCAAGTGGGCGCTAGCGATGGGAGCACCGTGGATGCCCGCGACATCCCGGGGGGCACGAACGCAATGGCGCAGGGGTTCCCACCGCCCGACTTGATCTACGACATGGTTGGAACATATGGCTTTGGGCTGGACGAGAATCTGCTCGATCCGAGTATGGCGAACTTTGAGTTCTTGGCGCAGTAGGTGTGGAGCGGCCATACAACTTGTAAGACGTGAACAAGGACGGAGCTACTACAAGTGCAAGTAGTATGAAAAAAGGGGGTAGGGGGGGGGGGGTTGGTTCTGGCCCACGGGGAAATAGGGAAAAGTTGGCCCGTGTGTGTCAAGGCTTCTGGGGGGGGGAGAGAAGGGAGCCGGTCTGATCTCCGCAGAGCCCAGTTTAAGGTCTGGAATGCAAGTTATCAGCACGCACCCTCCTCACCCCATCGCCACGCACCACCCACTTCTACTCCACTCAATGGCAGTGTAAGCTATCACTCCCATGTCGTCACCTCAGCTTATTTTACGCCCCCTCTCCCTTGGTTCCTACCATTTCCCCCCCTTTGGAGCTCGGGAAACCCTTGTAACGTAACTGCCACTCCTCGTTCTCTCTCTTATAGCCCGTGCGCCCAGCCTGAGGACCTTTCTCTCCCCATTTCCCCTTCTCTCCACCTTCCCCCATCTATATACTTCCCACCCTCCGGGAACCTCCTCAATTCAAACCTCACTTCTTTCATAAACTTAATATTTCCACAATGTCCACCCGCAAGAGGAAGAACGACCCTGAGGAGGAGCTTCAGGCTCTCCCCAGCGACGAGAGCGAAGAGGAAGAAGAGTAAGTTCGGCCCACTGCTGCGCCGAAGACCCCAAGCCTCGGCTTACGCACCCCGGCACGGTGCCTTCGTCGCATGCTCTCAGGCTGCCATCCCATGGCCCATTCAGGAATGGAGGATTAGCTCAAGAGGATTAGCTCAATGACTGTGACGAGAATATTGGAGCATCTTTACTGATCACTTGCGTCTGTACCTAGGTACGAAGACTCTGAACCCGACGTGAGCGACGAGGGCGATGAAGACGAAGAGGAAGAAGGGGAGGAGGAATTCGACGAAGACGAAGAAGAGGAAGAGGGCGAAGATGAAGGTACGTCATGACCGCGATAGCTCGGAGGCATCCAAGAGATGTCATTGAGATGATCTCAGCGCTGACAATGATCGCTCTGCAGGTCCCCCAGCAGCCAAGAAGCGCAAGACTAAGCCTGCTGCCGCCGCGGCAGACGACGAGGTCGCTGCAAATGGCGCCAATGGCGATGAAGAAGACAAGGAGGAAGAAGAGGAAGAGGAGGAAGAGGAAGGCGAGGAAGAAGGTGCTGGTGATACTGCTAAGACTAGTGGTCCGGCACAGGCTGCCGCCAAGGCCAAGGGCGACCAGATCCCTAAGGAAGCCGATCTCGCTGAGGTGGAGGACGAGGGCGACGAGTAAAATTGTCCTGGATATAGCATTGCTGGCTCCTCTCCCAGCGAGGTATTCGCTGCGTCAATGGACGGGTGTATCTTCCTCAAAACGATATCGATATCTAGTCTGGACCTATTGAAGGATAGCCATACGACCTCATTGCGGCCTCCTCATGGTGTAGCTCGTACGTTGTAGGATGGCGTTGATATATGCGTCTAACTAGTAGGCCCTTTTCATGACTCCTGGTCCGCCTTCAGTATGAGATTGGGAAACGAAGCATCGGTGCTTGAGAAGATTCGATTTGCTATCAGGTTCCTGCTTTTCGAAGGTCACTGTCCAAATGCAAGACAGAAGCTGCTCCATACGGATGTCAAGTTGAACCACACCAGAAGCGACTGGTGCTTGACGAAGACAGCATTGGTTGAAAGAGCAAATGCTTATCCCGCTACCTGAATCATGTGACGATGCCCAACCTTGGCTCAGAAGAACTCTCGCATAGAAAGAAAGTCAATTAAAAAGTAACACACCTTATTTACGATCTAAGCTACCTCAGATAACCATTTGACAGGAAGAAAGAAGAAAAAGCAAGCCTCGTGGATGATCATAAAGCCTGCGCCCCTTTTATCTTAACACAAACAAGAGAGATGGCAGGAGAGCCTAATTGTGTCCGTCACCGTTCAGAAACCACCGACAGCTCAAGTGTCACTACCGCTGCTGCGGAAGGTGGCACAAAGCTGGCAGTATTGATGCGTAAGATCCAGAACAGGCTGGGGCAGGTTGGTGGCCTGAACGATACTGCGGACCTTCACAGCCCCCTCGTCCTCGATCAGCTTGCGCATCAAGAAGAGCAGCTCCGGAGAAAACTAGTTGGGTAAATATAATGCTTTCCAAATCATTTCAAGGGGCACGGATCATACCTCGGAGTACCAGCGATATTGCCAGGCGATCAAACGAATCAAGGCGCCTAACATCTTCCGGGTATCGTTCGTCTTCTCGTACAGCTTCAAAAGCCCCCGCATCGCTTTAGGGGAGAAACGAGTGGCTAAGCAGCTTTGGTATGCTTCGATCGCCTCGTCAAAATGGTGCAACCGTTCTGCCAGCTCGCCGAGAATCTCCCACTCAGGGGCAGATTTCTTGTATTCCATAGCCTGTTGGCGGAACTGGGCCATTTCGGTCCGCCAAATAGTGTAAATGCGGAGGTCTTCGTAGAGAACCATGAAGAGATTATCCAACCATCGCTCGCAAAGGCGCTTGTTGTGAAATTGAGTGTACTGGTGGTGGGATGGATCGGGCTATTGGCTGGTTAGTAAGGAGCATAACCAACATTGGCGGAAGATTCTTACATCGTCATTGCCAGACTTTACTACTTCTGATGCCACTGTTTGCTCAGGGCGCTCGATCCCGCTCTCAGGTTCCACCTTTTCGGTTTCAGCGGGACCAGGGCCTGAAACAGACCCTGACTCAGTGCCTTCATCCTCGCTATTATCCCCTAAAGCTGCCCCGTTTGTCTCTGCCTCGAGGGACTGAGCAGGCTTGGAAACATGCTGCCGCTCAACGCGATACTCCTCTTCCATCACAAATACCTCGCTGCGACATTTCAGGAGTTGATCCCACCCGATTGCAGCAGCAATCCTGGTCAAAAGGTTGTAAGCCTTCAAAAAAGTCCCTTGGTAGCCAGCTGCCTGTAATTTCCGGAGAGATGGATGGATATAATCGTGAGGATCTCCTTGCTTAGGCTGACCTTCATCAATTTCATCCAAAACACTCTCACTGAGAATAGGGAGCATAATTCGAGACGGCTGAGGCATCCGAGGGGAGTCTTTGTCTTGGTAGGTAAACATAGGGCATGAGTTGAGGGTCAGAAGAGCCAAGTCCCATTGTTCAAGGCCGATATAGACCTCGGCGAGACGAGCCCAGGTTGTGAACTCGCTTGGGGCTGCAGTAACCGCACGTTGCGCACACTGCAAAGCCATTTCAAGCTCACCCTTATCCTGGCAAAAGGCTGCTTGGCAGTCAAGTAGAGAATAATCCATTGGAACATCCTGCAAGGCATCGTACATCAGACGTACAGCCCGTACCTCCTCATCAGCCATCAATTGAACTCGAGCCAAGAGAGACGACACCTCGACGTCCCGAGTGCGCAGTTTCTCAAACAAATTGATACCCGAGGTATAACGGCCCGTTGTGTGAATGTACTTTAGGATACCAGATGTTAAGTGGTTACTGACAGTGTTCGGTACTTGAGTTTCGGGGTCGGAGCTCAGTTGACGACCTGCGCCATTGTAAGTATGTATTGCCATGCAAGGGTATTGATGGCATTACTTACCCAAGAAAAAAAGCCTTTCCGCTGCATCCAGGAACTTGTGCTCCATCTCTGTATTCGTAATTGGGTTGAAACGTCGGACACCCACAATCTTCTTAATCGCATCACCGCTGCCATCATCGGCATAGAGATAAGCACGCAGAACACCACAGAGGAAAGTCTCGAGCCAGAGAGCCTCGGTGGCCACTCGCTTGTCGCCTCGCTCATCAATGCAGTAACTTTCTAAGCTTCCAGGGATCTTCACCTCCACCCGCATGTCTAAGTGTGAGAAGGCATTGTAGCAGCTGCGCAAAATTAGAGAAAGGCACGCAACCTCAGAGCAAGGAAATCCTGACCAGTAGATCCCCGACACTACTTTGTTTGTCTTATCGAGGGGGGAGAATGTGAGAGAGTTGACGTAGGCAGCGAGACTGGCAGAGGAAGAGGCATCGACTCCGGTTACATGGTGGTACACTCCGGTCTTTACAAAAACAGAATCAATGGTTAGCAGGAGATCTCAATTGGGCCACATGTAGACAAAGCAAAGTAGCAGTGAATATATGAGATAAAGAGGGGAATAGAAGAAAAACACACCTGCCGGGTTGAATTGGCCTTTGGCTGTTTCACAAGGTATACCAGATCTGGGGGACCTAACTCCCGTAAGTTTTGGAGAGAGTCGGTACGCGCGTCGATGGCAACATGCAGTTCCTCCTCCTCATGGATCCTGAATGATTGAGCAGTCGTCAGTTATGAATCTGAGACCTCGCGCTAACCCAATCCCGCACTGGCTGCAAGCAATGGGTTTGCGCATGTTCCCGGAGACCACGTAGTTGAACGGAGGGATAAATAGGAGGACCTACTCGGGCACAGCTGGCGCAACCATGGCGCCTGCACAAGCGCAGCAGAATCAAACGCTGATAAAACAGGGGGAAACGTCGCTCAATTCACAAATTGGAGGATATTCGTTAAAAAAGACCAAGAGAGGGAAGAGGAGTAGAGCAAGCAAATAACCCGAATGAGCTTCAGGCCGCCAGGCAACGAAGGCGGAGAAGCGTCCTTTCCTAATCAGGCAGTTACGCGTGGACCGTGTCTGGGGATTATCGGATTGACATCCTATGCGGTAATACCTTCACGCTGAAAGATTTCGACCTGCGACGTAGCTGCAGGGGCAATGCTCTCACTTGCGATCGCAATCTTTGCCATTTGACAGCACCCTAAGTGGCGATCATCATGGCGAGCTGGGTGGCATTGAATGTCGAGCCCGATGAGGGGAATGAAGATGAGGTTGACGATACGAAGGAGCTGCAGATCGAAGAGGCCCTCAAGCTTTACCAGAATGCTTTGAAGCTTCACTCTCAAGGACCCGAGTTCTATGCTCAGGCCGCCGAAGCCTACGACGATTTGTTAGACTCCGAGATCTTCAAATATCCTGAGTCGACATCCGAGTTCCAACGTGCGTTGGTCCCTGATACTCCGCAAGCAGACGAGGTTGAAGAAGTCACTACCGATGCCATTGGCGAATTCAATGTGAACGACTCAACATCGAGCCTATTCCAAACCCTCTACCTATCGCACAAAAACTACGGGAAATTCCTCCTTGATTCGACCCAGGAAACGCTACGAACGGTCACACCGGACGCGAAAACAACGCAAAAACGAATCAGTGTCACAAAGAAAGCGTTGAGGTCATTCGCCGAAGCTTTGGAGCGGGACGATACTGATCTCAACCTATGGAGGCAAAGCGCACGGCTGGGTAGTGCTTTGGAGAGTTATCGATTGACCCGCTTTTGTCTCGAGAGTGTGCTCGCAGACGACGAAAATCGTCTTGACCTTCGCTCCGAACAACTTGGCCTTGAGGAAATATTTTCAGAGGAACGCTTGCGGGCCACACTCCGATCTCTCTTTGATGAGCTGTCTGCTTCTCAGATTCCCACTAAGAAGCCGAAGAAAGCTCTCTTGAAATACCTGAAGCAGCATGAAGACACTTATCCATACCTCCCAAACCTTCCAGACGATATTCAGGACCTGAATCCATCCAAAGGTCCCCTTGCGTTATCTGTCTCCCCCGAGAACTCAGTCCAGCCGAAGCAACATGGGATTCTGTCGGGAAAGCAATCATTCAAGCGTTAGATGATGAAGAAGAGGCTTTAATTTCGGATTCTCCAAGTCGGCCTTTAAAGATAACCTTGCCATCCAGGAACTCCGAATCACACAACGTTGACATGGATGACCCTGATAAAGCCGCTGCGGAAAGTGCTACAGAACCAGGACAGGATGTCAAACCGGAGAACGATGATGTGGAAATGCTTGATGAGAATCAAACGGAATTGGAAACTGTGAAGTCGACTGCCCATACGCCAGCAGCTCTCTCAGAGCCTACCGAGGAGCAATCCTCCATAGACCAGAGCGCAGAAAAGCAATTAATGGAATCGCTCGAGGGTCAGTCCATTCGCCCTACTGAGAAAACTACCGAGTTATCTGCAGAGCCCCAGGCTGCTGATGAAGACGGAAACGCTGAAGATGATGAACCGAAATCACCTACGGAGGGGCGTAAAAGATCATCAGCATCAATAGCCAACGACGACCAACCCGAAGGGGGAAGGATGAAAAGCCGGCGAACAAGGGCACGCGATTCGAATGCTGAAGCGCTATTGCCACCTGAAGAGATAGCCTTTGATCAAAAGCGCTATTATGAGGATCGCCTTGAAATTTTCGTCAATGCCGATGACTGGTTGTTTAATACTGTTGGATCTCTATTCTCCAAACTGGATATTGATGCACTGGGTGACATTAGCAGCTTGAGGGAAAAAGCAACCACTGTTAACGATTCAGATACCGTTCCAGAGGACCCTGAGACCCGTCTCTTCCACGATGTCCGTGGCATCATTAAATCGTGGAATGATGAGAAATCTCGCTTGATGCAGCAAAAGGATGAGGCGTCTTCTCTCAAAGATATGCGCGGCTCAAGCAAATCTGGACTCGCTGTATTCCTTGAGCATACTCGCAAGGTGTCTCGCAAACCCTTTCAGCAAAAAGTGATACCCTCTCGGGAAAAGCTCTATGCTTTTTCGAGCAACGTGAATGGCGGCTGGCTCCACCCACACGATGCATCGTTCGAATGGCTCAAACAGCTTCTTATGCCACAACCGGATGGAGAAGACCAGAGATTTTCTCCTATGCGGTCGGCTTATGCTTCCTTTGTGTGGCCGGACGATTTGAAATCGACGGTAGCCAATATGTTGCTTCGCGAAGACGAGTTCATCTATTCACGCCTCTCTGAGCTTACCGAAGGTCTTGGGCGTCGTATCCTGGAGTCCGGTGTCGGGAGTCCCTTTCAGTACCGGACTGAGGATTTCGCTGAGCTAGAAATGATTCAATCAGTATATGAAATTCATTTGGACATTTTTGCATCAGTCGAAAATCTGAGCGGTGAAAACAATGAAGACAAGCGACTTACACAGCGTGATCGGCTGAACAGGTGGGGATTGCTTGCTAAAACAGCCTTGGACTATTTTATCGCGAACTGCCCTTCAGAGGAATGCCGCCGTAACATCGCACTACGCTATCTATGGACCTCGGTCTTTCATTTAAATCTTGCCGGCGAAGCAGATCGCGACCATGTGCTGCTATGTCTGCAAGATTTGAAACAGACTCTCCAGTCCATTGAAGCCCCAGTAATCAGCATGGTGAACAACACTATAATGTCTGAACTCTCAGTCGAAACCATTGATCAGGAGGTCCTCAAGCTGAAGTGCATGGATTTTTTTGCCAAGGTCTTCAATGCAGATGACGAAGACCCAGTATCGTTAATCGAGGCTATTGAACCGATCCTTGAGCCCTCGTCGGTCGAGAGCGCTGATGATACTCTGCAACAGCATGATGCAACTACAAGTGAGGCTCCGTCGCAGTCGAGTGAAATGGCGTCGTTCCTTGATCGAGGCGATGCAACGCTACGCCTGTTCCTGTGGCGGAGACTCCAAGAAGCTTATCAAGCCATTGACTATCCTCCCAAGGTAGTTTCATGCTACCTGCGCAGCATTGAGATCATCATGGCAGAACTAGAAGATGAGAAACACGTCGAGGAAACGAACGAGCACCGTCAAGTTACGTTACTGGGGTGGCTCAAGTCTCTTGACAGCCTAATGGGGAAAGCCATTCCGCTTATACTTACTCAAGCTGAAAAGTCCTATGAGTGTGTAGATATGGATCATCTTCGATCTTCCATGTCTGCAGTTGCGCGCCTCACTCGAGTTCTTCACAGCTTCATTCTTTACGAAGATTCGGTGCGAGTGGGTCAGGTACCCGGACGAGAGCTTCGTGGAGCTTTGGCAAAATCCCTCGAAAGTTTCAAGGAGCGAATGCGAGAGCTATACGTTCGTTGCTGGATCCTTCAATATACCCTCTTTGTAGAGGCCATCTCTCAAAACAAGGAGCTTTTCGATGATGCTCTTGAAGATCGCATCCACGTCCTGCGTTCTCTGCACAATGCCCTTGGGATTCGCTCCATGTGCAGATACTCGCAAAAGAGGTTCTTGAAACTCATGAAATCTGAATTATTCGGCCTTGAAATCAAGGGTGACTATGAGGATGAAGTTTGCCAGGTCCTTTACGACCTCCATGGCATCAAATTCTCGCCACTAGACGGTACTGCAGACCATGGATGCTCTCCTGAAAAGTTAGACCGGCTCACAGCCACTATGATGATCGACTTCGTACTCAGACAAGCAAACAAGATGAACATGAAAGATCTGTCAAAGTCTGAACTTAAGACGACAATTGAGAAGATGCAGCAAGCTATTGGACCTGTTAGGCTTCCTTCACAGTCACCCGCGGTACAGCTGAACAGACGTGTTTGGTCGCAGTACATGAAGACCCCGATCAATCCTTCTCTTCTCCTCCGAGCTGTACAAGGGGTAACGGAGCTTTCCATGGTGCCTGTCTCCGGTGACAATGCCAATATTGCCGCGAAAGGCTGGTATTTCCTATTGGGGCATGCTACTCTAACAAAATTTCGTGCTCAGAAACGGCTCAATCCTGGTTCAACATCTGAGCTTGATGATGCCATCAATCTCTTCAAGCAGGACCTAGAAAATGGAACTGGTAGATGGGAAACTTTCTATCGCCTGGCACAAACCTATGACACCAAGTTGGAGGAAGACATCACGTGGAATGCCGACAAGATCAACAACAGTCGAAATGATTTAGCCACGACACAGAGATACGCTATCCATTGTTACTCGATCGCTGTATCCGCCGCCATTAGAACAGCAGAACCCACAGCTGAAGCTCGTGCATTGATATCTGATCTTTACACGGATTTTGCGATCCGTCTTTACTCCTCCTCTCGAGAGCCACTGTCAATGGGTGCTTTCAGCCTAACGGACTTCCCAAAACATTACAACAGCCAAGAAAGCCAACAGATGTACAAGGGGCAGCCTTTCAGGGAAATGCCACTATATTCTGTGTGGAGCTTTGCGAGCAATCTTCTCCGAAGAGCCATAGCTGACAAACCTAACCGATGGATGTAAGTTACCTTGCTGATCTCAATGACCTAGGCCCAAAAACCAACAAAAGAATAGGAACCACTACTACCTCGGGAAATGTATGTGGAAGATGTTTTGCGCTGGTGAATCTGAACGCACCACTTCGAAGCGAGTCGAAATTCAAGATGTATTAGACGCCTTTCATGATGCTATCGACGCCCTTCCGCGACGCAAAGATTCGCGTGCAGAGCCAATTTTCGAGCCTCACTTCAAACTTTTGTCCATCGTCAACAGGCTTGTCTCTGGTGGTAGTTTGACTGTAAGTAGCAGCTGTGTTCCTCTAATCTGCCTCTCGCTAATGCATTTACAGCCGGCCGAAGGAGTGAAAGCTCTTGGTTCCACTCCATGGGCCGCCAAGGTGAGCCCTCCAGAGAGTCTAGAGGGTTGGAAGCCGTATGTGTTGGAGGTGATCAAGAAATTCAAGACCGCGGACAAATCTAACTGGCATCATCGTATGAGCGCCAAGGTAAGTTTTGCTTCTACTCCATCGTCGGCGAAATCGTTTCAACGATTTACTTACCGTCCTAGGCTGCACATATCATCTACGATGACCAGATCAATGCCACAACAGCGGCGGCTGCCAAGCATGAAATGTCCCAAATATTTACTAAAACACTGACTATCCAAGTCTGGCGGCCCGAGTACGAACGACCTGGGAGGCACTTTGTATATACGACTCGCTACGTCTACTTCTTCGTCAATCTTCTTGACCAGCTCGATGACCGCGCGAGCCTGGACCAATTGCTTCGTCGGGTCAGAAAGAAGCAGGGTGACTTCATCAATCACGCGAAACTATGGGAAGACCTATGCGTAACCTACGCCAAAATGATTCGAAGGGCAGCCAACATCAATGAGGGATACGAAGAGGGTATCTTCCGACCACTTGGCTGGGAAGAATTTTCATCCAAGACCGCTCGCTTGGAGGGTCTACCCAGTCTGACCGCGGATAGCCAACCTCTTCTTGAGCTAGTTCGGGACTCTCTAGAGCTGAAGAAGCTGAACAACAATTACATGAAAGTGACAATGTGTGAAGACCTCGTCGCTGACTTATACTCACGAGTGTACGAGCTCAACATCCCCCTTCTCAATGAGCAAGTCAGTGAGGAGAACAAGGAAAAGATGAAAGTGGACCATCTTCTCATGGCTGGGGATGCCCCAACAGAGACATCTACGCCTACCGCATCTCTACCAGCTTCCGACACACCAGCCCCTCGTGGCCGTACTAAGGGTATTGCACGAAGAGATATCCAGAAGCGCGCTGATACGATTGTCAACCTCAAACTCGGCCCTCGGACAGCAGCTAAATTTACCACCACCGAAAACGATTCAGCGCCGCCTGCTCACCGTAGCTCTAATGCTCCTGGGGCACCTGGTCCTACCTCAACTCCGCAAGCGGACGGACCATTATCCACAGACGCGGACAAGACTGGGAAATCTGGAGATGGTATAAACAGTGGCGATGAAAGCGAGCTGAGCGATGTTGATGAAACGAAGCTTAAGGCATCCCCTGGGCGGAAATCCCTCATGTTCCCTAACCTGAAGCCCGAGTCAGGAGAAAACGAGACAGAGGATGACGCCGCCAGTGGTGAAGAGAACCTGGATGAAGGAGACAATGAAGAGGACGATATAAATGAAAACGAGGGTGAAGACGAGGAAGACCCTGGTACAGAGGAGCACCAAGATGGGGAAGATGCTGGGGATGACGACGCACAAGATGGTGAGGATGCCGTCATGCTTGAAGAAGAGAAAGAGGACGAAGACGAGCAAGAGAACGATGATGAAATAGCAGAGCATGAGGAAGGTGACCCTGCTAAAGCTGTTGATGATCCTGATGTCAAGGACTCCAACGCGCCTACTCTTAGCAAGGCTACTGAGAAGCCAGAGTCCATGGATACTACGCCCGCATGAATTTGATGGGCTTTCTGTCAAGACCATGCTTGTGCTTCATTTCATCGCTGCGGAAAAGCCCTTAACTTCTGTCCTTATTATCTTCGTTGGTTGGCTTGGCATATCTGCGGTTGGTTATTCTTGCGCTGCAGCGGTTACTGGCGTTCATTGGCCTGATCGATACCACTTACAGGTTGATTTGAGCTCTTTACTGAGCTTTTTACATAATAGAAGCGTTTAACTAGAAGTTAAGCATAATCTACACCTTATGGTTTGGAAATCGCGCATTTCCTTCAACTCAGTCAAGATTCTCTTAAGTGCACGAATTAGAAACGATAAGCCTTCATCTCATCCATACACGATGGTCAAAAGGCATTGCGACAAGTCGAGCGGTCCAAAATATCTTCAATAAAACATGCAAAAGAACATAAAGACCTCTAGAACCGCCAGGTCTCCACAAGATGAACACTCCAGAACGCCGGAAGAGTATTTGGACCTAAAGGGGTATCCAGCCAATCCGAAACGCACAATCCAATGAAGTTCCGCCATCAGGTTTGCAAAAATTCATATCATAATAGTCATAACACTTGAAAAGGAAACTCATAAACGAATTAAATCTCGTTTTCCGGTGCCAGGTCAAATTTCCGAGTCGCCATCTTTCGTGTGCTCTTGACCGGCGAGCTTGGAGATGGAGGCGAGAACATGCTGTCGGTAAGATTAAGTTGGTTCATGCGCTGCAATGCATTTTCAATGTCGCTTTCGCGGCCGAGCACGTTGTTATGTTGCCGCGCCGGCGTGGCATTCTTCGCTCTTGGCTTGCGAGTAGGTGAATGCGAATTCATCTCTCGTTCGAGAGCTGCTAGACGACGACGTAGCTGGTCGTTTTCCCGTTCTAGCTCTTCCACACGGTCATCTGTCGATGGCTCAGGGTCTTCATAAACTATTAACACGATCTGTTAGTCGTTGAGGAGACCTGGGGATTGATGAGGAGGCTCTTACTGTTGAAGCCTCGCGAAACAAGTTCAATCTTTCGGTCAATGTGCTCATCGTTGCGGCCGATCTGTAGTTGGTCAGCATTCACGATCCTATTAATGGGGTAGAATTTACGGACCTGCTCATCCCAAGCCTTCTGCCATCGTTTCCGCTCAGCTTCCATCATCTCATCCATTTCGGCCCAGCACTCTTCTCGAACCTCTTGCTCAAGGTCTACGCATCGGCCTTCTGTCGCTGCAAGCCTGATCTCTAACTCCGAACGAACGATCTCCTCTTCTGCAAGTCTAATGGCGAGACTGTGGCAGTCCTTTGTTAGACGACCGATCTCGGCCACTGCGCGGTCCAATTCTTCCGCAGAAATACCGTTTGGTGAGACCCTACCGCTGCCGGATCGATCTCGGCCGGAAGAGGAAGATATTATTGATTCGGTCAGAGAGGGAACGCGAGGAACGGTTACCTCCCGGGCTAGCGCGGAGTAACGGAGGATCTGGGAAGTGGCATTGAAGTCACCTAATGGGTCCGCAGTGACGACCATGATGGCTTTTTGAGGATGGAGTCCACGCGACATCTGGTTCGACGATGGGAACGAGTTCGAGAATAGGAGCTCAGTGAGCTTGCATTGCCGGAAAGGAACAAGTGCAGTCTATGATGCATCAGCTTCTGCATTCGATTTGTGACCGAAATCGCGGTGTGGCTTACCTTGACCCCGTCCTGCAGGTTGCTCTGCATTTGCAGACATTGACCCAAGTACATTAAACTCTCATTAATTTTACCAGCTTCGGCGAGCGTGGCACCAGCAGTCTTCGCTGTTCGGGCTCGCTCCGAGCCTGCCAGATCCACGACAGTGAGAGTATTACCCACCCAACTGGCTTCGCCGTGTCGCTTGTTAGACAACTTTTTGACTTCCAGGCAGAAAAAGCCGTGGCTTCGGGAGCTGACGCTGTTCGATCCTGTACCTGTGACCTTCCGCTCAGTCAAACCAACGTCGAGAATGGCCAACGCTTCCTCGTAAGTACTGCAGGCAATCTTGCGCAAGCCGGCCACAACCTTCCTGTCCGGCGACCCCTCCGTGGGTTTGAATAGCAGTGGGCGCCGTCGGTCTTTCTGGCTATTACCACGAGACATGGTATTGCCTCCGGGTGTAATAGCTGGAGACAGGAGGTCAAAGATGCGGTCATTGTACACCTCGTACATGGACACTAGGACGACGTAATCGGATCGTGGGTTTAAATCGACGGTCAAATGGCTGACATCTGGCAGTTTCGGGAGGACACTGGGTCTGTCGCGTTGCTGGCGGCGGGGGAATACCAAAGCAGGGGTGGGCTCCTTAAAAACAATAAGTCGAGATTTAGCTAAACGGGACTCGTGCAAACTGGAACGGGTATAAGGGATTGGGTTGAAAGATCCTGGGGTAATGTTCCCCGGCTTTTCAGGGGACATTCGGAAGGAACCAAGCTGCTCCAAGGCCATGTCGCTAGCAAGCAGGTCTGATTCCACCATTCGATTGCTTCCAGGCTTGGTACGAGGTTTAAGACCAGGTCCGGGGGTATGGGGGCGAACGATAGATAGGGTTTCCGGGGAATTCAAATTTTCGGGGCTCCATACCGTTAGTGGGGTGTTGGTGCGAGAGGGACTCATGGGAGTTTGGGCTCTCGAGCTCCGTCCATTGGGTTCGCCATAAACAGCTTCCAAAAAGGTCTGGGCGCCAAACAGTTGTGCCTCAGAGGTATCCGAGGCAGCCAGTGAAGCAAGCATCATGGGGGTAATGCCGCCATCCTCCGTCTTCAATGTTGGTTCCAGTGAACGGAAGATAACATCCAGGGCCATTTGGGTGAGTCCTCGCTGCGTCTTGGAGCCGAGGATTGTGTGGCTCTATAGTTCTTACGTTAGCTCCGAGCCTCTCCTTTTTGTGTTACTTATATCCTGCACACCTTTCCACTACCTGTCACTCCCAGTGTTGCGACCAGTCCATCGCGACCCTCCGTCAGAACTCCTCTCACGAGGGATTCTATGCCGGTGTCATGGAAGACATCGAGCTGCGAAGCACCTTCTTCGAAAACTTTTGTGAAGCCAAATTTCTCCACTGCACGCTTTCTCGAGTCGCTTGGTGGCTGCAATGTGATGTGGGTAGGAACAGGCGCAACGATCTCATCGGCCTGGGTTGGCTCCGGGGGCTCGACTGTCAGAAAACGTTCGGGTTCATCTTGTCTGGTTGCGATCGGCGGGCGTAGTCGTAGATAGACTTGGAACAAAGATGCTTGAGGTTGTCTAGACGGCATGATGTCTAATGCTCGAAGCGTTGAATTGTGGATGTTTCGAAAGACCCTGAAAGCGCTGGAGTCGAGATCGCAACCATTGTCCACAGATCGGCGCTATCATTTCCCTATTCCGATTGCGTGGTTGTTGTCGGGGCAACCGTACCTCGTCACATGCAGGTCACGGGACTGGGTCCCACCGAGCGAGTACGAGAATTGCCTGTTTGGGCTGCTCGTATCCTGCCTTGTCGCAGACTCCATAACTCTAAGTGGCTTTTGCTTTTGGCTTTGACCAGGAGGCTAAGCATCCTTAAGTCACCCCGTATGGACCCACTCAGGGCTAAGGCTGGAAATGACCTCGTATTAGGCCGCAGCTGCGCCTAGGTCTTCACTCTGAGGCTGACTCCCATGGAACCCCGAATTCTAGCTATCCAGAACCGCGGATGCTCATTTGCTCAATCTCTTGCGAAGCCTCTAACCGGCGATCCCTTAGACTTTGCTTCGCGGATTTTGACCCAATCGGGAAATCTCGTTCTCGCTTCTTTGTGGCATTGCTAATGTAGTCTTCATCTGCGCGCTCTTGAGTCTATATAAACGTTGATAGATCCCCTTGTAGCTAGAGAGGACTTAGATCGATCCGATAGAAATCAAGAAGCACGGTGCTTGTACGAGATTATCATACCCCGCCAATATCATCAACAATGCTTGAAGCACGGTCATATCGTAAGTCTGTCTCGTTCACGACCTTGGAAGCGGCCTTTCTGACAATCCTCTAGAAGAAGGGAGTTTGTGGTTCTATGCTCCAAATCAAGGGGCTCCAATTGCATTTGCCACGCTTTTCGCTGTCTCTGGTGGCATTCATTTTTATCAGAATTTGTATGTCCTGTCTCTCGGTTTCGAACGAGTGCAGTGGTACTTGCAGATGCTAAAGGGATATTTTAGGAGATACAAGTCATGGAAGGTGACGGGCCTTTTGCCATGGTCGTCTTTACTCTTTACTGGAGGTTTCGTCACCCGGGCAGTGGCTGCCTTTGGGCAGTGGGGCAACGTTTCCCTTTATATCGCTAGCTCTGTGCTTCTTCTGACTGGCCCGTAAGCGAATCCGCTGATCACGAGTACAATGGCAAACTACTAACAAGTTCACCAGACCCGTCTACGAAGGTGCCAACTATTTCATTCTTGGACGAATGCTGTACTATATCCCTTACCACTCGCCGATCCACCCCGGTCGCGTCTTCACAACCTTCATTGCTCTTGGAATCGTCATCGAAGTCATCACTGCCAATGGAGCTGCTCATGTTGCGAGCGCTGGATCCTCGGAAAGCGAACAAAATATCGGAAAGGGCCTCCTCAAAGCAGCACTCATCCTGCAACTCGCTCTGATGACAGGCTTCGTTGCTCTTGCTGGTCGGTTCCACTACAATTGCAAGCGCGGGGGTGTTCTCAGCCGCAATATCAAACGATGCCTGGTTGTTCTCTATATCAGTTCCACGCTAATCACTATTCGAACCATCTACCGGACGGTGGAATATTTTTCTGCAGCTAGTTTGAACACTCAAGATGGTCCGCAGAATGTGAGCCCTATCCTCCAGCACGAATGGTTCTTCTGGTTTTTTGAAACAGTGTTTATGTACAGCAACACTACCCTCTTGAATGTTTTCCATCCAATGAGGTCGTTACCTTATTCAAACAAAGTGTATCTCGCGACAGACGGGGTGACCGAGATCGAAGGGCCAGGCTATGAAGATCCTCGAAACAAGTTTGTGACCTTTGTTGATCCTTTTGATATTTACGGATTGGTTGTCAAACGCGGCAAGAAGCAAAATTTCTGGGAAACTGCTCACGCTCAACATGAGCAGCCAAGGGCCGCCGCTACCCACAAAGTTTAGCTGTTTAGGACATGATAGATATGGAGTATGCTTCTTCTGACTGTTCTCGCCATTCGCTTGACCTTGCTTGATGCTTCTGCTTAACTGGTCGATAGTGCATTATTAACCCCTTCCTAGACAGCTAGTTACAGTTTGTACCTCTATTATCAAGCATGATAAACTATTCATTCCCTCGTTCAACAGAAATATTTTTTTCACCTGTCACTTTCCTCTTTTCCCATCTCCTCTTGTATCTCCCAGCTGTACTTAGCAAATCGACTCCGGCGACGAATCTGTTCCCCATAGCACATGAGCAAAGGGGGTACGATACAGAATATTGTCGCCACCGCCGCCAACACCGATCCTGCGATATTCGCGCCTAGACCATCGAACATCTGGGGCGTAAATAACGGAAATGTCCCGCAAAGCATTCCTCTCATGAATGCCACTGCTGCGGAAGCGCTGGCAGAGTAGTTCAGGTAACTATCGGAGATATACCCATATAGCACTGTATCGACTTCCGTCATAGCATAGCCCACAAGAACCAGCGATATTGTCGGCAAGATCCAGGGTACATGTGGGCCCTGTACCTTTGGGGAATAGTCCATGCAAACCACCAAAGGCCGATTGCCAAACATGGTGCGCCAATAGCCATTCCGATAATTTTGTCTTCGGGTCGAATCGGAAGACCACGCGCTTTTCGCCGGTTGGCGATGTGGTTGTCGAGGACCCTTGTGAATGCGCTTAGACATGTACCAAGAGCGAGAGCTAAAAATATCAAAGAAGCCTGGGAGGAAGAAAACCCCATGGACTGGTAAATAGGTTGGAGAGCCTCGGAAAATATGTAGATCAGTGACATCACACAAGATATAATCACAGAAAGGGTGATCACGATGGGCTCTTTGAAAAATAACTCGATAGGGCGGAAAAGACCTTTCTGCAAAAATACCCGTATATCCAGGCTATGATCATGGCTCAAAGGAGGGCGGATATGCGGGATCTGAGGTCGTAACTTATTAACTTCATGTACCAGAAGATATGAAGATCTTGACTCAAGAATTGGGAAAAGAAGCCCGGTAATGACTCCAATGATGATAGCGTAGATGTAGAAGACCCATCGCCTTGAATCAGCGTAAGTAGGTGGAAAGCAATGAAGGACGTGAGGTAGGAGAGTTTACATACCAATGGAGCGAAGCAACAACATAACTACTGACTACTGGGCCGATCATGAGTCCAATGTTCGAGGCGATGGTCCAGAAAAAGACCACCCAAATGCGAGCCTGAGAGTTGAACATGTCCTCTATGCTCCCTCCGACAATAGTACCTGGAACAGCCGAGAAGGTGCCACCGAGTAATCTCATGATCACTGAGACGGGAAAGGAATGTACAAGCCCGATGATAGTACAGCATATACAGCTCATAACTCCGCTTAAGATGTAGAGATTTTTGCGGCCGAAGGTCTCAGATAGGGGTGGAAGGAAGATATTCCCCACACACTGCCCGAGGGGAAACCTATACTAATGTTAAAGAATTGCTATATTTCCTCGCTTGCGTGTAACACATACAGAGTCACAAAACATAGTATCGAAACGGTCTTAGCCAGATGGTATTCATGTCTAGCATCGCCGGCAGCAGCTGCCTGTAATGAGCGTAAGAGGGCTAGTGTGGGAAATCAATGCTCTGAGACTTACACCTGCCGTGCTACTCGCTGTTCTATAAGAAGTTAGCCGCTTGCTGTCTAGCACCACCAAAGGGTGAAAAGAGAAAAATTACACGAATAGATCCAATAGGCAAATCACGGTAGTGTCGTATGTCTTTCTCAGGCCGGTCCAGTTGCGAGGGTATTTCGGGTTATTGCGCATCCACCGTACAAACCGACCATCCTCGGTGAGCTCAAGATAGTATTCCTGCAATTGCTTGTTCAAGCATGTGTTGCTCTCGTTTGATTGGTCGGAAGGTGTAAGCTCCGAGTCCTCGTCGAACCCATTCCAATCATCCACCAGCATGCTGGGCTTCGACGACTTTGGAGTCCGGAGATACTATTCAAGCATCACAGGTGCGAAAAAGAAAGGACTCTTATTTAAGCCACCGGGGACTTATGGGTCTGATGTATGTCGAGTCCCGCGGGTCACACAGGGGCAAGTTTAAAAGAACATGCCGGAAGAATGATAATTACGTCTCCCTTGCGATCTACCGGCGATCTTGAGTAGAGACTCAGCATTACGTAGTCCGATCCAAGTGCACCTGGCACCCAAGATTGAGGATCTTTTTCTCCCTGGGATAGTCATACTAGAGGCTGTGATGTGCTCAGAAATTATCCACGCTTTACAGGAAACAAGCATATAGAAGCATGTGTTCATTATATGGAGCCCATTGATACATTGACCGGTCCAAGCGCCACTGATGAAAAGACCCGGCTTTTTCCAATCTTTAATGCCGGATGCCAGGGGTTTGAGAGCTACCCGCATTCTTCACAAGCCGGCGCTCCACATGATACGAGCCATCCATCTCGGACGCGTCCAGCTCCACCAGCCACCCGATGGAAGCTATTCACTGTGCCAAAGTGTACCTCCAGGTTAGCGAACTCATCTTTCGGTAAGATGTGTCGGGTGCATGCACCCTGGAGCGAAGACTACTTGTGCTGGCCTTACGTTGAAGGTCTTGACGGCTCGGAGGAACTATATATAACTCCCGAGCCCAGGAAAGGGGAAAGTTGGGCTTGCTGGGAATCGAATATTGAGAGTTACTGATCACAGAATAAATCAGCAGCGACATGGTGTACTCCAAGCCTGGAATATCCCACCAAATCGGGTGCTCAGCTGGTCCAAGTGGATGATCTACAGAAAGTCTGGTAGATCTGAAGGCTTGGCGCGCCAAGGCCACAACGCGACGGGAAGGCCACCTCTCCGCAATCGATTTGGCTCCGCAAACAAGGACACCCCAAGGTCACCTGTGAGTCGCCTACTGAATTCCGCGTTGGTGCCTGCTTACTTGTGAGAATAGATTGCCGTTGTCTTTATTCCCAATATCCCAGGCGCACGGCTTGCATCGGAGCCCTCTCATCTCCTCGACCCTCGATCCCCGAGCCTCAATTTCGCTCAACATCGTCACGGAACTTCCATACCTGAAGCCAAACTCCAATCTCCGCAATGCTGTCGGCGCTTGGATCCGGCGCCACTAATGTGCGCCACACGGTCGGTCAAGTGCTCAATTTTGCTCTTGTTCTATCGACTGGTGAGTCGCAAATCAAGTGCTCAATTCCGATCCATAGACTGATATCCGCTAGCTTTCATGCTATGGTACCACAAACCTCCCGTGGACCCCCGAAGACTGTGCCTTAACTCTCAGCAGGAAAGGATTGAGCATAGCCTCTGCTTCAAGCTCACCCATTGTGGTGGTTTTGTCCGGATCGATGTTCGTCAAATCACCTCGAAAATATACAAGCGTCTCAAGTCTCACACCATATCTGCAGGGAGCCGGCATTTCAAAGGGGAGACCTCCTTTTCCTTTGGAACCGAGGCCCTCGGGCTGAAGTTGGGGAGGTCGTGGTCTACAGTTCGTTTCCGCCATGCTCTATGCATTAAGTCAACGCTAATCGTCCTTGTTCTCTACTAGATGTTCGCGGAAAAGTCAGTTGCTCCTCGAAAGGAAACCCCCGACGCGATATGTGCTGACACCCCCAAAGGACATTCCTATTGTGCACCGTGTTGTCCGAACATACCCCGAGCTCGAGAACAAGACCAAGAAAGTGAAGGAAATCACAACGTAGGCGAAAATCCCCCCCCGAGCTAGGGCTGGAAATGGAGACTGACAAGAATGGAATAATAGGGACAGCACACCTTCTCACTTGCTACTGACCAAGGTAGATGAATGCGCAGGACTTTTTCTATTACCAAGCTAATGCAAGCTGTTTCAACATAGGGCGACAACAACGTGGCGGACGACACCGAGCTCTGTATGCAATCTTCTCACCAATAGTTGCGATTGTAGCTAATTATCTTTCTCTAGATGCTCAAAACCAAGACTACTTGAACCGAAGCGAAGATATCGTCGGTAAGTAGACTCTCGGCTCCTATATCTAGACTGCCTTATTGACAACACACAGGCAGCGTTCGAGGCTACATCCCCGGTGTTGGCTTTGTCACAATCATGCTGTCTGAATATCCTTGGTTGAAGACAGCTCTTCTCGGTTTGATGGGATTGATGGTCTTACTGCAACGAGAGTAAAAAGCGTATATCTCTGAGGGTTCAAATACAGTCAGCACAAAATGCATCATAGAATTCACTTCAAGAAAATCTTGAGTGGGAACATGAAAGATAATAAGATCAGGAGAGAGGGAGTTGTAAAGTACGAAGATCGAGGCGCGGGGTGGGACCAACAGGCCTTAAAAACACTGACGTCTTTGCCAAACCCCCCCACCTGGACGGGAGCTTGATCAGGCAAGCTTCCAAGGTTAGCTTTTCCACCTCCTGAATCTGCAACCGCTGGTGATTGCCTACCAATTATCAGCCCCGCTCATTCCGCGTCTTCTCCTTTCTCCTATTCCAGGCCAGAAGGGTTGCATCGCTTCACGCGTTTTTCGTCCATCCCCCCCCCCGCACGCCTCACGCGCCCCGCCATAGAGGCCGTCGACAAAATGAGCAGTCAGAAGCGCATCGCGAAGGTAATTCATTCTTCGACTGGGCCTTGGAGGAATGTAAAATTTGCTAATGTCTCCTCATCAAAGGAGTTTGCTGAACTCTCCGCGTCACCCCCGGATGGAATTTCTGTCGAGCTGGCCGACGAGGCCAACATTTATGAATGGAAGGTCTGCATCGACGGGCCAGAAGGTTCTCCATACCAGGTAAGTCTCTTGGCTCCAACGCAGGGTTTGAGTCACCAGACTGCACCAGATGTTTGGGGTTGAATCGCAACGCTGCCATTCTGCATGCTGTGCTAGATATCTGCTTGCTTCGTGGAACGACCTTGCTAACCTGTGCACCTTCTAGAACGGAAAATTTCTGGTGAAACTCAACATGCCCACCGAGTACCCATTCAAACCCCCCACCATCTCCTTCAAAACAAAGATCTACCACCCAAACGTGACAAATGATGACAAAGGAAGCATGTGTCTGGGAATGCTGCGCGCCGACGAATGGAAGCCTAGCTCCAAGATTACTGCCGTCCTGCAATTCGCACGCCAGCTGCTGGAAGAGCCCATGCCTGATGATGCTGTAGAAGGCCGAATCGCTGAGCAATACAACAATGACCGAAAGCGCTACGAGGAGGTTGCACGCGAGTGGACACGACGGTTTGCGATGGCCGAGTAAGTGAGAGGGTCCTCTTTTCTGGTTCCGCTCGTGTTTCATAGCCCAACCGACTTATTGAAGTCATTTCCACAACACCGCTCGAGTCAAGGAGGTCCAGTTCAACTAAGCACAAATTTGATAAAAGATGCCCTTTTTGTCCCCCAACTTCAAGCTCTCCTAGTGTCTAATCGGGCAGAAGATTTCTGATAGCCTCATGCTTGGGGGGGACCTGAAGATATCAGCATCCAGTAATTCTTAATAACAAACCATTTGTTACATGCTGCAAGACTTTGGAACCTGGTCATAATTTCAGATATTCGTCTACTGGCCTACTGGAACTGTGCATTCTATGCAAGGCTTTACGAGCGGCAAGAGAGCTTGCACGGAATGTTTCAATAGCCTGACATTTGAACGCATTGGGGTTTCGACTCAGACAGTAAATGCCGCAACGAGCGGACATACTCCCGAGGTTGTAGCCCCCCAAACCCAAGATGATCCGCGGAATTATCCCTCACTGTTGTAATTTTCCCCGCAAACCCCGCCCCCACCCCCACTCCCACCGTCACAAGCTTCTGCGATCTGGCAGACGAGAGCTTGATGCACCGAGACTATAAAGCCAAGGGAATCCATGGTGGGCAGGAAGGAGGATGGAAGACGCATCTGCATAGAGCGGCCACCAAAGCAGCATGGCGGTTGTTTCGGGCGCAGGCGACTTTCTCGCCCAGTATTGGCCTGGCATACTACTACTCCTGGCTGTTGCTCATTTCACACGCAATTATCTCACCGCAGGAGCTTCTTCTATCCCTGGTCCGTTTTGGGCAAAGTTTTCGAATCTCTGGAGGTTTATCGACGTAGCTCATGGACATGCGGAAGAGACATTATGCAAACTGCATGTAGAACATGGTGACTATGTACGCGTGGGGCCGAACGCAGTGAGTGTTCGGAACCTCGATGCGTTGAAAACGATATACGGTATCAATCAAGGCTATCAGAAGGCAAGTCACCTCGAACCTCAAGTGGAACTCAGTGCGAGGTCGGGGCTAACACCTTCCTAGACCGGATTCTACGGAGTGCAGCAACAGATGGCAAACGGGAAACCAACCCCCCACGTTATTTACCACTACGGACGAGAATTTCCATGCTGCTATCAAGCGCCCCGTCACGTCGGCCTACTCCATGAGCACGTTGACCGAGTTTGAGCCCTTTGTTGACAGTACAATCCATACGTTCTTCCGGAGGTTGGATGAGTTTGTCACTCAGAATAAAGTTTGTGACATTGCCGTATGGCTACAGTATTGTATGTCCTTGGCTCCTATCTTGTTGAATCCCTAGTCTTTCGAAGGCCCATGACCACTTATAACCATTCTAACAGATGCCTTTGATGTCATTGGCGAACTGACCTTCAGCAAACAACTCGGATTCCTCGAGAAAGGATGCGACGTCGAAGGCATCATGGGTGCCATTGAAAAGATGCTAGATTATGCTGGCAAGGTAGGGAAAAGTGCATAGCAAGTGGGAGAGGTTCTGACAGACTACAGGTTGGCCAAATGCCGTGGCTGGATTATGTGCTTATCAAGAATCCACTACGACAGTATATCAAAGGCGGGTCAACGAGTGCAGTCGCCCGCTTCGCCCGCGCTCGAATAGATGAGAGGTTCCGAGAACTGAGCGAGGCCGGGCAGGCAGCTTCTCCTCCTCGCACCCACAGAGACTTCCTTGCCCGTTTCCTAGAGGCCCAGAAAGCCCACCCGAATGTGGTCACGGACAACCAAGTGTTCTCGTATACTGTCAGCAATGTCAATGCCGGCTCAGATACCACTGCGATTTCGTTGCGCGCAATCCTCTACTACACTTTGAAAACCCCCAGAGTCTCAGAAAAGCTCGATAAAGAGCTCCGCTTAGCGTTAGACGAAGGTCGCATTTCCTTCCCCGTCTCTTGGAAACAAAGCCAGGAGCAACTGCCCTATCTCGATGCAGTAATCAAAGAAGCTCTACGCCTGCACCCTGCGGTCGGGCTCCTGCTAGAAAGAATAGTCCCGGAAGGAGGCCTTCAACTCCCCGGCGGCCCATATCTCCCCGGGAGGACGATTGTAGGAGCCAACCCCTGGACCATCCACCGGCATTCCTGCTTTGGCAAGGAAGTCAACTCATTTATTCCAGAGAGATGGCTGCGAGCCGAAGGCGAATCGGAGTCTGCGTATCAAAGCCGTAAGCAACAGATGCTGCGCGCAACGTTTACCTTTGGCGCAGGCCCGAGAACTTGCATCGGGAAGAATATTAGTCTGCTCGAGATCTATAAATTGATCCCGTCCCTTTTGTTGCGGTATAAGGTGAGAGCTGCTCTATCTCGTGTAAGGAGTTGCGCGCATGGGGAGGTGTTCTGACATTCATCTGACAGATCTCTTTGGACAAGCCGGACAGCAATTGGACGACTGTGAACGCGTGGTTCGTGCGACAGAAGAATATGGATGTTCGGTTGACGTATCACAACTGAGACGGTCTGCGCGGGGAGGATGCCATGGCTCTCATGCTCATGCGGGGTGTAGCCGAGATGAGCCGTTATTTCCGTTTCAAGTTGATTGATTCGAAATTTGATGCTGGGACTACAGGGAATTTCGGATAGGGATCAAGCATGGTGACTCGGAGAAAAATGTTGCGCTACCATGCCGGGCCTTGGCCCCTTGGGACTTGAATCCGATCTATTTCTGGAACGTAGAATGATCAGCCTGTTTTGCACGCTTAATTATCCAATGGGAACGGACTCCAGAGTCAAAAGGTCCAGCCTCGAGCCTGTGGAAACCTTCGGAGCGGGCGGAACGCGCACTTCAATAGGAAGCTCTCTTGACGAGGCGCCGAGGGCAGCCAAGAGTGAACAAGCCCCTGTCGAAGTGGGGAAGTGCGGGAAGGAATGATTATGGATTTCCTTCTATGGGCGAATTATACGAAGCCATAAGATTCAGCATCACCCTAAAGTAGAACCAAGCTCGAAAGGGAAAGACGGTAGAAGGGCGGAATCCTTCCAAATTCTCGAAAAGTTAGGCCCGCTTGGAGTGCTGGTTACCCTCGTCCCAGACCAGTTGGGAAGCCCCTCGAGGTTTTGCTTGCTAAAGAAAGAGCCCGATTGTTCCTTGTGCTGAGATGACGAGAGGGACCATGGAGCACCGGAACCTTAGGGTCGAGATCATCTAAGATGTAGTTTCGCCCCAGATAGTTTCCCAGAGCCGATCGGAATGCTCCCGACGCCTCGGTGAGGTGGGATCTTCGAGATCCGCGCTTCGACTTTGGCGCTTTCTGGTCGTTTCCCCCCTTCAGAACTATACCAGTAGGCTATGGGAATAGTGACAGTATCCATGGGAGACCACGCGGGGGGGGAGCATGGACTATGAGTAATCGAAGTACCTGCAGGCAATCCATGGCGCATGGGGGGCAGAAGAACGGGGGTTACATGTAAACGAGGCGGCATCAGAAGTATGCGCCGCGCATCGTCCCTACAGATCACCACCAGGTCGCTAGAGAAACCCTGGCCAATTTCCCTAGGAACCAATTCTAATAAGAGGAACCACAATCCCACCGTCCTTCCATCTTGACCTCCCGCTGCACCCTGAAACAGGCCTGTTCATCTTGCCCTACGTCATGTGACGCTCGGATCAGCTTTGTTGACTTTTGTCTCAATCTTTTTCACTTTTCTTGAGCTCCATTCCTGAATCCTCTAGGCGGGCCCTTCTGGATCTTCTTTCTTTTTTATTTTTTGTTTCACGCCTTTTTTTTTGTCCTTCCTTTGTTCGTTTGCCGACATCCCTTGAGCCATCCACTCTTTTCTTTTCTTGTGTTGGTCCTCGTTGCTTGTTTGTACCGCGCCTCCCGCCCTTTTCGTGTATCGTGTACACTTCGCCTGTCAATCTCCCAGCCCGATTGTTAGCGGCCAATCTATTGAACGCCAGAAAACAAATGTGTAGCGAGAATTGGTTGCGACTAGGTGGCCATGGTCACAGGAAACGGAAGCTCCAGATACGCGCCTCCCTTGGGTGAGCCAACTCTATACGGTCGGAGAAAGAACCCTCAACCACGACTGGACCCGATCACCATCGAACCGCGCTCGCGAACCCCCAATCCTCCCAGTTTGTCGCCGCGCTCTCCTGTTTCTCCTCGATACGTCCCTCAACCCCCTCATACTTCGCACTCTTTGCACTACACGCGGTCACGGTCGCCTGTCCCTCCAGTGGCACACAGTGCCCCAGATGACCGACTATGGCTTCCTCCTTCTCTGCGGGCGGGCTCCCCGCAGGACAACCCAGAGGACTGGCGAGCCAGAAGGGCAGTTCGCCATGCTCCAACATTCCCTCCCCCGGATCGGCAACCTCCAGGAAACTATTCGCGCGATAGCAATCCGGACCGGGCAAGCCACCGCAAAGCCCCGCCAGCTCGAGGTGGACTGCGGATATCCATGTCGACATCCAAGTTGAATGGCCGTCGCCAACGACCAGAGGAGTCGCCCGATCGCCTGCAGGACCCGAGCACCCATGGTCTCCCGCTGCCCCGATTTCCATCCAATGGGGCCGCGGACGATAATTCACTGCGGACCAGCGTGAATTCGATTATGACCTCCCGGTCAAGCGTCGAGCAGACGAGCGGCACAGAACGGAGTAGTGTCCTCACGAAGAGTAGCTCTATCACCGATCTGTCGCCGGACACTCCCTACGCGCCCTACAGTTTGCCGGACGGCGAGATGAGCGTGGAAGATGCTATCTCGATGTACTTGGATGGATTCAGCGATGTAACTGAGGAGCCTGGATCGCCAACCTCCCAAGCGGAGAGTAAAGCACCCTCCGTTACAGCCCATCCACCCCGGGAGGACATGTACCTGGAAAGCATACCACCTCCGAGATCTACGTCCCTTAAGACGCCCCCTCCCGTTCCAACACTCCACACCCCAACCTTTCCTCCGCGAACCATCTCTCTGGAGCCCGCGAGAATCCCCCAACGCCCAGGTTCTGAACCTATCTCACGCCCACAAGCTCCTCCTGAAGCTATAGTGCCACAACATACGCTACCGCGGAAACCGTTGGTGTCACCGGAGCCACCCTTACCTTCCCCTAATCAAGCTTCCGACATATCCCCGATTCACCAGCGTCAACAGTCTAAGATCATCATTCCTGGCCAGGTGCCACCGCCCCTCAATTCTGCGAACGATACACGTGATGACTATGGGTTTCGTAAAACAACCCAACATGTTACTTTAGCAGACTATGAAGCTTGGAAACGCTCATATTCTCCATATGCAGCACATCGTCGCTCGAAGTGGTATGACATGCTCAAAGAGCACGGGCTGTCAACCTCCAATCCTACCAAATTTCCTCCTCAGTCTTCCAAGCTGAAGCGCTTTGTCCGTAAAGGCATTCCGCCCGAGTTTCGGGGAGCAGCATGGTTTTGGTACGCCGGTGGACATGATATTCTAAGCCGCCACGTTGGCTACTACGATACTCTTGTGGAGAAGGTCATGAACTCACCCAACAACGATGATAAAGAGCATATCGAACGAGACCTCCACCGTACTTTCCCCGACAATATCCACTTCAAACCGGAGAACGGGGCTAGTCCCCAATCGCCCGGGGTGACAACCGAGACATATATGATCCAGTCTCTCCGCCGAGTGCTGTATTCCTTTGCTCAGCACAATCCTAAAGTTGGATACACCCAGTCACTCAACTTCATCACCGGCATGCTTCTGCTTTTCCTACCCGAGGAAAAGGCCTTTTGGATGCTTCACATCATAGCTTCCACATATCTCCCAGGCACCCATGAAATCAGCTTAGAGGGTGCCAACATTGATCTGTGGATATTAATGGTGTTACTCCGCGATTCCATGCCGCACATCTTCGCCAAGATATCCAGCATGGGAGGCGCCCCGCAAGGCCGAGGCAAGGTGCCGCCGCTCACCGTGAATTCTCGATTGCCAGATATTACTCTGGGTCTGACTAACTGGTTGATGTCCGTGTTCATTGGTACACTCCCACTGGAAAGTACCTTACGGGTTTGGGACATCTTCTTCTATGAGGGCTCGAAAACCTTCTTCCGCGTTTCCCTCGCCATCTTCAAAGCCTGTGAACGGGAAATCATGGGGGGTCTCAGACCCCATGGAGGTTTTTCAAGTCATACAGACGATCCCTAAAAAGTTGCTGGATATCAACACTCTCTTGGAAGATTGCTTTGTGCGCCGACATCGAGTCGGCCAGGGTCGCATTGAGGAATTGCGTGCTGCCCGCCGGACCGCTGTCCGCCAAGAAAAGATGCGGCGATCCGTGGCCTTCAACAAGGGCGAGATCCAGCTTGCGACCGATGACTTTCCCGTTCGCCGTCAACACCGAGAGCATCGAGTGGTTGACTCCTTGCGCCATCTCAAACAACAAGCCCGGGGTCTCCGTTAGCAACCCTCTCACTGAAGGTTTGAGTTTAGTCGGACCAAGGAACGTGTCTGTGTGTCCCACCGATCTTGGCGTGGCCCATCGAGCCCAATGGAGAGATTCAGCTCCCGAAACCCACTGAATCGCATCCCCCGTCGCGTTGGCGACAGAAACCCCGCGTTCGCACCCCTTGCATTTCCTTTGGCGTTCAGGCACACGATAGAAGAAGGCATTGCATGGTCAATATATCCTATTTGCTTTTTTCTGATTTGTATATAGAAGTCACTTGGAGAACTCAAATTTGAGACATACAGAAACCGAATGATCGGCTGCAGCTTAGAAAGTAGAGGGAATCGACTAGAGGGAAGCGTTTGGCACTAGTGGAAGCTCGCAGGGCCCGTGAACCCTAATTTTCGCGGTCATTGGGTCGATCGCGGATCTACTGGTTCCTCGGTTCCTCTGGTTCCTCTAAAGATCCATGTCGTCATGGATACCAATGCGGAAGTGCAAAGCTCCTTGCATTTTTCTCCGACGAACTGTTTTCTCTTGTCATATCGTGCACATTATCCGTAGTATGCAGCTATGAGCGGCGAGGCTAAGGACTATTACACCCCGGGCCAGGGCTTGGAGGGGGGGCCAATCGGCCAGCTATGGCAACGACAATACCCCGAACCCTGTGCCTGAATCAAAACCCCCACCATACCCCGACGCTGTTGATCCACCTCCTCCATACACGACATTCGACGAGGCTTTCAAGATCGAGAGACCAAAGTATCACGACATATGGGCGGGCTTGCTGGTACGCGTCCCTGCCACCGCGCACCATGAGAAAAGGTATCATAAGTAGCTAACACCCACTCTAGCTAATTGCGGTCTTCCTGGGCTATGTCGCTGTCTCCGGCTACACCATTCACTCGTACGCAACGAACAAGGGCTTCAGCGGCGGTGGGATCTACGATGCCGGGAATGACTTCTCTCTCAACACCAACACCCTGGTGCTCTTCGTCTTCGTACTCTGCGTCGCCTTGGCATTCTCCTGGGCCTATTTCATGGGCGCACGCTACTTCACCAAGGCGTTCATCTGGGCTACCGGGATCCTGAACATCGTCTTCGCCCTCGCAACCGGCATCTACTATATCGCCGAGAAGGAATATGGCGGCGGCATCGTGTTCCTCATCTTCGGCGTCTTCGCGATCGTCTGCTTCATCAGCTGGATCCCGCGCATCCCTTTCACGGCATTCATGCTGCAGACTGCCATGGACGTCGCCCGGCACCACGGCCACGTCTTCCTCGTCAGCGCGCTGGGCGGGATCGTGACGGTGGCCTTCGGGGCGTGGTTCTCCGTCACTCTGGTCGCGATTTATGTCAAGTTCGAACCGGATGCCGGAGGCACGAATCCCGCCTGCGCGAATGGCGGGTGTAGCACGGCGAAAGTCATCGGGCTGGTCGTCTACGTGACGTTCGCCATGTACTGGCTGAGCGAGTGGATCAAGAATACCGTACACACGACTATCGCGGGCCTGTACGGGTCGTGGTATTTCTTCAGCCGCTCGCCGCAGGGAATGCCCAAGGGGGCTACCCGTGGCGCGTTCCGGCGCGCAACTACCTACTCCTTCGGCAGTATCAGCTTGGGCAGTCTGATTATCGCGGTCATCCAGATGCTGCGCCAGGCGTGCTCGGTCGCGCAGCGCACGGAGGCGGGCGAGGGGAATCTCGTCGGCAGCATCTTGTTCTGGGTGCTGGGGTGTGTGATTAGTTTTCTGGACTGGCTGATCACGCTGTTCAACCGTTACGCGTTCTGCCACATTGCCCTCTACGGCAAGGCGTACATCCCTGCTGCCAAGGATACGTGGTCGATGATGAAAGACCGCGGTGTCGATGCCCTCGTGCAGGACTGTCTGATGGGTCCTGTGCTAACGATGGGAGCAACGTTTGTGGCTTACGTGTGTACCCTACTGTCTTACTTGTATCTGCAGTACACCCACCCGGGCTACAACTCAAATGGCGAGTTCACTCCCGTTGTGATGGCCTTTGCTTTTGTGATCGGCTTGCAGGTCTGTCAGGTCTTTCTGACTCCCATTGGTAGTGGGGTGGAGACCATTTTTGTTGCTATGGGTTGGGACCCTCAGGTTATCATCAACGACCATCCTGATCTATACTACAAGTTAGTTGAGTTGTACCCTCGTGTTCAGCAGGCTATACATGCTTGAGGGTTGCTGTGGTAGGACCGAACGTTGAGTCGCGCCGAGGGGAGGAAATAGTAATGGCTACGAGAATATGATCCCAAGGTTTTGTGGCTTATGACAGATATGTTTGCTTCTTGCTATTATCAATTCTTGTTTCAAGAAAGAACTGTTATTCATTCGTAATCATTGAAACATCCCTTTTTTGAGGAAGCCTCTCTCAACTGAATACCTCCAGGATAGCCTAGCAGGATTCTACACACGAGCTAATCGCTCCAACTCCTCAACTTGATGGGCGGGTAAAATCCCATCTTTCAACATTAACGTCATTAAGTAGTGTTCTCGGCGCCTCGTAGTCGAACAGCCCGATCTATTCAACACTTTTCCCCTCCTTTTGACGCAAGAACCAGAAAATCTGGGAGATTTAAGGAAAGATAAACAGAATCCATTGAAATAGATTGTCGAAGACCAAGTTATTTCATTACATGTAAATCGAGACAGCGTGTCCCAAATCATAGCCGGAGGAAGAACGCTCGTATAAACTCCAACAAACCCAAAGTTTTCAATAACCACAAAGTAATATCACAACGCCGCCTTGCATCAAGCCTCATGAGACAAGGTCTATTCTTACAGGGCAATCATCAATCCCATGACAGCCGCGACAGCGAGCGCAGCAACACTGCCGTGGGCAGCGCTGACCTGGGGCGCAGCACCCATGAAGGTGTTGTAAGGGCTAGCGCCAGAGGGGGTAGGAGTAGCAGCACTAATCTGGGAGCCATAGACGGCAGAGGAAGTAGCAGCGACGAGGACACCGTTGGAGTAAGAAGGGGTGGCGACGCCGGCCATGTTGCCCATGCTCTTGGCCATGCTGCTGGGGGCAGGGACCTGGACGGGAATCTGGGAGACGTGCATGGGGTCGACGGGGGTGCTCTTAGCGTTGCAGGCGTACTCAGTCTTGGTCAAATAGACGACCTGACGGGATGCGTCGGCGGGAGGGGCGTAGGCCCGCTTCTCGGTCACTCGCTCCATGGGGTGGCTGAGGTGACGAGCAGGGGCGAGGGCAGGGGCAGCGAAACGAGCGCAGAGATCGGCAGGGCGGTTGTTGGCAGCGGATTCACCACACTGGTCGGCGATTGCGCTGCTCAGAGTAGCGATGGAATCGCTGTTGTTGCACAGGTCTTCCATGCTGGAAGCGTCGAAGCCGCTCAGGACGGATTTCTGTAGCCGGAGGGGTTTAGTCTTTGTACCATGTCTTCAATATCCTTTGTGGACTTACGACGCAGTCATCGACATCTTCGGTGACACGGGCAGTGACGCCAGCGACTAGGATAGCAGCAGCGGCGAAGAAACGCATTGTGGTTTGTGGAAGGAAGTATGAGGGAGCTTGGACTAGAGAAGGGCAGCAAAAGGATTTGGATGTAGAACGCGCCAGCTGGGCTTGGATTCTCATTTAAGTAAGTATTGCAATCGTAGTAAACAACCTCAATAGCTCAGTCGGTGATTGCATCCCTTGATCCCTGGGACCTCCGGTTGAATGGTGGCAATGACGGACGGCATGTTGCTCTGTTGCCCGTTTTGGACGCCAAAAACTGCCAGTGTGCGTACATAAGCTTTGGACGGTATCTGAAAATGCCTGTAGGTTCCTGTTGATCTTTCTGGAATGGACCCAAAAATGTACCACTCACTGTCTCCCTTGGTCTTGTTGTGCCGGGCAGCATCCCTTTTTACCCTTTACACCGAGGGGAATGCCTGCAAAACAAGTAGCCCCCGCAATCCAACCATCTAGGACCTTCCTGAATCATATGGAAGAACTTATGACTTCAGTGTGGAAAAGATTCGTGTCCAAAACTTCGAGGATAGAATCAGCGCGTGTGTTTCTAAACTTAGACGCCACGATCCATACGCAACGGTACCAACCTATAGGAACTTGAAATTACGCTTTGGCGCTTTGAGAGACCTAGCAAACAATCGTACCTTGGAATAAGATCGAAATCAAATCAGTTTCTCGTCTACATAGGACTCGACTTCATTTACATGCTAGTCCATATGTTGCATTGTGGAGACATGAATCCATGTCACCGGGGAAGTTCGCGGAAAGCTTGCCACTCGCGTTAAACATAGCAATACGAGTTTTGCACATCAATATATACATTTCAATCAATAGATAACTGAAGAAGTCAAAACGTGGCACGATCATGAGCATCGTATTCTCGTGTGACCAAAAAGAAAAGAGGCATTGCGTTAGTGTAACTTACCATGCCCTAATGCTCATGTAGGGCAAGTAGAAGTGAACAAAGGTGTCAACTTATAAACGACCGTCATGATTTTACGAATATCATTCAACCTGTATGGGCCAAATTTATTCGCAAAGAAGTAGTTTTCAGAACATAGCTTCTCAAGATATTTCACCGGTAACTTGGCGGTGGGAGATCGGGACTGGGCAGCTCAGCAATAGTATACTCGGCAGTTCGACCGGCATCCATCTCATATAGCGTATACACGGGCGCAGGCCCTTCAGCTTGAGAGGGAAATTTCTGGCCTGCGTCATATCCATCCACCTCCGCATATGACTGATGTGAGCTCCCCTGACCCTGGGAAGGAGTGGTCGTAAAAGCACTTATCCGTGTCTGTTGCATTGGTGGAGAGGCAGGCCCTTCACCTCCAATAGAACGAGAGGCTCCTGTAGATGCCGCCGTCTCCCTCTTCTTTTTCTGAAGTAGGTAGAACATGACGCCCGCAGCTACAATTCCAGCAATGCCGAGGACTCCTCCAACAACACCGCCGGCTATAGCACCGACGTTGGTTGGTGAGCTTTTAGGGGAGGAATTTCCGGGTGCGGGTGAGGAGGCTGCCGGAGAAGTAGCTTCAGCCTCGCTTGAGCTTGAGACAGCGCTTGTCACTCTGCCTGGGCTACCAGTTGAGGAAGGCACCGAGCCCGATACATAAGCCCTCAAAAAGTCACCATCCACGAAAGACGCACTGACAGCGGCCACTGTTGGGTATGTGTCCGATCCAGCACTGGGGCCTGCGAGTGATGTTGCTGCCAAGTACACGGTTTGGTGGACTCGAGAATCAAGGCACCCATAATCGGTTAGGGAAAGCTCTGGGTAAGTCCATGTCCGACATAACGTGCTTGATGGATTGGTACAGTAGACCGCAAACATATACGTGGGATAATTGGTGAGGGCAGGAGTGGCGTCGATCTCCTCTCTCTCGTAACAGGTCGTTACGAACGCACAACGTGCTGGGTCGTCTTGCTCGCAACAGCCCACCATGCCAGGGAAACTGCTATCCGGAGTGTGGAAAACGCACTGGTTACTGGAATGGCAGTAGATAGAGCTATCTGGCGATACCATCAGAATCATGAATTTGTCTAAGCGTTTAGTAGTATGATGGCAAAGAAGACATACAGTCATCCATGATCCCATTCACGTAGCCGCATGCGCTGGCCGGAACCCATGATGTGACTGTTGAGCCATTGGAATCGTCATTGCCAGTCGCAGAGGCCCCAGACTGATACACCGATCCGTCCGAGTCTGTATAATAGCCGCCGCGGCCTTTTAATCCATGTTTTCGAATATCCGGTCCGATAGTCGCTTGAGGTACAGCTGGAGGCAGTGCACCGTTGGCAGCAGGAGTGGCAGGCGGGATAGGAAACGAGGAGGCCCACGCTCTCCTCAGGCAAAGGAGAGCGAACACCCCGATTGAACTCGATGTTTTCATAGCGATACCTTGTAGGTAGTGTAATAGACTCGGGGAATTCAAGTTTGCGCTGATTAGCGGCTGTTTCGTTCCATATACATCCGGAACGGAATCACCATCAATTCGAGCATATCTATGTCAGCCTGAGCCGGGGTCAAACCATCGCCCCTCGTATCTCCATTGAGGCGAAGCTGGACCGAATTCGATTGTAGTTGGTCAGGTCTGCATGGTTAGTGCCCGCGAAACTCCCAATGGTCTTGGCAGTAACCCTGTGGCTTAAGAATATTACTGGAACACGAGGAGGGACTGTCCTCTTATCATGTCAGTGATCAGATAAGAATGCTTTTATTTTGTTCCTGATCCAATACTTTAAACAGCGGAATGCGCTGTACAACAACTTGAAGTGTTCTGCTCCGTCCCCGAATGTTGGTCGTTACTACAGCTGATCTGAAATCTTCATCTACACCCCAGAAGATTATCTGCGGTCCACTTTCCTGAAATCTGGGACTCCACACTGACAACTTGAACCTGCAATGCCTTGCGTGAATTGGCCAACACTCCGATGATCCCGGGTTGCTTGGCATCTACAGACTACACCTACAACGGGTAAACGGAGGCGAGAGCCAAGAAATCATGCATCCATTGGGTATAACCAAGCCAAAGACTCCTATCGCTCTAAAATCCAGAATCAAATCTCTCCCCAAACTAAACGCCTCAATACTAGTAAGCACCCGTCTATTCCAAGACCAGCTTAGAATTTCTCACTCGTCACACATCGCGTTGAATGAACCAACACCCACGCCAAGATTCTAACCATAAGCGTCAGCAACTTGACAATAACATTCAGCCCGAAGAACAAAAAGCCCAGCAATCCCCGCGTGATCCCGGGAAGCTCTTGGCCCTCACGAGAGGAGCCAGAGCCGTAGCGACCATACTTCTCGAGGTCGAATTCTTCAACGATGATCTGCTGCGTCTTTTTAGACTTCTTAGACTTTCGCTGGTTCTTTTTCGGCTCCGACTTGGAATGGTTCCAGAAGCTGAAGAAACCCTTTTTTGTTTGCATCTTCCGACCGAGCATGTCCGGCTTTGATCTGAGATGCTAACTCTACGCTCTCGGCATAGTCCTCTCTCTCAGCTAGCGTGGTGATTAGCTTGCCCTGGAACGGCGCCCCGTACGCAGGCTCGGGAGCAGGGCCTGTGCTGGTGGAGCGAGGGGTCCCGAGCTCCATATCGGCCATGATAGGGTTCGTAGCCTCGTCGGAGACCGCGACAGCCAACATGGCCGCGACCAGGGAATCGACGGCGTAGAGCGAAGGGATGGTTGCGATGACGGCAGCTGGGGAGATGGAGAGCGTCCGTGTCGCAAAGTCCAGGGATGCAAGAGGCTCTTCCGAGTCAGCCACAGGCAATGTGGATGTACGCGGATTAGCTGCTTCTTGGGCTGCTTCCATGGCGACGGACGAGACGGGGCCGGTAACAAGGACGGTAGGTGGCTGGCCGCTCGATGGTGCCGACACGGTGATGTGCAGCAATCCCGAAGACTTGGAGCGTACTGGAGACAAGGGAATCCCAGCAGCTCCTACAAGAGCTGGCGGGGTGCGTTTTGACAGGGATGGATGTCGCAGCTCGTAGAGCCGAAGGTGTCGGTTCCACGAAAGACGGCATGATTCTTCCGCTGCTGCGCGCTTCAAGGCTTGGCTCTCGAGGTTCCGGCTGTCGGATGGAGAAAGGTGATGTTGCTTGCTGATTTCATCTGCCTGTTCAATCGCCATCATAGCAGCCAGTCGTGAGAAGAGAAGGGAGACAAGCCCATCGTTGGGATGTTCTCGGCGGATGCGATCTTCGAGAATGAGCGTCATGATGGGAACTGCATTCTCTGGATTGGATGGAGCGCTACGAGAGATCGCCAGTTCATTATTCGAGTAAGTCTGTAAGGTATAGAATGGCAAGTCGGAATTACCAAATGCGAAACCGGCCGGCCCAGTTCTTGGAGACGACTTAGTTCATGAATGGTGGCTGTCTAGGGTCGAGAGCACTCACCTTGTCAAACGTAGATTAATCTTATTGCTCAGTCTCTCGGGTCGCTGTCCATTTGCAGCTTCCCACAGAGTCCCTAGCTCCTGTGCACTGGAATATTGTACTTCTTCTGGTTCCAGCACGCCGGTCGGAAAGTTCAGCACACTAGCAGGGACAGTTTTCGGACCAAGGACTTGATCAATATTCGTGGACGAAGTCAGGCTTGCTACTGGCGTTGAATTGGAAGCAGGGTTGATAGTAAGCTTAGGTCTTCGAGCTTTCTTGGTAGAGGCCGGTGAAGCTGCAGGCTGTGGGCTATCATACACCTGTGGACGCCCAATCTGCTGGTTGAGTGGAATACTAGGATCGAACTGAGGAAACATTGATCTCATGGGCACCGGGGAGATAGACGAGTGTGATGACTGAGGCGAGGTGGTGGAAGCATCTGTATGAATACTTCCATTGCTAGTACTGAGGCTCCTTTCAGAAGGCAAGGGGTGGCTTGACGTGTTATCCTGGCGACTTCGGCTGCGCGCAGACTGTGGAGAGTCCGAGCCGCGGGTTGATACTAATATCGGCGACTTATTTCGAGCTATGCGTGCTCTTGGTGGTGGGCCCGGGTGGGGAGGGGGGAAATACGGGACGTCTTCTGTAACTTGGAGAACCACAGCCTCTGTATTGCCGTTGTTCTTCATCTCCTCGAGAGGTATCGGAGATGCAGGCTCGGCCTCTGTCGTTGGTTTTCTGACAGCACCCTTGCGGAAAGGATTTTTGGGAACCTTGGCCTCCGGCGAGGGTGGGGGGAATAGTTGAAATTGACTCATCCTTCTGCAGGATCTTTTGCAGGATATTCTGGAAAATTCTCTGTAGAACGTTCCGTATTATGATCTGTATAGTGTTCTGCAGAAGGTCGTGCGAGATAAGGGGTCTCAAACGGGGATTTCGTAGACTCGCCGTGATCCCGGAAGATTGGTAGTCATTACAAAAGGACGCGCCCAGGGTGGGATGTTTCGATGGACATATACTCTGCTTGACCAGAATTCTGCAGATCTCGAGAGCCTGGCGCGATAGCGCCGAGTGCCTATAGTTATGTGACAACCCTATATTTGGGGTGGGCGCTTAGTGGATCTCGGATGTGATTGGCCAAGATCGTGCAACGGGGACGAGTGCCTGCATGAACGGCGCTTCGACAGAGACCGTTGATTGGCCTGAAGATCCCCTCAGTCCTTTCACTTCGTATTTGTAGAAAGTGATTGGCGGTTTGCCATGGCCAGTATCTCACCGTAAAGGTCACCGTCCGGCAGAGCTGAACGGTGGTATTGAAGATATGGACTACCCTTGCTGTCAGAGCTCCCAAACCCGCTCGGCGATTCTGATGATGATCTCTTTCTGCATTCGAATCCTTTCTGGGAGAGGATTCGCAATGCGAAGAAAGTCCATAACGGGTATGGAGATTTCGGCCGAGGCTCCAGGAGGTTCGATGATAATCTCCCCTTACAAGTTTCGCCTAATGGAAAACTCATTGGCAAGTACTGCATGTGATGAATTGCCGTCCCAATTATGCACCTGAAATGTGATCCTGGAAGCTTTCCGACCGTGAAGCTTCACGGTAATGGCTGTAGTAGCCCGGCCGACGCTAGGATCAACCCACTTTGCCGCAAGAGCCTTCAGATGGTCAAGGCTCTCTGAGTGTCCTATTTCGAGGACTATAGCCGGGTATAGGCATTGTATTGGGTCAAAATTGGCGAGCCCGGTAAGAACCGTTTTGATCGACGTGGCTCCCATGCCATGCCTGGTTCCTTGATACTTCCATCAACCCATTTTAGCTTGATTGACCCAAGTATACTGGCTCAGTTGACGGAAAATTAGCCCAGGATAATGGTTCACAGGTTCAACGTAATTCGGAAAATCCTAACTGCTCAAGGAGATATGAATTGATGGTAAGAGGAATATGAAGTGGTGGTAAGAGAAATATGAAGTGGTGGTAAGAGGAATAGTAGTAGTAGTATTAGTATTCATTAATGCCCAGGGGGGCTGGCGGCGTGCGCTAAACGCCGGTGATGCCAGTCAAAGTCCCCGTGCAAGGATCGCAGGGCTAGAAGCCGGTATAGGATATGCTTGGGCAGGTAGAGCGCGGGTAGGCACGCTACCTTATATTCCAGCTGTCAGCGTCTGTACCAGGTGGATAAGGGCTGCTAAGCTCGTTCCCACCATTCCGATTGTGCGGCGAGTCTATAGGCCTGAAAAATCGACCGTATACCGCTTACTGTGGCTGTGCCTCTGCGCTCTTTTGGGGTGCCTGGCGGCAGCCCTCATCCGCAAGGGCGTCCGCGGCTTCGTTGCTGACAATACACATATGGCCAGGGGCCCAGCCCGCCCTGATATCGTGCATATCAATAGCCTTGTGACATCTCAGGAAGGCCCACTGGGAGATCATGGACGCTCGGTACCGGATGCACCAGATCACCGAGGTGCTATCAATACAGAGCCAGATCAATGCCCCTTAAGGGTCGAGCCCTTAAGAGGAATATGAACAGTGGCAAGACAGTGCAAATGGACCTTCTTCCAGACGGTAGAGGATGAAAGGGAGGAAAAGACAATGGATCGACGACTTTATGGATGAATCTTGTAATGGGTGGCTGCGTAACCTACAAAACCCTGGAGATTAGGATAGCTGTGGCGACTAAATACCCAAGACCGCGGAAGGGTAAGCGGTTAGGCAAAGTTTCGACTCCATGCTTAAGGTGCCTGGTAGCAAATAGCAACTCTCTTACTTCTAGTTGGCTTTACTTCCTACAATTAATGGGGGCTAGAGCGGCCTCTAAAAGGTCCTTGCTGCGGAGGCTGAGGCTCAAAAAGGGGGGGAGGGAACAAAGTGAAACCGAGACTGTGCTCTCTCACTTCTTTATAGAGGTTACTTTCTCCCCCGAATACCACGATGGGCTCGATATCTTTATGCAGCCTCCTTGGGGTCACCACAAACCCCACGACTGCCACGGCCGCCGCCACGACCCCGACCGCGACCCCTACGAGCGGACTTCGACGAGGGCTCACCATCTTCCTCAGTCGGAGAAGCACCCCGCGCTCGCTTCTTCCCCGTTGCTTTCTTGGGGGGAGCCTCAGTCTTTGACTTCTTGCTACGGAAGCCCACGGCCCCGATCACGTTCATCTCGGGGTCCTAAATTCGTCAATAACGTACTGTCAACATAAGAGCAGTACCCTGGGGTAAAGACTCCCATGAGTGGGAATTCAAACTTACGCCACGCCAGTCGGTGTCGTCGACTCGGCCATTCATGATGGCACGAATGACCTTGGCTTGCTCGTCCTCGGTCAATTCATCCCAGCCCTCCAGGAGGTCGGGGTTGACGGGGCCATTCGAGGCCTCGACCCACTCCTGCGTGATAGTAGCTACCACGAGAGGAGTTACACAGCCCCTTGGGATGTTGTCAGCTTGCTCATCTCGCAATTTGTATATCATGGTATGAGTTGAGCTTACCAGTGGCGCCAAGAGAAATATCTGACCCCTTTGATTCGGATCGCAGTCCCGCAACGAAGAGATCCCCGGGTGATGTTCTCGCCCTTGTTCTGGCACTCCGAGTTCATGCAGCGGGCATGGCTCGTGAGAGCCACGTCTGGAGAACTTATTAGCTGTTTCTGTTCAAAGAGGAAAGAATGTTTCCATGGTATGAGGCATATAGGAGTGTGGTGAAGCACAATTTCCAAGGTGTTTGCAAGCCTGATCTTGATAGCCAGCGTGTCATGAGACCCGAAACACCCCTAAGCACGTGTTGACTCGAAGACAGTTGGTATATGGGGAGGGCGAGGCAGGAGGGTCCTTTTCCATGCACGGGCTGGAATCATCGCAAATAGGATCTTCATCACTTACCAAAGCGATAAGGCATCTCGTCAATCGTAATCGAGAGTAGGAGATATCAAAGAAAAGAAGCAGAATGGCAATCAAAGCTGATTGGAGATTATGTTGGATTAGGAAGAAAGAGTAGGAAAACAAGCTCCTCAGGTAGATGGAGGAGCGAACGAGAGATTTATTCGGGAAAAAAGCAAACAGTGAAGAACGACGACTGACCGACGACTAAGCGACCCCTCCAGTGGAAGCCAGCGGAAGAGTTTCACGAAGGACGACTAATTAGCAGATCTAGGAATTGCTCTGTCCCCAGACCACAAGGGTCTAGTTACACCTACGGACTTACTCGATTTTGTCGATGCATCAATGGTAGTAGTCCACAGTCTCCGTGGAATTGCTACTTGGCATGGCTTGGTCGAAAGGGAGGAGCAGGTATCATGAAAGGTCCTCGTATAGGAGCCTCCATTACTCCAGAATATGAGAAGGCCGCGCCTGAGCAGGAGAATCTAAAATTGGTTGATCATAATGCGCATTGAGAGACGGGCTCACCTTGTTAGCTTGAGTGCTTCCCGCTTCATTATACAAATAGCAAGATAGTCTTCATTTATTATGCATGCGATAAAATCCAAATTGTATGGTCTGTCTCCCTTGGCAATACCTTGGGGTCCTAAGATGTGTCTACCATGTTCAAGAAGTGTAGAAGGCATACATGAATTGCTTCTTGGATGTTGAACCTACTAACGCAGGCGAAGGCATTGTGTCAAAAAACACTTGTTAGCTCAAGAAATTCACAATTAAGCACTTTATTTGAATGGCTAGGCACAACAGCTACGGTCAATAAAACTAGACAAACCTCTTTTCATCTCTTTATGTCTGGACTCAAAAGATATAGTTCGATGTCCTTCAAGGGCTTAGCGTCAGTGCTAGCGCCCGCAGTGCTGCACCTTTTTGTCGCAAATTGTAAGGCGGTTGGGTTTGGCGGGCAGAAAATCCTATGGACATCTGGATGAAGCAGGACCTTTGCAACTGCCGAATCTGGAAACAGATCTCATAGTCCTGGGCAAGTTTTTTCATTGAAGCATGCCTTTTCTGACATGTGCAGACAATCTTTTGAAATAATCCAAATATCCTCAAACCACTGTGTTACGAGCTAACAAGGCGGTAGGACTGGTGGGACCTATCGATTCCCGCCTGAAGGAAAGCCAGGTACTGCATCCTCGACCTTTCGACCTTCCGACCTTTCGAAACGTGACATACTTCAGCCCCAGGCCTTCCAAACTGCCTCACCTTTCTCATTCACGTGACTCACAAACCCTACAAGCTTCACCAAGCCCAGCAAGCTCTATCAATTGCCCCAAAAAAGGGACGAAGCCGCTATTCGTCTGTCGCAAGATGTCTGAGCCGGGCCCCGAGTCGATCCCTACCAGCGCGAACCCCCGCAACCAGAGGCCCAATAAGCGACGGGCCCTGGACCGCTATGGCGAACAAGCCGCCGAAATCGAGAACCTATTTAAAGACCCTTCCAAAGAGATCCAGTTCCCCAGTGCTAAGAAACGCGCCACTGGCCTCCCGCCTCCACCAGAAATTGTCCCAAATGTACAAGGTTCATCGGCCGGTGCAGGCTCCGGCGAATTCCACGTTTACAAGGCCAGCCGCCGGCGCGAAGAGGAAAGACTGGCTATGATGCAGGCGGAGGTCGAAAAAGCGGAAAACGACGCCAAGTGGCAGAAGGAGCGCGATGAGATTAAGCGCAAAGAGGAAGAGAAGACCGCGAAGAACCGGCGCCGCCGGGAGAAGAGGCGCGCGGGTGCGAACAAGAAGAATTCTGCTGCAAATGTAGGCGAGACAGACCAGGCTTCTAAGCCCTCAGTGGCGCCGCGTCGCCCAATGGGTGGCACAGAGGGCTCTGGGGATGAGCATGCGCAAAAAGACGAAGCCCAGAATGAGGAAGCTCGACAGGAAGAAGCTCGGCAGGAGGAAGCCCAGGGTTTGATTATTCATGATGATGACTAGACCTTTTTCCAAGATCCCTCTACAAGGTCAGTTTGTACGATATTTCTCTAATATGATTCAAAGATACCCATGAGACAGTTTAGTTTGGTCTTGGATATTCATACAGACAAGTAGTACCCAGAGGTAGTCGTAAGCATTATGTACGGACCTCAGGTCCATGAAATCATCTTTTTTTTTGGTCGTGCGAGCCTATTACTCTTCACCGCCGCCTCCAGCACCGGCCTGTTGTGCCGACTTACCGCTGCAAATATCATCAACACGGAGAAGCAAGCATGCGGACTGGTTTCAGTTAGCAAGGTAATTTCAGGAAGTCGGGTTTTATATAGATGGCTTACCTCAACAGCGGTCTTGATACTTTGAAGCTTGACAGCCTCGGGTTCCCAAACACCGTATTCCTTCATGTCCACCAGGGTGCCAGCCTCGCCATTGAGACCCCAGTTAGTGTGACCCTCAACGTGCTTAGCCCGCAAGCGAGTAAGCAGACGAATAGGGCTGGCACCGGCGTTCTGGGCCAATGTGCGGGGAATAACCTCCATGGCATCTGCGACAGCCTTGTAGGGCCACTGCTCAACACCCTCAATAGAGCGAGCTAGTTGGCTGAGCTTGACAGAAACTGCCATCTCGACGGCACCACCACCGGGCGAAAGACGGGGGTGGAAGATCACGTTACGGGCCACAGACATGGCATCCTGGAGATTACGCTCAATCTCGTTCAGGATGTCCTTGGAGGGTCCACGCAGCAGAATAGTACAGGCCTTGGGGGGACTTGCACTTTCGCATGAATGTAAAGTACTCGTCACCAATCTTCTCAATCTCGAATAGACCACAGCGGGTACCGATATCCGATTCTTGGAGATCCTCAACACGATTGACAATGGTGGCACCGGTGGCTCGTGCGATACGGTTGTTATCGGTCTTTCGAACACGGCGGAGGGCAGTGACGTTAGCCTTCATGAGGAAGTGCTGTGCAAGATCTAAACAAAAAAGAATTAGATTAGACAGGCTGCAATGACCTCAAGGCATAGGAACCGATCTTACCAGAAACACCCTTTTCTGTGATAACGACGTCCGGCTTGAACGCCAAGATGGCATCGCACATAATCTTCACCTGTTCCTCCTCAATCTGAAGAATTCGGTTCCAGTCATCCTCCTTTGATACCTCAATGTTGGTCTGAGATTCACCCTTCTTGTACTCCAAGGGGCAGTCGAGCAGGAGGATGCGGGGGTTTTCAATTCTCCTTCGCATCTTAGGGTGGGTAATATCCTTGTTGACCATCACACCATCAATCACTTCAGAATCCTCGATCTGTCCACCTGGAATCTTTTCAATACGAGCATAGCGCTTGATATCCACTTCCTGCTTTCCACCTCCAACGTCGAAAGAGACAGTTCGCACAGCGCTCAGGGCCAAGCTGCACATGAGCTCAGACCAGCGTGAGACAAACTTGGTTCCAATAGACGACTCAATCAGCGAGTACATAGCCTTATCATCGTGGATATCGACGGGGGTTGAAACCTCTTCCACAATCTTCAGGGCATCGGCGAGGGCACGCTTGAAGGCGGAGATGATGACGACTGGGTGGATGTTTCGTTCGAGCTGAGGAAGGGCCTGTGCGAGCATTTCACCGGCTGAAATATCATTAGCTTCATCCTCTTTCTGGGCAGGGTGCGCGTTCATACCCAAAATAATGACGGTGGTGGTACCGTCCCCGACTTCCTCGTCCTGGGTACGACTGAGCTCGATCATACTCTTGGCCGCAGGATGCGAAACTTCAATCTCGCGAAGAATAGCGTGACCGTCGTTGGTCAGGACAATACCACCCATTGGGTCGAGCAGCATCTTCAGCATGGCCTTGGGACCGAGACATGATCGAATAATATCGGCCACACTAATAGCACCAGCAATTAATTTCCAGCTACACCGCATAGATTGCAACGCAAGGATAATCGGACGTACGTCTTAGCCGCAGTGATGTTGGAGAGCTGCGCCCGGCGACCAACCTGGCGGTCACCGGCATTGGTGTCTATTCAGGAGAAAGCATATGTTAGCAAAACGTCGGGGGCACGGAGAAGGGAGGGGTACACACTCATCACCACCACCGGAGCCTGCATTTTGGCGTTGGTTTGAGGGATGGATAAAAGAGGGAAATGAAGCGGGCTCAAGTCAGATCAAATACAGAACCTCCCGATAGGTAGAGAGAACCAACTTGGATCCGCGTTGGAAGTTGCCCGCATCCCAAATTTCCAAAGTGGGAGCTCTCGCCGCACTAAGCCTGATTGGGAAAAACAAACCAGACAAACAGATCTATACCGCCAGAAGATCCGGGCTATGGGATTTCTACAATTTGATATTTATCATTCGTTTAAGATGAGATTGTTGATCTGGATATGATAATTAAGGTAGTTGTATGGCTGGAACTTTTCAGGTCTTTTGGATTGAGCGGAAGATATTGCATATCGTACAGGCACCCCCAAGATTGTCCACCATCTATGTGCTAGCCAAGGGTGATATCACTCGCGCACCATCGGATCATGCTATGCAGCTATTCCGTATCAAATTCTCTACTCTCTCCGATATCGACCGTATCGAAGACTCCAGTCTCAGGCAACCCGAATCTTCTGAGAGCCGTCTTCAGCTTCTGGGGCGGTTCCAAGACATCTTCTTCGGTCAGAACCCAGGTACCCCAGTGGATGCCAAGCGCCTTCTTGCACTTAGTATCCTTGAAAATAGAAACCGCATCGTGCGGGTCTCCGTGTGCAGAGCTCCATACGTATCGAGGAGCATAAGCCCCGATAGGAATGAGACCCAGGTCGAACGGGCCACGGTATTCGCCCACTTGTTTGAATGCAGGGCATACTGGGAAGTCATACTTAGAATCATGATCATCTTCGCCTTCGGGGAGCTTCGGAACGGGTCGATACCCGGTATCTCTGGTCAATAGTTAGCATTTTTTTTTTCTCGCCGAATGGAAAATTCGATAGAACGAACCCTGCAAAGTAGACCTTGCTGCCCTCTGACTCAATTGCCCAGGAGCACCACAGAGTCTTGTTCCGATCAAAGGGGGTACGAGCCGAGACATGTTGACAGGGCAAACAGCTGAAACGTGCTTTGATATCCGCAGTCGAAGAATTGGCCTCACCTGCTGCTTCCACCTTTGTTCCCTCTTGAGATGAGGGGGAAAGTGTCACATCACACTCATCCCACCAGTCCAATTCGGTGACTTTCTCGATTCCGCAACGCTCGAACCATTGCTTGTTACCTAATGGGACAAAAAAGTGACAATTAGAGTGCTTCTTCGCCAAAGCTGACACAGTATGGTACGATAAATGATCATAGTGGTTGTGCGAGATGACCACAGCGTCAATCACTGGAATATCCTCGGGTTTGCAAGGCGCCTCCGTAAAACGTTTGGGGCCCAGCAGATTGTAAGGACCGCAATGTTCTTCAAGAACAGGGTCAAAAAGCACTCGCAGGCCACTTGGAAATTCGACATGGTAACAGGCATGTCCCAGCCATGTTGCGCGTAACTTCGAGTGGTTCCGAGTCGTGAGAAATTCGGGTTTGCGAACCTTTATGCCGGGGGACTTAGCATCGGGGACATTGGCTTTACCAGTAATGCGACGCCTAAAAAAAAAAGAGCAATTGTTAGAAAAGATACTTGAACACGGTCGCGTATTGGCTCACCAAACGACTTCCAGCAAACTGGCAAAATTCACGTCGCGCCAAGAACTGTCATTCAACCTCGGTTAGTGTCATGCCATCAACGCTAGAGAAAACCTTGAAAACATGGGTTTGGCTTACTCCCAAGGATTCCTAAAACCAGACGCTGCGTGGTGACTTTTCAATGCGGCATCTTCTGGCACGGGCCGCTTTGGAGATGTAGCGACAGTTAGTGCGTAGAGCACTTGTGTTGTAGTTGACCCCATCATACGACTCGGTATATGGACACGCGATGTTGCGCGAACTGCAAGACGAGACAGTAACCCGCGCATCGTAGCTGGAGGGGGAATCCGAGCTTTAAGATATGCAACCTGTGCCCTCGGATTCCGACGCTACGCCAACCATTCACAGGCTGGGCGCGTTGTGATTGGGAGGAAAACCGGAGAGAGCAGAGAAAAAAAAACCCTAGTCCGGGGTTTCAGCGGAGGTATTCCACATATCTCCGAGCGGCTCCCATCTGCCCGGCGGCATGATTGATACATGAAACCCGGTCCACCCAGGTGCATGGGGCCGTAAGCAAGCACACGAGCATGACGGAATAATAAGCTCGAAAGCGAACTCTATGGTAGTCTTCAGAAGTCAGCCTCGTGGTTGGCTTGACCTCATGGTCGGACTGAAGTCAGGCCGCTATCGGCCCGTTGTACTTCCGGTATCTCTCGTTCTTATCGCGCATAACTTTCGATTTCCATCAACTCCAGTCACCTCACCGGCATGGAGCCAAATGGCGTCAACCCTGCGTCTGCGGGGGACCTCATCCTCCAGCAGAGGACTGAGGCCCTCCAGGCAGCACAACAGGCGGGCCAAAAGGGCGACGGCAGCCTTTGGTCCCAACTGACTACAAATCCCTTGTTCACAGCTGTAAGTTGTACCCCTTGCGAAAGTAGAGAAAATCGGCCATGGGAACTAACAATTCTGTGGTAGGGGTTTGGACTTGCAGGATTAGGCGCGGGTTTAACATTTGCGCAACGAGGGCTCCGCCAGGGCGCGGCTCTGGTACGTCGTCGCATGCTGGTCGATGTCGAAATCAGTATCAAAGACGATTCTTATCCGTGGTTCCTCCACTGGATGACATTATATCAGCAGTCGCAACTAGGTGCGACGCGTGCTGCGACTAATCAGGGCTTGGTCGATCGCTTTCTCAACAAGATGACGCCGGGCATGCGTCACCTCTCCATTCAAACTCAAAAAGTCGAACATTCGAACGGGGCGATTCATACACACTTTTCGCTAGTACCTGGCCCTGGGAAGCACGTCCTTCGCTATAAGAATGCTTTTGTCTTTGTCAATCGCGTTCGTGAAGCAAAGTCTCGTGACATCCAAACAGGAAAGCCATGGGAAACAATCACTCTAACTACCCTCTACTCCCACCGCCATATCTTCGAAGAGCTTTTTACCGAGGCTCATGCCTACGCCGCCAAGTCCCACGAAGGGAAGACAACAATCTATAATAGCTGGGGGACAGAATGGCGACCATTTGGAAACCCGCGACGTAAGCGTCCATTGGAGTCTGTCATCCTTGCCGAAGGAGTGAAGGAGCGCATTGTGGAAGATGTCAAAGATTTTATTGGCAGTTCGTCATGGTACAATGATCGCGGTATTCCATACCGGCGGGGCTATCTGTTGTATGGCCCACCCGGCACAGGCAAAAGCTCTTTCATCCAAGCATTGGCAGGGGAACTAGACTACGATATTGCAATCCTGAATCTTAGTGAGCGAGGTCTCACTGACGATCGTCTGAATCATCTTTTGACCATTGTTCCGAATCGAACCTTAGTGCTGCTGGAAGATGTGGATGCTGCATTCTCTAACCGCCGCACACAAACAGATTCAGATGGCTATCGTGGGGCCAATGTGACCTTCTCAGGTCTGTTGAATGCTCTGGACGGAGTGGCTAGCGCTGAGGAGAGAATCGTCTTCCTAACCACCAATCACGTTGAACGACTTGACGAAGCCTTAGTCCGGCCAGGCCGTGTGGATATGACGGTTCGCCTCGGCGAAGTGACGCGATACCAGGTCGGGCGTCTATGGGATCGGTTTTATGAAGACATTGATCCTGCAGGGTCTTACCGTAAATTGTTCCTCGAACGCCTGGAACAGTTCGGTCTTATCGAGGATGAGCAAGGCCACAAGGCTGACCGATCAAAGAGCACCAGTGCTGCAGCACTGCAGGGACTCTTCTTGTACAATAAGGGCAATATGGAGGGCGCGATAGCCATGGTTGAAGGCCTCACTTATTCCGTCCATGATGAAGCTTTGGGACATAATCCTGACTGAAGGTCGTGACTGAACCTGTACCATATGATGTAAATAGTCCTCACCAAAATGTATAGATATCCTGTTTTTCGCTTTCCAAGCGGTCGCTCTCCAGACGCTTTCATCGTGATACTGTCCTGGATGACTCGAATGCGCCAACTTCTCGGGCCAGCGATTCGTATCCGCATGCGCTGACACCGTCATTCATCATTCAAATTTTATGTACTAATCGAAGTCAATCCACAAACCGCATGTTCCTCCAGATCGCAGTCTATCTCCCATGAAGCCGCCTGTGGCGCCAGGCGGTCCGTCCAATATCAGAGGGCTTTCTCATGTAGAGGTACCACCGAGAGTTCTACCGTCATGGGAATGTTTGAGGTGGCCGTATTTCTCATTTCTTGTTTCTCAATAACAGCGAATCAAAGCTAAACATCATACAAGTGGAGAAAGGCCGTTGAGGCAAAGAGTGGCGACAAAGACAAGTCAACAAGGGAGAAGCAGCACAGATTGTAAGCAGATATGACGTCGAAGCTCAAGAGGGAGAAAACAGCGAATAATCATAACCAGCAAAGTATGACGCGACAGATATTCAATTAAAAATTGAATAGAGCGGTTTATTCAAACCATCGAATGGCGGCCAACCTCGATAGAAACGAAGAAGTCAAGCTCGCTATCAAAGCAGAAAAACAGTAAACTCAATCAAATCGTGATCAGTAGCCATTCTGGTTCAAATAAAACAAAAACGCGTTGCTATCACAATCTCGGTCGTTCAATTCAAATGATCATGGCAATAGCACGACTAAAACAGTCGCGGTCTCCGCGTGGCGCTATAAGACAAGAATATCAGCAATCTAAGTCTGTTAAGAGCAGTGGGATAGGTGAGTGGTGGACCTCAAAAGTCAAGGCTGGACAGATATAACGAGGTGCTGAAGGGATCCTACCGGATCTCCGCAAGGTCATCCATGTGATTGCACATTGCCACAAACAGATCAAAGAATAACTTGCCACCATTCTCCATCTCCATCTGCATGGTTCCACTTCTCTTGAAGGTCTTGCGACTGCGGATAATGAGAGCCAGGTAATGAGCGCGCAGGCGAGAGTCGGAGTCCGGCGTGTTGTCATACGCATACCGAGCAGATCGCAAGATCACATCCGCGGCAATTCCGACCTGAAGGCCTTGCTTGCGTAAAGCAATGCGCTTCAGATCTTCCAGGCCGTACTTCTCGGCTGCACAGTACACCACCGTGTCCCGAAGCACGACAGCCCCCACGCCAGAGTGGAAGATTGTCGGCTCGCTCGATTCATAGCCACCGGCTTTGTGGTCATCCTGGGAGCCCTCGAGGTACCAAGAGTCCCGACGTCTGCCACGGAGCAGGCGTGGGTAATAGTCCCCCTTGTACAGGAACTCCAGGATACACGACAATATCTCAGGCTCTCTGATTGATAAATAAGAAAGTGCTCCGTTATCAACGCTGCTCAGAAGACTCACTCGTCGGGCAAAGCTAGCTGCTTGGCGCCGCCTTCCAGAGACATCTCCTTCAGAGCGGCGCGAAAGTGGGGTGAGATGGACAAGACATCTTCATGGGCTGCGAACAGGCGCTGGTCCTGACCCACGACCATTGTGGTGATGGGACTGGTAAGTGCACTAATTAAGACATACAATATCAGGACTTGCATTCTAATTATCTAGCCGATATAAAGGAATACGGATTTGTACCTTCCCGTCAACGGGTTGTCCACATTATCAGCGCTCTGCTGCATCTTCTCTTTCGCCTGGTCGTCGTATCTCTTCTTACTCGCCTTGACGGTCTTGCCCGCCCGGCTTTTCGAAGAAAAGGAGCGCTTGAACATGGCGATATTCGGATCGATCGACGTCATCGACGTTCCACCTCAAAAGACTTACCGGACGGCGAAAGAACCCTAAGCGATCAAAAGGAGTGATACGAGTTGGTCATCAAAAAAGCACGAAAAGAAAGACGTCGACGCTGCAGATCACACAAGTGTGTGAGAGAGTCTGGAAAGCAGTCCTCCGAGATTCTCCGTTTCATCAAGAGACGGAAAGAAGCGACGGATGATAGCTTTGCATTCGTGAGGCTCGATGAGGCTCACGGTGCACAGATTGTCGACTCTGGCAGGCGTGAGAGAAAAGAAATCTGAGGGGGGGCCACGAGCGCTATTTAAGACGCTGAGTCAGGTGATAATTGCTGTATCATGCGGCGCAAATCACTATTTGATTGGGAGTGTCAAGGCTTCCGCCTGGTTTCCAAACGGGCGTCACCTGGTGGCGCTTAATTAGGCCCCGCGATTGGTGGTGCAGGTCGCATGATCGGCATTGGAAGACGTTGATTCTATTGGCTTCACGGGAGACTCGATAGATCGGCGGAATGCCGACTGGCGACCAATTTGATCTTGTCTATCATAGGCTGGGCTGTTGCCAAGACGATAGTAATCTTTAAAGATCTCCCAAAGTGCAGTCTCTGTACAAGTCCAAGCTAATACATTCTAGAGAACCGCCTGTTAGGGCAAAGGAGATCTACTCAGCACGTGTCTCCCTTCCCATCACCACTTGCTTTGACCTCTATCGCCCGGTACCTCCGACGTAATACGACCAGCTGCTCCCGAGGTCATGAATTCCTTCACTATTCTTCCCTTCTCTTACTTCATCATCCCTGCTCAAATCCATTCAGCCCTCGTCACTGGTCAGATGGTTGCCGTCTGCGACTTCATGTGAGAAAGCCTTTGCGGAGGTAATTTCTTCTTCCGTCTTAGATCGAGACTCTAAATCACTCGGCTCCTTCTTTTGAAGAGTCCGTATCTTTACAAAAGCCTGAAGGATCTAACCCTTTCTACAGCCTTAACTTCAGTCTATACCTTCATCCTCTTTCCTTGTGTCCTTCCGCACATCTCGCTCAGAATTTCTTCCCCTGCTTGAGCCCATATCTCTATTTTCTTTCTCGCATGCACTTTCCTTTCTCCTCCTACTACTTCTCTCTTCCATCTATTCCTTTCTTCTTCCACTTTCTTCCTTCTCTTCCTATTTGACTCCTCTCTTCGTTTCCTTTTCAGTTACCTTACTGGTCTTCTAACAGTTGGATACCCTTTCACCTACTATTACTATTCTTCCTTCTTACTTATACTCTTGCCCGATCAAGCATTCAACTTCCTCTCTCATCTGAAATATCTTGATCTCACCACTTTCAAGATGCCTTTTGGACCACAACTGGTTGCTGGGCTGAGGAAGGCAACTCTTACGAGAGAGCTCCAGCCCGGCGAAGCTTACCTCGTCCGCTTTAAAAACTCATGCCGAGGATACAAAACTGATATCTGGCTGGGGATTATCATGCCTGAACCGTATGCCGCCGAACATTTGAACCGACGTCCTCAGGAGGCGAAATCGACCGATGGGATTTGGAGCGTGAAACCAGCTGAGCGAACTTACCCTCTCTACATGCCAGGCCGCAACAGCTAGTAAGTTGTTGTACCATTATTCAAATTCATGTTCTCACCTTTTGACAGTCGATGGGCAAATGTTCATGACATATTTCAACTCGAAGAAGCCCTTCCCCGCATCTTTTCGGACGATAGTGGCCGTGAAGGAACCGACGTCTTCAAAAAGCTCCACCGGATTGCGAATGGAAAACCTGCCTGTCACTTCTGGGAGCTTATGGCAGACCTGGAAGTGCAGACCAAGGGCAAACGTAGCCGAGAGTTATCTTTAGTCTTGCCAGAGGGCTGTGAAGCTCTGGTGAACTCTGACGAAGACCAGCAGCAAGAAGAAGGGTCTGAACCCGATGAGCATCCCCCAGCAAAGATTGCAGCCTCCCAGTCATCTTTCTCCGCATCTCGCAACAAGACCACCCAAACAGCAGAGCACGTGGTTCACGTGAGCTTCCCTGGGGAGAAGAATCTTTTTGCCATCAAAGACAAACAGAACTCGCCTAAGAGACACCCCATTTTGCATAAGAGAAAGCCAAAGCCGAAAGCAGTAGTAGCTACGAGTAGCTTCCCCAGGACCGATGTCTCTTTCAAGGCGGAGGCGACCGCCCATTCCAGTGCACAACAACCATCGACGGTCTTCACGATGAACTTGATGACTGTCATTGAAAGCTTTATCCTGCAGAAAGAAGTTGCCGATGAGGTTTTCGCTATTTTCGAAGCCACCGTCAGCCTTCGTGAGCCGGAACTCGGGAAATTGCGCTCTTTTCTCGCCAGCAAGGAGTTTACACCGCGGTTGATACAACCAATAGTCACTACACGCGAGGCCCAGGATGACATTGAAGACATTGTTTTTTGCGGATACGTCTATCGGGGATATCCTCAGGATTGGGCGATCCTATGAACTCAAAGATGTGGCTGACGCAGAAGACCTATCGGTCGAAATTATCTCGCTCGGCAATCTATACGCACAGGCACGCCGCTATAACATGCGTGAGCTCATCGCGGACATCACTCTTAAGCTGCAAGTCGCGTGGAACTCTTATCCTGGCCTAAGTCAGCTAGGATTCTTACTAGAAGTAACCAGTCTTGCGTTCGAGGAAGACATTCAACCACCATACAATGGTTTGCAGGAGTGGCTTCTCAACTTCATGGCCGATGCTTTCGATCTGTTCACTTACGCTTGTTCAGAGCCTTTCTGGCAGGTCTTGCATGCGGATGATGGGCTGAAAGAAGCTGTGTTTACTCGTCGAGCTGATAACATGAAAGAGTCCCCTACGAGGTACATCGACATCCCTGCGCTGTTGCGCAGCCGTGGTATCTGACCTCTGGGGACGACTGGAATCTTGCTACTGAGCTCACGAAGATTGATGGAAGCCTCAAAGGATAGATACGCCATGATGGTAGCGGCTATGGAAAGCTGGAGAGCTTTTGCTTTATCTCTAATGACTTTCATTATTACTATGATACCTTATTTAGGGTTGCAATGTGGACCGATATCTCCACTGTACACAACGAGATCATCTATTCCAGGTAGGAAATCCCTCTGACCAGGTAAAGCGGATGGTCGTTTTTTATATCACAGATACTCCTTGTAGGACATTATGCCATCTCTAGGATACTATTCCGATTACTTACCCCCGTAGCGACATCAGAACGTACTTCACCATCGGGTGCAGTGTAAACCGAAGAAATGGAGTCGGAGTCCGAGTCTCTTTCGCTATGTTCCTCTTCAGAAACACGAGGGCCGGCCTCGGTGCTGGAGTATTCCTGCAAAGGGAGTGTTCGCGGAGTCTGTTCTGCTGCTGTGGGATTGCTTTGTACTGGCTTTGGAAGACCTTCCGGACTATTCATTATCACACTTTTGGTATGATACGGAATAGCGATCGGTGTATACGTTGCAGACACTAGGGGCACCTCCCTTGAATGGGAGCGGCTTCTGTTTCTCGTTCTGGTTTTCCGTCGCGGTTGAGCTATGATCGGTGGTGATACGCCACGCGGCTCATTCAATATTGCTGCAATTCGGTCACCAGAGATAGGTCGAGGTTGCTGAATAGGTGGGTCTGACTCGGAGGTTGTAATTTTGCTGACAGCGGCAGTTTCCACGTCGCTATGGTGTTCCATTTCCAAGCTGCCCGGCAGCTCGGGCAGGAAATATTCACCTGCTTCAAAGGTATGTTGACGACTGAATTCTGCTGGAGCCTGCTGTTGCATCACTTGGAGTGAATCACGCATATTCCATGCTGGTGCGATTGTGTTTGGTATCGTTCTCAAATTCGTCTGACCAAAAGACATAGGGCGTGTACAGGTTTGTAGAAAAATGGCCTGCACTTGGCGTTTGGTCGACTCGGGTACCTGGGCTGAAAAGCCAATGGTTTCTGGCAATCGCTTCATATCTTGTAAAGTAGTAGGCGGAATCTTATCATTGGACAGAAGCAACTCCAGCACCTCCGGATGACCGTAGTATGCAGCATATCGAATTGGTTGCCAGCCCAACTCGTCTTCCTTGAGAACGTTTGCACCACGCTCGATTAATAATGCAGCAACGTTCAAGTGACCCTTCATTGCAGCAAGACACAAAGGTGAGTCCTCCCGAAAGCCAAGTTCAAACTTTTCCGAGATTGGAGATCCCCGGTCAAGTAACTTTTGCACAACTTCAGCGTGGCCAAAGCGGGTAGCCACACACAACGGTCTGTCCCCGATGCCATTCCTAGCATGAAGGGAGGCGCCCTTATCACACAAAAGATCCAGAATATACGTTGATCCGCTGCCCGCAGCTATATGCAACGGCCTTTGCTGGTGCTCAGATTCCGAGGCTTCGATGTCCGCTCCCGACAAAAGAAGAAGGCGGGTAATCTCAAAGCTATTCGCCATGCAAGCATAGTGAAGTGCTGTCAGTCCTGTGTGGCAGCGAGTCTCCAATTGTACCCCCTTTCGTTGCAGTAATTCAACAACAGCAAACTGTGATTGCATGACCGCCAGGTGCAAGGCCGTGCGTCCCATATTGTTCACAGTCTCGAGAGCTCCTTTCCTCTCGCTTAGGAGTCGGACGGTGTCTTCGTGGCCATTATAAGAAGCCCAGTGGAGCGCAGACATCCCACTATCATCAGCGCTTTTTGTAGATGCTTTCCGTTTGACCAGGTACTCCACGACCTGAGTTCTCCCCATTTGTGCAGCGCATATCAGAGGATTCTTGCGATCTCGACCTGGAGCTTCGAGGTTCGCTCGAGAGTCCAAGAGTGTTCTCACGACTTCCATATTCCCCTCTTCGCAAGCGTAATGTAATGCTGTCATCATCGATCCATCCTTCGCTTCAATATCGGCACCATGTGATATGAGTAACTGTACGATTTCATGGTCCCCTCGTTTTGCAGCGGCATGGAGAGCTGTCATCTGATTTTCCGCTCGTGCGTTAACAAGAGCATTATTCTCAAGAAGGACCTGAACAGCTTCTGGCTGGCCATGATCTGCAGCCACTCGTAATGCGGTCCTCCCTTTGAAATTCTGGATTTCAATCAGGCTCTTCTCGGTAACGAGTAATTTTATCACTTCCCAGTGGCCCCGCGATGCTGCGAGATGGAGAGCTGTTTCGCCAGATCCGTCGGTCACCTTCAACCGGGCGCCGCATTGAATTAATAGGTCAACGATGTCCTCTTTTCCACAGTGGGCAGCAACAAGAAGCGCGTTCCGGCCCGAGGCATTATGACGTTCTTCAATGTCATAGCCGTGTTCGAGTAGTCTTTCGACTTCGGTTCGCGTGCCCCCTTGGGCAGCTTTAATTAATGGCGACACGGACGCTCCGTCTTTCGAAAGGTCGATACTGGTGTGAAAATTTGAGCGTAATATATGCCCTCTTTCTCTGACTGTAGAACTAGGTGCCAAATTCGTTGACTTTTTGGACGATCCTCCCAAGCTTCTCCGGCTACCGGTATTGATACGTTCCACCAAACTAGAAAACCGGCCTCTTCTGAACGGTGACTGTTGGTTGGAACGAAAAGATACTTGAGACTCTGAAAGGTTTCTTCGCATGGTGTTTGCAGGTGGTCGCTGGAGAGCTTGCGTGTGCGAAACGCTTCTGCTGTGGATTGGCCCCGATGGACTGTCAGGTAGAGCAAGAAGGTCCCCCTGAGATTGGGACATGTCAAAGTGTCCTTGATGGATGGATCCAGAGGCAAAGCTATCATAGCCCTCGTCAGTATCGCTTCTGCGGCTTTGAGCGGCGCTTATGCTTGGTTCCTTTGGGAAATCTTCTCTCGGTGATGGGAGCGGAAGATGTGAACTTGTCCACTGCTGTACTGCACGTAAGTAGACGGGTGAATTCATGACGGATGCATCGAAGTCAAAACTGCGGTGGCTGATAGCCGGCCGGCTGCTGCTCTCGGAAACGTTGTCCAGATCGGATCCTACGCGGCTTATAGATCCCATACGACTCATACGACCAGATCTGAGGGTCGCGGTATCATCAGCAACTCGACCAATGATCTGTCGGGTGGTCGCTCTCCTCAGCAAGCGAACTTGTTCTGTCGAAGAATGACTGCGACTGTGAGCTATCTAGACGTGTTCAGTGTGGGTCAATCCTTACCATTGGCAGACTTGAAGCAAAAGCTGCAATGCTTGTACTTGAGCCCGTAGCTTCTCTTGGTGCCCTCTCATCGATTCGTCGTTCCAAACGACCTTAATTCGGGTCTTGAAGCCCAGCCCCCCGGATTCTTCTACACATTGTACCAGTTCAAACACCTCATAGTACAAGATTTCCATAATCTCGCGGCATCCATCCATGGCGACGGCCAGGTCATGGTCGAGTTCGTCTGACTTGATCCCATTGTTTCCATTGCGGTGTATACGGAGCCATTCTTTCAAACTTGAGAGCGCTGTTCGAATACAGTTTAGTTCCTGAATCAGCGACTGGATAGTGAGGTCTGCCTCGCGTAATTTCCCGGTAAGCTGACGCAGGCCGCTGACTGTCGAGGCAATAGCCTGCAATACCTGGACTGCCCCGTGAATAAGCCAAAGGCAGAGACAGGATCCATGGTTCCTCAAGTCTTCAGTTGCGGACGCTTGCGATGCAGTGCCAGCTGGTCAGCTTTCAGCCTCGAATCACCTGGCGGTGTGGGGTCCGGGCGGGAGGTGCTGGGGCTGTGCTGTGCATGCAAAAGTCCTTCATTGGATGGCGCGACCAGCCCAGTGCGAGGAGAGTCAAAAACTCTCCAGGAGTCTTGTTGGGGTAATTCTCAGGCCATAGATCATTTATCCTGGTGCCAGAGGTGAGGAGATCACTGTGCTGGAGATCAGTGCTCCCGCGGCCTCGAGGATCCAAGTGATGCGGTGGTTTCAGGCATCTGATATTTCGCTGCTTCCCTAAGGCCCATACACGATAAATTCAACTATTTCGCACGGATCCTTGGCTTTCTCGACAATGTGCTATAGTATCGTAATCTTAAGGCGAGTCGGTTGACTAGTCGCTGTACTGTGTCAAGTTGTAGTACTAAGATGATGCCGATGACCACGAAATATATAGCGCTGCGGGGTGGTACCCCTCAAAGCCATCCAGGATTGTCTCTTCCACTGTCTTTGGGATATTTCGTCATGGTAATTTTCACAATATAGATTTAGGCATCTAGTGTACATGAATTGTACAGAAGTAGTCATTTCGACAGTTCCCTTTCAGGGTCCTGTGGATAGAAAAGTGATTGCCTGTGCCAGTATACGCCACTTAAATGGCGGTGCATCAACATGTGGCGGTGTCGCAGTTTTGGTCCGCGATTGACGAGTGTGGGGTCGTCCCACATACCAGCGTAGAATGATATCATCGCATCGATTAAACACTCAACAGGCACATGTGAGTAACAACTCGTTAAATCACCCAACTACTGTTTTCCCCTCCAGGGGCTCGCATATATTGATTCGACCTAGCATTTATAGCGTTGATCCCCCTGACGCTTGCAGCCTGAGACCAAGCGCCATACAAGTGACCTATCAGTTGACGCGTTGCCAAGCTCCCGCCTCCGAACTACGCGCTGAGCTTGTTTCATCTGAACTTTCAAGGGCCTCACAGTATCTCTTCAGTCAACCTGAACGAGAAGAATATCTTCCTCAACCGCTACCATGGTGATGCAGTATTTCAACCAGATGAAGGACCGCCGGCGGTCGCAAGCTGCCCCGACTCCGAAGCCTATTCTCACCGAAGACGACGAAGCCTACCTATGCAAAGTCGTTTCCCAACAAGAGCAGAACCTCGAAGCCCCTGAGAACCCAAATGCAATGGATTCAGAGCGCGTACAACAACCGGCCCGGAAAGATAGTACGCAGGACATTGCCCCCCCTGCATCACCTGTGGAGGAATTTGGAAAAGAATTGGGAGAGCAGGGAAGAAGAGCGAGCCAACTGGAGAGTCTGCAGTCTACACCAGAGACTATCAAACAGCAAGCTACAGCAGAGCCAGAGAAAAAGAAGAAGCGATGGAGCAGCATGTTCTGGAGTAAGAACGCGGACTCAAAGAAGGCATGTGGTTTTTTTTGGGAAGCTCATGGAAAGCTGCTAACTCGCTTTACTCTTCATAGGACAATGTTAAAGAAAACGATAAGGGGAAGGGCAAAGAAAAAGCACAAGAAGAGAACCAAGACAAAGGATCGAACGAAACAGGCCCTTCTCCACCGCAGGATCTTGTACCTCCGATGGGGAAGATAGCCAGAAGGATCAGAAGGATATGACGGACATTCTTGAGAGATTGAATTTGGCTGCAGACAACAACCGAGTCTTCTCTGTCAGTGATGAAACCCAGGAGCTATTGCGGAAATTCAAATTGATCTTCAAGGATCTGGTAAATGGCGTGCCGACGGCATACCATGACCTGGAGATGCTCTTGACAAATGGCAATCGTCAACTGCAAGATACATACACTAAATTACCCAGTTTCATGCAAAAGCTTATTGAAAAACTTCCCGAGAAGTGGACGGAGACTCTCGCGCCTGAAATGCTAGCCGTGGCTAGTGAACGAGCTAGCTCAAGTGGGATCAACATGGAGCAAGTGGGCAAAGCTGCTGCAGCCGCCGAAAAGATGGGGATCAACGTTCCGAGTCTCAAAGAGCTTGTCACCAAGCCTGCTGCCATCGTGGGCATGCTCCGATCAATCATGGCCTTCTTGCGGGCTCGTTTCCCGGCTGTACTGGGTATGAACGTACTATGGTCCTTGGCCTTGTTCAGTAAGTAAGCTCTGTCATCAATACAGCCTTGACGCTAACTTACATGAATCCAGTACTTCTTTTCGTCATGTGGTACTGCCATAAGCGTGGTCGTGAAGTTCGCCTTGAGAACGAACGACTAGTGACCGAAGAAGAAATTAAGAAGATGAATGAAGAGTTCGCCGAGGGTAAAATCCGCCCAACGGAGACACTGACGACTACTGCGCCTCAAGGTGCCTCGTCCGAAGAAATACGGGAGGGAGTGAAGAATGTAGAACGAGCCCGAGCCTCTTCAGCATTGGATGCTGCTGCGACCGAAGCGTCCAGTAGTACTGATTTTCCTGTCAACGGGAGCACTGCTGCGAATCCTGAGGATACTGCTGCCGCCGAGCTGCCGCTGCCGAGCGGCAACAACGAGAATGCGCGACCACCAACACTTCCAAGTCGAACTAAATCGCGTTTATCTTTTTTTGGTCGAACCAAAACAGAGCCTCAATCAACCAACGGCATTTCTCCTTACCCTGGGACCTGAGCTGTACCGAATAGCGACTTCGCGTTACGTGTACATTCTCAATTCCGGCTACAGTTGTGGATGTTTTTTTTTTTTTGTTTTTTTTTCCCCCGAAATGGCTCGATCGATCCCTTCAGAATACTTTAGCTGCGATGTGACGATATATGCATGAAAAATTCCCCTGAAAACTTCCAACCTACACGGAAAGCGGTGCTTTCTGCGGTAATGATGCCCAAATGCAGAGCCTATAGGGTCCGCGCAATAGTGTAGTCGCAGGATATAATTACGAGTATAAAAAAAAGTACGGTGGGCAACGCAATATGAGGTAATTGGAGGGCTAGGGGCCCAGGGCGGGGCCATGCGGTAGATCGCAACGGCACAATATGCCTCTTCAGCCTCTCCTATCAAGCTAATTCTCCGAAGCAGTGAGGTCCAGAGCCAGTTTCTGTTTTAATACTGTACCGTAAGCTACAGCCTCACCAGCACCAAAGATTTCTGCCGAAGAAAAGGACATGCCTCGGACGGCTTGAAGTGAGGCTAGCGTCGCGGGGCCCGATTGGCGCTGGGAGAAATTTTTCACCAGGCTCCACATAGCCACTGCGGGGCGATGATCTTGCAGGCACCACGAGATTTGGGAGGATGGGGTGAATGGAAGGATTCGTATCCCTTGCATGGGACAGGGTGTGCAGTCCTGTAGCTGGACAGGAAGGGCAGGGCACTATCGAAAGATTATGGGGTACAACGAGAAATGCTTATCTTGAGCTCGATCAATCTTATGCACGCAGCAGCCAGTGGCCATGCTGTCCATCTTTACCGCCTCTTGCAAGTGCGAGTCCCAAATCTTTGACGCCCGAAATCTGCGACACCTGCAGGTTCCCGATCCCCAATTGTCTTCGGAATGGAGGGTCCCGGGTTGCCACCGAAGAAAAATCCAACCATCTTCGGACCCGACCAATGGAGAACGGGCTACCTAGGCCATGCGAAAAGGCCCAGAGGGCCACAATATGATTCATCCCATCAGGATTGACCCTCCGGATGATTCATCCGCACGGGGCAGCCCCTGCCAGGTGCAGTGAGGCGTCAGTGGTCTCCCTTGTTCCTGTGCCCTCTGTCCAATGCCTACGAAGGAGATTTTACTTTTGATAAGGGTGGTCCCTCCTAAATACCTAAAGATGCAGATATTCCTCCTTAACAGTAAGAGTTGGTGTTATTGTTATGTTATGATTATGCTTCTAAGGGAGTCGGGGTGGTCCCTCATGCGACCCGCAGGATCCAGTGATGCTCCATCTGTCTAGTCTATTCGTAATGCAAAGTTTTTTTTTTTTTTTTAACGCTTTCCCTCTTTTTGGCTGATTGGCCGCAAAAGTAAACATCGTCAGACTCTGATTTGCCGATAGATTCAATGTATCTCTTGAATGCTTTGCACCCTTGAAGAGTCATCTATGACTCGGCTCCGAATGCAGGCTAGCTCCTGAGTCAACCCCTCGTGCAGAGAGTAATGAGCTGGCTAGCTTCTGGGGATTGTACCAATTTACTGTGACGGTAACTCTAGAAAAGACGTGATTGGCGCGAAAGATGCGGTGAACTCCCGCCAGCGAATGGGCGGCCGTGGAGATTGGCCAATCAATCCCGCCTCGTTCCCCACTTCCACTCCGGCAAAAAATCCGTATATTATCCCTTCTTCCTTTTCCTGCTCCCCCTCATCATCCAAACTCTCCAGCTCTTCGTGACAGCCCCATACCCCTCCATTTCTTCCCACTGTTGCTTTTCCAGATATCCGTCAAGAATTAGTGCCAAATGGCTTTCGTTGAGCTGTAAATCCCTCGCTGGGGAGCCTGAACCTGGCTTCCCAGTCCAGCAGCTCCGACTTCAATTTCCCTTGACGATATCTGTTCCTCTTTCGACGCCTGCCCAGCGTCGGAATTGCCCCCCAGTACAGTTCCTGAAGAAGCGCTTGGCCCGTCCGCATTGGACCGGAGGTGCTATCGTGATTACCGACTAAACAACCGAAACCCCCCTCTCCTCCCCGATTTCTCCAATCTCATCCCCCTCCCACCCTCAACATCGTCAACCTCGGACTTCTCGAATCGACTCGCATAACAGACGTACATTTCTCTCCTAAGCCGAGCTATTCAATCAGCGGGTTCTATCTACCACCAGAATCCCATAAAACTAAGTGAAAAACCTTGATCGACGTTTCCGGAAGAGGCAATTACAAAAATTTCGAAAGAAACTACACCGTCAGGTTCGATACTGGAAACACTCGAGGACCCCGCGGAATGCCCCAATTACACAAATACGCATCAAAGCGAGCACCGAAAAATTCATCCAAAAGTGCCAAACGTCTCACTACTCCCGACATGTCGCCTAAAGGAAAGGCCGTGGGCCATTCAAAGAAGGGAAGCCACTCTCGGCTCCCAGGACACACTGCATTTGAGCGTAAACGCCGTGCATCTTCATCCTCTGTTTCAAGTGTCTCCTCAGTATCATCTCTGGAGGAGCTGAGCGAAGCTGAGGATTCCTCCTCAGACGATGCAGACGATGAAGAAGACCGGCCGTCGGCGAAGACTCCGTCTTATGGCCGTCGTCGTAACAATAATCGTATAGCAGGGCGTCAACATGCTCAAAATAAGCGCAGGCGTATATCAGACGATGAAGACTCTGATGATCAGTTCAGCAGTGCTGTCAGTGAGTCCGAGGACAGTTCGGATGATGTCTATGCCGGTGTGGACTATATTTCCGATGCCGAAGATGAAGAACAAGATGTGGAAAAATTAGAGGAAATGATGATCATGCAGTCCGAAGTCGACCAACATACGCCCTCCGGTCTTGATACCCAAGAGTGGCAGGGTGCTGAAATCTTCGGCGATTCCATGATACTGCCCGCAGCTTCATTCTTCGACGATGAACAATTATACCTCGCCATGGAGAACTTCGGTGAAACCGATATGGCCAGCGAGGCTGTCGAAACTCCGGTTGCCCGCCGAGTTCACTTCGAGGAGCGATCGGAGTCGTCTTCCGACAGTGACTCTCACACTGAAGACGAGATCCCCAGTGATTTCCTACAACAAGACGCCTTGGACCCCCAACTCCGCAGAATGATTGAAAATGATAGTGAGAACCACCGTAGTCACCGCCGGCAATCTGAAGAGATTTTCGGTGACCTTGACTACGGCCATGCCAACATTTACCATGTCGACTCCGAAACAACCTCCGAAGGGAGCCTTAGTGGATATGAGAGTATGTTGGCTACCAACTTTTTTTTTCCCTATAATATCTTTGCTAAACTATAGCCAGCCGACGATGGTGACACTACTGACGAAGACCTTCCACCTCCTGCTACCATCACTCACCCTCGATCTCTGCTTCGTCGAGACTCGACCGACTCCTTGGTCGCCATGGATGACAAGACAGACAACATCCCACGACGACGCGGTCCGATCATGGGAACTTTCGTGGCTGATCCTCACAAGCCTGTGGCTTTGGTTGACTGCACCGGGAAACATCTCGTTATCATTCCTGCTTACGCCTCGTCCCGCCATGACTGGTTAGAATCGGCTGCCAACAGCATGCCAGGCACCGCCAACAACAGCCCCCGCCAGACCACTCTCCAGTTAATTGACGAGAGCGACACTGACGCTCTGGCCTCCCCCAACCAAACCGACTTTAGCCCCATGCTTGCGTCGAGTGCCAATCTCATGATGACCGCTCTTGGAAATGATCTTACGCCAGGCGGCCAAGTAATGGGACCTCCAGAGGCTTTTTACCCTTCGCAGGAATTCACCATCGATAGCTCCTTTGAAGACGATGATGAAGATGACCCCGAGTCTGCCCTTAACGTGGATGATTTTATTGACTTTGGAAATGGATCATCCGACGAGGAGGACATGGGTAAATTTGACGATGAGACGCTCATCTCTCCCATGGCGACTGGACACAGGTCTTCAATGGGCACACCAACTCCTACCCGTAACGCGGAATCCCAGCCAGATGAGCGATTCCTTAACCACCTCGACCAAGGCATTGTCACCGCCTTCCGTCGTAACAACACCCGTTACCAGACTCTCCTCCGCCTCCCACAACACCGGGAGTTCATGCCTGCCAACTCTCCAGCAAAGACCGCTAGTGTTTTCCGCCATTCCAAGCATGCCGATCAACGCACGCCAACTCGGAAACGCAAAGCAAGTGGCTATGCAGGTGGTGGTGAGGCTGTTCGCCGCAAACTGATGGATGCTCAGCGACGTACGCAAGTCCCCCTGTAGGCCTTGCCCAGCAAAAAAAGAAGACTCCTTCTCCTCCATGGAATGAGGCTTCTCCTGCATCCCCCAGGAATTTATGATTCTACGAAGTTTCGATTGTTTCTCTTGACAAGATCGCACGATACACACGGACGCTGCAATGTACCGAGTCGCTGGCAGACTATTTTCTCTGTGCCACTGATGGCCTTCCTGATCACCGTTTAAAGTCATTTCAAATATCTTTCCCTCCCCTTTGATTTTCTGCCAGATAAGTGATTAGTCTATCTGGCTCGACTCAGCAGGGTTGGCCGTCTGTGCACCTTTATTCTATGCTGTATTCATAAGACCGATGCGGTTATTCCCTCAAAAAGTTGATCGCTTGCATTATCACGTTAGATGTGACATGCCAATTTACATTCTTTCCTTTATGTTCTGCCAAGGTCTCCTCAGCGGAGATGATGATGATACCTTGTTTTGCTTTTCTGGAGTTGGCTGTGCGTTTACATGAATTATGGACTGTGTTTTAGTATCGGCAATTTTCAACAACATTTACAATCATCTCTGATGTATCCGTAATTGATCCCACCCGCACTGTCCTAGGTAATCATTGAGCACAACTACCAAGGTTGCTGACTCCCAGTCTTCCCGCAAAAAATAGTCGTTTCCGATCGCGCGCAAAGCTACTGGGACCCAAAAACCGGAGTAATGACAGAACCAATCAGATAATCCCCCACTATAAGTACAAGCATCCCCCCAGTGTCAGTGCATAGCCCCAGTGTTTCAAGTGCTCGATTCATATTTGAGAACCAAGTAGGCCGGACTCAACCCACAAATTGTCACCAGGTGAGCCATCGACATTGTGGTTGCGAACACATTTTCTGCTTCGCACGGGAAATTCGGTTGCAAGTAGATTGAAGACGATGGATATCGCCCCCTGTCTGGTCTTGCTAGGAAATACGTAAGATCAAGCGAAGGTGCGCATACTCGTCAACAGCAACCGAAACAAGAAGCTTCCTCCAGTTCGAGGCCCAAGAGCGGTGCCTGAAACGTGGATACGCAACCACGCTGCGGGGACAGAACAAGTACAATGCGACCTTGTGCAAGGGCAGCGGCTCTTCTGCGACTACCCGCCGGCGCTACTACGCCGTGGTAGTATTACTCTCTGTGCTCCATTAAGTGAATGACATTATGCGACTAGAACAACTCGCTACGTAACATTATGAAGAAGCCCAGGTGATTCGTGGGTATTTTTAGGCGCCAGCGCTTGAACCTGGGAACAAAGGTATAGTGCGACGCTCAGCCTGGAGGAAACAGGAGGCGCCAAATCAGGATCTTCTCTGCCCGCGAGACATTAAAAAGGAGTTTCAGAAACAGTGACCATTAGATTCATGCGAAACGTGTCACAGCACGTGGGGTACCTAAACTCTGAAACGGGGAGAGGATGCCCTACAAGGCCCCCCCCCCTCTTGGAACGGGAACAATTACTTGTTTCGCTAGTTTATGGTTTGTTATTGTCCTCGGCTAAAACATTTAAATGACGACAATTGTTCTCCGATCTATTCTCCGATCCATTCTCAATTTTGAGGCATCATACGTCTTAAGCTTGGCAGTCGTCAAAATAAAACGACCTTGGTGGCGACGCCACAGACTGCCACCATCGATCATGGACGTGATCCGAGGGCCGGGGGCGTAATGATTGATCGGGCATATGCACAACCCAGGCCACCCCCCCTCCCTCCCATATTACAGGTTGCCAGGAACAGAGATTTCTGCACCAATCATTACTAGCTCGTTAGTTATTTTGATGTTGTGAGGCTCGAAGGATCTGGTTGGACAATTGGAAAGCCGCCCGGCGCGAACTACCAGGTCCACAGTTGTTGGGCTTCGAGTAGCTTGATTCTGGGCGAGGGAAACCAAAATAGCCCACAGGCGACAATAATACCCCAGCCAGGTACCTGAGTGGTAGCCGCATACCCTGTTTAGGATCATCGGTGGGGTGATCTCTAGCCACAGGCGTCCGGGCGCGACGCCGGCGCTAAGGACGACTTCACAGTGAACACAGTGCAGGAGTGGAGCTCGGTAGACCGGTTGTTCCTAACGAACCTCTCGAAAAGAATAGTTCTGGGGTATTTTCGGTAAAAGCCACAGTAAGCAAGCCAGCCGTTATAGTCTGCTGTCATAGAGAGGTAGATGTATTGAAGGCGTCCGTGGTGTCCTCCACGCCAGCCCAGCTCTGCAGGCGGGTGGCTTGGATACTGTAACGATCGCCGCACTTGTGAATCCCTCACTAGATATGAAAAAGACCTTGATCAGTTCTAAAATATTCCTTAAGATATACATAAATGCATATTCAATGGGATATGCAATTTTCTTCAAGTCTTCTGCCCATGTAAGTATCCGTAGAATCCGTGTCGATCTCGCGCCGCGTAGGCTATTTTTGGGGCTAGGGCGCTGTGATTGGCTGGAGGGAAGTATTATAGTCGCCCATGAAGGATCAGCAATTGCGCACCTGCAGAAGTAGCTCCCGCAGATTAACCGCCCTGGCCATTGTGGCTCTTAGCTTGTTCCTGTTCCTGTCCCTGTTCGCGTCGAGTCCTATAGGCTGCCTGTATGGGCCACTGCTTGTTTCAGCATGTACTCCACATCGTGCCGATTGGAAGCTCACACCACCACTGTAACATGTCTGAGATCGGCAGACTGGAGGGAGGTTTGGGTCAGATTCTAGGCTGCAGGCTAGGTGGGGTATGGGGTTTCTGTCTTTTCTGAGCGCATATTAAAAGAGAGCGCAAGCCCATGGTGAAAGGGTGAATAGAGTAGGCAGTTTTTTCACTAGAGTCCCGGTGACCGCCAGTTCGTTCTTTGTTTTTCGTTTGCTGTTTACTTTTTATACCTCCAACTTCTTCTTTCATTCTTCCTTCTTCTTTCTCCTCCAAGTTTCTGTAACTTCCCCCCGCGCAGTCAAAGACTGGTTCAAGGATCTTCCTTGTGCTACATCTTTGCTTGTTCGTTCGCTTTTCTTCGTCTCCCTTTCTGGTTTCCAGACTCCTAGGATTCCAGTTCGGTTAAGATACAAGAAGCACGTTCGTTTCCCGGCCTAGTGCCTATCTGCATTGTTTTTATCTTCGGGACTTCCTGTCTGTGACAGTAATCCTCCAAGATGAAGACAACGCCCACTTTCGTTCACCTCTTTTTGGTGCTCATTGTCACCACCTTGGTACGTGTCTACACGCGTCTAAACGCGAGGCTCAACTAATACTCATTTCTTTACCAGGCCCTCGGTCGCCTTGAAACCTCTGAGTCCAAATGTCTTGATTCTCAGCAAAATGGCTTTGACTGGTCCGGCCTCTCAGTTGGTCCGTTCTCGACCTTTGAAGGCTTCAACTTCCGTGGTTTCAAGTGCAGCAACACCTTCGCTAGCACCAGTGCTCGTACTCGTGATGTATGTTTTCATGTTGTCGTTGTGGCTGAACTTTAATTGACCCCACCACTAGATCAAGTCTATTACTGGCACTGCAACTAAGGCTAAGGGTGTCACTGTGCCTTCGTTTTCTACCAAGGACAACACTCACTTCTCTATTTCGACTCTCCATGTGGCAACTTCCGAAATTGCTAACTTGGACCTTGTTCATACGTTGGCTGATGGATCTACTTGCCATAACTCCGTCTCGGTCAGTCCTAAGGGTACCACCATCCCTGACAACAAGTGTGCTGGTGCCACCTCGGTTGCGTTTGAGCTTCCTGCAGACAGCAAGCACAACAGTGTCGACTTCGCCGTCTACAAGATCTCTTTTGACTGCACCTCTGGCAAGGGCTCTGAAGATTCTGAATTGAAGAAGCGTGCTATCAGTGTCGGTCCTCCATCGACCCCAGCGGCCGAGTCTACTCCTCTCGCAGCAACTACCCCAGCTGCTGGGGCGTTGACCGTTTCCGTCGCTTCAACTCCTCAGGTTGTCCCAGTCTCAAGCTCAACCACATCTGCCGTTGCCCAAACTTCGGCTGCGTCTTCGAGCTCCGTTGTGGCCTCTGTGTCTACCTCATCGGCGGTTACCTCGTCCAGCTTTGCGGTTGTTAGCTCATCCAGCAGCTCTACCGCCCACTCAGTCTCTGCGCCTGTGGTTGTATCTTCGTCAGTGGCCTCAGCTAGCTCCGCTTCCTCGAGCTCTGCGGTTTCTTCAAGCCCCGCAGGTGTCGCCAGCGCATCCAGCTCCAGTAGCTTCTCGACTCCCTTGGCTTCAGCTTCCTCGCTCCGTGGTTCCTCTCCGGCTGTCAGCTCTTCCCCGGTTGTCACCAGCACCCCGGTCAAGCTCACAACTTCGACAATCTACACCACTAGCGAAATCACTGTGATTAGCTGTGCGCCAGAAGTGACCAACTGCCCCGCTCACTCCACTGTGATCGTTACTTCCACCATCCCGGTGCGCACGACTATCTGCCCAGTGACTGAAACTGAGACTGCTCCCGGCGCTACTTCGACCCCGGCTGGCTCTGGTGGTGTGCAGCCCGTTTCTAGCGTGATTTCTTCCACTCCAGTCCCTTCGAGCCAATCGTCGGTTTCGGTTTCAGTCCCCGTCTCAACGCCAGGCTCGAGCCCTGCTGGCAGCTCCCCGTCGGTGTCTGTTCCAGGCCCTGCGTCGATTTCGGTTTCGGTGCCTATCTCCCGTTCAGCCTCCGGTACTGCTGTGGGATCAACCACTCCTGCAGTTAGTGGCCCGCCTAAGCTGACTACTTCGACAATCTACACCACTAGCGAAATCACTGTGACTAGCTGTGCGCCAGAAGTAACCAACTGCCCTGCTCACTCTACTGTGGTCGTTACCTCCACGATCCCCGTGCGCACGACTGTCTGCCCGGTGACTGAAACTGAAACTGGCCCTGCTGGTGCATCGTCGACTCCCGTTGTCCCTGTTCCCAGTGGCACATCTCCTGTGTCTTCCTCGGTTTCGGTTTCGGTGTCCACTCCAGTTGTCCCCTCGGCCAGTGCTCCTGTCAGCTCTCCTAGCCGAGTCCCCCTCGGGCTCATCTCCAGTGACTGGAACTGTTTCGTCGTCTGTTCCGGTTGGTAGCTCGTCTGTCCCTTCGGATTCAACCGTGACAGTCGTGACCTATACCACCACCACCTCGTGCCCGGTTACTGAAACCCACACTTCCGGATCTTCGACGTATGTCTCCACTGGTCATACCGTTTCAACCGTCACTTTGACTTCGACTGCGACAGTCTGCACTCGTTGCTCTGCTACAACCAGCACTTCTCCTGGTATTCCTGCCACGACTTCTGTTGTGTCTGTATCTGCTCCGAGCTCCTCGAGCCCGGTGTCTACACCCCCGATCTCTGTCCCTCGTCCGTCTAGTGTGGCTCCTGTCTCGACCTCTGTCCCAGACTCTACCGTGACCGTTGTTACTTACACCACCACGACCGAGTGCCCAATCACTGAGACTCACACTTCGGGGAACCTCGACCTTCGTTTCTACTGGCCATACCATCTCGACTGTGACTTTGACGTCTACTTCTACAGTATGCACCAAATGCACAGCTGGCGCTACCACTAGCACGGCGGTTGTTTCTGCCTCTAGCCCGGCTCCGACTGTCACGGGCCCTACCGGTGTCAGCCCCGTATCAACTCCTGCTGTTCCTGAAGAGTCGACCATCACCGTCATCACTCGCACCACAGTCACTACTTGCCCTGTTACCAGCACTGTCACTACTGGTGGAACCTCAACCGTTATCACAACTCACTCGCTGTCCACAGTCACAGTGACCGACACTTCCTCCATCGCTGTTACCTCCACAGTTCCCGTTTCAACTGTGCCAGCTACTCCCATTGTTACTGTAATCACTGATACCTCTTCAGGAGTGAAGACTGTTACGGTAACCCCGCCTCCGGTTATTGTGACTGGTAGTGCCACCGGTGTCAGCCCTCAGTCGACCCCAGAGGCTGCTGGATCAACTGTGACTGTTGTGACCTACGTTACCACCACTGAGTGTCCAGTTACCGCAACAGTTACCTCTGGTACCTCGACTCTTGTGACCACCTCAAGCACTATCTCGACAGTGACCCTGACTAGCACATCCACTATTCCTGTCATCACCCCCGCTCCAGGTGCTAGTGCTGGAGCAACTTCAGTGGTGCCAGGGGACTCTACAGTCACTGTTATCACTCGCACCACCGTCACTTCGTGCCCGGTGACCAATACCATCACTAGTGGTGGATCCACGAGTCTGCAGACTACCCACACTCTGTCCACTGTTACTCTGACAGAGACTTCGACTGTCTGCACCAGGTGCATTGGAGGTGTAAGCCCAACCTCGCCACCTACTGTCGGCTCTGGTGAATTCTGCCCCGGAATTGTGACCGAGTGCATTAAGGAGGAGCTTGCGCTCACTCGCAACCGCACTTCTGTGAGCAACGCTGGATTCTACTGCCCTAGCAAGAATGCCACTTCATTCATTCAGTCTTGCATCAGCAAACGTGGTACCTCTGACTCTGAGGTCGCTTCGGCCCTCTCCTGCTTCGCTGGAATTTGCGCCAAATGGGTCGGTCAGAACCCCGGTATCGTGACTGGTATTCCCAAGAGCATCACTCCCACTCCTCCTGGCGTCGCTCCTACCGCCTCCGGAGTGACCAGTGGCCTTGCTATCACGCCGGCTCCCGGACGGTGCACAACTCTCACCTATTCGACCTACACTGTCACGGCGCCCATTGTTACCTTCGTGACCACTGTAGCGGGAGCCTCTCCCACTGTCATCGTGGTTCCCGTCGGCGCGAGCAGCTCTTTGTCGTACCTTCCAGGGGGCCCACGTGCTACTCCACTGTCGTCCATGCGCTCGTCGCTGATCCCCAGCTCGGCGTCCAAAGCTAGCTCAACTCCCGCTGCCTCTGTGAGCCTGGTTCCACGCTCCAAGCACACGAACGCGGCCTCGTCTATGTCTTTCGCTTCCAGCTTGGTGTTCGCTTCCTCGCTGCTTTCATTGCCTTGATTCTCTAGATTCTAGGCCGCTTTCGCTGCAGGCCAGCTCGAGCCCATTGCCATCTATTTTCCTTTTTCGAGATCTGCCTTTGTCTCTAAACTACCGAGTCTAGAGCAGTTACTCTTTCCCACCAAGTTTAGTTTGTTTTGCTCAGGCACGCTTAGTCGGCCAACCCATGATTTGTGATTGAAATCTCTAATGCCTTAACGGTGGTTTCCTTTTTCATGTACTGCTAGAACTTCTATCACAATAAAAGTGATCCGATTTCCACCTTCAGTCTTTTGTAGGATTTCTTTTTCGCATGTAATATTGGGACCTGTGATTTACTACTTCCGGTTAGTTTTGCCGTTCCCGGCCTAGCGCCCCAATACGCGGTTTTGTCACCTCTCCCTCCATCGCTCCGACATAAAAGACAAGGTCTGCCCTCTCGACCTCTTTTTCCTTCCCTCTCCCTCTCGTCAACTCCTCTATCTTGCACTCATCGCCGCCCCCTTTCTTCCATTCCGGCCCCCACCGACCATTGCGCCTTGGCTTTCAGCCCGACGCACTAGCCCTTTCATTTTAACGGAGATGCCGCTCGATCCGACGCCCAGCTCGTTCTGGCTCTTGAGCTGGAATGGCATTCGCACAGGAGCAGAACCACTGGGATGATCCAGCCCGTAGCCGCACCGTGTGATTTCGTATCAATAATCTTACTCATCCCCAGCGAGTTGTGCATAATGCTGCGAACCTATCTAGGTCTCCCTCTGCCTGTGCGCCTTGCTCGTCTCTGATTCCACGAGCCTTCTTCACATCTGCAAAGTGCTGGCACACCCTTGGGGCCGCATGCCCCGCTCTGTCCGCCCCATCTGAGGTTACACTACACCGCCCCGGCATCACGGAATTGCGCTCGGTTGCCTGACCACGAATGCCTTCACGCCGAGGTTGTCGTCATCCTCGGTCTCTCCGGTTCATCTACACCCAGTCGATGAATATTCGAAAGCATAGCCCGGTGATATGGGCCAATAGCAAAAATGCCGCACACGCCCCTGACTTTGGTCGATGCTGCGTCATGCGACCAATTCTAGACGGCGACTGCGAAAACCATACTACGATCATACTGTGACCTCGCTAATTGAGAAACGGCCAAGGACAGGCTAATGAATTGTATTGGCATGCATCGCAAAGGCGTCAGCGAGGCGTATGGAGAATTGTCGCCAGTGAATCATAGCCCGTGGTTGTGGACTATGAAACTGGCATGGTCTCGCGTCCATGGATGCAATCACCTCTTGCAGGATCTGGCCGAGATAGTCTGCACTTGGTACACAATCGCCCGTGTACAGCGGGGCTTCAACTCTGCCTGGGGGGCGCATCCGTATCGTTTCGGAACCGAGGAAGACCGGACTGTCTCAGCCGCTATTCGTGCCAGCCAGTTGGTGGTGGATAACGAGAGTTGACGAAGAGATAACAGTAACACTCCGTCATTTCACGATGATCGCAAGACTTCACGGCGCCCATGTCGAAACTCGGGAACGATCTCTGAACCTGAGGGAAGGCATCCCCGGGCGACTGCGCCAGTACGCACGCCAGCGTCCCTTTTTTTCGACCTACACGGATTTTTCTGCCGTCGTTCGCATTCCGGAGCTTTCACAGCCACTTTCGCCGAGTGCGCATCGCCGCCGAAACCCCGTTGCCTTCATGATCGATTGGCAGAGAGGTTGAGATGGACGGATAAGAAAACAGGGCTGTACACCTGGAGTAGGAGGGATCCACTGACTCGAGAAGATGGGGAAGCCTTTGTCTACCCGTTGGTGCGTCCTGCCGTTTCGTCTGCGGCCCTGTGCCATGGAACGACTGGCAAGCAGAGCTCAATCGACTTGGTGGTGACAACTGGGTACAGACGATGCGCAGACAGGTCGTTCCCTAGAAATAGCAACAGCACTTTGCGGTATGGCTATTGGATCAAGTGGATGAGCGCGCGGGTCATTCGTGCCGTAGTACCCTACAAGGTGCATCAGTCACAGAATCGACTGGCAGGCAGGTCTCATCCGAATGCCATCATGCCGGAGCAGCTTGAGGCTCCTCCGAGCGGGTCCACCTCAGCCTAGAAGTTGAACAAGGCGTGATCGGTCTGACGAGAGGTATAAAGCCATCTATCTCGCACGCCGTCTTCGTGAAAAAAAAATCCAATTTGGTCATTCTATCTCAACCAAGTGCTCAGTTTTCCCTACATCATCCAAACGTAGTTGTTTCAATCTTCTACTGGCTCTAGTCACTATGGCCTCTTCTACAGAAAAAGCACACGAAACCTTGTGTAAGGGATCTCTTACAACCATAATTGATTTCGCTAACTTGATGTTGTGAAGCTTCAATCCCCACTGGGTTATGCGAATGGCCTGAAGTGGTCGTACGCGATTCCATCGTTTCCCCCGAGTTAGGCACGCAGGCCAATCCTATCGTCATCGGCGATGATCTTGCTCCATTGGGCTCGGCTTCCAATCCCATCGTGATCTATGTTGGCGAGTGTTCGTGCCGTAATGGGACAGACCAGGTTGGTTTTGATGCCGACACTGAGATCATGACTACACTGGAATGCTGGGAGACGTTGATTGACGGAGACTTCACCGTCCCTGCAGACGAAGGTGAAGCTGTTGTCCATCCGCCAATCAGATCGCTAGTCCGTGAGGACCCAGAAGACCTTCAATCATCTGAGCAATCATCCCCGGACTTTTCTCTCTTGGATGACAAAGCACTGAAAGCGACCGAGAGTTCGTTCTACCGGCTGCAGAATTGTTCTGGTCTTGAGGCTCCAAGCAGCGGGAACACCCGAAATGGCCATAAGGTGCGCCTGGCGGATGACTATTTGTCGATGTTATACCAACGATTTCTAGAAAGCGAACCAAGCATGGAGAAAGGAAAGGTTTTCAAGGCCAAGGAAGCTCGCAGTACGCCCGAAATCTCTTCGATGACCCGCGACGCCGTTCCACAAGAAACAACAGACCAAACCGATACTTCCCTTGGAAAGGACGTGTCATGTGACTCCTGTAATGTGCGATCAACGAAACGCAGATTATCGCACGGCGGACGAGTCTCTTCTGAGCTCAGACGATCAGCGCGATTGACCAAAAGAGCTAGAACTTGACGGTGATGGTTCCTTTCATCGTGCATTCATTCTTTGCAAATCATTGAGTGCCTTCCCATTCTTGATGACCGCTTCTTCCGCCGTCCCTCCACCGTCTACAGAGTAAAAATATAATATCTGTATTGATTTATAATCGCCAACCATGCAAACCAGACACTATTAGACACTATTTTATACTAAAATCCAGACGTCTAATAAGTCGGTGACACAATTTGCAAATTGCTAAACGGACCGGCGGATGTCCAGGCTTGAAGGTCAAGACTAAGCGTCATAAACTCGCATTATGGAGAACCTTAGACAATTAATTGGACAGTTTCAGTCTCTGAATACAGCCCCTCGTGTGAGGTAAGAGCCAAACTCGTGAAAAGAAGTATCGATCCCGGAGTAGATCACGTTCTCTCAATCCCGCTTATGATCTCTCCAGGATGCACACCCAGGATGCACAGCTCCTCGTCATTGATATTTCACAGCCCCATTCTTTTGTGCGCTCATATGTCCTTGTTGTTAAGCGTGTTCGTGCGAAAGTAATACACCCATTTTGTTCTGAGGAGCCTGAAGAAGGCAAGATGAAATGGCCACCTTTCTTAGGCTTGTTATGGCGATTTGGATCTATGCAGTGTGTGAGTAACTTATAACAGTAGCTCAGTGAAGATATCTACCGTCACAATTTGAGTCTGTAGGTTGGTTTGTACACAGGCAAGTATCGTCAAGCCTAACGAAATAGCAAATAATCCTACAGAGCCAATGGACGCCATCCACAAGGCTCGTTGGTGCCGGGTAGCAGCGGGGCACGGATAGTGCCAAAATGATTTAAATGGACTTGTATCCATACGCCATGGCCTCATGCATATGACCCACGCCCGAATAATTTGGGCATGAATGAAGCTGAGGCCAGCAAAAGCGATGATGATAAATGAAGAAAACAAAATACTGCGCTGCTCCTGCATCTTTCGGTCAATATAGTACACACAACATGTAGAGCACAATTGAAACGCACCGGAAAAGAGATGGAAAGTGATAGAATGGTGACCGCACTCAAGCATAATAAGGCAGATATCATATGGGCTGTCCAGTGCTGTAGAGTAGAAACACATAGATACTGGCAGACGTCAGTATCGCTCTCCTTCTATTTCATCACCCTCACCTCGTTTAAAATGACCAAAATAAGCACGCTGCTTATTTCCAGCTGCAGTATCAGCCAAGGCAGATCTGAAATATGATTAGGGAGGAAGTTAAATTGGCTAAAGGAGCAACTTACTGGTCTTTAGGTTTGCTGTCAAAATCGATAGTAAAATGGAGATGATTGATCCCAGGAAGACAAAAGCACCTATGGCAGCTTGAGCGGCGATGAGTGGTTCGTTTTTTAGTCTTTGCCAGCTCATAGCCTTGATCGAAATGAGCCAGAGGACAAGACTTGATCCGTAGCAAATTGATGCTATCGTCGACGCAGTCAGTTGGAATACCAGCTCGGAATCCATTGGAGTTTGTTTACTCAGTCAAAGACGGTACATGTCCATTTTAAATATATATAAGATGTTCTGAATTTCCAAAATCTGGCATGTAAGCTTGTGCCACCTTCTCGACTACGGTTTCGTCTAAGGCTCTACGGCTCTACGGCAAGACAAGATCAAAAAAGCCGCCAATTTTTTTTACTCTTCCAGGCGTCATAGCGACGTGTTTTGGCTTGGTAGCACACCCTGTGATAAGGTCAAGTGGATCATTGGGAGGGGGAGGTGATATCCGTCCCGCTGAAGGGTGTAACTTAGACCCCAAGGCAGCTGCTATGTGCCGAGCATTATGGAAGAGGATCGACAGATGGAAGAAATGGAGGAAGAAACAGAGGAAGAAACAGAGGAAGAGATAGAGATGGAGGAAGAAATGGAGGAAGAAATGGAGGAAGAAACAGAGGAAAGAGAGGTAGAGATGGAGGAAGAAATGGAGGAAGAAACAGAGGAAGAGATAGAGATGGAGGAAGAAATGGAGGAAGAAACAGAGGAAGAGATAGAGATGGAGGAAGAAATGGAGGAAGAATTGGGGGAAGAGATAGAGATGGAGGAAGAAATGGGGGAAGAGATAGAGATGGAGGAAGAAATGGAGGAAGAAATGGAGGAAGAAATGGAGGAAGACATGATATTCGAGTGGTCCAAGACCCTACGCAGCCCCACTTCCGTCCTGCAAGTGTCAGAAAGTCGAAGGGTCTTGACTCTACCTGCAGATTTTAGGATTTACAGGCGTTGAAAGCTGTAAATACGCAATATGCAACAAAGATTTAACGGACTTATCTCCGGTTCTGTAGGTTATAAAACCTGGAGCTTCCTCATCATTTTACAAATTTCCCCCTTCAAGCAATACCAGGTCCCCAGAGCGAATCCAACGTTGGCTCTTCACATCAGTCTATCTTGACTTCGAATTCTCAACAGTTAAATTTCTTTGCCCAATATGTCCATCGGCGAATACTCTGTCGACCATTTTCAGAACCTTCCCTCCCTCGAGATTGCACGCACCAACTTTATGAAGCTGAATGGCGATGACCTTGTGAAAGATGTCTTCAAAAAATTCTTCATTGAGCAGGGAATGGATCGCACGTTTGGTCTCGCCATGCTTCATCGTCATTTTGACCTCGAGCCTGGTGAGATGCTTGTTGATTACGAAGGTACATCTGTACCTTGGAACGCGGGCCATGTCTCCGGAATGAAACCTCCTCAGCCTGCTATTTGGGCAGTCTCATCTGATGGTGAATTCAAACCGACTGAGTTCTATTTCTCGGAGGGGGAGGGCCTGACTATCGGGGAGGAAGAATTACGTTTCATGAAGCGCTTTCAAGAATTACTTCATGAGCACAAAGTTACCCAATCATTTGGTCTCTGCCGATATCCTGGAGACGATTTCAATGGCTTGTGTGAAATCACTCATGGAAGAGCCAACATCAACCTGAAACCAAATGATGTACGTGGAATCCAGGACGTATGTTGAGGCGGTAGCTAACTTGACCTGAATCTAGTGGCCAAAAGACCTAAGTGCTGTGGACACAGCTTGGTTTTTTTCCGAACCAATCTGGACTCGTGGATGCCGATGCACCTGCAATGCAAGCAGTCCTGATCACCCTCATGGAGTTCACATTTACACTATGTCTGGATAGGGACGGCAGTAGTGCCGTGAGACTTTGCTGCTTTTGTCTAAGATGACAAAAGTTACGATAGCTTGTGACAGCTTGCGTCACGTTCCTCTCCTTAAATGCGCTTAACTTTAGCTCTATACACTCTCTACAAAAGAATTGCCTTTGGTCCATTATGTGAACAGTATGCTGTAGTGCGTGATGTATGGACAGATTTTCACAATCTGGGCATAAATATGTTTCTAATATCGAAGCTACGTGTGTATTTTGAAATCTTGCAGTGCATATGCGCAACTCAACGTAATGATTCTTCCATTGGATTGGGACGGTCTCGGTTAGTTTAATCCAACGAGGCGGAAGTCTGGAGTACCAATCAAAGGATGCGGAAAGCCACCAAGCACAGCCACGATTAGTTATCAGTCACGGAAGCTGCGACCGAGAAAATATTTAAATACTGCAACGAACACAGTCGGCTGGCCGCATTCATATTAAATCATGCAGCAACAGTCTTTCTACGAGAATAATATTCCCATCGCCATATCCCAACTTCGAAGCGATAACCAAATTCCTACCCTGTGTCAGTACTTTGACGGTGGCCAATGTCGCGTATTCAAGGTGACCTTTACGGACGGCGAGAGCTGGGCCGTACGAGTGCCTCTTTTTGTCCACCATGCTTCACAGGACACTCTTATACAGCTTCTTGAGTCCGAAGCTCGTATCCTTGAAGAGCTTGAGTTGACGGGGTTCTCATGGGCTGCAAGGCTCCGGGGCTGCAGTCTCACATTCGATAATGCGATCGGATACCCCTTCATCGCATTGACATGGATTCCGGGCAGCCAGCTTTCATGGTCCGATGAATTTCCGACGCGGCCTCTTCGAAATAAAATCCTAGATCAAGTTGCGGTGTTGCACACATCACTGATTGAATGTACTAAAGAGACCAGTATGTTCAATGCCTTGCTTGTTCAGACCGAGCCGTACTCACAATTTCAGGGGGATCTTCCCTAAAGCATTTCACCCGGATAATCCAGAACAAGACTCGTCGAGTCCGCGATGGTCTCCTTCCAGGAATCACGGAACAGGACTGCTCTGACCAAATGAACATTCTCTCTAATGTTCTTTTACCTGAACTTGATGAAGCACCTTTCGCCATTGCCCATGGCGATCTATCACCACAAAACATACTCATAGATGCACAGCACAATGTCACAGGGTAAGTGAGGAATTTTTACGGGTCGCAGCCAAGGTGCTGACTGCTGAAGCATTATCGATTGGGGGTTTTCATCGAGGGTGCCCTTCCAACAGGCAGCCTGTTTCCCCCGATTTCTCCACCTCCAGAACCTTGACATAGCACCAAGTTCTACTCTCCTGAAAGACCGGGAGACGTACATCGCCTCCGTTCGATGCCAGAAATCACCAGCAGTGGCATCGATGATGATTCAAGTGCTATCATCCGAAAATGCTGACTTTCAGCACTGCTTTCTGGAATCGATCATAAGCAAAGGTATGCATCGACGACTGGCACGCAACGGATGGAGCCTTTCATCTTGCGCACAAGGCAGCAATGGGAAAGGTAATGAAAACAGAAGCAGAGCTTCCTCGTCTGTTCAAGATCATATTTTCGTATACTGCATCGCTGGCATGATGATGACGCTGGCCTTTTATATCCGGGGACGGGGTACATGAGCCATGTTTTCAGCTTCAAGCTCCAGGGAATATATGTTTGGCAATGCTTTTTCAACACGATTATTCTAATTGTCTAAGTCCAGAGTACATGCCACAGGAATGGAACCTTTTCAAGGATCTGGACGGAGAGCCCTCAAATTCAAATAAACAAATTTCATACCTCCTACTAAAATTCGGCATTTCGTCATTTATTCAACTCGCCCTATCGAGCCCTGTATCGCTGCCCAACGCGGGGCACCTATCTAGAAATAGCCACGTGACTACACCCCCACGTCGGTTTCACTCGGAATTTAAACCACATCTCTTTTCCACCACCCCTCTTCAACGATAACCATGACTCCCCCATCTGCAAAGATAACGCAGACACCTTGAAAATTTGCCGTAACAAGAACTGTGAACGCTCCTTATGAAACGCTATATCTACAGGACTACAGCTTACACTTGTCGCATTAGTCCTCTGCTTTTCCTCTATTGCGCCCGACGCGTCCGGGCAGTGATCATTTTGGCTCGTCAAAATTCCGTCGTGCAAGACCAACACTGTTGTCACCGAAAGATTCCTTACGTGTCATTACCTGATAAGTGTCTAAATGGTAGGTAGGTTATGCCGCATTCACCATTCTCAAAACTAATATGTTGCTAGTCTTTCGAAGAAAAGTCGCTCGTTTCTTCCATAGATTTCAACGACGTGCCTGAAAATCGTGTGACAATGATTGTTGGGAAAGGTCAAATGGTGTACTGGCAAGGAAGCAATGTCACTGTTTACGAGATCGATGATGAAGGGCAGGAACAGACAAGGAAACTTGTGGACATGCGGAATGGACAAGGCGTCGTTCCAGAGGGGGTCAAATTATACATCACCAAGGGGAAGGTGAAAGAAGAATGTTGAAGGACCTTTTGTCGAGTCATTGCAATCTATGTATATAGCTTCTTTTGTATTTCTAGCCCTTGAACGAGACCGAGCGATAGGCTGATGATAGCTCCTTTCTCGGTGATGATCATCGACACACATTCGGTCATTAATTTACCTTTTTCCATCTCTTGTATGCGAATACGGCTCTGTTTTATTGCCTGCTGTATTTCGGAACCAAACACCTGGGCAATAGCTTCATCATGCACACCTTTCAGAGTGACCTCGGAGTTGGGTATGGTCAGGCTGGTTCCCCTTGCAAAGCCAATATGTAGAGACTCTTTCACCCATTTCACTGTTGCATTAAATAGAGCCATCGCCAGAGCTTCTACATTTGTTTCACAAATATCGAGACTCAATAAACAGTCGACGGCGCCCCAAGGAGGAAACACAGTTGTCACTGATGCCATTGAACGCGTGATTCCGTTTACAAAAACAGAAGTGGTTCTGATGGCTCCGCAAATAAGACCTTTGAAAACAGCAGCAATGCCGTCGATGGATGCATGTTCAAATATTTCTTGTGTGTTGGTGATATCTGTATTTTCTTGGCTATCGTCTTGTGCGTGGGGTTTCGTAAGGTCTTGGTAAGCACGACAGTTTGGGATAGGTTCAGTTTGGCCTTCAAATGCGAGACTTTCCCGGTGATCTATTGGGTCTTGATCAGAAGCAGCAATGTTGAGAAAGCAGGAGGATTGAATCTCACGGTAATTTAAGGTTTGCTCACGAATGCCATCATCATGAAAGAGTTCAGGTTCCAAATTCATTCGATATGTAGAGGCACTAGCGATATCGACTCCCCCATGCTCGCTAGAAAGTTGACGGATGATTCCCTCACTTGTTGGCGAGATCCGGCGATTTTCGCTCTCACCAGCGTGGTTATCTTTGGATAGCCGCTCTGAGTTCAGCTGATTCTTCAAGATAGTCGTACAGTAAAAAAGTACTCAGTACTTACCCTCTAAGAGGGCTACTGCTTCAGTATCACCCGGAAGACTTGGAAACGATTGGTTGTTTATCAGTGTCCGATGTTGTTCCTCACTCAGCTTACTAATCAGCGCTTTGCGGTGGGCAGTCTTCATGTCTCTGACTTTATTTTGGCCAAGGGCCACAGCACATAAGCGTACAGCTTGCAGTCCACATTTTTGACGTACTAGGTCCAGAAACTGTCGATACTTGTGTTGACCGGTAGACTCCGATGGATGATTCAGTAAGGAAAATGCAGCTGAAACTTGCTTGGAGTCTCTATCTCCCAGGCGCTGGGTCGTGCTTAGTCTGCGGGCGACACACTCTACTCTCTCCCAGGCTTCTGCACTGGTGAGACATTTCCGAGAACGAGGCCGCTTGACAGCCTGAACCATGATAGAAAATGAAGGAAGAGATGGAGGAAGAAATGAAGGAAGAGATGGAGGAAGAGATGGAGGAAGAGATGGAGGAAGAGATGGAGGAAGAGATGGAGGAAGAGATGGAGGAAGAGATGGAGGAAGAGATGGAGGAAGAAACGGAGGAAGAAACGGAGGAAGAAACGGAGGAAGAAATGGAGGAAGAAATGGAGGAAGAAATGGAAGAAGTGGTGGAAGAGATAAAGGAAAAAGTCGCATAGTTCTTTTGTATCAGCCTCTGATTTGCTGACAGTGAGGGGTAAAGCGGGGCTAAGCGGGGCTAAGCGCAGCCAGTCCGTCCGTTTTCTTGCCATAACAAAACTTGTGACGACAGTAATTTTTGTTTAATGACGGGGCCTCGATTTACACTCCGCCTAAACAAGGCACTTTGAAGTAGCATCATGCGAGTTATCACCGCGTCTCATTTGATATGCATGTAGTCTTGTACGAACATCCCTGCAATAGAAACAAAGATAGAGGGACGGTCGACCGAGGTAGATATAAGAGGCGGTAATTTCTTGAACTTTTGACGATTCTTGCCATACTCCAATATTCTCAAGAACCAAAGATCTATCTTATCATCTTTTCGATCCACAATGAGCGCCATCAACGGAGGTGTAAACTACCACAACCCTACCCAGATATCTCTCATGGACATCCTGTTCCCCGGGCTTGGTGTGGTCTCTGCCTCTGCACAGCAACTGCTTGCCGGTAACATGAACAGCTACACTCGACTGCTTTGTAATTTGGGAATGTTTATCCTCTTCGCCCGCTATACTGTCCGCTATGTTTGGGAGCTAGTGAGAAGTTATTTCAGTTCGTATGCCTCCCGTTATGATAAGATGAGTCTGACGGTCTGAAGCCTCGACAATTTATGTCTCATACTACGACGAAGCATACGATATGCTAGTTGATTGGATAGCCGACCAACCCTTTGTCCACAATGCCCATTCATTGATTGCTCGTGTGAGATCCACACAGCGGACAAGCAACCTCTATTCAACAAAGAAAAAGCCTCTGACTTTTTCTCCTTGGGATGGATCATTTCTTTTCTGGTATAAGGGACATTTGCTCGTTCTCCACTGCGATGTTAAAGAGCATCGAGAAGATCTCCGCATCTCCTCTATTGGCCTCAATGCCAACATCCTGAAAATTCTGATCGAAGAGTGTCGAGAAAAGTATATTAAAAACACCCAAAGAAAGGTCTCTGTCTTCGAGAACCGCGAAGGGGAGTGGAAGAAGGCCAGGTTAAGACCAGTTCGACCCATCTCCACAGTCATAATGGACAACGAGGTAAAGGATGACATATTACGAGATGTGGACGAGTTTCTCGACCAAGATATGCAAGGTTGGTACGCAGAGCGGGGCATTCCCTACAAACGAGGCTACCTCCTTTTTGGACCACCTGGAACCGGGAAATCTAGCTTCAGTCTATCACTCGCGGGGAAGCATGAACTGGACATCTATACGCTTCAATTGTCGAATATTTCGGACACCACGTTGATGAGGCTTTTTGCTGAGCTTCCGCCACGTTGTATTGTTCTGCTAGAGGACGTGGATACCGCTGGGGTAGGACGTCGGGACAGCGTCGACGCAGACCAAGATAACGAGTCAAAGTCAGCAGTCACCTTATCCGGACTTCTGAATGTGCTTGACGGTGTCTCTTCTCAAGAGGGCCGGATACTCATTATGACCACGAATCATATCGAACATCTGGACGAAGCACTGATTCGGCCTGGCCGTTCAGACAAGAAAGTTCATTTCAAACTTGCCGATCAGAACATTTCGACTCAGCTCTTCCACACGGTTTTCAAGCAGTTGCCGAACCAAAAGCAATGCAACGAGAAATTTGACCAGGAGACAGTTGAGGGGCTTGCTCGCGATTTTGCCAGCAAGCTGCCCGAGCAAGTATTCAGCCCGGCAGAAGTTTTGTCATTTCTTTTGGAGCGCAAGAAGTCGCCCTATGATGCTGTTTCTGGCGTGGAGAGTTGGGTGTCGAAGACAGGGTATTGAAGAAAGAGGAAGGAGGTGGGGGGGGGGGCGAACGGGGACCGGGGACGACCGTAGGTTGAATCTCAGGGAGGAGATTGGTCAAGAAAGTCGTTCTGAGGGATTGTATGTTGGACGCGCCAATTAATTTGTCTTTTGTGAGCTTTCATCACATATCTTGAGAATACACGACAGCCACTGATCTCCACAAATTGCTTTTTTACGACCAATAACAGTGCGCGATCGCTCATCTGCGAAGTAATTCATGTTCACACACGTAGGCAATCTGTTTGGTGGTTTGACTGTCTCAAATTCAGAGCATACTTCCTTCTCCCTCGTTATCAGAGCGTGCGACCATGAGTCGACTCGAATGAGGCGAAGCCCAGGCCCCGGTGGCGTCACGTACAGACAGCGGCTGAGCTGTACACAAATCTTTGACCGGGTTTTCCCGCAGTTGCGCGATGACCACGTCTTGCATTCCCAGACTTTGGTTCAAGGGCACGAGGGCGCTTCAACCATTTCACATCCTCCAAGTCAATGACAGTCAAACGGCTACCTAGGTCATCCCACAACATATTGCGCCATTCACTATCGCCGTGGACAACTCCGTGTGATCGCAGTATGGCCAAAGCCTTCTCTCGCTCTTGGTGAAAGAACCTCGAGTTCTCATCGTTTATGATGTGCTGAAGCCTCCTTCCCGACCAGCTGAGAATCATCATCTGTTCCATTAGTTCACCATGGTACCAATATGAAACTCGAGGCGTAAACGTTCCTAGACAAACGGGGATCTGTTGTCCCTGCAAGCTCCTGAGGTTGTGATAATTGTCCACCTCCGCTTGAAGGCGATGCTGCTTTTCCACAGTCGTAGCTTTAATTATCACAGTGTATCCGTGTGAAAGGAGGGTGGCTTTCATGAGGTACCCTGTCCGACCACAGACGTGCAGCTGTTCGAACCCAAGGTCTCGATCTCGGGCAAGTTGACGATGAAGCTGGCGTGTGAACTCCTGCGGCCCCATGGAGTGACATAGATTACCATGGAGTTTCCAGTTAGGGCATTTCTTATCCAGTGGGTCTCGGTTAACTATCCCGCGGATGCAAGCAATAGTACAGTATGGTCGTGTAGATTGCCCGTCTTTTCGAGAAGTCTGTTTGTTGTCGCGGCCGGTTCGTGTCCTTTCGCTTCCCCTAGTTATTTTACGGTTGTTGCCTCGGCCGCGGCTCGATCGGCTGCGGGATGCTGCTGCGGTAGATGGCGAGTGCGATTCCTCCTCACTGCCGCTGCCTTCAGTCGACGAGTGCTTCGGTGTAGATGCGCCTGGTTGACAACGAGCGCGAGAGCGCGTGTTGTGTATTTTCGGATCTCGTTTCCAGTGCGAGGGCCGATAATTAGAGGCTGGCGGGTCCTTGCGGAGAGTTTCGGGAATTTGTCTCAACACGTCTAGATATTCGACCTCCCATGTTTTCAGCTGGCCATTTGCCATATCGTACCACTCTTGAGTTGGAGCTTCTGCGGTCAGTGCTTGAAGGGTGAATGCAAGCACCTGGCCGATGGCGGTCCGGTGGAGGTGTAATTCATCGTCCTCCTGCACGTCTTGATTCGGGATACACAAGAAATGTTGAACAACCGTGGGATCATCTTTCGGGATATGGAGGAAAACAAAAGCCTCCCCCGTACAGATATAGCCGTATCGAACTCCACTGTCGATCATGTATGAGAATATCTGAGTGACCACGGCCGCGACGAGGCGGGTGGCATAGAATTCGAACGTGTCGCCTTCTTGGTCAATGACATCGCGAGCCAGGTCCATCTGGTGTAGACCCGCCACCAATTCAGGGATTGTCACCTTGTGCGGCGCTTTGAACTCCACTGCATACAGTGGTATTTGTCGCTCATCAGCCACAAGGTGCACGCAGAACTGATCGGCGCGCCGATTGCGTCTCCGGGTAGTGCCATCTCTCTTCTGTCTCTGCGCCGCTCCTCTCCCCCTTCCTCTGCTTTTTCCATGCCTATTCTTCGCCTGTTCTTGGGGTGTCTGTGTATCCTGAAGATTCATTTGCTCCAAGCTGTTCTCCATCGAAGTTCCCGATGGGTTTGCGCGATCATAGAAGGTGACTCGGCCTTGGATTCCAAACTCATGTCGAAGGTGTTCATCGTCTCGCAAAGCCTTAATAACCTTTTCGACAAAGTTATCCACCGTATCACGCTCAAAATTCCGAAGAGATGCTTCCGAATAGATCGGTCTGTTCTGGATATTCGTAACGACATAATCGATTTGGTTATCAGAAGGGAAGAGGGGGCGCGAGGTAAAGGCAGCCGTGCGGTCAAATTTCGTCCAGACTTGCTCTTGGAGTTGGGGAAAGTCAAGCCAAGGGACGATGCGCTTGGGGTAAAGTCGGTTCACTGGGTCGGTCGCGTCACCCTGAGTCGTGAGGGTCGCATCTGTCTCGATTCGGATCGATCGAGAAAGAAAGTGGTGGCAGCGATCGAGAAGGCGGAAAAGGGGGTTGGGTTGCAGTCGCCCTTCTGCCTCTTCTCGCGCCTGTCTCTCTTCCTCTTCACGGCGCTCCGCCTCCTCTCGCGCCTGTCTCTCTTCCTCTTCACGGCGCTCCGCCTCCTCTCGCGCCTGTCTTTCTTCCTCTTCACGGCACTCTGCCTCTTCTCGCGCCTTTCTCTCCTCTTCTCGTGCCTGTCTCTCTTCCTCAAGCTGACGTCGTAGTTCGGCGATTGTTTCTTCCATTACTTATCGAAAGTAATATGCAGCACATAATCAAGCGGCAAAAACCGATGCCAGGACTGCAGGGGGTCCGCCGTCTGGCACGGGGAACGAACGTCAGGGATGGAGGCAGAAAGGGGAATGGTCGTGGATGTTTACCAGCTTACCCGTGGTGTAGAGTCGATTGGTGCCTCAGGCATCAGCACCAACACGCTTGGCCTTGGCGCTAAAATTTGCGCTGATCCGGTGGTTTTGGGTTACTTACCTGAGACTGGCCTTGTCAGTAAATAGATAAATTCAGTCATCCTTCAAATTCCTCAGCAAGTACAATCACCATGGCGAGGTCATAATCTCAAATACGTCACTGGCGAGTCCCGTTTTCCGTTCTCCAGTAAAAGCCTCCTGCTGCGAAGGGTACATTGTGTGACCTCACTGAGAGTAAGGCATACGACGAACCTAGCTGTCAGCGAAAAGTTCTTATGATACTGTATAGAAAGAAAAGGCTTACTTATCTCATTCTCTTTCTGTTCTGGGAAGCATGCTTCTGTATGCTGTGGGCTTTGGGGATTAGCCAATGGAGCTTAGGGGAAGCAAAGAGACGTACCTTCCCTGTCTGAGAACTTAACACCCTCGTCAGGAATAGGCTTTATGAGCGAGGCAAATTGAGCTGCCTTCGCTGACAAACCAGCACTGGTCATTTGCTAGAGAGTGCCAAGACAGCCGACGTCTAACGAGGTATTTATAGGCGTACGCCTTCCTTGATGATGGCCGCTAACTGCATCCTCAGTTTTGAACAGGTTAATGAAAAATTGGACGGGTACTGTAAACGGAGTATCCTCGCCGAAAAAAAAATTTGAGGCCGGGTAGACAATCACTTGCACCTAAAACAACATTCCTTACTATCAATTAAAGCTGGTGTTAGGTGTCCCATGGATTATACCCACTGCCTTGCATGCCTCATATATTTAATATTTTTGCCTATACTCTTCGTCGAGCGATCCTCACGAAACGATCCTTTGTTCAGCATCAACTAAAACACCAAGTAAATGCCACTATTTAGAACGCACGTTCTTGGCATTGTAGAAATTTCAGCACAGATACATGGTTTTCTGAACGGATGATTGACTATTGACTATCTCGTTCCACCGTTGGTTATCGTTCACTAGTACTTAGTTAAGCCACAGGCCGGTATCTTAGCTGTAACGAATCCTGTGCCTCATCTTCTAACTAATTTCCAACACTCAGCTTCACCGAACCAGTTGTATGTCGAACTAGTAGTGCTCGAGTGGGCTTGTGTTAGCAGCGATGTGCTCTCCATCAGAGCAGTCTCTGTACGACGGACTGACAAAGTAGACCTCACAGTAGTGTTGTTCGAGATTAAGTCCATTCTTGAGGGCACATTAGTCCGTTTTAGTTTAGCAGTCCTGAATCTCCACTGGGCCCCACTAATCACCGCAAATAAGGCTGAGTGACGTCATTGCTCTAGCTCTTTCCCGTTCTAACGTGCTTTAGAGATGGGCTGGGTAGGAAAATGAAGCTCAAATTAGCATCGTTCTGAATAAACAGGTTATCCTAACTGTTTGTGCCTCATAGTAGTTTTTTGTGTCAAAATAGGGCTCGGGAGACCGTAGGAAAATGAAACATGGAAACCAAGAACCCGCGGATGTTAATTGGAAGCCTCCATCAACCAACACCAATGTCAGAGACACTCTACTCGCTTCCTGGAGGATAATTTGCTGCTCCTGGGAACTGTACTCGAAGTTCTAGGAGCAAAAAAGCTCCTAGAGTCGACTTACACATCCTTGGAGCTCGTAGAGAGAGCGTTGTGTAAGCTCATGTGCTCCGAATATCCATCACATCACCCCCACGTACGCTCCAGGCAATCCCAGAGGCACTTGAGGGCCTAAAGCCCCGCTTTTTACCTTCAAGAACAGCTTCGTGGTCCAGGAGCAGTATAGTTACCGGGACTACCCAACACGTTTCTGAGCTCGATGTGGCTGTGAAAGAAAAGAGTGTTTCCGTACCTGAAGCAACCCAAATTTTCTTCATCCACATTTTGAAGAAATGATGTTCCTAGGATCGACGGGCGTGTTTCTGGGGACTTTACCTAGTGTTTCAGGATCAATATAGCTCCCAGGATGGATGTTGACGTTCCCAGAGACTGATTTTGCACTCCTAGGCAAGCTACCCCGCAATCCTGAGAGCTTCAAACCCCTTCCTGGGAGTAACTGTGCCTATTGTCAGGAATATACATTAATCATACACACTCAGCGGATGAGATGGACCCACATGGCGCATCTGGGTTTCCCTGAACGCGAGGAAGCCACCTCTCTTTTGCTTCCTCGCGCTACGTCTTGTATCTAGAGTCCACTATAGTTTTTCCTAATATTGCTTAATCAACTACCCCTACGATGGGATCATAATTTTTGTATGGGTCTAATAAGCTTCATTTCGGCGGAAGACTTGAGACTATTCGTATGAGATTAGTTTTAGAGGTAATCAATCAATCAATCAATCAATCAATCGACTAGCGGCTGCTCTGGGAACTTCACCTAGAGTTCCAGGACTAATATAGCTCCCAGGAGGGGTGGTTCATGTTCCTTAATGATTGATTGATTGATTTACTCATAGACTGTCCCAGCCGCCCAATTATTAGCAGCTATGCAGCGTGTGACTATAAGTACAGGTGTCCCCTACCCTCACTTTCAGAAAACAAGCCGTTCCTTGTCCGAATGACTTCTCCGTCCGTTCCAGTAAGTTTCCCCCCAACCCGTAGTCTTGTTGACCGTTCTGTTTCTATGTACCTGTCGGGCCTTTCCTGGCCCTCCTCTACTTCTATTTACCAAAAATCACTCGTCTTCGCTATATGTATTTGAGCACTGTGGATGGTACTGCCTGGAATTGTCCTAGCAGTCCGGTCCTCAAGATCATCTTGGCTGCTTGTACTGCCATTGGCGGGTTACAGAGAATGCGCTTGATGTCGATGCATGGAGTCTTGCCTGCCCACATTCGATGTCGTTCTTCCACCCAGTTCCGGCATTCGAGCAGGATGTGTCGTACTGTCTGTGGTCCATGGCCACACTGACATTGATCGGTGTCCGCCTTGTTGATGGCGTGGAGGTATGCACGCAGGCCAATCTTGCCTGTACGCATCTGTGTGATTGTTGAGCTGATTGCTCTGTGTGCCCCGACATGTGTATCGAGGATCGCTTTCCCCGGTCGCACTCCAAGCCTAAAGAGCTCTCTGCCGTGTTTGCCTTTTTCCCAGGCCAGGTCCCACTCGTTTCTCATCGCTCGGCGGATGGTAGACTTGGTGGTTGCTGTGAGTGTTCGCAAGGAGTCTGGTTCTGGTCGCGGTTCAGCGTTCCTTAATCACCCCGGCCAGATAGTCTTCATGTCTCAGGTTAAAGACTGGGCCTTAAACAATATGTGGTATATATAGTCTTTGAACACGCGCGTTGATCGCTTGCGTGTCAGGAAATAGGAAACATGGATATGGCTGGTGTAGTGGCTAGTTGGTCCTCAAGGTGGGTCAGCCTGACCCAACTAGCCACTCTGAGGACCACCACCCTGTTTTCCGCGGCGGAATGCTGTGCTTTTTTTCTTGCCTACGGATAGAACGGATAAACTGTGCTCTTTAGGAGTGTTTATGGTCACCATCGATAGGTCAAACATGACCAGACCATCTCACGGTGGGTATGATTGACGCTTGACGAGAGATGACAGTTGTTCTTTTTCTACCCAACGTTTAATGTTAATGATCCTCACCACTATTGGTCAGCAGGCAAGCAGGCACTTGAAAACAGAATTGACTGTGCCTTGGGTAGGGTATTCGCTGTGTCCGGAAATTCTGTAGGCCTGAGATCGACTCCTTGCATCTTTGACACCACACTTGCCCTTCAATGCCTTATTCATTGATTATTTGCAACGAAAAAGCCATTCTCTGTTTCTCAAACGATTAGACCATTAGACCATTTATCCATGCCTTTTCGAAATCTTTCTCTCGGGGATGTGATGGATGGCGGCAAAAGCGTCTTGCTAGCAGGTTTGGAAGGCGGCAAGGTTATCGCAGTTCATGGCAGGCCTGCCCTTGAAAACTCCGTCAACTTGGCAGCTCAGGTTGGTATAACTGTTCTACCAATCGATATTGCTCTAATTTTTGCCACGATCCGTTAGGCAGCAGGCTGGAGTATTCAGAACCCGATTCTCGCTGCCTGCACAGTTGTTGGCGCCACCGGAGCGACTATTCTGGCAGCCCCCGGCCTTGCAACGGGCCCGATTCTCTCGAGCATAGGTTTTACGATGAGCGGTATACAAGCAGGTATGTGGTAGAAAGGCCAAACTTCTCTCTATCTCTTGTGTTATAAAGCCTGAGTAACCGCGTGTTTCTGGCATACAGGGTCTGTGGCCGCAACCGCCCATAGCTGGATTGGAAACATTGTAGCGGGTAGCGCGATGGCTATAGGACAAAGTGCTGGTGCAGGAGGAAATGGATTAGTCATCATTAACGGAGCTGCACAGTTCGGAGGTGCTGCTATGACTGTGGGAAGTGCTAGTCTAGCATGGATCAAAGCTAAATTATGATTCTCATATTCCTTCAACTGATTGCTCAAAGTAAACTCGCTAAACTTTACAATCTTTAGTTCTGCTCGCTGAAAGTAGTTCCGGCGCTCTGTACGAAGCTAACACAACGATGTCAATAGACTCCCCAGTGGCATCCTCTGCCTTGAGGGGATGACGCGTCAATTGGGCTCTCTCTGAGGACGGCCGGACATAAAGACAGCATAGCAAAAAGTAAAAGAGTAAAGGTCAACATCTGATAAGTCAAAGCTTAGTGTTCATCGTCTCCAAAAGACCCTGCCATTCCTTGCTTCCAAGTCCTCGCACTCCACTTCCAGTTCTTGGATACGTTCATTCATTTCTTTAACCTGATCCTTTAGTCTGACTCGTTTTCTCTTCTCTTTTTCCAGATCTGATTTGGCCTGACTAAGAGAGACCTCAGTCTCAGCTGCTGCACATTGTGCATTATTGATGGCATCGTCGAGAGTAGCTTTAAATTTGTTATTGGCATTATCGAGGGTTGATTGAAGCTGGTCTTTTTCTTTTTTGACCTTGTCGAGTTGGAGACCTTTGGTACCGAGTCGTACTTTTAGATCTAGAATCTCCTTTTCATGCCGTTGAATTTCGTCAACCTGTCGTGCAACTATCGGCTCAAGCTGCTCGACCTTGGAATGGTCATCAGGTCTCTGGAGTAGGTTTCTCTCGGCGATTTCCAAGTCTCTTCTTAAATCGTCGCGTTCATGCTTTGTGGATAGGAGCTCCTCCGCAGCCGATTTCAAACGCCTCTGAACCTCGACTTCCACACTTTGGTTACGATCATCTTCCGCTTGCAAGGCGATATCTCTGAGTGTTTGGTTGTCATTTTTCAGCTGCTGGTTCCTTTCAAGTATTCGATCGATATTGGCAATCAAACTCATATTGACTGCTCGGGAAGAACATAATCTTGTGCTGCGATGAGCCATTCAAGTTAGCACCGTATGCTACAACATTAGCTCTTCTGTCAGAAGACGAATGTGAGAGTACCCGATGAGGTGGTGAGCTTGGAACAATATAGTGTAGAGCTGCTCGGGCCAATAGGTTGTTCCACCTTCCAAGGAAGATGCCTCCAAGAGAAGGATTGGATGGATGGTTCGACCGTTCGACCCAACCTGTGACAGGTGGGGTTGGGCAGCGCGCCGAATCGTAAGGCTACCCGACTTACTACAACTGATACGCCACGTGATTTCCATTTATTAGAAAACGAACGACCAGGGTGTTTTTAACTGCTCCTCTAGTGGTCCATGCATGCATTTCTTAATACCTCCCACGCCCCAGGTATCAGCTAGTTTTCTCACTCCACAGGGTCCTTACATAACTCCTAAAGAGAAGGAGCGGAGTAAGCAGAGCAACAACAGAAGTGGCCAGCACAGCCATGGAAGAACTGACTCGTTGAATCAAAACTATCAACAGAATGAACACGGCTTTAAAATTTTACGAGATGGAACCAATAAGCAAAGAGCGGCTTAACATATTTCTTCCCCCTGAATCCATTACTGTCCACCTTTCCTGAATCCCCTCTCTGCGCCGGCTGCTGATTTATGTAAAAGGTATTGTTCTTTTCGCGGAGCAGCTCTAATCATCTCTTCAAATGGTCTAATCGTCCGGAGAGCTCGAACTGTCACCCTCCACATCAAGAACGGCTTTTCTCCTTTCTGTTCACCAATGAGCTCCCAGTCAAGGCGAACATTGGAATCTTCGCCGGGGCGCGATACGCTCATCAGATTGAGTGCCCCAGTGAGTGTGGAATAGTCCAACCAGAGATTTTCTTCGGGGCCAGGCACACCATATGTGACGTTGCAGGGCTCTGAGTAACGAATCATCCCAGCAAAAATTCCAAGAAAGTCTCCTTCCTGGACTGAAATGATGGGACAAACAGAAAAGAAGTTCTTGTCTTTGGGTAGTATGGTAACAAATATAGACTTGTTTCTCATCGCCTCTGCCCCTGGATGTAAGTCAAGAAACCCACCAAACTGTGCAAAAGATGGCTCATGTGGCCCACTCGATTGGAAAGCGACTGCTTCCTTGTCGGAAAGCCAAGGGTTACCCGCACTGTTCCATGCAACATCTGAAATCTTCAATCTCTCGGCCAAAACAGGCTGGCTCAGCCATGATCTTCCCGTGAGATCGCCCATACTCTCTTGAGTTACTCGGATTTCCAGCTGTTCGATCTGCAAACCGTAGATATTTTCCCAGTTTCGAACCATTTGTACCAGAGATGTCGCGTCGTCTGCCGAACAACTCTTGCAAAAACGATCGAACTCCTTGGTCCGATATAGGGAGAATCTTGTCAACGCCCATTTTACGCATCTCGCAAAGCCTCTTCCAGAAAAGGCGGCACTGACGCTGGTTAGCAAGGCTGAGGCCATACCCTGCGTCTCTCATGAAGCGCTCGGTCGCAACCTTCTCGGCCATTGTGAACTCATCGAGGGGCCCTTTAGGGCTTGGCAGACTCTTCGGATCGAGAAGTTCTGCAGCTTTTTCTATAATCTCCCAATACGCGGTTTCGTTGTACCGAGTCTGGATGTTCTTGCTGGCCGAAAAGGCGTTTTCTTGCTTGATCGCTTGGATAGCATCGGAGTAGTCTAGCTGGATAATTTCATCGACGAAGCTTTGAATAGTCTTGACCCTGGTTGTCACAGTTGTCTGTGCAGATCGTTGCCCGTACCTTCCCAGCCGATCGTTCAACCGCACACAATTGATGAGTATGTTCTCCAGGATACTATCTGGCACCCTGTTCAGAACCGTTTCAATCCTTTGGATGTTTACGGGGATGACCGGCTGGTTGGGGAGAGCCTGAAGCTGGAGGCAGGGGGCAATCTCCGCTGGTTTCTCACTCGTTGGGGATGTGGGACAGGTGTACCACCCTCCAGAGCTACCACAGCCTCCCTTCCTTTCTGCAAATTATCATCCCCAATACGATCACCCTGAGTTTTATCTTTGCGTCTCCTTCTCTTCTTCGTAGACGAACCATCTAGCCCTGTGTAGTCTGGCCTGCTTCGTTTATCTGGTGTTGACAAGAATCGGTATGACCCACGCTTTCCATTCGCTGCTGCGTCAGGGGTCGGGCTGTGTCGGGGTGTAAGTATCGGCGGTGGATCTGTAAGTCCTACCTGCAACCTTTGATCATGAACTTCAATCCGTCAGTATACAATCTTTCCCAGGCTGTGATTCGAAAGTTCACCAAAATTCGAAATGGCAAGGATATGCTGTTTGATGGGATCATCGTTACAGTTACCGATCCCACAAAATACTAGAAGTTCATGGATCTTCCCTGCGGTCAGAGACTGAAAGACTTCTTCCATGCTTGCTTGTTTTGGGCAGTGGACGTTGGGAAAGAAGAAATTGGGACGAGGGATGGGGGGGAAGGGGGAAATCGCGGGTAGACTACTCTATTGCACGGGGTCGCACTAATCCCGAACGGGTAGGATTGGGGCCTAGAACCTTGCTTCCCTAAAGTGAGACCGAAACAAATGGAAGTTTCGTCATCCAAACAGCAGAAACTGATGGCTGAATAAAAACCAACGCTTAGGTGAGATACATGATAAAACCGCCGAGCCTCACGTGTCAATTCCAGACCTATATTCATGACGTAACGCTGTTCCTCAGAAGCTAAACCCCCGCTCGTACAATAGTTCCCCAATTGGTATCAGGAACTTTGAGGTTAGGGAAGGTATTGGAATCTGTCCAATCACGTTTAAAGACTACCATCCAACACCTAAGTTATTTTCTGCTCCCCTGAGCTCCTGAACCAGTCTGACCGTCCGCCGTCATGTTTCTTGAGTTGAACTAAACTTTGGCCCAATGTTAAAGTGCCTTTCTGTGTCTAAATCCGTCAACTTGATCCTTAAGTACTTGCTCCTGGGAGCCATAATTACGGTTCCTAGAGCACTCGGCTGATCCTTGGGGTGGTTTATGCGATCCCAGGTAGAGTCTCTCGGCTTGGAATTGCTTTTTAGTCTCCCAGTCTTGCTGTTGCTAGTTTGTCCTTAAAACGGCTAGATTTTCCTCAAAATGGCTAGATGGTCCTCAAAATGGACGTGTCCGGCCCACAAGCCAGGCAACAGATCGCCCGCCCTGACGTGAAAAAAATGGCTTTGAAAGCTCAAAGCCCAGGTTACAGTATACCTTAGACCTGATGTGTGCTCCTTCTGACAACACCAGGTACATTCTATAGTCTCAAGATTACAGTAAAGCCAAGGCAGTCCATTGCCGTGACTAGATGGTCCTTCAAGTGGCCAAGGAGTAGGTAGTCCCCCATAGTGGCTAGATGGGTTGCAGCGGACAGCCCTTCCAAGACAAGCTGATGATATATTGCACTTCTAATCTGGACTTAGTGGTACTCTGAACACTGCTAAGAGACTTGAGTAGCACTGTCCAGGTTCGACTCGACAGTAATATGTATCATCCAGGCTATTGCCCTCTGAGAAATAGTGGTCGAGAAGTTATATATTCATGAGAGCTTCTTAGTATATCAACTTACACTGTATTATGACACCAAGACGAATGTACGGAGCCCACTTCCACACAGAACATTCTACCACACGGGGCCCTCTTCCATATCAATTTGTCTTGGGCTGTGGAAGTCGGGATAAGAGAATAGTGGGGGACGGGGAAATCAAGGATAGACAGGTAAGGTATCTCCGTCTTGACTGGGGACGAGTTGGTGTAACAGATGCATGAGGTTTCTACGGATGGGGTGCGTACCTGGCGGCGGGTGGTGACCGCGTAGATAGTTTTGTGGCGCTGTTAGTGCTATTGAGGGTGGCGAGTGTCATGTTTGGGTTTTTCAAGGTTTGTCAGATCATTCTCCTATTTTTGCTCTTGTTGTGGGTGGGCAGTGCCACGAGTAGTATCCTTTACCATGTACGGAGGTCCATCCAAAAAGTATTGCGCAGCGCACGTACCACCATTATATTACCACTATCGTTATACCAAGCGAATACACACAATCCACTGAGTAAATTAATCCTCTTCTTTCTAACTATCCATCTCCTACTACTACTGCCTACATCTACCACTATGCCGAAACAATCAACCCATGCTGATCGTGTGACCGTCGTCGCATTGAGAGCTTATACGACGAAAACGTCTAGTGAGATCGCGAAGATAGTAGATCTATCAATTGCTACTGTTAATCGTATATACGCGCGTGCCATTGAGCGTGGTTTCGATCCGATTCATACAAAGATCATTGACGAATACGTACAAGATAGTCCTCGCTCTGGTCGGCCAACTAAGCAGGATCCTCAGACGATTAATACAATCCTGTCGAAGGTGCGCCTCGATCGCTTTGGTCGCGAGAAAACATGCGCTGATCTTGCTGGTGAGCTTAGCCAGGAAGGGATAGAAATATCATCCTCTACTGTCTGGACAATCCTCAGGAAGGCCGGTTTACGGAAGACGAAGCCGACGAGGAAGCCTGGACTGACGAAGAAGATGCGCGCTGAGCGATTAGCTTGGTGCTTAGCTCATGAGCACTGGACTATTGAAGAATGGAAGAATGTGATTTTCTCTGATGAGACCTCGGTGATTCTTCTACATCGCCGTGGCGGTTATCGTATCTGGCGCTCTAAGGATAAAGCTTTCCTACGCTCGTGTATTCGCGAGCGCTGGAAAGGTTCGTCCGAATTTATGTTTTGGGGCTGTTTTACCTACGATAAGAAGGGCCCTTGTCACTGTTGGTGCCCTGAAACTGCTATACAGAAACGTGAAGCAGAGCAAGAGATTGAAGCTCTTAATCGAGAGATTGAACCGATTCTACGCGAGCAGTGGGAGCTTGAGACTGGTGTTACGGACCCACTTCGGTTGAAGAAAATAAGTCAACCACGACCAACCGATCTGTCAAGATTGACACACACGTGACAAGGGAGCCAGGTATGGCAGCCGACCAATTGGCATGAAGGAGCCAGGAACAGCTGTCTAAGGCAGCAAGGCAACAGTGGCTCATCAGCGATGTGCACTGCACATCAGCGATGCGCGGAGCGCATCAGCGATGTGTCCCGAACACATCAGTGACAGGAAGGACTGGATATATAAGGACACTCACTTGGCACCATGTATTTAGTTCTTCGCGATCAATCTCTTCTTGATTCTACATCATTGTTACTTAGGAACCACAAGATTGGAATACGACAACGGTTCATTGTTCATACTTGTCTCGAATCCAAACCTAACGACGAAGGGGAGATCCATAAGAACCTGACCTCGTCGGCGCCCTCAGCAGCTCCACGTTTACTAAGCAAGACCTCTAAGGACTTGAGCATCTAAGGCCTGTTGCCGTGTGTGATCGGTAGGCATTGCAATAGAGTGACGAGACACCCTTGGCGTGCAGAGTGACCAAGAGAAGTATCACCCTTTGAGGACCCACTCACCGAGACTCGCTAGGTAGTGCGTAACACATTGATCGCCCATCTCGAACAAGTACGACACTGAACAGCAATTGACGCCCTGACCTTGACGCCACTATGTCGACTCAAGGCAGTAATACCCCACGCCCACCAGCACCAGCTGCACCACCTACCAACGCTCAGTTGGAAGGCATGCTCAGCCAGTTACAGGAACAAATTATGGAACTAGAGAAGCAACGATTGCCACAGATCAAACCACCGAAGCCAGATTTCTTCGAAGGACACCGAGGCAAGTTGCGAGCATTCTTGACGCAGATGGATATGCAATTACGACTTGTCAACTTCCAGTCCGAAGTCGATAAGGTCATGTATGCATCCACGTACCTGCGAGGACAAGCGTTCGAATGGTTCGAACCATACATCCGGGACTATACCGACAAACCCAGCAAGGACCGCGATGAAGCTACAAAAGAAGTTTTCGCGTCATACTCCAACTTTAAGAAGAAATTAGAAGCCACCTTTGGGGATGTTGATGCAACCCGTACCGCGGAACGACGATTGAGGAGACTCCGACAAACTGGATCAGCCAGTGTATACACCGCTGAATTCCAACAAATCATCTCTCATCTCGATTGGGATGAGGATGCGTACATCGCCATCTATGAAGACGGTCTTAAGGAAGATGTGAAAGACGAAATCATGCGAATCGACCGACCCGATAGGTTGAGCAAACTCATGGAAGTCGCAGTCAAGTTCGACAACCGACTATACGAAAGATCGCTTCAACGACGAGAAGCACGACAGTGGCGGGGACAAGGACAACCTCCCCGAACCCACGGATTCCGACGACGAGGAGGTCGAAGAGAGCCACGACAGGCCCAGTACAATGACCCATATGGATTGCAACCTATGGATCTGGACGCGGCAGAAAACCCACGAAAGGAAAAGCAATATAGGCAGATGAAAGGAAAATGCTTCAACTGCAACCAAGGAGGACATTTCGCAAAAGAATGCCCTAAACCACGGAAACCGCGACAACCGCAGCAACTTCGAGCAACAAACGAGAGCCGAGGCGGATACAACGAGACCAAACAAATCTGCGCCACGGAAGAGCGCGAGAGGGACGAAACATTATCAGACATCCAAGACATGCTTGAAGCATGGACGACGCTAAGTGAAAGCGAGATCGCAGACAGCGAACCAACGGACGGAACCGCGAGAAACACCAACGACAAAGACACAGAAGCACAGACGTACGAGGGGAGTGACACCTCGGAACTGTTGAAAGAAAACCAGCGACACGAGTTCCCAGAGATCGATTGGGATAACAGAAGTTGGACTCTGGACGAATCCGAGTCCCAGGAGCAAGAGGGACTATCCCAGGAGACACGAAACCTCGTTCAAGGAACGAAGGGCTCCCAGGACCTCGAATACGAACCTCCATGCCCCGAACTGCACTACCAGGACCCAGAATGGGCCGTCGAGATATTCAACCGAATTGTCAGGGAAGAACCCTACATCAGAGGAGCAGTTATGAAGTTAAACGAGTTGTGCGAACTCATGAACAGGAACACCACCAAAGAAGAAAAGAAGAGGGCCTGGATCGAGTGCGACCCACAGCGGTACGCGTTCCGACCAGAACACGAAATACCCTACAGCGCAGGATGCCCGTGCGATGAAGCGGATTGCTCATGTCGCGGATACGCCAGGCATCCCGACCACAGCACGATACCCTTCACGCGGTGCTATGAACTACATTCTTGCCCGCAACACGACAAAGAAAAAGCTGAGGCCAAACCCTACCGACTCGAAACAAACGTATACGAGAAAGCACCACGATGGCGACGCCAGTACAAGAGCAGCTACCTGGCCAGACACGGATTGTTACCATCCGACCCTGCCAAGAAGAACCAGAACCAATCAATTTGCGGAACGCAGTGGGGACCTCACCTAAAGGTCGAAGTGATCCTTATGGGAAGAAAAGCACGAGCGTTCATTGATTCTGGAGCATGTGGAAATTTTCTGTCCAAGGCATGGGCCAGAGCTCATGGAGTACCCGTTTACGCCAACCCAAATGCTGTACCAGTCACTGGGTTAGACGGACGCGCCTACGGAACAGGAATACAATACGAAACAGGATGGATACCAATGCAGCTCGGAAACCACTTCGAGATGAATAATTTCGATATCATCTCAGAACTAGGGAAGTACGATGTGCTATTAGGAAGTCCATGGTTGAAACGACACAACCCCGAAATCGACTGGAAAACGCACACACTCAGATTCACACGATGTGAATGCCGAACGACGAACGGCGAGGCGACGGATAAGCCTAAGAAAACCGCCAAATTTAGGGAGTCTAGCCCTGGGCAGGCAGACACACCAGAGAACATGCACAGGCAGCAGACCCAGCATAGTCCTTGGTCCTCGGGAGGTAGGACCCCGCATACCATCGTGAGAATGGATGCCTATGTCACAGAAGAAGTCGCGATGTCAGACGATGAAATTGACAACTACGTGGTAATTGACCACGCCGAAGACACGAAGGCCCTCTGTGGGACAGAGGAAGAGGTACAGATACCTGAACAATACAAGGAATTCGAAGACGTGTTCACACCACCACCAATTGGCACACTGCCAGAACACGGTCCGTACGACCACGAGATCAAACTCAAACCAGGGATGGAACCCAAGTTCATGCCGATTTACCAACTCAACGAGAACAACAAACGTCTCTTGAAGGAATATATCGACGAAAACTTGAAGAAGGGATACATACGACCATCCAAGTCACCAGCAGGATACCCCATCCTATTCGTTGCGAAGAAACACGAAGACCCCACGAAACGGCAACGAATGTGCATCGATTACAGACAGCTGAACGAAGCCACGATCAAGGATCGACACCCATTGCCTTTGATTCAAAGCATCCAAAATACTGTTGGGAAAGCTAAGATATACAGCAAGTACGACATCACGGAAGCTTACTACAGGCTACGAATCAAAGAAGGGGACGAATGGAAAACAGCATTCCGAACAGAACTTGGACACTTCGAGTATACTGTTATGCCCTTTGGATTGACCAACGCACCAGCATCATTCCAAAGATTCATTCTAGACGTTCTGAGGGAATATCTAGATATCTTTGTTGTTGTCTACCTAGACGACATCTTGGTCTACTCCAACAACGAGGAAGAACACGTGCAGCACAACAAACTCGTTCTTCAGAAACTCAGAGAAGCGAAAGTCACATTGAAACTCAAGAAATGCGAGTTCCACACGGAAGAAACTGGATTCTTAGGATATGTCATCACCAAGGAGGGATTCAGCATGGAAGAAGAAAAAGTACGAAGCATCCTGGAATGGCCACGACCTACCAAGGTTAAGGAAGTGCAACAATTCCTAGGGTTAGCCAACTACTACCGACGATGGATCGGAGGATTTTCAGCAAAGGCACACGGCCTAACAGAACTCACGAAAAAAGACCAGCCGTGGGAATGGAACAACGAAGCGAAACAATCGTTCAACGAACTTAAACGATTATTTTCGGAACGAATCATACTCGCAAGAAATGATCCACAGAAACCATATGTCATGGAGACAGATGCATCGGACTACGCGTTAGGAGCCAGGCTCACGCAACCCGATAACGAACAGAAATATCGACCAATTGCATTTTGGTCCAGAAAGATGACACCAGCCGAATTAAACTACGATGTCTACGACAAAGAACTATTGGCAATAGTCATGGCATTCAAGACATGGAGACCATACTTGGAAGGAGCAAACCACCAAGTAGTAGTGAAGTCAGATCACAAAAATCTGACATACTTCACCACTACCAAGGAGCTCACCAGACGACAAGCACGATGGGCAGAAGAACTGTCCCGATACGATTACCGAATCGAACACTGCAGCGGAACGTCCAACAGTCAAGCAGACGCGCTCAGCAGAAGACCTGACTACCAAGAAGGAGTCAAAGAAGCATCACCAGCCATCCTACGAATGGATGAATATGGCAATATTGTTCACAACCACCAACAGCTAGCAGCAACTAGTGAAATCCTAGACGAATGGACGGCCAAACTCAAGGAAGAGACAGCTAAAGACGGAACCATCCAGAAAATCTTGGAAACCGCACCAGCAAAGATGACCCAAGAAAACGGACTTGTCATCATACACGGATTGATCTACGTACCCGAAAAATTGAGACAAGAAACGATCAAAAACCACCATGACACCCCAGCGGAAGGACATATGGGAGCAGAAAAGACTATCGAAAGCATCACAAGGAACTACTTCTGGCCGAACATCCACAGAAAAGTCAGGAAATACATACGAAACTGCGATACCTGTCAACGAGACAAACCAACAAGACACATGCAGTATGGAGAGCTACAACCTGTCGAAGCACCGACAACACCGTTCGAAGTCATCACCATTGACTTCATCACCAAGTTACCCCAGTCGGACGAACAAGATATGATTATGGTAGTGACGTGTAAACTCACGAAG